ACCCTCCACCTTGGGGTTTTCTCCATCCGCAAGTCGTTTCACATGACGAACCCGAAATCGTTTACAAGTACTCTACTATTTTTCGTATTCGGTGATCTGATCTGAACAGCTACAGTTGGTTTCGTAACTTGTGATAGGTATTGTTCTTGGCACGTGACTGTTCGTTGGAATATCAGAAACACAAGCACGCAAGTAGATGGTTTATTTTTGCTGGTATCCAACAAGTCGTCTTCGTTTCTGCATTTTCCAGCTTTTCTGTTGCCGTGTTTTTTTTATTGGTTTTTCGTGTTTATGCTCACAACGGTTACCGTAAACCCGTTCTGGCCAACGTCTCCGGGCTCACTCTCCCGTTTCACCCGGCACACACCGCTACTCCTCGAATACCACACTCGCTTACGACCAAAGCTCAACGAAATTCCGCCCCTTTCCACCCCGTATATTCTTCTATCTCTAGTCGTTTCCGCTAGCAGCTTCCACCCAGCCTTTCTTTCCCATACTAATTTAATCTCGATTTCGGCTAGGTGGAGAGAAAAGAAGAAATCAAGGGAATCAAGGGGGACCCCTACGAAAAGGGAAACTAAGACTCACACGACAACAAAAATAGCGGGCAAGGAACGATGACCACAGTTTGGAATCGCTCAACTGGCATTTCTCGTTGTGGTATATAAGGCACTAGATTCTCGCCGATCATAGTGTACCGTAATCTTGATTTACACTTACATTCCTCCCAACAACGTAGTCTATACCTGTAGACACACCCCACTCACACAGATACATTCACAAATTTCAATTTCAATACTTATCTTACACCATGACTAGAACTAATAAATGGACAGTTCACGAAGATAAGGCCGAGTCGCATTACTTTACCCACAACGGCTACTACGGAGCAGCGCCCAATGGTGTCAAGAAGCACGGGTCCGGAAAGGGCAATTGGGGGAAACCGGGCGACGAAATTCAAGACCTCATCGAGACCGGCGAGATCCCACCAGTGTTCCATAAGCAAAGGCGTGGATCCAATGTTCAGGGCCATGAACGCAAACTAGGCGAAGTGCAACAATTTCACGAATAGGACAGTAACGAAGGCATATAGTTATACAGCTGATTAAATAGGCCGCATAACACGAGTTAATGACACAGTATAAGAAACGTTTACGCTTACCTGGCAAGAGTTGTATATTTGTAAAGATCTGCCAAAGGTGTAACAGAGACCTCAACGTTGCTTTAAACTGCTGGAAGCATACAATTGTGTTATACGTTGAAAGCACATATCATTAGAATAAGGGCAGGCCGCCCGGGGCATGCGTCAGCAACTATTCAAGGTATGGGGTTGCACCAACGACCGAAGTTCGAATCAGACCTGGCAGGAAAAATCCCTAAACTTTGGTAACACGTGACCGGCGTCAGATGTCAAGCCGTAACAAATGATAAACATGTACCATTCCATTCCGTTAGCAACGGCGGCTTTCTGACTTACTGGCTCCCAACACGTTTGCGCCGGAGCTTCTTTTTTCAACAACTCACTGACTTTGACCTGTTGCGAGTTCTTTATATCGGATTGTATGTAAAGAGCTTGAAACTCAAAATCAAAAGCGTCACACCGAAAAGGAACTGACTATTGATCCCATTTTTCAATACCAGCGATCATATTGCAAACTTCGAAGCTAGCTGTATTGTTCTACCACCTTATTGATTCTTGCTTTCGATCCTCATCACAATTTTGCGACTATAAGTTCGTCTTTAACTCAAAATTGGTGTCAGCGTCTCCTTGTATTGAGCCCTGTTATTATTGGAAGTATCCAAACGGGACAACAGGAACCGATCAAGGTGCTTGATTGCAGTTTCCTGACGGCTCTGAGCTAAAAGGTGGCTGATGCAAAATCTGGACATGAGCCGCTTGACTGACTTCATGTGGCACCGGGACGTCGAAAAAACTGCCATGAACCCTCGCGCAGCTTTTCGAGTTTTTTTAGACACTCACAAAAGCTAAAGTTGGGCATTTGCGATTTGATCGGTTTCCGAACCCATCTACCAAGAACATGGGCCCGCACAAGTCTTGGCACCGCGACTAGAGTCGCCGTAAGTGAGGCTGCAATGTAACATCATCGACGCGCATCGCAGTAGTGCCAAGCGTTACCAACACTTTCTATCATCGGAAAGTGATGCCATCAAAACAATTCGTCTTAAAGATGTTGTGTACCCCGATGCATCGTGTAGAAATCTTTGCGACACAAGCAACCCGGCCAAATCGCAAACATTATCCTCAGAATCCTAAATCAGCGGCATCTCAGTAACCGGACATACCCTTCTTAGTGTTGCGGGCAATATAATGGTCGCGATCCGCGACAATTCGTTTGAGGATTGTAGCCTTGTCCAAATATGCAAACGGTCCAGTTTTTAGTTCAGGGTCGTCTAGATGCCAAATTTTCTCCACTTCAGGCCTAGTGTGTGGTTCCACCACCACTGCGTCGACGTATTTGCAGCTCAGCACACCAAGAACTCGTTCAAGGGGTGTCATCACGCAATCATCCCTAGTCGAGACTCCTACCACCAACCTTTGTTCAGGACCGTGGCGAGCACGCAATTCTGCGAGCTGATCAATGTGGCCAACATGAAATAAGTCAAAATCGCCCTCAATGTACACTATGTTGTGTGAGATCCACTCGAATCCACCACGTACCACCATTTTGTCCTCTGAGGCCTTTCCATCAAAAACATAACACCAAGGACTGCGGCCGTCTGAATTGGACGCATATCGTGTCAATTCGGAGGTATGGCTCTCGCACAGCGATGGATCGCTACTTGTTGTGATTCCAGTCAATATACGATGGATAATGTCCGTAGTACTGACACCTCCTGTACGTTTTACCACCAGAAATCTACCCATATCTTTCACCTGTTGGTAGCAATCCTCGCCATTCGCATCTGTTGTGATGTCGTCGCCATGCACCACGTACCAGCAATTGTGAGCGTCCAGAACTTGTGGTTGAGTCACATAGGGTGCGTCCTCGACCACTTCGCTGCACCAACGATTGCTACGAGTATGGGCATAGCGTTCGAGCTGTGTCATAACGGGTTTCCCACCCTTGTTGTACGTAATGTCCTTGTCGTTGTGCACTCCGCACAGCAACACGCCTGAATCGGTACTTGCTGGTGGTATCAAGCTCCGGGCTTGCAGAATGGCCCCGGCATGCCCATGGTGAGTGAAATCAAAGCACCCGTCAATCCAAAGTCTATCAATTGGGTGGTTCATCAATGTTGTTCCTGTTTTTTTTTGTATATCTGTCCTTGTACATAGTGGTGTATGAGTTCAAAGTTCATTGAAGACACCGTTTTTCTTAAAGATCCAAAGCAAGTGAGCCAACTGGCCAAAAGCGAAGCTGTTAGTACACTGGATACTGTTTCTGGGGCGCCATACGTGGTGCACCTTGGTTTCCGTACAACCCCCTCGACTTTGGCAGAGTTGATGAAGCTGCTGCTGGTGGAGGAGGTGCTGCTGCTGTTGCGGCCGTTGTAGGATTAGGCCGAGCTGCAGCAGCGCTTGATGGAACACCTGCCGGTGAGGGTCGTTGAGCTTGCTGTTGGAGATGTGCATTGTGGCTATTAATGGCTTTTTTAGCAAGATAGTTGTAGATCATTGCGCAATTGCGAGTAGAGCATGCGTTCATCCACGCAAAAAGAATGCCCAGTACTGGTGGCAACGAGATCAGCAGATCCAAAAAGATGTTTCCGTGCATCTTCGCCACCAGTTCTGCAGGTAAGTCTAGCTCTTTTTCCGCCATGGAGATGAGTTTGGAATGAACCGAATACATGATGATGGGCCCTATAGTTGGGATTATGGATAGCATTGGAGCGAGTCCAAGCCCCCAGTTCAACCACAAACATCCACATAAACACCTATCATCTTTCCAGGCTCGATTTTGTAGCTTTTTCCAGAGTTTTTTCTCGCGCGTAGGGCAGTATTCCGGCAGTTTGCGTCTTTTGCGTTTGCCCTCCGGTGATACCTCATAAAACGGATCTGTTGTGAGAAGATTTTGATTGTTAGTACGTTCAGCCGCTGTGAGGTGCTTGGAAATAAGCTTCGTATGCTTCGTAGTTGAATCATACCTTTGGTTGGCTGAAAGCGTTCGCCTGCGTAGTCGTTCCACTTGTCAGTAGCGTAATTCTCTGCTAGATTTTCTATGAACCCCTGCACCAACGAAGTCATTTGCAGTAGTTGTTATATGCTGGCCTAAATTGTTGCTTTCCTGTTTTTATTCGGTACTTCGGATTGCGTTGTAGTCCGGCTTAGATAGTAGTTTAACGGTCATCTACCAGCTTTGCCAAAAATCACTCTTGATGGAGCTGTGACTTCTTACGACGTCCGTCTGCTGCCGAAACAGCTGCGAATGACACCAATCGCTTCACGCTGGTGATCCATAGTCGAGTGGTCTCATCCAGCATCACATTGGCGATCTTGTCGCGGCCCTGAATACGTTCATGCGCACTACGGGCATGAATACCTACCGATGTGACACCGATTGGCCATGCCACGTTTCCTATACTGAGTTTAAGGTAAGATTGCGTGGCTTGTGCAAACTGGGCATGCTGAATATGGTACAGAATGGTTGCCACTGATGTAACAAGCTCGGCAGCTAGTGTTTGCTTGCGAAGCTGCACCAACAATGGGTAAAGGGCTTTCTTTGTTTCGACTAACAATTCCGGCTTGTAATCTGTATCCTGCCACTCCTGCACCAGTTGGTGTATGTATAAGTTGCACCTCCTTGCCAGATTCGCGGCTAGTGCTGGATCAGTGTCGCCAATTGCCGCGACTGCAATTGCAACGTCAGCGTGCTTATCCTGTTCACAGACGTGTTTCACGCGTTCCGGACGCGTTTGAAGCCTCTCCAACACCAATTCCGACAATTCTTCAGTAGATTCTACAACCTTTTCGGGCTCTTCAGCTGCTTCTTTGTCTACACTAGTGGCATTTGCAGTATCTTGTCCCGCGGTCGTTTCGGGCAAATCTGGCGTTGCAAGAAGCGGTTTTTCAAGCTCTTTTTGTTTCTTGGCTATTTCAACTTTTAATAGGCTACTCAAATCCATCTCTTTCCGATGAAAATGTCCATTCCTAGGGCTTCTTAGGCTCGTTTTTATGATTCTTCGTCTTCCTCGATGCGATGCCCTTTGATATACGCTTGGTAAATTAGACTACAGTAAAATGAAATGACGAACTATCTTAAACATCTACAATAACCACCCGAAAAGTGTACAAAAGAAGCTCTTTCGGGACCATTTCGGAACGAATTTCGACTCAAATCATCTCAAAGATGAGTACAGAACCAGAAGTCAAAGACGCGAAGCCCGAGAAGAGTGCTGGAAACGAGTCTGGAGACGAATATCTCTCGCAGGACGAAGAAGTGTTTGATGGCAATGATATCGAGGACAATGAAACGCGAGTGTACGAAGAGTCTCTGGACTTAGACATCTCTACCAGCGCGCGGCAGGTCTGGTTAGTACGTCTGCCGAAGTTTCTGGCGGAAAAGTGGCGTCACAAGTCTAACTTGAACGGCCAGGAATTGGGCAAAATACGCATTAATAAAGATAGTCAGACGATCCAAATGTTTCTGAAAGAAACTGAAGACAATCAAGAGATTCCTCACCAGTACGATTTGGAGTTGACCAAGAAGTTGGTGGAAAACGAATATGTGTTCACGGAGCAAAACCTTAAAAAATATCAGCAGCGTGAGCGAGAGCTCGCAGCAGACCCAGAAAAACAGAAACAGGCTTTCATGCGGCGACAGGAACGTGAAGAAGAAATGAAGAAGAAACAACAGCTGCTCAAACGGCGTAACAATAAAAGGCGGTTTCAAAATCGAGTGATGACAGACCGCGACGGACGCGACAGGTACATCCCCTATGTCAAAACCATCCCTAAGAAAACTTCGATTGCCGGTACGGTATGCCATGAATGCCATGTTATTCCGTCGATGGCTGACCCACACTACCACAAGATCGTTGAACAACGTCGTGACATCGTTCGTAACGTGCACAAACCAACGGTCACAGTTCTGGACCAGACGCCCGGTGTGACCATGAGTCACGCCGGTATGTCGATGCGCTCAGATAATTCCAATTTCTTGAAAGTTGGGCGTGAAAAAGCCAAGAACAACGCACGCGCCATTCGTATGCCCAAGAAGGAGCTACTGGACTTTTTGTTCAAGCTGTTCGATGAATATGACTACTGGTCGCTGAAGGGGCTCAAGGAGCGTACCAAACAGCCTGAAGTTTACTTGAAGGAGTGTTTGGACCAGGTAGCCATTTTAGTCAAGAAAGGTCCTTACGCGCTGAAATATACACTTAAAAACGAGTACAAGCGACTCAAAGAAGCTGAGAGAGCCGCTCGATTGGGCGAGTTGGCTAAAGACGATGAAAACGGCAGCAATGATGACGAAAATGGAGACGGTGGGAACAATAACGATGATAACGATAATGGTGATCCAGATGGCGAAGATGAGATCGAAATGGAGGACATTTTGTAAGCTACAATAGTATGAACAGAATATCACTGGGTGTGACTGTTATGACCTGACCTGATACATCCGTACATTTAATTGACATCCGGACACTCATATTTTTATCTTTTGGAAATTTTATCTTTTCATTTAATCTCGTGACCGTCTACTTTGTCATGTGGTATGTGTACCCACGCAAAAATGAATCTTGAATTTACAATCACGTGAGAAACATATTCAGGCAGTGCTGAAACTTCAACCACTTCGATGGGAATCTCGTCTTCCAGGTAGATACAGTTAAACTTGACTAGCCAAATATTTCTCTTCGAAACCTTCTTTTCGTTAACATTTTAGCGCTCTGATCATCGTTTGAGTTTCACACATACTACAATGGCCAAGGAAATCACCGACATCAAAGAGTTTTTGGAACTAGCCAGAAGAGCTGACGTGCAGTCTGCCACCGTCAAAATCAACAAGAAGTTGAACAAGTCCGGTAAGGCTTTCAGACAGACCAAGTTCAAGGTCAGAGGCTCAAGATACTTGTACACTTTGATCGTCAACGACGCCGGTAAGGCCAAGAAGTTGATTCAATCTTTGCCTCCAACTTTGAAGGTCAACAAATTGTAAGTCATCAACTCTCCAGCAGACTGACCTAGTGACTGGCCAAACGGATCGGCTAACATTATCTAGTTTTAAAAGAATACGTGTTTCAAGTACATTTTTAATTGAGACTTTGTGCATTTAGTGAAAAGTGTAAACGGAGCTGTTTTATAACCTCGACTGCTGTACTATTTTGGTACATACCCTTCGTCCTATGCGTCTTTCTTTGTCTCAAGCGTTGCTGTAACCTCGTTGGCCGCTTTTTGTACAGGCGCTTCGTCTGTCGAAAGTTTCCGCCTATCGACAACCGTCAAGGGTTGTTTCTTTCCCTGATCCTGTTGAGAGCTGATATCGTCATCGTTATCGTCCATCAGTGCCTGTGAAGACCTCCTGAAGCCGGTCTCCTTCGGAGACGGGATGATATGCACGTCCTCCTGGTCATTGAACGACACTTTGCGTTTGTAGGATTCAAGTTCCTTGACGTTTTCTAAAATCGTAGATGATGCTTCTATGCCTTCTGCCTTGACACCCACCTTACCAGTGGCTTCTACCGGCTGAGCGGCAACATCTGGAGCACTTGAAATGACAGTAGTTGGACCATTGACTTCGTATTTGTCGCCGCCAATTAATTCTGCGGTTCTGATCCAGCGTCTGCGTCTTGTGTATTTTGAGAACGAGTCCTCGGTCGAAGGCTTCTTCCAGGTATTATCATAGTAAATGTACCCGTCGTCGGAGTTAGGCTGCGCCGTAGTCCTGGGTCGCGAGCTTGGCGGCTGAATCGCGCCGTCGTTAGTCATATCAAGTCGCCACGTCCTGTCCACCCATCTCCAGGACATTCCCATATTTTCCTCAGGTAGCTTGAATTGCTCCGGAGATGGAGCTTCATTAATAAACTCGTCTGTCCATGGTGCTCTTTCGTAGCTCAACATATTAGAGGTCCAGCCAATACCTAGCCACCTCCTCTGGTTTTCGTACAGCACATAAGTGAACCTGATAGGCTTTCCTTCATCCGTGTTGCTTCTGTGCGATGATAACTTCTTGACCTTGTTCTGGACCGCCGCAAAAATGCCTTGACTTTTGTTGGCGCCACTTAAGTCCAAACCAGTGACGTAAAACACCAGTAGTCTCACTATCTTGAACCTCCACAAGAGCTTTCGGCTTACTATCGACCATGAAGAGTGGTATGTCAAGAAGTACACACCGGCAAACAATAACAGACGACGCGGTGGGAATATGAACAAGGTGATGATCACATACAAAGGCGACAAAAAGATAGTTGTAAACAGTAGTCGTTTGATGTCGTTGCCGGTCAAAACCGCAATCGGTGACAAAAGAAGATCTGCCTTGGCGTTGACGCGAGTTATAACCTGGACTATATCGTCAAGTGTGGGTTTTTCCTTGATCGAGTCCTCCACAAACGAATCTAGCAGCGAGTAACACCACAGAGTCCCCACAAGCACCAAATGTCCAAAGAACCGCAGCATATTTTGGAAGTACAGCACCACTGTAATGTAACTTGTGACTACCAACACACTTGGCCAAATGTCGTCGTTGGTCCATGTTGTGATGCTCAGTACTTTATCTGCTATTATCAGATACGGATATAGTCTTACCAGCGCCTTAGACACCGTGGGTGGCGTTGAAGTCAGCAGCGGCGATGACTCCACTGCTTCTTCGCCTCCTGCTTGCTCCGTTTCGCTTCTGCTTCTCCCTGCATGGTGCTTCATTGCACTCCGTAAAACCTTATTAGTTTCGCCCCCCAGCCGCGCTTCTGGTTCTTTCACAAACTGTGCTCTAGTTTCCCGCTCCTTACCGCCCTCACTCATCGCGTAACTCGTCTTTGAGGCAGTGTGAATCCTTGCAAGAGCCGCAATGTCAGAAGTTTCTTGATTTTTATTACTTGGCTTTTTGTTGAATATAAAATAAGGTTCGAGTTTAATTAGGCATCCTACCTCATCTTGAATTAACAATGACACTTGAACGAGTATAAAAAGGAAGCACCTTTGAGTGATCCAGGACCAAAGGATGTTTAAAAAACGTATAGTGAAGGCTGGAAAGACTGCTCACAAACGGCAGAAGATAGTAGAGCCACCGCAGAGCCCAGATACATTGTTGAAAGAGGAAGCTTCAATTGCATCGCGGAAGTCATCGCGCAGCTCATCGCCTGATCAACGTTCTACAGGAAAGGACGATAACGAGGGGGAAAGCCCTAAACAAGACTGGAAGGAAAAACTTGGCAACGAGCAACACATAAAGAGCGTTAAGGCCTCAGACATCGATGAGAAAATTTCAAATTCTCCTGCTGCATCGATTTCGCTTTCGAGGCTGGACCCTGCCAAGCAAAACGTAAAAGACACGAAATCGACGCTTTATATGGATTATCAGCCAGATATTTGCAAAGACTACAAGCAAACCGGCTATTGTGGCTACGGTGACAGCTGCAAATTTCTACACGCGAGAGATGATTTCAAAGCGGGCTGGAAACTCAGCCAGGACTGGAAAATTGATTTCAGCGAAGAAGAGGTGAAAAGTATAGAGGAAATTCCCTTCAAGTGCGTAATTTGCAAACAGGATTATTCCAATCCGGTTGTAACTAATTGCAAACACTACTTTTGCAGCGCTTGCTTCATGAACAGAGCGAAAATAACAACCAAATGTTATGTCTGCTCGCAGGACACGGGCGGCGTAGCTCGAACCGCGAAAAACCTCCGCAGCGTACTACAAAAGCGTAAAACTTGATTGGAGGTGGAAAAGTGTGTCAAATTAATCTACGGGAGATAGTGATAGAAACTGCTATCGTCAGGATCCCTCTGCATATATTCTCGCTCGACAAGTCTATCCACACTTTTATGAAAAGTGCCTGGGTCGAGCTGAAATCGTGATGTGACAGATTCTCGTACTTTCTCAAACAGTTGATCGGAATACAACTTTTGGTTGCGTTTCAGTACCCTTACAATCGCGGCTTCGACACATTGTCTGCGTTCACCCAAAATTTCTGCTGTGGGGCTATCATTATTCGATGTTGCTTGCGTCTCTGACTCAGATTTACTCAAAACAGCAAGAACTTTCACTTTTGTAGTGGGTGACGAGAATGAGTGATTGATACGAAATTTGTCAGAGGGAAGAACCTTTTTACTCATAGGCTGCTTTTTCAGAAGTCTCGTTTTTGGAGCAATGGCTAGTGTTAAGAGGTTTCTGATTAACTCATTTTCCGGGATATTAGTGAGGTCGCTCATATCTTGAGTGGTCAATTCTTCGTGATTCTCGAAGAGCATAAAAATTATGGCGGCATAAATCGGCATTGTAATGATGTGATAACTTTTTTTGAATTGAAACCCGATATCTAGAGACCCAAGGTGGTAGGCCCAAGTGAGGACCCTCCCACTGTAAGTTTTCATATAATAGTTTTCATAATCCAGTTTCAAGCCTTCAAGCGCAGCTGGTAAAATAATTTGTTTCTCGTTACTCGTCTGCTGAAACGGCCAGCAAGTCCATGTAAGTACGCTCATATCGTATGCATATGGAACCTGGTATGATTGATGGAACCTCGTGTTGTTGACCTGTGATACAGAGATGTCTCTAAACATACCCTCTGGCTTTAACGTAAAAGACCCGCCAACCTCTTCCTTCATACGATTAACCAGATGTTTCTCCAGCTTTATGGGCGAGCGCTGCTGTAAGAGACGTTTGGAGAGTTGCTGCAGGTACAACTTTTCGAAAACATCCTTATCTCTTAAGAGTTTGAACATCGCTATAGCCTCTTCCATTTGCAATTTTGTCAAGTCCTCAGCCGCCGATGACCGCAGTAGAGAGTCTAAGTACGTTGCCAAGAAGTCAGCATTTCTTTTCCCATTATGGCTCAATATCACGGCAAAAGCTTCATTGACTGCCTTGATGTCGATCGAGTCGTCGTCTGCTATGTCCCTCAAAACCAGCTCGTACTTTTTTTTCATGTCAATTAGTTCTGAAGTCCATTTAACTGCTGCCTGGGTTCTCTTCTTTAGCGTTAAGTCTCCTGTAATAGACATCCCCTCACCTGAAATGTATTGAGAACACTGCTTCCACAGCCGTTTCTTGTCCTGGGGGGCACGAGATAAGCTAAACATCAGTCTCAAATCAGAGTGCAAGTCTTTTCGCAGTAGTTCGGAAACAACCTGCTCTGTGACAAACTGAATGTTGTCTGAAATCAGTATACCTTCGACAACCGTCGAGAGTTTGATCATTATGTCCTGATTCAAAAATTTGGCATCCACTTCCCGCTCTTTATCCAAAAGTACTTGGACTTCTTTTGGATACGAGATAGCTTCACCAGTATAGTTCGTAATAAAGTTCCGGTAGAAATCTCTAGTATCCTGCAGTAAGGAAGGCTCAAACTCTGTAAGATAGTAAGTGTCGCTTATATCCGTAAGAGTCTCCATCATTGCAATCAAAGATTTTAGAGCTTGAAAGTCAACTGTTTCGGACCCAAGTCTAGCATTGTTGATTTCTTTTCCCATCTGGCTGTGCACTTCACCTTTTGAAGCCTTCAGAATGATATCTCGAAATTTCTCAAGTCCCATGTCGTAGATAAGTTGCCTGCGGTTCTCCTTGCAGTAGACCTTATCAAGATACATCGTTATGTCGCTAATCAATCGAAGAGACTCGCAATGCTTATCCCATACTTGCAATAGCGTCGATAGTACATTTGTTGAAGAGGTCTCGAAAGCTGAAATCTTGAGCTCGTGGAGCTTTTCTTCGAAAAACCTACCAATCTTTTCATACAGCTCGGCTCCCTGCTTACGGAGTGTCAAGGTGTACACCACATTGAAAAGGACCTCGAAAGAAAGCTCGCTGACACGCCCGTCATAAATCATCCACATCGCATTTTTTAGTACTTCCCAAGAATCGCCGAACGAAGGGGCCCTTTTATCACCAAGCCCTCCAGGCGATCGTATTTGGATCTTGAACATAGTGCTAAAACGCTATATTTAACCCCTCTGTCTCACCTTTGAATAGTTTGATCTGTGTGTCTACCTTTACAACTTAGAACTTTAATTAAATTCGATATATTATAATGCACTTCATCTTCATAATTCGGAATACGACACTCCAGATAGCGTAAAGCGGACAGAAATAGCCGCGTAGAATGTCCTCCTCTGATATATTCGATGTCTTAAACATTCAAAATCGCCGAGCAGGTAGCCCTGGGTCCTCAGGTCTAACTCCGGTACCAAGCCGAACGCCAAAACCGCAGGTAAGCGGGATGCAGCGAGAACTATACAACCTGTTGGGAGATAACACGCCACCTATTGCAGTTCAAAAGGGGAGCAAGTTCAAAGATAAGATGAGAACCATGGCGAAGCCATCTCCTTGGAGTTTTGCTGAATTTGAACCGCGACAAGCAGTGAAGCTGAGACATTGGGTGAAAGGTTCAAAAGAACTGGTGGAACAACAACCTCAAGGTAGCGCCTTTGAGAAATATAACACCAAACTCACTATTCCGGAATTTACGGAGGAGGAATACAATTCTTTTATGGGTGAGAAAGATGAGACCAAAGATGCTTTGCAAAAGTGGAATTTTCAAGACATCAAACAGCTATTCGATACTTGCAAGAAATATGATATGCGATGGTTCATCATACAGGACAGGCTCAATTTGGAAGGCGAGCACACTTTGGAGGATCTGAAAGAGTTGTTTTACCTCGTTTGTCGCTACTATTTTTTGGCCAAGAACCCGGATAACCCTCTTATAGAATCGCTTTCTTTTTCGAGAGAGAAGGAGGTCGAGCGTAAAAAGTACTTGCAAAGGCTTCTGTCTAGATCTGCTGCTGAGATTGCTGAGGAAGAAGCTTTGATTGTGGAGTCTAAAAAGTTCGAAATGGCGGCAAAGAAGACGTCAAGTGAGAGGGAAAGTCTCTTGCGGCTTTTGGATTCTCCGAACTCTGACAAGCCCATTGCTCAGTTTTTGACGTCTCAAGGAATGGCGCAGCTTTACAACGGCCTACTTTCTGACAAAACCAAGAAACGAAAACATGAGCAAACAGTTCCGGAAAATCCATGGATGAAACAACAGCAGCAGTTTGCTCAGCAAAAGCAGCAGATGCAGCAGCTGCAGGAACAAAAGATCGTTACCAACAATAACATCCCTAATGATCAGAACCAAATCAAAAAGACGAAAAAGCAGAAGCAGGAAATGCAAATAGCCGTAAAGAGGAAAGCTGATAGCGAGTATGCCGAGCAGTTGCTTCAAGGGTTTACTCTCGAGGAACGAAAATCTTTGGGTGTGCAAACTCATGGGGAGAAACTACCTTCTGGAGTTTATCTTAGGTCTAGTCGGATATCGACATTCAAGGCGGCAACTCAGACCAAGATTGCTGCTACACTGCAAGAACTGGAGCTTCCTAGTAGGCCGGCAATGCCAACCTATCAGGTTGTGCATAACCACGAAATTTTACTTGCCCGCATCAACAGTATGCTTGATCTGAAAAGGCAGGTTGATAAGCTGGAAGCAGAAAAGGACGTAAAGAAATAGGAGATCAGCATGGCTCCAGCACGGTCTGTGTATCCTTACAGTTCTTCATCGAAGATGGGCATTGCAAATATTCAAAAATGCTGTAAAAATGCTACATCTATTATGTAGCGTATCGAATGCTTGTTATATGCAGTATTATAGAGAATTCACCTTCGCACAGGTCAAAAGCGGAACCCTTTCCTCTTACGATAGTAAAGCACTGAGTGTAGTGAAGCACCTTCTGGTTGCTTCATGAAGGTTAGGAAATTCAGAGGTTTTTTGGAAGTTCGGATGGATGGAGGGGCCATATTTCTGGAGAAGCTTCCTTACTGGATAAGCTGAGGTGCCGGTGCTTAATCTGTGTGCTGATGGTGCACTATTTCCAAGGAACGACCTGCATTTCGCAGTGAGTGTCTCATACTCGATGAAACCTGATGATATGAAAAGGTTTCTTATGAGAAAGAGAGATATCTCGTAGTAAAATTCGCCCTCATAGAAGCCTTTGAATGATTCCGCATGCGATGACCGATGTGTGGAACAGATATATGAATGCAATTGGTAAAGAGCAGCAAAATCGGCTGAGTTAATCTGGTTGTGGGCTTTTTCGAGATGCTTATTGACAAACCGAACCAAGGTTGATAAAACAAACCACTGAATTTCGGTCCGTGACTCTTCCTCGGTCGAAGCGTTTATTTCAATCAACTGGTAAAAGAAAAGGTATTCATTGAGGTATATGTCTGCACCCATGGAAGACTCCAATTTCTCCAGGAATTGAGACAAAGATAATCCTTGACTAGCAATTTTGAGAAGCTCGTCTTCTAAAAAAATGGCTCTCTCGAGCTCACCTTTTTGAGAAGATAGAACTTCTCGGAAAATACTCTTTTCAGTTTCAGTGTCAGAGATGTTAAACTGGCTCTTGAGATAGAGGAAGGCGGGATTCGATTTCAAGATATCGACATATTCCCGGTTCAGGATTTTAGTCAACTCCATTACAAGCGGCTTGCTGATCGGTCTAGTAAGCAATTCTTCTTTGAGTTTTGTGACTAGGCTTTCGATGAATGAATGGTCTTTGACCTTCTTAAAGGCGTTTAAAGCGCCCGTGGCCACTTCGACATTGCCAGCAAGGTACGAAAGATTACTGTGCACCTCGAATTCATTATCCCGTCGAGAAAGCGCTTTTAAAAACTTAGTCAACGCGTAGTCAACTGGCTCGAACAACGAATCCACAACTGTTTGCAACAGTTTGTGCCGGATCTGAAGGAAAGAGTATTCATCGCAGTGCTCAACGACAAGGGTACAAAAGCGAACATAATGCTTTTTTGATGCACTCAGTACGTTATTGTAATTCAGAACGGACCACCAAGTAATGGCCTTCTTTGAAGCGAGCAGCTTGGTGATAACAAAATAGAATTGGAAAAGATGATCATCATCATCGGCTAAATCTGAAAAACCCTGGTGCAGATGTGTCATGACCCATGTCACATCTAGCAAATGTAAGTGCTTCCCGAAAAACTTCAAGAGAGGGACGAGCTCTACCTTCTCTTTTACTTTGATCATGAACATCAGAGCTGGGTAGAGCGATTTCAAAACAAAAGGCATCGACTTTTCGAGGAAAGGCGCTACGGAGTAGATCTGCTTGAGAAACTCACTTAATGTCCTAAAAACACTCAATCCTCGATATTTGACTACCTGCTGAACCGCCAGCGAGGCAATTCTTGCCTTCGTGATGAAAGTCTTTCTCGCATTTGTTTGCAGCAAACAGCAAAATCCTGTTAATATTAGTCCGTAAGCCTCTTCTAGGCCGAGTACCTTTGGATCGCTTGCCTCGATATATGGATGGCAAAGATCTTCAAATTTCTGCTCAAAACTCGAATCTGCATGCCCTGCGAGAACTAGTAGTAAGTTTATGCGGTTAGCTAGCAGTGAACGAGAGGTCAACGATATTATTTGACCTATAGGTGTTATTCGCTCCATTTGAACGGGGGACAAAGGACAGGCTTCGACAAGGTCAATAAAGACATTAAATACTGTCTTGGGCGACCTGCTCCATGTTGGCGTACCGACAATACCTAGTTTCGTTTCGAAAGAATTCTCTTCCGGGAAATTCTGAAATTTCCGGCTCTTGAAGAAATTATAGAACTTTTGGATCAATGCACCATCAATATTCCAACTGCAGTAGCTAATGGAGTAGTAAATGAATTGAAGCCAATCATTAGCTTCAACATAAGATGTCCCTATCTCTGCGATCTGCCAGCATGTCTCCTCATGAGGAAATTGTCGCAGGATAATGAGTGCAACTTTAGAGGGGAACGACAACGAACGAATTCTTTCCCAAAGTTCAGGGCCTTTGACCATGCCTTTGATTAGGCTGGCCATTAAAGCATAGGATTTTTCGAGCAAGCTGTCGTTCAAATCGCTGAGGTCAGACTTGGAAATTAGTTTAAAAAAAGAGACTGTGTGATCGAGAATTTTATTCGTAATATCAGCGGACAACAGTTTTGAGGTACTTGAGTAACATCGTATCTCATTCAACATGACTTGGCAAGCAGCTATCTGATAAAAGTGAACCGGCTTAACGCGATTTCTTAGAAGATTAGCTTTAGACCTAAAAAGTTGATGGAAGTTATCAACAACCACCCATAAGCCCGGGACATTCAATTGACCCAAAAGTGGTACAATTAGGTTATTCATCGAATATATTTCTAGATCAGATGCTCCTTTTTCGACTATGTGGTTGAAGACAACCTCCAAAGTCGATGCGAGATTTGTGTCATATGTGGAGATTCTATAAGGCTTTCCGGAAAGAGTAAAGTCTATAGTTTGTGGACCGGCAGGTTTGTTACCGCACACTAGGGACATCAGTGGAAACTGGACCTTAGAGCTTGCTTCGGTATTGTCCACAAAATTTGCTTCGGTGGTAGTATCTCGATCATTTTTACCCGTTTTCTTGATGATTGCAAATCTGTTCCCTTCTTCTTCGACTGCTGTGTCAAAAATAGGCTGCTTCACTTTCGTAGATGAGAAAACATAACTTTTTACACTTTCCATGCCCTGTGCATTTTTCTTTAATCCAGCGTTGGCGGCATTGCCTTCTTGACCCATGTTGTCCACATGAGACTGAACCTTGGTCGACAGCCGAAAAGAATTTTCGTAATTCGCTTTGAGATGAGAACGTCTCAAGGACCTTGTCTTGATGCTGCCCGCGGACTTTCTCGACCTTGTATCACCTCGAGATAATACACCGTTGACATTTGTTTTACTTCGCTTGGCCTTGGTATGAACTTTAGCTGCAAACGCCCGCCGTGAATTATGTGAAGGAGGAGCTGTCTGTTTCCGGCTAACTGGCGGTTGGCTGCCGTGCCTCCTTGCTGTCAACATAGCATCAATTATATCATCAGCTCCTTTCCTCGAGCTCTTTCTTTCTTCTATGATTTTCAAATCTGAATCAGAAACCTCCGGCGAAAAAGACGGCACACCAGATTGTGGCACATGTTGCTGCATCGATGCGGGCTGTAGGTGCTCCGGAGTGAAGATCATATCTGCCTCCTCCTCTGGCAGTTTTTCATCATCAGACAAATCGTCAAAAGCGTACAAATCGCCAAATTTGTCCTCAAGATAATTGCCTATTGACTGCATGTATTCGCTATCGTGCTCATCTCGGTAAAGATTTTCCCGCATAATTTCGCTTTCACCATCCACCTGATCGTCCGCTATAAAGAAACTATCACCAGCTGAGGGGTTAGCAAGAATAGACCCATTGTTGTTCACTTTTCGCTTCGCAACACCCTTGCCCTCTCTTTTTGGCCGATTTAATCGGGTCGGTGCTGATTTTTCATTATCTTTGAGGGCCCTTTTCCACATCATTCTTGGTAAAATGCCCCGAAACCCGGTTTGCAAGTTGACGTGCCTGCCCCTATAATATACCGCACTGTCATCTTCGGAAGAGTTCCAGCTTTCTTGAGTCTGATGAACGTTAAAGTTGCTGTCTTCCACTTCAGGAACTCGAGGGGGACCTATGTCCTCTTTCCATTCGGCGTCCTGTGAAGAACTACCTTCCAAATCTTTCCAGTCATCCTGTTTTCCATCTTTTGTCCGATCTGCAAGTTCTTTGGGAAGTTCAAATCCTCTCAGTAACTGCTTGTGTCGTATTCTGTCGAGCTTGTAAGGATTCTTCTGGACAGCCGTTCTTTTTCTAAAAGACCTGAATCTTTGTGTTGCGATCTCTCGTCGCTCTTTTATACCTTTCTCGTGCTCTCGCGATATATTTACCACGCTTAACTGCTCTTTAAGAGGGGTCTCTTGCCAATCTGGCTTCCATATCACCGCTTCAGATTCTTCAGCCTCCGAGTCTGATACACATGCGGCGCCGGCAACGTCACCCATGCTCCATCTGAGCGGTAAACTTGCCAACTTATGAAAACTGCTTGACGACCTGCGATCTTGGGTTGTCAGCTCTGAAACTCTCACCCATACGTGTTCTTCCTGTTTAAGTCAGAAGGCGAAGTATGGAGAAGTGATTCAATTTTCAACTGTTTAGTGGAAACTGAATTAATTTACGTGTAATCCGATCTTCGAAGTAGCTCATCAACAAAGTGAGACCACGTATTTATAGTTGCAGGACTTCCCGTGAAATGTGGCTTTAGTCAATTAATGATATTGCTGCTTTTGAGGCCCTCTTGTAGCTTCACTTTTGGATTAGATACCGAAAAGTATTGGGAAAACGCGAGAGGCTGCCGCGATCGTCAGGAAGGTTTAAGACAATAAACGCTCGTGAGTGAGCTGGACATAAACACCTTAAAACTCTAAACCAGGTTCGAGACACTGCTGTGAATCCTCTTTATACTCAAATGCTCGGGATTGGTGGAGCACGTGAAGCAAAAGTACAGACGTCCAAATCCCTACTGAGATGTACATCCTAGAAACGAATACACACGTTCAAACACGTCAAGTTGCTTCGCTGTATCGCCGTTGACCATTTGTTCTGATCAGAAAACTACAATAAGTCTATCAATTCACTGGCAAACAGACGAGTTTGACCTGTAGAACCGAAACAGGTCAGTTGCCGTGATTCACACCCGAAATGGGCTGTTTCCGACCTAAAAAATGAATGTCTTTTGTTAACCTACGATATTTCGAGAAAAACCCTGGCCCGGCACAATAGACACTACATAGCGTAAACACGTTTTTTGGTGTAACAGTGAAGCAAGATGAGACACTCAGGCACCCGCTTGCTTAAAGTTTCGATGAGCAGATCGGTACATCGGTTCGTGTACGTTCTCAGCTGTTCGGGATTCTCATTCCTGCCTGATCTCACATGTATTTTTGGTCAGATGATTATCGCGTGCTTGAAGATCATCTCGAAATTGTAAGTTATTGTTGTGTATTATTCCCTTCACGCACACACGCACACACACGCACAGACTCCATTCATCGGTCAGTAACGCTGACAGGATACATATTTGGATGGAAAACGAAAATTCCGATCAAACGGCTACATCAAATCCCACTGGTAGCAGGTCTTCGAGCCAGTCGTCAGGTCGAACCTCTCGCAATGCGTCGAGCATTGAAACGAGTGTAACGAAACTTCTAATGTCGACAAAGCAGCTGTTACAACGGCTCACACAGTGGTCAAAAGGACAGGCAAATGAAAAGAACGTTTCAGATGCATATGTACAACTAGGGAACGATTTCAAATTGGTCACGAAGCAATTTACCCACGCAGGATTAGAGGTCTCTGATTTGGGTGATCTTCCGTCCAGCTTACGGCAGGTCTTGGAGGTGGCCTTGCGAGAAAAGCCATCAGAAGAGACTTTAGACAAGTATCTTCCTAGCATTCGGGAGATTGTGGTTACCCTTCTAGACAAGCTCAAGGTCAAGCAAACCCTACTCAAGAGCACAAGAAATAGTGTTAAGCCCCCCTACGTCACTCCCAGGACATCTCGTTCTGGTGTATCTTCAAATGCTGCATCTGGTAAATCTACGCCGACTCACAGAAGCTCGGATTCTGTAAGTGAGAAGGGACAGCCGTCACGTTCCAGGTCTCCAGCCGCAACTAGCACACCAACTAAGGAAAACAACACACCGCTCCTCGTTAAGAAGCAACGTGAAGATCAGGATGCAGCCCTGGCTCAACTCAAAAAAAGCGATACGTTGCAGAGAAGAGCATCGAAAAGATTCTCGGCATATCACATGGCAAAGCTAAGTCATCAGTCTACAAGCGAGGCTGCAGCTTTGGCGACTCCTCCAAAATACGTCGGCGATGGTTGGAACAATCATGATTATAATCTGCACACAGTCCCCGCGACAAATAATGCGGAACAATCGGCAGCCGTACCGAACAACGACATATCGATCGAGGCGGAAGATGCAGAAAAGCGCGTGATGGTATTTTTGACACTGGAAGGAAGGACCAAACAGTCTTTCGTATCACTGCCGGCATCTTTCAATACCCTCAAACTTCTTTTCGTGGAGAAATTTACTTATACACCTGGGTCCAGTAGCTTTCCTGAAATTTGCATCAAAGATCCTGAATACGACGTTTTTTACGAGCTGGAATCGGGGCATCTGGATAAAATTAAAACCGGGTCCGTCTTAACTTTACAAACTTCTGGCATGTCATCCCCAGACGAAAAAAGTTTGACTGGACTTTTGCAAAGTTTCGAAGAGCGTCTAGGAACCAAGCAAGAAGCTCTGCTTGAGGAAATACAAAGAATAAGGGACTTGGCTCCATCGCGTCAGGAACCGCTTTCTCAACTACCAGGGAAAAAGCCGGATGAGGTCTTCCAAGTGGAAATTGAAAATCTGAGACGGCAGCTTGCCGTTTTACTTCAGATTCATAACGCTAAGACAAAGATCTACGAGGAAAAGATCGCTCATATTCTGGCAAAAGTCTCTAAATTCAAGAGTCTGTCGTTCAACTCGTCTACCTCTGCTAATCGCGTTTACATGGAAAAAAGCCATTTAAAGCTCTCTGAGGTTTCTGACGGGCTACTTGGCAAAGTGGATGACTTACAAGATGTGGTGGAAGCACTAAGAAAAGATGTCGCCGTAAGAGGAGCGAAACCTTCTAAGAAGAAACTTGAAGCTGTTGGTGCAGAGTTGGCAGAGGCTCTAATTTGTTTGCACAAAATGGATCAACATATTTCGCTTGAGAAGCCAAACTGGAAGAAAATCTGGGAAAGTGAACTTGAAAAGGTTTGTGAAGAGCAACAATTCTTGACCTTGCAAGAAGACCTGGCTTTCGATTTCAAGCAGGACCTTGATAAAGTTCAGGAGACTTTCGACCTCGTCAATTTGTGCTGTGAGGAAAAGGAGAAAAATCCCAAAAAAACTAACAATCCTGTTTTACCAATTGCAAAACCTGGGACGTTTAATCAACTAAGGGATGCTATGTTAAGCGAGGTTGCGGCGCTAGAACCAGATCACAATGAAAGACTCGAAGCAATAGCGAAGGCGGAGAAATTGCGGAACAAGGAGAAAAACTACCGAGACAACAGCGAATTTGAAGATGAACTGGGTACCTTTGTTGTTTCCCATAATTTCAAAAAAGCTGGCGGCATAAGCGAAATAGATAAAGAGCGGCAAAGGAGAGATGAGGAAAATTTGCGAGCGAATTTCAAGCCGATGACGACTTAAATGGAAATAAAATAGTGCATCTAAGGGTGTTTTTCAAGCCGTCGTGCCAGATTTCAAAAGTGGTGCATTGATCTTCTGTCGCTCCGAGAACAGTATAAATCTCAATTCAGTAAGATATCTATGCTGGGCAAAGTTGTGCATTATGTATATAGAATCTCGCCTCTAGTAATGATGCTATAAACAAACTTAAAAGGTGCACCGTTTAAACCCAACCTGGTGCGCTTGTGCTAGAGCTAGAATTAGTATCTGATTGTGGAGCACGAACACAGCATCCACTCAAATGAAGGTATGAATTATTGATCAAAACGCATATTTTGAGGTTCAGACACTCCCAAATCAACGTCGATAGCACAAAAGCGTACTTTCGTTGTGTAGCACGCCAAATTTGAAATAACCTTATCTGCATTTGCGAATGCGTTATAGCGACTAAAGCCCTGTCGAACCTGCTTCTCCAGCTTAGCGATATAGGTCCTACTTGTGGATATTGCAAGGAAATCATCTGCCAGTCTTAATAAAAGCTTTTCATCATTATTGTCACGGAAAACCTCTTCCTTATCGACCATATCATTGTATAGGAAATCGACGACATGAGCAGAAAAACCAGCACCTTGAAATAAACCTGCCTTCCTCAGATAACATACACCCTTGTAAGTAATGGAGCAATTAAACATCTGGTCGTGAAGGGTATTTAAAACATCATCCTTGCTCAGGAAGGTTGTACGAACATTGTCGATAAAAACACTTTTGCTCTCTGAGGCTACCTCACCGTTAACGCTGTAACGTTGTTTAAAAATATTCCTTTTAGAATCAAAAAAGGAATACAAGCGGACGTAAAAGTCTGGAAAGCAGTCAATAATGGTCTTAATGATACTTTCTGCCTTGGTTCTCGGAATTGAGTCATAGCACGACCGGATATCGAACTTAACGAAATAGATTGGAGGAAATTCTTGATACTTCGCCATCAAATACCGCTTAAATTTGTCGATAGCTGGAAGGACTCTCAACGGAGAGTAAAGCCTGTTTGAAAACGTAGTCTTGTGTTGAGACTCTGTTTTGGCCAAGACGTAATGTAGAACATTTCCCATTAGTCGAGTAGTATTTTGTGTCTGGTCCAGCTGCGTTTTGAGCTGATCTGTGGACTTCAATTTTAAAGGCACAAATATCACACGAAAGTCATCCTTCTTAGTCTTAGGGGTCAACCTAAGAAATCCATGCGTGAATTCGCCATTGATCTTATGATTTGAGCAGCGTTCATTAATCGTAAGGTATTTTGCCAGGTACGACGTCAAGAATGGTTGCGTCATCCGGGACCAAACGTCAAAATCGAAGAAAAGAATGTCTTGAGTGGCCGACAACTCAGTACAATAAAAAAAGGAAGTTATCAGAGATGGGAGAAACTCCCCAAATAACCACCCATAAACGACTTTTAGTATAATTCCGCGCCTGGTGGCCTCCGTGCTGTCGATCCTTGCCCGTTTCCCCAACCATCGCAGGTCCTTGATTTTTATGCCTTCAACAAGCAAGTCAACCGGGATGCGCCCATGCACGTTGAGTTTCACGAGGGCCGAAACCTTGGACATTACCACAGATTTATTATGCTTTGAGCCAAAAAATTCTAAGGGAAACAACTTCACCAGTATGGCTGTCAAAAATCTGATGACTGTATTGGCGCTTGTTTGAAGCTCTTGGTGTGTAGCACACGCTTCCACATTTTTATGTCTACAAAAAGCCCGAAATACAATCCTGTAGTTCAGCCTTTGGTGATTTCGAATTATTTGATGTAGAATGATTCGAAGATACGGACAACGAGGCTCCAATAGTCTTCTTACTTCCCCTGAGTGTTCTGTGCCATAAAAAATCTGAAGCCAAAAAAGATGAACGGTCGTTGGGAGAATATCGGCTACTTTACGCTGCCCTTTGTTTCTGTACAAATAGGATGAGCTCCCCACAGTTGAATGAAATGTTTGCCCGAATCTTGCAGGGTGCTCGTGAGTGGGCCCTGCAATTTGTCGAAAGTGACCATCCTTGAATTCATAGATTACTGAATTGACGATGAGATCAACAAATGGACGGGTTCCTATAATTTTGTGCAGAGTCCTCCATATACCACATTTTAGAAGCGCAACACTGAAATTGGTCGATTCACAGTGGACAGTACTCAGAACATCAGCATTCTTAGCTACTTTATACCCATAGGCTAAAACGTTGTTGCTGCGATTGGTGACTAAAAACCGTATGCATTCATCGACCACGGATGCATGTTCCGTAGATATCACTGAAGGACCAGAACTGACTACTGAGTTTCGAGCAACGAATACATTCGAAAGTGCATGCTTCAATTGGTCATCTGTTCCAGTCAAGCGAAATCTTATATTTTCTATGGCATCCTCATTATCACAGAAACTGGAGAGAAGATCTTGTGTGATATAATCTTCCAGACTTTTCATAAATTTGTCACTGTGTTGATCATTCAGTTATAATTCTGAGTTCAGTACTTCAACTTGTAGTAATATAAATTCAACACGCGCACGGAATTGTAAATAGTGAGTTACAGCCCATGTTATGTGAGTGAGTATGGTCAAGAAGAAACAGAATCCAAATCGTATCAATTACCAGGAAGGTATCATCAATGATCGCTTGTTGCAGGTAAGAAATGCCAGCCTTTCTAATGACCCCCAAGTGAAAGTAGTTTGGACTGTGAATATACGCGCTCAAGACAGCCAACAATTTATCCAGTTCATACGTGAAAGTGTTCAGGATCATGACCCAATTGCCTTCCAACATATCAAAAGAATTAAGAAGAGTGAACAAGAAGGGATTTTAACCGTCATCGTGTGCTCGAAAACTTTCGTTGAGCAACAAGATGACTTTCTCGAACTCATGAAAAAGTCTTCTCTCGACTACTTCGATGTGACCGACAGGTCCATAGTACCATCGGCAGCACCTTCTACAAAGGAGCTGAGCTTAGTGTGGTCAACATTGTATTGGCCTCTTGTATGGCGCGGCAATCCCAATGATCAGACAATGAATGAGTACGTTTTTGATATGCCATTTATTGAAAATATGCTGGGCGCTATAAGCAAAGAGGCAGCTAGGCGAGCTCAGAATACAACGGAGCAGCCCATAGTATCAGCCTTCGTGAACCCTAAAACAAAAAAAGTCATATATAGCACTGATTCTCGGTGCAGTTCCTCACCTCTAGATCATAGCATAATGCAAGGGATAAGATCTGTTGCAGCCTCAGAACACAAACGCCAAATGATTGAGAAGGAACAGACAGAGGATGAAACCTACCTATGTCTAAATTTCGACGTCTACACCACACACGAGCCGTGTTCAATGTGTGCGATGGCTCTTATACACTCTCGCATCAAGAGATGCATCTTTCTGCAGCCCATGCATAGGACGGGTGCTCTGGAAAGCCAAAGTGGTGATAGTTACTGCATACACAACAATCATGCGCTTAATTCCAAGTATGAAGTCTTCAGATGGTTGGGTCAGGAATATCCAGTGCCGGAAATTGAAAACGACATATGCTGCTAGGATTGTGCTTTCTTAGCATGCTCGACTAAGTTTTCTAGTCTATTCTGAATAGACTGAATGTTTGCTGCATCTTTCAGAGGTCTCATCTCTTCTTCAATGATCCGGAGTTTCTGTGTATAAGCATTAATATCAGAGTTTAGTTGAGTCGTTCTATCGTCAAATAACTGGTGCGCCGAGTATAGGGTGTTCACCAAATCCTCAACTGATACTGTACTCTTCAATTGCGTAGCTTCCAAATTATCTCTCGCGTTGGATCTAATCTTAATTAGATGCTCTTGGATTCTGCTTTGACTTCTTTTGACAAATTCCTCCTCTTTGATTTTCAGCTGCTGGTACACGTAAGCTATCTGATGACTGGATAGCTTTTCGTTCGCCTCAGTAACCAACGCCTGAAAGTGCGGCCAAGATAGCGACGTTGCGAGCAAACCTTGTGCTAAAAATTCCTGAACTATACCCTCGGACATAGTTCACTGGACTGAAACAAAGCTATCTTTTTGTCAGTTGAAATGTGTCTCTATGTTGCCTAAATTATTCAACATTCACTGCACTTCTGTTTAGGGAAGCCCTACTTCACAGTTACGAGATAGGTTTTCAACAAATATATGAAAAGGAGCAGTTTCTTAGCTGCTCCGAATAGATCCGAAATATCGTGTCAAGGAACTCTACTACTAGCAGTAGCTCCGTACCCTCTCAAAGACCTTACCTCGATTTTGACGTCCAGTGCATCTGAGAAAATGAAAAAAAGCCTGAAATGGATATTTGCCGTACGGAACTCTTTCCATTTCGCATTGAAGATTATATATGAGATCGTCTGTTGACGCTAGTGTTTTCGTGAGATACAGAAGAATGCTCTTGTTCAGCTCGGCATTTGTTGCCTTCAGGGTTTTGTAATGCCGTGTTGGCAACGGGGCGAAAGTGTTAAACAGGCTCTGAAGGATCAAACTTCAATCTTTTTTCCGCTCAAAATGAGGTGCTTCCCTCTATTCATAGAGTTGAAGTGTTATGTTAGTACTGCTATCCGCGAATAACAGTCTTGATTTCTATAGTACATTTACACTCGCAGAATGTTCTATATCCTCATTGTGGTCTCCAGGTCATCGACGCGTCTTTTCCGGCTGCGGCGCGATAATCTATCTTCTACTTTGGCACTTTCTCTTTTCAGTCTTCTTAAGTTTCTTTCTTTCTCAATTTCACGCTTTTCAATTTCCCATTGTGACAGTACCTCGACCTTAGGACACCAGTCTGCTCCCAAAGACTCAACACTCAGCCTGATTCCCGACAAGTAGCCAAACGCTGCCCCGTTTTCTATTTGATCAGGACTCAAATGGCCTTCAAGCCAATCTTTCCGCACTCGGAGCAATGCTTCATGCAGCGCATGTGATATAGCCGGCGCGAACTCCCGAGTCAAGCCAAGATCTTGAACTACCGTACTCGCGAAAAGTTCTGGGGTCAAAGTTTGATCATTGAGGTCCCACTCAAAATTGTCCTCGTACATTTTGTCATCCAGATTGCAGGTGAGATTGATGATGACGTGCAGGTCGGGAACCACGACGGACGCCAAAGTTGAGTATTCTTGCAGTTGTTCAGTGATAGATGCGCTTATTTGGGTGCAGACAGCGGCAGTGACAGGGAAGTCTAAGTCTTGGCAGTAAATGGCTGCGAACTGGTCTGGCGTGATAGATTGGTCGTTCAGATTCCACGTAAAAAAGTCAATCACTTTGTGGCCATTGTGTTCTACATTGAGACGTATTGGGATTATCACAGGTGCTAGATGCGCATTAGTTTGTTTTGAAAGCTTAACCTTGTAAGGTGTAGCGACTTTGCTTTGCAGAAATGTCTCACGTATTCTTGGGTACTTGAGAATATTTGTCGGATCGTCCTGAGCGTCCAGATCTGGCAAGGCATTTTCGTTGGCTAGATCTTCAGCAGATACAGCGGCTTTTCCATTCTCGTCTTCTTTGCCGTTTAGGTCTTTGCCCTCATCGTCCACAAACTCTTCCAGCAAGTCAGTCTCGAATTCGGCGTAGTTCACGACCTTGGAACGTTTGTGGCCCCTCGTTGGCTGACCTGTGATGAAACAAGGCACATTCTCATTTCTGAGCCTATTGTGGAAATTTGTGAGGTATGCCTGGGGCAGTAACTGCTGTGACATTGCAGTTATCCTTGCAATGGATGGATGCCTGAAGCCATCTCGATCTGAACTATATACTCTGAGAGTTGAATGTTCCAATTTTTACGTTAAAAGTGATTGTGTTCAAGAAAGCGTAGTTCGCCCGCCAAAACGTGCCATCTAGTGTGTTTGAAGTACGGAGTGGGCTCTCTCAGTTCTTCGTCTCTGTGCGTAATGCAAGTGTGAGGAAACCAGCATTTGGTAGCGTTCTCGCGACTTCAAGAAAAATCCAAAATGATATTAGCAGAAACTCTGGTTATCCAAATCAAGAAGACCAAATCACTTAAACGTCTCAGCTAATTTCTACACCGCGAACGCAGCCACTATCTTCATCAGTAGGCTTTTACTATGTAGCCCTAACAGTCTTATAGACCCACAGCGTACACAGTGACTGAACTCATTCACCGTAAAATTTGATATTTATTTCGAAAAATTTTCGAAATTTCTATCTACTTTATTCCAAAAAAAATTTTAGTTCTTAGCTTTCCATCTTCATTACAAGATGTCGTAAATATCGTCGAACTAGATCACAACAACCATCACAATGTCTTTCACTGACTTCTCTAAAATCGAAACCTTGAAGGAACTTAACACCTTCTTGGCTGACAAGTCTTATGTCGAGGGGTATGTTATTTTAGTCAAGAATGAAATATATGTGGATTCCGATCGAGGATGAGCAATTGGTACGAGGAGGCTCGCAGATTTTTACTTGGATTGAACCTGGCTGGAAGGTTTTCAGTTAGAATGGAAGCAAAGTTTTAAGACAAGCTGAATCTCCGAAAATGATGATCATATTCTTTGGTCCGTGTTTATGACGGGAAGTAAGACCCCCGGTATGAGTGACAAAGAAGACGTATTTCATTATACAACTCTGATATTGGAAGATTCAATTGCAGCAGCAGTCTGTTGCGCTGCTTGGGCTGTGTTTTTTTTTACACTTTCTGCTGTTCTGATGATACCTAGCTGTTCTCATGCTAATCCTGCTACTTAGATTTGCCACACGTGTGAGTAACAAATTGATTTACTAACTTCCATCATAGCACTTCCGCTACTCAAGCCGATGTTGCTGCCTACAAGGCTTTCCAGGAAGCTTACCCAGACTTCTCCAGATGGTTCAACCACATCGCCTCCAAGTCTGGCTTGTTCGCCTCTCTCCCAGCCGCTTCTGCCAAGGCGCCAGCTGCCGCCGCTGCTGAGGAGGAAGATGACGATGATGTCGACTTGTTCGGCTCTGACGACGAAGTCGACGAGGAAGCCGAAAAGTTGAAGGCCAAGAGACTTGCGGAATACAACGCCAAGAAGGCCGCTAAGCCAGCCAAGCCAGCTGCCAAGTCCATTGTCACCTTGGACGTCAAGCCATGGGATGATGAGACCGACTTGGAAGAGATGGTTGCCAACGTCAAGTCTATCGAGATGGAAGGTCTAACCTGGGGTGCTCACCAATGGATTCCTATTGGTTTCGGTATCAAGAAATTGCAGATCAACTTGGTCGTTGAAGACGCCAAGGTTTCTTTGGAAGACCTGCAAGTTGCCATTGAGGAGGACGAGGACCACGTTCAATCCACCGATGTTGCTGCCATGCAAAAGTTGTAAGTAATGTCAGAATATCATCGTATGTACCGCCTCACCATCATAACATAAGCTTTTGTTCGTTATTCTATAATACGAATGTGGGTAGAAAAAAATTATCGTAATGTTAAATGATTGCGAGAACCTAACCCTTAGATCACAACTTTAGTGACTAAACTTTCTAACGTCCGGATACATGGATGGTGACATACATAATGAGGAAAGCTTTCTAGATCGACGGGCTATAGGCCTTAGAGAAACATCTCAATTCCCAGTGGGAAAAGCCCGCATTCCAAAAGACATCGGTTGTGATTATGATTTGTTGGAAGATCTTCGTCATCATGGAATTGAATGGACTTTCTGGGTGCCTCTTGAGAAGATATACCAGAACCTCACCCGATATGGTCGCCCAAGCGTGGTTTATCCAGCATTTTCGTATCTCGCCGTTGGTACAAGCAAGGGAGTAATCACTATTTTCAATCACAAGCAGTTTTTGCAAATGGCACTACTGTTGGACGCCGGGTCCTCGAAATCTAAGGTGACAATTATAAGGTCATCTGTCGATGGCACCCATATAGCAGCCAGCTTAGAATCCGGAGACGTTTTCATCTGGAACCTTAATCGAAAGACGCGCAACTCAGATAAAATAGATGGACCTCGTGAGGTGACCCCCATTTTGCATATTTCCGAGCACAAATTTAAACGGATTACCGGGTTAGGTTTCTTGGCAGAACGTCATACAGCAGTTGTGGTAAGCGATGACTCGGGCACCCTTTCATGCTACAACGGGTTTCGCAAGGGGATTTGGCAACTTTCATATTCGACCATCGGACTTAACTATTTTTTATCCACACAAAGTAGTTCTGTGGCGACATCAACATACCCAGGGCTTTCTGGTGCACCTTTTTCCGATCTACAGCCAGTTGCAGTTTTATCTAATTCGTCTCTTGCTCTAGTATCTGCAAGTAACTTCTCCCAGTGTTACCAGGCGGGGATTGAAAAAGACATTGGTATCGACCCATCGATCGTTTGGAGCGCTTGTGGAACCAAATTGTGCTACTCAGGATTACATTGGCTGGAGGTTATCAGATTTGAACGCGATGGACCCGCACAGAAGTTAAGAGCTAGTTCAAAAGTTGGTTGGCATTGTGCAGAAACCATCAAATATGCGGAGTGGCTTTCAGACTCATTTCTAGGCGTCCTCACGCATTCAAACGAATACATGTTCATCAGTATTAACAATGGCGTACAACAGTTTGAAATGATTGATTTATTGCCCATCACGCTTCTCAGCACCATATCATGCCCAGTCGTTTATTTCAATCGACAACTTTACGCTTTGACGAACTATAATCTGCAAACTGGCTTCCTTCTATCGTGGTCAGATATTATCCTCAAATTTGTCCAGAGTGGAGAATATATAAGTGCCATCAGAAGTATAAGATACTTTGTAACCGAAGAAGCGTTACCATTCAACCTTCTAAGACTACAAGATGACGTTGCGGCACGAAGAAGACAATTTGAGCAGCCTCTTAAAAACCTTTCGATCGCAAGTGTTCGCCACGTTATCCGAACACAAGACATCAACTGCGATGAAGTGCTTTTGCAGCAAGTGCTTGAGGAATCTCTTCGCGATTATTATTTGATTTTTGATGATCCAACAACTGCCCTTGATTTTGTCGAGCAGGCTCTCGATCAAACTCCGGATGAGTGTAAGAATCTCTTTTTCTCATGCTTGATTTCACTAGTAAGAAAAAGAACGATTACAAGCTTGACGCCCGTGGTCTTTAGCGAATTACTTCGATCAGAATATGTTAGAAATGAGCCGTTAGTGCTAAAGCACCTATTTTTTGACTTGGATATTTCTACGATGGATGTGGATTTGGCTATAGAGCTTTGCAAGAAATTGAAATTTAGAAGAGAGCTCATATACCTGTGGACTTTGACGTCCTCCGACTACGTGACCCCATTTATCGAGATGTTATCTCTAATTGGGGAAAGCAGACACGAAAATCATCTACTTACGGAGGACCTTGGTGATGACGAGCTTCTGGTATACGACTATTTGGGATTTGTTATGACAGGAAGGCAGTTTCCATTGCAACACTCCATCCAACCGCCAACCTTGAGCCTTGATGCTGAACTTGAATTATGCCATATTCTTTTTAGTGGCGCTTTGATCGACTGGCCGCCCAAGTCTGGTCACAAACTTTACACCTGCGAAGTACGAAAGGATGAGCCGGCTTTCCCATACATGGAGCTACTCTTGAACTTCGATCTGCGAAGGTGTTTGGGAATGCTTAATGAGATTCTCGAGGATTCTCTTTTTGATGTTAGTTTTGGCGACGTTGAAATTGGGAATGGTAAGATATCAAGGTCCGGCGTCAGTAGACAATTCGTTATGGACTTTATGATAGACAGGTTGAAACTGCCGCGGCCCTCACATGAGAAAATCCTCACTGCGATCTTTGTCGTAAGAAATCTTTCGAAGTATCCACAGTTCATCAGACTTTCGAATACCGTGATCGAGAATTTAGCAGTACTTCTTTGCACCGAGAATTCAAAGCAAGTGCTGAAAGAAAGCGAGAACGCTATAGAGGCCCTAATTGCTGGCCACTATCTCTCAGCACCTACAAAGCTCATTCCAAACCTAAAGCTCTACAAATTTGACCGCGCTTTGTTGCTAGTTTACAAGCATGCTGGGGCCTTTTCTCAGATGTTAGCTCTTCGCATTGAATCCAAACAGCTGAATGGCTCACCCGATTCTGTTTTGGATGTAATGCGTTACTGTCTCAAAAGTACGCAAAACAAGCCAGCGGAACGTAGCGCCATTTTAGGAGTCGTTGCGAAGAATATAGACACCGTTGTTTCTGTGGATGTGGCTGGCTTTATCGAATGTATGGACAAATATGATACGAGTTTCCACCTTACTGTCTTCGAAAGTGCATCCTATTCTTTGAGATGCACCTTCTTGCACCAATACTTTCTTTCTCATAATCCCACAACGCCATGGGAACTCGACATGATGAGCCAGTATACGCTGAACTTAAGTGACAGGGGGAATGAAAAGGAGTTGAGAGAGCTCTTGGCGAGAACACAGCTTTCAATGGGCGAATACCAACGACTACTGAGGAAACTCAAAGATAGCAACTCAACATACGGTGCGCTTCTAGTGGAGCGCCAAGTTAAGAACTTCGAAGGCGTAGTAGACAATGTTATTAGACTCTTAATGGACCGCCAGGGTGGCACTAACTGCAATGAACTCTTTGACTATGCCTTTGAAGCATGCCGTACCGCCGAGGGTGAGCAGGCCCGGAATTGCTGGTCCCGACTTTTAACGTTCCTGTTGCATCTAAGAAATGACCAATATCAACCGGCCATCAATCGGGTCTTTCAGGAACTAACAAAAGCGACTGCTGATGTCTCCGCAAGCGCTTTAGCGTTTTCACTAAAAGACGTCGTGACTGGTGCACTTGAGAGCCCAGACTTGATTTTAATCAGAATAGGAGAGTTGGCCCCCACCTTCTGTCAAATAATAAATGCCGCAGATATCAATCAAAATGTGATTACGATTATCAGCAACATTGTCAATCATTCCTCAGCAGAGGTGTCATCTCGTCATGAAAAACTCTTGCGAAGCGGGTGGTCTATCAAATCAAGCGATTGCGCTGTTTGTGGAGAGAAGCTTTGGGGGGTAGATGTTTCCAGCAACACGTTTCTAGCTTGGAGAGAACAGACCATATCGAGCAACATCGATGCAACTGAGAGGTTAGAACTATCGAGGCTGATCATAGTATTATTTGACTGTCAACATGGTTTCCATGAGAACTGTCTAAAAAACCTGGGACAAGGAACCCACTCTTTTAAGTGTCTTCTTTGTGATGTTTGAAAGAGAGTCTCACTCAAATCGAATTTTCCTTCAACCGGTCTGATTTACGTAAGAATTTCTACGCCTATACACATCAATGCGGGACTCCGAAGCATTTGCCTCAAAGAAACAAGTTGCGAGATATAAGTTTCCGAATCAACCAGACTAAATCGCTTCGTCCATCCAAGAAAGTGTCTTAGCAATCCCGTCCTCGATATCAACATTGGGAATATAACCCAAAAGGCTTTTTGCTTTGCTGATATTATGATAGCGGTAAGCGCATACAATTTTGACTCTGAAAGGCGTAAGGCCTGGCTCTTTACCAGTGAATTTCGAAAAGTACTCCGACAAATAGCCCACGGCAATTGCCAAAGGCCTTGGGAGGACAATGTTGTAACTGTCCACATGGCCGTCCGCCCTCCAGACAGTCCGGGCTAGGGCCCAGAAGTAAGTAGGAGCATCGTTGGTGATGAAGAAAGATTGTGCGGCCACTGTAGGACATGCCGAAGTATCCAGTAACTTTTCTGCAGCCAAAACGTGAGCATCGGCAACATTACCCACATATGTCCAATCGAAAAGGTTGTTATTGTCACCAATCTGGAATTTGGACTGCCCCATTTTCGCCACATTTCTCAAACCTGGCACCAATTGACGGTCTCCGGGTCCAAAAATGCCGGCAGGTCTTAGAGCTAGAGTAAAAAAGCTCTCGTTCGCACTGTTGGCACGCAAAACCATGGCTTCTGCCGTCGCCTTTGTTTCGTTATAACCATCCATTGGAACTTCAGGAATTGGCCATGACTCGTCAGCATTATGAATGTCTTGCCCGTTGAATATAACACCTGCAGATGACGTGTAAACAAATGCTTTGACTCCCATATGTTTCGATACGCTCAAAAGATTTTTCGTCCCTTCGACATTGACTTTATCATAGATCTCTTGACTGCATCCATGCATTGGCGATGCCGAGTGTACGACGATATCGGCATGGCTTGAACGAAGCGCCTCCGATATGTCACTTTCTGATGTTAGATCTCCGACATGGACCTTAATTTTCTTGGGATCGAACGTAAATGCCTTGGACAGCTTTTCAGGAAGTGGTCTTACATCAAAAACATGTATCTCCGGACGCGGTGACAAATTATAGAACTTTTCCACGAGATGGAGTCCTAAGAATCCGGACCCTCCAACTAAAAGTACTGACCTCATCTCTCGAATTCTGAGGTTTGCCCTGGTTTCGCGCTAGTATACTCTCTGAAAAATCCCGTAATTATATATATGTTAATATATTGTTTTCGTACTTTTGAATAAAGGTCATTAAACGACACTGTCGGAAAACCAATTTTGCATTGTAGAATTGGAAACAAAGGAAGAATAACACCAGAACTAAGCGTGAACTAGGAAACGGGCTTTAATCACGTAAGTGCCAATATAATTGTGCTTTCTAAAATTCACCTTGTAAGAGACTAGAAATACAAAAAAGTATTTGTGACAGTCACGTTACCTAATATAGGCTATAGTATTAATTTTAAACAACAAAATAAATAATTATTGTTTTAAAAAATAAATTAATGTAATGTAAAATGTTTTAGTCTTAAAAATAAAAATTTACTGTTTCCGAAATGAAAAAACTGTTTGCTGCTCAATATTCAGAGCACCAAAATTATTAAAATATTTATAATTTTCGAGTTTAATTTCTTTGGATTAGAATATGGATTTTTAAGAAATGTCTATTTTATTGGAGGAGCACTATTAACTTAGAGCGGCCCGCCAAGGCCACGCCGAGGTCTCAAATTGAACCTCAGCGTATGAAACCGTTGAAACCTCACTCAAATTGCCATCCCTTCCACTCGAAATCAGCGTAGCACCTAAATTCGTTACTTAGGCCATTGGCATGTTCCGGACGGAAGCTAGTAGTCTTGATGCCCGGGTATAACCTTGTTACGACGCCAGCCATACGTTCGCCGGTGCTTGATACAACGGCGTGCTGACGATTGCCGTGTTTGGTTCTCTGATTTACATCAGGATTCAGCAGGATCCTAGCGCTAGTAGAAACTAGAAAAGAATAGTTAGTATTTCAAATGTTGTAAAATGATCACCGTCCAGTTAAAGTAACATACATTTTGTTTGACACTCCTCGTTCAAAAAAGGTGGATCAATGAGAAGCCTATGCACTTTTCCTTCCAATTCAGAAGGAAGTGCAAGAGGTTTGTTGTAATCGTAAAAATGGAAGTGATCGGATCCTGCAAGAACTTCAAATCTTTTGTCAAACTCGAAAAGATGTATGTGCTTGGTGGGGATGCTTGAAGTAATACGTCTTTTTATTTCAGCATAAACAGATGGAGCACTTAAAATACAAATCACTGTTTCGCTGTCGGCACCATCCAATAATGCGTCGGCCAATACGCCAGCAGTTTTCTCATCGTACCAAAACTGAGATAATTGCCAATCTTCCTTGAACAAGTCCATCACTTTCTGTTCTTCGAATTTAATATCCGCATCATGGTGCAGTTTTTCAAAGTTGGCTTCTCTTTCTTGCTCTTCTTGTCTAAACTCTTGGAGAGCTTTCAGAGTGTCGCTAGATAAGCTTCTTTTTTGTGATAGAAAGTCAGTATTACTTGCCAGTCAAAATGCTAAATAGAAGGATCATACAGCTCTACGTCATCTGGTAAATCCATCATATTTTTCGGCGGAAGCCCTAGACTATTACAAGGTCTTTCCCGTCTTTTTCGTCATATGGATGAGACAGCATTATACATGGCCCAAGTTTTCCTGATATTGATGATAGGTAATATGATACGAATATTATCATTTGAGTCTTCAGCGAACAAATTCGACCAGGCACATTCAATTATCATGACCCTTTACCAAACTCACGCACAAAAGTTTGTCCATCGTCATACAACAATGCAGGTTTTAGCTCCAGACGAACTTGTTGAGCGCATATGCGAAGAGATAGCATATGCGGGGGGATGTAAGTGATATACGATCTACACAGAATAAGAAAGATTGACCTTAACTAACATTATGCATTTAGCGTTAACATCCGTTCCTTTCTGGAGATTAGTCTCAGAGCTGACTGACTCACTGGACAAGAGTTTGAAAAATTTCGTACTCCGATGTTTTGAAGGTTGTCATTATACATTCATTTCGAGAAATGAGAAGCTTTTAACCATAGCAGATATGGATAATCAAACATTAGAGAAGGAGGACCTTACATTTTCGATATCGGAAGACCATTTGTATCTGTTTCTCACCGGATACAAGAAAAAAGAATGTTCCATTGGTGGCCTTGCTTTCCAACTTCTTCTGGAGGTCGCCAAGACTAAGGAGCGTGGGATCAACACGATGGATTTGGCACGCAGCACATCGCAGGATCCCCGAAGCATCACAGGTAGAGTGAAAAAACTTGAAAACCTCGTCACAGGGATCCAAACAATCTACAAAGGCCATGTCGTAAAGCACCTAAGGTTTCATAAATTTAGCGTTCAAGGGGACAATAATGGTGATTACGCCAGTATGAAGGATAGCCTCCAAAGTATAGTCGATGTCGTCAAAAACTCCAAAAATGGCGTACGTCAGGTAATTGATCTGAAGAGGGAGCTCAAGTTCGATAAAGATAAGCGTCAGTCTAAAGCATTTATCGCGGCCATATCTTCCTTGCACGCAGCAGGCTACTTGAAGAAAGTACTTGTGGTCTCTCCATCGACTCCTTCAGTGAAGATAAGATGCGTCAAGTATTTACGAGACTACGAACCGGAAGAGAGGTCAATCAATGATTTTGAGGATGAGTCGGACATCGACGAGGCGAATGAAGTCAATGCGGCAAACGACGAGGGAGCAGTCGAAGACGAGGAAAAATTAAGCTCGATGAATGTGGACAATGCCTCACAGCTTCTTCAGAGCAGAAACTATTTTGTTGAAGAGGATACGAACATGGAGCTAAAGCGGTTTTTACTCAATAGGTTTTACCCACTACAACACCAAACATTTGGCCTCGTTGACAGAGAGGGTACAAGCGGTTTGTCTTCGATGAAATGTGTGACCTTATTGACTGGAAGCGATTATAAAAGATCCTTTGCAAAGTATAGCGAGTATTTTATCGATACCATTGGGAAAGAAAAAAAAGACACAGAGGAGTTTGGCCTCATCAAAGTCTATGACTTCGAAGGTAAGAGAAAGTTTTATAGGCTTTTCACCAAGCCGTACTTCAGACTTCTCACTTCCGAGGAGGGCGTAGACACTGGTATGGGGCTAGGACCTCTGCGATCTCAAAACAAATCTTTGAAAGAACTAAATGGAGAGAATTTCACGCCCTTAAGCAATACACTTCGCTTCATGAAAAGCGACAGAGGTGACCAATTTTTTTGGAACGGTGAGCTTAAAGCGCCCGCGAATGAGAATGCTACCCCACGAGGACGGAAGAGAAAACAGACCAAACCAGCTGAGCTCGAGCCAATTGAGGATTCTAAAAAAGCCAAGCTCGATGGAGATACAAGGTTCCCGAGCAAAGAAAGCATTGTGGAAGTAAATCATAATTCCAATGAGATTGTAAGCTCATTGACAGATGGCGCTGGTGCGGAGGCTGGTGTTACAGTTACGGACAGCTATAGCGGTGACATGAACGCAGCTGTTCTTAACATAGGTGGGTTCTACGCCAAATCTCTAAAATCGCTACATCGTCAGCGTGCAATCCTAAGGACCATCAAGAAGTTAGGAGGCGTTGCTGTTTTCAGAGACCAGTTTTTTGAAGATGTTACCAAACTTATGGACTCAAAGACTACTTTGGATAAAAAAACAATTAAGGGCGACATAGAACTCCTAAAGGCAGCTCGAAAATTAGAATTCAATGTCGAGAAACAGACCGGGCGCAAAATCATGTACTTGCCGAACACTTCTCCCAAGACGATATCGACGTTCCTCAACAATGAGAAAGATAACAAAAAGTCTTACTTTAATGATGTGATAGAGGCCACCGATATTTACTTTTTTGACAGCGACCAGCGGGATAGGTTCCATAGTGGTTCAAAATCAGCTGAGAGAATCGAAAAATTTGAAAAGAGAGGAAAACGTAGTAGACCAACTCCAACTAAGACGAAGAAGATCGGAAAGAAATTTGGGAAGCCCACAGAAGTCACCGCATCATTGCACGATTCCACTGCTGAGCGCCAATCCCTAGTGCAAAGTAACATGGCGCGGCAGACTGCTAAAGCAGAGACAAACCAGGAATGGTACAACGTGGGCACCAAAGCTGGTCTGCGTGCCCTTATCATTTCTGTTGTTCTCACGGAGGTTGTGAGGGGAGAAATAGTATGGGAGCTGATAACTGTTCTCTTTCCCAACAATTCGCTCAGCAATTTAGAAAAACAATGGACTATTCGCCGTATTAGAATGGGAGTTGCTGGTTGGAAAGCCCTAAAAATGAATTGGCGAAAGATTCTTGTCAGTGCGTTGAAAGAGGAAAGGGCAACCATGGAAGATATTGAAAATTTGAACTTACCCAAGCTTATCAGTCTTTGGGAAAGCGCTGACCAAAAGAGATCCAATAAATCGTCTATTTTGCTTAAGAATCACGATGAAAACATGAAGAAATTCACATTCGTAAAAGACCCGGCTTCGTCAGTGGGTGCTACCATTTTCGACTTATCATCCATGATTCAGCGGGAGTCAGCTCTACTGAGAAAATGCTATACATATGAACCCAATAAGAAGCGCATATCATCACATGAAGAGGAGGACATCAAAACGGTCGTAAGATCAACTTTGCTGGAAACGGACTCCACCGCTGCTGCTAATGAGTTTGAAGCATTGAAAAAGTTCGATGCTAAAGTTGTTGACCGAGTAGTTCTGGACATGGCCAAAGATAAGCAAGTCAGTTTCGGGGGGTCAACAAAACTTCAGCTGAGCGATGGTTACATTGATTCACTGAAAAAAAAGGGAGACTTTGAAATGTTGGATAGAGCTTCTAGCTATATCAAACATTTGCAATTGATGTTACAAAACCAGAAAGCTATTATTTTAAAGGAGGAACTAGGAAACCATGCTGCTCTGATTTACTTGGACCTACTTCAATCTAATCTAGTCTCCATTACGGACATCCCGGCTTCTTCACAAGACTTACCAATGCATTACACGACCCGCAAGTACGGTTTCGATGCGTTGATGCCCCCACTTATTGTTGCGTGTAAAGTTTCCTCACCAACAAGATCTGATGTAAAACCTCGTGTTCCAATGGGATCACCGTATTCACGTCTGTGGATTGATGGCCATGGTGCCTTGCGTGGCGATATATGGAAGTCACTCGTGTCTTTAGTCTTGACTGAGGTTTTTTTCAACCCGGGGGTCACCGTTGATATCCTAGCTGCCAGAAGCGCAAAGTTTTTGTCACCCTCAGACGTCGAACGGATCACAAATTGGTGCTCGGAGTCTAACCTTATTCAAGCGAGCAAACAAAATGGCCTTGTTGCTTGTCCAGGTTGGTATTCGGCATTCTAAGTGATCAAAAGGCAAGTGCTGTCGTCGAGTCTTGATGTCACATATATAAATATTCGAACTACAATGACAAATTGATGATACTCGCGTTCCTTATGTTTTTTACAGCATTTTTTATATATACGATTTGCATGCAAGCAGTCATGGTAGATAATCAAGACTTATCAAGTGGACAACCGTCTCAGCGGTATTAGTTTTTTCCTGCATTGGTATTGTACCGCTCTGCGGTAGTGTACCGGAGGCTCAAATCCTTGGACTCATCGAATCACGAACAGTGCTTATGCATGAAAAAACTCAATTACTTAATACAGGGTTTGCATCAAATGCTTAAGTCTGCTGGTATTATACAGTCTTAAAGTTCTAATTTCTTAAAGTTGGGCGTGTGGTCTAGTGGTATGATTCTCGCTTTGGGCGACAGTTGGATAAACCAACTAACAGTACTACAATTATGCGAGAGGCCCTGGGTTCAATTCCCAGCTCGCCCCATTTTTTCCAATCCTGTTGTTAACAGGAAATTAATTTTTTGGTAAAAGATGAAATAAAATGAAATGTCTCTTCCCTCATCGCTGCTGCGTTAGCTTTGCACAGTAGATGGCCAATGCAAAACAAACGACAAGATATCTTTGGAAAGGGCCCTCAGGCGCCTTATTCTAGAATCCTGAAGAAGCAAGATCGAGGTGTAAGTACTGTGATTTACTCTCTGCTAAAAAAGCCGCCATATTAACTTTAATTATACAACAGAAACGGACTTTTCTGTCGAAAGTCAAATCATTCTTTGCGAGCGGAAATCCAGATTCTGTCAACTCCTTAAAGCTGGTAAGGGTGCCAGAGTTTCAAGGGGTAAGTGCACCAGGTGGGTTTTATGACCGGCCACCTAACAATTTAATATCGACGAAAGAACGCAGCATTTCGAAAGGTCCCGAAGCTATTGAAGAAGATCCTGGGGCTGCCACTCTTGAAGAGGTAAATTCGTCAAATTCAACACTTGCTCAGTTTTTTCGGCAAAAGGGTGATGAGGCATTGAGTGAAGTCGAATACGAAGGCGTATTGTCTTTAATGAGGAAAATCAGAAGCGGTCCAACAGAAAACTTACCTTCGAGCGAAGTCACATCTGAGGTATCTTGTATTCAAGCGGAACCCTCTTCTATTTTGAAGGCCAATGCTGGCCCTCACGAAATCTCTTTGAAAACCCCTCAGTTTCACCCCAAGTACGATAACTATTCTACAACTGCAAACACATCTTTGAAAAGCATCTCTTCTACCGGCACCACTAGAAGCAGGGTTTTTGACTACGCCGGACTTCCTTCACCGTATAAAACAAGTTCGTACCGACATGGTGCTAGTCATTTATCGGCGGTTACCAAAAAGAATAAGACAAATGTTGATTCAGCTCCAGCTCCTGAAGCCCACACCCAAGAAAAGCTAAGTAATACTGCCTCAGCGCTTCTTTCGCTACTGGACTCGGGAGAGGTTAAGCCCAAGGCTTCAGGACTTGCCAATCCATACGCTAATCGTGTTTCTGAGTTTAAAAAATTCAGAAAATCTGTCGAGCCTTCAATCTCAGCTCCGGACACCCCATCTAAAAATGGCGCCAGTGCTGTACAGTCCTTAGCACTTAGTGAGATCCGCAACACTGAGGACACAGAATGTGACAAAGGTGACAAGACTTCTGCCGCCCAGCATTTTACAAAATATAAGCCTGCTAAAGCGTCAACATTGCGCACTACTGTCTCCGCCCCTAAGGTGCCACAAAACAAAGCTGGTTCGGTTCCAAAACAGAGCGACGACTCACCCTCTGTGCATCCTTACTCAGGCGCATTCAACTTTACATATTCGACTACAGCTCCCGCACTGGGCCGAGAAAGCTCGACAACATCACAGAAGGATACAAGAGAAGCTAAAAAACCATTTGGTGATGGCACAGACGAAGGCTTTCAGTCAAAGCCATCCCATGCCCAGCGTGAACAAGAATCGCCAAGCGAGCATCAAGGTTTGAAACGGGGCGACGAAGAGGCATCTTTGAATCTTACAGCTTCTCAACTCAATCACTCCCCAAACACTTCCCGGAATGACGACTCTGAATCATTATCTCACCCCCACTCGAAGGCTGAACAACCGAGACATTTCTTCGAGTTCTTTCCACCGCCAAGTTCTGGCTTGAAGCGAGAGTGGATCAATAGAGACCTGGTTAAAAGTTGGAAAAATACTTTTGCATTTTGAGACAATGATAGCCAGCTTTTACATAGACGCGCTCAAGACATACTAAATAGTTGTATTTGAAGTTGAGCTGAAAACTTCATCTTATTTCCGGAATGTGCATTGTTCAGTTGGCTGCACTTCGACGTGCTTGTATACCTACAAAATCTTTTGCTTCACGAAAAAGGTGCGTAGATGTCTCAATTGCCAAGCGCACGTTCCACCCAAGATGAAAACCTGGAAGACCGTCCACCACATCGCACGGGAGTTAGCAGATTCTGAAGCATTTCTAAACATAGCTTCACGCTCTCTGACAAGTTCCTGCTCTTTTTTTAGTTCCAGAACACGCTCATTCAAAATCTCGATCTTAGTTTGCAGAGGTTTGTAGCCATCGGTCGTTTTCACATCAAAATTGGAAGTTGAGCCAGTCTCAAACTCAATCACAACCTTTGTTTTGACCTTCGCCATCCAGCCTTGTGCTTGTGGCTGTATACAGATCTTGTGCTCGCCAGAGTCAAGCGCGTTGAACGTGAATTCACCACGGGCGCCTCCTTTGGGGTTCATGACTCTGTGGTTGTCATCAAAAACTTCCTCAACGTCCACAACAACCGAGATCTCATTCTTGGTAGGTGCCTTGTAGAGCTTTAGACTCTCATCGTAGACTTCCACGTTGTACTTGCCCTGAAGTAACGTTCCTTCCACCAGTTCTTTGTAAAAGCATTTGCGTTCGCCGCCATTGCTGTAGTAATAGAACGCACTGGTGAAAGGCGTCAGTAGCATCAAAATGCTCACTTGAAGTATTACGTCCACTAGCTTCATTGTAGGCCTGCTGTTCGATCGACTTATGTTATAGTTCCAGTCAGAACTGAAGTTTGATGTTTACCTATATTTAGCTGCTGAAATAAAATCTTTCAAAGTTCAATAAGAACGCGTCATGACATAGATCATTATATAAGAGCCCAAAAGCACCAAATGGCTAACCTACTGCTTCAAGATCCATTCACGGTTCTTAAAGAGTATCCAGATCGTCTAACTCAAACGCTTGAGACCCCACTACAGACATGTTGCCTACGGTTCTCGCATGGTGGTGACTACTTAGCAATGGGCGCCTCGAATGGGGCTGTTGTAATCTACGACATGGAAACAATCAAGCCAATTGCGATGCTGGGCAATAGAGGTGGTGGCCATGTAAGGTCGATAGAATCCATAGCGTGGTCGCAAGATGATCGATACATCTTGACTGGTTCTCGGGATTGGCACGTTAAACTATGGGACTTGCAAAACCCTGGGATGCCACATCGGTCTGTTAAGTTCAATGCACCGATTTGGACGTGCCAATGGCGTGGAGAAGGGAATTTAGGCTGTTTTGGGACTGTATATGAAGAGCCACATGCATTTGTTATTGATTTCGTACCTGCTACACCCATTGTCGAAAAAATAATAGATCCAACTGAAGTTCTAGAACAGGGTGAACATGATAGAAGTCAGGAGGAGGACTCGACAGAGTTCCAGCATCAGGATTACGGATATAGTCTGGTTGCATGTGTACACCCCATACACAAGGAACTACTAATTGTAGGTACGTCAAAAGGCTGGTTGAAGATTTATCGCATTGCTGGTCGGAAGACAAATCTGGTACATACATACCGCTTTGCTTATACGAATGCAAAGCATTTGATCATATCTCAATCAGGAGATCGCATGGCAATCAATTCTTCAGATCGGACTATCAGACAATACTTCTTAGAGATCAATTCAGATCTTACAGAGTTCAATTTTACACTAGAGCACCGGTACCAGGACGTCATTAATAGGCTCCAGTGGAATAGTATCTGCTTCAGCAGCAATTCTGCCGAATATATCGTAGCTTCAGCTCATGGATCATCAGCGCGCGATCTATATCTATGGGAAACGAGCACTGGGTCCCTGGTCAGGGTTTTAGAAGGTGCGGAAGAAGAGCTAATGGACATCGATTGGGACTTCAACCACATGTACATCACAAGCAACGGATTGGAAACTTGTAATGTGTACATTTGGTCACTTGTAATACCTCCAAAATGGAGTGCCTTAGCTCCCGATTTTGAGGAGGTCGAAGAAAGTATAGAATACAGAGAAAAGGAAGATGAATTCGATCAAGCAGGAATGCTTGAGCAGCAACAAGAGCTCGACCAGGCTGAGGAAGTCAAGATAGACCTTCGAACATGCGAAAAATTCGATGTACGAGGAAACGAAATTAACTACAATCGATTCGTCATCCCGACCGATTACGAAAGTATCCTGATGTTAAAATACTGGGACAAAGAGCGTTTAGCGGGTCATTAATGCTTTTTTACCAAGTGAAGTCGATCCTAGAAACTTTCGATTGTTTATAAGACGTGCATAGTTACCAGTTATAATGATAAATGAATAGTAATGTGATTTCCACGTCCCGTCACACAAAATATCCACTTCGACCATCAAATTAACTGATTGGCGGCAGCAGTTTAGCTCTCCGAGATGGCAAACGGACTCAAAAACCCTTTCATAAGCAATACCCCGGTGTCGTCACCAGTGAAGCAGAGGACGAAAAGTGGCAAGCGGGTGTCAAAACAAGATGGGTCGACTTCAAGTCTGTCATCGGCACAGTCATCTCCTGTCAGAAGGCCTAGGCTAAACAACGTGGGATACACAGATAGATATTTGCCCAATAGAACCGATATGGACTTGAGATCTATGATTTCTGTAGGATCCACGAGTCTCCCTGGGCTTCAGCCGTCCCTTTCGGACAATCAATTGGAATTGAGAAAAGAGCAAGAGGCCTATGAGACTTTTGATGCGGTTTTGAAGAACGAACTGTTTGGGGAAAAGCTCAGTAAAGACCTGAATGAGCCCGCGGATAGTATAGAAAAAATCCAGTATACATCTTCGACGTCTCATCCGGAGCCTACGACACCACCAAGATCGCATGCTACATCTGAAGGGAATTCGGTCGTCTCCCCAATCTTATCAAGCCCCGCAACACCGCGAAGACTTGTTTTCGATCACCACCAGAAACCCAGCACGACTTCTGCCAGAGGTGCCAGTCTTCTTACTTACTGTGAGAGGACTAATTCGCGGCCGTCTACAGCTTCATTGATCCAAAGCCAATTTTCAAGCTCGGCTTCGCCAGTACGACCTGACTCAAAGAAACTGCTACTACAGCCCACTAAGAAAATCAGACAAATCGCAAAAATTCCATACAGAGTTCTCGACGCCCCTTCATTAGCGGACGATTTTTACTATGATCTTATAGACTGGTCAAGCACGGATATACTTGCTGTGGCCTTAGGCAAGTCCATTTTTTTGACGGACAATAAAACAAACGACGTAGTCCAATTGGCAAGTACGGATGATGAGTACACCAGTTTAAGCTGGGTGGGGGCGGGCTCTCACCTGGCCGTGGGGCAGCTCAACGGTTTGGTTAAGATATTTGATGTTGAGAAAAGAAAATGCATTAGGACAATTCCAGGACATATTGATCGCGTTGCCTGTTTGTCGTGGAACAATCACATATTGAGTTCAGGGAGTCGAGACCGCAGGATTCTGCACCGCGATGTCAGAACTCCTGCCCCGTGTTTCGAAGAACTTCATTCGCATTCGCAGGAAGTTTGCGGATTGAAATGGAATGTAGAAGAGAACAAGCTCGCTTCGGGCGGCAACGATAATCTAGTTTTCGTTTACGACGGGGTTTCTCGCAATCCGACTTTGAAGCTATCTGAGCACACAGCAGCTGTCAAAGCGATGGCATGGTCTCCTCACAAGCGGGGTACTTTGGCAACGGGTGGTGGTACGGCTGACAAAAAGTTGAAAATCTGGAATGTCAGAACGGGCAGCAAGATCCACGATATGGATGCTGCTTCACAAGTCTGCAATATGGTTTGGTCGAAGAACACGAATGAAATCGTTACTTCACACGGATACTCGAAATACAATTTGACTCTATGGGATGGTAATACATTAGACCCTGTCGCGATTTTAAAAGGACATAGTTTCAGGGGCTTGCACATGACGTTGTCAGCCGATGGTACGACTATAGTTTCCGGAGCTGGTGACGAAACTTTGAGGTACTGGAAACTATTCGAAAAACCAAAACCGCAGCTTCAACCCACATCGGCTTTACTTAACGCTTTTAATCAGCTAAGGTAGATCAAGTGTATGTATTGTGTCCCCGTAGCCAGAGCTCATAATTCTGACAACCATCTCATTACATTTTCTGCATCAATAGTCTTATTGCAAAATTCCCACTGTTGCGTGTCATTTTCCGAACTTTGAATACCGCCCGTTCGAGTTTCAAATTGATATACCCGAAACAAATCGCATGCTCTCAAGGACTCAAAGCTCGCTTTACTACGACCGATATATTCTTTGTTCAGCTCCCACACCCTGTCTTTGACTGACCGTAAAAGGAGGAAACAGTCAAGATCTCGATCATCCCAAAGTGGAGCCAGTTTTGTTTCGAGCAAGCTGAAGAGCTCCTCTACTAGGACGTACTTGAAATTGACAGCATCGGTGCTTATACACTCCACAATATCCTCTGAGAGAACGACGGGATACGCAAGGTTCGAAATGCTGACACTGTATGATTCAGTAGGTTCTTGGCTGATGGCTTTCAAAAGGATGAAAAGATATTGCATTACCGTAGAACCTTTCGAGTACCATGCAAACCTGGGACAATTCCCTACACCAAGACGTCTGAGGGTGTAAAATAATAATAAGGCAGAAAGCTCGACTGTCTCTTTGCTTGTTATCGTTCCAGATTGTAAAACACGGTCTACGACTTGAAAGAAATTAGAATCTCGGTCGTGATTCTCCGTTACAGGTTGATGTCTCACCGAGTTCGAGGAGAAGAGAGCTTCAAACCTGAGAAAAGCCCTCAATAAAAACACTCTAAGAGTGCTTATAAAGTAGACTGCCTCTCCTTTTTTTAGACTCTCAATTTTGGCACAGAGCTCCTCGACCTGGTTGCTCAATTTCCCGAAACCGTTCCGAACAGTGACAAGCGCGTCGTCCACTGGCACGGTGCCCGTATCTTTGTACATCATTATCACGCGAAACATTCTATTGATAAGAAACCTTCCATTAGCGAACGCCATATGAGCTATAGCGGCACTTGCTTCATTTCCTGGCAAATCTACACAATCGAATGCTTGTGCCGTGTGCATAAATGGAAGCCCTGCAACTACGGATGAGGATCCTTCAAGGTAAAGAACAAAATGCCACAACGCCTGTAAGTGAATTTTGAGGCCGTCCGTTTCGCTAGAGAGCAGTCCTATCTGCTTGTGAACGCCCAATTTCTGAATGTGTCGAAGGAGAACCGCCGAGAGGGCGACAGCGTTAGTCATGTTTGGATCCACCACAAAGTTTACAATCAACGCGCCTTGCACCGCGGCGACTGAAGTTTCATAAGGATATGAGTCGTAAGTTAGCAGAGCCTGAAATGCTGCGTAGTATCTGTTGCAGAGAAGAAGGTCAGGAATTTGGCCTTCTGCGACGTGCACATAAGAAACAGTGAAAAGTATCGTAAACATTATGATACAATCGCGTGCAGCAACCTTTTTTCCAGATTGGCGCAATTCGTAGAAGGACTTTACCTGTTTCAGCGTCGCATCTCGATCTAGAAGAGGTATTATTGGGTTAATGCGATAAAAGTAATTGTCAACCAACAGACTCATAGACGCCTTACTCTCAGGCACCATATCCAAAATCGCATCCATTGACATCTTAGCTTCGTCAAGAGAGTTGAAGCGAGTAATGGCATTTCTTTTCATATCGGGGCGATTCGCTGAATCTTTGTCACGCAGCCCCAGAGAACTTACCTGTTGAGCCTCCAGCAAAAAGGGATAATAGGGACCTGGACGATTAGGTGCCACTGTCGGCATTTTTTTGGTTGCTGACCTAGCGAACAATGCATTGTTGTCTAAATTGAGAGCAGGTGGAGGAATAGCTGGGTGCGGCTCTTTATCAAATCCGTACATACATAGAGCTAGTTTCCCATGTCTTTTACAATTCAAACATGGCTGCTCTTTCGAACATTTCAGCTTGTGATCGTAACAATACTTGCAAGATTTGATAGATCGACGTCTCTTGATTACTTTCATATGGCTGATAGTAAGTGGAACACAACAAAATAAGCTAGCGAGTCCACATCTGTTCTTTATCAGCGAAACTAACAAACGCAGATCTCAGTATCCCAATGTGGTAATGCTCGCGGACAGTGCTGTTGAATTCAATTGGTGATGCTTCTCTACTTGTAGTATCTCATTTCAATTTTCATCAGTTAATGTTAAAAAGATCGAAGATTGATGATTAAACCTCGAAGGTGAGGATGTATGACATGAGCAAAACAATACGAATTAGACTACTATGAGACTGCTGCCATCCAAGAACCCACTGGGCCCAGCCACTGTTCCCATGCTCCCTGGCCTTGATGAATTAGGTGAAGTCCAAATTTCACTACTAAAATATCCAAAAAATTGATTACATAACTATCATTGTGAACAAGTTTGAAGGGGTCTGTCTTTCTGTGATGGCCGTTCTTCGCTCTAAAGTTGGAACTGAAGGCCAAGGAGTTGGTGTTTATCTGACGATAAGCCACCGATGCCTAGCTCCACGCAAGACCTGAATCGCAGAGCAGAGGATCATTCACTAGCTCAAAAACACTTTTCCTAGTTCTTCGGCCAGAAAATCGGCCTCAGCTTTGTAACTCAAAGAGTGGACGTTTGCAGCTGAATACCGTATGCGCGTTTGATCGTTGTAGTGATCTTCTCTAGCCCGTATCCTGAAGTCGTACTGATACATCTGTATCTTCTGAGTGGCCCTCGTGAACTCGTCGGCATCATTGTCTTTCAAATCGATCAAAGTGCTGGCATCTGTACCCATCAAAAGCTCCGCTTGCTCGTTGAACAATGTCATCCATAGTTGCCCTGTTTCATCAAGTACAGATACTGTCAGCATATACCGCCACTGTGGTTTTTCGTGGTCAGCATCGCATTTCTCGCATCTCCAGGAGCCATCAGAGTTTTGGATGACCTTTTTGTTACACCCTTCGTTTGCACAAGCAGGATAGGCAAAATTGTCAACCTTCAAAAAATTTACCGCGGCTCTAATGTTGAAGTAATCACCTTTTTCACTCATTCCAAGGTTCTCGGCTTGAGCTTTAGCAATAGTTATGCGTTCTGCAATAAACTTGGCTTTGTTGCCACCACCTGCAGCAGGTTCTTGCTTCAACGAATGGAACTGTTGACTGCGTCCAGTGGAATCAAACCACCCTTTTAGCGCATAAGCTTCAGGTATCTCTGGGTTAGGGTGCAGCGTGCTGTTGAACCCAATGGACAAGCCTTTCCCGTTGAAATCGGTGATACGCCCGCCCTTAATGGCGATAACCGAGCCCTCGGGTAAATTGAAATCAAGAGCTTGCTTCCCCCATAATCCTACATTCACTGAATAATTTGTATCATCCACGAGAATAATATCACGACGATCGAACCTTTTTCCGGCTTTCGATGTTATTTCAAAAGGTGGATTAACAGTTTGAATAATCCCCAGTACGTCGATAGTTGAACTAGCTTCCATTGTCTCCACAGCGTTCACTTTTACAAGACTGAAATTCATTTTGGGAACATCAACTTCATCGTAACATTCTTCAATTACTGTGTCGCGGTCTAGTTGCAGTTCATAAGGATGTGACAGGTTGGAAAATTGGGGCTTTGAAGGCTGAATACGCGCCTTGGAAACGTAGTACACCCTACCCTCTTGTAGAAGCTCGTAGTACTTCACAGCGTTGTCGTTGAATGCTGTTGCTCTAATTTCGCCTGAAGTATCCAGCAGATTAACGTTAAACAGTTTTCCTTCACCCTTCTGATTACTCCAAGTCTTGATGTCACCTTTGAATGACACTCTCGCTTTGATAGTCCACATATTTTGGTAAGGAGAAAGCTGTTCGATGGCAAAGATGGGCCTACTTTTCTGTGACGAAGTGGGTTGTATGGTGCCATTTTTTCCACCGCCATACTGGTTCTGCTGGGGGGCATATTGTGGGGTATTCTGATACTGTTGAGGTGGCTGTTGGGGTGGCTGTTGGGGTGGCTGAGGTATCGCAGTTGGAGCTCCTTGTTGGACAGGCTCGTCTAACGACACCACTTCTCCAGGATGAGCACTGAGATAAGTGTCGATAAGATCAGACCCCGGATTAACAAGTTCGGCACCACGCTCTAAAATCTCAATGTCATCAATGAGCACTACGTACTTCTTCTTTTCTTTCACGATAGCAGGCTCTCCACGCGTCATTTGGAATGTGTCTCCCACGTTCAATTCCATTTCGCGTGCCTTACGAACTGCTTCATTTCTCAGCAAGGCCTTCACTCTTACCACACCATCCGAAATCACAATCAGATTTTTCCTGTTAGGCTGAACAGAAGGATCATTTTTCCGTGTTCTATGGCACTGAAAGATTCCACCTGTTGGATTGTGGTATTTCTCGACATTCGTGAAAATGGAACGAATAACGCCCTCGCTTAATTGCACATTAGACATAGCCTATTATTCTCACGTCCGTTTGGATCGAGCTAAATCAGGTTTTATATGTCGTTCGTTCGTCAAGGAACTGTTGGATGGCGTTTTGGGTCAACTGCATCATGTAATATATGTATTTTTACATAAATTATTTTATTACGCGTATCAGATGAGACGCGTAAAGCCGACCCAGTTCTTGAACCACATACGTTTGACATGAAATGGTACTTGATACTATGAACATAGTATCAGTATAAAACAACATCATAGCAGTAAGCGTGGCTAGTGTGGCCAATGTAACCGCTACCACGTTCGGAAATTTAGCAGAGTCGATGCAATGTGGGATGTTGATGATTTTGGAAAATCATCCGACAAAGAGTAGATCGGATAAGAAATAATTAGTTGTGCTACTATTCGATAATTTAGGCGAGAACTCTTCATAATCATGAAGGATAGCGGTTTTTACCTTCGTCTGGTATGTTATAAACTCAAAGCCGGCTAAGTCTTCCTCTACCAGTGAGAACAATCTGCAACGGTGGAATTTTTTTTGGGATAAATTGAAGTGGAATGAAGCAATGGCAAAGGGTATGCTAAAGATAACGTAACGGAGTTTTTCTTCCGCGAACTCTCGCATCTCAATCCTCTTCCAACTGCAATCAGAGCCGTTATTGATGACCTCTTGATCATCTATAAAACCAGGGGTGAGGATGGGTAACCACGGGCAGCCTTTTTTGGCCGCGGGCGGGGCAGTTATCTAGTGGTGAAGCTACCTGTGATCGCGGGTGGACATGTCCCAAACTTAATCGTGAGAGTATTTGTCATTGTATACGCTTGTATACGTGACCGTCTGCGTTCAGTCCTTTCATTAGACCAAATCGAAGCCATCAAAAGGTTGTGTAAACCAAGCGCTGCACAACGTTACGTCAAGCTCATACGTGGCTAATGTCCAGTTCAACTTTATCCGGTAATGATGAAATTTTAAACATGTTTTTCGATGAGCAGTTCTTACCATTTGGATTCGTGGATTTACTTCTATCGCCAGACGAACAAATCAAGAACCTTCAATCTGTAGCATCATCTCTTCTATCCAGGCTAGATCTTTATACAGATCGATTGACTACACAATTGGAGTCAAAGATTCATAAGCTTAGGACGCCGACAGAACTTTTGACTTACACCAACGCTAATACAGAGATCGAACGCACTACGAAGCTTCAATATTATTTGGACACCTTGAGCAAATCTGTCAAAGACCTGAAGGAGGGCATCTCAAAAGTCGATACGGAGCTGGAAAATCTCAAGTCAAAGGGCCAGGGCAGCACAAGTACAATGCAAGAATTGCAAGATCTAAATTTGATAAAAAATAGACTGGTCGAAATTTCAAACTGTCTTGCGGACCTCCGAGCCATAGTGATCGCTTCATTTGAAGGTATCGGTGAGGACGAGATTCCCCAAACCGTGACCTTATCTGACTTTGAAGACTCTTTAAGAGTATTAGGGGATGCTCTGAGCGCAGATTTCAGGGAATGTGTAGCAGAAGAGTCACCAACAAGTCGGAACGATGAGCTTTTGAACAAAGTGCTAAATTACGAAGAGCTCAGGCAAGCTTTCCAGTGCTTAAAAAAATTCGGTTCCGCATACGACGTTTTTGTAGATCGCATCCGAGCAGAAGCCGAACAGTATCTCCAGAAGAAAGACATTGACCCATCATTTCTCTAATTAGACCCAAAATATTAATGTGCGCATAGATATTTATATTACAAGTTCGAGTTAACGAGCGCGTTTAGTCTCCAATACAAAGCTAACTAGCTATGCTTCAAGTCGACTTCTTGTCGAGGTCATCGTTTTCATTGGCAGATATGTGGGAAAAACCGCCCACAGCACCTCCTACCAAGGTAGGCACCATAGTTACGGAGGCGATGAAAGAATGATCTTCAAGCTCAGATCCCGTCGATGAATTGCTCCGCCTCCACTTTTTAAATGCATGAATCGGATTCAACCTATTCCCCTCAACACAATGACCTTTAGCCAGAGTCATCTCGTTTTTTGCTCTTTCAAAAGCTGAAGAGCTGACGAGTGTGGCATCACCATCTTGGCATAGTAAAGACTCTTCATCTTCTGACTTTCTGCCGGATTTTTTTAGGAACTTGAAACCTAGGATGTAAAGGATAGCATTCACCAATTTAACTGGGAATACTTTGAGGACCCACTCATCAGGAATTATACGGATCAGAACACCGACAGGGAGGGAGAGTAGACCGCATATCACAGCAGTGGCCCACATAGCGGGTGTTTGTCTGGCGATAGAAAAGGCAGCGCCTCCGACGAACATAATAAGAACCTGAAACCCTCCAATAAAACCAATGATTGCTAGGAAGTAATAGTTGCGGAAGAGATCCTGGAAAAAATCCAAGTTTGACGCCGTAACCCTGTCACGCACCTTTCGGATACCGTCAGCCTCGTCGAGTTTTCTGGTCACTATCAGCTTAAAAAACTGTAGCCAGACAAATGTGTTGAAGGTCATGGCATTTAGCTGCTGTAATTCGTGGCCCGTCAGGGTTTTCTTATGAGGAAAGAATATTTTCGCTCCCGCGAAATGCAAGGTGAATGTTACGGTAAGCTGCAGAGCGGCCTGACCTAAAATCATCTTCCATGTCGAGACTGCAATCAAAACAGCATCACGTCCCTTTGGTTTACGCTCGAGGATATGCTCATCTGGCTTATCGGTAGCCAACGCAAGTGCAGCTAATGTGTCCATAATCAGGTTAACCCAGAGCAATTGTACTGCAGTTAACACAGAACTCTCCTCACTTGAGGCGATAGCAGAAACAAATGTCAACACAACAGCGGTGATATTGACGGTGAGCTGGAATTGGATAAACTTTTTGATTGACGTAGAAACACATCTACCCCATTTAATAGCATTAACAATCGCAGAGAAATCATCAGTCATTAAGATAATATCAGAAGCCTCTCTCGCAACTTCAGTTCCCGTAATACCCATAGAAAATCCAACATCTGCCAACTTTAAAGCGGGAGCATCATTGGTGCCATCACCTGTGACACCCACCACGTCACCCATCTTTTTCAAAGTTTCAACTAGGACCCTTTTGTCTTCTGGTGAAGATCTGGCAAGAACCCGAAGTTTCGGCAGGATTCGTATGCGCTCCTTCGGAGAAAGCTTACGGAACTTGGGTCCTTCCATTGCGCTGTCAGGATCCTTGCTCTCCTCCGGTGATAGAATGCTGCAATTTCTCGCGATAGCAGTAGCAGTCAAAATGTTGTCGCCTGTTACCATTCTAACTGTCACGCCTGCTTTCTGGCATTGTTCAACCGACTTTTTTACGCCCTTTCGAAGCGGATCTTGAATCCCAACGATCGCATCTAAAGTAAAACCCTCATCTTCACAGGACACTGTCGTATTGAAAGTGCCTGAGGGTACATCTTGTCTTTGGTCCTGACCGAAAATGAGTTCTGGTGAGGCGATAGTAGAATCAATGTTATCTTTCAAATGCTCAGGTGGCCAACTATGACAATTAGGGAAATCTTGATGAGCAAGGGATATGGCTCTTAGGGCATCTGCTGCTAAATTTCGTATAGTTTCGCCTTTGTCCTCAAGTGCCTCAGGGGTCAGAACACCTGTATTGCCAGCAGAATCGTTTATCTTCTTACATCTTTTCAATACCAACTCTGCGGCACCTTTGATATAGAATCGATAAAGGCCGTCCTCGTTTCTGGTTACTATACCTCCCCATTTTCTCGAGCTTTCGAAAGGTATAATCTGAACTATTTTCTCGATGCCCAAGCGCTGCGGATCATCTCTCAAACCGTGCAGGTCAGTCATTCCTAAATCTTTCTTGGCAAACGAAAGTAGAGCTGTTTCGGTCTTGGAGCCAATAAATGGTTCTTTCTGTACGCTGTCAATGGTATCGATGAGATCATTCTGAGTGCTAGCCTTTTGTTTATTATTGCGACTCCAGGGAAACAAAGATCTCGCCGATTTATGGAAAGGATTTTCATGCGATTCAGCTTCTTCTGTAACTTGCTTATTCTCAAAAGCGGTGGAGTTGAGGGCGATGTTAATGAGAACATTCTTTTTCACCTTCTCGTCACAAGCCGTAGCCAAAGCGTCTTCAACATCTCTCTCCTCGGTAGAAGACTCATAAGATTCCAAAGATTCAGCACCGTCAAAAGAGGTGGTTCCTATAAATCCTCTTACCACCGTCATCCTATTTTCGGTCAAAGTACCTGTTTTATCAGAGCAGACTGCAGTGGCCGAACCCATTGTTTCGCAAGCTCTAAGAACCCTGACAAGATTACCATCCTTGGTCATTCGCGTCGTTGCAAAAGCAAGAGCTAATGTTACAGCTAGAGGTAAACCCTCAGGGACGGCCACAACTATAACCGTGACTGCGGTGATAAAGATATTCATGAACTTAGAGCCCTTTTGCGCCGGTGTTAAATCGTGATACCTTTTGCCCGAAGGCAAATAAGACAAAAATCGACCAAAAAGGATGATGAACAGTATGAGAGCTGCAACCGATCCGTAAACAGAAATACTGTTGGCGAGTCCGTCAAGTCTTTCCTGCAACGGAGTAGACTCTGGCTCTACCTTTAACGCCATTAGCGTTCTTCCATTGATCGAGTTTACTCCTACTGAAGTAACTACGGCCCGTCCCAGACCGGACAGAAGCTTCGACCCTGAAATGAGTAACGGATCTGGAACCTTTTCACCCTTGAAGCGTCCGCCAATGTCGATGCCCGCATCATTTTCTGAAAGCTCTTTATATTTATTGAACGCTAACTCCAGGGATATCTTCTTTATCGTTTCAGACTCACCAGTCAAGGCAGACTCGTCACACGCACAATTTCCGTCGACAAGAATGCAGTCAGCGGGGACAACATCACCTGTTTGCAGGGTGATTAGATCGCCAACTAACAAATCATGAATGGAAATAAGGTGCTCATCGCCCCCTCTCAGTACCACGATTTCGCGATCGCTTTTTTTCTCGTTGAGACGTGCAAACTGGCGTTCTTTTTGGTAGTCGTTTGCCGAGCCCACTAAAATGACCACCAGGACAGCAATCATGATAGCTACACCTTCGACCCAGTCAACTTTGGTGATTTTCTTACCCTCATGATCGTACTCTGCTGGTTGGCCCAAAGTTTCGTAAAGACCCAGGGCAAATGACACTACCGCTGCAACCGATAGTAAAATCATTGTTTGGTCTTGAAATGCCTCCCAGGCTAGCCTCCAGAAAGGCTTGGCCTTGCGTTGTGGAATCCTGTTGTCGCCGTACAGCTCGTATCGCGATGTTTGCGTCACGTCTTCATCTTGTATAGTTAAGCCCTTAACGGCATCCGTCTGCAAATACTTGCAAAGGTTGGCAGAATCGTGGTCAAACAAGCTGTCAAACGCCGAAAGCGATTTCGGATCATGCAGCTCAGACAACTGTTCTGGTCTGAGCCTGAAATCTCTCGAAGCACTCTCCGTTGATGCCATAGGACCGAAACCGATTACGGTGTGCTAAGAAGTTGGCTGGAGGTTCCGAAAAGTAATGTCGTTTTTCTGGCCAAACAGAACCTTTTAAATCTATCTTTGAAATCGCTAAAGGTATCTTAGTAATCGCTACCGCTACCGCTACCACTGCTGGGATAATCTCCTCTGGTATTCCAGCTTCCCTGAAATATTCAGCCTCCTAATTAAGGTCACGTGCTTTAAATTCGTGATAAGCCAGATTGATTCGACCTTAGAGAATTTGGATCTAATCTAATATCAAAGGTAGTCTGTCTTTGATGAAATATGCTTGGGTAACTGACAGAGGTTGCCAATTCTTAAGCGTTCCAATCCAAGCTTGAACTTCAACTGAACTGCTAGCTAGCTCATAAGATTTGTCGCTTTTGTTAAATGATCTTGCAGTAATATTTAAAACTCATACGAATCTTTTTTTTTTCAGGTACAGTGAGGCTGAAGATATTGTAGAGGCGGCTTTTACCAATCTATAGATCCGCTGCCGGGAGCGGGTTGTAGCCCACTATTTCCACACTTGGTCAACATCTTTCTTCACAGATTACGTGCAGGTGTGTGGCCACAACTGAGCCCCAACGTACCCGAGTGGCGTACTCGTGTATCGTGCATTGAGGGTAACAAGATAAGTGTGGTAATCTCAATTATCTTGCTGCAGATAGGCGCAACAATGCAGAGAACCCTGTGTGGGGGTTTCCAGGATTTGCAGCGTAAGGGTTCAGAGTTCCTACAACGGCTTTGCGCGACGAAAGAAAAGGATGCGGCTAACCAGAACGCTTAATTTTTTTTCTTCTTCAAAACTGGTGGGGCTTGATTCCAACTCAATCGTATTCGGCTGTTAAACATGACGGGTGTAGTAGATGTTATATTACAGCGACAAGACCGAAATCAAAACATCTTTGTTTCTTTACCGCGACAGCTACGATCCTCGTATCTCGACTTCTTGGTGCAGAAATTATGCCTCTGATCAATGAAGGCTGGTGGAGGCTTTTGATATCACAAGCTCAGCCTTCATATGGTCGTCATCTTGACCTTTTTAACTTGCCCCGAACTGTCTGGGACTCGAGGCGAAGTTGTCACGCAGTTATCACAGTCTATGTTAGTTCCTTTGTGTTGGAGTAACAAATTTGATATGAAAAGTAATCTAGCGTATTAAATACAGCAACAACAACTACAAATGAGAAGAAACGAAAACAGACTACTCGAGAACCTTTTGCCCAACACCGCTGCAAAGTAAATCATTATTGTAGAACGCACCCTATCAGTGTCGCGAACGCGCTCGTGTAGGAAAGCTCAAAGCCGTTTTCAGCATCGCTTTTGCCAGCAATGATGACACGAGCTTCCAGCAGTGACCCACATCTGAGCACCCATAAACCTGGTTGGTGTGACGGAAGCGCTCATCTCCCATTCTCTTGAGTATGATCTAGGTCATTTTGTACTAGTTGGACATGGTCGGTTATACTCTGCTTAAAATTATATTGTGGCAGCTATTATCGTTTCCAAAGTATGTTTTATGCACTGCGTAGCTGTGTGTCTATGCACCGTCGTCTTTTTGGAACTTGAGGTTAAGTTGTCGACCTTTTCACTTTGAGCGGGAATCTGTTTGATGAAAGGAAAACACGGCATTTGCCTCCATTAGTGGCAATAAAACCAGCAATAATGCTGTTTTAGAACGTAGTCAGATTGTGACATTCAGTGGCAGCTTCACTAGTCGAATACAGTAGTTTCTAGGTGCAACGTTAGATCGATTTAGATCGCTATGTACGGATATGCTTCATCGAAGCCATGTCAAGGTCATCTGATCGTTTAATGGTTCCAGACGATGCGATGAGCTGGAGAAGCTACAACTGAAGACGGCAAGATCGGTCATCTCAGCTCGACAGGCATCACAGATGAATGAGCATACCAAGATTGCCATTAGTCTCGTGAAAGGCAATAGTAATAGCGGAACACCATTGGTCTTCGATATCGATGACATCAAAAAACTTCGAAATTGGGGCACGGCCGGAATCCTAACTGGTACTTTGCCCTCTGCTGCACAACAGAACGGGTTTCTAAGCGTACCACTGCGGCTTATGGTGGAAGAAGCTTTGTGGTTGGTTGATAGCGGAATGGCGTTTTTCTTTACAGGGCCAGAAACGGTTACAGCTGCTGCTGAGACACTAACTGCGAGAGAAATGGAACACGCACTTGAGAGGCAAGAAAAGTCTTTTGCGGAGCAACGATTGTTTAAAAAACAACAGCATGCTGAAAAAATGGCTAGTCTAGGTATCCCATTCGATGAAGAAAAAGCTTCCTTTACTCTGCTGGAGTCTTCACTTTTCGTTGAAACCCCCAGTGTGTCAGAGTTGGTGTCAGCGACGATTGATCAGAACTCCGCACGGCAAGAAGAGCTGTGGATTAAGCTCTATAATGGCTTGAGAAACACTGGAGATTACTTTGTTTACAAGGCCCTGAAACAGAACCATTACTTTTTGTCCCCAGGCGCTAGGTTTGGCGGCAGATTTATAGCCTATCCTGGCGATCCACTAAGGTACCACTCCCACATGACCGTGCAGCCGGCACTTGACTATAACCGTGATCCATTAGATCTTCTGCAAGTGGTTAGCGGCGGCAGGCTAGGAACAGGCGTCAAGAAACTGTGGGTTGTGGCAGGTGTAAAAATGGATGATGAAAAAGAAGCTAAAGAAGATGTTTCGTTTTTTTCCATCGAGTGGGCAGGTTTCGGATAACTCAAGTACATAATTTCGTCTTATTTAGTTGTCGAGCTCAAAAAGTCATTGCGGAATGACACACTTGAGGTCGCAAACATATAAATTGATGGTCGAGGAAAATAATGAGAGCTACTTTGAAGAAACGCATCTCAAACAAGCCGCGTCTTGCCCATTCATGTGGGACTGAACATATTTGATCTAGGACCTGTCTAGAAAGTTATAAGCCTAAAAAGCCTCCCTGGATCTTGAAAGTTTGGCAACCCTTTATGACGTAGAAAAATTGTTGACCTGCTTGTTAGGCTACGGTCCCGGATAATCAATCCGAAGTAGAGGTAGGACTAAGCGATAACTTCTATTATACCCAAGCGGATATAATGATGATTCAAACACTTGTTCAATGTTTACTTATGATTCTCTACTTGCTTTCTTTAGCATATAAGATAACCGTAATCCGACCATACCATGCCCGTCTTTTATACCTTATACTTCGGGATATGAATGGTCACTTTCCCGACATGTTCGCATCTAGACTTGAGGCTTCTGGACCCCGATCGGCCTCCATTTTTAGCCTTATTGTCTTATCGTAGTCGTTATTATCCTTAACATCTTTATTCTTGATGTTCTTGCCTCATCATAGATTCTTTCAGCATGATCTTGGTTATCTTATTGCCATGTGTTATTCACAACACTGCTATAGTTTACGGCAATTTGGCCGAGTGGTTAAGGCGTAAGATTAGAAATCTTTTGGGCTCTGCCCGCGCAGGTTCGAATCCTGCAGTTGTCGTTATTTTTGTTAAAATGAGCGTACTACAGTATGTTTGATCATATAGTGGGATTGCCTAATAGTCGTAGAAACCAGCTCATGTTCGACATCTCGGCTTTCACTAGGTTTCTTTTGGATTTTTTTTTGTATGTTTAGTAGATCGCATGATAATAACGTTGCGCGTCTATTGCAGCAAAGAAATCATGATTTCATATCGGGAAAACCCAAAAATGAGATGCTCAGACTTCACCTTCTCGAAAAGTTTGTGGATGTACTGCCAATTCAAGCGGCAGTCTCATACCCAGTACGCACTCACCTGCGCTTAAATGCTGTGACTCGGATCCTCGACGATAAACGGTGACGGCGCTGTTTCACCCATATATTCGGCAATTAGGGCACAAACAACTCAGGCTCTGTATTCAGTGACCAGTTTGTGCGGATTCAACACCATCTCGTAGGTGCTTGAATTCTTCGAAACCAATTTGACTTTTTTCCCCCTCGTAGCGGATAACGTCGATAAAGTAGTCTTCGTAGTGATTCATTAAGAAATCAACATCTTTCCAATTTCCTGCCTTTTCTATAAGATTTTTGAAGGTGTCCTCCTTGTCCCAGTGCTGCTCAGGCATCACTTCTGGCAGAAACGTAGCGCTCATGATCTGATTGCTGCTAGGGTCTTTGAATGTGAGTTCGATACCATGAACTCCTAACTCCCAATCGAAAATGTCGCCTTTTTTATCACTGAAGATAGTGTGGAAGCTGTGGAGGATGTTACAACTACATGTAAGAGTGGGAAGTTCTTTTTTCGTGATTGGGGGGAACCTGTGATCTTGTAACGCTGCGATAAGTGAGTACTTTTCAATCCCCTTCAGCAGTGCGAGCTTTGCGAAAGTTCCAATACATCCTCGCAGCTCACCTTCTCTGCTCCTTCCCGATTTCTTCTTCCAGGTGATGAATAGAGATGTCTTCTCGGTTGTTTTCCTACTATCGATGGCGTAGTTGGGAAATAACTGCTTTACCGCTTCGAAGGAAAGGTATGTTCCTGAATCAGAGTTCAAACGAGAGTAAAGTTGATCAAACGCATAGAAGGCAAAGGGCGAGCTCAAGTCCCCTGACATTGCTTAGTACCTTCTGGGAATAAACCTTCTGAACGTGGTTCTACTCTTGGTCGTCCCTTATTTGATGCGCCTACGCCTTATATATGCAAAGGGTTGAGTACATTTGTACTTGTGAAGGAAATGGGTGTAGTCGTTAATTTCTTCGATCAGGTGACTATAGTAGATCATTAGCCTTCAAGTTTTGGGCTGTTTGAAAGAAGACCGCTCGACAACGCCGAAGTTCATCAATTTCGATCGTGGTTTCAATGAGACTCCAGAAAATCTGTTTAGCTCTCGTGGGCTTTCAGTTGGCAATTTGTCGCAACTTTTACGATCAAAATGGGGACATCACTGAGCTTTCACCCAAGACATTTGATAAAGTGGTACACCGGACTAACTATACCACATTAGTAGAGTTTTATGCCCCATGGTGCGGATACTGCCAACAGCTGACCGGAATCATGAAAAAAGCTGCAAAAAACCTCGATGGAATCGTACAGGTTGCGAGCGTCAACTGCGATGAAGCCAAGAATAAACGACTTTGCGCCCAGCACCGTGTAGAAGGGTTTCCAACACTGATGGTGTTCCGTCCGCCTAAATTCGATCTTAATAAAGGTCCTGAAGAGCGACTTTTGCTAGGCAACCATGCTAGCGAGGTGTACAAGGGCGAAAGAAAGCTAAAACCTCTTGTGGATTTCTGCGTTTCTCGTGTCAAAAACTATGTTACCAGACTTCAGAAGATAGAAAAACTAGTGCAGCTTTTAAGTCAAAGCAATAATTCGCGACTAAAGGCTGTTTTGTTCTCTAGGAAAGACAAAATCTCCCCGCTGTACAAGAGCTTGGCGCTGGATTGGTTGGGCGTCATCGATTTCCACGTCTTACTCAATTCCAAACTGCAGGCATCGGAAGATCAACTCAGTGGTCTGTCTGAAGAAACCAGAGACTTTCTGCTAGACTTTCAAAAAACGCAGGCTGCCTCGGAGACTAGTAAGCTAGTAGTGTTTGATACTGCAAGTAACAAACATCTCGTTTACGACGGTACATCTTTTGATAAACAGAGTATCTGGAGCTTCCTTTCTCAATGGGTCGAACCGCGTGAGGGTATATCTACTAAACGTCAAGAGTATCTGGATAGCCTCAAAACCAGGTCAAAAAGCCGGAACAAGAAAATCAATAAGAAAAAAATGACTCAAGAGGAGAAATTTGCACACGATGAGCTATGAAATCATTGTCATATGTTTATATGATTTGGTCACTCGAGTATACCTCCATTGCAATTTGAACTAGCTACAGATGAAAAACGTCGCTCTATGCCCGGATTGAAAATGAACAGCCACGGGTAAACATACCCAGTCTCCGTCGCTATTTTACGGGGCACCAACTTGCGAAGCTGCAACCTTTCAGGACGTTTATAAAGTTCTTTTAAATAGTGCTTCAAAAAGTCGGAGATCCTGTTTGTAGTCAAAAACAAAATGCTACCCGCGGACACTACCCGTATGTTTTGTTCACCTTTTCCCAAACTACTCGTCACGTTTTGAGAAGCTAGCACGTGACTAAAGTACTGGACTATGAACAGATGTCTAGAGTAACTCGATACGAAATTCCTAATTTTCTGCCTTCATTGGATTCAGCTCAGCTGTTAAAGAACATGCATCCAGAGTAACGATCCCGTTCACGCGTTCACGTCACTGGTGCGTCTATTAAATTGCGATAGTCGCTTTTCCAATACATAAGCTACAAGATGCTGACAAAGTATTTTACCAAAGTTGTCGTGAGATTTAATCCATTCGGGAAAGAAGGTATGTTTGATGGATTTTATGTTTGTGCACTAGGACCCCCATAATAAGCAAAAACTAACTGTTACTATTAGCAAAATGTGCTCGCCTACTACTGAGTGCTATTCCTCCAGCCCAGCGCTTGTCTGGAGTTTCTGTTCAAAATGAACTACTCACAACGGATACAACTAAAAAGCCCACAGTTAAAATAACGTTTAAAGATAAGGCCGAGATGGAGGTAGATCCCAGCGGTATGACATTCAAGGAACTGGGTAACTATTTTGATAGACACTCTCGTAAATTGCGCTTGAAAGAGAGCATAGAGTCGCAATAAGATTTTAGTGAGCTGGTATTGAAATCGCGGAACCTCCTGTATATAAGAAGTAAACAAGGAATAAACGCAAATAGCGTTTCAAAAGGTTTTGATTGCTGTGGTGCGGTGCACGCACTTCAATGCCATGTTGTATAGCGTCAATATTGTAAAAACGTCAGTTTGGAAGAAAACGACATCGGCGTAAAAAATGTGGGCGATGAGATGGTGCAGGATGAGAGAAGATGAGCATCTGAGCTAACACCAGGTCGAACACTCAAGGTCTGTACCGCCTCCATCTATTGTATGTCATACTATTTTAAGAACATCAAACCAGGCCATCATTCTGATGAAGACTTGGAAGATGACGAGTTGTTGAGCACTCTATCTAGAAGACATGTTAAAGGCGACGTAGATGAGGAGAATGACAGCGATGACGGGCTTTCAACCCTTTCCTTTGATGCCTTGAGAAAGGCAGAGGCTCAAATAGAGCAAGAGACTCGAAACGCTCAACGAAGCAAAAAGGATGTAGAAAAACCGAAGCTGTCTCGCTTTAAAAATCGTCAAAATGAGGAACCAAGAAGGCACCCCAAAGAATTCACGGAGGAGTCGTTTGAAGAGGGATCAGAAAACTCTTCTGAGGAAGAAGGCTTTTTCGAAGAGGAAGAAGATGGTAGACTTTCCAGTCGAACACAAAATGACCGCAAGTCGAAGAAGAAGAGCAGCCATGCTCCAAAAGAACAGTCTGCTAAAAAGAAGGCTCCCAAGTACAGAAAGATCCCAGGCCTTGAAGCTCCTAAAAGTCAAAATGAAAATCTTTATCAGGACATTCGCTTCGACAAATCCTTGGGGAAATCAGAAGACTATGAAAGTATACGCAGGCGGTACAAGTTCTTAGACGAGTACAGGCAGAATGAAATGGACGAACTGAATTCACTGTTGAAAGACAGCAAATTTTTGAACAAAATTACAGATAGCGAGAGGGAAGACATGGAGCAAAGGCTCATGAGTATGAAGTCGAAACTTCAATCGTTACAAAACCGCGATCTGGACCGGAAAATTCTAAAGGATTACGAGGCGAATATGAACAAGGACAACAAGACCAAGTACCATCTCAAAAAGTCTGAGCAGCGTAAAGTGATACAGAAATACAAATTTGACCACATGAAGGCAAAGCAGAGAGAAAAGGTAATGGATAGGAAGCGCAAGAAGAGACGGGGTAAAGAATTTAAACAATTTTCGTTCCATGATCGCTGAGGGCGGCAAAAAAAACTTCGCATTACGTAGAGTGTACTTTACTTGACAAAAACTATTTACAGGAGAACTCGCCCTAAAAGGTGCTAAAAGGTGAGCAAAATGTAGGAACACTCAAGTTTCGGGCTTTATTTTGTCGCCGCCTCTCGCGAGCCAGTCGTTAATCGATCCTGGGTAGATACCCGTGTTTTCGTAACCGTAAGATTGTGCCAATTCTTCTGCCGCTTTTGCTCTGACGCCTGCAGCACAGAAAAAAACGAGTTCACGGTCCGTGGACGGTTTTTGGAGGTCGAAAACGTCCTGAAAGTCCTCTGGCGACAAGCTCAGGGCCCCTGGGGCTGATTTCAAGGGTAAGTTAATTGCTGTTGGCATTTTATATTGCTGAAGCTCACTAGGCTCCCTGACGTCCACTAACACTTTGTGAAGATCTGGTTTGCGAACTAGTGCCTTGATATCCTCAAACTGATACACTTTTGGCGATTTTGTGCTCAAATTCCTAGAAAATGCTCCAAACCTTGCTGCTCCAAATACAGATCTCATCATACTCAACCCACTTGTCCGTTCTGAAGCTGAGCAATTCAAAGAAACGAGCCGTTGTATCAATTACACACGATATCAGTAAGTGAGCGGTATTGATTTTGGCAAAAACCAGATCATCTGAATGGCATGTGACATTCATTCTAACTTCATAATTGCATTACATAATCATATGCTCTCTTTGGCCAGGTTAACGCGTTTTGACATTCAGGGACAGAATGAAAAACGTATGCGAACCACCCTCCTGTTGAGAAGATAAACAAAGTTTGTCACTGTGTTATTGATGAACCTGCCAGAACAATTAGCTGCTGCTGTCCCATCTGGTTTGTGGAGAAATGTGTATTTTTCAGTGAATTTGACACCCCGTTCTTCTCTTCATTTGTCGAATGGTTGATGTGTAATTTGGCGGTACGCTTCACCTAATGCCCTTTGCGAGAAAAAGTTTCTCGACAAATTTTGATTAGACACTTCACGATATTTCAGGCCTTTTCACCACCCTTAGCAATCCAGTCATTCATGGAGCCAGGGTACACACTGACCACCTTGTAGCCAGTTTGCAATGCCTCGTCTCTGGCCTTACCAGCTCTAAAACCAGAGGCACAAAGAATGACAAGCTCTTGATCTTTTGAGGGCTTTTCGAATCCGAAGGTCTGCTTGAATTCGATGGTAGGCTTCGATAGGGCCAGAGGTCGCGTTTTGAAGGGCATATTATGAGCACCTGGAATGTGAAACTCATCATATTCACTTGGTTCTCTCACATCGATGATGATTTTGGATTTGTCCTTTGAATTCACGAAAGATTTGACTTGTTCGAAGTCGTATGTTTGGCCGTTGTGACCTTTGAGTTTACTCTCATCACCGTTGAAGGCTTTTACAATGGCTTTCCACATAGCTCAAATTCAGTAAAATCGTGAAGCCTCTCTTGCCAGAAGGGCTTTGTTTGATCCCAAACTTTGGTAGTTAGTTTCCTGGCGAATGAAATAGACAAAAAGACCCTTCACAGCTTCTTTGGTCGCGAGCACATGTGACTGGAATAAGGCAACGAAGACTTCAAACGGACGACAACCGTGCCACAAAAGTTCGGATACGAAGCACCTGCTAATCTGCCTGTATCATTAAGCATGTCTCTATGCGTACTTTTTATCTATCTATTGATAATTCGATACCATATCGTGAACAGAAAATGAGGACCGAAACTTTCTTGGCGACGCTATCTCTTAGCGCAGGCGTAGGTCACTAACAATGAACTCTCCGCCACCCAAATGCTGCGTGTTTCCGACCCTCTTGACATCATACTTGTGGTTGCTCTTGTGGTAATCTATAATTGTGCAGGATGTATTGAATACGATGATACGGTGCATGTCGTGCTCGGTGTAGTTGAACCATTTCAAAAGCTGTCTGATAGAGCCTCCATGGCTAACAATAGCTATATTCTGTAATTCTGTACTCTTTTGCATGATTTTGGAAACCGTCTGTGTGAGCCGATGTTGGAATTCGTCCGGCGTTTCTCCAAAATCGCGGAAAGAAGCTTTGCCGCGTTTCTCTGCGTATTTTTCGGCGTCACTCAAATACATGCCTTGAATTTCACCCATCGAGCGTTCTCTAAGCCCATACTCAAGTTGCACTTCAGGTCTTTCTGTCTCTGGATATTCGCTCAACACCTCTTTAGTCGTTTGCTGGCACCTTTTTAGATCACTGCTGAACACTTTATCGAACTTGATGTTTCGATTCTCCGTAAGGTACCGGCCCAGTTTCTGCGCTTGCTCCTTTCCTGTGTCGTTCAAGTCTGTGTCGAGATGTCCTTGAAGAATCTTTTGAGAATTTTCGTTTGTTTGGCCGTGTCTGATCAGAAAAATCCTCAGGACTTCCGGGTCCTCATTCGTGTTGTAAAATGGAATATCTTTGGTCATCTTCGAACTCAATAATCTACGTGCGCAAGCTCCTGAACCTCTTCCTGTTATGGTTTGTCGAACGACTCGAATATCACGTCAGGAACAGAGAGAGACAGACGCACATTAATATAGTTCATAATTAAGTAATACTCTTCATGATCATGATTCAGATACATCGATGCCGATAATGTTTTAGGAGCCAAGCGATCGATAACTCACAGCACCTGGTTTTTTCTTGAAATCTAAGAACATCTACACATAATGCTGGAGTATCCCGGCCCCGATACCATCCGTATATTAGTTACTTCAGATAATCATGTTGGGTACAACGAAAACGATCCAATTGCAGGCGATGATGCCTGGAAGACGTTTGCAGAAATAATGTCAGTGGCTCGCGAACAGAACGTTGATATGGTTCTACAGGGTGGAGATCTGTTTCACGCGAATAAGCCGTCTAAAAAGGCACTCTACCATGTCATGAAATGCCTGCGTCTCAATTGCATGGGGGACAAACCATGCGAGCTTGAACTCCTCAGCGACCCATCGATGGTTTTCAAATATGACGAGTTTACTGACGTCAACTACGAGGATCCCAACATGAACGTGTCAATTCCTGTTTTCGGTATCTCGGGTAACCACGATGACGCATCGGGCGATGAGTTACTGAGCCCAATGGATATCCTCCAAATCAGTGGACTAGTCAATCATTTTGGGAAAGTTATGGAAAGCGATAACATCGAAATAACGCCCTTGCTTTTTCAAAAGGGTAATACAAAGCTGGCCCTGTATGGTCTTGCATCCGTGCGCGATGAACGGCTGTTTCGGACTTTTAAAGAAGGTAAAGTAAAGTTCAACGTCCCTGCGGTTAGAGATGGCGAGTGGTTCAGCATAATGTGTTTGCATCAAAACCATACGGGCCACACCAACACAGCTTTTCTGCCCGAGCAATTTTTACCGGACTTTTTGGACCTTGTAGTCTGGGGCCACGAACACGAATGCATCCCACATCTAGTGCACAACCCGTCCAAGGGATTCGACGTACTCCAACCAGGATCGTCAGTGGCTACATCATTGTGCGATGCAGAATCGAAGGAGAAACAGGTTTTCATATTAGAAATAGAAACTGGGAAACAGCCAAACCTCAAAGGAATACCGTTGAAAACTGCACGTCGATTTATTATGAGAGATGTGTCGCTGAAAGTCATACCAGGCCTCAAACCTCACGATCGTGAATCCATCACCAAGTTCTTGCTGCGGGAAGTGCAGGGCATGATTAATGAGGCCCGGGGCGAGGATACCAGCAATGAAGTTGAGAGATTGGAAGAGATTATTCCATCGTCAGAGTTGCCATTTATAAGGCTCCGCGTAGACTACAGTGCTAAGGATGAGCAAGGTCTTGACTACCAAGTGGAGAATGCAAGAAGGTTTAGTAATAGGTTTGTGGGTAAAGTCGCCAACACCAACAATGTGATCCAGCTGTATAAGAGAAAGAAGCCTGCCGCTAAGAAGGCTCTGAATCACACAGACATTGATACATTAAATGAAAATAGGGACGGTGACGTCGGTGTGCAGGTCATGGTGCAAAACTTGCTCAAATCCATGAATCTCTCTCTGCTTCCGGAGCTTGGCCTCAACGAAGCTATTGGTCGTTTTGTGGAGAAAGACGAAAAAACCGCGCTCAAAGACTACATTGACAAAGAAATTGAGAATGAGGTCAAGCTTCTGATTGCAAACCAGCAGTTGGGGAACGTGGACGATATCCACGATATCAAACGCCTCGTCAAAGATGTGAGATCTCTTAATACAGTGGAGACTAATACACGGGATTATGGACAGCACGAAAACGCTGCTGCTTCCTACACAAATCGAGCGCTGGCTGACACAAGAGGCCATACGAAGGACAAAACACCCCCGACTGACACGCCCAGCTCTACGGTCCGTTCTAAAAGGGTGACAGCCAATAGAGGGCCTAAAAGTCGAAACACGAATAATACTACTGCCTTGAGCGTAGAAGTTATTGAATCAGACGACGACGAAAACTACCGCGGTAATGACGAAGAGCCTCAAGAATCTATACGGGATCAAGGGAGACGAGAAGTCGATACTATGGACCCTCCAGAAACCGATGAAAATTGTATTAACAAAGCGACCAGTACAAGAAAGCGCCAAACTCAAGTCAGAAAAAAGGGAGCACGAACTCCCAAGACAGACCTACTGAATAACTTGCTTGCTAGTAAAAGAAGTGGACAACACTAGAGGCATTGTTAGTCGCTGATCATTGTTATCGCTATTTACGTTGAGATGATGGGTTTAGCTATATTATGGGCGACCCATACGTCGATCTTGAGATGGTGAAGCGACACTTCAAGAGGGAAACCATAAGACGAAGCTCCCGTCACAGCATACCGTCGCATTCATACAACATGCAGAACGATCCGTTGGTAAAGGTAGATGTTGATGAATCAGAAGACACCGAGTGGAATGATATCTTGAGAGCGCATGGTGTTATCCCACAACGGGCACCGTCACCAACCGCACAGCTTGAGGAGGCACTTGAAGAAGCGCTTCAAAAGCAGCAAGAAAATCGACTAGATGGGAAAGATCTTTCCGACCTTGAAGAGCTGGAGGATGATGAGGACGAAGAGTTCTTGGAGCTGTATAAGAAGCAAAGAATGGCAGAAATCAAAAAATTGCATGAGAAAGCGAAGTTTGGCCAGGTTTTTCATGTCAACAAGCCCGAGTACAACAAAGAAATTACGGAATGCAGTATGGGCTCGAAAGAAGAAGGAACTGGCGGAGTGTACGTATTTGTGCATATGTCTTCAAGCAGCAAGCTACAAAGCAGGCTGTTAGCAGACATTTTCAATCAAGCAGCAGTGAAATTTCCCCAGATCAAATTTGTGGATATCCCAGCCAATAGAGCTGTCGAAAACTATCCTGAAAATAACTGTCCCACGCTCATTGTCTACTACCTTGGTGAGGTTCTCAGAAACTTTGTGACACTACTGGAATTAGGTGGAAACGATACTAAGCTAGATGATTTGGAAAAAGTGTTGGTGAAAGTTGGCGCTGTAGATGAAAAAGATGATCGGTTGGTTATGAATCTAGATGACGAAGATGCCAGGGAAGACCGGTTCAACCAATATACTAAGAGAGGTATCAAGTCGGGCATCAAGGGTAAATTCAACGTTGGCATCGGCAGCGGCAGTGAAGATGAGGATTTTTTCGATTGAGCGCTTAGGGACTACTGTGAGCGTACTCTTTCTATCGCATATTGGTACCTCAAAAGTTAGTTTTGCATGATGATAGATATTTAATGAATGAATTTAAATGCAGATGTTTTGTGTGACGCCGTCCAGATTAACCGATTTGGCGAATGACGTAAAAAATTAAGTATGCTTGTTGACGCAGCACATCCTCCTCCGAAATACTTGTTACCATTGAGTCGTTGAAACGGAACCATTGACCTCCTGTTATTTTGCACATGCTTGTGTAATGCCCTTGATTTACAGAACCCTCCTGAGAGATGACCGCTACCAACTCGTAAACGAATTCAGGAACATGTTTGGATTCATCTTTATGGCAGTAAGGGGTCATGTTAAGATATGCAGGAAATTCGACAAAGTCATTAAGCTTCACGCTTGTACCTGTCATACGGTGCTCAAACCGCTTTAACTGGAGAACCAAAATTGGTGGTAGCTTGGAAATGGTCATTTGTTTGATAGGGTTTTGGGTTGATCCACAGTTACGGCATTTGTGATTGAAGTCTGTTAGTTTTTCGCCCTCGTGAAAGCTCTGCAGACATTCGATTAACGTAGTCTTGTTGTTTATGTCCAAGGACAGATCCATCATGGGATCAAACTTGATGTTACTACCATCGTGACAATCTGCGCAAATGATTGAGCTTCGCAACATACCTTGAAAAGCTGAATGCGCAATACATTTACAGAATTCTGGTTTTATCGATGTCTTTTTGCTGACTCTGACGTAGTCCGAATGTAGCTGATTCAAAAAAAACTGTAAGAACTCATGTGCATCCTGTTGAGAGTATCCTGCTAAATTTTTGTTGGCCTTCCAAGAACATAGAAGTAATTCGATGAAACCTTTTTGACTTGCGGGAAAAGAACTGTCGTTCGAGGGACCGTAGAAATTCGTAATAACAGTATCCATGGCGCAAGAAAAACAGGAAAGACTATCCTCAGAATCACAATGTGCAAAATGGTGTTGATCTAGACTATTTTTGAGAATGTATGGATTGTGAACCAGTGTTTGTACAATGGTGCTCATGAAGCACGTTGAACCCATGTTAACCAGTCCACATAAACCATCTCTCCCATGAAGGCTGGGTGGTGCAGTCTTCACCGAAATATCGTCCCAGTATTTCACGAGCATGGAATTAGTGAGCATTTCATTCCCACTCACAAAGTCCATGCACTTGAAACAAAATAAAAGTCCGTTGCTGGAATTTACGCCAAAAATGTGTCCCACTTTTTTGCTATGCATGGCAAAATGTCCAGAGTTCCAGCATCCGCAGCACCCACACTGTAAGCACATAAAAGTCGATCCGTTATTGATTTCATAGCATTCAGAGCATCGCATCGATAGAAGATGACGATTTTTAAATGTGCTATGCTCGATGATGTATCGGATCATATTGTAAGTCTTCAAGACTCCATCCCGGGTTTTTTCATTTCTAAAAGCTTGATTTAGATGAGGACAGCTCATAACCGAAATGAACAAGCTAGAATGGGGCAGCTGGCTCGAAACACTGAACCCGCTTAGCTCCAGCGCATCTAGTTCTATGGAATTTTTGAGATCAACCTTTCTTTAGCACTAGCTACGGTTGAATCCAAAACTTGATGACAGTATTTCATGGAATGAGCAGAAATGGAAATAATCGAGGTTACGGATCAGTTGAGCACCAGTCGAGGCCCGAGTGTGAAAAACGGGGAAGACAGCCACTAAAGAAGTGAAGAAGTTGTCGATTTGTTAAAACTTATAAAAAACTCAATCTCATTCCATCTTGATAGATTTTCCTGGACTGATCGTGGACTGGTCGTAAGCTGGACATTGTCAGCTATCGTACATTAGAGATGGATCAAGAAGTGTGGGCTTTCGAAACTCAACCAATGGTGTGTGACAGTTGTGCGTGAGTGTAATCACTTTATATTTCCAAGAAAGTCATCGTAGACAAGAAAAGCCATTAAGGATGTAGGGCGACAAGTTTCAAAATAATAAACATTCCAGTCATATACGTCCTCGGGTCTGCTCTGCAAATAGTGTCCAAAGTTGTTGTTATTCAGCGGGAGCTCTGTCATATCACCGTATCACTGACACCAAGTCACGTGCCACCAATTAACGTTACGCCAGGCCCACCGGAACAAAACAAAATAATGCATGTAAGAGTTTAAAGACAAAAAATGCGCAATTTCTGCCTGTGTTAGGGGTCTGAAACCATCACTCGGTTATACACTGCCGAGATCCATCGTGTTTTCCTTTTGGTCACCGGTAGGAAATCGCGTGACAATGGTGTTCGTTTTCTTTTTGCTGTAGCGCCCTGAACAATACCAATGACACTAACCACAAGACGCTAAAATCAGTATTTCTATCCCAGCTTGTAGAATATTCATGTAACCGGACATTTGAAGAATTTCTATCTGTGAAGTAGCATCATCATTGGGCTAGGAACAAATGCATTCCGAATGTACACTTTTTGAAAGTAATTCTGCTAAAACTTGTTTCTATAGATCTCAGTCAATGCGCTCTTGGCACCATATGCGACATCAACGTTAAACCTTGATACAAACATTTGATTTTATTTTATTTTACTTAATTTTATTTTATTTTATTTTATTTTATTTTTGTTTTTTCTATTTTTCATTATTTTTCATTTAAATTACATCATTAAATTGATCGTTGTTTTGATATGTCAAAGACGCTGTGGGTGATTGTTAAATACAAGACCTTATGCTTTCTATGGAGCTTTGGCACAAACTCCGCCAAGATCGCACAAGTATTGTGATCGCTGTTTAATTGTGTCTCAAAGTATTAGTTGACCTAGACTGCTTTACTTTCACAGCTTTCTAGGTCTCTGGGCTTTTCAATCGAGATTCTTTACAAAACATAGTGTTATGAACCCTGCGGATGCGCACGCGCAACGACATCAACGTCTTCTACGAAACATCGAGCTCAACGATAACATACATGCGTCAATTGCAAATGAGATAGCAAAAGACCCGGATAAGTTTTCCCGCCAAACCAGAGCTAATCATTCCTACAAAAGAGATACTGCTTCCCCCAATGTCCAGAGAGCGCTACCCTCGAAAAGAAAACCATTGCATAGATCATCCCCTGGGCTGATAAAATCAGAAACACCAACTTTTCATTCATGGTCTCTCCCCACAGATGCAGAGACCGCCAACGCTCTCAGTCCTTACCTGTCATTCCCAAAAATCGATCCCTTTCGTGGAACATACAAAAAGCATGTTTTGAAGATACGTTATAATCCAACGAAGTTCCTGAATTTTGATAACCTTATCTCTAACTCGAGTGTGGACCCTGACCGGTACGAAATTGACTTCAACGTTCATGAAACACAAACGCTTTTCAATAAAATAGACAACGATCACTCTATGCCGTATCGGTGCGCCATTGCTGACAAGAATGATTTCACCACACACAACACTACGCCCTCAATACAAGATCGTGAATTTTTCCAGGCACTATTGTACAACGCAAGCCCTGCGTCGTATTACAACGGGAATTTACTCTTGGCCTTCACAGAAGCTGAAGATAAAGAGTTGCAGCATTCAAAAAAACCAAAAGTCAAAAGAGAGGCCGCAAGGATCGAATACGTTCACCTTCGTGGCTACGAAATAAAGACGTGGTATACAGCACCATACCCAGAAGAGTTTAATAAAAATAAAATTCTTTACATTTGCGAGTATTGTTTGAAATACATGAAATCAAGATACGTTTTCCATCGTCATCAACTGAAGTGTTCTTTACGGCATCCCCCCGGAAATGAAATCTATAGAGATGGGAAAATATCAATTTGGGAGATTGATGGGCGCGAGAACGTCATATATTGCCAAAGTTTGTGTTTGTTGGCAAAGCTTTTCCTAAACTCCAAGACGCTGTATTATGATGTGGAACCTTTCATATTCTACGTCCTGACCGAGCGAGAGGACGTAGGGGGTCAAAGTCATTTTCATTTCGTTGGGTATTTCTCGAAAGAAAAGCTTACCTCAACGGACTATAACCTCAGTTGTATTCTTACGTTACCCATATATCAAAGGCGAGGTTATGGTCATTTTTTAGTTGATTTTTCATATCTTCTCACTAGAAGAGAATACAAGTGGGGAACACCAGAAAAGCCGTTTTCTGATTTGGGTTTACTGTCATACAGAAATTATTGGAGAATCAAACTGTGCCAAGTAATCGGTTCTTTGAAAAAAGATATTCTGAATGCGCAAAAAAATGGATTGATGTTCCAATTCAGTTTAGAAGACCTTTCCAATCTCACAGGAATGATACCGACAGATGTAGTTTTTGGTCTTGAGCAGCTCAGAATACTTTATCAGTTTGAAAAAGATAATAAAACAAGATACGTCATAAAAATCAGCGACTGGTCGCTAATAGACAATATCATACGGGTTTCCAACGCTAAGAACCTGAATTCTCTACGTCCTGAAAAATTGGTTTGGAAGCCAATGATCTTCGGTCCCTCCTGCGGCATTAACGCAATGGGAACGATGGTGGAGACCACTGGCGCAACGCGAACTACAAAATCGGGCCGAAGAAATGGTATTGACAATTTCAAAAACAGTATTTCGGTATTAGTTAATTTTTTGCAGGACGACATTGCTGATCCAAAAAGTATGGAAGAAACAACATCAGAAAAAATCCGATCTCAACAAATCGCTGAAATTGATCCCAAATTTCTGACCGATGTTAACTCAAAGTACGCCGGAAACGCCAGTACATCTTTAAAAATTGCGGATGAAATCATCCATTTACAGGCTAAGAAAACAAATCGGAATAACGGGCGCGTACCAGCTGAAGGACGTGATGGTCAGGATAGAGACATAGTAAACTTTGAAGAAGGAGAAGAAGAAAGAAAAGAAGAGAGCGGAAATGGATCACAGATAGTTGATCTAGTTAATGATGATTTTAATTATGAAGACGCCAAATTCACAGGCGTCTCCGATGGTGATGGCGACCACCTCGAGGATGAGTCATCTGATTCCGATGCTTGTGTCAAGAAAAGCCGAAGAGGACGGGTCCTGAAGAAAATATTTGATAGTGGTGATGACACTGATGAGGAGCGTGTAACTAGAAGGCAACTAAGAAGCAGAAATGTTCCTGCTGAATTGTAATATCATGTAAAATGCTAATCTTGTAAGAAAAATCGAACTGGAGATTTAATGAACATAACCAAAACTTAAATGATACATTGCCCTAAGCGTGCTTGAACTTTACCAGAGTTAGCGCGGCATCATGGACCTATACTGCAGATTGAGCCAACGTAAACAAAAACCGGCTGTTATTCGTGAACTCATCGTTAATTTTGAAAGAAAGTACCGTAGGAGACTTCTGCGCCAATGCGACATCTTTTCATAATATGTTTTTGAAAAGACTGTTCAGCGGAGGCAGGGCGGCATTATGGGCAACCGGGTTGCTTGTGCTATTCACAGAAGCGTATGAAATACCACGATGATCGGTCAGGCCAGGCGAGTAACCGTATTTTGACTGCTCTAGAGACTTACTCAACCCAGACTTCGTGGATGCCTCAAAATTAGCAGGCGAAGCATCACGATTAGCGGGGTGAGGGGAAAACACAGGTGAATTTTCTCTGCCGTTGGAGTCTGAAGATAGTGATAATGATGGGGATACTTCTTTCTTAATATCAAACACCACCTGGGATGGTGCACGCGAATTATCGTCGACATCTGCATTGCTTTCTTCCTCGATTGCGGTATCTTCAGTGAGCGATCTGTCAGGAGAATCAAGGGGCGAATTGCTAGCTGGAGAGGAGGAAGGAAGGCCCAAAGTTCCTATCCTGACCTGAATCTCTTTCTCTGACCTGTGTGGAAGTAGGATGCTAAGCTCGTCTAAGGAAAGATGCTTCTCTTGTCTTTCGTGTAAGAGGCGGTCCTCATCCAAAGACCAGTTTGATGGTTCTGAACCTAAGCCTGCATGGCTCAGAGCCGTTCTAATACCCGGGTTGAATGTCGCCGTGTTAGAACGAGGAACATCTGTATAATTGGAAATGGATTCGCGCCTAATCATTGCGGGCTGCACAAAACTTTCTCTTCTGGCTTGTATGGACGACCCACGGCGTGAAGGAGGATTATTGAAGCTTTCCCGTCTGGTTAATGAAGCTACCGACGAAGGGGCATGCACAACAGAACCTCTTCGAGATGGGGTCGAAAAGTTTCTATCTGGGGCCGCCATTTGAAAAGATGAACGTCGTGGCCGAGATGAAAATGAGTTCTTACGAAGTTTCGACGTCGTCAAGGTTGTATTGAGACCCGCAGAAAGATTGCTAAAACTCGATGCCGACGAAATGGCCGATGTCGATACAGCCGAGTGCGGTAGAGGTGGGTGTTGTGCAACGGAAGCACGTCTGGAGCGTACCAGAACTTTAGGTATGAGACCCAGGTTCTCATCTTCTGATGTCTTTTTGGCATCAGTTGGGGGCAGATGAGAAGTAGAGGAAGAATTTAGCAAACCTGATGGTGGAGCCATGGTATGCGAGTAGGACCTAGGTTTCACGAATTTTTCCGGGTCAGTATGATAATGAGTTGCCTGCTGCTGAGGGAGCTGTTGATAAGATGGAAAACCGTGTGCCGATTGCGAGAAGTTTGTCGGAGTCCTAAAGGATAATCCTGCAATAGGTGTTGGTTCAGAAGAAGCAACGACGGGGGGGTCCATATACGGCGTCCCAGGTATCGCAGGTGGGACATAATGCGGCATAGACAGGCTAGAGGGTGTGTTGGATTTTAGGCCCAGGTTCTCACCAAGGGAAAATGCGCTAGGACGCGAAGCAAGCGGAGCTACCGCGTGCTCTCCAACTGATTGAGGCGTTATTGACGAAAGTGGGTCAACTCCAGCTGTAGATACTAGGGGCGATCCAACGGGTAGAGTCACGTCAATATTATTGCCCTCTGATGATAAAACTCCGTTTCCTATTCCAGCCTGGGCTGAACCATTTCCAGCACCTTGTTGATCCTCTGGAGTTTCGTCCGTTGGCGGTTTCCCCGTGATTTTCAGATTTCCGGACCTCAGTCTGCGCCAGCGAAACTGACAGGCATTTGGAGTTCTGTTTTTGAAGTACTGTGCAATTTCTTTCCATCCGAGTTTTCTAACCTCTTTCAAATGCCGCAACAACACGTCGTCTTGAGGATCCCACGACGACGGATTTTTGGTCTGCGCTGCAGCGAGGCCGGAACCTGGGGCTTGCACTGCGGACTTTGAAACTGTCATCCCAAAATTACAGAAACCTTGTGTCTTTCCTGTCCCGATATAAAAATAAAAAAAACCAAAATCTGACAAAAAAAGCACGAATTTAACCAAGTGTTTATTTTACAAATACCCACTTGACTCTTCCACGCGTGCTCATTCACAATTTCCCAAATTCCCTTTAGCTAAACGCCTGATTCGTTGATTCCACGTTGTTTCCACGTTTTTTTTTTGTCGTTGTTCGATGTTCGTTGTCCACTCAACAAAGTTTGACACAAATTCTTAACTATTAATCGTCCTATTTCGCTTCTAACGCAGTTTCCAAATAGCTTGCAACAATATCTTCAAATAACCAGCTTTTATGCGGTGCTAGCAAGCTTTAAACTGTCGTTTTTCTATGCGATTTTGTAGAGCGATGAGCTGTGAGATGAGCTTTTCCAATTTTCCATCGAGACATTATTTCATGGTCGCGCGCGATGAGATGAGCCTGGTGGAAAAAAAAAATTTGATGAAAAATATGAGGCGAGATATTATTCACGAGTGATGACAGTGGTGACAGCGTCAGGAAAGGAAAATGTGATGATAGAGTGTGTCAAGACAGAAACAGTTGTTCACGGGAGTCAGGATCCTCGAACACAGATCACAGATGAAGATTAAAAATACTGAAATTTGATGAGTGAGAAAGAAATGGGGAGAGTGGAGAGAGTCCCGTGACCTAATGTGAGACAAACATTTTAACAAAATTGAACTACGATGATAATTCGAAATGAAGATACATGATGTGTGATATTGAATGGAAAGAGTCTTGTATCCCGAACTAGCTACTGAGGTTTCGTTCAATGGATTTTGTTTTTCGTGTTTGTCGATGAGATACTTCGTAAGTACTTTGGAAAGTACTCGCGGCCGGCAAGTGAGAAGAAGGTGTCAGCGACGCGATATCCGTAAAATGATAATGTGTACCTGAAGGTCAGCTTGTGCTGGTGACGAAGGGCGTGGTGCAAATTGCTTGATTGAGATACAAGAGCCATAGATATGTTCCTGCTATTGAAGGGCCAGCACTTGATCAACAGTTTCAAACTTTTTGTCCGAAATTTGCTTTCGTCGAAGACCCACACCTTACGGATCGTGAACTTCATGAATTTCAGCGAAAAACCCGAAAACAACGAACACAACTGTTAGTGAGCAAGAGAGCGGGAGTGTACAATACTACTCGGTAAAAAGCTCTACACGATCACGTGATCTATCACTATTTGGCTTTACCGTCGCTGTCAGCACTATGCCACCTATGCCAAAGTCTTTAAGTAACCATCTACAGCTCAAGTGCATCTCACGCCCTTCATTGCTTCAAAAAATTCAAGTTCTTTACTTTGTTGAAATTACTAAATAATCATAACTGCTCGTTGCACTCACGAAGAGGTCAAAGTTCCATCCCGCAAGTTGTCTTCAATAACCAGTTCGTCTTTATTTTCCAAAACGCCAGCGTTGGCCAAAATGTGTAGTGTGCCGGTGACCACACCATGCAAATCATTGATGTCTCCTGTGTCGTTGTGGTATTTTACGGTTTGGAACCATCCTTCGGCGTCTTCTTTAGAGTATCCAAATTCTCTTTGCACCAATTCAATGGCCTCTTCCTTGTGGTGGTTGAAATAGTCGATACCTTCGTTTAGGGCCTTGATGAAACCCTTATAAGTGTCCGACTCGGTTTCGACACGCTTCACAACAACCCACGATGGCCACGGCGACGAGACGTGACCCAACATTTTAATCTCACCCGAATCCAAAAATTTCTTGGATGTGTAGTATTCCCACAGAAATGCGTCTGCTTCGCCCGAGTTCACAGCTTTGCGCAAGTTTTCGAAGGTGTTGAGCACGGGGAAATCAGCAAACGGCTTTTCCAAGTCCATCTGTTGGGCCATCACGTAGCTCATGACGTGGGAACCGCTTCCTAGTCTTGAGACACCAATTTTTTTGCCCTCTAGAGATTTCAAGTCTGTGAGCTCTTCACGCTTGGCACCGGTCGAAACGGCCCATTCCAAAGCGGATTTCACAAATGTGCCCGCGATCTGGTATTTGGGCTTCGTGTCCTTGGCTGTGTCGGCGATTCCGCGCACAAACGACTCTGTGAGACCGATTGCAATGTCTAGATCACCGCTGTTCAGCGATTGGATCAAATGGCCAGATCCGCTAGGATATGGGATTAATTGAATCTTCACATTTTGTTTCGCGAACAGACCCTTTTGTTCAGCGAAAAATAAGGGACTGGCGAAATGTTCTGGGATGTAACCGACTTTAAGAGACATAGCGATGTTATATAAAACCGTTGGATTATTGGCGGTGTTTGCAGTTGTCGAATGAAAGACTGTAAACCTTGTATATGAGGATATTCAGTTCAAATTAAAGGTTTTTCGAAATATCGATGAAAGCTTAACGTTACCGTAACCGTAATGATATTTTTCAGGTAGCTAATTAAGGTAGACAGACAAACGACTTTGACACCAAAACCTACAACCGTCGCACTTATATATATAAGAAATGGATCTGAATTGTGGCACTCAATTTCCGCCCATCCAATTGCAAAACACTGTATCTTTTGATTTCACGATGTTGTTTTGCTTAGCTTTTTACTATGACTAGGTAGGACTATTTTTTTGCTAGCTTTAGAGCTTTGCTATTGCTGAACTAATCGTTGAACAGGAGAACAGGGGAAATGTAGACGATGCCACAATGGACTCTCCTATGTAACTGAGTAAGGGCCAAGGCGCAGACTTTCGAAGCAAGTTCACTGAGGGGAGTGGGCATGGGGCAAAAGAAAAAAAAACTTCAGATGCCTCCGAGCACCCACACCGCACCAGTGAGAGCTAGACGTTAGTCCTCGAAAGTAGAAAAAAAAGGGTAAAAAGGGTGTTATTTTGCCGGTTATGGGTTTTGAGCCCGTTGTGAGATCAGTGAGTGTCGTAGCAACACGAGTTCTGGTTTCTGGGGTTGCGCCAGAATGGTACGAAATGATACCGATGGATGCCCAAAACTTGCAGAAACAAACAGTCGCGGCGCTTGTGAGTACGGAAAGGTCAGTTCCAGGCTCTTGGATACTGTAAGCAACAGGTTCGTCCCTTCTCTTGATCGCTTCGTACTAAGCTTCGATAGAAATCTCCTAATTTTCTACAAGTGCGCTCAAGTGCGGCAGGCCAAACTCTATAGGGTTTAGCGGTTGCAGATGGTAGTTAAATCTGCTTCGGGACCCTAAGTTAGCGTTTTCTCTTCAGAAAGAATCGTTTCAAGTTAGAGGATTCAGCTACGATGTTAGACGGTACTGGTGACCCTATAAGAGCTCAAAATAAACGTCAACCCTCCATAAGATCACATTCGGGTCGCTTCAACCTTCCAGTCTATTATCAAGATATGTATTTCTTGAGTTAGCCTGTTTTTAGCTGCTAGACTGGACTCGTACACAGGGCTTATAAGCTAATATATAAAAATATTTTAACAATATTACACCTCTAAGACCAAGTTTACACCAAAAAAACCAAAAAAGAAGGATACATAACTTTGCAAGCTTACCACATTTCTCCACTACTGTTGGAATTAATTCAGAGCATACGATCAAAACTGTGAGCCATGTCTTTACCCCTTCGACACCCCTTGGATACTGCAGCATCGTTAGATAGGGTTCTGGAAGACCTTATCGTGAGATTCATCATCAATTGTCCGCCGGAAGACTTTTCGTCGGTGGAAAGAGAGCTATTTCACGTTGAAGAGGCGAACTGGTTCTACACGGATTTTGTCAAAATTTTGAACCCAAACTTGCCCAATCTCAAGATCAAATCCTTTGCACAGCATGTTATTAGACTGTGCCCAATGGTATGGAAATGGGACGTAAGAGCAGAACAGGCACTCCAAAAGTTCTCTCAGTACAAAAGAAGTATACCTGTCCGCGGTGCCGCAATTTTCAACAAAAACTTGACCAAACTGCTTCTAGTCAAAGGCACAGAATCAGATTCATGGTCTTTCCCCAGGGGAAAAATCTCGAAAGACGAAAATGACGTGGATTGTTGCGTTCGTGAGGTGCTTGAAGAGACGGGATGCGACATTTCCGAATACATTGATGAAGAGGCCTTTATCGAGCGTAATATTGGCGGCAAAAACTACAAGATATTTTTAGTGAGTGGGATCCCCGAGGATTTTAAGTTTGAGCCCAAAGTGCGCAACGAAATTGAAAAAATTCAATGGCACGATTTCAAAAAGTTGTCCCGGAATTGCAACCCTAAAACGGCCCAAATTAAAATATACCTGGTGAACAATCTTATGAGGCCTTTAGCTATGTGGGTAAAGAGCAACCGCCAAATTGACGACGACGAGAAGCTCAAGGCACACGTGGAGACGCAATTGAAACTTCTGTTAGGTATCAAGAAGGAAGATACTCCTGACCCGGGCCGAGAACTACTGAACATGCTTCAAAGCACTGTATCCGCAGGCAATGCACCCCCCAACCAAAGCCAAGAATCAAGCCAAGTTCCCCTAAGTTATAACACTTTCAATTCTACGGGAGAAAGCCACAGCTCTGGCACCAATGGTGCCACCACTCAGCCACCTAGCATTCCAGCGCCTACTTTCGTTGGCCCACCCCCACAATTTCAACATAACTTCCCTTTCATGGCGTTTCAGCCTTTTGCGCCGTTCCCTTTCACGAACGGTACTGGCGTACATATTGGAGGCGCTCCTGGTCCTGAAGTTTCAAGTTCCAGCTCTGAAAGCACACAACCTCCACCAACCCCAAAAATAAATGCCTTGGCCAAACCAACTGTGGTTGAGGAAGAAGAATGTCATGGGAAAGGTCTTCCACAAGTCGAAAACTCACAGCATGCGTCAGCAAAGCAACTTTTGGATATCCTTCACAAAAAGGGTCCCAGTCAAGCAGTCCATCCAATACTAGAGCTATCAGCGGACAACATCACGAGCGCAAAAACTTTATTGAATTTACTGAAAACCCCACGTACAGAACATTACGAGCGAGAGAAACTCGAAAAACTACAATCTGATCCGGTCAGCCTTGTGGCTAAACCTCAAACCAACAAACCAATCGGCGGTCAAGCGTTACAAGCTTCTGTAACAAGCTCATCAGAGACCGACGCCGATGCTTCTGAGTACGAAGACTTTGAAAGTGGCTCCGATAGCGAATTGGAAGACAATATAGAAGATGATCAGGAAGATCCACTGGAATCATTTTCTGCCAAGTATGCGAGAGATAACAAGCACCAGAGGCAAGCCCTGAATGCTTCAAACAAAAACATTTTTCGTCAAGACGATATAGACATTTCAAACTGTTCCCAAACTTCATCACCTGAGGTTGCCGACGGTAGAGTATTGGAGGAAATTACAAACAGACCAATCCTTTCACCCACGCCAACCACTAAAGATCATAATACTAAAAAACAATTTAGTGGACCTGCGAGTCTGACTATGGGATCGCAGTCTGGAAGTCAGGAAGATAAAAACCTGAAACTCCAAGGAAAACCAAAATTCAAGTTGCTCAAGCGCGGCGAGATTTTCAATAGTGCGTCTGAATCTTCTAAAGTCGAGAAGTCGCTAAAGGAATCAGATGCAACCTTCACAGGTACAAAGGAAGGAGAAAAGATCTCTTCGAATTTTTCAAAGGATACTAATAAAAGCCCCCTTAGCGGGTCCACTGGTGTCACTTTACAATCTAATGATCACTCATGCGCTAACGCAAATAGCGGTTCTGCCACAAATAAACATACAGGCTCGGTGTCTTTGCTAGACCTACTGAAGAATGGAAAATCTGGGTTAGGTTCCACGCAAGCACCACCTCCGCCAATTGCACAAGAGGCTGGCCTCGGTACCAGGCCGGAGCAAAAAAGAGTTGATAGTGGAGGTAACGAATTGCTCGAGATGCTACACCGCTTTCCGTCTGCAAAGTCAGCGGACGCTTGTAGGGACGGAGCGCCAAGCAGTGCTGGTTCATCGTCCTTCTCACCAGCTCAGACTTTTCAAAGCCCTGCCGAAAACCATAATGCATCACAGCAACTTCTTTGTATGCTCAAGAAGGCGTCAACGTAGCCTTAACCGAGCTTTTAACTGCCGATCTTTAGCCACCGCAAGATGCGGAAAACGACAGTTTTCGCGTAGTGTCAAATTTAAGGCTTTCATATGCATCCCACTGGTTACTAGATAGTTTTACAAAACTACCATAAATAAAAGGTCTAGAGGGCGCGTTCTAAATTGGTTTCACTCTTCATCATCGTCAATGACAAAATCTTCTATCACATCCTTCAAAATATCTGGTTTGCTCTCTGGCCAAGAGATGTTTTTGTCCTTCACCTCTCCCAAAATCAGCAGACAGCCATAACAAGTTGCCAATTCTTTGCCGTTTACTTTGAACTCGGAAGCCAATTCGAGATAATGTTCTCGAGATTTGCCATGCTCCGAATTGATCCAAGTAGAATACAAGTGATGGTCCTCTTCAGTCACCAAAGGATAACTACTGGTTACCGTAATATGCCGCAGCCATTCAGGACCATTTCTATAAAGCATGGTATAGCAGATTCCACATCTGCTAGCTGTCGGTACGGTATTCAATGGTCTGTCTAGTTTAGCGCCTGTTCTCACAACGGTCGATATGACATTAGAATAGTTGCCTTCTATGTTATCAAAGTACTGGCGAGCCAGTTCGTTTATTGTCATATTCCTTACCATTTTCGGCGATGGCGAATGTCCCGATTCTGAGTTCTTTTCAATCAAAAGTGTCTGCTGAGGATAGTACTCATAAATGTAAGGCAAGAGGTTTGATATGTGACAAAATGCGTCGATTTCTGAAAGTAGCACGTCGCGCATGGGATGCAAGTTTTTGAAAGACTCGTCAAACTCCACGTCAAAGCTTTCGTTATCTAAAGCACTGGCGATTTGAGCGGCTCTTCCTTTGACGACCGAAGCCATAATTTCATCGGCCAGTCGTGTCATAGAGTGGCCCCATAATATTGCCTTGTACTGGCCTTGTACTGCAAACTGTTTGATGACGGCTGTTCTCATCACATTGAGCAGATCCTCGCGTGCAGATCGATTGACGCATCGATTAAGAAGTACGTCAACGGTGGGCTGACTACCAGTATCGTTAGAAAAGGTGTTTATCTTTCTGACGATGTAGCTGGTGTCTTCCAAATGTACTTGGATGTGTTTGGAGGAATTGAAAAACGTTTCAATATCAACGACATGAATTTTGTACAACTTTTTGGTTTTCAACAATCTGGTGTTCATCAGAGCACGTAATCTGTCTTTTAAACTTTTCTCCTGGGCAGCTCCAAAATAGCAGACGAGTATTTCAATACTGAAACCGGTCTTGCCACGATGAACTTCTAATTGCTCTTCTAAGACGTCATTTAAGACATTAAGCATTACCAGAGAACTCGAACCAAATGAAAGTGGCACCAAAACTCGCGATTCTGCATTCATTTTTTCTGCTATTTCTGCGGTTTTCACTTTATCCTGGTACATGACCTTAAAGATATCTTGGAAGTACTGATCTGACATCATCTGCTTCCGCTGCTTCAGAGATACGAACTTACAGAAACATTCTGAACAAAAGGGTTCTTTCCTTGACACAACAACAGCTTTTTCAATACGACAGCGCTTGCATGACTGAACTTCAGTCATTATCGATAAATAAGGTCAACCAAGAGTTTTAGCTATGTTCAGTCTTCCTTGAAAGGATTCTAAGCGATGCGATGAGCTTGATGCGATGAGCATGCTGTAATTTTTCATCAAAATTTAGTAGTAATTGTATATATACGTATGTATATATTATATATATACATAATTATAATAATATATAACAAAGGCATAGAGCAAAGGGCAAGACGTTGTTCAAATCATGGACTCAACAGCCGAGTTTCCTTTTGAGCATTAACATTGATTTACGGTAGTAACCCAGAATTTTTGTGATACGCCTCTAACTTATTAGGTTACCATTTCCAAGGTTTTTTCACATCCTTAAAAACATACCGAGAAAGCTTGTTAGACACTCTTTTTTTTGTCGAGGTTGAGCTCACTCTATTGAAAAGCTTACACGACTGTCGATTAGACCCTACAATGTCTGATCCAAAAAACATGCCAGCGGAGAACGCAGACCCACAGGTACAGATCGATAGAGCCAAAGTGGACTATGCTCCGAAAGATGCCTCAACCAAAAACTTCAAATTCTACCCTGACAATCCGGAATCAAGCTTCAACAAATACAGGTTTGCCGCAAAAGACGCAAGCCAATTTTACGACCCGTGCCAGGAATCCTCAAAGATGAGCTTGAGGTGTTTGGAAGAGAACGATTACGACAAGTCCATGTGCCAGGAGTATTTTGACGCATACCGCGAATGCAAAAAGCAGTGGCTACAGGCGCGCAGAAACAACAGAAGCCAATGGGAGTGAATGAACAGGACAAGCGGCCAAAACTCAGAAAGAAGAAAAAAAAGACAATTCGTTTCAAGAATGGGCAAAGAAAGAGTCTCTCGGACATAACCGGCAAGCCGAAAACCGGTCTGTGGTTTTCGTTTTTCTCTCAACTTTCACTCTACGTTTTTAGACAATGAATTTCGATTAGCTGATTTGCTGCAAAACCGTTTGTCTCACTGTTTCTCAACCAAAAAAGCTCCAATTTGAGCGCTTTTTTTTCCGGCAGGGACTCAGAAACCTGGTTTCTACTACTTCACAATAAATCAAGACCTGATGCCAAGGTTTAGGTCTCCGATCAGCTACATTTAAGGTTCATTTTGGTTTTGAAAATTTTTATAGTACGTAGACAGAATATAAAAATCTATAACTTATTGTCTATTCTTGCACAAAACATTTTACTTTTCGATCAAGGTCAGTAGAAACAAGAGCCATAATGTCGTCTGAGAACTCTTTCGGTCACTTTGTGGCGAAGAATAAGACTGCCGTTGTTGCGTCGATCGCCGCCGGTGCTACAGCAGTTGGGGCATATTACTACTATCAGCAACTCCAGCAAACTAAACAAACTTCTGGAAAAGAAGACCAAGGTGAGGCCAAAGAGCTTGAAGGCGAGTCTAAAAGTGGTAAAAAGAAAAAGAAGAGCAAGAGAAAGCCTCAGACGTCTTCAGCACCCGCATATCCTGTTGATGCAAACGGAGAACCAGATTTGAGCAACGTTGCAGGTCTGAGTGAACAGGAAAAGGATAAGATTGCCGTTGGATTGAAGGACAAAGGTAACGAGTTTTTCAAAAGCCAGAAATTCCATGATGCTATCCAGTTTTACACGCTAGCCATCGATGTTAAAAACGATCCGGTTTTCTATTCCAACAGATCCGCGTGCTATGTTTCTTTGGGCGAACAGGAAAAAGTTGTAGAGGACACCACTGCAGCATTGAAGCTAAAACCAGACTATTCCAAATGTCTACTTCGTAGAGCCACCGCTAACGAGAGCTTGGGCAATTTTGCAGATGCCATGTTTGACTTGTCTGCGTTGAGTTTGTACGGCGACTTCAACGGATCTTCTGTGGAGCCATTGCTAGAGAGAAACATGAACAAGCAATCGATGCTTGTTCTCAAGGAAAAACTCGAGCAACACAAACCTAGCCAACTACCTGCCAACACGGCTTTGGCCTCATTTTTCGGTATTTTCAAGCCTGAGACATCTTTTGACAACTTTGACGAAACATCCGAGGCAGACCGCACTTTGGTCAAAGCATTGACCAAGTTGTATGAAAGAACCGCCAACGGGTATGAAGAAGCTGACAAATCTTTCTCCAAAGCTCGTGAACTTTACAAGACCTTACTAGACGAGTCCCCTGATAATGAAGAAATGAAAAAGAAGGCTGCCATTGCTTTAGAACACGTTGGTATCTTCAAGTTCCTGAAGAACGACCCCTTAGCCGCCCACGAAGATTTGAAACAGGCTGTTGAATACTTTCCAAGACCAAACTCCTATGTGTACATGGCTCTCATCATGGCCGACAAGGGACAAGGTGAGGAATACTTTGAGAACTTTGAAAAAGCACTCAAGATAGATCCAGATTGTGCTGCTGTATTCTACCACCGTGGTCAGATGTACTTCATCACCCAGCAGTTTGCCGAAGCAGGTAAAGATTTTGAAAAAGCTAAAGAACTTAACGACTCAAATATTTTCCCTTACATCCAATTGGCTTGCTTGACATACCGCGAGGGTAAAAACAGTGACAGCGAAACTCTTTTCAGCGAGGCGAGGAGAAAGTTTCCAACAGCTCCAGAAGTACCCAACTTCTATGCTGAAATTCTTGCCGATCAAGGTGACCTTGCTGGCGCAAGAAAACAATACGAGATTGCTGCGAAACTAGAAAATGCTTTGCCAGGGATCCATGTAGGTGTTTCGCCATTGATTGGCAAAGCTACTTTGTTGTCGAGAGAACCCACTGTGGAGAACTTTGTGGAAGCTACAGAACTATTCGAAGAAGCTTGCAAAATCGATCCAAGATCTGAACAAGCCAAGATCGGTTTGGCTCAGCTGAAGCTTCAACAGGAGGACATTGATGAAGCTATCGCTTTGTTTGAAGAAGCTGCTGACTTGGCCAGAAGCTTTGACGAGAAACTACAGGCCACTACGTTCGCTGAAGCTTCCAAAATCCAGAAGAAGATCAGAGCTGATGAATTCATGAGCAAGAAGATCGATGAAACTTTGGCAGCATACCATGCCCGTGGTATGGTGGGCTAGATGTGTTCGGAGCGAGATTTCAAAGGTCGAGGCAAAAATTATTTCGAAGATTTTACTCAAGACCTAAAATGGAATTTCTCTTACATGCGTAACTGTAAATATAAGCAATATAAACCAACCTTCAGATGACTTTTTCCCTGTCAACTGTTCCACTCAAGACCACTTCGACAGGGTCCTTAGTTTTTTCGGACGCGCACCTATATGATCATTATCGGCTTCGCTTTCCAATTTTCTTTTGCGGGAAGCCATTCCTTTGTTAATTGTTCTTGAATTTGGCCTGCCTATGTCTGAAAGAGCCACAAGTCCGCCTTTGTCCGATTCCAGCTCGTAGTGGACGTTGTAACGAAATTCATCTTGCTGATAATGACAAATTTTGGTCATTTCGCGAGGGTAGGTCCAAAGTTGAGAAGTCGAAGTGATATTGACAGCCGTTTCAGATTCTTTGATCGAATTCGAGAATTCACCCATAATAACGTCGTCCATCATTCCTCTAACCGTGTGCGTTAAGATATGCCCTTTCAAATTATTATGAAATATTCTAATTTTTATTTGTAACCCACCGGCAACGAGAAACCGGGATCCTTCTTGAGCTTAAATAAGTCTCTTGATAGCTTCGTCAAGCGGCTGGAGGAAAAGCTCCACAAACTCGGTGACGTTTTTACTGACGTCGTCGAGATCTCGTAGATCATCTCTTAATATACTGTCACTGATCTAAAGTGAACTACTCATCTTTAGTTCTATAATATACATCAAAAAATTTGGTAATGGGAAAGCCCATAGAGCTAACTGATCAAGCTGTCAAGACAGCTTTGGCTTAAGGTAAACCCTATCAGTCAGCTTTGAGACTTAGTCACAACCCATTTAAATTCAACAAATCAAATGCTCGAGTATCTCATGCGCTCTGTTGCCAACTGTGGCCGAATCTTTAATCGAGTTCAATCACCAATTCTGGTTCAGAGTAGAACTCTGATGAAAACTCATAAAGGTACTGCCAAAAGATGGAAAAAGACGTCTACAAGCTACAAGAGGGGACGTGCTGGTAGAAACCACGGTAACGCCGGATGGAGCAGGTCATCCTTGAAATCATTGAGCGGGAAGACGCTAGCACACTCTACTCACATAAAGCATCTGAAAAGACTGCTTCCGTATCAATGATTATTGCATAGGGAGAATGAATTCAACACAGTGGCAGCAAAAAACTTTGAAAGACACCAATGGGATGCAACACTGACGTCTTACATGTATCTATAAATATAGACGGTATATCAAATGTAGAGGGTTCTTGTAGATAGAAGAAAAAGCAAAAAAGTAGGAGGGTCGCTCCTACCATTTTCACCTTACTCCAATCGAATTGATGCAGAAATTGTTCATTCATTCGGCCTTTTCGTCCGTTTTGTTGAGTTCGTTTTCAATCCACTTGCCACTGATAGGGTCTCTCTTTAACTCTGCTGTCGGGAAATAGTGGTAGTTGGTTTTCAATGAAATAGCAAAAGGAACGTTGTCGAAAGTCACCAAACGAATCTTGCAGTATGTGTTGTCAGGAATGGCTTTAACGACTTTCACAAAAGTTTCAAGGTCTGGTGTCTCAATTTCGTTGATATGTGTGATGAAGTTTGTCGACGCTATACCGTATTGAGTAGCAGGAGACGATTGTCCCCTGAATGTACAATACACGCCACTAGGGATTTGTGACATAGCTTGTAGAACAGCATGATGTGGAGTTTGTACAATGCAACCGGCAAACACAGCAAAGTGCGATGTTTCACTAACTTCAACCGTTTTAACTCGCACATCAACAATTTGGCCGTTTCTGACAAGCTTGAAATTTAAAATCTGCTCTTCGTTGGGGCCCAACCCTGAAGTCACAATCCCATCTAGATCTCTCATTTCCTTAACTAGCTTATCTTCGACGCTTAAAATTACATCGCCAGGTAATAGTTTTTCCTTCTCAGTTGTAAAGGACACCCTTGTGACGTGCATAAACTGGAGTCTGTTCTCCGATTCAGCTTCCATTCTCGAAATCCATTCCTCCGGAACAGAACGGATTCTAGCCTGCGCAATTGAGATCGAACCAAAACCAGCATCAACAATGTTAATTCTTGGTCTCTTTCCGTTCTTCAGTAGGTCAATAACAGGCTTCAGATCTGTTAAATCTAAACCTAGTAAATAGACCTTCTCTTTGCCATCTTGAATTTCACCCAAAAAGGACAACCAAAGGGCTCTCACTGTTCCGTCTTCGTCAGCCAGTATACCAGAGTTGCATCTGGAGCTCACATTACAATCAATACCTACGGCCTCCAAGTTTGTTGCTCTATACCTGGGGATAATGTTGCTAGGTATACTCAGTGATGAGATATCCGTCACCTTAGTCTCGGAAGAAACAAGTCTGTTGTTGTGGGTATAGCCAATAAATTGGGCTTTGTCACCACGTTTCATCCGTTCAAAAGACATACGAGGCGTCTCAACTGGTGCTTTCACTAGCGAGGGGTCGTATTTAATCACAGCGTAATTTTGTGTAGGATGCAAGAAGGTCACTTCAGCAGGCAGAATCACCGAATCAGCAATTGTCACAAATACATCCAAGCAATCATGAGGAATGACACGACGCGAGACAATAACATACCCTTGCTCTGCATCGATAACAAGCCCAGCTGCTTTACGGCTTTCTGCGGACATTGAATCTAAGGGGATGGGCGAGACAGTAGTGACCGTGACCAAGCTTCTGGAAAGCTTTGCTAGGTCTTTGTTGTCAATTGACAGGTCAATAAACTTGGCTTCATGAGGGACCTCAGGCAATGCGGGTAAAGGCTCTGCAAGGTTTTTGTAGTCCCAAATACCGGTTTTGTCATTTCTTTGGTATAAGCGAAACTCGCTACACCAATGACGATCAATATAAATGCTAGCAACATTTGGCGAATGCTGGTCAGTCAGATGGTGGTATCTGACAGTGACTCTCTTTTTGTCTGGGACATGTTTCATGACCTCGATGAAGGTATCCAGGTCAGGAGTTTCCTGATTATCGATGGCGTCAACAATCCAGCCGACTTTTTCCTTCGAATCAAAGTTGAAGGAGCCTGATGCACTGCTGAGAAAAACTCCTCGTACAGGAATAGCGTAGAACCTCGCCATTTGGTACGATAGCTCGTGGAATGTAGCACCACAAACTTCGAGATAGGATGAGGGTGTGATTGAATGAAGGTCTCCGACTGTGCATGTGACGTTGATATCTTTACCACCACGCTGGATCAACAAATCAATGTTTTGACCTACGTTGCTATCCAGAATATCATCGACTTGAATGAAAGATGCAATGAGTTCATTGTTGATAGAAATCAAAGTATCTCCTTCTTTGATCTTGGTATCAGCAGGGCCCTCACGTAGAACAGTTTCTGCCACTAGTAGTCCAATCCGATCTGGAAACTGTTTACGAGCTTCTTGCTCCCGATCAGCAGTAAGTCCCAGTCTTCTGCACTCATCGTAGGGTCTCAATATCCATTGCATTTCGATTGTGCCTCTAGTAACCGGTTCATCTTCCCTTACGCAAAGAAGTGCTCTTAAAATCCTGTTAACAGGCAGAAAAAAGTCTGTGGACGCCTCTGTTGAACCACCAGCCTGCAAAGCCACTGCATGTCCGTCAATATTTACAACTGGTGATCCCGAGGAACCCCCAGAGGCCGATGCAGCAGCTTGAATATACTCTGTGTTGAAGTCATTGTACGTGAGCTCTCCGTAATCTGGAGCATTTCTGTCGATTCTACTAATGAAGCCTGCGAGAATACTTAGCTTTTCTCCAGCGTCGTTACCCACAACTCTGATTTCCGACCCAACTTTCGCAAGCGATGGCTTCAATTCTAAAGCCTGGACACTCATGTACTTGATTTTTTTCGGATTGAACTTCAAAAACCCAAAATCGTGCACTGGGTCACGATAGATAGGTATAACGTCACATTCTTCGTGGTTGTCGAAGACTGCATATCCCACAAAAGGACCAGCACCCACAACATGTCGATTTGTAAGGATGATTCCCAGATCTGCGTCTACCACAAATCCCGTAGCTTCCGAGACAAGAGCTGGGTCGCAATCAAAAGGAGCCACCTGTGAAAAATGTATCGAAACCACAGAACCCACAACTTTGGAAATAGTGCTTTGCCACTGGGCGTTATTTACATGTTCTCCGATGTCTGAGACTTCCACTTCCTCAATTTCGTCAACTAGATCTAATTCAGAGTTTGATACAGAGTCAGAGAAGTCACCGTTGACCGCTTGGCGCTTTATAACATGTCCATCGATCTCTGATTCATTCGAATCGGACTGCGTTCTTTTAATTGATGAAAAACTCATGTAGTTAAAGTCTCGGTTAATTTTGAAGCGCTCACCAATATGAACCAAAGCCTTCGGAATGTTCACGAATCTTAGTATTACCGATGAGTTCAACGAGATAGATCTTTTATCGCTCTTTTTCGAAAGACGTCCCGCAAGGTCGATGCTTCCTAGATGTTCTTTGAAATTTAGATTAGATTCAAATTTTTTTCACATTAAGAAACTATCAAAAATGGTAACGAACCCACAGCTCCGAGAGAAGTGTTGATGGCCAGTCCAGGTGCAAGTGCTTATTTTGGGCAATTGCGGTGAATTGCATGAATGCTTTGCTTCAAGAAGTTTCCCTTTCAAGCCCCATCCCTCAGCGATAGATCCGTGACAAGACGACTTTTCCAAATTTCAAGTTGCTCATCAGATGCAATATTTGTAGGCCTTTGTAGCATATTACCCAGCCTGATGGCTATGGCTTCTTCATATGCAACACCATCGTAGTAGTCATACTTGACCTTGAGTCCTCGGAACCATTGTTCACCTTCAATAAGTTCGCGCACAATGCGCATGCATTCTTTGATCTCGGATATATCCGTCGTCTTCATTAGCAGACACATTTTCTGATAAAGGTACTCCGACACGCGGGGGTCTTTGCGGCGCTGATCATTGAAAATGACCTGGCAGCAATTAAGAATAAGCCCACAGACCAATTGATATGGGAAAACCAAATAAGTGGCATGTTCGAAAAACTGATCCAAGATGCGATACGCCAGATCGCGGGGAATTTCGAAATGGTTGCAAAGCTCCACGATCTCAGCGGGCGTTACTTTGTAGTATTTTTTGTACAGCAAACAGCGACGTTGGTCTCCGTTTCCCGATGTGGCCGTTGAGGGGTCGAAATCGGAGGCTTTGAAACGTTTTTTGGGCGAAGAGTTTAGCCTGCGTGGGGTGGGACGTTTAGCGTCGTATATCTCTCCTTCTTCTTCAAGAGCTTCTTCCTCGTTATCGTCTTCTTCCTCTTTATCGTTTGCTTCTCCCATAGCGCTTGCAACATCACGTTGGTCTTCGGCCTCGTCCATCTCAAAAACAAGTTTTCTCCGCGGAGTGTTTTCGACCGTTTCACTATGCTCTTTAATATTAGTATTCTCTTGGCCGATTTCTTTCGCTAAGGTCGTTTGCATCACCGGCGTGGACGACTTCCCTTGCTTCGTAGGCGTTCCGAACAATTGTCTGCGCATCTCTACAGGATCAACCGCAGTGAAGCGACCACCATTGCGCACGGGGCTGCCTCTGCCTTTACGGGGGCTGGGTGAAAAACTCAAGCCCTTGACAGGCGATGAGGTCAAGATCGTCGTCCGCATGATATCCAGCATTTTCAAAACCTGTCTGGGTTCTAGCGGGATTTTGTCCGGTCCAAACCTCAAGTCTGGTTCGTATTTTTCGGCCAATTTCTCTGCTGCCAAAAAGGCGCACAAATGCGTCCTGGCTACTTCTTCGTGCTGCTTTAACATCACCTTATTCAGTGAGACGTTATACAGGGTGTACGTCGTATTTTGCAGCTTTTTCAACCGGCCTTTCGACCAGTCATTATCTACATGATCTGGGTCAATGTCCAGCACATCACATATGCTTCTTCGGACTTGCTGGGTGGACATTCTAGTGATTTTTTGATCTCATCATGCCAATTCATCAATTTCATTGGGTATATATATTTCATATATTGATTTTGATCCTACACTATAAGGTAACCTAACTCGTCTGTCGAAGGGAAGAAACATAGGAAACAGAGCTCAACCGAAACACTTGAAAGATATCACGACAGCATGGAATTGTCTCCATGATACAATAAGCTCCGCTGTTTGTAAAAGATAGGCGAAATATCATTTTTAGTCAAAAGTTTATCTAAATCACCATACACGAAATGCACACAATATTTCAGCTATAGCTACACAATCATTATTGTCATCATCATCTCATCTCACAGGAACAACAACAGAAAAACGTGAGAGATACTGGATAAAAAGAGCCGACCATCGTCCTACAGTACTGGGTGCTGGGGGTAAAAGGTGTGTAAAATGGATGGTTACAGACGTGGTCGTGGTGGGCGGTTTGACCGCCCTGTGAGCCGGTATCATAACGATTACAACAGTGTTCCCGCGTATGGGAAGAGACAGAATCACAATCGACCACCTTGGAGAGAAGGCGTAAGCGGCGACCATGGTAACAAGAGGGGTCTGTTTATGGGCGAAACATACTACCCGCGTCGATCCAAACTGTCTGAGACCCCTTCTGCAGCCATAAACGCGACGCGACGACCATCTCCAGTATTGAAATACAATAACGCGCATTTTCAAGAACAATATCATTATTTTGACCCACAGGTCAAAAAACTGTTGCATCGCGGAGTCATGCGAACATGGCAATCAGAAAATCTCCCGAAATCCGGTTTCGTGATTGTGCAGGACTCTCAATCGACGGGGAAGCCAAGAGCGGTTCTCAAAGCTAGAACCCCGGATCGGGTCGCTACAGACCCAAGAACTGCCCATATGGGTCATGGAAATGAAATTAACAGAGTCCATACCTTTAGAAAAGCTCGGGGGCAGCTACTGCAACTACCTCGTGTTGTACGCGATAAACATTCAGTGGGACCCCCACCGCCGAACGAGATTGTAGTGTATCCCATGGGTTCCGATGCACACAACTCTGTCGCTGACGCACTTATAAAAAGTTATTTTTCGAGCTTTGGCGAAATCTCCCATTTTGAAAGTTTCAGCGACCCCAGCAATGCGTTGCCCTTATACGTGTATGTCATACGGTATACTGGTCCGCCCGGAAATTTTGATGCTCCTTACAAGGCTGCATATAAAGCCGCCAAGAATTTCGAGAATACTCATTATTTCGTATCGGGGCTCAAGTTCGCCGTTGCTCTCAACATCAATCATAAGTCGAAAAATATTGTCGACGCGATCATTGAAGAAAATGCCAAACAAACCCTTAAGATCAGAAGGCAAGTTGAACGACAGAATATTGGTAAGTCTCTGCCTGCAGGTCCCAAGGCAACATTGATACCGTCGGATCTCGAAAGAGTTCTGCAAGGGAGGCCATCACTATACGTGTCCAAGAAAATTATAGCAATTCACGGGCTGACTATTGAAGATTTCAAGATCAAATTAGCGAAATACAAGTTTTCGAGAATTGTACGCCACGAATCGGGTTTTTATATTGTCTTCAATGACATTTCAGATGCCAAAGCATGCATGTATGTCGAATCCGATGTATTAACCCTCAGCTCGAGAAGGAGACGGAAACCAGTCGTAATAAGATTCTCATTGAGAGAATCAACTTCACCTTCACTAGCCAGGGATCAACATGAACCGCACCGGAGCGCTAAGAAAGAATATACTTGCACCGAAGAGATTGTGAAAGCCGCCGCCGAAATCATCATACAAGATTTGACTTTGGCTCTTAGTAGAGACTTGAAGAGGAGGGTCGTGGGACCTACGGTCTTTGACGCCTTGAGTCCTCAAAACTTCCCTGAAATCCTTGCTCGCAAAGAGGAGGACGAAAAGAAGAGGCATGAATTAAGACGCATCGCAGCGGCAACGAAACAAGAGCAACAGTCAAAGTCTTCTGCGTTTGATATCTTCAATCTGTACGGGGCACGCTTTAGCAGCAAGACAAATTCCAGAAAAAATCAACGCAAAGCCACAATAGCTGAAAGTGGCTCTATGGAACTTCCACAATCAGATTTGAAGCTTGTTAAACCTATGGCTCACTTGTTAAACGACGATTCAGGTGTCAGTACGCCTTCAGTTGCGGAAACTCAGGTTGACGAAGCGGAGACCTCAAGTTCATCTGAAGCGGATGAGCTACGCGAAGGGTCTGAAATTCTAGAGGAGCAGTTTTCTGATGATTCTGAGCGTTCTGGAAAAAGAGCCAAACATGAGTCATCTGAGGCAACAACTCCCGAAGCTGATGTTGAGAAGTTCGTTTTGAGCAGCTCAAGAACCGATGAGCTCATGAAGATACCTGAGAAATATCGACCAACGGCTTCTGAAAAACCAAGTACGATATTTTCACCTGATCTGTTTGATACTACAGGGCCAATATCCGCGGTTGATCTACGCGATGCTGTGAAGGATGACGAAGACTTGGCAGTCTTGAGAACATTGTTGAAATCGGAGAGTGTTCATTCAATTGACGAGAGGAAAACTTTTGAACTGAGTTCAATGTTGTACGCGATGAGTCTTGCGTCTCAAGAAAACAAGAAGGTTTTTGCCCTGCAGAATGGCGCAAATGATGTTGCATTCAATGAGTCTCTTAGAAGTGCTGCGGGCAGTTTCAAGGCTGAAGGGTTTAAAAAGATATCCGACAGACTCAAAAACTGTTATTTACCACATCGTAGGAAATTGCATCAACCGCTCAATACCGTTTACCATCATCAAGATGGTACAGAAGCTCACACCGAAGCACATCGGGTAGACACCGAAAAGCCAGATTCTGATGGTCACCCATCTGAGATTAGTTCTTCAAGAGTAAACAGGGCTATGAATAGACGGTTTCAACAGGACATCGAAGCCCAGAAAGCAATCATAGGATCAGAATCCGAACTTTTGACGCTCAATCAGCTAACAAAGCGGAAGAAACCCGTGACGTTTGCTCGATCCGCGATTCACAACTGGGGTCTTTATGCTTTAGAGCCCATAGCTGCTAGAGAAATGATCATCGAATATGTTGGAGAAATACTTCGCCAGCCGGTTGCCGAAATGAGGGAACGGACCTATTTGAAATGCGGCATTGGATCTAGTTATCTTTTTAGGGTTGACGAGTCGACTGTAATTGATGCCACAAAAAAGGGCGGTATTGCTAGATTTATCAATCATTGCTGTGAGCCCAGCTGCACCGCCAAGATCATCAGGGTGGACGGAAGAAAGAGAATTGTCATTTATGCATTGAGGGACATTGCGGCTAATGAGGAACTGACTTACGACTACAAGTTCGAAAGGGAGATGGACGATGAAGAAAGGCTCCCTTGTCACTGTGGTGCGCCATCTTGTAAAGGATACCTTAACTGATGAGCAATGAGGCGATGGTGAAGTTTTGGTTTGGCCCATAATAAGTATGATAGCATAAACTGTGTAGGCATGAAATTGAGGTGAATAGGCCTCAAGCAGTTGATATGGAAACGCAGCACTTCATCGACGTTTGCTTGAAGATGAAGTGACATCTATGAGCCTTCCATCATTTGGATGTCTTCCCATCCTATTGATTTATTAAATGAACTTACGCCGTCATACTTGAGTTGACTTTCTCCAGCGGTGAACGCGAATAGAATAACGTTCTGGGACAACTTGTTCCACTGCTTGCATGTACTTGAACAATGCTTTGAGATGCGTTCGATATAACGGCCATTTCCGACATTTTATCCGCAATACAAGCACTACAAAAGCAGGCACAACAGTTCAAAAACTCGTTCTACCAATTACAAGCTTGAAAGACATTCACAGCGACATAGAGATCGGTGTAAGTACGGACACACCACTGGAGCCCCGAAAAGGCAGAAGGACTGTCAACAGAGGTGCTCGTGAGGCAAAAAACTCATTACCGCCCTCACTGCAATATGTTCGAGATACTATGGATAAGTATAAGGACTATGTTGTGCTAACTCAAATGGGCTCGTTTTATGAGCTATATTTCGAGCATGCGGAATTGTACGCACCGAAACTGAATCTAAGTCTCACTAGCCGCGACTATGTGCACGGAAAAGTGGCTTTCGCAGGTTTTCCTGTTCACCAAATTCAACGTCATTTGAAAGTCTTGGTGAAAGAATATGGATTCAGCGTTGCCGTTGCCGATCAATTCAAGAAAGAAGTCGTTTTGTCAAATGATGCAAATCGATTTTTCCGCAGAGTAACTCGCATCGTTACTCCAGGAACTTTTATAGACGAAGCCTTCGAAAACTTGCAAGAGAATACCTTCCTACTCAGTCTAGACTTCCCTGAGAACTGCATGCAAAAGCCAGCTGACATAGATATGAAAGTCGGTTTATGTTGGTGTGATATTTCGACAGGCGAAGTATTTGTTTTACAGGTACTTCTGAAAGATGTGGTATCGGCAATAGCGCGCATACGACCTAGAGAAATTCTTCTAGATGAAAACTTGGTCAATTTCAATATTGAAAATGGTAGGTGGTATCCCGAGCTTGTTGAACTGAAGAAGTACTTCGTCACCTATCAGCGTCTACCATCTCGTCATCGCGAAATCAGATCCTTTAATCACCTATTCTGCAATGGAGAAACGCATAACCAAAATGTCGCTGAGCTGGACATGACTTTGCAAGATTTCACGCAGAAGGAAGTAGCAGCACTAAGAAAAGCGCTGCTTTATCTGGAAGAACATTTGCCGGATACAGCAGTGAATTTACAGATTCCTCAGAGACAATTGACCAATTCTATAATGCAGATTGACTCAAGAACCAGTTCAGCCTTAGAGCTTAATACTACGCTTCGAACAAACACTAAGAAGGGTTCGTTGTTGTCTGTGATACGCCGGACAGTCACACCGTCGGGCAGCAGACTTCTAGCCCAGTGGCTTTCGGCTCCATCACTTGATATATGCGAAATCCATAAGCGGCAAAAGATAGTCGCCCTCTTCCAGAATGATTTCAATAAAACTAAAGTCCTGATCAGACTTTTAAAGCAGACGTATGACATGCCGCGGATAATCCAGATGTTTTCTTTTGGCAAAGGCGATGCTGCTGAAGTACTACAGCTTTCACAATCACTCAAGAGGGCAGAAAGTATTGGTAGTTTTATAAAGGAAGAGCTCTGCAACAGGAAGCACGGGTCTAAGAAACTCTTTTCACCCTTGGTGCAATCCTTAAATTATGACAAAGACCTAATTGATAGAGTTCACCGATCCCTCGACGAGGAGCAGTTGAGAACTTATGAAAATGCTCAGGCCATAGGCGCAATCGAGCACGAGGAAACTGCAGGAGAATCCTCTGATCAATTTGCTGATTCAGTTCTTTGGGTAGTCAGGCCAGATTCAAATATCGAGCTACAGGAATTGCATCAACACCACAAGTGCCTGTTGACAGACCAGAAAAACCTAAAACAAGAGCTTATGGGTGTCTTCACTGGAAGTATCCAAGCTAGAACATTGCATTTGAAAATCAAGCAGACGAGCGAGTATGCAATCCATATTTCAGCTACCGCGGCTAATATGAAAGAGATATCAAAAAGTTTAAGAGATGGACTTTCATTCCAGGGCAGCGTCTTCCGTATATTGCAAAAATCTTCGCAAAGCATATGGCTGAGCCATAAGTCTTGGGTAGGCCTCGGACAGGAACTTCATTACGCAACGGCCAGGATAAGAAAAGAGGAAGAAGCGTTGATTGATGAATTCAAACGGGAGTTCGTTTCTAAGAGTAGTGCCATTAGAAGCACAGCACACACGCTTGACTATATCGATGTCTTGGCATCTTTTGCCCAGCTCGCTTTAGAAAAAAATTTGGTCTGTCCACATGTAGACTCGTCCTACAATATTAGCATCAAAGAAGGTCGCCACATCATGGTAGAGGATGCACTGACTGCCCGATCGCTTGAAAAGTTTACACCCAATGATACTGATCTTTATGCTGGTAAACTGTGGGTTATCACAGGACCAAACATGGGGGGTAAGTCCACGTATTTGAGACAAAACGCGATAATAGTCATTATGGCACAAATTGGGTGCCCTGTGCCTTGCAAATCTGCAACAATAGGCGTTGTCGATAAAATATTCAGTCGTATTGGTTCAGCTGATGACCTGTACAATGAAATGAGTACTTTCATGGTGGAGATGATAGAAACTGGTTATATTTTGAAAGGCTCTACTTCGAGGTCATTAGCAATTTTAGACGAGATAGGAAGAGGCACCAGCGGCAGAGAGGGTGTGAGTATAGCCTTTGCTGCATTAAAGCATCTCATTGAAAAGAATGAGTGCAGGTCACTATTCGCAACTCACTTCGGCAAAGAGCTGCGTACGCTGATCGAATCTAAATGCAAACCATCATTCAAGGAACGAGTAAGCTACTACCAAAGCGCAGTCCATGATGGCGGAGGAGACACCTTTTTTTATGATCACAAGCTTACACCAGGCATCTGCGAAAAATCTGATGCCATTAAGGTTGCTCTGAAGGCAGGCTTTCCAAAAAGCGCTATAGAAGATGCTAAAGAGATTTTGATGGGTTACGGGCAAAGTGCACGAAATGATTAAAGTTAATACTAAGACGTGCTGAAGCTAATTATTTAATGCTGATTGTTCTGATGCTGATTGTTCTGATGCTGTTTCTGTTGATCCATTAATATTTGTTGTAGCTGCCAGACTTGTTGCATGTTTTGACTTTGCGGCTGCGCGAAACCTTGAGGAGACATCATTTGAGGTTGAGGAAGACCAGGTTGTGAGGCCGGTTGAGATTGCGCATATTGTTGATTGTATGCGACATTAGCCGGTGAGTACCCTGGGTTTAACTGTTGTTGTGGGGCATAGGACCCAAATGGTTGAGTTTGATACTGACCGGAATAGTTAGCGCCAACAAATGTTTGCGAGTATGGTAAGGTGGATGACGACGGCAGGGGGGGATGGCTATACTGGGAAGCATAACCCTGAGTTGGGTATTGATGTTCAGAGTGACGCTGGTATTCCTGAACGGGATGATTGTATGATTGCTGCTGAACATATGGAGCGTGCGCTTGCGGTCTTGGGTGAAAACTATGAGCCTCCTGAGGCGAGTGTTCACGTTCCCGCTGTTGGTAAAATTGGTGTGGTTGTTGATACTGAGAAGTTTTTTGGCTTTGATTAGACCGACCTTCAGGTACCTGCGGCTCGTTATGACGGGCACTTCTGGGCCGGTAAGAACTAGTCGTTAATCCTCCTCCCTTTTCAGGTACCACGCCATCACTCTTGAACTTCTGGCGGGATGAAGACTTGATATTCGCGGACTTACTATTTGTTGCACCATCCGCACCGTCAACCCTTTGCTTCTTAGATTGTTTCTTATTTCTTTTGTGCATGGCCTCCTTCTCATCATCTGAGAACTCTTGCTCTTCTTCGGGCAGTTCCTCATCAAATCCGTTGGATGCATCGGTACCCCGCATACGCTTTAGCTCGAATGTATCATGCCAATGAGCTTCGGGAGCAACGTAAAACACTTTTTGGCCCTTCAATAGCGAAAACTCTTCGTACAACTCCGCCTTTGATTGTGGGAAAGTTACTCTGTAAAATGGTGCTTGTAGGGGACCAAACACCTCACACAACGGACCCAAGATTCGACGATCTTGAAGACATAACAGAGAGTTTTCTTTCAGAACTCGTTGTTCCGCAGAGCTGCACGATTTTATAATGATATTACGGTCAAACGCTGACTTGATGAAGCCAATCTCATGAATGGACGCATTTGGTCCCAATTCAAAATTCTCGGGTATTTCAAACACAGGTTCTTCTGCGAGTTCATTTTTGGAAGTAATGGGACCCTGGGGTGCGGAATCTTCGTCCTCTCCATCATCATCAATCACTGGCACTTCTTTGCCCGAGGATTCACTCGAGCTTTCATCTGACGAGCCATCTTCTGACTCGTCTGACGACTCTTCATCCGGAGAATCGTTAGATGATTCTGGCGAATCTTTTTTGACGCGGTGATATTCATCGTTTTTGGAAGGTTCGGAAGCTGCAGTACTGCTCGTCTCTGCATTCAACGTACTTTGAGTTTGCTCAGAAGTATGTGGCTCATCATTGAAACCCGCTTGCTCGTTTTCATCGCTGCTGATGTCCGCAACATCGATATCATCATTGGCGCGCGGTATTTTGAAGTCGGGGTTTTCCAGTGCTTCATCAAAAGGATTCAGGCTCATAACTGAATCAAAATGTACTTACTAAAAGACGATCCAGAATATGTTGGGAACACAGTCGGGTTTGCCTTGAATACTTGCAAGTAGCACAGCTCATCGCTGAAAAATTACACAGTCAAATGCACTAATGGAATCTTCACGTGACTCTAAAAAATTAAGCCCTCAAACATAACTCGCTTTGAATACAAAAAATCTCCAATGGGATGATATCGTGAGGTGTTCGTAATTCTTTGAGAATCTGGTTCTGTAAGTAGTGTCATGCAATGCTTAAACCTTGGGTAAGGCTGCTGCGTCAGTTTGGATGATCAACGAGAAATCACCAATCACGTGACCAAGAAATCAGAAATGTGAACGGTCACTGTCACCAAGTATGTTATCACCGAGAAGCCTCAAGATATCAATTTCGCCAACGCATTTCAAAGGTGACCACCGTTGAAATGGGCAGATCATGAGCCACTGTGCATTTTCGGACTCACAGTTCCGGATGAAATTCGCTTCCCATTCAAATGATCGATAATTTGATGTAAAACGAAGCGAGGTATTGCTTGGTCTACTACTCTAATCCAAAATATGTAGCAATTCAAATCTCCATGTGAAGTAACGGGAAAAACAGTTGAATACCTTCAAATACATAATAGAATTTTTGGGTTGGTCTACTCTCTAAAAAGAAACTTGAACAAGAGTGGATAGTTTGTATGGACGTTCTTTCCAAGAAGAAAAGCAAAACAACAATCTTCGTCTTTATAGCTCTATCAGTTAACTGATACCTTCGATTCTTTTGATGCTGTCTTGACGCTCACGTTAGAAGCCCTATTTACTAGAATATCACTTTACACTATTATGACACACCGTTTCATAATGTTTTCGAGGCCTGGCATCAGAATCACCCAAGAGCTAGTAGCACGGAGCATGCATTTTTAACGGTTCAAATCATCAACAGCTACACTCCTGTATGCCCTGTTTCTTAGCGGTGTCACCACAAAGCGATCTTTTACATCGCAACCGTGTTTAGTCCGAAAATATTCAGCAGGCAGTTCGCTTACATTCGAAGAACATTCAAATTTACAGACGCTTACCTCAAAGAACTTCGCTACTTTCTTGGCATTTGAAAATTTAATAACATGCTTTCTTGGCAACGGTCCGTTCTGTTTTTCCCGTCGTCGGTTGATATCTGACACTGTCGAGTAAATATCCAATAAACGTTAACATCTTTACGTCATCTCAACAAACCTTCCACCTCGAGCATACCTTTTTGACCGGCCGAAATTAACCGTACAATATCAAGCTTATGCAGTGAATTGCACAGGCTATTTTATGCTTTTTGGATCCGCTTTGTAGTATGGATTCCTTGAATAACGAGGTCTCATCACTCAGTTCCGTTAACACATGGACAAGCGATGTTTCTAGGAGAAGCAAAGACAACGAAGTGGAGGCTATTGTTCCTCAGGAAAACTGTTCGGAAAGATCAGAGATACGACAATCAAATAGGGATTCCAACGGCGGTGACAAAATTGCAGAAAAAGATCTAAACAGTCTGCTGTTTAACAAGTTTGAATTAGAAGATGCCTACAAAATAAAGACCAACAATTTAGCTGAGCATTCGTCTCACCATTCACACCGAAGTCATGGAACTCTACGGTCGCCAGAAGAAGATATTGCACAATCTGCGATTTCGAAAGTTTTCACAAATCGCTCAACAGGAGGACTCAGTCTTCCGCCCGATGGAGGTTACGGCTGGGTATGCTGTGGATGCCTTACTGCAGTGTTTTTGTCAACTTGGGGAGCTAGTGCTGGATCCGGAATTTTTATTGCTTACTACTTGAACGCAAATGCATTTCCCGGCGCCAGCAAATACGATTATGCCCTCATTGCTGGGTTTAACGTCTTTGGTGGACAAGGGTTTGCTCCGACAGCGATGATACTGGCACAAATAATTGGGTTTCGAGCAACTATGTGCACAGGTGTGATCTTTCTTTTTGCGGGCTTCTTTTTGGCTTCATTCGCCACAAAACTTTGGCAGCTATACCTTACACAGGGCGTGTTATTTGGCTTGGGAATCGCACTCGTGTTTGTTCCCGCTACCACAATTCTTCCGGGCTGGTTCTTGAAGAAACGCTCAACTGCCTTTGGGATGTCACTGCTTGGGACTGGTGCTGGCGGTGTCATTTACTCGATTGCCGCTCAAGAAATGATAAGTAGAACTGGAGATCAGCGGTGGGCGCTTCGGATGCTTGCATTTCTCTGCGCTGGCGTTTGTGCTGTGGCCACTTTACTTTTGCGTCAAAGGGTTCCTTCAAAACCTGTGGGATTCAAGTCATGGAAGGCAATTGAACAACAATTCGCTCTGATTTTCCAATGGAGAATTGCAAAAGCTTATAAAATCAATTTGATTTCTTTGTGGAGTACATTTGCGTTGTTTGGCTACAATTTGATGGTATTTACTTTGTCGGCCTACGGTTTATCTCGTGGACTCTCTACAAAACAAAGTTCTCTTTTAACTGTCATTCTGAATGCAGCCCAGTGTATTGGACGACCGTGCATTGGTGTGATTGGTGATCGATATGGTCGTGTTAACACTACTGTTGTACTTACCACTGTTCTGGTCATTTTTCTCTTTAGTTTTTGGATCACTGCGCATACGTTTGTTCAGCTTGTCATGTTTTGCATTTGCATCGGTCTATGTATCGGTGTCGGTAACGTTATGAACATAGTGCTTATAGCGGACATTTCGGGTGCTGATGACTTCCTACCTGCATGGGGTTATTGTAATACGTTCACGTCACCGTTTTTACTACTAAGTGAAGTAATAGCGCAGGCATTGGTTTCACATCAAAACCAAAGTAAGCCGTACCTTCATGTGCAAATCTTCGCAGGACTATGTTTTTTTGTAGCTTTGATATTGGTGCTACTTCTCCGGGAAACAATCATCAAGTTGCGCTTTCAAGAAGCTCTCAGCGACGTTGATCGAGCGCTCAAAAAAACGCTCCAAGACTTAGAAAACTCCGCTGAAGCAGCAAATGAACTAGGGTCAAAGCGTGCTTTATATGAGAGAATTCTTCAACCGAAGTTGTCGTTCTTTTTCCGGCGCATGTTTTACCGTAAAAAGATTTAGATCCAAGGCCTCGTCTGATCACTCTGCTGTGCCTCACCCAGGATGACTCAAATTTGAAATCGGATGCAAAAAACCTATCTTAAAATTTTACTTAGGTTTAATAACTCCGTATTGCCATCTGATTTCAAGTCCTTGATGAAATAATATGAAGTTTTCTGTGTCCACTTGTAATGAGCGACAATCTTACTTAGGAGTTTGTTTAACCTGCCCAGAAGCTTGGATACCTCACCATTGCTGTGTAAACTCAGACGTAGTAAAAGGTCGTGAATTATGTCGTTGAACTCCGAGTACTGTGAAGTGAACTCGAAGACGTCAGTAAGCAATATTATTAGTGAGGAAGGGTAAAACTGATTTGAATAAGCGCCTCTTTTACTATCCGCTGAAGCAGAGTCCAGAATTTTGTGACTCACGATATTGTGTAAATATTCATCGTGAATATCTCGCAAATCATCTAAGGTATGGGAGAAACTGCGAGAACCGGTACCAAATTCAAAACCAGCCTGTTTTAAAAATGAATCCCTGGGTTTCAAAATCCCTTCTGCAACTTTAATGCCACCTTTGGTGTATGTCGTCCTCAGGGTGCCCGATGATGCATTATCAGTGCGTATTTTAGAGTGTAGTTTGGTATAGTTTTTCTCTACGATTGACAGCAGACAAAAGTTCTCTATTTTACGATTCAAATGCTGAACATTAAATTTCAGCACATTGACCTTGGAGATTTTCCGCATAACGTCCCTGACAAATGGTTTTCCTTGGCCCAGCCGCCTGAAATCTCGTAACAGTGTATTATTTCTTGACCATTGCTCTTGAAGAAAGTAGTTATTTTTTTTGATCCTCCATAAGAAATTGAACATTCGTAAGTATTCTTTTCGTCCGCCACTGCGGCTAGATTCGAAAACGGTCAAGAGAGGTTTTTGAGCCAGATAATCTAGAGTGAAAACGTCCCATCCAACGGAGCCATGTCCAAGCTCCAAAACCCTGGCGTCTATGCCATCGACTAATTCTCTCGATCGGGCAGTCCCTAGCATGAACTTTAAGGAACATTGCTTGATTGAATCTTGCAGACATCGGGTAAGCTTGAAGCCAGGTAACGTTGAGGACGATTCCTGGAGAAACTCGGCAGAGTTGCTGATCATTCGTTCCACAAAGTCTCCCTTTCCCATCAAGAGCACATCTTTCAGCATGCGCAAAACATCAGGAAACTGGTACTTTGTATCCAAAACTTTCCTACAGTATGCAGTGACCTCTGTGTAGTGAGAAGTTACCGCACTGCAAAATTGAGTGGAGATGGCACCGGTCCTGAGTGCTTGGTATATTTGAGTGTATTTCTGGTTGCAGGCATTCACCCATTGGAACTCTGAGCATTCCTTTTCCAAAAACAAAAATGTTTTACCAATCACAAAAATTTCATCTGCAGTGGCCACAGGAATGAAGGTCGGTATTCTATCCACGTCTAATTTGAAAAGAATTTGGTTTCGTTCTATGGGTTGAAGCTGCTCCACAAAGAACTCCTGATGTGAGTCTGCTTGACCGGCAAGTAACCAATTGGTAAGATAATCATAATACAAGAGCGCAAGTGAGCTGTACAAGGACTCCGCCACACGTTTGACCATAGGGTTGCCGTGATTTCTCAAGTCATATACATGCGAAAGTAAGCTGTCACCTCTCAACTCCTGCATTTGTACCAAAAGGCTATGGTAAATACGAAGCTCCATGATCCAGTCCTCGATCTCAACGTAAAGACCCTTGAGCGAGTTAATGTGAGACTTGTTGGACATATTGTTCACCGCAACCATGTAGTCGTGCAGCTTTTGGTCTACCCATGTGAGTAATGCAGTTTTGAGAGGTGATAATGCTTGAAAATTATTTTTGTGAGCTTGAACCTGCTTTTCGAGAAAGTTATAAAGAAGACCAGCTTCGAAAAGGACGCGGAGCATCCCACTTTCTCCATTCAGTACATTCTCTGGGATGTGTATGCCAGAATTGTCCAAGGTGAACAAACTAGAGGTCGTTGCCAGGAGCGTGTAAAACATGGATTTCAGCATGTCATGTTCTTTGGCTAAATTGCTGAAATATGGGTCTGAGAGGTTTGAAAGGGTTGTGGTGCGGTCCGAATGCATGCGACCATAATTTGATGATATCATTGACCGTCTGTCTGAGTATCGATCAATATTTTCGAAGGACTCTGCATATCCGGGGGAGTAGTTTGGGTCCCTTACGGGAGTCATCATGTTATCGTGGTCTTCCAAAGTATTACTATTGAGCAGAAGTCCACTACTTTTGTGGGGTAATAAAACCGGTTGAAGCTGTTGGGATGACGCTGTCATCATCGTTCTTGCCAGGCGTAGATAAGTCAGAGCTTCTTCTTGGTTTGGTGATGTTGCTACCAGCTGTAACAAGCTCTCCAGCTTTTGCCACCGGGATTGACTATCAGGCGATGGTACAGACCTGCTTTTATACTTGTTCACCAGCCGACCAATACTTTCCAAGCTCACAGGTTGTGATGCGAATATCCTGTTTATTTCATCATCCATAGCCTTTACTAAAGGTTCGGGAAGACATGAACCTACCAATCCATCTACTATGAGTAACAGGTCAGTTCGAAGATTCATTACACCTGCTCAATGGCTGTACTTCCGAGCCCTTTCTAGCTTAAAGGTTTGAAGTTTATAGTCTTTGTCGATACAAAGATGGAATGGTAAACAGAGTTCATTCTAATGGCATAATCATCACTATCACCAGAAACGTGACCACATCCAAAAATTCTGGGGAATCGCGAAACCTCGAAGACAATGACGGTTTGGACGTTGTTCTTAACGAGTTGCTGTCAGTGATTCAGCCTCTTTGCCAAAAAATGAGCTGTCTCTCTTGTCAGCATAGCCCAGGTGTTCGACAGATCGCCTATAATGCATGAAATTGTAGAACTGGAGTAGAGCACGCAAGGCTATTTCTTGACCACATGCATCGTTGAGTTCGCCTGCGATGTCTTTACCAGTCACCCAGTTGTCGTTGAGTTTCAATTTGTTGTACAGGTATACGCCCGAAATAAGATCCATATGTTCAGACTTCCATTTCTTGTTCTTAAAAGGCGTCAGTTCTTGAGTGATTTTGAGTATAGGATGGAAGACCTCGGGATTGAAGAGTTGGTACAGTTTCTTGAGCAATGAGCCGATGGACAATGGCAGCTCTTTTAGTCTTTGCGTCTTATTACCCGTGACCTGGCTCAGTAGTCGCAACATATAAACCTCGGTGTTCAGAAAGCGATGGTCAACATTGGCAGATATCACCGACGTGGTACCAGAGAGGTGGCTCTCTGTGTAGTGAGCGTTAAAAGCGGAGCATGCCGCCCACAGTGAATTTTTTGTTTTGACTGTCTTGTTCAGAGCTCGCTCCGCATATCTGTCTGCATACGTGTTCAACAGGCCGGTGGCGGTGCTAATGAATTTATGATCGTGGAGGATTACGCAAATGTGCTCAAACTTCAAAATATGGCTTAATTTGAACCATTTCGTGATCAGAAACAAGATTGAGCTCGCAGATTTAAGCGCCACTTCCTTCGACCTGGTCACCTCTAACTGAGAAGAACTTTTGATTTTGTCCAATTCACCTTTGCTGTCGTCCAGAAAAACGACACGGTTGTGAATATTGGTCTCTATTGTCTGTAATAGCACATAAACGAGTGAACTAAAATTGGCCAACGCATTTTCATAAAACTTTTCGATTCGACACATTGTCCGTGCTTCGGAGCACATGTCTTTGTCGTAGAGGTACCTGGTAGTATCCAAGGACTTTTCAGAAGAGCTCCAGCCACGCTCCTGTGCCATGAATAGCTCGCGCTCATGCCACAGCTGTCGAGTCGAAAGCTTAATTTCCATGCTGTCATGCAAAATGCGAGTAGCCTCAACAACACTGTAGGGAATGTTTTCGGCTATTTTCAAATCTTCCGGCAAAAGTAGTCTCTCTGATATAACATTTTCGGCGGAGTCTACACCCTCAAAAGGAAACAACGAAGGGTATGCTAGATTAGTTTGGAATGATCTCCGTGACTTGGAGTTCCCTCTTTCACGTTGAGTAGGGGAAGAGGACGGGGACGGCATTGGAGTAGCGATGTGATATTCAGGAGCAGTCAAGTTCACGTTCGAGGAATTTCTCGACTTTGGTCTTGGGATTTCAAGGAATTGAGAAAGAGAGTTTGAGTTGTCAAAACTGGCAGGAATATCGGATGGTGGGGGAATAAAACTAGGGAAACGTGCGGAAATGTCCTCCCGGAAAGCATAATAATCTAAAGGACTTACGGTAAGTTTGTTTGGCCGATCTCCTTCAGTGTTGCAGTGATGTTTTGTATTAACATACTTTTTGACGTGGATATAGCGCTTCCTATCACCAAATTGCAGCAGCAAAAGGCGGTGTAGAAGCATTATAACGTTTCTGATTCTCATACTCAGCCTACTGTTCCATCTCCAATGTTCAATGTACTTCACGATATAATCGAGCAAATTCGTCTTGTCCAAATCCTCAACGACACCTTCTATCGTGGACCCCAAAATTTGATCATCCCTCCCTTCGATGGCAACATTCACGACAGAGAAGAGAACAGTGCCAGATAAGAAAAACAGATCTGTATGATGTCTCAAGTGATCCTGACTGTCCCGACATGACAACCCGTGGGTCATGAAAAGAGTGGACAAACTTGGGACAAAGGGCATTAACAGAATGTTGGCATAGCGAATTGTGTTGAGGTGGGCTTCGTTAGTCTCCTGACAGCTGTAAAGTCCCAAGGATATGTACGCTAATGACTGAAACGAGGAGATCTCTGATTTGTTCACTTTTATTTTTTCCACAAGCTGGCTCACTACATTTTCAGCATAATGAGGCTCTTCTATGAATCGTTGCGCGTCGTAGCGTTTGTCGAAGCACGTTTTAATAGATCCTAGGTATCTATAGTCAGCAAACGAGAACCAGTCGGGAAGTTCCTCATGTAAAGAGTAGAAATCCTGCATTGACCATTGGAGCGCCGCTTTTGATGGTTGATGGATAAAAAGACCGTTTTCAAGCTGTTCAGCCCGTTCATTCAATTGATTTTGATAGTCTTTGTCAACAGGAAGGTTGTAATCGATATCGAGGCTAGACTTAGAGTCTGCGTTCTTATTGAGACGGCTGTTGGCAATGTCTTTGAGACTGCGGGAGCTCGAAGAAGGTGAAATGGGCCCATCTATTTCGTCAACGTTTGCGAAATCCTCATCTTCTTCCTGGTCTTGTAATCCATCGAGGTCTAAGCCGCTCGATTGAGCTTCGTCGTCAGTATGTTCGCCTGGAGATCGGGGAGGAGACAAAGAAATCGGAGATCCCCGTAAACTGCCACTGTTCGGACTCGACTCTCCCAAATGCAGTTTCTTGTTCAATATATTATCCAGGTCTTGCAGTAGATGCTCCTCTGCTTCATGGGTTCCATCCTTGACACTGTCCTTCTCGTGTACTGCTGAGGCATCGGCTGCTAAAAATCCGCTTCTGTGAGAACTTCTGCGACGCAAGTCCTTGGAAGAGATAGACCTCATCACAGGGGACTTGCCCTTCGTGCCATCCGGCATCTTGAATACAACTTAGTCCAATCACGAAACCGTTTGTCTCTGATCAGTTTTGTTCCAAGAGCCAAACTAGACGTTTTTATACAAAAAACATATCAACGTTTAAGAATCGTGTAGAACAAGAAAGTAAGTATCCGCCAAACCGGCTACGAAAGGCTCAGACTTGCAACTTTCTGGTGATTTACCACCCTGTCTGGAACTGAATCGGTAGTTTATCAAATCCATTAAACTGAGACAGCTGGGATTGCAAAGAGTTCAGTGGTGGTCTAAATTGAAGGGTTCAAAGCACACACTGTAGCGCCAGATTTTTTTATCACAATCTGATGAGATATTGTCTTGCAAGATTAATAGTTGTCTCTCTCATTCAATGAATGCGATAGACCTCAAGCTCTGTTTTTGGCCTGCCCTGCTTTCAGTACTGCAGCATGGCTTGTGTCTATATATACTAAAGTAACACGAATTATCAACGTAGTATGGTTGGTTTTTTGGTCGAAAGGGAACGCTGGCTCATTGGAAGGGCATCATAAATCGATAACGTTTTACCAGCGAAGATAAAAGAATAGTATGATCGGCCATTGAATACTGAAGATTATCCTCAATCTTCATCTCACAAATCGCGATTTATCGTAAGATCCTCACGTCTGTGTCGTGTAATAGTATTATAAGTTCGCTATATATAATCTACGTTCACGGCAACACACGTTGAGTGTCTTGTCAACATCTTTGCCATAACTAATCTTGGTTCTTGTTCAAAGGACATGTTTAGATACTTTACTATGAACTTTCTTTACCTTACTGATAAATAATATCTTAAAATTCAGAAGAGAAGAAGAAGAATAAGAAGAGATCAAGAAATCGTTCTTTTATAGTTGATCGTTATACTGGCAAATGAGTTTCAACCTTGAGCATGTTCTAGGCTTCAAAGTTAAGGTCACCAACGTCCTTGATACGGCGACTGTAGGCCGAATTTATTCTTACAACTCTTCGAACAATACCATTACTATTCAAGAGGCGAAAAAAGGGTCCAGTCAACCGCAGCACTTCAAAATCATCAAACTGAGCTTTGTAAAGAGCTTAGAAGTAATAGGTGAGAAACCGGTGAAAAATAGCTTCAGAAAAGATCCGATAAGGCCCTCAGAGGTGAGCATCGAAACCGTTCAAGATTCACTGCAAAGAGAAATCGAAAAAGCTCGAAAAAGTCGAAGCTGAGCTGAGGGAATAAATTCTGCAAAAAGTTGCACTTATTGCCCAGACTCCCAAAGACTACAGCCTTACACAAAAAGCGACCCGTGTTTTTGCAGGTTGCCATTTTGCATTTCTATTCGCTTTACGTACCGACGTTATACTTCTTGTTTATAAAAGTTGCCACCGTAACGTCACGGATTCAAAAAGCTTGACGCCTTTGTTTGGAGTGCCCTTCACGCCATCCAAATCGTCCCACTTGATAGTGAAAAGTGCAAAGCTTTTGCCATCTCGACTGCAATTTTGCTCGCTCCGAAGATCCTTCAAAGTGTAGCTCGTCAACGACTCGTTCCTGCTGCAAATAAGAGTCTCCCAGTACAAATTGAGCCAACAATGAGAAATTGACGTCATTTGGGTTATGTTGTCAACAATCTCGTTGTTTTTGAAACGCAGCCCGAAGGAAAATCGCACATCACTTTCGAAAACACCAGTATCTGCAGAAACGGACGTCTTGCGTCGATTCGTTCGTTCGTCGTAAAATAAATCGTCACAATCAGCTTCGAGAAGCTCAAACAGCCCATTGCGCGACCTATTGTAAATATGCACCCTCACGACAATGCTGCAATTTTTGAGATCTAACCCCAAGTGCGGGAGCGGATTCGAGATGTCGATTTTAGTGACTTTGAAACGAGATCTAGCAATTTCGGTGAGAATGCTGGATCTGTCAATGGATTGACCCCAGTGTAAAAATAACTCGTGATAATTGAGGTATCGGAGCTGAGACTTTATAGTGACGCCGCGGGTGATTCCAGCCCTAAATCGGTTGCTCATGAAAATATCACGGCTCTCGCGTAGCGAACAGCTCATAAACTTCATGAGGTAGGCGACGACGACAGACCCGGATCGTCCTTTCCCCATCTTGCAATGCAAAAGAGCTACTCGATTTGGATCTTCTGATAAATACGCATGTAAGTCATCCACAATCTGCTGTAGAAGTAAGAAAGGTGGCGGCGAATGATCAAGCCATCCACATCTTTCTATGCAAACGCTGGAATCTGGCGAAAGGGTGGAAAATGAGAAAGTCGATACTTCTCTTGGAGAGTTGCTAGACCAAGAGGCCTGGGAGAAAGAATTGTGGGAGAACAAGCCCGGACTGCTCGCAGAGGAACTATGTTCACTTACGACCGTTGCCAGATTTTCATTGCTGTAGTCAGAACTTCCGCGCTCCACCTTGAAATTATAAATCTTCCAATTTCCCGGCCCGTGGTATAAGGTCAGATACGACACTAAATCCTTGAGACTATTCCTGTAGAGTAATTTTGGGTAACTGATTACTGGATAGGAGCACACAATAAGCTGCTGCGTAATATATGAAAGGTCCAGAGTCAGTCCTAAGTCGTTTTTGTGGACATTGATGGGCGACGAGCAAATGGTTTTTATCACGCTCTCGGGCCTCCAAGCGGAAAATAGAGGCATTGCCTTAGAAAGTTGGAATCGGGATCGACGTTAGGCTTTGAAAATTGTGGATTCAGACAATAAACTCTGTTGTCCCGTCGCTTTTCCACAAATAGCCGGTGCAACGACAAAAAAAACTTAGATGTGACGTTATGCAGTTAGCGCAACATAACGATCAGATCACAAAGCCACATCAAGGCTTCATTGATGTCCGTACTATCGTCGTTCATGTAATCAGAAACGCCAGAATCTGCTTTGATTTTGCCCTCTACGTCGCCGTTCTTAAATAAGTGAGCGTGGCTTTCGCGGTACGATTTGTAGACGAATTCATCGAAATAAAAGGGAGGATCGACCCAAAAGGACTCGAGAGTCTTGTATCCACTTCTGGCAGCACGCCGGTTCTTAAGTGTAATATATGGGGCTCTTATCAACACTTTCAAGTCGAACTTTTTTGAAAGCTCTGCGTCATGGTACATCATAAACCCATCGACAATGACAACTGTCACATTGGAGTTCCGGAAGGCAGTGTCAAACTTTTCCTCGATCTTGCGTTGAGTTTGTGCATTTAACGAGACGCCAGAATTGTTGTCATGGTTGTCGTTGTGTATCAATTGTGCAGAAATGTTGCCCGTTTCTCTAATGTGATCGAGTTCCTTTCTGAACAGAGGTAGGTCTAGCGCGGCCGGAGAGTCCCAATTGCTCACCTGGAATTTTTCATCGAACGGAATGGCTTCATCGTGTTTGAAGAAGTCGTCTTCATGGAGCAACACTGCTGATGGGATGAGATTCGTAATAATTTTAGCTAATGTCTATAAGATCGAATGAATTGGTTAGAAAACACAGCCAAAAGCGAAGACAAGAAGCTTTCAAAATCGATCAAAAACAACTTACTGTTTTCCCACTAGATGAGCATCCACTGATCCCAACTAAAAGGATCTTTTGCGCCGTCATTCTTGTGAGTTTCACGATAGTTTCTATGTACTATCTCCTAAGCCGTTGGTTCGATAGAAGCATTAATATAAAGCTATCATCTTAACTGATATTTTCTTGATGTTACTAATGCACTAGTTCAACTGGCTTCAGACAGATAGAGGAAGGCGAACGAGGGTTTGAGAATACTGCTATCGACGGCGCAGAAGAATTCAAGGGTACTATGAGCGAGTTTATCAACGAAAACCCTGATGTTTTGGACGAAAACCTTCTTCCCTCGCGCATGAAAGACAAAACCGATCTTGTATGGGATAATGACTTGACTACCGGAAACCGTGGACGCAGAAAACAACTCATCAGCATCCACAGAAGTGCAGACAGCCAAGTGTACCGCAGCGTAGAGCTGGTAGACAGACTACTCGCACATGAGATGCTTCTCGGCAACGAGAAAGATGTGGCCGTGGTGACAGAGGCGAGAATTGACGAATACGAAGTTGAAGAAGATGAAGACCCGATCGACGCTCAAGAAATATACGACCTTATTGCATACATCTCAGACCCTGAGCATCCACTTACGCTGGGCCAGCTGGCCGTGGTTAACCTTCCTGACATCGAAGTGCACGAAAACACTGACAAGTCCAAGATTTCGGAGGTTGTTGTGAAAATTACGCCCACCATCACTCACTGCTCTCTGGCCACCCTGATAGGGCTTGGGATTCGCGTAAGACTAGAAAGAGCACTTCCCGCCCGTTACAGAATCACAATTCTGCTCAAGCAAGGCTCGCACCAAAGCGAAAATCAGGTCAATAAACAACTCAACGACAAAGAGCGGATAGCAGCGGCCTGCGAAAATGATCAACTCTTGGGCGTAGTGTCCAAAATGCTAAGCAGTTGCAAATAAATGTGGACTGGCACGTGTATATGGCGTGATGCTCGTTTGACACGACGAAAGATCTAGTCATTATGGATCCGGGAATTTTTCGATCTTATACTCTCGCGAAGCAAGAACAAGTCGAGTTGTCAACATTGTGTCTTCTAGAGTAACGAAGGGTACGTCTACAGAAGTAGGTTTACTTCTAAGCACTCGCCTACAATGGGTATATTTATTCCTCATTCGAAGCTCGAAAATCTGAAAGCGTACAAGTATGTCAAGAAAACGACACACATATAAGTGATTGTCATCAAGGAACCCTTTTTTCCGGTCCACGATTTCTAACAAGATCATCCTTCTTTGTCAATTGCAGGTATCAAAGTGAGGACCGTTCGTTGGTAACAAAATATGTATTGAAACCATTTTGGGGTCAATTTGCCAAAATCTTCCCACTATGGATGGCACCAAATCTGATCACATTGTCAGGTTTGGGCTTCATTATCATCAATGTTCTAACAGTGCTCTACTACGACCCTACTTTTTCTGGAAATTCACCTAGGTGGGCGTATTTCACGTATGCCCTTGGTCTTTTCCTGTACCAAACGTTTGACGCCTGCGACGGCCAGCACGCACGGAGGACCGGGCAAAGTGGTCCATTAGGCGAACTTTTTGACCATTGTATCGATTCTCTCAACACCACGCTCTCGATGATGGTGTTCTGCTCTACGGTAGGTACTGGCCTTACTTTCATGATGGTTTTGTCGCAGTTCGCATTGTTGTGTAACTTCTATCTCAGCACTTGGGAGGAGTATCACACGCATTTACTTTTCCTGAGTGAGTTTTCAGGTCCGGTTGAAGGAATCTTGATGATTGTGGGTTCTTTCATTTTAACAGGGATTCTCGGTCCGCAAGCTCTGTGGCACAAATTGATCTATGAGATTCAAATTGGCGATTCTCTCTTCAAAGTAGAGAGCGTACATTTGCTCTTCGCTCTATGCGGTGTTGGTCTGCTTTTCAACATTTTTTCTTCGAGAAGAAACGTTGTCGAGCACTACAAGAAAGAGAGTGCCACCGCCAAGGAAGCACAGGCGAAAATCACTTGGGCGACTGTGGGATTATTGCCATTTTTCAGTTATTTCGCAAGTATATTTGTGCTTGTAGCCGTCGATCCAGAAACAATTTCGCTACCGTTTGTGCTTTCCATTGGGCTCACCCTTGCTTTCACTGTCGGAAGAATAATCATATGTCACTTAACAAAGCAAGAATTCCCTACGATCAATCCACCCATGATAACCCCTCTTTTGCAATTTCTGATCAAGATTTTACTAGTGCACATTTTGGACTACGAAAAGTCGATTGTATTACCTGCTGTAAACTGGTTCGGATTTGGCCTCACCTTGGGTATTCATGCGATGTTCATCACCGAAGTCATTTACGAGTTCACCTCTTTCCTCGACATCTACGCTCTTTCCATCAAGCACCCCAAGAAATCCGCCTGATAAATATAACATAACGATCCCTCCTCATGATATTCGTGATACAAGCATGTTAAATCGCTGCATAGTTATATACAAGGCTAGAATTCTTGCTTAAGTACAGAGGAAAGAACCAACGAATAGTTGTTAGGCGAAAAAAAATTTCCCAGATCCTTCCTACAGTGCCAGCAACTTTCCGTCATTAGCAGGAACAAAGACAATAAACAACCCTCATTACAAAGTTTTGCGGGTTTCAAGATTATCGTTGTTTTTCCTTTATGGTGTTGCTGCAACAGCACCTGCGGCAGGAGCATCTCCTTGTACCAAGATATCGTTGGCGTCCTTCTGTAGGTCGAAACTCTTTTCCATTTCGATCAGTTGCTGCTCCCCAAGGATCGAAAGCGAGAGGGGAACTCCTAGGAGAAGGGCGGATGTAGTGACAGCCCAAGCAAGGTTACCACTTTTGGAAAATGCGCTCTTGACCACCGCAACGGAAGTATTAAAGATTTTAGAAACCGTCTGTCTATGCTTGGGAGAAATGATATCTTTCAGAGCGCTGATTCTTTCCAAAAATGTCTCTTCTTCGTCGTATTCTTCGTCACTCGAGTACTCGTCTGACGATTCCTGTTCAGCAACGCCATCGCTGTTGCTTGGAAATCCAGCTGGGGCCTCTTCTTCTTTTTCGAAAACCTTGGTGTTGTTGTCTTCCCTAACTTCTGTCAATTCGACCATTATGACTAGATATAGTGTATTTGAAATTAACCGCTAAGCTTCTTACAACTGTGGTGTAAAAGATGACACTTGGGTTGCTTCGGCAGGGTGTTGGCAACGTCGCTGAGATGTGTGACGATGAGATGTTTGTTAACTTAGTTGAATTATAGCATTTTCAAAATTTTTCATTACGCACTTAGTACGTCTTGTTGCTGATACTGACGCCAGTATATATAAAGACTTGACTACTTTGAGCTCAAGGTATTCAACTTAACAGTATTTGAAGGTTCAACAGAGACTCGAATGGGTTGGGATTATATATCAAATAGTAGTTGCACAATTCATTTTGTCAAAAAAGTTCAACTTTATTTCTTAGTTTTCCTTTTTGCCTTTTTCAAAGCTTTCATCTCTTCATTGTAGATCTCCTGAGAATTTTCTGTCTTTCTCTTCTTGTTGGATTTCACAGCAGCAGTGCCGTTAGCCTTGGCAGCACGATCCAGGTCCTTTTTAGACTCAGCCCATTCTTCTGTGTTGTCGTCGATAGCGTATTTGTCTAGATTCAAATTGTTGATCAGTTGACGCTGCTTGTCACGAAGTTCGGCGTTCGCACGGGTACCTGCTTCTTCGAGTTCGTCGTCCATTTTGTCGAATGCCGCCGCGGCGTCCAAAGCTTGGACTTCGTGCCCGTTCATTTCCTCAACTTCTGCGTCTTTCAGTTCGGGTAAAGTCTGCTCGATAGATGCACTCAGAACCTCGCGGAAATAAACCGAGAATTTGCGAATGATCTTGGCAAACATAGCGATAGTTTGGTTGAAGGGCAAGTTCAGCTCTTTAGAAATGTCATCCAGGCTCTTGTGTTGCAATCCGACGGCCAGTAAAATCGCGCCTTGCACACTCGACAGGTTCACGCCTTGGCCACTCTTGCCACTGAAATGAAGAGCTGCGAGCATTGGCAGCATGTCGACGATAACGTGGTAGTCCAACAAGTTGTTCGCGTAGCTGTCAAGTCTCTTGATATCGAAAGGTGATAGAATGGAGTCAAGGTATTCTTTTGTCAAACTGGTTTCAAGATTACTTTCAGCATTCAGCTCTTGCGCCTTCTTAGCGCTCTCGATGACGTTTAGCGCTTGAACAGCGGTAAACTTCCTGAAATCGTAGGATAGAAGGGACAAGAATCTTTTGCGGAAATCCTTGGCATATTCTGATAGCCAGTGAGATTCTCTTCCCTCTAATACATTCAGCATCACGCAAGTATGCTCACCGGTGAGATCATTGGCCGTTTGGCGTAGGTAGACTGGAATAAAATTGTTTCTTTTCCAGAATTTATGCAAAGGACCTGTCAGCCCATAAGAAACACCCAAGTAGTGTAGGTATTGTGGCGCTAGCTCTGAAAGTTTTAATAGCAAAGGTGGTAGTGTCTTTGCATCTCTTAATTTCACGTCGTCCTTGAGCAAACTGGCTTTGGCGAGTTCTCTATCATCAACTCTTTTTATCTCATGAATTTTTGGAACGGAGTTCTCGCTTAAATCAGTGAACTTGCCCTCGTAATAGTCTCTCAATAATTCGATGGCTCGCGAACCATACCCCATAGAAGCATACTCAGGATTCGTCGCGACACGTACCACACGAGCACCACTCAGACCAGGGAATTCATCGTCCTGGAATTGTTGAGAAATCAGCCATGGAATCAAGTCACCGCCTGCTCTTTGACCACGCGATAACGAACTTCTGACGCTCTCCTTCGAAATCTCACCTTCTAGTGCAACTTGAACGACAACCAATGGATCTGGAATTCTTATACCATCTTTAGGGTTTATTGGAGGAAGCAGAACGAAAAGCTGATGCGCAGGAGCGTCACTCATCAGCTGCAAATCATTTGGCGAGTTTTTGTAATGGGAAGCCACGTACAGGGCCATCATCTTCTCTAAGAAAGATTCCGAAACCGGATGGTATGAGAAAAGAGTGTCCCTATTCACTAAGAAGAGGTTACACTCAGAAGGGTGAGGAGTTCCTCTGGCAGCAAAACGAGGATTCTTAATCAGTGTTACATCCAAGCAAAGCAGCTTATTTAGCCACTTTTCCATCGGATCTCCTGGAGAATATCTGATTGGTTCATCCAAGACCACTTCTCTCAATGTGCGACCTGACACATGCTGTTCAGCTTTTCTACTATCACGAGAAACAACTGTTGTTTCCGATGACTCCCTGCCAGTGGAGTTGGCTTGATCTCTTAGTTGCTGAATCAACTTTAGCGAGAGGGACCTACCAGTACCTTCGTAACCATTGATTGTTGATGCCATGAACACTAGATAAGGTCCCAATAAATTTTTGACCACCGGCAAAGGAATTGCGGCTGCTTCATCTATCACCACAAGTTCTGCCTGACCCAACACATGGCTATCATTGGGAATAATATATTGAATAGTTTGGCGATGGTCCCTTTTAATGTCTACTCTGACGATGGCTTTGTTGAAGCTGGGGTTGGTGGACTGAATAATGTCGTAATCCAAATGTTCCTGATATCCTAAGGCGTCAAAACCTTTGAAAATGAATTCGAACAGAGTTTTCAAATTTTCTGGCGACGGAGATGTTACGAAAATATTAGAGTAACCATGCGACACGGCAGCAGATATAGCAATACCAAGAGCAGCCGATTTACCTCTTCCTCTTCCGGCCGTGAGAGCTACCGTAGAGTTAAGTTTTTTCTCAGAGATTGCATCGATGAAGTTGAGGATGGCCTGTGCCTGGTTTACTGTTTTCGAGAGGGCAACAAGCGAACCAGCAGGTTGTACGTCTTCGAGCGATTCTTTGAGATCTTTCAGTTCTTGTTCTCGAGGTGACGTTTCTTGGTCGTCCTTTGGTGGAAGCGATTGCACATTCTTACCGCCAGATATCGGAAGTACGTTGAGTTCGTCATCCACGACCAGGCAGTTTTCGTTCGATCCCAAGGAAAGGATGAATCTTTCATTAAAACGTGCCACTACATCGTTGTGAGCCTCTGTGCGGTATCTGGAGTGGACATCCATGGACATGGTGTATAGCTGTTTCAAGGACGACATGGATTTCAGTAGAATAACGACAATTCCACCACCTTCAACAGTTTCAACGGTTCTTGCCAGTAGGTTTGGCGTCAGGGCTTCAAAGTCCTGCAATATGCACATCCCGTACGTGTTACCCAAAATATTTTCGGTTTCCTTGTAGTAGACATATCTGATATTCTGGTTGGAGATGAAAGTTTCGAAAGGATCCTGCTCGTTGACTTCGCGAGTACCTCTCTTGATTTCTTTCTTAATTTTAGATTCTCTCTTCTTGCGGTGGGAAGTAAAGCCCAGCAGCTTCTTCTTGTACGCCCAAAGCACCGACTTGTTCATTTTCAAGTCTGCGCTCATCATCAAATAATGCAAATTAGGCAGTTGATTACGAGCCCGGTCACCAACAATGACGAAGAAACTTCTTTGCTTCGTCTGAGCACCATTTCTGATGAGAGACGGGATCCTGGAGTCGATCGCTTTCTTAGCCATTATCACTTGAAAGATCTGATGTTCAATGCGAAAAAATCAGCGTCTTCGAGAATGGTGTCACTCGATGGAGGCTCTTTTAGCAAGCTTTTAGGTTGGGAAAATGCGATTTTTCAAAGCACGCTTCAAGATTAAACTAGCCCCAATGGTATCTATCAAAATGTCTCTTGAGAAGTTGATGGTTCAACTGTCAAACGAATTATTCGCTGCTGCTCATCGCTCTCGTAGGCATCATCTCATCTCATCGCATCTCATCTCATAGCTTAAAATTTTCTAGTCAGTCATTATAGACGTCTGGAGAAGTTCAAAATCATTTTATTTATTGTCACGTGTGACATTTCTTTTGTGACACTGGTCTCGTGACCTTGGCGGCTATTGTGTCAAATCGTATTGAAAAGGTATGCTAGCGTTCATTAACCAAGTCCGACTTGCGGTGTGAGAAAGTCGAAGTATGATATGTGATGATCGCTTGCACAAATGCTCTTTTCATGCTAATATCATGGGGCCATCATCTAATGTTTACCTTTTCCTGGCGCTAAGTGTCACAAAAACTCAAAAAAACAATTACTCAGGATTCTTAAACAACATACTTCACATTAATCACATACAACAGACCATCAATCCAAACCATTTTCAAAATTCTATCAGGAATCCCGGTTCCCGGGGCCTACACGGTACATCGTTTCACCGCCTAGCTGTAAGTAGTTCTATAGTCTGCAGAAATTTGTAGCTATAGATACACACATAGACGTCGACAAACATACGTATCATCAAAATATTAAGTAAATGGTTTACGACCAGTACGAGGAGGAGGCCGAGGAGCCTCGTACGAAAACTCGAGGTCGTTCCAGAGCCCGAAAAATATCGTTTGGCCGTAAGGCGGGTCAACGATCCGCTCAAAAGATGAACCTGGCCCTCGAAGACGGCGATGAGACGGCCGATAACTCTGATTCTGGTTCAGAATCCTCGCTTTTGAAAGAGCAACAGCATATCTACGGTGGTGAAAATCAGGAAAGGCCGATAAGGGACAACGAGAGTTCAAACTCACAGTTCGCTAAACGCAAAGTGAAAATTGCACCACGCTCAACGTTGCAGTTCAAAATAGGTCCTAAGTTCGAAGAGTCTGCATCTTATTGCCAAATCGTGTGCTCGACAACCCAGGTGCCGGTAAATTTCACTCTGTCGCCTCGCATCGACCGTGGTTTCGATCGATATGAGGATCAATGGATTGGATACAAACGCAACTATTTCACACTGGTAACTTCTTTCGAAGTTTTGGGCGCTCAAAGTGAAGAGTTCTTGCTCAAGTCCTACCAGGTAACTGGCATATTTGGTTGCAGTAAAGCTTTTGAGGTCAAGTACTTTGCAGTCCGTCTTGTGGCGATGTGTTCGGAAGATGAATCACCAGTGACACTGGTTCAGCATACGGCAAAGCGTGATAAGGGGCCCCAATTTGAGCCGCCCATTCTGCCACTCGTTCCCGCACCATTACCAACACATCAAGTCATCCGGGAGGCGTCAAATGTGAGAAATGAAGCAAAAATGAAAAAGTACGATCATCTTTTTTACCTCAGCCGGAATTCTGATTCTTCCAATTCATCTCAAAAAGAGCTTTTATCAACGTACCCTGAAAATCGTGTCAGAAAAGTGGCGCGCTATGAAAGAGTTCAGTTTTCTTCGTCCATAAACGCCAAGAAAAACGCTACTCAGACAAAGCACTTCCAGCTAAAAGTCATTCTTGGTTGTGTCATTGAGGAAACGCGTCTGCATCCAGAATTTTTTGAAAGACTTGAGGGGAAAGCGTGTCTCTTGGAGAACAGAACATGTACATTCGTTCCTATCACTGAAATGATAAGTCCGCCCTTGGTTATCCGCGGGAGATCCCCTTCTAATTACTACGGCGCAAACGCTTTAAATGTTGAAGAAAACAAAACACAGTCCATAACGACAACTGGTTGGCATCATGACAGATCGTATTTGGGCTCTTCAACAGCATCTAAACCCAACTTCAAATTCGACCAATCTGCAAAAGCAAATCAGACGAAGGAACTTGCGCTTAGCGACATAACGAACAAAAAACATTCGGGAGCTTCAAGCCTCCCTAACTTCAAGTCCCGCTTTACCGTGCCGGCAATCATTCGTCCTCATGTGAAAGTTGACTTGCAAACTATGTCTTGCATTGAGGCACTGATGCTAGAGAGATCCGCTTCTTGTAGAGACGACAGCGCCTTACGAAAAGATTTGGACAAGTATCCGAGGATTTTGAAGGAGAATGATCAGCATCCACCAGTCATTGGGATGAAAGATATCGAACTGGGACCATTGGTTCGCCTAGCCTCATCTCATAGCGAACGAGATTTAGGATTCACTCATGAGGCATTCAATTTGGGGATGGGATCACTAGGGTTGTCAAGTCTCCCGGCTCAACACCGTAATGCAGCGAAAGAGCCGGTGCGGAAGAAGAGGAAGCTTCACAACGAGTCTCACCTTGAAGAAGGCAGTTGTACAGAGAGTTTGGCAAATAATGAGCCTGGGGATGTTACTGAGACTTCCTATGTCGAACCTTATTCACCGAACGAAAAAGGTGCTACAAATCAGCGTAACAATTTAATAAGTTCACGAGCCGGTGCCAGAGCTAATCCGATGGACATTTCTTTCTGTTTGAATCTTGGGACGGAACGAAATGCCCACCTCTTGATACGACCCAACACATCACGAAAAGCACTACTATCGAGGCATCTGCTGACATCCAGTGGAAAGCCTTCGGACGTTTTTGGTGTCAACGAGTTTTTCGACGAGCCCAGTTTCTATAAGCATTGACAACATCTCTGATCCTTGACCAATTCTGATAATTCAAAAAAATGCGAATTCTGTGGATCGAACACAGGACCTCCAGATTTCAAATGTGACTGAAGTTTTTCTTCAGTCTGGCGCTCTCCCAACTGAGCTAAATCCGCAAGATTGAAAGAGTGACTCGCTGGACGCCGCCATAGCACTTTTCACTGGTAAAGAAACAATGATTTTAATACGCGAAGTAATCCGACTTTTTGAAAGAAGCGTTGGCTTTACAGTCTCCATACCACGCAACAGCTTCATGCAGGCTAATCTGTCTTTCTCAAGACCTACTTTGCTTACCGAGGGCTTCAGAAAGAATAGGATAGTGAAAGGAAGTGCGTACACTCCGTGTTGAGCAGTGCGGTACAGAAAGATGCCGAAAGATCGTCAAGAGGTGTCTCAACCGCTAAAATTTGTGAAGGAAGGAGATGCCGACCTTGAAACGCAACTGCTGCTGGAAAAACGAGAGCGTGCAAAACTAGACACGGATTATAAGACCAAAGAAAGGCTGACGCTGCAGGAACAACTACGTCTCAATGCTATCTTGAAACAAGAAAGTTTCAATGCACTGGTCAAAGACCGGAACAGTTTCAACCGAGTCAGCGCAGAAGCCCTTGATTTTTACAAAAACTTGCGTGAGACGAACGAAACGAAAAACCGGAACTTGGAACAGTCTATTGAAGCGGAGAGTCGTTATTTTGAAGTGAAAAAACATGCTTTAGAGTGTACTACACCACCTCACTCAGCAGCCAATTTGCGCTCACTTGATGAGAGTGTGAAGAAGGTGCACGTTCCAGCCAAAATTCACAAGCCCAAATCAAGTTCCAAGAATGGACTCAAGGGTATTGTTAGGAAAAGAAAGTCAGGGTCTTCAAAACCAGCCGTGGGAAAAAAAGCAGACTGATAATATAACTAAGGTGTGCGACGAACAAGTTATGCCTTCTACTTTTTGGTCAATAGGTCGCAAGGTAGTGCGCCGCAGTATTACAATACTTGGCTCCCATCTGGTAAAATCCTCACGCCTGAAATTGTTTCAAAAGAAGGGAAGTGTTTTTGTTTGGCACCATGACGATGCAGGGATCATTGGATTAAGGGACTACAAGTTTCCTGTGCAACTCTACCTGTTATACTAGGAAACCTTTTAGCTCTAACATTCGGTGATATGTTATACGCAGGAACTCGCACTGCCTTGCTGACCACTACCATTAATCACAGGGTAGTTGTAACCGCTTTCTAAGCAAATTGCGGAGACAACAAGCTGAAGACAACAAGCTCTTGACCTCTCACCGAGAAGGCTGAACTATGCGTCCGTCAAGCAGCAACCATTGCAAAATTTACTAATGAGGAAGTCACGTTTTCGTCGATGTTCGGATAACCGACCGTATCCGTCTACGTCTCTATCAGGACAGCTTACTCTGTATGGTAATGCAACTCTGTATGGTAATGCAACTTCAATGCGCGCAAGACAGCTGCGCTAGCAAAGCAATAACAATTAGTAATCTAGTGCGGCAGCAGTCACTGTCCAAGGCTGATGTTCGCAGCGGTGCAACAATATAAATGTGAGGTTCATTCAGGAACCGGTAAGAGATTCCAGGAGTCTGCCGTTGGGGTCCATCACCATAACACATTCGTATAGGTGTAAGGGCATATCTCGAAAAATCCAATTAGAAAATGACACCCGTTCCAAGAGTAATGAAAGCCATCGTTGTTGATGGCGACAAGGCCGTTTTGAAGGAAAATGTTCCAGTTCCCAAGGCTAGTGGCACTCAAGTGTTAGTCAAAGTGAAGGCTGTAGCCGGCAATCCTACAGATTGGAAACATGTCGATTATAAGATTGCACCACAAGGTTCCATTCTAGGGTGCGACGTAGCAGGTGTTGTAGTAGAATTGGGCCCAGACGTTGACCAATCGCGGTTCTCGGTTGGCGATGCTGCCGTCGGGTTCGTGCATGGCGGGTCAGTGAAGTTCCCTGAGAACGGTGGACACGCCGAATATGCCTTGTTAGATTCGGTCCTCTCGTACAAGTTGGATTTATCTTCTAACACGAGCAAAACGATTCCGGAAGGTCCAGTTAAGACCTTTGAAGCAGCTGCGTCATTGCCCGTTTCGCTATTGACCGCTGATGTGGTGCTAACGTATCATCTGGGCAACAAGCTGGAATGGGAACCCAAAAATCCTCAACACGATTATCCAATCTTGATTTGGGGTGGTGCCACTGCTGTGGGCCAGTGGTTGATACAATTGGCGAAGCAATTGAATGGATACTCTAAGATTGTGGTCGTTGCATCTAAGAAACACACTCCGCTACTAACGCATTACGGTGCCGACGAAGTGTTCGACTACCACGATGATGACGTGATCGAACAAATCACAAAGAAGTATGGAGGGTTCAAAGCGTTGGTCGATGGTGTTTCCTCACCTAGCACATTCAAACAGCTGTACAAGTTAGCTGCAGAGGGTGCTACCATTGTTCCTTTGATGCTGTACTCGGAAAAGGATATTCCCGAATCTGAGAGAAAGAAGGACATCAAGATCGATGGCGCACTATTGTATTTGGCCTCTGGGCATGAGGTTCCGTTTGGATCCATCACTATTCCTGCAAACCCTGAGTATAAGGTAGAGGTTGCAAGGTTCATAAAGTTCTCCGAACAAAGATTGAAGGATGGCAAGCTACACCATATTGCAATCAGAAACTATGAAGGTGGTCTAAAGGCTGTCCCACAAATTTTAGACGACATCAAGAACGGTGTCAACTCCGGCGAAAAGCTCGTAGCATCATTGTGAAAACTTTGCTATAGTTTTGTAAGCCTCAGTAGAAGTAGCATGGGTGTCAAGATGACGAGTTTCATTTCATGACCAAGAAGTGACATACACTGTTATGTAGTGATGAGAATTACGTGAATATGATATTGAACGAATACCTCAGGCTTTACTATTAAGCCGTGTCACATACGATTGATCATCAGACGAGCATTTTATATTTTTGAAGATTAAGTGTCTTTTCAAGATGGTGTAGAGATGAGACAAAGAGGTTACCATGGTGTGGAAAAGACTTTTCAAGCCTTCAATAGATACCCATATCTCTTCGAGCTGAATCAATTGAGAGCCCAAAGAATCGAAGATTGGTTTCGATTGTTATTACCTCGACGCTTGCCATTTGTAATCCTTTGACTTCAACGAACAAGTGAATTGAAGAGGCACTTGGACTACTGTAACTTTTGTATATTTGCTTGAGTCTTGGACTAGTTGGAATTCTATATTGGGACATGTAAACGTAGCTGTCGATGAGCTTCTGTGAACTATGCATTGAAGGTCTTGTGTAAGAATGTCTTCGAGCAGTTTCTCTTGGCGCCCGAATCTTTTGAAACAGTGAACGTAGCTACTCAGTGTTGGCGAATACGGTCTATTTGTTGCACCATTGAATCTCACTAACCTGTCCATTGTGATTTTTGAGAGGGTTCAACTTGCCATTGCAGTATTAAGTGGCATCGAAAAGTTGGAGGATATTTGTAGTGATACACCGACGGGGTTGCCTATTTTACCAAGTTGTTTGGACTGAAGACTCCAACTATCACACTAGTGTGCGCTCTCAGAGTGTTGATAAAGGGTTCTGAAAGTCCCGAAACGTGCTGTACACTTTAACAACTACTATATATCACTTGAGGACCAATTGCCGCAACACCCAGGTGTATGTGGAACAATATAGCGAGAAACCAAGACCTGTGCACGCCCGTTGGATACATTCACAATTTAGGACCATTGTAGAGAAGTGTTTCTTGAAAGACGCTGTCACTGTCGCAGGAGATAGTCACGTGACATACAAAGCAATAATGATTACAAGTACACTTGCAGTCGCAAACTTTCCTCACGTGGCACACATACAGTGCTTAGCCAGCGATGCAGTCTTTACCAACTGCTTTTGTCTTTCAACCCACAGTTTCCACTCCCTTTATCGTTTGCACTATTTAGTGACACTTTCGGATTCTGCATATATACACTTACCCAGATGTCACGTTATTTTATCGACACGATAGAATACCGCACTTAAGAACTCGGTTCGAGGATCTTGTTGTCATATAAGTGCATGCAACGGCTGTTGGCTGAAGAGGTGCTTACAGGTACATCTATATACACGGAGTTGAGCGTTGTGCTATCGACCACGGCGTATCTCAAAATCACACTACCAAAGTATTCAGGGACATGGGAGTGAGTTTCCTCAGCATTGTCTACGATTAGAACTCCAGTACCTTTTCACGAAAAAGGAAATAGCATGAAAGTCTCGTGACCCAGGAACTATGCACGAATTCCATCACATGAGATACAGAGTTCAAATCTTTCAAACTTCTTTCCAAGTTTGTGCCACAAATTTGTGTAACTGAATCTGGTAATGGAATCGGTGAGTGGTTTTGAGAACTGACAAACAACCAAGACACGCTTAAGACCAATCCGTAGCCAAGATTAGAAATAAGATCACTTTATACGCACATATATCTTAAGTCCGCGTTATCATGTCAGACGAAATGGGTGTGTCCGTGCTCTCTCTCGCTTATAAAACGTGACCTTCTGGCCTCCTCCCGTCTCGATGTCTTCTAGTTGCTATATTCCCGCTAGCCCGCTAGCCCGCCCGTTGTGCACTTCACTGAGCATTCCTGGCCACATTCCAGTAGCAACTGAGCTTTTTCACCGGCTTCGCCGATCGTTATTAATTTAACAAGACTACCAATTTCCAGGCCAGTCTAAAATTCTTAAAAACGTCTTGGCAACAAACCAAAGCGACCGCGATCACCAAAGTGTTTGCTAGTAACTCTTAACTCAGATAGCTCTCTATGAATCTTTTGCAACTGTCCTCTTCAAAGCCCGCGCGCCATAGCCTCACCTATTCCGCTGGTTCTAGCCAAACCTTTACATAATATGTTTTTCGTGGAAACCCACACTTCCCAAAGTCGCGATCGGCATTCTCCAGACAGTAACCGGCAACAACATCAGTCAGACAAGAAAAGCCCACAGTGGAAGAGAGAGAGGAAGGTAGAGTATGGGGGGGTCTTGGTTGACATTCCCAGATTAGAAAAAAAAAAAAAAGAAGCTTTCATGTAGCTGCGCGAGGGCCTCTCCTCCACGACTTCTTACTGTTTCAGTTGTTTCCACAAACAAACCAACACCACCAGTCGGGTCCCCTACGGCATTGCTACAAATGGAAAACCGCTCGTAACTCTTACTTACCACCGTTTTTCTGCTGATCTGGGCCCAGACCCATCAGACCTCTTCGGTGTTCTGTCTTTAAAACGCCATTTCCCAAAAGGGCCCATCTGAAAGGGGAAATTACGCCATGAAAACGAAGAGTCCGCCAGAGAGAGCGAGAGAGAGACAGAGAGAAATGCACAGAGAGACATGATATGCTGCTATTATTCTGCATATCATTCTATTCGTCCATAACCATCAACAACACCACCACTACCACATTCCGTTCCGGCAACCGCAGTTGGGCAGTTTTTTTTCTGTTTTCGGGGGTGGGTGTAAGCTTCCCTGCCATGGGATAAGGTATAAGTACAGCTCGAGTTTCGTCTTGCCAGTAGATGTAACAACACTCCTTCCTCCTTCTCCTCTTCTTCTTCTCTTCTCTTCCTAACAGTATTGTTATAAACCACTCTCGTTCGCTACACACCATATTAAAAATGCAATTCTCTACTGTCGCCTCTTTCGTTGTTGTTTCCGGTGCCGTTGCCTTGGCCCAATCCACCGCCGCTGCTGTGTCTCAAATCGGTGACGGTCAAATCCAGGCTACCTCTGGAACCGCAACCGGTACCACTGCTGCCTCTTCCACTGGTAACGCTACCATTATCACTCAAACCGGTAACAGTGCTGCCAACATGGGTTCTGGCGCCGTCGCTATGGCTGGTTTGGTCGCTGCTGGTGCCATGCTTATCTAAGCGTGGGACCAAGAAGGAGAATAAAACGTAACGTGACTAGCGCGTGATTAGCGCGTGACTATCCTGTTATTTTGTTCACCTCTACTTCTCTCATTTAGGAGTTAACGTATGCTACACGCGGACTTTAGAATGAGGAGTGAGGCGAACAACAAAAAACAGAGACGAATTATTCTCGTATGTACGTTTCTATATTAGTTCATTATAATTTGAGTATACCAAGGTTTTTTCTAGTACGAAATGGGATTGACTGATCGAAAAGTGATGGTTGATGTCGGGTTAACGCGCATTTAGAACCACGTGATACAGAAACAGGACAGTCACTTTACACGAGAGCAATCTGTGTCAGGGTTAATATCTCTTCTGCACAGTTGAGGTATCCGAAAGTATCAATATTCACAATTTGTTATCAATTTTGGGACTCGCGTGAATTGTATTTGTCCAGAGACCAATGGCGAGAATTACGAATATCTGGATGGATAGCCGTGTAGAATGACAGACAGAACTACTGAAATTCAGCTGTGACGAAAAAAACGACTTTCCGAGTCTTTTGAAGTAGAGAAGCCTGTTTTCCACGCTATATGACTGATATTGCTGGCGAAAATCGTGCCAAGCGCATCGTGCCGGTCTACCAGGGTCCTAGTCACTAAGCACGGATCGATTCGCGGTTCAAAATACTTGTTCGAGTCTACTTTCCCCTCCTACTGGTAATTAATATCCCATACTGCTCAATTCTTACCTGTTTTTGCCTCCAAGATCCACCATGGAACTCACGAAAGCCCAAACAACAGCCCATTTCGTATAGAGCTACAATCCACCTAGCGATCTGAATCGTGTTTTTCAACGTGTCAGCTCCACATTAGTTTATCGTCTTGTACTCACTCTCAACTTCCAGAAATGAACGTCCTTCCCTGCCTACGCACTGATGAAACCCTTATAGCTATACAGTTCAACACTACATCGTGCTGAGACAAACAGTCACGTGATACAACATGTCTAACGACAGTCTCACTTAGAAGTGATAAAGTCCAAACAACGTCTCGAGTCGCTGATGGCCACACTATCCAAAGATACTGCCCTGTAGTCTGTTTTTTCATCCGGAAACACACAAACGTAATCTTTCAATCAATGTCTCGATGTTCCCTCGACTTTCTATTTTTTTTTCAAGACATTTCTGAAACAAAGTGATGCAATTCCACAACTTGACAGAAATGAGACCTTGTTAGGAGACACCCAAGCTTGTCGACAGATTCCACATCCCACTAATCCTCTTGTATTGTGTTCTTGTCTTCTAGTCAACTTATCTTCTACTCTCTTTAAACAACAAGCTCATCACTTTCTCTTTAGCAGTCGTCGTCCATTGTCTTGATAAAAAGTTCATCCATTTAGAAAACCCTTTCTGAATGCAAACTAGTCATAATGCATCTTCAACAAAACATCTACAACTACCGCTAACAATGTCTGAAACTATTGAAGGAAACGTTAAGATTGACAGACTATCGCCGGGTGATGGCTCTTCTTTCCCAAAGACCGGTGACTTGGTTACCATTCACTACACCGGTACTTTGGAGAACGGCCAAAAATTCGACTCTTCTCTCGACAGAGGTTCTCCATTCCAATGCAACATTGGCGTTGGCCAAGTGATCAAGGGCTGGGACGCCGGTATTCCTAAGCTATCTGTTGGCGAGAAAGCCAGATTGACCATTCCAGGTCCTTATGCTTACGGTCCTCGTGGTTTCCCAGGTTTGATCCCACCAAATGCCACTCTAGTCTTCGACGTTGAACTGTTGAAGATCAACTGATTCACTACTCGCTAATTGAGTACACTCACGTATAGCTAGACCCCATAGTGACATGTCTTTTTTATTATACAATATAAGTCCAAGTGCACTCACTTCTTACCTACGACTTTTGCGACGATTAGCAACACGCGAGCTCATTCTCACCACCTGTTGAGTTTGTGGTTCGGCCTCTGACGGAGTTTGTACCGGAGCTAATGATGCAGGTTCTTTGTCCAAATCATTAGTTTCTGAAACTGCCTCTGTCGGATGGCTTCGAGTTGTTCTGGTTCTTTTTGAAGGCGGGGAGCCCTCTGGAAGTGGAGCAGCATGCTCTGCTTCAACCGTCGAAGGAGCCGAACTCGTTTCCTGTGCAGGAATAGCTTCAACAATTTCCTTCTGCTCAATATCCGTTTCATGCGATTTTGGATCTTGATCTTCTCTATCAATGCTTGACATCCGGCTTTCTTCTTGTGGACTGCTTATTTCACCACGGTCTGGTCCAGATCCCGATTCGGTGCCTTCGTCCGATTTTGCATCGCCATCACCATCTTCTTGATCTTCTTCATCACTTTTTGATACCGGAGCAGGTCCCTTAGATCTAGTCACTCGTCCAGATTGTGTGTGAGTTGCCGTAGACCTTGTCACCCGCTTTGGCGATCTTTCCTTTTGCCCAATATCCGTATGGGACTTGCCAGAAGAAAGATCCTGGCCAGCATCCTCCGGTCCCGAACCTTTTCCTTCGTCTTCTTGGTAGTCTTCCACTTCATTTTTGGCATTTCCCAAGATCAGCTCTCCATATTCGTCCCAAGGTAAACTAAATTCTCGTGGTGCTTTGAAAACTCGTCGCAGAGCCTGGAAATGCGATCTGTCATTAAAATGAGCCTCTTGCCCCCTTCCCTTTTCTTCATCTTCTTCGTTCAATTCGTTCTCATCGAAATCGCGGTGCTGCTGGTCTTGATCCAACACCATATTTTCTCGTTCATCAACTTTGGCCAAATCGTAATGTTGGTCAAGTTTCGCCCATACTTCGTCAGCCACGAATTGACTCTTACCATCGCTTTTCAGCTTGTCAAAAAGTAGCACAACAGGGAATTGATCGGGTTTGTTCATCCTTCCTAAGATGCTGATCATATGGAAATGTTTATGCACTCCAGCCGGCTTAAAGTCCGTGATCCATCGAAACAGACGTATGTCATCTTCGATACTCCAGGGATTATTCATGCCAAATGATAGCTCGAAGCATCCATACGTGGATACTTCAGGATCAGATCGTGCTGATGGTTTCTCTGAGAGAGCCTTCTGTAGTAGAGAGAGAGCCTAGTTCTTGTAGTATGGACATCTTCTTGTACGAAGGGTGTGACAATATGCCAGGCCAATGACAGATATCAAACTGTATAGAGCTTTCCTCGTATGCGTGTCTAGTGGTTTTCACACACCTTCAATGGCAGAAACTTATGGATCTGTCTACAAGAACATCCGGGACGCCCTCTTTATGGATGAAAGTGATACATGTTGCTGGTCACGTGATAATCGTTCCAAGAAACTAGGATGACAGGCATCTAATCACCATGAAACCTATTCTAGTACAGAAACCACATTGTCGGGACATGGAATACCATACCTATAAGCACAAAAACCATTTTCTCAACCCTGTCAACTCAAGTGTCAGTAAATAAGTGGAACCTACATGTCCACTATCTGGATGACAATTTAATATAGAGTGATTTGAAAAAAAAATATATAATAGCTTTGACATAAAGACAAGAAACAAGATTTCCGGTCAGTGCAAGAAATGCAACAATTCCATATTTATTGCTTCATCCCAATCCAAACGTGCAGCAATGAATCGCGGTCTAGATTTGGTAAACAGTTTATAGGACATCATTATATACGAACTCAAATTTCCTGTAATGTTAGTCAAAGTCTGAGAAAACACGATTCTCTCGTGAACACAACTTCAACCGTTTGTTTCGAGAAACACCACACAATAGAAAATATTGAGTTCCTGTCTTGAATACCACTGTCACATCTAAATTCGATAAACTAGAGAGTCATCGTATATTACGATATTCTGAAAAATTTTAAATAGTTAACGCTCATCTGCTATTGAAATACCAGAACTAGTCAAGACTGTCACACACATTTAGTTCGCTAGCTTGCCCAACCTTCGTTCAATCGGGCACAAGTACCAATTGTAAGATGCCTAGAAAGGCGGTTTTGCTGAAATCGCTGGCCCGCGGTCGCATCCGGTCGAGTTTCAATAAATACAACTTGTTCAACCTGTACAAGAAAGGTGACGTTGATTTCAGATCAAAGACGCTATACCAACAGAAATGGACCGCTAAACAGGAAACAAGAGCGTACCATGGTGAACATTTAACTGAAAACCGTTGGCAAACTACATTCACACCCAGACTGGATTCCGTTGCTCAATTGGATGCGTCTTTAAAGGGACATGAAGCCCAGCAAACACCAATTCTGTTACAAACTTTTGGTGTTCTGGAAAAACGGCTCGACATTGCCATTTTTCGTGCTATGTTTGCGTCGTCGGTCAGACAAGCCAGACAATTCATTTTGCATAACAACGTTTTCGTAAACGGGATCAAGATAACGCAACCAGGCTACACATTGAGCCCCGGTGATGTCTTTTACGTTAAACCGGAAAAAGTTCTACAAGCATTGGGTGCGAAGAAACCATCGTTAGCAGAAGCCCTAAAAGTTGACAAACGTCAAATCACCATCTGGAATAGATATGTTAAGGCTCTCAAAGAGAATCCAGGAGAAAAATGGGCAGAGAAACAGGAGAAGTATCGTAAAATGGATGATTCCAACCCTAAAAAACAGGAATGGCTTGAATTTGTCCGCAATTATAACAAGTCCATGGACACTCAGATGGAATCCGAAATTAAGACTCAAACAAAAGATACCATTTTGGCCAAGATTATGAGCACAGGCTCTGCTGCAGCCGAGCCAGCCTCTCATGCTTTTATGCCACAGTTTTATGAAGATACAGCACTCGCAACTAAAGCATTGGAGTGTTTTCAAGAACTTCAGAAATCAAACTCTGTACCGGAAAGTGCATTAAGTATGTCTCATGAGCAATTGGTAAATCACTCAAAAACTCTGATAAACCTTTCAGACGAATCCAAGAAGAACATGTCTGATGGCGCAAAAAAGGCTCTACGGGCGGCCAAAAACCTGTGCTCTGAAATACTCACTTCACAGGATAAGATCATTCGTAAGCTTTATGAGGGTAAGAAAGGTAGCGAGCAAACTTCCGCTATACCCTACAATCCACAATGGGCCCAGAAAATTAAGGGTCATCAACCTATCAATGTCAGCGAGCTCGTTGAAGATGAAACCAAGGCTTCCAGCTCCATAAATCTTCCGTGGCAAAAAGGTGTCTATGGCCGTCAAGACGCATCGAAGCCGTACTTCACTCCGTGGAAACCAAGACCATTCTTATCGCCATTCGCCATTCTTCCGCATCATATTGAGGTTTCCTTCAAAACCTGTCATGCCGTTTATCTAAGGGACCCTGTGGCACGCCCAGGTCAATCTGAAGTCATAACGCCATTTGCTTTGCCTGTTCATGAACGCGCTTACATGTATTACGTTCGGAACGGTAAATGAGTATTTTCCTGTTAATAGTAAAGTCACTGTATAATATTTAACGCTTCTGCCGTAACGATTATTAGCCGGCATGTTCATATACAGAGCTATTCCATTTGCCACTGGCAAAGGTGTGCTTGAGCTGTTCTGGAACAGGAAACTCAACAAAATCATCATCTTCGCCAATCGGGAGATTTACATTCAGCGAAGTACTAGATGATGTGATGATTTCGGCATGCAAGGAGTCCTTGCTGAGATAAATAGTACCATCTTCACTTTTATCAATGCTAATTTGAGGAAGAGTTTGTTCCACTTGAATAGCAAATTTAACAGACTTGATAATATCAAATCCAGAAATACTGCTTTCCACCATAACATTGCAACGTTCGGTCTCGCTCATGGAAATAGCGTTCACTTTGCCTTTTATTTGAATGAAAACGGAGCTGCAATTACCAATGTAAACAGATTCATCTTTGTTAACCTCAATTTGTATGGGCTCCTCCGAGTTTTCGAATCCTTCGATAAACCACTTGTTACCGACAAGCTCTTTTCTGGCGGGCTTCTTTGTCTTGAGTGTGGTAGGTTTCTTAGGCTTTGGAGGTGGAGTCCTGGTGGCTGGAGCCACGGAAGATCCACGGAGCTCTGGGTTTTTGTGAGTCTGTTGAGACTTATCCACTTTTTTCAAGGATTTCGTTATGCCTTCACCTTGGTTCAATTCGCCAAAAACAGCGTCTATTCCACCCTTGGGAGCCTCAGCAGCTTCTTGTCCTTGAAAAACAGACGCAGGTGGTGCTGGAGGAGGAGGTGGTGGAGGAGGAGGTTGTGATGAGCCGGCTCCTGCCTTTTGCACAGTTGATGTTTGCCCGTTAGTTGCAGATTCAGTACTGCCGATTTTGTCTAAAGCTTCCGCGAAATCTAGACCCTGAGCATTCCAAGAAGGTCCTGTTAAATGGTATTGTTTGACGTAAAAAATCAACGCGTCAAAGATGCCGAGATACTGCTTCACCCAAACCACGCTGTTGGTGTCAGAATCTTTGAAATCCTTAAGCACCCTGTTAGTCCAAAATTGAGCTGCTTCTTTGAAATCGCTGATCACGGACGCCGGGGTTTCCACTCCGATCCAACTTAGCAATGGGACACCCTCTGCCACAGCATTGAGATGTGCAAAATGTGTACTTTGACGATTATTGTCCTTTAGATCACCAATGGCCAGAAGCTGCTCGTTCAAGGGCTTTAAGGATTTAGCAAATGGTTCGGAACCGTAGTCTGGTTTTTTGGATTGAGCTACAAGTCTCAAAAACTGTTTTTGGGCCTCGAACGCGTTCATCAAATGGTGAATGGCCTTTTCAACTAGAGGGTCAATTTTTTCGGATGTTTCCTGCAGCGGTTTAAGGTAAGTGTTCACGAGGCTTTCAAATGCAACGATGCTGGCAGGCTCGGTTGCTTCCTGCTTTGGTGACTTGGACTCTGATTTCGCCACGGATGAGTCTAAAAGTCCCGATTGCGGCTCCACAGCTGCAGTGTTCGCACTACCACCACTAGCACCATTACCACCACTACTCTCAGTGTTCTCACCTTTCGAAAGTGCGTCTATCTTAGTCTGGATGTACCCTTCTTGGAAAAACGTTACATCTTCTAACCGAGCAGTAGCGTCTTCCAGACGCTTCAAGAGCCTCGACAAGTTGTATCCTTGGATAGCAAAAGTGTTGGACTCTGTCATAGGCTTAGTTCCACGCGTTAAACTACGGGTTTCGATAAGTTGAAGTGGCTTTTGATCTCAAAGAAGTGAGGTATTTGAGTGTAAGTCGTTACATTTTAGATCTTGAATATTTTAAGGACCCCTATTCCGAATCTGACGTAGAACATGAGTTCAGATCTATAACCACGTGACTTCAATTTCTATAAAAATTATATCATGTGATACGTATGTGGTGATATTGGAGATTTAATAATTGAATATCAATAATAATAATAACCAGAACTATCATCACCGTACTCGAAAGCTGCTGATTCGAAGTAAGAGCTAGATCAACATTCCTTCACGAGCCTTTTGGACCTGACAATTGGATTTCTGCATTGCCTGTAAACGAATTGTACCAGACGCAAGCGGTTTCAGAAGAGTAAATATCAACTTAGAGGTTCTGCTCTTGAAAAAATGGCTAACAAGAAAGCTGGCAAGGGCCATAGGAAGCCGCAATCGGCAAGGAAAAACCAAACCAATGGTAGTAAAACGCTTTTAGAAAGAATGCAAATGTCAAGAAAAGTGGACAATGTTAAGAAAGGGTCGAAAAGCGCAAAAGAAGTGGGTCTTCGCGTGGTTGCAGGTCGATTGGTAAGTGCAAACGACGTGGGTGTCTTGTTGAGAGAAGCAGCGGCGCGGACAACGCCAGTTCATAAAAACCTGAAAAAGGGAGTGAAGAGAAACGAAAAGAACGGTCTCAATAGTGGTGCGGGCAAGCGTTTGGAGACAAAGTTGCAAAGACGTGAGACGGCGAGAAACCGTGAGCGCGCTCACGTACAACCATATGGTAAAGATTTGTACTTGACAGTTAACACGTCGTCAGAAGTGCGGTTTTTGAGACTTCGAAACCTACCATTAGGTTCTGATTCGCTTTCTTTGACGCAAGCAGTTGAAAAAATTGCTGGCGTAGCCGTACAGAAAACCTCAGTTGTCGATTTGCCCTCAGGATCCGTGACAGCGGAGCTTTGGCTTCAAAGCTCTGATGACAGGGCGCTTGTTGAAGCCCAAAAACGTCTAGATCGTGCCAACGTCAATAACCGTGTCATTTCCGCAGAAATCGTGTCTTCATAGTCGGAAGGTTTTTTCTTCCAAACCCACAAAGTCCCCAATGTACTATAGTTTATAATGAGCGGCCATCAGTAAGGCTTGTTAGGATTCCTCTGTCAACTTACGCTTATTGCTTGGCGCTTTATCGCACATTTTTTCCAAGAGTCGTAGCTCTGTGATCCTTTTGCTTGAGTCACCCTGTGCCAAGGCCAAATACTCCAGCATCCCACTATGGGATGCTAAACTATAAAAAGTGTCCTTATGTACTTGCGTGGTCCATTCTTCACTAGTGGTATTCTCGTTGCCCAGGCCTAAATGCTTCTGCTTCATTACCTGGAAAAGCTGTTGTTGGCGGTTTTTGTTCGACTAATGTGTGATGCGGTTAGTAATAGTAGCTTTTGAATCTTGTGAAACTCGCGAGCATCAGCGAGAGCGCTGGCATACCATTTCTGATGTCTTCTTGATGGAGTTGGTTCTTTATACTATGAGTTTAGACACTGTGATGTCTATAATATATTGGAAATTTGTTTAACCTTGATTGAACAAGCGATGATCAAAGTAGAGTATGAACAGAAATTATCAAGTCTAGCAACGTCAACGGAAACTGAAATGGCCAACGTACTTGCTCCTGTCAATGAGCTGGCTACACTAAGTTTGAGCGGCTTTTTCAGCACGTTTGAAGCGTCTAAAAAGGACAACTGCAACCTTGAACAGTTTACCCAAGAATTTCTGGGCAAATTGGCGAAATGTGAGAACAGCAATCAGCGTAAGCAGCATATACAGTCATTGATGTACGAGATCATAATGCTACTGAGTATAGACGATGGTGGTGGTCTTGACGTTGAAGAGGCCAAAATTTTGATTACCAAAATTTACATGACAGAGGGCCCAAAGACCGCTCGAATATTCATAAATTTAATCAACAGCTTTCCCGAGAAATCGGAAAAGTGTCAAAAATTGATTCGAGTGCTTGATGTAATGGATGCTGACCTCTGTACATATGTTCAAGACGACAAATTACTGGAGAAAACGCAGAAATTCAGCGCAAGACAGCGCGCGCTTTTCAAAAAAAGTCTCCTGGACAGTGGATACATGATCCATAAATTCAATCTACTGGTTGAGCACCCTGTGGCGTATTCCCAATTGATTACTCTTCTGCTTGTGGCTTACAATGACCCAACGAATATTGAGAGTGCTGCTATATACTGGCATGAAGCCCAGTGCATTATCGGCAAATATTCACTTGATCCTTTGAGGGCTTTGGATGCTGTTTTCATCGTCTCGTCTCATTACATCACTGAAAACTATCAATTTCTGATCAAATTTTTACGTGCTTCAACCTATTGGCCCAATACCCTAGCCGACTATCGCTCACCTCAAAACTTGGGCAAAGGTGGAAACGTTATGGCTAGTCAATTACTCGCAATGCATTTGAACGATGACAACGTCGATATCAAGTTTTTCGATATGGTATGCGTACTCATCAAGGAAGGCATGGTGTCGTTCTCGTCCGTTTTCGATAATCTAGGGCCCAGCGATGAGAAGATTCAAGAGTTTACCGACAAGTTCTACATGGACCTGGAGGCTGATAGTATGAAGGGAGTGTCAAATCCTCTAGCCATGGCTGCTGCACTCGCTGATGACATAGAAAATGAGGATAAGGCATCTGTCGACATCGCTCAGAAAACTGAAGATGTGGGAGCGACACAAACTGAAATGGATGAAAGTAAAGAATTGAATGAAAAGAATTTCTCTGAAAGTGGAAAGATGCTTCTTCTACAAAGACTTTTAGCGCATGGTGCCCTAACACCGTTTCTTTCCTCTTTTCAAAAATACTCACGCTTTCTGCTGACAAGCGAAACTATTATCAAACTCTACTTGAGACTTTTTGACCATAAGATAACGCCCTTTTACAACTCTTTCACGTTATACACCCCAAATGCGACGAAAAGCGATAAGAAGCTGATACGTACTCACGAGGTCTTTCAGAACTTCCAGTCTACTCACCTTTACGGCTTCTACTATGATGAGTGCATGAGGGATATCGAGGTAGTTCATGATATCGATGAATTTTTTAGATCATGCCACGAATGGCTTACTCTCATCGGCCCTCATGTCGCCCGGGCACCTACAGTTGTGTCCAAACTCTGCAGAGCCGGGTCGAAGTATTTGGATGATAGCCAAAAAGATGAATCCAAGCTTTTGGCATGCCTCAATTTTATGCGAAAATTCATTTTACCAGCCCTTCCTCTTTTGGCGGACAATTCTGCAATTCTCAATGAAACGTATGACCTTTTGAGACAATTCGACTATGAAAGGCGCTATTTTCTTTACAATGAGCTTTCTTCGAAACTGGCCCAAGACGACATTTTTCTGAAGGCAGCTTGGAATTCTTCGGCCAGAGAAGCGAAATCAGAGCTAAAGTCCTTGAGCATTGATAATGTGGATAAGAACGGTAAGAAATTCGCCAAAGTTATCGCAAAAAACCCCCTGAGCACTCTGGATCCCATTATGAACCAGCTTGAAAACTACGACAAATTAGCCGACCTAGTTGTCGAGACTAGTCTGCATTTCAGCGACTTCACTTATGACGTGCTACAATATCATATTCTTCTTCGCTTAACTTCAGGGAGACGAAGTCTACAGGATAGTGGTATTCATGTAATGATGTGGGTGCAAAGGATCGCTGTTTTCATTGCCGGACTGGCTAAAAAGTCTCTTAAAATGGACATCACCAACATTATTCGCTTTGTGATAAAAAGACTGCACTTTAACGACATGATAGCAGTTACTGTTATACGGGAGCTCACGTCAAGGGTTGGCGGGGTTAAAGCCATCAATGATCTCAGTCCAAAACAGTTAATGATGCTCAATTCCGGGCTTCCTTTGCAGATCGCAGCACGTACGATCATTCGAGACTTGAGAGCTGAAAATTATGACCCTGCACACCGACTTTTGAACGTTTTTATCAATGAAGACGCCCTATCCGAAATAATCATCCTTCTCGATCATCTGAGTAAATCATCTATCGATGAAGACATTCATTACAAGGTGCTATCCTCAAAGATTGATGATGTAAACTTACTGTTGTGGGCATTCATTGATATGAGCAAGTACTTCTTAGGATCGGATGTGTTCAGAAAAAATATAGTAGACTTCGAACGTTTGATAAGTGAGTATTCGTTATCAATGGAGTGGGCATTTTTCATATGGAGAGAGTACTATGACGAAACCTCTCACGATGACGTCGGACTCAAAGGGCACTTCGACGCTTCTATCGAAAAAGCAAACTGCATCCCTCTAGAGTTTCAGGATGAGCATAAAGGGTTGTTCGTCAATTTTTGGAAGCTTTCTCTCTACGATGTTTGTTTTCAGAAAGAACTTTATGACGGCGAGAAGACCATACTTGAAAACAATGCCCTCAACACCAGATCGTCCAAAACAAAACATGATTTATCGAGGCAAATCGAAACCATTATGGCAAGCTGCATTGCACATCAAAGGGCACACAATAAATTTTTGGAGTCGCTAACCATATCTTCCATTACTTTCTCGCAGCTAAAAAGCTCAAACATGGTCATACCCTTTCTGCAATACTGTGTTGTTCCAAGAGTTGTCTTTTCTCCTGCTGATGCTCTTTTCGTCGTTGCTTTCGTATGGGAAACTTTTGGTACTGCTGGCGCTCTGGACTTCCTTGAGGAATTCGTGGAGAGCCGGGTTCTTGGGCCATTACTTTTCAGCTCTACAAGTTCAGAGGCTAGTTACCTTGGCTTATTCTTCGCTACGTACCTCGACAGACTTGAACTCACAAGAAAGGCGCATAATCTGAGCGACGGAGATGTCAAAAGGCTGTTCAAGGTTCAAGGCTTACTTGCAGAAGACATCGTAAATCTCATCGTGGAGCAAAACTACATGTCAATTCGGAATGGAATTGAATTTATGAAGCACTTGTCGGCAGTTTTTCCAGTAGTGAAGTATGACATCCTACAGATGATCAAAGCTCTGGAATTGCTCATCGCCATGGACAAAAGAGAAGACATTTTGTTACCAAGCAATGCTTTGATCGGCCATCTCAAAGCACGTATGAAAAGTGCCCTTGATGCGGATGCCTTTTGCTCCCTGAGCCCAGATGATAGGGAGGAACTAGCCGCTGAGGACAAAGATCTGGTAACGAAACATCACGAAGCGTTAGAGGAAGAAACACTAGAAGCAAAAAGAGAACTTCTAGCAGCAAAGGAAGCTGAAGATCATCAAGGAGATGAAATGTCGCGCAAGAGTCAATCGGAAGGAGAGAAAGATTCAGTTCCACATACCAGTTCGAGGTTTGGACGCATTCCTCCAATACCAATGTATGAAATTCTCAACGAGATGTGGGACATTGTTAAGTGCTTGGAGACAAACAGAACGGCATATCTGTACCGCCATCTCAGAAACAAACGTGTTTTATCCGAATTACAAGCTATTGAAAAGAGTACTATTAGGGACCCTGAGGATTACAGGTCTCAATTAGCAGAGCTTCTGGAGTCCTTCTACCGGAATCTTGTCACTTCCCCGAACCATGAAAAGTTTAAACAACGGCTAAGCGGTATAATACGCGCTTGCAAATCTGTGACGAATCCTTATGGCAAGAAGATGAAGGGCGAGGGTAGGCATCAATCTCAAAAGATTGAATATGACGACGAACCAGCTACCAAAATTGCAAAATCTTCATCTATTCAGCCAGTTGAATCCAGATTCAATACCTCTGCCCATGTCGATGAAGGTAAAACACGATCTAGATACAGCGGTTTGAAAAAATCTGAGCTGAACGAGAACCGAGGCGATAAATCGAATGGGGATGAGGATGCCTCTTACGGTAGGGGTGACAGAAACAAGTTTGACCACTCTGCCAAGACATCAAATTTACCTGAGAAAAGGGATCATGATAAGAATCCATCACGACTTGGATCACGGTACGAGGGTCAAACTGCGGCAGCAGCTGGTGGCGATACCGGAGATTTCAAGAAAGCTCAGTCACAAATTCCTCGTGGACCTGCTCGTACTACATTTTCTCAGCGAGGCTCTGTCATCAACAGTCGGTACGGAGATGTATCAGCGAACCAAATGAAAATCGGCGATCGCAATCGTTTGGACAGCGCCAAATCGGACTTCACAAAGCGTCCAAGGGATGATGTCGGTCAAACGCGCCAAACGAAAAGAGCAAAGCTTGACCGTGGTTCTGACCGTGGTTCTGATCGTGGCTCTGATCGTGATCCTGATCGTGGTTCTGACCGTGGACGTTTTTCCAGTTCAGAGAAAAGCATGGGACGTGATAATTTTGATCGGTCAAATTCAAAGTCAACGACCAAGCCGACAGGTCGGTTTGATAAAAGATCCCAAACAGATCGATCTGGTGACAAATTACCTTCGAAGACGCCGTTGGGTCCTCGTGGTAGGATGACTCGTTCTGATCGCAACAATCGATCGAGTCCAGCTCCTGAAGGACCCGCTTCTACTTTACAGAGCAGGTATAAGAAGTAGAATCTCCCGCCGACAACGTTTACCGCTCCATCCAATGCTCAAGATTAATGAAGCTATCCAAGAAACAACAGTGAATTTCTGAAAACGCTTAACCAGCCAAAATACGCCGCCGGCAAGGAGGCGTTCTACGTTCAGCCTCAGTCAGTGAACTCTTCGGTTCGGACACATGGTCTGATGCAAATATCAAGAAATACTCGAATTGTGACATTATTTCAACTCTGAAACGCATGTATATATAAAAAAAGGACAAAAGCGGCATTGCCAACATCCCAGATGATAGTGGTTGTTGACACGGTTGTTTTACGCTACTTTAAACTCGATTCTGTTGATGTCTTCTAGTCTAACAGCTACTCGAGCCTCTACTCGAACATCTACTCGGTCATCATTCCAATAGTGATGAGATCGCTATATTATAGTATTTACATCGAAGTCATAATTCAACCTTCAAGAGCATCGATGTTGAATCGAAAGCTTTTGAACCCCGTTCGCTACTTCAGTAGGTTTACCATAGTCTCGAGGTCATGTCAATGTCATCAATGAGTGCTGTAGGCGGAGCCAATGGCCTTTTAGAAGTATATGTAAGTAGAGCTCGCGATTTGCCAAATCTGCGAAAAATGGACAAACAGAGCCCGTTTGTTCGACTACGAATCTCACACATGATAGCAACGTCAGAAGTAGCTTTTAGAGGTGGTCAAACGCCCAAGTTTGATTTCTACTCGAAATTTGATCTGACACCAGACGTCAAACCAGCTTTAGTTGTGGAGTTGTTCGACGAAAGATCACCTCCCAAGTTAATAGGCCAATGCACAGTTGATCTAACCCCAGCGCTTTACAAAGATGCAGAAGATGGCCACGACGACTGGTTTTGTTTGAGTTTTGGCAAAGAAGACGCAGGTCAAGTATACATCGAGCTAACGTTCCATCCGCTAATACCGAGTTCAAGGCTTAAGAAAAGAGATTCTGGGTATGCAAATAGTTTTGACGTATCAGTAGAAGGTAGATCTCCACCTCCACTGCCGTCTAAAGTACCGTCTTTTCAGTTATCTAACGGATCCAACCTGGTCTCGAGTAATCGATACTCTCATGCAGCTGTGTCACGCGATAGTTCTATGCAGCTAGATCGAGAAGACGAAATCGCACCACGAAGTCCAAGTCCCCGCAACTCACTGGCATTCAACTCGTCAGTTGCTTCTAATGAGACCTTCAATTCGCATATCACTTCTACATCTCATGATAGCCACGCTACTGTCAATACTGTGGGAACAACTGGGACAGCTGGTACTGAGCCATTGTTCGCAAAGCTCAAACAGCTGAGGGAAAAGTGGAAATCTATCAAGAACCCGTCCTCAGAGCAACAAGAAACCGAACACGAAAACAAGCTGGATTTGAAAGCCTTACAGAAAGTTGTGGGTGTCGAACCGGAAGACTACAATGACGATTACAATGAAAATGCTGCTACAAGCCGAACCGCCAGCCGACAAGGGTTCGAGCACTCGAAATTCAAAATCCAGCCTCCACTTCCAAGGCTTCCGGCATCGAGCTCTCGCGGAACAAGCGTTGGAAGTGTTAGTCCGCGAAGAGCGGATCGGTATACCTCTACTTCAAGCCAAAACTCTCCTCGCCTGCCGCCTTTGCCGTCTAGCCCATTGTCAAGGCCTGGCATGGGATCACGAAATGGTTCTCATTCTCCCACGAGACGAAGGCCCCCACCAATGTGAACAGCGAAGGTTCAAGAAATGGGGCTTGAGGAAGGTTTTTTTAGCATTCAGGATATGGTAACGAAGGCCTTTCGTTCTCGTCCGGCACAGTAACCATGACACCTTCCTCAAAAAAAAAAAGAATGACTTGTTCTAAATACTTGATGTACAAAGATAATGCAAATAGTGTGCCTATGTCGTTGCGACATGCATAAATGACATTTTCAATTGAGGCCTCTCCTCCGAAGTTCGCTAAAATGCTGGCTCGTCACCATACTCCTCTTCTTCTCCCGCATCATCATCTCCGTCGTCGAAGTACTTCTCGGCGTTATAGTCTTCGTCCTCATCACTGTCAAATTCGTCATCCACGTCCTCTGGCTCTTCCTTGTTTTCTACATTTGCAGTTTCATCTTCGTCGTCTGCCAGATTCTTGAGCTTTTCCAGCATCGACAAACCTTCTGCATCTGAATTGGAACCACCAGAACCTGTAAAGACGTCTGTGCGTTTGTTGAGCTGCGAGATTGCCAACAGTTTTTTCTTATTTATGCCCATCACTTGGTAAAGCTCGTCTGGGAAGAACTCTAGATGGAAGGGATGTTCATCAATGGATACCCCAATACGTCGTTTTTTGAGATATCGATCTGAGTAGCGTTCCACACCATCATTTATACCGTCCTCATCTACAAGTTTCCGGTCTTTGCCTTGTCCATCTACAGAAAGGTGCATGGAACCTGTGTAAAAAGGACCCTCACGCTCCGCTGTGACAAGATTCATGTAACAAATTGCGGTGGCTCGCTCTCGAGCCGTTATGAGACCGTTTACGGGCATGGGTATGGACGGAAGTTCTCCATTTTCCGTGGCTCCAACATCGCTATAACTTAATCCAAATGGTAGGTTTTTCGTGAACGAATTGCCATCTTTCCGGGCACCTGGAAAACTCATTTTTTTTTCTCTAGCTTATGATATTGAAAGGTGGTGTAGATCACCGATAAAGTTGGCCACAATAGTCTCGGAAAAACCGGTTTTGGTCTTGAAAATCGCAGCTTCAACTACCTCATCGCGAATGATCCACTGATTTTGACATTTGGTCAATTTTTCAAAAAACAAATGGAATTACGTAAGCCTATCAATATACATACGTTACACTCACGTGAGAGGATTTCGATATGTTGAATGTCCCAGGTTCAATCCTCGAGCAGGTCAGCAATATCCTGGTCATCATCCAGATTACCTTGGTATTTCTGTAGTTCCTCAATTCGTTCTTCCAATAGCTTTTCCTGCCTTTTCACTCTTTGACGGGTCTTGTTACCCCATCCGAAGGCGTTACTTTCGGCGGATTGGGCACTGTTGGGATCGTCAACGAGTTCTTCAACTCGTTTTTCATCCTTTGCGAGTTGACCTTCACGTACCTTCCTGTCCAGTTGTCTCTTGGCCAAGTGTCTTTGGGCAAGGTTTCTCAACAGAGCGTAGCCTCCGACGATGATGACGAGACGAATGATCCGTTGGGCATCCAGACTTGCAACAGAAGCGTAAAGGGTTTGGTAGGCGTTATCCAGAAGTTCCATTGCAATTATAGGAAAATAAGAGTGGGGAGAAGAGCAGAAACTAAGACGACTGACTCTTGATGATCGACTGGTTCTAAAACAGGTCTCGATGAGCCATATTTGTAATGGATTGAGGTGTATACAATATATAATCCATAGTCGTTATTTGAAATCCGGAGGTCACTTTGAACGTGGAGATAGATCTGTCCTTTATAGCTCATCGTCATCATCGGATTCTAGCCCAATATCCAGTGGTTGAAACTCTGCAGAGGTTTTTACAGTAGTGGGTTTGACAAATCCTCCATAGAAGGGTTTAACAGGCCCGAAAATTACTTCCCCGTTGAGTGTACCATCGTTTTTCCCACAGGGCTCGTCAAACTCTATACCACACCATAATCCTCCACTTTGAGGCAAACTTCCTACGTATCGTAACCAACCTCTTCTTTCTAAAGTGCTATTGTTACTGGAAACTTGACATCGCTCGTTCAAGGTGAGACCGCGCATCGATTCTTCCTGTCGTTGTTTTTCCTGATCCAGTTTGGCACGGTACTGCGGATCGTAACTGCCAAGCCCTTGGTCCTTTTTCCACTGCAGCACGGAGTTCTTTCTATTTTTGTAGTCTTCATCAGAAAGCGTGAAATGTTTTGATGACGAATTCGAATCGTTTTCGGATCTCGCGAAATCCTGCGCTAATTCGTGAGCCAAAGACCCAATATTCACATCTGTGATGTGAATCAACGTAGGAGCTTGTTTCAAAGCTTTTCCAAAGGGCCCAATCTTAATACCAGGAGCTGCAACAGTTTCGCTACTACCATCTCCAAACTCAAACCTTAGTTCCATATCCGACGGCAGTACCCCACTCAATTGACTCAATCTTTCGCATAGTTGGTTCCAACTGAGATCCAAATCAATCTCGCGGTCCGTGGAGCATAGCTCAGACTGGATCTGTATCGATGGCATTGCTTCTAGATTCTCATCTTCTTCGATCTTTATGGAGAGTGATGCTGTAATTAAAGTTGAAATTTAACACTATACATCTACTGAAAAATTCAATTCACCGAAGACTGATTTTACAGTTTCAAGACACGATAAACACAGTCAAAATCATCTTTGGTGGTCGAAATGAGTGACAGCGTAAGTTATAATTTAAAAGAGCTACATTTAGCATTTTTTAGCATTGAAATTGGTGCTCATTTGGACTTTATTGCAAGAATTATGCACTAACAATTTTAAAATGGCAGGTTAAACACCAATCTCAGAACAAACGTAAGTTTGAGGCCCCCAAACGCGAGCCGATTGTCAATTTGTCGAAATATGCGGATACGCAAATTCGGATAAAATTAATGGGAGGAAGATTTGTCGTTGGAACTCTCAAAGGGTTCGATCAGCTAATGAACTTGGTCTTGGACGAAACTGTTGAGCATTTAAGAGACCCTGAAGACGACACTAAGATTCTGGCAGGCCAAACAAGAGAGCTGGGACTCGTGGTTATTAGAGGTACAATGCTGGAGACGCTAAGTCCTCTTGACGGGTCTGAGATTATAACTGGGCCGTCTGTACAGTAACATGGATGCGATGAAAAGGCATGCGTCAGACGTCACAACCCTGTACTAGTTTTCTGTAAAATATAAGATTATCAATAACCGTGTGAGAATAAGGCCTGGAGGTTAAAAACTATCGACATAGGCAGTATGTACGTTTGGCACTTTCATTTAACACAATATTGCATAGTTGAAGGAGCCTTTCGATGTGAGATGTAATGAAAGAAGAAGAAAGGTAACAGTGTAAAATGTCAGAAGTAACCTTCTGATTGTGAGTCTCATGGTCCTGTCATCTTGGAGGCGAATGAGAAGAACCAAGAATTAACGCGAAATTCAAAGAACGAAGAACACAGAACAAAGGCATAATAATGAACGTGAAATTCATGGCAAAAAAAACAGGGAAAAGACAAGATACAATCGTAATATCGTACAACTGCTCGTCTAGTCCTCATCAATGGCCAGGACCGGTAAAAAATAGGGCTGCCGTAGAAAACGATATAAACCACAAAGCATAGGCCCCAGTAGTTTTCGACTTACTCTCAGGCCTCAATTCTTATTTCCAACAGTCCATCAATAGTCCAACACAACTCCATATCATATTGTGTTTCAATGGCTTTAATTCTGTTCGGTTATCGGAGATCGAAAAAAAAGCCGACGGAGATCAGCTCATTAGATTAGCTTGGGCTAGCTCATCACTTGAAAAATTCAAGGTATATAAAAGATGCAAAGAAGAGACTCGGAAGATACTATCTTTCAAGCTCGAAAACATTCTATTTCCTCCCAGATCTTGAACCCCATTGGCTACTATAAGTTGCAAAGATCAACCAATTTCCATCTTAGAAGATACTGAACTTCAAAGAGCTTTTTTGGTCTCGAAATTCAACATTGTTCAATTCTCTTCATCTCCGAAACCTACCTTTAGGGCCCCCAAGTCATCCATAAACCTTGTCAGACATGTCTTCTGAACCATTTCAAAACGTGATTCTGCTCCCACAAACAAACCAGCTCTTGGGCCTCTACACAATTATTAGAGATCAAAACACGCGCAGACCGGATTTCATCTTTTATGCAGACCGTATCATTCGTCTTCTCGTGGAAGAAGGCCTCAACCATCTTCCAGTAACACCGAAGATAGTGGAGACTTCTACAAATCAAAAATTTGACGGTGTGTCATTTTTAGGCAAAATTTGCGGAGTTTCCATTGTCAGAGCCGGTGAGTCGATGGAACAGGGTCTTAGGGAATGCTGCCGTTCTGTACGTATTGGCAAGATAGTGATTCAGAGAGATGAGGAAACCGCTTTGCCAAAACTTTTCTACGAAAAGTTGCCAGAGGATATTGCTGATAGATATGTGTTTCTGCTGGACCCTATGTTGGCCACTGGTGGGAGTGCTGCCATGGCCATCGAAGTTCTCATCAAAAGAGGTGTCAAGCCTGAAAGGATTTTCTTCCTCAACTTGATTTGCAGTCAGGAAGGTATTGATCTTTTCCATGCCAGATTCCCTGAAGTTAAGATTGTGACTGGCGCTATCGATTCCGGTCTTGACGAAAATAGATACCTGGTTCCAGGACTGGGAGATTTCGGTGACAGATATTATTGCATTTAGAGTGTGTTTGCCATCCAAGAAGCCCTGCTTCTGGTGGAAATCTCGTAGTCATGTAACGCTAAGAAGTAATAGACGGACCTTACCTATTGTTTTGCACCACCACTGAGTTTTTACCATTCACATGAACTGCGAATGCACGCATTGCGGATTTTCTTGCCATTCGGCTTTCGTGATCCAGATCTTTTCAAAAGTTGATAGACCCGCTAAAATGGACCCACCAATCCAGGTGCTGTGCTTTCTTTCTGGCGGGGCAAAAATCTTGATTTTATTGCTGGAGCCGCACTTGATGCGTAGTTCATTGAGCAGTCGATCTCCAAAACCGGGGAACAAAGTCGACCCTCCGCTGAGGACCACATTTGAATATAACGAAGATCGCAAATCTAAATCCACTTTCAAAATACTTTGATTGCACAGTTCTGCAACACCGTCACCTTCAGAGCCTATAAGCTGTGGTCGAAATAAAACTTCTGGAGCTCTGAATTTTTCGGCACCCATAGAAAGGATTTTACCGTCCGGTAACTTGAACTTGGTGTGCGCTTTTAGTCCATCAAGTCCCCCGTATTTGCTTTCCTCACTTGCTACATCTGTTGCCACATAACATGCTTTTTCCTTGACGATTCGTACAATCTCCTTTTCTGAACTAGAGAAGAGCGAAACACCAGTTGATTTTCTTAATAAGAGTTGTAAGAATTCAGTGACATCGCGTCCTGCTACGTCCATTCTTCTAACCGCAGTTGGCAAAGTAAAACCATCGTAGACCGGAACACTGTGACAAACTCCATCTCCACAATCAAGCACACATCCTGTAGTTCTTCCTCCCGCATAAAGTGCCAAGACTGCTTGGATAGACACATATACAGCTGGCATGTTGAACAAATCGAATAGAAGTTCACACATTTTTTCCCGGTTTCTAGACGGGTTGAGAGGAGCCTCCGTAACTAAAATTGGATGGTCCTTGGTATTTTTCAGCTTCAAAGCATCTTGCAGCACATACGTCCATAGATCTTCCAAACTATTCCAATCTTGCACGATACCGTGTTCCAAGGGATATCGCAGTCTTAGCAGTCCCCTCTCCCTTTGAGCTGCGTTACCTACCAATTGAGAATCGCTTGACAACCCACCTGCCATAACTTTGCTATATTTTGGAGTTCCCACTAATGAGTATTCTATGCATTGAGGTCGTTCTTCACCGCTAAACCCAGCTTTAATGATACCCGAGCCATTGTCTAGTACTATTGGTTGATTGTATAGCGCATTGGAGTCGCTCATGTATCAATATCGCGACAGCTCAACGTCTGCTGTAGCCTTGGCTTTTGTTTTCGAGATAGATCGATGATCCATCAGTTCCATCAATAGATATATGTATGTATTGGCCATAACTATCTACAAATTTACTGACCGATGAAATGAAAATCTCAAGACAACACCTCAGTGAGACTAGAAACCTTCATGACCATTGAATCCGATGAATCCTGTCATCAAAAAAATCTTGTAGTAATTCTTTTTCGCAATAGAGTTCGTGTGATTCCATGCTGAAGTTAGCCTTCCGTCAATACATGAACCACTCATGTAAAAATTGTCAGCGCCTGAGCCATCAAACATGTGAGCAAATGCGTCTTGTAAGATGACAAGCTTGAGGTCTTCTGCGGAGCCATATTCATTGTCGATGTAGTCTCGAATGGCTGAGTCACTTTCGACCAAATCGTTGATTTTCATTAGCGCCTGATCGAACGGGATCAAGATGTTGGGAATTTGGATATACTTGTCGAGGAAAAAAAGTGCGTTGGGCACGGCGTCATCCCCCAAGTGCACCACAGAAGACCCCACCCAACTAGAGCATTTAGATCGACATTCTCTCAGAATATTCTGCATTTCTCGATACAGGGCGGGACACGACTTTATGCGATTCAGACCTTGGCCAGTAGAGGCTAGTCTGTAATCGTGTGGGCTGTATAGATCCTGGTCTGCGATATACCATAGATGTATCATTTCTCGTTGTATGGAAGACCATAATGTCAGCGATTGCTGTACGTATTGCATTTGACGGTCGTGATCATGCGTCAAACGGGACCCATTTCTGCCATATTGAATACCTATCGAATACTGAGAAGCGATAGCCGGATCTTTGAAGGCTTCCAGCCTTTCAAGCATTCTCATCACGGGGCGACGGTTCATATTGACGTATGCGTTGTAATCTCCGATCGAATAAAGGACCTGGCGAAGGTCATCTTTGCTGAAATGCTTGCTGCTGTATTTTGCTACAAGTTTCTCAATAGCAGTCTCTTTTTGCTTGATGAGCCTGTTGATCTCAGGTCGAGACCTCCCGACGGGGGAAACTTGAGAAGTGGCATACAATATAAGTTTGTCCTCAAAAATCTTTAGTGCCTGCCCTTGATCGTCCGATTTCGAGCTGAGGTAGTCGTGCACCGTTTTGATAGGCTTGAAGAGGTGAAATTCCATATGATCCTCGATTTGTGGTAATCTCGAGTCCATGATCATGTAACACAATTTACCATAAGTGTCCCTCATTTTTTCAGGATTCATAATCTTGTAGCGCCTTCCGATCTCAAAGACGTCCTGAAACCATGAGGAGAAATCATTGAAGTTTTTCATTTCTAGTAGTTTTTTACCAACCTTCAAGTTTGAAGCAACGACAAGACCGCACAACACTGAACACATTTCTTTGAGTTGTTCAACAATTCGCTTGGCTTTGGATTTATAAGAAATGATATCCACACGGTCTGTGTATTCTGAAACCTGGAGTGCGGCTTCTAGAAGTCGCAATAGGTGTCTTTCCTCAGGTGTAAGTCGCATAGGAATAAATTTTGAATGTTTTGCCAGCATGGACAACATCTTTTGGTCGATAGAATTTGGGGATTCTGTGACCGGTTGCGGAGCTTGTGTGTCTGTTTGAAGACTGGTAGAATGATTATTGGATTCCTGCAGCTCTTGCTGCTCCTTTTCAGCGGATGGAAAAGATGTTTCTTCAGGTTTAATTCTCACAGTCTCATGCTTCTTTCTGCGGCCAGTACGGTGTATCATCTCGAAGCACACAACACAAAAGTGCTCTTCACAATCCCTGCACAAAATTTCTGTTTTCATGTCTTTACAATCGACACAGTATTCCTTATTCTGGGCTTCATCCTCGATTGATTCATCATCATCAGAAATTTCATTTTTAGTGTCCAAAACCTTGCTGTCGTCATCGCTATCTTCAATATGTTCAGAATCCAGGATCTGTTTCAACGTCTTTTTGGGCGCCATGCTCCCAGCTTTTGAATTCCTTTCGCTGTCTTGTTCGAAATCGTGCGTCAAAGAGTTCTCGAAGATCTCTGGAAAGTTTACCTATATATAGTTATTGTTTTGAAAGTAGAGTAAAAGCGGATAACGGTCACCAAAGGTTTAAGTCACCAAACCTGCCAGCTCTGATCTAGTTTCCAGCTCTTGTTTCCTCTTCAGCGCTTTGAATCTTTCTGCCAAGGTAAATTTCCACGTGTCGTGAGAAGTGATATAATTGTAAAGATCTCGAGGCGACTGGACTTGCTGAGAAACCTACAAAAGAGAATGGTCTGGAAATTTGTGCATTTGCAAAGGTCTGAGAACTGTCGTACATGCATGTGCATTCTTGGTGTCTCGCTTGCTTCTCAACTCAAGAATTACAAATAGGAGAAATTGAAATACGTTGAAGTTTAAAATCGTCTCGAAATCACCATTCAATCGAGAAGAATCAGCAAAGCTTGGGAAAATTAAAGTGTTCATTTGAACCACGCTTGAACTTTCTTGAAGGTCGACGTCAGTAAAGTAGAGTTAAATGGTCACTATTGACGAATATCTAAATTACTACCAAATGGCTAATGTAACGGCTCACAGCGATACCTTCAAGGGTCTTGATGTGGAGCTATCTTTTAGACCCAAGGCTTGTCGATAACGCCTCAAAAATTTCACCAGATACCTCTCACTGATGGTGTCAATTTTAGGGCTTTCTAATGATAACAAAAACCCAGGCTTCGTGCTATCAAATTCACATAGAACTATAATAAGAACCACAGTCAGTCTTATAGTAATAGCCTTCTTGTCGATTGAAAGTTTCAATTGGCTGAGTCAAAGAAGTATGTCGATTTTTCCCAGCTCTAAGATGCTTTCCAGATCCACATTTTTTCACTAACCATATTACTTAGGATCAGACTATACTATTATCTTCAATCTTTTCAGATATATCAAGGGCAACAGTCTTCGACAGCAAAATGGAAATATAAATGAACTACAGGCCCCGATTTTTGGCGCCCTGGAGTTTTCTCCTGAAGACGCCAACCCACTGCATGTTACACGCACTATACTTTTTGGCACGATTTCTGTATTATTGATGCTATTTCTGATTCTTTGACAGGACAGCTGAGACTTTTTTCAACAAACCGGTTGAGAAATCCGCGATTTGCTACTCAATCACCCAGTGGTTGTATATCTTGAGCCGTTTTTATAACATGAATTGTGTTTTATCTAATGAAATGAGACTGAATTCGCGTCAGGAAGTTCCGGACTTTTAATGCCTGAACCTTTGTAGCAGAACGCAACGGAGTAACTTAACCGTATAAATATGCATTCGTTGAGGTTGTTTCGCTTGTGCAACCCCTTCTTTTTGATCATGTTTTAACATCTTGCATTGGTCTTCAATAGTCCCGTAGGACCAACGACGTACGGCTTTACGAAATGATTCTTGCATTTATTCAAGATAATGCCGTTCTCAATTCTCAACGATTTGACCTTCGAAGCCTTGGGTTTGCCTTTGATGCCTTGATCAAATATAAATCCAGAGACGGGTGCATTATTCGTCTCGTAAGCCGGAGGAGGAATAGCACGTATTATAATTTTGCCCATCCATTCTTCGTCAATGGGAAGGGGTTTGATACATCTCAGTGAATCCCTAATATACCTTCTCCTCGACATTTCTTTTCTAGGCGGGTGCCATTTGACCCCTTCGCTGCCATAGGGCGTGCTACTCAGATTACTTGTCACCGAAGACGCACGTCGGCGGAAAGCGTCGCCTCGATCCACAACATACAAATAATCGTCTTCGCTGTCATGGAAAATCCCTTCTTCTTGGTAGATTGAGGATGTTGTTGTGGCCGGGTTGCGATGCAAGCTATCAATATCGTCGTCATCTTCATCTATCTCGTCGTCTCGGTCGTCACCTGTAAACGACGGTATAACATCACCATCTTCGTCCTCATCTTCTTCCTCAATCGCTACGTCCTCTTCATTATGTTCGCGTATGATCTGATGAAGTTCGGCGAGATCTTTCTGCAAACCGACGTTATTTTTGAACCCATGCTGCGTTTGCAGCTCTCCAGTGGCAACCGATGCTATGCTTCCAGGGGAACCAGGCGTGGCAACAGTACCATCTTTGTCTACAGGTGCGGATGCGCTTATGAAACCAAAGTAGTCCTCGCCTTCTGTGTGGTTATCCATCGGTCCCATCGACTGAGAACGCTGATCTAAGCGGGGACGAGCAGGACCAGCCGCTTTTAATGGAGAATTTGAAGCAGAGCTAGCAGCGGGTGGTACAGGATCTTCTTCTTCGTCTTCTACCACCCTGTTTAGTCCGGTAGAACTGACAGTGCGAAAATAGGCACTTCTATAAGAAGGCGAAGATGCTTTTTTATCCGAGTTGAAGAAATTCTTTAATTTTGATTTGATCGAGTCGTTACTACCTCTTCTACTCCCCGGCGAATAATGGGAAGATGATAAGTAAGGGTCTTCGCCATGACTCGAGTGCGAACTTGATGAAAGAGTCCTTGCGGACTTCTTTTGCGGAGAATGTGGTTCCAAAAATCCGCTTCGCGAAGAGCCAGAGCCATTGGAAGAGACTGATCCCTTTTTTTTATCTGAAGTGATCCTGCGTAAACCATCAACTCCGTTGATAATGCCGTCCTGTCTTTTCCGTCTTCTGCGTCTGCGCCTGCGTGGAACAGTTCTGTAGCTGGGAAGTTCTCTAAAATCTAGGTCAAGAGCAAGCCCAATTCCAATGCTCAGATGCATTGCCCACATAATCATGTCGTCTACGTGAGAGAAGCTAAGCAAAAATTGATCGGTCTCACACCGTAAACGCAAAACAAACGTCTTTCTATTGTAGTCCGTGGGAATTCCAAATTTTGCAAACTGCAACGAATAAGTTTTGAATAGTCTATTATTGGACAAAAACCTGACTTTATCCTTTTTAATCTTGTTTGCCAGAGATTCTTGGTCGGCTTTGTTGAATTGATAAGTGCTTTTTGAACCCAGAGAATTGAGTATCGAGTGATGGCTATCGTATTCCAGAACAGGGTCTATTGACTCGCCTGCAAAGCTAGATTTACCGTTCGAGTAATTTCTGATGGTCTTGGTTAGGGAGGGATCAATGTGATAGAAATTGACCTGCGTTGAGTTTATCTCCATCACAAAATTTTTCCATCCTCTAGACGGTGAAATGTTGTAAGGGTCCAACCATTCCATTTTCATTGAAACTAAGGTAATTTCCTCTACTGATGGAGAATACGGTGGGAGAAGCCCTGGATCCTGCACGTCATACACCGGGAAAGCCACACGTCTGTTTGGGTTTACAGAGTTGTAGCTGGGTACTTTACTCGGCAGAGGATTGACCCATGCAAGAAAATCGTCTTCAGATGCTTCTACCCTTTTGGTAGGCTCCTTTTCCCGTAATTTTGCATTTCCGGCTGTACTTTGCGACTGTTTGACACTCTTTCCTCGATGGCTCCCATCCGAAGCCTCCATACTGTTTGATAGATTGTCTGACGAAGACAGAGACCCGCTGGAGCACGAAGACTTGGTCTTATCCAAACTATTCTGTTTCGTGTATCCTAGTCTTTTAGACTGTACCACTGAACTCATATTTGTTTTGTTAGTTCAGCCCCAATTTGACACACTGTTGTTTCTATCCAGGAGCAAGGGTATAAAAGGGCTTTCAATCCTCAGCCAGCAACTTCAAACTACTGGCAATAGAGCCGTTACAGCACAGTTTTGCTCGAGAGACCGTTTGAAGGTTTAAGGTTGAAGTTAGGTAACGTAATTTAAAGAGTATTCAGGACAGTAACAAAATACGAGTACATTCAAGCCATTGACGACGAAATGTAGACACACTATTTAAACGTCAACGATAGCCTTTACAGCGTCATTTGATATCATAAAATTTGGTCTTGTTCTTCAGTATTTTTTTTGTAGGTCATTTCACTAGGGTTTCGTTATTAGAGGAAGAAAAGACAGTTTTTGTCTAGCTCCTTACCCCCACCCATTTCAGGATCCCAGCTTTCAAATGGTGCTGATGAAAGGTTCATTTCAGCGTTGAAATTTGTTGTCTCTCGTCGTATATGTTTTAACAGTTCATTTTAACACTTCAGAACGAATCTTGGGCGATTCCGAGATCAGCCTGGTTTTGGAATAATGTGTTCTTGAGAAGACTGGGATCTAAAGGACCCTTCTTTACCATGCTAGTAATAAGCTCGTAAGCAATCTGAGATGCAGCCAAGGCGGTGATATCTGCGTGGTCAAATGCCGGAGAAACTTCAACAATGTCAGCACCAACCAAATGCAGGTCTTCGAGTCTACGCAACATGTGGATCAACTCACGGGTCAGTAAACCGCCTGCTTCAGGCGTCCCGGTTCCTGGAGCGGTGCTAGGGTCCAGAACGTCGATGTCTACGCTGATGTACACAGGTTTGTCCTTGGGCACCAAGGCAAGGATTTTGTCAGCCATGCCATCAGCACCGAGATTTAGACAGTCGTCAGACTCAATACGGTGGAAGCCGCTCCCGGCGTCTTCCTCGTAATCGTCCCAGCCTTTCCCACTGAGCCGGGTTCTCAAACCAGCGTGAACATTAGTATTTTCCGCCAAAAGCCCCTCCTGATGGGCCAACCACAGCATGGAGCCGTGTGTGAACGCAGATTCGTCACTGTGCCAATATGAAGGATATTTGCTGGGGGCCCAAGTGTCGAGATGTGAGTCGAAATGGATCACAGACACGGGACCGTATATTTTGTGCAATTGTCTTAGCGCCGGCAAAATGATGCTGTGGTCACCACCAAGCGTCACGAGTCGTGGCGGCATCTCATCTTGCTGCAGTGTGCTGTTCCTTGTCAGTAAATTTTCGTAAGCAGCGGTCATCATCTGTAATGCCAGTTTGTTATCCATTGGTGTCACTGGCACATCTCCACAGTCTAAGACCTTTGCCCAACTCTGATATGGGTTAATTCCGGTCCTGAAATTGAACCCTCTAAGCGACGTTTGTCGCTGCGATGCCCTTCTGATCGCCTGAGGTCCGAAACGGGCTCCTGGACGGAATGTCACTGCGGTGTCAAACGGCACACCGATAACACCAACATCAAAATCGAGGCTTCTATTTAACAGACATTTTTGGTGCTCCAAGTGTGCAAATGTCTGAATTCCGGAAAACGGCCAGTCTTGGCCCCAAACCTCTTGCAAATCTTCATTTTCAAATGAGTCAAATTGGCCATCGCGATAGCTGTGAGCCAAACCTGTTCCTGATGCAACTAAGTAGTGGGCCAAAAGGCTGAATTTCATAGTTCTCTTGATGTTCAAGATAGATACAATACCCAATTCTGGTCAATGATGAACTATCTAGATTCCAAGGGCTTCACTCCATTCATGGCAAGCGGCCTGCGATGCCCATTGATATATCTGACAAAATCTCGCTTGCAACTTCCGGGAAACTAAAGCCTGTTTAATATCATTTCCCACGAAAACCGATAACGAAACAGTGCAGGAGTTGGCGAGATAACCATTCTGAAAGGACATTAACCGATCAGCCCAATCGACTAACCATTTTGATCGGTTAGCAGAGGGAAGAAGAGAATAGAAAAGTAGGCAATGGCGAAAGATGGTCAGTCTAAACAAGGCCAGAAACGTATTTCAAAATACTCCAACGGTAGTTCGGTACAAATGACCCATAATTCTTGCTATGTCTTTGTAGCGTCGGAAACTTGTCATCAAGAAACACAGTGCGAAGAAAAAAGTAGCGAAACACACGTAGACGCTCGTTCCGATGCCGTAAGCCATGTAGATAGTAACGGCTGCAGTCTTGATGAGGGAAACGTAGGCTTTCAGAACCCAAGCTCCTACAACAGCTTTGGAAGAGGCCCAAACGAAGACTGGCGCCGAGTAGTATACGATGATGTTGTGGAATTTGCCCAGCAGACCGAAACCGGCCTTGAAAAACACCACAGATGTGCCGTCGTCGCTTAAGATGCGGGAGTAATGGCAGTAGCTCGCAATATCCGCGACGAAATCGCTGTTTGAAAAGGTGACCTCCGTAAGCAGGATCTTCAATACGTTGTAAACCGAAAATGGGAACAGAAACACCATCAAAAGGTGGTCCAGTAGCAGTAGGTTGCGTAGGAAAAGCCGCAAATACTGTCGTCTTCGGACCCCTGGCGGCCAGCGCACAACATTGGGCTCTTCCCGTCCAAGTCTGCCCAAAACGCCCCGGACACGTCCGTTTTGGCCAGCAGCCACATTTTCCTGGCCCTCAGGAACCCGAACGTCACTCTGATTGTCTTGCGTACCCGCAATTGCGTCATCTAGAACATCCTGTCCGGTCCTTGAGCTATATGGCGCTTCAGGGCCTGTAAATCTACTAGTATTTGACATTTCGATATATACTTTTGATGTGTGATGGCCCTCTAGAACTCCCAGATGTGCTAAACAGGTCCATCAACGAGTTGGAACGCTTGAGAGACCGTTTGAAGCGGTGCATTTTCTTTCAACTTTGGCTTCTTCTTATAATTATAGGAACACCTAACATGATTGATTAACTAGAATTGTCAGATGACCAGGATATCGGCTACAGAACTGGTTAAACACTGAGAATTATGGCTCGAGTTATGATACTTAAGTGAGTCCGGGTACTTGAAGCTGTCAGGCCTAGGTTTTGTGTATATATTCAGGCTTAAGTTTGTGAAATTGAGCTGTCTCAAGTAGTATTTTAGTTGCACGACGTTTAATACCTCGTGGACCGCCTTTCTCAGTAAAGACAATGTTGTTAATATGAGGCTGGAGAGGATAGCTTGGTTACCTACATCAAAGACATGACATGAACCCAATTGGCAATTGTTTCTTGTGCAGTTAGTTTTCGGTCAAGATCACAGAAAACAGCACAAAGTGCTTCAAACTTCTCAGGAAAATAGTCTTTTTGTATACCCAAGTACCTAGAAATTTTGCCCAAGAGCCAATACTGACCTGCCAACACTAACGCACATCGTCTTCTATTTCAGTTACGGTTGGCCCAGAGTTCAATCTCCACAATTAAAATATATATATATTGTGGTATGCTCATCTCATCTCATCCCATCTCATCGTTCTCAAGATTAGGCTTTAGTAGTGACTCCAAGTAGAAAACGAAGAAAATATGACTAGGAGACGAATGGTATCCACTTTCATACTAGAACTCTTGACTATTGCCAGCCTGATTCTTGCCAACACTGAGACATTGTTTTTCAAAGTACCTTCCACCTTTAGATCTGAAAGTTCAGAGTATGACACGGCCAGCCCACACTTATCGCTCGTCAATACGAACCGTGGAACTAAGGAATTCGATATACCAATTGGATCTACATTTGGATTGGAGCTACACGGTTTAGAGCCAGGCGATACTTACCAGGCCAAGTTCTGTTGGACGGCTGCAGATCCAGTCGATGTACGAGTAATAGGTTGGGCTCTACAAAGAAAAAAAGGCTCACCCAGCAGTAAGGATTTGATAAATGTTGTCAATGTTGAGCTAGTGCCCTTTTCCTACCCAGCCATCAAAACATCGACGGTTCCGGTAATTGTGTCCGTTGCAGCCGTCCGCTTAGGGCTACCGGTGGATCTCTATTCTACATTGTTGTACATAACACTGGTTTTCGCCGCCACCTATGGCGTATATCGCCATTTTTTGCGTTCAATAGTATGGTGAAGTCGAAGTGAAGATTAAGTACACTCTAAAATGCATTAAGATCTAAAGATCTGGATTTAAGATAAAATCGCAGAAATATTTGAGCGCGCCGTAAGTTTCCTTTCCTACAGGAGTGATAAATTTTGGAGGTAACAGAAACCCGTGATTCCCAGTGTCTCGCAGCTTCAATTGCACGCCCCAGTGGGCTCTATGGTGATACATGTAATCCAAAGCAGAACCGGAGCCGAGTCCAGGTGTAAGATCTGATCCTCTATCTTCGCACGATGAGAGTACATGATACATCTTGCCACTCTTTCGTCTAATGGCTTTCGCAAGGCCATATGACAATTCTAACAAGTTTTCAAGGTCCCTAGGGAGGGCGTCGCACGAGTATGCGTATGGATACAGCACCTCTTGAGAGTACGAATGAAGATCCAAATATCCATGAACAGTGTACTCCTTTTTAGCTTCGCTGATGTAGTTATTCCAAGATTCGGACTCTAGAGCCTCGAAAGGAGCCTCGCCACTGTAATCCTCGCTGCATGGGAAATCTTGCGCTCCCGTCCATTGAAAATCAAAAGAATGGTCAATGTCAATACCAAAGCATCTGGGGTAAAAAGTTTGCTGTCTGTTTTTCCTCCATAGACGGTCATGGCTCCACGTGTAGACATATCCGTCAGGGTTGAAGACCGGGACAATCAAGAAATCTAAACGGTCCAAATAGCGCGTTTCCCTTTTGTTAACTCCGTAGCCTGCTAGTAGTCGGGAGATAAAATAGCAAGCTGTGCTCACTCCAATCCATTCTCTGGCATGGACGCCGCCTGTAATTATGATGGTTTTCTTATCTGGGTTCAAATTTTGATTTTGGGCACTGATGTGAAGCGCCTTCATGTCCCTACCTTCGAAAGTCTGACCCACAAGTTCTATCTTGACCAAGTCAGGAAAGGTGAGCTGCATGAGGTCTAGCCACGTATATATGGTCTCTAGATCGCGGAACTGGCTGAAAAAAATGTCATTTGTTGCTTTCAGCGATGAAGTGAGGTCCAAAGGTCGTACCTCAGGCACCTGAGACTGTGAATTGTCATTAAAGGGCAAGAAGGGCTGTGTTGCAGGATCAGGATACGTTTGAGCTATGGTCTCTTGAAGGTCATCTATCATCACCTCACATCCCTCAAGTCTATCCACCAAACTAGCGGGGACCCTCACGTCTACAAATTCAGGGTTGCGCGTCCATATATCCACCGGTGCTTCGGTATATTTTCCCACTTTTCGTCTTACCTCACCGACATCGCCGGTGCGGAACCTACACACTCTTTGATTGGTATAGTCTTTCGAGCAATATGCACCTGTTAAACACCCGAGCAACAAGATAATAGCTTTCCTCATAGCTGCTCAATTAGAGCGGATACTGAAGTCAAAATCTGAGTCGTTTGGATGCGATTTCAACGACGCTTGGACCTTCAAGTGGTAGGTTTGGATTAGATTCATCATTTGTTAATGACGAAGGAATAGATGAGGCCTACGATGATTTACTGGAGCCATTTACGTGAACAGTGACAAACTCTACATGTTTCTCTCAAAAAACAAGACGGCCCAAGGGACGTATTCTAGATGTTGATGAGTAAGAATTCAGGTGAGAATAGTTGATTCGTAGGACTGGTAACGTTTGTGTAATCTACTTGCGGAATGTACTGTATTGGAAGACTAATTAGTCAAAAGGGGAAAGTCACGTGACACGAGTTTTCTATGGATTAAAACTGGGCGGACTACTTGCGTTTGTATACCTAAAGCTTGTAAGTGATCTAAAGTTATCACTAGTCTTTAGCGCCTTTGTTTTATTTTGATTCAATTGCCAAATGAGTCCTGTTGAGACAACTTCCGCTAGCATCAAAACCGCTGTTCATAGCAAATGACCTCAAAAGAAAAAAACACTGTCAATAATAAGTTCGGAATAACAAGGTTTTAAGATCATGTCATTCCAATCGGTAAGTGTTCCGGCTTTTGCTACAAATGTCTATTGCTCGTTTTGTAGAGTTTCATATTCCTCTCCTACTATTGTCATCAATATAAAGATCAATTTCTGAGAAAATGACAAATATAAAAGCGAGAGAATTGACATTGGGACGGTAATCAAATACAGCTAGATACACTCACGTCGGACAACCTATCCGTAAGCCATCTCTTGATACCAGTTGCAACTAGAACGTTACCGAATTCATGGGTCACGTGACTGTCTCTTTCTCGTATTGGAACTTCAAATACATAATGAACCCTCGATTCCTACCGATGTCAATTGCAGATAGGACTTTCGACTTAAAGATCTGTATTACAAATATCCTCTTGACTGGCAGCTTTCACTCTTTTCGAGACGCTGACATCGCCAAATTCTGACACCCGTCGTAGATAATTACAATATGTACAAGGGCTAATCTCTCACTACTCACAATTGTGATATTGATGTGCACAGCAAATCCCATGTTTTGAAGTCTCGTCAAGGCAAGTTTATTACATACTCTGCCTTTGAACTAGCTGATCTTAGCACTTTTCAATAGCGTTGATAACTACCGAAGGTATAGCAATGAGCAAATCAAACGATCTTTCTCCTACATCCAGTAGCGTGGATTTGAAGGAGACGGTCGATACTTCCAAAATGACGCCTCAGGAGATCAAACTGCTCAAAATGTATGGCAAGATGCCTTCCAAAAAGGACCTTTTTAAGCACAAGTTGCAAGAAAGAAAATATTTCGACAGCGGTGATTACGCACTAAACAAGGCGGGAGTGAAATCGGACGATTTGCAATCGAATTCCATAGGAAACAGCCATTTACCGGTGACAAACCCCAGCGGGCTTAGGGAAAGCATTATAAAGCGGAGACTCAGCAGCAGTGCTGGCGCACTCGATTCCCAGGATCTTCAAAGACAAGGCAGTATATCCAGCGGACCTCCGCCAAGATCGCCCAATAAGTAAATGCAAAACCAAGATTCTTGGGACTCGATTCGAAAAGGAATTTGAAACAGGATTTTCATTTCAAAGAGCAGGGCGTTTTCCCTGGTGGATCCAGGTTTCAAATTGAAGACGAAGAACTTTGTGCCAAAGGCTCCGCACGACACAGGTCGTTTACTATCCTGTTCGTAGAGACCAAACGTCACTACTTTGGGGAGTTGCCAATTGAACTACGAATCGAAGAGTTCTGTTATGACCCACTAGCCGTTTTACGAATTGTTTTTTTTTTTTGGTTTTTTTGTGGGGGGGGGGGGGGGGGAAGNTGGGGGAGGTGGGAGGAGAAGAGTCTTTCTGGCAGAAGAAGTTCAGTATTTACAATAACACGCTAACTCAGTACTAGAGATAATCAAAGCCACTTAACAGGCTTTGAAGTTTAGTCTACGATTTTTGTCCGTAAAGATATCTTCCTAGCTTTCCAAATAGCAGTAGACCCAGGAAATAAAAATCCATGAAATACAACATTTGCGAATAGTCCGTCACGTCACGGTAACAGGTTATTGAAGCGATTGTTCCAATTCCTAAACATCCCAGCAGCATCGACGGCGTTCCATCGAAAAACATCCAAAGAACAATGTTGAGCAAAAACCATGCACCGCTAGCTTGTAGCGAGGAGCTCCATTCTATTCTGCGAATGCCAAAAGCCACGCCCAAAGTTGCATTGACACAACGCAAGAACGAAGCAAAAGTCGTGGTTTGCACTGGACGACCTCCCAGCGTCTCGATAAGAGGAAGCAAAGCGCCAAAAAGCACACCTTCCAGCGCGTAAGCCAGCCATGTTGGCACCATACCGAAACTGAGGGTCCTGCAAATCTCCACTCCCAAAGCCAATGGTCTTGAAGCCAGTTGTGCGTGTAGTTCGTGATTGTCATGCAGTTGCTTGCTGAGCTCGTTGTACGAAATTCCGGCAACTCCCAGCAGCGACAAAGACCACAGCAACTGAACACTTTTTTGGACAGCCGATTGGTGCTCTGCTTGAGCAGCGGTCTTTCTCCAAGCTTTTGGAAACTTTCCCACTGATTTTTTTGCTTCTTCGTATACTTCGTTATCCTCGCTTATAGTGATGTCTGGGTCGTAAATACCATACAATTGGGGTCGCGTTAAACTGCTAATGGACTCATTACTGCGACTATGCTCATTCGCATCTATCTTGGCTGATTTTCTAGCCATTGTCAAGTTGTAGAAGCTGCTCTATCTGTCTGGGATACCTCCCTCGAGGTTGGGAATTCAATAGTGTGTAAAGGCTAACGTTGAAATATATGTATAATATATAGTGGTGAAATATAGTTAGTTGGATTATACGCATAAATGAATTTTGGGGTCACATGATGTGGAAATTATGTCAATTTCAAGTTTCAATATCCACGTGACACTTGCGAATGGGAATTAAATCATTATCAATAGTACAGAAACTTTTTGCATGAAGAAGGACGTATTTCAGCCAGAGCGATTTGAATCTCTTTAAAGTTATACAATTGTATTCCTCAATACGAGCCAAGATTATGGAATCAGTCACTGTATACGACAATTGTGACACTTTTGCATGATCATACCTCTGAACACATATTTCAATATGGATGATTCATCTTCGATACTCTTCACCGTTTGATCACCCCGCGATCACAACTCTTTATATTGAAAAATCTCTGGCTTTAGTAGAAGTGAAATAAAGCTTTCGTGTACAGTGATCATAGCATGTAAAACAACTCTCGTAACGCTCAATGAGCTTCGGGTCATTCATCTCACTTTGAATTCCTTGAATCTCTTTAGTTCGAACAGAAAAGCTTTCTAGCTTGCGGGTGTGCTGAGAGATCAGCCAAAGTGTGTTATACCACTTTACACGTGAGTTTTGATACAACGAACACTCTGAACGAACAAGGTCGTAATCTGTAAGTCAAGATTCGTCCCCGGTCGTAGGTTCATCTCATAGCTTCTGCAACAAACTTGCACCGCCCTGTAGTTCAACAAAACACTTGTCGTACCACCGACAATCCTTTCTGGAGTGAGATTTTCCCTAATTTTTTTTGCACGCTTATGAAAAGTTCATATAACGCAAGATAGGCGCGAAGTTCAGTCAAATGCCATCACCTAGTGGGAAAAGGACGGAACGGAGCTATTTGACGTGTTGCGGTCTCTTTGATCGAGGGGGCCTTTTCAGGACAAACATCTTGGCCAGAGAATTTTCCGGGATAAACGATACGTCTGGGCCAAATAAGCTCAGCGATAATTTCCACAGCTACAGCTGGTTAATACGAAAACTACAGCGGGAAATAAAACGGTGCATTTGGCCGACACTACAATTCGAAGGCATATGAATGAAATGGCACATACAACGAGGTAAGAAACACCCACCGCCGTGGTGTTCAAAACGCTCATGTCGGTGTGATCTGGTTCTATTTCGTCCTGATCGTCACCAGTGACGGTCCCTCTACCAAATTTCGTTGATGATTGGGTCTACATGAAATACTACATCTACAAGATAGCTGTTCAAGGAAGCTAAATCTTTACTCTAGTCTCCCAGAGATCCAGTCCACCCATGGAAGACGCTCGAGTACAAAGATGAATGATGGTTATCCAGAAAAACGCACATATCGGGAAACTCGCCGTTATGCAACGCAAGCCGAACCGTGACTATGCTTTGGCGATCTTGAAAGACATTGCACATCAGGTTTCGCTCATCATGCGTGAGAATAGCTTCAAAGTTGGCCAGCTGGTCGAGTTTTATCCGAAAAACAAGCGATTACTGGGTATGAATGTTAACGGTGGCTCCAAAATCATGTTGAGGCTTCGACAGCCTTTTGACGAAGATCAATTTTTATCGCGAGAACAGATCCTGGGAACCATGCTTCATGAACTGACTCACAATGTTTGTGGACCGCATAACGCAACCTTTTACAAAAAACTCGACGAGCTGACGGCTAGGCAGTGGGTGATCGAGCAACGGGGTCTTTTTGACGGCTTTGTGGGACAAGGACGGAAACTTGGTGCACGGCCAAGAGCCAGAATACCAGGTCGAGCTTTGGGTAGTGGGAACGTTTTGGGCTCCGCCCAAAACGGCTCCTGGAAAATAGGTTCTTTGGACCCACAAGTGCGACGATCGCCTCGAGAAATGGCTGCTTTGGCTGCGGAGCAACGTGCACAGGATGCACAATGGTGCGGCAGGCCAAAAGTCGACGAAGAACCGGAAGTGCAAGAACTCGAATTTATTGATCTTGCAGATGATGGCGATAATGATAATAAACCAGAATCGCCGCCGCTCGTACCGATGGTACCAAAGGGTGATGAGCTACGATCCGGTGATGCACAAAGCCTTTCCAAGCCCGAAGTGATCGATTTGACATGATGCGACGACAACATACTCGTGGATAGTGATTGCGATCTTATTTTCATATATGTTCCTAGAGATTTCGAATCAAAAGCTACCTACGATTTTCAGACCTTTTTGTGCACCAATTCATGTCCTTCAGCTCTTACACACATACAGCTTGCCTTTGGTTCTCTGGTTCCGTACACTTTCTGTGTATACACCTTATACAAATTATAAATTGAATAAGTTCTGTCACGTGATAGTGGCGATGGCCCTCAGAAGCTACCAGAAGCTCTAAAGTACGACTCGATGACAGCACAAGTTAACGCCACCTGGACGATCCTTACGCCACCGCTATCAGCTATAAGTATCGGCATTCGCATCTGTAGACCTAGGACTTATCAAAAAGCTGCGAACTAAGGGCGTTTTTTGGGCCTAAACAACAGCAGCAACAAACAATACATAGAAACATTATCTACAATATACTTAGACCAGATGACAGACACAGAGACCGGGATGCTAGACGTGGGAACCCACTGCAAGTTTTGCAGACAGCTGGATTTTTTGCCTTTCCATTGCAAGTACTGCGAAGGCGATTTTTGCGGAGCCCATCGCACACCTCAACAGCACCAATGTGAGACATGGGTGGACCCTCAAGAACACGAGCAGGATCAGACTCCGATTTCCGTTACAACTATACGCAGCGGCGGCGAGGGTCAGTATTTCAAATCGCTTTTGCCGGAGAAGGCTCATGTTCGTGTACAACAAGACAAGACCGCCCGTGGGGCTTCTGGTTCAGGCCTAGAACGCCATATAAGCGTGCGGGAAAGACTGGAAACCGCGGGACAGGCTACTGCGGTCGCCAAACTCAAATCTTTCTTTCAACGACGGTCTTCCGCTTCTAGAGACTCCTTCAAAGCCAAAAACCCTGTAGGACCTGCAGCCCGGATGGTGGAGCTTGCCAAACTCAGGAAAACTGCTCTAGGAGACTCCTCAGTTCCTGTGGGCAATCGAGTCTACGTTTACTGCTACGCTGTAGGCGCTGAGAACGAGCAAGAAAGTCAGATCTGCCACCAGATTTTTCTGAACAAAGTGTGGCCGGTGGGCCGTGCACTCGACTCCATAGCCTCGCAACTGAACGTTCTGAACACCAACTCTCATTTTGCATCCAGTTCGAACGAAAAGCTGTTCCTATATCGAGAAACCCCCACTCCCGTTCAAAACGCCGTGCGAGCCCCATCCCCGGCCTTGCTAGAGCCCTCCACCAGGGTCCAAACCGAGATCCACGATCTCGACACCCTGTTTCTAGTACGCGGCCACCTCCTGCATTAAAAAATTCAATATTCTACATGTAACGATGCAAACAACACCATTATTACTAACAATCTACTTCTATGTGCCGTTCTCAGACCCTACTGTTTGTTTCCGTTCACAGCCGTCGATTCCGTCGCACCGATTACTAAGATTATCTGTCAATGTCATACATCATCATCAATGGAAACGGTCGAAGAACCTGATGGAAAAACCCTCATCGTCTACAACATGGGACCCATACCACTTTCGGTTTTGCTTTGACCCATCCCGACTTTTATATATATACCACAAGAGATTGTAATCTAGCCGGAATGAAGTATGACGGTCTTATTGCTTGAAGTCCTTTTTCGTCGTAAGCAATCGCCATTTTGCTGTTTGGTTTATCCACCTCCTGTATCTCTCATCAGATAACGAACTATCGATACTATTACTTCTGACTGGCCGCTTCTACAGGAAACTTTCAAGCTTCACCAACAAACAAGAAATTATGGACGAAAAAGTTTTGGTCTCTGGCTGCAACGGTTACATTGCACTCCACGTTTTGGATATTCTGTTGTCCGAAGGTTACCATGTAATTGGAACGGTGCGTTCCGAAGGCAAAGGTGACAAAGTCAAGGACTCTTTTGCTAAGCTGTACCCATATGCCAAACTGGACATCGAAGTGGTTACCGATATTGGACAACCGGGTGCTTTTGATGCTGTGTTCAAGAAGTATCCAGATTTGCAGCATGTGCTGCACATGGCAGCCAACTTCTCTTTTGGATCTGACCAGAGCAACGAAGAAATGTATTTGAAGCCATCCATCGAGGGAACTAAAAGCATTTTGAACACTGTGGTGCAATCAGGACCCAACGTCAAGACTTTTGTGCAAACCTCATCGTTTGCATCAATCATGAACGTTCAGGACCCAACTTCCTTGCACACTGAGGCCACCTGGAACCCTATCACTTGGGAAGAGGCCAAGGACAACGAATTGGCCGCTTACTGTGCGTCCAAGAAATTGGCTGAAAAGCTGGCGTGGGACTTTTTGAAGGAAAACGCTTCGCAAGTCAAGTTCCGCTACACCGCTGTGTGTCCTCCATACGTTTTGGGCCCGCAAATGTTCGACTGGGGGTTGGACGGTGAAAAGCTCAACACATCTGCAGAGCTTGTGAACAACGCTGTTAAATCGACACCATCTTCCACGGGTCCCTTCGACGACCCTAGCGGTATCACTACCGATGTTCGTGACGTAGCTCTACTGCATATGCTCCCATTACGTGACGAAAAGCTGGGTGGTCAGAGACTTTTCCCAGTTAACGGTGCAAGTCTCAAGAAGCCCGACTACCAAAACGCTAGATTCAATCCTCAGCGTATCTTGGATGTGGTGAACGCCAACTTCCCAGAACTAAAGGGCAAGATCGCTGCTGGTGACATTAAGGATAACCAAAAGCTTTTGGAAAAAACTTTTCACTACAACACCGACCTCACTTGCAAGCTTACCGGTGTCGAATTCAAGACCCTTGAGACCAGTATCATAGACTCTGTCAAGCAGATTTTGGAGCACCGTCAAAAGAAGTAAGGTGCCAGAGCATAATCGCTCGTAGAAGTAAGCTCTTATTATCTACAATGGCGCCTCTAGTAGAGATTAGAAGCCGATATAACGAGTTATAAGAGATATTTTGGAGTTTGAAGCACTTACAGCTGTTTTAATATTGAAGGCAGTCCTATGCAAGAGCCAGAACCGCTACGGCAGTGTCAATTTTAGAAGTACTTTTAAAGATTCACGTAATTTTATAGAATACACACTATGATCTCGAGATTCGTTTCCGGCTTTAAGTGATGGAAAGTTCGGTGCACAAACGCTCCTTATTCTAAACAGTGTCGGAGCGTTCAAATGTAGTACGGGCTTACGATGTTTTCGATGGCCCCTATTAGGAGAGAAGCTGCAACTTCAACTGGCTGGAGAGCTTCGAAAAATGTTCGACACATCAAAGAAAAGAATTGCGTCGCAAACACGCTACTAACAACAACCAAGTTTTGCGAAAAAACCTTTCTTTGACGACACAGAAGTACCATCAGCAGCGCTCTTTCCATTGATAGGAGCAGCTTGTTTCGCAATTGGCTGTGGGTGAGCACTATACTGATGAGGCTGTTGAGCAGCTTGCTGATTGTAACTGTTTACACGTCCAGCTGGTTGAGCTTTTTGTTGCAACTGAGCGTACTTTTGTTGAGTTTGCTGTTGGTAGGCTTCATAAGAAGTTGGATCGAGCCTGCCCTGCTGTAGAGCCTGCTGCTGTTGCAAAAGCTGTTGCTGCTGTTGTTGTTGTAGTTGTTGCTGCTGCTGTTGTTGCTGCTGTTGTTGCTGTTGCTGTTGCTGTTGTTGTTGCTGCTGCTGCTGTTGTTGTTGTTGATGAAGCAGCTGCTGTTGTTGGTAGCGAATCTGCTGTTGCGGATCCATTCCTTGTGCCTGTGCATATTTGTTTCTGTGCCTTCTGCCTTTGTCATTAGGTGGGTTAGGGTGGCCGTAACCGTGTAGATTAGGTTTCTTGTTAATGTTCAAGTCCCAACCACGACCCCCGTTGAGTTTCATCCAGTCATATTCACCATCTGCTTCCGTACCCATATCATCGAGTATCGAAAGAAATAACTTTCTGTAACCTTCATAATCAGGGGTTTCTTCAAAGGCCAAATTTCTTACCACCTCTAAGTAACGTCCGAACTGTACAGGTAAACCCTGAGCTAAGTCGTAAACATTAGTGACTCTTTTCTTCTCACCAATTTTTTCGTATTTTTGCTTGTTGTTGGGTGCTTTTAAACCTTGCCAAGGCAGTTGTCCTCTTAGGAAATAAAAGAATACATGGCCAAGTGCCTCCATATCGTCTCTACGTGATTGTTCGCGACCCAAATGGGTGTTAATGGACATGTAACGAGCAGTTCCACTCAAAGATTTTTTTTCGCGATATGGAATGTGTTGCTTAGTCTTGGGATCACGGTACTGTTTAGCCATACCAAAATCGATAAGGTGCACGTTGTTGGCCTCTGCAGTTGAAGGACGACCGATCAAGAAATTATCGGGTTTGATGTCCCGATAGATCAAGTCGTGCGCATGGAGATCCTCGATCAACGTGATCATCTGCACGGCGACCTGAACAACGGTTTTCACCGAGAACCGGCGTCCGCACCAGTCAAACAGATCCTCGAGTGAGGGGCCCAACAGGTCGATCACCAGGATATTGTGCAAGCCCTCCTGACCGAAATAGTACGCTTGTGGGATCCCACCGGTTCCGGCCAATATCTTGTACGTACGGTACTCGTCTTTGAGCTGAGGAGCTTCAGACTTGCGGGGCTCGAACTTGATAGCCACGGGCACCCCGTTGATCATGTTTGTGCCTTCGAAAAGGACGCCAAACGACCCCTCACCGATTTTTTTGCCGATCCGATAATGCAATCCCACAATGGTGGAATCGTCGCGCGTGCTGGACGCCGACGATCCGAGTTGGTGCTGCGATCCGGATGCGCTATTCATTATTGAAAAAGATTAATGCGAGGAAAACCACACTTGTGTAGCTGTTCAAACGCCAGATAGGTTTTTTTTTGTCCTCACCAGCAAACTAACTGATCGATCACCCGATTTTTTTGCTTGGAAACCCGGTAAGAGCGCAATCACCTGAAAATAAAATAAAAGAAAGTATCACCAAACAGTAGCAGTTGGCAGTTCCAGCTCCCAAATCTCTCCTTTTGTTTTTATCTTCTGTGGCTTAAAGACACCTCGATGCTCGTTTGTCTAATCCAGCGATTTTCTCACGCTATATAAACGCTAAAAGATCCGGAAAAATTCCTATGCACCACTTTCGAGCTTTGGCTAGCCTTTGCAATCGCTTCCAAACCTCCTAGAAGCTTGTAAACACACCTTTAGTTGTGTTTTAGTTCTTTCAAAGATTTCAAGAACGGTTTAAGTTCGAATTTACTATTTTGGTTGTGTTCATTCTCACTCTTTCTAGGTAAACCCAATATAGTTTTTTTGAACCACAGATATTTTCGACGGACAAAAAGTAGAGATTTCGTTACTAGTGATGTGGATTTAAAACGAGTTGATTTCCTCCATTCGTCACAAACGATCTTATCGAACCTAAAATTTAAAGCGGGCTCGGCGAACGCCGAGCGTCAGTGGGGTGTGAGAGTGATGTGAGAGGAGTGGTTAGAGTCCGTTGGTAAGCAGGGGTGTAGGCTGTGAGTATTGGCGGAAAGAGAAGTGTTACGTGAGGGTGTTACGTGAGGGTGTGGTTTGAGGTCGTCGTGAAATGTGGATGATAAAAATTACAAACATTTCAGACAGCGTTACGATCGGTTGGCGAATGTTAGGGTGAGAGTTAACAAGGCAGTGAGCTTGCTGATTGTGGAAATGGCTATTGTTGTGTGTCAGTTTTGGATTTGATTCACTTTTTGAATCAAGTGTCACATTCGTGGTGGGTGATTTTTGAGGTCACGTGATCCCAGTATTCTTATCGTCATGTCTAGTTTTTGCCCTTTCCAGAAACTATCTATGTGAAGTTTGACCTTTTCAAACTATCCATGGATAGCGTCATCCCCCAAGACGCTTAGGGTGATACCTCTCTTAGGTGGTTCCTGTCGTAACCTCTGTCTGTCTAGCGTCAGATCCATGACGAAGTGATCACGTACACGTGATAGATGACAGCGTCAGAATCAGGAAGATGCCCAAAAAGCTAAAACAACTGCTGATCCAATAGGAATAACGTCGACTGAACCAAGTGGCGCCAATTGTAATTGGTTTTATGACTCCCCGATTAAACCAATTCCACTATTTGCACCCGGAATGCTTGAAAATTTTTACATCCGTCAGCGACGGAGTATTTCAGAGAATTTGTATAAGAAGAAACATTTTGCTCGCCCTACAAGCTCATTCCGTTTATGCTGAATATATTACGGAGAGATAAATCCAACTCAATAAGGCAATTGTTTACACCTGACAATAATGGACAAGATCACCCAAGATATGGAACGTTTATCGAGCAACCACACTCCAGACAGAGTCTCAACACAAGTATTGTTGGGATTGGTGAACTATATGGTATAGTGTCAATTGCGTAATCCGGAAGTGACATATTAGTCTAAAATGACATCTAAAGCGCTAAGGTGAATTGGACCAATCGTAAAGATAATGAAGCAACAATACGTCAACGCTATGCAGGATTTGCAAGCAATCCAGAACGTTTATTAAGCATCCTTACTAATGACTAGGGTCTAGAACATTACCTACTGTTTGCTATTGTTGCTCCAAAAATCATTTAAATATCCGTGGTCTGGTCAAACCAAATGTACCAAGCTTGTAGTCAAAAGAGACACGGAGAGATAAGTAAAATCCATAACCATAACCATTCACTTAGAGAAAATCATGACTGAGCAAACGAAGCAGTTTAACAACTCGAACACTGCCGACGTAGTCGAGCCTCAATAATAATAAACACCTCTCTTGGGTGGTTCTTTCCAATACTGTAAGATGTAAACTGTTGTTTTATTGAGTTGGAGTTATCTCTCCGTGATGTATTTAGCAGAGTTGGAATGAGCGTGTAGGGTTTATATGAGGTCCTTCTGCAAATTCCTGGAAGGTTTCGTCGCGAACGGTTGTAGACGTTTCCCAGTATTATGGGAGCAAATGAGCTCGAGGAATTGCTTCAGAAGCAATGCAATCGAGTGGTGTCATTCGGTGCAATCGACGTTATTCCTGTTTGATCAGTAGTAGTTCTGCATTCTTTGAATATCACGTATTTTGACGCTGTTATCGTGTCACGTGTACGATCACTTTGGCATGGATCTGAGGCTAGACAGACAGATTTATCTACAATATTTTGACACAGTTGTCTTGTAGCGTGGGTTTACAGATATTCTTGAACTTCTATCACCAATCCTTGAGGCTGCTGCTTACCCTCTTATCGGAGCATCTGTCTGTTAAACGTCAGAACACATGCACGTGACACAAAAACATCCAATTAGTCGAAAGGATCTAGTGCATCCACCGATCTAACGGTAATGACATCAATTGCTCCAAGCGGCGCTTGCATTGATGGTTCTACCTATAGCGCTACTCATTGACGTAATTGCATCCGAAACCCGAAAAATTTTCAAGAATTGTATAAGAGATGTTCTACCCAAGGCTACAAGTTTCTCAGGTTTATATTATACACAAATAACTCCAAGGTCAATAAAACACACAATTTACATTTTACAGTAATGGAAAAATCACCAAGGATTTGGGACGTTTAACGTGCAGCGACACAGAGTCACAACACGACCATGAGCAGTTAGGGTATCACCTCTCTCCATAGAACCAACTCAGACACATGTCTGACAAAGGTATTTAGAGTGTATTTGCAAGTACCACTAAGTCTGCACTTCCAGATCTTGAGATTGCTGCCTACTTTCCTGTCTTCACTGTAACATCCAGTGTATTTGACATTCTTTTTTCTTGGTAAATAAATAATGAATTGATACCCGATGGCACCTTCCCACCCCCTTCCATACTCTCCGTTCCCCTTCGCTTATAAGTGCTTGTATTTTGTTCTAAAAGTATCTTCCTTCGTTTTCAATATTACTCTTCACAAGGATGCATAACACTTATCACCGTGACACATTTCAACGGAACTCAAAAGAGCAGTTGAAATCATTGTCACTTGCAATACGCACAGCATATCTCTACCCTCCCTTCCAAAGACCTTCTTGCCAAGACATAGAAAACCCACCCAATTCTATTGATCATGTTCAGCTCTGCAGCATTTACCGCCCAAGTGTGAAACTAACAACCAGCCATACTACCCACACCAATGCTTTGGCATTCATTAAGGTTCCTAATGGCTCACCGCTACAAGGTCTCTTCTTCACTCTTGGCTTTGCCCAGCCGCCAAGTCGGGAGTATCCCGAAACGGCAACTCTTATTCCTCTTTGGGTTCCACAGGCTCGAGGTTACTTTTCACGTTACTTTTTTTTTTTTGAGATTGTCGCATTGATGACGGAGCTAGCTCATCGCTTCCCTGCAGATTTTTTGATATAAAGAGATAACAACACCTTCAAGATGTGGAACTCTCTTTCATGATCCTAGAACGCTGCTAGCCAAGCTTAAAAAATACTCTGGATAATGGCCGTTTACGAGTGCAACAACACGTTCCGCGATTTCTTGCGTGAGCTACCCAAATGCGAACATCATCTTCATCTGGAAGGTACATTGGAACCGGATCTCTTGTACCCACTGGCACGCAGAAATAACGTGAAGCTACCAGAACAGTTCCCAAAGACCGTTGAGGAACTGGAGAACAGATACAAACAGTTCAAAGATCTACAGGACTTTTTGGATTTCTACTATATTGGATGTGAGGTCCTTTTGCAGGAGGAAGACTTTTTCGATTTGGCATGGGCTTATTTCAAACGCTCCCGTTCGCAAGGTCTAAAACACGCAGAGGTTTTCTTCGATCCACAAAGTCACACCTCGCGTGGCATCAGCATTGAAACGGTGGTGAAGGGCTTTCAAAGAGCGTGCATCAAGGCTCAACAGGAACTGCAGATCTCTTCCAAGCTGATCATGTGTCTGCTGCGCCATCTGCCTGTCGAGGACTGCAAGGCAACACTAGAAAGCGCACGAGTGTTGTTCGAGACACAGCAATTACACGGATTGGGTCTGGATTCTGCGGAAAAACCTTTCCCTCCCGAACTTTTCACCGAATGCTACGAAACCGCTCGTTCTTACCACCCTGACATAAAGCTTACGGCGCATGCCGGTGAAGAAGGTGACGCCTCATACGTTCTAAAATCGCTGGATTTGTTGAAAACGTCGCGAATTGACCATGGAGTTAGATCCGCGGAGGATCCAGAACTGATGGCCCGTTTGGCTCGTGAGCAAATCATGTGTACTATATGTCCACTATCCAGTGTAAAGCTGCAAGTGGTTCAGGATGTGCGCGAACTGCCATTTGCACAATTTTTGGACGCTGGAATACCTTTTTCTATCAATTCAGATGATCCTGCATATTTTGGAGGCTATATCCTCGACAACTATGTGGCTGTGCAAACTCGGTTCAATTGGACTTTGAACGTTTGGAAGAAAGTGGTACAGCAATCCGTGAATGGCTCGTGGTGCGAGGAGAAACGTAAAAAGGAACTGCTATTGGAGCTCGATGCAGTCATGACCAAATACGAGGGTATTCTCGAGAAATAAGGTGAATTGTCGCTATATCTGAAAATAGTTTATAGAAGTATACCAGCAAACACCAGCGGAAGGTCATATACATATGGGGATTAGGGAGCCGCTCCGATCTGCAAACTATCAGAGTGTTCGAGACGGTTATCACTTTGTACCAGACTGACACCTCGGAGCAATTTGGCAAACTTGAGAATTCCTGTGGTTTCAACTATTTGCCTGCAAATACGTTGAAATGATCTTCATTTTCTTGCTTGTCCTCTCTTGTATTTACTCTTCATCGGATGAATCGTCAAACATGTCTTCAGTGAGTTTTGAGTCGCGAAGCCAGAACTCGTCCACCATGCGCTCGATATCCTGGAGCTGGTGCGCCGACAAAGACCGCGACAATATGTTGTTGAAATTGGAAAGCACATGGACACTGGAGGGGTTCCTTGGAGTACCAAACGTACGGCTGTGAGAAAAACTGGAGTTGTAGCGGGAAGCTGCTGGCGCTGCCGCACGCGTATGCTGGGAAGACGACGATCCTTGGACGACCGAAGCAGGAGCAGCATTCACCGCACCATTGCTGTTGTGGTTGCCACTCGTCAAATTGCTGGGCGCTACCGATCCAAAAAGCGTCTGTGTCTCGTCGTCTTCATCGTCATCGTCTTCCAACAGTGTGCTTGCCGTACTCGCGGTACTCGCCGCCAGTCTGGGCGTGGCCCGGAGACGCACGTGACGATCGAGTCCATTTGGTTCCGACATCAAATCCAGATGTTGATCCCAATTTTGCGTTCCCGATGGATTGCGGTTTGAATTATTTCCAGCGCTTGCATCTATTGGTGAGCTGAATTGAAATAACAAGTCTGGATCTTCTGCACTTAGTCTTAGTTCCACGGATGTCATCTTGTACGTGTCTCGTACTATTACGTAACCTGGAGGATTTGGTATAGTTGACACAAATGGGAGTATTTTCGAATATGATGAGGCTAGGCTAGAATCGACCAACGCTTTTACATACTTATATATGTACAGGTTATCTTCAGTTCACAGTATATATGTCAATAAATTTCACGAAAATATTTGTTCTGCCTTATATTCTCTGCATGTGTCCCACGTTCCCAGTATTGATTCATGAAATAGTACTACGGAAGTCTCGTAGTGTTATTTGTCTCGTTCCATACGGATCGCGGCTTACAGGGTCGTAGATCAATTTAATATAGCGGTTTTCTTATATTGACCACACGCCATGAACCGTTTATATAGAAAGTAGACGAGAAACATAACACAGAAAGACGCGGTGTGAATGTAGAGATATGGGTGCCCAAAAGTGCTCGCTGCTTGTGAGATGAGGAAGGTTGTAATTAGCTGAGATAAGCATCGATAATGTGAAAATGATAGTGTTTTCGAAGATGGAAATCAATATATAGACATCTATTGTGCACCACGCATTTGAGGTACATGCGCTAGGAGCAGAGAACTTGCATGCTGGAGTCAAATTCTGACGTGGTATGTTTTGTTGTAGCTCAACCGGGGGACAAGTAGCCGTAGGAATGACGAGTGGAGCTCCGATGCTGTTTGTCTGTCAAATGGCAGTATCGAAATGTGGAATTTCGAACGGGAAGACCACAGTTCATCTGGCCATATCAAACGGGTGTGTCAGTGGGTTCGGCGAGTTCAAAGCGTCTCTTGGTGACTACTGTGGTTGTGTATCACTATACACGTAGACAAACTTGATTTTTTTAATTCTGTAGAAGGATTCATGCACTTTGGGGACACTACAGGAAAAGCTGGGAGTTAAAGGACGTAGTGAATCTCACCAGACTCTGGAACGCCGGTGGACATATTTGCAAAACCGTAGTCAAAAAAGCTGCAATACTAAGTAAAGTCTTCCCTCCTCAGCTCCTCGCACCGCTACTCCTTGGCTCCCCCAGACGCCATCACGTGACTCTTTTTTTTCTTCTGCCGCTAATCCAGCTAACTACATACCCCCGTTGTACCTCCCCGCTATATTTCCCACTTCACAGATTACCCACCAGATCTGATCCCCATTCCCTCATCCGAACTCACTACTATCTCGTCCACCGCTCCCATTCTATTATGCATGCCTTTGTCCTCTTCTTGTTCTCCACACAAGGCGGTAGTCCGGCTCTGGGGGGAGTGGGGAAAAAAAAATAAAAGGGGAGAGTCGTGTTTTTGGAGATTTCCAGGGGTCCTGCTACGAGTATAAAAGGCGCGGAACCTGTCAAAAGAGACCCCCTCAGTCAACAAACGAAAGGGCAAGGCGGTTAAGTTCGAACAATAGAAACCGTTTAAGAGTGTTCAAGTTCATGAAAGTAGAATTGTTCCCCATAGCGTTCTAGATAGTGTTCAAGAAGTAGTTCAGCTATTAATTATTTATTTACGTACCTCGTTGTATAGCGCTTTTGGTTTTGTTGTTTTTCATGGGGTCTTCACAGATGGGCGGCAGCTCCTTGTTGAAAAAGATCACCCGTCAGATATCACCCCTTCATAACCCGGAGGGCATCACTTTTGGCAGACACAAACCTATACCGCCAAAACAGGCTGTTGATCCGTACGTTGCTGGGTTGGTAGCTAAACTGGCACAGTACGACGTGGAACACGTTGAACAAAGCGCGGTACAAGAAATACCACAAAACCAGAAACAAAACGAAAAACAAAAACAAAAACAAACACAAAAGTCAGTGCCGGAGCCGCCCAAACAGAGATCCAAGGCTAGATTGACAGGAGCGCGAGTGGCTGAACTTGTGGATGCCGCAGTCACCGAGTCTGAAGGTATGTATATTGTTTGACTTGTGGGTTTTTTATTTATTTTTTTGGCATAGCCACTGAAGGTGGCTCGACCACGAGAGAGAAAGAGAGAGAGAGAGAGAGAGAGAGAGAACTACAAGCGTTGTTAAAAGTCAAAAAATCCTGGAAGGATAGCACGCGGCGTGGTAATCGTGGTGCACAGGTGTTTATCTTGGACGACCTCACGTGACAATAAGATCATGGATGTGTGGGTGTACTTGCAATTTTGGTTTGTTTCGGGTTTTTTTTTTTTTTTCGCCCTACTTCTTCCCCACTGATGGTATTGCCCCCTAATTGTTTTTTTTTCCGTCGTCACAAGCCTTCATACCACTACAACCACTGTTAGCTTCCAGTTCCCCGGAGAAAAGGGCAATTGCAAGGATTCTGGAAAAACTTCCAAAAAAAAATAAAAAAAAAGACCCAACTTGCGCCCGGGCGAGATCATTCAAATATAAGCCCTGATGGCTCAGAATTTGGTGTCGCGGGGAGGGAGAAGGTACTCGAAAGAAAGGTGGTTAATTGAATTTCAATAGACAAACTCAGGTCACGCGAAAATCAGACGTTAAAAACGGGTCTTGAGAAAACGGCTCTTCCGCCATTTGACATAGCGTGATTTTTCCAGTTTTTTTCCCCTGTTGAATATTTTTGGGTCGTGTTTGCTCTGAGTGTCGTTGTCGGCTGTTGTAACAAAATCCCGTTGTCCTTGTGTTTCCAAGATCGACCTTTTTTTTTTTCGGACTATTCTGAAACACATCTCGCAATAAACGAGCAGACTGAGCACAGGCGTGTTCTGGTGGAATATTTTTTCTATCGTACTTGTCCGTTTCTGCTTCACTGCTTAAAAGCGGGGGTCTGGTTGATTTGCCCGCTGTCCTGTGACCAGCGTGTTTGTTACCCTTTCCCAATTTAGTGATCACACATCACACATTCAATTGAGGAACGCGCATTGTGGTTCATATCTGGCGTTGAATTCAAAGCAGCCCGAAACACACAGACTCACGCATTGGCACCCGAATAACACCAACTACTGCAAACTAGACGCATCGTTCAGGCTTAGGTTGTTCTGCCACCAGCATTATTGTACACCGAGTTCCCCTCCCCCTCTTTCCTTATTCTTCATCCGTTTTGCAACCTCTCTCATTAATTTATACTCTCTTGTGCTGACTCTCAGTGCACGCCATGGATATCCAATCAATTACTAACGGTTCTACAGTCCACAAACAGGTGTTTTTGGGCCACAGCAGTGGTTCCAACGAAAACGATGCTGTGGCAATCTCGTACCCTGCCACCGAGGTGGTGGGCCATGGGTCGTTTGGCGTTGTTTTCACCACTCAGATCAACGAAAGCGGCGACCGCGTTGCAATCAAAAAAGTCCTGCAGGATCGTCGTTTCAAGAACCGTGAATTAGAAATTATGAAGCAGCTACGGCATCCCCAAATCGTGGATCTCAAATACTATTTCTACGAAACAGATCCCGAAAACGAGGTCTATCTAAACCTCATTCTCGAGTTTATGCCACAATCACTCTACCAGCGACTGCGCCATTACGTCACACAACGAACCAATATGCCTCGCATCGAGATCAAATTGTACACATACCAATTGGTTAAATGCCTGAATTATTTGCATACACACGCCAAAGTTTGCCATCGTGACATCAAACCACAGAATTTATTGGTGGATCCAGAGACATTTGCGCTCAAGCTGTGCGATTTTGGTAGCGCCAAGCAACTCCGGCCCTCGGAACCCAATGTTTCCTACATTTGTTCACGCTACTATAGGGCCCCCGAATTGATTTTCGGTGCAACCAACTACACAGTACAGATTGACATTTGGTCTAGCGGGTGTGTCATGGCCGAATTGATTCTTGGCCAGCCCATGTTTCCTGGTGAAAGTGGGATAGATCAGCTTGTGGAGATCATCAAGATTCTGGGGACTCCCACCAAACAAGAAATTTGTTCAATGAACCCCAACTATATGGAGCACAAGTTCCCACAGATACGGCCGATCCCGCTTGCCAAAGTCTTTAAACGCGAGGACGAGCAAACCGTCCAGTTTCTATCGGACGTGCTGCGATACGACCCTACCGAGCGGTTCAACGCTCTGCAGTGTTTGTGCTCGTCCTACTTTGATGAGTTACGCCAGGCCGACGAACGGGACCCCCAGCTTGCCGAAGCTGTGCAAAGGTTGAATTTGCTCGACTTTAGCGACCAGCTCGATTTCGATTCGCTTTCTCTCGAAGAGTCCCAGACTGTGAAAGAAAAACTTCAATTATGAGCTGGCAGCATGGTGTTGTCACACGCCCTTTATCAATATCTACACGTCGAAAAATCAAGACAAAAAAGACAAGTTTGCTTGCTCATTTACTACCACCTACCTTCCCTCCTTTTTTCTCCTCTTAATGACGTTCACGAACAATCATGCACACACGACCCACACTGGCTCCTTATGATGTGTTCCCATTCAAGACACTGAGCTCCTCATCGCTAAAGCAACCGCTCTCGGCGAATGCAATATGTAAAGAACTAGGGTTCTAAAGCAGCTCGAAGCCTTTAATTCGCGTCCAATGAATCGCATGCATTATTATTCCGATTTTTTTTTTAGCGTGGGCACAACGAAAAATGTTCAAGCTTTTTTCCAAAGGCTATACCAGTATGGTTTCCAGCCCTATTCCATAACCTCTGGACCTTTTTGAACTACATCAAAAGTATTTTGACGACGTTTTGATTTTAGGTTGTGATGTCGGCTCTTAAAGTTTCCTGTAATCAACGTCCTTCGTGAACAATGACATCACCAATCTCTACTAGTATAGTGGGCTACATAAAAGTTGAATAACTTATCATCAGGTTTAGAATCGAAGACCCTAAGTCCGAAAAGAAGACCAGAAAACGTCAACGTGAAGCAATCTTATTGAGTCTACGCCGTTCCGTTCATTTGAAAAGTAGAATTACACCGAGAACCGTCTTCGTGCCAAGTTTTTTCGACCAAAATTGAGTTAACGGCTCATAGCGTCAAATTATAATTCAAAGCCGCCAAGAAAGGTAACAACCGGGGGTTTCTGGCAGACCAGTGAGGTTAATACTCGGGTAAAAAGACGTGGGTGTTTTGATTTTACACAAGCAATTGGTATCAAGGCTTTCACAAGTTTGGTTCAAGTGAGCAAAAAGTGGCTATGAACTATGTTTTTCAATGTGCGCTGCCACCTGAAATAACGTTGGGTCATTACCTTTTGCATCGGCTGAGACAGCTAGGAGTACACACGATATTCGGACTACCTGGTGAGTTCAATATGCCTCTTCTCGATAAAATGTACAGCGTACCACAGATGGTATGGGCCGGAAACACTAACGAGCTGAACGCTGCGTATGCAGCAGACGGTTATTCACGCATCAAAAGGCTTGGGTGTTTGGTGACGACTTTTGGTGTTGGCGAGCTTTCGGCATTGAATGGTATAGCCGGATCGTACGCGGAACACGTAGGTATCGTTCATGTTGTGGGGATGCCACCGTTGTCGGCTCAAGTCAAACAGCTGTTATTACATCATACACTGGGCAATGGGGACTTCAAAGTGTTTTACAGAATTGGAAGTGACGTTGCAGAATACACAACGGTCCTCAATGACTCAGAAACAATTGCAGAAGAAGTCAACAAAGCCCTCACAATCGCTTATACCAGACAGAGACCCGTTTACATTGGGATCCCAGTGAACATGATTAATATGACCGTTAAATCATCTCTACTGAATAACCCGCTCGATCTAGGCCCGTCAGTACGTAATGGGGACGTCGAAAATCAATTCATAGATGCGGTCCTGGATGCGATGTACAGAAGTGAAAATCCAGCAATCATTGCAGACGCCTGCGTTTCACGGCATGGGTTAGTGGAAGAAATGCGACGATTGGTAGATTTAACAGGGTTTCCAGTTTTTTGTACGCCAATGGGGAAAGGGTCTATTGACGAGCAGCATCCGCGCTTTGGAGGAACATTTCTGGGCTCTATCTCGTCCCCGCAGGTCCGGGAAGTAGTGGATTTCAGCGATTTCATACTAGTGGTCGGTGCGCTCTTGTCTGATTTCAGCACGAGTTCATTTCACTTTGCATACAGGACAAAAAATACAATTCTGCTTTTCTCCAACCACGCCAAGCTTAAAAATGCCACGTATCCTGACCTGGAGCTGAAGGCGGTGTTAGAAGTACTACTAGCCAGGCTAGATCCTACCAAGATACGATACAGGCCGCAAGAATTCTCAGACGTATTGAAGCCCAAGTTGAAGCTAATGAATAACGTGCCGCTACGCCAAGAGTGGATATGGAGCCAATTGACATCTTGGTTCAATCCAGGAGACATAGTCATCACAGAAACTGGTACGTCTGCGTTTGGTATAAATCAGAGCAAGTTTCCTAGTAGGACCAGGTGTATTTCACAGGCGCTCTGGGGATCGGTAGGATATTCTATTGGCGCATGTTTGGGGGCCTCTTTTGCTGCTCGGGAGGAGGGCAGCGATCCGCGTGTTATTTTATTTGTTGGTGACGGTGCATTACAATTGACGGTTCAGGAGATCTCCACAATGATCCGTTGGGGGTTGAAACCTATAATTTTTCTAATGAACAATAGTGGATACACTATTGATAGACTTTTGCATAAAAAATCCAATGCTGGTTATCATGATATTCAATCGTGGGATTACTTAAGAATCCTCTCCACCTTTGGAGCCTCCCACTACGATACGCGTAAAGTGAGGACAGTAGGGGATTTTTTGGCGCTAATGACAGACTCAGCTTTTGCTGTTAATGATAAAATCAAGATGGTGGAGGTGGTGTTACCACCTATGGATGCACCACCTGCTTTAATGGAGAAATGGCTCTTGGAGGACAAGATATCCGGAGCGCAAGATGACGGTACAGACGACTCTTTAGCAGAGGAGCCTTCGTTGAAAAGAGTGAAATTGGGTGAGGGCTTAGGTCTCGATTTTGACGACCTGGATGATAATGTGAGTTCCGAATAATAACTGATGATTCTTAGCATGGCTGTGACATAACAGGCTGCGATCTGCGCCACATAACTGGAACCGTGTTATCGTTGAGCATGGCTATGAAACGGCGATTAATTAATGCTGCAACGTCCAAACTGCGTATCATCAAACATCTGGATCATATAATCTTTTGACTCTTTGTTATCTATAGCTTGTTTACAACAATAATAATTACAAGGCTTCAACGATGGGTACACTTAGTGGATTGTCGTCTGGGACTCTAGAAATAAAGAGATTCCAACAAGATGTGTTCAAGCCATCAAGTTATGCATGATTTTTGTAAATGCCCACAAAGAGCCCTTGTAATACAATTGACGGTCCTCTACCCATAGCTGCGTCTTCTCTATCATGTCTGCGTCATCGTAAGTTGAAAAAATGTCTGCCTTCTTCAATAAGTTTACCGTCCTGCTTTTGAAATTTGGTTTACAGTAAGATGGTTTGTCATTGTCGCGGCAATCGCTCTTTGTGATCTCAAAGCCACGTTTGTAAAATCACACAGTAGGCGCACTCGCTTGACTATGAGAACTCAATACACGATCGATTCTAGTTCGAAGCCTTTCATTCAAAGTGAATGCCACCAATATGGAAACATGTTCCATGAGCGGAAGTTTAAACCGGTACTGATTATTACATGTTTATTACATGGACCTCAGAAGCAATTGAGCGTTGAAATTGACATCTGTCCCATGCGGAGAGTGCATACAGCGGTGCTCCCGGAAGAGAACTTTCTGTCAGATCTCTTATAATTTGATTGCAAGCGCTAAAAATCTTGTTGTTCGAGAGCAACGTCATTTGACCACAAAAGGCATTAGCAAGTGGGACATATCACGACCTTCGATATAAAAGCTGCACTCACCGTAACAGCATCACAATTGATGGACCCATGAAACTCAACGTTTGTTATTTTTCGGATCAGTCAGAAGCACTTTTTGGTTGGCATAACGAGACCAGCGTTTATCCGAAATACGAGGTAGTTCATGGATTGCGAGTAACAATTATTGGGATATTCCGCGTTTTTATGGTCCTGAATTTTCTTGCGTTTTTGACAATAAAAAGACCGCTAATTCGTCCAAAACACAATCGAAGATGAGCTATTCCCTAAGCTATGAAATAGCCTCTTATCTGTGTAGATGATGCATTCTAATTCGGAAGTCTACTAGTGTTTTTGGTGCTCCGAGGGAGCACCTCAACGCTTCCACAGTTTATCGCGAATTTCGAAATCTTGAGAAACAAATATACTGCATGTTTGGAAATAACTTTCTCAAGTAAGCCTGCTTTGAACTTCCTAAAGTGACTCACAACATTCATGCAAAACGTGTTTTCGAAACTGAAGTTCCAGGTGTCATGTTGGGATCTATGCAACGATCAAAAAAGAAAAATGCTTTTCGAAGTCCAGGCTTGGCAGAATGAAAGATGCTTCGAGCATCCAGCTGTTTGAGAACTTTTTCTGGGCTATCGCTGAAACTGAATCATTTTTGGATCTCTTAGAGGAGTCATTACCAATGACAACCATCTTTAATACCTTGATTCAGGGGTCTCCAGCTGTTAAATCATAAATCTCACAGGTACAAAAATAAAACCCACTGTACTGTGACTTTTGGCTTGAAAACTCTAGTTTTGAAGATGTTCCGTCCATAGCAGTTTAGATTCTCTCGAATGAACTTGAATTAGAAGGTATACAAAAGAACATTCTTTAAAATTTTCAGACACATAAGTAGCTCATTATCGCAGCGAGGTTTTCCGTTATTGTGCTTGTCAGTCATGCTCACAACTGCAAGTAACGACGAAGTAGTTACAGTGCCAACTCCTACAGTTATGACTATACAGAGCAAGAAACTACTCTGTATTGTCACGTAAAACTATCTACAAATACATAAGCCAGGAATAAAGGTGAGCAAAGCAAGATGAGCAGAGCATATATGTCTTCACACCCTATGGGATGGTTCAAATGGAGAGACGTTCAACTACATTGACGCCCGCGTCAATTTATTTACCTTTAAATTTTGAAATCAGACTCCATCACTATGTACGCACAAAGCTTACATCATCAATTTTAACATCACGTGATAACTGTAATTTAATTTTTGAAAAACTTATATGTTACGTAATCGTGATTTTTTAATTGTCTTAATTTATTATTATCGTCATCATCAACCTTTAACCATACTAGAAGAACAAATATCTAGAATCATCACATCTTCCAGTAGATCACATCTCAACGGTGTAACAGTACAAGGTTTCAATCACTAACGTGTAGCAACTAGTGTAGAGCCTTCGTTCATAGGAATTGGATTTTCGTTCGGAGAGACGGGTGGGCAAGGCCTGGTACTCACCATTCGATTGTTGAAAACTAGGGTTTTTGACGGCTTGAACTGACGAAGCTAGAGTAAAGCAATTTTGAATAGCAAGCAAGTGGAAAAGATAAGTAGTAGTGAGCAAGCTGAGGCCGAACTTCCCGAAATAGCAAAATTTTGGCATCTCATCCCCTCCCATAATGAACAAACACGATTCAGAAAGTGCTGGTCACAACCGTCCCGCCTCTGTGATGCCTCCACCACAGCCTTCTCTGGTTGCGGGAGGTGCAGGAACAGCAGCAGGTGGAGTAGGAGGATCAGGAACCGGACCAGGAGCAGGAAATACTGGACTTGGACCCAGGGCAGATTCCATCTCCATGTATACGAACTTCAATGCCCCACGTTTGTCAACAGACGCTTCTTTGTCGTCGTTTCTCAACATTGCAGAAGCCCAAGGTCTGGGATCTCAAACGGAACAACTTCAACAGTTGCAACAGCAGCAACAGCTCCAACAACTGCAACAGCTCCAACAACTACAGCAGCAGCAACAGCAGCAGCAGCAGCAGCAACATCAACAACCCACACAAGGCCCACAAGGCACGCAGATCTCGCAGCAATCGCATCAAGTTCCGTCACGGCCCGATTTCGGGCCATACAGTCGTGGCTACTCGATCATCAACAGTTTTTGGCCCGGAGCTTCAGGTAGCCAGAACCAAGTCCCAACAACCATGCCACCATCAGATGGTGGCGGTAGTCAGTTTACCACGATGCGACGTCAAAGTGAACAACTCGAACCATTCATGCCCCGGTTCAAAACACCAAGTTTTTCGTCGGGGGTCCCGGGATCGGGCCAGTACCAAACGCAACCGATCCCGCCGCATAGCAATGGGGCTAGGGGTTCCGATGTCCTGATGCCCGGCTCCAAACGCAACTCTATCTTTTTCAGCGGCACAGAAGCCCCAGATCTCGATTTTTTTTACCCCAACAAACACCGCGACTCTCAATTCGCCATGCGTCCTCCGCACATTCTGCCTCACCGTAACAGCTCTTCCAGTGGAATTCCTTTGCTTGGTCGTCCCAGCTTGACCGCTGGTTACTCTAATGCGAATGAAAACGGTACAACCAACACCAATAATAACAACTCTGAAAATAATGATAATGCCAATAATTCCAGGCCCATTGAGGCCAACAATCCTACAAACTCTGCTGGTGTTGCGAGCTCTTTGCCTCCACCAACAGCACAGGACTCTGACTTAGAGGCCATTTTTAATCAAGGTCTCTCGTCACGGAAAAACTCCATGAGGTTTTCTACCGACGATTTTGATTTTGATTTCAGAAGACGGGACTCGTCTTTGAGAAATGCACTGGAAAATCCTAGCTATGTGTCTGGTGCACCTTTAGGACCCATAGGGGCAAGTAAGTCGGACACAACCGGTGGACTCCCACCTAAGGCCAAATCTCATTCGGGATCGCCCATGATCATGAATACAGCTAACCAGGGCACCGTACCACAATCAATAACAGAAATTCAACCACTCAAACGGACGGAGAAGCCAGAAGAAGAGGTACAAGGAACAGCGCTTAAAAAAGTGCGTCGTAATGGCAACAACAAGAACAACAATATCATCAACTCACAGATTAAGACTGAAGATATGAGTAACATAATGAATTATCTGGAGCCAAAAGATCCGCTATCGGTTACTGAAGAGGCGCGTCCGCTGTTGGGTGCCACCAAGATCGACCAGCTAGTTCTCATGATTCAAGCTCGCAAAAAGGGCGTTACAGATCGCATACCTCGTGCACCAGATGGATCTGTGCTCATTGAGAACGCACCGGCTCTTATACCCCCTGCGAGTGAGTTGATGGGTGGAATAGAAAAGCCCAAAGTACACGCTACAAAGCAGCACGAGTGTCCCTACTGTCATAAATGCTTCACACAATCCACTCATCTAGAAGTTCATGTGCGTTCTCATGTAGGTCATAAACCTTTCCTCTGTGAATTTTGTGGTAAAAGGTTTACACAGGGCGGAAATTTAAGGACACATGTGCGGCTACACACTGGTGAAAAGCCATACGAGTGCGATCGGTGTGGACGTCGCTTCTCCAGGAAAGGGAACCTAGCGACGCATAGACTTACACACGACAACATGAGACCTTTCGTGTGCAAATTGGATGGATGTTCTCGAACTTTTGCACAATTGGGGAACATGAAAGCCCACCAAAACCGGTCTCATCAGGCCACGGTGAATGCCTTGACTCAAAGACTCGCTGAGATGGATTCCAAGGAGAAAATTGCACCGGAAGAAAGAGAAATGGTGGAGTATTTCGCAGATCTGTACAAAAATTCTAACAGAGGCATAAAAGGACGAGGCAAGGGCAACACGCGGGTGACGCGGACAACAAGTCCTACAGATGTGACATCTTCACGACGTGGAGGTCACGAAACGGCACTAGATATGAGTATGAAGCCCAGAAACGCGCCACAAAGCCAAACAAATACTTCTGAACCGCTCAATATTCCGCGCCCCGCGGATCTCACAGACCGGCCTGGTATACCCTATGGCTTAGAGCTGCCAGAGACTGGTGACGATGCCTCCGGTGAGAATCCTATTGATCCCGGCTCGATTCACGATGGACCCGTCCCGGATCCTCAGGATTTCGCATTTGGTCTAAATCAACACATCAAGACAGAAGCGAATGACCGATTCAGATTACCTACAAACGGAAACGCAAGTTTGACTTTTAAAGACGTTCCCTTCGACTCTTGAAGCTTTTTCCACATCTCACTTTTTTTTCGGAAAGGAACTTCATCGTCATCCACTGGCTTGAAACAAGCATTTTTCTAAATATAAGTTGTGAATGGACTACACGGACTATACAGGCATTATTCAACAATCCTGTTGTACTATATATACGTATTTACTGTCAACTGGAGACACTTTTATTTCACTCTCGGAAGATTCAGCTTGTACAAGTGAGACGCGTAAATTAAGGCTTAATTACAACGCGAAATTGCTAAAATAGTTGATCTTGAAAGAACACCGGCAAAGCTAGATTTTGAGGGTGTCGAGCGGTCTGAGTCACTCAAAACCAACCCATGTATCTGGTGCAGCAGAAAGCAGGACTTTAAACATGCGAATCAACTGTACCTTGCACGCAAACGTGTCCCGAACTGCGTTTGCAAATCGAAAATCATTTGAAAGACTGGATACAATGCCAACGACAGTATTTCAGTACTACTTCCAACTGCAAGTAAAAGACCTACATGTTTACTCTCGTGACGCTGATCTGATTCCCTGGATCAACAGAAACAGCTCTTTCAAGCGTTACAAACGCAAAGAATGGGACTCTTTGTCCATGTCGAAAAGACGAATATACAACGCATTATACTTCCGGTTTACAGGGCTAGACTATCGAACTTTGGGCCATGAAGAAGTGGCAAGAAGACTAGAGATACCAATTCCACCGATCAGTGATTATCTGCTTTTTAGAAACAGTTTTAAGTCTCAATTCGACCCTTTGTGGGACGAACAGCGCAAACGAGATTTACTAATACGCAGTCCTAAAATGATACTCCGATCCAGGTTTTCTGGGGTTGTAAAGAGTCCCCGTTTCTCGGCAACTTATTCTAGGGAAAGTGACTCAGATCTGACCAAGCGATTCCAGGATATGTGTCGTGAATGTCGAAGGACATGGCTAGAGAAGGTGGATAGTATGCAAAAAGCAGAGATCGGAGAAAAACTGCGAGAACAACGTGAAAGTTTTCGAGCGCTTATGGAAAAAGAGATCAAAGTTCTAGACGGTCTTCAAAGTGTTCTTGTCGATCGATTGAAAGGTGCGAATATGCTGACCTCTGGAAATTTGAATTTCAGGAAGGAAGGCGCTACGCAGCAAAACATGGACCGATTGGCATTTTTAGTTACACATAGCGACAAAGAGTAGTGAGCTTTTTTCATGCATCAATGAACACGTTCTTCTAGTGACGAGAAAATATCTAAAATTTGGTACTACTTGACGTCCCGCTAATTCTCAACGGCGACTTGAACATTGAATATGACTGCTCGCGAACTGATTGGAGATTTAGATTTCGAAGACTCGGCATTGTCAACCAGAGTAGCAGTGCAAATGACAGCCCCCTCTTCCTTAAACCCCAGCGAATCCAGCACCCCGCGGATGACGCCGCACGGAAATTGCAAATATGGGTCTATTAGTGCCTTTTCTTCCAGAGATTTGTCATCGTCAAGAGCCAGAGACTCAACTGGCTTGTAGTTGTTGTCCAGCAGATAGAAGGTGCCGCGGTGGTTCGTCTTAAGATTGTCGATCTGCTTACCGAAAACCTGTCTCCAAACGTCGCGACATACAAACTTCATCACTGCGAGCAGATCCATGTCTCTGAAGCTCAGACTGGGATTGTTACTGAAAATGAGCAGTTGTGACAGTTTTTGGCCCAGTGAAAAGCCAATTTGATTAAGCCTGTTGTCGATTTTTGCTTGCTGATCTGATTCAGATGCCAAGTACTGCTGCAAAAGTTTATGTGAGGGAACATGGCCTTTCAAAGGGTCCAAAACCAATTTCTCTTCTAGTTCCTGCCCGAGCGTTCCTTGGGTGTCAGAGTTGTCGCTGAGTCTGTTTTGCACGCTCACTGCCATTGGAATGGTCTCATTTAGTAGCATCCGATAGACGATTTCGTTCACTTTCGGTAGCGATTCCTGGAATAGCTGAAATTGTAGTTGTTGTTTTTGATGTTCTGTCATCTCGGGTTTCTGATTGGAATTCATCTTGGCCAAAAGTGTCGATCAAGAGTTTGAACACTTAGTCAACTTATCCAAGATCACGGCAGTTAAAGGTATTGATTGGTGTCCCGAAAGGGTGGTTAAAAACGATGATGAAAGGTTCTTATGGGAATTTGTACTTGGCAGTTCAGAAATGACCTCCTTTTATCATCAAAATGATGCGTTAATGATGCCTTCTGGTCTTTCTTTATTTTTGAATCTTTTAAAGCCTCTAATGAAGTACTTTAAAGTAATCCTCCTATATCTTCAAGAATTTATACGTTTGTCAACATTTGAAAACATCAACACCTTCAAGGTCTCTCGAAGGGTAAAAAAGGGGCCAATATACTTTAATTGAACCATTGGAAGACTCTATGTCGTCGGAGATATCGATAGGTGACGAGATCAAGGATGGTTTCAAGGAAACTTTCAAATGGGTTCAGAACAATCTCAAATGGCTCTCAGAGCTCGAAGCTTTCTACAGGGAGCGAGCTAAACTCGAAAAAGAATATAGCGGCAAACTTGCACATCTGACTAGTGAGTATTTCGGTAAAAAAAGTGCTTTCACAGTTATGTTGTCAGTGGGTGACACACCAACTACAACACCCGGGTCACTAGAAGCTGCGTCTTTGGTGGCCTGGAATGAAATTCTATCGCAGACGGAAAAAATGTCGCAAGATCACAACCAATTGGCACAGGAGTTTGAGTTTCAGGTGGGAGATCAGCTTGTGGCGCTAAGTCGAAAATGTGAGCTTCTAGCATCGACAATCAACGGTTCTAATAACGCTTTGGTTGAGAAACGCGATAAAGCGTATTCCGGACTAGAGAAGGCCAAAAAGCTGTACGACGAGAAGTGTACCCAGATGGAGAGTGCCAGGGCCAAACAGACCAAATCATCAAGCGACAGGACTCAGCGTAAGGCTGATGATAGGGAGCATGAGATGAATATAGCCAAAAATCAGTATTTGGTCAAAATCAATCAAGCAAACAGAATTAAGGACAAATACTATTTCCAAGATGTACCGGAAGTGCTAGACTTGCTGCAGGACTTGAACGAAAGTCGCACACGGTCGTTGAAAACCATTTGGGCGACAGCAAGCTCTGTGGAAAGAGAGATGTGCAAACGTATTGAAGCAAGGTTATCGACGGCAGATTCTGTGGTTGCACAGAACAAACCCTCATTGGACTCTACAATGTTTGTAAAGCACAATTTGAAAGACTGGAAAGAACCGGCAGACTTTCAGTACGTGCCCTCTTCTGTCTGGCACGACGATGAACAATTTTCAGTATCATCTGGTGCAGAATTGCAAGATTTAAGAGTAAGACTAGCAAAAGCCCAGCAAACTTATGATCAAATGCACGGTTTCGCGACCTCGGAACTTGAAGATCTGAGCTCGTTGAATAAACAGAGACAGGGAGTAAGGGCACAGGAAAATGCCAATGGAGAACAAGCATTGGCACTGCTTTCAAAATACGCGAGATCTTTGACGTCTTACACGTCTCATGAATCTTCAAAACTCGAGGCGTTGGTGGAAATCGAGAGCATTCAAAACAACGTACCCGAAGAGCACGACCTCAGTACAGATGGAATCGACCTCGACAAGCTAGGGAAAAAATCCGGCGTTTTTAACAGATTCAAGAAAAGCTTAACCATTTCATCAGATAAAAAGAGTGTTGCGGAAGACACTGGAGACATGTCATCGGCAATATCATCAGAATCAAAGGGAAGACAAAGTCACCACGGTTTGTCCTTTTTGCGCGGTAGAAGCCGAGCCAAAACTAACGATTCAAGCTTTTCTGCGAATACTGGAGGTGACGCGAACAACTCAGTGGAGCAGACAGATTCTACTAAAAATGCCGTCCTCTACGACTACCAAAAGCAAGATGATGATGAAGCAAGTGTTTCCGTTGGTGATGGTTTTTCAGTATTGACTTTAGATACAGGTAGTGGCTGGACAAAAATCAGGAATGAAAGTACGGGTGAAACGGGGCTTGTTCCAAGCACTTATATCGAAGTGCGTGAGAAGCCTCGCACAAATGCTCCGCGTGCTCCACCACCCCGAAAATCCGCCGCGAGTCGAACGGTACAGGCCATTTATGGTTATGAAGCTGAGGAAGAGGGTGAGCTGTCAATCCAGACGGGAGACAGCATTAACGTCCTACGAGATGACGATGGAAGTGGATGGACCTTCGGTGAGGTCCGCGGGGTAAAAGGCTTGTTTCCCACAAGCTACTGCAAGTGACGAAACAACGTATCGGCCGCACGATCTGAACTTTTTTCCCATTGCTGAAAACACAGCAAAACCTCTGAATTATGCTGCATCAGTTTCGAGAGTTAGCTACAAGCTCTCATGAATACAGTGACAGTCATCACGATTGTTCACGTCTGCGGCAGACAGACATCATATCACAGGATCATGGCAACAAATGATAGGTTTGAAGCCCATGGGACCTGATTCAGTTTAATGCAACGTAATGCAACAAGCTCAACGATATCAGCGATTCAAAAATCTCGCTAGCTGGTATGGTAAACTGGAGGAAACAGGTTAGACAACTGTCACGTGCTCTGTGATGATATTTCAAGTCATGTTCGACGAATGTTTTTCAAGTTTAGCAATGTTTAAGGGTTCAACCTTTCATGATCAACTTCGACACCATCAACAAACCAGAATATACCAATCCCTGGACCTGTTCATTGAGAATCCTATTTTTACGCTTAATAAATTCCTCTTGAGGACGTTTGGTCAAACTCTGAGAATAACAGGATCACTCGAAGGCTATAACAAGTTCGAAACGCAACGCAACTTTAACTTCGACAAGTGAAGTAGAAAACAACAAATGAGCGGGACTGAAACACCAACTGGGTTGAGTGACGCACCAGGTCCTAGGACGCTTGATAGCAGTAACGCTAGCCGCCCTGGTACTTATATGCAAAGTGATGGCTCTGAAAATGAGCCTTTGATCGACGGGGAACATACACGGGCATCTCATCGGTCGATAGGTCCGAACGCCGAAAATGAAGGCCTTCCACGTGAAACAGAAGCTATTCAAGGGAGATTGTACAAGACGCGGCAGAGCTATCGCTCATTTGTGAAGGACTCTAGAATTGCTTTGAACATTCTAATCGCCATCAATCTGGTTTGGCTAGTCATAACTTTCATCATGGATTTTTTTTTCAACATCGCAATCTTTCGTTTCAACAACAGGCTTGTTAGTTTCAATGACCTTTGTTTGATCACCGTCTCTATCATTGCCAACTCCTTGAATCTGTGGTCCAACAGGGTGGGACTATATTCGAGACTAGATCAGAGCCTGAACATAATTCTTTTCTCTATGACCTTATTCAACCTTTTCCTAAGACTGATAATTGGCTATACAAGGAAAAGAATAGGATTTATCGGCTTTTTCACGTACTTTTGGGCTGCTTTGACATTTTTCGCAGGTGCCGTTTTAGACTGGTATCTGTATCACTACTTCAAAGAGTTTCGTCAGTCCAATGGAGATTTCGATGACGATAATGGTGCTGAGGAAAATTCAAGGCATACAATTACGGAATGGGTATCAATTGGCGCCAGGAATGCTGCAAAATGTTTAATATTCGTGTTCTACATTTTCTTCACTCTAAACACTCTACTGTACACGATTGACGTGGGCCGTCTCACTCGTGACGTGAAAGATGTAAGCACCGATGCATCTGCTTCTTATGATGCGTTCCACTGGGTTGACAAGGCTCATACGTACCAACTGCACATTACATGTTACGGCGATCTTTCATCTAAAGAAGATGATCAGCAGCCCATAGTATTATTTGATCATGGAAGTCTAGAAACAGGTTTTTTGTCCGCTATCTGGATTCAAGAGCTCTACCATCTCAACAGGGTCGAGCGTTACTGTACTTATGACAGACCAGGTTACGGACTTTCCGACTCTGCTCCGGCTCCAATTTCAATCGCAATGGTGGCCGATGCACTGAGCTATGCACTCATTGAGGATGCTAAGATATCTGGCCCTTTCACTGTGGTTGGGTATGATATTGGAGGCTTATACTCCCAGGTGTTCGCAGCCAAAAATTTAGACAAAGTACAGTCTATGCTTCTTGTGGAGTCATGGCATGAGGACATTCTTTTGAAAAACTATCTTCAAAGACTTCTTCCTCCAGACGACGACAGTAGGGACCCAGATGATATCAGCAAATTACCTGCAGAGATTAGGAGGCATAATGGCTTCAAACTATGGTGGCAAGGTATATGGTCAACGCTGGGCATCAAGCTTCAAACTTCTTGGCTTCTGGCTCATCATGGCTCAAAAGAAAGGATTTATGGCCGTGACTTACAGTATCAGGGAAAGTTCATTAGATCAAAATTCTTAGAAAGTGTCACTAGCTCTTTGTTGAGCTACAAAGACGTTTTAAATGCGAAAGAGAAGTTACGCGACTTGAAGCTTAGCGTAGCAAGTTCAAATCAATTGATCAAAAAGTCTCCACAGTGGGGAAACTGGCAGCGGGATCTTACGAAAGTGTCAAAGAAGACACAAGAGTGGAAAATTTTGAATGGTGGCCACGAAGTTTACAAATACGGTGCAGCCACAAAAGAACTACAAGATGTTTTGTTACGCCTGTTAGGTGACAAGGACCGTTACTAAAAGTATTACAAAATGCTGTTGCCAAAAAATAAAAGCTTTGAAGATATCACTCGCTGAAGTTGACATGGTCCGACATGTTTATGTAAAAGTATGGTTGTAAAAATTCCTGCAAAGGTATGAAAATTTGAGAACTGAAGGGTAAACTCAATTTAAACTAAATATTCGAGAATCTAATCGCTGTCTTGCTGCATATCCATATCTTTGACATCGTTTGAGATAACATCAAAGTCATTCTCGTCACTGTCAAGATCGCTGTCCAAAGACGCTTCTAAATCGCAACTTGATCTACAATTTGGGCAAACAAATTGTGGGTATGTTGACACAACTAGCCGTCTCACGCACTGATAATGCCAGCTATGAGAACATGGTGATATGAAAACTGCTTGGCATGGTTTAATCTTGGATAGACAAATTGAGCAGTCTTCTTCCTCAAGGCCGGATGTCATTTTCTGCAAGTTTTTCAACCTCTGTAACGCCTCGCGGTTGAATCTCATGGCCCGCCGTTTCCATGATTTGTTTAACTCGATTCTCATTTTAACGCTCCGATATATCTCTTCTGTTCCTCCTCTAAAATCCAGTCCCAATTGCAAAAGGTCACCATCTTGCAGTAAAGTATCTTTAGACATTGTCGAAGCAGGCGCTAGCCTTTGGTGGTTCAAGAAGGTACCGGATGAAGACTTGACGTCTCGGATGTACCAATTTCCCTGTTGGTCTACTTTGAAACAGCCATGCGTCCTCGAGACGACTTTGCTTTTGAACACTACCGGATGAAAATGTTCGGGAATCCGCGTGATGGATTCCCTAACGCGTTCTGTATATCTTCCAATGACCAATTGCGAGCAAGGACCAGCCGTCCTCACAATTGGTTCAAAATATAGGCCGGGGTTACTGGTGGCAGATTGGTCTAAGAAGGGTGTGAGTCTGAGGCTGAATAATCCATTCTTATCCTTGCGTGATTGAATGACGTCTGGACTTGAAGGTTCAATTGGCGCTGCATTCCTAGGTCTATCTAAACCCAGCAGTTCCACTGCACTTTCAGGGGCACAACTTCCGTAAACAAAGTGACGCACAGCCTTGGGGACCAGTTGAGCTTCAACTGGTGTTAGGGTACTTGGTTGATGGCCTGGACCCGGCGGGATATCGTTTTGTCCCAATGTGAGGGTTATAGGAAGCTCCTGTCGTAGATCAGGAACCATGCTATTTTGGAGACCTTGGTCGAATGGAGTAGTTCCAAGCATATTTGCAGAGGCTGCTATGCCATTTTCGTTGTTGTCGTTGTTATTGATATTCATATTATTATCGTCATTATCCTCGTGCAATCCACCTACATCATCGAGATGTACATCTTCACCAACAACCCGATCGTCTTCATCTTCAGAACTAAAAACCTGCCCTGTGTTTGATTGTATGGCTTCCAAGCCATTATTAGTTATACCATTTCGACTGGTATTTAGTGGGGTTGAGTTACCGATTTGAAATTGCTCCCGAAAAGCTACCCCATTGGCCACTGGTCCCGATGGAGTCGTTCCAGCTGGAATGGGGTCTAAAGGCATGGACCCGCCATGCAAACCGGGGTTGGAACCCTGTCTAATCCCCATAGAGTTCAGTAAATTGTTGATAGTCGACCCGCGTCTACTTCTGGAGCTCATACTACTTCTTGGAGATACGTTTACCACCATTTCAATCTTCAGTCTTTGATTCTGTAGACAGGAGAAAACCTTACGAAAACGGAAGCCTGGTGGGGTTCAGAATGACACTATCTATCGCTTTATCCAATCCTAAAGGAAACACGTAACTTTAAGCGTTTGATTGAAGTAAAAAACAGTCAGAAACAGTCAAAATCAGTTAGAAACTATCAGTAACAGTCCAAACAAGGGTCAACTTGAAGTGCACGAAAAGTTACTCGAAAAGGGCTCAAAAAAGCTCAAAGAAATGCACGAAAAATGCCAAAATCAACTATAGTAGTAGTCTCGAGCTTTTGCAAGTGGAATATCGTCTAATTTGCAGGATCAGCAAGCCAAATATTGGTATTTCCCTCTTCAGTTTGATAAACCACGAGTGTGGTAGTCATCGGTGGTAAATTTTTAGATTAATAGATATCGAATTTTGTGGTGAATATGAGAAAACGGAGATGGCGACAAAAAGCATCTTGTACGACACGTGGGTTCTATTGATGATTAATTTATATTTTCGGACTTAGTCAAAAGAATGGGAAGTTTGGAAACTTTGAGGAACGCGATCATAGAAAATGTGGGAAATGTCAGCCATAAAGAGACCAGCCGAACAGCTTAAAAAGACATTTCAAAAGCAGAAAAGGAGATCTTTGAAATGGTATAGGTTTCGTAAGATTTGGAGAAAGTAGGATTTTTATATAGTACAAAGTGATAATATGCGTTTTGGAAGGCCTATGATGCCTTTTAGAGCCAATAGTGTATGCGAATGGGTATAGAAAGCTGTATACGTGAGGGTTGTATCGATTGGATTTGATTTGTTTTTGTTGAAAATAAGAAAAGCTTGGAAATACTTCGATTTATAAATACTATCTACGAAACCATAAAATATGGTAACCTGGGACACAGACTTGCGTTCTCATTGCAACATTCACATTAATGGACAGCTGCATTAACGTGCTCGAAGTAACGAATTTTGAGTATAGTTGTGGTCACACGACTAAGTGACAGATGTCAATTATTTGACATAATGACAGGAACCAGATAGTGTGTGCCGTAAGTTAGTCACAATGATAGAAATGCTTGAAAACTGTTAAACTATGCTATAACTCAATGTACATATACATATTAGTGACCTACAAGTGAAATAATTGGTGCAGTTCATCATCTTACAACCGTGATGTCTTTAACGTGAGGATTTCATCGTACAGGAGAGTAGTCAAAAACTCGCTGAATTTTTCTCCGCGGATCTCAGGTAAAAAATATTTGGCTGCAAGCTCGAACTTGTTGTCCTTGCCTAGAGGACTCTTGGCTGACAACTCCGAAACCTGTTCTTCCAAGATGCTTTGCGTCAAATCTGGAGTAACCACGTCACCGGTATCAGATAATTTCACGCGATGTGTGACCCATTGGTATAGCTGACACCTTGAAACCTCGGCGGTTGCAGCATCTTCCATTAAATTGTTGATTGGAACGCAGCCGGATCCACGCAGCCAAGCCTCCATGTACTGAAGACCAATTGACAAGTTTTGACGGATTCCCTCGACTGTGACGCCGCCTTGTGAGATGCGGGTGTTTAGCAAATCGACCGCTTGCACATTGCACTCGGGTCTGAAATGAATCTGGTTGGGGGTTCCCATGCTGTGGAAAACCTCGTTACAAATTGGAGCCAACGCTGGATGTGCTACCCACGAACCATCGTGGCCCTTGTTCAATTCGCGTTCTTTATCGGCGCGCACTTGTGCCAAAGCAGCAGAATTGGCACGCTCATCATTTTTGATAGGAATATAAGCGGCCATGCCTCCCATGGCATGTACGCCACGCCTATGACACACTTCGATAAGTCTTTGCACATAGGCATCCATGAATGGAGCCTTCATGGTAACATGTTGACGATCTGGTAGCACGTGACCGGGAACATTACGCAACCGTTTGATAGTGCTGAAAATGTAATCCCAACGACCACAGTTGAGACCAGCGGAATGGGCACGCAGCTCGAACAAGATTTCCTCCATTTGGAAAGCCGCAGGTAGCGTTTCGATCAAAACGGTGGCACGCACTGTGCCCCGTGCAATACCCAACACATCCTGTGCCACGTTGAACACGTCATTCCAGAGCCGTGCCTCGAGATAGTGCTCCATCTTGGGAAGATAGAAATATGGACCCTTGCCCAGTTCGACCAATTTGCGTGCATTATGGTAGAAAAACAATCCAAAATCAAATAGTGACGCTGACACTGGAATTCCATCCACGGTCACGTGCTTCTCGAGCATGTGCCATCCACGTGGACGAACGAGGATCGTGGGAAGTGATGCAAATGGTGCCCGCAGCTTATATTCCTTACGGGGAGTGCGGAAATCGATCTGGTCACGGATGGCGTCGAACAAGTTGACTTGGCCGTAAACGCAGTTGGCCCAGGTGGGTGCTGCCGAATCTTCGAAATCCACCATGTAGGTGGACACCGGAGCGTTCAATGCATTCACCAGCATATTACGCAGAGGTGGACCTGTGATCTCCGAATGCCGTTCTGCTAAACCTGGTGCAGGAACTGCACCTTGCCAGCTCACGTCATCGCGAACGCGCTGCGTTTCCGTTGGCAATTGAAACAACTTAACACCACTAGCGTCTCCGCCGTTCTGAGCGATCTGGGCCCCGCCGGCGTCTATGTCACGCTGCACGGCCTGGCGGTTCTCCAGGCACTTTTTACGGCGATCGTCGAAACTGCGATGTAGCAGTGCCACAAATTGTAGCGCATCGGGCGTTAAGATATCGCTAACGGTGGTCTTTGATGGAGCGAATTGAGGAGTGGAATCGATGTCTGCGAGTACCTGGACTCGAGGAGGGTTAGGAAATGTCGACATGGATCCTGAATCGAGGGTACGAATGTTATATGATCTGATATGATAGGCCCGCTATTGAGTCCAGTGATCAGGTAGTTGCGAGTGCTTGGAAGACGTTAGAAAGGCATGGGTAAAGGCATATATATATATACACATGTTATGAAAACTATTCTCAGGTTGGAGCGTGATGCTGGATAGTCGTATCAAAGGCCCGGACAGTGGAAATTTAAGGGCTAATCGCATTTGGCCGAGCAGGTATAAACTGTGGTGAAGCGCATTTGGCCGAACGGGGGAAAGGAGAAGGAATAGAGAAAGGAAAAAAAAAAAAATGGAGAAAGAGAAATTACGTAATGGCTTATGTAATCTAAAAGAACAAGAAGGATTGCGGATCACGTGAATAACAGCTGACCCCAAAATTGACATTTATATTATGATAGTTATAGAAGAAAGAGCACACACAACCTTACTACTACAAAGCGACGTACACGAAATTCTTAATCGATGCTGTCATGGGAACGTGTACTCTGGCCCTTGACTAGCATGGAGAGAAGAGTGATGGTGTGTACACAACAGGGACAAGAGCCATAGTGAATTGTCGTGCCTTGGGCAAGAACCATAGAGAATTGTCGTGCCTTGAGCGTATTTAAAGACCCTCTGTAATTCTATTCCCACAAGAAGGTTGCGGTTTCTTTCTTAGAGTGGAACACTAAAGCTTATACCGAGTTACCTCGATGCTCGCGCAGCGGCTTCGGATTGTTCGTCGATCACTTCAAACGAATCGCTATTCCTCAACATCCATCGTAGCAATGAGAATTCCCTCGAGCGATCCCACTCTATGCTTGTTTTTCTCTATTTAAATCCATGTCCCGTCGGCTCTTTTCACTCGTAGAGGTGATGCGGTCATATACCCTTGAACGAAAGGACTACTTCAACCTTGGAATACCTTATTATATTAGATTATTCGATGAGTCCGAGCGCCAACTGCATTCAGAGAGGACAGGCCAAACAGGCTTAAAGCGTTTCCGTAACTTCCCCCAATGGGTACTCTGCTTCGTGTGTTTGTGCGTAGATGGTACACTCCTTTTTTATTATGACGACACTCCTTTCGATTATGACCACTAACACTCCGAGAGGACCTTAACAAACCTACAATGTTTGCACGACACAAGCCTCCTACTTCATTTGGCGAATTTCACACAATAGCAAAGCCCACTTCTCGAACCTTCATAGAACCACGGTTTTCCTCAAGATCCGCTAGTCAGTTTTGTTGGGAAACTGGTCGCATGGTTCTCGCAACAGAAAACTTTTCGAGTCCGCAGCAGGCTGGTACGTCTCGAACACAGCATCACCACTATCAAATGTTCGCGTCAATCAACCGTTTAGAATACGTCCATGACCATAGACACATCTTTCCTAGGTAAGAAACAGTTTGCTGTCACGTGCCTACTCATGATAATACCAACGACACACACACTAGTCATCTAGAGATGACTTACATGACAAAAAACTGTAAAGGTACAAATCAACGCTGACTCGGGGTCTCGATCGTTTGGAAACTGACCACCTCACAGGAATTAATGTTCTGTTGGAGCTCCTCCCTAAAGTTCCATCGGTGCAAGAAAAAATATGTATTTAAAGGTCGTTGAACGGCTCGTTGGCAGAAAATTTGGGTGATTCTTAACAGTGAAGCAAACCAAAATGAGCATTGACATAACACCACAAGATTTAGACTTTGACCGGAATCATATCTGGCATCCTTACAGCTCACTTACCAACCCATTGAAGGTGTACCCAGTCACAAGCGCTGACGGCTCTTGCCTTAAGTTACAAGATGGCCGTAAAATAGTCGATGGCATGGCCAGCTGGTGGTGCGTGCAACATGGGTATAACAACCCGAGGCTCAACGGAGCCGTCACAAAGCAACTCGGATTGGTATCCCATGTCATGTTTGGCGGCATTGTTCACAAACCCGCCGTCGATCTGTGCAAATCCCTGGTGAACATGCTCCCTGATTCGCTGGAATGTGTTGTCTTGGCCGACTCCGGCTCCATTGCCATTGATGTCGGAATGAAAATGGCGCTTCAGTACTACAATGCTATGAAAAAACCCTCCAAAAATAAATTTCTGACGATTGAAAAGGGATTCCATGGTGACGCATTTGGTGCACTGTCTATTTGTGATCCTAACAACTCAATGCATGCCCTATATGGTGGATTTGTACCTCAGAACCTTTTCAGTAAAGCTCCGGAAGTTTACTTCCACAATCAGGACCCCAACGTCAAGAAACTTGTTGAAGAGCTTGACGTAGCCCCGTTTGCGAAGCTTATCCAAGAAAACCATGAGTCTTTAGCAGGAGTTGTGATGGAATCAATGGTCCAGGGTGCGGGCGGATTACGCATTTATCATCCACACTTTTTGAAGCGTGTCAGAGAACTGTGTGACGAGTACGACGTGCTACTTATATTAGACGAAATCGCTACTGGCTTGGGAAGAACAGGTAAACTGTTTGCTTTTGAACACGCAAAGATAGTGCCTGATATCATTTGTCTGGGCAAGGCCCTTACTGGCGGTTATATGACTCTTTCCGCGACAGTTAGCACCAGGGAAGTGAGCGAAGGAATATGTAAAGGTCCCGCTGGAAGACTTATGCATGGCCAAACATTCATGGGTAATCCACTAGCTTGTGCAGTGGCAAACGAAAATTTAGCTATTTTAGCAGAGGGAATGTGGAAAGAGCAAGTCAGCAGAATCGAAAAACAGCTATTTGAAGAGCTGGCTCCTCTTGCAGAGCATCGCAATGTTGCAGAGGTGAGAATCCTGGGTGCTATAGGAATTGTGGAAGTTAATAAGTACCCCGTCAGAGTCGAAGAGCTTCAAAAACGGTTCATTGAAGCGGGCGCTTGGATCAGGCCATTCAACAAGTGGATCTATATCTACCCCATTTTCACCACTTCCCCTGATGAAATAAGAGTGCTGATCAACGCGATCGCGTCAGTCTTGGACGATCTCTAGCGGAAAAGATTGTTTGTTCAGTTCAAATATACTAACCTAAGTAAAACCTTCAAATAGAAAATGCAAGAGAACAGTAACAGTTCAGTGTCGACAAGCTACATAAATCATATCAGTTACCTTACCATGACTGATTCAGACCTTCACGAACGTTTGATCGAGACGAAGACCTTGAATGACATGACTCAAACCGGTCATAACCGTTCCTGGTGGGACTTTCGATGCCGCACAACATACCTGATAAAATCCAACCAAACCTTGTTGCAATCGAATGCTTAAACGCCGAGATTAACCTAAACAACTTTTCCTCTAGAAGGATGACTACGAGTCATACTGGAGTATATCAGAATTTGACATATATAAGGTGATCGAAACGCGACTGATATAGTCCCTTCTTGCCCAGTCGAACACCAGTGGACAACCTAATCATCCAAAATGTGTAAATCTACTAAAAACCTTGACCAAGTATCTACATTTGAGAACGGCGGTAAATGTTATGCCAGAATTCCCAAAAAAGACATCAGATCCGAAGGACCCTTTGATTTGACAAAGTTGACAGCAACTGATCGATCCAATTTTCAAGACATTGTTACCAAGCTTGAAACTTATGGTATGTGCGTTGTTAAAGGCTATTATTCGGTCGAAGAGTGCGAGCAGATGAAGAAGGAACTGGAGCCACTATATTACCGCGATGAAGCTTGGAATGGCTCGCCATTTCCAAAACAGACAACAGTGGCACCTAGATTAGCTCTGAAATCTGCAACTTGTCGCGACAAAATCGTGTGTGACAACTTGTATTCGGACCTTTCCCACCATTTTATTAGTGAATCAAATCTATTTTGGATTGGTGAAGGTTTACGTCGCGGTCAGGCGGGTTTCCACTTGGCTTCTGGAATTGCTTACAGAGTGGGGCCAGGGGCATGTAACCAGATGTACCATCGCGAGGATATGGTTCATCACAATGTGCATCCAATAAGAGATGCGTATCATTACGGCGACGACTCACATATGGGCATGGCTGTTGCTTTGACTAAAATGAATAAAGCAAATGGAGCCACCAGGGCCATAGTCGGGTCGCACCTGTGGGGACCGCTTGACGGGCCTGGAGATTTTGACAAGAACATGGAGATTCATTTGGAAATGGATGAAGGTGATGTCATGTTCATGCTCGGTAGCGTGTACCACGCTGCAAGTGCCAACGACAGTGACAGCGAGCGCATTGCAGCGTTTTTCTTTATGATCAAAAGCTACCTAAGACAAGAGGAGAACTACCACATTGACCAAGACATGGCGAGTTTAAAAAATATGTCTTTAAAAGCTCTGACGCTGTTGGGATTGCACATTAGTGAGCCTTTCTGCGGACACATTGACTACAAGAGTCCGGCGCTCCTAATCAATCCCGCACTCGAGGATGTCGAGGGTAAGGGCAAAGCGAAATACTCACAGGTCTTATATCCAGTTTTTGAGGATTCAGAGAGAGCTTAAAGAACTTGGATAAGTCGTAACGACGGTATTTCTTTGCCCTGACGCCAGTACTCTCTTCACCTCTTAAAATCACTATCCTACGGCTCTGTCGCAACGACTATATGACAACTACCATAATTACACATCACTCTATACCAAACTGACATGTATCAAAAACACCAATCTCGGATACTCGAATCAACCGTGTAGGCATACAGAATTTGATGGATTTTGCAGTAATTTCACACCAATCAGATATCTAGCACGTAGAACCTACCATGCCGACAAAGCTCAATAGTTTGAATAAAATGATACTGAAAAAAAGTCTTGTCCCGGCAAAATGATCCCAAAAGAATTTGAACAGACAGTAAAACACTCGAACACTCTTACCGTATTGGCTCCAGTTTACATATGCCTCTTCGTTGACTTTGAAAGTCTTTTTTATACCTTGAGTTTCTCGAGAGTGTCAGTTATAGCAGAGGTCTATAATTATTACATGTATATTTCATTTCAGTAGGTGGAAAATATGACTTTTATAACATCGCTGCGAGCTCTCAAAGTCGTAGAACAACGAACCCAACGAAATGCTTCGACATTGGCCCAAAGTCTTAAATAGAAGATACTCCAGCCATCCGGCAAGTACCGGAATGATCCGATCTCTAACAATAGCAGATCTGTATGCCAAATATCATGCTAAAGAGCCTATAAGTATGGTCACTGCGTACGATTTCATCACTGCCAACTGGGCTCAAAGCGCTGGATGCGATGTAGTCCTGGTTGGAGATTCACTGGCTACGTGTGCCTTGGGATATGATTCTACGAATCAAATTGGGCTGGAGGAATTTCGGTACCACGTCCAAGCTGTTTGCAGAGCACCCGGGCCAGCGTTCGTGCTGGTGGACATGCCCTTTGGAAGCTTTGAATCCAGCATACAACAGGGCATTGAGACTGCAATTGCATTCATGAAAAGCTCAGCACGCGTGGGAGGAGTCAAAATCGAGGTTGGGAGTCCTGTGGGTCAAGGGGAATCTCAAAAACAGGACTATTCATTACAGCTAGCTGCAGAACTGTGTTCTCGAGGCATCCCAGTAATGGGCCATGTGGGACTAACACCACAGCGTGCCCATTTTTTGAGTGGCTTCAAAGTTCAAGGCAGTAAATCTGCCAAAGACGCTGCTGCTATTTATCACACAGCACAGCAATTGCAAGATATAGGCTGCTTTTCCGTTCTTTTGGAATGCGTCCCGCATAAGGTGTCATCGTATATTACCCAGAGACTGAGTGTGCCAACAATTGGAATTGGGGCCGGTCTTGGTGTGAACGGACAGGTTCTGGTGCAGTCCGATATATTGGGAATGACACCACACGCGGTGCCGAAACTAGCCCACAAATACGGAGATCTGAATTCTGAAAGTATTGGTCTAATTAAGCGCTACGCTAATGACGTTAGCGAGCAGAAGTTTCCTGACAACAACAAAAACGGCTTCAAGATTAAGGATGATATATGGGCAGAGTTTCTTGAGCACGTCAACGCGGGTCCGCGAAATGAATGAACGATCTGGAGTGTTTCGAGAGTTTATTCAAAAGTTAAGGTCCGGCCCAGCTCTGGACAATAGCATTTATCTTTCACGCCTTCCCACTCTGCTAACATTTCCAGCTTCTCTTTCGGCTCGCGAAAGTATTCTCCACTTAAGACGAAAGTACCCCAATGGACCCCAAGCACATTTTGAGCCTTAAGATCGTCTCTAATTTTCAAAACCTCTTCCGGATTGATATGTCGTGGTTTCTGGTGCCACGAAGGACAGTACTGACCGCATGGTAGAAGCGCTAGTTTTACACCTTTCCCATATCGGTTGCTGATTCTTTTGAACAGATCCCAGACGTACCCGGTATCGCCTGCATGAAACATTATTGGCTTATTCCGGTGCGAAAATAAGAACGAGCACCACAATGAGCGGTTGGTATCCACAAGAGATCTTCCAGACCAATGCATCGCTGGTGTGCAAGAGATCTGGTATGCCTCGTCTCCTTTGGTAATTTGAGCTGATTCCCACCACGAAAGCTCAACAACGTTAGTCACATCGTGGTCTTTCATAAACTGGGCCATTCCTTTGGGCACAATCCAGATCGGATGGTCTTTGCCATTGGATCCCCAGAATTGCATGCTTTTGAAATCCAGGTGATCGGGATGGTTGTGGGAAACCAATATCACGTCGGGAGTAGGTACTTGCTCTATCTGCGAAGGCATTTTGGTGATTCTCTTAGGCCCAAGTGTCTCATGAATCAGGTAGTCGGTAAATAACGGATCTGTCAATATCTTGAAGCCATTGTACATTACGAAGTTGCAAGATTGTCCCAACCAAGTTGTATGCACTGGGATGTTTTTTCCTTCATTGTCGAGGGACTTGCAAGCAATTGGGTCATCCGTTCCAGTGACTTTTATGCTAATAGGATAAGAAGTTTTCTGATCTAAGTCATTGCACGCCGTCCAAGTCGGCGTATGGATCGGCATCAGCTCGTCCATGGAATGCGGGCTAGTTGGAATACCGCCGCGATTTCGCTGAAAAAGCTCCAGCACTCGATTGATCGAAAATTCAAAAGCTGTAAGGACTCTATACTCCTTGAAAGGGTTCGCAAACCGACCCAGAACTTCCAATGGCGAATACTTAATGAGCGTGGCATCGAAATGCTTGTCATCATCATGTTTCTGAACCTCCTGCTCCCGTTTGGTGATTTCCGCATTTGCTTGCCCTACAACATACAAAGCATATCCAGTGTATGGAATCAGCACGGTAAGCAATGCCTTTCTAACATATCCGCCGCCGTTTTCTGATGAGCTGCTTCCATTCTTTTCCCCATTTTTCCTATTATTCCAATTGGTTGTCGCCTTACTTGTAAACCTTTTTTGCGTAAAGCTTCGAGATGTGAGCTTCCATTGTAAGCCAGATGTCGTCCCGTACCGGTAATGCGCTACTTGAAGCCCATACTTGACCCCTTTCATGATATTTTGCTGGCAATGTCTGGTTAAATCGCAGTTAGCTTCAGCTGCTCCGAAATAGTTCAAAAATCAAGCCGAAAATTCTACAGTATAGCTGGAGAGCTTGCAAACAACGATGAGCCCCTTTTAGAGCCTTTTAAGAGCTTATGGAAGACCTTTTAATGCTTTTGGTAGATAATTCGATGTAAGGTCAATATAGGTTGGAAAATCCATCATCATCATATCTCATCGCTAGATTTGTCCAACTAAAAAACAACTCCAAATAGTTACATAAAGACACTTTGAGCGGTATAGCAACTACTAAGGTTTCATTCAAGGTTGTTCGCATTAGGTATATCCATTTCCAAAGCCATTCAAGAGCTTTTTCCGCGCTTACTAGCCTTCTTGCAAGTGACCAACCTATTTGGAAGAACTAGACATGTCATTCAGAAAAAGAGGGGAGGTTTTGAGGACTCCTGATGCTAGAAGATTCCCAATTAACTCTACTGCTTCCCAGAGGCTCCCTGGGAATAGTAATGTTTCGCAATTGGCTGGCAGAATGGGTAATGTATCCATTCAAGATGTGTCAAATGTTAGGACTGCCACGGCTAATGCCAAAGCCTCTCAACTTGATGCCCGCCATCCAGGCGTTAGACCCTCTCCGGCAACCTCGCAGCCTTCAACTGCTACTGGGTGTCAAGATTTAGATAAAGTTTTGGGTCATATGGGATTGCCTCTGGGACAATCGCTTCTGGTGGAGGAACAAAGCGCTACGGATTTCTCGTCGGTGCTCGTGAAAACTTTTGCAGCTCAGGGCATCATTCACAACCGCACAGAAGGCTCCAATTCAGTGGGAAAAGGCAACACGCATCTGGTGGTGCTGACTATAAATCCATTCTTTGCCAAAGAATTACCTGGAGTATACCAGGGCTCGAAAAAGGACGTGAAGCGCTCCAAAGTTTCAAACGCCGAATCTGAGGTCACAGTGCAAAATATGCTTGGTTCAGGGACCACAGTGGGCAAGCCAATCCCAGCTCCTGCCAAAGACTTGAAAATCGCCTGGAGATACGGTTTGAATGACGGTGATCAAAACAAGACGCTTGCCAAAAGCTCTGATACAGACCTTGCGACATATCCCAACTATTCACACACGTTTGATATCACTTCGCGTCTTGTGCCGGCGCCCACATCTGCAGAACTAACTTTAATATCGCCCATACAGCCTCTTCCTGCTATCTTAGCGCAGCTCCAGGCTGTCTTCCGAAAGCACCAGAATAAGCTGGTACGGATTCTGCTGCCCAATCTCTTGCATCCGGTCGCTTATCCACCCAAATACTCAAAACTTTCGGAACTTGTACCTTTTTTGCACGGAATCAGATCTGTGGTCAAACAAAACGCTGATCGCGCTGTTCTACTAGCCTCCATTTCCTCTGATCTCCATTCTCACAGCGTACTTACCATGATTGAGTACCTTTTCGACTCAGCGATAAACCTTGAACCTTTCCCGCAAGAAATGGCCCAATATTTGGAGCGAGTCTACAAATCCCAACCTAACAAAATCCAACATGGGCTGCTACATGTACTTAAACTGCCTCTCTTGAGTGAAAGGGGGGAAATGCACGTCCAGAGGTCGGATTACGCTTTCAAGAATGGCAAGAAGAAGTTCGAGATCGAACCTTGGGGAATCCCAGTCGATGATTCGGAGGTACAGGACTCCAAAAACACTGCTGAAACGCCCGAAGTCCACAGCCACCAAACCAACGTGAATCTCGACTTTTGAACGCTATTCTTTGAGACGATGTTGGGGGAAATGTGTTGGCTACTCGTTGTTCGTTATATCGGACTTCATTAAGTGAGTTCATCTATGATTGAATATCCATCTTGATCAAGAAAACTGGAGCAAACATCAACTGATTGGGTTCCTTCAAGGCTGCCAATAAGCCTTAATCGTCTAAATGCGGGCACTGCGATTTAATCAAGATGCTACATGCTGCTCTGTGTCTATGGCACCGGGATCCCTATGCATTTACAATTGCGACCCTTTTGGTAAATGCTTTGAGCTCGAAAACGGCAGTAGAAGTAGCAGCAGAGACGAACTGACTAGCTTGCAAACTGGCAATGAATATCATTTCATTGTGGAGATGCTGTTTTCTACCAGCCTTATAGTGGTTGTGGACAAAAGTCAAGGCCGACAAAAGAGCCGTAAACTGAAGATTGTCAATACGAAGCGCAAATCAACGATATGCGAACTCACTTTCTCACACGAAATTGAAAACGTTGCGATGAATCGCAAACGTATGTGCGTGCTACTGGCAAGTGACCAAATTTTTATCTACGACATTTCATGCATGAAACTACTGCAAACTATCGATGTGCTTGCAAGCAAATTGGATCCGCGAAATTCAGCGGCCAGATCACCAGGCACAAATGGATCAGAGTCCAAATCAAACGTACGAATGGCCCTGAGTAGCGACAGCTCCAGCATTTTGTGCTATAGCACGATTTCACGGTCATCGAAAGATAGCGGCATTTTCAACGATATTGTGGTATTCGATGCTCTTAACATCACACCTATCAATTATCTGAATTCCGCACACAAGAGTAGTGTAAGCTGCATGGCAATTTCTCACAACGGTAAATTGGTAGCCTCGGCATCGGAGCGTGGAACCATTGTAAGGGTCTTTCAGACGGGTGCAGAGACTGAGTTTGACACCAAAGACCCACTTTTCCGTGAGTTTCGACGCGGTACACGACCCACTACTATTCATGAGATGAAGTTTAATCCAGCAGCTACTCTTTTGGGATGTGTAGGTGACACTGACACGGTACATGTTTTCAAGCTTTCAGCGGGCACAGAGCTTGAAAACTCGTCAGGCTATGAAAGTCGAGATCCATGGGTAGAGTCACGTTTAGCAAAAGACCATTCAAGACAGCTGGCGAGCTTTTTATCCAAGCAGGTCATCTCTCGAATCCCAAGCCAAACGGTGGCCCGAGATTTCGCATATATGAAAGTACCAGTTGATGTCGGGCATTGCATTGGTTTTCCAGAAGAATTTCCGAATCAGGTCTATCTGGCTGGGGACGACGGAGTTTTACAGATTTATGAACTGCCCACAAAGCACGGGGAATGCATACTGTTGAAGAACAGTAAATTTTAGAAATTTCTACCTCAAGTACGTATCTTCATTCATAAACAGCTTTGATTTTTCGAGTTCAGTGAAGCAGTTACCAAAGCCATCCGTAATACCACTTTCTACCATTATGCGACTTATTATCTGATAACACTGACGATGATGATGATGATTCTTCTACGGCTACCGGGTTTTGCCTCTGTTTGACTGCCTCATCTAGTTCCTGTTGTAATGCCTGCACTTGCTTGTGAAGCTCAATCTCGCGTTCATCATACTCAAGTTTCCACCAAATATAGTGACCTCCCAGGTAGAAGAATGAGCTCAGCAGTAGAACGATCCACATTGGTCGAACAAATTTTTTGAGTACTACCTGCTGCTGCTGTTTTTCGTCCGCTTGTATCTGCTTCAGCATATCCAGCTCATTCTGCGTGTTCAGCTGATTGGTTCTTTCATTTATGAGTCTTCTTACTAGCTCTGGATCGACGTTATCGAGCGACCCAAGTCTTGCTAGATCTTCTAAGGATTTTATGTTGGTAACGTTGGTGGTATTTAGACGGCGAGATTGAATTCTCAGCGCTTTTACGCACCATGTTCGAGCCTGAAGCATGGTAAACCACTTAATTTTGATTCCTTCTTGTAGGACAACTAAGTGGGCTCAAGCTCATCTCAAATATTTCGAATTATATTGAAAACTAGATGCAATTGTATGTACAGGCCAGTGAAGATACTGGAAAGAGGAAAGCTTCTGTCAACCTCAGAGCTTTCTCAATTCGTTTCTGTATAATCCGTAACTTTCTCTTGCTCTCCACGCCTGGAAGGAAGCTCTTTGTTGCAACGAAAGCGGGCTTGATGTGTTAATCATATGTGGTGAAGATTGTTGTTCACTGCGGATGATAGACCCAATGCTCATAAATAAACCGAAAGTGGCCGCTGAACCGGCGATGTACTGACCAAGAGTTCTTATGTAGCCGTTGGGGCCAGGTCCCTGAGTCAAAATGGCAAACCCACCAAACAAAATCCCGGTGCAGACACCTACAGAGGTACCCATCATAAGACCCATTTTGAACTTGTCCCAATTCGAGGGCTGTTGTTGTTGGCTATACACTTGTTTGACTGGAGGCATGGTGGTGGTACGGAATTGGTTTTAGGGTACTTGAAGGGAGGAAATGAGCTGTTTTGTAGATTCTTGACTGGGTAGTATTTCATGAATGAAATGACAGACAAAGCTTAATTAAAAAATTTCTTACAGCTTAGTAGTGTTTAAACATGAGGGAATGAAGCAAACTCGGTAAAAATGGCAGTAGTTGGTATACTTAGCGGTGCGTGAATAGATTCTCTGAATTTTGCGTAGTATTAGGGTTAGAATGCAGTTTTTCCAAGTTTTTTTGACCCATTGGGTAGAAAGTTGACAAGAACATTGTTAAATTTGGATTATTTTACTGACGCAGGGAATTTCGCTTGAACACATCAAAGAAAAGGGTATTGAGAGTTGAATTGTTGCTGAGTTTGAGGATTTTTGAACACCTTCGAGGCTGCTACCTTATAGTATTGAGCTGTTTCCAACTATCGAGCCTCTTCAAAAAGCTAAAATTTAATCGGCAGATTGGGCTGTGCTCTGGATCAAATGGCGTACATTTCCTGGATAGATCAAGCACGTGAAAATGATGAGGAAAATAGATCAATCAAAGGTTTTCACACTTGTTTGACCTTCCGCGCCAGACTTTGTTTTCAGGCATGAAATGATATGAGAGATTGGAAAAAAAAGTGACGAAAGAGAGCGGCGAAAGAAAAAAGCTCACATCTATAAACTATAATTTCCATCCACCAGCATTGAGCGGGCGGAACCAGATGTGCATGAACGATATTCTTCTCTGTCTTGCAAATGTCCCAGCTTATCGATTATACTGATCACTATCCACGAAGGAGCCTTCCGCACTTAGTATATGCAGTTCCATGAGAAGACCTGCGATGCCCAACTTGATCGATTCAATTCAACACTCACGGACGGTTTGCAAGCCTCTAAAGCATCTTTTTAATTAATGAAATGCTCAAAAATGCTGCTGTGAGATTTTGTTTTCCGAAAAGCTGGCACTTTTCGACCAATGCGTCCAGATCATTCATAAGAGGCATCAGCAACATAAATGTCCTGCAAACACTAAGGGAAAGGCAGCTTTTGGCTCAGGTATCTGAGCCTGTGTCACTGCTAGAACAGAAATTATCCAATGGAGAAAAATTGGGATTGTATTGTGGCGCGGATCCAACAGCTGAGTCCTTGCATTTGGGCAATCTACTACCATTGATGGTGCTACTACACTTCTACATTGCAGGCCACGACGTTTATACCATTGTTGGGGGTGCCACGGGTAAAGTGGGGGATCCCAGTGGCCGCAGCACTGAAAGAGCTGCCATGGAAGATGGTAAAAGATTGAACAATGTTGCAAGAATTCAAAAACAGCTCCAATCGTTCTTCGACATGGGATTGGAGTATTACAAGCAAAAGAACAACTCTGTTAAGAATGGACGGGCTATACACATGAACAATTTCGATTGGTGGAGTGATGTGAAAATGTTAGATTTTTTGGCCATTTACGGGAGACACATTAGAGTCCAGGCAATGCTTGCCCGAGACTCGGTTTCCTCGAGACTCGATGACCAGGACGGAATTGGATTCAACGAGTTCACGTACCAAATTCTTCAAGCCTACGATTTCTACCATTTAAACAAGGTCCACAGCGTCAGCGTACAAGTTGGTGGTAACGATCAGTGGGGAAACATCACCGCCGGGATCGATTTGATCAAAAGAGTTGGATCCACGGTGAAAGGTGAAAATGTGCCATTTGCCCTAACGGTTCCTCTGTTGACCACATCTACGGGTGAGAAGTTCGGCAAATCTGCTGGTAATGCTATTTTTATTGACCCAAACATCACAACACCGTTTGAAATGTACCAATATTTCATGCACACCACCGATGCCGACGTTGAGAAATTTCTGCGAGTTTTTACTCTTATACCCACCGAAACCGTGATAGAAACGATTACAGCCAGTGAAGAGAGCCCGAAGGAGCGCATTCCTCAGAAATTGCTAGCGAAAGAAGTTGTTGACTTAATCCACGGGGTGGGGAAAGGTCAAGATGCAGAAACTGTATCTGAAGTACTTTTTGGGACGCGGAAGCTTGAAATTGGAGCCTCAGATATTTTGAGAGCTTGTCAAGACGCTCGCATCTTAATAAAATGCAGTAGAGGCCTGTCGCTAGAAGAACTGATTTCACAAATGACAGGATGCTCCAAATCAGAAGCTCGACGTAAGCTAGCTCAGGGCAGCATTTATTTGGGTCCTGAAAGGACGAAAATCACGGAAAATCATCACGACCTCGAGCCATTTTATATCGAGAGTAAAGTCCTGCTCCTGAGAACCGGTAAGCAGAAATGCTATGTTATTGAAATCAAGTAGATATCCACTTCACTGAACTTACAGACCTGTAAATATGTATACACACACCACTATAAATGAGCGAAATACTCTTTGATCATCAGATTACGCACCACATCTCATTCCCGTTTTGCGTGGGCAAAAATCTCAGCTCCAATCCACGAAATAACACTCCAGAGCCAAAATGACACCGGTGTAAGTAAAATAGCACTCCAGTAATACAAACTAGACGGATCTGACCTCAGTTTCCACAAGCTTACCGCTGCAACTGTTATGTACACATATGCTACTGCAGTTATGGTCAGATACGCTTTCTCAGGCTTCATTTGCCTTTGTCTGAGTGACAGTGACAAGGTTGAACTAGAGTGTTGAACATTTACAACATTTAAATCAAGAAGCATCTCTTATTTAGAACAAAAATTAGAAACAGCCAACGATTCGAGCCAGATCATCTACCTTACGGCCCATATGGATGATCAAAAGATGTTTGAGGAAGTAGCCTCCAAGTTCATGAGTCTTTACAGGCGAAACGTCGTCCAAAAGTTCAAGAGAGCGTCCGATTCTGGAAGATTTCAAGCGTTACTACAAACCAATGAGTTTGCTCGAAATGTGTTTGGTCTTAGCCAAAGTTTGTGTCAAAGATACGATGTTGATAGTTGGCAAGCGCAAGTTCTGGATACGGTGGATTTAGAGACGATTTATGCCAATGTAGAAGCAATGGAGGGCTCAGAAGATGATTATGTGGATAGACTAGTTAAAGAACTTCTCCGATACTTCAAAAATGATTTCTTCAAATGGTGCAACAGACCCGACTGTGAGTGCTGTGGGTGTCCTGGGGATCAAATGGTACCGGTTGGGAACGAATCACCAAATTCTCAAGAACGTCAGTTTGATTGTGGGGGAGTCGAAATATACGCATGTCCCAAATGTAGACAAAGGACCAGATTCCCACGCTATAATGATCCAGTAAAACTTTTAGAGACTCGAAAAGGACGCTGTGGTGAATGGTGCAATCTTTTTATGCTTTTCCTGAAGTCCTTCGGCATCGAATCCAGGTACATTTGGAATCGTGAAGATCATGTTTGGTGCGAGATTTACTCTCCACACCTGAAGAGGTGGGTACATGTAGACTCTTGCGAACAGAGTTTTGACGAGCCTCACATCTACTCGGTTAATTGGAATAAAAAGATGAGCTATACCATAGCGTTCGGTACCACCACCGCCATAGACGTCAGCAAGAATTACATTGTTCAGAATCAGCTCCCAAGGGATTTGATATCAGAGGACGATCTATCTTTCTTGTTGAGAATGATAACGAAACGTCTGCGTACTGCATTGAGCGACGATGATATCTATAAACTGGCCTGTCTTGATGAGCAAGAAAATATGATGAATGCTGGTGTTGCCTCTTCCAACGACAGCAAAGCTACTGGAACGGTATCTGCACCTCAGGGTCGGCAGAGTGGTTCGGCAGCTTGGAAAAAGTCCCGAGGCGAAGATGGATAGATCATGAGTGATTCAAGATGTGTATACGTAAACGGTAAGGGGGTGGTGCATAAGGTCTATTCATGGGATGGTTCATTGGACAAATTCTTCGAACTTGTCCAAGAAATCTGTAATTTGGGCGGTAGCCCAGGACTCGTAATTCTTGTTTAGGTACGCCAAGTGACCGCCTAGATCGGTAACGCAAAGGGTCAAGTTCGAGTTCTCCCTGACGGTCGAATAAGGAATAGAGTCTTCTCCTACAACGGGATCGTCCTTCGAATTGATAATCAATGTGGGAATCCTGACGTTAGGAAGTTCGTGGATAGATCCACATGCTTTGTAGTAATCATGTGCATTTTTGAAACCAAGACAAGGAGCGGTAAACATGTTGTCGAACTCTAGAGTCGAATTGAAGCCGTGGGCCTTTTTCAAATTCTCTTTTGTAAAGTCGCAGAACGAAGGGTTTTTTGGGGTCGGTGGCTCGATTGGTTTCTCATCGCCCTCTTTGAATTCTAGTTCTGCAAGGTTAACCTTGACCAATCTAGTTAAAAATTGAGCAATGCTCTTCGAAAATAAAGTGCGTGACCACCAGTCTCCGTTCATCTTTAAAGACGATTGGTAGAGATCCCATGGAGTACTCAAAAATGCGGCCGCTTCAACAGGAGTATTTTCACCTTCTTCGCCCAGGTAGTTACCCAGCAAAGTGCCACCAAAGGAAAAACCAACTGCGTAGATCTTTCTTGTCGGGTGCCGCTCCTTTTCACGCTTCAAGAATTCTCTTATATCATTGGTGAAAAGCGCGTAGAATAGTTTGCGAGTGGTTATTTTAGACCGTGCACAACCTCTACAATTCAAAACCACCACGTCAAACTTTTCATCACTAGTGCGAGAAAGATCTCGAGTCAGACACCGGATAATAGGCTCGTGGGAACCACCAGCCAGTCCATGGATCACTACTACAAGTGGTTTTTCACTCTGATGAGCTTCCGTTTTTTCGTGCTCGGTTAAAAACCGGGTTCTTGGGTGCAAACGAGGCCAACTTTCAGGATGTGTAGCCACCTCGTCAGCATTGAATTTCTTCGAATCAAATCTTGAACCCTTGCTGTCAATTTTCAAGTCGTACTTCGACTCCCAGTCCTTCATCACCCAGTCAGCAGTGCATATCCCACCATCTGAAAACTTGACAGTTTCCCGACCATAAAAAACTGGAAAGCTCTTTGAAAAATCCGCAGCCCCAAGATACAAAGTTTGAAGATACCCTGTAAACAATGCAGGATGCAATTCAAATTTCGTCTGATCGCTTAATCCAGGTACTTTTTCGGTGATAAACTTATTCAATTCAATAGTGCTTTCCTTGTCCTTCAACTTCAAAGGAACAGTTCCTTGAGGGTTCGAAACCTGCTCTACTATACCATGATAGCCCCAATGGAAGGGATTGACCAAAGGTATAGGCATCTTGCAAGATTCAATCAATTTTAGGTGCCAATGATTGACGATAGACAGGTCTGAATCGGATGCTACTAGAGTACTAGTAACCTTTGTGATGGAGTGAACAAAGTTTGATGTTCGGTCGGAGAAACACACTTCGGTATACTCGGTAAGCTTTATCCGTGATGGACCTTGCCTTTTATCGAGAAATGCCCACGGTTGGTAATTTTGAAGTAGCTCGAGAGCTAACTATCACCGAGGTCATTTTGACTTTTACCGTCACCACTAGATCACCATTGCCTTTTCCTGACGATGCGTACCCACAGAAGGGTTCATTGGCACCACAGACTCCATTATTCAGTATCGTTCTGGAATTTGAGTATTCAGTCAACATCAAGATTAATTTCTTCGATCACTTGCATTTGAGTGTCAGCACGATGAGCCAAGGCCCTGAAAAATTTCAAGGATAGAATGTTATTTTGCAGCTTGGTCTCAATCTCCCGCCTTGCAGCTTGTTTCTTACCAAGTATAGCTTCGCAAGATTTAACCACTTCCCGGGATGGAAATCTAAGCACGTCACGTACTTCATCGGAAATTCGCTTAGCATTCCGGTGAGCGTAGTCTACTTCCCGTAGTTTCGAGCGATACTTCTGTGAGAGGTTGAGAGGTAGAGCGCGAGGCAGATCATGTACCAAATAAGCGATTCCCATTACAGACCCTAGGATCAGGGCTGAGGATGAAAGACGACTGACAGCCTGCCACGAGAAGAATCTTGACCCGTAAAACAAAATGGTAGTGAAAACTCGTGTACCACCCCAGGAGTATACAGCAAGAGCGGGAATCTTGGAAGTGAGCAGAAGCGAAGGATTGGTCCAGTATTTAGAAACGGAGTACTGTCCTAATCCCAGCGTGGTATGCCACGCAGGTTCACCAACGTCGCTCGCTTTCTCAACCAACCTATCTTCGCCGAAAAATCCCCAGCTTAAATATCCGAGAAAGCCGTTCCACGATGGTGAAATTAAGTCCAGAATATCGAACGGGACATCGAGTGCTTTCAACGACAAATGCTTTTTCTTAGTAAACATCAAATCGCTTTTGAACTCTCGATCAGACATGAATTCATCCCCGAGCTCGGATTTGCCCCAAATGTGAATTTCTTCAACTTTTATCGACGTTTCATTTTTGGCCTTGAATTCGCTAGTCCCAACGCTGTCCCTGATCTGGTCCAAAATGTATTGTCTCGAACGCAGCACATAATCATAAATACGTGACAGCCCCTCATAATCGGGAAAATCTTCTATTGAAAGTTCCAAAGCCTTGTTGATCTTGTGTTTAGTAAAATCGTATGCATCACTAACTGCAGACTCAACGATCTTGTCCACACGGTCAGTAAGCTTCTGCGACTGAGCACTTGATGATTTTATTTCGGGTTTCATCGCCTGTAACTCGGCATTGAACTTTTTATTTTCCTGCCCGCCGATATCCAAATTCCATTTTGCGATGACGGAGATGTCCCCCAAAAGCTTGCTCAAGTAAGTTTTGGCAGGTAATAACTTTGAAAGAGACCGTTTCTTAAGAACAAAATTGCGCAGTGAAGTTTCCAGTCTGTCGAAATCGGGATCACACGCATCAAAATCGTTTTCATCACCGTTGCCGTCAGGACCATTGTCTTCAGGAAATCCAGGCCTTGAGCCGCTGGAGACAAAGTGAACAAATTCACTAGACTGTTTATGAGTCTCAGGGGACATTTTCTTGATCTGATCAAGGATTAACTTTTTACAACGCCCTTTGTCCCTGATTTGATCAAATTTGTTTACAACGAAAAACATCAGCTTCTTTTCCCTGCTCGCAACCTGTATGAATTCTTGTCCTGATAGCGTTAATTGATTTTCTGAGTTGACGACAAAAATAACCATGTCGATTTCCTCTTGACGCGATAAAACTTCTGTCGTCTGAATGGAGTCCATATTGAGTCCTGGAGAATCGATTAAGGATATGTCAACGGTCCCGTTTCGTAAAAGACTGAGATCCGCAGGTCTTTTGTCGTCTTTGATATAGACCTTGAGCAAAGAATACAGGTCTGACCGATAAACCAGATCCGGCATTTGGTCAATTGGGTAAACTCTGTATGTGGATTTATCTCGTATATTGTAGGCTGTGTTAGCTTCTTTCACAGTTGGAGCTACTGCCAAGGGAATCGCATGTACTTCCTCAACCTCGGTGTATTCCCGTGCCTCCAGGATCTCGCAGAAAACATTCGTGCATGGCAGCTGGTCCACAGGCATTATTCTGCGTCTTAAAAGGGCATTGCAGAATGTAGACTTGCCGGCATTCAAATCACCGGTGATGAACACTTTAGAAGAAGTATCATCGACACGTTTTTGTAAGGACTCTAGATGGCCCAATGCAGTTTTTGCGCGAACCGCAAACAGATTTGCAATTGCGTTTTTGTCCAGGTTCACGTTATTATCTGTGTTCCCTCTGAATTTGAAGTCGACTTCTAATATATGCAAGGGGTATTCCGTGGAACTCAGAGGTACGTTAATCGGCCTTGTTTCATTTTCCTGTGTTATCAGCTGAATGAGCTCTTCAGCACTTTGAATACCGCGGTTGAGTCCTACTCTATTATTGTTGTAATTCCATTGACTCAAATGTAATGAAAGCATTCTGTCATTGGATTGACGACGTTTGTGACTCGAATCATGTGCTGCCAGATGTGAAACGTCACCTTCCAGTGTGGTGGCATCGTCATTGACAAAACTGTGCTCCGATCGAGAGTAAATGAGTTGTTCTGGCTGGGAAGGAACAACGGTTGAAGCGTCATCATTGAGCAGCTGTGAAAGGTAATCATCATGGAAATTAGTATCATCGCCGTTGGAGTTTTTGGTCTGCTGCCGCTGATGCTGCTGAGACATCCCAACTGTCCTCTACTGATGGTATTCTGGCAGATCAATGAGTGAACTCATCGTCTTATTCATGATCATCATCACAGTGGTATTATTAAACGTACTTTGTATACACTACCGTCGACAGCGATGACAGCGATGATGGACCGGAGAAGTGAAAGGGTTCACGTATCGGTGTACCGATCTTATCCTCAGTCAATGCGGTCCAAGGAACAAGGTACACGACGCTGTGATCTAGAGCCTTGTAGCCCCTGTCTGGTTTTCATTTTGTTGCAGTGGTGTGGGAACGAACTTCCGAATGCAAAACGAAGTTTTGATTTATGGGTTTGGGGACTCATTGAACCTTCTTTTCAGTCTTGCGCTTTCTCCTCTTCATCTTTTTGATGTAGCTATAGCACTCTGTCTCGCCAAAGCCGTAGAAAGGCCTGAAACTCTCTAACACACCGCAATCTTCGAATAAATTGGGAAACAACCAGAACCCGCCTTTTTCGCTGTGAACGGCCAAAGAGAGCAAGTAGATGATGAAACGCAGAATTGCAATCACGAAGAAGAGCCCAATTAGGGCCAAGAGTGCCAGAGAAACGTAGTAGACTACTCTTCTCAACGATGTCGGCCACAGAGGATACCCTATGAACGCAAGAATCCCGACCACGACACCCACGACAAGCAAATAATCCGTCACCGTTTTGGGATTGTAATTCCAAGTGTAGTACTCGTCTGGTTGTAGCAATGCTTTGTCAGACAACAGTAGGTTTGGGTATTCTTTGTTGGGTTTCAAACCGTGGTCTTTGCATTCTGCGCTATGTAATTTTTGGCACGGTACCACCAACTGGGTCTTGATCAGCTCGATGAACACATTGCGGGCTTCATCGTCGTTGCTGACTGGAGGATACAAATCAGGTTGATTTCCGGACTTGGTCTTGTATTCTGGTGAGTTAAGGGCCCGAACGAACCGCTTGTAGCGGAAAAAATCGACACGTCTACCTTGCGACAAACCTTGTCTCTGTTTCAAGAGCTTGTTGCGGCGAAGCAGCGAGGCCACGGCCGATGGGGTCTGGGGGTTAGACATTGCAGTGAGGTGACAGTCTTGGCGGGAAGGGTCTCTCTCTCTCTCTCTCTCTCGTTCAAACTTGGTCTTAACCGATCAGGTTTTGTTGGTCGGTGGGTTAGAGATGGAATCTTACTTTACTATGGCTTTGTAAACTTGGCCTATAGTAAAACTCGATATCGTTTTATACGTTGAGTCTCAAAAACAACAACAAGAATTATGGCAAGACTCCATACGAGGCTCACGAGTTCAAAGCTGATATCTCCTTACTTTCAAACCAATAGATTGAAGAGTATCCGGGCTTCTCGCTTTTTTTTTGAAAATACCTTCAATTGTGAACTTATCGTTTTGAACGTCCTGTCTCACCTACCAGGGTTTTTCAATACCGTGAATACATTCGTCCATGAAAACCAAAGCCTCCTTCTACTGTACGCTCTTTATCTTTATGCCATTTTCTACCGTCTTTATTCAACCTTTGAGTATCGTGTCAGGATCTGTCCTCTTCAGTAATATCAATTAACTATTTCCGAAAGTGACTCCAAACGTCTGTTTGTGAGAAAGTGATATTACCTAATTCTCCCGAGTACTCGCGAGTACTCTTTCTCTTCTGTGACAGAATGTTACAAAGTGACAGAGCTCATCTCATCTCAACTTCCTTTTTTTTCTTTAGGCTGCCCTCTCCCATACATATTGAAAAATTTTTATTAGCGATGAGCTCTAAGAATTCTAGCGATGAGAAGATGCGATGAGCTTAAATTTTAAAACTTCACATCTCTCTAAAACAACAACCTGTTGGTGAAAAGCAGTTGTGACGGTGGATTCTTATTCTTGCTCGATAGGTGGGAAATCATAGAATTTTTTTGCAATTGAAACGAGCTCAAGCCGACCGTTTTTACTACCGTTCTTACTACTACTGAGCTACAAGATCAAAGACTACTAAGAATCATCATGCAACTGTCGTGGAAAGATATCCCAACCGTGTCGACGGCCAACGACTTACTCGACGTTGTGCTGAACAGAACACAGAGAAAGACCCCCACGGTCATCAGACCCGGTTTCAAAATCACCAGAATCCGCGCATTTTACATGCGTAAGGTCAAATACACTGCAGAGGGATTCGAAGAGAAATTCGAAGACCTGTTGAAAGGGTTCCCCAACATTAACGACGTTCATCCGTTCCACAGAGACTTGATGGACACCCTGTACGAGAAGAACCATTACAAGGTCTCTTTGGCAGCCGTTTCCCGTGCCAAAACTTTGATCGAGCAGGTGTCCAGAGATTATCTGCGTCTGCTAAAGTTTGGTCAGTCTTTGTTCCAATGTAAGCAGCTGAAGAGAGCCGCTTTGGGTAGAATGGCCACTATTGTCAAAAAACTCAAAGATCCACTAGTCTATTTGGAGCAGGTGCGTCAGCATTTGGGCAGATTGCCATCGATCGACCCCAACACCAGAACTTTGCTGATCTGTGGTTATCCAAATGTGGGTAAATCCTCGTTTTTGCGTTGTATCACCAAGGCAGATGTCGAGGTGCAACCATACGCTTTCACTACCAAATCCTTGTACGTGGGACATTTCGATTACAAGTACCTGAGATTCCAGGCCATTGACACTCCAGGTATCCTTGATAGACCTACAGAAGAGATGAACAACATCGAAATGCAGTCTATCTATGCCATTGCGCATTTGCGTTCTTGCGTTTTGTATTTCATGGACTTGTCCGAACAGTGTGGTTTCACTATTGAAGCACAAGTTAAATTGTTCCACTCGATCAAGCCTCTGTTCGCCAACAAATCCGTTATGGTTGTCATGAACAAAACTGACATCATTAGACCCGAAGACTTGGACGAGGAGCGTGCCGCTTTATTGCAAACCGTTTCTGAAATGCCTGGCGTTGAACTCATGGCCGCATCTTGCACAGAGGAAGACAATGTCATGGCCGTAAGAAACAAAGCTTGTGAAAAGCTATTGGCCTCGAGAATCGAAAACAAACTCAAATCCACAGCTAGAATCAACAACGTATTGAACAAGATTCATGTCGCAAAACCACAAGCAAGAGACGACGGTGTTGATAGATCACCTTACATCCCTGAAGGTATCAAAAACAAAGTCAAGTATGATGCTGAAGACCCCGAAAGAAGAAAGTTGGCGAGAGATATTGAGGCAGAGAATGGTGGTGCTGGTGTTTTCAACGTTAATCTAAAGGACAACTATCTATTGGAGGATGACGAATGGAAGAACGATAAAATGCCAGAACTACTGGACGGTAAAAATGTCTACGATTTCATGGACCCTGAGATTGCCGCTAAACTGCAGGCATTGGAAGAAGAAGAGGAAAAGCTGGAAGCCGAAGGTTTCTACAACTCTGACGAAGATGAAGAAGAAACCCATGAGGGTTTGACATCTGAAGAGGTGGTCGATATTAAAGACAAAGCCGCCTGGATCAGAGACAGACAAAAGAAGATGATTTTGACCGCCAGAAACCGTAAGGCTCTTAAGAATCGTGCAGTTATGCCTCGTTCCAAACTTACAAAGTCTTTTGGCGATATGGAAGAGCATATGTCTTCTTTGGGTCACGATTTGACTGCTCTGCAACAGAAGTCGAGAGCTGCTGCCGAAAAGAACAGATACGTGGAAACTGGTGCCGACGTTGTCTTTGGAGGCGTTGAGTCATCAACTACCTCTTCCAACGGTGGTAAACTAAGACAATCTGATAGGCTACTGGATGGTGTTGCTGATGGGTCTATGAGATCAAAGGCTGACAGGTTGGCCAAGTTGCAAAGAAGAGACAGAAACAGAGATGCCAGACAAGGTGAGTCAGACAGACACTCGACTGCTGCCTTGGCCAAGCACTTGTACAGTGGTAAGCGTGGTGTTGGTAAGACAGACTTCCGTTGATCACCCATTGTCTGGGATTTTTCTTTCCATTAACTCGGTGGGTAAATCAAAGGCGGCATTGGTTCAAAATATGTACATTATTTCCGGCCTATAGAATTTACAGGTCATAACAACTCGACATTATTTCTACGACAGTATTTGTACTATGAATTTTCAGAACTGTATCTAGCGTCACAGTATTTACAAAGACGTCAGAATAAAAAATAAACTTGCGTGAACAAAGACCAAAGTACTAAAGCTGCCACCGCAATTGACGTCAACGGACTCGACTCAGGAAAGGGTCAGATTGCTAACCACATCGCTATTCGACATTGTTTTCCACAACCAGCTACACTAAAAGATAGACATATGCAAAAGCCGAAACCTGGCGCTGAGGAAATCACGAACTGGGAGCTCATGAGTTCCGCCATGCTTAATTCTGAAGCAAGTTTCGAAGTACAGAAGCACTCTAAGGAGGGCAATATGCCCGAAAGGAACCCTCAAAGTACTGATGACAACAATAAGGAAGTGAAAGCATCTGAATTCACAAAAGAAGATGCGACACCGGAAGAAGTTTCAAACAAAGACCCTTCTGCAGAACAAAATATTGCAGAAGAAATCAAACCACCGCCTTACAGTGCTTTCTCGAATCGTGAGAAATTTATCATATTTGTCGTTATTGTCTACATTGGATTTTTGGGTCCACTGTCGGGCAACATTTACATTCCAGCATTACCGATATTACAAAACATTTTCAATCTCTCTGCCACAGCCATCAATGCAACGGTTTCTGTTTTCATGGCGGTATTTGCAGTTGGTCCTTTATTTTGGGCTAGTTTTGCTGACTTTGGAGGACGCAAGATTTTGTACATGATTTCACTAGCGCTGACGGTCGTAATCAATGTTCTGCTGGCAGCCGTTCCGGTGAATGTCGGTGCTCTGTTTTTCTTGCGTATTATGCAAGCGTTTGCTTCGAGTTCGGTCATGGCGTTGGGAGCCGGAACGGTAAGCGATATATGTGCACCAAAAGAAAGAGGTAAGGGCATTGCATACTTCATGCTTGGACCTAATATGGGTCCGATTGTAGCCCCAATAATTGCAGGATTGATATTAATGCACGGATCATACTGGAGGTGGTTATTTGGATTCACCAGTATCATGTCCGGTGTAGGACTGATTGTAGTTATTGTACTCCTTCCAGAAACGCTTCGTTGCATCGTTGGAAATGGAGATACTCGATGGGTTGATTCGCACTCGATGAGCACTGGGTCAGAAATGAGAGGTCTGGCAGGAGCGAAAATACTAATTTGCAGTGACATTGGACTTTTGAAGCCTGTGGCAGAATCTCCCGAATTCCAGCGCTTGTATCCACGACCCCCAAAACCAAGTCTAAAAGTGTATTGGAGCCTAGTTACATTTCCTCCAGTTCTTATTTGCTCGTTGACAACTGCTATTTTATTCGCGGCGTACTATGCTTTTAGTGTGACGTTCTCGCATTTCCTTCGTGAAAAGTACTTTTTGTCCAATCTTCAAATCGGAGCATGCTACGTGTGCCCTGGAATAGCTCTCCTACTTGGATCTGTTTCAGGTGGACACCTTTCAGATTATTTTAGACTTCTTTGGATAAAGCGTCATCCCAACCAAACCTTTCCTGGCGAAAAACGGCTAGTTTTGCAATTGTGGGGGTTGTTACTCAATATCTGCGGATGCATCGGATACGGATGGTGCATCCAATTTCACCATCACTTGGCTGTCGTTTTAGTGTTTTCGTTTTTCACTGCATTTGGGATGACTTGGTGTTCGAATACGAGCATGACGTATTTGACGGAATGCATTCCCAAGAGAGCGGCTGGAACCGTTGCGGTGGGTAGTTTTTTCAGAAATCTTGCAGCTGGTGTGAGCTCTGTTATTATTATGAAACTGTGTGACGAGATGGGGGTGGGTTGGTGTTTCACTGGACTTGCATTTTGTGACGTCGCCTCTATGGCAGGAATCGTTTACCTTATCACGAGCGGTTCTAGATGGCAACAAAATCGATGATATTTGTGTGACTGTAATCTGGTTGACTCACATTCCTAATCAATGTCGATACGAGTGTAAAGAGAGCTTAGAATGAGTTTTTGTCGATGAGTTCGAATCCTGACGTCTATGAACGACCGGACTTTAACAAATCGCCTTTAGAGGGAGAAGAGCAATCGAATCCTCTGGAGAGAAAGAAAAAATATGTCAGCGAGACTCCAATTCGAAGGACAGATTTCCTTCCTCATTTATAAAGCCTTTTAGTTCTTGAAATGCTTCAACTGATCACGGTGATGCGTGGCATATGTGTGTTGACGCCTGTGTTAAGTGAAGTATTTACTACCGTTTATAAGTGTGAAAAAGACAGAATGAGATTTAAAAAAAAGGCCAAGGAGAGCATAGTCTAGATTCCGTGCGTTTAGGACAATACTGGACGGCTGGACTGTAAGGGTTGTGAGCGCAGTTTCAAAGTGGAGAGTTCATTCATTTCGGGACTACCCTCTCACCATACACGTCTGTGTCGTCTGGAATATATACTATACTTTTCCAAGTAAAGCGTCAGTGTGAGGAGAACGTTTGCCAGTGAGACATATGTCTTGTTCAATTGTCAGCGAGTTATTCTATAGAAAAGATCGTAATACATCAATTTTCTTTGTCAATTATCAGTACCCTCAGAGTCTTTGAACAGCAACGTCTAAAAGGCTCTTAAGGACATACAAAAAAGCTCTAAAACAATGCTGTCCCCAAGTATTCGACACCAGGATCCGAGAAACCATGATATTTTGACACATGAAAGGCCCGATTCTTATGTTTTCCACGATGACAGTGATATTTTCAAACTAAAATGTATTACCGATATACGAAAGCACAGAAGCACTCCTTATTACACGAACTACGTTTCTTAAAGCTCTTTGTACTTTCAAACATACCGTAATTTATGAATGTCCCATGTCGACGGCAAGAGTCGCGAGCGGCTTCGGCAAACCTCTTTGCTTGAAGAGGTTATAGCTGTAGAATATTGGAATTTTGACTTCAATAAATGGTAATTTATTAAACTCGCGGCGATGACTACATCATCGTTTAAAAAACAGAATCATATAAAAGCATTCAATGCTGATTGATCTGAGCCTTTCAGAAGCAGTCGATGGATTATATACGTTTGGTAATAGCAGAAAACTAATTGTGCTCTTCCAAAAAGATTCTTGAATGCTCATTTCTGCGGGACGACAAGCACTCGATGACTTTAGTCCTATCTGGTTTGTTACGGTGATGGGCACTGGGATTTCGTCCAATATTCTTCATTCGTTTCCTTACAGTGCAAGATGGCTAAAAATCTGTTCTTATATCATGTTTTGCCTGGCGAGCCTTTTATTTCTGTCGCTTTTAGGCATACTTGCGAGCGTCGTTATTAGACGTACACGACATGATGGCCTGCGTAGCTTTGCTAGGCTATACTTTTTCGACGAGACCATTAGCGTTACATGGGGTACTTTGGTCATGGGATACATCACCATCAACAACTATATCTTCCAATTGGTCGAAAACGAATTGAAAGACCAAAAGTCCGTGACACACGGACTTGTCATTTTCGTCTACGTGCAATGGTGGATAACAGTAATGCTATCCTTGGGATCGGCATGGGGCATCACCTTTTGCATTTGGCTTAAAAACAGTCGATATTGGGACTGTACGGATCCCATGCCTCATCACCGAAATATGCAGCATCGACTGCAAAGCACTTTGCTGCTCCCTATCGTAACACTCGTCGTTGTTGCATCTAGCAGCGGTATATTCACGATGTCCAAACAGTTCGTGGAGCACACCAGCCGCAACGTACAGTTGCTTACACTTGGTGTCACTGCTTTGATTTGGTTCAACGCTCTACTACTGGTTGTCCTGGTTGCGAGCACTTATATTTGGAACCTGTACGTGAACAAGATCCCGCCAATAGGTATGATTTTCTCCATGTTTTTGGTTGTGGGCCCCATGGGACAGGGCTCATATGGGATTCTACTGTTCACCAATAATATTAAACAGTACATTGAGCTCTACTATCCGCTCTCCGTTGCAGATGGTGAAGCCTATCTTGTGTCCATGGTCGTCAAATGGTCTTTCAAGGTCTGTGGAATTGTGTTGGCCCTGTTATTGATCGCGAACGGAATCTTTTTCACGTTTGTGGCGTTTGCCGCGATCGTTTCCTATGGCTACACACTACGAAATTCACATACAGGCCCAAAAATCTCTACTTTCCACAAGGGATGGTGGGCTATGACATTTCCTTTGGGGACAATGGCTTTGGGAACAAAAGAGCTGTACGAGCAGTACGACCCGTATGTCCCCATTTCTGCATTCCGTGTGGTGAGTACGATTTATTCTATTCTATGTGTGGCATCTACTTTAGTATGTCTGGTAGGCTCTATTTGGTCTTATCGTAACACGCTTCTGGCGTCCATATTATCGTCACGCAAAAGCTCGCCACAACTTTCTTCAGCTCGCACATCTGACTTCAACCAAAAGTCATTGCAAGACGCAGAAATGGGTATCGTTTCTCCCGTGAAATCTACAATTCACCCACAGATGGTAGATCACACTTCCCAGCAGAGTTAACCCTTCGAAAGACCCATGCAGCATACGCACACTGTGACCAGAAATTTCAAAAAAAAAAACATATGAAACCGTTGCATTTTGACAAACTTCACAAAGTAGCCATTCCCGATGAACATCGGTTGCTGTTTTCCAGGAGAATTTCCCCATCAGAAGATACATATCATTTTGCATTCAAAATGAAACGAAACAAAAGAACTTAATAACCTCCCCACGTCTGTCCATAAGGATTAGCGAGCTAAAAGCCCTACATCATTTTCGCAAATGGATGCCTGTTCACAGCCTAACCTATACTGTCATCGGATTCGTCCAAATCCTTTGACGTGATACGAAGCGCGTCCTCTACTTGGATCTCTACCCAGTGACTCGAAAAGCAACTCGAGGATAACGTCGAAAACTACTCGAAGCTTGACAAATCCACACTTTTCATGAACATGATAGTATATATATTTCCACATTGATACCCTTTACCACTCTGCTTTGCTCACCACTTCTAATCTCTCGCATGCCTGTGGGCAAACAAGTATCCCAATTACTATCATTAAAAAAGATGGCTCCCATTACTAAACATTACGAATATCTGGTAATCGGAGGTGGTTCCGGTGGTGTTGCATCCAGTAGAAGGGCAGCTTCATACGGAAAGAAAACGCTACTTATCGAGGCGAAAGCCATGGGAGGTACATGTGTGAACGTAGGATGTGTTCCCAAGAAGGTTATGTGGTATGCCTCGGATTTGGCAACTCGCTTGACGCAAGCGAACGAATACGGACTTTTCCAAGACAATAAGCTAACTCGTGAGAAACTAACGTTCAATTGGGCTCAGTTTAAAGAGAAAAGAGATGCTTATATCAAGCGTTTGAATGGAATTTATGAACGCAACCTGGCCAAAGAAGGCGTGGATTACATTTACGGCTGGGCCAAGTTCAACCAGGACGGTAACGTTGAAGTCACGACGCACGACAACAGTAAGCAAGTGTACACAGCAGACAAGGTCTTGATTGCAACCGGTGGTACACCTATCAAGCCGGATGGCATTGAAGGTTATGAACTGGGAATTGATTCTGATGATTTTTTCAAGCTCGAAAAACAGCCCAAAAAAGTTGTGGTTTCCGGTGCAGGCTACATCGGTGTTGAGCTTGCAGGTGTTTTCCATGGTCTAGGTACCGAGACTCACATGGTTATCAGAGGTGAGACCTTGCTGAGGAAGTTCGATGACTCCATTCAAAATACCATCACCGACCATTACGTTAGCGAAGGGATTAACATTCACAAAAGCGCCAAAATTACCAAAGTGAAGAAAGACGAAAGCAGCGGTAAATTGATAATTTCCTTGGACAATGGAGAGACTATTCAGGATGTGGACGAATTGGTATGGACTATTGGTCGTAAGACTCAATTGGGCTTTGGTTGTGAACACGTTGGAGTCAAACTCAATGACAGAGAACAGGTCATCGTGGATGAATATCAGAATACAACGGCACCCAACATTTACTCATTAGGCGACGTCGTGGGTAAGGTTGAGCTGACTCCAGTTGCGATTGCAGCCGGCAGAAAGTTATCGAATAGACTTTTCGGTCCCGAGAAGTTTGCGAACCAAAAACAGGACTATGAAAATGTGCCAAGTGTGGTTTTCTCACATCCTGAAGCCGGTACGATAGGTTTAACTGAAAAAGAGGCTATTGAGAAGTATGGTGAGGAAAATGTCAAAGTTTACAAGAGCAAATTCACGGCCATGTACTACGCCATGCTAGAACATAAATCGCCCACGTCCTATAAATTGGTGTGCGCGGGCCAAGACGAGAAAGTCGTTGGTTTGCATATCGTTGGTGACTCATCGGCTGAAATTTTGCAAGGTTTCGGAGTTGCAGTCAAGATGGGTGCTACAAAGGCCGATTTCGACTCCTGTGTTGCGATTCATCCCACCAGCGCAGAAGAATTGGTGACTTTGACATAAATCCGTAGACGTTTACTTCAATATAGCAGATAAATCCACAATCAAAGACAGCTAATACTGTGATGCTTTTTTGTGTCTTTCCCGACATCGATGAGATGACGGATTCTTTGTTGGCCAAAGTTGCAGTTGCGCGAATTCGTATGCTTTATAAGTTCACAGTGTTTTAAACTATCAAGAAATATATACACACCTTTCCGAGATAAGTACATCTTTCATTTTGGTCGGTTTCGAGATAATGATTTCAGCTCGCAATAGCGAGGAGAATGGGTAGCTTTAGTTAGATTAAATCAGGATTTAAGCCTTCAAAGAAGAAGCTCTTCTCTTTCTGACCTCAGCCTTTTCGGCCTTTCTTTCAGACAATCTCTTGGCCAACAATTGAGCGTACTCGGCAGCAGCTTCTCTTTGAGCTTGAGCGTTCTTGACCTTCAAAGATTTCTGTTGTCTCTTTCTTTGCAATCTTTGAGGAGTGACAAGTCTTTGGATCTTTGGAGCCTTGGTGTAGGTCTTGTCGTTCTTGGAGACCTCTCTTCTGATGACAAAGTCACGGACGTCGTCTTCCTTGGTCAAACCGAAGAATTTTCTGATGTGGTTGGCTCTCTTTGGACCCAATCTCTTTGGAACGGAGTCGTTGGTGACACCCTCTAGTTCCTGTTCACCCTTCTTGGTGATGACCAAGGACAAGACAGCCAAATCTGGGCCAACAATGGCACCTCTGACGGACTTTCTCTTTCTTTCACCGGCACGTCTAGGTCTGTAGCAAGAGTGGCCCTTAGCCAACAACAACTTGACTCTGGTTGGCAACAAGACACCTTGCTTCATTGGGAAACCCTGCTTGTCGTTACCACCGGAAATCTTGAAGACGTAGCCCTTGAACTCGTCACCGACAGATTCACCGTCGACTTCTTGGCCAATACGCTTGTCGTAAAAGACACGAACGCGGTGTTCGTCATCGATGTCGATGCACTTTTGGGTACCGTTGACTGGGTAAGAAATGTTCAACTGTGGAAAATCGACGTTAGTACGGTGAACAGATGGGTTCAGTTGAAGAAAGCGAGAAATTGTGGAAACTCTGGTAAGAAAAGACGAAAGAGCAAAAAAGGCACCAATTCCAAGTCCAAATGGCATGCCATTGAGCTCGTTCCCAGACGTTTTCAGCGGAGATCATATCACAGGGCACTCAGTGCTAGTACAATGTTTTTATCTTTGATCTCTGCTATCAGATCGTTCCCAGACTCAGTACATCAAATAGGGCAACAGCTCCCTCAAACTTGCCGCTGCGCTTCCCAGGTTTTCCGGTCTCCTCTTTTCATTGATTGCACTATCATAGCGCATAGTTGTGCACTTAACATACCTTCATCTTGGCTTACTTGTCCTCTAGTCTTCTGATAGGTTTCCAAAACTGTAATACGTTTTGATATTATACGCTGTTAATTGATGATTTTCCACTCATCGGTGAACAATTTTTCCCGCTGCACGCTGACACGAGCTAGGCAGAGCCAGTGCCGTAGGCTCACCAACGAGAGATCCTAGACCGGGACCCGTCTAGGCTCCAGGCGGAAGCTCAGGCTGGGTTCTCGCTATCGTTGCGCCGGGCCCTGCGAGGCAGGACTAGTCCTCCGGTCTAGCGAGGAACCTAGGATCGCCTGTCTGTCTAGCTTGTTTTACACGTGGCAGACTCAACGAACCCAAGCGACTCAAAATAACAATTTGAGGTTTTTTCAATTTGGACGATCTTTTTATAACATTAAAAGGTGTGTGGGTGTTGTATGAAGAAGCAGTCTAACCCTGGTTGAAAGATTTCAGCTGCTGACAGAGGCTCTAATGAGTGACAAGATGTGTCGGTAGCGACGTCCAAGGTTTTAGCAGAGCTAAAGCAGTTAACAAGTTCTTTCCTTTCGCGTTGAAAGACCATTTCAGATTTTTGTCCTTTTCATGTTGGCGATTCAGGGATGATCGATTGAATAGTTATGTGCAGATTTTTTTTTACATAAATCAGAACAGCTACATTCACTGACCCTATCGGTTGTTGTGTTGATTTCTCTGAGGTTTGGGTAGGAAAAGTTTATAGTTACAGTACTTTGAACTCAGACCGTACGACCCAATTTTGTTCTAGTAGTGGCCTGGTATGCGCGTGTATGGAAAGTAAAGCTAAAAGTTTCTTTTAACGGTAGCCTTTTAACCTGCACATCCCCCGGCTATGCATGCACCCCTTTCGAAGATCTTAGCTTCTCTTGTTTTTGTCGTCGCTTGGATCTCCAAACGTAAAATACTTGGTTAGCAGGGGAGTGTGGTTCACATTGATATACGGGGTTAATCCGCTCCCGCTATTGTTATTTGCAACATTATTGGAAGTCGCGCTTGGATTGGGATCACCCGCTTGAGTCGTAGAGCTATGATTGCCATTGCCAGCACGAGCATATCCCCAGTCTTGAAACATGGACATAGACATGCCCGGCGATGCTACCATCAAATCATTTGCAAACTTGGACGGCAGTGACCCACCTAGAGAGCCTAGACCTGCATCCGAAGTAGGTGCGTTTTGAACCCGCTGCTGTTGTTCTTGTTGCGCCATTTGTATATGTTTCTGCATCAGATATCCGTGAGGATGAGATACAGTCGGTATGGCTTGCCCGGCCGCGTTTGTGCTTGTTCCTGCAGCATTTGGTTGCACGGGGGTTGCAAAATACTGTTGTATGGACGGAGAAGCGTTTAGGGCAGACGGCAGACCATTGAACAAAAACCCGTTCGCAGGGTTTCCACTGCCACTCGTCCCAATTGCACCCGATGAAGGCATGAAATTGTGAATCTTGTCACTTCGTTCCAAACCAGGACTCAATGTGTGGATATGGGCAGACTGAGGAGTACCGGTTCTGGATTGTGTTGGACGCGGCAGTTCAATATGGCCAGCATTGCCACGCGCAAATTGTGAAGTACCATTAGCGCTAGAACGACCAGGAGAGGCAGCTGATGAAGGTTCACTTTTTATCGCAGTACCGGAACTGGAAGGTATCTGTACACGTAAAGTGGGCCTAGAGCTGGTTCCACTGTTACTTGGGATAGACTGGGGAGTTGATCGTGTTTGAGATCGTGAAGGCTTTGTTTCCGTTTGAAATGCTTGGGTGCTTGCCTGTGAACTTTTCCTAGACGCTGTCTGGATGCTTTCGCCAGCGATATCCATATTGCTAGGAGTGGAATGAAGTCCAGCGGTCTTGGAATTTGCGCTTGCGTAGTTGGTGCCCCCAATAGCAGTCCGGCCTGCCGAATTAAACGCGGGCCCAATCGTTTGTGGCAATCCCGCATAAGCACCGGGTATGCTAGATCTCGAAAATGAAGAGTTCGGCTGGGTGCCGAATTGTGCAAAAGTAGACGATGAAGCAGCTTCTGGGTTCGATGCCACAGCATACAAGTTGTGGAACTGGCGTTGTACCTGCTGCTGAAGAGAATTGAAGGGAGGGTTTAGACTGGAATTTGAAGGTGGTATTTTTGAAAACGATGGTGGGACAGATTTTTTCCGCCGTTTCCTATTGTTTTTGCGCGCCGCACGTTCATCGATAGCCACAGCTACCGATCCGGAGTTATTCTCGGGGTTATTATTGTTGTTGTCGTGTTCATCGTTTTCGTCATCATCGTCGTCGTCGCTTTTGTCAGCCGCGTCATCTTCGTCGTCATCGTCATCATCGTCTTCCGCCAGATGGTCACTGTTATCGTTTTGGCTTTGACTGCGGCCCCTGTTCAAAATTTCACCTGTGTCCACTGCGCTGTTGTTGGCAACAGCTTGATTGTCCAAGCAGCTGGCGTTGGCGTTGATGTTGATGTTAGGCGCAACACGGTCAAACCGTCTCTTGGTCCGATCCCGGATCACCACCCGTTCCTTTTTTCTGAAGTTCCCGTAATTCGACGGATCTTTGGCATCGTGCTGCAGCTTGGGGTTTTGGTAGTGGTCAATAAGGTCATCTGTGTCTACCGAGGAAAATTCATAAAAAGTATTATTGGAGCCCAGAATAATCACCGCAATGTCTACCTGGCACAGTACGGCCAGTTCGTGTGCTTTCTTGAATAATCCGGCTTTCCGTTTGATGAACGTTCTGCACAGGTATTCCGATGTTAGTTTCTAATTAAAAATACAGTCTAAACAGAGTGTTTATGGCTCGTTTTTCTCGCTGAAAAATTCTGGTATACATACACAGTACGGTTTCGTTCGTCAACGATGGGTTCGATGGCTATTTTTCTACGTCCCATGGCTGCTTTTACTGATCATGTACAGACTTTGGTTTTTGCATTGTGTGTTGTATCTATAAATATCGTCAATATATTTTAAATTAATGTATTGGCGATGAGCCCGGTGACAGCGCGACAGAAAAAAGCTGAAGGTTGAAAGTTGACGGAAACGAAAACTTTGACGTTCGATCAGGAACCCTTTATCAGGATACAACAAGAACCCAAATCTTCACGATACTGTCCTTTTTTCCAGCTTAAGAAACGGATCAATTTGAGTTGTTTTTCGCTGCAGCAAGAATCGCAGTGTTTTTCACTGTTGTTCCTGCAACCAGGGCCAAGAATGTGAAACTAGACGACACACAGGATGTGTAGAAACTGAAAAAAAGAGAATATTAGGGGGGCACCATGGGATCAAGAGCATTTAGTGAACTTCTGGAATTATGCAGGGTCGGGATTTTGAAAGAGGGGAGTTACCATGGTGTTTGTCCGAACGTCAGTTGGAGTGGAAAGTGACATTGACGGTCAATCGTTTGGGTGGGATGAACGTTCGCAGTAGACGAAAATTGAAGAAAGTGTGTGAGCTGGCAGCTAGGACCTGAGGTTGAAAGTAAGCAGTGACGTTACGGTACAAAGTGATAGGAAACTATAGAGGAAATGATGAATGTAGCAGCAGAAACTGGTTGTTCACGTTTGCAGGGTAGACTCGATTGACATTTCTGGAGTGTCTTGTCTCGATTATCGTTTGGAATTCGGGGTTATTTCTGTGTGATAGTGATTCAATGGTTTTTTGACATTGATCAGTAAGTGCGTCTTCCCTGCACTGTATTTGGCACACACAGGATGGATGAGCATTCAGTTGCACTGTGATATTTGTTTCATTGGTGGGATTTTTGGACCGTCTGACTATTATACTGCGAAATTGTTGTGTGATCCCAGTGACCTAACTTGACTCGAGTTGACCTGACTTGAGTTTACCATCTCTATCACCGTAGGTGTCACTATATAGTCTCACGTGACCGTGATCACTAGACCATAGATCCGACAGCCATTGTGTGTGCTCAGAAAACATTCCATCTTGTATCTCATTTTTGCTCTCGTACATCGATTTTGATCCAATACAACACTTGACCCCTTCTTTTGCCACAAATCAATCACTCTGACGTCACCATGAAGCTTTTACCTTCTCAAGTTTGAGCTGTGTTCATGCTACTATCGAAACTTGGAAACAGTTAATAAACACTCTAACATTCGGTACTGTAAACCTGCAAACTCTAGAGGGCTTTCTTTGAATGCATAACACTCTTCCCGCGCCCCGTTGTTCCTTCACTTCACCACCAGCAATCATCACTTTCTTCTCCTCTGTCGCTGACACTTTGACTCACTTACATTATAAATCCCTCTTATATTATGAGATTAACGTTGCAAGCAACTCCGTGCTCTCCGTACTCTCCGTCGTTTAAATAGAGATAGAAACCATATCATAGTTTCTTTCTACTCATATTTATTAACATAGCCACTACGATATTTATATACTTCTCAAACCTTCCTTTATTTGCCAGTGACAGGGCTACCTACATTTAGTTCGAAACCCTAACTTGGCATAATGCTTGGATCTATCTTTAGAAAATACCCAGAGTCTACACAGTTGGGCTACTGGGGCACCCCGACCTCTACAATCGATTGGTGCGAGGAAAACTATGTGGTTTCGTCGTTTGTTGCGGAATGGTCGAATACGGTTACCAACAGTGCGTTTGTAGCACTAGCTTTATACGTTACATGGTCGGCGTTTTATCAAAAGCTGGAAAAACGGTTTATTTTGATCGGGCTCGGGTTAGGAACCGTAGGGGTGGGATCTTGGCTGTTCCACATGACGCTCCGGTACGAATACCAGCTTTTGGACGAATTGCCAATGATTTATGCTACCTGCATTCCTGCCTGGAGCATTTTTTCGGAAAAACGTCAATCCTCGCAAACTGGTCTGCTCACCAACTCGTCTTTTATCAAGCAAACGGTGATAGGAGTACTCGTTTTTGGAGCAGCTGCAATTTTAACTATAGTGTACTTGCTTTATCGGGACCCCACGATCCATCAGGCCGCATATGCAGTGCTGAATGTCATCGTGGTGTTCTCAGCAGGCGGAATGGCCGCCAAATATGTGCATGATCCCCTTGCCAAACGCAACCTGCGCAATACCATGGCACTCAGCATCTCCATTTTCTTGCTAGGGTACTTCCTATGGCAATTGGACGTGCATTTCTGCTCATTCTGGATTTTCGTGCGCAGAAATTTCCTGCATCTGCCATTGGGCATCTTTCTAGAACTGCATTCCTGGTGGCATCTTCTCACAGGCTCGGGTGTCTACTTCTACATTGTTCACCTTGAATACCTTCGGGTTTTGACACACGGCCATTCCCAAGACTACACATTGTGCTGGAGATGGAAGGTCTTTCCAGAAGTGATCCATTGTTCCCACACTGTCAACACCAAGTTTTCCTTGGAGTTTATGGGTCCTTACCACATTCCGGAGTCCAGTATCAAATTGGATCGGGCCAAAAGTGAATAGTCACCGAAAAGATCGTGGAGCCAGTTCCTATTCCTGCATATATAAACGCTAAATATACCTTATAATACATTCTGACAATTTGAAGCCAAAAGCCTTAGAAGTTTAGGGTACCGATTTCATGGCCTGAAAGAAATCGGGTCTTTCAAAGCGCTCTTGGCATTTTCTTATTCCTCATACAACCTGAAATGACAGAGAGAAAGCATATCGCTTATCTGTTTCCTATTCGACTCAATTCGGTTCACTGATGTGTCATCCATTAATCAATATATAAATAATAGGTCCATTCTTGAACAAGTACTTGAACTGACGTCAAATCATTAACCTAAAAGATCTTTCTCAAAACATAAGACGCTTCTCAAAGGCTACGCTAGTATCTAGGTAAAATGTCTGTAGCTCCAGTATATACTTCGTCCTCGAAGGACTTTCGTTCCGATACTTTTACCATTCCTACACCTGAAATTTGGAAAACGGTGGCAGCGGCATCTGTAGGCGACACCATCTACGAAGAAGACAGGGATACCTATTTGCTCGAAGCGAGGGTGGCAACTGAGCTACTGGGTGGCCGTGTGTTTGGTAATGAAGAGTCCAGAGGATTATTTTGTATGTCAACGACAATGTCCAATCAGCTCGCCATTCGAGCTCATCTCAATTTCGCTCCCCCATACAGCGTCCTGTGCGATGATAGAGCACATGTGTACGTTGACGAATGTGCTGGCATAGCAGTTCTTTCTCAAGCTCTGGTTGTGCCCGTTAAAGCCTCCAACGACCGTTTTTTAACACTGGAAGATATTCAGCAAAAATACGTTCCTGACATCGACGACATTCATTTAGCTCCCACCAGACTGATTTGTTTGGAGAATACGTTGCATGGCATGAGTTTCCCATATGATGAGCTCAAACGCATCAGTGAGTGGTGTCATGCAGAAGGAATCAAGTTGCATCTGGACGGAGCACGAATTTGGAATGCTGCTTGTGCATCCAGCGACACTGAACCGGAAACTTACCTTAAAGATATCTCAAAATTGGTGGATTCTGTGTCTCTTTGCTTTTCTAAATCTATTGGGGCACCTATAGGCTCGATGCTTGTTGGTGGCATTGCGTTCAGAAAAAGAGCACGTCATTTACAAAAACAGCAGGGTGGTGGGATAAGACAAGCAGGGTTCATATCTCGCATAGCCAACCATTGCCTGGATACCAACTTCCCGGAAACCATAAAGACTGTCTCTAAAACAACTAAAGAGTTTTGGAACGACTTGCACAGCTCGATAAAGACAAACTATGGCATAGAGCTTCATCTAGCCCATCCTGTTGAAACCAACTTCATATTCCTTGACTTGGTCAAGTCCGGCATCAATCTCGAAAAGCTTTTGGAAGTTGGAGAGGCAAATGACGTAAAACTGTTTGATGGCAGGCTTGCATTTCATTATCAAAACATTAGCCCGGAATGCTTGAATGCGTTGAAGAAAACCTTTATTGACATCGCAATCTACTACCAAAAACACGAATATAAACCAGAGGAGAGATCTGCAAGAATATATTAGATTATAGTTTCTTGGACATGTATGGTCCGTCAAGTTCGTAGCCCAGTTTAGCGTAATAGTTTCTAACACCGACGCCAGATATCACCGAGATTTTCTCTGAACCATGCTCCTCTTTGGCTATTCTCGCAGCCTCTTCCATTAATAAAGTGCCAAAGCCTTGATGTTGAAACTTGCGTGGGTCCCTTGAGTGCAGTGGTACAACAGAACCATACACGTGAAGTTCTCTAACGATCGAGGTCCTTTGCGACTTAAACTCTTCCCTGTATGTATATTTCTTCGATGCTTTCCTTAGTCGTAGCAGACCAATCAGAATATCTTGTTTTGGATCTTCATAAGACAAAAATGTTTCCCAGCCTCCATTCGCGGCATAGTCTCTCCTGATAAGCTCTACTTGGTCTGGCTGCACCTTGTGATGAACTTCCTGGATTCCGACCTCCCTGGTACGAACATCACGACAGGTGGTACCAAAGTCCTTCATTCTGGCCAAGGCAAGTTCTCTCAAATTACCATTGTCTACACCAGACGTGACCAAGGGCATCGGGATATCTCTCTGTACACGGTATATTCTTGTCCATGGGGGCACAAGAGCCATAATTCGAGCCACCAAATCAACAAGAGCGTTGGCGTTATATGACTTGTAACGACCTGTTTTCCAAAGTTCGTAAAGACCTGTACCTCTGATGACCAAAGTTGGGTATATTTTAAGGCCATCGGTACGGAACGCAGGATTCTCGAAATATTCCTTGAACTGCTCGATATCTCTTTCCATACCAACATTGGGTAAATCCGGCATCATGTGCGAAACGATCTTATAACCCGCATCTTTGGCCACACAGAACGTCTCTGCCACGGATCGAATAGTGTGCCCACGATTAGTATCTCTAGCCACATCCTCATAAAGCGATTGAACGCCAATTTCCAGTCTGGTGCATCCGTATTTTAACATATCGTCCAGATGAGTCCGTGTGCAATAGTCGGGTCTTGTCTCTATAGTGATACCGACACATTTCATTAAACTCTGCTGCGAGTATTGGATTGCTTCATCTATGTCATTCCCGTTGAAGCCAGACAAGGCGTTATGCAGCTTGACAATAAAGTCCTCACGGTAATCCTTGGGCAATGACATGAAAGTACCTCCCATGATAATGTACTCAACTTTGTCTATGGAGTGGCCCAGTTGTTTCAGCTGCTCTACACGGCCTCTGGCTTGTTCGTAAGGGTCGTAACGTGCTCTGATAGCACGCATGGATGTTGGCTCATAACCTGTGTAGGACTGTGTCGAGTACTCGAAATCCGAGTCTGGTCCACCGGGACAGTAAACACAAATGTTACCGGTATAAGCAATGTGCGGACAGCGATGTGGTTTACACATTACAGCCACAACAGCGATACCAGAGGCGGTTCTGACGGGCTTGGCCTTCAGCTTCGGCAGCAGATATTTCTTATGTTGGTCTGGAATCGAGTTAATCACATCGGTCAAACGAGGCTGTTGCTTCAACTTATATTTTTTAGAGTATTTGGTGATGAGCCCATTCAAGTTGATTTCGCGTGAAGTTCCTGACGTCAAAGAGCTTGTCAGTTCAAGTGTGATGTCCGAACAACATTGGATAAACCGCTCCTTTTCAGGCGCTAATTTTTGCTTGTTATTTTTGGGGCCGTTTCCACGTCTGCCCATGGTCAGGTAAGGGTTTTACAAGATCCTGAAAGCTTTAAAACACTTGTTTAAACTGCGTCGTTGGTAGCTCATCGCATCGCTCATCTCATCATCATAGGTCTGAAACTTTTTTATAAGGCTATCCTGGAGTACGAAATCACCTTCATAAACCATTTCGGTTAAAGTATATACAGGTCGCTGAAAATAATCGCTGTAAATCAGAATAAAACGGACGGAATAGTTAGATGACGAGGTCGGACATTTGCAAGGGCTAGATTTTTTTGTGTGGCAGAACAATTGAGGGTTTCCAAAACGTCATATAGTTGAGATTTGGCGAAACTTTACATTGTGTCACGTGACCAGTGTCAGCGTCACCCAAGGAAGTATTTACATTCTTCGAATAAAACTTGACAGTTTTTGAAGATTTAATCTCCAGTTCACTCATTAGTGGCACGGTAGCTTGAATTTTGTTGAAGTTATTTGTGGGAAGATTGGTCTCAATTTTATTTAGGGGAGGATTCACATCCAATGAGAAAATTACTATCAAGGCCGCAAAGTGAAGCTATCTTTTTCAAACTTCAGATGAGCAACACACCACTCACACTTCAGCCTTTCTATCTTGAAGTTCATACTAGTAAAAGCCTGGAATTTCAACAAAAATGCTAGCATAATTTCGTAAGTACCTAAACAAAATTACGGATGCGTAACCTAGGTTTTCGAAATATGAGTAGGCTGCAATATCATTAAAATGAGACTAAATTAATGTAGAATCTCGGACTTTCATCGGTACAGTAGTTTGTCCTCTTTTGATGTCGTCACCACATCTCTCTTGATAAGCCACCGCCAGCTAAGCGATATGACTAGATCTTCGAGTCTATAAAAGCACGTGATCTACTTTTTGTTTTTATCTCATATTTTCTCATGGTGTAATCTTTCGAACCAGTCTTATTCACAATATCTGAGAGAGTTCCAAGACCTCCAATGTACTTCAGCAACACCAGAATACATCATGTAAATATTCCTCATTCTTGATCTCGAATTTCGTGATTCGTCTGGAATGATATTCCACGTTTAAACAATTTATCACGTGATTCATTTTTTCATTTACACACAAAAGTTGATTGAAATAGCTGACCCTATGTCAACTATACGCTTCAAGTTCAGACCAAGTAGGCATCGCCAATCGGTCCATTAGTAGCCTCGGACATCGCTTCTCAAAGCTTCGCATAGCAAACGACCAAGGACATCTCAAACTGCGGTTGAAAAATGGGTCCCGATGCCAGAAAGAAGAAGAATCAGAAGAAGAAGCAGAAACAGAAGCAGAAGAAAGCTTCTAGCCAGCATGGAGAGAATCCCTCAGTCATGGGAGAGGATCTTTCTCAAGACGCCGCTGTAGAAGAAAAAACTTCAGACAAAGAAGACTTACTTGACCCTGAAGAGCCACAATTGGAAGACCAAGATTCTAAAAAGGTTGATCCGACAAACCAAGCTGAAGGGTCACAAGAATCGCTCGGTGAGCCGACCGGTGTAATTTTAGGCGAAAAGAAACCTGTGGATAACGATATAGAAGCTATTAATGCCGAAAATGCGAATTTTCCGGCAAGCCCACCAGGTAGAGTGGCAAGCCCGGAAACAGATACACTACGAAAGCTTTCATCGAATACAACACACACAGACGACAACAGTGTTAATTTTGACACTGAAACAGCTTCAAACGTGGCAATTGATACAACGCCTCACGAAACACTCAAGCAGACAGAAGATGCATTGCAAAATTCGTTTACAAACCAAAGAAAACAAGATCAGGACGATTATGGAAACAATGGTGTACCGGAAGATCAGATTACCGATAGAAGTGTGATCGGTACAGAGGGTGTGCAGGATTTGACTACCCACATTATACCAACGCAACAAGCGGAAATTGGTCAGGAAACAACTGAGAATTTCAGCGGAGACAGTAAAATCGAGGCCCATCAAAACGAAAGCAGTGTAGAGGAGTGGGAGGCAGGACCCAACGAAGTGGAAACAGACTTGAATAAAACTAGTGATCATGAGGCAGAGCCCTTACTTCATTTGGGCTCTAGCACTGCTGCTATCCCCGACCCAGCATTAGAATTGGGTCCAGAGACAAATATTCGGGAAAATCATGTAGACACTACTGAAGAAACGTTGTGCGATCAGCACGAAAGAGAGGTTGAAACTGCTGGTAATGCTAGCGTGACTGCCAACCTTGGTGCATCTGTGCACCTCGATAGTTTTCAAACCACAGCTAAAGAGGACGTTGAAATTACTTCGAAATCTGAAGACAGAGCAGTTTCGACTAACGTCCCCGCTTTCGCGCAGCAGCCTAGTTTTCAATCTTCGCAAAATGTTTTGAGGGCTGATGAAATTGAAGCTAGTGCCAATGAGTCATCACTAATGCCCACCACCTATCTGGAAGAGAGCGATACTTCGATTGGGCAAGAAGACACTGTTGAAAGAGCAAATTTAGCGATTAATACTATTGGATCAATAGAACACATTCAAGAGCCCGACGTTTCACCACATGGAGAACACACTATTATTCCCAGCCAAGAACTTAATGAGCAAGGTATTTCAACAGTTACTCAGGATAGCAATGGGAGCGGCGGCGTTCAAGACTATGGCCTTGAAGTCCATGGCAACGAGCAAAAGGGCGGTGGGGATATTGCTTCATTTGAAGCAAGAGACAGCTCATCGCCACATGTGCAAGGATCTGAATCGCATCAAGTGGACAAATCTAATGGGTTTGATGATGATCTATTTCCAAGCACAGAAAATTCCGCTGTTTACGGCATAGAGTCGTTTCAACAGGAGCATCCAGCTAGTGATGAGCTTTTCGACAGCGAAGCGAAAGAGGACGGCGTTACATTTTCATGGGAGGGCGGAGACGACTTTCTGAGCCATCTAGGTCAAAGTGATTCGGCACATCTGTCAGGAACTGTCGAGACTGCTGAGCCTCTTCCCTATGGTGAAACTGCTGAATGGCTGTCTCATGAACAAAATAACGATATTGACTTACTTCCATGGGAGGGTGCCAATGAAGAGGCTGGAGACTCTTCAGTCATTAGAAACTCTTTGAGCCCTGGCAAAATTGTCAAAAACTTTTCTTTTCTGGACAATGATGATGATCTTCTTGATGATGACGACAGCTTTCTAGATTCTGATGAGGAGCTCACGGCTAATGCAACTACTGTTGGAAGCGATACCCAGCGATCTGCTGTCCCTGTCGTTAACTCTTATTTACCGCAGTATGACAATATTGTCCAGTCTCCCATGGCTGGTGTGCAAACTTCACAATTGGAGGATGCGACTGGGCCATCTGAAATACTTGTTGCTGCTCATGCACAAGTTCCTACACCGATTGAAAAGAAAACAACCAAATACGGGCCCCCGATGAAGACTGATGCGGACACTGTTGGTTCCCAAGTATCTTCTATCCCAGCCACACCACAAATACATCCATCGGTGTCATCAATACGTCCAGCATTACCGGAGTTCGGGTCTACTCATAACATGAACAAGAAGCTTGACGAGGAAAAGAAAAAGTCCGACGCGTACGATTTTCCTTTGGACCTAACCAGTCGCAAGCCCAACAAGATCAGACAACCTAAACCGTTCGGCTCCGTGAATTCTGCGGTTTCTTTGGGTGATTCTTCTACCGCATCTCCAAGAGTATCGAGCGTTGTACTCAATAGTGGGACCAATATTTTGAACGGGCCGCCTTTTCCAGTCAACCAAAATGCAGTTCTTTCAAATCAAAACCAAGGGCGGACGGTTCCCCCTATGCGTAATCCATCAGGGTCGCTTCCCTCGTACCCGCCTCAAGTAGGCGCTGTCGAACAGCCTAATCCTTACCCTCAAGGCACCCAGAATAGCTCATACCAGCCTCCATTGTCAAATAAGCCTTCTAGCACCGCGCCACTACCATCATCGACTAGATACGCACCTTCGACTACAAATGCTGAACCCCCTAGGCGCGCAAATGTCGTGAGTCCCTACGCACCTCAGACTGATCGTGCAAGAGCCTTTAGCAGCGTATCGAATGGAAGTGCAGGTTCATTCGGAAGTTCAAAAGGTGCTGGTCACATCCCTCCCGCTACACAAATCAATAGACAAAGCATGAGCAATGGCACAGCAGGCGGTCAGCACCTACGCCCGGAAGCACAGGCACCTTTGGTTCCTGCACTCAAGACTATTGGGCTCCCATCCATCGGAAATCAGGCTCTCTCACCCAACACTCAAAAAAGGAGCCACGCACGTTCTAACTCTAGTGTTTATGCTCCAGCCTATTCTTCCAAATATGCGCCGACCGTCCAGCCTCAGTTTCACTTGCCTTCTCAGGATAACACTGGTACAGGCTATGCGCTGAACCCAAACCAAGGACATTCATTTGGCACCAATGATCCAGCGCATAGGCCGAACATTCCATCTGTTGCTGGCAGGCTAACTGACTCGCAGCCAGTAGATCCAAATATTTCCTTTCACCGGCAGTTCCCTTTATTTAGCTGGGGGAATTCATCCAAGGTGGTACACGCTCTACCTGAAATAAACGCTGCTAACGCTTTCTTCCCAACAGTCGGGTCAGGACTAAAAATTCAGATCTCTAACTATGATACAATTGTTAAGGCAAACAGCGATTTCAAAAGCTTTCCTGGCCCGTTGATCAAGAACAGAACGAAAATCAAGGAAGTGCAAAAGTGGATTTCAGATACTTGCTCAACCTTAAGTAAGGAAGAACCTTTGAAGGATCTGGTTCTTTACAAGATCATGAGTGCAAAACTTTCACAGGATAGTACGCTGGTAGACGTTGCCAAAGCCTTGTACAATTCGGACGATTTATTGCCGTTCCTGTCGCAAGCTTCATCAAAGAAAAAGAATACCTTCAATGCGTTTAAAGTGAATGGAAATGAGCAACTGAGGGTTTTGGCAGCTCTTCAGACAGGTGATCACGAGCATGCTTTGGAATTGGCACTCGCCGATGGTGATTATGCATTAGCGCTAATGATAGGAAGCCTCGTTGGTAAGGACAAATGGGCAGAAGTTGTTGAGATCTATCTTCATGAATCGTTTCTACCTGTGGCAAATGATGCGATTGATTTTTCTTCTAGTTTACTGACTTTGATTTTCCGTGTATCGATTGGCAATAGCAAGCGCATCTTTAGCGAACTGGCATCAGATCATCACAAGGCCAATTGGGCCCTTGTTAATTGGAAAGTGATTGTTGCCGCAGTCCTCAGTAATGTGAGTAATCACTCGGTGAGGCCACTTCCTGATGCATCCCAATTGCCTCCTGCTACAACGGAATTTTTAATCGAATTTGGCCTATTTCTGTATCGGGGCGGAACCCATTTGGGTAGTATGGCATGTTTTCTGGCAGCAGATCTGCCATTACTGGACCGCGAACTAGTCCCAGGCTCTGATTTCAAGTTTTATTCTCTAGGGACGGCAAATTCGTGGGAAGGAATGCTTTTGAGCGAGGTTTATGAATACTATCTTACCATCAGGGACCCTAGCTATCCTGGATCGTGCCATTCCCTCCTCCAGAAACTTTCACACTCACTGGCTCTCATTGAATGTGGCATGGCTGCCGAGGCCTCGAAATACGTCGACGCTGTCACTCAAAGTATGAAGCCTTTACGGAAGAACAATACACTTGCCTATGCTGTAGAGATACGATTAAACTTCGTGTCTTCAAGGCTTATCGATGCAAACGTAGGTTGGCTAGGAAAGCCAAAGTTGAGTCAAGTTTGGGGCCAGCTGGACAAGTCCTTCAACAAATTCATTGGCGGTGACACCGAAGAGCCACCAAATGAAGAGTCAATCAAAATATTTGAGAATTTCACACCTAGCAGCTCCAGAAATGCCTCATTGTTAGACTTAAGCAAAGAACCATTATCTTTCAAACCTGCCGAATCCGTTAATGGCACGATGACTCCAGCTTTTACTCCATTGCAAAGGCCTCAGATGCATACCAATGTTTCGTCGAGTAGCTTGATGAAGGGACGCAAAAGTTCCTCTGTAGCTGAATCCAAGTACGATCCTTGCCATAACCAATGGTCTGCAACCCCCATTCAGAATACAGTGACCGAAAGCTCCATATCGGCTTTCGAATCTCCTGTTCAGCCATTTCATTATAAGTCTCCCTCAAGGTCGAAAGATCAGCTCATGGCGGCGGGAACACCTCCCCCATTATTTTCCTCTGCGTCGTCTAAAAAATATGCTGCTAGAAGGGCTAATCTAGGTGGTGGCGGTGCGTTAGATGACGTACCGGCTAAAATGGAAACGGAAAATGCATTACAATCGCATGGCCAGACCAAACCAATAAGAGGTCAGAGAAGTGAGCGCCCCGTAAATGCAGCTCTTCTTGCAGACCTGCAAGCCCTTCCCCCACCTATATCTGGAGTTATAAGTGGCTACAGTGGCCGACGCGGTTCGGTTCAATCCCGCACCAGCATCCAGTCTAATTCTTCTGACGTACCGCTTTCTAAGCATGTGCCAGTTCTTGCTACATCTGCCCTTGCAGGTCAAGCCACCCCTGCCGAGAATTTTGGTGTATCGCCCTCCGCTATACCTAATCAGACAACTTTTCCGGAGCCGTCACAAGGTGAGTTTATTGGAGTTGACAATGGCGACGGGGATGACTTAACGAGCCGATCTGGAGAGACGTTGAAACCTGAAGATAGAAAGAACCAGGTTTCTCCCGAACCTTTCAAACGTGAGGTTGGGAGTGCATTTTCGGAGATCGAAACTGACGCTTCAATCACAGAAGACCAAGAAGCTAAGAGGGTTTATTCACAGACTCTAGCAAAGAATGACGATGAGCAAAATTTGCATTTCAAACAAGTGGAGAGTACCCGACAGACTACCTCACCTAGGGTAGAAAGCATGAATCTATCCAAAGACCACGAAACTTTTCAGGCCACGCCGTGGGTTTCAGGACCGCTGAAAACAGGACCGAGCAGGGCGAAAAAGGCATATGCCCCACCTCAAGAAGGGAGAAACAGAACAGTTCACAATCCCTACTCACCTTCTAACTCGCAACCGGCGTTGTACGATGGTGCTACTCCTGATGCTGTCAACAACATGGAACATGGAGGTTCGAACGAGCAGATCGATATGTTTTCCTATGGAGGCTACAATGTGACAAGTGCGGTGTCAACTGAAATCGGTGAAGAGCAAGTAACTCTCACAAAAGAGTCTGAGTTTAGTTCATCTCGAGGCACAGATGACGAACAATCTAGAGACAATTCAATATCAAGACTTTTAGAACCTGCTGGAACAGAAAGAGATGCAGGTCCTCAAACTCGGAGCGAGCTTCCACAAACCAAAAAACTAAGCTTGATGGCCGATGATGGAGATGAGTTGTTTAGCAGTGACAAAGCTCCAGTCATAAGGCCTTCCTCGAACCCTAGTTTCAAACCATTTACTCCCGCTTCGACGCCGGGTGCTGAAGAGTATTATGAGGACATTATAGAAAATGAATCTGATGACGAAGAGGATGAGGCTGAAGCCGAGAAGCAGCGGTTGGAAGCCGAGAAGCAGCAAGCCGAAGCTGAAATGCGCGAGGCTAAGGAGCAAGCTAAGAAAAAGAGCTCGGTAGCGAAGGGCGACAAGGATAAGAACCCAAATAATGCTTCGTGGTTTGGTTGGTTGCGCAAGGATGCGAATGAAAAGAAACCTGTAAAGGCCAAACTCGGACATCAGAACACTTTCTATTACGATGACAAGCTTCAAAGATGGGTTAATAAGAATGCTACTGCGGAAGAAAAACAGCAAGTGTCCGCTCCGCCTCCACCTCCTCCTATCATCAAGAAGAAAGAGGAAGGGTCTCCAAAAGTCAAGCCTCGCTCAGGTTCAGTTGCTGGAGGGGCGGCTGCTCGAACAGGCGCATTTGTGCCACCAACATACTCTTTCAAAGAACCCGTAGCATCATCCACTGAAAATGCGGGTGCTTCGAGGAGTGTATCACCATCTTTGAGTCCAAGCGTAAGTCTCTCTGGAAAGAAAGCTAACAACATTGACGATTTGATGTCGTTGGCGAACACTCCAGGCAATCAAGGTGGGACCAGGAGAAAAAAGAAGGCCGCAAGAGGTTATGTTAATGTAATGAACAATATGTAAATGCACAAAGCTGTACAAAAGTATATCAGTTTTCAGTTTCATTCACGAACTTAAGATACACAACATTTATCGAGAGTTTTTCACTCAAAGTTCAACTGAGTGTACCAAACAATAAAAACAACGGGCTTTGAAAAAATTGTTAACTATGTACACGATCTAAAAAGGATAGTCCCCACTGCTAAGTTATTTACTGTTAACGCGGAAAATGTCACCACTTATTTTCATGCGCTGAATGGCCCTGCTCATGTCGTCTTCGAAATTTTTGGGAAGCTTAGCGTCAGGTGGACTTTCGAAAACCGAGCCCATCATAATGAGCTCATCACTCGAGGCATCGCACAGAAAGGCCACGTAATCGGTCACATCGCGATCAAGCGTCTCGGTTTCGTGTGTATTTTTATTCAATTTGATCAGCCGTTGCTTAGTGTCAAATTTGTAAATTAGTTGAATGTGCTCAAGCGGGTGTCCAGGAACCATCATGACTTGTACAGAGACGAGCTTGGGAACAGTTTCAAATTTAAGTAGCTGCCAGTCTAGCTCGAAATTTTTAGGAAGTTGTTTCGCTCTTGCAGTGAGCGCTTCATCGACCCACAGTGACACCAACGGTTTTATAGAAGACAAATTACGAGCTGCAAATGCTTTGTTCACGTCGACGTAGCTCTCAATTGCGTTATTTTTCCACAGCAGAAAGTTGGGTTTCAACCCAGACTGGTATCGGAATAACGCGACTTGGACAGTATTTAGCCCAAAAGTGTAGATGCGTCTGATGAGGGCATTACCAAAGACGACCGGAGATCTGAAAAAACTTGGCAGATTTTTGAAGGAGGGGGGAATATAGACTTCTGCAGATATACCCAGATGTCTCGGGTTGAAGTTTGTCAATTTAGAATCTTTTTTCTTGACAGTTTTGGTCTCAGTGGTCGAGCTGGAGCCCTGCTGCCGAAGCAGGGTAGTGGTAGACAAATGTCTTGCCGGAAAGAGCACCCTTTTCGGTGTGCGGAACATAATTTTATTCAATCCATTCGGAAGCATCTCGTGAGCCACACGTTTGACGGGAAGCTTATAGAATCAGCTCTTAAGCTGGAGTGTCCTGAGATTTTGGGTAATTCTTCTACAATGCATCTAGAAGTTTTTCAAGATATAGTATAGTACCAATAAATAAGAAAACTGACAATTTTATAGAAGGAAGATGGAAATAGACGAAAAGTATGAGAATTTCGGCGTTTTTCGATCGTCGTGAGCTTTTTTGAGTGAGCTCTGGCGTTTTAAATCACATATTTTGCCTGAAAGAGTGTCTCAGCCGTATTCTAGTCATTCGAAAGCTTATTATGTGGTGGATTCCGAATTGTCACAACTGAATAATTATCTACTTTGTGGACTGACTACACAATCCAAGTAAAAGTAGACACGGCTATAGATGCTACTCGAAACGTATACTCTGAGGACGCTTTAAGAAAAGGCCCGTCATTTAGTTTGATGATTTGAATTAAATCACGTGATATGTGATATTCAAGACTTTGTCGTTACATGAGGAGGGTCTTCGTTCGAGGGCTTAGTCCTTATTGACTGGGCTAGTATCATGTATTTGAGCGTTAGAGGCTGGTGCAGTAAGTTAAGAGTGAAGTTTTATACCGCGACGACAGTCTAGTACGAAGTGATTATGACAGGTACAACAGACGAAACTTCAGCTGCACCGAACCAAATCCGCACCAACCATCATGGCTCAGAAGGTCACAGCGAGTCTTGAAAGGGACTAAAATAAATACGTTGCGAAGACTTTGGCCATGCCATCTTCTTCACTTGCGTAATCAATATCACTATTACCAGCTGCGTCGTTGCAGCATAACACGTAACATACTCGCTCGAGTTCCGTAAAAGCAGACACTGCAATCTGGCGAGTGTAAGGGAGCCCAGAAAAGGTCAGCAAGTGATGAAGTTAAACCAACAGCAGCTTATTCATCCGCCCAATCATCTGTTTTTTGGTCTTCGATTAACGTCATTTCGCAATTCCATGCTTACTGGCATGTGGGATCTTGCGTGTGCTTTACAGAGTATTCGGCATAAATTTCCAAAGGAAAACCAGACACCTTGAATCAGGACGCAGACTTAGTCTCATGCTCTCCTGTTCAACAAAAATTGTTAGTAATACTCATTTTGAGGAAGTCGAGCTTTTACAAGTAGATAGAGAGCACATACCCAACAGAAATACAGTAGCAAACTTAGGAGCTTCATATAAAGCTCCGACTCTTGCAAATGTCTCAACTTGAAGCTCAATGACACGATTTCGAATGATGAAAAACCTCAACGACACATTAGTATAAAATGATAATATCTTGCATTGTCAAAAGGGGAATGATCTACTCATCTCTACAATGTTATCGAAGTGAAACCTGAACGCGGATCCTTCAACTGCATTGCTCGTGCCAAATCCCCAATCCCCTCTTACAATTGGACCAGCATCACCCACAATGAAAGCGCTTCTACTAACTTACAAAATTAAGGACACGGAAAGTATCAATTGGTCCAAAGCCTTAGCGTCCTATCTCAAAAGATCGTACGGATCTTCCACATGGAGTCAGTTTTTCGATGTAAAACAAGCTGAGAATCTAGATCGTTTACGGAATAATGCCAACGGAAGTCTGGCTTCAGAGGCACTCATTGAACAGAATCTCCTGTACTATGCGTTTTTGGAACAGCTGTACATGAGGTTGGGTGCAAACTCTGGGCAGCTCAATATAGACTATACATGGTATGACGCGGCATACACGTCGACAAGTGGGTCTCAAAAGTATACTCAGAGGACGGTGGCTTTCGAAAAATCAAGTGTACTTTACAATTTGGCTGTGATCATGACGTTAGCAGCCAAAGAACAACTCGATAAGGATGTGAAGATTTCAATCGGCTACATGTCGCGAGCTTTTGCATGCTTCGATTATTTAAGTGAGAATTTCTTGAACTCTCCGTCTGTTGACCTCCAAGCAGAAAACTCCAAGTTCCTAGGTAACGTATGCCACGCAGAAGCGCAAGAACTTTTCCTTTTGAGAATAATCAACGGCCCAGACACCGCTAAGCATGCCTCACTTATAGCGAAGCTAGCGTCAATGGCCTCTTCATTATATGAAAAGGCTGACAGCTTTTACGAATCGGACTCTAAAGCCTCGCCATCTGAAATTCCATATGGGGACATCAAATGGAAGAGTATTATTTCCTGTAAAGTGAACTTCTACAAAAGCGTATCGGCCTACAACTACGGAATTATTCTTGAGCAGCAAAATAAGTTTGGGAAAGCCATAGCTTTCTTGAAAATCGCCGAAAGTGCTATTCTGTCCGCCATGGTTCACAAACTTCATGTCAAAGAAACTATGGACCTTGAGTCCTTCAAGAATCTCGTCCAAGCCAAGCACAAGAATTTGATCAAAGACAATGATTTCATCTATCACGATACTATACCTTCTGACGCGTCTATGGAAAATATAAAGGGTATGGACGCTGTGAAAGCACCTCCATTGGCCAAACAATTAGAGTCTTACATGGACAAAGTGGCAGAGTCCTCCGATATTCTGTTCAAAGGAATCATACCACTTGAAGTCTATGAAAAGGAGAGTATTTATTCTGAATTGAAAGCAGACCTATTGAGAAAAGAACTTGAAGTTGCCGAGACGGCGGATTGGGAATATTCGTCGTTTGTTGAATTTACAACCTTGCCAAAAATTTTAAAGGACCTGGAGAGCAGATATACCAGCAGTGCAAAGTCTGGAAAAACAGACAATCCTCAGTTGGCGATAATGAAAGAGAAATTGGATTTATGGTCCAAATCAGTGTTGAGAAATCCATATAATAACGTCGAGCTACAAATGCAATCTATCGTTGGGCTTAGAAAGAAAATTTTGGAGCTTTTGAGTTCCATCCCAGAAGAACAACAGGAAAACGCTGTGAAACTCAAGTCATCACTTTTGGCTGCATCGAAATCGGACGACAAGCTGTTCTCTTTTGTCCAATCCAATTTGACAGAACTTCAATTATTGAAGAGTCCTGCTGCTTTGGACAAGCAATGGACTGCACTGAATTCATTCCAGCACGAACAGCCGGATTTGCTAGATATTGACGACAACAAGAATGAGGAGATAAGGCAGAAAATCGGGAATGTGGGAAGCCAGAATGATGATTTAAGGATCCTGAAGGATGAGCGATCGAGTATAGTTCAAGACTTGAAGAAGGCAGTTAATGACGATGATATTACTAGAGTCGTTATAATGAATCGCGATATGACGGATAATGAACTTAATGAGCTGTTCGGTAAAGAACTTGATAAATTTAAGCCACTCAGTACCCGGATAGAGGCAACAATTTTCAAGCAGCGCAATTTGATCAACACTATCAAAATCAATCTGGATGAGGTTTTCAAGCTTACTGGATTGGATGATGAATCATCGAAAAACGATCCTAATTTGGTGAAAAGAAATGACTTCTACAACAGACTCAGTCAGGCGTTCAAGAGTTTCTCTGTTTTTTCAAACGATTTGCCTAAGGGGCTTACCTTCTACGAGTCTTTACTCAAAATGGCTCAAAACTTACAGTCTGTTGACTCAATCAAGAAAACGACCGCAAATGGCGTACTTCCAGCATTACCAAATCAGCTCAACGAGAGCTTCCAGCAATTAAACATTGTGCCGGGTGCCGATAGAAAGGAATTCACCGCTATGGCGACACTACCTCCCGTTCCGCCACGAACTTATGGGCAACCAGACCAGTTTACGATGTCTCCTTCTATTCCGCCCAAGCAACCACCCTCTGGTATCAACGGTTTGGGAAACTTTGGAAAACCAGCCAGTCAGACGGATCAGGATCCAACGTCGTTTTATAATAACCCGTCAGTGTTTGACGAGAGCCTCTATTCACGTTTCGGCGGGTAAGTTTTTGGAAGTGGGGGGCGTTTGAGGAATTTGCTTATTGATAGAATTTTTGGCGTTGCGCCGCTTCGGTTGAGCTGGGCCAGATCTTTCCTTACTAGTCTTGCCACTAGTTTTAAACCAAACGTCTTCTGAGCCGAAGTCCGATTCCGTCAGCTTGACAAAACTTATCAAACCATCGTCCATAACTGCCAAAATAAAGCTTCTGTAGCCTCTTTTCAAACGCCTTTGTTGTTCAATGTATGGATTTAGTCGTTTGACCGCTTTTCCAACTTCTTTGCTACCTGGAGAGGAAGCAGTATGAGCTTGTGTTAAACTGCCCTCATACTTAGAGCGAACACTCCTAAACCGTTGCTTGATTTCTGCATAAGTGGGAAATGTGCAGTCACTACTGTTTTTGTTGAAGACCAAAAGCTGGAAATCTGGTGGTCCCGGAACCTTTTTCTTGAAAGTGCCGCGCGGCTTCCATACATCAAAGGTGAACTCATGATCGTCTCCTTCAAATTTCGTGACGTACTTGTCTTTTTCCAAATCGTGCATCGTTTTAGGTGCAGCATAGTACGGCACCAGGTTTTTCAAAGCTTCATATATCTGACTGGATGTTGTATATCTTGTAAGGTGGTATTGAAGAGGATGATAGGTTGGTACCGGGAAGAAAGTAAAGATCGCTTTTGTGAGAGTTGAAAGTCCCTGGCGGAAACCTTTTTTCACGTCCGTGTGTGGGATATCCGCGCTTTCGCTTTTCGGCGTTAGCTGAGATGAAATTACGATAAATCCTAGCCTTTTGAGGTGTGCAAAGACCGCAAATTCATCAGTTTCTTGAGCTGTTTTGAAAAGTAAATATAGGTCTTGGATGCTAAGCAAGGGATCGAGTTCGTGGCTTTCACGATCGCTACGCTTGAAATACGGGGTGATAGTTCCTCGCTCAGCAAGGTATACAAATTCATTAAATGTGAGCCAACAAGTCCCATTTCTGTCAACTTTACCCATAGTGTGCATGAAATTACCTCTAGGATGCGGAATGAACGCCCTATGGCACTGTGGCACGTAATATGCTTTGATCTGGTTTTTCACCACTGTACCACGGGCCGCATCTGAGATCGAATCAAACATGGCTTTTTTTGCCCTGTAGAGAAGAAGCTCCTGAGCATTTGTCCCGTCCGGTTCGTAGTCCTTGTCACCTCTTTTGGGCACCACAGCCTGACTTTTGGACAATTTTGCAATACTCGACCAGTCTTTGAACAGATCGTCTTCTTCGTCGTCCGAGTCCAATACATTGGAATTGATACTGAGTTCTTCGTCTTTCTCCACGGTTTCAGAAGTCATTATTGAGGGCTACCCGCGCAAATTTCGGACGCACTAGCTGGAATCGTGCTGTCAAATCCGCTAGTCGATTGTCGATTTCATCGCTGCTGTTACAATCACTCATACTTTATCATATATATATACCAGGTGAGGACCCTACGACGAGTCGCTCGACACGAATCTCCAGTCTCAACATCTCAACGACCAACAACGCGTGAATAAGAGCTCCAAGTCCCTATATAATCCTTACCACTGCTGTTTCAACGTGTTGACACAGTTTCAAAGGAGTTTCCGACCTTTTTTCACTCAAAAATGTCGCTTTTTTTTAGGCAGACTACAGTTTGGTCGTGTTGCAACCGTTGCAAGCACAGGAACTTCCACATTTACACCTCTCCTTTGAATTCGACGCACAGCACTGTGAAACTTTGTCGGAGGGCCTTATCGGACTTAATGTGACTGGCCTTTGAGGCACATTACTGCATGTTTTTTTCGCTTTGGTTTCTGGTGTGGAGGACGAACAGCAAGGCATATCGGCGTTTTTACCGCAGGGATTACTTCCTCAACGATGTCAGTCGTTTGCAGTGTTCGGTCTTTATAAAAAAGGTTCTCGCTCGATAGTGGTGGGTAGAGGGGAGCCTTTTGAGCTAATCATCGGGGCCCTATTTATATGTGAATTCTCTCCGTCATTTTCCTCCCGTCCCCGATAAGCGGCTATATATACCCAATACGGAAAAAATGGGTCAGATCCACTGCGTATGAAGTGATAAGAACACGGGGTATAAAAAGTCGACCTTGGCGGCTAACTTTCAAACCTCTACCATTCACATTTGAGCTAAAAAGACACAAACAACAGTTGTTTGGAATAGTATCACTCGGATACACATATGTATATGTAAGTAGCTACATCACACACTAACCTCCTGATAAATAACTCTTAGTGCAAATGTACATAGTTGACGTTCGATTGAAATCTCCCACGTTTGAGATCGTAAGACAGACTACGCAAGAGCTTTCCAAACAGTATGGTATCAACTGTCACACAACGCTGTCGAAATCGTTGACATGTGCTATCGAAAACAAGCTTCGCAGAATGGCTCTAGACCATGACGGCGGCAGTGGTATTTTTGTGACCTCAAAAGATTTCGTGCTGGAAGGCCAGGGTTCAATCGAGATCAATGCCACCCCAACACAGGCTCAGATCAGTATTGTCCGTTCTCTCATCAAGGTAGTTCTCCATCAAATGGATAACGGCAATTACAAGTTGACAGAAGGCCAGGAGAACTTACTGGTATCTCTATGTGTAGAAAGTTTACAAGTGGAGGTGATTGTGCCAGATACTACATTTCACGAATCGCAAATGACAATGGCTGAAGAAGTCGCACAAGTGCTCAACGCATCACCTTCAGCAAAAATACGCAATGATGGCGAGGAACAGGGAGATTTCTCCATAAAATGCTATTGTTGCTTAAAATACGGAGAATTGGGATCAGAAGCTTATAAAATTGTTGACGATTTCGATAAAATTGATATCAAAGAGCCCAGCATAATGGGTAGCGATGACGAGAGCACATTGGTATCTATCCATCCTACATTGCCTAACGTTTCCATTTCGGCAGAAACAATGGCACAGAGCAAAGTTCAGCTCTTACCCTCGTCAGAGTATGAAGGACTTTGGGAATCTTTGCATTTTGAGGACAACATCAAGCAAAAACTCTACGGCTACGCTACCATATCCCTCAAGCTCTCCAAGTTCTCTCAAAAAAAAATCTCCAGCACAATGATATCCAACAATAAGCTTTTACTGGTGCATGGGCCTCCTGGCACAGGAAAAACGACAGCGTGCAAAGCCCTTTGTCAAAAATTGGCGATCCGTCACAGCGGAGAAACTGACAACATCTTCGAAGCCAGCGACCGTCAAGCAATTCTCGTCGAGCTATCCTGTTCTAAAGTTTTTTCTAGGTGGTTTGGAGAGTCTGCGAAAAACCTGGACAGAATCTTCCAAGACGTCGAGGACCTTCTGAACAATAAAACCATCAAAGAACGCTTCGTGTGCTTACTTATTGACGAAGTTGAGACATTGGCTTTATCAAGATCGTCTTCGATGAATAAAAACGAATCAACCGACGGTATGCGTGTGGTTAACACCTTACTGACAAGATTGGACGGCTTGAAACGATACAACAATCTGCTAATACTGGCAACGTCTAACCTGGTGACCGCACTGGACCCAGCATTTTTAGATCGAGCCGACGGTGTGTTTTACGTAGGGAAACCTTCAGAAAATGGTACAAGTGAAATACTGTACTCGACCATACGCGAACTAATTAAGAATGGTGTCATAATCAGTCACGTATGCAATACTCCCGCAATAGACGAAGAGGAGATTCGGTCATCAATTCGCCAGATCGCTCGGCAGTGTGTGGTATGGAATCGAAGTTTACTTGTTACACCAATTTGATCAATTTGACCAATTATGTTACTAACACTTTCACAATGCTGTCTGTCACAGACTTCTGGAATCAGCGGCAGAACCCTCAGAAAACTACCATTAATTTGCTTATCGGAGCATCATCTGTCTTCTCTACCGGTGACAATCAGAGATTTTATGCTCGCCTTGGCGCTCACTGTGCATCGATTTCACACGTTTCCCAATGACGAATCAAGTTAAGATTTGAATTTTAATGAACATCACTCATCTAGTATGAACGTATATGTCAAATGTGCGTGCTGCCTCGTGTGCGTGCTTAAATTTCATTAAATGAGTATTCGTTCTGCAGGTGTGGGATTGATGCTCGAAAAGAAAAAAATTGATGCGATTGAAATCCGCTAAATAAAGCAGACCTAAAAATGCTCGTTTGACGCAGCTTCCATCTACCAACTGAAGAAGACTTGATCAACCAACGAACACATTGGGCACAACTTTTGACAAGGTTTTTTGGTCTAAATAGATTTTACCATTTCGGGGCACCTTGAGAATTGAATATGGGACTTCCGACTTATAAAGCAGCTGCGCTGCTGTTGTGCCTTTCCGCTCCTTTTGTCTTGGCTGCCGGTGAAGTAGAGGATGCTACTGAAAGTGACGGTCCGCTGAGATCTTTTGCAATGTCAATTGCTATGATCGGAGTCTCTGAAATAGGCGACAAGACGTTTTTAATCGCCGCGTTGATGGCGATGCGCTATAAAAGAATGCTTGTTTTTAGCTCTTCTGCCAGTGCACTGTTCATAATGACAATTCTGTCGGGCATTATTGGCCGTACCTTCACATCGCTAGTACCTCAGCGTTACACCCAGTTCATGGCCGGAATTTTATTTTTGGTGTTTGGTTACAAGCTCACCTTGGAAGGTCTAGCTATGCCCAAGGACATGGGGGTTGATGAAGAGCTCGCCGAAGTAGAAGAGGAGATCGCAGTTAAGGACCTTAACAAAAATTTGGGACACGTTGAGAGCGGCGGAGCGCAGTCTACTTCAACAGCTCCCACCAACGTATTTCTCAAGTATCCTGCAGTCAACAAAGCCTACAACAAAGTGAAGGATACGTTGGGCTATGTTTTTAGTCCAATCTGGATTCAGATTTTCGGTATGGTGTTTCTTGGTGAATTCGGCGATCGCTCCCAGATTAGCACAATTGCCATGGCATCAGGAAGTGACTACTGGTTCGTCATTTTCGGTGCCATCGTTGGCCATGCCATTTGTACTGGAATAGCTGTTTTGGGTGGTAAAATACTAGCTTCGAAAATCAGCATGCGCACCGTAACACTAGGCGGTGCTTTCTCATTCTTCATATTCGCAATCCTGTACGTTCGGGAGGCTTTCGTTAACCCTAACTAGATAGTAAAGCCATTTATTTATTAAGCATCAAATACAATCACCATCTTGATGTGGGCAGACCACAGTAGCGTTACGCCTTATCATCTTTGTTGTCATTATCTTGAGTTATACCAAAATATCTTTGTCGTACAAGTCTCTGTATGGCTTGGTTTGTACGTCTCTCTAACTCGTCAAGATCCGGACGTAGCTTTGCTTCAAGATCACTAGTTGGTTTCTTGACAGTAAAGTGTTCAACTGTTACTTCAGTCTCAACAACATCGTCAATGTCGTCTGCTACAGGCTTGGCTTCAAATGAGGGAGATGACCCAGAGATTTGAGCGTCAAGCTTTAACTTTTTAGCTTCATGCTCCTCGCCTTCTGGAACTCTGTCACCGGCTCCAGTGTGATTCTGTCGAGAACCATCTCCACAAGTCTTGCGAGCCAAAAGCTGAAGTCTCTTCTTTCTCTCTTCGAACTGCTCGTTGAGAGAAGCCATCGGCACCTGAACTTACAGATTACAACCAACAGAACCAAGTATCTTTGAGTTGACGATAGACGAAAACACGTTGCAAAGATTCAAGAACTGTAGTTTATCCTTAATCTGAGCCTGCATTTATTTCGAAGCACACTCTATAAGTAGAATCTGGGACCTTACTTTATTCTATCACCAATGTCATGAAAAATCGAGTAATATTACAATCAACCTCTATGTATCTATATGCAATGCAGTAAAGCTTGTCAACGCAAGGTCTTGATGAAATTATCCAGGTTGTATTCTTCATCGTACTGTTTAGTATCCCACAGTTCTGTGAGTTCACCAACAGCTTCCTTAGCCTTGCCAGACAGACCGGATTCATTAACGATTTCATCCATTTTGCCCTCTTTGCTTTCCTTTTCTTGGGAAGGAACATTATCCGTGTCGAAAAGGTCTAGTAATTGATGTGTGTCCATTGAGGCGAGCCCCGAGTTTTGTTGGTTGATAACGGTCGATGCTATGTTCATCTTGAACTTTTGAAGACCCATGATTTTTTCTTCCAGCGTGCCTCTGGTGATAATTCTATAGACGTTCACGACTTTTTTCTGGCCCAGACGATGGGCTCTATCCATCGCTTGTAGATCATTCATAGGGTTCCAGTCGTGCTCAATAAAAATAACTGTGTCGGCACCTGTGAGGTTGAGACCCAAACCACCAACCTTCGTGGTGAGTAGAAGACAATCGATCGAAGGATCTTCATTGAATTTGCGCACTACTGCCTGTCGATCGCGAGATTCAACGCTCCCGTCCAATCTCATGTAAGTCACAGACGGCATGTGCTTCTTGAATAAATCATTTTCGACCATATCCAGCATGTCTTTCAACTGGCAGAAGATGAGGGCGCGATGTTGACTGATGACACTGTCAGTGGAGGGCAAAGAAAGTTTAGAGCTTTTCTCTGCATCTTGAGCTCCTATGCCACATTCCAACAGTAAATTGCGAAGCGCCCCTAGTTTAGGAGCATGCGCGACGTCATGAAGACTGAGGCCTGTCTGCTTCAAATAACTTTGAACTTGAAGCCATTGTGGATGATTCTTGGACACGACTAGTGACGGGTGGTTGCACAATTTTCTCATGTATTGAAGAGCCTGGAAAATGTGTTGTTTGTTGTCCACTTCAGCAACGTTTTCAATGTCCTGCTCTACAGTTGTCTTCTGCTTCTTCGCGAAATCTTTGTACAACTGCTTTTGTAAATCACTCAATTCACAATAGTAGTCTTGGATTATTTTTGGAGGCAAATCGGATAAAACCTCTTCTTTCAACCTCCGCAGCATGAAAGGAAGAACTTGCTTGTGTAGAGCTTCCAGGGCCAGTGCCCCTGCTTCCTGCTCCTTTGAGGAGGTTTTACTGTTCTTAGAAGCAGCAACAGGCTTTGCAAATCGCTCGTGGAACATTTTTTCTGTACCGAGAAATCCAGGCATCAGGAAATCGAACAAAGACCACAATTCAACAACATTGTTTTGGATTGGAGTACCAGTCAATATTAAGCGGTGATTTGCTCTTACCAGTTTTACTGCCTTCGCAAGTTTCGATTGCGCATTTTTTATTATGTGCCCTTCATCAAGGACGCAATAATTGTAGTCATATTGAGTGACGATATCGATATCATTTCGAGCAACGTCATAAGACGTTACAACAATGTCTGCTTCTCCTAGTTTATCTCTCAGAGGATATCTCGTGGATGGTCCACCTGCAAACACTACCACTTTCAAGAAAGGTGAGTATTGCTCAAACTCCTGCTCCCAATGACCAGTGAGAGAAGGTGGACAAACGATCAGGGAAGGTAGTGGTCTACTTTCTATGGCCTTTGTTTTTTCATATTCCTCATTTCTGAGGTATTGATCACTTGCGATAATGCAGATAGTTTGTAACGTTTTTCCTAAACCCATATCATCGCAAAGGATACCGTGAAGATGATATTGATTCAAGAACGCCAACCAATTGACACCGTCCTGTTGATACTTTCTTAATGTTGCCTTGATGGCAACGGGACAATGGAAAGGTTTAGCTTTTGAAGGATCCATCATTTGCTGAATGAAGTCTCTTTCTTTTTCACGACCTTCCATAAGCTCTTGAGGTAACCCTTCAGGGTCTGGTATACCAGCTTCGAGTGGAACAAGTTTGATTATGGAAGCAAAAGTAGACGTTGCAAGAGTTCTGATATCTTGATCCGAGTCACTCATTCGACCAAGCAGAGGAACAATGAGGAAAATAACGTATGGCAAGATATTGCTTCCCATGCACAACGCTAGATGATAAACTAGCTCAGTGGCACCTTGTCTATCTGTCACAGAAGAGGGGTTGCTCATTAACGGCAATGCCTTTTGTATGATAAACGGAAGAACCTGGATCGGAAGTGTGTTGGCCAAATCGGCAAAAGCTCTTGCCGCCGAATACCTGAAAACTGGAAGATCAGACCTCAAATATTTGACGAGGTACGGTAAGCGGGGAAGAACCTCACTGTTTTGTACGTCTTTGCTCATATACACAACGAGCGCTCTTAAGACACCCATTGCGTCGACAACTTCTTGACCGCTCTTAGAATCGGAAGGTTGGCCTCCATCCTTGTCTGATACGCGTTCGAGTGGATCAAAGATTATGTGCTTCACTTGTGGAACAAGTTCCAAGACTTTAGAGCCGAGACGAAGTAAGAATTCACTGAGGGTGTATAAAGCACCTTGACGTTTAATATGTGCTTCATGTGCTGCTTTTTGGGCGTTTGAATCGTCTTGGAAAGCCAATGCACTTTGTTCACGCACCAAAGTTAGAATGTGATCCCCATAATTGGAGTTTAGAGCGAACTCAGGTACTTCCGAAGTATCGACGCACAAGAAGCCACAAAGGTTCTTGACAATCTTATTGGCCACATTGCCTTTGCCTTGCTTGACCAATTCGACGACTAAGTTCAAGATTGCATCACCGGACCTCTTCTGTAAAATTTCGTAATTCTCTTCTTTGATACTGTCCATTAGTGACCTGATGAATGGATTCAACTTTGAAGGCAGGCCGGAGAACAGTAATGTAGCTGATGCATAGTTGGCCAGGACATTGCAAATCCTTGAACGCTTTGCCTCCTTAGCCGATTCTATAGCTTGCAGAACACGATGTTTAGCGTCCTCGATAGGTTTTTTGGCCAAGATCTTATGAGAGTTACTCAAATGACGGAAGAGCTTGTCGCTTGTCTCACCGTATGTTTTTTCCGCCGTTTCAATACCAAATGCTTCTGATCCGGCTTCAGCCTCGCCTTGAACTATAATGGCAAGTTGCGGAAGCCTTTGAGGCGAAAGCATACCAACGTCTGCAAAGGTCGTCAACAAACTCTGACACTGTGTTCTCAAAGCCTTCAGACTGGGCACAAGTTCTCTAAAAACGGGTAGAGTTAAAGGATCTGTTAAGTTTCCGATGAAAACAGGTCCAAAATTTTCAGAAATGAAGTTGATGAGATCGTCGCGGTCAGGGTGATCAGACTGTTCGGTCAAATTAGAGCAGAGCTCAGATATTATTATTGCCACAAGCATGCGTGGTGTAGCGTATGGAAGTTTCAAACAGTCCAATAAGACATTTGAAAAAAATGACTTTAAAGTGGATTCTTGGAACATGGATAGCGTGATACCAAGTGCCTTGGCGCCCGTAACTCTGGTATTGAAAATGACTTCCGTTCCTAAAAGCGTCACATCACCAGCAATCATGGGAGCGTCGATGTTTACCCGTTCGCTGTTGACAGGAGGTGGGATATCTGACTTGAGATCCGCATGCGTGTTCCTTTTCCGTTCCGAGATCAACTGGTAATGTGGAGATGGCTTCAAAATGTACTGGAGCTCCATGTTATAACTCTTTCCATGTTCACCGATCGGCGTGATGAGTAGATGCAAAATAGGCGCCAAATGCCTGCCAAACAAATGATCTAAAGTTTTGTCCGGGTTCTTCGTTTTGTACTCCTTTAGCATTGAGGTGTAAACATCAAACGAAAGCTCCAAGACCTGAGGATTTTGCTCGAGCAGTATATTCTGAAAAATGAGACGAAATACTTTACCGTTTATCCAATGTTTCACAAAGTCATCTTGTATGGATAAAAATGCCTTTAACAGGTTTAAAACAGCTTTCCTCACATTAGTGATAGAATGGCGTAAAAACGGGTACAGCTTGGGTACAAGGCTTTTGAAAGACCATTCCTGTGGATATGCCAAAGCCTTTGATTTGAGGACATCTAAAACTTCTCGCTGTTCGCATAGCTTGGCAAGGAGGTCCATGACAGATCCAACACTCGAAGACAAATCATCTTCCAAGTGTGTTAAAAGATTCCATATGGTGCTCAAAACGAGATCTATGGTGTTCGTTTCCAACTTAACAAACTCGACGGCGATGGGGGCCAGTATAGCAGCGGCCACACTTTGAACATCATCGTTGTGCTCTTTCAATCCGTAAAGTACAATGTTCACCACGTTCTCGAGTAAATCGTTTTGAAAAAGAAATTCCGTCTTGATTCCTACGAAATAGCGAATTCCAAGAAGACCTCCATGTGTGGCTTCCCATATCTTATGCGGTAAACTTATCAGTTTCGGATCTTGCAAAACAAGTTGCTCTAAAGCTCCAAAAATTTGGATGCTTAGATCGTCGTCCAAATGCAATAATAATGCAGCCATGGTCTGGGCGACAGATTCACGCACTGGGGCAACCACAGTGTCATAAACAAAATCTCCAAACCTATCCAAAGCAAAGACGGTCAAAAGTCGAGTAGCCAAATCTTCCAAAGCTCTTCTATTACGACGATCGTTTTCACGCTTGGATTTTCCCTTTATTCGCGCCACGCTCTTTGCATGCTTTTTAATTATTTCTCGAAGTCCCAGAGCTGCTGCGTGACGCGTTTCCCAGGCATCGCTGATCAGATTTTCCAATAACAACTCGTATATGCCTTGGAATTGCCATACAAGTCCTGCTACATTGTCATGCTTTTCCATTATTGGGATGACCATTGATTCGACCATAATACGCCTGGAATCCGTTTGTTCTGTCACTTCCAGTTTGGGGTTATTCAACATCGTGGGCGATGGTGTGGGACTTTGACTTGAATCGTCTTGGGCCATAAGCGTCCTTGAAATCGAGCTTTGAGATATATCAACCGGTTTTTTGGTGGTGGTCTTGGCCTGAATCTTGCGTTTACGTTTAGCCATTGCCATCATGCGTGCGCTTTTCTTGGACGTTTCTAAAAGTCCACCGTCAGGCTCACTTTTCGCTAGTTCTGCTACTTGGTCCTGCGACATTGTCGGCAGATACTCGTCTGAAGGCCCCGTGTGTTCGAGTTTGGGCATCTTGGAGCCCACCAGGTCTACTGTGGCGCCTGGAAACTCATCGATGCTTGAAGCCAGCAACGGTTTTCCAAACTTGAGCACTTCGTGCAGATTCCAGTCAGCGAGCGATAACAGCTTGCTATCGTCTTCTAGCGACTTCCACTCCTGGGTGTTGTCCACTTCTTCCAGCTTGAGCCGTATTTCGTTTTCCAGTTTGACCTTGGCCGACTCTCCCGGAATGTCCACTGCGGACTCTGATGTACTTTTTTTGTCCTCATTGTCTTGTTCTTTTTCGTCGTCGTCGTCGTCGTCGTCATCATCTTCATTGGGGTCCCAGGCTGGCGAGTGAGACACGATGCCACCCACGGCGCGAGCCGTGGTGGTCCGTGTCTCCCATTTGCGAGCCATCAGAAACGGATACACCCTAGACAGTAGCGACAACGTATCTTCTGGGTGTTGTTTTGCCAGGTCGCCCAACTGGTCTGCGGCCATGTTCCGCACCACCTGGGTCGACCCGGTCTCGAGCAGCACGACCTGGCGGTCCAGACGCGAGATCTGCGCTGTCATCCTTTTGTGTGTGTATTTGTGGATGAGTTTGGAGGAACAGTCCGATTTGTAGGTAGATTGGCTGCCTTCTTATATGCTTAGCGGCTAATCTTGTTTTCGTTACACAAAAACCTCGTATGCTGACGTAAGATGGTATCCCTAATTACGTAACACTATGCTGTTTTTATTTTTTTCGTTTCGTTCGATATTACTACAGCACGTGCCTTTCTCACTCCTCACGAAGTCAATATAAGAGCATCTAATGGTCACCTAAACAGAAAGAAAGACACAGAGGGAGAGAGAGAAGGAGAGAACGAAATTGAACTAGATTCGGAAAAAAATTGTGTTTTGAGTAGGAAAAAAAACCCCCTTAATTTTTTTTTTGTCTTGTAATTTCCGTTTAAATCCGCCTTTATTTCTTGGTTTCCCTATTTCTGCTCGTTCGCATGTTTCTTTGTCCTTTATATATAGAATGGAGTCCACGGCGGCCTATATCGCAAATTTTGTTTTTTTCTTTTTTGGCCTCTTTTGTGAAAGATTCGCGTCTTTTTTTTTTAATTGGCCCTTTCCCGTGAAACGTGATGCGAAGGAGGGATGTGGTCACGTGAGAACCGGAAACCATTCTTGACATTTATGTATTGTACACCGCTAAACAACACTACTCTACACTACACCAGACACACGTTATGTAACAGCCAGAACCCCGGGCCCGAAACCGCTTATGACTGATGGGTGTCATGTGACCACAACATCGCTTTAGACGAAGATTGGTTTTTGTTCTTCTGATAAATATGCGAATAACGAGACATTTGTTTTATGCGACTAGAGGGAACTGAAGTGCGTTGTGAATAAGAATGAGTCATCACCGTTCACGGGGGCTGGAAATGAAAAAAAATTGAGTATACCTATACTAAGCAAAGCGTAGCTGAGTAGATTAAGTTAACCCACCTTGAAAGATATTCTTGTCATATCTAATAAAACCAGTGATACACACACACACATACACATCTGGACCCTCGTTCACGTTAACAGTAGACAGTTGTATATTATCTTACAGCCCGAGTCACATCCGTCACATCTCGCGCGTTGATTCATGTCTGTTGCTTCAAACCCTTACGCTCCCAGTCCGTTGGACCTGGTGTCCAACGTTAACAATTTCCAATTGATCGAATCGACGCTCAGAGAAGGTGAACAATTCGCCAATGCATTTTTCAGCACAGAGAAAAAGATCGAAATCGCCAAAGCGCTAGACGATTTCGGGGTGGACTACATCGAACTGACGTCGCCAGTGGCCTCTGAACAGAGTCGTACCGACTGTGAGACGATATGCAAGTTGGGACTCAAGGCCAAGATTCTAACGCACATCCGGTGCCACATGGACGATGCCAAAGTGGCAGTGGAGACCGGTGTAGATGGCGTGGACGTCGTTATCGGCACGTCGCAGTTTCTCAGACAATTCTCCCACGGCAAAGACATGAACTACATCTCCAAAAGTGCAGTCGAAGTCATCGAGTTTGTCAAGTCCAAGGGTCTTGAAATCCGTTTCTCGTCCGAGGACTCGTTCAGATCTGACATCGTCGACCTCCTCAACATCTACAAGACCGTCAGCGCCATCGGTGTCAACCGTGTAGGTATCGCAGACACCGTTGGTTGCGCCAACCCCAGACAGGTGTACGACCTGGTAAGAACGTTGAGAAGCGTGGTGTCGTGCGACATCGAGTGCCATTTCCACGACGACACCGGGTGTGCCATCGGCAATGCGTATTCCGCTCTAGAAGGAGGTGCCCGTCTCATAGATACTTCGGTGCTCGGCATTGGTGAAAGAAACGGAATCACACCTTTGGGTGGTTTCATGGCCCGCATGATCGTGGCCGCTCCAGAATACGTCAAATCCAAATACAAGCTACACAAATTGAGAGATCTCGAAAATTTGATTGCAGAAGCTGTTGAGGTCAACGTTCCATTCAACAACCCAATTACCGGGTTTTGCGCCTTCACCCACAAGGCCGGTATTCACGCAAAAGCCATCTTGGCCAACCCATCCACATACGAGATCTTGAACCCTCACGATTTTGGTATGAAACGTTACATTCATTTCGCTAACAGATTGACCGGATGGAACGCAATCAAATCCAGAGTCGAACAATTGAACTTGCAATTGACAGACGACCAAATCAAAGAGGTTACTACAAAAATCAAGAAAATAGGAGATGTCAGACAATTGGGTATCGACGACGTCGACGGCATCATCAAGGAATTTCACTCGGATCTTCAATAGGATGGTATCCATCCAAATATTTCAAAAACAACATTAACATTCTCCTTTTATTCTTTAGAATAATTCAAATACGGTTTAGCGGCTCAATAAATATCATCCGCCAGCGCACCTTTTTCTCAAATTAATGGCAAACTTGTATATTTCTCAAGGCTTCATGAGGGTTGTCAGAGACACTTGATGTAATTCTATCACGGCTGTGCGTAAGCAGACTATTTTATTAACTTTTGAGTTTGTCCTTTTAGCGAGGGACTAATCTTACTACACTAAATAGATCATAATACCTTATCAACACTCTATCAGGCCATGCATCACACATTCTTTGTCTCATGGTAAACTGTCATGGTAAAGCTGCTGATTCTGTTTGAAAAAGCAGTCACGACTCACATTCTTAACACCCACACATTCTACAGAATAAAATACTACATTTGAAGATATGAAAAATAATATATCAGGCATACCCGTATATCAACCCACGCAAAATATTAGTTGAATTTTTCACATCGCGAAGTCCTCGCAAATGACCTCTATATAAAGTCCAAGAAAGTTTCAAATTAAACGCTCATCTAAAAAGTGTATTCTTTTCCTTTAAAACCATCAGCAAGTCAATCTCACCATGCCATCGAGTACGTGCTATAATCATTTTTTAGACATCATGGCTCATTCATTTGTTTGAAAAGCTAAGATGTCGGAGATCAGAACCTGATTTCTGTCTCTTTGAGGTTCGGGTCCTCATGAATACTTCTATTGGTTCGACAAGTTATTCGTCCACCTTCCAAACCATCCTGCTTCATATCGTTTACACTGAACTCCCGACACTTCAGGTAAATTTGGAATGCAGGTGAAGCTGGTCATTTTCCAAATGGCCAACTTCTCGATGGTTTGGAAATCTGTGGTCGTAATCGAGCAGTTTGTTCTGTCTCAAATGCTTTTCACTACTTATTCTGTTTTGTCAGGTTTTGGTGGAGCATATTGTCGTAATCGAAAAGAAGTCTATTCATGAGTAGACCTGTAGTTAAATAAACCTCGTAGAGCTTTCTCATTTGGACTCCATCACTAACTATCTCTTTTCAGGAATCCCAAAGACTCACTCTAAAACCTACTCTACTCCAAAGAGACCTTACGAGTCCGCTCGTTTGGACGCCGAGTTGAAATTGGCCGGTGAATACGGTTTGAAGAACAAGAAGGAAATCTACAGAATTTCTTTCCAGTTGTCCAAGATCCGTCGTGCCGCCAGAGACTTGTTGACCAGAGATGAAAAGGACCCAAGAAGATTGTTCGAGGGTAATGCCATGATCAGAAGACTTGTGAGAGTTGGTGTCTTGTCTGAGGACAAGAAGAAGCTTGATTACGTCTTGGCCTTGAAGGTCGAAGATTTCTTGGAGAGAAGACTACAAACCCAGGTCTACAAACTAGGTTTGGCCAAGTCTGTCCACCACGCCAGAGTCTTGATCACTCAAAGACACATTGCTGTCGGTAAGCAGTTGGTCAACGTCCCATCCTTCATGGTGAGATTGGAATCTGAGAAGCACGTCGACTTCGCCAGAACCTCTCCATTCGGTGGTGGAAGACCAGGTAGAGTTGCCAGAAAGAATGCCGCCAGAAAGGCTGAGGCTGCTGGCAACGGTGCCGCCGAAGAGGAAGACGAAGAGTAAACTGATAATCAATAGCTTTACTTTCTTCAACCTCAATTAACTCACATTTACTTGCATCGCGTGCATTCCACACTGTCTAAGGTATGTAGATCCAGAGAAGCACGCGTGCTCAACTGTAATTGTAAGTTATTTTTTGGTTTCAAGTACGAAGGTTTGCACTTGATGGCCTTTAAGAAGCGCGGCTACGGATGTGTATAATAGATGTGAATAAGATTCATTACGGTAATAAATGATTAACAAGAAACAGACATTTGAAATACTGAAAAGTTGACTGAATACGTCGCGTAAGCTTGCGCTGTTGTGTTACAATGCTATTATCTTCCTACTTCTTTAACCTCATTGTAAATGCTTCGCCCGGTGGCCTATCCACCACCTCGACATAATGGACAGTCCAAAGATAAACACCCATACATTTTTGTTTCATAAAATTATGTAACTAAAAAATTAGTAAAGTAGTCTGGGGTGCATTTTTGTGCGTGGGTTTGTAATTACCCACTCAAACATTCCGTCATTACCATTACCTTGGCGTTGGGTAGCAGCTCCTGGTGGGGGACCTGTGCTCCCTCTAGGCAGGACTGTACTAGGTTCCCCTGCTGAGACACGATTCCACCAGGCAGAGGTCACCGGACTCTAGTGGGACTCTCTGCGTAGCCTCCTGCCTGGGACTTTCATCTAGGCTGACTGTAGGATTGCCGGACAGTACTGAGTGTGAATCATCGTAGGTAGTCCCTGGCTCTAGCACCATCGGAATTGAAAAGTTTAACAAAAGTTTTGAGCCTGGCGTAACGACAGTTAACAAATAGAACAGTGTCAACAGCAAGGTCTATAAGCAAAAATGGGTAAATCGTATGTGGAATAGCGTTCGAAAGAGGAGTAAACAGATGGACAAAAAGAGGATGTGCTACATGGCGTCTAGAGTGGGAAAGTGTGCCATGAAATATTCAGCGAAATGCGACTCCAGATAACATATTGGAACTTATAAAATAGAATGGTGGGACAGCAATACCTTGTGTTTCTAGCTCAATGTAACCACGTTGATTTCAAACGTCGAGATTTTACAATTATTGGGTATATGCTTCGTGGGCGGAATAAGCACAATTTAAAGCCGCGTCTTGCACCGTATAAGGCCACAACCAAATACCAGACTCTTTGTCATTGGCTTCAGCCGCCTTCTAGCTCTCCAAAAATTGAGACTTGGATACTAACTACTTTTACAGTCACGGTTACAGATGTCGTACTCGTTACATGTTCCAACGTGACTTCAGAAAGCACGGTGCTCCAGCATTGTCGACTTACTTGAAGATCTACAAAGTTGGTGACATTGTTGACATCAAGGCCAACGGTGCTATCCAAAAGGGTATGCCTCACAAGGTCTACCAAGGTAAGACCGGTGTTGTTTACAACGTCACCAAGTCTGCCGTCGGTGTCATCATCAACAAGGTTGTGGGTAACAGATACTTGGAAAAGAGAGTCAACTTGAGAATCGAACACATCAAGCACTCCAAGTGTAGACAGGAGTTCTTGGACAGAGTCAAGTCCAATGCTGCTAAGCGTCAAGAAGCCAAGGCCCAAGGTGTTGCCGTCCAGTTGAAGAGACAACCAGCTCAGCCAAGAGGCTCCCGTGTTGTTTCCACTGAAGGTAACATTCCAAAGACTTTGGCCCCAGTCCCATACGAGACTTTCATCTAATCCATTTTGTTTCTTCTTTGGCATGCGACTTCTTTCACGCTGGAACACTAGCCTTTTTGGTTTCCCGCGTTATATACTGTGTCTAATGTAAAATCAATTGTACACGTACCCGTAACAAAAAAGACGGTTGAATCGAGACAAGTCGGGAGGTCCCTCATGTCAAACTCTCAATATACGTTGATGCTTCACAACTAATCCTTCGATCAATCTCACTTCTCTCGCCTGCCAAATTGATCAAGTTCGAGAGCCCAATATAAGTTCTCAAACTATTCAATCTATCAAGACTACTCAAACCCATCGGCAATGAAAGTTGAGGGCAAAAGATGCTGCTCAGATAAGACAATAAAGCTGGAAGGAACAGTTTCCCTCTCTTGAATCTATAACACCTTGAAATGAATGAAGTTTGCGGTTTAGTTGGTGCAGTTATCTCCTCGAAAGCTTCGTAAATGATTAACTTACTCTACGAAGCAGACAGCTAGTGTAATAAGGATTTATTCAAGTTAGCACTTTCAAGATTTGGTCCTAAGGGAACTCTAAGTGACCCTTGGTCGAAACACCGCAGCTGCTTACAGCAGAAGAGTTATACACTCGGTTAACTGCCTTACGTGGAAGTTTTCACAATAAACAGACAGGTTAGATCTCTAAAAGAAGAGATTTCACATGAGAATCTACTTCACAAGACAGATTGGTGGATCATATGAGGCTTGAAATCGTTCCGCGGCTAACTTACTCGCTGAGGCTTGATGTGTCAGAGAAAAGCTCGAAACTTACAGAGAAAAACGAAAAAAGGTGAAATTACTGAGAAGACATGGCGTAGAAAGAAAAGAGCAAGGAGCGTTATTCAAGAAGCGTTGGTGCGGCCTTGATATCAGGTGTTACTCCAAAATTTAGACGCCTATGAGAAAAGTGGGTTCGTCAATGACGATGTCTTACACAACGACAGCGCTCGGGAAAATTTAGATGTCTATAACATTTCAACGATGAGCTGGGATTCGAAAACGACAAGAAACAAAAGGATCAAACTCGACAGCTCGGAGTTCAAAACTTGGCTGAGATTTAGCAATTTGAATGAGCCAGAGTTTGGGGCTAATAAAAAAGCCATATATTTTTGAAGACTAATAAGATTCAGGCCCGGTTGAAGAACCGGAATTGCATGCTCGAAATTAACTTCATCCACTAACGTCCAGGCTTTGATCATGGGAAACAAACGACTGGATCATATTCGACAAGACGCTTTAGAATCGGCGCCATACTTGGGGAGCGATGAGGACTCTTCTACTATGAAAAATGCGTCTTCATTATCGACAAGTGACTCACAGGCTGAGGTCAAGCCCTGGGTTCATTTCGTTGCTGGCGGCGCTGGGGGGATGGCTGGTGCCATTGTGACATGCCCCTTTGATGTGGTGAAAACCAGACTGCAAAGTGACGTTTTCCAAAATGCCTATAAGTCGTCCGCTACTGGTGGCGCAGACGGAGCCTCTAATTTCGTCAAAACCGGGGCAAGACATTTTAAAGAAACATTTGGAATTCTTTCAGATGTTTATAAGCTAGAAGGTTTTCGAAGTCTGTTCAAGGGATTAGGGCCGAACCTTGTAGGTGTCATTCCCGCGAGAAGTATCAATTTCTTCACTTATGGAACTACCAAACAGATATATTCCAAAGCCTTCAATGATGGCCAAGAGGCACCTTGGATTCATCTCATTTCTGCTGCCACGGCTGGATGGGCTACCTCCACCGCTACAAATCCCATATGGCTTATCAAAACCAGACTTCAATTAGACAAGGCGGGCCAAACTCAACAGTACAAAAGCTCCTGGGATTGCTTCAAACACATTATGCGCCATGAGGGCTTTTTGGGTCTCTATAAGGGGCTCAGCGCATCTTATTTGGGGTCTGTAGAAGGCATTTTGCAGTGGCTGCTATACGAACAGATGAAGCATGTTATCAAGATGCGTTCCATTGCAAAATTCGGTAACATTAGCGAGGGTGAGAAAAGTAGCGTCGACAAATTCAAAGAGTGGTGTCAAAGGTCCGGCAGTGCTGGACTTGCAAAGTTTCTGGCCAGCATTGTCACCTATCCTCATGAAGTAGTGCGGACGAGATTAAGACAGGCGCCGCTACAAGACGGAAAACTCAAATACACTGGTCTTATTCAATCCTTCCGCGTTATAATAAAGGAAGAGGGTCTAGCTTCGATGTATGGCGGGCTGACTCCTCATCTCCTTCGAACGGTGCCGAACAGTATCATCATGTTTGGTACTTGGGAATTGGTGATAAAGCTGCTTTCGAACGTTTAAGTCTGATTGCTAGCTGAATTGGTTTATCTTCAAGACCGGAACTTCCCTCAAAACAATGCATTTATTCCTGTATATATTAAAAGCATATAGAACTTTCTTTCGAAACGCGCCAACTAAGCGCCTTGATGTATTATTTTCAGTATGCTGTCTACATCAAAGGGTTGCTTAGGAATGTTGTTACTAACAGAAGGCTGATATTCGTCGTAAGCTCCTAACGTCGGATTTTCAGAGATCTCTTGGCTCGTATGCAATCCACGGAAAGCATAATTGCTATGTTCTTGCTTCAAAAAGCCAAGGGCCCATTTGGTAACCTCTTCATCATCTTTCAGACATTTTTTGACATCATCCGATGACATTGTATTCAAGTCTATACCAGCAGTTTCCTTAGCATCATGAATCCAAGATTCGGCCTCTGGAATATTTTTCTTCCTCAGTAAAGTCGTTAACAGGCCTTCATGAGCTGTTGTAGGGAAAGTTCCTACAGGATAAACTATTGTCGAATCTAAAAGTTCTTCGAAATGATGCAGTGTGGTAGTTAGAGATTGTAATTGTGTAAGGATGACGCTGACTTGCATTTGCAAGGAGTACCATTGCGGTAAGTCTGCCTTGGCCATCTCATCCTTCAATTTGGCCAGAGAGTGTGTAAGTTGAGCTAAACGCATTCTTACAGCATCCAAAGCTTGCGCTGGAACATGTTGAAAATTGAACTCCTCTTGCGAGCTAGCATTTATCGCAGGAGCTGAACCAGGTCTATCAGACATGCCTTAGCTCACTGTGATTCTTCGAGACGACTTTCAACGTTAAGATATTTAATGAAGTTGTTGAAGTTGATAACCTAACACATGCTTTAAAGCTCAGCATTGAAATTTGGCAACTAAGGTTAAGCGACCTTGACCTTTAATAAGGTCTTATTGTTGCATATTTGTATCGATATAGAAGGGGCTACAAACCTGAGACTTGAGAATGTTTGTTTATATGTGTCAATTGAGATCTCAATAGGGCAGTCATCTAATAATCAATGTCTTTTTGGTAGATTATAATGGAATATCTAATTCATTTAGGGCTAAAGCATTGGCCGTCGTCCTCTTGGTACTGAAGTTCATTTAAAAAGGGTGGGGGGGTTCATTTCCGGGCGCTGCAAATTTCATTTCAAGCTAGCAAACAACTTTTCGACATCAGCAACCGATTGCTGCAAAACCTTGTCCTGGAACTTTGGGTTTCCAAGCTCAGCAGTGACCTTGCTGATAACGGATTCTGCAAGCTGCTGTTGCTGTTGCTGACGAACAGAGGCCTCGTATCTGACCCATGAGTCCAAGACCGATTTTGCCTCAGCAGCCAAATCGACTTGTTGTTTTAGCTCGAAAGACTTGGCTTCCAACTCGACGGTTTCTTTCGAAACGTCGAACAGCACTTTAGTGGTCTCGGAAACGTTTTGCAATTCGGAAACAGAGCTAATTCTTTGCTTGACAGCGTCAACGTGCTTGGTTCTGGAAGCGTTCAAAACATCGGAAACCTGCTTCACTCTGGCGTCTGCATAGTCCTTGTAGGCTGGAGCCAAAAACTTGATGGCAATGGCGGCGAAACCTGTGAAAGTACCCAACAAAATGGTCTCGTCGTTGATCACGTAAAGCTCGTTAGAGATGGCATAGATAGCAGCAGCGGTAGAAGTGGCCAAAATACCAGTTTTGGACAATGCACTGTTGCCTGGAAGGGCACTCAAGATCGAAGAAGCTTTTTCCTTAGGGTCCTGAGGAGCTGGAGTCGACATGTAACGAGCACCGATTCTGTAAGAATTAAGAGTTAGTAAAACATGTTTGTCGCGCGAGAGTTTAGAACAGGATTCCAACATATATAGCGGGACACGCACAAGATGGAACGTTTCCAGGTCTTAATGGATTCATTTTCGTTCATCAAATGGAACCTGATTTTTACACCCTAGAGTGGACCAAACGGGCCCATTTTCACCAATTTGGACCAACAGTCGCGTAGGAACCCAACTAGCGTCCCCAAACATCTCTGTCCCGCTATTTCAACTCAAAATGGTTGAAAAACTCAAATGAAAAGAAGATTTCAAAAATCGGTCACATACGGAGCTTGACGGACGCCAAAGGACGCCAACGACCGGGACGAAGCCCGCGACATCACTGTACGCAAACTCATATTGCGAAGTTCAATGGCTAGTATCTAATAAAGCAAACCCCGATTGATTCCGTGAAGACCTGCTTTAAGAGCTCACCGCTAGAAATTCGTTGTTTTCGAGTGTTAGATCCTCAAGCATAGTGGGATTCTAATCATTTTCCAAAATTTTTCAAGGTTTCGTACAAAGAGATATCTGTGGGTGACGTGCGTAGTGAGAAGGATCCTTATTTGTGATTGGATTTCAGTCATGTGTATATCATGTGCTTTCAGCGTGACTTGTCGGCGTTTCCCTGCGCTTGGGATCGGCGGCTAAATAGCCGCCATGAGGTGGCCAGCAGGTTTCCAAAGCTGGACCGAGTTGTCGTTGGACACACTACACATCATCCAAGGATCGTGAAGGTCCCAGGAGATATCGTTGACGCCCAACATGTGTCCGCCGTGGGTGAAGACTAGCTGGTTATCCTTGTCCGGCTGTGATAGATCCCATAGTTTGACGAGACCGTCATTTTGACTAGCCGTGGCAAGTACAGAACCGTGATGAGGGTTCCATTGTAGGGCAGAAACTGCATCGCCGTGTTGCCACGCTTGTAAGGGTTCTTGAAAGTTTCGTACGTCCCACAGGTTGATGTTGCCCGAAGAGTCTGCAGAAGCGAGCAAAAGATCCTTGTGGTAGTTGAACTGGCAAACGTTAATCCCCCCTGTGTGATGAGAAGCTGTTTGTGCAACCTTTTGGGTCTGGTGGTCGGTTCTGACGTCCACGAGCTGTAAAAGATTGCCCTCGCCGCAACATGCGAGCAGAGAGTCGTGGTTTACCATCCAGGACACATCATTGGCGCCTTTTGAATCAACATCCACCGTAAAGGCTGGATCTATCAGTGTTGTAGAAGTTTTGACGAATTTTTGAAGGTCCCACACGCAAAGTTGGCCCTGTGCATATGTAGTGGCCAAAGACCCTGATTGCTGCCAATTCCAGGCCAAGCTGAGTGCTTCATTGGGCCCAGTTTCTGTTGAAGTCGGTAGTTGGCAATGTATCTGGTAATCGGGTTCATTGGACGACCCAGAGAGTAACTTCTGAAGGGCCGATCCATGTTTGGTTCGATCAAACACGTATACGGATCCATTGGACGACGCTGCGGCTATAATGTCCGGGTTTGCGGGGCTGAAACGAGCCTTGTTACAGTCTCCACCGGCTGGAAACTTAATACGTAGGTCCTCCACCAGGTTTTTGGGCGGTAGTTTCAACGAGTTGTCGATTTTGAATTCTCTTTCCTCCATGTCGAAGTTATTGAGCGAGCTCCAATTGAGATGCTTCATAGACGACAGTTTACCCACATATAGGGACTCATCTTGTTTCAATTGTGACGATGTGAAAGACGATAAGAGGATCCGATGTGTATCGCCTGCAAGATCAAGGTCCGGGAATAGCTGGCACGTTAGCGATGGCCATTTGGTGTTGTTGGTGTTCAAAAACTCATATAAAAGCTTAGCATTCTTTTTCCAGTGGGTATACCGTTTCTGTCTTTCGTCGTCGATGTCCGTGCTAGCGTTTTCTTCTTTTTCGATAGTTTGTACGTTTTCAGCGGGGTCTTCGATAGTTCCAACTTCAAGGTCGATATGCTCTTGATCCATTGATGTGAGGTCGTCTTTGTACCCAGACTATTCCGGGTCTATAGGTCTCCTTTCCTTAGCTTTCGCACTAGAGTTTTCTTGGTTTAGTAGTTGATAAGTTCACCTTTGATCCCAACAGGTTACAGAATAGTACAAGGTTCAAGAATTGATGCATGTAATCTCCACAACGACGTACCGCGTAAATAATCGTCATTTTAAGCTCATTTATATCGTGTGTGTGTAGTAAGTATGTACTTATAATGGACCTAGACTACAGTCTTACAACCAAGCTTTGAATTGGTTGATTAGGCCGTTGGTAGAAGCATCATGGTCGTTAATCTTTTCAGAACCTTCGAGTTCCTTGCCGATGACCTTGGCCAAGACTTTACCTAGCTCAACACCCCACTGGTCGAAGGAGTTGATGTTCCAGATAGCACCTTCGGTGAAGGTCAAGTGCTCGTAGTAAGCAATCAACGAACCCAAAGCAGCTGGAGTGATTTTCTGAGCCAAGATCGAAGTGGTTGGTCTGTTACCGGAAAAGACCTTGTGTGGAACGAGGCCACCAGTGGCACCTTCGGACTGGACCTGGGCCTCGTCCTTACCAACCATGAGAGCCTCAGCTTGCGCAAAGAAGTTGGAAGCCAACATTTTCTGGTGCAAGTTGTTTTCAATAGGGTTGTGGGACTGAGCGGCCAAGATGAAGTCGGATGGGATGACCTTGGTACCTTGGTGAACCAATTGGAAGAAGGAGTGTTGAGCGTTGGTGGCTGGTTCTCCGAAAAGAATGGAGCCGGTGGAGTAGTTGGAAAAGACGTTGCCGCGAGTGACACTCTTACCGTTGGATTCCATCGACAATTGCTGCAAGTAGGCAGGGAATCTATGCAAGTATTGGTCGAAAGGAGCCACCAAATGGGTCTGAGCTCCGTAGAAGTTGTTGTACCATACCGACAACAAACCACCCAGTAGAGGAATGTTTTCTTCTAGTGGGGTCTCGACAAAGTGCTTGTCAACGGCCTCGGCACCCTTCAAAAAGGCGTCGAAGTTGTCGAAACCGATGTACAAAGCCACGGAAAGACCAATGGCAGACCACACCGAGTAACGGCCACCGACCCAGCTATCGAAGCCAAACATGTTCTTGGTGTCGATACCGAACTTGGCCACTTCTTCAGCGTTGGTCGACAACGCTGCAAAGTGCTTGGCGATGTTGGACTTGTCACCTCCGGTTTTTTCCAAGAACCAGTTCTTGGCGCTGGTAGCGTTGGTGATGGTTTCGGCAGTGGTGAAAGTCTTGGAAGCAATCAAAAACAAGGTAGTTTCCGGGTTGCACAGTTTCAAAGTCTCAGCGATGTGGGTACCGTCGATATTGGAAACAAAGTGAGCCTTGATGTCGCCAGCGTAGTGCTTCAAGGCCTCGGTGACCATCACGGGACCCAAATCGGATCCACCGATACCGATGTTGACCACATCAGTGATTTTCTTGCCGGTGTAACCCTTCCAGGCTCCAGAACGCACTTGCTCTGAGAATTCCTTCATGTGTTGCAACACAGAGTCCACTTCTGGAGCCACATTGGTGCCGTCAACGTACATAGGCTTGTTGGCCCTGTTTCTCAACGCCACGTGGTACACGGCACGGTCTTCGGTGAAGTTGATATGTTCACCTTTGAACATAGCATCTCTCAATTCAGTGACCTTAGCCTGCTGGGCCAATTCTAGCAAAGCAGCCAAAACTTCATCGTCTACCAAGTTCTTGGAAAAGTCGAACAAAATCTCGGATCCATCGTAGTTTTTGAAAGTTTTCGACCATTTGGCAAAACGCTTGCTGTCTTTGGCGAATTCTTCTTTGACGTTCAAAGTCTTGCTCTTGTTGTCGTAAATTTGTTGTAGTTTTGCCCAGGCTGGTAGCTCAGAAGCCAGTTTAAAGTCGGAAAAAGTGTTGGTGGAAGCCATTTTTTCTTGGGTTCAATGCGGTAGGGTTTCTAATCGAGAGTACCAACTAGTTCTTACAACAAGTAAAGGAGAACAATAGTGCCCGAATCGCTTGTAGCTAGCAAGACCCACTCTGATATTTAAACAACTGGGACCTTTACCCGAACTTCCAGAGACGCAATTAATTTGATGTCACGATGACTGGCTTCCACTATGGCGTCCATCACCTGGTGCCTTGCTCGAATTGTCTTGACGACAAGAAGCCAAACAGACAGCGAAAGTACTGGGGAGTAAGGATCAAACGAGTACTCATGGGAGGTAGAACGACGGGCCATATGCAACGGACACGGGCTTAGGCTTTAGACGTAAGTAGAACAATCCAAGGTGGTCTGAGCGGTGGTGGCAAGACGCAGGCAGTTTAAGAGAGGATTATAGCGTTCATGTGCTAACCATGTGAGCCCGTGAGTGAGTGGATGAGTGAGAAAGAGTGAGTGAGTATGAAGGAATCTGGTGCTGTAGTTGATGGCGTTGCCATTGTTCTTCTGTTCGGTTGATGTAGCTTAAGTATTGAGTCTCTTGTAGCTGACAGTAAAATCTCCTATCAGCCGAGCTCTCCTCGTTTGGAGTTGCCAATCGCTCTCGTCTTGTAGCAGGTAGCAATATGCAGTAATACCCATGGTTTTCTGCCAGTCCGGTTCCCACCGCTAGTCTCTCAGCCCGCGTAAACAACGCGTAACGTCTGCCACAAGCCGCATTTGTTCCTCGTTGTCTTTGTCGTTATTGTCGCCGTTGTCGTTTTGTTCGCTAGCGTCCCGTCTTGTCTTCATCGTGTGTAACAGCTTTACGTGTGCTTTCCTCAGTTCTTTGAGCTGCGGCTCAAACCCAGCTGGAAATCCTCCTGAAGCGTCCTTTTCTCGAGCCATCCGGCGCACATCATCCAAAACATCGATCTGCGTCCATAGTTTGTCCTGATAGTCCGTATGTGGCGTAGCTTCCAATTGTTCTTCTGTCTGTTGCGGTAAAGTTCGTACTGGAGGTCCTGACGGCACACCGTTTGTTGTAGTTTCGCCCGTTTTCTTGTCTTGAAAATCGCCAGTCGAAAGGCGGGACTCAGAAGTTGAATTCATTCGGTGTGGATTGCTTAGAAACGGTAGGGCTCTTTAATTGTGTCTCTTAACTTCGATCTAGGAAATGTGTCCTTTAAGATATACATGTTTAAATTTCAATACCTACCTATGTTACTAGCTCATCGCTAGCGGAAACGGCCCATGGAACCACGATGGAAAAGGCTGCTTTGGCTAAAACAGGAGTTTCCGGATAACCACACGGATCCGGAGTTTCTGAGGGAAGTTTCACAGCTCCAAAAGGTGGAACAGATCGCCCGTAAGCCTAGTTCATCGTATCAACAAGTGGTGATCGATTTCCTGCTGTTATACCATCGGGTGCTGAATACGGGTCTTATGTATGTTACGTTCACGTTGTTGTACTACTATCGATGCGATCCCATGTATTTCACGGGCTCACTGACGTGTTTGTCGTTTTTAGCTGCCACGCTATTCCATTACGCTCGAATGTCATTGAAATCACCGCTCATCATCATCTTCAGCATGCTGGTACTATCGCCTGTTTTGAAATCTCTATCTAGAACAACGTCGTCGGACTCTATCTGGACCATTTCCGGCTGGCTGACGCTTTTCTACGTGACGTCAGTTTCGGTTCGATCGCAGTCTATTGTCTCTACAAACCTTTTAGTCGCCAACGTGGCTGTTCTTGGATCGCGTTTGAACTCGACCACGGACGTGTTCTGTTTTCTGCTGATTTGCATTGAGCTCAACGTTCTGTTGCCTTACTTCGAGCGCTCATTGTTGGAAAGAAAACTGTTCATAATCTATGGAGCTACTTTCGTTGCGAATAGCGTGGTGGTTTATTACTTTGTTGCGCTCTGTTTGGGCTGGATTTACACAACGGTCTTCGCTTTTAGCTCTTTAACCTTTGTGTTTGGTCTTCCACGCTATTTCTTGTATTGGCAAGACCATTACTGCAAGAATGAGCCGCTGCTGTCAAGATGGGATGCGAAACGACCCATTCTGGACTAACGTCTTTAACCAATCGGCGACTTTTTAGAGCATTGTAACTCAGATATACATGTAGATATTTTATCCCTTTTTAGCATGACACTGTCATTTCAATCCCGAAAAGGGCCTCCAGCAAGAACCAGGTTGCTTCGAGTGAATTTCACCTTGTATATAGGTGTCTTCTTCGCGTAGAAAGAGGCAACTAGGTCCGTTGTAGGAACGATAGTTCTTCTGCGGCCGTATTCCTTGGCATCTTGGTTCACAGAAGTGGTAACGTCTCCAGAATAGCTGGTGAATGGTTGTTCAGGCTCTGCGCCGGGTTCCGCGGTCAGTTTTTTCACATCCCATACTCTTACGGAATGGTCGGCACCGCCTGACAGAAGAACATTTCCTTCTTTGTTGTATGATAGCGAGTAAACTGCGTTTTTACCGTGACCTCTCATTTGTTTCAGCCGCTTACCAGTACCTATATCCCAAACGTTGATGATGCCGTCTTCGCTACCAGTCGAAAGCCATCTACCATCCGGAGAAACGGCTGTCGATATTACCGGCGCAGTGTGGCCAAGGAAAAGCCGCACAGAGTCACCTGTCCCGATGTCCCACATACGGCATGTTTTATCACTAGATCCTGTGAAGACATAAGTTCCGTTGGGATGGAATGAGACCGTATCAACGTCATTCAAGTGGCCGGCAAATATTCTCAGCGGGTATATGTGGTCGCATGACCAAAGCCTAGCCGTTTGGTCATGAGAGGCAGTTGCGAAATAATGTCCAAGCGGAGAAAAAGATACATCCCATATAGGATGATCGTGGCCCTTATAGCTGACGAGGGAGGTGAAAGTGTCCATTGACCACAGTCTGGCAGTCTTGTCCTCTGATGCTGAAAGAAGGTATCCATTATCGGGACTGAAAGACGTAGAGTAGACTGTTCCACTATGACCAACTAATGTGGCGTTGTTGGAGCGCTCATTCTGTTTTGATGGTAACTTGTTTTGTAGAGGGGTGCCGTCTAACGACCAAATTTTGATTATACTATCCTGGAAACCGGCAGACGCCAACCTCACATCATCGCTGAACTCTATCGAGGTCATCTCCGAGTTTGTGTTGTGAAAAGTATACATGCAGACACTGGGAGCCGAAGTTTGTAGATTATCGAGACGTATAGCATCTCGCGATTCCCTTACTTTCTGGATTTCGAGTTTCAAATCCAAAGCAGTTTTTGAAGGAAGCGGAAGAACATCTTTTGCAGGTGATTCCATATTTGGATCTTGTTTGCGGTCATCTTTTTTGTCAGTTTCGGCAAGGACGGCTCCACCTTCAGTTTTTTCGTCATCTTTCGTGCTTTTATCATCTTTTGAGAGACTGTTCATGTCTCTATACTCCTCGATGAGACCTTTGGATTTATCCTGGCCTTCGCCACTTGATGGGGCATTCTCATCCTTTCTTTTGAGTTCAGTCTCGACTTCCTTAACGAATTCTTCGTCGACAGGAAATTTGCCCAATTTAACTGGAACGGAATTATGTGTATCCACGTCGACTGCACCTGCAGAAACATCCTTTATACCATCCGTCAAAGTTTCTTGCGACGTAATAGTTTCTACGATATTTGGATCCAGGTTCTGATTGATGATACTGATGAGCAAAGATCCTCCAACACTCTCGTTTTCGTTCAAAAAATAAAGAAGCAAATTGAGCGTTGTTCGAGATATTGTGACTCTGTATTTGTTGGATTGGAAACCCTGTGCTAGCTCGTTTTCTTTGATATGGTCTGCGGAATTGACTGAGAACAGCTTATTGACCTCTGATGCGTGGAATGCTTTAAAATCCACCGAGAATCTGTCGAAAAAACGACGGGCCTGTATGGCATCCTTCACTACTAGCGTGAGAAAGACGTAAATGAAGATCGGGTAGATAATTCGCGTGAGTTCTGGTTTGTACATGTCTAGCGAAGACTCGGTCCAATTTTTCAGCATCGAATACGCCAGAAAGTAGTGCCTCGGGGAGCTGTTGGCTTGTTGTGAGATCAGGTTGCCGTCCACGTCTCTTTTGATATTGGTAGGGTTGGAAACTGGTCTTGCACCTTGCGACGTTGGTTCCTGTCCTGGTTCGGGGAACGATCCGCTGGCCGTGTCTCCTGGCGAAGCCTTGTTCTGCGGCGTTAAAGTACGGGAACTTTCGACCCTCAGCATCTGTTCTGTCCTGTGATAACCCTTCTTGTTCAGATACTCCAGAACAATGCGATTCAGGTCCGCCGCTGAAAATGAACCTGCTCTTGAGTTTGCGGCGGTGGGAGGTGTCTTAGCATTGCCATTGGTCGTCTGAGGTCGTACTGTATTTGACGGCGTTGTCTTGGGAGGTTGTTTCTGGCCCTTTTGTGACATACTTCAAGCCCTTTTTAGCCCGTTGAATTCGTGTGTTTTCTGGTGAAATGTGATGTGATGTAAACTTGACCATTCTATATTGAATATAATAGATTGATGAGAGCCAAGAGGACTATTTCATCACGTGAACACTTGATGATGAAGTTTAACAATAGTTGTGTCGTTTAGTATCGATTGTTCAGCGTCTTCAAGCATTGCAATTTTGGCACGACAAGCTGATGGGGTTTTGTCGCTTAAGTTTGTTTCTTGGTCTCTTCCAGTTCGCGCAAGTTCCGGTTCTTCAATCTCTGCTGAATGTGTTGTTCGAAAGAGTTTAAAACTTGACTAAAAACAGACTCTTCGATGAACCCAGGGGGGAATGCCATCTGTACTGCTTTCTGGTAGTTTTTGGATCGGAGTTTGGCTCGTGAATACGAAAATCAGTATTGTATTTCGATCTGAGGTTGTAATAGGACCATTCCACGAATGAATACAACTCTCACTCCCCCATCGCAAGTTTCTGTGGAATAAGCATGTGCCAAGGGAAGTAGTTTCTGAAGCTAGCAACGACTCAATCGGAGTCGTGGTCTTCAATATTCCCTGATTTAGAGATCTTATTTAAACGTAACGATAAATGAATGTATGTATATGTATATATTTATATATCATGAAATTCTCGACAATGCAATACGGATCTGGCAAGTCAAGACCAAAACTTGAGTATTCAGACTCAAATAATGTGTATTTACACATCAATTGGATGGGAAACACGTACAAAGATATATCATAGCGAATTAGCCGCTCAACTGGAAAATTATTGTGCAAGCCGCTCAAACTGGAGGACCGATCTACTGATTGCCGATCGGAGCATGAAAATGCGTTGAGCTAGTAAATAAATATCATTGCAACATGGTTGTCAATTCGTTAGATTGATAATAATGCGTTGACATCTGGAAAACTTGTTTTCTAGTCCAAAACATGAAATTAGTACTCTTTGATCGGGGAAGGGCGTTTTTGATCTTGAACATGAAATCGTAACGTGTTAACGCGGAGTTTTTTATTTTGGGTTTATACATGGAATCAGTACGCGTCGAACCGTGCTAAAGTATCCTTTACTGCTCAAACACGTCTTTTTAGGACTACAAGAATGGCTGCAATTGCTACACGACGATGATCGTTCCTTTCCAAGAGTTCCTAAACAAAATCAGAAATAAGAAATCTGCAGTTTTTACTCCTTTACGCTTCTCCCCTACGCTTCTCTTATACGCTTCTCCTTTACAGTACGTGCTCCCGACCACCCCCTACAAGCCGGACTGGTTTTGAAAACTTCCACTGTCACGTCCTTCAAAACTTACGCTTCTACGACATGAGATTCTCTGTCGTTCCAACGGACTTCTCCGGGAGATCCCAATACTTTACCCTCTGCCCTCTATCATCGCCGCTACCTATGACGACAACTACAACCCTATCCCCAAATGCATACAATCTCATTTCCACAAGCAATTAAGTTTACGACGCGTCTCGTAAACTTGCACAACATGAATCGACCGGTTATCGACCGATCATCTATCGACCTACCTGAATCCAAAAGACCGGGCTACCCTTTTTTATCTTACTCATCGTCGTTCTTCCTTCGTCATCGTCACACGCCTTCCAGCTGCAAGCCCCTGCCAAGTTTCAGAAGCTAGCATCTTGTCGATATGCCGGCTTCTTGTTGCTACTAGATGAAAAAGTTGACTAACTACAGCGTCAATATACATCTAAATTGATCACCAGGTGTGGAAATATAATACCCAAGTAAGCGAAGCTAGTGGCCCAAAGGTGGGTTTGAGCCCTGTGTATGTTTGGATCTTCACTTATATGGTGAGAGATATTGGGCGTGTAACCGGGACATCGCAGGTGAAACCGGTCGCAATTGCATCTGAACTTGTCTCGAGTTTAGAGGAGCCCTAAGCGTTGCAATTGGTCGGTTTTGTCGAGGATACGCCGTGAGTGTTAGTATCAAGTGATCAATCTGGTAAGCGATGAACAACAGCTCATCGAGGCCCAGAAGCGTCAATAATTCCCCAAAGCTGGGAAGTCGAAGGCAACAAACACCATCGCCACAATCCAGCACGTCCTCTCAGATGAGTGAGCCAGACGGGTTTTCGCCCAATGGTAAAAGCAGTCTGCTGCCACAGTTGTTCACATGTGCACAGCTGGACATCAACGTAGCGATGAACTATGTGCTACAGAGATTTTTCGAAATGCAAGACGCACAATTGGCACCATCATTGCGAGTGGTAGATTTGGTGGTGGAGCAGACGTATGCAGAGTCCCTAACGCTGCGGCAACTCAACGATACGTTTTCCAACAAGCAGTATCGGTACTTCAATACGGTGTCACGCAGCAAACAGGTATCGGGCTGTCCGGTGTTCTGCGTCGCGGTGTATGCTGCCAGTCAATGGGGAGGCCATCCTGGCGGTACTCCCATCCGGTTTGAAGATTTTCAAAATGTGCGACTGTTGGCAGACACCAGCAGCTTTGAAGCACTGGCGGCAAGCAGGGCAGCCGGCGTTTCACCGTCCTCACAGTCAGAACCGGCTACCGGGACCCTGACAAGCTCACCGGGCAAAATCGTACGGATTATGGAACCACCAGATGAACTACGAAACGAGGTTTTTCCCTGGCTCGACAAACTACAGCAGGATTTGGAGACCAAAGACCGCACAAATTACAATTTGCATACCCTGTGCGAGCTCTTTGAGTATTTGGCTCGCGTGCTGATCCAGGACCTTGCCTATCTCAGCTGTACCAACGAACTGCCCTATCTGCTGTCTAACGTTATGGGATACGTGCCCCGGCTGCGCAAGAACTTTGCATTTAAGCAGTTCAAGAGTGAGATGCAACGAATGATCATTTCGCAATCCAAAACCACCGATTGGAATGATCAGGTTCTGCTGAGAGTAGAGGAAGGGTACATAGACATTTCACGGCGGTTCGCACTACATAACCAGTTTCTCCAAGAGGAGCTCAGATCGCTGCGACACGAGCTCAAATCCGTGAAACAGGTTCTCACAGAGGTTGTGAACGCCCAACGGACTTTAGCTTCCAATAGTGCGCACAATAGCGTAGTTTTCCCAAACGCATTGGGCGCAGGTGCCAATGGAACTGACAAAAATGGGCTGTCGTCGAATTTTTTCAATAACATGGGCTCTGCGGGCGAAGAACAGGCGCAAAGAACACCATCACTCGCACCTATAAACATGTTCCATTCTCTCAGTGGTTCAGCCATCCCAGAATCTCAAAAAAGAAAACTCCCGCTGCCGAACCAATCCGGGTTTTCACCCCCGTCTATCGATTCGCCGTTCAAGAGATTCAGGTTTGACGATCCAAAGGCTGGCACTCCTACTCACCAGCAAATTTTGCAACAACAACAATTACAACAACAGCTGCAACACCAATCCCAAGCCGCCAACATCAATGTACCATTGGATTCGATATTGGCTCGCAATACGGGGAGCCCAAGACTCGGGATTTCATCACTCACCAGCGCACCCGTGTCATCACAGCTATCACCCCAGTATGGCAATTCGCAGATTTCAGGGCAAAGACCTTCTTCAGGGTCTTCTCCGAATGGCAACGCCTCGCACGAAGTGCTCAAATACAAGCTTTCGCGCGAGAACAAGACCGTATGGGATCTCTACAACGAATGGTACGTTGGTCTCAACGGCGATCCATCTATCAAGTATCTCATCGACACCTACGGCTGGAGACGTTGGAAAGTCGGCGAAGACTCGCATTTTTTTCCAACGCGACGCATCATCATCGATTACATCGAGCGCGAGGTTGACCGTGGCGTCCGTGCAGGCAGGTTCCTTAACACGGATCGCGAAAGCATGAGGAAAGTTATCACAGATGATCTGGAAAAGTTTCGGGTGACTAACGGGCTCACCTTGAACAGCATCTCTATATATTTCAGGAACTTGACGCGCAAGAACACTGAGATTTGCATCTACGCCAATTTTGAAGATTGGGCTGTCTTGCAGATAGACGAAGATCAAAAAAACAAGTACTGCAAAAGACAGCACAATTCTGGTTAGTGATAGTCAAATCAAGCCATCAAGAAAAACCAACCACTAAACCTGCATTACGAATTGAAAACCCGGCATGACGCTGCGGGTAGAACGCCAAGCTAACGATAATTGTCGTCAACAAAGTTCTCAAAAAACTCGTTCAAAACAAACTCAAAAAAAAGTCACGAAATAAAGATAAAGCATTGGAAACAAAAAACACTGGTGAAAGTCCTTTTCGACACACTCAACTCACCACCCGCTCATTACTTTTGAGCAAATTCGGTATATAGATGGATACACATTGAATCCTTACGTCAATAACGATCATGTCACGAGACCCATGAAGTTAGTCTGTTTATGATTAACACCGCCTATAAGGTTTGAAGAGGAAGCAAAGAGGGCATCACCAACTGACTATCAATTGTAAACTCAGAGCAGATCAACAAGGCGGCTTTGAAGGTATTCTCAAGGACTTTGGGACTAGAAATTCAAAGATCTCGGCATGGCACATGCAAAATTTGTGGTTCCAGCCAATCTAACGCTTCGACAAACACTCAATTTGCTGTTCTCTATAGTTGAAAGTCAGTTCAAGAATTGTCAAGAAAACATTCAGTCGGCCGGGAACGACTTTGCATTACTTGGAAAATTACCCAAAGCACTGTCCCACGTACTTCTTTACTTGGGAGATGGTCTGATTCAGGTGGAAAACAGTTATAAAGTGAGAGATGTTCTCTTATTGAAAGACCCTGACGTTGGAGACATTATCAGTGATCTCCGAATTTTGGAACATGATATAAAGAAGACTCGTGCTTCGGTGGAGAAACAAGTCGAGAGAGAGGATAGTGCTGGCCGAGTAGTGTCACCATCTGCACATTCTAATAGCCATTTTTCGCTTTCGAGTCTTCTGAAAAAGACTAAAATATCGAGCAAGAAAGAAGAGCTGCGGAGAACCCAAGAGCTTCGAAGAGCACAGGAAGTCGAAGAGTTGAAAAAATCGAAAAAAGAGGAACAAGAACGAATCCAGCGGGAAAAAGAAGCCCAGGATAAAATCCTGGAAGAAGAACACGCTCGTATGCTGGAGCAGACTATAAAGCGTCAAGTGGAACGAGAAATGGCAAACATGGCAAGTCGTGAACAGATTGCTGCTGTCCAGAAAGAGAAAAAAGCTAAACCAGCAGCGTTTGAAAAGCCCAAGGCACCTTACGAGCGCACATCAATGGAAGTGAGAAGGTCTCCACGCCGATCTGCGGATGAACTAAGAAGACGAAGTCTTGACGGTGGTGCTAGGGCTAAAAGTGCCGCAATTGCTGCACATAGTCGTCAGGCGTCGGAAACTAATCTCTCAACCTCTGGTGGTGTCAATCGCGCTGCCCAACTAGCATGGTCCCAGATGAACCCAACACAGGAAAAAGTTGCCAAACCGCTCATTATATCGGACACGGGACAGTCTTCATCTCCTAAACCGAGGTACGAGTACGTGAAACCGACCATCAAGAGACCAACTATTAGGGTTCCCGGGAAGAACGTTTTCCATCGAAATCAGAGTGGTGCGGAGCCCAGGAGTGAGGTACGTCGCACGAGCGAAAGAGAGTATCGAGCGCGTTCGCCAAAGTCTCCTAAACCTACGGCGCCAGTGCATTCCCGCTCTTTCTCGCCCGAGGTCAAGTCACCAAAGTCAATGACTCCAGAAGTCGAGCTATCCCCGCAGGAGAAAAGAGTTAGCGAGGTCATGCAGACACTCGAAGGAGTTGATGAAGAAGCCTGTCAGCACATAATAAACGAGATCATGGTCTTTGGGGAAAAGGTTTACTGGGATGATATTGTGGGTCTTAACAACGCCAAGAACTCATTGAAGGAAACTGTCGTATACCCGTTTTTAAGACCTGATCTCTTCAAGGGGCTTCGAGAGCCTGTTTCCGGTATGTTATTATTTGGACCTCCAGGAACAGGCAAAAGCATGATCGCAAAGGCTGTCGCTACAGAATCGCAATCGACGTTTTTCAGTATAAGTGCCTCATCACTACTTTCGAAGTACCTGGGAGAGTCAGAAAAATTGGTGAGGGCTTTATTCTACCTGGCAAAAAGGCTCTCCCCATCAATCATTTTTATCGATGAGATTGACTCCTTACTGACGTCGCGATCAGAGAATGAGAATGAGTCCTCCAGAAGAATAAAAACGGAAGTCTTAATACAGTGGTCGTCACTGTCTAGTGCAACTGCACGAGAACGGGAAGAAGGACGTTTAGAGAGCGGTCGCGTGCTTGTTTTGGCAGCAACTAATTTGCCCTGGGCCATAGACGAAGCAGCACGTAGACGTTTCACCAGGAGACTACATATACCTTTGCCAGAGCCCGAAACCAGAATCTCACATCTCAAACGGCTACTTGCCCACCAAAAAAACGCGCTCACCGAACGAGATTTCGAGTCAATTGGAAAGCTCACAGAGGGATACTCGGGGTCTGACATGACGGCACTGGCAAAGGACGCCGCAATGGAGCCTATTAGAGAACTTGGAGACAAACTGATAGATGTTGATTTCACCAAGATTAGAGGCATAAATCTACAGGATTTCCAGAACGCTTTATTGACGGTGAAGAAAAGTGTGTCACCGGAGTCCTTATCGAAATTCGATGATTGGGCTGTGAGTTTTGGAAGTCACGGTGCTTAAAGACATAGACTTAAGAGATAGAGTAGATATATACTCAATTGCAGTGAGCTGGAACTTACCATTCATTATTCGCAGTGTCGGCGCGCTGTGTCTGTAATTTTTATTCAGATAGGATGAGAAATCATAAATTAAAGGTAGTGCTAGCCAAAAGCTGATGAAATCACCTATAGACCAGCGCCGGAGCTTCCATTAGTCTTTCAGAGAGATTAGATTGTACAATATATGGTCAGACACCATTGAAAATTCACAAATTTCGAAACTGCGCTCAAGGGACACTTTTGGGCGGCTAACAAGAGTAATTGGTATGTGAGTGACTTATACTGATTTTATCTTGAACTGGACGCGATAAGGACAACTCCAAACTTGGATACTGATTGTAAAAGCGCAGAATATCTACCAGGTGCTACAAACTTGCATCAATTGGAGATGCATATTCTCTTGCTAGTGTTTGGCCGGAGTTTAGTGACGACAGTGAGAAATCAAGAGTTAGTCCTTGAAGTTACAACGCAGTTGGCGAACCAAACTCGAGTAGCAAAAGTCTGCAGTTGCATTTAAACACACCTTCGAAGCATGGTGTTCCCTCTAACTCACACAGCTTTCTCCCCAATGCATCAACACTGTGTTATGAGCTAAACGAGTGGTTTTCACAAAGAGAACCAAGATAGTACCTATAGGTGGGACAAGAGTGGATGTCTTAACCCGAGGTCTTTAAACTGGGAGAATCCAACCTGGGAGATCCAACTGGAGGGCTTGTATTAGCGTCGAATTTTCAGGTTACCAACGAAGCCTGCTTCAAAGTTCGTTCTGGTCGGAAATCAGAGCCCACAGAGTTTGTTCTGCCCTAATCTCTTGAACCCGGTACCGTTCGAGCATCCTGGTGAGCCCGTTTCCATAGCCAACGGCAATGGAAGATCTAACTATCCGTCTTCAGTCACATGCCTTCGACGTCATCATTAATGGACATGGGTAAAATCCCATGAATCTCGGGTTTACTGAAGAAGGAAAGGTAAACCAGTGGCGGACGTTCTTCGACGAACGAATGTCTATAGTTCTTCGCACTACTTCTAACCACTACAGAACTGTGAACTTTGACTGGTTTGATAAACTAGTAGAAAGAAATTCCAAGCAGCTTCGGTACTTTGGCCTTGCATTATTCACAGCACTATCCATCTACGTTCTTTCGCCAAGCTTACTGAGAAAAGGAGATAACGACATGTTTTCAAAATCCAGACGAAGCGATAAGTACACGACGGGTCTCATCAACAATCGGAATGATTGTTTTGCAAACTCGTCCGTACAGGCTCTTTCAGCATCACCCAAGTTAACCAATTACATGAATGACTTGCTCAAACAGGTTCTGTTTTTAAGGACGTTGCTGGACCGTGGAGATAGTCAGCCTTCCAGCATCAAGGGTTCTGAGGATGCTTCAAAAGAATCAGAATCGGCACAATACCAACATGACCAGCCCTCTGAGAGACGTTCCAGCTCTTACGAAAACTCACTCGCACCTGGAGCATCCCGTCCTGCATTTCATTCGCTTCGTCCTCATGCGAATCTCCAATCGTTTTCCTCTACAGCAACGATCACTACGATGTCTACCCTCGAAGATGGCGGTGCTGCCAATGGCCGTGGTCATTTGGACGGCTTGAATACGGGAGATACATCCGCAGCTCAGAGCACATCGGACAGCTCGATAGCGAAAGAAAACGGAGTTTCAACAGCGTCCAGTGAAGAGATACCCGAGGTTCCGTTGCATGAAGGTCTTGCCCAAATGATTTATCAGCTACAGCAGATCGTTGATACAAGCAAGTACGTATCAGTGTGGCCATTTTTGCATGTTTTAGAGCTCATATTTGATGCTAAAATCTCCTCCGGCCAGAACGACGCTCATGAGCTGACACAGGTCATTTTGGAATCCCTCGAAAAAGAGAATGTCAAACTCAAAAAATTCGTCAAGGATCATTCCTTGAATGTGATCATACCTGACTTCCCTGTAAAGGGCTCACTAGCGGACCATTTGATTTGTCTCAACTGCCAAGGATCTTCAAAAGTTGTCACGCATCCTTTCTCAATGTACCCTCTGCCGGTTCCTCAAGAAATGTCGGCAAACCTTTCAGCGATGATTGCCGACAACCAAACCGAGACTATCGACGGCTACGCATGTCTGTCTTGCAAAATAAAGGCCATTGTTCAGAATGAAGAACAATTGAAAGACGACAAAAAATCGGAAGAGGAGAAGGTCATATTGGCAACTTTATCCAAAGTCATATCTGATATATTCATCAATGACGATCTTTCGGAAGACTTGATGAATTACATCAACAACTACAAGAAAGGAAGCTGTGACACCAGCGCCATTAAATCAAGAATTATCAAGAAAACTGTTGTTACCGAATCTCCTGAAATCTTGATTCTGCATCTCTCCCGGTCGGTCTTCAACGGCACCACCTACTCACGGAACTCGTGTTACGTCAATTTCGATGAGGTATTGCTAACTCAGGAGCAGGAAATCAAAAACAACAGATCTGTTGGTGTCAAACCGGTCAAATATAAACTCAGGGCCATGGTCAAGCACCAAGGTACTCATTCTCAAGGACACTACGAATGTTACAGACACAAGCCCGACCTTATCAAGGATGTGTTATCAAACCAAGTCGTCAACAGGTCGCCCATGATCGATTTTGGACTTGACTCGAACAAAGATGCCGTGGCTGCCTGGAATCAGATGGCAAGTAAGTCCAGCACGGATCTGGCATCCGTTTCATCTCATGAGTCCGATTCGTCTGTACCCTTCCGTTCCGTGTTTCCTGAAGCGAAGCCTGGTTTGCCATTAACGTCGCCAGTTGTAGACGAAGATGACTATATTGTTGGGCAAGCAACCTCTGGTTCTTCGGGTATGCCCAGCCGGAAACCATCAACATTGAAGAAGATCACAGGCTTTCTTTCCAGAAGACCCTCTATTGCATCTGGTGCCTCTGACGACCAAAACACAGACTCTGGTTCCAACGCTGGTTCAGATGGAGGCTCCGGTTTTAGACGCAGAAGAGGAAACAGCGTTGCTTCTGTTGGTTCCTCTGCCGTGGGGCTTTCGTCGGAAACTTCAGGCGTTGAAACGACAACCGATACAAGTGCCAGCGAGCGGGATGAGGCTGTTGCAACTACCATCAAAAGAAAATTCAAGAAAATCAAAAGCGTTCTCAACTATCCCTTCTGGAAGATATCCGACGCCGCCGTGCGCGAAGCCAAGATCGAAGAGGTCCTTGGAGATACAAAGTGCGTTTACATGCTATACTACGACCGTGTCGACGATTAAATAAGAGTTGATTGAAAACTAAGAGGTTACAGTCATTGGGATCATCACTAGGCGGCCAGTACTGTACTGTTTGGACGCTCGATCATGCATTTCCCGGTGTTCAAGATATCTTGACTTCGTAGGTAGTGTGTGGGTAGCATTTAATAAAGTTTCATATTCCTATAAATAAGTTGTCCGAACAACCCGTCATGAACAAAAGCTCAAAAGCAGTGTTATTGGTGCCTCAATCTGATGCACAATGCTAAAGGTATGTTTAAAAGGTGTTTATCTTATAGTCACAAATTGGCCAGGGCTCGAAAACGTGTCTTTTCCGGCTATTTGGTGTCATGTTCATGACGTAAAATGCTGAATAAGTCAATAGGCGCCAGGCAGCAGCCTGTAACGTTTGTGGAATGGCCTTGGAATACGTTCATATATGTGGCATGAATCTGGATGTTCAACGACTAACTATCGAGACAATTTTGTTTCCTATAGGGTTTCAAGAAAAATGGTAGAGATAGTGGAAATAAGAGTAGGATCACTTCTGCAGATATATCTTCCCCCACAGCAGACCACACCAATGCGGTGAAACATATGAAAACCATTCCGATCCGCTCTGGGTCATCTGCATCGACACAATCTGCTGATCGTGCTGCGGCGCCAAAAGTGCCAGCCAATGCAGAAAAGGTCATCAAGGCCCTCTACAACTATCAAGCTCAATCTCCACGCGAACTCTCGTTTGTGAGGGGTGAGTTTTTCCTGGTGCAGGCGGAGGACAAGGAATGGTACGACGCAGCTAGCCCAAATGATCAGCGTAGAGGAATGGTTCCCAAAAGCTATTTCGAGACTTTCTCTAGAGGACGTTCTGGGTCTCATAGTAACGTGAGTGGGCAGGGATTGGTCTCATCAAAGGGCGAACAACAAGGTCGTGAAAATGGTAGACATATGGGCCAAAGAGCTGGCTCTTTATATGCAATTGTTCTTTATGACTTCCGTGCTGAAAAATCCGACGAATTGACGACTTACGCAGGCGAAAATCTGTTCATTTGCGCTCATCACAACTTTGAATGGTTCATTGCCAAACCAATAGGTCGTCTTGGCGGTCCTGGCCTGGTCCCTGTGGGGTATGTTAGCATTATCGACATCGACACCGGTTACGCCACAGGGAATGGTATTAGCGACGATATACAATCGGCAAACTTGCCTACAGTGCAAGAATGGAAGACAAATGTGGCCAAATATAAGGCCAGCAATATTTCTTTGAGCTCGCCGGAAGCGAAACGTCAGCAGCGTATGAGCTCATATTCATCCACTTACAATAACGCCGTACCGTCGCATGATTCTTATTTCAACTCGAACATTGCTCACGCATCGGTGGATAGTTTCTCACTAGAAGGCGACAAGTTTTGGTTTAACGTGGTTTGTGAAATGTCTGATGGAAGAGCACGTACATTAAAGAGATATTACGAAGACTTTTATGATCTACAAGTGAAACTACTGGACGCTTTTCCTGCTGAAGCAGGAAAATTGAGAGATGTACGAGGACAATGGACAAAACGCATTATGCCATATATACCAGGTCCAGTACCGTACGTTACAGATTCCATCACGAAAAAGAGAAAAGAGGATCTCAACAAGTATGTGCGCGAGCTCATATCACTCCCAGTTCACATTTCACAATGCGATATTGTTCGATCTTTATTCAATATAAGGAACAACGGATTCGATCAGGAATTCGCCCAAGAACCTACTATGACCAATCTCTCACATGTAGCAGAAGGATTGGAAAACATTATTGCTGATAGTAAAAGTCCAGCGGACGACTCGACTTTAACAGGCGATGAACTGAAAGTGCACGAAATGATGAATGGACTTTCATTGAAAAATTCCAAACCACATTCAAGACCTCCCAGCGTATCTCCACCACAGCTGAAATCCACAAAAATAAAGTTTTACTACAAGGACGATATTTTCGCCCTATTGCTCGATTCCAACATCACCTACAATGAGCTGCGCACCAGAATCGCGCCTCGAATCGAAAGCCCATCTTTTAAATTGTTTGTGAAGCATGACCACTCGGTTGGCGATGAAGTGGCTGGAGATTATCAGGTCTCCGAAGTGATACGAGGGAAGCTGAAAATTCTAGTTGAAGATGTGTGAGGAGGTGATAATACCATAATAACCAAAAAACTACCTAATGGAAATCCTCATGGCCTGTCAAAGAGAGTATTATCATTGTTATTACTGTTATTTGTGCTCCGTTCACTGTCGTGAGGTCTATTGTATTTGTATCGAGTGCTAGTTGCCATTTTCAATCATCTAATAACATAGGCTCGTATCCGTAACCACTATATTCGTGATAGACCGATGCTGAGTGTGCACCATTCCCCGTGTCAATTTCCATTTCTATGCCCCCTCCTGAAGCTCTATTGCGAGACTGTACCCATACCAGCCAGCTCGTGTATAACAACTGTGCACTGTCATACCACTTGATGACTTGCAAATTGCTGCTTCGAATACTGTCCCAAATGGGTCCATATATATCTTTATTCACGCTATCGTTTCCGCTCGCAATTTTCCAAACTTGCTGATCGTTCTTCCAAGCGTCCTCTAGGACCACCTTCGTTGTAGCTTTTCTTGAACCACTGGCATTATCAGAAATGCTCAAACTCTGAAGATCCTCGATGAGCCGTTGTCTCTTGTATTTTGAAATTCCCCCCAAATCCGGGCTACGGGACCTCTTTTTGGAAAACACCGTCATATCTCGCATTGAAACATCAACTGCTCAGGCGCGACACGACAGATTCAACCGATCACTTCTATATCTATATAAGAGCCAAGATGACAGCTCGAAATTGGGCTCAAAAGAAGCACAATAGAGAGCTTTACTTGCTTCCTGTATCAGAGCAACAACTAACCCGTCGATTAACACCTTGAAGGTCCCAAGAAGGAATTCCAAAGGTAATTGAAGGTGAATCAATTGACTATTCTGAAAGGTGAAGTTAAAATAGGTCTTTTCTACATCATCATTGTACACTAATATTAAATCGAATTACTAGTTCAATCGAGAACTAAGAATTCGTTAAAGTAGGCTCTTCCACAAAAACTAGGGCTCTTGACCATGTTTCACACTCCTCCAATCAACGATTCAAACTTTGATGGAGGCCAGGCTATACGGGAGTCTTATCAGGGCCAAGTAGAGGGGTCCTCCCCTGAGCTATCAATTTCCTCGAGTAACGGTGCCGGTTCACTCACTAAGGAGGAAATAGCGCTGGAACTGGACCAAATAGTGGAAGTGCCGGTTGAATTGGCTCGTCTAGAAGACAATTTTGTCGATGATCTGAAACAACCAAAATATTTGAAACCATTGAGTGTGATGCAATTGTCAGGTCTTTTCCAAACTTTCTACGCAAAGTTCGATAAAGCTGCATTCCAATATCTTTCTAAAGCACCAGATGCTATCAATAATGGTAGTTTTCTCAGCGCGCGTGAAACGTTGAGTAGCGGCATCAGTGGGATTTTCAATCGCAGCAGAAGCAGTAGCGATACAGCACGCAAAAGATCGTCTTCACTTTTTAGCACGGACTCCGCAGGTGGAGTCCAGCCTTTACTGACACCAGAGGAGATCAATAAGCATCTTCGCACAACGGAGCTGAATAACCGAAAGATCGAAAAATTACTTGAACTATGCGAACATGACGTATTTCAAAAAATTCTGGAAATGGGGACCTCAGTGCCTAACAATAATGCCCCAAAACAAGACAAGCCAAATGCTCTAAAACAAGACAAACCTTTGCGCCATTTGAAGGCCACAAATTTGTTTAAAAACAGTCCTGAATTCATGGAATTTGATAGAATGATGTGGGAAAAGATGTTGCTGTTGTCAAATGTGGCTAGATGTGGGAAATTGAATTTGATGGATTTCTTATCGGTACCCCAAGGATCATTTGACGAGAACAAGCTGGCAGAATACTTGGATAGGATGGTGTACGGTCCGTTGGCACCATACGAAAAGCTTTTACACGTTATAAACTTGCATGACGAAATGACAAGTTCTCTGAACCATTTGAGTAATGACGATTTTCTTTCGACGTTGATATACTTACTCATTCAATTTCCAGTGAAACATATGTTCATTAACTTGCAATTCATTAAACTTTTCCGGTACAACAAAAAACTGGTGGAAAAGGATCTGTACGCCCTCACTAATCTTGACGCTGCATTGACTTTTTTACAAAGTCTCACAATCTCATCACTACCTCCAGATACTCAATGCCAATTGTCCAAAGCGGAGGAGGCGTGTTTGCTTGTCCCCATATCTGAAAAGGTTATCTTACCGGAAACGCAACCGACAGGCTTGGGAGTTACTCCAACTTACTCTACTCTTCGTCGGTCAAATTCATACAAAGAATTTGAAGGCATAAAAACAGCCTTCGACTCATCGCTGCGCAACATCTTCGGCAAAATCCGTTCATACACACCACCCTCCGGCCCATCGGTAGCAACCATCACGCCTGATAAAACGTCTAATGGAGTCTCGAATTTTTCAGCATCATCAGAAGTGGATATCGTGAAAAAACCCATTTTGGTTCAGGACTCATGGCGACTTCTGGGAAGTCGCGATTTCGAAGATTTGAAGATGAGTGAATTGAAAGAAGTTTTTGAGAACTACAAAAAACTTTTAAAAGCATTAGATAGCTAGCGCTACGTAGAATATCTTTATTTACCTTTAATGACGACAATGACAACTGAACCGGCAATATTTGGGTGCCGCCAAGCTGCCAAGTTATGCAAAAATTTCTGAATAGAAGCCGCTCTATTACCTCATCATACAGAGCTTAGATGGGCTATAGCAGCGGAGAGGGCCTTTGTATCATATCCACGTTCTTGAAGTGAGGGCAAAAATTGTTTCTGCAGAAGCACGCCAAGATTCATTATTCTTTGACGAGTGTACTCCATGGATCCACTGTTAGTGTCTAGATAGTCCACCACTTTCTGCTTTAATTCAACGTCCTGCGTGCGGGTCTTCAGTATATCTAGTACGAACGTATTGTTTTGAGATTGCCCGTGTCTAATGCCGTGAATTATAGGGAAAGAAAGCTTGCCCTCTGAAACGTCCTCCGCGAATCCCTTATTTTTGATCATCGAGGCATCCTGTAGATTCAAATAATCGTCCCTTATTTGATATAGTATGCCAAGAAGGTTGCAGAGAGGAACCAACGAGTCATTTCCTAGAAAGTCAGTTGAAAAGACCTCCATTAGCCGAACCGTGAGTCTGAAAAGTCCGCCTGTCTTGTTCATCACCATGTTAAGATATTGTTTTTCATCTGGAATCACAAGTTCGTCTCTCCAGTAAATATCGAGACCTTGGCCACGATGCAAATTTAGCATTTCCTGATTAAAGATTATAAGAAGTTGATTTAACAATCCGGCCTCGGAGTCTCGAGCTAATTCTTGCAAGCATTCCATTGCGTAAAAATACATGTAGTTGGCTGTGTTAATAGTCATTGGAATCCCAAAAACGAGATGTGATGCTTTTAATCCTCTTCTCCATTCCGAACTATCCTCGATATCGTCCACTAGCAGACTCGAGGTATGCAAAATTTCCACCAACTTCGAGATTATCGTAATCTGAGCTGATGGCAACCCATAAAATTCGTTAAAGATCTGGATCAGCTCCGACCGGAAGTTCTTTCCAGGACTAGATGCAAGGTAGTCAAAGGGGCCGCGAAGAGTTCGTTCTTGTTGGTCGTCCCAAGCTGGAGAGGCGTGTGCTAGGTTCACAATCTGAGAAACATCCATTGAGACGCAATAGTGGCGATGCGAACGTGGTGCTAATCGCCAAGATGTGTTTGTTCGTTTGACGATTTCCGTACACTCTTTAACTGACACCAATTACACTATATGACAATTAAAATAGCTTTACGAGGTCACGTGTAAGTTTTTTAGCTATCACGCTTGATACTGAAACGAAAGGGGTGGGATCTGGGGATGAGCAGTACCTCACCTCCTACAATAAATCCATACCATGAAACTTAAGCTGGTCGAGTGTGAGAGCAGCAGTTTCTGAGATAAATAAAATGATGTCGTTCTCATATCACTTTTCACCTAATTGACACCTCGACCCGTGACCGAGGTTGCAGAACCAAACGGAAGTTCCAAATACAAGGCACTCTCGTAATAGACATAGTTCTTAAGAGTTTTTGAACTGTTCAATTAGCCATACGTTACGAAACGTATTTGCTTTTATGAGGCTACGCCGTAGCGACAGATAACGACAGAATGATAAAATCGGTGTCACATCACGGTTTATGGTCACTCGCCGTTGACAAACCGAGACAGTACGGCCGAAGAATTTGAGGAGATTTCAAGACCTGAGGAACTCTCCAAACAAGGGTTCGAGATCATCATGTGGCAGTGAGACGTCGTGAGTTTTGGTATAAATCACTCATTATCGACGAAACATCAAATAAAGCCAAGTAATAATATGCTATCACTACCTAAAAGGAAGACTTACTTAGCTTCCAAGATACGGGTACCACAGGCTCCTTGACCGTTGGGTTTGCTATCATAATGGATGCCATGCTATTCAATATCGCAGGCGATGTGCCGGTGGTGACGAAGGCCTGGACAGCTGGGATTGTTGTGATGTCTGTGCTAACGAGCACAACTATAGTGCAGCCAAGTAGTACACTGTATAACTACGATCTTGCGTTCAAAAAGGGTCAATACCTGCGAGTATTATACTCGCTTTTCGATTACGGGGAACTGGACCATTGGTTCCTGTTTGGAGTGATAGTTATGCTGTCCCAGCTGGCAGATGTCGAAAAAACGGTTCAAAAACGCAGTCAATACTTGTGGATGATATTTGTCCTGAGCGGGATGATTATTGCGATGAGTAAATGGATTCAGCCGTACGAATCGCTAGCGCATGTCATACACAAAAATTTGCTCTATTACAAAATGCGGGTAGACATTCAATCTAACGCGGATGACAGATTTCGAGGCCTGGTGTCACCGTTGATGTTGAGACTTTTATTGGACGTCATGGCTTTATCATCCGCCAATAGCCTTTGGAGCATTTTGATGACGTATTTGCCTGCTCAACTATATTTCTTCCTTGAACAGATAGTGAGTAAAGTCTACGGCGTAGACTTGTGCCAACCTCCAAACCAATGGATGAAACGATTTGCGGAGCGCCCTACTGATGCAGAAGAGAACGAGAACGAGAACGGCAACGACATCGAGAACGAGAACGAATACGAAAATGAACACCTTCAGGAATAATATAAAAAATTGTCTCTAGAAGACGGTAGCGATGAAAATCAAGAAAAGTGCAGAAACTATCTCCAGGACTATGGATAACTAGCTACGATCAGCTGTCGTATCTGGACCTTAGGACATTAAGGCAACCTCAGAATAACTTTCCGACGGTGGAGAGTTGGCAGGTAATTTTCTCTTTCTTTCCGGCCACCCCAGAGAGCTATTGCGCTCAAGCGAAAGTAACCTGTTGACTCTCTTATTCACGCATTGTTGATCAAACCTATACTGTGCATTGGGATCCAGCTTGAGTTTCCCGTTTTCCCGAGTGAAGGTGATATCGGCCACGTCCTGCGTATCGATACCGTGCCATTTAGCTACCACCGCAAGGCCTTCAGGGTCTGTGACTCTTTCATCGACGAGAATTTTAGTAAGCAATAGGTCAGCTTTGGATGTTGACGATGCCTGCTCCTGGGTTTTGGCCTCCCTTTTGATGCGTTTTAGCAATGCAGCGTTGTCAGCTTTTTCTTTGACAGCGAACTCGTCAATCGCCTTGATGAATTCGTTCAATTGTCCAGACAGTTCATGGACACCATTTTTATGATGGAACGTATCCAACTGCTGCGTTATGTTTTCGAACGTAACGAGACAAGAACGAACGATTTCACGATCCACCAGATGGCCCGTGGATCTGCTTGTGCTGGGTTCACGTTGCCGCACATCAGAACCACAAAACTGTGGCCTGTGCAGTCTTAAAATGGGGCTTCGTTTTCGTATTTGTGGCCGCACAACTTCCTTGATCCTTCTCGACCGGCGAGCGATTGTTGGTTGCGCTGGCAGTTCAATGCCCTGACATTTGGCTGCAGTTTTACGTCTGGTTGAGCGTCTTAGTTCCATGAAGCAGAGCGCATCCGTTCCGAAAGCGACACAAACAGGAAGCGGAACCGTTGAAATAGAGGTTTTGGAGAATATCAAACGGAGCAGTAGTTGGTGGATCAGAGAGACTGAAGGTGAAAAAAAAATGTATGCGTATGGATATTAGGCGATGAGCCGTTTGAAATGACACGATATTTTCAAGTCTAACGTCTGGGAGAAGACGAGCCGATTTAGGAGCGAATGCACACTGTATAATGACCATTTGCACAAGCATTTGTGGTTTTAAAAAACTACGAAGGACGAGCACTTTACAGATACGTGATGCTTTGACAGAGTTTCTATAACTGTGTATATGAACGGTAGGATGACAGACACTTTCTAAAGACACACGCGCCACTCAGATGGGACTAAACCCGTCTGCCAAGATGTGGGCGATCTTTTCGGAGCCACGAGTGCTGATCAAGACGTGGATATGTGACACCGCTTTGACGCTTTGTAATGAAGGATAATTGATGAACCATGCGAAATCTGCGATACCGTAGCGGGCGAGATTGGTGTTTAAAAACTGCTGGAGCTTGGCTTCAACGGTTGGCACTTTCTTGCGGGAATCGCCCTCATACAGTGGGATCTGTACTTTGCTCCACAGGACCAGGTGGTGCACGTGATCCGGGAAATCGTACGGAAAGTCGTTTGTGCGAAGTGCGAAAAGCTGTTGATCGCTGAGCATTGCCTGAAGCTGCAGTTCTGGCGTGGGCCATTGGTGTGCGCACTGGGCCAGCGTTTCGCTGGTCCAGTGTAGTTTTTCGTGCACCACCACGTCTGCCACGGTGGTATTCCGATCTGCCAAGGCCTGTTTGTAGCGATGATAGCTAGCGGTGACGGCCGGCGACCGCAACAACAGTTGCAGTTCGCCGGACCGGACCAAATCGGTGATTTCAGGCCACGACAACATCTGCCACGGAAGTGTTTTCAAAAATTGTGGGATCCCGTCCCTTCATAAGTAATAATACGCTATCGATCTATACTGCGAATAAATATAATAAATATATACGTGTGTGTTGACCACACGCCTAAATGAGCCGCTGGAACACGGTCCGTGGGTTGTGTCTGCCCTTGGCCTCGGTTTCAAGCAGACGGTTCGATTGCCACCACGATGCTAGGAACGGTGCTACAAACCCGAGTGTCAAATAGAACATGTAGACCTTTGAAGAAGTGTTGAGCGGACATCGCGTCGTCGTCGTTGACGACGACGACAGAGCACGTGATGCACAACGCAGATTACATAAGCGTTGAATATTCATCATTTTAATGATTTGTGTGTGTGTGTGTGTGTGTGTGTGCGAACAACGGAGTCTCTAGCACTATCTTCCGCACTACCTATATCCCTATCTTTAGCACTACCTGTAGCACTACCTGTAGCACTACTCTTATTAGGTGTGGTCAAAGTTGAATTTGAACTTGAACCTGGAATTGTGCGATCTCACTGTTTGATGACCAGCTGGTTGTGAGTTTTTCTGAGCTATTATTGTATTCTAAAACTCGTATTTCCTGCCGTAGAAGTAGCCGTCTTCTTGTATTTCTCGTATAATCCGTATAATCCGTATATTTATCTCGGTTCCCCCTCCGCCGCCATTTGTCTCGTCTGCTGGCTGTGTCTTATATGTTCGAGACATCCAACGCCAGCGGAGCTCTCGAGGAAATTATGCAGTAAAGCGGTTGGCGATGTGCCATGGCTACTGGGGAATCAGCCCATTCCTTCATTCTTGTGTGCGTGTGAACGATAGCCCAAATCACACCACTCAGAACAGCGCGCAGCAGCAAGGGTGCTAACATCCGTACACCACACACAAAGTCGAGAGTGACCATTAAGGTCGAGAAACTACGCTGTGGGGGACCTTCAGGGCCTACACAGGAGAAGGAGAGAGGAGCAACAGGAAGAGGAGGACAGATAATGGCAAGGAGAGAGGAAAGTTCATGGGTGAGGTCTATAGAGAGTTAGGTTGGTGTCTTCCGAGAGATGAAAAAAGATGGAGTGTCACGTGACTGGTTTGGTGGCACCCACACACCACAAGGTTTGTGTATAGAGTGACAAGGCCTATATGTCTTGAGTAGTCGTTTGGCTCAAGAGAAGAAGCTACAAGAGCGAGCATAAGCAGCTACAGGAGTTCAGATGAGCAACACATGGATTACATGCACATTTTTCACAATCGCGTTTCGCGGCCGAGAGATGCGGGTAAGGACTTAAGATAACGTTGTAGTTTTTGGTATTCTGACTCTTGGTTTCACCACTGGGGGGAGGGGTTCTTTGCAAATGTACGAGAAACAGACCATCACGTGAGATACACGTGAGATACACATACAGGGAGGTCACGATATAATGGCGTGACTGGACCTCCTTGAGGTCATGTGATTTTAACGTGACACAAGGTAATCATCTGACTTTCACGTGGTCTCTTCCCGATTTCGTAAGAAACAACAATCACCACCACCACCACCACACGTAAACTTCGAAAACTCATCTCGAAAACACATCTTGCAAGAGAGATTCAGGGCAACTTCAATTAAATAAAAACTGTAACTCAATAGGACCTCAACGTTCCGCATCCCACCAAGATGAGTACTGCGCTACCGTCTCTGCAAATTCCCGTGGACTACGCCCAAATCCAGACCACGGTAGAAGACTTCTTACTTCATTTCAAAAACACCACCACTACTGCATCGACATCGGACAATGACACCATGGACGTCGGTGAGGGCCCCAAATACATGGCAATCATGCAACAAGTGGCAAATCGGGAGCTTCAAACGGTCGAAATCGAACTGGACGACTTGCTAACTTTCGAAAACGATACTTTAGTCACATCTGCAGATCTGGTGCGAACCGTGACCCGCAATTGCTACCATTTCGTCGAGCTATTTAGTCGCGCAGTCGACAAACTGCTGCCTCCGCCTACTAAGGAAATTGACTACAAAGACGACGTTCTGGACGTGATACTGTACCAACGTAAGCTCCGCAATGACAGATTGATGTCAGATCGTCGCACTGAACTGGCTGCAGAGGCACCTGGTGAGATTCAAGACGAAAATTTGATGCGGGAAATTGCAGAACAGGAGTCTGATTTGTTTCCTGCAAAGCTTACAAGACGCTACAATCTGTACTTCAAACCCCCCACCGCAGCGCATGGTCGCAAATGGCAAGTTCCGCTACCGGTTCGTGAAATTAAAGGTGATTGTTTGGGACAGCTAATTACGGCGCGCGGGATCGTCACAAGGGTATCAGACGTTAAACCCTCCGTGCTAGTCAACGCATACACCTGTGACCAATGTGGCTATGAAGTATTTCAGGAGGTGAACTCACGTACGTTTTCTCCGCTGGTGGACTGCACTTCAGAACAATGCTCTCAGAACCAAACCAAGGGCCAGCTCTTCATGAGCACAAGGGCGTCCAAATTCAGCGCGTTTCAAGAATGCAAAATACAAGAAATGTCCGAACAAGTACCTATAGGCCACATTCCACGAAGCCTGACAATTCATGTCAATGGAGCACTGGTTCGGAGTTTAAGCCCAGGTGATGTTGTGGACGTGACAGGTATTTACATGCCTTCTCCATTCACAGGGTTCAAAGCTCTGAAGGCGGGACTCTTGACAGAAACTTACTTGGAAGCTCAATACGTCTTTCAGCATAAAAAGAAGTTTGCGTCTTTCGAGATAACACCGGAGACTGTATCACGCGTCATGACTATTGCGTCCGAGGGAGACGTTTACAACAGACTAGCGCAGTCTATTGCTCCAGAAATTTACGGTAATCTAGACGTAAAAAAAGCGCTCTTGTTGCTATTAGTTGGTGGTGTGGACAAAAAGGTTGGCGATGGAATGAAGATCAGAGGAGATATCAATGTTTGCCTGATGGGTGACCCCGGTGTTGCCAAATCTCAATTATTGAAATCCATCTGCAAGATTTCTCCTAGAGGCGTTTACACTACTGGTAAGGGTTCCTCGGGTGTGGGTCTGACAGCTGCAGTTATGAAAGATCCAGTAACCGATGAAATGGTGTTGGAAGGTGGTGCCTTAGTTCTGTCCGATAACGGTATCTGCTGTATTGACGAATTCGACAAAATGGATGAAAGTGATAGAACGGCTATTCACGAAGTCATGGAACAGCAAACTATTTCTATTTCTAAGGCAGGTATCAACACAACCCTGAACGCCCGTACATCCATTCTGGCCGCTGCAAATCCTCTTTATGGTAGATACAACCCAAGACTATCACCGTTAGAAAACATCAATCTGCCGGCAGCTCTCCTAACCAGATTTGACATTTTGTTTTTGCTGCTGGATTTGCCAAACCGCGAAGATGATGAAAAACTCGCAGAGCATGTAGCATACGTTCACATGCATAATAAGCAGCCTGATTTGGGGTTTGTTCCATTGGAACAGAATCAAATGCGCGAATTCATTGCGTACGCTAAGACTAAAAGACCCACAATGAGCCGCGACGTCAACGAATACGTGATCCAGTCCTACATCAGAATGAGGCAAGACTCTAAAAAGGCTATGGACTCTAGATTTTCCTTTGGGCAAGCCACTCCAAGAACTCTCTTGGCTATTATCAGGCTATCACAGGCTTTGGCAAAGCTCAGATTCAGTGACACCGTCGACCTCGACGACGTTGAAGAAGCTCTCAGACTCATTCAAGTGTCCAAAGAGTCGCTGTACCAGGACAATCGTAAGAGTGCAGAGGAGGATAATCCAACTACGAAGATCTTCACCATCATCAAGAACTTGGCAAGAGATGGATCTCAGCTACAACAGAGCTTGCCATTTGGTCTGATAGTCAAGGCTGTGAGATCGCGTGGGTTCACTATGCTGCAATTGAACAATTGTATCGAAGAGTACGCCTATCTGGGTATCTGGAATCTGGTCAACGAAGGTGCTACTTTACATTTTTTGAACCAGGGTGTAGAACAATCCAATGATGGTAGCTCACACGAGGCCGCTCCTCTTGCCTCTTTCCCTTTAAGTGATGACGCAGTGATGAGCGATGCCTAAGACTTTGTTGAAAGAGGCTAATCGTCCCACTTCCGAAGCTGGCTTGCGGTTTAATATGGACGTGGATGTCATTCTACAAATACAAGTGCACCTCGGACATTCGTTGTATATATCTCAGCAGCACTCTTCCTACCATTGTAATAATACTTCGCCAAACTTTACACATTGCATTCAAAGAAAAACAGGATTGGATGAAGATAGGTGTCAGTAGGTACTTTTCGGCCTCACTGATCTTCATGGTCGCCATGGACGATCCTCAAACCTTTAATTACCAGAACTATGCCCTGTTCTTGATAGCAGTCAATGCATTCATTATACGTGAGTCGCAGGCGCATCCATGACACGTCCAGTTATATCTTTGAAACCTAGCTACAACTCAATTATCAGGGGCTGTCCTGGCTTGCCAGAAACATTGGTATGTTGAAGCCAAAAATTGTTTGGTTCCACGAGAGCTGATGGACTAACATCGAATCAATAAAATAGCCCAGGCTGGAATGTGAACTGAGGATACGATCCAGTGATGGTAGAGAATTTAGTATCGAGAGTATAGAAGTACGGTTGAAGACTACTGAAACATTGCACAATTCTGGCCATAGTTTCACTCCAAGACCAAAGCTTGAGAAATCTGTTCTACACTATAAAAAGAACATCAAAGTATCTGACAAAAAGCTCATTGGGATTGATATACCACTCACGATTGCTGTTCCAGACGACATCAAGGAAACAAATCATAATCCTCGATTTGGACACAGCTACACTACTTTCGAGTGCCGCGCGAACTATTTTACTGACGCCAGTAATGTTTTATTAGAAACCTTCACAGCGGTGGTTAACGTGGATCGGTACGACCTGATAGCTTCTCCAAATCATTTCCAGACACTCAACCGCATGTATCATTCGCCAGACAAAAAACTGCAGGTCAAATACGACGTAAAAAACCCATGCGTCTCGACTGATGATCTACTACATTTGAAACTTGACATTGTTCCAAATCTATCTTCTAGCACCTTCAAGGCTAGCCCGGGACATTTCACTAGAAAGATGAGATTGAAATCTGTCACGTTCGAGATCAAAGAATACCTCGAGACATTTGACTCTCATCACGATTCGAGAGAGAACATTATTTACACTGTCGTCAGACCTTTCAACGAAGTGGTACCTAAATCCGGAATCCAGTTTGAAGCTGACGTTCGAGTTTTGACAAAGAATTTACAGTTTAGACAATATGAGATGTCTCTCAATGAGCCTGCTGTGCTATTCCGCCTGCCAGAGCACCCACCTGCGCTGAATGAGTCACCCCCAGAGACGGTACTGCTGAAAGACAAAAAGGATTTGGAGCCGTTCAATTACCATAGTTCAATCACCACTAGAGGACGACTGTTTTCAGTAACACACGGCGTCACGATTAAGTTCAAAGTTGGGAACGCCAAAGACTTCGAAATCCACCAACCAATTGACATATCTCCATGGGTCAGAACTCAAATGAAACACATAGAAAATGCTATAGTCAGGGAAACCGGTGTGGCAACAGATGCCAGAGCATTTTACGACTCTTTTGGTGGAATAAAGAGACGCAAAAGCACCGGAGAGCTGGAATACCCACCGCTACCACCAATTGTTTATTCTTTCGATAGCCAGACTTTGAAAAGTGTAGGAATCAACTACGATACAACATTCAAGACCGCCAAGAGAGTGCTGATGATTGAGTAGTAAGAAGTGGAGGGATAGTCGCGGAATTGCATTAGGAAACTCACTTCGAGTAATTGAGGCAGCACTAACGAAGTTCCTAAACTAGTTCAGGGGGTAAAAAGAAGGAGAATACATGTAGCACGTTGACCGTTGCACACTTCTAAACTGTATATCAAATGCTTAATGTCGTCACGTGTATAAATTTCCTGATCTTGGATGATTTCGATGCTCAGCTTCTCAGAGGGAAAGTTCACAGTCCACCTCACTTGAAAGCTTGTCCTGAGCTTTGAAGAGCCCATTGATTATTCGTGGTGCCGAAACATGGGTTCAGACGATTCAGAATTCATAGTGAGTAAATTGCAAGACGAAATACCATTATTCGATCATTTCACCACTGCAGAACAGCGCGAGACTGCTGAAACCCTCGCCGACATATACTCTTTGATAATCGCTCTGGATCATGTTGAAAAGGCCTATCTTAGGGACAGCCTGTCTGGTGAAGACTATACAGTGATTGCCAACAAACTCTTGACGCAGTATAAGGTATATCTCTCAAATGAACAGGTTGCAAAGGAGTTTGGGGATTTACAGGAATTTAAAGACAAATACAGCATCAATGCCTCTAATGCGATTACTCGAATAGAGCGCGGAATACCTGTAACCGTGGAACATGCAATCCAAGGCGGAGATAGCAAGGACTCAACATCCCTTGGCAACTCAAAGTTCGGAGGTAAAGCGGTGGCAGAAGCAACTGGGAACTTTATCACGACGATGGATGCTTTGAAACTAAACTACCGTACTAAAGACCAACTCCATCCTCTCATGTCCGCATTGCTGCTAAGTGTAAATAGAGTCAGCTCCCAGGATTTTGAGCAACGCAAAAACTTGGTCCAGTGGATTGTGAAGATCAACAAAATGAAGGCCGCTGAAAAATTGTCCGAAGACGATGCTCGCGAATTGCTATTCAGTCTCGACGCGGCATACAAGAGTTTTTACACGCTTTTGGAATAGCGAGGTGTTTAAGATTTTTTTCCATGGTCATCTTCATCAAAGTTGAGTTCATGAGAATTGAGGACGTTGGATTTAGCCAGCTTTTGCTTGAACTGCGCCAGAAGCCTCATGGTTTCCCATTCCCTTGTCTCTGAGTCGCTCACGGGGGCTGACACTTTTCCGGTGTCTTGGTCGTCATCATTTGCATTGGGGGGTTCCACATTTTGGCCTATGAACTTGTTTTTATGGTGCTTCTTTGCAGAATCATCCTCAAGTTTTGCCACTGGCTCTTCTACATCTTTCTTCACATCCTGCTGCTGCTGCTTTGCGGAGCGCATTAAACCCTTCGGGGCCAACAAATCATGAGCTGACGTCATTTTGAAGTTGACTGCTTGAGAAACTTCATCATCGACGTCTTCGTCGTGGTCATAATCTAGCCGCACTCTAGCGCGTTTGGGGGGAGGCCTATGTGAAGAAACTGGGTTTTCCCTAGATTTTTTCTTTGTTGGTGAAGATTTCAGGTCCTGCTCGAAAAACTGCTCTTCCACCTCGATCCGCTCCACAACAGCAGGATACAGGTACCGGTCATCGTTTGATTCGGAGTCCAGCTCCTTTTGTGAAATTTCCAGCAACGTGTAAAATGTGTTGTCTACCAATTGGCCCAGCACTGTCACTTGGCCATCCAATTCAGGTGTTTCTCGAAGCGTAATGAAAAAATCGCCTTTTGACTCTATATCGATTGCCAGAAGGCCCCTACGGTTCATTTTGATTCCCGGATCATTCTCCAAAATCCCCCATGGTTCACTATCGATTTCTGATGTTTGCACAGCAGCATCGTACACTTTACGGTGGAAACTGGCACCGTTGTATCTGTCATTGACACAATTTTTCAAAAACTTCAATGCCGTCTGGGGACATTGTTTGGCCCAAATCTCAACCTTAAGCGGACCTAGCGACGTCCAAATAGTGCACCGGGCACTAGTTTGAGGTTCCAGATTACCTGCCATCGCTGTCACGGAGTGTTTAATCCACCGATGCCCTTCACAGGCGGGTAAACGTCTAATAAGATATTCGAAAATTTTTCAAATCATAGTATATGAAAATTAAAGGTTATTGGTAACCAGAATAGATGAAGCTATTGAAGCCTTGAAGGAAAGAAACAGGACAGAACTGTAAGCATGCTGGGATTGGTAAGCCGTGCTGCTCGAACTACGAGTAGGACATCTATCCTAAAGATATGTGGGCCAAAAGTCCCGAGCTTTAGAGCTTTTAGTGGCGCCAAGCTATTGCTTAACGAACAGAAAAATGAAAAGAAGCCAAGTTCCATCCTAACAGAAGATCTCCTGGCCAGAGCTGGCGTAGAGGTAGAAGACGGGAAAACAGAGGGTGGGAAGTCCGAGGAGGCGAAGACTGGGGACTCTGAGGAGTCTCACGGTCGCGATGGCGCCGGAAAACGTAGAAGAAAAAGACAAAGTTCAACAGACGTGAAAAGAGAGCGTTACGCTAATTGGTTCTACATCGGCTCTTTTGCGGCTCTTTCGGGTGCTGCGGGTTACCTAGCCCGTGACTGGGAAGACGACGAAGCAGAAGAATTGAAAAAAGAGGCCGCCAACGGCTACACTCCAGAGTTGATGTACAAAAGGTTGAAATTGCGTTTCAACTCCATCTTCTCGTATTTCCAAGAGCCTCCTTTCCCCGATCTTCTACCTCCACCACCTCCTGCTCCTTACCAGAGACCCTTGACGCTTGTTTTGAGTCTAGAAGACGTGTTGGTTCACTCGGAATGGACCAAAGAACACGGCTGGCGGACGGCCAAAAGACCAGGAGTCGACTACTTTTTGGGATATTTGTCACAATACTACGAAATCGTGCTGTTCGCGTCCAATTACATGATGTATGCAGACAAAGTTGCTGAGAAACTAGACCCTATTCACGCTTTTATCACCTACAATTTGTTCAAGGAGCACTGTCTTTACAAAGATGGTGTGCACATCAAAGATCTTTCCAAATTGAATCGTGACATTGGTAAAGTCGTCATTGTTGATTGTGATCCAAACTCGTACAAACTACAACCGGAAAATGCGGTCCCATTGAAGCCTTGGGATGGTAAAGCTGATGATAGTTTGTTGAAGCTAATTCCGTTTTTGGAATATATGGCCACTCAGCAGATGAACGACGTCAGACCTGTTCTAAACAGCTACGCCGACAAGTACCAGATTCCCGAAGAGTTTGAGCGTCGTGTGGCTGTGCTAAAGGAAAAGTTTTACAAGGAGCAAGCGGCAAAAGCAAACGGCAACTGGGCCTTGAAGGCACTTGGCGCGGGTGCTCTGGGTTCTTCAAAGGCCAAGTTCCCGCTTGATCTGCTCAGAGAGGAGGGTGAGAAGAACTATGTTCGCTTCATGCAGTTGATCGAGGAAGAGAAAGAAAAGATCAGACTACAACAGGAGCAGATGGGTGGTCAGACTTTCACGCTAAAGGATTACGTCGAGGGCAACTTGCCATCGCCCGAAGAGCAGATGCAGATCCAGCTTCAAAAGCAGAAGGAGTTTGAGACGCAATACGAACAAAACAAGACAGCTGCTCAGAACAAATAAGACTTCGGTAGGATTCCGTCCTTCCAGCTCTTCTTTAATACTTGCCACGACTTGAAATGACCCGTTTTTCTAAACAGCTGTACATAACTATAATCTTAACATTGCTCTACTAAACAGGAGCCTTTAATATACAAATATAGTCCTAGATGTGTTGTGCATGTTTCTCCATATGATTCTTGTCTTTATCAGCCGTGTCACAATATGTATTGCCTGTCATTTTTCAATATATACCATAGTTGTAGTTAAACCCCCCTTCACAACATTCACGATTTGGCGATCAAAAACACGATTTAAGATCTGAAAGAAGCCCAAGTGAATTAGTCCATACTTCTGAGAACCCACGAGTCAAATTAGCTGTCTGTTGTGTGTTTAACGGTAGGTTTCAGAGGCTGTTACAATTATACTGGAAGCGGGATTTTGATTTATTGAAATACTACCAATTTAACGTTATCTGAGTGCTGGATTGTTATAACAAAGAAGAGAGGTCAGAATGCCTGGCCATCCTCCGATCAATATTCTGAGCTCAAACTACTCTCGATACGGTACGTCGGTATATCAAACGCTTTATAGTGACAGCGATGAGGTATCTAGCACTCAGTCAGCTCAGGGCTTAGCAAATGTGTCAAACAAAGACAGCAATGGTAAAAATGAAAATGGGATGGATCTTGACAACACCAAGTCAAAAATAAAGCGTAAGTACAAGTCCCTGTTGCAGAATTATGGTGGCAACCCATCTTCCCGAGCTAAAAAATTCATCGGCAAATTTCACGATCACAGTCCCAATGACTCCTTCTCGATATTTTCGCTGAGGAGCTCGTATTCAACTCGAAACTTGCCCACATCGCAGTCGAGAACGGCAATATCTTCGGCTGGTGGACAGCACGAGGTAATATCGGAATATTCTCGCCCCTTTGACGACATTAACAGTCTTCCAGTGGAAATTTTGAGTATGATAGTTGAAAAGTTTACTCAGGGAGCATGTTTTGAAGACCCCAAGACACTGGTGCGATGCCTGTATGTGAATAAGAATTTCTGTGAGGCAACCAGGATAGAGCTTTACAAAAGTCCCACGTTCACGTCAACCTATCGTGTGGCACAATTTGTCACATCTTTAAGAGTTCATCCTAATAACGGCCTGCATGTGAGACATTTGGATCTTTCCACGCTGAAAAATGGTCTTTTGGACGGCCAAAGAAACCATTTTGAGCAGTATCGCAGTTCTGAGGAAGAACGAGTTCCTGCACGCAGAAGGTCATCTGCCAGGGATGTGTTAGAGGAGGCAGACGAGGACCATGACAGTGATACTGAACCCGGCGGCACAGCCGTGGAAAGATCCGACACAGTTTTGGACGAAGACCTTCCTGACATCGCGTTAGCTGGATGGCGGGATTGGAGGTTTAGATTCGATCCGCTTTACGGAAACCAGCTGTTAAGTTGTTACAACGTGCTAAGGAAAGTGTCGTCAAGACCATCATCCATCCATTCAGCTGGAGCTAGTAGCACAACTGGTGCATCCGCCACAAGAAGGTCACACAGATCGAATAGTTCTGTTACGTCCTTCACCACGAGTATAATGTCTCCTTTTTACAATTCACCGTCACTTTCCTCTCTCAGTCTCATTCCAACTTCTGAAAGTAATAATGGCAATGGCTCCGGGAAATGGTTTAACAAGCTCTTTGGCACCAAAAAAAGCCCCAAAGAGCAATATGAAAAGTACGTGGAGACCAATTTCAAGAATCGCAGTCAATCTAGTGCCGATGCGGTTCGGGAGGAAACAAATAAAGGGTCTGTGAAGTTTTCTGTGGAGACAAATTTAAAGGATCAGCCGTTTCATGATCGACATCCAATGACCAACAAGTTTCTTCTTAAATATGCTTTGTCCAAGGACGTCCCATTAGGCTATTTGTTCCACATTGTTAATCATTGTCCGAACATAATCACCATGAATTTAGCCGATCTAAACATATCCACAGACTTCCAATTGCACCCCCGTGACAGCCGGAAAAGGCATCTCGCAACGTCTTTAATTCAGGACCAACAGGTAAGGGCCATTGAGGAGGACACGCCATGGGGCAGGGACCTAGAGCCTCAATATTTCACGGATTCAGCGAAGGGCCACGGTCACTATGCTAGCCCTTACAGCGCAAAGTTCAAGGAACTAGAGGAACTGCACTTTGTGTCGCCGTATGCCATGGCCGGTGAAGCTTGGATTTCTTCGCATTACCCACCGCCCATTGATGAGCGCACCAAGATTAGAGGCCAGAGAAGCCGGAGCCAAAGACAACATGATTACAGTCTTACAAAGCTGGAGGTTCGAACTTTGTTTCAGCTCATGTACGACAAGCTACCATACTTGAGAACATTGCACATGGACAATGTGGTGTGGTGCAATCAGCGCGACGTCAAAGAATTCGTGTTTTCCTTGTTGGAGCGAAATCCACTACTTGAGGTGTTCTTTTCTCATGCAGGAATGGGAAGAAACCTGTCGTGGGCATCTAGCGGTCGCGTATGTCAGTTTGTGGCCACTCTACTTCTAGGCGAAATTCTCGATCGTGACGATCTGTTTCTAGAGGATTTATTCAATGTTTGCACCGAACGCTACAATTTCAACACCGAATACGACAGCATGATGTTGGGATGCTCTAACAAAGTTCAAGTGAAGACTTATAGTCACAAAACCGTGGCCTGCAGACTTCAAGTACGGCGTGGTTCGCATTCAAGACTCGAGACCAGAATAGAGTTGGACAGCACCGTGATTTGTGACATCTCATTGGGCCCTGGACGCGCTCAAAACAGCGATGAAGGCCTTTCTCGACTAGAGCAATTAGCGCACCAGCTCGTTGGGCGGCTAGAAAATCTGCGTACGGCAGAGCTTCGCAGACATATTGGTGAAAACCAGTACACGATGCACTAGTAGCATGGCGTGGGAAAACGAAAAAGAAAGCTTTTTCGATGACCGAATGGCAACCACGTTAAATCTTGGTGGATGACCAATCATTCATTGGTCTGAATGAACATTACTGAACATTCAACAGGTTTGTGCTAGACCTTCTCATTTCGAGCTCGTGATGAATCTTTTTTTTGGCCATACGTCATGGGGGGTTTCTCCGGCTTAGACTTGCTGAGCCGCAATTACAATCGTGTACCAGGAAGTGGGGCCGTAGAGCATACCGAACGCAGCATAGTTTTCGGATAAAACAGATCCAGGATGCCATTGTTTGAACTCGCAAACACTCTCACGTGTGCAAGAAATACTGGCTCTTCTCTTACGAGTTCTACTTCCGAGAGGGTGAAAAAAAGTGCTGGTCCTGCTGAAAAAAAAAAACGCCGGTACCGGCGTTTCTAAATTTCAAAATTTTTCAGCCATACTACTGAGCCTGCTCTGCCTATGAAGCTTAACCTAGGAGTTAAGCGAGCGTCATACGGAAACTAAGCTACAAGAAATCACTGGACGGTAAATGTGGATCCGGCGGGTTGCAGGTGCGGGGCACATGGCTTTTCTGAAGTGGAGGATTCCCAGCGATTGCAGTTACGCACGCAAATAAGCGGTGGAAGAGTGCTTGCAGCTGTTGTGTGCTCGAGAGCGTTTGTTGAGACGGAAGAGGATGCAGAAGCGGGTGAAAAAAGGAGGAAAAGAAAGGAAAAGAAAAAACAAAAGCCGACGTGTGTGAGTAATCCAGCGAGTTGGCGCGTCGTCACAGGGTTTTGCATTTTATTAAAGAAGTGAAATTTGACGACTCTTGAATTAGTAGAAACATACATTGATTTTTGATACCACAGCGCTGTACAACCAAGAGCATCGTATCCGCTATCATTACAATGAACGGTGGATTGTGTCTGCGGGACGTGGCTAGAAACGCCCGTCACTTAACTACTGGCTTCAGATGTCTTTCGACAAGAGTGAAGGCAGATTTCGTCAAATTGACCACACCTAACGGTTTTACATATGAACAGCCTACAGGACTGTTCATCAACAATGAGTTTATCAAATCCCAAGGCGGAGAGACAATTTCGGTGGAGGACCCTGCAACCGGTAAAAAGCTCGTTGACGTGCAATCGGGAACCAAGGATGACACTAACTATGCAGTGGACTGCGCAGACAAGGCTTTCAAGACTTCCTGGTCTACACAAGATCCCAAAGAAAGAGCGCGTGTCATGTTCAAGCTAGCAGACCTCATGGAGCAAAAGAAAGATCTCATCGCTTCTATTGAGTCCATGGACAACGGAAAAGCCCTCAGACTGGCAAAGGGCGACGTACAGATCTCGATCGACTTCATTCGCTCGTCTGCCGGCCTGGCAGATAAGTTGGATGGTAGAAGCATTAACACAGGCGACGGCTACGTCAACTACACAATCAGAGAGCCAGTCGGTGTGTGCGGCCAGATCATACCCTGGAACTTCCCATTGATGATGCTGACCTGGAAAATCGCACCTGCTTTGGCTGCTGGTAACACCCTCGTCTTGAAACCCGCCTCGCCAACACCTTTGAATGCCCTTTACTTTGCTTCTCTTTGCCAAGAAGCTGGTGTTCCTGCCGGTGTTGTGAACATCATTCCAGGACCCGGCAGAGGTGTCGGTGAAACTTTGACCACCCATCCTAAGATCAGAAAGATTGCCTTCACAGGTTCCACGGGTACCGGTAAAGGTATTGCCATTAAAGCCGCAGAGTCCAACTTGAAGAAGGTCACTTTGGAATTGGGAGGAAAATCTGCTCATTTGGTTTTCGACGACGCTAACATTGAAAAGACTTTGCCTAACTTGGTTAACGGTATTTTTTTGAATGCCGGCCAGATTTGCTCATCGGGATCCAGAATCTACGTCCAAGAGGGTATCTACGACAAACTACTTCCAGCTCTTCAGAAATACGTCGAAGAAAAAGTCACTGTGGGCTCTCCATTCGATGAAACGAAATTTCAGGGTGCCATCAACAACAAGATGCAATTTGACACCATCATGAAATACATCGCTATTGGCAAAGACGAAGGGGCTAAGATTCTAACCGGTGGCGAAAGCATTGGCAAAGACGGTTACTTTGTCAAGCCAACCATCTTCTACGATGTCCGTGAAGACATGAGAATTGTCAAGGAGGAAATTTTTGGTCCAGTGGTGACTATCTCTAAATTCAAGACAATTGAAGATGGTGTGGCCATGGCCAACGACTCCGAATTCGGTCTAGGATCCGGTGTCCAGACTGAAAGTGTTTCAACTGCTTTGAAGGTCTCTAAGATGTTGAAGGCCGGTACTGTGTGGGTCAACACCTATAACGACTTCCACTCCGCTGTCCCATTCGGCGGTGTGAAGCAATCTGGCTATGGTAGAGAAATGGGTATCGAAGCCTTCGAAGCATACACATCTGTCAAAGCCGTCAGAATAAAGTTTGAGTGAATGTTTCTCTAGTTCTCCACTGCATGTACAAAAACGTCTAACCATTTGTAACCTTATTAAATACTCAAGTGTAAAGTAGTTCTCGCTTTTGACTTGATTAACCGTGTCGATCAACGACATCTAGAAAGAGCTCTGAGATCTCATCTGGTCTGTCGAAACAGATATTGTGCGAACATTCTTCAACAAGTATTATGTCCTTTCGTCTGACAGGTTCTAGTGCTTCATAGAATGAAGTTGCAGTAGAAAGCGGGGTAATCGGGTCCAGCTTGCCTGTTATTACGACAGCACTTGGAAGACGTGTTATGGCCTCACTTGACCAGTTTATTGGGGTCCAGCCCCTCAAATATTGAACAATAGATCTGCTTTTGATCTGCACATTGTAAAAGAATTGCCAAAGTTTACGGTAGGTATCAGCTTGGTAATGGAACTGTTTGATACCAGAACTATCGAGGCCCTTGGATTGATCGAAGTAAATTCGATACCAGTCAAAAAGAACTGGCATCTTGGAAAGCACGGTAAGGCTCACTTTAGTGAAAAATGCTTTCAACTGAGGCAGATCTGGAGCAGCAGGCGAAAGGAGAAGTATCTCTCTTATGTCGTATTTGGAGGAAAACTCAGATACGAAGTGCATCACAACATGACATCCCAGAGAGTGACCGACCAAGACTACCTTCCTGCGTTCAGTAAGCGATTGTAGCAATTCTTCCACTACTTCAACAACACGAATCATGTTATAATCGTACAATTCACTACTGTACCCGAAACCTGGCAAGTCCAGCACCACGAATCCTTCATTCAGCTCTGCTAAAATCCTTAGAAGAGGTTCAAATTGGGTCATGTTTCCGCCCAAACCGTGAATAAAAACATAAATAGGTCCATTTCCATGCTGTTCTGAAAGGTTCTGACCTACCCGAAGCCTTATTCCTTCGAGGTTCACATAATTCTCATACTTAACCCAAAATTCGTTATTGAAGTCTCGAGCATCCTTCAAGATTTGGCGATTTAAATCACTTGCATAGGCGTATTTTCGAGCTATTTCGTCCGTTGAAAGCCCTGAAATAGGTTTCAAAACCTTGCAAGCATCAGTAACGAGTTGCTTTCGCTCCATTTGGCCCCTGACGTGCCCCCTTTTACTGAAGTTTGACTTCTCTTGAATCCTGTCGAAGATATATTAACTTTGACATAGCGATGCTCTCTCTTTCTACAACTTAATGTTAAAGACCGAGGCAAGTTTATAGAGAAAACCTTATGTTAGAACCGCTGGTCTTCATCAGTAGACTGGCATTTCGACTGCCGTACGCTTGGGGCAAAGGCTGGATCAGTGGGAAGTACAATGAATTTGGTATCTGGAAGACATTGGCGATTGTATTTATGATGGAATGTGCAAATAATTTAGACCCGTGGACATTAAAATGGTTCATAAACCCTCTGCTTGGCGTAGCTAATCAGATTGGATTTTGGTGGCTAGGCGCAGGACAAATACAAGGTCTACTGCGATGGATTTTTCAAGAACCAAATGCACCGGTGTTGATGTACATTCATGGAGGAGGCATGTGTCTAGACATGACACCTTGTAGTTTGGTGTATTTACAGCATTTGAAGAAGGAAGTTGGTGCTTTATCGGTTGCATTTGTGAAATACTCGTTGTGTGCACGGTATCCTACGGCTATTGAAGAGGTGTGGGGCGAATACCAGAAGTTAGTTTCGCAGGGCCATCGCGTGTGGCTACTTGGCGATTCAGCCGGCGGAAACTTGTGTCTAAACGTGTTACAAAAGTGTGTGGCGGAAAACAACGTTCTGCCGGAAAAATGCGTGGCGGTAAGTCCCTGGCTGAACGTAACGAAGACCGAATCGTATGTGTCACGAACCAACAGCGTCGATTTTTTGACGTGGAACCAACTGGCCATGTTTAAAAACGTATACGCACCAAATGGCAACTACAAAGATCCACAATTAAACCTCGAAACGAATTTCGATGTCGAAGCTTGGACCAAAGTTCTTGCGTCGACCAAAATGCTTATACTGTGTGGTGAAGACGAAATCTTATATCCTGAAATTATAAGATTCGCACAGAAGCTGCGCAACATTAATTGCGGCCAAGTCAAGCTTGTTTCGCAACCACGAGGAGTCCATTGTGACACCATGATGTTCGATGTGCAGGCACCTGACGGCAACGCACAGTGTTTGGAAGAGACCAAAAGGTTTCTACGGTCTGGACTTTGAAGCGGCAGCTCGAACTGGAAATCTGAACTGGGCTAAAACACTCTGAACACTCGAACAGCATTATTTCAAACATGTACATTTATAGAAAAACGAGGCTCGGTACCCGCTTCGTTGACAGCACTGACACCTTTTCGCCAAGATAACTCACCAGTGTCAGTGAGATAAAAAGCAACCAAAAAACGTAATGCATCAACCTATTAGTGAATTGAGAAGTCGCTTTTCGAGTCACTGTCTAGCTACGCTGCGTGCGTGTGTCGTCTTAGCTTCTGAAAGGAATTTTTTGAACTATGCGAGTAGCTAAGAGATTATTCAATATGAGAACTTCATAAGCTTATTATTTTTGACAAGAAGCTTCGAGATTGAATGATTCGTTTACTCAATAACTAGATTTTCAAGCTATAAGCAGTTGTCAGGGTTCGGCGAGGCCCCAGGCTCTCACTGTACTTATGTCAAACGTCTCTCTGACAATAAATGATCGAAAAATTTCCTTCCAGCAAACTGAAGGGGAAACAGAATCGGTAGGAGACCAATCCAAATTCAAGTGGTATTCACTGGACATTCATTCTAAACTAGCCGTTCGTCTTTCTTTTCGAGTGACAGTGTTGTCGCCGTCGTCGTCGATATTGTCGTATAGTGTGACTGAGTATACCACCGGTTCTTCGACTACAACATATATGGACAGTCAGAATTCTACCCGGAGGACAACTTTTGATCAACAACAAGTTGTGGCAGCTTCGTTGATCTATTCTTTACTTGTTGATAGCGATTGAGTTTCGAGGTACAGGTAGAAATTAAATTTCAAAAGCTTGTAAACAATGGCTCCTGCGACTCGAAAGAAGCTGATGCCAAAATCTGCGATTTTGGTCAAAAAATATCAACGACCAATTCGAATTGGGTTCATCAGTTTTGTGACAGTGCTATGCATCATTTTCCTTCTTCACACACCACCACAACGCGTTCACAAATTGAGCAAGAATTTCAAACAGCTTTCAAATAAGCTGCCACTCGTTGACCCACAGACTTTGGCTAAACCGCATGCCGATAAAGTCCAGAAGGTTAAATATCCTGAGAACGATGGTACGCGTGAAAAAGCTGCGTTCGTTATTTTGGCGAGAAACTCAGATCTGTGGCCGTTAGTGTCATCCATAAGAAACGTCGAGGACCGGTTTAATAGAAGATTTCAGTACGATTTCGTGTTCTTAAATGACGTGCCGTTCGATGAAGAGTTCATACGCGTTACTTCATCACTTATCTCAGGTACGACAAAATATGGGCTTGTTCCCAAAGAGCATTGGTCTGTGCCAGAATGGATTGAAGAGGATAAGGCTACGAAAGCTCGCGAAAAAATGACAGCGGAAGGTGTTATTTATGGCGACTCTGTTCCATACCGGCATATGTGCAGATTTGAATCTGGATTTTTCTTCCAGCACGAACTGCTGAAAGATTACGAGTATTACTGGCGTGTGGATCCTGATATCCGCATCTTTTGCGATATCCACTATGATGTGTTCAAGTTCATGAAACTCAACAACAAGAAGTACGGGTTTATTTTGTCCTTGACAGAGTACGAAGAAACGATACCCACGCTTTGGGACACGACGAAACGATTCATTAAAGAATACCCCAAGCATGTCAGCAAATCGAATCTCATGGACTTTGTCTCGGACGATAATGGAGACACTTACAATAGATGTCATTTTTGGTCCAATTTTGAAATTGGATCGCTCGACTTCTGGCGGTCTGAGGCTTATCAGGATTATTTCAACTATCTTGATAAATCAGGCGGATTTTTCTACGAGCGCTGGGGTGATGCTCCCGTCCATTCCATAGCCGCTGCACTTTTCCTCGATAAGACGGAATTGCACTTTTTCGATGGCTTTGGCTACTATCACCCAGACTTCTACTCTTGTCCCGTAGAAGAAAGTATTAGAATCCAAAACCAATGTTCCTGCAACCCGGCTGATGATAATACCTGGTACGACTATTACTTTTGCACCAGGAAATATTTCGATGCTCAGAAGCTGTCACTTCCACCAGGAGTGAAGAACATTTAGACAAAAGAGGGCTAAAGCATTGCATAAGAAAAACCAAAACCATAGAACATCATTTCTCAATTAAATACCTTGTATATCTCGTTCAGAGTTGAGTTTGAACTCACTACCTTTTCCCTTTCGTGTTTTATAGTTGGTTTGTTCAATATTCTTTAAATGTCATCGAAATTTAAGCTCTAGTCGCATCGGTTTGAACACACCATTTAAAAGCCCATTTAGCTACGTTTATGAGGCTTGGAAATGCGCTTTTGCATGTTTCAGGTTGTCTAAGGCGCCTGCCGCGAGCTTCCTCCCCGTTTAGAAGAAGCCTTGTACGTTTTCAATCGTCGTCGTCGTCTTCTTCATCTAGCACTGCAGTGTTACTACAAAAAAACCTAGCTCAGAGAAATAACTCACTTTTCAACTATGGGAATGATACTTTGCGTTGCACGATCTTGGACTCTCAAGGAAACGTCGGTATCCCATCATTAGAGGTTAAACGCGAAGATCTGATATCCATGCATGGTCTTCTGCCTCGCGACCTGCGAAAGATTGAAAAATCTCGGAAAAAGGATCTGGTTCCTATCCTCCTCGTGCGTGAAAACAGTATCTTCATCAGTTTGCTGACGATTCGAGCACTGGTGAAGAGCGACCAAGTTATACTTTTTGATTCTGTGGGACTTTCCCTGGAATCAAGTGCTCATCGGACTTTTCTCAACGATCTGACTATGCGACTACGAAATCAGGACGTCAACGGCATATACAAAGACCCGCTACCTTACGAATTTCGTGCTCTTGAATCCATCTTCGTCTCGGCGCTCTCCAACATGTCTGCAGAGATGAAGGTACATTTGACTTTAACGCGAGGTATCTTGCAAGATCTCGAATACAGCATCACACGGGACAAATTGCGATTTCTGCTGATCCAAAACAAGCGACTAAGTCAGTTTCATAAGAAAGCATCGCTTATGGGCGAAATGATAGACGATTTACTCGATCAAGACGACGTATTGTCCGATATGTACTTGTCCAGCAAGCAGGTCGGAAAATACCGCGATGAAAAGGACCATACAGAGATCGAAATGCTTTTGGAGACATACTACGCTCACGTAGACGAAGTCGTACAGACCGTGGGAAACACCATTTCTGACGTGCGGACCACAGAAGAGATCATTAACATTATTCTGGACGCCAACCGTAATCAGCTCATGCTTCTCGGTCTACGGTTCAGCATAGGACTGCTATCGATGGGCTGCGCGCTCTACGTTGCATCCCTGTACGGAATGAATGTGGAGAACTACATTGAGGAAACCGATTACGGTTTTTTTGTCGTTACGGCGGTTGGAGTTATATCGATGGGCTTGATTTTTGGTTACAGTGTAAGACAACTGCATAAGCTTCAGAAAATGACCCTCACTGGCAGCAGCAAGCACCACGTATAAAAGATCTACTGATTGTTGCATATGCATAAATCAAAGCGTTGCTCATACTCGTTTTTCTTGACTCAAACAAATGAACGAAAGCAGTCATCCCACAATGCTGAGTTTGAACAAGGTCGAAGCTAAGAGTTGTACGTCGCCTCTGTTAAAACAAGGCTCGTCCGAAAAGCGACTTCTATCTCACTATCTAGTCGTCGACCAGAGGACCAACTCGGGTATTGGGTCGGAATTCCGCGTATTAAGCGATTGCACCCATTATACCACTAACGCTTAAATTATAGAAAGTGTCAGTCCAAGACTGTCAAAACTGCACATCTGAGTACCACAAGCGTTGGTGCTAAACTGCTTCAAATCTTGATCTAAACGTACCAGGAGGTTGAGAACGACGATTACGAGTTGCATAGAAGATGGTAGCAATTGAGAAGTTGTTCTCGTTCCAGATCTTCTTCATATTTCTGCGAGAATCGCTGGAGATCATCGTGATTGTATCCATTTTGCTGACGGTGGTCAAACAAGCCTTACTATCTAATGAGGACTCTATCGGCAGTGCTCATTCTGGCGGCAGTGCAGACGGAGTCGACGAAAACACGAGATTAACTATAGAAGAGGAGGAAATGCTGGATGCTTGCAATTCTGACAATACGAGCCCTAGCATGGAAATCAACAATCAGCAATTATACCAGAGACTGAAGATCCAGATTTTGTCAGGCGGGGGTTTGGGTCTTCTCTGCTGCTTTTTGGTTGGTGGAGCTTTCATTGTAGCGTTTTATATCATTGGAACAGATCTGTGGTCTGTGAGCGAACACTACTACGAGGGAGTTTTGAGCACTGTCGCATCAGTAATCATTTCGGTGATGGGCCTGTTTTTTCTACGAATGGGCAAATTAAGAGAAAAGTTTAGAGTCAAACTTGCCACAATCATCTATTCTGATCGCGCTAAAATCTTGCAAGACAATGGTCAAAAAGCGGTCAAATTCACCGAAAAATATGCCTTGTTCATTTTGCCATTTGTTACTGCGCTCAGAGAGGGGTTGGAAGCTGTTGTTTTCGTTGGAGGAGTCGGCATTGACCAGCCATTATCGTCCATCCCATTATCTATGGTATCGGCAGTGTTTTTTAGCTCCATTTTCGGTTACTTTTTTTTCAGGTCCTCTAAATCGTTTTCGTTGCAAATCAGCTTGGTTGTCACAACGTGTTTCCTCTATTTAATCGCTGCGGGACTATTCTCCAAGGGAGTTTGGCAATTCGAAGTTCAACGGTACGTCAATCTGTGTAACGGACAGGACATGAGCGAAGTCGGCAGTGGGCCGGGCTCCTACGATATTAGCCGCTCCATCTGGCATGTCAACTGCTGTAACGGGGAGACTGATGGTTTGTGGATGCTTCTCACGGCGATTTTTGGCTGGACCAACAGCGCAACTTTCAGTTCGGTGATAGCCTACAACGTATACTGGCTTGTCATCATCGGTGCGATCAAGACACTACTCATCGAGGAAAAGATGGGTTATATTCCATTCATGCCTCTGAAGGTACAACGACGTCGTATCGAAAAAAGGCTGGAGGCATCGAAAAAAGCAATGGAACTTCAGCATCTTTCACAAGCCACCTCCCCATCACCCTTCACTTCACTCTCTCCCCAGGGAAGGACATCAAAAGACAGCCAAACGAGCTCCACACCACTTATCCAGGACCCCATCAGTAACGTTATAGGCAAAGTGTCTTCTTCTTAGAGCTGAAATCACATAAGTTCATACGTACAAAAACGAGCTGGAACATCATTTAAACTACGTATATTCTATAATATGCTCCTAGTTTCTTATTATTGAATGACAACGACAACGTCACCAGCGTCAACCATATCACCATTCTTGTGTTTGATCTTTAAGACCTTGCCGTCCTTTGGCGCTGAAACAACCATTTCCGTTTTCATAGCCTCAACGACAATCAGGGCGTCGCCTGCCTTAATTGAATCTCCAACAGAGACCAGAGATTTCCAGAACCTACCCGAATACTCGGAGTAAACCATCTCAGCATCTTCTGGATATTCTTCTTCCTCGGTAGACGCGGCAGACGCAGAGCTCTCCAATTCGTCATTAGATTTCTGCATTAATTTCGAGAACTCCTCCGCCTTTTCTCCACCTATGGATTTTTGGAATGTCTCAATCGATTCGCTGTTCTCTGAGATCCATTGCAGATAACGCTTGTGGTCAAAGATGCTGTCTTCAATCTGTACAGGAAATTGACCGTTTTCACATTCTTCGGTGAACTTGTTTAGCTCCTCTTCACTGACAGGGTAAAACTCAACTTGGTCGAATGGGGTGAGCAGCCATGGATGTTCAGAGGAGTGGGCTCCAAGCTTCAACTTATCCCAGATTGGTATCGTTCTACCCACCAGCTGGTAACCGCCAGGAGAGTCCATTGCGTAAATGCACATGTACATCCCGCCAATACCGACAGTTCCGTTTTTAGTGTATGTTCGAGAAGGATTATACTTGGAACCTAGCAGTCTGTGGCGAGGATCAAGTGGAACGGCACATGGCGCACCGAGGAATACATCACCTAGACCCAAGACTAGGAATCGGGCACTGTATAACATATCTTCAACATTTTTGTGAGTGATACCATTAATGTCTGCAATAAAATCCACGTTATTAGGCAACCATGGAGCTTTGGCACGAATAGTTTCTTGATAACGCTTGACACAGGCTAAGGTTTCAGAGTCCTCAAATGCAAGTGGCAACTTGAAGATCTTCGACTTGATAGACCAATGATTATCAAATTTGATCTCCTTTTCGTAAGCAAGCAAAGCTTCCAATAGTTTCTTTTGAGTCACCTCATACCCATTAAATTCTATCAAAACTGAACGCACACCCTGAGACATCTCAACAATACCAACTGTCTTGTTTTTCTCAACTAAGTTGATCAATCTGTTGACACGGTAGGAGAGGTTCAAGTCCATTTGATTTTCGCCGTATTCAACCAAAATATAACGGTCACCAGCCTGGCGGTAAGTTACCTTGGGCGAAAAGTCTGATTCTTTCTCTACTTGAGCCAAAATAGGATTTTCATAGGTAGGCAACATGAGGTCAGAAACTAATGTTTTGACGATACCATTCTCGAAAGTATCAATTCCATTGTCTTGGGACTCCTTCAATAACCTAGCTGAGTCATAAGAAATTGGAACAAACTGAATAGAGTCACCAGGCTTAACTTGGCCCACTTTCCACAGTTCGCCCTCAGGAACAACTGCTTGGCAAACAAACCCACCTAAAGATGGACCATCAGATGTAATAATAACGGGTTCATCTCCTGTGAAGTTAATAGCACCCATGGAGTAAACGTAGTCATGTGCGTTAGATGGGTGAAGACCTCCTTCACCACCGTCTGTCCTTGCCCACTTTGGCTTAGGGCCAATGAGCCTGACACCAAATCTGTTAGAGTTGTAATGGACCTTCCATTTCTCGCTGAAAAAGTCTTCAATGGACTCAGGCTTGAAAAAGTCAGGAGAGCCGTGTGGGCCACAGGTGACACCAATCTGCCATTTTTTGCCTTCAGATATGGCTGGAATCATGTCTACGGGAGCCTCGCTAGGTTCATACTCTGGAGCAGGCATTGAGGAAGAGGGAAGATCAGGTTGGTTCAAAAACAGAACATCTCCCAGCTTCAAAACTCGCCCGTTGTAACCGCCCATGTTCCCTAAAGCGAAAGTAGATCTAGATCCCAAGTACTCTGGGACATCTATACCCCCCCTGATAGCCAAGTACATGCGGCAACCTTTGGTCAACTTACCAACAGCGAGCTGATCACCTCTTTTAACATAAATTGGTTTATTCTGCTCAATAGATTTGTCATTCACAGTGCAAGGAGCTGTACCACCGGTGAGAGCAATAACCACATCAGTATGGAAGACTATCTTTGGTCCGTTTAAAGTAATTTCAATACCTGGGGTCTTGTAGTGGTTTCCGACAATTCTATTGGCGAGTCTAAATGAGTAGGAGTCCATAGGCCCTGATGGTGGCACACCAATTCTCCAGTGACCAACTCTACCTGGGTAGTCCTGCACAGTGGTGTAAGCACCTGGTGCAGTTATTTCGAATGCAGAAGGTTTGTAGTCATAAGAATCTAAAACCTTAGTTGCAACCTTGGCAGTTTTAAACATCTCGGAGGAAGCAATAGATCTCAAATAATCAATATTGGTGATACATCCGTAAATGGCGGTTTCATTGAGCGCTTGGTTCAATTTCCGGATTGCATCATCGCGATCCTTACCATGAACTATGATTTTAGCCAGAGTAGGATCGTATTCTGCTGAGACAGTTGTGCCCTTAGATACCCATGTGTCAACTCTAGCCCATTCTGGGAATTGAACGTCGGTCAATTGCCCTGGAGAAGGTCTAAAGTCCTTGACAGGATTTTCGGCATACAGACGAGCTTCAATCGAAGCGCCCTGCACAGTGATATTTGCACTCTCGAAATCGGGAGGAGTACCGGCAGCGATCAATAACATCCACTCAACCAAATCTAGACCGGTCACCATTTCGGTAATTGGATGCTCAACTTGCAATCTCGCGTTGACCTCTAGAAAGTAGAATTCGTCCCTTCTCTCATCGTAGATGAACTCAACGGTACCCGCGCATTTATACTTCAGGAGAGAAGCTAATTTTTCTGATGCTGTACGCATTCTTTGCCTTGTCTTTTCACTTAGGTTTGGTGCAGGAGTTTCTTCAATGACTTTCTGGTTCCGACGCTGCAGTGAACAGTCACGTTCGCCAATAGCAATAGCTTTACCCTTGCCATCACCCATCATTTGAATTTCTACGTGTCTAGCATTTTCAACAAATCTTTCCAAAAATACACCGGAGTCGCCGAAGTAGGCCTGCCCCTGGTGCTGTACCGTTTCGAAAACCCTTTCGATGTCCTCCTCGGAGTCGACCTTCTGTAGGCCAATACCACCACCACCGGCTGTCGATTTGACCATAACAGGATATTCTAGCTTTGCGGCAATTTCCTTGGCTTCCTGTGGGCTGCTTACCAGTCCTGACCCGGGAACCAAGGGAACACCCGCCTCTCTTGCAATCTCCCTGGCGGAATGCTTTAGACCTAGTTTCCTAATGGCATCACCTGCAGGTCCAACAAAGTTAATGCCTTCAACAGCACATCTATCCGAGAAATCAGCGTTCTCAGATAAAAAGCCATATCCTGGTATAATGGCCTGTGCACCTGTTTGATGAGCTGCACTTATGATCTTCTCAATGTCTAGGTATGTTTCGGCAGCGGTACGGCCTTTCAAGTTGATGGCAACGTCGGCATCAGTAACATGTTGGGAGAACTTGTCTGGGTCGGAGTAAACAGCGACAGCCTTGATCTTTAGCTTTTTCAAAGTCTTGATGATACGCACAGCAATTTCACCTCTGTTAGCAACCAAGACAGTCTCGAAAGGTTTCATTACTTTGGCAGCCTCCGAGGCCTGTTCCTCGACGTAAGCTCTAAACCCGCCATACTTAGTGATGTCCACGGTTCCCTTCTGCTGGTATCCAAATTCTTCACAAATAAAGGACTTGACCCATTCTCCTGATTCCAGCTCAACGGAGCCGATTCCTAATGGCTCTGGAACCATGGCGATAAACGTACCAAATTGATCTTTAGGAACACTGTAGACCTCAAGCTGAATCTGAGCGCCTGTACGATCGTCAGAAACTCTCCTGAGGCCAGGTTTCAGTACAGGACCAGTTTTTGGCAGGGCATAAAGCCTATAGTTAGGAGAAGTCTTGGGGCTTCCTATGTAAGTAGCATTGACCTTTTCAAGTTGCCAATGTAGCGGTAACCCCTTTAAATGAGCACCCACAACAGCGAGCTTAATAGAGTCTTTTGTACTGTATGGAACAGCCTGCAGCTCATCCTGTGTGGTGACCGTGCGATCAGTGAATTGGCCGTAGGTTCTTGAATCGTTAGGAAAGGCTTTCTTGAAAAAGCGGTTTGCTAGATCTAGTAAAGCGTAATCTGTGAAAGTCTTACCGATCAATGTGATACCGTTGGGCAGACCATCACTACGGAAACCGGCTGGGATTGCTAGAGCGGCTAGGTCTGCTAGGTTCACAAAATTGGTCCAGGTACCTTGCCAAGAGTTCACTTTAATGGGTTCTGCAGCAACTTCCTCAAAGGTCGGGTTGAGAGGACAAGTTGGAACGCATAAAACATCGATATCAGCAAGTAATTTGGCAACTTTTTGCAAGATTCCTTGACGCTTGTATTCGTATCTGAAGGCATCGGCCGCATCGAAGTTTGTTCCTGTCTTGATAATCGAGGTGACAGTGGGGTCGAGAGAAGCAGGATCTGGGTTAGTTTTGAAGAAGTCACGGGTTGCCTCGTAACGTTCAGCAACCCAAGCGCCCTCGTACAAGCAGCGAGCTAAATCTAGGAGTGGCTCGAAATCAATCTCCACGATTTGAGCACCTGTAGCTTTAAGATTAGCAACTGCTTGTTGGTATAAACGTGGGTTTTCCCCTCCTTCTTCTGTGTACCAAGGTACCGATTGTGGTATGGCCACATTGAGGTCCTTGCGGTACAGTTTGAGTGGGTTAGATGGCATGGCACGCGAGTATTCGTCGTTTTCACCGTCAGGCTGGGCCATAACTTGAAATGCAGTTTGAGCGTCGCGCAAGTTAAGGGCAAAAACTGAAACGCAGTCTAGCGATTTACACGCGGGCACGACACCTGAGCACGAAAAAACACCCTTGGATGGTTTTAGCCCGACAAGGTTGTTGAGCGCAGCGGGCACGCGCCCGGATCCAGCTGTGTCGGTCCCTAGCGCCAGAGGCACGATCCCGCGCGCCACGACCGACGAAGAGCCTGCTGAGGAGCCTCCCGAAACGTGTTTGTCGCTGAAAACGCATGGCGTTTTCCCATACGGCGACCGAGTGCCCACCAGCCCCGTGGCAAATTGGTCCAGGTTGGTCTTACCCAGAATGATGGCTCCGGCGTCTCTCAACAACGAAACGACCGTGGAGTCCTTGGCGGGTTCGTACGAAAAGCTCGGACACGCCGCCGTCGTAAACGATCCGGCAACGTCGATGTTATCTTTGACGGCCACGGGTACACCGTACAGCGGCAAAAGCTGTTTGTCGCGTTTGCTCTGTAAAACGCGCCATTGGTGTGTGAGTTGCTCAGGAGAGACCACTGAGATCCAAGCTGGGTCTTGTGGTGCCACTTTCTGTGATTCCAGCAGCGCCAGAAGCTGATCCAAACCCGTTTGTGGCGTGGCACGAGCATGGAAAGCACGCCACTCTTCGACGCTCCATCCTTGAGTGTTTTCTCTGGACATTATGGAGGTCAGTATATCAGTTTTGTATAACAATTGGCTTATTTAGATCAATAGCAAAGGGTATCTTGGTATTGTGTTTGTATCACTAGAACTTGACGTCTATAGGAGTGGGAATTATGACTAGAACTGCTTGGGTTCAGAGCAGCAGCCGCCCTCTATATATATATATATATACGCCGATCTGATCAGTCCCGGATATGGCCCTTAGGTGATAACACTCTGATTGGGGTAGAGCGCAAATTTGCGGAGAGAGCCGAAACGGACAACGATGACATAAGCGCAAATTTCGAGACGGCTTGAAATATTATCTCCGTGTTAGGTGATGTCGATAACGAGAAAGAGAGTGTTCAGGACAATGGCTGTCGGAGTTGCCCGGTGCAATGGTGATTGTGAGTGGAACGGGGCAGGATTATGCCGTGAGGTGTAGGCAGAGGCGTTTAAGAGATATTGAACCGTTACTTGTACGAAGCTGGCTATCGTTGAGGTGGTGTACCAGTGAAAAGTCTGGATATCGTATAAGGTGATGTTATAAAAATCACTTTGTACCGATATGACGCGACCGCTTTCAGATAAAATTTTGAGAGTAATCCAGGCTAGATCGGGAATTATAGTATGAATAAAGTTTGGAAAAGGGCTGTGTGTTTTTCCAAAGTGTTCACTTGCCATGCACAACTGAAAACGACGAGAACTTCAAGCCTCTTGGCAAGATTCTTGGCAGAGCAGGGTTAGCTCACGTGATTAGTTGCAGGTTATTTTGGATCACGTGCACGCTATATATTGAATATATATTACGAATCCTCACCTATCAGTCAAAAGTTGGCTAACTAACTGCTACTACCTCTACGACCCGTTTACATCCATAACGCATTCATCTTCCAGAATTATGTTTGCCAGACTTGCGACCCAAACATTCGCAAGAGCACCCACACCATGGGCCAGACTCCTGAGTACTGAGACCAGACAGGCCATCACATCCGCCATCAAATCTGCGCCGGTTGTGCTGTTCATGAAAGGAACGCCAGAGTTCCCACAATGTGGATTTTCTAAAGCTACCATCGGCATGCTTGGGCAACAAGGCGTTGACCCGCTAAAATTTGCCGCCTACAATGTGTTGGAAGACCCAGAACTGCGCGAAGGTATCAAGGAAATTAGTGAGTGGCCAACCATCCCACAGCTGTACGTTAACGAGGAGTTCGTTGGCGGATGCGACATAGTCATGAGCATGGCTCAAACCGGAGAACTCACCAAGCTTTTAGAAGACGCCAAGGCCTTGGTGCCTGAGGAAGACGAAGAGTAAAGGTGATTTTTCTCGTTCACTAGCGTCAATTATCTATTCAGCCAAAAAATGTGTTCTCGTGCCTTTAGACTTGTAAATAATTAATCTTTTATTACAAACTCCGCTTTAAGGTGATTAACGAGAACTATGGGACCCCACCAAGGTTTCTTTATATTCGTCGACTCTGAAAGGCAGGCAGCTTTCTGGAGGGATGGCAAAGCGCTTGCAATTCGGCTCTCAATAGAGACCGGAGTCGACGGCTACGAGACTCTTTTAGTTTTTACTTGAAAACGCGATATTGTGGGAGTAGAAGCACGAATGGTGAAGAGCACCCACTCCAAGTATTTCCGCTTAAAAAAATGTTATCCAGATGTCGATCATATCGCAGTGTATTCACACTTGAATGTCACTGGGTGTTACCTCACACCAAATTGGCTAGCGATTAAATTTACTAGCTAATGCAGATTCAATCCGAGTCCATCATTCGATTGCTTTGTTTTAGAAGGGATCTTTACTGGTTAATAGGTAGCTTACGATAATGAATTTTCATTTAAAGTGTCAATAGGTCTTTCCTGACGAAGCCGCTAGGAACCTGGTGTAGCTGTCAGTTGGTTTACCTGTATGACGTCCTCATTCATGTGAAGCGTTTCTAGTTCCTGTCCAAGACCTTTGCACAAGTCGGTACCTTGTTTTCTCCACAAGCATATTTGTTCGTAGTCACAGTAATTGCAATACGTTAGCATGTTTCTAACGGTAGGTTTAATGGGTTCAATATTGCGTTTACCAAACCAAAACAATGCACTTTGAGTACTATGGTGCTTGATGTCCTCTAATTTGTATTCAAATGCCATTCTGTGAAAATTCGCGTTACCAGAATAATATTCTATCATCAAATTCTTAGAAAGGAATGGACCCACGTTCGTGTACATCTGCGCAAGACGTGCAGCAAAATAACGTAGAGTCAATGGCGTTGCCCATTTGACAAATAAATCAGAATAGCGTTCATGAGTGTCTGCCTTTTTTATAACACTTCGGAAACTCTCTAAATTGTACTCGTACTTTGGAGATTTGATGTCTCCATAGAATTCATCGAAAGGAGCAAACCCAATGGGGGAACCATTTTGTAGCCGCTTCATATCGTGGGCTATAACAGAACTCGTTTCCATCAACACAACTAGTTTGGCTGGATTGATAGGCGCATCCACGTCGATACCTCTTTTTCTGGCGTTCATAAGAAGTCTCTCGTACGTACGAGAAGCCTCCGTACTCAGACCTTCTAAAAAATATCTGTAATACATCACTTGAATCTTCGAAGCGTTCACAACAGAGCTCTGCTGAGGGATTGTCTTTGTAGATCTTGTCTTGACGTCGCTGACGATGACTTCAAGGTCATTGCCCGATCTTTGTATTGTACCGTTCAAGCTCTGTAAGATGGTTTTGATGTCTTTTCCGGAAACATCGTCACTCAAGAGTGGCGTTGGTGTGGGATCTTTTGCGTTTCGCCGTTTTAACACCAAATGATCAATTATTCCGCTGACAAGAACTGCGTCTTCTTCTGTAACGTCTCCATCAAGCTGACAGTCTCTAGAGCTCAAATAACCATGGCACAGAATTTCTCTTGCTTGTCCTGTCTGGAAAAGCGCAAGAAGCCGAATCATAGTTTGGAACCAGCTTTCCGCCAGTGTGTGCGTAGCATCTTGCGGTACTTCAGTGCCAAGCTCTTCCTTGAGTAGTTCAACACTGGATGGAATAACATGTGCCTCATCCTCGAGTCTTTGATGTTCACGGCGGCCAACAGCGACTTGCCCGTGTTCATAGATAGGGATCTGTGAATAAATATCGTAGGTCTCTCGAAGCTCGCACCACCTCTTGGTCAACAGCTTTGTTACTGACAGCCTGGGCGTACCCGCAAACTCTAATTTTCCACTCACTGGGTCTATTTTGGCTCGTGCCTGTGCATCTAAATAAGGGTTCTTGAGCTTCTCGGGGAGATGATATGATAGAAAAGCTGAATTTTCCTCATCTTTAAACAGTTTGCGAACTTTTGGTAATTTTCTGTCTAAGTACGCCTTGCGGCTTTTGGATACACTGCTGTCGGGTTTCGAAGAGCAATGGCGGAAGAATGGTAGGTCATCAAGTATTTGAAGTTCTTCCTCAGATGGAATCAAATTTCCGCTGAGGGTCACCGAGTCTGCTAGTTTGGAAACCTTTGGTGAATGAATACTCCTCCGAATAACATGGAGACCAATTGTGCGCATACCGCTAGCATGCTCATTTAGCTTATCTGCTCTTTTGATCTAGCGACGTTGGAATGGTCTTTCAGCATAGGAAGCTGGAAATTATGATGTCAAAATTTCGAGAAACTTGAAGCGTCACATGAGAGAGTAAGGCAGGCTGAAGAACACAGCGGATTGTGAAGTCGTCCATATAACGGCAATCGTGTTCGGTATATACTCATTGGGCACTGTCTGCGACGTTACCCAAAATCATTCCTGAGTTTTAGCCTAATCATTTTTATGGAAACGAAAGTGACTTACACTGTACTAAACATCAATAATTATGAAGATCAGAGCGAACAAAGCACCATCGAAGCCATGGTATGCCAACACATTACGTTTCGTGCTCAAAGCAATACCAACCTTTCTGGTAACGTAGCAGTGACTAACGTTCACTGCATATACAAAAAAAAGGTATCTTATAATACTTACATGGATTGAAGTACATATCTACGTCTCTTGTTCTTATAGAAAGAGGCTAATGAGTTCAAGCACACCGCCTCCTATCAGTAGAAACAGAAGTCCGAAGACCCAGTAGTTGGGCAAGGCCAGCGAGGATTTGGACTCAGTTTTTTTGGCTTTGCCTAGTTTCTTCTCGTTCCGCTTGGCAAACTTTTGGTTGGCAATTCTTTGTTTAGGAGTTTGAACTGCCATTTTGTTAAGTGTGCTAAAACTGGAAGGTTGAGATTATGGGTTCAATCCTAATGCTGCGGTGTGTGAGTAGATGTGCCCTGGTGGAACCATGTTATTAACGCTTCGTGTTATTTTCGAGATCGAAGTCCCTTTGGACGAGGGACCGGACCTTTCTGAAGTCACATGACCTTTGTCGTTGTAAGATAAAACGCTTCAACAGATCGGAGTTTGCCATTTACAACTAAAACCTGGTTATTTCTTCACGGGTGGTGGACGCGCCTCGACTGTAGTCTTGTCTTTCGTCAATTTACTTCGATTCAAGCGGAAAGGTCTCGTTCTTACCGATGTTAGAACAATTCCGAGAATGGTGTAAACGGAAACGCTTGACTCAACTTGTAAGATCGTCTTCCATAAGCTAGATAGGGCACAGAAATCACAATGGTATGTTTTTAGCTGGTGTGACTACCGCGCACGTAATGTGTGGTTTAATACTGCTTTATTCTCTTTGGCTAGGAAAGGTGCTACTCTGTTACCTCAATACCGGATAGATACACTTGATGAACACAGCAAGAAAAAAGCTTTAATTGTTGCTTTTGCTGCCGCGACTTCTGCTAGCACTTCATTTTCGAACGGCTAAATCGATTCGCTATCTATCGTACTTTTTCCACCCAGGACAGAAATTCGAAATTCATAGTAATGAAGGTTTTGTATGGATTAATATGGGTAGTTTGGAATGAGATGATGATTCTTAGCGTCCTGTAAGACACGGGCCGCACAAAAAATGACCGAGCAGATTGCGGATGCAACGCTGGGACTACAAAATATGTGCATCAAGCATCCGTTCAAGAGTCGAGAATACAAATTGCACAGACTGAGGATTACTTACACGAAACTTCGTGGAGGCTCGAGAAGTAAAGCTGCGGTCGAGTACCGTGGTATCTTTTGTTAAACGTCAGATTATATGTGAGTGAAGATCACGCGTCCCGATGACAGCGTCAGAATAGAGAAATAATAAAAGATTTGAAGAAAAAGGTGCTCCTATTGCTGACGGGATCAGAGCCCATAGAAATTGTCTCATATTTTCGGGCCTACAAAAAAGAATACCAAACCGCATGGTGTACCCTCTTATGTGAGACGCCGGATCGAGTATCCGGTGGCTGCTGTTAGCGACATACGTCATCAGTACATCCTGAAGTAATTCAGCAGGGCAACGGACGGATGTCCTTCTGCCTTTCATAAGTGTGTTTTTGACGACGTATATATCCTCATTTCTTCTCACTCTGCGGTAAACAAACGTTTGCGCGCGTATAATGATGAATCTGACAACCAGGCAAGTTTTAGACGTACTTCGTTCGACACTCCTTCTCCTCCAACTATGAAGCGACACCATCGTGCAAAGTGATATATCATCTTTTTCTCTACAGTTCAACAAAAAAACAACGTAGAAACTAGGTGTCTTGAACGGTTGTTTCGAAGAGGAAGTATGCACGGGAAGTTTTTTGGAGCTCTTGCTACGATGTAAAGGAAGCCCCAACACCATGTGCACAGTAGTTTCGAGTGACATCTCACGAATGACACAGACATAGATTGAAGCGCTAAACGGGTGTGCCGGTTTTCCGGTTCAAAAGTGTTCTAGAACAAAAAAAAAGCGATCTTGCATGTACCTCCCCACCCGCTTTCTGAGTAGCCAACGGCTTTCTGTATCTTACTACCGGCGATCTCGAGATAGCCAGTCTGCCATTGTTCCTTGTTTCTTTTTAGCGCCCATAGGCACCCAATGATCATCCATGCGGGAGCCCTGCATAAACAATTGCCTACAAAATCCCCAGCAGGCACTTGTCGCTAGATACTACCGAGACATTGTCTTTCTCGAGCATTATGCATCGCGAAAAAGTTTCAGGTGGTGAAAAAAAAAATTAATATTCCCGTGGCTTGCTGCTTGCTTACTGGGCAAAAAACAGGCAAGAACAGTAATTATACACCAGCAGCGTAACCAGCAGACTCTGATAACTCTTTTCGGAAGTGCGTCAACAGTTGCAAGGTCGCGTTCCGTTTCGTGCTACGACCTCCACTAAGGAGAATTTACCACGAACCCACGAAACAAGTGATGAACGCGACGAGATCTTCTCGCAACAGATTCGAAACAGTAGTTTTACCGGTTTAGAGTGGTGCACGTCACTTTCAATCGACCAGCTAGCTACACTCAGTCTACTAAGTTGCCAGAGTTGCAATAAAAGCTCCGCAGTTGGGTTGTGTACGAGGATTACTGAGCGGAAAATGCAACTGGGCGTAGCGGAGCGTAGATTTTGGAGTCGCCGACTCTCGAACGGGAATGTTTTTGAAGGCCTGAAGCCCCCATAAGAGAGGATAAACAGGAAAAGTTTGGGAAATTATTACAAGATTTCGTCTCTTCTACTTTTTGACAAACCAGCCATCTTAAAATTCACCTATTGGAAAAACCACCAAAAAAGCTACCACCAGCCACCACTTCCGGTATTCTTCTTCATCTCAGCTCAGCAGCAAATCGCGAACTTGTTTTTTTTTGGAAACGCTGGAATAACTCTAGTCTCCTAAAAACTCCCACACTCCTTTTATTACTGCGATTTTACATTCTTTTGCCTCCCCCCACACCCCCCACGTCGGTCGATTCGAAGAACATTCACTTACTCAAGATCTTAGTTTGAGCTTTCATTCTTTTCAATCCTCTCAAACAACGTTAGAAGCTTCTTCAGCTCGCCACACTCATTTCAACCATTTTACATTCATTTTATCGAGTCACCAACTATCGTTGTCACTCCTTTCGATATGAAGCTTTTCCAGTCTAGTGTTGCCGCAGCACTTTCGCTGGCACCACTTGTCGCTGCCACCTGCGATTTTGTCGGTGGTAACTACTACTGCTCCCAGACAGATGCTGTTGTTTATCAAAACGTCGGTTACTCGGGCTCCTACCTGGATGTCACCAGTATGGACGAGACGCAATGTTCTTGCTCTCAGGAATCCGTGTCTTTCGATGGCTCTTTGTCTCCTCTTAACGAGGAACTTTCTGTTCATTTCAGGGGTCCGCTAGAATTGTTGCAATTCGGTGTTTACTACCCATCTTCTGGCTCTTTGAATAAAAGAGAAGATTGTGACGTCGCTACTCGCCATCACGATCACAAGCGTGATGCTGCGGTTGCAGTTGTCCACGTCACCTCTACCATGTACGTTGACGGTAACGGCAATCCGGTTGCTTCCACCAACCCATCTGCTACTGCTGTTTATGCCACTTCTTCTTCGTTGGCCCCAGCTGCCACCACCACTTCTTCTTCGGCTGCCGCGCCTACCTCGAACTCCCATGCAGCAGCAAGCTCTTCTGCAACTGCTCCTCAATCTTCTTCGTCAAGCCAAGGAAAGGTCTCTTCTTCTGCATCCTCCTCATCTTCGTCGTCCGCTCCATCTTCTTCCTCGGGGTCCAACTCTGGTTCTGGCTGGAAGAGAGTATCTTACTACACTCCAGGCTCGGCCAGCAATTTGACCTTCATGAACCACCAAGGTGGTACCGCCGGTTCTGGTACCTGGTCTGCATGTTTCGGTAACTCGATCTCTTACTGTGCGGCAGATGGTGTGTCTGGTGCTGCTTCCCCTCAAGCTTTGAACCAAGTGACTTTGGCCTCCAACAAAGAGTACATGATCTTTTCCGGTGTCGACTGCTCAGACACCTCTTCTGGATCATGTGGCGTTACCCGTGATGGCATTCCTGCTTACCACGGTTTCGGTGGTGACACCAAGATGTTTGTGTTTGAGTTTTCCATGCCTCATGATTACTCTTCCTCTTACAATCAAGACATGCCTGCTATCTGGATGCTTAACGCCAAGATCCCACGTACGCTTCAATATGGTAACTCTGAGTGCTCGTGCTGGGGTTCTGGATGCGGTGAATTGGATCTTTTCGAAATTTTGTCCTCGGGTAGCGAGAAATTGATCACACACTTGCACGACGGCCAGGGAAATAACGGTAACAGCCAAGGTGGTGGTGGTACTCAGGATTACTTTGCTAGACCAACTTCCAACACTTTGAAAGCTGCCGTTATTTTCAATGGTGCTGACAAAACTTTGCACGTTGTGCAAGTCACTGGCAATTTCGATTCGAGCTTGAGTGCCAGTACCGTCCAACAGTGGTTGAGCCAAAGTGCATCGGTCGCTAACCTTGCCTAATATGGCCAATAGTGCAAAAAAAGCACAATTTTGTATAAAAAAACAAACCACCCCTTTCTAGCTTGCCGCTGGCAGTGTATTATTATAATTTGGATATTTCTGTGTTCTCAACCTTTGCGTTTTATATATGCTTATTGTATCGTCAAGCATAGAAATGAATGTTAGCTTGTAGTAAAGATGACGGACGGAAACTATTAGTGACAGGTTTAAAACCTTCCAACTTAAAGCGGTGCCACTGATGCTTTTTGTTATGATGGTCATTCACAAAACCACGTCTAAGAGCTAGGTTTTGAAATACAAATAATAGGTTATAGTACATGCTCGTAGATAAAATGTAAAATGAACCATCCGATACCAAATCAAGTGTCTATTGATTCTAAAAGTGTTATGATGGTGACGGTTTCCTTTGGAAAACTTGGTAAAAAATGAAGTTAGTCTAATGCTTTGCCCAAGAATGAGAACTTGGACTTAGAGTAGTCGCTGTTGCGTTCATAAAAGAGGAGACCTGCTGGTGATAAAACAAACAAACAAGTAAAAAAAGACAAAAGAGAAGGGTATTTGCGACATTGTCGTTAGTTTTGAGGGAGGGGTCTTGAGTTCGTTTTGTTTTGATCTCAAGACCATGCTTCTGCAACATTTCAGAGTACGCGAAAAACATCAAGTTCGAATGAACAGTGGGTGGTACATGAAAGCTTGTTTATTTGTGTGGATGGGGAAGGCTCAATCATCGCTCAAATCAGCATACTGATCAGAACTGTTGTTTTCCTCGAGATCTGGGGAAAAAAGTTGCACTGGGAGATTGGAATCCTTACGCAAACGTCTGTATTTGGATCTCATTTCTATTGAGTCTGCCTGGGTTTTTTGGTTTCCAGATAAGATACCCAACCAGACCAAGCCACGTTTCATGGTCTTGACAATACGACGGGCTCCACCGCCGGATCCAAGCCAGCAGTAAAAACAGTATTCGGCGTAAAGTACCAAGAAAGCCACGATGAAACCTAGAATCACACAGGCCAGAATGTGATGCGCTAAGGATTTAATAAAATTGGCATCATCGAGATGCCAGGACGAACCTTGTGAAATGGAAAAAAACGAATATGTGTGTTTTTTGTAGTCCGCAGGCTGTAAGATACGCACAACACCATTTTCTGGTACACCCCATCTTTTGTATTGTTTCCAAATAACGCTTACAAAAAGCGGTCCTGTAGAAAACATAATAGTGATGTATGGGACGAGCCAATTACGATCGTATTTTTTCAAAGACGCAATCACTTTGAGGAAGAAGGGATGGTTAGGAACGGAGCCCATCACGTCGTTGGAGATACCGGTAGGACTGGTTTTCCGTGCAAACGCGGGGACGGTCAACAAAGGGTCAAGCTTACGTCTGCAGCCGTCGTCGAGGTCGATGTACACGCCGCCGAAATGGGCAAGCAGGAAATAGCGCAGGGCGTCGGCACGCTCGATGGGGTAGCGGTAGTTGTCGAAAGTTTCTAAGAACCAGCCGTACTCTTCCTTGATAAACTGGCGGGCGGTTTCGTCGGTCCAGAGCTTGTAGTCGTAGTCCGGATGCAGGTCGATGCAGCGCTGCTGGCCCTCGCGCCAGTGTTCGGGCACGTCGGCGGTCTTGTAGGTTTGGTGGATGATTTTGGGGATGAGTTGGGGCTTGGCTTCTACGCCCTCTGGAGGGTTGAGGTCTATGTCGAGGAGGGCGTCTTGGAAGGCGTCGTCGATGGCCAGCGTGAGCAGGTCGAACGTGAGATACAGCAGCACGACGACGACGACCAGATGCGAGTAGATCATGTATTTGAGTTCTTGGCGCATTTTTTTCGGGTTGAGTGGGAAGCTAAGAAAGGAGTGACGATGGGCACGACAAACAAAGTTGTGGGAACGGCCGGGACAGGTCCAGATTCAACGTAGGGAAGAAAACCGAGGGCGAGGCACAAACACTGGATTGTATAAGAAGCACAGTTCCACAGTTTCCACGAATAATCCTGGAGTTTTGGTGTATTTTCAGGTGCGTTTCAACAACACAGCACGGTCTTAAAAGGCTAAAAACCGGTTAGCAGAACAACAGCAGCTGTGAAGAACTAGAACACTTGGCAAGCGGAAATCTTGAGTAGAAAACACCTTTTTCGATGAGCTTTCAGTATTGGAATGTGAATTTCACTTTTCAAGCACTATCAATAAACTTTACAAGCACTTTCAGTAAAGTAGTAAAGTAGTAAACTCAGTAAACTAGTAAACTCTCACTAAACTCTCACTAAACTCTTAGCAAACTCTCAGCACACTTTCAGCACACTTTCACTTTGATCTATCTTGAAGTGTCACTTAAACTGTCACTTAAACTGTCAACTTCGAGTTTCTAAAACTACTACTAGACCTACTCTTACATCTACTACTACCAATCTTAACTTAAAGAACCGGTAATGGGGCTTCAGCCCTCTCACAGTTAAACTATCTTCGTCTGAAATTATCACGCTACCAAAACAGCATCAACATTACCACCACCACCATCACCACTACCACGACTACTACTATTACTACTACTACTACTACTATTATTACATTGCCATGGTGTTTAAGCTAAGATTTTTTTTTTTTTCAATTTTCAGCCTCAGGAGCTGTGGAAAAGAAAAGAAGCGGTGAGTTTGTGGTTGTTTTGTTTGGGGGCTGGGATAAGCCTCTCGTGGTCGCGGGTGAGGGCGAGGGTGTTTGGGTGGAGGGTGTGGGTGGCTGGGTGGAGGGTGTGGGTGGCTGGGTGGAGGAGTCGAGGGGTATGGTATTTGGGTGGATGGGTGTTGAAAACAAAAGGTGTGTGGGTGGCTGGGTTTCTGAGAGTATTCAGGGTAACTGGGTGGAGGAACGTTGGATGACTATGTGTAAGGCTTATCTGGATGGAGACGAATTGGTGTTTGGGTGGAGAGTTTCCAAATGGCTAAGTGGAGAAATGGTGACTGGGTGTAAGTGTGTAGCCCGCATGGTGTGTGGGTGTAGGAGTAAGAGAGTTTCCAACGACAGTGTGACCAGTGACTTGTCGGTGGCTGGGTTGAGTGAATTTCGTGGGCCTGGGGCATCTTCATTGAAGTGGTAAAGTTGGTAGAATGTGACTGGATGTAAGGTTCATGTCTGGTGGAAAAATCACCAATTCTGTCCACAAATCCGCTTGATTATAATGCTCATTGGATAAGACCATGCTGGATAGAAAGATTCAATTGCTACCAATCCGGGCGCGAATCCTAGTATCCAAAAGTCAACTTGTTTGCCTGAGACGAGGTACGTGGTCAGATGAGCTAACTCCGCTGCAATATCCAATCTCAGAACAAGAAAAAAAATATGGAAGGAAGGCCCATCGATTAGCGTTAAGTCGGTAAATTCACGTCGTTCAAGAGATCTGAATCTACCGTCAACAGCTTTCGCGGCAAAGATCTTGGAGGGTCGAGGTCTTCAAGGCAGATTCGTGGCTTGCGAATCCGTGACCGTAGAACACGATAGAGTTCCAATATGGGGACCAGGACGGGGGACGAATCCGGCGAATCCGACTTTTTTGGCCGCGAATCCTGTCATATTCTACGGTTATGGATTCGTGACTTTACCACGAATCCGTCACTATATACGCGGTGGGAACCTCCAGCCTTCAAGTTTCCTTGCCGCCAAAGCTGTTAGACGACAATGTTCAGATCTCCCCAACGTACTTAGGAGATCCACCGGCCTACACTGATCGATGGCCTTCTATATATTGATTATTCTTCTATTTGACATGGTGCTACTCAAAACAACTCAAGCTGCGGCGTAAGAGAACTATGGGATGCGTGAGTCTTTATAGTTTCATATAAACAAGTTAACATTCAAATGCGGGCTAAATTAATTAAACCAGCCGGATTCGCGCCCGGATTCGTTTGAATTTAATCGAATCCGTGAGCATTCCAAACGAGTGGATTCGTGAACCAGGATTCGTGATTCGTCCCCAGTCCTGATGTGACTCGGGGGAGGAATTACGGAAGAGTGGTGAAATGGCAAAGGTATTGAGTCTCGACTACGTCGGCAGTGTTCGAGTTGCTAAACTGTTTAGTTTGTTCAGTCATGATTTGCTCTAAGTGAATCGTTATGGCTATGGATTTCACTTAGCTCTCCATGGTTCTTTTGGTTATAAGGAATGTACATCCTGTTTGACCAACAATAGTATACAATCGGTGACGATCTTAAACTCAGCCATTGGTGAAGATAACCTAATAGAAGTTCTGGATTGCTTGCAGTTTATGCATAGCGTTGACGTATTGTTGCTTCCTATCTCTACCGTTGGTACATTTCACCTTAGCGCTTAATATGTCATTGTAGACTAATACGTCATTTCCTGATTACCTAATTTGGCACTATTCCATAAGTTTACCAATCCCAACGGTTATGATCACCTACAATACCATTCACAAAGTCTCGTAATAAGGCGTTACATTTCAATGACTAGTAAGTCGAAGGGATCTTTCTAGTAAAACTATAAGCAGGGTCAGTGACTCAGCGCTCTTTTCGCAAAAGTGTTGAGTTTTTTAGTTCATGTTTGATGCATTGCAGAACTTGAGTACCTGACACTCTTTTTGAACACAAGAAAGAAGGTTGTAAGCCGTCTTCATGTGACAAATAACTTAATGTTACCGCTGAAGATGAATGATTATATCCGCGATTCTACTCGTGATATTCTAAACGGCTACTCGCGATTCTACTTGTACTCGTCCCTGTCTTGATACCCAGCGCGAATCCTCTTTAATTAATCTATCCAGCATCCAAAGATTTATCAGTCCTATAGTAGAGAGCTTGTAAGACCTACGGGTAGACAAAAGGAAACAGGATGAAGTTACGTTTTTTAAAAACAGTTTCCATCTGGGTGAACCATCTGGTAAATAATTTCTTGTTGCTCAGATGTTTCGAACATCCAGGTAGAATTACATCCTTGGTGAGTAAAATTGCAGATGTACTTACGTACGTTGTGTGATTTGGGAGGATGTGGAATACGCGTAAATTGCGGGATCGTCGTGTAACCAACCTTCGCGATGCCCAACTTGCATGATCCAGGCGAACCATGGACGCAACCGAGCTTGATGGGCCATCAATAGATTCACCCGTCGATACAACAAATGATTTAAGCCCTCAAATCATAGAGGATGTTCGTCCTGCTTCCCCAGTGGTGGAGCATTCGACCAACAGCTCGAATACAACAAATGAAAATAGCAGTGCAAGTGGTCTACTGTATGAGGACAACTTTCATTCTCTTCTAGTCCCCAGTGAGCTGTCGACTATACGGCACCCAAAGGAAGCTGCTGCTAAGTTGGGTATTGCCATTGATGAATTGATCAGAAAAAACGGCTACAAGACCTTAGATGAAGGTAAAGAGTTCAGATTTCGGTGGGATAACACGTCAGCCTACTACTTGGCAAAGAATTGTCTTCAAATAGGTCCCTTTTTAGGATTTGAAAATTTAAAACCAAATTCGTCATCGAAATTGGAACCCAGCTCTCTAATTTCCCTTAAGTGGTGCTGTATCTGGTACAACCTTTTGTTGTCGATAAAATTCAAAGACAAAAGAGTTCCTACAGAATCCCAATTGCGGACGAAGTTCAAGTACTTGATGGAGATAGCTAACACTAAAATAAATGCCATCACGACCGGTGATGAGAGGAACCCTTGCGCCATAACGGGTGATGATAAAACTGATGAGATTATAGAGGATCTAATGAAACTCAAAAATGCCGCAGACGACCGCCGAACAGAGCTCCCAAAGCTGGAAATGCAGCGCCAGTCTCAAAAACGGGCCCTCTGTTACAAGTCTCAAAAACGGGATCTCTGTAACAAGTCTCAAAAACGGGCCCTCTGTACCAATTCCCTGCCACAAGTTGCGCAAAACCTGGAACAGACAAATTCAGATAGCTCCTTTTCACCTATAAATGATGTAAAAGCACCCAATGTGCGGACTATTATCAAAAGGCCTAGGGTTAACCGTTCTATGATCAAAAGGCCTAGGGTTAATCGTTCTATGATCAAAAGGCCTAGGGTCAACCATTCTATCGAAGATATGAGATCAGATGCGCAACTTTTACATGTTTCCGCAGGTATTCAACTGATAACTTCTCACATGCTGCAGTCTTTGATGGCAGCGTTTGGAGACATGAAGCAAGCTGGTCAGGAAAAGAACGAGAAAATTCAGAAGGCCGAGGAAGAGAAGGTGGCTCTCCAGATGCTCTTTGAGGAAAGAAAAATTAAGATAGCGGAAGAGAAGCTCGCTATTGAGAGAGAAAAGATCGCTTTCGAAAAACACAAATTTGACATATCGCAAGTGGCTATAATATCAAGCGTTCTTCTTGGGAACAAAGACAAGTCTGCCAGCATCAATGTGGACGTGGAAAAGCTTTTACTTAAAACGTTGGGCTCTCTCACAGGATAGGAAACCCAGCCTTGAAAATAAAAGTTTTACACAACATACGAATTCGGAACTTCTGCCTTTCTTAATTATGTTCCATGCTCATTCAGATGATCAAATACCATGCTCATCAGGATGATCAAATTCCATGCTCATCAAGATGATCTAAATCAATCTTTGCGTGTTGCTTTGAGTAGAAACTCCCATTCCCATCGGGGTCGATCAGAATACCGTCAAAAAGCTTAGGAAACTCGATTCCACTCACTTCAACTGTTGGGGGGCTGATTTAAAGTGCTTTGATGCCTGAGATTCCTCCAAACAGTGCTTGATGTTTGTTAAAAATACCGCCATAGGAAATTAAGCACTACATCCCCTCACACCTCCCATTTTTAAAACACCATTACCGTTGAAGATCCGGAAGTTGTTTTTTACAGCTCCAAAGAACCACTCGATCGAAACACGAGGTGTTGACATAATCCTGTTCTGCTTTTTTTCTTCTGGGGTCAGCATTTGACCTTTGAATGCGACTAAGAAAACGTCAGAACTTTGGTATGCAGGATCCCCGGGCGTCCTGTATTGTTGGTTGTCAACTTTCAAGGCAGATTTGAGCCTATCATATAAGCCGCTGTACATGAACATGAATGAATCATGCTGACTACCCGCAAGATCGATACAAATTCCATCGGGGGTGGCGACTGCTTGGTATTTTAAAATATGTGTCTTTTCATGGCCACTGTAAACAGTTTTGGGCATCACCGTGCCCGTGCTGAGCATGCTTACGAGACCGGGCAATTTTCATATGAGTACCATCAATAAAAGCGACAATCCTTGTGCCGTCAATTGATTTATTGTCCTTCAAGCGCTCGGGTAACCAACTAGCGCTAGTGACAGATAATTTTAGTCTTATGACATGATACAAATAACAAGCAAGGAAGGAGACCACCCTAGAAATGGTCGATACTTCCCTTCTGCAAATGCCTGCAAGAACACTATACGTGCAGCCGTTGCGAATACGAACAAGGAAAATGAAGAAAAAGGATTCGTCAGGAGTCAAAGCGAAGCCCGCCACGTTGTACGGTGTTTTTAAGGCTTTTGCGATCTGGAATAACTGATTCTTGTGAAAACCTGTTAATTTCCGAAAGTCGACATCTGTATACTTCAACGAGAAGGCTCCACCCCTGTCGTAATCGCGATTACACCGAAATTTTTTATCTCAGGCTCTCACCTTTCTCGATGCCTCGGCCACAGCCTTTTCTATGAAAAATTGACGACGATCGATCTCGAGGCTCCATTGTTGTTCGAAAACAATTATTATTGTGTCTTCGAAAGCTTCAAAGACCAATTGCATTCCGATTCAGCACGGATACCTACAGAGTTACGAAAAGACAGATTCCCATGTTCACACCGGTATTAGTATTGTTCGGATTGGAAGTTTTGTAGAAATTCAGAAGGGCCATCAAACTGCAGATGCCTGTACAGGTACTCCAAATAGACCAAACCATGACCCTGGCGACGGATCTTTTCCAGCAACTGAACTTTTCTCTCCCAATTAGAAGACTCCATTCCAACGACACCAAGCTGAAATACATGAATTCAATTGCTGGCATTCTTCTACCGAGTCCATTTGATACATTACCAACGAAGGATTGGTTCGCGTCGCTGTATGATCTTTTGAGATTTTGGCGGTAAAGTTCATGATGCAACGCAAAACCTTTCGCTCAATACATATACGCGTTACAAGGACTGCTATCGCGCAGACAAAGTAACGTGCCTTCATCGTACCCGTAGGTCTTACAAGAGCACATTGTCCAGCCGCACTCTGTTTTCTGATAAAAGCCGCACCAAAAACTTCATGGTTGAAGTGACGAAAATAAGCGACTTACGGTCCTTAATATGAGCTACAAGGGAAAATGAAGCGACTGGATGGTACATTCAGAAACTGATATTTCCCTATTTTCGATAAATTATCAGTGTATCTTGGCAAAATACTAAACGAAACGGTCTCTGACAAGATATTTGCAAAGCAATTTGGGATGTGGCCATCAAAACTTCCATTCCGCATTGGGTTTACCAAGTAATGGCAACAGAACATACGCGCAATGCAAATATGATCACCGCGGTGAAGTGTTTAGCTTTGGAACATACCCCATTTCACCAGATATGCTGAAGCGCCTAAAGACTGTCTTGATTACGAAAGATTTACACTAAAATACACCTCACATGCATAAGGAACGTTGCTCCTGGAGCTCGAAAACCTTTATGCTCATGCCGTGATGACTTTTACAAAAGAAGATCTACAATGATCAAGTGACTAAATTTTTCGTTGACATTTACAACCATTCAGCTCAGTCGAATTCCAGTCCTTGCGAAATTTCAATAGTCTTGGTGGTGGAGGGAACATGAACCAATTCAAGCTCTCTGGCAAAGTTATGGTGAAAATGAAACTCGTCGGAGGATTTATGACCATTAGACTGGCGTAAACCGGAAGCGCCTCTCACGTTCAAAATGATACGACATTAGATACCCGTTAGAAGGTACTGGCGTAAACTCCGAGATCATCAGGCCAGTTTTTTGACGCTGCCAAGACAATAATTCACCAGTACACTCACAATAGAGCAGTGTTAAAAGTCACGGATTAGTTGAGGAACTGCTCAGCGGGGGCTGTATTTCAAGGCCGTGAGTTTTACTCTGGCGCTCATCGGCATTCTTGAATTCTACTAGCTTCGTAGGTACTTTGCCCTGAAAAACAGATGCCACCGGTTATACTAGCGACTACTAAGTTCTCGAAATTAGCTACCTCACACGATTGGCTCAATCTTCTTTCTCATGGATATGTTGGAGCCGCCTTCCAGAAAGGAAAGGCTCCTGGTTTCAATACCCTGACGATGGTAGAAATCATCACCAAGGCCTTGAACGTCCGCTGAGTAAAGTTAGTTCGGATAAATTAGCTTTGCAAGTTTGAAGAAGTTAAGTTCGAGTTTCATCCACTATCATTAACGAGACTACATAACTATTTGAAAGTAACGTAAAGTAGCGTGTCTCCTCAAATTCACATCGATAAACTACAAATGGTACGAAGCAGCTCCTACAAGCGACACCTTACAGTCTTAGGCGAAACGATCGTGTTCAAGTCACTGACATCAACCTAGGCGACGGCGTGATTTGGTTTCAACTATGTTGTGAATTTAGAAGATCGTCAACTTCAGCCCATTCATGTTCGTACCACTTACGTGTCCAACGCTAGTTTTTGAATTTTGTAGGAACAAACTGTGCGACAAAGATAACCTTATCCACATGAGGCATCTTTCTGACCCACGCCCTGCCTCAGTTATTGAAACTGCGAAAATTAGAGATGACCGCGCCCAGCGATCCTAGAGTTAGGACTCCATGAAACTTCCTCAGTTTTTTGGCGTGCTCTTCTTTTAACCTCACGACTGACCGTGAAAATATGGATGCATGACGGCTCTTTTCGCACTGATCCGGTTGATTGGATCGTAGGTCAGCAAATTTTGTAGGAGGTCAATACCGTGTGCATCAAGTGATGGAACCACCTGTGCCAAATCCTTCGGATGCCATTTAGGAAACTTTGGTTTGAAATCGGGCAAATATACAATATCAGGCCAGACGGTCTCACTAGGCGTTCCTAAGGTACGGAATATTTTGAAAATTTGGTCAATTTCACTGTCACCGCTGAAGATTGGCTTCCGGTTACACATTTCAGCAAAAATGCACCCAATCGACCATATATCAACTCCAGTGGAGTATTGTTTACCACCCAAGAGAACTTCAGGTGCACGGTACCACAAAGTAACGATCTCATGTGTGTAAGCCCTCAATGGTACACCGAAAGCGCGCGCTAGACCGAAATCGGCCAATTTCATGTTGCCATCGCGATTAATCAACAAATTCTGAGGTTTCAAATCACGATGCAAAATACGATGCGAGTGGCAATACGCGATACCTTTACACAATTGCATCATAAACTTCTTTATAATGTTGTCACCTAGTGGTTGCTCCTTTGGAATTGATTCCATGTATCTTTTCAAGTCTAGATCCAGAAACTCAAAAACCAGATACAGTTTGTGCGCGTCTGAGTGCACGATATCATATAGCCGAACGATATTATCGTCTTTGAGCTCCTTCAAAAGCGAAATCTCGCGGATTGCTGTACTGGGAACGCCTTCGTCTTCGCTTTCGAGTCTGATCTTTTTCAATGCAACTACCCTCTGACCGTGTCTCAAATCCAATGCCTTGTACACAACACCGTAAGTACCTTCACCCACTTTCTCGAGTCTTTTATAGTTGGCTAGCTCCGTCATGATGCTGGAAATTTTTCGGAGGTGGCACTCTTTCCAACAATGTAGTCGGCGTTCGAGGTTCTCTTGTCTTTTTGACGTGTAGACTGTCAACAGTGAACTTGATCCATCACGATTGTTATATATACTGTAAAAAATAGCTAAAACACGGTGTACGAACGAACAAAAGGTTCGAATCAGGTTACTCTACTGTTGTTTAGCATGTCTTGCAGCTTTGCGTAGAGCTCTTGTTCTGATACTCTTGTGCATTGTGTAGTTGATGGTGTTTGCAAGCTTGGAAAATACGCCGACGGTATTTTCAATGACAAAATGATAAATTGCATGGGACCAGTAAGGTGTCATGGTTGCGTAGCGTTCCTGCGCTCCGGAACGTCTTCCAACGCTTTTCAAAGTTGCAGCGACAAATTGAGCCGGGTTTGGGATCATCAAAGATGTTCTGCGGATCTTAGACATCGCGCTGGTGACTAGGTACGATAAAACAATCTCAACGTCCACATTTTGAGGCTTCAATTCCCCGGCAAGGGCAGCAGACCAAGCTTGCAAAAACGCTTTGGACCCTGAGTAGGTGGCCAACAGGGGAGTTGGGAGAAGACCGCCAAATGAACCCATTGTCAATATCAGACCTTTACAATGGGCATCTTTGGCGGATTTTACGATCAGAGGGGCAATCAATTGTGTGATTCTCAAAGTGGCAGTGTTATTGATTGTGATGATGTTGCGAAGCTCGTTTTCCTCGGTCTCTAAGAATGGCACTGGGATGCTGTGGCTTTGACCAACGTTATTGATCAACACGGTGATAGGAATGGCCGCGCAGATCTCCTTGACCTTGGTGTAGTTTTCAGAAGAGTCCTCCGCAACATCGATTGCACAGATCCGGACGTCAATGTTATAAGTTTTTTCGAATTCCGTTTTCAAGTTTTCCAGTTTGGAAAGGGTACGTGAGATGAGGACCAGATTGAAACCGCGTTTGGCCAATTGACGGGCGTATTCTTTGCCAATACCATCACTTGCCCCGGTAACCACACAGTATTTACCCTTTTTGGCCCCGTACTTGCGGAAATTGACGCCCGGCAAAACGAACAAATCTAGTAGTAAAGTAGAGAAGCTAAGCACAAAAGTTGTTGCTTTCAAGACACCAACAGCAAAAACAACCCACAAAACTGCGTCCAGCAGTTTGTGCTGAGATTTTAACGCAGTAAATTGAGAATCAAAAGACATCTCGAATGGTGTTTTAAGGTTCAGGTCTTTAATTTGAAGAAGTTTGTTTCTGTTTTGACGATTCAACACTTCATTTTGTTCAATTAATTAACATCAAAGCTATGTATGTCAGTATAGTTAAAAAGCTAGATCAACTAGTGAATAAACCAAGACATATTTGTATAAAACAACCGGGTGGGACATTCCAAGATCGCCGATGATTTTGGACCCTCTTGTAAAACGCATTGTAAACTCTTTTTTCGCCTGTACAAATCTCTTGCGAGTGCTATTGCATCAGTAAAATGGCATCCAGGTTCTCTTGCGTTAACTGTACATTAAGAGCGTCTTTTTCAGACTGAGTGCTTAGAAGACCTAGTTCCAGCTCGCTCTTGCATAATTGCAGCTTTTGCTCCTCCAACTTTAAATCGATATCATCATCTTCCCGCAACACTGACAGTATTCTAGATTTTTCAGGCTCATCAGTGGTGTACTCATCGAGACCAGTAAGAAAATAAGCTGGCGAGTCAGAGGATAGGATTTTTTTTTGCTGATAAACATAACTAGTGCTTTCAGTTACTGGGGGTTGATGCCGCGGTTGTTGTTCGGGTGGAGCCCATGATTCGTGGCCCGAGGACGAAGACGACGGCTTCTTCTCGTAACGCTGGAAGGACTCTATGTGGCCTGTTCCGTTTACTAGACCATGAGTCGAGTTCCGAGGCGAATCATAAAAATCGTTGCGGTAGTTCGAGCGATTATACGGGGCCGCATTTGCCCCATATCGTTCTGAATTATTATTATCTTCGTAGCTGTGTCCACTATATTGATATCTTGCAGCGCCCTGTCCACTATCTCCAGAGCGGTTTCCTCCCCTATAAGACCTTCCACGATAAGAAGAGCCTCTGCTGCTGTTGTAGTAAGGTCGACTTCCGGTGCTGGAAATCAAAGATTTTGAGTTAGTGAAAAATGGCTCGTTTGACAGCAAGCCGTCACTTTGCCGTCAGTCTTTAAAGATTTGAATAAACATACTTTTCCCCTGGGTGGCTCATTCCTGAACTAGAAAGTAGAGAAATGTGAGTTGTGAATCGACGGGTGGTGAAGAATAGCGCGGTTATGCGATGACATCAGATGCCTTCACCTCTACCATGAACTGATTGAAAGATTATGAATATTATCGCCACGTACGGAAGTTGCCAAAAATTAAAGTCACGCGCTAACTGAAAATTCTCAATTTATGCATTTTAACATGATTATGTAAGCTCGCAGATGGACATATGTACTCAGGCTCGAGCAAATAATGGACCGTCCATGGACGGTAGCCTCAGGGTTCTTGAAGAGCCTGGGGTAAGACGATTCCAAAGAGCGCATGTATATATATAGCACTCTTACCAAGCGCAATTGAGAATTTGTTCGACTCGCGACACCTTTTTAATCTCTGATTCTAGAACTTGCTGAAAGCCGTGCTACAGCATGTCGTCTTCGTTGACCCAATCAGTAAAAGCGGCAAGAATATGAGCAGACTCCTGCTGATCCAATCGATGTTCGGCCTCTATCATCATCGAATCAATTCTCTCGCCTCCTTCTACCAACAGAGGAATACCCTGGGATCTCTTGGATCGCACGAAATTGACAATGGGCAGCACGTTGGTGAGCCGATCTAAGTTGCGGATTTCAAGAACAGAGAGCTGCGGGAAGTAGCCGAGAGCAAGTAAAGTGGGTACCGAATTGTCTGTGAGCAACTGGCAATTGTTGAGTGACAATCTTCTGATGCGAGGACCAAGATGAAGAGCAAGCTCCCAGACGCCAGCGTCTGTTATGTGACATCCCGCCACGCCCACTGTGTCAACTTTTGTGTTCCGCGCCAGGGCAACCATTGATACACTGGTGATTGCTTTCCCATTTCGGTGTCTCCCCAGGTTGCAGATCTTGAGATTCGGACAATTCGCTGCGATTGATAAGACGCCGCAATCACTTATTTTGTCACAGGCGCGCAAATCGAGTATCTTGAGCTTTGTCAAATAGGGCGCAATCGTCATCAAGAATTTATCGTCTAAAAACTGGTTTCCGGGCAAAACTAGCTTTTCCAGATTCTGAGAGCGGTAGAACAATGGAATGGGTGGAATAATCTTAGGGCAGATGTAAAATTCAAGCCATTTTAAGCGTTCCGATGACACGATGGGGATGAAAGCATTTAGCTCGGTTTGCTCAAGCTTACTCAGCTTATGGAGAACAAATGCAGAGGGTTTTGACAGCCGGTTCCGGAGTTTCGACACATTGCCCGCAAGCTTGCGTATTTTTTTGGAGTCGGTGAAATAAAGGTTTTCCGTAATAATGCTTAATGCGATTCTGTGCCACATTTTGTTGACTTGAATGCAACTATGTAGCCTGGGCGAATTGCTAACCGCCGGTTCAGCGCTGGATCGATTGCACTCATTCCACATTTTTTTTGCCCTGGCCTCGTCACCGTCGCACAACAATAAAGCATGGCTGAAAGCTTGAGGTTTGCGTCTATGTCTTGTTTTCTCCCGCGGTATTGTAGCTTCGGAGTCGACAAATCGAAGGATTTTGTCTACGATCTCAGCTGTGCGGAATATGGGATGACTCGTGTTGGCAGTAAATTCGCGGTAACCTATCTTGGTATCTTTGAATATAGCTTGGTGACTTTTGTTCGGTATGCATAATTTGAGATCGGAGAAGTGCGTTTCGAGATTGGAGCTGCTTTGGTACCTGCCGAAATTGTCTTTGTCCTCGAAAGATGGTGAATTCTTGGTAGGCGTAGCCAACGGTGTGAGATTTTTCAAAGACGTGATGGGAGAGTCACAACCGGATTTGTATTTGGGAGCACTATGAGAGTCAGCCGTGTATGCTGTGGTAACGCTGGATGATTTTTTGGAAGGCGGTTTGCATGTCCAATTGGAGTCTGAGATTTCTCTTGACCTTTTGAAAGAGCCCTTGAGAGAGGTGTCAGATGGGAGCATGCGGAGAAGTGAGGAAACAGACACAGGTGTGGAAGGAGCAGGAGGAAAGGCCAAAGAAAAAAAGAAGAAGGAGGGACGTAGGGGTGGGGCTTTTTTTTAACTACTGCTCTAGAACATCAAAATCAACAAGGACAAAACTGCTTACTCGTCAGAGGCCAAGAGAATAAATAAGACTGAGTGGTCAGCAATGAAGAGGAACAGGGATCCAGAGTGACACATTCAATATGTGCGTTGAGCTGCCATTATCGGGCTCTGTAAGTAACATTATATATATATATATATATATATATATATTTATGTATCTCGGGTTTCTCTCGGTGCCTCTTTCTCCCGGGCTAATACTCAGTAATGCATTCCTGTTGTTTGCAAGAAGATCAGGCTTTGTGTGTAAGGTAAGGAGGGGACGCTGGTCATATGCGAAAAGAAAAAACAGGTTCAAGTTCTGAGCGATACGGAATTCTCGCTTTACAGCGTTAAGCGTCCTCACTGAATCCAGCTATACCTCACAAACCGCATAGCGTCGCTGTTTATCTTTTCGACTCGAGCAGCTAGCAAGCACACCGGCTTCAAAAATATTTTCCTACTCGTCTCTGCGTCTGCATTTCTACTACATCTTAGTTGCTGGGTGAGCTCCACGGTTTTTTTGCACCGTTCAGTTGTGAACGTTTCTTTGAGGTTCTGGCGTATGCCAACGACCGTTGGCAATGCACGTTCCTGCGTGGAAACTGCAGATATTGAATGCAACGACGAATCAGCCAGAAAAATAAACAAAAACACCAACCTTACATACTGGTTCTAAGCGTATATGGGGTAGCCCGCTGAAGCACAAACATACGAGTTCTGTGTCTGTGTGTATGTCTATTGCTTGCTACTAAACCAGCGGAGCGGAGAAACTCGAGTTCGAACTCAGATTTTCGTCTACAATTTTTTCACAGCAAGCTACTTGACCAAAAACCTCCGACCAGGAAAGCACCTAAACGCTTGGTAATAGCGCTGGTTGCGTCTCTAGGTGGTGCTGAAAGCCGTTATTGCGGTTTCTGCGGTGGATGTGGCTCTACTTTGGCTGGTTTTCTACTAGTATTGGAAAATTGATAAAATAATTTACCAGCCATCTCGGTAATCCTAGAAGAACTCAAAGGAATGAACGGCGATTAATGAAACCTCGAAAGCGTTTGGACTGATCGTGGACAAACCGTTGAACTATTTGTTTGAGACTATATATATGGACAATGTGTTTCAGCGAATTGTAGTGAAGTTCTCTGATCTGTCAAGGACATGTTCTCACTAAAGTAAATCGTTGTAGATAGATAGTCAGCTAATATAGATCAAAAAAGGGCGAGAAGAACTGTAAGTGTTTAGCAATGGAAGTCGAGCTAGGATAATTCAAGCGTTGTTGGGGCTTGCACCTTGATCAACTCGTCTATACGGTTGTGAACCTCATCCCCTAGTAGCTGCGGGACTTCGGTGGGAATGGGTTCTGGGTTTCTCATTTCACCAGTTCTCGTGACGACCCCCGGTCAGGGGTGCTGGGATCGAACGTAGGATGAGCTATTATGGGCTTATCATTACGTAGGTGGTAGCTAGCTAGTTAAGGCGGATCCAGCGTGTCTCGAATTGTCTCAAGGTGTTCGCTCGTTCGTTTGTTGGCTGGCTGCATACTGTTGGTGAGTCAGACACTCGATAAGGGAGAGACTGGCATATCGATATTCGGGAAATCAAGTGGCATAGTAGCAGTGATAAATTTCTGGTCTGGCCCAAGGATTTGCCTGGTTTCCCGGATCATCATCGTGTGAGATAAGAAGAAGTAAGAGATCCTTTCAAGTCCGTACGTAGGTTGATAATTGAAAGGGTGAGTAAGTAACTAAGTAAGTTTCAGCAGGAGTGAGTGAAGTGAACTTGAGCTCGAAGATCAACTGTTTATCGACCTTGTGCGCCTTTTTTTTTGTCTGTAGAAGTTCATCAGGAATCAAATCGGATTGGATTGGAGGCAGGATCAAGAGACAAGTTGAAGGTCAGCCAGCAAGGGAATTCAGATTTTTGAGAAACATCGTCTTTGATAAAACACCCACTACAGTATCACATTGTTGAAGCAAGTGCGGCTTCTTCGTGCCGCTCGATAATAACCCCCGCCTTCCCCACTAGTCCCACAAGAATGGCTCAAAGGGCTTCGAAAACCAAGCCCAACAATCAAGGTAGCAGACCTTATGCCATGGGACCACCAGCTGGAAATGGAAAGTCCAAAATGGCTCACCATCGATCCACAGGGCCCAAGGTCAGTTCCAAACAGGGGGGCTCATCTGCAGGCTATTTCGAAGAGACACCAGTCTCAGTAGGCTCCGAAAGCTCAGATTCCCCCAGTTCTCCCCTTGAAAGCTACCATCAACAAAACCAGCACCAGCACCAGCACCAACATCACCACTCCACGTCTCGACAGCAATCTCAGTCGTTCTCTTTGAACCACCAAAGGGCTATTTTCGAACACCGGCTCATCACCAAGAATTCTGGCCCTCAAAAGAACTACTCACACGTTCCTTGCCGTTTCTTTCGTCAAGGCGCCTGTCAGGCTGGTGATTCGTGTCCCTTCTCACATTCACTGAACCCCAATGCCGCAGATGCTACTCCCTGCAAGTACTTCGAAAGAGGCCATTGCAGATTTGGAAGCAAATGTGCTAACGCCCATATCTTGTCTGATGGGACCCGCTTGAATCCCCCCAGACCGTTCCATCAAGGTCAAGGTCATGGTAATGGCAATAAAAATAGCAATTCGGGTCCCCCCGCACCGATGCCAATACCGTTGCGGGATATCCCTCTATCTCAACTGACCAAGCCCAAGATATTCCCATCGGCAACTTCCCAACTGCAGTCATTTTCGAACAACTCCTCGACCAGAGCTACCACATCTGCGGCATCGACTCCAAACATTCAGCAATATTCCGCGATGGGCTCCAATACCTCGTATTTTGCCCCATTCACACCACAGCAGCAGCAACAACTAGCTAATGATTTTGCTTTGATCGAAGAAGACGAAGACGATGTTGGCTTGGACTTTGACGGCGAGGATTTCATACCCGGCGAGTTGTCAGATCTACTCACCCCCAAGGAGCTCGAAAGGCGCAATTCCAGGTCTTCGCTTTCACGCAAGCTGAGCTGGACAGATCATTCCTCTGCGTTTCCTTCTGCTTCCAGCACGCTCCTTGGTTCTGACCCACTCAACCAGGGCGAGCCGGCTTCAGCAGCGAACTCTTTTTCGGGCCTGTCATCTGCCACTTCGATAGAATACTCGCCGCCCGGCAGTGGCTCTATGGCTTTCGGGCTCGCTGCTCCCTCTTTCGACTACACTTATCTCCAAGACCAACGTCAGGCCAGATCAGTGTGGACCAAACAGGACCAGCCTCAGATGTCCTCCCATTACGTCAATGTGGATCGGCTGGGTCTGCTGATGTCGGGAGTAAGAATCAAAGACGAGCCAGAGGAAAGGAGTTCGGCAAACGGACAGAAATTACATCAGTTTTATTTGGGCGATTTACATCAACAGGTTTGAGTGAGTCTACGGTTACAGAAAAGAACAAACCATGGAGTAGAAAGGATTTTTGACACATTATCGGGACACAAAACAACAAAACACAGGCGTTGCAGGCGTAGCAGGATAGCTTTTGCACTTTTTAAAACATGCCATTCAACTTTTTGTTCACTGGGACATTACGGTCGTTTCCCAGTTGTCGGTAAACAGAACTGAACTGAATACCAAAGAACGAATGGTTTGAACCAAAAAAAAAAAAAAGAGAGATCGTGAGAGAGGGAGACAGACAAGGTAATGCTAAATTTGCGAATCCCACGCGAATGCTGTTTCTCTTTCCCGAATCAAAATGCTCCAAAATTTAGGTTTTTTACAGGTTTATAGTGGATGGGTGGTTAGTTAGGTTTATTAACGTTCAATCTCAGTTACAGACAGAAATCAGACTTGTTTGACAATGGAAAAGAACGTTGTCTACATTGTTGCGCGTCGTCTGAACTACTGATAAGTTGTTTTTAGCAAATTTCGAAAGTTTCTGAAATAAAATTCACGCTGTATTTAGTTTTCGTCAAAGACAGTCATTATTTGCAACTGGATTAGTCTTATCCGAGGAAGTTGTAAAGTGTTGTGTGACACTGCAGTTATGTCGAAGAGAAGGATAGGAGACGCAAGGTGCAAGTCCTATGGCCTCCCCTTGAAAGGAGCTCAGATACTAACACTTTCTCAGTGATTTGCAAATTTCGATAAAAAGAATTTTTTTGTCTAGAACCTGGCACGACAGTATTATTCTGTCGCAGAAGAACAATGGAAGAGAGATATCCTGGCGCGACCAAGTTGTGGGGGTCAAGAGTCCGTGTTAGATAGTTCGGCAATAAGGATCGCAGTTAAGAATTTTGACGGTGACAGCTAATAGTGAAGATGTAACCTTCAAAGTAGGTGCGCCAGGATTAACGTAGTGCGATAGTAGAATCTAATTTCAGTGTCGCTAACAAGTTACTCTTGTTAATATGGCAAACCCTGCAATGCGCCATGCTGTATGGAAAATAGCCGAGGTACACAGCATTATACTCGCTTTTGGTGCCAAACAGTTCACGATAGGCCCCGATGGTATATAATTATTATTTTTTTGGCTCGTTGTCCACCGTTTGTAGCATACAGGCAGTGACGTCAGGATAAAGTCAACGTCACACACGCACCTACCTACATAACATCAACATTTGTGCAGCAGCACGATGAAAGACAATCAACAAGACAACTGTATCGGACCTGAGTCGCACTCACCACTAAGCAGTAAATTAGGTACAACACTTTGCGAATATAAGTTCCCGGCTTATACAGAACCTTCCTCACAGCAATGGCGGTCTCTTCATTCTGAAAATGCGCTGGGGAACAGCTTGGAAGCTCGAATGGATGCTGGACACGAAAAAGAGTATGGTCCTATTTGGAATCCCGGATATCAGTCCCTAGAAAAAAATGATACGCCCTGGTGGCATAATCAACACCGTTATACTAGAAGATCAGTCAGCTCGGCTGCCAACCCTCAATTCAAGAAAATTACTGTCCAATCCCCACATTATTCAAACGATGTTGTCCCCCAAAGCCCTGCGCTAATGTCAAGCAGGGCTAACAGCTTGTTTTCCGTGATGACGGAAAGCAGCAAGAGCGATCACTCTTCTCCGACAGCTTATAAGCCAACACACAGACGCAGTAGCGCCATATCGCTGGATAAAGACTGCATCCGGAGATCGGGGATCTTAAAAAGTTCAGGCAAAGGTTCTGGTTTGGATCGGAAATCCGATAGACTCGTTAGCGGCTTTCATGGTAGAAGCGGCTCCTCTACTTGTGAAGCACCCTTCAAGATTATTGCGCCATCGTCAGGAAATCTCAGAAGGAAGTCCGAACCACACTTTATAACGGATTTCGAGCAGTTTCAGCGTGCCTACGATAGGTTGATCCCGATTCCCGCAAATGTTCATGAATCCAATAGGATTTCTTTCTCTACTACAAACAATGATGTTTTAGGGCCAGTTAGCTTGGCACCGTACTCCTGTTTACAAAATTCATCACCAAAGGAAGGCCAAATTCACGAAGCTCTGTTGCCTCCTATAGAATTTTCAGATTCGTCTTCGCGTGCAGATGAAGAGCTTCCGAAGAAAGATGGCGATGAGCTTCTTTCACTGAAAGAGTTTCTAGAAAGCACTCCATAGATTGCAAGTATTTACTAGATATGTTAAACGCTATAAATGAAACATGGCTTCACTAAATCACCTCAGATGCGGCTGAATTATTTGCCTGGGATTTACTCTGCTTGGATCCAGCGTATTCTGATTCTTACTCCCCGACAGCTGTATCCATTTCTCTTCGACAAAAATCAAGTTCCACACACTAAATTTCGTCGAGACTGCAAACTTAAGTTCCAGGAAAAGCTCAAGTATAATACCAGGAATAAGGTAAGCCTTGGATGGCTTGTGATAAAGTCTCCTGACGTTCCAAAGCATGAAAATTTCGAAACCATTGATAAGTCGAAGTTGCATCGCCAATAACTCAAAACCTATTGACCGAAAAGGTTGACAATGAAGACTTGTATGGGAATTGTCTGTCATAACCAAAAGAGTATCCTCGGTGCTTTTGTACTGCGTAGCCATAAAGGTAAGCGTTGTATTGAAATTGCATAGCAGCAATCCACTTTTCTGCAGAAAAGCTAGCACCAGAAGGTGAGAGAAGAGATAGTTAATTCAGAGAAGAGACAGTTAATCCACTGAAGCAGTTAGTTGCAAAGAGCAGCGAGAGTTGATCAAAATTACTATTCGTAACAGGTATCAACAAACAGTAAGCATTGCAGCGTAGGCTTCCCAATACATCAGCAACATTTCGAAATTCAAAATCTCTATACCCTCCAGCGCTGAGAAGTTCCTCTCTAAACTTTCTAGAGTGAAGTTTGAGAATGGAAGCCAAGGTCGATGACCCATGGAACGACATGGCATTCAAGCAAAAGAACCAAAATTAGACTTTAGCCAATTGAGGCCAAAGTAGGCTCTCGCCAGAATTGACGAAAAGCCCGACCACCACAGTAAAATTCAGTTGGAATTACTCGTGGGTTACTTGCACTGAGCTTTCGCTGTGTGGTCATTAGTATCGCAGTTTGGATATCGTCCCAAATGCTCTGCGCGGCAAGCGTGCGAGAAGACATATAATCCAGCAACTCTTGAATTTAGAGTTTGTTCTTCTGAGGGAATCCAGTTAACCCAATAATATCGTTTTTCAACTTGATGCTTCGAGTTTCGATGCATATGAAAATCCTCGATAAGATCATCAAGAGCGCTTAAGAATGGTTCAAAATTTTAGAAGGTCAGCGCTAAAGTTTCCATTTCAAAACTATCATATCAAATTAGCCGTCCCACTCATTTGTAAAGAGTGAGACAGGGGTTTCTCGCACAAAAAATCACGTAAAACCTCTCAGAAATCGGAAATTGAAAGGCTTGCCTCAAACCATCGGAACTTTTTTCACTTCCCTCGACTTTAATCCCTCTCGAGGATCCTTGCTTTATAATATTGAATTCCAACATCAACATACTCACTTTTGATGTCGTCAATTTTAAAGGTTGAGCTTTTATTTAAACCCAAAAGTCCCAATCCTAGATGTCCTTAGTACAAAGTGACATCAACACTTTTTTCGTGTAATAGTGTATATTCAACTACAAAGATCAATACAGAGAGATGACTAGTACATTGCGCTACTCGTCCGTCAATTGGCATGGATTGGGCAGTAAAATCTGCCAGAAAGAAGACTAGATTTATCCAAGGTGGCTCCAGATCAATTGTGGAATCGCTGAATCGCTTTAATGAGGTGTTGACAGAAGGACAGGACGCGATTAGCCAGGCATGTCTTGCTAGCAGTAAGTGGCTTGATGATGAGTTACTAAAGATAGGGCTATTATCGAAGCAGGAGACCATCCCGGAGGAAAGCAAAGAAGCTCTGGAACGCAACAAATTGGCGTTGGAAGAGTCCACCCCGCAAAAAGCTGCGCGTCGTGAAAGCTGGCATGCAACTCCAGGAAACAAGTCTGAGAAAAGTGAGGAACATGTACTAGCACAACCTGACAAAGATGGTAGTAAGCTTCACAAAGATGATGAAAAAAATGCAATATTAGGTGACGTCGATACTAGTTCCAAGACTCGTAGCCGTAGTCTAAAATCGTCACCTTGGTCACCGTACAAGTCCGAAAGAACCACATTCGCCCCAGAGTATGCTCCACCACAAACGTCATCCAAAATTGCAGGCAGTTTTGGATCTCATAGTGGGAACAACTCGAGCGGCCAAGAAGCTAATGAACCGAAAAACAACCATTCGCCAAATGGGTCTAATACACCAACGGTTGGCGAAATACGAACGACTCGTTTGCCATTGGCTACAAGAAGAAGCAGCCTTCTCGAAAGGAACACCACCAGAAAAATACAACCGCTGACAACCGAAAAGACTGAGCGATTGCCGCTAAGAGATCGCTCCAAACGCAGAACTGACATGTTCATTCCATTGCCTGATAAGGATCCTTTGATAATTCGCTCTTCAATCAACCCACAAGCAAAGACCCAAGATCTAAGCAGCTCTACAATTCCTAGGAACGATACTGCATTAAAACATGCTAGCTCCAATGTAATCAGCCGACATGATCGACCGCCGATGAAGACTGTGAAGCCCGTTTACAGCAACGTGTTTGACAGACTTACATCTACCTCAACAACTTCATTTGACAAAAAAGCAACAAGTAGAAGCCCTACAAGAGAAATAAAAAGACCCAAGCTTGTTGAAATGGCCCACATGGAGCCTTCAGGATCACCGAGAGAAAAAAAGTCTCCTAGAATCGATCACACTAATCACAGCATTCATGAAACTCTGAGGAATATTTTTGATTCTCAAATACCGAAGCTGGGGCAGATGAACAACGCTTCTAATTCCAACGGGCTAACGAGAAATTCTACTAATGCAAAAAGATCTTCACTCTTACCAAAGCTCAGCGGTCAGACCGCTGTTTCGCCCATTAGTATGACGGCCAACGCTGCCCACAGAATAAGTGGTATTCATAGCAACGGCCTCGAAACGTCACCAACATTTTCCTCGGTTCGCAGTCGCCCTCCAAAAAGTGAACAACTCAAAGAGCGTAATCGTACCATAGTGGGTCTTTTACATGATCCCCATGTCAGCCCAAGACAAAAAAAACTTCCTAGACGCGAGAGCTCAACAACGGAATTTCTCGAAAGTGTCTCCGCTCGAAGGAACGACGAAAAGTTGCTAGCAAACCAGCCAGAAGAAGATTTAGATCGGTTAGAGAGGTCATCAATCAAGAGCTTGCCTCAAGAGCACCATGACATCAGGGAGATAAAGGATAGCAGACCAAAACAAGCGCAAGATCGTTTAACGAAGTTTCAACTTTTACCTCTCGTCGGATCTGAGAGACAGGACGTGAAGAAAAAGCTTGACAAGAGGTTGTCAGAAGTTATTCGCAGTCAGAAGGAACAAAGCAAGAGAAGTCAAGAAAAGCTGAAGAGGAAATCCAACATTGAGGAAGACGTCAAGCAGCGGAAGTCACGCATATTTCAGGATTCTGATCCTAATAGAGGAACAAAGAGCTTCTGTGCGGGAGCAGATGGCGCTGAGAGCTCAAACAACAAACCGCGTAATACGATACTCTATGACCTGAACACCACAGATCATAGACAAATGATAAATGGAAATTCAGAGGAGACAAACACTGAAACAAATGCGGGAGACACAACACTTCCAGAAATTGACTCTGATTCGGATGCCGAAGACAGGTCTATTTTGGCAGCATGGGCACATTCACCATACCTACAAGAGCAATTGCTAGCTCAACAAGACTGGGACCCCGAATCAATATTTGGACCCATTCCTCCTTTGCACACGGATGAGGTCTTTCAAAGTTCGAGGCTTTCCAAGCTAAAAACCCGGCAATCCATTTCTCGTCACAATATTGGTCTTTGAATATGGATTTTAATTATCTATAAAATTAAGTCGCTAATAATTGAACGGCAGGCTTGGCGATTGGGCTATTTGCGTTTCTTCAAAGCATCTGATTTATTCCACTTGGAAAGCCATTCTTCACTTGAGCTTTTAGGAACAAAGTATATTCTCAAAGACCGATCGAATAAAGGAACTATAGGTTTTTGCATTTTTAGCACGTCGTGGAAAGTTGCTTTCTTACCTACTTTCACCAAACCACCACTTTCTGTCTCAATGTAGCTCAAAAGCTTTTTGGTTGTAAAGTTTTCATGAATGGGGTCGTCAAACCATTCTTGGGGTCTCTGAAGAACCACATTTAACAGGTCCTCTGGTGTGCTCAATTCTCCCACAGCTCCGATAAAATCGAATTCATCACTGGTAGGATAAAAAATCATGGCCGGGAAAATCAACTGCGATTGTACATCATTGCTATCCTCCAGGTAACAGCTTGCTTTTTCCAGGAGTTCAGGAGGGTTTGTGGTATCGATGTTCTTATAGCCACGAAGAATTAAGGAGGCGTCTAGCAACGTTTGTAAGCGTTCTTTTTCGGCCTTTTCCTTTTGTCTCATGGTTTCATAGGCCTGTACTTCTGTTTCTCTGGCCACGATTTTTTCGAGCAATGACAGAAGCGCTTGATTGGCAGGATCCAATTGCAGGGCAAATTCAATTGTTTGTTTCGCCTCCTCTGTCCGATCGAGGCCTTGAAAGGCTTTAGCAACCCGATAATAGCATTTGACGTTTTTGGGATTTATGTCGAGGACCGACCTACAGTCATTTATGCATTTTCTATAATTTTTTAGTTCCAACTCACAGGCAGCTCGATTTGATAAGAGACTTTCCCTTAGTTCGGGAACACCGTCTACATCGAGAGCCTTATTATAAATTTCCCTCGCATCACCATACCTCTTGGCCCTATACAACTCATTACCTTGTTTCTTGAAGTTTTCTGCGACTTCTTGAGGCTCACCTTCGTAAGCAAGAGCCTTGAGCGCTTCTAATTCAGTATTTTGGCCACCTTCACCGTCCGTTTCGTCCAGCGTTTTCATGAAAAATGGCATTCGATTCAGCTCCTCAAGTACCTCATCGGTGGTCTTATTTTGAAATTCCGACAGTTGTGGGGGCAATGATGGCTCCCCAGGACCAGGAACATATCGCTTGGGCTTTTGGTACATGTTTAAGAGCTGGATATGGGGTACAATACGTACGAAGTCGAGCTTTTTTGTTTATTCAGACACTGCCGATGATTTCGAATTTTGAGTAGCCCGTTGAAATTTATCATGCTTGATTCTTATATTAAGCTTATACAAAATATCCTCGAGAACAGTAAAGGGAAGCCCTTATGAATACCGGAAGATAGGTGGGGTGAGCTACAAATGTGCGCAGGATATGTTAATTTAGTTGAGAGACGCTTACCCTTTAGCTGGAGTTGCCAGATTATCTTAAAGGGTTTGAATATGATCTGTCTGTGAAGAAGCACGTGACCTGAGAAAGTCCACAACAACTGACAAACCTGTAGCTTTGGCAGTCCATGGATGAACCGTGTTTTAATCATCCTCACTTCTGCTGAATTGACCTTAAGTTGCGTGAGGTTTTGATGAACACCAGATGCATTGCCGTTTAGTTGGAAAATGAGTGCTCAATCGATGACAGTTATGTAAAAAGTGATGAAATGCGCCAAACTCGTTATACTGGGAGAAGAATTGCGTACAAATTTCCACCTCAGTACCTACAGGAAGCCTTGATCGAGTTGACACGAGTTTACAGAGCTTCCCAAACCACTCCATGTGTTTTTTTTTTGATCAAAATTGTCTCTAGGGTTTTCGGATAATTAAAAAGCCGAGTATCGATTTTGCCTTAGCACTAGGTATGTATATCCAGCAACCTTAAAATTGCCCCCATTCGAAGAGGCGTTTTTTTATACCGCACAGCGATCTCATAAACATGAGCTATTTGATTATCATCACAGACCTTTTTCAAGAACGCATCCAAGAAAAATATCGTTGTAGAGTGACTTGGGGACTTCATTGTCACCAGTTTATAAGTCAAAGCAATGGAATGAAGCGGTAATATTGGCGTCGCGCTATCCAAAGTTAGCACTCGGAACAAACAAATCACTCTCTGAACTTTTTCCACCCTTCTGGCTTCTCAAGTTTCTTGAAATCGTAATATTCATTCGTACAAGAGTAAGGCTGGAAACTGAAATCCCACATTGGCTCACACGAGCATTTTCCCTTTTGCCAGATGCTCTGATCCAAGGGACAGTTGTTGTAAGGATTGTGGAAATAGCCAATATCAGGGAAGTAGTGAACCTGGTCGCTCGACAAAAACAAAGACGCTGCAATAGAGTGTACCGGAGCATCACCCCAACGTTCATAGAAAAACCCGCCTGCTTTGTCCAGATGATCAAAATAGTCTTGGTAGGCTTGAGATCTCCAGAATTTCAAGCTCGCTACTTCGAAATTGGACCAAAAATGGCACAAGTTGTAGGTTTTGCCCTTGTCGTTGGAAATAAATCCCATCATGTTATCTTTGGCAACGTAGTTAGGGTTCTCGGTGATAAATTCTTTGGTGGTGGACCATAGGGTCGGAATGGTCGATTCAAATTCCTTGATAGACACAGTGAAACCGTACATTTTGTTATTGTCCTGCATCCACTTGAACACATCGTAGTCGACATTGCAGTGCAGCTTGGTGCTGGGCTCCACACGCCAATACCAGTCGTACTTCTCCATCAATTCGTGTCTCCAAAAGAACCCCGATTCGTAACGACACATGTGTCTGTAGCTTTCACTGTCTCCATAAATATAGTCTGCTGTTTGTCTTACTTTGGCAGCACGATCCTTATCGATCCATTCCGGGTATGACCAGTGCGCCTCGGGAATCAGACCAAACTCGACCGAGGACGACACAACGTTCTTGATGGCAGCCTTGAATTCTGGGTCAAAGGGCTCATTGTTCAAAAACACATATGGATAGTTGAATTTGGAGTTGTAGCGATCTTCCAAATTCCGCACCGTTTCCAAAATTTCCTGCAAATCACTATTTCTTACCAACGATACGAAAGCCGCTTTCACTGCAGTGCCAGCGGTTTCGCTGTCTGAGTCACCGGCTTTCTCAGTTGCTTCCTTTTCCACTCCTTCGCCCAAAACCTCTGGGTGTTCCGCAGTGGCATCTTTCAACAAGGTCTTGGCATTTTCATCCATTTCCACATCTTCAGGATGTTTGCCCTCGGCGCTCTCTTTTTCGGCCTCTTCTCTCTGTCTTCCCTCCTTTTTCGCTGCCTCTGTGTTCCAAAAACTATTTGTACTGCTAACTGCTTCTTTCGTCTTGGTCACATAGTAGCTTGCCGTTTCATTATTGGTGCTATGAAGTACTAGACCAATGATGACCAATGCCGAAACAACCAATAAAACCACTCGTAAGAGTCTTTTGCTAACTTTCAACGCCATTACCAACTCCTATAGATGATGGTAGGCTAAATGAATGTGCTTCGTACTCCTTTGTAAATGGTGTTTTAAACTGGAAAACTGTTAACCGTAAGGTTGAAGTATGTTTTTACGTTCATATTCGAGGTTGTCGTTGATGACGGAGGACAGAGATAGATCCCTGGGGAACACGCGAAAATTCTTGATCTAGACTCAGATTTCGGGTATAATAAGAATAGAGTCGCGTTCGTGTGTGGGAGGAGGAAACTCCGGGCACGAAACGATTGGTTTTGAAAGGACAAGTTTTGTCGTGGCTGTTGGAATTGCGGATAAATAGAAAGAGAGTATGTGAGATGTCTATAGAAGGAACCAGGTGCGCTGCTCGATACATCGTTGAGCTGAGAGTTTATACATCACTATATACGAAGAATGTTCGCGACAGAGATGGAATTGTGACATGTATCTTGAAGTTTAGTAGAAATGAGGTGAGAAGATAGCAACAGGAGAACCGCAAGAGCATGCTATGGCAGGATTGATTGGTCTTCTATAGTCCAAAATTATTTTCAATGAAGTTGTGTTCTATATCACCTTCGACGACAGTGACACCTCTCTCTCTGAAGCTTCATCACTACTCCAGTTTCCCACTGCGCTGTTTCCGGTTCTGTTTGTTTTCGTGGGGGACATATATACTCCATAAATTACTCACCCCAGCCATTCATTTAAGAAGGTTCCCCTCTCGTTTCGTTTCCAATTGCTCCTTCCTCGAAAAAACCCATGCGGCTTCAGACGGCTTCTAAAACAACTCTGGCACCACAACGCACTCGATAGGAATTCTCCGTTTGCGCTCCCCACTTAATGCTTTCAAGAATATCTACAAAATTACATATTAATTTGGCTCATCTCATTATCAGAAGTCGTTTGTCCGACAAATACGGTCACCAATACCAAAACCCTTTAGTCTATATACGTACACACATACCATTTCAGAACCCCTCTGCTCAAAGCTCCCATCGGACTTGTCTGTTTCCTCGCTCACGACACTTAGCCTTTCGTATTTCACTACCCTCTTACGAATACTACAAGTCCAAGGCATCGAGTCATTACCGTCATCACCGTCAAACCGTCAGAGATCAACACATCTCATGCATAGTTTACACCAGAAAGAAGCACGACTGTTTGACTTACTGGCCACGAAACGTGTGCGCCAGCTTTTAGAACTTCCACAAACGCAATGCGTTGCAGTTAAGTTCAATATATCCGATTTGATCAAACGACGGGAAACCATAAAACCCAATTTCTACTATTACACTATGGTGGACGGCTGTGAGGAGTGGTGTCCGTGACACCGCTTTGGATCTAGCCGGCAAAACAGCCCAACTCACAGAGCTGTATTGGGACTCCATTTTGCTCACTGAACGTGGCTTTGTGGATCCAAATTATAACGATTACGCCAGTTTTCAGAAATACGTAGTTCAAGAAGTTGGAAAGACGCTAACCATTCACGATAGGGGGCTAAAAGTGCAGACCAGCTGGCCTGGCAAAAGTATGTGGCGAAATATCGGTCTAGCGTACTCGCTGTTGTATTTCCCCGGCTGGTCAGATTGTCCGATTTGGGGCAAAAATAACTCTGACAGACTCCAGGTGGTCCTGCTAAAAGACATCCGGCGTGAAGTAAAATCCTTGCTCATTGCCCTATTGGAATACGCTGCCGTTTTGGATCTTGCCTGGCTCCGAATACACGTTTTGAGAGACGTAGAAGGGATAAAAGACCTTCTTCGAAATCTTAACTGGCTAGGAGGAAAGGTGGTAGCAAACGAAAACCGTTCCAAAGCCACAGAATACTTGACACCGGAGGAATGCGCCATGTTTTCTGATGAAAAGTTTGTCATTGTGGAGTTCGAGTGCTGAAAATGAAGCCAGCTTGCAAGCAGACGGTTGCGACCTTCAATTCGAACATGCTGAATACAATACAGATAACTCATGTGCGAATATGTACTTCTTCATACTCGATCGTGCATCTTCTTCGCGGTCAAGAAAGTTAGCATTAAGCAACGGCGGTTGTGAATGCTGTGAACACTTCAGAACTACCCTTCAACAAAATCATCATACATATGCGGTATTTAAGAGTATGTACTGGTTATATCATTCCATGGTCAACACTAGGGCTGGACATCCACGTCGTCTGATCTCATCTTTGATACTTAAACAGTTTGGCAAGTGAGCGGGTTCATCACATGCTTGCTAGTTCAAGCCCTCACTACTACGCCGTCAGGCCTTTATAACATCGAGATGCCCAAAAGACTGTAAGTAAACATAAAAGACGTCGCAAAGACAGCGTTTTTGCTTACGGACTGCGATGTCTTTTAATGGTATAGGACTCAAAAGTGCTAAGGGTTCGTCAACTTCTGGCCATGTTCAGCGATCACTTGCTTCCAACGACGATCGCAAGCAGGATAAGATCCACTCCAGTAGAGTCAAAAAATCCCAAGAACGCTTAAAAGATGCCAAAATTCGTCATCATAAGAGAGACGATGCTATTGTGAAGCATGTCAGCAGGCGAGAAATTGAATTACGGGTTTCGGAATATCGAGATAAACTGGAAGAAGACGAAACGATAGACGACGCTATCATTGACGCCAAATGTGAGCAATACAGACAAAAGGTTCTGAAAGACTGGGAGAAAGAGCAGGAAGATGAAAAGCTGCGAAATGCCTATGTTTCAAGAAAAAAAAGAGCGTCAAGAGAAACCCATGGTGAAAAAGATGGCTAAGAATGACCCTGGTGATTGAGCTTACCGCTGCTATAATACAAAAACCGGTGGTGATGTATAGTTGCATGCGCTCACACATAACGCAAAATTTTGAAAGTCTCCCACTGCCACTTTTTATCCAATTCGGCACTAGAACAATTGTTTGGCATTTACAACCTCATGGTGAGATGCTCCTACTATTTTGATCATAGCTCATTTCTCGACTTCTGACGTTCTTCGAGCACCAAGAAAGCTTGGCAAGACTTATTTAATAGATAGTTTACGATTCAGGCTCGGCTTAAGGGAAGAATTCGAGTTGTTATCGAATCGCTCTCTGTTAGTTCATCATTTGAAAGCATATTTATCCACAGCGTAATGGTGAATTGATAAAATTGGCCTGTCAACTTTAACATATCGGAAGAGAAAATTTACGTCAAATTGAACTCCGTACCAATCCTGAATTCGTTCGCTAACGATGTTTCATTTGGCTAGGGGCCTGTATGCGAATTTGAATCGCAAGGAACAGTACTCAATACTAATCCTGGGTCTTGATAATGCCGGTAAGACCACCTTCTTGGAAATGCTAAAGAAAGAGTACTCCAAGAACTCGAAAGATCCTAATAAAATAACACCCACAGTGGGTCAAAATGTAGCGACGATTCCGATAGACTCTAGCATATTAAAGTTTTGGGATGTGGGAGGGCAGGAATCCTTGAGGGCTTTATGGTCCGAATACTACACTCAAGCACACGGGATCATTTTTGTCATTGACAGTGCAGATCGAGAACGACTGGAAGAGTGTTGTCAAGCATTGAGAACCGTTGTAATGAGTGAGGAAGTTGAGGGTATTCCTATACTTATGCTGGCAAATAAACAAGACAGAGAAGATCGCATGGAAGTGCAAGATATAAAAGAGGTTTTTAATAAGTTAGCTGAGCATTTGGGGGCTCGCGATAGCCGTGTTCTCCCGATAAGTGCGTTAACACAAGAAGGCGTGAAAGAGGCCGCAGAGTGGATTTTGGTGCGGCTGAAACGCAACAAGGCCAACAAACCACCGGATTACAGATGATATTCCGTGGATCGTCGAAGAGATAAAAAAAAAAAGCATTCAACCGTTTGTATTATAGCGAAGTCGCCTTTCGTGGCTACCTATTCGAAAGCGAGGTTTTCTATACCTTTGGAAATCTCAAAATCTCCATTTCACGATGCCAGATCAACTGGCTTAATAACTTTAGCAGCATGCTTAAGCCGAACAAGGAGCATCCCATGCTAATGACACCACTCAGTTCCATTCTCACCTTTTGCTAAACAAATGAACACGATAGTATGGTCTGAGAGCCAGCGCTAAAAGTGGGCATGGGTAATATTATCGTCTGACTTCATTATTGCGTGTTGACCAATATCCAGGCACCACAATCTTGAAAGCTCAATGCAGAGTAAACATTTCATAAGGAACCTATTTCAGCAAATGTTATTACCGTATTCCAAACTCCGACCAGCCAATACAAGATAGTTAATGTGAAGACTGGTTTTATACAGTTCAAATGTCACTACCAAAATAATGGTGACTTACTGAGTTGAACCATCATCCGGCCCAACTGAAGCTACGAAAAACCACCACCTAATAGATATGATATCAAATACGTAAGGTTTGCCAACGACCAATCAAAATAAGCTTCTCACAGCGCACTGTCGTCACTAGCCCAGCATCTGTCATTCGAATACAAACGACAGTAAAACTACAAAGTGATGTTAATATCGTGACAAGAATTAGATACCTTATCCAAGAAAGAACCTGAACTTCGATCCTACTAGACTCTGTTCAGAAGTATAAGCTTTGAGACTTAGTTCTAGAACTTGTATCGCATCAGATTCAACTCAATTGCTGACGTTGATCATTGGGTATGGAGAAAATTGGCTCGCAGACCAACGTTAGAGCCTCTAGACGGGCACCACGAAAAATTGCCCATTTCCTACTGGCATTTGTGCTGCTCAGCTGTCTCATTACTTCTTCCGATACCTTTAAAGATTGTTGGAACAGACGGTGGTGGCAGAAACCTACCAAGAAAAATGTCATTTTCTTTGTTACCGATGGAATGGGCCCAGCATCTTTGTCGATGACTAGGTCCTTCAGACAGTTCACTCAAAATTTAACCAGAGACGACATTTTGGTCTTGGATCATCATTTGATAGGTTCCTCGAGGACAATGTCTTCGGACTCCCTTATCACAGATTCGGCTGCTGGAGCTACTGCCTTTTCATGTGCCTTGAAAAGTTACAACGGTGCCATTGGCGTTGACCCATCCAAACAACCCTGTGGTACGATTTTGGAAGCTGCAAAACTCGAAGGATATCACACCGGACTGGTGGTAACTACTAGAATCACTGATGCAACACCTGCCGCGTTCAGCTCTCACGTGGATTACAGATTTCAAGAGGACCTCATTGCACAACATCAACTAGGAGACTACCCACTGGGTCGTATGGTTGATCTTATAATTGGCGGTGGAAGAACACATTTCTATTCTGCAGAAGATGTTGTCTATGGGTCGCGTGGAAGTCGTAGCGATGGACGCAGTCTCATCAAAGAGGCAATTGAAGATGGCTGGAGCTACGCCGGCAATCGCAAAGAATTCGATGCATTAGACAAAGGCCATAACGTTAGTTTACCCTTACTTGCCCTCCTGGCTGATTATGATATTCCTTTCGATTTGGACCGGGATGACGCTGACTTTCCATCACTAGAAGAACAAGCTATGACAGCAATTAACGCACTAACTGAGGCGACCAGAGATTCGGATAAAGGTTTTTTTCTCCTTATTGAAGGATCTAGGATCGACCATGCGGGTCATCAAAATGATCCTGCCGCACAAGTTAGAGAAGTTTTGGCATTCGATAAAGCTTTTGAAGCGGTTTTAAACCATGCTGCTGAAAGTAATGTGGAAACTATTTTGATTTCGACCTCTGACCATGAAACTGGTGGATTAGTCACCGCCAAGCAACTATCTAAAGCTTATCCCGAATATGCATGGTATCCACAAGCTCTGAGCGATTCTCAGCATTCCGGCGAGTATTTGAGCAAAGAGCTTTTGCGGTACGATGGAAGCAACAAGTCTGATTTCATAGAAAAGACTATCTTTGAAAAGTACATGGGTATCTTCGATTACACTAAAAACGATACACATGACTTGTTAAAGCTCACTTCACTTGCGGAGCTGAACGACAAATTGAATGGAATGATATCGACACGAGCACAAATTGGATGGACAACCCACGGTCATAGTGCGGTGGATGTCAACATTTATGGTTACGCAAATCGCCAAAAAACTTGGCTAAATTTACTGGACAAGTTGCGGGGAAATCGCGAAAATACTGATGTTGGTCAGTTCATGGCAGACTTTTTGAACTTAGACCTGCAAGAAGTAACTGACCGGATTAAGAAAACAAAGCACTCTCCTAATATTGACGCTGTTGAATCGCTTGATACCCAAACTGATGAATATCATAGAGGAATATATGGCTCGCAGGATGCCTAATATTTTTCACTTCGGGGCTTGCTTGCGCTCGCTATTGTCTTGAATAAAAGTAAACAATATTTAATGTACAGCTCTAATCCGATTTTCATCGAAGTGCGAGAAGCTCTTCTTCTTTTTGAACAATACTCTTTTGTACTTGTACAGCTTAATTAAACTCTTCGATATGGAATACCAGGTAATTTGGTAATCCATACACTTCATAACCAAGTCTTTTGGCCATTTTAGCAAAGCCCTCTGTCTCGATCAAGTGGTAGAAAGGAAAACTAGGGAACATAGCACCATCCCTATGAACATCTGCCTTTACGAGCGTGCATCCTCCACCTACACCATCAAGTTTAGTTTCCGTCTCCTGAGAGCCCGAGGGATCGTATTGATATGCCATCAATGGTCTGTATGTCGCCATTTCGGCGTAACCTTCGAAAATGACTTCATCATCGGCCATATGGGAAGCCATATCTAGGGCTATGTCACTTTCTGCCCAATTGTTGAAGTCGTATGCCCTAAACTGTTTCTCGCCGGATTTTTCGTCTTTGTATCTTTGATAAACGTTGGCCGATAAGACCGGTTTATCGTGCGCGGTCATATCCTGGATTACAGTAGAAGGTGTTTCCACAATGTCCGCATCTATCCAAAGAATCCAAGCAGTTTGTGGACCAATGGTTGAAAACAGAAGTTCGTTACGAGCCAGCGCCATTGCAGAGCGTCTTTGTTTTTGCACTTTGAGATCGTGTCTTTCCTTCTCTAACAGAGCATCGAAACTTTGCGAGTCCTGTCTCAAAATAGTGATTTTAGCAAATCTCTGTTCTTTTTTCCCCAATTGTACTTTTCTCACTGCTGCTTCGAGCTTGCGAAGCGCTGCATCACCGGTATTAGTACGAGGAATGATGAATCCAAGTTCTAGCAGTTCCCGAGGATACGTCAGCTGTAGTAAGTTATCCCAATATTGATCGTGGAATGTTTGCATAGGGGTCAAGATCAAAACCTGTTCTTTGTTGACAGCTGCGTTAGCCGTAGATTGTAGCTTGTTCAAATCGAAATGCGTGATATGACCCGCTGGAATATTATCCTCAACCATGTCACTAAAAAGCCAGTTTGCTTTCTTGTTGTATGAATACTTGGCACTCTTGAACTTCCGGGAATATGGGAAATAAAATGTCTTTTCGTTTTCGTGTGCCCATTTATGGCTGGCAATAGAGGACCCTTCAAGCCCCAGCACCGACTCATCTTGGCTGAAAAACACCCAAAACAGCATAACAACAAGCCCCAGCGGAACAACCAAAGCCAAAACTGGCGTCTTGCGCAATCTGTACGCCCATATAGCCAACGTCATTTTTTTTAAACCACGAAAACAAATCTAGAATCTCGAAAGTCGCACAGTAGAAAACCAACACTTCTTACAAGACTTATAGCTTCAATGGGCCCAACAAAGATGCCAAAATTGCCCAAAAACCAGCTTTCAGGCCTTCTTGTTTGCTAAGTTTTGCAGTGTCGAAGAGCTTAGTTGTACTTCATATGTAGATATATATATATATACATCAATATATTTTGAAATTTGATCAACTTCGAACCTTTCGTCCAAGGTGATTCGATATTTCTCGAGAAACGTTCAAGGCGTCGAAAGCTACGGAACATCACACATAACAGGTTTCGCAGTATGTGAATGGTGAACGATTGTCTGTATTTCAGGGCATTTCGTATTCAATATCATGTTTAAAGTTCTGAAGCTTACCTCTTACATGGTCAACGAGATAATTTTTGTTTTGTCGAACGTTGGTATGCAACGAGTTAAGAGTGCAGATGCTCAAAAGATTGGCTAGGTTTGACTCAAAACACTTTTTGAGAGTTAGTTGAGTTCGAACCCTTTTGTTTAGTCCTCACCATGCTTTTTCGACATTTGTTCACACTCCCATCATGTATTCTTTTCTACTCCTGTCTCTTGAGCACTCTGAATTCGTCCCAGACTTTGTCACATATCGACATAAACATTTTTTTGTCCGTGGCAGCTTCCAGAAGTGCAAATGAGAATCCAAATTTATCGTTTTGAAGTCGAAGTTCGCCGTCCACGGTAGCGTTGCTAGCTAAACTGGGCCCGGACGAATTTTCCCCCGCTATATTGGGTTCTGCACCCTCCTCGATGGCTAGGTCGGTCTCCTCGGTGTCGCTTTCATTACCATTGACGGTATTTTCAGGCTTTATTTCGATCTCGGAGTCCTCCATCTTATACCTCGTGGTTTGTCCAGTTCTCGCTCCAAAAAATTCGTCTCGTGCACTTTGAGGCTGAACCTGGATTGGGGCCCATCGACTTTCATTATTGCCAAACAAATCGCGAGTTCCAACACCTGGATTTTGACTTCTGTAAGTATCAAAATCCTGCTGAAGCGTGTTGGTAGGCGCAGAAGACGGATCTGCAAATGGCGTTTGCATCATGGCATAGGGTATTGGAGCCATTACGCAGGGAGCCTGATATGCGTTTTGAAACGAGCCGTATCCCATATGATACGGAACTGCAGCGGTTTGTGGGATTTGACAATAACCGTAAGGTGTAAAAGGTGCATTCACCAAATACGGCCAGGATGAATTGGGCCTTGGTCTTTTTCGTATTTTTGCATCCGTGTTGGAAGTCGTGCGCCCAAGATATTGGACTCTTGATTTGCCTCTAGGGTACCGTGTAATGTGGGCAGGAGCACTTTTGGCACCTTGGAACCGATTCCCATGGGACTCGGCCGCCCTGGCTTGTGTGCCGTCACCATTGGCTCCAGAGGATCCTATATTCAAGGGTGGAGGAACACGACCTCTTTTAAGAGACTTGGGGCTTCGTTTGTGACTATCGTGATCGAGAGAGTCGAGACTCGATGGCTGTACGTCCTGATTTGTTTGCTCGACATGTTTGGGCACAACTTCGTCACCATAATCGGAGTTTTTTAAAGCTTCCGTTTGACGTGTACTTAGCTTGTTTATCACTTCTTTCTGGCCCTTAGCTATGTCTCTGGAAAGTTGAATCGTTGATAGCATTCGGTTGTCCATTTTGCCAAAACCAGGCGAGACGCACTGCATGCCCAGCCGTTTGAGTCTTTCACGGTTTTCGTCTGGTTGCGAATCCTTTGCAGAAGTAGCTTTGGGGCTCATAATGTTTTTCGACAAGATCCGTGCGAATATTGTTCGAGATTTCAGTAATGTTGTTGAACTTAGGACTTTATAACCTCACAATAAGATTTAGGGAACAGTTGGCAATTTATGAGGCGGGCTACACGACTTGGTAAAGGCCAATTGGGCTTTGTCACTGATTGAAGCTACTTGCGCAGATTGTAGATGAAGATGGATAAAGAACGGTTTCTCTAGTTAGCTCTACCACCTCCATCTCGTGGTTGAAACTTGACCAGTTTCGTAATGCTCGAGAAAACAGTGGTTTAGTCGGAGTCATTTTAAACGGCAGAGCGGTAAATCACCGTTTGCGATACGGAATAGCGCTACCATTGCCCAAGATCGATGATTTAAAAGAATTGGGGTTTGCTAGTCTGCCAAAGACAGACTTTCTCGGTACTTTTGAGACTCATACCATTGTGTTTGGACACGAATTGTGTATTAGGCTCAAAAGTCAACTTTGAAACTATTCAAATTGTAAGCAATCGAATTAAAGATCTCCAATTGTGATTCTGATGTGACATCAGGCACTATCGCTTTTCTTTATCCTCACTTTAGGTATTTGTTCAATCTTCAGTCGTTGTTGTATATATTGTCAGCGATGATTGTTTGGTAATTGACCGAGTCGAAAACTAATATACATCAGAGAAATTACTATGGTCTAATCATTCATTCGAAGAGGCATTGAATGCTAGAAATGTAGAGTGGCAACGAAAGTACTGGCCGAAACATGATTCTGATTCGAAAAAGTTTCCGCTGATGGTTTGAACGCTTTGAAAATCAGGAAAATGACAATGTGATGAAGGTCCTACTGACACTAGTCACGTGACTGTATAAAGACTAACGTCTTTATCAACTTACGACCCAGCTTTAGAAAGAGCAAAAAGACGCACATTGAATTCCCAAACCAAGACCTTCGGTTTTTTGGCAGCAGTATCGAGATACTTGCTCAAAAGGTCGGGAATTTGGACATCGCATTTCTCTATACGGTTTAACTTTCCGTAGTAAATGAGGTACTTTATGAAATCAAATTACATCAAGTTACTATCGGTATTTCCTTAGACCCTTCTATCTGCTTTAATCGACAGTGATTTCTAGCTTTCATTGCCACCAAAACTTGGCAAGACTCTACATAACATATTGGCATGTCGCAAGGTCTCTTATATTGTAACTTTCGCACCAGAACTCGGGTTCCTCGTGCACTCGTCGAACATCTCAAGCTCGATATAAAGCTCGTGGATCCAGAGGACCAGCCAACAGAGTTCGCTCGCGATTTCCCTCTAAAGAAGGTGCCGGGCATGGTTTTGCCTGATGGATCGAAATTGACAGAAGTCATTGCAATTTCATATTACTTGATCGGACTCTCCTCTGACCATTTGGCCAAGGAACAATTGGCTGGATCTAACATAGAAGAAAGAGCTCAAGTTTTGAGATGGATGTCATTGACGAACAGTGAACTGCTGGTTTTGTTTGCGAAAATATTGAAGCCTCTTATTGGCCAAGCTCCTTACATCAAGCCTCAGGCAGACACGTTTGAGGCCAAGATTGAAGCCGTTACAGCATCTTTCGAAGCGAGACTGTCCACCCACACCTATTTGGCGACCGAACAGGTTTCGTTGGCTGATCTTTTTGCTTTCACAGTGTTTGGCAAGTGCTTTGAGAACATTTTTGGTTCCAAGTGGCGTGCGGCCCACCCAGCCATTATGCGTTGGTTTAACACCGTGAAGGACGTTACTTACTTGAGGGAACTCTCTAAGAAGTATGAGTTGTGCGATGAACCATTGCCATTGCCCCAAAGTAACAAGAAAAAGGAATCCAAGAAGGAGTCCAAGAAAGAAACCAAACCTCCAGCTCCAGTTGCAAAAGCACCAACTGCGACAGAGGAACCAGTCGAGCAGAAGAAACCTAAGCATCCTTTGGAATTACTTGGCAAAGCCACTTTCCCCTTGGATGACTGGAAGCGTAAGTACTCCAATGAGGACACCAGAACAGGTGCATTGCCTTGGTTTTGGGAGAACTATAACCCAGATGAATACTCTCTATGGAAGGTTGACTTCAAGTACAACGATGAGCTGACTTTGACCTTCATGTCCAATAACTTGGTTGGAGGGTTCTTCAACAGACTCAGCGGCTCGGTCAAGTATATGTTTGGTAGTTTGGTAGTGTTCGGTGAGAACAACGATAACGGTATTACAGGTGCTGTTATGGTAAGAGGCCAAGACTTTGCTCCTGCCTTTGATGTCGCACCAGACTGGGAATCGTACTCTTACACCAAGCTAGACCCTTCTAAGCCAGAAGACAAGGATTTTATTGGCAACATGTGGGCCTGGGACAAGCCTGTTACCGTTGACGGTAGGGACAGAGAGATTGCCGATGGCAAAGTCTTGAAATGATTGGCGACAGATCGCTGTCATTACAAAGTTTATAACTGGGTATAAGATTCTTCGAATATATGACTTTCTACCATTAAGTGAAGGCTTGCTATTTTGAGCTGCGGAACAATGTAGAGAAATTGTCGTAAATGGTATGAAAAGGCAGTTTCTTGGTTAAATGCTGAATACGGAAAACACTGGTTTACTACAGCGATGCCGTATGGATGGGGCACTTCGCTGGTATTAACTACGAATAAGGCTTGCAATTTTGCGGCTGCTGGAATGAAAGTGATAAAGACCCCCAGACCTACGGTAAACCTTAGCTGCTGCGAAAGAAGAAGACCTGCCAACTGAGCTTTGGCGTGCTACAAACCTTTGAAGAGAAGACCATATGTGCTGCTCGTGCTGTTGAATTGACAAATTGATAAGGATACTACGTACTGCGATTCGACTAAGCTACCTACTTTTGAAGCAATGAGGTTTCTTTGACACAAACCACTACAGATCCCGCAAATGCTGAATTGACTTACGCTAAAAACAATCAAAAACGTCCTAAAGAAAAAGGCGCTCAAAATCCAAAGACAATAATTAACATAAGCCACAGCAGACAATACTAGCTGGGTCTCGTATTGTGTCGCAGTGGATCTGAGTATAGTTACTGATCTCTTATACCGTTAACGGTTTACCTTGTTTTGTATCATCTTATACGAGACTTTTACAAAACAAATAAGAATATCTCATGAGAGGGACCGATACCGTCCATCTCGTTATCCAATCATGAAACAAATATTACCTTCCTCTTGTCCATCCCTTAACAAGCTCTTTTCGTATGTTTACGATGACATTATCGTCGTAAGCAGTCTTTCGTACCGAACGACCTTTAATATCCGACTTGCAAACCACCCCTCTCGACCCTCACCTCGTCACTCTATCCAGCTCTAAACTAACCTACCTACCATATCAGCCTGCACATCTTTACCCTTTTCCACTCCCATCGCTTTGGAATTACGTGTCGTTGCGGGCGTACCCGACATCTCCGCGCATGCGCTTGATCCCGCCCATAAGAAAAAATTGGAGTAACATCTCCGACTTAGATAAGCAGGCGCTAAGATATGGATGACCCTAAATTTTGGCAGTTTGACGACTATATAAGGAGCCGGATTTGATAGAATCCAGTCCTACTATCGTAGCATACTAAACACCACTGATAGCAGTTGAGTTAAGTTCTGTTTCGCGAACTTTAACGAGAGTAAGTGGTGTAACTGGTGTAAGTGACTAGTTAAACTAGTGATATCAGTGTTTCAAAAGAAGAAGAAAAAAAATCCAGCATCATGGCTAAAAACGACCCTACAAACGCCTCCAACGTTAGGAAGGACCGCATTGTGACCAACTCGCAGGGTAATCCCATCAACGAACCGTTTGCGACACAAAGGGTGGGACAACATGGGCCACTGCTGTTGCAAGACTTCACCTTGCTGGATTCTTTGGCGCATTTCAACCGGGAACGGATTCCAGAACGTAACCCCCATGCTCACGGTTCGGGTGCATTTGGCTACTTTGAAGTGACAGACGACATCTCAGACGTGTGTGGATCGGCCATGTTCAGCGAAATCGGCAAACGCACCCGTTGCATGGTGAGATTTTCGACCGTGGGAGGTGAAAAGGGCTCTGCAGACACCGCCAGAGACCCCAGAGGGTTTTCGACCAAGTTTTACACCGAGGAGGGAAACTTAGACTGGGTCTATAACAACACTCCTGTGTTTTTCATCCGGGACCCCTCCAAGTTCCCACATTTCATCCACACTCAGAAACGCAACCCTCAAACCAATCTGAAGGATGCAGACATGTTCTGGGACTTTCTCACAACGCCAGAAAATCAAGTGGCTATCCACCAGGTGATGGTTTTGTTCAGCGATCGCGGAACGCCAGCGTCATACCGCAACATGAATGGGTACTCGGGCCATACCTACAAGTGGTCAAACAAAAAGGGCGAATGGTTTTATGTTCAGGTACACATCAAGACAGATCAAGGTATCAAGAATCTTAACAACGAGGAAGCCGTCAAACTCTCTGGTGAGAATCCAGACTACTGCGGCCAAGATCTCTTCAAAAACATCCAAGAGGGCAAATTCCCTTCCTGGACCGTTTACATTCAAACCATGACGGAAGAGCAAGCCAAACAACAGAGTTTTTCGGTTTTCGATTTGACCAAGATCTGGCCTCACAAAGAATTTCCACTTCGTCGCATAGGTAAGATGGTTTTGAATGAAAACCCGCAAAACTACTTTGCCCAAGTGGAACAGGTAGCTTTCTCACCCAGTCACACCGTGCCTTATCAAGAAGCAAGTGCCGATCCTGTTTTGCAGTCACGCTTGTTTGCCTATCCTGACGCTCACAGACACAGACTGGGCGCGAATTACCACCAGATTCCTGTCAATTGTCCTTATGCTTCCAAGGTGTTCAATCCAGCTATCAGAGACGGTCCTATGAATGTGGACGGAAACCTCGGTTCCGAGCCAAACTATTTATCCAGTGCCAAGAGCTACAGTTATATCCAGGCATCCAAGCCCATCCAGCAGCATCAAGAGGTATGGACTGGACCAGCCGTACCCTTCCACTGGGCCACGTCGCCAGGTGATGGAGACTATGTGCAAGCTCGTGGACTCTACAAAGTTCTCGGTCGCACTCCTGGCCAGCAACAGGCCTTGGCACACAATGTCGCCGTCCATGTTGCGCACGCATGTCCCGAAATTCAGAACCGGGTGTTTTCCATGTTTTCACGCGTTGACAAAACCTTGGGCGACAACATCAAGCGGGAAGCTTTATCTCTAGCGCCCCGTCGGTCTACCAACCCTCAAGCAAAGCTTTAAGGAACGTGCTGATGAACGAGAGAGAGAGAGAGAGAGAGAGAGAGAGACGTATTTATTTACAATTCTGTTCAATTACAGAGTTTCAGCGTGGCTAGCATTTTGTCGATAGTTTTTACTGTATAGTTTCCATTTTCTAAACTGATTTTCTTGGCTTTCCCTGGCTATCGAGACTAATTCAATTATATTCACTGTAATCGTCATCAGCTTAGAGATGAAAAATAGCTGATTTTAAAAAACTATAATATCCTTATTTTGCTCCATACACACCTGGTCAATCGAGCCTTTTGATTCATGTCGCACCCAACTATAGAGGGCACTTCCCATTCTATCTTCGACAACCTTATATCGTGTATGATCCAGGACATTGTTGCAAGGACTACAACGCAAGCACATGCCCTGAGGTTTAGGTACGGTGATGATCCAAAACCGTACCACTACGATAAGTCAGGTAATCTTGATATTCACGGCAGGCCTAAGCAGCTAGATAGTGCCATCTACTTCCATTGTGATAATTGCAATAGAGAAGTCTCGGCAAACCGATTCGCAGCACACGTTGAACGGTGTTTGTCGCGTGGAAGAAGAGCCTGAAAGGTAGGCACCATATAAAGAAGGCTGGGCTAGCTAGATCGGTTCTGATGCAGATCACACGGTGAAGAAACATGAGGACTTAGCGATTGGTCCGAGTTTCTCAAGCTACGAGCCCTCTGCTCACCGTCCATGGCGACCTCATCTCATTCATGATCTGCCAATGAATAAGGAAGGTTATCCATCTCAAGTTCTTAAGGGATGTCACCAACGGAAGTACCATTCAAAGCTTCCTAGTCGAGATTTGAAAACCCTTTGTAGATTTTGAATTGTCGCAAAGGACAATAATCTTTTGTCAACACCGAGAAGGTTTTATTTCACCGTCTTGTCCTTTTCTTTGGCTTTAAAAGCAGTTCAATCATGTCAGAACTGTTAAGTACTTTGGGAACGGAGTACCAGAAACTCACCGATGGAGCTGCAGCTGGTCAAACGCACTTGAAGAAGTGCTTGGAAGATACGCACGAATTCAAGATCAATGTCAAGAAACTGAAAGGTTACTTAGCGAAACAGATCCAAGAAGAGGAACAAGATAAGGGCCACAACAACTCTGCCAAACTAGTGAAAAAGCGTCAGGTTGCAATAGAAAAACTCAACAAACTTCACAATAACTGGGACAACGGAGTCAAAAAGAGCATCAAGCTGGCCACGCAACAACACTCTCGGTTTCAAAAAAACGCTTTAAACAAATTGTACGACTTTGAGCTGGACCAGGTCTACACAAATCAGTTTCCGCCAAATGCACGTAAATACGTCGATCAGGCAATAGGGCTTCATATATCGCGGTACAACGTGTTTGATCTGCCTGAACAGGACGCGGGGACGATGGTTGAGTATCTCGAGCACGTATACGGCGTGGACCCTGCCGTCTCAACCAATTTCGTGGAAATGGCGCAGATTTTGCGTGAGTTGCGCCATGATAGTCTCGAGCCATGTATGGCGTGGTGCTCACCGGGCTCAGACCTCGAGTTCGAGCTCCATCTTCTCAGAGCCATGTTTCTGTTGCAAAGTGGTGACAAGCTTGCTACCTACCAGTATCTGCTGAAATATATACCTGGGTTTCTCACTCAAACGCAGAAAACGTCACTGCGACACAGAGTAGCACCGTTGCTGGCCCAACTGGTTGCCATGCCGAAATCCGGGGTCAACCTCAGCGAACAACGGAACAAATGCGTGGATTTATTCACGAGCGAGTATTGTGCCCGCAATAGTCTTCCATTCAATTCGTCTCTGTTCCTGGTGGTCATGAGTGGCATTATCTCTTTTCAGTTTTTCATCAAATATAGGACGTTGCAGGCTGCTCGCCATGTCGATTGGAGCACCGAAAACGAACTTCCTTTCAACGTCAAACTCCCAGATTTCTTGACAAGTTTCCACCCAGTTTTCATTTGTCCCGTTCTCAAGGAAGAGACTACCACCGAGAATCCACCCTATGCGCTGCCCTGTCATCACATCATTTCAAGATTTAGTCTAGACAAACTCAGCAAAAACGGAACCTGCAATTTCAAATGTCCGTACTGTCCAGTTACCGCATCACGCTCCAAGACCACCAAGGTCAATTTTGTCATTCTATAGTCTGGTTCCATATTCTGGTCCCATAGTCGTCTTTTTCAAATGTTTAAGTAGTCTGCGACCAATAAAAGCTCTAATGACATTTCAGTAGGGACTTCAAAATCAGGAATGTCCTCGTTTTCAGAAACTTTGATATATTTCTGGTGGTATTCCAGATATTCAGCGACTTTTTGCAGAACGTGCGACTCTATGTCCTTCAGCTCAATCTTGTTCTGCTGTTGTTCTATGAATGGACTGGACAGCATGCTTCGCAGTACTGGAGATACAGAGGCCGCTTCGCGAGAAATAGGAACCTCCACGTTATTCTTTGAGATAAGTATCACTTCAGACATTGAAACGTATCGTCCGGGAGTTGCTGGATGACAACTTTACCTCTGTTCTTTGATCAGAAAGCTACGCGTAGTCAAGTTTCTATTATATTACAGCTCAAATCATCATTTGAACTTAAAGGAACCTACCTAAACTTTGATCTACACTATTGAAAGGGTGAGTTAAAGCCACCAATGCCCATCAAAAACCCAAGTCTGGGCTGGGAAAAATTACAGGATGTGCTCTATAGGGACAGAGATTTGTGCCAGCTGCAATTCCCTGTGAATACTGAGAATAAAGTGGTATTTTCTACAGGTTTAGTAGCTGTGGCCGCAGGTGATGGTAGCATTGAAGTGTGTCAGTATACGGGACAAAGCATTGCCAAGATTGACGTCAAGTCGCTGCCCGCTGAAGTAGTACAATATGAGTTTGACACTGAAGATGAGGGATCCATGGTGATCGCTATGACTGACCGGATAAGGGTATATTTTAACTGGGTTCCTCTGCAATTCCAGGATTATCTGTTGCCCGACGAGGTTGAAGATACGATATGGGACTACAAAAACCGAAGTGCCGTACTTTTGTCATCGCAGGATCTGTACCATTTCGATGGCATGGAACTGGTCAGAGTATGCGAAAACAAAGAGCACTTTACGCTTCTGACCAAAAATCACTGGCATTCAAATAGAGATTTAGTAGTACTGCTTGATGTGGACGATATCTTTCATTTCGATTTGCGGTCAAAACGGCTCGTCAAGGAAGCAGCCAATGAGTCGTGGCATTCCGTCTTAATATCACCACAGAGCTTTGTGTGCCTGTACAATGCCAAGTCCTACGAAATCAAAATATACAAACACGACACAGTTCGACTGATGGAATTCAAGCTAGACTCGCATCCAAGCTTGATCGCATGGTGTGGTGATGACACAATAGCTTGCTGCTTCACCGAAGAGGAGATAAAGCTTTATGGGCCAGACTCGTGCAGCATTGCCTTTTGGTATCCAGAAGAATTGGTCACGATTCAAACCGATGCACACGGCCTGAGAGTAGTCACCAAAGAGCGGGTACGGTTGATCTCGAAAGTGAGCCATCAAACCGCAAATGTGTTTTTAATGGGCTCAACTGAGCCGGGTTCCATTCTCTTAGACTCAGTAAGTCTTCTCTCTACACAAGCACCACGAGCGGTGGAAAATCTGAAAATCATAAATCTCGATCAAGGTGTTGCAGAATGCCTGGATGCCGCCAGAGATGAACTCGAGCCGTATTGGCAAAAAAAGCTACTATCAGCAGCTGTTTTTGGTAAAAGCTCACTGTCAAAAGAGGCCCAGAGGTCAGATCAATTTGTTGACACATGCGATAAACTTAGAGTGCTCAACATGCTTACGGAAAGCGGTATTATACTTACTGTGAATCGGCTCGAGTCACTTGGAATTGATGTTTTGTTGAACCTACTCATGAAGACCGGGAAATTCTACGAGTGTATCTCTGTTTGTCACTTTCTCAAGCTCAAAAACAAACTTCCCAAGGTATTTGCTTCGTGGGGCAAGGCCAAGATCATCTCTTCTTCTGACTTGGAAGACAAAGTCATATTCAATTCCATTTTGAAACTAGCTGATAGCTTGTCCGTCAAATTACCAATGGCCGAAGTTGGAATGGTAGCTTTCAGGGAAGGACGACCCACATTGGCTAAAGATCTCGTGGTTAAAGAAACGCTGCCCGAAATCGAGTTTCCAGCGTTATTCGACCTTGACGAACATGAGCTTGCTTTGAAAAAGGCAAAGGACTACGGAAATCCGGAAATGACGCTATCAGTACTGCTTAAACTACGTGAGCAACTAACTACAACCCAATTCATGAAACTCATACTGCTTATAATGCGCGATGATCAGCTTTTCGCCTATTACTGCAGAAATGACAACTCATTTCTGATAGACTACTACCGCCAGTCTGATCAGATAGATGAGCTCGCATTTCAATTATTGATCCAGGGTAAGAACAACAACACGCCTGGTGCCTTTTTACCTCAGGTAAGAGACCTGTACGCCCGCATCGTCCAAGATCCCCTAATCAAACTCGATCGAGACGTTCTTGAACGACAAATTCAATTGAATGAGTTCCAAAAACAGTTGGAGCAGCTCCATAATGTGAGCTTCGTCGATACAAGTCTGGACAACACCATAAAGAAACTGATAATTCATCGGCTCGACCGACCTCTAGCTTCCATGCTAAAAAAGTTCAAAATATCAGATCCAAAATACTATCATATCAAGTGCGGGGTTCTGGCGCAAGAGCAGAGATTTGAAGATCTCTATAAATTCTCGCAGGAGCGAAAGTCACCCATTGGGTACCTACCCTTTTTTAAATGCTGCCTGCAACAAAAGAAGAAAAAAGAGGCGGTGGTGTACGTTCGCATGGTGTCTGGAATATCATACGAGCAAAGAAAAGAAATGTATTTGAACTGCTCCGCTTTTCAGGATGCAGTTCAATTGGCTTCCAAGGAGAAAGACGTATCGGGCTTGAAAGAGATCTACAAGTTGGTGCCCGCCAATGAACCCCAGCTCAGAGCTTTCATAACAGAGACCATGAATAAATTTTGAGAAAGTGCGAAGTGACAGAGAATTCATTCGGGGCTCTCTTGAAAATCACCGTTCAGTATCACTCCGCAACGAGGTCCATTTTCTCCGACTAACCAACCTGGCAATTTTTTGAGATCAATGTAAGTTTGGTCGCACAGCTCATGTAATCCAGCGAAAATGTCTGTACCAGATAGTTTCATTTTGAAAGAAATGTTCGGGGTATTGGTCGACTTGCATTGAACGGTGTAATGGGCATGCGAAACCGAATGTAAAGAGCTGTATTCTGACTTATTCTGGTGGTTTTCTTCATGATTTAACGCACCGGGTCCTTTAAACCTCAAACTGGACCGCTCTTTCGCGCTCGATGCTAAAGTCGAAGATAAGTATTGTCTTTCCTGGACGACATGTTCATGTAAGGGTGAATATTCGGGCCTGCTATTGGCATAAGCGTTCCAAGGCCCCATGCAGCTCGCATCCTGTGTCAGATTGCAAAAAATGGCGACCGTGTGAAGGTTCCGTGTGGGAGTGTCCCTGATCTTTTGAAAGACGATTCCATTCTTGTGGCAAGCACGCCTCACAACGCTGCTGACTATTAGTTTCGCGTACATATCAGTGGCGGCGGAAAAAATAAGTGTGCCCGAGTTGTGAGGCAAAGCAACGTAGAATGGACTTCTACTTGCCACTTTGGATCTTCTGGTGGAACGGTCGAGATCGAACAGTTGAACCCGCAGTATAACGAGAGGCAGTTGTGGATGCACCGTGAAATACGTGTGTATGCGGAAAAGACCATCCAAGTCACGCGAGAGGGCATCGATAACATTTTCTGGGGCGATGCGTAAGGTCGGGCGTCGGTCTTTACCCGCCGAGTCAACAGCGTTCAATACATTCCACCGGTACTGATCGCCGTTGGCAAAAAGGTCCATACAATCCATTTCGGCGATTTGTCTTAAACTGACACCCTGTGTGCAAACCTTGGCAGCGAGGTACCTACATAGCTTTAATTCCGTTTTACTGTCGTCAACAGCAGGCTTCCGAGCCAATATTTTAGCCACAACGCGTCTTTGACTTCCTTTGACACATTGAAGCCATTCTTTGACCCATTTTACTCTAACGGTAGACGGCAGTCTCAAAAGTTTCTTGTACACGACATTCTCATCTAAATCGTACCTAGATTCATCGGATAAAATCATACGTACAAACGACGACTAACTATGTATTTCTTAATGCCGGTTTTCTGATACTTTACGCGCTCTATATATACTTTTTGCCGGTCTTTGGCGTCAACTGGGCGTTGGGAAGTGTTGTGTTTACAATAGTTGGGCGGCCAACTTCAACATGATATTTATCCAATTAATCGAAATTCAAGATACGTCCATAGTGATGTGTCCACTATGAAAATTTTTGAATATTAAACTAGGTAAAGGCATCTCATCGCATCTTGAATAAGAAGCTCATCGCCTAATTGTTTGTGCAGATACTAAGCGATTTACAGCTGTATTTGAGCTAATAAAATCGCCATGACGTCTAGAAACCATGGTTCCAACTCCATACAAAAAGAGGACCCGAAAAAACGAGACTTGTTGGACATGAAAACGCTTTTCGTCCGTTCAATTCCGTTCGACGCTTCAGACGAAGAGTTGGCGACGTTTTTCGCTGACTTGGCTCCGATCAAACATGCTGTCATTGTTAAGGACAGTGAGAAGAAGTCTAGGGGATTTGGGTTCGTGAGTTTTGCAGTAGAAGATGATACCAAAGAAGCGTTAGAAAAGGCGAGAAAAACCAAGTTCAAGGGCAGACTGCTTCGAGTGGATGTGGCCAAAAGAAGAGATCGAGCTGGCAATAACAGACCAGAGGCCGATGAAAATGCGCGCAGTCCTGAGGCCAGGGAGCAGGAGTTGTTAGGAGGCAAACCAAAGCTCATCATCAGAAATATGCCTTGGAGTGTGCGTAATCCAGATCAACTCAAAAAGATTTTTGCGAGGTTTGGAACTGTCGTGGAAGCCAAGATTCCGAAAAAACCCGATGGGAAGTTGTGCGGATTTGCGTTCGTGACCATGAAGAAACTGATGGCATGTAAAAAGGCCATCGAGGAATCCAAAGATCTGAAAATCGACGGGAGACAGGTCGCAGTTGATTTCGCGGTACAGAAAAGCAAATGGGAGCAACACAGTCAAACAGCGTCTGTGATACCAAGCTCGAAACAGGACAGCTCCTCTAGTGAAGACGAAAGCGAAGATGAGGAGGACGAGAAGCTTCAAGTGGATGGCGAGGCTTCTGAAGAAAGCGAGAGCGATGCCGCGAGTGATGAAAACGACGACAGCGATGGAAGTGACGCTGAGAGTGCTGCCAACCTCGGAGAAGAGGAAGAGGAAGAGGAAGAGGAAGAGGAAGAGGAAGAGCGTCCTAAGCAAAACAAACAGGAACAATGGTCCATTTTTGTCCGTAATGTTCCCTACGATGCTACACAAGAGTCCTTGGAAGAACACTTCAGTAAATTCGGTCCCGTCAAGTATGCCCTTCCAGTGATAGACAAGGAAACCGGACTCTCTAAAGGTTCTGCTTTCGTTGCTTTCAGGCAACACGACACCTTTGATGATTGTGTCAAAAATGCACCAGCTTCTGGAACAACCTCTCTACTAATTAGTGACGATGTTCCTTACAAATACGTTTACGAGGGTAGAATCTTATCCGTTACGCCATCCCTAGATAGAGAATCTGCCGGAAGAAATGCCGATCACAATGCGTCGCTGCGTAAAGAAACCTTTGGCAAAGCTCCCACTGCCAAAGACAAACGTAATCTGTACCTGCTGAACGAAGGTAGGATAACAGAAGGCTCGAAGCTTGCAGAACTACTCAGTGCCAAGGATATGGAAATAAGAGACGCTTCTTATAAGCTAAGAGTGGAACAGCTAAAAAAGAATCCGAGCTTGCATCTTTCTCTGACAAGATTGGCTGTCAGAAATCTTCCAAGGGCCATGACCGACAAAGCCTTAAAAGCCCTTGCGCGTAAGGCCATTGTTGAGTTTGCGACAGAGGTCAATTTGAAGAAGAGGCACCCTCTGAGCAAGGAAGAGATCCAAAGGTCCACGAAGGAAAAGTATAAATTCATGAGTGACGAAGAGATCGCAGCGCGCAAAAAGAAGGATAAGAAGCAAGGTGTCGTGAGACAAGCAAAAGTAATCATGGAAGTCAAAGGCTCCTCGAGCGGAAGAAGTCGTGGTTATGGTTTCGTTGAGTTTAGAGATCACAAGGCCGCCCTTATGGGGCTAAGATGGTTGAACGCCCACGAAGTCAAAAGACCAGAACTTCTTGAAGGCCTTAGTGAAGAAGAGAAGAAGGCCGTGGACGTAGAGGGGCTTTCACGTCGCCGTTTGTGTGTCGAATTTGCGATTGAAAACGCCAATGTGATCAAAAGAAGACAAGAGGCTCAAAAAGGTGGTAAAGAGTCCGCTAAAAGAAAGCGCGAGCAGCCTGCAGCCGACGAAGCTGAAGAAAAGAATGCATCTCATAAGAGATCGAAGAAGAATGATGACAAGAAGTCTCAAAAGACACCCGAAGGCCAATCTGGTAAGTCAGGCGTCGATGAGAATATCAAGAGATTGATTGGCTTCAAACGTAAGAGGAAACAAGGCAGAAAATGAGCCAGATGACTAAGACATCTCCAGCATATTAGTAGAGCCCGGTTAATTCGTCAGACGGGCGCTACTGTACTTGACCAAAGATTTGCATTAAATACTTGTACCATAAACTACGAATTCTATCTTTCAGTTCTAAGCTCATACAGTTTTGTCGTCCAGTGCTCACCTGAGAGCACATTCATCTCCTTTTCTTACGAGCCGGGCCACTAATACCTGCTGATGACGCTGGTCGTGAAGATGAATTAGTACCTGATACAGCGGCGGCAGCTGCTGCAGCGGCTGCTAGGATTCTTCGGTTCACGCCTAGCCCTCCTAATGAGGTATTAGTTGCACTTTTGGAAGCCACTGCTTGAGGATTGATAGTGGTTGATTTCGCCCTAGAGTTAGAAATGTTCATAATGTCGTTGTCATTGGTGTGAATTCGTCTAGGAGGGTATTTGTAGTTGAGTCCTTCGAAGACATTTTCGCATACAGCGGGATCTTCGCTCGTGAAGTATGGATGTTCCAGCGCATCAACTGCATCAATTCTTGAAATCGGATCGTACTGGAGCAGGAGGTAAAGCAGATCTAAGGCCTCTTTGTTGCGGCCCCCAGCAGAATGGTACCACACGGGCAAATTGTCTCTGTACCTAGGAAAGTTCGAGAGCTGTTCATATTCTGGGTATTTGTATATGTCGGGCCACGATTTATCGTTGGGAGACCCAAGAACTTCTAAAATTCGCTGCAGCTGGTTTGCTTGAAATGGAACGCTCTTTTTGGAGTCCATCTTGGCCTCCTCGCCCTTAAAGATAGGTCGCAGTCCTATCAGTTCGGCAAATATGCAACCAACGGCCCATAGGTCAATAGCGGGAGTGTAGTGACGAGCGCCTAAAAGCAGTTCGGGTGCTCTATACCAAATGGTAACTACAACTTTATCACCTGTATAAAGCGTTTGAACCATGTTATGAAATTTTCTTGCCAGGCCCAAGTCACCAATCTTGACGCAGCCATCGACTGTCACCATGATGTTGGCGGGCTTCAAGTCCCGATGTAGAATCCAGTTCTGATGCAAATACGATACTCCATCCAAAATTTGCCAAACAATTGACTTGAGCATTCGAGGCGGAATCAAACGTTTCTCAGGATGCGAATGGAAGTGAATAATTTGTAGAAGATCGTGTTCTGCAAATTCAGAAACCATATAAATGCTCTTATGCTCCAAGAAGATCTCTACCAAGTTCGTGAGGTGTTTATTTCGGAGTTCTCGACACAACGACATCTCTCTGCAAGCACTTTGCGAAATCCCAGTGTAATGCAGCTGTTCCATTCCTTCCCGTTCAGTTTTAAATTTCTTGATGGCAAACAGCATGGGAAGTTTCTTGGTGGGTGACGCGATGATCACCCGATTTGCAGGAACAGTTGATGTCTGTGTGCTTTCCGATTTCTGATCAACCTGTGTTTCTTGTGTTTGGTTCAAAAATGGCAAAGACGTGCTAGAATCCTGTACCCTCGTTGACTTGTTGATTGAGTTGACATCTAGAGCCTCCTGGTTGCTCAATGGGAAAGTTGATGTTGTTGGCAATGACATCTCGCTATCGGATGGTGACGAAGATGAACCGTTTTTTACAGGCACTTTCTTGCGAGCTTTATAAACTTTACCATAAGTACCGGCTGCAATGTACCCTATGATCTCGTATTTCTCTATGACTGAAACTCTATTGGCATCTTTGCGACTTCTGTAAGGTCCTATCGAAAAGACGTTACTACTGGCCATCAGCATAGGTTTGGCACTATTGGAAGCACCTGCTTTGATATCCGACATTTGCTGAGGCCATGCACTATGTGGAGGGTGTTGAGAGTCTTGACCAAGCTTAGAAACCTGGTTCAGAGCTTTGTACATTCCTTAAATCTTGCAATTGTGTTTTTTGGATGATCAGAAAGCCATAGTTCAACTGGATCTTATGGGACATCTTCAAAAACGACATGTTGAATGCAACAAATGTGCCAGAAGGGCGAGAATTAGTCTACGTATGAATTCAAATGCCAGTAATGTGGCTGACAATGTTTATAAAATCTAGACCTTAATGTAAAACTTATGAATCAGGACTGTTGGCTCGCTTTTTGAAAAGCTCACCAACCTTTTTGAATGGAGCTATGACCCATCTGAAGAAGAAAGGAGCAGCCCACAGACTAACAAGCACTCTAACAGGATAAAGTACTTTCACTACGGCATATGAAATTGCTCCTGACAATATGAGACGGTTGCGATCGAAACCTTGGTCGTGGTTGTCGACCAACTTTTGAATTGAGTCCCCGCACTGATTAAGCAAGTCTTTGAAATAGATCGGCAGATTATACTGTTCTTCCAAGTTGAGTTTGTACAGCACCCACCACAAGGCAAATAACGGCACGATTGCCGTTACTTCATGCAAAATGAGAAATGAAGTGATGGTGCTGACAGGACTCGTTTGACCCAATTTGTCGAAATATGCTTTGAATTTGGGCTTTTCGTTCAATTTCGTCAAAAAGGCCGACTTGGCTATCAGCTTATGCACTTTATCTAGATTTGGAGACGTCTTTGGAGTCTCTTGGCTCTTGGTCTGATCTGAACTCGAGTACCATCGCAGATGTCTCTTTTCACTGGAAAAAATGCCCGCGAACAACAAATGACGGGCATTTCCTGGTGGGAAACTTCTTAAAGGTGAATTAATACCGAGCTTTAACCCTCCTAGGATCATGACTGCAAGCAATTGACCTGTCTTTTGAATCCCCGACGTTCAAGTCGAGGTCTTGATGAGTAGTGTATTCTTGAAAACTAGGACCAAGCTCATCATTACTCTTTACGACTCGGTCACGTTACGACAGCGTCACACCTTTCACACAGAGCATTGGGCGATTGTGAGTTGTATTTCCAGCACCTGGGACATTCGTGAAGCTCGCTGGGCTCAACTAGAAGATCGATCTCGGTTTTTCCATTACTCAAACTCAAGCGGACACCATCTGGTTGTGGTGCGTCGAGAATTTGCAAACGGCCAACCTGTAATAAATCAGCCAAAGAATCGGCAGAGACGGGGAATGCATCGCTTTTAAGAACGGCGATCTTAACTTGTGTTTGGGCGGGCTTGGTAACAGAGTCCTGTTTCCTGAATTCCTTGTTGAAAGCTTGCAAGATCTTCAATTCATTTTGCTCAAAATGGTGGATCTGGAAATCCGATTTCACAGTTGGAGGAATAGCCCATGGACGCAAGAGAGGGGAGTGCGCGATGTCAGATTCTGAGGAAGCGCTGCTGTCTTTGTACCATTCTTGAGGCAGATAGTTCCAGGCCTCCTGAACCATCACAGGTATAATGGGGCCCAGAATGCTTCTGTATGTGTCGAGGATGTGAAACAATGTGGTCTGCACTTGTTGTCTCTTCAGACCACCGATGGCGTCGGCGTAGAGAGAGTCTTTGATGATGTCAAAATAGAATGCGGACAGATGGTTGTTCATATGATACATAACAGCATTCAGCACTTTGGAAAAATTGAACAGCTCGTAGTGATTCAAAGCTTCCGTGTTCAGCTCCCTCAATTTCTCCAACGTGTATTGGTCCAGTGGCCTCAGATTTTCGAACTCCAGAAGCTTGTACCCAGACTTTGATTGTTGCAAATTGCCCAAAAGAAATTTGAAAGTGAGCCTGAGCTTTTTCAAAGCGTCTGCGACGCGTTGTGTTACTGTAGATCCGATAGCCACATCAGTAGTAAAGTCTGCCTGTGCAATTAAAAGTCGAAGTCCATCCACTCCAAGTGCAGGAATGCCATGTTTTTCATCTCCTTTGATGACGCTCTCTGGCAAAACGGTATTACCAATAGATTTAGACATCTTGATTCCGTTTTCATCAAGTGTAAATCCGTGTGTAATCAATGTTCGATATGGTGCTTCCGGTGCATTTTTGGTGGCAATCTTAGTGAGCAAAGAACTTTGGAACCAGCCTCGGTGCTGATCTGAGCCCTCTAGGTAAACGTCCGCTAAAGGGAAAGGGATTTCTTCCAACCCCAACTGGTCAGAATAGAAGGCTTCCAGCTCCTTCCAAGTACTACCACTGTCAAACCAAACGTCCACGGTATCTTTCCCCCTACAATATAAGTGAGCAACGTCGTGATACTCTGGCAGCATCCACTCTTTCATGTCTTCACCTTCGTCTTCTTTAAACCACGCATCTATTCCTTTTCTTTCTATCACCGATATTACATGATTGACAGTAGCCTCATTCATAAGAACTTCTTCAGAATTATCGCGTTTATGAAATGCCGGTATGGGGACACCCCAGGACCGTTGACGTGAAATGCACCACTCATTTCTGGATTTTATAAATGACGCCAGTCTTATGTGACCTCTGTCTGGGAAGAAACGAACTTTCTTCAGGCTATCAATCGCCAAACTTTTGACATCTGTTAGGTCTGCGAACCATTGAGGTGTCGCCCTTATTACAACAGGTTTCTTGGACCGCCAATCATAGGGATAGGAATGCAAGTATTTTTCTGTCTTTAAAAGCATCTTGTTGAGGCCTAGAAGCTCAATGACTTTGTCTGTAATATGTTCTGACATAACTTTACCGCCGTAATTTTTACCTGGCTCTTTCAGTATATCTTGGAGGCCGGCGGGAAATACATCAAGTTTATAGCGGCCCTCATTGTCCACTGGTGAAAATATTTCCAGCCCATGCTTTATGCCAATGGCATAATCGTCGAATCCATGACCGGGAGCGGTGTGGACGAATCCTGTGCCAGCTGCTTTGCTTACATGGTCACCGTGAATGAAAGGTTTCTCATCAATCTCATTCATGATCGGGTTTCTATACTTCAGTGTGGCAAGTTGATCGCCCGTCAATGAAGTGATAAGTAGAGCCTTCTCATCTTCAAATTTTTTAGTATCGAACTCGCTCTGTAGTAAAATGTACCTATCACCAAACTCGTAGATTCCGTACTCCAAGTTTTGATTGAAACAGATAGCCTGATTTGCAAACATCGTCCATGGAGTCGTTGTCCAGATAACAACATCAATTCCCTTTTCAGAGCTCAGAGAGAACTGTTTCTGCAGGAAGGACACGGACTCGCTAATCAGCGGAAGCCTAACGTATGCTGAGGTTGAGATGTGGTCTTCTTTGTATTCGAGTTCACTTTCCGCCAAAGCTGTTTTAGTTTCTGTGCCCCAGTACACTGGTTTGTTTTGTCGCTTGATCAGTCCTCGATTGATCATTTTCTTCAAGTTGTCTAGTTGGCGAAGTTCGAAAGGCTTTTGCATAGTTTCGTAGTGATCGTCCCAATTTGTGGCAATGGCAAATTTCTCAAATTGGTTTCGCTGGTTTTTGATGGTTTTCCTAGCATGTTCAGCGGCCAGGAATCGCACTTTTGTAGGGGAAAGCTTGTCTGCATCGGCAGTGAGCTTTTGCAGTGCCTTCAACTCAATTGGCAGCCCGTGACAGTCCCACCCGGTTCTATAATAGACATATTTGCCCTGAAGAAGCTGAAAGCGGTTGATGAAGTCCTTAAGTATTTTGTTCAAAGCATGGCCCAAATGTAGATCGCCATTAGCGTAAGGTGGTCCATCATGCAGTACAAAAAGGTTTTCCTTGACAAATTTGAGTCTCTCAGGTTGATCTAGCGTTGCTGCACGTCGCAGAAATTCGTGGAATTGGTGATTGTAAAGTTTCTGAGACGATTGTGGGATCAGCACATCGACTGTTTTTTGCAAATTTGATCTATTTGGAAACTTGGTCTTCGGTAAGCACAAGGTTTTTTGATAAGTGTGTTGCGAAACCAATCGCAGAGACGGAGAAACCATATGAGGTGCTAATTGGATCGATCTCTTGAGTCTTTGATGTGAATTTTCTCATCGTAGAGTAAATAGGCCGTTAGTTTTTATACAATTTTCATATAATGAGAGGAAGTGTCAGTGTCAGTTTCCATTGAAATTCGAACAATGTTGAACCAAGAGGAAATCCAAGTCGATACTCTGATCTAAATTGGCTCTCGACTATCTATTTGATTTTCAAATAGTTTTCATAAAATAATGCGAAATACAAGTGCTTATCCGGAATTTCCTTCTACCATGGTGGAGTTTAATTATTTATCTTAAAACCGTTCTTGATTTTCCTTCTCGGATGAGAGGAGAAAATGCCGTTACATTTTTCGGTTGGGACGGAAACTACATCTCGAACGGTAAGATCGGATTGCATTTGTGGAATTTCTGAAGTATGCTTGAAGTTAAAATGACAATATGTTTGGAGTTTCGATTTTAATGCAACTTTAAAAGCAAGGCTGAAGATATCGTAAGGAAACGAGGCAGGATGTAAAAATATTCACTTGTATCTAATCGTTGGCTAATTAAATACATTGGGCCCAAAGCGCTTTCTATTGGTGAACTTACTTGGCTTCGATGACAGGATATGTTCTGAAATATAAGGTCACGTGTGTGGTGATCTTCGTTGTTGTGTGTTGTTTCGTTAATAGTGATTCGATGTGATTTCAAATTGAGATGACTATATCTAATATAACATCATCATTGGTAGATTGACGTCGTGAACGGCTACAGTTTTTTGTTTAAATATCACGAATTGGCCATAAGACCCCGTTTCTTCGCATCCAAGACCAGTTTTTCAAGATTACTGAATTGATTCCAACTCTAGTGTCACTAAAACCGCGAGATTTGGACTAGTATGACCGAAGATACAATTTTTTTTCGACAAGCTGCAGAAGCTTTGATAGCCATTGGTGTGAACACCTCAAATATCGACCCAACCATCAAGGAACTGCTGAGTCGTCTGAAATATGTGAACTCTCAGAAATCAGTCGCACGCGAGCCTCAACAGGTGATTCCTCTCGAAAACAAAAATGTTCTCAATTATTTTGACCAGCTTCTCAGCCATGCGGATATTGCATCTTCATCTGCCGATGAGCTGGTACATGCTTCCTCGACTGAATACGCAGCGAACAAGAAGCGGAAAAAGTCTGAAACTGCAGAATATATACGCGGCGATGGTTACAAGGACAACAACAACAGCAGTAATAGTAATAATATTAATAATAATAACCGGGCTCTCAATAGCAGTAGCACAGGATCCGCTGACGAAGAGGCCAAGAAATTTCCATGTGTCAAATGCGAGTTGGTTTTCAGACGGTCCAGTGACCTGAGAAGGCATGAAAGAGCGCATTTACCAATTTTACCCAACATTTGTTCGCTCTGTGGTAAAGGTTTTGCACGTAAGGACGCTCTCAAAAGACATTTCGATACTATGACATGCAAAAGAAACAGAGAAAAGCTTCTGAGCATAGGAGGAGACATTAACGAAATTCTGGAGAAGGCAAGGCTCAATGGGGCAAAAGTTTAACTACCAATGTATCATTCGTAGTGGTTCATGCGCCTGGTATCGCGGGGATCGCCACAGATCAAGTGTCTTGTGGTGGGGCTGGTCTCCAACACTCGCGTGCGGTGTTTGTGAAAATTCTAAAGAACTTGTGTATTAAAACGGCTAGAAACTAATTCGTGATCTTAAGGTTTTTTTTGGTTTTCTTTCTCTCTTCTTTTTGGGACGGATTTGCATACTCAGTTATTGTAGCGTGGCGATGTCCCAGTGGTTTTTCATCATTCACAAACTCAAACGTTCTGAATGCGTTTACTCGACGTCAGTGTCGAATTTTTGACCGGTGAGCTCTGGGATGTCAGCATCGGCCTTTTCGTCAGCAGCGGCACCAGCAGCTTCCTGACCGGCTTGGCCGGCCTGCATTTGTGAAGCCAATTGGGTCAACGCATTGATGGAGTCCTCACCTAGCTGGGGAATGATCGATGGGAAAAGCTCGTTCAAAGTCTTCTCCTGTGGAATACCGTAGAAAACCGAAGTGTTGTGCTGAGGAGCATTTTGCACACCCACCTTGTTGAAGTGCAGAACTTTGCCGTCCTCCTTGAAGAAGTTGGCCTCTTCCACCTGGTCAATTGTCACAGCACGCAATTTCGCCAATTGCGCCTGCAATTTGGTGTCGTCCTTGTTACCACCGGCAGAAGATCCAGTCTTTTTGGCAAACTTTCTACGGGTACCACCAACTTTGTTGGCAGCAGAGAGTTTTTGTAGCTTGGCTAGTTTTTCTTGGTCAATTGGCATATTCTAACGGTTTGTGTGTGACGATTTGACTCGTTTTATAAAGTCTTGAAATGCTCAAAAACTCAGGTTAAAGCTTCGCTTTCTTTCCAGTCCTTTGAAATATAGCTTGAAATTCGAGTTATTCCAATTCTTAAAAATTTTTCACCGTAATTGTGTCAGTTTGGGGAAAAGTGATTGAAGTGAAGACAGTTTAGGAAATAGTGATCAATGGAACCTGAAGAGTTCGAGCACACTGAAAAGATAAACCGAGGGTGTGGTACAACTGTTGCGATGAGATGGTGAGTGTGAGAGAGAGAGAGAGAGAGAGAGAGAGAGAGAGAGAGAGAGAGTGTGTGTGTGTGTGTGTGTGTTTATAGCGGAGTTATTACGTTACAAAAATGTCTGTGCTACACATGGATTTGGGCACTGTGATTATTTAGCAAGTCAATATCCAGGTTTTTGACGCATCAACAATGAGTTTAACTGCATTCGTTGCAACTCGGTAAATGGAAAGTTGAAGCTTGACACCATTCCTAGTCACTTTGTACCAAATTGACACCCTCTTGCGTCAGAGGATGTCATGGAGTAAAGGGTGAAAGATTTAGCTGACGCTGAGGAAACCGGGGCCTTGAGAGCATAAAAGGAAATTAATGGCTGGATAGTTGAGTAGTTAACCTAAAATTGGAATAAGAATGCAGGATTGCCAAGGCAAGAGATCTCCCGCATACTGCAATGGATAAATATCATCTTTCACGATAGACATATATATGACTTGTTCGTCTCATTCGACACCGCCCTATGAGTGCTTAAGACGTTTCGGCAACGCTGTAGACTTTTAAGCGGCAAATCGCACTGTCAAGAAAATTCAAGTGTGTATAACTTTTCAAGACTTTTGTTTATCTAGCGTTAAACTTATGTAAGTTAACTTGGATCACGTGCTCAAGTGACAGCGTCAGAACTATTGAAGTGACCGTCAGAAATTCACCCAGTTTCACGAATTCTAAGAGCAAGGTGGTACCATTCGTTACTAATGGTTCGAAGCACAGGCATAACACCTCAATTTTAGTGAAGCTCGCCTACGTACAACGATGGTGGAGTGATTTCCAGAAATGTAAAAAAGTGCATACCTTAGCCAACCTACAAGTCCAAATTTTGTACATTTAAGATCGCACGGAAAGGCAAACCTAGACTTCAATCAATCAATAGTTCGAAACATTAGGAAACATCGCCAGTTGTGTGGGATCTGCACCGGGCAACGACACTCCAGAGACATACAGAGAGTTTCTATACATGTACAGAGAAAAATCGAAATAAATAGCTCTACAGAACTAGTCATGTGATCTCATTCCAAGAATCCAGGATAAACCCTCAAAGGCGAAAATATTTCACACGCGCGTGGTCTCTGGGTTCACCATTTTTAATATGAGAATGAGATTGATGGCTTTTGTTGTATCCTCGCAATTCGAGCTCTTTTAGTTAGGAATTCAAGACGCTGTCAAACAAAACAACATCAGAACGAGCAGGTTATCACGCCCTGTATTTTTTAGTATAGGTACGATAAACCTTTTCTATGTCATCATCTAAGGTCTCTTGGCCCAGTTGGTTAAGGCACCGTGCTAATAACGCGGGGATCAGCGGTTCGATCCCGCTAGAGACCATTCTTTTTTTTGTTTTTTCGATTTCAAATCGACTCATCAAATAACAGTTAATCTTTTAGCGGTTAACATTATCATTTGTCGTTCTATGATCATATCTTTATACTGATTATATGTAAGGTGCTTCGGTACCTGACTTGTACGCCTTCGATGCTGCTTTTGATCACTATTTGTTCCTTTTCTTGCCAAACAAACCAAACTTAGATTTCTTCTTGTTCGATTCTTTGGGATTCAAATCGAAGCCCGTGTCGAGCATGGTACTCGAATTTTGAGTGGAAGGTAATGTGTTTTCTTGGCCATGCGCTTCAGAAGCCGAAATGGGCGATGGTTCACTGACATTCATATTGTCATTAGGTGACATAGCGGATGGTGAGTCCGCTGATATCGAAGAACCACTGGAATGGCCATTCAAAGCTTGTTGTGGGACAGGGTTATGGACCACCGTATGCGAAGAAATGTTGGCCTGTACGGGATCTTCAGCAAGCACGGTGCTAGAGCTTATTTGTCTATGCTGTTGTTGTTGTGGTGGCAATGACGAGCCGGACCCATTGGAATAAGGTGGACCCACTTTGAAGTTCTGCGAAGATGGGTTTGGTACATTATTCAACTGCAGGTTGCTCCCGTTTTGCGGTTTGTTTAGCGTGATGGAAGGTGGAGGACCATTGCCCATCATGGAGTTCAGTCTTGTGCCCGAGTTATTAGCGGCCGACGGCTGGTGTGCACCCGGCGCACCATGTGGTGCAGTACCCGTTCCAGCCATAGACAAAACGTCTACGCTAGATGCATGGCGCAAATTTGGCATGTTGCTACGCCTGTTCTTACGACTTGTCGTCTTGAATTGGTGTGAGTGGTGACCTTGTGGAGCTGGCGGCCCGCTAACAGGTCCCCCAATGGCAGGTCCAAGTTGTCCTGGCACAGGAGAGGGCTGCCCCGCGGGATTTTGCATGTTAGGATCAGGCATATGCGTTATAATGCTCTGTGAAGCGCCGTGCATTTGCCTGTTATTTCTGGTGTTTGCATGCGAGTACGAAGGTTTTCTTGAACCATGACCGTTAGGTATGGGTCCCGGTTGTATCATGGGTGCACTCTGGTACTTAGCGGGTCTTGGCCTTGCGGCAGCTCTTCTTTGAAGTTCAAATTCCTTTTCTTGCAGTTCCAGTTCACGTCTGCGCAATTCAAGCTCGCGCTCGCGCAAAGTAGTATCGCTACCTTCAATATTGGAATCGGTACCAGGAGCGCCAGCAGCATGCACTTCATTGGTATTGACAGGCACAGCTTGGATGCCTGGCTCCGCGTCTCGAGAATCGACTTGACGGTCTTGCGTTGGAGACATGCCATAATGAACTCCATACACCGCAATGTCTTCTAGTTCACGAAGGTTTGGAGTGCCAGCGGACGAGCTGTTACTAACCGGCTCCGCGGAGTTCGCCCCTTCTTGAAAGCTTCCAACCGCTTTCTGTAGATGAGATTGCTGCGGTAGCGGCTGCTGTTGCGGTATATGTTGCTGTGGTTGTTGCTGTGGTTGTTGCTGTAATTTGCGCTGCTGCTGCTGCTGCTCTGCGAGTTTTCTTTGGTTTGCCTCGAGAATACTAACTTTACGCTGCTCATTGACCAAATCGCTGTTAATCTTTGTAATCTGCCCCTTAAGATATCCAATTTCGTTTCTTTGAGCTAGTTCTAAGTTCTCTTTTGCCTTCATTTGTGCCGAGTGAGTTTGTTCGGCGGTCACCAACGTATCTTCAGCTGAACGAAGTTGCGACTTTAATCTGTCATGCTCAATCTCAAGTTTACGTAATTCCTCGATGAACTTCGACTGTGTACTGGCCCTGGCAAATAATTTAGAGCTTCCATCGTTTATCTTCTGATACTGGCACATCATCGAATAAAGAAACTCCAAGTATGGAGTTTTGATACCGTAATCGTCAGCAAGTAATATAGGCTGCAAAAGAAGTAGATCAATGTTCAAGGGAGCAGTTTTTTGAAGAAAATGATACGCTAATTGAGGTAACTCATTGTTTGTCGTCTTGAGCCATTGTTGCAACAAATCTTTTTCATTGTCAAACCCTGCAGGAAGTTTAGCGCCCATTGTTTTGGTTACCGTGATTATTTCGGTAACTAATCCTGAAATCAACGGCTTGGCCAAGATCTGTTCATTCAGTTCTTCGGGTCGAGAATTTTCAAGTAGAATGTAAAGAGGGTCAAAGCAAATACGGGGAAGTGCTAATTTCCATTGCTGTGATAGAAACTCCGCATATGAGAAATTGCACACATGGACCTGGTCTTGCGGAAAAAGCTTCACAAACAGTCTTTTAAAAGTTTCCAAGAGAGCCACGTTATCGCTTGAGTACTTGGCACCACCCTTTACAGCGGCTTCGCCAAGAAAAATGTTGCACGGCGCCAATTGATGTGAGGCTTGTGCAAAGTGGGAAGAAGAGATTTGGCGGAGATCAAAGTCACACATGACTGAAAAGACCTTCAGTTGACCAAACTCAATGGACATTTTCACAAAGGGCTCAAGATGCACAAATCCCGAACTTTCCACCAAAATCTTCGTGTTGAGATTCAAAACTGGATTGAGTTTCGCAGCTAGGCTCGACATTTCTTGTAGCGACGGCGCACTGAGAATAACAAGGTCGAAAACTCGAGAGTTGCCTTCTCCGCTGCTCAGCAGCTCCTCCACGTTTTGGAAGTGCTGCTCAAACCGAAACTTATCGCTGCCATACTGAGCAGTATCCACACTGAAATCGGCAGATTTCAAACTGCTGAGATATGTTAGACTCACACTTTTGGACTGCTGGATTCGCCACGCATACAGCAAAACATTGGTATTTTCGCCCACAGCCAAAACACGCAGAGATGACATTGTAACTGCGCCCAAAAATATTGGTTTGGCAACTGTGATTGCAGCTTAATGAAAGCGCTTCGAAATCGCCAGGAACTCGTCTCTACTTCTATATCGAAACCTGATGCGCGGGAAGACGCTAAGAAGGCTTGTTTTCCGAAAGTCAACTTTTTTCGTCTTTCGAAATTTGCAAAAACAACGAAAATGAAAATAAGAAAGCCGAAATTCCGAACCAGATATAAAAAATTGAAATATGGCCAAGCTTCTAAAGGAAAAATGGACGACTTTCAGACGATCTTACTGCACCAGCTCAGAAAGTGGACGCCAATGGGGCTTTCTTTGACGTGAACTCGTACTGCCAAAGGGAACAAAATGCGTTAAAAATTCCTGACTGTCTTACCCGTTACTCACTGGAAAAAAAACCTCCGGCAATAGCTAGTGCGCATGTGACTCCGCATCCCCCCGTTCTAAAAAAAAACATGGTTTGTATTGCCGTAAAGTTTCAAGAGGTAATTCCGCGGGGGACATATTTTTTTCCAAGTGACAGCAGCCCACGGCGATGTTGAGTCGGAGATTATTAAGCCACTAATTCACGCAAATAAGATTTTCCGTGGCAAATCCGCTAAATCTGCGTGTAACCAAAAACCACATTATCCGTTAGCTTCCGGCAGGGTGCTTGGAGTAGTAATAATACGCCATGTTTTTTAGCTGCTGCTAATACAGTAATTATGGGAATGAATTAGGCTTTAGGCCGCTAGTGTGGAAAGTACGAAAACGGATTAAATCTTTCCAAGGGCGATAGGGTTGCAGACGAGGATGGGGAAGCAAATGGAGGAAACAATTCATTAAGCAACTGCAACTGAGTTTCTAAACTCAATTGCAGTTCTAAGAATGGGCCTGACTTTTTCGATCTGAACTCCGTTTTGGTTCCCAACAGACCTCGCTGGGGGGTCATCTTTAAACTCGTCGAAAAGCCTGGATTTCAGGTATGGAAGATAGGGCGCGGTTTTTTTTTTGGGGGTGTTTCGCAAAATTACTACTTCTTTCATGTCCTAGATTGAGGCTTTCGATGGCTCACCATATGCTTAACAGTGTGAACATCGCTGTGTGCGGCCATTTTGTGTTTTTAGTCTGTGTTTCTAGAGTTTCTCTTGTTTTTTTCTTTCAGTGTGATGTCCTTGAGGGAGAAAGGTCACGGAAACTTTGTTCTCCCTTATATATACAAATTCTAAATAGGTCGGCGGCTAAATATGTCGTATGTACTGATGTGACACAAAGTCACAAAAATAGAGATATTCAGATGAGGACAACAAACGAAGCCATTTCGAATAGTGTATTTGAGAGCGCTTGTTGTTATTCGTGCATCGAAGACTGAATAAGGAGTCGCTTCCGCATTTAAGCTGCTTAGTCTTGAGAATGATTGTAGAAATCAAGTGATACGTTCTCGAGAGCGAGGAACGCGCAATAAGTAATCTAAGTGTGTGCTGGTCCATTCCAGATGATTAGAAAAATGTACGCATAGTTCGCTTGCTATTTACTTACTCACGAGCAACTAGAAAGAGACTAAATGCCTCTTGTTCTGCCATTCCTGTCAGATTCCAACATGCTATTCCCGATTTATGTGGTATTTACTAATTCCCTGATCCATATAAGATATTCTTGTTCTCATGTAGAGGTGCATTGACGAGAATGGGCCAAAACAACTGTTTCGATCTTTACTTTATTACATCACGTGAGCTTCTGACTCCTCCTCTCGGTCTCGTGCCCCTTCTCCTATTGATCGACGGATACCTATGTAAGCTGTTTTTGGCTAGTACCCAAAGGTATGGTTCTAGTCAACACTAGGAGCAAGTGGGCAACAGTACGAGCCACGTTTACATCCGCCAATCGACCAAGAACTGACATTTTTTAAAGTCTAGTTTGATGCTTGAAATGCCAAGATCGAGACTCCAATTGTTTATTCCAAAGCTGAGGTATTTTTATTGAGGCTCGACTACGTCAGCAGTGTTCGAGTTGTTAAACTGCTTCGTTTATTCAGTCATGATTTGCTCTAAGTGAAAGGTTATGGTTATGTATTTTGCTATCTCTCCGTGATTCTTTTGACTATAAGTTTGGTACATTTGGTTAGACCAAACCACGGACATTTAAACGATTTTTTGGAGCAACAATAGCAAACAGTAGGTAGCGTTCTAGACCCTAGCCATTAGTAAGGATTGCTGAATAAAGGTCCTGGATTGCTTGCAAATCCTGAATAGTGTTGACGTATCGTTGCTTCATACCTTTACGATTGGTCCATTTCGCCTTAGCGCTTAATATGTCATTTGAGACTAATATGTCATTTTCTGATTACGCAATTGGCACTATACCATATAGTTTACCAATCCCAACAATTTTGAACCCTACGGAAGCCAGTACACATTAACTTGGCACCCAAGGAACAGCTCTGTATTCATCCTGCAATACCGGTTAGGTATTTCAGCATGCTGAGACCAAGTTACCGACAACTTGTTCTAACCTACCCTCGTATGTTGCGACCTCAAGCTGCATCGTACAATGCACTGTGCCAAAATGAAATTTGTTCTTATTCCCATTGGTTTAATGATATCTAAAGATACACATTCGGCTACTTCATGGATTACAGCTACATCGAAACGGGTCACAGCTCGGCTTTTCAAAGTTCTAGCGTAGTTTCCTGAACGAGTAATGTCGCACACTGCGAAACATACCGCTCAAAATTAGGGTATTCTCGTTTTCCAGTCAGAAGTTGTGTCACGTGGGAATAGCTTTTCTTTCTCTCCAGGCACAGAGCATTAATTCGATGCATCGATCATGTTCTCGAGGCATGGAAAAAAAAAGTCTTGGCGCACTCGGAGTGATTCAAGTATGGACTGCTGGAAATGCATTGAAGCAAATACAACAAATCAAACTGGATTCTCTTCCCATCCTCGTTTGCTACGTTTTCACCCTATATATACCTCAATGGCCGCTTCTCCTGGCTTTTTACGGGCATGAAAACACTTTGATCATTAGTGTGATGTATATCTTGTAAATATCTAGCGGAATTCGGCAATTCAATTACCATGGAACCTCGGATCCGTCGTAAGAGATGAACTTGCCAGCCACTTCGGGCAACTTCTCTAAAATGTTCTTGTTGATTGCTTCTGCCGACTCTTCGGGCGTGATAGGTGGGAATGCCTTGAGCAAATCCTCCAGCACATCTTTGAACTCTTCGCCCTCCATGGCCTTGTTACCCATATCGGTGCTGACGAGACCTGGATGTAAAGCGACGACCTTGTAGCCCTCTGGACCCAATTCCCTGTTAAGATTGATAATGGCAAAGTTGAGTCCAGCTTTCGACAAACCGTAAGAAGAGGTGGAAATTGGCATGCCGATGTTACTAACTAGAGAACCTGCGACAGAAGAAACGACCGCAAAGTGCTTGGTTGACTTCTTGTCCAACAGAGACTTGAAAGCACGAAGAAGTCTGATTGGGCCCACAGTGTTCACTGTGAAATGTTCATAGTACGAATCGTCAGTGCTCTGCAAAATACCCCCAGACACGTTTGCAATACCAGCATTTGCAATTAGCACGTCAAGACCATCTGGCAAAATACGTGCGGTTTCCTTAGCAGCCTCTTCATTGCTTTCCGCGGTTGAGACGTCTAACGACACGATTTTAACATTGGTATGTAGATCGGCCCATTTTTTCAACTCAGTAGCACCTTCCACATTACGGGCCCCGGCAACTATTGTGTTTGTAGAGTTGGAGCTGAGCAATTTGACAAGGGCGAATCCAATACCACGGTTAGCGCCAGAGATGAAGTAAGACTTAGACATTTTCTTTGCTTTTTTTTGGAGGGAAATTCTAGATGTGAAGAATTGATCCCTTTAAAAGAGAATCCAAGTTACAATTGACTTGCAACGACTGAATTGATTGATATGTTGGTACTTTTATATGTTTCCATGTGCTTAGGAGGACCTGTTGGATCAAAGTGTTCTTCCGCGGAACGTGCTATACAATTGACTAATACAAATACAGACACCAATCACGTGACTTGTGATTTTGATAGAGTTGTTTCCTAGTCCGCTCTAGGTCCGCAGATCCGATATCGAGAAATAGCATTAGCGATCCATGAGAGCGTGTGCTTGGCGATGGAAGGAGCGGCAATTAGCCATTTATGAGGCCCATAGTAGGCTACTCATACACAAGCCGTCAAAGTTTCACTTCTGTGAAGCCCTACTACGCCGTCGCTGTCGTTTTGTTCTTGATACCCATTTAAGAATCGCTGTGAGTCTAGCGTCATGTTAATCACCAAATGATCCTAATCGCGTGTATGTGTGACAGCGACAAAATAGAGGTAGTCAAGTAACTGGCATAACTACTAGTTCAGCATCTACTTGTTGAACTCTCCCGGTGACCAGATTTATATCTTCAAGTATGGCGGTATAATTATGACGCACCGGAGACTTAAATATTCCAAATGTCACAGCTGTTGCCAATGGGGACACCAATTTCGATAGATGGGCCCTCTTGCAGGAATAGCACACTGTTTGGCCGGCGAAGAAGGTAATCATTCCTTGATTCAACCTGCCAACTCCAGAGTAAAATCACTGCCGTGGAGTCTTGTTCTCTTATTTCTTACACAGTTTACTAGGGTTTATACAGAGTGAATTTGCAACAGTTGTTATATAGGGCATTGCATGATCTCTAGTATACGAAAAGTATACGAAAAGTGTCCTAAACGTACAAGCCGAGAGATAAGGTCCACATGTCAACAACTGTAGTACGCTGAGACTAAAATTTTTGGCTCAAAAAAGCCTTCGATTAAGCTACCAGAAGTTCAATCTTCTTTCCAATACTATAATTTCACCTCTGGACTTGATAAAAAGCCAAAACCTGAAAAGCGAAAAATATGCAACAAGCCAATCGAGTATTCAACTGCTATTTAATTCCATACGAGCGCCCCAGCTTAACATCCAAACTTTTCTCCCTCCGCTTGCTGGCTTCTTGCCCATGTTGTCCTTAAATGAGTGGTGACAGTTTCGTGACATAGTGATAGAAGGAATCTGATTGATCCGACCATCTCATGCTCATCTCATCTCGACAAATCTCTACGAAACTTCCGGGAAATATAGGCGTACACTGACTTGAGTTGGGGGCACCGCTGGCTATTTATGGGTTATGTGAAGAGCGGTTATGCCACGCGGCCCAACAAGCGCGCGAAAAAGGTGAGGGAGAAAGTTTATTATGAGCACATAGGAAAACGTCGCAACACAGGAACCACGGCGGATCGAAAAAAACAGGGTCCCAAGAGAAGTCCCTTGCGACTTCAGGACTTATCTCAAGACGTTTTGGAACGCATTTTTGTGTTTTCTGGACGTAATAGTCCATTACCACTGCTAAATAGGCACTTTTCCAAGTGTCTAAAACCTTCGCAATATTTGATCGAACAATATCTGTCAGTGAACTTTGTATTTGATGTCAATGCCGCTCTCAAAGCTTCCAGCGGCTCTTCTTATCGCCCCTGGTGGGTACTGGCGGAGTGTGCGCTCGACGTTCCCCTCATACTTCAGTTTCTAAATGCATCGCCTTCGTTTTTGGATTTCATCGATGAGATAGCCGCTGTGGAAGACGTGGGAGCCACACAACAGCTTAGATTCGAGCAGTTTCAGAACACTTTATTGCAAAACCTCGAAACTCCATTAAAGTCTCTCGAGGTGGATCCAACTACAGATAAATCATTGCGAGATTTGCCTGCCGCAGTCTACAAATATCCTGCTCTATTTTTTGAAAACGATATTTTGACAAAACCCGTCTTGTACAACCAGCTTCTGCTGCGTCTACATTCCGAGTATGCAATTCAGAACCCGTCCTTGACCGCCGACTCTATTTTGCAGTGGTTTTTCATCGATAGCGCAGGCGTCACTCCTCAACTGGACATCAATCATCTTTTTTTTGCCTTGAATCTGGTAACGCATTTGTCTGTTCAAAACAAACGCAGTTTCGAGGACGTCAATCCGTTGATACTTTTCATCGATTTTCTGTACATTTCGGTAACCCCACGCTTGCTACAGTTGTTACTATGCGAGAAGCTCAAGGATGCACATCTTATTAGCGCCCGGAAAGCGAAGATAGTCGGCAAGTTCATTCGAAAGTTTTATAGTAATGAACTAGGTCTATTATGCGAGGATGATCTTTGGATCAAGCTCAATGAGATCAAGGACCATGCCCTCGTTGAAAAAGTTTCTGGATACGGCGGCAAACCTAGTTTCAATGTGGTGAAATGATTTATGTCAGGCTGCATTTGTTCTTTTCCTTCTCTATTGTACATAATATAATAAACACTTGTTACCGTGCCTCACCACTATTGGTAGTATTCCGCAAACCAAGGGTGATTTAAAGCTTGCTTGGCACTTAGTCTACGGTCCGGATTCAGTTGCAAGAGGCCGTAAAGTAGGTCGATCAGTGCCAGGTCCATTTTCTCACGAGTTTGGCTTTGCAAAAGCGCACCCAGATCTTTGGGCAAGTGCTGAGGATGTTGAGCATTATATTTGGGCAGGTTGGAGATTCCTGGCCAGGTGCGTTCGGAGGGAGTACCCATAGTTTCGAAGATCAGTTTCAACTGCTCTTCATCGTTTGTACCAGGGAAAAGTGGCCTGCCCGTGATCATTTCTGCCAAAATGCACCCACACGACCAGATGTCGATTGATGTGGAATAAGTGCGGGACCCCATGAGAACATCGGGTGCACGATACCATAGAGTTACGACTTCACTGGAAAAAGTGTTAACTGGGATTCCAAACGCTCTTGCCAAACCGAAATCCCCCAGCTTTAGCTGGCCCTTGTTATTGATGAGCAGGTTTTGTGGTTTTAAGTCACGATGCAAAATCCGATTTTCGTGGCAGAAAGCCACGCCCTGTAACAGCTGCCACTCAAAGTATTTCACAAGACTCATTTCGAACCCATAAGGTGTGTTGCCCACTATACGTGAATCCATGTATTTTTTGAGGTCGTTGTCCATGAACTCGAACACCAACGTCAGCTTGTTCTCCGTGTGAATCACGTCGTAAAGTCTAACGATGTTTTCGTGCTTCAGCTCTTTCATGAGCGAAATTTCACGCACGGCGGTCGAGGGTGTGCCTTCCTCAGAATCGAGCTTGACCTCTTTGAGAGCCACATACACGCCTGTCGTTTTGTTCAGGCCCTTGTAAACGGTAGCGTATGTACCGTTGCCCAATTTCTCGAGTTGTTTGAATCTTTTGAGAAACTGTTAGTCGAATGTTAAGACGAAGTGATCATTGGTTTTTTTAGCCATGATGTGTGTTCTTGCAGGTAGAAAAAACGCTTAAAAAGTTGGCTTCAGACCTTGAAGGATAAAAGTGCGCCGGGAAAGCCGCCAACACCAACATATTATGACCCCATTGGCTCTTAACCACAAGTGAACCAATTATACCATCCTTTTACCGCATCACCTGCATAGAACGCCGATTTGTATCAATATTGACGTTTTTTTCGCGCATCGGATAAATCGTTGACCTCCAAATCCACATACTGAGACGAAGATGCCATATTATAGTTCTAATACGCAAATTCACACCACAATTGTTAAGATGTACCTCTAAACCTATAGGTATCCTTATCACGAGTTACACTCTTCTTGAGATATAACTAGTCAATTTCTTGAAATTGAATTTTAATTACTATATCCATCACTATACACGCCAGCCTTCGAATTGAAGCTTTTCAAATTGAAATTCGATATTCCAGCGCTTCGAGAAGAGCTACATCTATAAGAAACTTATACTCGTAGATATCTCATAAAGCGGTCCGATGTCGGCTAAATATAGTGTTAATGAGCCCAGCGTCCTGGGCGCGGACTGGTACTGTATGTACAGGACGGAGGAGCGCGTTGAGTTTGAGAAAAAGCACTTTGAAATGGCGATGATGAACGTTGTTCGACATCCTAACATCAACTCTACGGTGATTTTACGTGCAGATATGCTCAAGGAATGGGAATATGACGCGGAGACCGGTGCGCAACTTTCGTTTAAGGAGGAGAAACATACGGTCGCGGATTCTGAGGCTCAAGTGGTCAATGAAGATGACCTACAGGTGCGTGGGATCGAGACCAGTTTGGATCTGCAACTTGCACAGAAAACGGCAATGGTGCGGCGAATAATTCCTCGGAACCCTTACAAAGACGCCATCATAAACCAGACGTGTTTACTGCTCAACTCTCGGACTTTCACAGATACTTCTTTGATCACATACACCCCTCATCTGCAAGAAAAAGACCAGTGTCCATTTTACATTCCACACGTTAAAGCGGTGGGGATTTTGCTTCATGAGCAGCGCTTATCTGTGCATTACGTGCCATTTACCCCACAGGACGCTCAGGAATTTCAAGACGAGGGCGAACGTGTTGTCAGAACGGCGCGTCGTCTGCTGCAAACAGCCAACAAACATTCAACCGGTGTGAAAGCTGGATACGAAAAGAAAGTCACACACGACGTGGTTGTTGACAAAGTACTGTTCCAGGATCGGTACATTGCACTCAAAAAAAAATATTCAAAATTTTTGGTCGACAATTGGGCTGAGAGTACGGACCCGAAAAAACACGTTTTCGAAGACATAGCCATTGCTGCGTTTCTGATAGAGCTGTGGATCAAGCTTTATGGGCCTTTATTTGCCACCAAGATGCAGTTCAGAGACCTTGGTTGTGGCAACGGTGTTCTATGCTATTTACTGCTCCAGGAGGGCATTAGCGGCGTTGGAATTGATGCTCGTCAACGGAAGTCCTGGAAAATCTACCCCAAAGAGGTTCAAAAGAAGCTGCAGGAGCAGGTCATAATACCGTCCATCTTGCTGCGACCCCATCCGGAAATCAAGAAACGAGCACCAGAGCTTTATCACAACGGCAGGTACTTCCCCATAAAGATACAAGATAAAATTGCACCTGCCACCGTCGTATACTCAAGTGAGGATCTGTTAAAGTCTTCTAGCGTCAATGTAACCGAGTTTCCACGCGACACTTTCATAATAGGGAACCACTCTGACGAACTCACATGTTGGATTCCACTTCTAGGATACCCCTTTGTCGTAATACCTTGCTGCTCGCATGGATTTTCTGGCCAGAGGGCTCGCTATGGTGTCAAAAAGAGCTCCATGAAAAGTGGAAACAGCACTTACGCTGGATTGGTGGACCGTGTAGAAGCTCTGGCCGCTCGTGTGGGATGGGATGTTGAAAGAGAAATGCTAAGGATTCCCAGCACGAGAAACGCCGCGATAGTGGGCACGAAAAACTCGCATCTCGACCAGTGGCCTACTCAAGAGGTTTATGACACTATTTTGGAGGGTGGTGGCGCGGACGGCTGGGTCGAAAACACAATGGCTTTGGCTAAAAAGACACCAAGAGGTCATTAATCCAACTTCATTACAGACTGCACTTCTTTAGATCATCCAAAAGTTCCAGGGGTGGTGACAGTGCGCTCAGCGTTTGTTAAAAGGTCTTCCCACGTATATCATGATATTCATATTTTAACCATCATTTCAAGCTCATCGCTCATCTCATACCATCGAAACTTGGTTGTTATCCGGTAATGATCCAGAGGCGTGCCTATCGTGGCATTTATCGAGTATTTACTGCTACTCCAAGCAGATTTGTACGACATCTTAATTTGCTGAACTCTGGAAACGCTCAAAAATTCACAGAATGGCCTTGGGGAAAGCCGTCATTCAATCATCTTCCACCCGATGAGCGTAAGAACTCCAACATACTGGCTCTCAACTTTGCCAAAAAATCGAACAACATGTACACTAAGGATCACGAATTTAAGGCACTTATAGACACATCATTGAGATACGTGCTCGATACAAAACTATCGGCTTTCAATCCAGTGGAGAAGGAAGCCAAGAAATATGCTTGGCTAAGAACTCGAGAGTATCTGTACATGCAGCTTCGAAATACGGAGCTGGAAAAAGAGGTGAAAGAGTACATTCCAGCTGTGACCAAATTTGTACGACCATCAGATCCCAACACATTAATTTGCCAGTTACTTAATTGCAGTGCAGTGTCAGAGGACGAGTGGAAAAAGATTCTAAACTCTGAAAATGCTTTAACGGCTCAGCAAAGGTTTAACCACATTATAGGGAGCGTGTTCGATTTTATTTTTGAACAAGAGATGCTGCCACTGGTATCTCCAATTAGGTCCAGCACAAATAGTGCGGAGGACATCGATATATCAAATCCTGCAGAGTGGTTTCCTGAGGCCAGAAAACTGAGAAGACGCATCATAATGCATATTGGCTCTACAAACTCAGGAAAGACATATCGTGCGCTTCAGAGACTCAAGCAATGCGACAGGGGTTACTACGCAGGTCCGCTGAGACTGCTCGCACGAGAAGTCTACGAAAGGTTCAAAAACGAAAATATACGATGCAATCTACTCACGGGGGAAGAGGTTATAGAGGAAATTGACGATATGGGGAATCCCGCGGGCTTAACATCAGGAACCGTAGAAATGGTGCCATTATCACAAAAATTCGATGTAGTGGTCCTAGACGAAATTCAAATGATGGGTGATTTAGATAGAGGATGGGCTTGGACAAACGCTTTGCTTGGATCCATTGCTCGCGAGGTTCATTTATGTGGAGAGAAAAGCGCTCTTCCTCTGGTGGAGAAAATTGTCAGGATGACCGGAGACGAGCTTGTAGTCAATGAATATGAAAGATTAGGCGAATTAAGACTTGACGAAAATTCTCTCAAAGGCGGTTTAAAAGGACTACGCAAGGGGGATTGCGTGGTAGCGTTTTCCAAGAAAAAAATTTTGGATTTGAAGCTCAAGATTGAGAAAGTTACAAACTTGAAAGTAGCCGTTATATACGGATCTCTGCCACCAGAAACGAGGATACAACAGGCGAATATGTTCAACAGTGGCGAATACGATGTACTTGTTGCTTCGGACGCAGTAGGAATGGGCTTAAACCTCTCCATTGAAAGAGTCATCTTCACTACTCACATGAAATTCAACGGTCAGGAAATGTCAGAATTGACCTCTTCCAACATAAAGCAGATTGGCGGACGTGCAGGAAGATTTAGGGTTGCTAGCGTCTCCGCAGGAAGTACAGTCGATGATGGCAAAAAAGCTGCTATTGGCTTCGTAACGGGCGTGGACCCTGTAGTGTTGAGCGCAGTGAAGACCGGGATGACCTCTCCAATTGAGTATCTGCAATCTGCGATTGTATGGCCGACGGACGAGATTTGCGGTAAATTGATGACTCATTTGCCAGCAGGGTCGCGAGTTTCAACGCTTTTAAAAACTTTAGCGGCCGAGGTGGAAAAGAGATCTGCCAAGCTTTTCACCCTGAGTGATCTCAAGAACAGATTGAGCAATATTGCCATGTTCGAGCACATGGACGGAATTCCATTTTTCGAGAAAATGCGACTCAGCAATGCGCCTGTGAAGGACTTCCCGCTTGTGAAACGAGCGTTTGTGAATTTCTGCACCACCATAGAGCAGCGACAGACGCGGTCCTTGACTAGCTATCCGTTTTCCTTTGACATTTTGGACCCCCAATGTATCGACAACGACAAATTTTCCCTGGAGCATTACGAGTCGCTGCACAACATCATAATGCTGTACTTTTGGTTGAGCAATCGCTACCCGAGTTATTTCATCGATCAGCGGAGTGCGCATGAGCTCAAAAACATTTGTGAGATGATCATTTTCGAGAAACTCGACCGTCTGAAACGCAATCCCTACATCAAAAAAACAGGTGCACGTTCGGGATTCATTCCCAACAAGAAGAACAAAATTACTTGAACGATGTGGAATAACAAACCTATGAGCATTACATGAAGTGAACAACCTGAAGAAGTACACTTGGATTGAACAAAATAGTAATCACTATACACGCCTGTGACGCGGAAAGATAATCACTATTAACGTCTGTGTCGTCGATCGTTTATTTCAAAGTCGATCGTACACAGATTAAAAAAAACCCGAGTTCCAAAATCGTACTTTTCCAACTGTTCGCCACTTCTTCTAAAAACCGGCTAAAAGCAAAGGAATTGAGCTGATTTGACCATTGCAATCGACTCCTAGGCATAGAAAACCCCATAATAACTTCAGGAATGTCCGGAAAAGTCTACATTGTTGCCGCCTCTAGAACACCAATTGGGTGCTTTCAAGGAAGTTTGGCATCGAAGACCGCTGTTGAGCTAGGTGCAACCGCTGTTTCTGGAGCCCTGACACAGGTACCAGAATTGAAATTGGACCAGGTGGAGGAGATTATTTTTGGTAACGTTTTGAGTGGAAATGTGGGTCAGGCACCTGCCAGACAAGTGGCACTTTCTGCCGGGCTAAGCAAGGCAATTGTGGCCACTACAGTCAACAAAGTGTGTGCATCTGGTATGAAAGCGATCATATTAGGAGCGCAGACGATCATGTGTGGAAATGCCGACGTGGTGGTCGCAGGAGGAGCAGAATCGATGTCCAACACACCATATTACATGCCTGCAGCTCGTGCCGGTGCCAGGTTTGGCAGCACAACGCTAGTGGACGGCATCCAACGCGATGGAATTGTCGACGCTTACGATAACCAAGCAATGGGTGTTCATGCAGAAAAATGCGCCCGCGACCACAACATCACACGTCAACAACAGGACGATTATGCCATCGCATCGTACCAAAAGGCCCAAAAAGCTCAAGCCGAGGGAAAATTCGACCGTGAAATTTCTCCAGTGACGATTAAGGGTTTCCGGGGCAAACCTGACACTTTGGTGAGCCAGGACGAAGAACCTGCAAAGCTGAACGTTGAAAAACTCAGATCTGCACGTACCGTGTTCCAGAAGGAAAACGGAACCGTCACCGCCCCTAACGCTTCGCCACTCAACGATGGTGGTGCCGCCGTCGTGCTGGTCTCTGAACGCAAGTTGCAAGAACTAGGTCTAAAGCCACTAGCTGTCATTAAAGGTTGGGGTGAGGCCGCTCAAGAGCCTGCCGATTTCACATGGTCTCCAAGTCTGGCTGTCCCCAAGGCTTTGAAACATTCGGGTCTCGACATTTCCCAGATCGATTTCTTCGAGTTTAACGAGGCCTTCTCCGTCGTAGGAATTGCCAACCCACAGAATCTCAATATCCCACTCGAAAAGGTCAATGCCTACGGTGGTGCCGTTGCTATCGGCCATCCACTCGGTTGTTCTGGAGCCAGAATCGTCGTGACCCTACTATCCGTGCTTAACCAAGAACATGGCAAAATTGGTGCTGCTGCGATTTGCAACGGTGGTGGTGGAGCTTCTTCTATCATTATTGAGACTCTTTAAATGACGAAGAGAAAAGTTCACCGAAATAGCTCCAAAAAGATTGAAAGAAAAGACTCACTAAACCTGGGGAATTTGGCTAGCTCATAAACTACATGGTTCAATCGTAATGGCTAACAAAGTACCACTCATTGGCTCAGAAACTGGTTCAAGTCCTCTTGCTATGTTTAATAGACGTATATCACTTTGTACTAGCCGTATGTTACCCCAGATATTATAAGTACAACAGGCCTAGTCATTTACCAACGTTTTGGCCAACAGTTCAACACTCACGAAACTCCCTTTGACGCTACATTACGGTACCATTGGAGCATCTTGAAATATTCAGGAGTGTTCAGAATAAAAGGATAAATTAAGGTTCATTTTGCCAAGAAAACCGGGGGATTTTAGCGTCATTTTTGAGCACTTTGATATGACATCGGGAAGTTCAAGATCCAAGGTCATTGTCTTGGCTGGAACAGCGGGAACTGGTAAATCTACCATTGCAGCAAAGCTGGTAGATCTGTACAAGGCTTCGTATCCTGGTCTTGGGTTTTTAGAGGGTGATACAGTGCATCCACCTGAAAACATCGAAAAAATGAGCCATGGTGTCCCTTTGACGGACGACGATAGATGGGGATGGCTTCAAAAAGTGAGTGAACTATCAGCTCAAAGCTCCAGGGATCATTCGGGACTGTGGGTTGTGACGTGCTCGAGCTTGAAGAAAAAGTACCGAGACCTTATGCGTTCGCATAGGCCAGAAACGGATTTTTACTTTTTGTTCTTGTTCGCTGACAGATTGTTGATCTTAGACCGTGTTACCAAAAGGGAGGGCCATTTCATGAAAGCCAACATGATTAACTCGCAATTTAGCGATTTGATGCTTCCTGAGCCGGACGAAGATTTGGCTTCGACCGTCGACGTGGACAACAAATCTGTTGAACAAGTTGTGCAAGAGTGTCATGCAGACTTAAAGACATTTGTTACTGAATGAGGAATTAGAAGATGCATCATTTTTGGCATTTCATTGATCTGAATTACACAGCCGGATACACTATGTTAATTTCTGATATTTTCTTTTACTTCGAGTACAGCACCGGATGCTTGTTCTCATAGGTTTGAAACAGTAGTAGTATGCTATATTTCTAAGGTTTGTATCAAAGAGCGTTTCACAGCTCAGATCCTATCTCGACCATTTTTCGTCGTGCGTATAACATTGTTTATCATTATCATGGATTCAACTATAGGATCCAGTACTAACTATACATTGGTGGGGTGGTTAAAAAGGTCATTTCTCGTAAATTATCGTTTAATCGTAGCATTAAATCCTCAGCATTGCGGCTGCCAACGGCTGTCAGCCGAATAATTTGTAACGACGGACATGTTCTTGGTCAACACGTTCAATCCAAATTCGATGGGTAAGCCGGTAGCCAGGTTGGTATTAAAGGACTTGGGGTTGAGGGTATTCTGTTGATGGTCTTGGTAGGGGGTTTCATTGCTTCGTTGCTCTCTAGATTGTTTGGTTTCACTAGATCTTGCTTTGCCGAAGCGCTGTTGGTAGGAGCAGTCATCCTCGCTTGTGGCTTCGGTATCGTTGTCGAAGCGGCTAAGGTCCTCGTCGGAGTGGTAGTTGTGCAGCATTTGCTGAATGGTAAGTCCGCGATAGTTGGTGAGATAGTTGTGTATCTCGGGATCACTAAGTGGGGCGACGTGGCTCAATGGACCCGATACGGTGAAAGACGTACAGGCAGAGACACGATCCATAATGCTCGGTAGAGGTTCTCTCGCTACGGGATCCAATTGCAGAATATCTTTCAGAATACCAAAAAGCTGTTCAGAGACAGGCAGAATCTTTTGAAGTACTTTGGGGTCGCGTACGAAATAGCTGAAAGTGTTGTCTTCGAGCTGGTGAGCTTTGAGCCACGGATTGCGGATGCATGTTAGATTTATCAGTATTATGCCCAAAGACCAAACGTCTCCCGCCCAAGTCGGGAACAAGACTGTGGCAGGGGCGCTGCCATCGACCTGCAACGAAGACGGGCAGGACAAACGTTCAGGTGCCATATAGTAACTGGACCCGAGCGAGACATTGGCAGGTAGTTTTTCAGCCCTTGTGCTGAGTCCAAAGTCGCACAGGTAAATGTTATCGTGTGCATCTAAAAGGATGTTTTCAGGCTTTATATCGCAGTGGTACACGCCACGGGCATGGCAGTGCTGCAATACGGAACACAATTGCAGAAACACGCGTTTAACTAGTGCACCGTCGTTGGAGAAGTGTTGGTGATCCACAATACTCGTGAAAAGATCGCGTTCGCAGTAATCCAGTACCAGAAAGGTTGCCAATGGTGATTCTAGCACCTGGTGCACCGTCACCACGTTAGGATGAGCGTGTACTTGCAAATGCAATGCGAGCTCGCGGTAATGTGGTGCCCGTTGTAATTGTTCCTCGGTAAGCGATATTATGGAGTCCAACGCGATTGCAGGTAAGTACAAACGATTTTGGAACGATTTGAAGTAGTAGTATAGCTGCGTTTGCAGCATTGTGGCCTGTTTGATTTCGCGTGATGCGCCATTTTTCACCACAGCCTTGATGGCATATTCGTTTTCCGTAATCAGGTCTACTGCGTGGAATACCAGCCCATAAGCACCAGACCCAATCTGACGGGTTAGCTTGAAATTGTTGATTTGACAGTTCGTGAGCATATCGCTTGAAGCCCCTTTCAAGTTAGTCGCAACTGTGCTAGCCCATAGTCAATTCGAAAATTGGGCCTCTCACACATTTATATATTCTCACATCATCCCAATAGGTGCGCGAGTGTCTCTCCAATACTCCGAGGACTCAACGTTTCACCGATGCCACTTAATCATCCACACCATTCCAAAATGTCCTGACATTCCCCTAACCAACCACTCATTGACACTGCACATAGTCAATTTTTTGCCTGGCCACACCACCTGAACATCGAAAACAGCTCAGAAAATGTCCGGGAGAATGCAATCAATTGCGCACACGGCAAGCAGTGCAGAGCTAGTTTTCATCAGCCCATCTCGAGCTACCCAGATGGTCCCACTTTCACTCAAAGGTGACCGTAGCAGCTCTGTTTTTTTTTTGTTTTTTTGGGTTCTTTTTTCTTCTCAAGCGACAACAGGGAGGATCACCAGACGTCCAAGGCATTTAGGTGTGGTGTGACGGTGTTAAGAGCGCAGACTGCGAACGCAGCGTTGCTGGATTGTCGACGATGACGTGGGTAGTAGTGGAAGGTTATCAGGCCTGTAGCGACAATGGGATGATGGGAAGTATGTCTCATTAGGCACATATGGAAGAAATAGTCGGCAGTTTGACATGAGCCCTGACGAACAGTTCGTGGTTGAAACAACGATTCAGGTATAGTTAGAGTGTAGTCAAGGGTTGCCGAAAGGCAAATGAATCAGAGTGGAGAGGCTAGGTGCAAAGTGCGATGTCTTTGACCAGTTCCTGGCTTCAGAAACCTTGCAAAAGGGGCTGGATTTCGGAGTCTTGGCCAGCTTAATATCAGTAGGGCGAGCAGATGTAGCAGGCATAGACAAAAACTTTGCAATGAGAATTTGGAACAGAATATTTTTCCTTGCTTAGTGCCGTTATGTATCGTCAGGTAGAAGTTTGCAGGCTTTATTAGCAGTAGACATGACTGTTATTCTTGGTGGTTCCGACTGTGTAAGGGTAGTATAAGGGCATAGTGTTCAGAACCGAATTTCAATCCTTGAAGGAATTGAGCTAGGTACTCTTTTCAGTGAAGAAAACTTAAGCAACGCCAAACGACAATAAGAAACGATAATTTTTGCCGGAAGGACAACTTTGTTATTGGAGCAGTCAACATAGGTTCCCAAAATGCGGCTAAATTGTGAAACTGGTGTCTTACAAAGCGTGTAGAGGGTCGGATGCAGTAAGTTCAAAAGAAATGCATGCACTTCGTATACTATCAGAAATCGCGGGATAGTAGTTCTGCATGAAGTCAGATTTTGATCAACAACGGAGCACAAGAGAAACCGTGTGAGCTCCAGAAAGACGTTGGATCACTAAGCGTATGGAACAATCCAGCCACTTGATACGATGGGAGTTTGTACGCCGTAATTTCTCAAGGAAAGAGACTCTTAGCGGCTAGAAATTGTAGAAATGAAAACGCCACAGCGCCACTTTATCGATGGCTTTGGGGCACTCAAAGTAGAGATTTATTAACCCTCATTATCTGTACCCTCGTTGAACTTCTGCATCATTTGAAAATCACCAACGGCTTCCAAGTAAGTCTGCCCCACAGCCTATCGTCGTAAGTTCACCTCGGATACTAATTCTCATTTGTTTCCAAGCGTTGCCGTATCGATGGAAACAGCACATTTGTATTTTTATAGAACTGTACGATTAGCCGCCCAGCCTTTTTTTTAGCACCAAGTACCTGGTTTTCTAAGAACGAACGAGGGCAGCAGTTATCCCTATGAAGCAGAGGTCCAGTGGGTGCATAAAAGTAGCTAGTCAAAGTGTCCAATAGCATCTGTGTGGTCAGCTCGAAGAGTAAACTTTGAAATCCATCGCGATCATCCTGTCACTGCGAGGAGCGAAATCTGGCAGCAGGGAAAGCCTAGAACCCCGCCTTAAACATGGAAAAGGCGTTCATCACGACGTGTTAGGATTTTGAGTGTTGGCCTGGATAGCCCACAAAGTTTGATGGCCATGTTGAGTCCAAAAGTGCTTTGTAGGAGTGATCGAAAGGAATGATTGATAGTACTAATGATGTACAATGAAGAGTACTCGTGAGTACTTTTCGAGCCCCTCGAGTAACAAGCTGTTTTTGACGCGATGCGCAGTGATGGAATGCTGGCCTTGTATCAATGTTTCATGCCTGCAATTAGCATGCTATCCTTGCAGCCTTTTTCCAAATGTTTGGTCAACTTGAACCTTTAAAATATCCGTAATATGGACAGAAGAACGAAAGCGATGAGAATGATACATGATGTGAAGCGGTATGTGTTGAGCTAAACCAACGCTAATTGCTACCTTTCTTGCTTCTTCTCTTACCATTTGACAATCCGAGGCGGTCACATATCGAGCTCCTTATGATAACAAAAGTGTTAGATGAACCTATGACCAAAAACTCAGTTGAAAATGCACTTGATAGCCAGGTTTAATGTTTGAAGATCTTGGATCAACTGCTAGCTGTGTAACGGCTGCTTTAACAATTCCAATCGATTCGAGATCTCCGGTAAATATCATATGTTGTGCGTCATTCCAATGGAAATACTGTTAAAAACCAAGAAATCCTACGCTTCACCCGGCAATCACACTTTGAACTACTCATTATGAGTTTTGCAAGAAACCACCAAGACACTTATCAGAACAGTGGTTGGTCAATCTGTCACCGTCAAGCTCAAAAAAACTTACCATCTTTGGCCCTGATAAATTCAATTTTAATAGCTGATACTGCCACTCCAAAAGTTTTGTTCCCCACCATTTGCTCCCACTCTTGGTTTCCGTCAAGTTAAGCCCATTTCTATCATTGCGCACCAAACTCCCAGTTATAAAGGCAATGCTGCCAAGGTATCTTTATAAACTATATCTCATGTAGATTTAATACTATTTTACTGTTCACAAACCAAAGTCACGAACACCTCCTAGAGTGTTGAAGTAATCCCCAATGTAGTTCTTTGGAGTGAATTGGTTCTCAGCGTACAAAGTATCCCAGTTACCCAAAATATCTTGCACAAAAGGTAATCCAGCAGCGTACAAGTTGGCATAAGCACTACTGCTACCACCTTGTAAGCTCTTGCTGAAGAAGAAAGTGGTTGCGTTCATACCTGGAGGAGCCCTGTCAATATCGGAAATACCGCGCATCACCACGATACGCGCGTAATCAACCAAACCGTGTTTGGCAGCACGCAAGAACGCTTCCAAAGTTGCGTTGTCTTCTTGTTGAGTGGAACAGTAAGTTGCTGAGCTGTTGGAGACGGTAGTCACGTAGTCACTGAAAGCCTTTTCCAAGATCGCACCGGACCAGTAAACATCAGAGGTGGCTGTGTCACAAGCCACAAGCTTTGGAGATCCAGTAACAGCCATCGAGGTGTTATATTTCTGGCGGAAGGCCACGTTGCCGCTTGTACCGTTATTTAAAGTAACGTTCGAGGCCACTTGCATGGCTCTGTCTCTCAAGGCTTCGTTCAGTTCGAAGATCTCAGTACCATAGATTGTGCCTGGATACACATTGGTCTGGCTGGTCTTGAAGTTAACGTACCCATACGACCAATTGGCAGGGATTTCACGCGAGTCTATCTCGTACTGCAAGCCAACTTGTACACCATATTTGGGATACGTCACGGACCCAATGGTCGTCAAGTCTGGGGATCCACCGGCAATTCCGGATACGATGAAGTAAGTGTCAGTCAAATCGAACAAAGGCGAAAGGGCAAGTGCGGTGATGGTACTAGCAGCATTAATTTCTCCTTCACCTGTGGTCACAGACATGATTGTGTAGTTTGAGTTCGAGTGCACAAAAGGGTATTCAGGTGACAGCATAGGAACGGAAATGTTGTACTTGAGGTCCAGATTGTTCACCCAAGCGTTTTGTTCGGGCGTGAACATATTGATGACCAACACCTTTGGCTTGAACAACGCACCAAAACGACCTTGTGACACAGTCAAGACAGTATCAGTTGCAGAAGCGGCGTCCGTTATGGTTGCAGTTTGTGTATAGTTTGTGGAAGTCGACACATTGGACGATGATGCCCTACGCAAAAGTGGGTTGGCAGCCACCAGGGCAGTAGAAGCGCAAAGAGCACTCAAAAGTAGATCTAGCTTCATAGCAGCGGGAAGTCTTACTGATGGAAGGGTCCCCAAGAAGGCTTCTTCAGTTAACCGCTATCTTGCCAATTTATACCTTGCATTGTCAACGTCGAAGTTCCTGACGATTTTCCTGTTCGGTACAGATGTAAACATCGACACATGAAAAGTGCTAGGGAACCTAGGCAACCAGGTTCGTCTATAATCAGGGCATTGGCAGAGCTGAATATGCACCGGAATCTAACATGGAATGCGATAAAAGACCCCTCTCCCTGGGTATTGGGCCGATGTAGTGTTCTCAAGATATGATAACCTGCAAAGAAAATATGTTGAGATAAGCTTTTAACCCGGTCCCGATCGGCCGTGACCGACGCTGAATCTTCCAAGATTCTTTTAGCACACACAGATACACCCACACACACACCGCCCTGTCAAGATAGGTCAGTTCATCGCAAGCCCTGAGTCACCAACTCACACCCACCGCCATTGCTATCTCCTACAGCTGCTTGACCAACGTACCCAAATGTTGATCGAATAGTTCGCATTTGATCGGCATTTCCGGTTCGTAGAACGGGTTCTTCATAACGTAGTCAGCATACAAGCAATACGTCTTGCGCAGCAGGTTTTCTGCGACTGCCACCGCCATTGCGTTGGTCGTTGGCTGCGTGCTTACGGCCACAAACTTGATACCGGTAAGTGTATGATAGACAAACAGAGAGTTCTGGTCCGTAGTAACGTGTTTAAGCCCTCTGCCATTCCAGCTGGCAAACGCATCGTTGAAGTAGTCAGGACCTAAAAAACTACCCAAAGGTGCTCCATTAGCAGTTGTAGCTCCCAAAGTCCCCATATATGGTACCAAAGGCGCACTGTTATTACCCATCGGCTCACTGCCACCTCTAGCACTGCTTTTGCCGTCAAGCTGCAGGGATTTTGGGGTGATCTGGCTCGCAATCGCTACAATTCCTTGCAGCGTACCTGCCAAGATCAAATACTCGTTACTCGACAAACGTGGAGCATTGGGAACAAAATCTCGCTGATATACCAGCCCACCAGACTTGTTGATCACCAGAATGGTCTGGATTGCCATATCAAACGCCTTCCAAATGGACTTTTATGAACTTTCCCTGTATTCATGATGTGTAGCGTATTTCGTCAAGTTCATGTAGAATTGACTAGTTTTATATAGAGGTGAAAAGAGAGATCCTCAAACTATCGTAAGCAAATAGTTTTACGTCCTGAAAACATGTCCAGCCGCATTTTGACGGCCGACATTACCCAGGGACCTTTTTCGATTGCTTCAAATGCTGCACAGAATGAGCGAACACGTCTCATAGACGATGCGTTAGCCAGTGCCGTATGGTCACCCCAGGGCATAGAAGACCAACGACTAATTACGGTCCAGCGACCACTTCTGTTCCAAGTATGCATGGTAGAGAACATTGGACGGTCAAAAGCAAGTCAATTGGACGTTATACGCTCGAGAATGGACCCTCGAACGCAGCGAGTAGATCGTGTTAGTACATCTGCTGACAGACATTTGGTAACCGCAGTGGACGTCGACACAGATGCCCCAGTTGATACGGAATTAACAGGAGCGGACAAGTCGACATTCAAACTTACTTTACAGGACAAAACAGGCGCTATGTACTTTGCAATCAACATGTCACCGTTAAACTTTCTGAAAAACGACGGTAGTTCATGCGTATTGGGCTCGAAATTGGTGGTTTTACCGGGGGCGGTATTCAGTCGTGGTGTGTTTCTGCTGCGGGACAGTAGTGTGACGTTTATGGGCGGAATGATACAGTCTTGGAACCGTGGTCGCGATCAAAAGATGTGTACTTATTTGGAGGCACATTTGGAAGTCAGTAAAGCGGCTGAATCCAGTTCTTCACGGAAACGCAAAGCTCCTGCTACCTGAATGATGGTGAACGGTAGCCTTAATGCATCAGTTGTAAGCTGTACTAAACTACATTGCCCTAAAAACCTATCTAACCTGCTTACATCACTCAGACAGGTCGTACGGCACCTGCTCCGAATCAGGTCAATAGCAGGTCCCACAGCGCGTCACACTGGCTAAAGTCGTGATGGACAATTGACACGAGGTAATAGTCCTTGTGCACTTGTCTCAGGAGCGAATTGGTGGCAGAACCACGGGGGAAAAGCTTGCTCCACTCTAGCCATATACTAAAGGCTTCGTCTCTCCATGCTTTGAAAGATTCCTCTTCGACTATTGTGGTTTGCAAAATCTCTGAATTTGGGAATACACCCCAAGTGACCACGCTGGATCCGTCCGTTTCAAGGCTCGAGTGAAAGGCTTCACCAGAGTCTCCAACATAAAAACTCACAGTTGGCGACAACGGCTCAAGTTTGGGTTTCAATACATTGTTCCATTGTTCCTTATGCACGAACATCTCAACAAATGACTTCTGATAAATATAGCCACCTCGAGGACCCCATCCAAATATTTTGTCCGTGCTAGATGTGGAACTAGTCGCCGGCTGTGATGCTAATGTAAGATATCCGCGTTCATTGAGCTGAATTAACTCTTCTTGGATCAATGCAGTTTCAGGTGAGAGTCCAAGATCTGACCATGGTAATGCCTCTAGAGCTCCCTCCAAATACCTTTTGAACAAGGTTTGTATATCTTTGACGCATTGTGGTTGTCCCCACACTTTATAAGCTTTTTGGTTGCTCACTTTCAATGAGGGGCCGTATCCATCAATTTCACCAAACGCTGGCGAACGAGAATCACCAAACCGACCATTGGTGAACTCATCCCATGTGGCATCTTTACCAAGACTACCCGAACCTTTAGATATTGACAAAACGACTTTCCTAGAGGGTGCTCCGGACGGTTCCCTTCCCTTTACAATATTTCTATCCTCGTCGTCAATAAGAACTCGATTTGAGGTCCTATCAGGATTATGTGAAGATGACTGGCGCCTTCTCTTCTTCATATTTGAGCTGTCACTGGTATCCGAATCTTCCAAAGCTATTTCCTCTATTCCATCGACCAAATCGTCATCTTTTTCTTCTTCGAACATTTTTGCAAGGCATGGCGCATTCGTTACAATCTGTGCAACAGCTTTTTCCAAATTCAGCGTATAGAAATGGAACCCCTTCACTCTTCCCTCAGTCCTTTCATATATAGTTTCCACAATTTCAGACAGAACATCCACACCAATGGCACGGATTTTGTTATCATCAGCGTGGTATTCGGAAGGGAAACGGTTGAGGATAGAAGCGGGAATTGAAGCATGCGATAATTTCGATGCCCTATTGAACAGTTGGTAGGAGTTGATTGGCATTAGACCTGGGAAAAGGGGCAAAGTACTGGAAACCTGCTCACGGAACAATTTCTCAAAACTTAGAAACTTCTCGACATCGTAAAACAGCTGTGTGATGACGAAATCTGCACCGGCGTCCACTTTTTCTTTCAAAAATGGCAAGTCTCTCAACGAACTATGATCCATCACATCGGCTTCACCTTCACAATGGCCTTCAGGATAAGCTGCCACACCAATGCAAAAATCGTCCTTATATTCTTTTTTGATGTACCGGACGAGGTCGACCGCATATTTGAAATCAGATGGAGCAGACCCTTGGTCCCAATCCTCACCCACAGGTGGATCGCCTCTGAGTGCTAAAATATTACGAATATCAGCTTTGTGAGCCTCTTTCAAAGCGTTGTCGATGACCTCTCTACTGGTGTTGGTGCAAGTCAGATGCATACACACCGGTATGTTTAGCTCTCTTTGAGCCAGCGCCGCAAGCTCCAATGTTTTTTTAGCCGTGGTGCCCCCCGCGCCCCATGTAACAGTCAGAAATAGTGGGTTGAGAGCTGTCATTCGACCCATTCGTGCCATCAAGTTTTGTTTCCCTGACTGTGTTTTGGGAGGGAAAAATTCCAAAGAAACAAAAGGCCCTGGTGAACTCTCATATCGCTCCTTGATTGTGGACATCTTAACGACCGAACAGGGCTAAATGGTCGTGGTGTTAAAGCGAAAAGGACGGTCTTGAAGAGTGTATCCATCAGAAGTCTTTAACTATGGTGTCAATGGAATATAAGATGAATCATATGGTACGGACATACACACCTAGCGACAGCGAAATAATGTCAAAAGGCTCACTGCAACACTAGCTCGACAATTACAATGGCGAACATTGTCAGTGAATATGTGGACTATCAGAATTGATCTGATAAAATGTATTGTTTGGTGAATTTTCAGCAAATTCACGATGCCCAATTTTACAAAATATCGTCATCAACTTTAATGTTACTCGCACAGCGGACAATTTACCGTGAAGCTACCGCGAGGCTAATCCAACGAGTTGGAAATTGTATTTCGAGGGTTTGAAAATATTATTCAACTTGTGACAATTGTTCAGATATTGTGGTACAGTGATGGGTCCTGTTCTCTCCTATCAAGACTTTTACGCATTCGAAACGCTATGAATGTATCGAAAACTAATGCAATACACACAATCCATAGCAGGAATCGCTTCGACCTAGCGTCTATGCATAAATGTATGTCGTGCTAATGGCTATACAGTATATTGCTGCGATTTCGATTCTGAAAACAGGTGAAATAGGTTTGACCATTGCATATTATTTTCGATACAAGCCAGTGTGAGAAAGCTAGATATCCTGTAAGAGTCTTTTCTATGATGGTGACGGGCTTTTCCCAACTGGTCAACAAGAAAGGCGCGCTATCACTATTTTCCTATGTGTCGCTGGAATCACATGTCTTGGAAATGAAAAGCATCCCATCCCATCTCATCATGAACAGAAACACAGTAAAACACAGCTACCACTAAAGCAGCCCATAGGCCCTCTTTTTATCACATCAACTGCTGGCTGGTTGACATAATTTCATTTTCCATATCGATAGGTTCCTCTATCTCAGTTTATTTTCCAGTTTTCCCTGTGTTTTTTGCATGATTTCTCCCATTACAAGACGTTTACTGCGCGATTGGAAAAGGCTATGGCACCAAGGAAGCGACCGGTATTTTGTGCGGCCTCAGGACGCAAACGTACGTCTGTGGAACTTTGTACTTAACTGTGAGACAGCAGAGGTCTATGGAGTGTTTTTCTGCGGCGGATCAGATACAGAGCCCGTTTTGGTGATGAGATGCTTTACGCCTAATGCATGTTTTCCAGCAAACCAAAACGTAAGTCTGACGCATTTGGCACCTTTGCTGTTGACACAAGGTCTTGTCGGGTTTATGGAACAGCTCTGTCGCATGGTGGACCACACACCGGGCGCAAATGACGTTCGTTTCACACGTACGTGGAACAGAACGATGATCAAAGACTTCAAAACGCATTTCCCGCAACTGAGCACTAATTTTGAACCTAACTCCCAGGATTTGAGTGCAGTGCAGTTGTGGGCCGATTCCAAAGCCAAACGGGCCGAGATGCATACTCAAACGTTTGGACCTCACCACGGCTACCTGTCGCCCCTCAGCAACACTATCGCATGCGACAATAGCAGCATTCAAGTCAAGGACACCAAAAGGCGAAAAACGGCTCAAACGAGTCCCACAGTAGCTACCCACTCTGAATCCGAAAGCGACAGCGATTCAGATCTGCATAGAAAGAGAAAAGCAGCCAATCCAAGACTTTTCCCGCACGAACCTCAGGAATGATTTTTGCATTACGTACATAGCGCATCTGGCGTATTAAATATTGAACAAATGAACAAATGATGCCAGAACTTAAGCCGAGTAACATTACGTCAATGTTTTACACAATGGATTTAACCATAAGCAAGACTCATACGCTCACTTATGAACTATTTTTCCTGTCAGAATGGCGCAAAATGGTCTTTATCATTTCATTTCCAATTTTGTTAGCCTCTGGTAGCATTGGCTTAAAAAAATCCTGTACCTCTTTGAACTGACGTCTGTACAAATCATAGCTCTCAAACGATACAATTGAGCTCCATGAACGGGCGGCGATCACAAACTCCAAATCGTCGGCGCGGAACGCAGTTTCATTGATCGCTGCTCCAATCGTTGTTTCCAGCAAATCTGGTGTCATGAAAAGGTACTCCGTCACGCCCAGAAAAATTCTAAACAACGGCGTGGAGCATATTATATGGTCATAAGGATTGATTCGAAGCTGGTGCCAGCTGTCTACGATTGCCAACAGCGATAGATGTGAGTTTGGAAGCGTTTCTTCGCCTTCTTGTGGAACATGTTTGCTAAGGGAATATCCCTCTAAAATCGAGTCGTCCAGTAGGAGAAGTCCCGTTTGTTTCCCAAACACAAACGTTTTTGCCGCATAAAGCCTTTCTTTCAACTCCTCCTTTTTGTTTTGTACAAAAAGCGCGTACAATTCAGTAGCGCTCTTCGCATATTGCATGATCTGCTCGTGAGCCGCCGGGTTGGTGATTGCCAATCCAGCATAGACATGCCATTTATTAGAAAAAATTCGCAGTGATATGTTGACTTTGACATTTTCAAATCCACCATACCATCTGTTGACACCAATGGTCCATGGGTACAGCTGTTTTTTGTACCAAGCAACGCCCATGCTTAAAAATGCTGCGTGTGTCACGGCCTGAGTATCCGCCGTAATTCTATCGTGTTCCTCGTATGTGAGATAAACGTGTTTGCTCTTGAGAGACGATACTACCGCCTCTACGAGGGGGAATGACTCTTTGTCATGGCATCTGTGTTTGATTAAAACAAGTGGCTGACCTTCAGGGTCCACTCGTGGTCCGTGTAAGGAATGTACAGAAACGATGTCCACATCGGGAGGTAGATATTTTTCAAATGCTTTAATCTCCGGGCTTTTACAGCTGGTTTGACCGCCAACAATGCTTCCTATTTTCGTGGACGGACTGTATTCTTTTACGATCTTGTCGATGATCTCCGCCTCTACACTGTAGATAATGTAATCACTGACTCTGGAAACCAAATGTCCATTTCTGAGAACCGTGTATTTTTGATGCTTAGAAGTCTCCAGCAACTCTTCGAACCTTTCTTCTCTGTCACAGCAAACTACCTTCCATCCATGATGTGCGAATTTTTCAGCATACAATTGGCCCATGTCGCCCATACCTATAATACCTATTGTCTTTGTTCGTTTCCATTCTTCAATTACACTAGGTTCCGTCATCCTGGATGAGTTCGGGCTTATTCGGGGCGGCGCTTCGACGAATTCGAAGTGTCCTTGGTTGGTAAAGTTGCCGATGATGTGCATTTAGAGATATAAAGTGAAATACAAGTAAAACGACAGTAAAGGACAGAGTGATCTAGAAAGAACTCGAACAGCAGTCGTGAGCCGCACCAGGGCAAGTCAAGGTCTCAGAGCGATGAAATATCCATGAATTGTAAATCTATAATAGTGAGCAAAGTATGGTGTCACCACTAGGTGCTGTGTTTGCTTATGTTCAAATGGCTTCTGGGCACCACTGCGTTTGTTAACTAACAAGCAATTTAGCTGTAAACGATGCTCTTCGAGAGGGCCTGCTTTCATGCTACTTCAGTATCCCATTATTGAGTATACTTGACTGATCAACGAGCTTATCGATGGCAATATTGAGCTTAAAGGATGATCTTCACTTTTTTACGCCTTAGGGCACGTTATCCAGCTTAATGCATTCGAATACACTGCCAAAGACATTTTATTTACAATTGTTCATCTCCATGAACTCAAGCTCGGCTAATTCTATCATTGCTACTTGTTTGTTCGTTCTAGAAGCCTCTCAGCGTAACATACAGTTTGGCATTGGCCAAACGCTGTTCGTAGTCCAGCAGGTTGTAATTTCGGTCAGATCCGAACCGATTATCTAGAAAGCTTATACACAGGGACATCGCACCGATCAAAAAACCTTGGCCCACTCTAACATGCTTTCCAGAAGCCCGTTCTTGACCACCAACTACAAAGATGCTAAGTATCCCAGTACAACCGCTATCGGTTGGCGAATTTGAAAAATATGGCTCTATTGTATCTCCGGAGGAGGAGATCCACAAGCTCGGCTCTCAAGCCACTAAGGGTGCTAACCAGGGCACTGCCATCAAAATTTTAAAAGTGAGTCGGAATCAAAACCTTTTCCCAACAGAATGCGATGTCAGGGCCTCTCATTGGAACCTATTCCGCTGTTTCCCACGCCCTCATCTGAAAAGAAGCTTTTTAGAGTACTCCACCAACGATCTGGTTCAACACGACATCAAGGTACTGGAAAAACACCCTAATAGTTCACAAACGTTCGTACCTATGGGCCGCGATGCCAATGCTCTGGCGTATCTAGTAGTTGTGGCTTTATCAGACGAACAAGACGAACCAGACTTATCCACGTTGCGGGCCTTCACTTGTAAAGGAACTCAGGCCGTAACATATGGTGCGGGTGTTTGGCACGCTCCAATGATCGCTCTTGGGCCACAAGATTACCTAGATTTTTCGGTGGCCATATACGAATTAGGTGATGATTCTGAACCAGAGATGGACCTGGTCGAAAGATTTTATCCAGATGGCGAAATGCTTGTTGCTCTTAACGCAGTGTAAAAAAACAGATTAAGTTCTAGCGGCTGGTGTCACTACACGGCATATATATATGTATGTATATATATCGAGAGGTCGATAGCGTAGATCGATAAGATACAAGCCTAGGTTCATGAGCGCGACAGATACGTTCCACAGGCCGCAAAGTACCCTACAGATTTTGATTGAAAAGCAGAGGTCCAGTTCAAATCGCTCGAATAGACTCTACAAGTACGATTTCTGTTCACTCTACGTTCAGCTTTTGGTAAAGACAGCTAGTTAGTGTAGTGTAGTATTATGTTGAAAAACTACTGTGAAGTAAAATGAGAGCTCATCGCAGGCCAAAATGTTAGCCAAAAGGTCGATAATCCCCAAGATGGTGACCGAAAAGCTCCAAAACTTACATATATCGGTTCCCTCGGCTGCAGACGATGTGAAAGCGGTTTCAAACTCGTCCGGAAGACCAAATCAGGCTCTAACGAAGCCCATATCGCTAAACGCAGAAACAGGTGAGTTGATGGTCAGGAAGTCCACAGGTAAGACTAAGATTCGCAAAGGTCAAAGCTCTGAAGAGTACGAAAACGAGAGAAACCATTTCTTTGATGTAGAAAAAGGACCAGTATGGACCCCGGTTGGCTGGATGATGACGGCGAATGAAGATCTACTGGCGAAGGATCACTCAGATCTTGGGCCTGATCTTACGCTAAAACAAGTAAGACACAAGCTTATGGGGTACTGCCACTTACTTTACTATCGAAAACGGTTCCAAGACTGCGCCCAGGCTTGCGAAAGCTTGATTGCACAATTCGAGACAGTCGAAAGTAGGAAAAGAGTCCAAAAGGAAATAGATGAATTGAAGGGAATGCTGGAGCACTCTAGGGCTAAGCGTGTGTAAATAGGAATACAATGTTAAACAATATGAGGGCAACAACTGCATTGAGCTTTTTTTAAATCGACGGCATCCGTGAAGAACTAGGGGTATATTCGAACCTCAACACCACTAGCGGTCCTTTTTCGCAGTACGGTTTCTAAATCCGCGTCTTCAATATCTTCGGCGCTTTCGCCTTCGTCGCCGGCTTGTTCGGCAAGAATCTCATCCACTAATGGGATGGTTTGAGTTAACACCACTACTTTTTTGCCCTTTTCTTCCTGGAAATGGCATCCCACAGAAAGCGTCTTTTCAACAGCTTTACCCATACCCAATACGGTCACATATTGTGCTCCGTGTCTTTGCAACTGGCTCAGAAACTTGTTCACTCTTTTGACTGCTGAGATGTAAGGCGTTGTGGATTTAACATAGATCGTCGTTTTAATCTGCTTGTGGGACAGTATCTTTACCGAAGGGTGTTTGGCGATAATCCTACCATTCTTGACCGTCGACATCGACTCAGAAGCGATGAGTTTCCGCTGTTTACGAGTCCTTGGTAACTGGCAATGATCGTCTCTACTTATACAAATTTAGGTCATTTAATTGAGTTAAACCTCACTCGAACATCGATTCAACTTAAAAGGGTTGAAATAACAAACTTTGAATTATTTCCAAATACTGTACTTATATGCTAGGCTTCTGATACCTCAATGGCAGAAAACGGTAGAGTTTTCCGCGCAAATTTGGTGCAGAAACAAGGTCAGAAAGCCGGTTTGACATATTCAACGGCTCCGCAGGTGTCATGGGCCCTAAACCAGCTGTACCCATTTTTGATTATATTCGATGGGCTACTGAATAACTTAATGTGGTGTTGTGATGATATTTGGCTACCATTCATCTACTTGGTGCTTTTGACGATGGTGGTAAATTTAGGTGAGGTTCTCGATAGGTACTCCAACATTATCAAGGCATTGGTCGCTTCGTGGCTTGGCCTTATGAGTCTCGTCTTTGTCGTGCTATCGTATTTGTATTACATTTCAAGTGTGGTACATGAACTGAAGCAAGAAGAGCCTCCTACACTGGATGATATCGTGGTAATCATGGAAAATGTGCATTACAAGCTTGAAAGGATGCGTGACGACGTGGGTCGAATTTCTAGAATTCGAAAACGCGAATTGGCATCTTTAGTGTTGATACTGATGCCTCTAAACTGGCTGGTATCTACTTATATGGTGTCCACTCAAAGCTATGTGAAATTTCTTGTGACAGCGGGCCTCATTTTCCATTCGAGTTGGTGTCAGTGCACTCTACGTTTGGTATGGCGTAGCTTGTTTGTTCGGCAAGTCTTCTTTGCCTTATACAAGCAGCAACGTACCACCTTGTCAAAAGACCCAATCTCTGATCATTACACGGTAATAAAAGATGCGCTGGACGTTGCAGTGCCAAGAGAGTTAGATCTATTGGACGATCTTAAACACGCAATGCGTTTGAAGCAATTCGTTTGTGAGGCTATTTCCAATGGATGCGATCAATTGAAAGGGGACCCCAACTACCATTGGGTCAAAGTCCTGGTTGTCGAGTATCGAATTTACGAAAACCAACGCAAATGGCCGCTGGACGGCTGGACTCACAACACGTTGACTTATGAGAGGACGAAGTACAGTACGGGGCAAGGCAGCACTTTATCCAGAAGCCTTTCGCCCTGGGAGTTTCAAGAGTCCCTAAGTCCGGACTGGATCTGGATTGAGGATGGCTGGAAACCACACGAATGGGAATATTGCGATACGGAATGGAACATCAAGGGCCCGGTGGACTCGCTAGACTGTTATACTAGAACCAGAACATGGGTCCGGTCTGCTTTCCAGTCACTTCCGGAGTTGTAATGTCAGTAAAATAACACACCAATAAGCGTCTACAAGAGAAAAAGAATGGGAAACGATGATTCTACGATTGATGTTCAGATTTTCAAGACATCGATTTCCTCGTTTTTGAAGCCAGAAGATGAGTATCTTGATTTGATTACAAAGTCTCTCATTCAAGCCTCCAGCTCTGATTGGCTAAGGATCCAAAAACTTCGGATCTCTTGATGAAGAAGAAGATAAAGAAGGAGATTTGGAAGCGAACCGAATAAGTCAGAAGCAAGGTAAGAATAGCTGAATCACAATTACAGTCCAGGAGGTGTTTACTTCTTGCAGCGTTAATGGATACCTTGGAATACCCATAAAGATATCGTCAATCTCGTGACCAAGCCTTGATGATTCCCAGCTCCGAATGATGATAATTGTGAGATACCTATGGTAAAAGACGAAAGATCCGGCGACTAGAAACTATCATCAAACGTCTAAGATCTCGGACGGCACCCTCCGGTTCCAATGCTTCCGAGAGCTATTTTAAAAAATGTGCCTCAACGGTATTTGCATGGCTGTCATAAACTTGGGATGACTTTTGAAGGTAATAGTATGCAGCACTTGGGTTCAGAAGAGGACAGAATGAAAAATGTGTTTGGGGGCAGAATCAAGGGGGATCCTCCCAGATCCTCCAGTCGTGTCGTCAGAGGTCAGACCCGGAAAATTGCTGGCATTTTGGTGCCCCAAAAGCCTCCGGAACCCGATAATTGCTGTATGTCAGGCTGTGTGAACTGTGTATGGGAAATGTACAACGAAGATCTGCGAGAATGGAAAGATAAACGTAAAGAGGCCTCTCAAAGACTGAAAGGAACAGATGCCACTTGGCCCGCCGATTTTGAGCCTCCACTAAAGTTTTTGGATCTACAAAACGTGCCTACCAAGTTCAAGAGTGCGAAAATCCAAATTGACAAGCAGAGGAATAGAGGCACTGCGTCCTTGTTTCCGCCAAGAGAAGGCAGCCTCCCACAAAGTGTTATAAACGCACGACAAAGGCATCTGAGAGAGAGGCAGAAAGCTGCTACTAGCGAAACAGGTCAACCGGAATCAGACGAAGGCTGGGATGACGTTCCAGTATATATCCGTGTTTTCGCTGAGTTTGAGGGCAAAAGAAAGGAAGCTCGACTGCATGGAGAGCATAGAATTTAGACCCGGTTGATTTATATCGTAAACAGCAAGATGATTAGCAAAATAATCTAATTTGGCCAACCGTCTTCACCATCAACACCATGCTAGCGGATTTACGTAACGGCGATGATCCATAGTTCTTAACAGAGCTTCAAAAAGTTATAATTTTATCATTATTTACCATCGTACATGCACGGGAGATGATCCCAATTCCACTTAAGCTTAATCCAAATCGATATCGCCCTCGGCGTCAGGCTTAGGGGTTTCTTCTTGTTTTTCAGCTTCAGCCTTTCTTTGAGCGGCCAATTTCTCAGCTAGCTCAGCCATTCTTTCAGATTCTTGCTTGGATCTCAAAGCTTGTTTCTTCTCTTCCTCCTTTGCAAGGTATCTACCTCTGATCATGTTACCCAAAGATGCCAATTCCTCGTACTTCGCAATGTATCTAGCCTTGGTAGAGTCGAAGCCGTCTTCGTACAACCAGTCTTCAGCCTTTGCTAGCATGTCTCTCAACTTGGTCTTCTCGTCATCGGACGCGAAAGTAGAGTATTCTTCGTCAAGCTTACCACGCAAAGTGTAGATGTATTCTTCTAGCGCGTTCTTGCGGTCTTCAGTCTCAGCGACAAGTTTATCCTGAGAGAAAAGATCATTCTCCTTTTCAATCAACTCGTTCAATGTCTCTTCTGGTAGTGCAAAAGTGTGAGCAACAATTGTTAGATCGTCTTTCTTGACGGTCTTGGTGACCTTCTTGTACTCAGGCTCGGCATCCTCTGGAGCATCAGCAGCACGAGGAACTTCTTCTTCGACTTCGATGTCTTCCACGGAGTATGCGCTCTCGATGATGTGCAAGCCAGATGGGTCACATCTTAGCTTTAGCTTGACTGGGACAGAGGACTGTCCGCTTGGAATCTTCACGCCAGTGATGTTCCACTTAGCAATGTGAGTTGGGATTCCAGCTGGAAGCTTTTCTGGGTTGGTGTAACTGGCTTCCATGGAGAAGTCACCAGTACGGTGCAGAGTAATCAACTTAGTAGAAGGGAACTGGGATCCAGCGGTGAAAACCTCTAGATGGTCTTCATCCTCTTCTTGTTTGTCCCACGAGTAAGAGACAGAGTACTGGTGAACATCCTCAAACTTGAAAGGACGCACTCTCATCGTTGGGGAGTGGATGGCACAGATGAAGGCAGCACCCTTGGCAATAGCCTCGTCTTGGTTCAAAGTGGTGGACAATGGCTTGCCAAAAGCTTCGGAGATGGCGTTCTTCAAACATGGGATACGGGTAGTACCACCAATGATTTCGACGAAGTCGACATCTTCAGGCTTCAAGTTAGCCTCCGCCAAAGCTCTGGTGACTGGGTCAGTAACACGTTCCAATAGAGGTGCAACCAAGCTTTCCAATTCTTCACGACTCATTTGCGAGGAAACATCCACGTCGTTCATGACGGATTCCACAGAGAATGGAGCCGTACTGTTAGCAGACAACACTTTCTTCAATCTCTCGGCGCCAGTGATGACTCTGTTGTAAGCCTTGGCGTTTTCTCTGATATCGATCTTGTATTTGGTCTTGAACTCGTCGGCGAAGTGCTCGGTGATGGCACGGTCAAAGTCTCTACCACCAAAGTGCTTGTCGTAAGCGGTACCGAGGATTTTAAGCTCGCCTCTCTTGAAAGCACCGATGCTACAGGTGTAGGTGGAGTGCCCAATGTCGACGAAAGCCACGATTCTTGGCTTTTGTTCGCCTTCAGGCATTTCGCTCTTGAAAACACCGTAGGTGACGGCAGCTGCTGTCACATCGTTCACGACTCTAACAGGGTTGAGACCTGCGATTCTAGCAGCGTCTGCAACCGCATAGCGTTGCTCCTCAGAGTACCAAGCTGGAACAGCGATAGCCACATCCGTGATTTTGCCTTTAGTTTCTTCCACCACGGTGCTTTTGACTTTGTTGATGAACATGGCCACAAGCTGGGTAGCGGAGAACACCACTTGTTCGCCGCCAAGTCTGACCTGGGCGCCAATCTTCCCGTCGTCAAGTTTGACCAACTTGGACTGGAAGTATTTGCTTTCGGTTTCAAAGTCAACGTCGTCGTAGTTCAACCCGACAATACGCTTCAAACTCTCCACGGTGTTCTTAATGTTCGACGTTTGCTTGTTCTTGGCACCTTCTCCCAAAAATCTGTTTTTTTGTCCAAATCCAACCATCGATGGGGTCGAACGATTTGACACTTCATTCACCACAATATCGATACCTCTGTTTCTGGCCACCGCCAGAACACTGTTGTGGTTACCTAGATCTAAACCAAATGGTGTACTCATCTCAAAATGTCTAACGTCTGTGTTGTTTGACTAGTTTTCCAAGAAAGTGGTTTGTTCAGATGTAAGATGATGATTTGAAGATCTAAAATTTTTTGCTCATTATATATAAAGGTCCACGATGGTGAACTTGGACTATAAAGAGTGAATAATTCTAGAAAATTCCAGAACAGACGACAGAACCAGAAGACAGATTTTGAAGAGAAGGAGAGGAAGTGGAAGGGAAAAGCGGGAAAAAGTTGAGGTGGCAGGTTGGTCCAGTGTTTAATTGTAGAGCTTGTAAAGGCAGTTCAAAATGCGAATCTTTTCCGGGTTCAACGGTCAAATTGAGATGAAAAACGGGTTCCTGGACAAATGCCGTGATGGAGATGCGGAGGTATGCGAGACAAGCGTCTTGTGCTTGGTTTGGGAGGGGAGAGAGAGAGAGAGAGAGAGAGAGAAGGTGTGTGTGCGTGTGTGTGTATCCGGTTCTGTAGAATTGCTTGTTAGCCGTCGTTTTCATAGCATGCTTTTCATGCCTATACGGACTCTTGTAAAATCATGATCAAAGTTTGCCATTCTGGTGAGTCTACTAGCTGGAACACGGCAGTGGAATCCCCGGTTGCCGCTTTGCACAGCAGCTGCCATTCCTGTAGCCCTAAAATCTGTAGCGAATGCACATATAGCAGGAAATGGAAATTCGATAGTTTCTCCTGCAGTAGTTGGAAATCACCAGACATGGCAGCCTCGTACAAGTACTGCTTCAGCTGTGCATAATCCTGGGAGTGACCAAGGACCTGCCGATTGGCCCATGGGAAACCTGTCACGGTTGAAAACAAAGGTTTCGATGGAGCCTCCGCCGTGGGAAATCCGTGCGTCACAGTAACCAGCAAATAGTCTACCGGAAATGCAGGTTTGGCATTTTCTTTTACCAACAGACCGTACTCGTTTCTTCTCATGTAGAAGAGCTCTGGAACGTACCGATCCTCATTTGTATCGTTGATGTACGCCATCGAAGGATGTGTCGAGCCAGTAATCATGTCAGCCTGAACCAGGGCCTCCGCGTCCGTCGACACCTGATACGTAGAAATATCAACTTCTTCCTGGATGTTACCGGAAATTACGCAAGTGACGAATTTCGACGAATAGAATCCTTGTTCGCTGAATTTGCATGCATTGGGTGTCTTTAATTGCTGTCTCGCGGCCATCGTTACCTCTAAGGACGACAAAAAAAAAGAGTCCTTATGACGTTTGCAAAACACAGAACCGTTCCCTTTTCCCGTATCCGTCAAATCTGTAAATATCATCCCAATACGTGAGAGTCCCATGTCTTGAGCAACCGCGTCAATCCTGGCCATTTCAAGCTCAACAAGTTCGGGATCCATAGTCAAACCGTCTGCTTCATCGTGTTGAGGAGGCTCGTATATGGCCTCTGCCTTGGCTATTATCCCAAGTGGCGTGGCACTGTAGGGAGCATAATGGCCATAGATGAAGCCGAACCGTTGCGTTCCCGTGGTTCTCCAACTGTCTATAAATTCGTTAATAAGCTCACTTGTCTGAAATTCAACATGATCAACCATTCTGAAATCCTGCTGTTTTAACGTTATAGCCGATGGCTGGCACTTGGAACAGATGCCTCGAGGCCAAGGTTCGTGTCCACCTGGACAATTCTTGTTTATGCGGAAATCGGGCTGCGAAAGGGGCGGTATGTAAGAGCCTCCGCTTCCTTTTTTATTCGTCTGTTCATTGAGCTGTCTCAGGTGTGCGTGGAATGAGATATGCTTTATATTATGCTCGCTTTGGTTCCCCCGGTCCCATGGGGGGAGTGGACTGCAGTATTCACACATCCCTTTATCACCGTGTCTGCAGAGAGGTGATCGCTTCCGCGGTATCAACCCATCCAATTTATGGAGTTCTTCGTCAACAGGTAATTCTTTGATCTTGAGGGGTCCAGCTTCTTTGGAAGAACTAATCTTTACGCTGGTCTGAGATGGGTCTTTCACTGCACCTTGTGCAGCTCCCTCTGTCAACTGCTGAGTTGCACTCTCATTTCTATCATAGCTGACATTTAAAAGCTCACCGTGACTATATCCAAGCTGGGCAATGCTAAGGTTACAAATCTCGCGTGCAAGCGTCATCTGCTGCGGCCCGGGACCAACTTTCAAAGTATTCAAATCGGCATTTGGACTCAATTTTGGAGCTAGTAAGCTCAAAACTGCATCAAAACTTTGAGAGCCCTCGCATTCAATGCGTGACATTCCATCTGGAGTTCTGAATCGAAGAATCATGGTGCGTGGAGCCTCAAGGTGTGATCAGAGTGTTCTTAGTGGCAACTAAAGGTTTAAGGAAGTATTGAAGATATAATATACTCTGTCACATTCTAATTTCGTGTCGTAGGATGAAGTGATGGTCGGTTTGAGCTTGTGAGTGACAGCGGTAGCATTGGTCAGACCTTCCGGCGAGCATCAGTGTTTAAAACCCTCTTTTGATTAGTCGATATTCCCTTCTTACTCTGTCGGGACTTTTCACTCTCAATTCACATTTCATAGTCAAATCTTATTCAGACTCGTTTGATTTGTAAGAAAGTGCCATTTCAGCTAGTAAGTTGATAAAAATTCATCCCTGTAGAGAAATAATAGAGTTGTGAGAGTCCTTTTCGCTAGGCTGGCCAAGATAGTCGCTATGACAACTTTTGGAATCGCACGTTTGTGACTTTTGAGAACGTTTTGCAAATCACAGACGAGAAATTTACTTGCAACGTCAAGCCACCCTATGCATTGGCATCTGCATAACTGGTGCTTTTCTCAATCTTCTCCAAAGTCTGTCTTAGTGCCCTGTCAAAAGTGGTCACATCTTTGTCTGCAAAAAAGTGCTCTATTTCGAGCTTCAAAGACGAGCCAACCATGTTGCTCAGTGAAAACCTCACAAACCTCTCCAAAACTGTGGGGTTAGAACCAATTCTATCACAAATGCGAGTGTAGTTGTCTTTGATGAATTGCCACAAATCTAAGCGAATATCTGGATTGGAGCCCATGGCTTCGGCTAAAAATTGAACATCCATGGGTTCTGCTTGGAAAATCAATCCAAAAATCTTGCCAAAAAGAATCGGGTTACGTGCTTTTCCCAGTATTCCTAGTAGAGATTCTTTCTTGGCCAATGTTGCAGTTTTGAGTTGGTCGACGACATCATCGAATGTCTTGGGCGATGTGTTAGGTTGTGACAGAATGACCGACAATACTATTTGCCTGGTGATGGAGCTGCATTTCTTATCGTTAAGCAACTCGCATTGTGTGACAACTCGTTCATTAGATACCTTGCCCGCCGCTAACAGAATCTGCTCATAAAATTGAGCTTTCAGAGCACGTCTTTTATCAGAGCTGCTTGCTAAGATGGAATCTGGGTTTTTCAAAAATGAAAGTGCCGCTTCCAGCTGAGTTTCTACAATCAGACTTATGAAGGATTCCGTTTCTCTGTAAAAATGAGATAATTGTCCAAACACCAGCAGAAGCTCGGAGCATGTCGCCAAAATAGCAGCCCACACGTAGTAGTCGTAAGGGTCTTGAATTTCTAAGAAGTAGGTTAGCACTTCAAGAAGAACCTCTGTACTGGCTGTCGCTTTTACATCATGTATCAAAGCAAGTTTACCGCGTGACGATAGGGCATCTATATTCCTGCAGATTTCGAATAAAAGGGCTTTGCTTTTGTAGTCAACGCGGTAAAAGCCATAACCATTAGCATTGAAATGCATCAGTTTGTTGGGCTCTGTGAAACTCATCGAAGAGTCCCAAAGTTCGGATTTTCCTATTGTTAAAGCTTTGCTCGTCATGAGCGGTATCCACCACTTACACGAGTCAGAGCCAGATGAGCTGCTTTTTTGACTCAAACGTATTACATTATCGTGTGTTTCTTCGACGACCAGAAGCGGATAGCCAGTTTTCAAAATCCAGTTGCTCAAGCGTGCCACGAGATCTATTTCGCATACTTCGCCTACGCTTCCAAGAAGGTCATCCATGGTAGCATTAGAAAATGCGTTTCGCTTCAAATATTGTGCGACGCCTCTGATAAATTTATCAGCCCCTAGAAACTCGCTGACCATCTCGAGAAGTGAACAGCCTTTCAGGTAAGATATGGTATCAAACAACTGGTCTATGTCCTTCGCATTTTTCACCGTAACCCTCACAGGATGGGATTCTTTCAAAGAGTCCAGCTCTAGTGCGACCTCGTGAGATTTGCACATAACTAGCGATGGAACATCCCATTCTGGAAACATTTCATTTACAGCGTAATACCCTATCCAAGTCGCAAAGCCTTCATTCAACCAAAGCTCGTCCCACCATTTCATCGTCACAAGATTCCCAAACCATTGATGAGCAATTTCATGGGAAACAACGTAGGCTATCTTTTGAAGGGACAGCGGATTGCTTGCATCAACAGACGTTTCAAGCAGAAGAGCAGTTGGTCTAAAAGTGATGAGGGAAAAGTTTTCCATGGCATTGTGGGAGTAAGCTTCAACGCATAGTAAATCAAGCTTGGGTAGCGGATACGGTATATCGAAAAGGCCGGAATAATAATCGATGACTTTGGTAGCAACTTCCAAGGCGAATTCACCCAGTTGCGATTTTCCTTTGGCTGCGTAGACCCTTACTGGAAGTTTTTGAACGTCTCGACTATCTCCATTCTCACAGGGGTAGATACATTTATCTGTGAGTCTTTCAATGTATTCGAATTCCCCCAATGCCCATGCAACAAGGTACGTGGACATTTTGGGAGAGGTGCGAAATTTGTGCACGGTTGTAATTCCATTGTCTAGTTCCAACGATGTCTTTAGCGGCATATTAGATAGGACAGTAAGTTCAGATGAAGCGGTTATTTGGACGTCAAAAGTCGCCTTACGCGCAGGTTCGTCTACGCATGGGAAAGCTTTCCTTGCATCGGTGGCCTCAAATTGAGTTGAATACATGGCTTTAGTCGTACCATCTTGAGGACTTGGATACTCGGACTTGTAAAATCCGGTCATATTAGTTTGCACAGCACCCTGGTAAACTACTTTCAAAGTGAATTCTTCGTGAATTTCTTCTACAAAGGTCAATATGGCAACATCAGTGACCTCGTCATATTTGATGGAGTCCGGTTCTATGAGGAGCCCATTTTCCTCTTCAATCGCTGAACTCAGAAGCTTGAGATCTCTCAGGTTCAAGAAGACCTTATTTGAGGGTTCATTGACTCGAAAGTTTATGGAAACAGTTCCGTGAAAGACATTGTTCTGGATATCACAGCAGTCAAGCTCTATAGCATAATGCAATGGATCAAAATGGGGTGGTAATGTTTGATTTGATGTCGACATGGTGTGTCTGGTGGAAACTCCGTCAGCTCCATCATCTTTGTTTGTCCGAGCGCTATCTATTTCCCCGGTGTCAATGTAGATTGGATTAGATGAACAAATCCGCGGGCCAGTGTCATTGGCCACGATATTCCAACGTCTTCGAGGAAACGTTAACAAGCCCGAGTAATGGCTTTCCCGCAGACCATGATCCCTTCAATTGCTATTTCCAACAAAGATACTGAGATAATTTTGCCATCAGGTCTTTTGTTTGGTGTCGTCAATTGTTGGGGTCTTACGGGGTGTTTTTGCATCCAAATTTCAGGCTAGTGACCCGACGTCTTGTTGAACTCATCTCCATATACAGTTTGCAAAGAAAAAGTTCAGGCTGTGTCCTCTTCACGTCAAATTCGAACAATCACTCCTTCTCCATACGATCTCTCAATGTTTGAGGTGAAAAAAGCACTACATTTTAAACTAATCCTATAATCTTCAAGATCACGCTGCTACAATTTAGGACATTCCCATCATCAACATGTACTGGTCTGGACCTGACACTTTCAGAACAGGTTGTGTATCGTAGTTTAACGAAGTTCGCCAATATTCATTTTATAACTTTCATTATTTAACCGCCAGACTATTTCGTAAATGGTGATATCTCGATTTATTAGATCTTGAGTCCTATATATCGAATTGAAAAATACAGGACACACACTACTACTTTATTCTAAACTACGCTCTTAAGTCTTGTCAAAACCTCTCTGTCACTGCTAAGATCCACCGCCAATGTCATTCAATGATACCCAACACAACAGCACATTTACAGAGGATGATTCTGGCACCGTGGAAATGAAAGCGGTGTCTTTTTACACACCTTTGATATATGTTTCGATCTTGGTGATATCATTGATCGTGTTTGCATCGCATTACCGCAAAAAAACCGTCAAAGAGCTGAATGAACTGCCCTCTTTGTTTGACGAATCGATTGCCAGGGACCTGTACTTCGAGTTGAAACAAATGAATGACAGTGGCGAAGCCAAGGTTCACGAGAAAGTGCTCAAGGCTGCGCTTCTCAACCGTGGAGCAGAAGCCATCAGGAGAACGCTGAAGCTGAAAGAAAGCGAACCACAGATAACAATGCTGTACAAGAACGGGTGTGTCGGGGAAGAGTACTGGAAACGGTACCAAAACGAGGTGAAAATTGTGGAACTAGACTTCAAAGATGCGGTTCAAACTGCAGAACTAATGCAGCCAGGCTGGCCTCAGCTTTTCATTGCCGTTAGCAAAGAAATCTGTTTCAACCAGGCGTTGAAAAGACGCTTCCAAGCCATCTTGCTACGTAAAGAAGTGTTTTCGAAACAGTGGCAGGTGAACTTTGACAGCACAGGCAAGCTCATTGAGTAGTTGTATTTACTTATACATAGGCATTAACGAATGAAAACAGCGAGAAATTACTGAAGAAAAAGTCAGCTACCAAAAATGCATACAAGTGACTGCGCAAAGTTCTTGTGCTTTTTTTATCAATCTACACAATGTGTAAGTGAACTAATCTTGGATTCACTGCGAAATCTCAAACCTCTTAATGCTTTCTGTTCTTCTTCTTGCCAACAACCTGGAACTCCCAATCCTCAGCATTGCCCTCGGGCATCGACAAAGCTTCGCTCCAAGACATCGAATCCGTGAGTTTGCTTTCGCATTCGGCACGTCTTTTTATGAACTCAGTAGCAAATCGTCTTCCATCCATGGATGGACTGTTGGAATAAACTGTATCGGCAATGATTTCCTTGGATTCTGGGCCAGCTGGCAAACTGAGTAAAACGTCTAAAACACCATTCACATTTACGTCAGCTGACAACTTAAGCTGTGATTTGCTCCATTTCAAAAACTCTTGACGCAACGAAGTCGACGCGTTTCCAACGTAATTGGATGTAGGTTTTGCAGGAGCAGCAACAGCTCTTGTCTTTAAAGTTGGGATGCTGGTGGAAGAACCTACTTGTTTGGCTTGGTTTGCACTCATAGAGCGAAGCTTCTCAGGATTTAGATTTGCACTTGGTTGTTTGGATAACTTGTTGGCAATACCAGCTTTATTGACAGCTGCCTGCTTTTTGGAGACAGTGGTCCATTCATTAGTTAAGGTGCTAGGGTTAGACGCACCAAGCTTGGCGTTCCTTTGAACTTCTTCCCAGAGTCGTTTCTGCTCTTCCAAAAACTTTTTCTCTTCCATTTGCTCTTTTTGAATTTGTTCAATCGTTTTTACTGGGGCTTTCAATTGATCTTGGGTAGAAATACCATTCTTCTTGCTCGCCCATGACGCGATCGAATCAATTCTTGGCTTACTGGATTCTTCGATCATGACTTGCTGTTGTAGTTTCACCGCAAGCTCCCGCGTCTGTTGTTCTTGTTCTTGCTTACGCTTTGCCCGCTGGGCAGCTTCCTTCTGTTGAACGTCAGCTAACGAGGGTGCTGTAAAGGCTGGGTTTCCCTTGTTGGCCCAAGGGGCAGGTTTGGCAGATAAAAGTGCCGGGGTAGATGCTCTCGATGAAGTTGCCTCCGCACGAGCTTTCTCCACTTCTTCGCGTCTGACCTGTTCTTCACGCTTGACCTGTTCCTCTGCTTCCTGCTGTTCTCGAGCAGCAAGTTCTTTTTCCTGGGCCAACAAATGCTGGCGAGCAGCCTCATCGGCGATTCCACGACGCTCTGCCTCTTCTTGTTGCTTCTGACGCTGTTTTGCAATACCCTCTAATTCAGTAAATGCAACCTGCGTTGGTTCATAACCGTTTACTGCCACCACAGTTTCCTCACTCGCCGGTAACGATTCTTGAGTGACACTCTCTATAGGTGTTACCTGCTCGTACTGCTTTTGCTTGACAGCGAGTTCATGTTCGCGTCTCCTTTGAACAGCTTCTTGATCTAGTTTGTGCCTTCCTTTGAAAAGTGGGGCATCAGAAGTTCTAGATCTTGCGGCTTCCTTTTCGATATACTTATCAATGGGGACCTGGGAAACCGTTTCGTGGTAGTAGCCTCCATCACTATCACGCATCCGCAGTAATTCGCCATGAGTGTAGTCCGGAGCCTCAATATTAAAGTCAGATCCATTTAGAAACGTGGTAGCATTCTGAACGTTAGATGGTAATGGGGCGGAAACATAGGTAGTTTCCTTCTTATCCAAGGCAAGATCATCGAAGAGAGTTGGACGGTGGATAGTTGGAGTATGCGACGGAAGATGCTCATTTGGCTGATACTGTGCATGGAATTGAGCCTGCGCTTGAGCCACGATAAAATCAAACTTCGAGAAAGGATCTGAAAAGTCGCCCACTTTCGCAATCAAATCACCCAAGGGAGTGAAAGCATCATTGATTCCGAAAGGCTCAGGAGACGTTGCAATGCGAGTGATTTGCAACGACGACTGGAGATAGCCAGCTTGGTACCAATTGGACATAGCTTGCGAGGGGAAAGGACCCTGGATAACACCCTGGAAATCTATATATTTCCATTGTGACTCGACTACCGGCAGCTGAGACCCATAAACGCCCGGCGGCGGCGGTGGTCCTGGCGGGACCCTAGCAAAACCGTTGCTTGAGGCCGATGCAACATCCAACATGGAGCCTTGGCCAATACCACTACCACTACCCCAGTCGAGCAGCGGAGCCGAAGTCGACCCCGGAATCTCATGCAGTCCGCCATAGCTATGACTGGGCGTCATTTGAGGCTGTTGTTGCTGCTGCGGCTGCTGTTGCTGAACCGATGATGCCTGCCGTGCGAAAAACGAGTTATCCCCGTTAGTCAGAAACGGCGAACTAGAACGCTGTGTGCCTAGATTATCCAAAAGCGAAGTTGGCTTTGTCGCAGGAGTGCGACCCGCATTCAGCATAGGTGTCGACGATGACGACCCAGTCGTGTCGACCGGAATACCATGCAATTGCGAGCCAATTGATCCTAAATTCTCCTGATGTGTACGTTGGTGAAGATCCATATTTCTTAAACTCCTGTTTATCAACTCAATGCTTGCTTGCTTACGTCTGCTCTTAGCTAGACCAAAATAAAATCTCGAAATTCTAGTAGAGTTGGATATAAATCCTTTAAAAATTCACCAGCGTTAACAGAACAGTGTGCGTGTGCTCTCTCTGTAAGAGTTCGAAAAATTTTTATTGGCAGCGCGATCTGGAGAGAAAATGAGAAAGACAGAAAAAAAAACAAGGTAGTTTGATACGAGTCGAAAAAAATCGGCAGCTCTCGTCTTAAGCGATTTGAGATACACGTGCTTTATTCGTGACCTTGGTCATGTTGGAGTATCGTTATCAACGGTGTTAGCTGTGTGAGTCTCCACTGACTATTCACAATCATTGGGTTCTGGAATTGGCTAAGGACAATGCACAAGCATTTGCAACAATGGATTCCCGGTGGTTTCTTATCATTATTTTTTTGTTTGGGGCTCACTCCTATTATATGTTTAGTGACTTCTCAATGGCGCCGTGGACGTCTGCTCCAAGCGACACACCACCACTGCCCATTGAGTTTGAACCTGGGTATATATCCTCCCAGTCCACATTGGCCTCACGGTTGAGCAAAATGTCTTCGTGCATTCCGGCCGTTCCAGATGACAAAGGAGCGAAATCGGAGTTTCTGACAATGGCCAGCTCCATCTCGCGTTTCATGGGCTCAGCGAGCCCAAACACCTGGCGGTAGTTTTGCAAGTCTCTTTGACGCTGAGTCTGGTCCCAGTTTTGTAGTTTCGCCTCCAATGGATGTTTCCCGTTGATACGAGACGTCAGCGGCGCGGCACCGCCATTTTGGCTTCTCAAGGTGTCTGGGAGCGCAGGAGCGGCATTCGAAGCCACTTGAGAGCCAGAAAGGGACGAAACATTGGTATGGTAGTTCTGATTGGGCACAATGCTCATTGTTGATGTACGTTGTAGCTTGGATATCTTGTTAGGATTCGATTAAGATGTTGGTATAAGAGCTAATTCTAATGAATCTTCTATTATTCGCCACCGTGAGCGGAAGTCGTTTTGTACGGTTAAATTTTGAGAAAATTGGGAAAAATACATTTAAATAAATTTAATCGATGTTCTGACAATCGGGAAGATCATTTAATGCTCTATGAACTAACAATGTGCAACAAGGACTCAAACGCTACTACACCTGTAGAGTTGTACAGTATTATAGTCTGCGTTTTCTCTTCACGTGACTAATATTGTCACGTGACCCTCTGTAAATTAGATATTTATCATATCATACGGATCTCTCTCTGCAAACTACATATTTCGATTTTGACGCTCTACTAGAAGGCCGGTTCAGCACCACAAGTATCGACTCCTATGGGTCATTTTCAGCTGACTGATACTGTCAGACAGCCGCAACCTCGGGAATCGGTACAGGTTTTTTTCACCGCTGCAAAAATATCCCCGAACGGGCTCAAAATCGCTCTCTGTAATGGAACCGATATTGACGTTTACGATATCAAGGACAAATCCTTTGTAAGACTCTCTACACTACACTCGCGGCCATTGTCGGATCTATGCTGGTCACCAGACTCGCAATGCATCGCCACAGCATCTGACGACTTCACAGTGATAATTACACATGTCACATTTGGAGAACTCCATCGTCTGGTGAGTCACACAGCTCCCGTCACGGCTGTGAAATTCACACATCGGGGCAACCTGCTCTGTTCTTGCTCTATGGACGAAAGCATCAAGATTTGGGACACTCTTTCAGGAACGTTACTGCGCACACTTTCAGCCCATTCAGAGCCCGTTGTCTCCATAGACATGCCACCGCACGACGCCAGCATTCTGACTTCAGGGTCTTACGATGGACTCATCAGAATTTTCGACACGGCTACCGGCCACTGTCTCAAAACACTTACGTACGATAAGGATTGGCAAAGGGAAAACGGTGTTGTGCCTATCTCGCAAGTCCGTTTCTCCGCTAATGGTAAATATCTACTGGTGAAGTCTCTAGACGGTATTTTGAAGATATGGGATTTCGTAAGAGGGAAAGTCGTGCGTTCCTTTGTATCGGAAGAGTCCGCTTCGCTTCGATACACGTGTGGCATGGATTTTTTGTATCCCGAGCGAGAGACTGATGATCCCATCGTTGTGAGCGGCACAGAAACAGGACAAATCGTCTGCTGGGACTCTCAGACTAAGCACATGCTACATAGAATTCAAGACAAGCATGGTGAGAACCCAATTATAGATATCAGCTGTCACGGTACATTGATGTGTTCCCTTTCATTATCTGGTGAGTGTAATCTGTGGGTCTGGAAGCAGAGTTGATACTCAAACCGCTGTTCCTCTCGAAGCTAGATGAAGTATCGTTTCAAGCTTGTAAATATATGTAATATACATCATCAACCACTGCGCACTATAAATTGATATAGATGAGGTTAAGAAAAACTAGCTACGACAAACCGAGTCGGGTTGGCTCCCAAGAGGTGAGAAAGAGAAGCTGCATCTTTAAAATATGCTACGTAGTCAATTGGCCTTGTTAGGCCTACACAGGAGATATTATTCCAGCAAATTTGTTTCGGGCGAAATCGCAGAAAAGTTCAGCTTTACCAGCAAAGCCGTTAGCATCAAGAGTATACTGGAATCAAAGCCTTCATCCAAGGTTACTTTGAATGGATGGATTGACAAAAAGCCCAGGAAGGTGGGGAAAAGTTTACTTTTTGGTACTCTGCGCGATACCAAAGGTGATCAAATTCAGCTAGTGGATTCGCAGTCACTCTTGAAGACCGCCAACGTCGAAGATGTGGTTCAAGTGGAGGGACTTCTGAGTCCTAAAAAGACAAGCAACGGAAACGAGGTACAGGAGTATGAAATTCAATTATCCCGGTTGAAGACTTTGAATAAAGCCGGTAAACAGCCGTCTCAGCTGTCAGATTACAAGCAACAAGGGAATTATCCTCCGGAATTCCGGTATCTGCAACTTCGTATGCCAAAATATCAATCATATTTGAGAAAACGTCATGATATTGCACAAATGGTCCGAGAGAGTTTGAACGGTGCCGCTTTCACAGAAATCGAAACCCCAATTTTATTCAAATCGACACCAGAAGGCGCTAGAGAGTTTTTAGTTCCAACACGGACTGAGATCAACAGCAAACCCGCTTTTTACGCACTGCCGCAAAGTCCTCAACAATACAAGCAGCTGCTCATGGCAAGTGGTGTTGAACGCTACTACCAAATTGCTCGCTGTTTCCGGGACGAGGACCTGAGAAGTGATAGGCAACCAGAGTTCACCCAAGTTGATATAGAAATGGCGTTCGCAACGGGTGAGCAAGTAATGGAACAAGTGGAAGTTACAGTTGCCAACGTTTGGAATAAGCTTTCTTCTGTAGGGACCTTACGCACCCTAGATCACAGTGGTAGAATAGTTCCCGTGACAGATACTCAGCCCATTAGCAGAATGAAGTACAGTACAGCAATGACACATTATGGAATCGATAAGCCCGATCTCAGATTCCCCAATCTCAAAATCCTTGATCTGAGTGAATTTAAGGCCTACAGCGTCGAGAATAACGACTTCCCAATTTTTGAGGTTTTGGTGCTCCGAAATGCCTTCGACTCTGCGGACGACTACATCAAAAACTGGTCCGTTCTCTCCGATGAACATCAATATAATTCAAGGGCTCCGATAGTCGTACCAATCGATTCGCAAGAAATGGAAAGTCAGTGGTTTGAAGAATTCATGGCCATTGCTAATTTCGAAAACACTACGATGATGACACGCTTTTTGAACCTTAAAAAGGGAGACATTGTTTGCGGTGCGACTAGACAAGCAACACATTCACTTTTCGAGAACCCCACTCCCTTGGGGCGCCTCAGACAGCTTGTGACTCAAACAGAACGTGGCGCGGCACAATACAAAGAATGTAACGAAGCCGTTGCTACTTGGGTCATCGACTTTCCCCTTTTCGCGCCTGTAGAGAAGGACTTACAGCGGGGAAATACAAAAGAGCGCTTTCCAGTATATTTGGATGAGCAATTCACCTCAACTCATCACCCCTTCACCATGGTAAATCTGAAAGACTTAGCCAAACTACAGCAAGAGCCCTTAAAATGTACCGGGTCGCATTACGATTTAGTGATAAACGGTACAGAATTGGGCGGAGGCTCCACAAGGATTCACGATCCTGAGCTGCAAAATTATGTGTTCAAGTCAATTCTCAAGATAGAGAACCCAAAAAGGCTATTCGGCCATTTGTTGACGGCATTTGAAAGCGGAACCCCGCCTCATGCTGGATTCGCGATTGGATTTGACCGAATGTGTGCGATGATGTGTGGAACAAATAACATTCGAGATGTCATCGCTTTCCCAAAAAGTATAAGTGGTTCAGACCTAGTTGTTCAAAGTCCGAGCACTGTACCAGAGCAATCACTAAAAGAATATAACTTGTCCTATTTGACTAAATAGGCAGACTCCGCAGAGACCATTTATCAATGAATATCAACTTGTTAACGTTATATTCCAGCAAGTTCCGATTCCGTCAATGGTTGAGAGATGTGTGAGTCTTAGTCCTTAATATATGTTGACCCACATTGATATGTGACGACAGTAACGCCTGTATTCTCTCGCAAAGTATTGTCCGATGTAATGTAACCTCCACCACATTGAGCTCTCACCGTGGAGCTCAATGTTCACCTCCCCATCTCGGAGTTTTTTCAACATGTGTAGCAGAGATGGAGGACGCAATATTTTTATTGAAACTATCCATCTCCCTTGAACTTAAGTGTGTCTTTCAAAACTTTCTCTTGCTACGTCCAATTGCCAGAAAGCGCGTGGCCAAATAACACGCAGCGGCTGCGAATGTGAGCAACGAGCAATAGACGATAAACATTTGATAATCTTTTGATGTTCCCTTTCCTATAATCGCACCCGCCGCGGGCATCGCAGCCAAACTTCCTAATGCCGTCATCAAATACATCATACTGTATCTTCTGCCGAACTCTTCTATTTTACAGATTTGTCCAACAGCTATCGGCACCAGGGACAATATTGAGGAGAAAAAGATGCCATATAGTGCTGCAAAGACGTACAGGACAGCGAGTTTATGACCGAAAGGAAGCCAGAGGACGAGTGAAAGTACGGTCATGAGAAGCAGACCAATGGTTATGATCATCATGCGGCCCACGTAACGATCGCCTATATAGCCGGAGGCTCTACCGAGGATTCCAGCTGCGTTGACCACCGTGATCAAAGTATAGGATGTGCTTTCGGAAACGCCTGTGGATAGAGCATATGAGGGGAAGTAAGTAGATGCTACCAAAAGTCCATTTTCCGCAAAACAACAACCGAGTGCGCAAAATAGAAATTTTTTGTCCTTCAAACTTGGCAAGTCAATGCCGTACCGGATGTAAACGCGAACAGTTTCTTTCCAGCCCAATTTTTCTGTTTGGTAGTTCATAACCGTGGCATTTTCCCGTGTAAGCAACATAGAAGGAATTAGACACGCCGTTATAAGAAATGCAAAGATGCGAATTGCCCAAGCATAACCCAGTTGTGAGTAAAGTTTCCGAAGCATAACTGGGAAGACAACACCACCAATGGACCCGCCAAGTCCAGCAAGAGACTGGGCGTGGGCCCTTTTGTGCTTGAACCAGGTTGCCACGGTGGATACGTAACATGTCATCAGGATACCAGATCCTGTGCCATAGAGGACACCCAGACAAAGAATGAACTGGTAAATCTCTTTGCACTCAGCCAAACAAAAGGCCCCCACGATGGTGAGCACGCACCCGATCCATTTGGAAGATTTGCATCCGTTACGGTCAAAATAACAGCCCGAAAGGATGCTGGAAGCATAAGTAGCGAAAATGTACAGGGCGAAAATCCACGAAATAGTCGAAGCTTCGACTGTGCGAAGCTGGTGGGTGGAAACATACGCCTGGATGGCACCTACTGCGTTGAGCATTCCAAAAACGGAAACCAGTCCCAGACAGCACCCTGCCACTACCGAGTACGCATTGAGCCCACCATCTGCGAACTCTTTTTCCTCGTCCAGCCGCAGGACTTCGATTGAGGTTTTTGGTACTTTAGCAGCCGTGTCAGACAATTCTTTGTTCATGATCGGCGTTGATATGGATATGCTCCAGGTGCTCGAAGAAGGTGGACTCCGGTTTTCGTGCGATGCCCTCTCTTATAAGGTTCTCGAGGAAGAGCTGTCAGTCATCATAGATTGGACATATCATATTGAACGAGCCGAAAGATAAGCATCCCACCGGAATTTCAGATGATCTACATTGCTCAGCCTGGAATGCACAAGCATAGACGAACCAACATCTCTGTGTGTATCAACCAACCATCGTCTCTGTTCCGTTTCCTTTGTTCTCAAAAACGCTTCGAAAGTAGCACTTATCAAAGAAGAGGTCCATTAACTAATTCTCGACCACTGCCATATGTCCTTGGGTAAGATTCAACATGAACAAGAATAGATTGCATCTTAATCCTCTTGTTCACATCACCCAAACCCAGCGCCCTTTCTACCCAGGGCCCTTACCACCTTCCTTATGTGTCCTTCTAGATGCATTATTTTCACCATGGCTCTTATTCTTTCAATTAATCTCGAGCTCATGATGTTGTGCTGACATAATCCTTATCGAGATCATTTTGTCCCATTCTGACAGCTTTTGGTCACAAAAAAATTCCAATTTAGTTTTTTTTTTTTACCCCGCACAAGGGGCACGGACATTCTTTTTCTGGGTATAAATACCAGTCACACAATGATCATCCCCCTTTGTCTTCGCTCACCACATCTTGATGGGACAAAGAATCAAAGAGAGGTGAGAACAACAGGTTTTGGACTCTACGTTATAAGTTGCGGCGCTTGAGACACTTGCAGTTTTTGGACGTTTGATCTGCGATCTGGGTGCGAGGTGACATTTTGAAACGTAGGCGGCTAAAAGCGCAAATCCCTTTTTTTTTTTGGAGAAGTTCTCTACCATCGCTACAAAAATTGGAGCGCAGCTGATTAGAGTATAAAACGCTTGTCTCGTTTTGCAGTTAGCGCAGTTTCCATTTGGTTTTGTCCTTTTTTGTTTGTTTTCTTTTTTTGGGCCTTTCCACGGACATTTATAGTGCTGTTATAATGGCAGCAACTGAAACACAAGAATCCGCTAGTGGCAGTGGCAGTGTTAGCTATTTAGGGTCGCCCCATGATCATGCAAGCGGGGTTTTGACCCCGGAAACGGACCAGCCGGTTCTGGATCTTGTTTCCCCTGTTGTCACATCTAGCAACAACATGAACTCAAAAGTCAACAAGAGGCTACAAGAACTGCCAGAAAACTTGAGATACCAAGGCCTCACGCCAAGTGGCAAGCCACGGCTTTTTGTATGCAAAGTCTGTACAAGAGCTTTTGCAAGACAAGAACATTTGGTGCGCCACGAGCGTTCACATACCAAGGAGAAACCGTATCATTGTGGAGTGTGTGAGCGAAAATTTACCCGCCGAGACCTTCTGATACGACATGTGCATAGAGCTCACAACGGCAGTGGAGGAGATGCATTGAACTCTTACCGTCGGAAACGTGATAGTGTGCCACTCATTGAAAAGTCGCTGAGCGCTGGAGCAAAGGACCACAACTCAGTTGTTAAAGGGGAAGAAAGTGGTATTTTGAATAAACATGGAAGCGCAGATGTGGGCAAGGTGTCTAAGACACCGTTTACAGTACGAAGAAGGGTTTCTTTTTCTGCACAATCGGCTGAAAAATATGCTGGACTTTCGAAGGTAGGACAAATCGGTGCCGATATGGGTAGAGTAGAATTTTCGACGCCACAGCTCTTGCCATTAGATTTAACTTTGGGAGAAGAGAATCCTGCAGGACCTCAAAACCCAACAAGCTCGGGCTATTCTAATTTCAATCTCCTGGATCGGGACACGTGGATAAAAGAGATGAATTCGCTGCCGATGCTAGAGGAGTCTAGCGACTCCGGGGATTCTCCCATAACTGGTTGTGGAATTGTTAGTCGAAGCAGTAATTGGAGTCGGCGAAGCAGTCGTGGTAGCCCTCGAAGTGGAAAAGCTTGTGCACCGTCAACCGGTATCGCTAAGTTTTTAGGGACAGGGCATGCCGGTACAAAACGGAATTCCTCATCGTGGAGAATCGAGGGAAATAACCTCGTCGTAAATTCCCTCTTTGACACCAATTCAGCTCGTCCAAAGCTGGAAGAAGCTGATTCAAACTCAAAGCTAGGTGAACGTCTGCCTTTCCTCTTCCGCAGAAATCATTGGCAAGCTCCAATACCCCCCAATAAAGATGCTTCGCCCGATATCATTTCACGTTTCAATGAATTTAAGTTCGCCAACAAGCAGGAGACCGATGATCCTTGCTACAGCGCATCATCAGCGCCATTTTCGCTGGCCGAAAATGCAGCTATTGGCCGCCTGGATGCGGTCTCAGTTTTTCAGACATCTCAATACCCTCATTCGCCAATTAGAGTCGAAGATTCGGGCAAGTTCGATCTCTCAAACGCTGTCGATTCATCTAACAGTACTTCAAATGATGAGCACAATTTCATGGCACTAGCGCCATCAGGAACTTCGCCTGAGGGTGCCATTGAAAACACAACTACGACCTGTCAATTCTTCACAAATGACGTTCGCAACATGTGCATAAAGACTCTGGAGTACTACTACGATCATGCGTCAGAAACGCATTCTGCGGAGGTAAGAAGACAGGGATCGCAACTTCCTAGTTGTCAAGACTTGAATCTTTACGCAAGCTATTTCGAATCCTCCTTCCTTGTTCACTATCCTTTCATTCATCCTAGGTTACTGACCTTGGGACTGGACGACTTCAAAGATTACATTCACGAAGGGCAAGCCAAAGTAGCGGAGGATGAACTGTTTTTCAATTCGAACGTATGTTGTCTGCCACTTTTCATCGCCTCTATGGGATCGTTGTTTAAGCCAGGCGCTAGGTCCCACAGTCTTGACCTTTACGAAAAGAGTCGCAGAGTATTACACGTTTATCTGACGAGTCGAAAAAGACAAGAAGAAAAGTTGGCCGAAAGTAAGGAGTCGCGGGGAAAGCTATGGCTCATCCAGTCTCTTTGCTTAAGCGTTGTTTTCGCAATGTTCGCGGATCCTTTAGAGAGAATCAACGCTGAGATGGTTGTGAAGCAAGTATCGGCGCTTTGCTCCTTGGTCAAAACGAGCTTACTATTTACAGCATCAACTCCTATTTTCTTTTTCGAGTCTTCTAGCCAGTACGTTCTTTACGAGTCCACAGTTAGGACTGTTTTGATGACGTATAAGGTATGTCAATTTCTCAACGTTTTCTGCAACATTGATGCCCCTTTGTTCTTAAGTGATCTTCAGATCAGCGCAAGTGTCATCCCTGACAGCGAAGACGTATGGCAAGCCGCTGTGTTTCAAGAGACACCAAAGCGGTGTTATAAACAGAATAGTGCAAAGTTTGACAAGTTTTACAGAAGTTTCGCCTTCAGCAATGTCGGGATGCATTTGATTCCAGAGTTTCTTTGCAGTGCCATGCTATTTTATGAATTCAACAACATAAGAAGAAACAGGTCTTCCATCCCACTCCAAGTTTTTCTTACTAAGATAGACACCAGGAAATTGGAAATGAATCTCCCTCACTCAAATTCACCGGTACCTAGCTCTTTGATTTTGATTGAAAGCGCGATAGACATGCGTAATTCCCTCACCTGCATGATATTTTTCTGTAAAATCGACCCACTGTTTTCTCAAAAGGTATGGAACAATGCCATTTTAGAACTTTACCACAGCTTTCTGGTTTCGAAGGAGAAAAACATTCTCGCACAAGGATCATACGGCATAGTCACTGACTTTCTTGTTGCCCTCAACTTTTCCATCAAAAACATTTCGAAACTTTTCAGAAGCAGAGATGACACAATTGAGTTCAACAAATCCAAGTTATCAGTACTCAACCTCGAAGGCTACTACTACAATTTTCTTGTTGTCATCAAGTTCATTATGGATTTCGAGGTGACTCCAAACTTCAAACTTCTCTGCATTTACAACGAGCTCAAAAAATTAGCCAATCAACTGCTGATTCCAAAGCTAGCGGCCGTTTGTCCCGAAGACTTTATCAAATTCACAAAAGATCCGAGATTGTCTATATCCAAGGGTGCTACGTTTTCAATCGATATGGATCATTTGGAGAAACTTATCAACAATGTCCTTGTTTACTCCTTTAACGACGCAAATTTCTTGAAAATGCCGGAGCAAGCAACAACTGAATTCTCTTTCGGGGCTAAAGATTCAATTGAATCTTCAAATGAGGAATCTAGACAGTTCAAGTTCACGCGCACATCTGCCACAAGCATGGCTGAGAGTGTAGAGTCCAAGAGTAACACAGTTGACAATCACAAAGAGGGATTTGCCGAGCACTATCATTTGTCGGAAAAGTATGTCGTCGTGGCAAAATGCTTCTTTTATTACGTTTTCGAAAACTTTGCGCACGCCCACTTCCTGGAAAAGCTGTCTCTAGATTTCTTGGTCCTTCAAAGACAGTTGGACCAAAGGGAATTCGACACTAAAGTTCATAATATTCGATGATCTCTGAGAGTTTCTGGACAAGTATCGTGAGTCGTGGGTTCCGGCGAGAACATTGAAAATCTAAACGTCATCATGCCCCGTACTGTCATTGATTATGGTCTGTATTAACCATTCCTTCCCTTCTATGTATATATTGGGACCAGTGGAATTTTGCTTCACGCATTTACCAAGAAGCGCTGAAGCATGATCTTTTTCACCTCCAAAATTAATAAACAACAATGCCTTACAATCTCTGGGCATGATTCTCAAATTGTCCTTGACAGAAGCCGGGGCAGAGACTTCGAAATCACTCCACTCATCATCTCTTTTTAGAAAGCTCGCAATATCCTCTGTGGTGTCGCAGAACTTTAATGAAGCGGCACCAAGTGCTTGAAACGCAAACTTCACAAATTCATCCAGGTCTGAGGATCCGTAAACCAGGACGTGATAGCTATTCATCCTTAAAGGTCTGGAAATGATTTGTTCCTTTAGCGATAAGTCTTGCAAAAGACTTGAGTAGAAATTGAAGATGTTAGCTGACTTGACTATGCCTGTCTTCGAGCCAGATGAGCTGCGCAGACGAAAACTTTCGCCAGCCGGTAAAAGAAACTGAAATAAACTAAGCCAGTCCGTCTTTCCAAGCTTCAGACAATGTTCAATGAAACTATAATGCAACAGCGGCCAACCGAGAGCGAGGGTTTCCAAATATTTTAGGCTCCTAGAGTGTTTTTCCGTAACCAAGCCCGCAAACTTTATTGACGCAAAATCTATTGTACCTGATAAACCATGCACCTTGTTGGTAAAATCAATGATGTGGGAAAAACTCATTTTTAATACTATACCCTTTTCTTGCTCGATGATCGACGATAAGTGGCTTCTTTTTTGATCACTCAAGCCACTCAAAACGAAAAGACAACCGCGGAAAACACCCCCACTTTCTGAGCTGATCGAGTGCGGGCTTACTGCATTTGCATTTAACTCGGCCTTGCTGTTCTGGTTGGTTGAATGCGGCGCATAGTGAATGCTTGACGATTCACGCCCGCTGACGTTTTCGGCAAGAGCATTGGAAGGGGTTAGTGGTGTTACCACAGTGGTGTACTTACGACCCCTTTTGGGATAGCGTAGATCCTCAAACGCCTCTTCACGATTTTGGGTATCTCCAGACAAAATGATTTTTGGCCTCTTGGCCCAAAGCTCGACAGTCAAAGTTACCAAAGAAAGAGATCTAACCAATGTTCTCTTACCTAACTCACCATTCTTATTTTTTCTTTTCAAGTGAACAGTGTCGTAACCTCGAACACACCTTATAACCTTTTGTACATTTTCTGATCGGCATTCTAAAGCAGTAATTTCGTAGGGCTTCCCCTCCCACAATACTGTTTCACCTACCGTCACATCGAGATAATGCAAATCATCCCGCTTAACCTCGGAAATTCCAGATTCGAATAACACTTCGGTGTCTGTCAATTTCGGGTCAGTTTCATAAACTTTTCCAGGGTAATACATGCAATTGAAATCATAGTAACACCATACCGCATCCTGAAATCGTATATCCTTTCGAGTGAGAAGATTGCTGTCACTATTTCTTATACTATCCAGCAATGGGAAAAGCACCTCCGTCGCAGGTTCCCGAAGACCCGCGGTACTCTCCTGCATGACCGTGTCATCATAAAGATGACGCGAGTCGGTTGAAGTTCTGGTCACGACTTCATTGACTGCATTGGAACCAAGTTTGGAGCTTTGAGAAGCAGATCCAGTCTTCAACCGTTTTGGTGAAATCTCGAGCCCCGCTTTCTTTGGTGCCGACTGTTCTACTGTGTCATCAAGCTTCCGCGCTCCCAAGCGTTTTTTTTTCAATAGTCTTCGGTTTTTCACCACCTCCTGAGACGCTTCAGAAGAAGCCTGGTCGAAAGCTTTTCGGGAAGAAACGATTTCTTGGGTATCAAACCGCTGGGAAGAAAACCTGCTCCCTTGTACTGTGTCCAGCTCAGGATTAATATCTTCCATCAATTCGCGATTGATGACATCTTCGACCTCGGGTAAATCCTGCGTTTTCTCAACATCGCTATAAATAACATTATCGTCTACTTTCTCACTTTCAAAAATCTCACAGTCCTTGTTTTGTTCATATCCGTTGGAAAATCGAAGTCGTATTCGCCTTTCACTTTCATCTAACTCTGATGCTGTATCAGGAGCAAGATTTGTGCCAGTATCGTATAATTGTTTTCGGGATCTGCTGTTATCCGATTTGGAGGGAGTCTTGTCTTGGTCATCGGGGTCGTGTTCCTCATGCACGTTCGAGGTTTTGATACTAGACAAGGGCAATGTGTCATTTTTTGGGGAAGGTATTAAGCGGCTTGGTGTGCTATTATCTATAGGGGACTTCAAAAAAGTATTCTGTTGTAGCGTGGATTTCGTGACAAAAGGAGAATTGTGGTCGCTGAGGATGGTTCCTTCTTCGGGTGGCAAAGCAGAAGGAATGAACGTGTTGTCAATCTGAGTAGCAGAACCGTCAAATTTATCAAACCCAGACAGCTTTTCATCAGTTGTATCTATGGGTTGTGTCGTGATCTCAGCTGTCTGATGATGATTGTCCGTATTTGGAAATGAGCCTTCGATCGTTCCAGCCGGTATAGCTTGCGAAAATAGCAGTCTTTTGTCTTGTCTGGATTGAATAGTCAAGTCTCCATACGGTCCTGAAGTTGGTACTATATCACTAGTGTCTTGGGGTGTTGTCTTTGGTGAGCTCTGTAGGCTCACTACACTAGCTCGTTTTCCAAGCGTATTTAAGTTGCCAGAAATTTGTTCGTGCGTATTACTATGGTCGAAGGTATCATTTCGATCTTCTACGTCTTCATTCAATTCCAAAAACCCACTCGTGTTTCTACTCAAATCTGGAGCTTGATTTTCACGCATATTACGGATAAGAGACGTGGGTGAAATTTTTCTCGTTCCAAAATCAGGTTTTATCCGTTGAGATTGTGGCGTATCCAACGGCGAAGTTTCAAGTAGAAGCTGCTGTGCAACTAATGGATCGCTGGTTTTGTGTCCCGCTATATTTTTGTTGCGAAAAAAGGCCTTCACTCTATTCAAACTGGGAGTGGCTAGGTTGCCAGTCAAGTCTTTGGCCTTGCTTGGCGTCTCAGTACTCAATACGCTAGTTCCTGGCACCGTTTTGGCATCAGATAAAACTGTTCTGTCAACATCATCACTTTCAATTTCATCACTGGTATTGTATACTTTTTTCGTATCGCCTCTGTGGATTTGTGCCCTTAGGTTGTTTGGCACGCCTTTCGGAGTTTCTCCGACGACCTGATCCCGTTCGTTGTGGTAATCATCAGCATCCATGTCTTCGTTTGTGGAAGTGTCGGTTTGTGTCATTGATATTTGAGATGTTTACATCTTTCATATAAGATTGTGGATCTGTACAATGACAGAATACTCTTTAGTGACAACGCATTCAGACGGTACGGGATCGACACATCACGGAAAGTTGGTAGAGCATCCAATGACTCAAAGTAAGTTATTTTAAGAGTGACCCACGCTTCCAGTAATGGATACTGCCTTTTGAAGAGTGGTCATGACTTTTTTTTATCAAAGGGCTAAGAAAACTAACATTGCACCCTAGCTGAAGTATCCAAATCATCGAACCCAGAAAATGACAATCAATCAGACTTTGAGCGCTTGGTAGAACATTTTCGCAATTCACTTTCGTGTCTGAGAAGTTTGATCGGAGTGGAACCATTTATCGACGTTGCAGGCACGTTCTTCGAACTCATTGTGAGCATGTGTCCGGAAAGTTGTTTTCAGGAATTGCTGGAAGAGCATTGCGAGGGTCGCAGAGCGCTGGAATTAGAGCTAGAGAGGGAGATCACAAGCCATCCTGAACTAGATTTAGAGGTGGACCCTCGCTTTTTGATGAAAAGCATTTCGCGCACACGGCTGTACGAACGTCATACCTTAGAGCTGAAAATCAAGCTAGTGATCATCTCCAAGACTGTCATAGCTTTTTTGGACTTTTTCGATAAGGAGTATGCCGAGGCGTTTTTTAAATTCCGGTGGACGCTTCAGTTTTTGCATGAATGTCGTAAAACTCTTGGAATTTGTGACATTCCTGTGGCCGTTTCTCTCGACTATGAGCGATCCCTATCGCTTCTATGTGCCAAATCACTAGTTAGAGGGTTTGGTGGATTGCGAGCGACAAAAACCAAAATCGCCACAGAATTCAAAGTCAACCGGCTAGACATTTTCGAAGGGCTACTGGCAAACATACTCGATTGTACGGAGCCGAGCATACTGACATGTGGTGACGAACTCGATCAATTCATGATGGAAGAGATGTTCACGGTCCTAGGCCAAATGGAGGAGTGCATATCGTTTTTAAGAGGTCCCTTGTGCGAAATTGAAGATTTTGGTTCCCGAAGAATTTATGCCATTAGGGGGCAACAAACGCACCTAGATGGTATGATTCGCAAATTCATCCTCGCCTCAACTTTCACACTATCTGGAGACCCTTCTTTTCTTTTCTGCTTTGACAAGATCTTGGAAGGGATTGTGCTCTATGGTGGTATTCACTTATACGTGATTGCATTCTTCTGCGAGCTCAGGTTATTCTATGAAGATGAGCTACTCAATTGTGGGACGGTCCCGAGACTTTTCGAAAAGAACAGTTCGCCTTTGGCAGCTCTTGCCAATACACTCGTCGAGCGAGGTAGTGAAATGGGGACCCTAGATAATGATTTGAAGCACCTTCGATGCCCGTATGTTCTTGTGAAGATCAATGATGAGAAGCCAATAATAGTGGACGCACTTCATGAACCGGCGGGCAAACACAGCCACGAAATAACGCTTCTGCTCAGTGCTGCGAAACTCAAAGCTAAGCGCAAGATACATGGAGAGCACCAGTCTGAGGTACAGACGTCGGAAGACCTGTGGAAGAAAGGACTCTCATGGGTGCAATTCTGGCAAAACTGTTACTTAGACAACAAAGGAGAGATTCCCATTAAGCTCGCAACGCTCTTCAATGACATCAACGGGTTGGAACCTTACCTTCCATAACGAACAATTATTGAAAACACCATTTTGTGTTTTGTTATACTGACTTTAGCACCCAAAAATCTTGGGTTTCTTCCGTTGGTTAGGCCTCCTAAGCTGAAGCATAAATTTGCCGTATTTCGAAGTTGTGAACATGTTACAACTTCCAGTATCCATCACTAAATCGTTAATGCATGATTATCTGTAAATTCACTTTTCAGTACTGTTCTTTGCATCAAGTCGAGCTTCGCTTAATCCTATTTACTGTTTTCTTCTTTTGGCAACATTTTCAGCATGATCTGCTTCAACTGGCCCTCGCTTTGAGTTCGCTTCACTTTGGGCTATTACTCTTGCTGAGAGATCTTTGACGCGTGTTTCTATACTTTTGAGTAAGTCATCCCGTACAATTCCGTCCTTAATGTCCTCATATACAAAGACACTGTCACTTTCCCGATCAGACTGAGTGACACTTTCGTCTTCATCAATAAGATCGTTCATCACATCTAGCGTCACTCGAAGCTTTTCTCCTTTATTACTTTTAAGATCGAAAAAGTTCTGCTCCAACACTCTATAATCGGACAATAGATCCACGAAAAGCTGCGGACTTGCTTTGATAGGAAATCGTTGAGAAAAGAAGTTCTTTGGAAATTTGAAGGATGGATTGCTGTTATTCTTGAACTGTAACCCACAAAACACCAGTGACAGTGCCGTAAAGGTAAAGCCATCGCAAAGTAGCGATACAGGCTGGGTGCCAGCTTGAATGATGAAATTCCTTGCTTCTTGGATAATTCCCGGAAGAGTTACTTTGAAATGCTCGTCCAAGTCAAAGTCTCTGTTATAACGGAAAAATCCGCTGAAGATCTCTTCGATGAGTTCTTTCGGATTATTCAAATTAAGATCAAATCCCAGTTGACACAGTATTTGTTTTTCGTACGCTACAAGCTTATCTCGGAGCTCCCATTTGAGTTTCTCCAGGTTTTGTCCGCTGCGGGCAGTGGGGATGTCTTTTAGTAGAAATTCACCAGTTGCTTTGACGTAAACATCGATAGGCCTGTTGTTCTCCACCGTCTTGCAAGCGGTCGCAAGTAATGCTTGTGATAAGTGAATGCATTCGATTGAATTTGGCGGCAGTCCGTAGACATACCAGTATCTGAAAAAGAGAATGCAAGCCGCTGTATATGTATGGTCAAAGAGCTTTAACTGCTTTTTCATAACATAAAAGTACATCAGGCACTTTTCCATTCTCCGTTTCATCTCTGTGGCCAAATGGGGATCGCTTCCCAGCCGGTCGACGATTTCTCTGCACGTATAAACCCATTTATTATGCGGTGTTCTGATCATATCCGGCCACAAGAGACGGGCATTAAAGCCCTCTGCAGTTGTAGCAGGTGATTTTGCAACAACTTGGGACATCTCAAAAACGGAAGAGCCGCTGAGTGATTCAATGGATTATGAATCTTATTTCGTTTGATGTTCATAGCTCAACTTGACCTACTTCGTTTCTATTATATAGTCGCATTGTGATCACTTTACACGTAAGTGAGCAAAAGCTTTGAATCGAATATAGTAGTCGAGAAAGCATACACTACCTAGCCTTGGCATCTTCAATATAGGTGATCTAGGATGCCAAGATTGTATATTGTTTCGTCATGAGTCGAGAAAACAAGTTCGTTATCGTCATTAAAGTTTTTCGTAAAATATCCTATTATCGTCCGTGATTTTGGCAACCAGTGTCCTTCTGTGAGGAGCCTGGTTATGCCGTCTTTGCTTGCCCTTCTTGCGTGTTGCATCTTGTTTGTTTTTGGCTGATGTAGCCAAATGCGCCTGGTACCTCGACAAGTATTCTTGCGAGCTTTTAGAAGCTTCAAGAGAAGGACGTAAAGAAAGAGAACTGCAATGTTCCAACTCTGTGTCGTAATCCTGTGATGACTTTTGTCGCAGCCTTCTGGACAACGTATTGTTTTCGTCTTCGTTCCTGCCAAGCACCAGTTCGTGATCTAGCTGTAGTTGTGTGTTTAAACGTTCAAAAAAATGCTTCTTGTCACTGACTTTGGTAGAGCGTTGCAGTTCTCTCAGATATTTGATTGACGAGCTCGAATCAGAGCCCTCGCCATCGGAGGCCGAGCTTGGCTGCTCTTCACTTTTAAAGACATCACAGTATGACCAGGTTAGATCTGATAGCTTAGGCACTTCCGAGAATAGAGAGCCCTCCGAGCTAGAGGCATGTGAGGAGCTCGGTGAGCTATCTTTTGAGTTCACCGCGTCCGGTTGAGTAGGTTCTGGGCTGTGTGGACGGCAAGTAGGGAGCTCGGGTGAGTATACAGTTGAGACCATCTCGACCACTCTGGCGGGGTTTTCGGGCCTTTCTGTAGGTTTTTCAGCAACAGGTATATGAGCATCTGGAACGTTTGACTGGTTTTCAAAGAGCCGGTGACTGTTTGTGGCGATCCGCTGGAAGCCCTGAAGTATTTTGAGATAGATCAGTCCTTCTTTGTCGGTGTGGTTCAGTTGTCTGGATAACCCATAGGGACCCCTCAGTTGCAGGTCTGTGGAAGAGCCCTCGTGGCAACCAGGACCACCGTCTTGTGCATCAAGAGAAGGAAATGTGTGAAATCGTTCCTGCTCTGTGAGCAATAGTGCATTTGTTCCTAAATTGAACCGTTTTTGCAAAGCACTGACTCCATCGACCACTGAAATGCCATGTGAGTCAATGTACTCCAGTAGACGCGGCTTTCCGTCAACAATATGCAGGAAATCGAAAAGCAGACGTCTCGTCCATTGAGAAGCAGCGCTTGAATTCTTGAAAGTCCTATGGTACGTGATACTTTCATTGCTCAGGATCCGCAGTGTCTTGGAGGTCTTTGCAACATTCTCAAGGTCCTGGAAAGGCAAGTAGAAGAGTATTTCCATTATGATGTGGAGTGGAAGGTCGGTCAATGATCGACTCTCACTACCGACCATCGTTAACTCACAATTTATTAACAAGTGACGCAAACCTGTCTCGAGTGGTCACTTATCAAAGCAGATTTCGAAGGCCAAATATCGTACCACTGTGCACTTCGAACACCGGTTATAGGGAAACCAAACACCGACTTGACTTACACTTTCTAGTGACTTCTTGAATTCGATGATTGATTAGAATCATCACTTCATCATAATATTGACTATTTTTCCAAAGTTTTTGATTGCCTGTTTGAGAAAAACTGACACCTTCCTAGGAATTACTGACATTGTTCTGAAATCTATAACATCGCACAGTCGTTGAGATACATCCATGCTTTGTGGTACGGCGCTGGAGGATTTGAGGCTTTTTAGTATGAGATAAACACTAGCTTTAGGCCCTATGAGCACTACTCTGTTTTTTATTCAAAGCTTAGTGTCATGGATTGAGGTAACGACGCCGAAAATGATCGATCGCCCCCGAGAGAAAGTTTATTGTGATAAGGATTTCCTGATGGAATAACATGCGTCGTTTGAGTTTTAGGTTTTGCAAGGTGCGAAACACTCGTACGATAAAATTGTCAGAATGACTATATCATCTAATTTCCGTGATTTCTGATGCTGTAAACAATAAACATTGACAGATCTAGTAACTTTTGAGTTTCTAAGTGATAATACTGTAATACCAGAAAGCTGATCCTCCACATTATTTGTTGTGTCACAACTTAATTTTCAAGTTACACTCCCGCTGAAATTGCATTGGCCTTAATCAAATGACAATCCGAGTAGTGTGTCATCTCATCGCTCCCTGAACCTTTCCGGTTTCACTCGCATCATGGCTCAGCAATTGTCAAGACTAGACTTTTCCGGCTTTGGTGTGTGGTGTGTAAACTTTGTTCTGAGTTGTTGTACTCGTACTCGTTCTACAACTTGATACAACTTAATTCCTTTGGCACGATCGATGGCCCTGCTGGACGGGGACTTCGCATTGCACCAGACAGTTCATAGTCGATTAACGAGATGTTGTCGTTGACTCATTATTTGCTCCTTTTATCTGCGATAAGAGAGTCAACGGCCTCTTTAAGGGGAGTCCCTGATGCTCTACGACACCTTTACAGTCCGTTAGAATCCGATCCAACTAAATGGGCCTGTTTGAGCGATCCCTCAATCGTTTTGAATTATTCTCAGATTAATGATGACTACTGTGACTGTCCTGATGGTTCAGATGAGCCCGGCACAAGTGCCTGTGGCTCATTGTCACGATTCTACTGTTCGAACGAAGGTTTCGCTTCGAGATTCATATCTGGATTCAAAGTCGACGACGGCGTGTGCGATTGTTGCGATTGTTCCGACGAGGAATCCAGCAGTACTTTATCCGGTTACAGCTGTAGTCAATTGAATCATGAGTTTGATGATCTGTTGAAGCAGGAGACTGGTAGGCATCGACGTGGTGTTCTGGCCCTTCAAGACATGGAAAGCAAGTCTCTTCCAAAGGCTCAAGAAGAAGAAGCCACGGACGCAGAAACAACTGTCAAGCAGACCGAGGCTGACTATGCTTCAAGTAATGAAAAATACAAGACCTGCATTTCAGACTTGGCAGCCGCACGGAATCTTTATAACGACAAGTTGCAGCGCGAAAATCCTCTAATGCTTCGCTTGGAGCAAATTGGCATTACTCAATTATCTTCCTCCATTGTCGAGATATTTACCCAGGCAGAATTGTATTCAAACACTTACCATGAACTCGTGGAAATTTTGAAGACCCTCGAGGACACCTACAACGAAAATCTAAATGACGACATTGTCAATCAGAATGTGCAGAAGTTTAGTGAATACATGCGGAACAGCGCCGAGATAGGAAGCGTCAGTGGCACTTTTGATCGCACTCAGCGGGATCAAATTACCAGCTACTTCAATGAAGAGCTACCCAGTATGATTCTTCAAGGATCCAGTCGCCTGCCGCCAAAAGCGATAGAGGGCAAATGTTCTATGGCCAAAACTTTGGTGGAAATTAAGATTGAGTATTGCCAGAGGATGCATGAGGTTCTTCGGAACCTGACCACAATTATGGACGATGTGTCAACTAACTACAACGTCAATTTTCAAGACGCGGGGGTCAGAAATGCTGTCAGAAGCTACAGAGAGTTTTTGACCAAGAAATCATTTGTCTTCGAACCATTGAGTATTCCCACCGATGTCCGAGGAAGGCTACAAGATGTGGAGGTGTTGGTCAAAACCGTCTCGTCGGAGCTCCTTACTCCTTCATGGGAGGAAGAAAAGTCGTTTCAATCGGTCCTAAGGGGTTTTGTTTTCAAAGTGAAGAATGCCTTCGCCAACCAAAAAACGGAGCTGCAGTCACTCAAATCAAAAATCGGTGCCCTGGAACAAACGTGTACAACGCTAAGAAAAGAGTACAGAGCGAAAGCTGCACAGTTAAGACAGCTGAGGAAAGAATACTCAGAGGAAAAAAATGTTCAAGCAAGTGATCTCACGAATAAAAAAATGGGAAATCTTTTAGCTACAGTATCCCCTAGTTGTGCTGAAGAAAAAATCGATGAGTACATTTACCAAATATGTTACAACAGTCAAGATGGCGTGATTATCCAGCAGGAGGATAAGGCCGGAGGTAAACAGGTAGTAATAGGTCGTTTTGACTCGCACCAAGTTGACCCCAAAACAGCGTCGGATCGATACGCTGGAGAATTGGCGATAAAACATTCCGAGACTGATCTGATTGCTCATTTGGAAAGCGATTTGGCTAACTACGAAACCGAGTTGCTGATGGGGAATTTGCCGCAAATAAACAACGGGCTGTTCTTACAGTATTCTAACGGTGACAAATGTTGGAATGGCCCTCAGAGATCTGCTCGGGTGTATTTCAAGTGCGACGAGCACTTCAAAATTCATGGCGTACAAGAACTCACCAGATGTCAGTACGCCTTCGATGTAAGTGGACCTTTGGGCTGTAACACCGACTTCGTTTTCACAGCACCCGAGTGGCTTGAATCACAAAACTAAACATGAAGTAAGGCATGGGTAAAGAAGGAAGTTTGGGGGGGCCTTATGCGCTCAGCAATCGTTGCACTCAAAATTTCCGCGATTTCTATCCAAGAGACGACAGTATGTTTCGTTTTCTGGATGGCAAATACTCGTGACTTCAAAGGCGTTTAATTGTCGCACTGGACGAAATTTAGCCGCCCATGGTATATTAAATATTTCCCCAGCACATAAGTAAACTTAAACCACTGGACAACACATAAAATCATAGTTTAAACCGTTTTCCCGTCGTTGAGCAAGTTGTTGAAACTTTGTTCTCAGCGCATGGGTGAGTGATGAACGTAATAACATACGCTTCGTTTCGGAGACGGCTAAGGCTCCTCAAGACCTCTAACATTGAAGATATACAGTATGGTATAAAAATGAGATATTTGAAGGATTAGTTTTACACATCCCAAACGATACCAAAGAAATTGAACTCCCAAATTTTCAGTTGTTATCTTGGTGTCAGATCCATTAGCGTCATTTTCGTTGTACGGAAATTCGGATGCTGACCTATTCTGCTTTCTCACTTCTTGTCACCCAAAAACCCCATTTCGGGGATCGAAGGTTAGTTCAAACGGGACAAAAGTATTTCAGAAAGTGGAGTCTCGTTTTGTTAAATACCTTATCTGGTATTTGTACGTTCCTGAACGAAATTTCCAGCACTTGAAGTTTCTTTTGAGTGATCCCGCATGGTACTTTTATTGACATCACATCTAAATGGTTCTCGAGCTGTGATTACACCCTATGGGAGCCGAGATCAAGCCGATGATGCTAACGGATCAACTGCAAATCCCAGCGTTCCCTTTTTCTCTCCCCCAAAGGAACAATACTAGTCATCATGGACCCCTCTGCCCCTTCAAATGATAGCTTCGCTTCGTCAACTCCCTTCTTTTCTCGATTGGTGCTTCAATTTTACCCGCCCAACTTATCAGCTGCCTTTTTGGAAAGTGGTGTTTCATCCTAAATCTGCGCAACCTTGATGACTTTCCAAAAAAGAAAAAAATCGAGATGAGAAGAGATGATTTCCTAACTAAAAATTTTAGCGAAGAGCCCTATTTTGAATAGCAGAAAGAACAACAAGCGAAGCAAAAGAGCACACTCGACATCTCAAAACTCAACTCACTGGTACGTGTTTGAAGTAGTTTGTTTGGTTCGGTGGAAAAGAGACACAGGAAAAGCGATCATTATAGGTTATTATAGTGGTGTTTTTCGGAAAGCGGGAAACCTTTCGGATACAGCGATTCAGGGAGACCTGGGACTTAGTGCGTATAACGCTGGCCAGCCAACACTCGGATTACAGAGAGTTGATTTTATCATTGTTTGGTTACAGGGCCAAATTGGCTGAAAAGCAACACAGAAATGGCCGGGAAGAGCCCCATGAAAACAGGTGCTGTGGCAGGCAAACAGCCGTCAAATCTGAATTCTTTGAAAAACCGAAATAGAGGCGGTAAATCGGCACCTGCACTTGCACATTCGACGCACAATGCAAGACCAAGGCGATTCAGTCTTATATACTCATCGGACTCGTCGCTGAGTGCTCTCTCAGATGTGGAAAATAACCGGAAAATGAGCTTCAAGAACCCCAAAATGAGCAAGAAATCCAAACGGGGTGTAAGTAACGAGATGGGTAAGAATGGTAAACTGATACCACAAAACCCAGTAGACTCAAACAGTGGATTTTCCTCCGAAAATGGTGCCATAGACGACGAAAGTGACAGCACCGGAAGCAATAATAATAGCAGTAGCGACGACGACGACAAGGAGGACGATGATGCGGACGATGGAAATAACGTAGCATCTAGCTCTACATCAAGCTCTGACGACGATGACGTTGACTTTGTCAAGCTCAGCGCAGAGAGAAAGAAAAGGGCCATGCGGGCCATGGGCGCTTTGAAGCGAGGCAAGTCACCAAAGAAAAGTGATGTCTCTTCGAAAAACATCAGTGAGAGTTTGAATAAAGATCGAAAGGACGACAAAGACAGCTCGAGTGAGGAAAGCTCGTGCGAAGATCCAATGGCATTCAGCTTCAAGAACGATGGCGGTATCAAGTTTGGCAAAAGTCCCAAAGAAGCAGCGAGCGATGAAGATTTAGGTGAAGAGGTCAATGAAAGCTCCTCCTCCATGAAGCATGTTTTGCCCAGCGAGAATAATGCTGTCGACAGATTGAATGTACCGCAGATATCCGAAAGCGAAGAATCTGACTACGAAATAGACCCTGACGCCTACCTCAAAAGTATACAACATGATGAGGAAGATATAGTGGGAATGGAAAATGGCATGGATACTGGAGAAGACGATGTTCCTCTTTTGGATGAAGAGGAAAATCATATTGTAATGGAGCTCGAGAATGATGACGAGCTTTCATTCAACGGTAGCATTCATGAAGAAGGTGAGGACCCCGTAGAAGCTGGAGCTGAAGGCGGCAAAGGAGCAAGGTTCAGCAGTCAGGCTTATAGCGAATACAATGACGAAGATGAGGACGAAAATATGAGCGACTTTGATGAACCTTTCTATGAAGACCCCAAGTTCGCAAATCTTTACTACTGTGCAGGAAGTGATCAGCCTCTTTCTCTCAGCACGTCTCTCCCACTGATACTGGATGACGAAAAGCGGAGAACCCTGGATAAGAAGCAAACCAAGAAAAGGGAACGAGAAGAGTTGATCAGACGTCGAAAGCTTTCCAAGAAGCTAGATAAAGAGCGTAGACAGCGTTCTGCGGCTACCGACTTGGATAACGAGGAGTATCTTTTTGGCGTGTATTTCAAAAGCGACGAAGAAAAGAGAAATATTGAAGGTATTGAATCATCACTACGTCAGCTAGGTTCAGCGGCTGCTTCTGAAACTGATTATTCAAGCGACGAAGAGTATGAAAACATTCTTCTCGACATCGCCAATATTCCTACCGACGAAGAAAGCCTTTCCTCTTTCGTAAATGGTGGAAAGGCTGATGATGGTGGAGAGAATGATGGCGACGACGATGATGAGGATGATGACGACGAAGTGGATGACGCTAGCATGTCTAACGTCTTTATAGATATCGACGATCTGGATCCAGACTCCTTTTACTTCCAGTACGATAGTTCTGAAGACGAAATTATGGATTTTGACGCGCAACGAGACCAGAAAGCGGAATCAGGAAAAATTTCGGAACCAGACGACAAGAACTATGTGGAAACCGTCGTCTACATCGATGGTGAATCGACTGATGAGGATGAAACACTGCCACCACCTGATACCCGAAACAAGAAGATTGGTTCCAAAGCTAAAGAAGTTGTCAGCGCCAATGTTGTGGGCTTGAAGCCACCAAAGCTGGGAACCTGGGAGACAGATGACAAACCCTTTAGTATCATTGATGGGCTGTCCACGAAATCGCTATACCCACTTTTGCAAGAGCAACAACTTCTTGGACAGCATGTCGTACAGCAGCAACCGATGTCGGCTAGTGAACTCAGCGCTGCTGGAGAAAAGGAAGAACTAACGCTTAATGAACTTTTGAATATGAGTGAACTTGACGATGAAGATGAAGCGAGTGGCACTGCGAACAACGAGGTTGCTGCTTCAGAATGGTATGATAAACCAAAGGTCCCATTGTCCGCGTTTAGGAACAAAGGTGTTGACGTCAGCCATGACGAAGAGTATATGCTCCCAGTTTTTTCTGCCAGAAAGGTTCCAATTGGCTACGTGGGCAGTGAAAGGACTAGACGCAAAATCGATCGGATGAAACTAATTCAGAAGAAAAAAAGCGAGGAACGTCGAAAATTGAAGAAGAAGAAAAAGCTTCTGAAACTCAGAAGAGAGCGGGATAGGCTTGAGAAGGAGAGACTTTCGGAAGTTGCTGCATCTAGCGAAGCCGGTGGAGTTGAGGGAGAACCCACAACGCCATTGAAATTGGAAGACAGGGTTGCTGGCTCAGAAAAACCATTTGAAGATGGAACAGTCTCTAATATCGACGCCGCGAATAAGTCCATGGACGCCATGGACTTGGACGACATTCACAATCTTCTCGCCAACACAGAGAATGATCTGGTACCTCACGCGGGTCAGGACGGCGACCGCTTAGATGCCACGGACGCCGATATTTTGGCCACTTTAACGGCTCCCGTGGACGTGCATTCTGTGGACGAAAACCAAATCACGACGGGCGCTGCGTGGAGAAGACGTCAAAGTGTCGTTGAAGCTGCTGCTGAGAATCTGCGTTTCACCAAGAGTGGTCTGTTCAGCGAAAGTGCACTAGCAGATCTCGAAGAGATAATTGGTGGTTCTGGCAATTCGGTCATTGAGTTTAGCGATGTTTTGCAATGAGGGCCGCGGGGGTCAAATCATTCGACATTCTAACAATCTTGCATGTACAGTCGACGATATCGATTGTTTTGGTGTGTAAGCCAACTGGGTGTTATTTTTGAAAGAGGAGCAATCAATAGATTTCGGTGCTCCAGCGTGCGGTGGTAGAATTTTACTAAGGACAAGATCTACGTAACAGGTAATAAAAAAGTTTAAATACATTGACCATCGAACTCTGAGCTCTGACTGTCGGGAAAGATGTGTAGCCATGACACTTTGAATGAAGCAAAAGTCTCTGAGAAAGCCTAGACCCAGAGTAATCGTCATTGTGGACCTAACATGATGGCATATGTTTGGCGTCTCACTTCAATCGGGAGAAAATATCGAAACTACTTACAGAAGTTTGAACACTCTGGGCAATTTTGGAAAGGTTGTGGTGAAGGTATCAGTAAGGCAGAGGGACCTGTTGACTCTTCTAGATACCTTTCATACTCGTCATGTGATATCTTTAAAGTGTTATGTCATCTTGAACGCCTCCGTCATCGAGCCATTTGAAAAACTTTATTAGATCTCAAGGTCCTGTCAAGCTCATCGCTTCGATGTTCACCTTGCATATCCTAACGAGGTAGCCGCTCTAGTTTGCTAAAATGGATTTGAAAAGCCGGTATACAAACTGTGAACTGCGGCCATTCTATGCTGGCAGCGGTGCAGTCGCTTCCGTCTCAGATAATGGACAGCTTCTTGCAACTTCTGTAGTCGATGAGGTGATCATCACAGAGCTAGGTTCTACAAAGCGAGAGCTGCACAAAATAGAGAACGGTGACGAGCAGGAAATAACGGCTTTGCAGCTCACTCCTGATGGGAACTTTTTGGCATTTATGTCACAGGCTCAACTTCTGCGAGTATACGACTTGAATGCCAAACAGGTGATAAGATCAATGAAAATTTCTTCACCAGTGTACGTGATGGATTGCGACGACAGTTCTACTCTAGTGGCTCTCGGCGGTACTGATGGTAGTGTCACCGTTGTGGACATTGAGAATGGTTATGTCACTCATTCGTTCAAGGGCCATGGTGGAACCATATCCAGCGTGAAATTTTATGGAGAGCTCAACAGCGCCACATGGAGACTAGCCTCAGGTGATACCAACGGTATGGTGAAAGTATGGGACTTGGTACGCAGGAACTGTCTGTACACGATGCAAGAGCATACAGCCGCCGTGAGAGGGCTTGATCTCAGATTGCCTGAATCATCAGAAAATGGTGCTCTGGAACTGTTGTCTGGAGGAAGAGATGATATCGTGCACTTGCACCAACTCGGGCCCGGCAAAAAAGTCAAGTTGCAGAAGTCCATTCCTGTGAGTCAACAAATTGAAGCTTGTGGGTTTGTTCAGGTACCTGGCCATGAGGACACCATCTATACTGCAGGAGGCGACGCAGTGTTTCAATTAATTTCTCTAGACTCTGGAGCCGTGATAAAAAAGACCAATAAGCCAAAAGAAGAATTGTTTATAATAGGAGTCCTACCAATTTTTCAAGGGCTCAAGGCCTATCTGGTCTTGTCAGACCAAACTTTATTTTTGACTGATCTTGAAACATCGCTCGAGGCTCCTGGAGAAAACATAGTCATCACCCAAAAAATCGCTGGTAATCATGGGACTGTTGCCGATATGAGATTTGTAGGGCCTGGGCTGGATCTGCTAGCTTTGGCGACTAATTCTCCAGCTCTCAGAATCGTGCCCACGAATGGCTTTTTCTCTCGCCAAAATGGTATCGAAAGAGATGTTGATCGTGTTCAAGATGGCTCGAGTTCTGCAGAAAAAGGCCAGAGTCTGCCATTGGAGGTCGAAATTTATGAAGGACATACTGATTTACTGAATGCACTGGACTCTACGGAGGACGGGAAATGGCTAGCAACTTGTTCAAAAGATAATACCGCCATAGTATGGAGACTCAATTCAAAATCCGAAAAATTCGAGCTGTATGCCCGGTTTATCGGTCATGCAGGTCCGGTAACTGCTGTGGGTTTACCCAATGTTGTGAGCAAAGATTGGCCACCCTTCTTAATAACTGCATCAAATGATTTGACAATAAAAAAATGGGCCATTCCAAAGCCTTGTGATGACGATGGTACCCATATCATCAAAGCATCCGAATATACACGAAGGGCTCACGAAAAAGACATAAACGCATTATCGATTTCACCTAACGACTCCGTTTTTGCCACGGCCTCTTACGATAAAACCTGCAAGGTCTGGGATGTGGACAGTGGCGAGCTTCAAGGTACATTGGCTAGTCACAAGCGTGGTCTCTGGGACGTTTCATTTTGTCAATACGACAAACTTTTGGCGACTGCGTCTGGTGATAAAACTGTGAAAATTTGGTCACTGGAGTCATTTTCCGTGCAGAAGACGCTTGAGGGACATACAAATGCAGTTCAAAGATGTTCATTCATCAATAAGAATAAACAAGTTATAACGACCGGTGCCGATGGTCTGATCAAGATATGGGATCTTTCTACCGGTGAATGTATTCGTACTTTAGATGCTCATGATAACAGAATATGGGCTCTCAGCGTGCTGGAAGATGGAGAGGAGTTTGCCACAGCCGATGCTGACGGTGTGTTTCAGTTTTGGAAGGACAACAGCGAAGAGGAAGCAAAAGAAAATTTGGAGAACGAGAAACTGAGAATCACCCAAGAGCAATCTTTACAAAACTACCTTTCCCAAGGAGACTGGACAAATGCATTTTTATTGGCGATGACGCTAGATCATCCTATGCGTTTATATCGGGTGCTAGACAGCAGTTCTCAAGCGCAGAACTCAAAATCCACTCATGTCTTCAACGAAGAGCTGGATAAAGTTATTGGCGGTCTTGAGGATGAGCAAGTGCTCACACTACTAAAACGAAGCAGAGATTGGAATACAAATGCCAAGACACATTCGGTGGCCCAGAAAGTTATTCGTTGCGTGTTAATGAATCACAACATAGCTGCTCTTAGTGACATACCAGGCATTATGAACATCATCGATGCAATCATACCATACACAGAAAGGCATTTCACGCGAGTCGATGACCTAGTCGAGCAAAGCTATATCTTGGATTACTCCTTGGTAGAAATGGATAAGCTTATGTAGATAGCGGTCTGTAGTTCAACTCTGCTGACAGGTCATTGTGACATTATCCTGACGCCAAGTGCTATACGTAATTTGGCGAACATCTGAAAAATTTAGTATAGTGATAATGATCAAGATCGACATGCGATGAGCTAGCTCTATATCTGAAAACTAGTGTAGTAGCCGTTACTGTGAGTTGCATTGATCAGAAATGGGTTTGGACAATCAAGTTGTTGCGAAAGGCTCCAGCAAAAAAACCAGAAGAAGTAAGAAAAGAAGAACTGCTGAGGTCTCTGATTCCGACTCTTCTTCATCTTCCTTTTCCGCATCAGAAAGCGAATCGGAGCAGAGGGAAAATGCAAGTGGTGCAGCTGCTGATGGAGATGCAGACGATGCAGTGGACCTTGAAGAATTGGATATTGAGCTCTCCGATGTGGAAACTTCACAACATGACGGCTTGCGCCAGAATCAGGACGAAAGCATGGATACAGCAACCCGCGAGGCCTTGAATGGCATCTCATTGACGACAACAGAGCTTTCAAGGAGCTCTCGTAAAAATGTGAACAATATAGATTTGGCTAAAATTCAGCTAACCCTCCAGGAAGCCCAAAAGAAGGTCTCGAATGCTAAAGACCAGGGACAATTGAAAAATGCCTACTTGGGTGTCTTATTCAATCATTATGGTGAAGACGTCAACTCACTCCGGGAAGCGTCGGATTTCACTCCCAAATCACTGGTGCTTTTGGCAAATGTATTGAAGGATGGCGGCCAGATTTTCGACATAGACACGCTGAGAGCAGTAGTAGAGTCTGAGCAGTAAATAAAGCAGCGGTTCGATACCTCGGTGTGTCGTGAGTTGTACCAGCATTGAATTTATTTGTAATTATGTAATATACAGCATCTCGAAGATGAAATGGATAGGAGGAAACGATCGAAATGCGTTGAACTAAGATGAGAACAATCCATTGCGGATCTCTCTCTCTATCTCTCTCTCTAAAAAGAACCTCCAAAAGAGCTTTCGAACATTTCGAAAACTCCCTTCGAGCTCTATCATATCGTTCGTTTCCTTCATTGATCGATGACTTTAACCATGAACCAAGCAGCACCGGCCGCCATGCCTCCAACCGCAAACATTTGCGCACCTTCACTTATTTTTCTACCAACGGTGCAGGTGTCTCCCATGGATATGCTTGCTTTAACAAACCCGAACCAGAACAGCGTTATTGACATCAATATTATGGAAACCAGAAGTGCGGAGCCAACTTTTTCCAAAAAGAAATATGGAACCAATGGCACAAATCCGCCAGCGAAATAACCCCCACCGATCGTGAGCGCGCTTACAAGTTGACGATTTTCTGCCGGTTCGTCAAGTCCCCTTCCATATCTGATGATAAAGTCTACCATGAGTTCTGGGGTTTTCTGTAGGTCCTTAATGAAAGACACAATTGTTTCGTCGGAAAAGTTCGGATTGATTTCCAAAAGAATGTCTTCGATTTCATGGTTTATCAAATTCGTGTTGTTGTAAAACTTGCGTTTTTCTTGGCTAACCTCTGCATGGTAATAGTCCGATTCGCTTTTGGCACCCAAGTATCCACCGAGACCCATGGAAATGGCTCCGGAAACTAGTTCTGCGAAACCACCGGTGATGACCAGTTTGGAGTCTCCGAGAGATGACAAGCCTGCCGTCAAAGCGAAGGGAACAGTAAGACCATCGCTGAGCCCTATAATCAGGTCACTCATCAGACGTGGATCGATAGATCCGAAAAGTCCACCGCGGCGTTCCTGACGTTTGTCTTCGAGGTTCCCACGCTCTTCGTCACTTGTGCTTGCAGAATTATAGGACCTATCGGCATCACCAGTCCGCGAATGAGAATGAGAATGAGAGTTACTGTCGTTCGTCAACAAAGGAGTGCGTTGCGAATCTCCTCCGGAAACCAATTTGGCGACTGCGTTTTTGATGGCTACAATTGACATCTTTTAGGGATGATTTGACCAAAGTTTCGATTTTTTTTTTTAGGTGCGATGTGGTAGATCTTGACCGGTGCGTTTGGTGTGGTAAAAACGCTAGCTCCGAAAAACGGAGAACTGGGTAACAGAAGCAGTAGTTTCTGAAAACAGGGCCGTAGATATCCGTCTTGTATAAATTCCTTTTGGAATTTTCTCGTTGTCGGGTTTACTTTCCACAAAGTCGTCTAATTAGCCAAAACCCAAACCGTAAAACGGTGGAAAATTGTCGGATTTTTTCGCTTGGAAATTTTTCCAAGAGATGCGCTATCCTGATTCAATACGCGATAGTCGTTTGTTGATCACAAACAGCAGAAGCTCTAGTTTACACAGCTCCGGAAGTTCATTGAAGGTTCTTTCAAAACCATATTTAAAGGTTAGCCAATTTCCTCCTGGTAACAATATTGAGAATCTGAGGCTGGGAGGTGCACTTGTACGAACCAATCACAAGCGTTTTCATTAGTAAAAGGCTCAAGCTAACGATTAGCCAGTAGATTGTAGCACTAGATGTACGCTGTGCGAAATTAGTGTAATTTCGTGCTCTTATTGGGCTCTTTGAGATGTCTTTAAGCTTTACAAAAATCAAAGTGTTATTTTAGACGGGGAAATGTGCCGATTTTGAGATTCAAAATGTCGGTACATGATGGGCGAGTATGGAAAAGCGATAAGTAAAATGTATGCTCTATTAGGTTGTTTCGGTATGTATCTGAGATAGCTTTTTGTTTGGTATTGTTGTGTGTTTAATGTTATAGTAGGTATTTGGTGTATTGGATATTATTTGAAATATTATCAAGGTCAGTGTTAAGGTACAATACCAAACACATTTGGTGTGAAACATAGTTGGGAAGTGAGATGAGAGGGTGGGAATGAGTATTTCGAGTCTGTGACTAACGTAAGTTTAAATCAGCTGTCATGAACTGGTGTCATGTCTTGAACGTAAAGAGTGGACGACACATACGTGGATAGTGATAAACGAAGAGATATCCTAGACGGACAAGACCAGACCGGTCTTTTAGAAGGACAGATCTATAGCCATGAGTGGCCAGTTTGAGTGGCCTTCATTCAGAACCAGCTGTCCTGTGACAAAAAGGCGGAACGAGACAGAGAGGTATGATTACACCGACGTCACACAGACGACACACACGTACAGTGTGACCAATGGCCATTTAATAACAGACATCTACAGTGGGTAAGTCATTTGAAGATGTCTTGTCTGCGTCTTGCGATGGTGGTAAAGAAAGCTGGGATCATTTCTCTGAGAATCGAGGTTCTCCAAAGTACTAGCGATGACTGCTTGATAACACTCAAATGTTCTAGCGACCACAGGCCCATTTAACACTATCACTAGCATCATGAATGTTTGAAATCGATCCTACGCTGTAAATGTGCGATTTGGTACTTCATCACTTCAGTTTACCCCCCTCCAAAATCCGCGACACCCGTCAAAGGACCCCACTCTGTAGACCGGGTCTGCTTCAATACTCCATTCCCAGGCTTTAATTCTCATATTCCCATTACTATTATACAAATCTTATATTCTGAAATACCATGGTCTTTTTCAACAGACCAGTGTCATTCGTCAGCTTGGATCCAGCGCGCTGCGTTTGTTTAGGCCTGGGTGGACGAAGAGTACTTGGTGACGGCTCTGGTACCTTCAGACACCGCGTGCTTGGCCAACTCACCGGGTAGAATCAATCTCACGGCGGTTTGGATTTCTCTAGCGGAAATGGTCGACTTCTTGTTGTAAGCGGCCAACTTGGAGGCTTCAGTGGCGATTCTTTCGAAGATATCGTTGACGAATGAGTTCAAAATCGACATCGATTTCTGCGAGATACCGGTGTCTGGATGTGTTTGCTTCAACACTTTGTAGATGTACGACGAGTAGGTCTCCTTTCTGACCTTGACTCTCTTTTTGTTGGAGTCGGCAGAAGAAGCGGTCTTCTTGGCGGCTGGTTTCTTCTCAGCTGGGGCTTTGGAGGCTGGCTTCTTTTCGGCTTTGGCAGACATTTCTTGTGTTGGTGTGTGTGTGTTTTGTATTGAGTAGCGACTAAAGACTTTTTGTGCTATTCTTTCCCTGGTATTCTCACTTCCCTGCCCTTATATACAATTTTCCCATCGCCAAACGCCACTCTACGCGGTCCTTTCGCAACACGTCCTAGTTGGCCATTAATTATTCAATTTCCATAGGCCCAGTTTGTTCGCACGATGTCTGTTCTCAAGCGCGAAAACCTCGGTCCGCCTACGTCCCATAAATTAATTTTTTCACAAAAATTTACCCGTTTCGGAAGCGACCACGCTTGCCCGCAATAGAGCTGACGATCGCGTTCTCTACAAATATATTTTTTTGGCACCTGAAACGAGCACTATATTGGCGTTCCAGAGTATTCGCGACACATGCGAACAAACAGGACCGGACCACGTCTAAAAGTTAGTGGCACTAGTAATGAAGCCCCATCGTCAAGGGGTAACAACAGCAATAGTCTGGTCTGTGGCAACACAGTTCGTGATACATTTCTTAAAGAACTGATACCAGAGAAAAAATGTATATAAGGGACGCTGAATTGGGGATTTTCAGCAATACTGTTTGAACATTTAGAGCTTAACAGTTATCTAAAGGTTAGTAACAACTACAACACAATACAACAACTACACAATACTACAATGTCAGGAAAAGGAGGTAAAGCTGGAGCCGCCGCTAAGGCATCTCAATCTAGATCGGCCAAGGCCGGTTTGACTTTCCCAGTCGGTAGAGTGCACAGACTTTTGAGAAGAGGAAACTACGCCCAAAGAGTGGGTTCTGGTGCACCAGTGTACTTGACCGCCGTTTTGGAATATTTGGCTGCCGAAATCTTGGAATTGGCCGGTAACGCCGCCAGAGACAACAAGAAGACCAGAATTATCCCTCGTCACTTGCAGTTGGCCATCAGAAACGATGACGAATTGAACAAGCTACTGGGTAACGTTACAATCGCACAAGGTGGTGTTTTGCCAAACATCCACCAAAACCTGCTTCCAAAGAAGTCCGGAAAGCCAGAAAAGGCCTCTCAGGAGCTATAAAAAACGTTTGGAAAACGGCAACAACAACAATGATGATGACTAGCACTTTTATAGGTTGTTTTCTGCAGGTTTGGGGGCTTTAACAAGACGGTTTTTTGATCAACTGTCATGAAAAAAAGCTGCTGTGGAGACTAGTTTTTGTATATTAGGAGAACAGATGTTATGGTAATAATGATTTGTGAAGTTTAAAGATACTAGTGGTTTTGTTTCGTCTTCCGGCTGGATCGTTTGAATAGTTTTTGCAGAAAATTTGGTTTCTTTGTAGAGCTTTGGGAAGTTTTGACCGTGGTGGCTTCCGGCACTTCGTTGATGCTCCCACCAGCCGGTTTCGGTTGTTGTAACTCTTGTCTTTTGCCTGCTAAAGATCCCCGCACGCTTTGTCTGGAGAAATTGGCCTGTGAGCTGGACACTGACGACGCAAGCGTGGAAGCTTTCGGCTGCGTCTGGTTTTCGTGAGTAGCCGGTAGGGACAGCTGTTCTTCAGGTTCCATACCTGTGGACGTGAGCGGAACGGGCGGCGTTTCAATCTGGTCTGAACGTGCAGTTTGGAAATCTGTGCTGGCAAGCGGTCCGTCCAGATTGGTGACTGGTAAAACCTCGGATTCTTGAGACTCCACTTCTAATACTTCGGGTGGAGCGGGACGCGCAATACCTGGCACATCTCTTTCCACAGACACAGACCTTTGTACCGACATCACACCGTTTTCAATTGCTCCAGGTACAGCCTCAGTGTTTGCAGGAGAATCGGTCCCTGGCTCCACAACGGAGTTGACCTTATCATGAAACTGATCTTCTCTCAAAACCGCTCGTTTCTCCAGATTTGCATCCATTGCGACTGACTGTCTATCGTTGTTCGGCTGAGAAACTTCTCGGCTAGCGCCAGATTCAGATCTGGTTCCAGCCCCGGGCCGTTTCCCATTTTTGTTCTGGTAGCCGTAGTTTTCTTGACTGAATTGGGCTACCTTGTTGAAAAAGTTTTTGACTTTTGAACCGGAGCCAGCGGGTCTTGTGTTCACATCTTCAGCAGGTCTTGTATGCGCATCTTCAGCGGGTGTTGTATACGCATCTTTAGCTTTTGGAGCTTCTCTTAGAGTATCGTTTTGCGCATCAGTAGTGCTCATCTGTGTTGGTGGAGCCGTCTCACCAGCCAAATACTTCTCGCGAGCTAGTTGCACAGCTTTTAGGTGGATTTCTTCGTTGGTCATCGAATGTCCTTTCGTCGAATTGTGCGTGGTAGTTGGTGGCTGACCTCTTAGCGTTGTTCTTGTCTTCTCAGACGATCTGTAGTCGGGTACCATTGCGCTTTCGGGCTGGGCTTGCTTTTGAGCCAGCATTTTGAGCGAAAAACTCCGACGCTTTTTCCTCTCTTCAGGTATCACAGCTGGAGGAGCTTCGCGCAAAGAACTCATCCTTGCAGGAGCCTGAGGGCTTGCATAGCCGTCGACTTTTTCTGCGTCGCTTCCAGTTTCGCCGTAGACTTTTTTGCGTGCGGCAATCAGGGCCTTAGCGTAAATTTCCTGCTCCGTTAGCACCTTTTTAGGCTTTTCCTGCTGCTTCGTTACGGCCACTTTTTTAAACGGCTGTTTTTCCTGTCTTCTGACCTTACGAGGTAGTGTTGTGGGGAGACGATTTTCTGGCGATTGGCGTTGCGGCAAATAGTCAATCGCATCACTAAAACTGGCATCGTCGATATCGATGTTATTATCGTCGTCCTCATTGTCTTCCTCCCTGAGCGTGTCAGAAACCCTGTTATTCAGATGATGATCGTAGTTGGAATCCAGGTCATGTGACAGGTCGGTAGTGAACTCATTAAAATGTCTGTCAGAGTCCTGGGCTGGCCCCAAGGGTTTTGAGTTGGTGGTAGTTGTAGTGGTTTCCACGTATTCGTAGCCGTTAACGCGACGTACAGTTTTCTTGGTGATTGAGTGCGTTCTACCACTGAAGTCCCGAACTTCTGTAGTATGCACAGTCACCATAGAATTGCTCCGGGACGATGGTATTCCCGGGGCGGACGATACAGGTCGTTGACTCTGTGTTCTGTTGGTGAGAGACCCGACTCTTTCGCTTTTCCCGTTGTGCCGCAGACTATGGCTGCGGTGATTAGCTGTTTCGGGTCTTGCATGTACCGGGTTTCTGGAGTGCACTAATGACTGACTTCTCCCACCAGTAGAAGCTGCAGCTGCAGCAGCTGAAAGTCTGAACCCGGTGTCATTTTCGTTCTTGTTTTGATAGTGGTAGTCGTACCGCGACAAGTCCGGCACCCTGCTAGGCTTCTTGTTGATCCCAAGACCCATTGAAAGATGTGTATTTGACGTTGTCAAAGGGTTGGGCATCTGGCATATCGGTGAGTATTGATATGTTATTTATATCATATGTATATAGTTAAGTGTGAAAAGTTTCGGGGAAACCACGTGACCCAGTGAAAGGGTGGTATAGTAAACATGTTTACAGTGTTCTGTGACTTTCCAGTGAATATGGTCCCTGTATGTTGGAAATATGAGCTGCATATTGTATGAGTTCTTTTGAGGAATCGAACATTCTTGCGCGTTTGGTGTGCTTCATTACTAAGTATTCTGTATGTGCTGCTCAAATTCATACAGTATATCCTCAAAATTTTTCTTGCCGGGCAGCAACTCGTCCTTGTTAGCTCAGTTGGTAGAGCGTTCGGCTTTTAAGCACCGCTTGCAAGGAACCGAAATGTCAGGGGTTCGAGCCCCCTATGAGGAGTTGTTATTTTTTTTGGGGCGGACGGTAAGGTCGATATTTTTTCCCCCTCATCATATGCAGGATGCATTGTAATGGAGTCAGTTGCATATATAGCACAAACACACCTGTGTTATGTTGTAGGGCTACTTCTATCAATCCTTTTACTGTATCCTTCTGCACTTCGGCTGTGCTAGAGAGTTTTGTTGTACAACACACCAGTCTTTCCAGTCGCTTTTAGAGATAACTTATGCTGCCCTCCAAATTTTCTAAGTCATCAACAGGCTCCGTTTGGCGCAGTCGGTTGGATACACTTCGATTGCCTGGGTTCGAAACTCAATGGTAATAGAAGAAGAATGAAGTGAATCATCACTTTCTACGATGTCAGTTTGGCCGAGTGGTTAAGGCGATAGACTCGAATCAATTGTCCTCTCTGAGAACAAGTTTGCAATCTATTGGGCTCTGCCCGCATCGGTTCAAATCCGATAGCTGACGATTATTTTTTTGTTGCTCTTCTTCGTTTTTCAAATGGTTGTGGCATTTATTTTCGTTTGGGACTGGAGTCGAGTTGTTTCGGTGAACAAACTATTTCAGACCACGGGTATTTCGCTCTGCTGAGAACAGGTCTGAACCATTTATTCTTATGGCTTAAAAGTTTATTCTTTTCATACTGCAATTGGTGTCTAGAAAAAGGGTCTTGTAGCTTGGCCATACTATCCCATTTTCTTCATGTAATTAGGCTAGAACTGTCGGGGGACAGATATAGCCTTCAACAGTCGGAACCTCTGTCTATCTGGCGTCAGATCAGTGATAAAGTGATTACATACACGTGTTACAACGACAGCGACAGAATAGACAAGATATCCAAAGAAGCTAGAACTACTACTGATCTAACAGGAACAACGTTGATTGAGCCAGGTGGTAGCACTTGTAATTGACCATATAGTTCTTAGATTCATTCCCGCCATTTCCACCTGGAATGCCTGTTAATTTTTACATCCGTCAGCGATAAAAATATCGAGGCTCGACTACGTCGGCAGTGTTCGAGTTGTTAATCTGCTTCGTTTGCTCAGTCATGATTTACTATAAGTGAATGGTTATGGTTATGGATTTTACTTATCTCTCTAAGGTTCTTTTGGTTATAAGTTTGGTACATCCTGTTTGACCAAACTACGGATGTTTAAACGATTTTTGGAGCAACAATAGCAAAAAGTAGGTAACGTTCTAGTACTCAGTCATGAGTAAGAATCGCTAAATAAAAGTCCTGAATCGCTTGCAAATTCTGCATAGAGCTGACGTATGGTTGCTTTACGGTTGGTATATTTCACCTTAGCGCTTAGTATGTCATTTTAGACTAAAATATCATTTTCTTATTACGCAATTGGCACTATCCCATATAGTCGAGCAATCCCAACAAAAACAGTTCCAAAAATTTGTATAAAGAGGGACGTTTTTGTTGGAATTGATGGACTATTTGGGATAGTGTCAATTGCGTAACCAGAGAGTGTAAGTGTCGGAACCTCTGTCTGTCTAGCGTCAGATCCATGACAAAGTGATCACAAACACGTGACACGATGACAGCGTCAGAAACAACAAGATATTCAAAGAACCTAGAACAACCAACGATCTAACAAGAATGACGTCGATTGGACCAAGTGGCACCATCTAAAGTGATCGTATAGCTCCTAGATCAGACCATTTACGCAAATTGCACCCGGAATCTTGAAGATTTTTTCACCTGTTAACGACGGAGCATTTTCGGGAATTTGTAGAAGAAGGGACGTCTTACGCACTATATAAGCGCATCCCACTTATACTAAATAAACCACGGAGAGATAACTCTAACTCCGTAAAACAATAGTTTACACCTTTCAATAATGGACAGAATCACCCAGGATATGGGACGTTTATCGTGCAACGACACTCCAGAGACAGAGTCTCAACACGAGTATAAACAGTTCNCCAGAGACAGAGTCTCAACACGAGTATAAACAAGATCCATGTCGCAATGATCCCATCGCGTGACTCTGTGACAGCGACATAATTAGGTGAAATGATTGAAGGGAACATACGTAGCTCCTGCTCGCACGGACACAGTGAAATTGTTTAACAGGCAGCTGTGCGCACCCACGACCGACTACTTACAAACTATCTGTTCATGTTTATACTCGTGTTGAGACTTTTTCTCTGGAGTGTCGTTCCACGAGAAACGCTCAATATCTTGGGTAACCATCCACTATAGTAAGATGCTAACTACCGTTTTATTAACTTTAGAGTTATCTCGCCGTAATGTATTTAGCGTAATTAGAGTGAGCCTGTGGGGCCTATAAAACTATTGAGGCTTGACTACGTCAGCAGTGTCTGAGTTATTGATCTGCTTAATTTGCTCGGTCATAATTTGTTCTCTGTTGAATAGTAATGGTCTATAGGATCTATTTATCTCTCCGTGGTTTATTTAGTATAAGTGGGATGCGCTTATATAGTGCGTAAGACGTCCCTTCTTCTACAAATTCCCGAAAATGCTCCGTCGTTAACAGGTGAAAAAATCTTCAAGATTCCGGGTGCAATTTGCGTAAATGGTCTGATCTAGGAGCTATACGATCACTTTAGATGGTGCCACTTGGTCCAATCGACGTCATTCTTGTTAGATCGTTGGTTGTTCTAGGTTCTTTGAATATCTTGTTGTTTCTGACGCTGTCATCGTGTCACGTGTTTGTGATCACTTTGTCATGGATCTGACGCTAGACAGACAGAGGTTCCGACAGATCTGACGCCAGAATTGGCAATGAATACGTTTTGAAGGTCGTTTATATGTAGCTTTCACAACCACCTTGCGAGATAACTAGTGCATGGGTAATCTCATTCGATGGTTTCCATGTGCATCTTGAATCCCGTCGTCGGCAAGCAGCAGAACGGGGACAAATCTTTCTGGCGTCAGTTTCATCTTCAGATGATTTATTCCACGTGATACGACGACAGCGACACAAATGAAACTGTCATCGGTGAAATATTGCTCATCTAACAAGTATGCAGCAACCAAGGACTTGGTGAGATCTGATCTGATATGGTCTAAATTATTGTAATCATAGCCAGGCTCGCGTGAAAGCGTTTCACGTTCAGCGACACGCAAGACATGGAATTATTCTCAGAGATTTTCATGTTGATGTAAAATTGTCCCTGACAACACGAGAGAGGGAAAGCAGTGAGCTGTAGTGCCACGTAAATGGGGAATTAGTTCAGGGCTTTACCTGTCTACTAATCAAAGCTAAAAGGAGCAGATTTTTTGAACAGTACCAAACCTTTTTTACGGACTTTTTTTTCTGTTGAAAAGATAACAGATCACTAGATTATGGCAGTGGGCCGATAAGTGTGAGCTCAATCCCTGAATAACATTGCCTTGGTCGAGAATTCCAACAGAATCTTTAGCATCTCATGAACATACTTTCGGTCCAACCAAGTAAATCAACTTTTTGAAGTGAAATTGTTGTCTATGTTAGTGATGGTGCTCAGTCTTGAGGTGTGTGAGCAGAGAATACGTTTGTTTGTTTATTTTGCTTTCCTCTATCATAAGTGTAAGCATATCTCTCCGTCATTTGATTACGGTGGGGGAAGCGCTCTTGTAGCTTACATAAAACTCTTTGGAATAATTCCGCACCGATGGAGGTGAAATGTTTCCCTCAGTACCTGTGGACGTTCTACCGATCATACTCTTTTTATGCTATACTAACGAAGTCTGCGGTGCCATCTGGGGTTCACGGCTGGAAAATACGGCAGTTTCAGTGAAATGTTTTCAATTCTGGCGCTGTCATTATACCATACGCATGTGATCACTTTGTAACGAATATGACGCTAGACAGACATAGGTTTGGAAAATTCGATACACCACTCACTATTTTTTTAACGATACACATCTCTCCAAATTTCACTCATTGTTAACGAGTCGTTTGTAGTTCAAATAAACATGCTCTGTGATGCATTTCCGGGTTTCATTCGTGCATAGTACAATGGGTGAAGTCTTTAATTGAAGTATGATGACGACTAAACAATTTTTTTTGCAGTGCCACCACCTGGTGCTATGATGTGTGGACTTTAGTAACTCAAAGTGAATTTCCATTTCCTGTGACGCTGTCATCTGTCACGTGACGAGTGTTTATTTGATAAGAAATGTGACCAATCGACTTGAGAAGAGAACCTGAGACGACCACAATGTAAAAATGAAGTTTGACCGATATGACGTCTAATACAAATTTCATTGGCCGCTGGTTATGCCACATTTCTTTGTTTGAGTCTTTTGTCACGTGACTTGGCTAGGACTGTGACACTACGGTCACCAAAAACCAAGGATACACTAATTTAAACTACGGGCACATATTACTAGTGCTTAATACAACATGTAAAATTAAGCTCTGATCTTAGCGATTGTGCACATCCCACTTTGCAGCTGGGGAAAACAATACCAAAGGTACGAGGTGTTTTGCGTGCAAATTCTAGTGCTAAAGTCCCGATTTTTAGAACAAAGTTTCAGTACGATCCAGTAAGTTCGAGTTTTTACTAGTGCAAACTATATTGTGTCGTACGAATCTACCTCTGTCGTCTACATATCCTAAACAGGTAATTCACAAAATTATTTGAGCATTATTGACGATTTGTGGATATGTGATTTTCTGACCGTCATGGTAATTTACCTGTGTACGTGTGCGACAACCATATATTCCTTTGCATTTTTACTACTGGAAAACCATCTTCTTTAACAAACCAGAACTGCTGGAAAACTCAAGAGAAAAGGTCTTCCTGTATACACTTTGTTGGCTCGTTAGAAGTAACTAATAAGATAAATCTCAAAGTCATTAACGACGTTTCGAGCCGAATTGGGAAATTCGTGTACAATGTGATTAAGTTCTCCCGTGTTCAATTATGCGTATAGAAATATATCACTATCTATTAGCAGAAACTGATCCTCCGAAGATTCGTAAGCTAAGCACCATTCGTAGCACCAGCAGCCTCTCAATATGTCGATATTTATAACCGTTATTGTACGATGTACGGTTGGTAGGGCATAATAGCAGATTTCCCAGACACCTACTCATTTTACCATAGCCATTTCTTGGGTAAGCTTCTTTTTCGTACCATTTATCGCAACCTTTTTCGTCTTCTTCTCCTTGAACGGAACTATATTCGTTCTGATACTCGATTTCCCACTTTGGTAATGCAATAAATGAGATTGGACTTAAAGTTCGTTGCAGAAGATAAGAAAGCCGTTACTCGAGAAAGGTATACGCGGGAACGTTCGACCGTGCGAACGTGCTACTTTGGCTATTGCCGTTAGTGAATATTTGTCTCAGGAAAATGCCATATCGATGATTCAAGGTGTATAAGCATCGGATGAACCATTGTTTTATTTGTTTTTCTTCACATCCTCCATTGTGGTTGGTGATGCTTGTCGTACACTAAGCATGTTAAATTTCCTGTTTTCTTTACATAACATTAAAACACCATCTTTCAGAGACAGATTACAAAAGGCCCTAAATGGGAGAGAAGTAAATCCACGCCTCAATTATTCTCAACTATAAGCAACGTTGTTTTCAACTTCAAAGAAAAAAACCTACTTTTTTATTGTTTAATGTTGTTCCTTCAGCATTTCAACCCAAATATAAGAACCTCAGACCCGCCGCACAGAGCTCCTTCGATAAAACGCACAACTATCTGTGTGACTCTCACTCGATTCGCTATTGCTGGTGAAACGCATCACTAGACAAATAATTCAAATAAAACCAGTTTATTTTACTGACGCCCATCACGTGAGTGGTCTCGAGGTATTATTATCTGGCAAAATGAAAAATTTGAACCTGTACCGGAAAAGACCAGGTTTTTGACGAGTCCCCAACGCTCTAGTTTCGATCTGATAAGCATCGAATTTCATTTGTAACGACTTCACGACCTCCACAATCAACAGCATGGCCCAGCAAGACTTGAAACATGTTCCTGAATCCATCAGAATGGTGCTAATTGGTCCACCAGGTGCCGGAAAAGGTACCCAAGCTCCAAACTTGAAAGAGCGTTTCTGCGCTTGCCACTTGGCCACCGGTGACATGTTGAGATCTCAAGTTGCCAAGAAGACCGCTCTCGGATTGGAGGCCAAGAAAATCATGGACCAAGGTGGTTTGGTCTCGGACGAGATCATGGTCAACATGATCAAGCACGAGTTGTCAACAAACTCGGAGTGCAAGAACGGTTTCATCTTGGATGGCTTCCCAAGAACCATCCCACAGGCCCAGAAGCTCGACCAGATGTTGGTGGAGCAAGGCAGACCTCTGGAGAAAGCCGTCGAGCTGAAAATCGACGACGAATTGTTGGTCTCCAGAATCACCGGCAGACTCGTCCATCCAGCCTCTGGAAGATCCTACCACAAGATCTTCAACCCTCCTGCTAAGGACATGAAGGATGACGTCACGGGCGAAGATTTGGTCCAGAGAAGCGACGATAACGCCGACGCTTTGAAGAAAAGACTCGGTGCGTACCACCAGCAAACCGAGCCAATTGTTGATTTCTACAAGAAGACCGGCATCTGGTCCGGCGTCGACGCCTCCCAGTCTCCAAAGACTGTGTGGTCCGACATCTTGAAGTGTCTAGGCAAGTAAGAATGTGTGTCTCTCACGCACTTAACTAACGATCTGCCTAACTTACACGATAACGAAAAAAAAAGCGGTGTCACTCTTATGAAGCTCTCGAAGCTAACTCGTTCATATACTGCTATATCTACTATTAAACCATATCCTTAGCTTCTGCTGCGACAACAGGCCTTTGGGCTCAGTGTATTTGTCTCTCTGTCTATCGTTCTGTCTAGTAATTAAATCAAATAATTCTGATAAAATCACAACAAGTTCATGGATAAACTACATGTTTCAAAGCACAACAACACACACAAGACCCTTCGAGCTATCCTATTAACTACTCACCTTGGCACGCGTACAATCTATCGATATCAGGGTCTTTCATTCAGATGTCAAGCGCTCAGGGCTCTCCATCGCACAGCGAAATTGATCGAAGTGGGAACAGCCATGAGTATTCAGGGTCCACGAAAGCAGCCCACATCCACATTTTCAAGTCAAGTCCAAAGGGGACGAGAGAGTTCGCAAGAACGGATGTCTCACCACCGCGTGGAATGTCTCGTCCTGCGGTAGCGGAGGCCAATAAGCTACTACAACTGCTCAAGTCGAAAACCGTGAAAAGTGAAGCATCGCCAAAAGAGCCAGAAAGACGTCCAATAACTGTAAATACTGATCCTGTGCCGGGAGACCCTTCAAGACAGCCGAAAGGGATCGAAAAGGTCGAGTCTACCGGGAGTTTTCATGATCGAGTTTCTAGATGGGTTTTACTTCCTGCGTCGTCCAAAACGCCCAAGAGCTCGCCTAAGGAGCCACCCCTACCTACGCAACTTCCAGCTGATACGCCAGCATCGGTCAGTCATACTGCTCAGACGAGTAGGAATTTCAATTTGGCTGCTATGAAGGGATCCTCTTCTCCAAGACGATCAACGGCACCACATACTGGTTTCGACCAGCCAACCACAATGGTCACTCCGGTGGCCAGCCGCTCTGCACCAACAAATAATACCAACACACCATCCTCTGAGATTCATCGAAATCCTTCTACAGGGCCAATAGTGCAAGAAATGATACGGCTTTCCCCACAGCTTCATGCAGTCTCAAAATCTCCTCCACAGGCTTCAAAAAATTCGTTGCATGCAAGTCCTGTTGAACAGGTTACCAAATTGTATTCTTCCTCTGAAACACTGCCTCTTGGTGACTGCACAACCGCGAAACGCGGGATCGAGGCCGAGCAAAGATCACAGCGCGATGAGACGTCACTCACATCCGGTTGTCGTACGCCCGAAAATCAAATGGCGCTTTCACCAAGGCGCCACGACTTAGTCGCTTTACCGAAGCCCGCAGCGCCATTTTCTGAAGGGACAGCGAAATCTAAAGCACCAGAAGCGCCTGTAACATCAAGATCGACAGAACCTGAAACATATAAAGAGGATCCCAAGCTCACAACAGAAGCGCAGAAGCCAGCTTCACAACAAAACGTAGCTCAAATTCGTTCAGAGAACACCGAAAATTTTGGAAATGGGCTTGGTGAGGCCGTTATGACCGAAAATACTCACAATCCCTCTGGAGAGCAGAAAAGCCCAAAAAGCACAGTGGAACTTGTACAAGGTACAAATGGGACGTGGGAACCGAGACCAGCACATGGTCTTTTAATGAGAGATCCACAAACGGGCAGTGCGTTCATCCAACCGCATGTGCCAGCGCCTCAAGCACAAAATTTCGCTCTAAATGTGAGAAAACTGCCAGAAGCGGGCGTCCGACAGGGGCGGGACTTGACAATTACGGAGGAACAAACTTTGGTCCGGAATCAGTTGGCTGCCTCCTCCACTTCAAAGCCAAGACGACAAGTAAACTTGCCTACATCTAGTGCAGTTAGATACCACCCGCAGGTGGATGCCGTGGCTAACACAGTTTTTTCCAAAAAAACCGCTGCAAGCTCACAGCCAATTCCAGTCCGTCCCTCAGATCTCGGAGATCAGTTTCTGGTTGGTGACAAGAGCGAATTGTTCGAAGCACTACATCCCAAAGCCACAGCATTTTCGCGCACTGGTGCCGCTTCAAGCCAAAATCAGAAATCAGCATCCAGCGGGAGCACTAGTCCTTCCTGGTCACTATGGAAATCGTCCCCACAAGGTTCGATTGTCATGGAGAGCAGAAAAAAGGCAGATAATCGCGTGTCAGTGACAAACGACACTTCTGGAGGTTCTTCTATTGTGACTGTTTCGTCACTGCCTCCAAATGGACAAGACAAACTGTACAAGCTCAATGAGCTCTCCTCAGATCACCATTCAGCCCACATTCCAGCAAATAGGACACACTATTTCTCCAGTTCACAAACCGCTCCGAAATATGCTAATATGCCAAGCGCAGCTGTCCCAGCTCGCCCATATAGTTCACCAATTATTCAAAGTGTGCCGCTCAATGGGGGTGTGCTCACTGGTGGCTCACAGGAAGCCGGGCTACATGGGACCAGTTCGCAATGGCAGCAGCAAGAATCGCTTTTTAGACCTAACTCAGCCGGCTATTCACATGCGCTACCAAATATAGGAAACAGTACAAAAGCACCAGGCCAAGAAACTAACGGAAAAGACAAACATTTTTCTGGTCATGATGAGACCGCCTCAACAAACTCACACGCCACCCAGAGCTTGCCGTCGATTCCACCTGGCGACAGGTTGTCCGTAGCTAAGTCGATGAGCGGCGCTTCGAATCACGTCAATCCAAATGATCAAGTTGCTCTGATAATAGATCAAGCAACCAGCGATGAAGACAACAACACATCTGGACAGGTTGAAGGAGGTTCAACAGGCTTACCAATTGCTCAGCCTATATCATCTCCCAGGAGCTCTGACACCACCAAGACATCGACTAGCACGATGAAACAGGCTCCTCTCAGTCATTCAAATGACCAGGCGAATTCGGAAAGTGCTCGTAGCCCATTAAAAAGTTCTCCGCCAGAGGGAAAGAGACTTAGTAGCGATCTCTCTATTGATGAGAGACCGCGTAAGAAAAGTTTGATTTCTCAGATAGCAGAAAAGCAAAATGCAAAAGGCGAAGAAAGCGTTGATCTTCGAGATTCCGTCAACAATTCAAAACTCCTGAAAAGCGCCAACCCATCACCTTCATCAGACCGTTCGCACACCGTTAACTCTGAGGTGTCTTCTTCAAAACAGTATCCCGTGTCTGCTAGGACCAATCGCTACTATCGGAGTAGTCCGAGGTCTCAAGAATCAGTGAAGGACTCAAAAGTTAAGCTCAGGTCTGTCAAGGATGTGCCATCAATAAACTCCCCGGTGCCTGATATGAAAAGGCTCAAAGAGGTAGTTATTGGAACGGCTTTACCTGATAGGAAAGAGTCGCGGGCGACTGAAGGATTGTTTTTAAATCAACCGTTTGCAGAAAACGATGAAGCCATTGCTCCCCTTTTACAAAGAGCGTCAGGGCCCGAAATAGCAAATGTATCAAGCGGCGATTCGGGTGGTAATTCATCGGACATTTCGGAGCCCTTGACAAAGGCGGTAGTCAGAAATGCCCTTAAAAGCAAACATGAAGAATTCAAAGTGAAAGCTGGCGACTCGGTTTCCGGGAAGTTATTCTTTGAATCGCCCACATCAGATTCGAATAAGGATCCGTTACTAAAATCAATTGAGCGGAGTGTAGATGCAGCTTCCTTGGATGCTAATGCAACAATTCCATCAGGTACTTTAACGTACCCGACGAACGCTGACGAAGATCGCAAGAAGATTGAGCGCTTGGTTGCTCGTCAAATAGCTGGGGAAATAGCTACAATGAAAGGTTTGAATAAAATGATGCTTGTCAAGTTGATTCTATCCGGCGTTATCCGATGCTCTCCTTTGAAATCTGGCCGTCTCGTAACAAGCAGTAATGACATTTGCAATCGCACAAATTATGAAGAAACATCTGCTCTATACCTCCAACACTTGCCAAAAAGAGCTAGGTTGGAAATAGTTGCTTTTGATAGAGCCCAGATTCCTATACTTGAAAAAGAAGCGACTATGCTCGACAAGTCGACGGAGGAAAGTTTCAAGAATGGCTTGCGTGATGCGTGCTTCTTCTTTGAAAGAGGCCCAGTAGACCATACGGACCTGAACAAAGAGAAGGTGGTCAATGAGCGAGTAATGAAACTGAAAGATCTTCTTTCACAATTTGGGTGCGTCACGTCTGATACCAAGTCTCCTTATGTCAACGTTATAGTGCTCGCCAACGACTTTACTGATCGTGTCAATTATGGTGGGAGCTTGGGCTCCTCACATTCACAAGTATGGAGCTACGATTACGCGGTGCGACTTTTTGCCCTTTTGACAAGTAGTGGTAATTCCCCAACTGACAGGGGAGGCCTATCAGGCAAAGTGATATCTCCTGTTTTCACGTCGACGGAAGGATCGGAAAATCGCAGTAAAAGCAGAAAGATCCAAACCGAATCATCGGCCAAAGTAACCAGCTCGAAGTACGTTAAATCGAATCCGAAAAGCGCGCTGAAAGGTAGTCATAGAGCACCTGTTCTCGAGGCAAGATTTCCAGATAGCGACGATGAATTGATTGTGGAAAGAGCTTCAAGTGTAGCTGCAAATACGTTTGGCCTCGTTGACCAAGGCCCTCATATCTCCAAGGACTTAAGGTTACGAACCTTAGCAAGTGAAGTTATTGAAGACCAGTTTAAACTTGCGTCATTGCAAGGTCAGTTGTCGACCAAAGATAAGGAGATTGCTCATCTGACATCAAGACTGAAGAACGAGCAATTCCGAGTGGAGCAGTGGCAGCATATGTTAGATATGATTTCGGAGGCACAAGACGGCCAAAATAGACCACAGGCTCGGGGACAACCGAATACGGAACCTCAGAATGGAATTTTAGACGAAAGTGTTGTCGAGAACATTCATGTGATAAAAAATGCACTCCACTCAAGGCCTGCGTCAATGCCCGGTCTGGGGGAAATATCCGTGGCTGCAAAAAGTTCACCACTTAGTTCCTCGAGCTCTACGCATCCAGTCCCCACAAAGCAAAATGATCATGTCAGTAAAAGCGAGCGAACGGGACTACGTGCGGCCACAGACCAATCACCACAATCTCCACAAAGCGATGAACTTCTCCTCACACGTTTTGTCAATGTTTCGAAGGAGTTGGCAACAAGTATGGCATCAGAACAAGAGCTGAGAAAGCTTGTCAATGACCTTAAGAACGAACGCACAACCTTAGAGAATTCGCTGACAACGAAAATACAGCAAATGGAAAACGATAAAAAAGAAGCTGACAAGGAACTTGCTGCATCCCAACAAGTAATTAATGTGCAGCGGCAGACGATCGCATTTTTGAAAGAACAAGTGAAGAGGGAGAGACAAGAAAGAAAGGCGATAGGTGCTAGTCTTCAGGCCTTAATTTCTCACCAGGATGCTGGTGAGGAGGAGCCTGGTTGAGGCTTTGCAAATGGAATGCGCATATGTAATAATGTAATTTAAGAAGTGTTGAAAAGATTCACGGCCACGTCTCAGCGCACCGACGATCGCCGGTTTGTAGGTTAAGTTCAAAGCGTTTGAGAATTACTAAATGTTGCTACATAGTGTGCCTAGGCCTTGAAATGAACGACTTGATTGTAGCAATCTTTTTCGAAGCGCTTTTATTAAACCTTGGTTCCGTAATTTCAACCTGCTAGTCCTTTCAAGCGCTCCAGTCCCTGGTGAAGGGCTTGCTGCGGAGCACTGCTTGCAGCCTCATGGAAACATGTGGCGTGGAAATATTTGCCTTGGGACTCAATACAGTTCAGCCAGACCCATTCTCCAGTGTCATCGTCGTATACAGCTGATTGGTCATCACGACAAATTGGGCACTGGAATGACATGTCTATTGACGTTTCAGGCACTACAACGCGTTTTTTCGCCAAGTTCGATACATCAGCCACTGCCGCTAGGCCTTGACCCGAAGCTGCGTGATTAAATGTATCGTCGACAGAAGCGGCATCCAGCTTGGCCAATGTTAAAGGTTCATTGTCTGACCTAGTAGTCGAAACAATTTCCTCATCATTGAATTGTTGCCATTGGTCATCACCCAAGTACCAATTTCTGGACTGGATGTTTTTAACTGAAGTACCGTTTGAACCTGAAGTGCCCTTGATTCTCTTATTGATTCTGAAGTGCCAATCCAGGTGATCTCTTTCACGCTTTTTCTCGTCATCTGAGGTTCCAAACCTCTTCCCACAAGTACTGCACTTGTTTGGCTTGTACCTGTAGAGTAGATTTTTTAGTTGGTACACAGCAGGATTTTCATCGATTATGGTCTTTTGACAGAGCTGCAAGTTGGGCGCTTTCAGAATATCGAGACCGTATGCTGCAAAGTGCGACTTCACATCCCCCAAAATATCTCGCATCAAGTGTAAGGGCGGTAGTGTGACTTTAAGGCTTTCATCGATATTTTTCGAAAGAACGCTCTCCAGTCTGACGATAGACTGCTGAGGAATGGGTTTTATTAATCCTTCTTTTGCCAATGAGCCGTAAAGCTTCTGGACGCGGTCTGCCTGCCGCGAAGAATCAGAAGGTGGAACGATATTGCTTGCATTTGGGAAGAAGGAAGACGAGGCTGAAGTAGAACCAAATAGTGGAATTACTCCAGGGTCTGCAGGAGTTGGCGTAGGTTCTTGAGAGGGCGAGGCACTCATAGGGTTGGAGCTTTGATATACGGTTTTCTGCAGATTCTGTTGCTGCTGCTGTTGCTTTCGAAGAATTTGCTGTTCTTGAGAAAAGATCTTGCGCAGCTGGGATTGGACTTCTTGTAAAGCTTGTGGGGCTAATGATTCTCGTTGTAGCTCTTGTTTGAGCTGTTTCAAGACCAAAATCTTTGTATTCAATCTAGGGTCCTGGGGATTTTGGGATGCACGTTCTTTGGTTAAGGAAGTGAGCTTGTCTATCTCACGCAACAGACCAGGTACTGTCGGCGGTGACACCTTTTTCAATTGGAATGAGCTGGCCTTGACTAAGAACTGCTCAATAGCGTCTAAGGCTTCTTGCCCGAACAAACGATGGCCCATTGAGCCCTGGTTGTGATTGAGCCATGTTTGGAACAACCGTATCAAACTCGAACGAGTCTGGTTGTCCACCAAAAGATAGGTACGTTTGTACAATTTTGCAAGATTTCGACTAAAATAAATGGTATAGGGAGATCCAGCGTTTTTGCAGATTGAATCCAATACGTAAAAGGCGTACAGTTTTTGATTCGGCACGCATCGCTCAATACGCCTTTCTATCGCGTCAACAAGCTGCTGTGCGCAAGCTATGTTTTCCTCTGCTGTCTTTGTAAGGGTAGTGATGATAGGCCTTGAGTTGCAAGTCAATTCCTCCAGAATACTGGCGAAATCTTGAGCCACTTTTTTACAATCCATGGAAAGCGAGGAAAAAAGCGAAGATGCTGATGATGATGCTATATACAGCTGCTACTGCGATGCTAATGGGCTACAAACGAAGCTTGTTAGCAGTGATGAGTAAGATAGGTAGTTTAGTTGGATGTAGAGTTGTCTTTAGCCATGTTAATTTTTCAATCAACATCAATGAGTTATAATGTGATGTCGTACGGATTCTCTAGGTCACGTGTGACAAAGAGAATGTGCTAAAGGTCCCTTCTCAGAATTGATATGACAGTTTGAGACATCATAGTGAGCTATTACGCGCACTAGGAATGAATGCTTACGAGTATGATTGATGAAAACCGGTGAAATTGGTTCACTTAGAGTCCAATGACAGGTTAGTTAAAAATGACTGCAGAGGGAAATTGCACATTTAACGGTCTAGTTGCTGATATCCTCAAACATGCATTATTTTATGAATCGAGACTCGGTCTTAGAAGTGTTGTGTGACTTTTCAATGGGTCTCTGGCTTTGAAATCGATTCCATTCGTACAAAGTGCGTAATTCTCACCATAACTAGTAGTTACATGGCGGTTTATCCCGTTCCGTTGATCCCGCGGTTCATTTTCGAGGATATGCCGCGTTTCTTGCTACTATTACCCATACTCTCATGCCCACGTGAAGTTTTACGTTTCTTGCGCAGCATTGGAAATAAAATTAGTGCTGTTGCTCACGAACCTGATGCTCTCCAGGAATGATCGTTAGCATCTAACATGCATTCAAATTGGCCATTCGTTTTACGACTTCCAAGAACGAAAGGGATGTTGCAAGTAAACAAATGGACCGAAAAAAAAAAGTCCAGTCCGAGCGTCCTGCATGCGATCATCTTGTCGATTATCTACTCGAGCTCTTCCACACTTAAAGCCGAACTGCTCGTAAAATGCTGGTCGCACATAGCTACAGGGTTGACAAGACCAATAATTGGCACTCGCTAGGGCGTTAAAATTACGTTGGCCAAGATCCGCGCTGCGGGTAGGATTCGACACATTAAGTGCAATCCAACTTTCGTATCGGAGAGAGGAAGAAGAAGAGGAAAAAAACCTGAAGGTAAAGCTTAGCAACTAAGGAAAACCGTTGCTGTAGCAAATTAGCACGAACTAAAATGCTCAGATCCTGAATTGATGTACAACGGTAACTATAACGAGTAGATTCATATTCTTTTGCACAATAAATCCTGTTTTTCGCAGCCTTTCGTTTTGCAAGCAAGTAAAAAAAATCCGCAAATTATTCGATTTCGATGTCGACCCACAACTGCATGCACTTGATCGTGGACGCCCACGCTAAAGATCGACACGTAAGTTTAAAACCTATAAAGGTTCCTTTCCGCTAGATCGCATCCGTACAAAGTGACCGTCATTTTTGGAACAGATTTCGAGGAAATCTACAAGTGATAGCCAGTGTTTCAATAAAGAACTTGGTTTCTTAGGCCAGGTTTGAGTTAGGCTAGTTTTCGAATATGTCAGGTCTTCGCTTTATCTAGCATTATCTTCAAAGTAGTCAAGAAATAGATATCAGTTAATTAATCTGATATCTCGTGTAAAGTGAGATGTTGATAAAGTCAAATTTTTGGCAACTTTGATGCCGATATCTGATCCCATCGTCAACGTTCCATTGTTGCTCACCAGTAGGCCTCCTCATCTTGCCAGCGTTATTAGGACCTTGCCATGTCTAACGATAAAAAACAATCAGGTTTAGCCCGTGTCTTGGGTTCTGCTTCAGCAGGTATCTTGGAAATCGCCGTTTTCCATCCGGTTGACACTGTTTCCAAGAGATTGATGTCCAATCATTCCAAGATTGGATCCGCAGCACAACTCAACTCTGTGATCTTCCGGGACCATGCCGGAGAAGCTCTTGGAAAACGTCTTTTCACTTTGTTTCCGGGTCTGGGATACGCTGCTTCTTATAAGATTCTACAGAGAGTGTACAAATACGGTGGGCAGCCATTTGCCAACGAATTTCTGAACAAGAACTTCAAAGCCGATTTCGATAATGCTTTTGGTGAAAAAACCGGCAAAGCCTTACGTTCCGCCACCGCTGGCTCAATTATTGGTATTGGTGAAATTGTGCTGTTACCGCTAGATGTCTTGAAAATCAAAAGACAAACCAACCCTGAGGCTTTCAAAGGCAGAGGATTTATCAAGATCTTGAAAGATGAAGGTTTTGCTTTGTACAGAGGCTGGGGTTGGACCGCTGCGCGTAATGCACCCGGATCGTTTGCGCTTTTCGGAGGTAACGCTTTTGCAAAAGAATACATTTTGGGGCTAAAAGATTACTCTACTGCCACTTGGTCTCAAAATTTCGTTTCTTCGATTTTTGGCGCCAGTGCCTCTTTGATCGTATCAGCTCCACTCGACGTTATCAAGACTAGAATCCAAAACAAACACTTTGACAACCCGGAGAGCGGGTTCAAGATTGTCAAAAACACTTTGAAAAACGAAGGCATTACAGCTTTCTTCAAAGGTCTAACACCCAAACTTCTCACCACCGGGCCCAAGCTAGTGTTCTCGTTTGCTCTAGCACAATCTTTGATTCCGGCTTTTGACAAGCTAGTGAGCAATTAAAATATTATCGAACAACATTGAAGTCTTCTCTTTGACTTCTTGGTTCTTATGTATATAGACTAAGTATTGATACAATAATTTATACACCAGGGCTCAGCACTGTTCGATTGGGAACGCAGGCTTTATCCTTTCATCGATCGGAAACCAGATGAAATACTACTATATGTACAACACGAACACCAATCGTGCGAGGGCGGAAACCCTGAATTACGACATCTTGACGATGTCGAATGCAAAATTAGCGATATGGTGAAAGCTAGATCGCTATGCTGTGAAAACAGGATTTTTGCAATTTTCACTTTGGGGCCTAAAGATCCTGTCTTGACCGCGGGGGACCAGACCCCGCTGAATCATTATTGTAGGATCCTCGGAAAGAATCCAATCGCATTTGAATGTGCTTGACTTGATCCGATAACAGTGCGAATTTTTGCGATAAATCCTGGAATTCCAAGGCTAACGTTTGGGAAGTGGATACCAAAGACGTTACTGAATTTGAAATATGTGAGAGATCTTGCGTAGGGCCAAGCTGCAACGGATCCTGATGTGCCGGATGCGAACCGTGCAGATTATGAGAAGTTTCGGGCTCCATCTCAGCGTACGCACTAGCATGTGGGATATGATACTGGTTTTGCAAATGATGTTGATGATGATGTTGATGAGGATTGTTGTTATGTGCATGCTGCAGGGAGTATGGGGTGCCTAAGCTGGGTTGTTCAGATGCACGGCTTAACTTGTAGTGGCCTCTGTCCGAAGACTCAAAAACCTGAGCTATCTTTAAAGTAAGAGCGTCTCTGTGTGAGCTTGGCTCGATATTGCAGGCAGCGTTTCTTACGCCTCTCGCGTACAAGAGATTGAAGCGGTCGCGACATTGGCGAGTGTTTCGATGCAGGGAATGTTCTTGACGCAGCTGTTGACTGACAAACTCCCAAAACCGTTTGGCATTGGAAGCTGCAGGTAGCGCGTGTTTGTGAGTGAGTATTAGCGTCAGCAACACCAGGTCCTCCATTGGACTCCATAGCCGTCGCGAAGACTTTTGGCTGGATGACGAGCCTGTACTGGACGTTGGTGAAACTGACTCATGAGCAAGAGCTTGTTGTCGGTGCTGATGAGGGTACTGATGAAGCTGATGAAGTGGTGCTGGTACCGGGGTGCTCAGCTGCGGCGGAGAGAACGGAGGAAGCGGCGTGTCATCTGCAACAGTGATAGGAGGCGGCGGTGGCGCTCGGTTTCCTCCAAATGCATCGCATCCGTCGTCTAGGCTATTACTGTACACCATCTGCATGTGTCTCCGGTGAAGTCGAGTGCGGGGTCTATGGGAACCAAGCACACCGGGTGGGGAAGCCTGTATTCTGCTGGTCCTTTGTCGCCTACTTTCGACTGTTTCTTCTGGTCCAGTTGTTCAGCCTAGAGTCTGGACTTTTCGACGCTTTTTTTTGGGTACGCCCAAATCCGCTTCCCAATCCCATCTCATCACATCGCCGTGCCCATCCCATCTTTATATGTGTTGCCATCTCAAATCCATCTCGTCCACATCGCCTACAGTTAGATCTTATTCATTGCTTACTTGCTGTACTTTGTCGCCGTCGGACCTCTGTCATGCAAACGACACTGTTCCATACATAACGCTCATTAATTCATCATCATACATACGTCGTCAGCACACTCTGTGTAGTGACTGCCGCGACTTGCAGCCTGCCAGCTAACACACAGGCGTTGCTCTTTTTTTCCCACTGTTCCACTGTTCCACCGCCCCAAAGCAACAAGATGCGGGCAATGACAGCTGCACGCCCATTGCATCACTGGTGGTGAGTGGCCAAATTTAAAAAGACATAAGCCGTTTTTGTTTCTACGGGCAAAGATGTGAGCGTGTCTTGAATCCTGGTTGAGCTTGGACCGGTTCTTAGACGTCTGAATTGCCAGCCTTCAATAAAGTTGGGTCCTCAACACACGTACATCGTTATGCATATCTAGACAGCGCTCGAGGATACAGTAACTGGGACAATTAAGTTTCGTAGCAACTGTTAAGCCCGAACTCCAGGACAGGATCTGCAAGGACTCGAATACGTATACACACACACACACACGCACACACGGACTTGGAGTTCGTGGAGTCCCTACCTGCGAGTACGGCTGACTCAAAAACCACACACCTTCGAGCGTCACCATGCACAGAACTCCGTAATCTCCAGTTGACGCACAGTTGGGCTTCTATGCATGGAAAAATATGCAAGGCTCGAGGCATCATGCACGCACCCGGTTCTCTCGAGTGTATGCACGTACTCCGCGGGTTTCTCTAGCATGCGGGTGCGGCCAGCCTCGAGAAAATTTTTTAGCCTCCGCAGGTTTCCTTACACAGGCACGCTCTTGCCCTTTTCGGCGAGCGGCTCGGCTCATTCCTTTTTCTTTTTTTTGAGAGGAGATACGCGGTAACTTGTGACGGCAGGGCTGATTAGTTGCCGGGATCCCGATGAGAAATCGTTCGGGAAACCAGAAGTTCTAGAAGCCCGGGTCTCCGAGCGATCCATGTCTTGGGTGTGTGTGTTTGTGTGTGTGTTTGTAACAGAAGGCGTTGGATTCTGAGTGGTTGTGAACAGTAAGCTCTTGGTGAGGATCATCGCCGGTTATCACTTTTTCTTAATGTGACAACGCGCGCCTAGACTTGTTGAATGATGTATATACTCAGTCCAGCGGTAGCATGAAGCTATCTCTAGAAACAGATGACCTTTCCACCTCCTTTCTTGTGCACCTAGATATCTAGCAGGTCTTGAAACGCCGCGATCTTATGTCAGATGCTACTATCAAAAAGGAACATCTCAACGAAATGGGTGCCGTGTATTTTGTCATTCGTACATGACCCGGCCTATAATTATATTACTTAGATCATCGCAAGTTACTAGTCTGTGGTTTGATTGAAGCGGTGAGCATCGCGCGACACACACCGCAGTAAAACTAGCCATATCTTACGCAGGTCTACAAGCTTAGTGATCACTAAATACGTGTCTGTCTTCGATGTAGTCTATCTACTCTTCCATAGTCCTGGGACGAATCAGAAAAATCCGGCAATTCCGGAAAATCTTCAGGTGGTTTACGAACTTGGATTCACGAGCCTCCGGGCAGGGCTCCATTGTGACGAAAACCGTTTGAAGACGGTGTTCGCATTTCTTTTGACGTTTTCAATAGATGAACCGGCTTCCGCTGCTCTCATGATTGTCTTTTGCTTGTCCACTCTATGAGATCACCGTCTATCATTGGCACTTGATAAACTCCACTAGATTTCTCAGGATTATAGTGCTTGGAAGCGAAAATCTGGAATTCGAACCTCTTTTGCTCGTGGAAAAAGATTTATCAAGATCAGTAGTTCGAAAGTTTTGTTGTAGGCTGGCGAATAGAAGCGTTGCTGCGTGGAAATTGGCACTTGGTTTTGGAATCACTATTCCAAATTTGTAGCGTTTTCTTAGTTGTCTCGTTTGAGTATATTATCTATTCTCCCAAAACTGCGGTGTTTCCGGCGACTATTGTTTGCGGCTCGTAGTGTGACAATTAGTCGTTTACGTCCACTTTAAAAGTAACTCCATCTTCAATACTCGAAAAATTGTTTCCGATGACTCGTTACGTACCGCTTGGCCAGATCCATCATCGAGAGTCGCATTAAGCTGGTCTGCTCACAGGCGATAGTCAAAGACTTTTCCAACTTAGGACCTAACACACCACCGCAGCACTTCTTCATTCAATATTTTCTTTGAGATAAAGTTAGTGAGTCCAAGTCCAATGCCGCTCTTAACACCTTGAAGGACTTAGCAGCACCGACTATTACACACGTTAGTAGTCGGTTCCGTTTTGTAGAGCATCTTGATTTCAAACATGCAAGTTGAGCTAACGAAAAGGGCTCTATCTCACATTGTCAACTCTGCATCAAGGCGGTGTTCACAACAAGCCGATGTGATCCGGTTTGAGAAAGTGTGGGATAGAACGCGGTAGGTAACTCCAAGTATGCAAGTTTGTCAATTATCGAAAGCAGGCCAACGTGGCGCTTCTTAAAGAATCTGAATAAGCCAATAAACACTCGATTCAAAAACATGGTCTATGAATCTGATTTTGACAGTGCTTTTAGAGCCTTGTCGAGATTCTCAAGCGTTGCAAAACTGTTTGATCCTTTGTCCCCGGTAATGCTGCTGATTTTGTCACTGGAATTGGTGAGGCATGCTCATAAAGCAAGCCCAAGATTGTCACTCAAGTCTATGAAACCTGGTGAATGTGTATTCTGATTTCCTCGAGCAACCCCGGCAGCCCTCTCGAAGCGTGGCTTAGTTTTCATATTAGGGCAGAAAGATACCAAGACGATCAAATAGCTCTTTTGGCTTGAAGACGCCTACATTTAGAAGTTGAAGTCATTCCGCCAAGTAAGTTTCAATTGCCTGCTGAAATCTTATTCCTAGTCCCTCAGAAAACGAACCACACTCTTGAAAAGATTTTAGCATTTTGGATTTCCATTTAAAGCTTTATTAAAATGCACAAATTGGTTTTGCTTAAGTTTGAGATGCCTAAGGACATAATGTTGGGTCGCTCTCAATCATTAAATTCACGCCCAGCATGAGAGCTCCCGTCCTTGTCTTTCATAAACCAAATTCAATATGGAAAAAGCCATAAATCAAATTTTGCATAAATTCATTGGAATGCAACGCTATTTGAGTACTGACTTGTCATTTTCGCCAGTCGACGACTCGCCTGAATTGCTGAATTGATGATAAAGACAAGGTTTGGCAGAATCGTAGTCCTTGAATTGGTGGAAGATTTTCAGCTCTCAAAGAATTTCACTGACGCCCTTTGCGAAGGACGATTGATCTCACCTGCACTAGCCGCACACGGCACATGCGCTTCTGTATCCGTCGGCTTATATAATCCCTTGCCAATGAACACCACATGAATTCGATCCCTCGTTGTTCGTCCTTTATTGGAACTGTGGGCAATGATAAAATTACTGACACCTTTGTCTTCAAACGCTTTTCTCCGATGCATGATTAAAAAAGCCCTTAGTGTTCGATCCATCATCGCTTTTTTCCCCGTACTAACTTCATGGTAGGCTGCTAAACTTTGTTCAAATTTTATTTTCTCTTTCTGGGTCGGCGTAGAGACCATGGTCGTCATGGATCAGCGTATCAGTGCAGCTACTCCAACTTGTTTCCGATATCACTGTTCAGCTTATAATGGCTTTCCCACCTTTCATCTTCTAAAAGTATACTCTACCTGGCGTAATGCTGCTCAAAATAACTCAAACTAACGTGGGAGAACATTGGGAGAACATTGGGAGAAGAGAATAAGCTATAGGAGGTCTACCAACCCATGTATTTGCACATAAAGAAGTTCACATTGATGTGTTTGGTTAACCGATGAGCCCGAATAGCGCTAGAATTTGATATTAACTCAGTCACTATATACGGAAATAAATTCCATTCCTTGAGAATCTCAAACAAACGGTTTCGTCACCTAGTGCTGGATTAGGTACCAATTGCTTACTCAAAGATGTAGAGTTTGCGTGTGCGTGTGCTTGACAATGAAGCAAAGACAGAGAGCATTAACATTATTTCGTACGAAATGAGGAGCTTTTTTTACTTGAATTCCACTACATTCACAAGAGCTGCTCTTCAGCCATAGATTGTACGTTTCATAGCCATTCATTGACACTTTCCAAATCTATCATTTACTCGAGAATTAAGCCTACTGTGACAATAAAATGAATCGTGTCGTTCAAAGTGATATTTAATATAGCCAAGATAGGCCCTACCAGATTTGAACAAATTTCAACGTCTCTCTAATGAAACGCTCGACAGCAACAACATTAGCAAAGAAGCAAGCCAGAGGCTAGCAAGCGTAGTTTTGATTCGAGGTGCTTTCAAATTGATCCTTCAACTTCAATCTATCGTGTCCCCCAGAGTTCACTTTAGGCCATAAGATGTCCAGTATTGAGAGAAGCCCCAGCCCCAAAAACCGGGGAAGATCTCCCCCTGGGGTCCACGAGGGAAACGCCAAAGTCCAAAGCTTCAACCAGCAACACGGCGACGCAAAACTGACGTCTTTGCCACACAAAAAACCAGACGTTTACCAGTACGACATGAGCAAAACAGCAGGTTCAGCCAACGACCGGGGCGGACCTGTGGGAAATGCAGGAATGCTGTACCAAGACAGCAAAGCATCTGTAACACAAGGTGGTGGTATTGGCACTCACCCTGAGACTCACGGCCACCCACAGATTGTTCCTCCAGGATTTGACGGTCATCTTCAAGTGAAGGACTCATTTCTCACTGGCAGGGCATTATTGTATTTCACGTCCGTGTTTGTTTCCCTGGGTGTCTTTTTGTTTGGATACGACCAGGGTGTCATGTCGGGTGTCATTACAGGCCCTTATTTCAAAGACTATTTTGATAATCCGTCGCGTGCCGCAATCGGTAACATGATCTCGATCCTAGAGATAGGAGCTTTGATCAGTTCGTTATTGGTTGGACGTCTGGGTGAAAAATGGGGCCGTAGACGTACGATCCGTTACGGTTCCTTTGTATTCATCATCGGTGGATTGATCCAGACTTCGGCTTTGAATTTGAACTACCTTATAGTAGGAAGAGTGATGAGCGGTCTCGGCGTAGGGTTGTTGAGTACTATCGTACCCATCTATCAGTCTGAGATATCGCCACCACACAACAGAGGTAAACTCGCGTGCATCGAATTCACAGGAAACATTGTAGGCTACTGTTCCAGTGTTTGGGTCGACTACGGCTGTTCTTTCATTGAAAATAACGCGTCCTGGAGACTGCCTTTATTCATTCAATGCGTCATGGGTCTGGCCTTACTGTTGGGTACTTTCGTGATTGTAGAGACTCCAAGATGGCTTTTGAATCACGATCATGATGTCGAGGGACTGATAGTCATTGCAGACCTGCATAGCGATGGTGACGTCCAGGATTCCCGAGCTCATGAAGAATTTCAAACAATCAAAGAAACCGTTTTGGTATCCAGACTCGAAGGCGAAAAAAAATCCTACTCATACGTGTTCAAACGTTACAGAACCAGAATGCTAATTGCAATGAGTTCTCAAATGTTCGCACAGCTGAATGGTATTAATGTCATTTCTTACTATGCACCAATGGTTTTTGAACAGGCCGGGTGGGTAGGCAGAGATGCAATCTTAATGACCGGTATTAATGGAATCATTTACGTCCTTTCCACGATTCCACCTTGGGAATTGGTAGATAAGTGGGGTCGCAAGCCCATTCTACTGATAGGAGGAATTGTAATGGGCCTTTCTTTGGTCTCTATCTCGGCTTCGATTTACATTAACACCTCGTTCACCCCAAATCTAGTCGTGGTTTTCGTTATCATTTTCAATGCCTTCTTTGGCTTCAGTTGGGGACCAATTCCTTGGTTGTATCCAGTGGAAATAGCGCCTTTGTCCGCAAGATCAGCCATGGCATCTGCTTCCACGGCAACCAATTGGCTTTGCAATTGGCTCGTTGGTATCATGACACCCATATTGCAAGAAAAAATTGAATGGAGATTGTATTTGATCCACGCAACGTCCTGCTTCATTTCCTTCTGGTGTGTGTTGAGAGTATACCCCGAAACTGCAGGGTTGCGTTTGGAGGATATGGGATCAGTTTTTGACGATAAGTCGTCAACTTTCAGTTTCCATGGCTCTATTGCTGGAGTCGATGTTGACGCAGCATCTTTGGCCAACTCTTCGACTGCAAATCCGTCTCAAGCGCGCAAACCATTGAAACCTCAGTCTTCATTCTATGATGGTAACAATTCGGCTTTAAATCAAGTGCATCCAGGTGGTGCCCAGCAGGATCTGCTGCTAAATCAGCCTCCTGCAAACAGTAGTGCTCAGAGTGTTATGTCCAAAAAAAGCATAGCAAGCACAAATATGCTATCGGCGGAAGCTCTTGACCCACCAACGTTGCAGCAAGTTCTCGAATTCAAAAAGGGCCAACAGCAGCCCGGAAACTTAAGAAAATTGGTCAGAAGAGGGTCTGAGACAGTGGGATTGATTTACGGAAGGGTTGTGGGTATAAGCAAATCTTCGGATGATGGCGCATATGGAACGCTACCAGCCAATGATCCATCAAATCAAAGAAACTAAGCTACGATAAACGCGAATATAGTAATAGCAGTGCACACATGGTTGTGCAACTAACGGCGTCAATGAAGTAGTGTCATCTTATATACTCGGTAATCTTAAATTAGGACGTATATATCACTATACGATGGGTGGATTTGGAAGTCTCACGAAGCAAGCAACGTATTTATCACCTTTTTTTCTTTCTACTTTTTTGCCCTCTTCAGTGGCATGGGTCATGATCTGAACGCATTTGTCGCTCTGTTCCCAATCTTTTGACAGCCTATCGAAAAGTGGGTGCTCCTCCAAATGTTTGACCATCCATTCATGTAAATCTAGTACGTCCGTGATTGTGTAAACAACGCCCCCTTCTTTCAAAACGTAAGCATATTCGGATAACAACGTATTGGTGATTATTCTGGCCTTATGCTTTCTTTGCTTAAAATGTGGATCAGGGAAACAGAAAAACATCTTTTCGAGCTGGGCCTTATGGAAAAAGTTGGGCAGAAACTTCATGGAGTTACCTCTCAGCACATTAATGTTTTGGTATCCGTTGATAGCGGCATTGTTGGATCGTAGGGCAATAATACGATCCTCAACGTAGTTTGTCACTTGAACACGGATTTCCATTCCTAGTATCAGATTTTCTGGGAATTCTGGCGAAAGATCAATCAGTAGACCACCAAATCCACATCCGATGTCAGCGATTGTTACTTGCTTGCTCATCCTGTTCGTCCCAACATCAAAAAAATGGGGATAAAGTTTCTGCCAGTCCATGTCATCGGGACTCACTGGATATTCTAGTTGGTGATCCGAGAAGGGATTAGAATGCGCTCTTTGACGGTAAAATCTCTTTCTAGGCAAGTCTACTTTCTCTGAAGTCGCCGTTGGATCGATTCTGACATGTTTAAGTTCTTCCCTATTCTCTTGCTTCTTCAATCGATAGGCCTGACGTTTACTGGACGGATCGTCCAGTGACATACCTGCCTTCATGCCTGTAATTTACTAAGTAACTTTAAAGTAGCCAGGAAGTTACGCTTCTTGACCAGATGCGGGTTAAGTTTATCAAGTTCAATGCGATGAGATGCGATGAGATGAGCTGAAGGTAAATTAAAATTTTCAGACTATAAGTAGAGCACAGCATCAAACTTGACCGACCAAGTACAACCGGTTTTTTGAAGACTTCAGATCAGTCGTGGTATCTCTAATTCATTCTTGTAAGTAGCCTCTTGAAGTGAAGTAACTTTGTTTTTAGGGGAATCGTTGAAATCAACGATTTGTCTCTTAACGATTTATATATATATATACAGGTAGTGCAGATGATGGTATTTCTGGAGGAAAAAACCGCCTATTTGTCTTCTGGTTTTTCCACGTTGTCGTGGTGTGACTGCAAGGTTAGATACAGCGAATGAGAACCGGCCTCCAACGTCTTAACCAATCCAGCACCGCTAAGCACTGACAATACACCTAAGAGCTGGCTCTGTAGCGCGGACTTTGACGGTAGGGTCTTGAATTGTTGCAGTTTGGTAATGTCCATTACTTGATCTTCGATTCTGGCGCCCACCACAAACATTTTATCGGAACTTTTCTCGAGTAGCTTCAGAAATTTGAGTATCTGCGATGGATCAGTTTCTGAAAAAGATATGGCCGCGGTGGGACCCTTGAACAGTGGCAACAACGGATGAGTTCTGTTTTGCTCGGTTTTTGCAGAGGGAGCACATGGATCAGCAAGGTGCGAGTTTCGCAGGTAGACTTGAAAAAGCTGGTTTCTTAGAACGGTCATTTTACCGCCCAATGCCTGTATTTGTGCGCGGAAAAATGAGTTCTCTTGCTTAAGCAAGTTATTGTAGTGTGCAAATAGTACTACCGGGTTCTTGTCCATCAAATCTTTGTAAGTATCAATCAGTAATGTCTTCCTTGATTGCAAAGGTTTAACGGTAACTCTAGCGGCCGTAGTCAGAAATCTGACATTTTGAGAGGCCCCAGAGATAAGCCTGATCCGTGGGAAAAAGCTAGCACCGAGGTTGAACATCGCTGGGAGCTTTCAAGTGTGTTTTTTGAGGATGTTGTGTTCAACATTCGTCAATGAGCTCTGCTGGATACTGGTATATGGCCCATAAATTTTTATTGAGCGGCATCCGTGGATAGTGATACATACTAAAACCGTGCTTCAAGTATCATCAAAGCCGATGCCAGTTTCTGGCGAACTTTCATCAAGCTTTGATCTACAATATGGGAATTTGTGAGGATCGAGAAGTATGTGTTTTCGCAGTTGGACAGCATTTTTTAGATTGACTTGACTTTTCAAGGTCTTCACTGCCAAATACCATCAACAACAGATCGCTGCTCATTTCAATACTCGAAAAAATATGGTAGCAATGAAACATGCGCCAAAGATCAGCAATGATTCCTCTCTGTGCCATTCACAGGATCATTTTGGACAGAAGAGTGTCAGTTTAGTATAAAGTGATGTATTTCTTCTCTGAACCATTACATTCACTGTCACTTGCCATATCAGGCTTCAAAGAACACCAATCTTCCAACTTTACCACAATATTGAGCACCGCTAAGGTCATCCATAATCTAAGCTTGATGAAAGAGGTAATTTCGATATCCTATGTAATGCATGACTGGATATTTTAAGCGTTTTATAAATCGTCTGTATTATTCCGCTTGCAGCACAGAGGAAAATCGAAACATGCCCTGTCCCTGGAGTCTATCTTCGGCGGACCATCACCCAAAATCGTCAACTTTCCTTGATCAAAACGAATCTGTCAGCTATCTAGACACCATTACCATACCTAATATTTAAATTCGTTGAGATAAATGGCAGAGGGCACAAGAAGATGCCAGAAGAAAAGAAGGACCAAGGGTGACAACATAACATGCGCTACAGGTGGGAAATACGCAACACACTCCAAAATCGACTTATCAAAGACCTCAACCTTCTCTAGTTTTGAAAATACTATACATCACTATACACGTATCGATTATAGCGATCGTAAGAGATGTCAAGCCAATGTAGGATGAAGGAACAGGTAGCCAGCTCGAAATTCAAACAAAAACAGTCATAAGAACAGGGTTTAGGCCTGCTACACAATCTTAAGATCCTGCCTTGGTTGAAATGGCTACTGGAGAATCTGACACGAGAATATCCGCTGAAAGATATGCGCCGCATCTCTCTGAATTTTACCCTTTAGTAAACAGCACTGGTCAAAATGGCCAAAGTATAGATAGATCAGAATTGGAGCTTCCAACACCTGTAGATAGGCTCGAATCACCCTTTCGGTCGGCTACCAACTCGAGTATGTTTAGACTACGCCGACCCTCATCTTTTAGATCCGGGTTCAGCACAATAAGTGACCTTCAAAATTTGGTCACCAATAAGGACATGATACAGACTGCAGATACTATGCAACAGCTTCTGACCAATGCAGAAAACTATGCGAAGGAGCTTTCTGCCACCTCTCAAAAAGCAAGCTTGTTGGCGCTATCTTTGGAACAAATGGCACGCTTGAAGGGATGCAACGACGACACCGCTGAAAAGTTCCTAAGTTCCAGCGGTCTATTTCATCTCATCGCAAATCACCAGCGCATCATGTCCGATTGCATCAGTTCGTCGCTTGTCGATACGTTGACGACCCGAATAGAAGATTTTCAGTACAAACGAAGGGTACACGACTCACAATTTAAACGGGAGTTCCACGATGAGGCCAAAAAACTCAAGCTCCAAGAAAAATACAACGCTCAGTTTTCTAGACGCAAAACACGTAATTTGCTGTCTTACCGTGAAAACTTGGCTAATTTACAACTTCAACTTGACGAACTGGAGTCACTGAAACACCGCTATTATCAAAAGTCCTATGAAATGGTTGAAAGTTGCTCTTTTGACGTTTTAAAAGATACCGCTACGGTATCAAGGGCGCAGGTCGAAATCAGTGAAAATATTGCACGAAAAGGATGGTCTGGTGGGGGATTGGATGAACTCTTGGTACATGCGGGTGATCCATTCAGTAGCACAGAAAATGAACCCAAAAACGACGATGACACATACGAGTACCATAGCGATGTCATAAACTCTCCGAGAAGCTCTCAAATTACTCGGAATGGCACCCCTCGCACAGCCGTTCTTCGAATCACACCGTCACGTCGCAAGAGCGGTTCGCATTCCCCATCAGATTCAGCTTCCAATCAGGACCCTGACAGTAACGACGCATACGATAACTCATTTTCTCTGCCGATGCCCAAATCGCAAGAGCCATCTTTCGCTAATGTAGCAGAGGGAGACGGAAAGGATAACGATGTAAACGAAGATGACGAAGAAGTTCACGAAGAGGATGACGTTAGCGGTCAAAAGATTTTGGACGGCATGAATGAACTTACGTTGGGTAACGTCAGCACGTCAAGCTTGGCATTGTGAGACCCAAGATTGCATGTAGATACCTTTTACGTAAGATGCGCCGCTGACGTGCGAGTATACTCTATAAGAAGAGTGAGCATGAACGAATATTTGTCATTATATTTCTTACGCTACCATAGCTTATACCATGGCTTCTTAGAGCTCGTATCAGAGGTGTGGCCTTCCCACTCTTTTTTTACTCTGTCATCATGAACCACCGAATTCAACATGGGCTTTTCCTTATTTGCGACGGTTGTTCTAGCCATCTGAGCAGTTTGGAAGCTTTTTTTTCGCCTCATCCGACACTGTTCCCAGCCTACAATGCTTCCAAGCATAAGCCCTCCCACTGACCAGTTTGCAGCTTTTGCTGGATTTTTATGATACAAAAATATGACACCTCCAACCACGAACATGCTAGTGAACCCGCTCATTCCTGCATCTCGCAGACATGGAATTTGAACGAGCTTCTGGAGACTGAAATCGTTCCAACTTACAGTTTCCCACGCTTGTCGAAGCGATGCTTGTTCTTGGGCCTTGGCATACTGACTTTGGGATTCGTTGGCAAAGCGAGGATTTGTATCCTCCAGTAGGTATTTTTTCCCCGCGCTGTAGTTCTGTAATTGCTCTTTGGGCTGCTCTTGATGAGCAGACGAGTCTTCGCTCTTTTTATTGAATGGCCAAACCATTATAGTCGATTGAGGTTGTCAAGGAAGTCGGCTGGAAGTTCGGTTGAAGTTCGATTGAAGTTGCTCATCGATTCCTGAAAAGAGACAAGAAGATGGTAATTAAAATGGAAAATATCGTAAAGGAAAGTTCCCGGAAAGGGTTCGAACAGAAGACAAAAATAAGAATTTCCCGTCGGGCCACGGAGGCACATAAAATAACAATCAGGTAGACGAAAATGTCGCCCGCGCCAGAGGGTATACTATCGCGCATTGAACCCACAGCAGAGAGCAAGCAATACCCTCCGCATTCGATGATGCGGATGTAAACCACGTACTTACCGAAGCGGATTGCTTGTGATTACTTCAAGGCAGGGCCCGCGTATGAATTGTTTTCTCCAGCTTGTCATGTCTGACGAGCACTTATCCGTTCTGCCAGCTACATCCAAAACGTTCACCGTAGATTCGAATCGTAACATTGATATTTCGGCGATAAAAGATCGGATCATTACGCACCTCAGCATTGCCCTAACGATTCTGCCAACAGTTGTGCTCTAGATAAAAGGTACACATTCATACTATATCGGCCCTGCGCTGCAATGAAAGAGACACTACCCGAAACCAAGTTGTACACCATAATTGATGAAAACTACTCAACAATCTCCTGGCCGCATTCTTTCGCCATCTAGGCTTGATCCAAAGTAAAGCATCTAACATTATTGCCCACATCACTTTGTCTCGTTCTGACACTTTGGAATAATAAATAAGACCGTGTCCGTACAAAATGCATTCTGCGACTATCGATTTTAGAGATCGTGCTTGAACTCATGCAAGAATCAACCAAACACGACGCTGGGAACGCGCTGATCTCGAGTATTTAGCCGCGTTTCAACCACGATGGATCGAGGTAAAGAAATGCTTTATGATACACACATCAAAATGTACCCGCCCTCGCGGAAAGAGCCTATCTCACAAAGAATAACAAGCAATAGTCCATCTCGACCTGTGCCGTATCCAGTGGAAGATACGCAACAACCCATGAGTCCGATTCCATTACAGTCGACGCATAATTTACAATCCGGCCGATCAACGCCGTCATCTGATGGAAGAAGCAAAGTAATGACGCCGACAAACTCGCGTTACGATCAACCGTTTACTTTCCAAAGTCCACCGTCTCAAGGACGATCCACCGAGTCACTGAAAAATGCAAGATCGGACACTAATTACACTAATAATAACAGCTCTGTGGATACATTTCAGAGCGCAAGTGACGTCTCCAAAGCCGCGTTACCGCCTCCTCCATACGTGGAAACTGATGATATGGAGACACCACAAATTCTGCAAGAGAAAATGTACCGCAAACCTAGTGACTACGCTGAACTAGCTGACCGTAAAAGTCAAAAGCGGAGCTCCAGTGAGAAAGACCTCACCCCTAAACGCGATCTTTCACAGTATAGTGATATTGCAATCAAGTTTCACAAAGTCTACGAAGCGACCATAAACGATTCACCGAACTTCACCGCCGAAGTTCAAATGGAATGGTGCGAAACGTTGCTGCAATTTGCTTTCATAGAAGAATTCATTGCCAACTACAACATTAATGGCGATAAGCTCAAAAGAACGTTATCAGCAGCGGAAATGCTGAAAAATCAGAAAATAATTTTGGAGCATGCTTTAAAAGTACTGACAAAGCTCATCACTTTGCAACATGGGCCCGCGCTATATTTGATGGCAACACTTTATTCTCACCAGCCTTATCTGGACGTTAAGATCCAACAGGTCATTGCGCGGAACGACAGTAAGGCGTTAGATTATTACAGCAGGGCTGCGGCTCTAGACGTCAGTGAAGCTTGCTATCGTGCCGGTGTATGTTACGAATATAAGAGAGGTACACCTGCAGATCTGAATGGGATGCGATGCATGCAAAAGGCCATACATTTCTACGAGAAGGGAGCGCTGGATTGCGATAATATCGCATGCATGTATAAATTGGGAATGTTGTGCTTGCAGGGTGTAAAGGACGCCAAGCAAAGGTCGCTCCTCAATCAAGATGTGAAAGTTGCCATGAGCTGGTTTTCAAGGGCTATTCGTCGCGACGAGAAAGTAGGTAGCGCTCCTGATCCCAAGTCGCAGGATAGCACCGCCGGTGGTGCCAAAAAAGCGGATCGTGTATCTCCGCAAGCAATGTACGAGCTTGCCAAATTGTACGAGTTTGACGGTCTGGCGCCCGCGCTACAAGAATCGTTGACCAACGCGGGAGTTTCTCGAAACACGACAAAAGCGTTACAATACTACCACCGCTGCGCGACCGGGTATTCGTATGCGCTAGCCCAATGGCGTCTTGGCCAGTGTTACGAGTTTGGCCAGCTGAATTTGGGCGTGGCGGCCAACAAGTCTATTGCATGGTATGCCCAGGCAGCTACCGCAAAGCCTCGCGGCAACCCTATGGCCATGATGTCGTTGAGCGGCTGGTATCTTACAGGTGCCACGAATGTGCTCAAGCCTAACAACAACGAAGCATTCAAATGGGCCCGCAAGGCGAGCCAAGCATCGGAGGGCAAATTGGCCCGTGCAGAATATGCGATCGGATTTTTCTACGAGAATGGTGTTGGATGTACCGCCGATCCCAATGCCGCACGGGAACACTACCAGAAGGCAGCTCAGGCTGGTCATCGCAAGGCCCATGATAGACTCCAAAACATGCTAGCACAATGGAATGGTGGATGATAATTGTGAAGCTAGCTAGCTGGACGACAACGACAACGTATCACCGCAGTCACGTGGATAAGACGTGACCAGCAGTTCAGAACTATGCGACTTCTTTTTCAGGAAGGTGTTTCCACATCGGGCAACACTTCACGTTCGTTTCCCTTTTCGGACTCATCAGGTGCTCTTTCTTTTCAGTCGGGAAGTAGACCAATAAACGGTGAAAAAAAGAATTAGCTATAAGTTGTAATTCATTCATCATTCACAACTTATAAGTCATCTCTACGCTTTGGAAGCTGAATTTTAGCCTCAAACTCTCTGTTATAAAGAGTGATTCGCATTGCGGAATTACTACTGCCAGAAGGGAGATTTTTAGACGGTTTTCGAGCTCTTTTTTTCGATCAAAAACGGTCAAGTTTCAACTGATCTAGTAGAGATGGAAAACATCGCTAGACAGTCTGTGAGACTGTGCCCGTTCATGAACAAGACTGCTTCGTCGTTGAGAAATGTCAAGAGTCTTCAACAGTCCAGTGTGTCCAAAATGGCCCAAAAATGTCCATTTATGGGTCAGGCAATGCAAAAGGCACATTTGGCTACAGCGGCAGCTTCAGGCGCTGCGAGAGCTGTTGGCAGCGCTAGCACTTCAACAGGTCGCGGGGAAGCTGCACAGGACATGCTAATGACAGATCATGCGACTCAGGAGTCCAAGTTCGATTATGAGGGGCTTTTTGAGCATGAAGTGCGCAAAAAACGAGTCGACAAATCGTACCGGTTTTTCAACAACATCAATCGGCTGGCTAAGGAATTTCCAATGGCTCACCGCCAAGAGGAGCAGGATAAAGTGACCGTGTGGTGTTCCAACGATTATTTGGCACTTTCCAAGAACCAGCAGGTTGTGGACGTGATGAAGAAAACTTTGGACAAATATGGCGCTGGAGCCGGTGGAACCAGAAATATTGCTGGTCACAACCAGCACGCTTTGAGACTCGAGGCCGAGGTTGCTGCACTTCACAAAAAAGAGGGTGCGTTGGTGTTTTCTTCTTGTTTTGTTGCCAATGACGCGGTTATCTCTTTGTTGGGACAAAAATTGAAAGATTTGGTCATTTTTTCGGATGAACTTAACCACGCGTCTATGATTGTTGGGATCAAACACGCTTCCACGACCAAACACATTTTCAAACACAACGACCTAAACCATTTGGAAGAATTGCTTGCTAGCTACCCTAGATCGACCCCCAAATTGATTGCATTCGAGTCTGTTTACTCTATGTCCGGGTCTGTTGCTGATATCGGCAAGATTTGCGACTTAGCCGAAAAATACGGTGCTTTGACGTTTTTGGATGAAGTCCATGCTGTTGGTTTGTATGGTCCTCACGGTGCTGGTGTGGCCGAACATTGCGATTTTGAAGCCCACCGCGCTGCTGGTATTGCATCTCCTGATTACACCACGGTTATGGACCGGGTCGACATGATTACAGGTACTCTTGGTAAGTCATTTGGTACTGTAGGAGGCTACGTGGCCGGCTCACAGCGTCTAATTGACTGGCTGCGGTCTTATGCACCGGGATTCATCTTTACTACCTCTTTGCCTCCTGCCGTCATGGCAGGTGCGGCGGAGGCCATCAGATTCCAGCGTTCCCATTTGGAATTGAGACAGGAACAGCAGAGACACACAGCCTACGTGAAGCAAGGGTTGGCCGATCTTGACATCCCTGTGATTCCAAACCCATCCCACATTGTCCCCATCCTCATTGGGAACCCAGATTTGGCCAGGCAGGCCTCTGACATTTTAATGGACAAACACAGAATCTACGTCCAGGCCATTAACTTCCCTACTGTGGCCAGAGGCACCGAAAGACTTCGCATTACTCCTACACCCGGACACACCAACGACCTGTCAGATATTTTACTAGATGCCGTTGATGACGTTTTCCACACCTTACAATTGCCTCGTGTGAGCGACTGGGAGAGACAAGGGGGATTATTGGGAGTAGGTGAAGCTGATTATGAATGTGAATCCAACTTGTGGACTCAAGAACAACTACAACTTACAAATGACGACCTACAGCCAAATGTTAGAGAGCCCATTATCGATCAGTTGGAGGTTTCTTCCGGGCTTCGTTTGTAAGAAATGCCATCATATAGGTTGGACAATTGAAAGGTAGGCTACTCTGGCATACTGCGATTTTTTTTCTCTCAATTGATGATCCAGATCTATGGACAGTTTTTGACTTTACTGTTGTAGTGTACCAATTTGTTTTTTGTCGCCACATGTTAGGGCTAGCCTATATGTAATAATTATTTATCCCAAGATATTATTCGTATTTAAACTGTAGTCAAGATAGCTTTGACCAGCAGTCTTGAAACATCTTTGAACAACTCTACGTCTGTATTGGTTGGCTACGATTTTTCGATTTCTCATGGCTTTTTATAGATAGACCAAAAGGCTATAGTTATATATGTAAAATAGCCGTGAGTACAGAGAGTTAAGCTATGTCGTTCATCTTGCTGCTGTGTACGCCGGTCAAGTTTGCATGAGGTTACAGAACCAAGCCGGAGAACATAATAAAATCGTCAGTTCCACGTTGAAACGCGGAATGTGAAGGAAAAAGGATAACGGGGTGTGAATTGAAGATCAGAGGGCCCAGAAAGAAATGATAGCTAGAGGCAAGACACAACTTTTACCTTGTTTTTTCTTTCGTTTGAAGCGTTCGTTGTATCCATCTATTCCCTGATTGGCTCGTGAACATCATGTGCTAGACCGGTAGTTTCATCGGTGACGATGTGGCCTAGGTTGGTGGAAGGAGCAGTGGGGAAATCAGCGGAAGAAGTATGAGCCTGCGCTGGTTCTTCAAAAGGAACGTTTGCGGCCAACTTGGCGGTCGAGGACTCGGCGGTGACGTTGGAGCCTCCTACTCTGGTGGCAGGGACCTTGGATTTGATGAAACCGGAAACAGGACCCAATTTTTCGTCGAGTTGCTTCACGTATGGGTTAGCCTTTTCAGCAACGGTGGATTGCAAAGCGGAAGCATGGTGTCTGCCGGCTTCGACACCTTGGGCAACCGTGGCGTCGATCTCCTTTTGGAAAGTCTTGTAAACTACGGGTACCGTGAACACACCGATAGTTCCGATGAAAAGAATGCTCCACACCGATAGCACGCTGAACAGTTTGCTCAGGACGTACAGAGCCCCACTAGCTTTGTAAGTTCTCTTGGGCGATTGTGCCATGAGAGTTGTACGGAATTTGGCCATTGTGGGTGGCACACGAGCCAAAAACGCATCGATACGGGGTCTCAAGAACCCAACCACATCGGGACAGCTTTGGATTCCGTACCGGGTCACCAAGCCTTGGCCCAAAAACAAATTTGACAAAAACTCTACCGTTGCGGTTGTGAACATACTTGTGTAAAGAACACGCAACAAAAATGACACCAGGTTCACTTTTTTTAGCACCAACAACGCCACAAGAGCGCCACCAAACACCTTACCGGTTTCCACCGGGTTTTTCCAGTACAACAAGTCGCAAGCAGAGGACATTTTTTTTTGGGTTTTTGCTAAAATCTAGTTCAACGGAAATAGTGCAAATGAAGAGCTAAAATTTCACGGGAAAAGGGATTCTGGATGAAATTGAATGGATTATTTAACGCTAGCGAGGTCTTAAGCCTGTTTTAAATGCTTTAACGTCTGTTCAGAGTTCCAAATAAGATCAATGTCGTTACTTTCAAGTCTTTTGAGGGAAAGAATTAGGGTTACCGGTCTGACATTTTTTCGGTGCCCCTTTTATACTGTGAGAGAGTTTTTTTGAAAAATTTTGGGAGAGATCAAAAAAAAAAGGTAGAATGATTATAGATCATATCGGACGAGTGTGTCGTTAGAAAGTGTCACGATAATAAAAGAATGAAAGAGTACACAGAAGTAAGGAATAGTGGTAGTGAAGCCAACGATGTGATGATTTGCAGATCTTGTAGAGATTAGTGAGGATTGGTTCCAGTGTTTGCACGAATTTCTTGGTGAAAAATTGGGCTTGTCACTTTGTCGTTATCTGGAATCGGAGTTCAAGAGGAGGAAAGTGCAATTTGAATGTTTACACCGATTAAAGATCAGTTTAGAAAACCACGAGCCACTTTTACCGCTTGGTATTTCAGACTCTGGTTTTTTTTCGGCTTCTAACGGGACCAGGTGTCATTTAGAGAAAAAGTGATATGAACAGATGACCGAAGAAAAAACGGGTCGATACGGATCACAAAATTGGGACCCGGAAATTGAAAGCGGATCAAAAGTGGATTATAGTTATTTACGGAACGGGTTGCAAATCGGGTTGCGAATCGGATTTCGGGATTATTTTCGAGTTGCTTTGTGGATCATGGGCATAGAAAAGCGGATATCAAACGAGTAGATCAGGACTGATTGGAATACTTAGTTAATAACACATTCAAGTAAGGGAATACACAGAGTCTAAGAAGTTAAGTTCAGCCAAATATTGATGTTTCTAGTGAAAACGCTGAAACAGATTTGTTATTGCTGGAATAAGAGACAACCAGAGTCATTGGCTTCTTCTATCTACTAAATTGTATCGATTGACATAATGGCATGATTGGCGCGTTACATGGTCGATACTTTACGCAGATTCCTAAAAATAATAGTGGGTTTCAAAACAGAGCATCTCCTTTGGAAAATCTCGAATGATGTCAATTATGTTTACAAAACAGCTTGTCCGGACACTTAAAGTGACCCATTCCACATTTGCGAGGGAGAATCTATTTTTTAGGAATCGTAAGCTTTTATGTGCAGGAGGAAGAAGATTTGAAAACGAATGAACATGGTAGAGTTTACGTAGTTTGAACACAATTGAGCTTGGTAGCAGTGGATACAAACGTGACCGGAGACATTTTCCAGCAAAAAATTGGTGGCTACATGAGCGAGGCTCGGTTGCTGCTTCTTCAAACACATCGCTACATGGCTCCACAGTTGTTTTGTCATTTTGTCACATACGATTATTCTCGTATGAACTTCCAGATCCGTACTTGCAGGACAGTCCTAGTTGTAGATGGCAACATTCCTGGGAGGTCCTACCATTTCGATCCCCACACCAACGTTCGAAGACTTCAAAGTGCGATGGGTTTTCCACCGTACAGCCTCTTCTCATGTAGTAGGTCGAGTCTTAATTGATATTCTGACGCTGTCATTGTGTCACGTGCACCAACTTGACGTACGCAACATCTGGTAACTCTCAAGTCCGTTCTTCTGACTACTTTTGAATTATCCTGCGTACCTGATCTATGACACACATCACCACCACCATCTGTCTTACACCCCATCTCAAGATCCATGACAGGAACCATCAAACTCCTCTACTTTTCCCAAATCTCACAACCAATTTATCCAAATCTACTACACCCACACGTCTAAACTCTCTCATCCTTCAGTGCTCATCCCACGTTAATCCTCTGTTGATCTGGCTTTCTCTTTCACCATAGTTTAGACTAGCGTTCCCATACTTAAAAAAAATTGCACGTTAGTTTCCCGTGGGAAATTTCAGATGAGTGATGAGCTGACGGACGACAAACAGTATTTAAACCAAAAGGTGAGTTGAACCAAGCTGGAAACGTCGCTTGCGTTAGCGTTTAGTCTCTTATCACCCTGGGCTCAACCGATTGCATTTGATTTATAAAGCTAATTTGGTTTTTCTATACAAACCGATCATTTTCTTGAGTTGGTAATGCTTAGATTTGCTCGTCAGCTTTCGTCATCAAGACATGTCTTGAAAGGTCAAAACTTGACCGAGAAGATAGTGCAAACATACGCTGTGGGATTGCCCAAGGGTAAAATAGTGAACTCCGGGGATTATGTATCAATCCAGCCTGCTCACTGTATGTCACACGACAATTCGTGGCCTGTAGCGCTCAAATTCATGGGTTTGGGTGCTTCGCAGGTTAAGGACCGCAAGCAAATCGTCAATACACTGGACCACGACGTGCAAAATACTACCGAAAAGAATCTAACAAAATACAAAAATATCGAAAATTTCGCCAAGAAACAGGGCATCAATTTCTACCCGGCTGGCCGTGGTATTGGCCATCAAATCATGATAGAAGAGGGCTACGCTTTCCCTTTCAATCTGACAGTAGCCTCAGACTCACATTCCAACACATACGGAGGAATCGGGTCTTTGGGAACACCCATAGTTCGTACCGATGCGGCAGCCATTTGGGCTACCGGCCAAACATGGTGGCAGATTCCACCAGTGGCTCAGGTTGAGCTAAGAGGCGAGCTTCCCCACGGCATTTCCGGTAAAGACATTATCGTGGCATTATGTGGGATTTTCAACGAGGATCAGGTTTTGAATCATGCAATCGAATTCACGGGAGGCTCTCTAAACAAAATTCCTGTGGACTACAGACTCACCATTGCCAATATGACCACAGAATGGGGAGCGCTTTCGGGATTGTTCCCTGTGGACCAAACTTTGATCGATTTCTATCACCAAAGACTTCAAAAAGTTGGTCCTAACCATCCTAGAATAAATGAACAACGTATCAATGAGCTTACTCGGCAAATGGATGCTCTTAAGGCCGATGACGATGCCGTGTATGCCAAAAAGCTCGTTATTGACCTCAGTACCCTGACACATTACGTTTCAGGTCCTAATAGTGTCAAGGCCTCAGCCACAGTCCAAGATTTGTCAAAACAGGATGTCAAAATCAACAAGGCCTACCTAGTGTCGTGCACAAACTCTCGTTTGAGTGACTTGGAAGCTGCGGCTCACGTTGTGTGTCCAACTGGCGATCTAAACCAGATCAATAAAGTCGCTCCTGGTGTCGAATTTTACGTTGCAGCTGCATCGTCCGAAGTCGAAGCCGATGCTAAAGCCTCAGGTGCATGGGAAAAGCTATTGCGGGCTGGGTGCAAAACCCTTCCAGCTGGGTGTGGTCCATGTATCGGTCTTGGCACAGGTCTATTGGAACCAGGCGAAGTCGGCATCAGTGCTACGAACCGTAACTTCAAAGGTAGAATGGGTTCCAAAGATGCATTGGCCTACCTTGCATCGCCAGCTGTTGTCACCGCTTCTGCGCTGCTCGGCAAAATCGGATCTCCAGCCGAGATTCTAAAGGAAGAAGATCCTGCTTTCAACGGCGTTTCCGGATGGGTCGAGGACGTTCCTAAAAAAGCGGCACAGGCTTCTGCAGAGCAAACTGGTCCTGTCGAGATGCTCAAGGGTTTCCCGTCGCGCATAACGGGTGAACTTGTGCTATGTGACGCTGACAACATCAACACCGATGGTATCTACCCCGGTAAATACACCTATCAGGATGATGTGTCGCGCGAGAAGATGGCTGAAGTGTGCATGGAGAATTATGACGCTCAATTCGGAGCCAAGGTCAAAGCCGGCGACATCGTCATCAGTGGCTTCAACTTCGGTACGGGCTCTTCCAGAGAACAGGCTGCTACTGCACTTTTAGCCAAGGGTATCGAACTTGTCGTTTCTGGTTCCTTTGGCAATATTTTCTCGAGAAACTCGATAAATAATGCTCTTTTGACGCTAGAGATCCCAGCCCTCATCCAAATGTTGAGAGAGAAATACAAGGATGCTCCTCAAGAACTCACAAGAAGAACTGGTTGGTTTTTGCAATGGGATCTACCTAACAGTAAGATTATCGTCACGGAGGGCTCTTTGGACGGCCCTGTCGTCCTGGAACAAAAAGTCGGTGAACTTAGCAAGAATCTACAAGAGATCATTGTAAAGGGTGGTCTTGAAGGCTGGGTAAAATCTCAGCTGTAGAAACTTAATTCTGAAAGCCTTATGGATCAGCTTGTCGCACCGTCTGGGTGAGATATATTTATTATTTACTTAGTAGTAATGTTAAGAACAGTGATAGAAAACGAGTCGCTTTTAACGACTGTGACGCCGGAAATTTCTTTCATCTTACACGGGAAAAAGAGAAAGAGCTCAGCGGCTAAACCTTTTATCCTCTTTCCATATCCTTCAAGAAGTAAGAAAACCAAAAAAAGAGCTATGAATATGGCTTGCCGTTGATAATAGACCCACTCAAGGTGGGAGCATTAAAAAAATGAGCCAGAAAGCTTGTTTCATAGAGGTGAACAGACCTTGAAGGTGCCACAAAATAAGAAACTTGTTTGATCTTCCAATGGTGCCTTCTTGAGCTGGTTCAAAAGACGAAATATAAGTAGAAAAGTGAATTGATGTGCGCCTTTGTGGTATCGGCGCGCGATTTAAGAGAATGGTGTCGACTTTAGGTTCATGCTGATTGAGTCATTGTAGTAAAGACTCAAGAACAATAATTGTCCAGTTCAAACCACAAAAATTACATGGATAGCGTTATTCCAAGGGGTAGGCGCTGCAATACGGTTATGGTTTTGCCTGATCAAAATTTTGATCTTCTAAACATCAAGAGGACAAGGTTATCTGTTTTGAATCAAGAATTTTTCACAAAGTGGTGCACAAACTTTTGAAACTTAGTTCAAGATCAAGGAACTCTGGGACGCTACTAATACAGTGCTTTTTTCATTCCTTTTGGTCATTTCCCTTCCGCTAAAGGTCTTTTTTTACAAAATCGCTTTTCCTAGGACCAGCTCGGTCTCAAAGATTCCGTTTTCTTGATCCAAAAAGTCAACTGTTGTGACAGCACTTTTGCAAAGGGCACAAGTACTGTCCCAATATTGCTTCTACTCATTCTATTCCGAAAACTTGACCAAATACTCTTGGCCGCCGTGCTGATTGGAGAACTGTTGTCTATTCTCATCGTTAAAAAAAATTTTCAATTCAAGTTCACCAAAAATCTACCGTTTAGACAGATAAGGTCCGAAAAAGAAGCTATTTCTACTAACCTTTGGTCTCCTGAGGTGGGCAGCTTACCAACGAATCAAGCATTCAGTGTGTTTCGGTACTGAAATCGATCGTGGGTTGAAAAATAGCACAGTAACCGGTGAAACTCGAAGTATTTCATTCAACTTTGAAGAAATAAGTGCCGCCCACATCTCCAGCTCCAACGCGGCTCGCTATTCCATCTGTTGTTCATTGACATTTTCCAAAACTTCAATCGCTTTATCTCATTGAGCCATGCAGGACCACCACCACACTGTACGCATAGGTGGTAGAAAATCCAAATTGGCTGTGGTTCAGTCGCATGAGATCAAGGACTTGATCGAAACTGCGTTTCCGCACTACAATTGCACTGTTCGTGCCCTCAAGACATTTGGAGACCAGGTCCATACAAAACCCCTCTACTCATTCGGTGGTAAAGCGTTGTGGACTAAAGAACTCGAAGATTTGCTATACGAAAAAGACAAAGAAAAGCGCATAGACCTTATAGTACACTCGTTGAAAGACATGCCCACTTCACTACCAGACGGGTTCGAGATTGGGTGCATTACGAAACGTGTCGACCCCAGCGATTGTCTGATCATGGCCAAAGGCAGCCACTACAAGGGTCTCGACGACCTACCAGACGGTAGTGTCGTTGGAACCTCGTCAATAAGAAGATCCGCACAGTTGAGACGCAGGTTCCCAAAACTTGTGTTCGAAAGTGTCAGAGGTAACATCGAAACGAGACTGAGCAAGCTTGATGACCCGGTGACTCCATTTTCATGCATCATATTGGCAACCGCCGGGCTAGTGAGACTCAACCTCGAGCACAGAATCACACAACGTTTGAACTCCTCTATCATGTACCACGCGGTTGGACAAGGTGCTTTGGGTATCGAAATACGGTCGAAAGACCCATGGGTATCCGAATTACTGGAGAAAATTTCTGACAAGCACTCCACCATCTGTTGTTTGGCGGAAAGATCACTTATGAGAACTCTGGAAGGTGGATGTTCAGTGCCAATAGGCGTGGAGTCCTCTTACGAAGATACCACCCGGACCTTGCGTCTGAAGGGTGTAGTGATCAGTGTCGATGGAACCGAGGCCGTCGAGGATGAGTTCTCCATGGTCATCGACGATACTCGCCAAGACTCGATCATCTGCGGACAGCAGCTGGCGCAGAATATGATAAAAAAGGGCGCCAAAAGCATTCTGGATCAGATCAATCTCGACAAAGTTGTACAATAAAGAGCGCGCGAACTCCGAAAAAGAAATGAAATATAGCAAACAAAAGTGAGATACAGTTGTGGATCGCCACATCTATCAACAATATTTATTCCTGCTCCGCAGCTCGCCATTAAGGATTTAGACTTGCAACTGATGTTAATAAGGACCTTGTAAATAATGAAAAGTCATGGCTCGCACAGAAACGGAAAAAGATACCCGATACTAACGCTTTGAAAAGAAAGAAAACGACTCTTGAACGCAACAGTGAACAGAGCAATCTTGCGAGAAACGGGATGAACAGTCAAGTCCAGTTACCATAAAATCGGTGTCGAAATCAAGCACATCATACATCACGAATATCTATTTTCATTGTCCATTTAAACTGACATCATCGAATCCAACTAAAGAATTCATGAATGCGTTTAGACACATCTACAGCGCGGTATTCTGATTCATTTGGGATGGACGATAATTTGGATGAATTGCTGGATGACAAGTTCGATGTTCTGTCCTTAAACGTTTCTCAGTCTCCCATGGCGTTGAGTAATTGGGAAAATCTGCTGAATTACCTCTTGGAGAAGGCCAGTCCTGTCTGTAAGAACATCAATAAGCAATTGCTGGAGCTCATCAGGCAAACCTACGACTCACTTTTCGCGTACTTCCCATTGCTAGAAAACTACAGCGTCGATTGTGCTCTCCTGGAATACAAAATTGGAAATGTCAAGGCAATGCATTCAACGTTTACTGCTGCATTGCAGAGACATAACAACTCGTCACTACTGTTGTGGATAGAGTATTTGAAGTTGTGCAATGAGGTTGTGGTAAACAAAAAACAACTGTTTCGCAAGTACGAATTGGCAGAATCCTACATTGGTCTTCATTTCTACAGTGGAGAGTTTTGGGAGCTTTACTTGGAACAAATAAAGCTTCGATGCGTTGGACGCCAACGCTATCTAGCCGTTTTGAGAAAAGTATTGGAAATACCGACGTATTCGTACAGCAAATTTTTCGGAATTTGGTTGCGCGCCGTTGACGATGTGAAGGACGTCAAACAACTAACGCTAATGGCTCCAGAGAAGGAGCTCAACCGTAAAATCAAAATAAGAATACGAGGTCGCGAAAGAAAAGGCCCCCAGTTACAAGAAGGCAAGAAAGCACTACGGAAATACACAAAAGAGCTTTATATGGTGACCCAGCATCGTGTTCTGGAAATCTACAATTTGTTCGAATCCAACATCAAGACCCACTATTACTGTTCTGCTGAGATACTTATAGAAAAGAGTGAAATTTCTGCCTGGTGGAAATATTTGGATTATTGTGACCAGAACGGGATTGATCAACTGACGCATCTAAATTTTCAACGAGCTCTTTTGCCCTTGGCGCATTATGAAATGGTCTGGCTCAAATTCGCGGCTTGGCTAATACAGGACTTCCAAGACTATATAACGGCTAAAAACGTTCTGTCGCTTGGACTACAACTATCGCATAGAAAGTCCAAGATTTTGGATAAGCTGTGTGGACTACTGGTAAAACTTGGAAAACAAGATGAACTGCAACTACTTTTCAAGCAAATACAGTCTGCTTTCAATGATAAAATAGAGGAAACAGATGATTTCGAATTATTCATGGATTATTTTGACTTCACTATTTTCGTGGAAAAATGGAACCACCGCAATGGTGCGGACGTAGCGCTGAAGGTACTGCGCAAGAGGCTCAGTTATGGATCCAATAAAAGTGGACAAGAAGAGCTGCTACATTCGGTGTGCCAGATGTATGCTCTATTTCCGAGGAAACTGCTAGAGGAGCAGATTTTCAGACTTATCATTGACGAGAACTGGTTGTATTATTTGGACAGTGCCAAGTTTTGGTATGAATATTGCAACCGGATCTGGGTAGACCGCGAGACGTCCTATTTGGAAAAAAGGAGATACGTTGTCGAGCACATAATGCCTTTGGTTTGCAAACGCAGTGACTCGGCGAAGAAAGGCATTGAATCTTTTTGCGAGAACTACATGCCAGAAGATTTAGATGCATGGTACGATATGTGTGGCTAGCGTACCATTTGCAGCTCTGACCAAACGTTTACTGCGGTGGTGCACATGTACAAAGTCAACAGTACAACACCGATTTTTCGGTCAATTTGCCAATTGTTGAGTGGTATCAATGCCGCGTAGACGAGAAAAGTCACCAACATGCTAATGCAGCTCTGTATTAGTAGTCGATCCACTTCAAATTCAATGGAGCGGTACCAGAATGGGCCTTCTTTGGCTGGTCTTGAAAGCATAACGAGGATGCCGTCAAAACCTACTCCAAACACGAAATAGAGCAGCGGGCCCCCAAAACATGCACCTAACGCAATATCTAAGACCCCCATTTTCGTGAAAGTAATTGTCGTTACAAGGTCACCTATTGAATTGCCCCAGGCAAACACCGTGAGTCCCAACATAGCTTCGGATAGGCGGAGTGAATGCGCACAGCGCTGTAAAGTGGCTATCACGCCCTGTACGGTAAGCGATATCAGCCCCAGACACGTCAAAAAGCTTAAAACGCAAAGGTACCTCACGGCCGAGTCGCAATATCGATTTCGATTCAAATACCATAGCACGCTTGTCAGTATTCCCGAGAACAACAATGTAGCGACCACGTAAATAGAGTGTGTAAGTGCGTAACACCACACAAATGGAATGACGGAAACCTGGACCAGCTCAACATTGAACGCGCGTTTTGTGCGATCGGTGGCATTGCAAGACGCTGGGATCAGAACTCTGAGCCCAGCAACTATGGGTGAAACCAAGAGCGCCGTGAAAAGCTCCACAAGTCCCATTGCAGTGACATCACTGTTGCCATTCCAATAGCGTCGCAGTGTCGACTGAATGACAGGTTTGTCAAGAATAGAAGCCGGTGATTCTCGGGAGTTGATAGAGTTGTGAACGCTTTGAAGATCCTGAGAGCCGTGATCCGAGTTCTGGTCTGAAAGCGAGCTGGTGGTGCTTTGAATGCGGTTGTTAAGATACAAGAGGTAATCTGCGCTTGCTGAGCGCGAATAGGTTCGCAGAAGAGGTCTTAAAGAATTTGGATTGGCAGCTTCTGGTGTCGGTACATCGGGTGCCGCGGTGACTGTAATTTCCGGTCTTGACGGTGGGGCTACGCTGTAAGCGAATTCTCGATTCGAACGACTTCTAGTGATCCGAGTCTTACTAGAAGTGTTCTTCGCTGTGGGCTCTATCTCGAAAAGGTCAGGATTATCCCAAACGTTGAGAATGGAGTCGAGCGAAAGCGTGAGCCGTCGAGAATAGTTGCGGCGTAAGTGTCGCTGCAGTTTTTCCCGGAAAACAATTTTGTTCAAATCCAGTTGTTGCAAGAATAGGTCCTCATCGGGCCTTGTAGAAGAGGGACTGATGAGAAGAGCCGTTTCCTCATCTTCTGGTGCATTCCCCAGCGTCGTTGCATGTTCTCCTCCCAGGACCTGGCTCAAAATATACATCACATACGCCACAACCATCACAACGCATTCCCACAGAACCAGTCGTCCATCACACAACAAAAATAGAGCCAAAGAGACCATTGATGCAAACATCGCCAAATCCTTGACCAGTCTACTCCGACTATACCAAAGAACGGTTCCAGGTCCTACAGCACTCATACCCACTCCATTCCGCAGATCGATTGTTCTAACAAAAGCCATTGTCCCTGTCACCACGGTCAACATGAACACCACAGCACCCACCAGTTCTCCTAGGGCAAGTGTTGTGGCGTTAGCTTCCATCGCCTGGTAGGTGCTGGTGATATCTGGCATAGAGTTACCCAAAGCCAGCAAAGTGAGGCCAGCGACTCGTTCCGATACTCCCACAAGCTCTGTAGCCACCACTGACAAACTAGGGGTTAACACATCCGAAGTGACCACGCCCAGAGCCATGAAGCTGTAAGCCAAAATCAAAGGTGCTGCTAGGAATGGCCATAGCACCAGCCAGTACAACCCAGCACCTAGTGCTAGGAGTTGAGCAACGTAAAATCCAATAACCCAAGCTTTTCGCAGCATAAGGGTTGGCGATTATTGATTGTGAAGTTAGAGGTGGTGGTGGGTCCTAAGATAAGAAGGTGAAGGTAAAGTTGTTGTAGACTAAAAGTAAGTACCCAAGTACCAAACCTATGTACAACTAAAGGTCACGGTGACGTATGTATCCTGGAAGCGCAAGTGCACGCTGGGCGATGGCGATGTCGTTGTGGATATCAGCGATAAGAGCTTCGCGAGTAGTGTAGTCCAGCTCAGGTCTGATATAGCCTAAGATGCGGAACTTGATCTGGGCACCGTAAAAGTCGTGGGCAAACGTGTGCACCAAATGCAACTCGACGGTCTTGGCGTTGTTATGGTAGAAAGGGTTGATTCCTATCGACAAAACAACGGGCAAGACGTCCAGGTCCCCGCCGGTGAGACGTTGGCCGTGGTTGAAATGAACCCTGGAGCCATCGGGACGGTGTGGATTACGGATTTGGTGATCAGCAGTCCGATCGGAGGGCTGGAGTCTTGCGTAGCCGAAGTATACTCCCAATGCAAGGCTATCGATCGTTTCCGGCAATTGGTCAATAGGAATGTTGGCTGTTGGGATACCCAGTTCTGCTGAACCACGGCCAAATCCGCACACAACGTCGCAGAACTCGGTGGTAAGTGGGAATGGCTCTTTAGGAGCACTTGGAGGTGACATCTGCGGAAGTGTATGCTTCACAGTTTCTTTTAAGGCTTTTTGCTAGTCTTTTCTAATAGTCTGTCTATAACTACCTTTAAACCACACTCCTAACTTGAAGTGTGATCTGGTGTTCAACTCTGGAAAAGCGATCCTTCGGATGTCTTTCAGTTGTTCAAAAAGTTTTGGAATTCGGTTTCGAACTAAACTGCAAACCGATGTCTTCAAGATCTCGACTTTGGACAATGTCTTGAACCTTTAGATGCTTATACGTTAAGGTACTTTAGTAAACTTGAAATGGTTACTTATGTCTATGGAAATGTAAGGTTTCTGGCGTATTCGATCATTGTTTTATCGGTAGACTAAGGCTTACCTGACGGTTGTTATAGCGTTAGGCTCGAGGCAATGAGTATTGGTATTCGAGAAGACCATACGAGAAGTTTGGATCACCAGTACCGATCTGGAATGGGTTGGGAGGCTCGATAATAGATGTCTCGTGTGTATAGAATGATTGTGTCCGGGCGTCCAAAGAGCCCAGCTCGATTTGGGCAAAACGGTCGTATCGATTAGCACGCGGAAGTTGTCACTCATCGGGAAACGCCGCTGATGGAAAAGTTGTGAAGCGAAGTTGGCTAGAGACTTGTCGGCTCATTTCCGCCGTGGACTTTCTATTTCAGCCTTCGCATTAAAGACCATTCTTTGCTTGCTCTTTAGGCGCAGAGTATTTGGCTTGTTGCGAGAAGTTCCCAACTGATATTGGAACTCTAATAGCAGTCCTGAGATAGTTCAATTTCACACGCAAGCTCTAAAATACCTTTCAGATAGCTGGTTGCTAGCAACATCATGCTGAGAAAATGACAAAACCAAGCCTTTGTCCTGAACAGATTTTCGAAAAGTGGGATTGATGATACTTGTACTACTCTCTCGAGAATACAAGACCTGAACAGGCTTCAAAACCCACTATCTCGAGTTAAGCTTTTCCCAAGCACTTGGAATCTGCCAGCTTTTTCTATAAAGGAAAATGTGTTCTGTTCATCTTGAGTTAGCAATGCGTGATGAACTTCTGGAGTATTGTAGTACATTCCTCTAGCCAGCAAACTCCCCAATAACAAAATTGCCTGCAACTGTACGCCTTTAACACCTTGAATGCGCTTTGTAGCTCGAGAAAGAGCTATCTCACAACTTAGAGTTGTAAAAGCTGGAAAAGCTTTAGAATCCAAAATGCAAGATCTACGATTTCCTCAAAGCTGAACAAAGACAGTTAAGAAACCATCGCCAGATTTGAGCTTCCGCTTGGTCCATGCCACTAGCAGAAAAAGTCTCGTGGCCGGCGTATAGACAACAAAATGTTCAAGCGTCATGGACGCATTTATCGTGAAGTTGATTGACGACGACGGACTCCACAAAATTCCTGAAGAGGGGCTCTCGTTCGAAAAATTGTGATATGGACAACTTGCTAACGCCCCCTTCTGGTTTAAAACGCTGCTTGCGAACAGGCACTTCCAAGACCCACATCAAAAGGCAATTGTTCTAGTAGCCCAAAATATTTGCTCACAAACGGCATCAAGAAGATGGCACAATTGACTTCTCCATTCATATATTGGGCTGAACTAGACCACTTTTTGACAATGCAAATAAAACGGTCGTGCTCTCTCCAAATTGGGCGCTCAGAGAGCCGTATATGGATGCGGTATACTTCAAAAGCTAGCTTATAAGTCGCTAGAAAGTCTTTATTTTGACATCAAACGAAATGCCCGTATGTTCAACTGTTCTTCATTTCAGGAAAACTCTTTGGTTTACCAGTCGACTCATATTCTTCGAACAGAATACGTAGTCTAGCCGCCCCCACATAACGCCTGTCCGCTACTGAAGTTGTAAGATCTGTCGCGATCAACGCCAATAATTTGTGGCCTTGTCTTGAATATGCCTGTATCAGTTGGGCCGCTGCCGCATCCCACCAACATCCAAGTACAACAAAATGCGTGTTACTGAGTAAGTCTGCAGATGTGTTTGCCACACGCGAGACCAACTGCCACGAGCGCTGCATGGGTAACGGGTGCTCCAACTTCCCGATAAGGACCGGAGGTAAAGATAAACGTGTTATGGTCGCGAAAAGCGTCACGATGCCACCCATACGTTCATCATATGAAGTTTCTTCCTCCCATGTGTTGTCCTGACTACGTTTCCACCCCATACTGTAACGTCCATTCTCTGAATCAATGGCGCATGAAAACCCAATCACATAAGGACATTTTTTTACAAATCTTGCCATCAAAAGCTCCAATAATTCTGGATATTGTGCTAGCAGTGTCAACGCCAGCTTCGCTAATGGTAATGCGCTTTCGGGCTTTACCCGAACCTCGGTTTCGGCCTGCGACACGAGTGCTTTTGCTATGAAGTTCAAAATCCATTGATAGCCCAAATCGTTGGGCTTAGTTTGATCTACTAGCGAGGTCACCTCTAATATAATCGAGCGTAAATGTTCCTCACTATTGGTTAACTGACCAAATTTAGGGTTGATCTTACGCTTGTGTTTTGATAGAATGGACTTGAGGTTGGCGTCTTTTTTGACTGCTTCTACCACCTCGTGCTTTATCTGCTTTATCTTATGCTTGTAATGGTGGAATGACGCCTGAATTTCGGTGAAATTGGTGATTCCTTTGCCTCTAGCGGCATCTTCGCGTGCACGCTTCTCGGCAGCTTCTACCTCTTTTTGTGCCGCTAGTTTTTCCTGTCTCACACGTTCTTCTTCTCGAAGCTTGGCCTCAAGATCAGCTTGCTTCCTCTTTGCTTCTTCTTGTCTGCGTTTTTCCTCCTCCTGTTCGCGTTTCAAACGCTCCAGTTCCTCCTTTTGCTTCTTTTCTTTGAGCTCACGGTCTCGCTGCTCCTTTTCCCGCCTTTGCTGCTCTTCCCGTATCCGTTGTTTTTCAGCTTGAACATTTCGAACTTGCTCATCGTTATTTAGTTGCAAAGATTTCATTTTTTGTAGAATGTCTCTCGTAACCGCATCTTGCAATTGTGTAAATGCATTATTCACCTCTTCTTCTTCATCTTCAACATCAGGAACATTTGCTCTCGAAGCTAGTCTTTCATGTTTAAGCGTTCTTGTAGTAGTAATATTACCTGGATTCCTACAGGGCCCACCAGGCAGCTTAGCGGTCAGATCAAGATTGGCCACCAACAATGCCAGATTCTCGTCGTCGTCCAATTGATCTTTCAGGTCGTAATCGTCATTTTTCCCATCCTTTTTTTCTATTTTGTGGGGAATCCTTAGTCGCGGGATGTGCTCATCGTCACTTTCAATGATTGAATATTCCTCTGCATCCCACTGTTCCGAGCTTTCAATCCCGTAAAGCTCATCGAAGCTAAATCGCATGCCCCTAGTACGCTCAAACTACTAGTTCTATGCCTAAAGAAGACCTTTAAGGCGTTCTGGTCGTTGTTTTCAAGTTCGCCAAAGAAAGTAGCATGAAGTTTGTTAAATTTCAACTCATCTTTCGATCTTAGAATGTACTTAAAATTTTCCAGTAAAACCGAAAAGTTCGGCATACACAGCCTTTAGAGACCTGCTAGACCGCTGTGAGTGTGCTTCAATTATTCGAGGTGTACTAGAGTTTTCTCAGGTTTTCAAACGAAGGTTTTAGCTCAAGTTTTGACCTCGAAATCGATACACAACAGAACACAATGCGATTCCTTCGTGAATTCTCCAGCAGTGCCAGGACATGCAAATCTGCTTGCTCGCTGGTAAAACCAGTTCATCATCTTGTCAGAATCGACAAATCGCGGCTTTCGCCCCGTTTCAAAGAACTGCAATATGCCAAAAACGATATCCGGTCCCCTGCGTTCAAGCCTGTTTCAACGCACCAAGATCGTCTTAATGACCATTTTAACACCACGGTGCAACCAGACCTCTTGTTGATCAATTACTCGCACAAGGCTGAAACCAAGATCGGAGTGAAAAATAGAGAATGGGACTACTCGAGTCCTTACCATCTGAATCGACAACCTCGTAAACCAAAGGGATCTGCTGTTCAGTTGCCAGATATGAAACCGATCAAATGGCATAACATTCCAGCTCTTGAGTCCGTGGTGTTGAATTGCTATGTTCGAGAATCCAGGGAAAACCAGTTGTTGCCAATCAGTGCTGCTCTGCAGCTGCAGCAAATCACCGGAAGCAAAGCCCAGCCTGTTTACGCAAGAACTGACGTTCCGTCTTGGAAAGTGAGGAGAGGAACTCATATGGGTGCGAAAGTGGAGCTCAAGGGTCGCCGCATGACGCAATTTCTAAGCACATTGACCGAGATTGTTTTGCCAAGGATAAGAGAGTACAAAGGTATCAGCAACAAGTCTGGTAACCGTTTCGGTGGTCTATCGTTCGGTTTGACTGCAGAGGATGTTAAATTTTTCCCAGAAATCGAGTCTAACCAAGATCTATGGCCTAAAACTTTCGGTATGCACATCAACATCAATTCATCCGCGCAAGATGACGTTCAGGCAAGGACTTTGGTAAGTGGATTCGGATTCCCATTTTACGGTCCTGAAAAAGTAAAGAGATAGAAGCACTAAGATTCGAAAAGATCTTGTAAATACTAGTAAGAATCCACAATGGTTCTTTATTCTTTTGCGTTTTTCTATTTACGATGTAGCTTAGTTACTTCAGTTTCTTAAACGCGGTCTAATTTGACTTTGTTCATCTGTCTTGCTATCAAGGCAACTCTGTCACCCATAGAAAGCGCTAGCCCTTGACCCTTCGACCGAATACGGACGTGACCCACAACTTCTTCCGATACAGGATCCTTCTCAATACACAAATTGGCAAGTGCATCTTCTCCAAACGTGGATTTCGAGTACAGATTGCAACTCAAAAATCTGCAATCCTTTTCGCCCAACGCTTCGTCTGACGTCAAAACACCCATACGAGTACCTTTGACAAGCTCCTCTAGGTATGTATGCAGCGTAGGCAGCTTAGATTTAACAGTGATCTTGTTTTCCCATTCAAAGGCATTCCACATTTTACGGAAATTGGCATCATCTGTTTTCGCTGGCTTGATATAATCCATGATATCAACATGTATGTCATTCATTATCACGTAACGAGCATCCTCTCCATGCGCACCATCGTAAACAATATTTCCGAAAATGACACCAGTATCTGCAGAAGAAACTTTCACGGTGATGGTGAGTCTATGAAACCCGTGAGCAACCACATTTGTGCTTGGTGGATTTTCGATGATTTTGAGATCTCCCAAAGTTGCGAATTGGACGTGCAGGTTTTTCAGAGTTTCCTTAGTCTGATTTACCAACAATACATCAATCACGACATCAAATTGATGGTTCGTGATGTAGGCCTCAGCATACACGGGATCCGAGAAACCAGTAAGTGGGACAACCTTCCGTAATTTCGAAAGTACAGAATTGGACGCATTCACACGCAAAGCATCACCGCTAATGGCCTTTTCGAGATCCTCGTTGATTGTATCGATGGGCGTACAATGAATATCGTTAGCGGCAAATTGGCGGAAAGAAATTGCTTTGTCAATTGGATCGGCTGTGCGGGCCAAAGCTGAAGCATGCTTCTTCGCAAATTCGCGTTCTTCACTAGCAACTTTGAGCTCGAAAGAGTTCTTCGTAGCCTCCAAGTAAGCTAATTCCAAAAGTTTCCTGCTCTCGACGTCTTCGAAGCTTGCTTGGTCCATCAGTATAGACAACGCGACCAATATTCTTTCTGCAGAGTCCTCGTCAATTTTCTTCTCTACTACGTTGCTCTGCCCAGCTCTTAGAATGCTGACAAGAATGAGCATTGCCTCAGCTTTCAAAGCGTTGAGAACGGAAGCGTCTTTCGATGATTTTTCGAATCTCAAAACGCACTTTAGAATTGTAGTAGCCAGAACCGAAGCAGTGTAAAAGTCGCCGCTCAAAGTGAATCGACGAAGTGGTGGCTTCGATTCCTTTTCCTCATTGGTTGCAGATTCCGTAGGAGCTGCAGCGAAAGCAGATTCAGTGGCGTAGGTACCATCGGGCAAGACAACCGGGCCAGACGACGACACGGCCTCTGGAGCCGCGTTTGCCTTTGCGGAATCATTTTCCGTCTCGCTCGACTCTGATTGAATAATTGGAAGACTTCCTACACTACTCCTGATATGCTTCCAGGAGTTTTGAACATCTGCAGCATCCAACGAATATTCACCCAATATCCACAAAGCTCCACGGTAAGCTTTGGCGGAGTGGACATAGGAAAGAGCGCCAATCAAATGTTGCAAAATTTCCTTTCTTAATTGAGGATACTTCTCAATGACTTCTTTGATGAAGGAAATTACACCACTTGCAGCGTTGGAACTCAAGTTGCCAATGGACTCTAAAAAGAGCGAAACAACATCTGCGGATACTTCAGCAAATCGAATGGCCACTTTGTGCATGTTTTCGATCAGTATCTGTCTATATTCAACGGCCTTTTCATCATTGTGCGCATTGGTTATTGTAGTCTGGAGCTCCTTCTTCAGTAGCTTTATGACGTCATCGACATTTCTAGAAGACACTAACTCTAGAGCAATGTCGAGTGCTTTGGCCCTTACGTCCAGATCTTGTGCACTCAAAACTCGCAAAATATCCAAAGTGAGTTCTTCTAAATGCCCTGGGGCTCTTTGGTGAATATCTTGTATTCTTTCTAAAACAATGAGCTTCACGTTATTGTCAGATTCCCTGACGGCCACATCGATCAATTTCGACGCTACTTCACATAAAACCTTGGGGTCACTGGATAGTACAGTAAGGGCCAATGCCGCTTCAAAAACCACTTCGGGGGACGTTGTAGCAGCGAGAAGGTCTTGGAGTAAGTCAACGTACTGAGGTTTCAAAGTTGGTGTTTGAATCGCGTCTGTGCGGATGAAATCTATGAACGCATCCTGCAAAAGAGAGTCGAGACTTTCGATAGACGCAATGTTTTCTTGCAAATAATTGAGAGCCGATTCCCGGTCCAATTCGGCTAATCCCAAAAAAGCGTTTCTTTTGCAGATAGGATCGGTTTCCGCGACCAAAAACGAGTCGATAATTTGTGGAGCGTCCGGAATCAAGTGCTCGCTAACTTTAAAGATGGAATACACTGCTAAAATCGCGTATTTGCGGATGTAAGCGTGACGATACTCCAAGCACTGTCTTACGGCAGGCACCATTTGTTCTAATAGGTCAGCCTCGCGCAATTTCGTCAAGAAGCGCAACGTATTACCACGGATGTACTCATTTGGATGCTGTAAATCGTGCTGGATAGCATTGCACACCAAAATCATTTCCTGTTTCAACTTACCTTCGGAGTCAAGTTTGGGCACAATTTCCCAGTAAAAATACAGCAGCTTCTTCAATTGCTTATTTTTAGACGGCATCACAAATCTGATGACGTGCATCAAGAGTTCAGGCATCGGATTGCCGTCTAGCATCATCACAAGTATTCTTTTCATCGTACTGATCTTTTCTTCATCAGATCCCTTTTCCAGCGATTTTTGCAGTTCATCCCTCGTGTAACCGACTAAGCTCGGACTCGGGTCATACACCAAAGTGTACGCCGATTGATTAAGCGTAGAACTCATCGTAATTGACCCCGCAAACAGTGCGCTTTGTCGCTTTTAAAGTTGACGATTTCCTTTGGACTTGGGCCAGGTTGTTATTTCTCGTCTAGATTTGTATTGTCAATTTTAACGTATTTATCATTACGTACGTAATGGAACCGGTTCAGCTAACCTACAGAATCCGAGAACCAACTAAAGAACAGCATTGTGTGCATTTTCAAATCATAATTGTTTTAAAAGACTTTAATGGTAGTTTTTAGTTCTAAAATGGCTTGCGGAAGTTATTGTTTGAATGGGTAGGTTTTTTGTTGACATGCACCAGGATGCCAGGGTTTTTTGATTCAGACTCTGTTTAGATAATATGGTACCTTCCGCTGGCTTTCAAGAGTTTATAGCACTTTCAGCATCTGTTAAAACCTTTGTTCTTGGTATTTTCAAAGAAAAAAAAATCCCTCCGTAAGCTTTGTTTGAAGTTGTCCTTTCGAGTTGTTCCATCAAAATATATTAAAACGGACAGCACGATTGGAGTATCGCAAGATGCATGAAAGTGGGAGCTTAACGCTTTCTCTTGGAGATAAGATTCGTGTTAACACAACGATCATCGTCGAAAGCGAGAAGATAAGTGGAATGACAGCGTCAGAATGAACGCTCTCTAGTTTAACCATCACCTAAAATGACCTGCCCAATTAGACGTGCATATTGATCTCAGCTTCTTCTTCCTCATGTTAGAAGTAATAAAACGCTGTGGGAATATACCCCATTTGAATACTACAGTCCTTGTTGTCAATCACAACTCTGTACTTTTTTTCAACCTTCATCTGATCCTGGATCCTGGTTTGTTACACGCAGACCACCATTAAATGTGGACTGCAGATATGCAGGGTTTGACGTTTGGACCGATAGTTCATCGTCCGATGAGTTTTCCGCTCCAATTTGGTCTCTCAACGTCCGGTCCAATCCCTTATGGACCGTATTGACGTAGTTCGTATCCAAAGTGCCGCTGCGAGCTCTGTTTATATTTTGCCGAGTATAATAACTTGTCACCGTATCGCTGCGATTGACTCGTCCATTTGCACGACCCACCTGGTTTCGGCCACCTTCGTGAACATTGGCAAAGCGAAGAGGGCCACTATGCTCCCCTCTATCTCGCAATGGTGCCATTACGTCATCGCTATCGTATGCTTCGTCACCCGGAATATTTCGCAAGTAAAGATCATCACTCTCTGCATCGTAAGGGTTTTCGTTTTCTCCGTTAAAAGCCTGGCTGCCCTCGTAAAGCAGATTGGCTCCTGACGTGCTCTTGTTCAACAGATCGTGAAACTCTTGGGTATGATCGACTTCGGTGGAAACCGAAAGGTCCTTTCCGTGCAAGTTCATCGCACTATCTGTTTCTTCTTCCTCTTTGGCGGTCTCTAAAGATAACAGCTTTTGTTTCGCCTTCCCATGCTTGATTCCGATTTGCTTTGAGCTCGTGCGTATCTTGACCTTGATATTTTGGGGCTGTTCAAGACTGTTTTTTGTCTTAAGCACGAAGGGCAAGTTCGGAGGAGGTTGAAGTGAATTGGATGTGGGAAAATATTTCAGCCGTAATTCCTCGACGTAGCCAGATACGAGCTTCACAGATTTGTCAGTCCCACTTCTATGCGGGCTCTGTAATCTTGCTGTTTCTTGTGGTTCTGCGAACTGATCCTGTATTGTGAATTCGGACTCCGGTCCACTCCTCGGGCTGAGATCATTTTCCTGCGCAGGTAAAGAACCTGAGCTTGACAACTGGTGTTCGAGCCCCTCGGAAGTTGATGGCGACGACGATTTGATGGTCGGCAGGGTTGATGTCAAGTGCGACTGTTCTGCCTCTGTATGTTGCTTGGGCAAAGATGAAAGCACGGGTGTAAGTATGAAACTTTCACTGTCCGTATTCGTGCTACTTCCATCATTGAGGGTGAAGTTTGGTCGATGTTCATTCACTACCCTGAATCGGCGTGGCTTATCTGTAAACGACTGATCGTCGCCGTAACAGTAATTGCTGCTCGATTCCTCTGAGTCTGTTAGATTTTCCCCGACAGCACGTTGCTCGTTACTTGAATATTGTCCATGTTCGACTACTTCTTGACTTTTTTGAGAACTTATACTTGTCGTTTTCGGTTCGCTATTGAACGAAAGTCGCTGTAGTTCCGTTACAGATTCCACTTGTGAGTTTGCAAAGGAAAACCGGTCGTCATCCTCGATTGTCTCTCCGTAAGATATACTTTTATGCGGCTCCTGCAAACGATCATCTGAACGTTTTGAATCTGGTGAAGTGAAGTTTTGATCAGAATTCGTCTCTTCTCCGAACTTGGCATGCAATTGGCCTTCCTTTTCCACATTGTCGCCGCCTAAGTTCAGACTAGGGGTTTCAAAATGATCATTTGATGAAGACGATCCAATCAAACTTTCACTCTCATAGTCCCCTTGACTTTCATGACCGAATTGATCTAAGTGGTCCATCAGTTCGTCTATATCTGACTTTTTTCGTTGATGACCAGATTGAGGCACTCTTTTTCTATCTTCGTTGTTTTGCTTCGACCCTTGATTTATGTTACTCTCCAGGGCAGTATTGTTGGTCCACATTCCTGGGAATTGTAACTCTGGTGGTGGAGGCCTTCTTCTATTCGATCTTTCTACATGGGGATCCGCATCGACACTTACAGGGTCTTTCACAGCATGATCCTGTGGCTGGTGAACATCTGGTGGGTTTGAAGGGCGAGTGGTTGAGTTACTGCCTTCGCTTGCAGCAGACTCAGAACGCGCTTTTGTCGAAGACATCAATGGATACTTCCCGACATACTTGACATTTGGAACTTTGGGTTCACTTTTGGGCCCACTATTTTTGCTAGAGAAGAAGAAAAACGAATTGCGTTTCTGTTTGGAATCGCTCATGGCGAGCTAACGTACCTGCTTCTGAGTTGAAAGTTCGTGTTGATCTAGTAAGAGAACAGATCATTAATTGTAAGGTGATGACGACGTACGCTGTGACGATTATTGAAGGGTTGGCATGAATAGCACCATGAGGTGTCTAGACGTTGGAATCGAGCAGTTGTAGTAGTAGCTTCAATGCTTCAAGGTTGTGCTCGCCGATACCACCGATACTTACAACTCTCACGGTGCTTGGATGAGGAACAGAAACAATTTTCGAGTCTTTAGTATGTTTGGACACATCCAGCGAATTAAACCAAGCGGTTGATTCGTGGACGTTGTTCAGATTCATCACTACCGCATTGCAATTTGTCTTTGCTCGCAGATCATGAAGGTTGTCGTAGATGAGGTCAACATAGTGCTGTCTTGGACATTTGATGTAGGTCTTTAAGATCTGGTAAGGTGATTTACTTTTTACCGCATCGATTGAGGCCTTAACAGTGGCAACACAGTAGTCTTTGATCTGCTCTTGGGTAAGGTAGTTAGCATTTGAGCCTCGAGATTGAGGGTCCAACGTGCGACCACCACCATTCGTACCCACGGCACGCGCAGGAATATTTCTAGCGGAAGCTTGATCTGTGTTGTTGGATCCGCTGTATCGTGATGTACCAGGGGTGGTTTTCCGTGTGGAGCGTATTGTTTGTGGTGATGCTTTGGGAGAATCTGTAGCTTCTTTGGTTGCAACGGGAACCGCTTCGTTGTACTTGAGCACACTCTCGACAAATGAGCCCAGAGCTTTTTTACTCTCTTCGACAATTGGCCCGTTGACCTTTGAAACTGTGGTAGGGTCCATCAATATATCTCTGTCTAGAAACGGTATTGAGGTCACTGTAATGGTCCTCTTTAGCGTCAGGTCTCTTAAACTGGTCTGAAACTCCTGCTTGGCTCGATCGACCGATTTTTGGAATTTTAACTTACTCAACAACACACAAACGGCATCGAATGACGCCGGTATCCCGTATCGATCCACCGAAATTTCTGTGAACATCGAAAGCTCGGAAAATTGGGCAATGGTGACGCCGTTTGTGGGTCCTCGAGTCTCAAACACATCCTTGCAAGACTTGTGAATATAAAAGCTCCCACGGATGGGCACTTGTCGCGGCACATGAGACGAATCGTCTTTTCCGATGCTAACCCAATGCTTGGCCCGGTCTGCAAACACGAACCCTAAAATCAGCGCCAAATCGAGGGCCGTAAAGTTCCGAATACACAAATAGGAAACACCGTCTTCCAATTGGACAAACTCCACAATGTTAACACGTATCTCTGCAAAGGCCCTTGAGTTTTCGAATTTGCTGTATTCATCTTTGTTGATCAGCAAGAAGACTGCACTACGTCGCATAACGGTGCTAGCTTCGGCTTTTTTTCGATTGAAAAAGCGGTATGTAGCGACCAGTGAGGATTGATCATATGAGTCGGGTCTTTTAACTCTCGATCGAGGACCATTACCACCAGAAAACGGTCTTTTCTTGACCCCCATTATTGTTTTTTTAGTTGAACCTGTGGGTATTTCAATTTCTTGCAGTAAAGACAAGTTCTGAAGACAGGCTTTATGAACATAGGAAAAGACCTCTAACTATTAAGAAACACGAAGCAAAGAGAATTGTGACTAGGTACTTATCCCGAAGGTTGGAGACGCTATTTTTTTTAAGCACAAATATCTTGTTATGTTACAAAAGTCGGTGATATTATTATATGTATCTAGAAGCGTTTTGAATTTTCCTTCTTAAACGCTTTTACGGCTCAGGTCGCTTAACCCGGGATGCCGATGTTTTCGATGCTGAGTTGCGGGGCTTGTGCGTTTCTCACTCACAAAGACTTGACTTCCTTGACCACATCGTCGAAACTTTCACGGTACTCTTCTTCCTTGGCCTTGCCGTCTTTCTTCTTGCTGCTGCCGGGGACGACGAAAACCACAGATGTGGGTCTTTTGGTAGCTCCGGCGGAGCCTAGATCCTGTTTGGATGGCACAAAGATGTATGGTACACCCTGGTCCTCGCATAGCACAGGGATGTGAGAAATCACGTCTGGAGGAGAAATGTCGCCTGCAACAACGACCAGGCCCTTTTCGCCCTTTCTCAAGGCCTTGACCACCTCCTTGACACCTCTTTTAACGTTCTTGGCCTTCGAGGCCTTCTTCACGGTCTTGAGTACCTTCTTGTTTAGCTTCTTCGACGCCAAAGGTTGTGCAAATGGCAGAACAGCTGGTAGTCTTGCGTCGTAGTTATCTTCGCTTGAAGTTGTCTTTTCCTTGGCCATTTTTCCTGGTTTTTGATGTATTATCCGGGGTTTGAGAAGTCAGCTGGCACTTGTTGAATACAGGTGCAGTTATGGCTTCCAGTAGGGCGCTTAGAGTTCCGGATTTTATTTCTTGACAAACAGTACTTTCCAGGTATGAAATAAAATTTTTTGATGCGATGAGCTTGCAATAATAATTACATACATAACAGCCTGAAGAATATCTATCTGAGTACGGCGAATGGTCAAGAAAACAAGAGAGCAGTGGGCTGAGAGAGAGAGAAAATATAGTGTGTGACAGAATCAGGCACTTCGGTAGCAGAGATACAATACCATGAAAGCGGCTTCTGTTGTGAGAACTTCAAAGAGTGTTTCCTTGCGGCAATAAAGAGTCAGATGACACATTGCAGCTAGTATGACTTTTCAGTCTTTTCTCGCCCTTCAAGGACCTCTGCATCTAGTGTAGTGGTTGGTTCCATACCCTATCATTGGTTCGAACCCAGCGAATGATAGAATTATCATTTGAAGAACTCTCGGTGGCCAAGTTGGTTTAAGGCGCCAGACTGTAATGTTACTCACTGTAATCTGGATATCGGGCGTTCGAATCGCCCCCGGGAGATATTTTTTTGGGCAAGCGTCTATATTACTCGTAGATAGTGATGTTTATAAAAGATTCGAGAAAATTGGATTATATATGCATGGGCGGCTATCAAACAACTTTAGATTTGCACAAACAAAACTATGTCATTGAAAGTCGTTTCATGAATGTGAAAGATTCCAACTTGTTTTCTATTGCATCCTCTTATTGCCCCCAAAAAGGAGAGAAGCTTCCATCGTCGTCACAATCCGGTTTTGTTCATTCTTTTTCATAAACTCGATTCGACTACCTAAGCTCAAAAACTGGGGTATATACACGAGTTATTCGCGACACAAATTGGAGCGCAGAAAATATGGACTAGTGCTAAAATCAGGCATCAAGAATAGGTCAGGCGAGAGGATGTTAGTCAAGAAGACGTTAGTCAATGGCTCTTTGGTCAAGAGCACTTTGGCCAAAGTGAAAGTAAAAACGAGAAAGATGGAAACGATAAATACCAACGTACAGTCCCTAACAAGCTATCATCCCGCTCCTTGTCCCTGACTCAAACATCCACATCTCCTGGTAAGCCACTGTTAACCGCTACAAAGATTCACACCCACACTCCATCTTCGATCGTCGTCACTATCGACGTACCCTTCCAAATTTAATACTGAAAAGCTTCATGAAGTTCAAAGGTTATGAGAGTAAATATGTTCTTTCTACCACAGACCGAAATCCCAAGACACGTCCCATTGGCGTCACACCGCAGCATCGGATGTCTGACTACCAGCGGGTACGATCTTTGCAACCTCCTGAGGTCGAAACGGAAGATGTTGGTCGCATAGGCAGTCGATTTCAATCGCGATGGTCAAAGTGGACATTAGTGAATGTCTTACGCAAGTACGGACGATTCATCGGGCCAGGACTTATGGTATCAGTGTCCTACATGGATCCAGGAAATTTCAGCACAGCGGTAGCGGCAGGCTCTGCACACCGGTATAAAATGCTGTTTTCTGTACTTGTTGCCAATATTATGGCCGCATTTTTTCAGTGTTTATGTGCGAAATTGGGGGCAGTAACAGGACTAGATTTGGCTCAAAATTGTCGCCGTCATTTACCCACAAATTTGAATTTGGTGCTGTACATTTTGGCCGAAGTGGCCATCATTGCCACGGATTTGGCTGAAGTAGTCGGTACTGCTATTTCACTTAACATTTTGTTCAACGTGCCATTACCTCTGGGTGTGATTTTAACCGTTGTCGACGTGCTGGTCGTTCTTATGGCGTACCGTCCAAACGGTTCTTTGAGACTTATTCGGTGGTTTGAGATTTTCGTGTCGCTGCTCGTGGTAGGAACCGTAGTTTGCTTTTCTGTCGAACTCTTTTCGGTTTCAATCGAAAATGTGGGTGAGGTATTCAAGGGATTTTTGCCGAGTAAGGCCGTTGTAGAAGGCGACGGCATCTACCTCAGTCTCGCCATTTTAGGTGCCACCGTGATGCCGCACAGTTTATATCTTGGTTCGGGCGTGGTGCAACCAAGATTACGCGATTACGACGTCAACAACGGGCACTACAAACCCAGCGAAAATGACATCGACAACAATCATGACAATTATAAACCTTCCTTTGACGCCATCAATGACACCCTCACCTACACTATAGCCGAGCTGCTTGTGTCACTGTTCACGGTAGCGTTGTTTGTTAACTGCTCTATTTTAATAGTGGCGGGCGCTACACTGTATGGATCACCGCAGGAGTCCAGTGCGGACCTTTTCACGATCTATGAGCTACTGTGCAAAAGTCTATCGAAAGCGGCTGGAACGGTTTTTGTACTTGCCTTATTGTTTTCAGGTCAATCTGCTGGAATTGTGTGCACTCTGAGCGGGCAAATGGTTTCAGAAGGCTTTCTGAATTGGACTATCGCACCTGCGTTGCGTAGAGCCCTCACAAGAGCCGTAGCCATCACTCCATGTTTGATTTTGGTCTTGGTCGCTGGACGCCGGGGCCTGAGCGGCGCCCTAAATGCATCCCAGGTGGTGTTGTCGTTGTTGCTGCCGTTTGTTTCTGCACCCTTACTGTATTTCACAAGCAGCAAGAAAATCATGCGCGTAGAGTTGGCTAACAATTGTTACTATGATGCTCGTGACAGGGGCATACCGTTACAGAATCTCGCTACAGGTAACGCGGAAGAAAGTACAGAAGATGAACACGACAGCGATAGTCTCGATATTGACATCTCGCTACCGTCCCGGAATCACAACAATGAGAGCGGCGACAACGACAATGATAACGAGAACGACAACCACCTTTACGCAGACATGAGCAACAGTGTTTTCACAACAGTGGTGGCTGTCGTATTGTGGCTGTTCATATCAGCTTTGAATTTCTACTTACTCACAAGCTTCTCGACTGGCAACGATGTGCATATGTAAATAACAGAGAAGGTAAAAAGAGGCGGTAGAGATGTCGCTGGTAAGGTGTGGTGTACGGGCCGTTTAGCATTCTTAAAGTTATAAGGTATGTATTATATAGTATACATATCAAAAAAATGAAATTGTAAAGAGCCTGGGTATACTAACCAAGAGCATTCAGAATTTAAATCCCCATTAACAATCGACAAAGGCTTTTCTGAAATGTTGAAATGGTTTCCAACACCGTGATCATTACGGCAGGTCGAAAAAACGCGACAGAAACCGATGCTTTGAAGCGTATTCGTGAGTTTTTGGAGGCTGAAGTGTTGCAACGGTTCAACGTCACTGAAGCGAACCCTTTGAAACTCGTGGCTCTGCCTACATTGAATAGATGCATTCTGGTGTGTCCATCGCTCGAGTTGGCAGAGCAGGCCGTTATGTTGCACTCACAATGGCCCCAGTTGAAAGGGTTTCAGTTTCGGTACTCTGCATTAGATGCACCAAACTCGACCGAAAAGCAGTTTTTGGAACTGCCAAAACAACTCGCATTGTTTCTGGTATCGCCACCAACATCCCCACCGCCCGGATTCGATTTCTCGCGTTTGGAAGAGGCGCCCAATCGTGTTCGTGGACTCAAAGCATCGGGTCACGTGCCTCTGGTTTTTCAGTCTCAAAATCAGCCTCAGCAGCAGTATAGCTGCAATTCCCATCAAATTCTCCTGAACCACTCCCATACGCCTATAACGCTTGATGTAGCCCCAGTTATCGACGAAGACCACCATGACGCGGCCACACAAAACATTCGCGTACACAGTGATGGGGTTCTGAATTCATCATCACAGTTACCATCAATTTCCCAGTTTCGAACCGCCGTGCCACCGCGTTCGATATTTGACGACGTCGATTAAAAACAGAAACGAGAAATAAAGATGTGAAAGCTACGATAGAATGGTGTTGTGTGCAAAGTGATCACACCACCTTGGTTCCCGTGACATTCACATGTTTTGAATCGCTATTTACGAACCAATTATAACGCCGAATTATCCGATACTGGTCATGTGCCGTCTAATAAGAACGCTTTGTCAATAGTGCAGTCTGGAAAAAAAAGTTGACAAGAGTGTAAGAGTTACCATATCGGCAGAGATAGTGTAAGTCAAAGGAAAGGTCGAAAATCAAGATCTGTAGACTTTTGAGTTAAGGCAGTTGCATCACACTGAACTAAATCAGAGCCTAACCTCTTTTCTGGCATCAAAAACCCTTTAAGTTTGAGCTTTTTCCTTACAATTGTTGTGCTAATATGTTTTCCAGAACCATTTTCAGAGGAGCTCGTGTAAACAGCAGAAATCTGCTAACTTTTGCGGGTCAAAGAACCAGTGTGGTTCGCTCTATGCCCAAGTTGACTTCATTCCAATCGGTACGGAAATACTCGGATCAGCATGAAGAAGAAACTTTTGAAGAATTCACTGCGAGATACGAAAAGGAATTCGAACAGGCCTACGATTTGTTTGAAGTGCAGAGAGTTTTGAACAACTGTTTCTCTTACGACCTGGTTCCTGCGCCAGCCGTGGTGGAAAAGGCTCTAAGAGCGGCCAGAAGAGTGGACGACTTGCCCACAGCTATCCGTGTTTTCGAGGCCCTCAAATACAAGGTTGAAAACGAGGAGCAGTACAACGCGTACCTTAACGAATTGAAGGACGTGCGTGCTGAATTGGGAATCCCACTAAAGGAAGAGCTTTTCACCAACTAGAGCCACGTGGTCCCGACTCTACCCATACACGCACAAACCACGCACAGACCGAAACTCTAGACTCACTAGACCAAGCATTTATTTTTTTTATTCTTTCCTGCGCATTGCGACTGACTGCCTACATCTCGCCACTAGAGGAATGCTATCTCCCACCTTTCAGCGTCCCGTTTCGTAAAAGAATACAAATTCTGTAGGAAAATAACTATAATTACCATTACTATTTATGCTTAGAAGATGGCACGGATGTGGCTGTCCACTTGCATCATTCGTCATCATCGTCGTCCTCGTCGTCCTCGTCATCCTGTACAATTTTACCACGACCGCGTTTGGAGTTGCCTACAGCTTCTTCATCGTCTGAAATTTCCTCTTCATCCGAATCTGCTTGAGCACGTCTTTTGTTAGCCAATTCAGCATCAGAATCGCTCTCATAGTCGCTTTCACTATCGCTTTCGCCTTCAGAATCACTGACTTTCCCCGCATTGACCTCTTCCACTGCGTCAAACCAGTCGCTATATACATCCACCGGTTGGGACAAGGCGTTGACGTGTGTTTGGAAAGTTTGTCCGCACACTTTACATGACAACGATCCGATGCTATTCTTTTTATCCAATGTACATGTTACTGAACGCTCGTGATTGCAAAACAAACAATTGAATGTGGCATCGAGCCTTTGAACCACTTTTTTCGCTGGACCTCTCGAGGACTTCTTTCTCTTACCCATTTTGCTTTTCTTGACACTGGTAGAGGACGCAGAATAGTCGTCCTGTGCCGCAATAGTCGTTCTTTTAAGAGGAAATAGCTTGACCAACTCTTTACATCGATGTTCATCTGGCATGTGTAATATTTTATATATTATAGTGTATCAAACATCGAGCACGTGACGTTTGTGAATTAGCTTTAAGGAACACGACTATCAAATCTGAGACGATGAGGGAATAGCCGTATAGCACATTTTCGAACTGTGTTGAGCATTGACATGTTTAAATTTCTAGTGAGCTTTTCTGGTCGTGTATTTGTATTTCTTTATTCGTTCATTTGCACTCTACTATTTCTTTCCGATGTTGGTTACCAAATGTACATGATATGAGGAGAGAAAATACAGCGTAGTGAAAGCATATAAATGCTTCAAAATGGATCTTTTATCCAACTCCTATATAATACTATTGTTTTGAGTAAAAGGCCTTACCCAGTGCTGGAGTCAGAATAGTACAGAGTGATATGTCCAGTTTAACAGCTATCTCGAATGAGAGAATGACCACGAAACTGGAGCTCTGAGAAACCAAGTGTTGAAATGGATTATGGGCTAAGTATTTTCCACGAAAAGGTCCCGAATATCCCAAATGCCAACTTCTTCAACGACGCCTTGGGGGGTTTACTTCGCACCCGTTTTCCGTCATCATCACTTTCTACTAAACTGACACTCTACCATTTATCGCAAATTTCTGTCTTCTAGCAACCTCTATAGACCTCACATCTCTTCTTTGCGGTCTTTCGAAACCGGAAAATTCACCTTCACCACCATTTACACTTGAGTTCTTTGGCTTGATTTTTTAACACTTGAGAGCCCTGGAACAGAGCTCGAATATTTCAAAAGCGCAAACTATTCAATAAGCATCACATCACAGCAACAATCAGTTAGAACTAGCTCCCCATAAGCTGATATCTTCGACAATCGTTTCTCTGACACTTAGTCCACGTGACCGTTTTCTTTCACTACAGTGTAATAGTTTATTCTGAAAAATTTTATAAGCGCATCTCATCTCATCGCTTCATCTCATCGCATCTCATCTCATCTCGACAGCAACTGCAGGTACTATTCACGTCAGTTCGATTTAAAGACGAACGTATAAAAGGGTACCGTTGCCACTGATCGATTACAATGGCTAAGGGAACACCTGTGAAAAAAGGCAGAGCCTCGAAGAATAGCACTCCAGTGTCTACACCTCCAGTAAAAACCAAGAAACCGTCGAGCAAGACCTCGACACCTCAACCATCTACTCCCAGATCGACGCCATCCAAGAAAAAGAAGAATGCGGTGAAGAACGCGGATAAGAAAGGCGAGAAATTGGTTCTCAAAGCCAAGGACTCTTCTGCTGCTCCTTCAGTTGCCCAAAAACCAGACACTGTAATCCCGATCGACAGAATCGTTCGTGCAGTCCAAGAGTTGCAAAAGTTCGTGGATAGCGAAAAGGCCAAAGAAGAGAACTCTAACCAGCTTCTGGACGACGGCGAGTTAGATAGACAGGTGGAGTTGATCGCCGTCAATACCACGTCTTTCACCGAAAACAGAAAAGTGTTTAAGCCCAAACTGTTCAAGATCGAACACTCGTTGTTCAAACCATGGAAAAAAGCCAGTGAAACTGCCGTCAAAGACTTCAAAGTGCTTCTTATTCTTAAGGACCAGGATGCTTCCAAATGTACGGAAGACCAGCTTTACGACCAACTGCACGGAGAGGGTATCACTGTGGATGCCGTTATCACCGGCAATGACCTCAAGACCAAATACAAGGCTTTGGAAAAGAGAAGAGCCTTTGTACAGGACTTCTCTCTTATTTTAGCGGATGACTCTGTTGTGACAGCGTTGCCCAAACTTTTGGGAGGCAAGGCTTACGAAAAACTGGCCACAACCCCAATTTCCATCAAGACCAGCAAAAGCGGCTCGTTTTCGCTTACAACGCTTGTCAACAGCATCAAAAAAGTCTATCTAAAAACGCTGCCAACCAAGATGCCCCGCGGCACAACTTTGAACGCGCATTTGGGTGATCTAGAATGGTTTTCCGCTGAAGAGCTTGCTGACAACGCGCTTTCTGTTGCCGAACAACTGGTGAAGGAGTTCCAGATCAGGTCTGTTTTCCTCAAGGTGAACAAGTCACCTGTTCTTCCGCTGTACTACAATCAAAACGTCCTCGACGCTTTGGCCGAACAAGCAGATGTTGAAGGCAAGGACAAGGCATTGCATAAGGTCACCATTGGTGGCACAGATCTGGAGCTGTCCAATTTCGACGCTGCATTAATGGAGATCGCCAATCCAGACGAATTGGAGAAGGTTTTTGCTTCTCGCATCAACAAAGCGAGAAAGAGAACAGCGGAGGACGTCGAACAAGGCGCTACCGCGAAAAAGACTAAAGCATAAAGTATAAAATTCACTGTATATTATATAAATCTCGGCACCAATCAAAGCTTTTACTGCAAACCAGAGTAGCACTTTACCGAATGTGGTTTACAGAAATGTCTTTGTGGCAATAGTCCACCGAACACCATGAAGGATTATAGAAGTAGGCTCTTGACTACATGAGGAAACCTTGTTCACAACCATTATAGAGTTCAATTTTGATGACTTTTCTTCTTATGCCTGTTTATATCTGTATAAAAGGTAAGAACAGTGACAGCGACGTCGGCAATTTTGCAAAATGACACAAACTCAAGAACTAAACAAGACAGCTTAAACAGAGCCTATAATCACTCGGTTAATTCAAAGAAACATCAATTCAATAACCGTAGAAGCTATTGTCTAGTGTGTAAAATTTGGCTTTCCCGCACAGCCAATTTCCAGATTATATCCCGTTTGAAGCACAACTTTTTAAAGTGTTGTTGACAACGCCCTCAAATCGCTTCTGAATCCAATCAGTGACTTTTGAATAACCACTGATTAAACCTAGTTGCTTGCGTTCCGTTTTTGGCTCGAGAAATGAGCTTCGATAGTATAATTGAATCTGTTAAGGTTCGTATTGACAGCTTGACGCGGGACTGGAATGAGCTGAATGCTGCGACAGCAGAGACGTCAAACGACGAACTGAAGCAGTTGGAAGATAAACTGAATCTGGTTCAGGAGCAGAATACAGTGATTATACTTGAACTCGGTCGCATCAAAAAACTGCTCAGCATCGAAGAGGACAAAGCCAATAATCTTTTCAGTGCAGTGGTTGACACATCTGGCAACGCATTGAATCTGCCTGGTTGCACCGATAATACCTTCGTGATTACTCCAAACAATAAAGTGGAGAGGAAAGGTTCTGAATGGCTTCCCTCAATAGGATCACAAAAACTGCCAAGGCCAGGCTCCACCATCGAACGGCTTACTGACTCGAACCACGATTTCTCTCCACTTAACCGATACCCTTTAGCTTTCAATGTGCAGAGTTTCCTAAACCACTCTCCATCACCGTGGAAAAGAAGTCTCGAAGCGGAATCGCCAGCGGAATCCCGTAAGAGGATTCGCAAAGAGGAAGAACCTGTTACCGATGAGAACGAATATTCAGACTACCGCAAGCTCCAGAATTTGCATCTAGTGGAATCCCCCTCTGGTAAACCCATAGTAAAACCACAATTGAGACCATTGTTGGCATCAAACGTACAAAAAATGGATAATGTGAAGATCATTAAATCCCAGGTCGACATGAAAGATTTCAAATTCCTCATGAGCGCTGCGCCACCGTCTATCCCTGCCATGTATCAAGAATATGAATTCGTTTTGAGACCACAAATTTTGGATTTCGAACAAAAGTTCGGCAAAGGTCAGCTCTCTAAGTTACCGCAAGTCCGGACGTATCAACGGCGCAGAGCACTTGCGTGTGAAATCGGCAAGTACGCAACACGAAATGGCATTTCGATCGAAGAGGCGGTGCAATATTTCGAGAATATCAGAGTTCGCAACAATAAGACAGTAGCTTGGATTTACAATAACTTGACAGATATCCTAGAGCAATATTGTTCGTGAATAAGACATCTCGCCAAGCAGCAGTATCCTTGCAACCTTTTCGCACGCACGATTCATTAAATAAAAAGATGCATTTATTATTGTCTAACAATAATCACTTGTAGTTACAAGTTGTTTGATCTAAACCCTATCCTGCTCTGATGTGCGACTTTTCGCAGCTTTAATGATCTTGGTCCAGTCGCAGGAGAAGACAGCGTAGCTCTGGAAAATGCTCATGAATACCAATGCGCTCGTAATACCATACCACAATCCTGCCATTCCTTGTTTAAAGTGGAACGTCAGCATGTAAGACATTGGAATTCCAACGCAGTAAAAGGCAAGCACATTGATATAACCGCCAATTTTTTGTTGGCCTTGACCTCTCAAGCAACCAGCTGTGCATGCATTGAAGGCATCGAAGATTTGCATGAATGCTAGAAGAGGCAATACGCTAATCACCAATGACACCACTTCGGGATCACTGGAAAAAGCATTGGCAATTTGAATTCTGAACGAATAGATGACAGACATGTTCAAGAGACTGATGACGAATGACAGAATTAATGACACTTTACAAGTGACAATGCAATTTTGGTAAAGCGATGCTCCAATGAAATTGGCAACACGGGTGCTGGTAGAAATGGAAATGGAAAATGGTATTTGGTATGCCAACGACGCGACTGTCGAAACGATGGATTGAGCACCTAGTTCATTCGTACCCAAATGCGATGCGAATATTGTCAAAAGCTCGAAACCCAAGAATTCAGCTTCAACCATAATTACACCAGGCAAAGCCAAGCTGAACATTTTGCGCCAATTGCGAAAGACTTGGTTAGGTTTGATGAGACCTCCCCAGCATTTACGAGGGTTAGCCTTGTGCTTAGTGAAGACTGTGTAGAAAAGTAGTCCAAATGCCATCAACCAGTAGTTGATTGCCACACTTATGGGGGCACCAATGTAGCCGATGCCAAACCGCTTATCTAAGACTAGAACATAGTTCATGATGGCATTGAAAGGCGCGCAAAATAGTAGTACGATCGTGGACGCATGGAAGATGCCCTGGCATTGCAAAAACCTTTTCCCGCACTCAAAAAACACGAAACCTGGAACACCAACAGCTACTACTTTCAAGTAGTTTGCAGCCAATCTGCAAAGCTCTCGCTCAGGTATCAACGAAGCCAAAATGGTTTCTGACCAAAACCACCATACGAAAAGGATCGGTGTAAAGAACACAAGTGTAATTAAAGCGCATCTTTGTAGCAGAACACCAACCAACTGTTGATTGCCAGCACCGTGTGCTTGAGAACACAGGGTGTCGAGACACGTGCAAAGGCCTTGAATAGCTGCGAACCCGGTGATATTGGCCGTCATGGAACCTAGAGTGATACCACCGAGTTCATTAATTCCAAGACGCGAGGTGGTGAACACAGAGGCCAGAGACAGTGAGTTTTGCATGACAAACGTGAAGACCAGTGGTAGTGCACTTTTAAGCAATACTTGGCACTCTCTACGAGAAGTAGTGGAAATCGATTTTCCAGACTCGATGGCTTCTTCCCAGGTATCACGAATTTGTTGTTCGCGCTGTTCTGGCGTGACGCCTTCATCCTGGCGGCTCTTAGAGATCAATTTGTTGTCCACAAGCAAATCTCGTTCCTCTTCGAGCAGGTCTCTATGATACGATTCTTGGTCGGTCTGACCGCTGCCAATACCGATGGTTCCGTACGAGTCCAGGCGGCTGGCACGTTTGTTTTTGTCGCCGTTTGGGGTGAGCGATGTTCCAGAGGCCAAGAAAGGTTGTTGTTCGTTCGCTTGTTGATCTTGGCTAGCCCTAAGTGCTGATTCTTCGGAGTTCTCCAAAGGCTCCAGGTCTTCTTCGACCGCGGTATCCTCGGGGCCCTGATAGTCTACCGTTCCAAAAATGCCGCCTTTGGTGATGCCATTCGACACAATAAGCGACGAACGCCGCTGGTTCGTGGTGTGAGTGAACTGTTTTGATTGTGAACCCATTTTGAACGCTACAAGCTCGCTTTTTTTTCACGGTGGTGTAATTTCTCACTTCAAAACGATTGAAGGTATTGGTTTATACCTGTGCGAGCTCTCAAGGCCTGTTTTACTCCGGTAAAGTTGGCGGTTCTTAAAGCACTGATGAGATGAGATGAGATGAGATAGGCAGAGAAGCAGTATGCATTTCATGATAGGTAATTTTTTCAGTTTTTCACCCATAGTAAATTTCATAATTTAATGGACTTTAGAAAACCGTGATAAATGATTAAAAAGAAATTTAGAAATGAGGAGACCCCGTGTGTTTCACGTGATGTTAAGTTAGTCTCGTGACTAATAATTTTCGTGTACTGTGATGGTATCATGTGATGCTGTCGCGTGATATTGTCTCTTTGGACGGATTTCGAGAAACTAAAAAAGACTAATTGAGTTGTATTATGTATATATACCCATTCCATAACGCGTCAAGTAATACATCAAGTGTGAGCATCTTAAAAAAGGGTTAAGACCGTACTGTTGGCGAATCAGGACACGAAAGGTTAGTTGGCAGCAACTTTAAGGTGTGAATAGTACCGGCGGGGGTCTTTCAACGAAAAAAATTGGTCCGGAATTGGTCGATTAGAAGTTCAAAATTTACAGAGAGAAAACATCGAGAAAGATCGAGTCTTAGATGTTTTCGCAAAGAAAAAGCAAGAGTGATGGGAAAAGAAGCCTGGCAGGTGGGTCGGCAAAATCGTCCGCGCGTCAGAGTACAGTGACGAGTTTCTTTGGGAAAAAACCTGGTTCCGGAAGACCATTGGCAGGCAGCGCCGCCGGATTAGCCGCCCAGCCCAGTGGGCGGAAACCAAGGCCCAAACCACTCTTTGAGTCTCAAGGGTCCTTCGACGAAGATGACGATGCAGGAGAAGCAGCCTTGTCCCGTTTGATGCGCGAAACACCGTTACAGAATTTCAAAACGCATTTACAGAAATCGGCCAAGAGTGGTGAACAGGTCGTGTCGTCAGCGAAAACGGTGCAAAGAAGCATCAGTGGGGTTGGAATCGCAGGTCTTAGGTCCCCAGAAGCAAACCCGGCCGTCAAAAGGTCTGCAGTATCAGAATTTTCGTTCTCGATGCACAAAAAATTGAAACCTTCACGGGCACAGTCTGTACAACCAATTGTGAAGTCCAGAGGAACACCCGCGTTAGAACTGACACCAGAGCAACGTAACGTTATTGATCTTATCGTGCATCAGCGGAAAAACGTCTTTTACACTGGTTCTGCAGGAACAGGTAAATCTGTGGTGTTGCGTGAGCTGGTAACGCAATTGAGGGCTCGTTACGGTGAGGCTGGCGTTGCTATCACGGCGTCTACTGGACTCGCAGCTGTGAATATAGGCGGGATAACCGTCAATCGGTTTTCAGGTATAAACATAGGTATGGGCAGCGTTCAAAAATTGGCTGCACAGGTCAACCGCAACAAGACTAATAGTGAAAGGTGGAAAAGGACCAGTGTGCTGATCGTCGATGAAGTGTCGATGATTGATGGCAGATTTCTCGATAAGATGGACTACGAGGCCCGAGACGTGCGACGGAATCCGACTAAACCCTTTGGTGGGATCCAAGTGGTTCTTACCGGTGATTTTTTCCAACTGCCTCCGGTCGCAGATAGAGATCCGCGCTCGGAAAGACCCACTTTTTGTTTCGAAAGTAAAGTTTGGAAACAAGCAATCGATAACACGATCTGTTTAACGCAGGTGTTCCGACAAAAGGATCCGGAGCTTGTTGAACTATTGAATGGTATTAGATTCGGCGATGTGAGCCGCCAATTTGTCCAGCAGATCAAGACTTACGAGAGGGAAGTCGAGTATGCAGATGGTATAATGCCCACTGAACTATACCCGACGCGACGTGAGGTTGACATGGCGAACAAACGAATGCTGGATAGATTGGCAGGCGAAGTCAAAATCTTCCAAGCCCAAGATCAAACCACCAGCGATAATCCGACTCTACTCAAGATGTTAGACTCCCTGATGGTAGAAAAGAATCTCGCACTGAAAGAAGATGCACAGGTTATGATGGTCAAGAACGTGGATGAGACTTTGGTAAACGGTTCTGTTGGGAAACTTTTATTCTTCACCACGGAACCACTTTACCTTAAGATGCTGGAATTGTATCCCTCTACAAAGCTCACTGATCCTGATTTAGTTCTCGATATGAGACTACTGGGCAAGTGTATTGGACTCGCTCCAACTAACTATCCTGGTGGTGTTGAAACAGAGATTACAAGAATGCCGTATAACAGAGCGGAAAATCTGCGATTGTTGCTGAAAATTGCCGAGCGCGAAAGCAAAAATTATTCCTATCCTCTCGTGCGTTTCACCACTCCTTCCAGCGGGTTCAGATTCGAGCTCATATCACCTGCTGAATTTACCGTTGATGTTCCTGCTCAAAAGACAAGCGTGAGCCGGACGCAGCTGCCACTCATACTATGTTGGGCATTGTCCATTCACAAAGCTCAGGGCCAAACAATCGACAGGCTCAAGGTTGATCTCAAAAAAGTGTTCGAAGAAGGGCAAGTCTACGTGGCTCTGTCCAGGGCCGTATGCAAGGATCGACTACAAATTGTCAACTTCGATCCCAGGGCCATCAAAGCAAACTCTAAAGTCAAAAGTTTCTACAAGACTTTGGAAACGGTGTCGAGTTCACTTGCGCCGCATTTTGCGCCAACTTGAGTGAAGCACGTTCCAGCCATCACCCAGTCCTTCTGGTTAACAGCATAAGCCTCGCACTATCATTTTCTGACCGTCGCATTGTATCGCATCGTCCGCATTAAACCAGGGAACGAAAAAACCGGCCGGTGCTTGAAAAAAAAAAAAAAAAACCAAAAAAAAAANTGAAAAAAAAAAAAAAAAGCCAGAAAAACAATCGCATCATACAGCTCTCATCCTATTTTTAGGTTACATGTCAGCTGCTCCGGCTGAGGTTGCATCAAAGCCACTCATCACTTCGTCGTTCTACGGCCAAAGCTGTAGCGACGCAATTCCGCTATTAGAATTTAGAGGCTTCTCGAAAGTAGGTAAACGGCCGAAAAGGTACGACAAGGACAAGATCACTGCAAAAACGCCTATATTCTATGATTTCCATAATGTGGCAAGCCCGGTTTCCTGCATATTCGTGCTTTTGCCTAGACACGAAAAGTGCAAGAACTGCACCGACGTCTTGGAGTTGATTTTCTGATTCACACTTTACCGTACTGGAACAGATATTCGAAAATTTTTTAATTCCTCCAGACATGTTTAATTGAGAAAAAGGTTGTGAAAAGGGATATCTCAAGTTGATTAAAAAGCGTGTGCTCGTTCATTCAAGCTTGTCCTGGAGAATCGTGGGTTTCAAGATTGTTTGAATCAACTGTGAAGCAAGACGCCGCCATGACAGAAGCGTTGGAGAGACACACCTTCAAGGTGTTCAACCAGGATTTTACGGTTGATAAAAGATTTCAGCTGATAAAAGAGATCGGTCACGGCGCGTATGGAATAGTGTGTTCTGCTCGGTTCACCGAAGCAGCCGATGAAACTAACGTGGCTATCAAAAAGGTGACGAACATTTTCGCCAAGACACTCTTGTGTAAGCGTTCATTACGAGAGCTCAAACTACTTCGACACTTCAGAGGCCACAAAAATATAACATGTCTGTACGACATGGACATTGTTTTTTCACCGGATTCGACTTTCAATGGACTCTATCTTTACGAGGAATTGATGGAATGTGATGTTCACCAAATCATCAAGTCGGGTCAGCCTTTGACGGATGCGCATTATCAAAGCTTTATTTACCAGATACTGTGCGCTTTGAAATACATCCACTCGGCAGACGTTCTCCATAGGGATCTCAAACCTGGAAATTTACTGGTAAATGCCGACTGTCAACTCAAGGTTTGTGATTTTGGGCTTGCTCGCGGATACTCTGAAAATCCAGTTGAAAATAACCAATTTTTGACTGAATATGTCGCTACCAGATGGTACAGAGCGCCTGAAATCATGCTGAGCTACCAAGGCTACACTAAGGCTATCGATGTGTGGTCTTGTGGTTGTATTCTAGCGGAGTTGTTAGGCGGTAAACCCATTTTCAAAGGAAAGGACTATGTGGACCAACTGAACAGAATTTTACAGGTACTGGGAACTCCTCCAGAAGAAACACTGGAACGCATAGGGTCAAAAAATGTGCAAGACTACATCCATCAACTGGGCTTTATTCCAAAGGTTCCATTCTCAGTCTTGTATCCGCAAGCAAATGCTCAAGCGCTGGATTTACTTGAGAAGATGCTTGCGCTCGATCCACAAAAAAGAATCACAGTTGAAGAAGCTCTAGAACATCCCTACTTGAGTATATGGCATGATCCTAGTGACGAACCTGTTTGCAGCGACAAATTCGATTTTGGTTTTGAAGCTGTCAACGAAATGGACGAGCTAAGAGAAATGATTCTCGAGGAGGTGCAAGACTTCCGGCAGTTCGTGAGACAGCCATTGATAGAAGAAGAGCAAGCACAGCAGCAGCAGAGGACCTTGCAACAAGCAGAGCAACAAGAGCAAGATCATTTACAGCACCAACATCGGCGTCGTCACCATAGACAACAAGATCAGCGCCAATACCACGAGAACGACCAACAAGAACTTGCCAACCAGAAGCAAGCTCAGGAAGTGCCACCTTGTGACTATGTGCCAGAAACGCAGGCTCCGCTGGGTACATATGAAGACGGGGGCTACAAGCAGCATACAGTTTTCTCGCAACAGCCAGTGGCCATATCTCCGGACCTTCACGACCAATTTATAGGCATTCATTCTGGTAACCTACCAGACCACAACATGGATTTTCCGCCTCGCCCACACGAAAATCTGCTTGCATCACCACTGGCCGGTAATACAGATCAGCTAGATCCTTCTGGGTTGGACGACTTTTTGGACCTCGAAAAAGAACTTGAGTTTGGGCTCGATCGCAAATATTCTTAGCTAGCTGGTAGAATTTCGCAGCACTCTACAAGCTCTGCTACATTCCCATTTGCATTTATTCAAGACTAGTTGACAAGACAAGACATTCGTTAGCGTGTATGCCACCAAAGCATAGCTGTTTTTTGGCGGTGAGGCCAATTCGAAGAAGAGTAAAGATTGATATGCTCGTTCTGCCAAAGATAATCTTACACCACAAGGAAAGAACACAGTGCTATTCTAAAATGCTGGCAATCATCTCGACAGTCGGTTTTGTTAAAAAGATGGGCATTTTTACTTAGTATGGTTTTTAATGTTTATAATTCAATAACGACAATCAACAACTTAACCCTGTGTTTTATAGATGACTCTGACTAAAAACATATAAGCAGCCAAATATCAGTTACTCATTATATCAAAACGGCTAGATAGACCACTTCTCCCTCGTTCCGCAATAGTAGGGATTATTTAGACACCACAAGGTAGCGTTTAGTCGAGTTCCAATGCAGTTTGAGGATGAGGACTTGGAACCGCTCAGATGTGACGTTGGCAGGTGGGAAAGAAAACAAAAGAGAGACGTCATTTCCGTTAGACTGGCGTTATTGGCCCTGCTGGTCTGGGGCGCTTGTCTTCTTTTAAAATTGACAGATTCCGGGGGCTCTGGCACCTCTCCTTCTTTCTTGTCTTTCAGATGGCCTTGGCCATTTTATTCAGGGGAACCCAGCTTGAACAAGATATCTTTTGAGAACGTTCGCAATTCAACGTTCGTTCCTCAGTTGCATTCTATTCAGTGGATCGAATCTCTCAACTCCAAAGGAGATGACAATGGGCTGTTTTTAAAGGAAGAAAAAGGCAGTTATGTTGTGAAATCAGTATTTGACCAAAGCTACTCAAAAGTTCTTCTAGACTTCATGAACTTTCAGCACAACGGTCACAATTATAGTGTCGAGTATGTGAAAGCATCTCCAGACCTGTCGCAAGTTCTAGTGCGTTCCAACACGACCAAGAGCTGGAGGCATTCGACTTTCGGGTCTTACTTCCTTCTGAATAAAAGCAATGGTGCTTTGAATCTTTTAGGCCACGACCTAGCCATTGTTCGGTGGTCCCCAAACTCGAAGGATTTGGCCTATGTCCACAACAACGACATTTATCTGTATTCCGCGGAAACACATACAGTGAGTGAACGTGTCACTAGCGATGGGAGTGCACAGGTTTTCAATGGCAAACCTGACTGGGTTTACGAAGAGGAAGTCTTTGAAGGTGACTCTGCGTTGTGGTGGTCTCCTAAAGGTGAATATTTGGCTTACCTTAGAATCAACGAGACCCTGGTGCATGAATTTCCAATTCCTTATTTCGCTCAGGATGAGGCTGATATCTATCCCGAGGTTCGCAAAATCAAATACCCTAAAAGCGGGAGTTCAAATCCACATGCAACGCTGAAGGTTTACGATCTCGAGAATAAAAGAGTGTCTGCGGTCGAACATGGAAATGCATCGACCTTAGTGACAGAGGTACTGTGGGTCGGGGACTCTAAGATTCTGGCCAAGACGAGTGATCGTTCTTCCGACATCCTTTCCGTACTTCTAGTTGATGCCGCTGAGAAAGCGGCTCTACAGGTACCAAGGGAAGAACCCTCGGAAGGGGGATGGTGGGAAATCACACACAAAACACTGTATGTCCCTCAAGATTCTTCGAAGGAAAGGGATCACGACGGATACGTAGACCTCGTACCATTTAATGGCTTCAATCACTTGGCGTACTTCTCTCCAGCGAATTCTACAGATCCTGTAATGTTAACTGGCGGGGATTGGGAGGTGGTAGACGGTCCAGCTGGAATTGACCTCGAAAGCAACGAAGTATACTTTGTTGCCACCAAAAAATCGTCAACGGAGAGACACATATACAGTGTCAACTTGAATGCACCGCTAATTGTCAAAGAAATATCCGACACCACCCGCGAAGGCTACTTTTCGGTGTCTTTATCAGCCGGCTCCAAGTTTGCCCTCATGACCTATTTGGGTCCAGAGGTTCCATATCAGAAGGTGGTACGGTTCGAATCAAACTCAAGTGACAATTCGAAGACTAGCGCCATAGTTGAAAAGACGTTATTCTATCTCGAAGAGAATGAAATATTGAAGTCAAGACTCGGAAACTATACCATACCTGAAAAAACCTTCAAAGAACTATATTTAGGAAAAGACAAAGAGGAAAATGACATCATAGCCAACTCTTTTGAGATCTTGCCACCCAATTTTAACCCGAAATTGAGAAATCATTATCCGGTCTTTTTTTATGCTTACGGTGGCCCCAACTCCCAGCAAGTTGCGAAAACTTTTTCCATTGGGTTCAACCAGGTTGTCTCATCACAACTAGATGCAATTGTTGTAGTTGTTGATGGTCGTGGGACAGGTTTTAAAGGCAGAAAATTTCGGGCCCTTGTCAGGGACAATTTGGGTGACGTTGAAGCACAAGACCAGATAAGCGCCGCAAAAGTCTACGCAGCCAAGTCCTTTGTCGATGCAGATAAAATTTCACTTTTCGGGTGGTCATACGGTGGATATTTGACGCTCAAAACACTTGAAAGAGACGCGGGTCGGACCTTCAAGTACGGAATGTCAGTGGCGCCTGTGACCGATTGGCGATTGTACGACTCTGTTTACACCGAGCGGTACATGCACACTCCTCAAGAAAACAGAAAGGGATATGAAAAATCAAAGGTTCATAATGCCACTGCCTTGGGACAAGCTACAAGATTTTTACTGATGCACGGATCCGGGGACGATAATGTGCATTTTCAAAACTCTCTGAGGTTCTTAGACATTTTGGATCTGGCAGGAGTCGAGAATTACGACATGCACGTTTTTCCAGATTCTGACCATAGCATCCGTTACCACAATGCGAACAATATAGTCTTTGACAAGCTTCTAAACTGGGCGTCTCAGGCGTATGACGGCAGGTTTCTAAATTGATAAAAAGGTGTCGAATATGGCAAACATACACAAAATCTAAGCACAAACAGCTAGGTTTTACACGAAAGAACGTGTCTCATTGATCTTTCAGTGAGTATCCGAAAGTTCATCTGCAGTATTCAAGAGAATCGAAAACGAAATTCATAGAAACAAAGATGGTAGAATGATGAGTCAAAAACTTGACAAGTTCACTCGAAATATAAAACCGAGAGAAATGGGCAAGGCCTTGGTGCTCAAGGTCTATTCCTATAGGTGTTCCTTTAGAGGACTGTTTAGACTTCTACCAACTGTTGAAGACTATGTGTCACATACGTTAATAATGATATAAAACAACCTTTAAAGTTCTCGGTGGCGAACTCACTACTAAACTTCCTCCAGATCACACCAACAAGTGTAGCATTGCAGGCCTAACAAGCGATTCTTGTGAGTTTCAGGGCTGCAATTAAACTGTGATTATCGACAATGGTGGAAGAGAACTCGAAAGCGCCGGAAAAGTCCGTTCAAGATTCTACTAAATCTCAAATACCGACCAAAGATGGTGGGGCCGCTAACAAGAACAGTGCGGTTAAGGAAGCAGAAGAAGAACTTTCAGAAGAGGATCTTAAACTGAAGAACAATTTGGAAACTCTGGTGGAGAGGTTACTGGAGGACGATACAACGCTTTATGAGCCTTCCCTTGCTCAGTTAAAGGAACTGGTGCGCGATTCTACTAGTTCAATGACAGCTGTTCCCAAGCCGTTGAAATTTTTACGTCCATTCTATCCACAGATGTGTGAGGTCTTCGACAAATGGAATGATGCGAAGCTCAAATCGATCATGGCGGACACGCTTTCGGTTTTGGCGATGACTTACTCTGATGAGGCCAAGCGGGATTCGTTGCGCTTCAGGCTTCTTTCTGAGGAGAAAGATGTCGCCAGCTGGGGTCACGAATATGTGCGCCATTTGGCTCTAGAGATTGGAGACGTGTACAACGAACAAGTCGAAAAAGAAGCTGGGGATTCGTCAGAACCTTCTCCTGAACCAGCAGCCACGGGTTCTAAGGGACCCCTCAATGTGTCAAAGGAAGCTCTTGTTCATCTGTCCCTTGAGATTGTGCCATATTTTTTGAAGCACAATGGCGAAGCTGACGCTGTCGATTTGCTTCTGGAAATTGAATCTATTGATAAGCTTCCTCAATTCATTGACGAAAACACATTTCACCGCGTTTGTCAGTATATGATCGCGTGTGTTCCTCTATTACCACCTCCAGATGATGTCTTCTTTCTACAGACGGCTTATTCCATATACTTGAGTGAGCTGCAGCTGACAGAGGCACTCGCTTTGGCCATCAGATTAGATGACGAATCTTTAATAAGGGCTGTATTTGATGCTACGTCCGACCAGGTTGTTCACAAGCAGCTTGCGTACATTCTTTCGGCTCAAAAGTCATCTTTTGAATACGAAGGCGTTCAGGACGTAATTGGCAACACTAAGCTATCAGAACACTTTCTGTATTTGGCTAAGGAACTTAACCTCACAGTACCAAAAGTTCCTGAAGACATATACAAGAGTCACTTGGATAGCTCATCAAAGGGAGTATTTGCAGGGACTGGTCTAGATTCTGCACAGCAAAACCTTGCTGCATCCTTCGTTAATGGCTTCCTGAATTTGGGTTATTCTAGCGATAAGCTAATTGTTGGTGATGACAACTGGGTTTACAAAACTAAAGGTGACGGAATGACGTCCACTGTCGCCAGTATCGGATCCATTTATCAGTGGAACTTGGATGGTTTGCAACAGTTAGACAAGTATCTCTATGTTGACGAACCTGAAGTGAAGGCTGGAGCTTTATTGGGTATTGGTATATCCGCTTCTGGCGTGCATGACGGTGAAGTTGAACCCGCAATGCTGTTGCTACAAGACTACGTGACGAATCCTGACCAAAAGTTAAGTTCTGCGGCTATTCTAGGTCTTGGAATTGCTTTTGCTGGAAGCAGAAATGATGAGCTATTAGGTCTTCTACTTCCAATAGCTGCTGACACGAACTTACCAATTGAAACGTCCGCCATGGCTTCCCTTGCTTTGGCTCATGCCTTCATAGGTACTTGTAACGGAGATGTTACGACTGCAGTCGTTGACAATTTGCTTGAACGCACTGCCTCAGAGCTTAAGACTGAATGGACTAGATTTTTGACGCTGGCTTTAGGGATTTTATATCTAGGTCAAGGTGACCAAGTTGAAGATGTTATCGAAACCATCTCTGCTATAGATCACCCCATCACATCTGCCATCGAGGTTTTGATAAATGTCTGTGCCTTCACAGGTACCGGTGATGTCTTGCTCATCCAAGATCTTTTACATCGTTTGACTCCGAAAGAAAAGAAGGAGGAGGAAGAGGAAGATGATGATGAAGAGGAAGTCGCTGAGTTGGAAGACGCAGTCGAGCAAGAAATTGCTGATTCGTTGAATTCCTTAAAAAAAGGAGAAGCCGATAATGACGGCGACGAAAAGATGGACGTCGGTGAAGAGTCTCAAAAGGACGGTGACAAGGCACCAGAAGGCGAAGAAGCCAAGAGCAAGGAAGAAGAAAAAAAGACTCAGGAAGAAGAAGAAAAAGAATATGCTCTCATCGATGAGCTCACCTACGCCGTCCTAGGTATTGCCATGATCTCTATGGGTGAAGAGATAGGTAAAGAGATGTCTCTGCGCCATTTCAGTCATTTAATGCATTACGGTAACGATCAAATCAGAAAAACCGTTCCTCTAGCCATAGGTTTGCTTTCGGTTTCAGATCCCCAAGTGAAAATCTTTGACACTCTCTCGAGGTCGTCTCACGATCCTGACCTAGACGTTTCAATGAACTCTATCTTTGCAATGGGCCTCACAGGTGCAGGTACAAACAACGCCAGATTGGCACAGCTGCTAAGACAACTAGCTGGTTACTATTCCCGCGAACAAAACGCTTTGTTTATAACCAGATTGTCACAAGGTTTGGTACATATGGGGAAGGGAACAATGACTTTCGATATCCTCAACGATGCTCAAGTCTTGAACAAGGTCACCTTAGCGTCCTTACTCACAGTTTTGGTCGGATTAGTAACACCTTCCTTCATGTTAGAACATCACTACCTGTTCTACTACCTCAACAGTGGTGTTAGGCCGAAGTACATTTTGACCGTGAACGAAGAAGGTGAACCTATCAAGGTAAACGTGAGAGTAGGCCAGGCTGTGGACACGGTCGGACAAGCAGGTAAACCTAAGACTATCACAGGTTGGATAACTCATTCTACACCAGTACTGCTGGGACACGGTGAAAGGGCAGAACTTGAGACTAATGAGTATATTACTTATGCCAGTCGCCTTGAAGGTGTTGTCATTCTAAAAAAGAACCCAGACTACCGTGAAGAAGAATAAGACGAGATCATGGTGAACACGCTAGATTTGTTTATGTATATAAAAAGACGAAACAATTTAGCTGTCCTGTTTAGTAATGATAAATTTTTGAAAAGATGCGGACCTGTGAATAGCTTCAAGATCTTTTTACACCCAATGAGGGACTTTGCGTGGGCAGCATCGAACAGTGGATTATTTTATCGTAAGTGAAATTTGTCGAAGGTCACAACAGTTCTTGCCTGGAAATCAGCTTCAGAAATGATGTGCTTCGTTAGTGTGTGATCAGCTGAATTCAACGGCCTTTCCTGCCATCAAAAGTCCAACGATTAGGCCCAGTAGACCCAACACAGAGCCAAAAATTTCGATAACGAGAATTTTGACGAACAATCCAGAGTCGGCCGCATCGGAAACAGCGGCAGTGGCACCCGTAATTCCGACTGCAACACCACAAATTAGGTTGGACACTCCAACGGTGAGACCGGCCCAAAATAGTGAATATCCAGTGTACAGGTTCGATTTTGAGAACATAGTTTCACGAGTGGCAGTAGTCAACTTGGCTGAGAACACAATAGCCATGATCAGCCCGTAAATGGCCACCACTTCACAGAAAATAATGGAAATCAAATTTTTGGTCGTAATACGAGGTGCACGCACACCAGCTCCGATGATCGAAGATCCGGTAACAAATATACCCCAAGCAGCCCCCACCACACTGAGCCCAATACACATCGCAATCCCCAAGTTTGCCCACATGTAGGGCGATGTTCTTGTCAGAAACTTACCGAAATTAATGTCTTCACCATGTCCGGTGAATAATTTGTATCCAGCGTACCATAGCGCTACTGCTATAACGATGTAACGCACAACTTGCGAGTAAGAAAGCCCTGACGCTCCCATTGATGACTCGGATTTCGTGGCCATAAGGAAAGGAAAGACGGCAACGATTGCGCTAGTAAATGTAGAGAGTTTTGGGTGGTAAGTGTTCGGATTAGGGTTAAGAAGAGATGGTTTAATTGATATCTATAAATTTGTATGACCGTATAAAAATTGAGTCGTCGATAGCGAGTAGAGAGACGAGGAGAGGAACGAGTAGAGGTACGAGTAGATGAATTATATGGAAAAGCGACACGAAGTAAGAAAGCCAATGTCGAGCGAGTTGGTAATGGTTTAGTTGCAGACGGATATTGGTGAATTTTGGTGAGGGTATTCTATGTGGAAAGTTTCACTAGTTACGATAGGATTTTTTTGGAAATTTATGTTCATAAAAATCTGTTGACGAAGTTTAACGGCTCAAGTGTATTGTTTATTTAGAGATGATGTATTCTTGATTCGAAAATTAAAAATGCCTGATTATAGATATAACATTCCCTTTTCAAAAGTGGGAAAGCCAAGTTGAGGCGAATTCATCTTGGTAGAATTTGGTAGCCTCCACTGGCGCAGGTCACGTGCCACCTGACTTTTCTCGCTAAACCGTCTCCTAAGCTTTACATCTCTACTTTGAGACACCGTACTCTTCACAATTAGTTGAGTTCTTGTGATTCAAGAGCTTGGTGATAGGGACGCATGCTATTTGTCTCTTATGTATTCGCTAAGACGTTAAGGATCGTGTTAACGCATGTGCAGAGAACACGCAGAGTCTTGAGTTTTGATCAGCAAGATTGAAGTACAGAACAAGATCCCAGAATATTCTTCAAAACTTTTAGAAGATTAATTCGATTCTTCACAGAAACTCGTTATTAGAATGTTTCTGGAGCGTTTCCCGCGACCAATGTCTCACACTTTTTGATGATATTCTCCATTGTAAAAACAGCTATTTCATTGAGACTTGGATGTCTCTTGCGATATAGTATTCAAAACACTCAAGACTACCATGTATGCTGAGAAGACCAAAATGCTTATATGATCAAGCCAAAAGTTTTCAACCAGCTGATGGAAATTTCTCATAAGTGTTCGCACACCTACAGACCAACAAACTAGCCTCTGACCATTTCAGAGTGGGGTAGGTAATGCTTAGAGCCCCATAGCGGCTCTTGTGATTCGGCGAGGAGCTAGGTTTCCAACGGTGTCGCTGTCATTCAATCACGTGATCGAGACGAATCACCAACATTTGTAATGTGACGCTAGACATCCAGGAGGTCCAAACACTCCGGAGAGATCCATTCCATCGTTTTTTGAACTACTGAGACACAACTACCACCGTCACGAGAACTTAGGAAGCGCTTAAAACGTGCGAAACACCGACTGCTACGAAAGCACGTAGACCAAGTAGTACACATATTGTGTAAATCAGAAGAGCGTTGCAAAGATCCAGCTGCCTCTCTTCCTGTGTATAATTAAAAGCATAACCTTGAAGGGCCATTCCTCCTTCTCCAAGTGTGTCTTGTTCAGATCACGTGACCAAGAAAACCTATACTGTTTCTTTGTCACATTTCCCGCGAACTTCATTCATCTCTTTACAGCTCTCTTACAACCTAGATCTCTCTACAATGTTGCTCTCAAGTTATCTTTCAATGCCTCGCTCTAGCTAAGAAGACAGCAACTGGTACACTACTCACTCTCAACGATTGTGTCGTAATTTCGATATTTACCATCGGCTAGATACTTCCAATTTTTCCGTCTTAGATCCTCAACTATATTAACGTCAATTGCCAAGTGAACATCCAAAGTCCACCTTACGAGCGAATCTCAAAAAGTATATAAGGAACTGGTCCAATGGTCGAGAAATAAGATCTGGTTACTCAATTAACTCTACTTTATCAGTATAGTTCAAACCCGTCACTAAAACTGTCTCTTTACAGCTCTTACCGACTTCTGTAAGACTAATTGACAGCGAAATTAAAGGAAGCGACACATTTCAACACTTCGAAAAAAAAAAATATCCACGATGCTCACTCCTCAAGAACTGAGACAAGCTCACTTCAAGGCAGTGGCCGGTTATGGATTGATGGGTCTCACATGGACACCAGAACCTGCCCCTAAGGAAGTTGCCTTTGCTGCCATTGACAAGGCGATTGAATTGAGTGCTAAACCAGTTCTTCTCAATGTAGGTGAACTTTATGGACCAGATTGGGCCAATTTACGACTAGCCCGCGAATATTTTGCTAATCGTCCAGGATATCGTGAAAAGGTGATTGTCAGTTGTAAAGGGTGCGTAGATCTCAAAACCTTGACTCCAAAGGGAGACCGCGCCAGTGTCATTGCCTCAGTCGAAAACTCCGTCCGTGAGTTTGGTGGACCAATCGATATCTTCGAACCAGCTCGTATTGACACCAAATTAGCGGGCTCCAATCCTTACGCAGCCGAGACGTTCGACACTTTGGTCGAGTTTATTCATAAGGGCGTCATTGGAGCCATTTCTTTGAGTGAGGTCAATGCCGAGCAGATCCGTGCTTTAGATGATAAATATCACGATTACATCGCATGTGTCGAAGTTGAGCTTTCGCTTTTTTCACCTCATATTCTCTCTGATGGTGTCGCCGACATTTGCAATGAAAGAGGCTTGCCCATTCTGTGCTACTCTCCATTGTGTCGTGGTTTCCTGACAGGAGCGATCAAATCCGCCAATGACATGAAAGACGGCGACTTCCGTAAGGCGTTGAAGAAATTCAGTGGTGATGCTTTCGAGCACAACATGCAACTACCCAGATTCTTGCAAAAGGAAATCGTCGATAAAAGAAACGACGGCACCACCCTTTCCCAAATTGCTTTGGCATGGATTGTGTCTTTGAACGCCAAATACCCAAATACTCGATTCATCCCACTTCCTGGTGGATCCTCCACCCGTCGTGTTGAGGAAAACCTTTCCTTCAAGCAGCTCACAGAGCAGGAGCTGGCCAAGATCGACAAGTTCCTCGAGAACTTTGAGGTTGTCGGTGACAGGTACGAAACAATATAAGGGGAACATGTTCCTCGAACTAGCTGATACATCCTAAATATATTCACCATTAACAAGATATGCCGATACATATACTACAACACTTATTTTACATTAGATATGACAGTAAAAGCACAAGGCTATGGAAATAAGAAATTTTAGACAAATCATTTGTCCCCACACCTGTGAACGCGTAGATTCATGTACCTCTATGTTACGAAACAGATATATGGAGCTTCAAGTTAGATGATATCGCTCAAGTGAGACTGATGGACCTTTTTCAACAGTTCAAAGCTTCAATTGATTAAGTCGCTGTTTCAAGCGTCAAGAAAATTTCAAGTGTGCTGGTATAGCTGTAAGTTGCAAATTATGGTGCTCAATACTCACCTTCATTACTTGCATTTTTGAAACAATTATATCTATCAAGTTCTAAACAAGTCTACAGCATGTGTGCTGCGAATCGCCAATTGTTTATTTTAGTTTTTCTCTTCATGCTCTTTGCTAGATTTTTGAGTAGAAACCGTTGCACCATCGTATGCAAGATCGAGTAGCTTCCAGCTGCAGCCGATCTCTTTCTTGGCAAATCTGTTGATGATTTCCAAGGCAATGTCTTCGAAATTGTCTACGGCTAGAGCCAAGATGGTGGGCCCAGCACCAGAAAGACATATACCCAAAAGACCGGGGTACGTGGATGGGGTTACACTAGACAAGATCTCCGTGAGGCCTGGAATCAAGGTCTTTCTGTAGGGTTGGTGGACACGGTCCTGCATTGCTGGGTAAATCAAATCGGAGTTTGGAGGAGACTGAGTCAAAGCGGTGGTTAACACGGCTAGTCTTTGCAAATTGAAAACCAAATCCTTTGCCGTGTAAGCTTGAGGCAACACACCTCTGGAATCGGCCGTAGAGACTTCAAAGTTTGGAATGATGGCAATGCACTTAATGACCCTGTTCCAGTTGTAGCGCACATGACGACCGATGTCAGTTGGCGGACTGGGAGGTACCAGACCGGTGTCCTCACCACCGCTGGGCTCGCACAAGACTTCACTCAAGGGGATTTCACGTCTCTCCATTTCGGCAGGCGTCAAATCTCTCAAAAACGATCCCACAAAACCACCCATCATGGCAGCTGTGATGTTGTCTGGATGACGTTCAATCATCAAACAGTAGTCCAGCATACGCTGTTTGGAGAAGCCTAGTTGACCCACTTCATTGCCAAGCATGACACCAGCCACAACAGCAGCTCCAGAGGATCCCAGCCCGCGTCCCAGTGGGATTGGGTTATGTATATGGACTTTTGTTCCTGATGGGAAAGATCTGTTCCCATTGCATCTCAACACGTATAGAGCAGTTCTAGTGATCAGATTTTCGTCCGATTTCAACGGAACACTTCCAAAGCCCTCACTATCCTCAGTGTAAGTGATTTTGCAGTTGTTTGGATCTGAATTGGTATCTTGGGCGTTTTTGGTGTTGATCTCAACGTCAAGCGTCAAGTACAACGCTAAACCGATACCAAGCACATCGTAACCAGGACCGATATTAGCGGAAGACGCTGGGACACTTATGTTAAAGCTGCGAGGCATGTTGCAAGACTTTAAGACGGGTTATTCAGCTAGATTTCGTCTCTTTACAAGAGATTCTCTTGAGTTGAACACATTGTTGAGTCATGTATAAGTACTTGAATGGACGATTTTAGTCAATTTACACATCGTGTAAGATGATAATAATCAAAGCTCAAAGAGTCATTTCAAGCTTCAATTTGACGACAGCGACGACTCAGTTTGTGAAGGTATTTTGAATCATTCGATGTGGTGAGATTTCTGAATTTTTATCAGGAGAATTTGAATAGTTGGTGTTATCGGGGTCGAAAATTGAGCGCTGAAGATTGTCTTGAGCCAGCTTTAAATTTGAGTTAGTTGGTTATACATTTTTGGTAAAGAGTCCTTTTCAAGCTAAGGCGAGATTCTCATTATTTCGGGAGTCGATTGTAAAGACAATTGGATTTGTTTGATTACTGTGCAAATCGTCTATTATTGTTTATGGCTAACTCAGTATATGTGTGAGAAATCCATCGCAGAAGAATGGGGAATACAGGCCATGTTGCAAGTAAATTATTGGCTCTTGGTACTCTTCTCCCAAATCGTGCAACCGATGCCGGTCGATTGAAAGTTCATCCAGTTGTGGTCGCATGGAGTATATCATTTTGTTCTTGCCCGTCACGAGCACGTGATCTGGCGCCGGACGAAAAGGTTTACATGGATCAGAAACACTCTGATTAACAGCAATTAGCATAACCAGACGATCACTGAACATCGGGTCGTTTCCCCTATACATCCCTCCACACTACGAGATTTAACTACAGCTCGGAAATGTTTTTGAAAAGCCGCGACAGAAATTTTCGACGACACGAAAAAAAAACAGAAAACATAGTCCTCCTAAAAGCAGGTAGACTGTCCTCTATTATGAACTTTCAACCAGGAAAAATGAAAAAAAAAAACTCCGTCTCTTCAACTGGCTTGGCTTAACTCTTCCTTACGATTTCCTCCTTATAGACAGCTTGTTCATTTCAATTTTTGCGCCGGAACTCTCACCTATTTCAGCAGCATTTGCACAATTGATTTTGAATCTTCAAGCTCTCTTCTTCAAAATGGTTCATTCACACATAGTTTTCTCGAATCCATGCTCTCCTCCGATCACTGACATCGGCAGTAAGGATCGCTTTCCCACCAACAAAGCATCAAACGATAGCCTCTAATCTTTTGAAAGACAATAAGTAGCATTTAGCATACATTTCATAAACGTAGGGGCCACACCCAGTCTCTCACTGTTACAGACTCGTTGATCCTTCTTCAACTACAACTGTTATTGAGCTTCGCATGTCACTCTGTACTAATTTGATGTATATATTATGAAGACTGCAAGAAGGTCAGTCTTACCACCGCGATAAATGTCCATTCCAGAGCGCTAGTTGGTTCTTTTGAGCATATTTCGAATTGAGTGTGAACGCTAGCATTTATTTTAGGAATGCTCAGAGCAAAACCGCTTTCTTTACGATCTTTTTACTCGAAAGTCGTGAGCAGTAATGAGAATCATCAAGTCTCTAAACTAGCCAATGGGTTACGTGTAGCCACCAGCAATGTTCCAGGCCATTTTTCAGCGCTGGGACTATACGTGGGAGCTGGTTCCCGTTACGAAACGCTGAAAACCAAAGGGTGCACTCATATAACGGATCGGTTGGCTTTTAAATCAACACAGCATATGTCTGGACGGGAGATGGCCGAGACTTTAGAGCTTTTGGGCGGAAATTACCAATGTTCCAGCTCTCGTGAAACAATGATGTATCAGGCCTCAGTCTTCAACAACGATGTGGAAAAAATGTTTGCATTGATGGCGGAAACTGTAAGATTTCCACGCATCACAGCAGAAGAACTCGAAGAACAAAAACTAACGGCACAGTATGAGATTGACGAGGTTTGGAATAAACCCGAGTTGATTTTACCCGAGCTGTTGCATGTCACAGCGTATTCGGGCGAAACTTTAGGGTCCCCTCTTCTTTGCCCCAAAGAGCTCATCCCATCGATCTCAAATTACTATTTGAAAGACTACAGACAAAAACTATACACACCGGACAATATTGTCGCTGCATTTGTCGGAGTCCCTCATGAACAAGCTCTAGCTTACGCCCAGAAACATTTTGAGAGTATGATGGCTCCCGCTGGTCATAGTGCTCGGGAAACGAAGGCAGCAACTTACACCGGTGGTGAACTGTGCATTCCCCCTGTGCCCGTTTTCGGAAACCTACCAGAGCTATGTCATATTCAAGTAGGCTTCGAGGGCTTACCGATAGGACATCCAGATATATATGCTCTTGCCACTTTACAGACTTTACTGGGAGGTGGGGGTTCTTTCAGCGCCGGCGGACCAGGGAAGGGAATGTACTCCCGTCTCTACACTCATGTCTTGAACCAGCATTTTTTCATTGAAAATTGTGTGGCATTCAATCATTCTTATTCAGATTCTGGAATTTTCGGAATCTCCGCATCGTGTGTCCCACAAGCGGCACCATATATGCCTGAAATTCTTGCCCAACAAATGGCCAACACTTTCTCGACCGGCAAGCTAAGACTGACCGAAGAAGAGGTATCCCGAGCCAAAAATCAGCTCAAGTCATCTCTATTGATGAATTTGGAATCGAAGCTTGTAGAGCTTGAAGATTTGGGAAGGCAAGTACAAATTCATGACCGCAAAATTCCAATAGGTGAAATGATCTCAAGTATTGAGAAGCTCACGGTGGAAGATATCAGGAGAACGGCTGAAAACGTCTTCTGTGGCAAGATTCAGAACGAAGGGCAGGGAACCGGTAAGGCGACTATTGTTATGCAGGGAGACAGAGAAGCATTTGGCGATGTCGAGACAGTGTTGAGGTTTTACGGCTTGGGAAACTACGAAAAACTCGATGTTTCTACTTTCAAAAAATCCAAAAAAAAAGGTTGGTTTTGAGCGCGATAGACTTTGAGAAACTTGTATATACATTTACAGAACAAAATTGCCGTCATTCATTAATAAGCACTGCTATATGAACAGCTCTTCATTTGAGCGGGCGTCAATGCTTTGACGTCTCTTCGACACGTCATCGAATTTTTCTTTCCACAGGTCAAGCTCCTTTTTCAAATAAAGGATTTGTTCTTCTTGGTAGGCTCTATCACGTTCCATCCGTCTTCCATCCACCTCTTGTTTCGCCACATAGTCTTCTAAGACTCCAAGCCTTTCGACCTTTTCCATTATCTCACGATTATATTCCTCCCTATTCGAGTTCGCAGTGGCAATGGTGTCGGCTTGTTTTGTGTTAATTAACTTGAGCTCCTCGACAGTACGTTCTAATGCCTTAGTTTTCTTGATCTCTTCGAACTTTGCATCAGACTCTTGAGCTACGAGATCCTCGAGCTCCTGAACTCTTGATAGCCATGCTTCCTGCTCAGTTTTATCAGCGAGCTTTGATTCTAACGCCGATATTGTGTATTTGAGTTGATCATTTGACTTGCCTAAAGACGTGTTCTCCTCATGGAGTGTTATGTTTTTGTCTTTCTCGGCCACTAATTGCGACTTTGCTTCTGCGAAGGAGGATTGTAACTTCCCCACTAAGGATTCGTTGCGATCGTTCTGCTGTTGCTGTCGACTAAAAGCTTCTTCAAGCGAATGGAGTCTAGTTTCAAGGGCCTTTTTTTCGTCTTCCGACTTGTCAATGCGTGTTTTATCCTCATCAGACTTAGCTATCAAACTTGCTCGGTGAGATTCCAATTGATGCTTCTCTTCCAACAGACTTGTAACAGATGTGTTAAGATCGTCTAATTTACCTTGCAATCTTGCAAGAGCAGCTTCCAGCTCTTCTCGAACGGATATTGCTGCATCCCTTTCTTTGACCAATGCCCCGATAACCTGTTCGTAATGCGAGGTTTGTCTTAGTAAATCCTCAATTTTTGATTCATAGTCGATCCTTGCGGTTTCTAAGGTATAATTTGTCGATGAGTTTTCCTTTTTGAGTTCTGTCTCAGCTCTGAGCGAAACACTGAGGTCGCGTTTGAGTTTTTCAATCTCGTTTAGTAGCTGGCTTTGATCTCCAGCAGATTTAAATCGATCCTTGAAATGAGCAAGGTCCTTATTCAAAATCTCGATTCGGGATTGCAATTTAGTCACATCAATGTTTCTCTCTTCGACTTCTAATTCAAGTTCATTGTTGCGCGTCTCCACTTCCCACAGTTGCCTATCCTTTTGTTTGTTTTGACTTTTCAGTCTCTCCACAATCGTGGTCATAGTTTTGATGTCAGCCTCTGATTCTTTCAAACAGTGAATCATCTCTTTGAGTTGCTCCTCTGTAGCATGGAGGTCGCCAATGCAGTTTTCGTATTGTACCTTGTGGTTGTTAGAACTGGTCGCAAGCAGATGATTCCGCCTCTCAGAGACATCCACCTCCTTTCGCAATTGTGTAAGCTCATCCTTTAAAGCCGATTTTTCAGATTGATGCTGCTTTATGATTTTTTTAAAATGAGTTGTTTGTTTCTCTGATTCATTCAAAAGATCCTGGAGCTTGTAATTTTCTAGCTTAAAAAATCTCAAGTCTTCTTCATATTTGGCGACGGCGCCACGCTGTGTGAAAATCTCACCGTTGCTGAGATTAGTCTTGTCTCTTAAAGCTTGTGACATGAATTTTGACTCCAAGGTTTTGAGCCTTTGTTCACTAGCCTCATATTTGAGGCGAAATATGTCAGAAGAGGAATCTGACCTCTGTATTTGCTTTAGTTTGCTGTGCAAAGCTGAAGCGGCATTCTCAGCATCCAGCCTGGCTTGCTTCTCGGTGTGCAAATGGCTTCGGAGGTATTCGACCTCCAGTATGAGTTTCTCATGGTTCAGCTCGACCGGTTCAACTTGGCTTAGGATCTCTTCCACATTGGCTTTCATGTTTCCGTTAGCAAGTGCAGTTTTCAAGGCCCGTAATTGCGAGGACATGGTTTGAATTTCAAAAGATGCCGATGCCAGTCGTGTCTCAGTGAATCTCAATTTCGAAATGAGGTCCTTTTTCTGACTCGTCTCTTTCTCGAGACGGTAAGAAGCATCCCGCAACTTTATTTGCAAATCGTCAAATGCCTCCGAAACTTCAGTTCCTTGTATCGAATTAGCATTCCGTTTGTCATTGAATGAGCCCGAGGATGAGCGAACTAATGCAGTGTCTAGGAGTTTTTCATTCAGGAACTTCGTCAGGGATTTCTCTCTCGCAAGTTGCTCCGTCAGTGAATCAATGCTTTTACTTTCCCGCTCATTTTGGGCTGGTACTGAAGATCCAGACCCTCCGCAAGATTTGGATTCGTCTTGCAAAGTCTTATAAGTTTGCTCCAAGACTTGATACTTTTTTTTGTACTCTGCAAGCTCTGCTTGAATGTCTTTGGATCCGCTTATCAGACTGCTGTGTTCTGAAGAAAGCTGATCTCTTTCCTTGTTGAGCGATTGGATCAAAGTTTGGTTCTGTTCCGTGCGTTCGAAGACCCTCCGAAGCTCTTTTTCTTTTGACTTCAAATTATTTTGGGCTTCCGCATACTCTTTTTTTGATCTTTCCACCAATGCTCTCAAATTCTTATTCTCTTCCACTAAGGACTCCAATCTTTTGCTAGTACTGTGAAATCTCTTTTCCAAGCTTTGTAAGGTTCTTTCCAGCTCAACATCAGAATTCGAGAGCTTGATTTTTAGCTCGGCTATGTTAGAATCTTTGGAGGAGAGCGATTTCTCGATTTCGGCCTTTTCTCGACTCAATATGTTTTTTTCCGTTTCGAGACGAGACTGTGTATCCCTTGCCTCACTCAATTCCGATCGAAGATCATTGATTATTTTGACCAAGTCTTCTTTCTCTTTCTGAACCGTGAGCAACGTAGTTTTAGCCTTTGTTGACCCGTCTTGTGCGCTTTGTAAATCGCCTTGCGATTTTTCGAAAGTTTTTTGGAGAACTGTCTTTTCATTGGCGAGTGCAAGTTGCACTTTCTCCGATTCCTTGAACAGATCATTAAGTTCCTTCTGTTTACTCTTGATCAGTTCCAGTGCTGTTTCTTTTTCCTCGAGGTTTTTAGTCTCTACCTGCAGCAATTCCTTTACGCTGGACAGATCTTTAGCGAGGCTAGACTTCTCGACGCCTAGTTTTTCGTTCAGTTCATTGACTCGTTTTAACTCGGCTTCCAGTTGCTTGACGTTCTCGGCTATTTTCTTTGTCTTGGAAATTTCCTGCGTGGAATCCAATAGAGGTTTGATTTTAACGTATAAACTAAACCATGGGTCTTTCATTAACTTGTCATAAGATGTGAAGGCAACTTTTAGTACTTGAGCAGCCTGCAGTTTTCTCAGCTGATCAGAGGTTTGTTTTCTTATTATGTTACCGTTGATTTTGGCAGTAAGTTTGGATATCATACTTGCAATGCGATCTTCTTTCTTGGTCTCTAAGCCGGCGAGAACGCCCGCCTTGAAAAAGAGTTTGCTATTCCCCACCTTGAATAGTGCTGGATCGAGGTGTAAAGCAGACAAAACTATTTCACAATTTTTCTTGGAGTTGTTTGAATAGCGGTATTCATCAGATAGAATCTTGTAACGTTGAAAGAACTCTTTGAAAAAAATACGATTCGGATAACCTTCACGAGCAATTCGAATACCTTCCAGTACACCATTGCACCGTAATTGGTCTAAAATGAGCTTTCTGTTGAAATCGTGAGCTTTCTTTTTATCGTTCGGTATAATACAGCGGACAAAGTGAGGTTCTGTAGAAGAAAGTCGGTCTAAGAGTGAGCCCAACTGAACTCTATGGCGATGGGAGGATGTCTTAAAAGAGCTCGCACTAGATTCGTCACTGCCATAAAAGTGCCTTATCAGCTCATTGGATGAATTTGATAAGAGCTGCAACAGGTTTGCCGACAAAGGATCTTTGTTTTTGGACAGCCAACCTTCAACATTGTATTCAACTTCGCCCGCATAGTGTTTTAAAATAAAAGAGTTATTCTTTTTGGAACGTTTGAACTTCGAAGACTTGTCATCACAAAATGATATAAGCTTTGAGTAGAATGTGTCATCTGTAGATTTGGGTAAAATAGACTCTTCATCCAATAGAGGCAAGACACCAGGATTCGCACTTTTTCTTTCTATAAGGTCTATAGTTGATTGTAAGTCCTTCCCATAATCGACATAACTCCACTGAACATTCTCTTTGATATACTCGTTCTGTTCAAGAACGAACATGTGATGATTGAAGAACTGCTGTAGCTTTTCATTAGTATAATTGATGCAGAGCTGCTCAAAAGAGTTGTGCTTGAAAATTTCGAATCCTGCTATATCAAGAAGACCAATGTAGTTCTCGGTCATAGAACCATGATCAAGATTGTCGTTGATTTTTTGAACAACGTGTGAAAACAGTTTTTCGTATAAAGACCTGGATAGGGAATTCAGGATGAATCGTGCCTGCTGGGAATTTTTCGACTGAACGACCCAATCTTTACCCGCTTTAGCCTTTGGACTTAGTACAGCCGTTTTGAAATCGGCCTCCGTTACACCCAGTTGTTGGCAGAGGTTTTCTACGCCATTTTTGAAAGACGCTTGTTCTGCCCTTTCGGAGACAAATTCAATGTTACCGATGAGAAGCACGATGGCTATGCATGTCAAAGCCGAATTCACCTCATTTTCTGTGAATCCAATTACCTTGAAAGATGCTAAAAGAGCGTGAAAATCTTGGGTATCATCCACACCCGGTATGCTAGCATTTGACCCGCGTAAATACCGATAGTCCCTGATGGAACTGGATTCAATTCCAAATTTGCGGAGCTCCTGTGCGCTCATGCCTGATAACATCTGGTAAAAAATATGGTAATTTCTCTCTTGGGACCCTTGTTCAACGACTCGAGACTTCTCCAGGAGGTACCAGTCGACATGGGCACCATTAATTTTACCCAATTCATCAAATTCTATTTTGATAAATTTACCAAATCTGGACGAATTGTTGTTTCGCAGCGTCTGTGCGTTTCCAAATGATTCCAAGATAGGGTTGCTTTGTAGAATCTTACGCTCGAAGCTTTCATGTGAAGTATTTGGAGAAAGTTTGTCTTCAGATGTGATGCTTGCCAAATATTGCAGGATCTTTTTCGTGTTTTCAGTTTTTCCGGCCCCGGACTCGCCTGTCACCAAGATTGACTGGTCCAGCTTCAAGGTAAGCAGATTCTGGTACGCATGCTCTGCAATGGCAAATATGTGTGGTTTGTTGTCTTCTTTTGGAGATCCGTGATACAGATTGATGTAGTCCTGTGAATATATGCGAATGTTACTATACGGATTGATTGCAACCAAGAACAGTCCCGAATACGTGTAAATAATGTCATCTGCATATCGGTTTTCCAAATTGTGAAGGACTGAAGGCTCATTCAAATGCGTCAATTCGGACATATCATCGATTCGATCAAATGTACTGGGGTTCACATCACACACCTCTTCAATTGGCAGCTCACTTTCCCGGCCGTCAACCTTGACCACTGCCCATTGCTCATCTTTGTTCTGTTTGTTTCGCAACGTTTTTTCAGTCACGAGAGCAGCCCGCACGAAAACTCGGTCTGGATCTGGAACCCATACCTCTTGCATGCTCAAAGTGCACAGATCTGAGGAATTGAAGGCTGGTGTGATCAGATTACGCGAGCTTTTGGAGGTAGGTGTTGGCTTTACATCTCGAGCTGTTTATGTGTTTTGATTTCGATATCTCAATATACACAAGACGTCCGGGTAACCAAGATCTGGAAATGGATGTCACAGCGACACACGATACACTGACACAGCTCATAGGTGACGCGAGCAAAGGTGTCAGTGTATGGGTGAAGAATGTACAAGACTGGTGGAAATAAGGCATATGCTGTGGAATTTCATTTTTTTTTTTTGTCATCTGGTGGGACCTTTTTATGAATTAATGAAAGATGCTAACATTGACACGGAAATGATGCTCGACGTGTCATGTTAATAATAATTATAGAGAAAGAGCAGGAGGAATAAGACTTTTTAAGCACTGTAATCAAAAATGTAACAAAATTTACGTAGTGACAGTTTAGCCCTAGCAATGTGTTTCTTCTCGTAAATTGTTTTGTCCACACTATTGCTAATCTAACCTACGAGTGAAATATTGGTCCGACCCAAAATATTTCAGAGCAACGGGACCGATGAATCACGCTGTGTATATTCGTGGCTTGGAGCCTTTAAAAGCCCAAAGGAGCACAATGTCTGATTCTCCGTCTCTGTCAATCGCCAATATCACTTCGTACTATAATGACACCTGTGACAGATTAATTTTCCCACCTTAAGATCAATCTAGTAGGATGGACCAATATTATCGACAACTAAGAGAAAGAAGACCGTCACGACAAGAGAGTGGGCTAGTATGATGCAAACATAATCCCTTTAATTGATACAACTCACGTAAGGTTTTCTTTATAGACCTGCTCAAACTCTGTTTCTGCTCTAGGCATGCATGATAAGCGAAATTTTTTGATTGTTCATGTTAGAGGAGAAAAATGTCGAGATTTTGGAGTAAATAGAAGATTGACCTAAAATTGTAAGATAATCTGGACTTCACTTGGTGATCCAAAACTCGCTTCAGCTTCAAACGCGAATAAAAATAACTAAAAATTCACCTTGCACCAAATCACGTGATGAATTTTAGCTATGTAGATTACATTAGGTTCCCGTCGGCATAGGTAACCAGGTAGTCATCGCGAACATAGGTGCGGTAAGAAGGGACACCCACTTCCATCTTACACTTCCCAACAAGCCGCGGTTGGCATCGGAAAAGGATTTGGCTCATAAATACTGGATATTCAAAAGATTCAACTGTCGATTGCAATGTGCAACTCACCAGGACTACCAATATCGGACGATCAGGATAGTATCATGACAGAACACGTTAGCGTTTGCACTCCAATTGGACATGCAGGATTTCCACTGCCGCATGACTATTTCAATGGCTCTGATTACGAAAATCCCAAAAGTGCAACTCCTGAATTGCTCCTCACAGATGACATTCCGTCGACATCAAGTTCAATATCAGACTTACCTTTTGAGATCAAAATTCGAGTAGCAAATCTTTTGTCGCAATACGATTTAGTGAACCTGGCAAGAACTTCAAAAAAGTTCCGTGCTGTGGCCACACAAGCACTTTATTCCAAGATTGTCGTTGACTCACGACATTCGTACCTGCATGACGCACACCAAAACATAAGCGATCGTGTCACATACGTCAAAACACGCTACAATTTTACAAGGCTACTCCGGCTGATATCCGAAAATGGCCAAAATTTGGGGTTTTTGGTCAAGTGTTTGGAAATTGTCAATCTACCAGACGGTATGAGGAAGTCCGAAATACGAGCCCTGATGAGCTGCAGTTTACCGACCATGACAAAGCTTTACAGATTCTACTGCGGAAGCGATACGCTTTCGATTCCGCCTCAATTACTGCAGTTGTTGCCCAACAAACGCTATGTACAAACATTGGCCGTAAACGTTGATTTACGACAGGATTTGGAGCATCTCGATACGTTTGCCAACGTTCAAAAACTGTCGATCAGTCCGTTTGTGGACTCAGATCGACTTGCGGCTTTTTTATCGAAGATCTTGGTGCCGGCAGTGGTGGAAAATCTGAAAGTATTGCGAATGGCTCGCGAGGATACCTCTGCACTTAGTAGGCCCAGTAACAAATCGTTGATCGTCACAGCGTTTATGTTGAATAACAATCTGGACCAGCCCGATATGGTAGAAGGCGACGAAGTGGTTCGGAATAATGACAGAGACCTGAAATTCTGGCAGTTTTTGGAGAGTGTACCGATAATGCAGGGCCGGAAATTCCAAAATTTGGAAATGCTCGAAATCTCCGGCGTGAACGTGGTCCCTGAGGACAGTCTACGGGTTGCAAAGGGACTGGATTTGAGTGCTTTGAGGTTTCTGGCGCTGAGCGATTTGCAAGAGGTGCATATCATCCCGGAAGTGGATTATGAGGTTACGGACTTTACAAGCCTTGCGTTGGAACATATGCAGCTGAGCTTCTTAGGCGGATTGGCTCCCTTTCTGCAGAATCTGCAGAGACTGCATCTGGACTTTCGGGAACCGATCAAGGACTCCGTGCACGGCTTTCTGCGGAGTCTGAAAGAAGATGCCGGTGTGTCGCTGCAGGAATTGGATCTGTGCATCCACTGGGATGACAGCAAGCTAGCACTATTTCCCAGCTGGGGTGCGCTGACGCAAAAATACATGGCTTCCGTGCTGCTGCACGCCGCCTCTTTACGAAAACTGTCGCTGCTGGCTTTTCACGACCACCGATTCTACGAGCTGCCCAAGCAAATCCCGAGCGAGACGCTTTTGCAGCTGCAGCAGTGTCATGCGCTGGAGAGCCTTAGACTTCACGGCGAATCCCTGCATCCGGCTGGGCCGTCTCTGGTAGCGAAATTCGACGGTCTTAAGACGCTGGACCTGGTCGGCAGAGCTTCTGGAGGCCCACAGCACATGGCCCTGCAGGCTGTGCATGACGGAGTGCTTGACAACTGGTTCCGTGTGATACATGTGGCCATTGCCCTTTGCAGAGCAAATCCGGCGCTCAAAAAGGTGCGCATCGACCATTGTCTGTTCGAGTGTCTACCAAACGGCACTGTAAGTCCGCAGACCGACGATCAGGACTTTAGCATAGCTACGAGAGTGCTTATGTCAGCAGATGATTGGGAGTGAGAAAACTGAACGCCGCAACATGCACGTGACCCACCGGAATCACCCGTTCACTTCTCTGCTGTTTTTTCAGCTTTTCAATGTTGCTCCTTGGGTTCTTTTCGGGTACTATTTTGAGTAACTGGCATCCCATTCTTGGCGAGCTGTAGCCCCGCCTTCTTCCACCCAGTTTTCCACTGCATAGAAACATTCTATCACTTCGTTTTCGTTGTTCTTTCGTCGCTGCAAAAAAAAATATACACCTCTGGAAAGCATAGTTGTGCCGTTTGCTCTGTAATGTGGCTTCTCGCGCGATATGCAGAAAAATAGCAAACGAACGAGATACGATCCGTTTGTTTGCGTGGTTTGACGGAAAAAACTCGCATGCTATGCAGGAAGTCAGGTGTAAAGAGCGCTGCGTGGGAAAATCCATGAGAGCAAGAACGAGAAACAAACGGATAGCAGAACGAACAACAAAAAAAAATTGGTGACTTCACAGCGATGAGCCCAATAAAGCCCGATGAAGCCCAGGCCGCGAGGCAGGTCGTGTTCGAGGCCTGAAAAAGTCTCGAAAATAATTCAATTTGCGGAAGCCATTATCGGAAAGGAGCCTCTTCTTCCTCTTTGCTTGCGTCAACGGGAGTTCGTGTTTTTTGGGATGTGCTCGATGAGCATCTATCTGTCTATCTGTATGGCATACAAGTACTGAGAGATTTCCCTCAGTCTGTTAGAGTGGAAAAATTGCATCTATCGAGAAAAGAGACAAAACCGAAGAAAAGAACTCCGGGACGATCTAGAAGTGCAACAGAAGGAAACCCAAACGACAATTCGAATCAGGAGAAAAATACATCATTAAGGCTCTTGCATTTCCATTAGATTTTTGAAGTTTTACATCTTTTTGAGTTAAAGTCACGTGATGCTACCGTTACTGTACGACATGAGTCTACCAGAGACAAGTCTTCCGAGAGAGTTGGATCTTCTTAACGCCAGAATAGCGGTTCTTGGATGTCGCGGATGTGGCAAAACATCTCTGTCTGCCCGTTGGTGTCGTGGCAGTACACCGTTGCCGGAATCGGACGCTTACAACATCGGAGAGGACATTTTCCGTCGAAAAATGCTGTATCCAGCGCTAGTCGGCTCTAAAAACTTCAGCGAGTACAATATGATGCAATTGCATCTCATAAGCAACATAGTAGAGTTTGAGCTCGAAAAAGTGCAAAAAGAATATCAAAACGCAGTGGTCGCCGCGAATGCATCAGTACCGCATCAAGAGGACGGAAAGGATATTTTCGAGGCTCACGTGCTGGACGGCGCCGATGCCATGCAAGCAGATTATTCAGAACTGGTAGCGTTGCAGATGGGCCAAGTTGACGGGTTCATGCTGTGTTTCGATGTGACCAGCCAGGAGTCCGTGGAAACAGTCGTTCTTTTGCACCGCCAGATCTGCAAACTACGTGGCGACCAGATCCCCATGGTGCTATGTGCGTTGAAGTCCGATGTGGGACCGGAAGAAAGAATTATAGATTTACGCCAGGTCGCTGACCTGTGCGACGAGCTTCAACTAGACATGGACACATCATTCTTTGAAGTTTCGGCACTGGAAGAGTTTGGGGTGCACGAGGCCTTTTATAAACTTCTGAGAGATATCGACAGTCACAAAGAAGCGCTCAGAAAAAAGCGAGCAGCCATCGACGAGGAAGTGCTTTCCGGGGGCTCCAGTGCTTTACAATCAACGTTAGTGGATAGCGAAAAGAGATCGTCTACGTTTAGCCCGACAAAAGTGGCTACTGGATCCAGCTGGCCCAAGTCTTCTGTTTCTAGTGGTGGGAAAACCGTGTCAACTGGCTCCTCTCGTAAGCCTTCACGCAACTTAGAATCGCGTGACAATTCTACTCAGCTGGCAAAATTGTCAGAGGACTCGTCGGTGCAAGCTGACGACACGTCAGACACGGAAAAATGCTCGAGTGGGGTCACTCCAGAGAAAGCTCGCTCTTTACAAATGTCTCAGCCTCATAATACTGAGAAATCCAAGGCCAAGAAGCGCGATAAAGCATTCTCATGTGGCTGTGTGATCTGTTGAGCTTTCAGAGAAGGTAAAAAAAAAGCCTGATCTTACATTGCATTTTTCCTTGAACTTTCCGGATGAAGGCAAAGTTCTTGAAACTTTTTGGCATGCCCTTGTGGCCTTTTATAAAATTTGATAGACGGGGAATATATACATACTAATCATAACTTTCATAGCAAAAATGGGATATAAATGGGGGATTTCGAACTAGAATGAGGATGGAACACTTTGGCATTGAAGCTGAAATGAGGGTTAAAGGTAACTTCATTTAAGGATGTCTTTCCACATTGATGACCGAAAGCTCTTAGGTTACTGAAGGAATATCATGTCTCGTTTTACCGACGCTGACGCTGGTCACGTGAACTTTTTATTATCTATGCAGTGTTGTTCGAACGGCTTGTTTTTGCGACCGGAATCCATTGATCATGAGGAATTCGAACTGTGTGCTTGAGGTGCGAGTAACACCATTTTTGCTGTGCCCATGGATCTGCTAGTAAACAACATGTCATTCTTGTTCTGGCGAAAAACCAATAACATGACTGTTCAGCTCATAAAATCCGCAGACGGATAGCAGAGTTTCTCAGATACCAAAAAAAGCGATACGTTGCATGCTGTCTGAGGCACCATCGGCCAGTACTACCTTGGAGATGAAACCTATAATCAAATCCGAATATGAAGCACGTGATCTGATGACAGAATGGGCACCTTGGACAATTCTCAATACAGACTACAACTCAAGTTCCTGAGCTCACAAAACATAACTACCATGCGTCTTATTGCTTCTGCTGCCTTTCTTTCTCTCTTTCTCCCTCTTGTATCTACTTCTTTAGCACTTCGTACACGTACGCTTCCAGTAGTATACCGAAAATTCAACCCCTCTTCACATTTGACTGTTTCCTCAAACACCCATACATTATGGATGTTTGTTAAAAAGTTTTTAAAATTATAAAAAATGCAATAAAATACACCCGCACCGACTCTCCACGTCCAAAAAAAGCGACGCACCAACGCAGACCTCTTACGTAATAACTGAAAGAAATTTGGTGCTCTAGTTACCCGCAAACCACAGCGATGCCACTCTTTGACCTAGCATTACCATTTTTTTCAGTATATAGCCCTGAAGGTTTTCAAACTGCCTACCAGTTGATCCTATAGCTACATCGATCAAACACCGAAAGAACTCATCATGGTATGTTTAGAGCACTAGCAGAACGATAGTGGAACGATAGTCAAGGGAAAAATACGTGGGCGGAACAACGAAGCCGTTTGTGGGACTAAAAGTACGAGGATTTCGAGAAAACCGGATGAAAAACCAACAAAAACGAGCAAAAGGACCATAAGTCAGTGGAAACTTTTAAATGATTGAATATTTGCGGACTGTAATATGGATACGGTGCTTGAATGCGCTTCTAGCGTAGTCTTGACGCGGTATGCAACAAGTTGCAGAGACTAGGAAATCGGCTCACCATTTTATGGGAAAGGCCCCAAATATGATAAGAACAAAAAAAAACTGCACTAGCATAACAGGGCGGTTTTTCGTGAAAGTTTGGATCGCCGTTGTGTTTTTCCCTCCCTCTTCCTCATTTTTTACCCTTCTTCTATCTTAGCCACCTCTCCAAATCAACTGTTACTAACATTTCTTCTCTTTTTCACAGGTTTTAGTTCAAGATTTGCTGCACCCAACCCCAGCCTCCGAGGCTAAGAAGCACAAGTTGAAGACCCTTGTTCAGGGCCCAAGATCCTACTTCTTGGATGTCAAGTGCCCTGGCTGCTTGAACATCACCACCGTGTTCTCTCACGCCCAAACCGCTGTCACTTGCGAGTCTTGTGCCACCGTTTTGTGCACTCCAACCGGTGGTAAGGCCAAGTTGTCCGAGGGTACCTCTTTCAGAAGAAAGTAAGCGGCTCGGCTAGTTTCCAACCAGAGACTAGCTATGCCTCGCGCACTCTCCGTCTAATTTGCACAACATTCAACCACGCAATTAACACAACACCCTTTCACAATACACCATTTACTTGTATAGGTAAGTTTTGACGCTGTACACAATAATTAGTTAAGTCGTTCTTAGAGAAGAAGGTATAAACATCAGCAAATGCTCTGTAACCTCTCTTTAATTCTCGCCTATATGCGCAAACACGGTCAGGAAGGAAACACTAACCAAAATACATAAACATTTCTATATGTGTATGCTAATAGGCATAATATTTTATGACTGAATCTGTTTTGATGCATTTTTTACAGCCAAGCCAACCTCTGCGCCCTTCGCGAAATCTCTCCTCCACCGATACTTTATTCTAACTACAGTATTTCCATTCGTAATGCACTAGTTAATGCTCTAAACCTCTATCGTAGAAATTCTTCATTTCTTGACTCTATCGAACTCATCCCCATACATCGCTGCTAAAACCTCTACACTTTCCTCATGTGTAACATCATCGTTATAGTCCACTTCATTGAGTGCTTCCTTGAGCTCGCGATCTTTCTTCTTCAGTTGGCGCCTTTCCTCACGTATCTTGTCTTGTTCGATTTTTTCAAGTTTTTTAACATTGAGTCCCCCCATTCCTGGTGCTTTTGTTTTAGCATCAAGGGCCCACAGATCACCTTTCAAGGCCTTTCTTGCATCATGGTATGCTACTTTTGAAAATGACTTGGGAACTGTCCATTTTTCCACCTGCCCGGATGATCCGCAAAGGTCTAAGACGACATGGCCTTTGCGTTTCAGTGGCTGTTTAATTATTCTTGGCCATGTATTGGGAGTCCCGTCGCCTAGGGACCCAACTTTGTAGTCCTCCTTTGCACTTTCTCTGCGCTGAGTTATGCCTAAGACAGTCTTTGCATCTGTTTGAGACCTCTCCATGATCAAATAAGAGTAATTCAAAATTTCGAAGTTTCGTCCATTTGGTCTACCAGTACCTTCTTTTGCCATGCCCTTGATTCCAATGGGCTCCAGCTTGCTTTGCCATGGGGTTGCAAGAATGCGACCTTTCTTTAGCTCTATAGCATATCTGGGCCTTTGCACGGATTTTTGAAAAGAACAGAATTTCAGTCCCTTGCCCTCGCCGTAGTCATAATATTGAGGTTTTCCGATTTGTAAAGGACACTTTTGATGGTGCGGACAAGGTGCAATAATTTTGAGGTGGTAACTGTTGGAATCGTGCTGTGATACTATAGCATTTCTTGATGCCTCTTTCGAAGTGAGCCCATCAGACTCAGTTCTCTCGAGTTCTTCCTCATGATCTGCAAGTTCCTTCGAGGCCTCACTAATCTTACCACTGTCTGACTGTACTTGCCCTTTACCCCACGGTCTTGGTATCTTCCCGTGCTCATTAGGATAATTTTCTGGGCGTATGGAAAACTGCCTAGCTCTGGCAATAATTTCAAACCCCATCGGATTTCCCCGTTCTACCACTACTATGTGACCACCGGGAGCCAATAGTTTGAGATATTTTGCGACATTCGTATCCACCTCAAGTGGAAACTTCTCTTCTGTCCCTAACAGTTGATGGGTCAAAATTATTAGATCGTAATACCTCGATTCAGGCACTTGATCTCTTAGTTTAGTCCTGATTTTGATCTTTTTAGTCATCACTTCGCCTAACAAATCCTCATTCATGTCAATCGTATCTTCCTGTGCCTCTGGTGCTGCTTCAGTTTGAGTGCTAAATGGAACGACATCCAATGCTTCGTTCAATTGTCGACTCAGGATGATCTTAGCCCTCTTCTGCATCTCTTTGTGCCCTAAAATAACAGCTTCTTTCACGGCCGGTTGATACCCATCTCCTAATAAGTCATTGAGGGCTACCATACCTGTGGCTGGCCCGTAACCAACGTCCAACACCCTATCAGGACGGAAGGAACCGCCCAGTCGCTTCTGAAGTTCGCTCAAGCACTGATAGGCTGCTCCGTAATTTTGAAGAAATATTGACGCGATATGAGAGTCGACTTCCATATTAGTGCGAGTAGATCTGTGGAGGTTACTCTGGCGAAGTTCCACAAAGCTATTGCCAGCCGATCTCCGCAGATTATTCGGAATGTGAAGACTCAGTATGTTGTTTCTAATTGCATTTGCCACTTGCGGGTTAAGTTCGATCTGTTTTCCTGGTGCTTTCCCTTGCAAAGTAGCAGGCGAGAGTCTTGAGTCTCTTGCGTTTTCACCGTTTAAGGCCTCACCAGCGCTATTTCTGAACGGACTCATAGGTTCATTTTGCAATAATTCCTCTCTAGACAACACTCGTACCGTGTCTGGTCCATCTCCCACGATCTGGCCAAACTCGTAGAGTGATTGATCGGTATTTGACGATGGTTGAGTTGTGGAAGAGAGTAAGTCCAAATTTCGCACAGAAAGCGGGCCAGAATGGCTTTTAAAGCGGCTCAAAATTTTCGCCGGTGAGAGGGCAGCTTTGATCGTTGATTTTAGCATCAAACTTATTGAGAGGAATGGTCCCACGTCTTGTGTTATCGGCCTTCTTTGACAGGCATCGCCATTTTCTCTACTCAAGCTAGCTCATCGCTGATTGCATTTTTCACCAGTCGCGTGACCGGTCAACTAAAGTAAGATTTAGCTGAGAGGCTAACGAGAGTCGTAAATCCAACTGCTAAAGCGAACATCATCTCAGGAACCTCCGAAAAGGTCAGGAAAGATTTCGAGTATAATTTGAGGTTTTCAACGGTGCAATGGTGTTTCAACTAAGTAACACAGTGCTTCTTTCTCTCTTGTTGGTGTTGATTAGCACGGCATTGTTGTTAATAGTACAGAAAAACACCACCAATGTAATCCCTGGTCATAAAATAACCAATAGAGATCCAACATTTATAATCGCTGGACCTAGCGGTAGCGGGAAAACCAGCTTGTTCAATGTGGTATGTTTTGAGTGAAAAGCCTACAAGGCTGGATTCTATCCATTGTGCAGCGTACTAACGATTTTTGGCAGCTTACAACCGATACCGTCAAACCGACCGTAATGTCACAGACGCCTAATGTGGCCGAAGACTACATGCTTCCTTCAACCGTGAAAAGCTTCAAGTTCAAGCTGATCGAGTTTCCCGGTCACGTCAAATTGAGATATCGATTGTTCGATACCCTAAAGGAGTCCACAGCATTGAAGGGTTTGATATTTGTCGTTGATTCCACGATCGACCCGCAGAAACTTGCGGATACCGCAGAGTTTCTTTATGACATCTTAGCGCTGACTGAGCGCTTTCCAGAGGGAGTGGATATCATGATTGCCTGTAACAAGTCCGAATCGTTTAGCTCTCGTCCACCTTTGAAAATTCGCGATGCCCTTGAAAAAGAAATAGGCAAGGTAATTGAAAGAAAAGCCAAATCTCTGAGCGCAGTCAACAAATCTGGGGAAACCATAGGGGAAAGCGGCTCTGACGACGCGAGTGCTGCATCACTCAATTTCCAAGGAATTCGCGATTTCAACTTTGACGCATTGGACGGTAACGTCGATGCTATCGAAGGCAGTGTCCTGAAGAACCAGATTGAGAAGTGGGAATGCTGGATTGATGAAAGGTCTGTAAATTGAGTAATCGAAAATCTATATTTCGAATCACTTACTTCTCCATGACTTTCTGGTCGTGCGTTTCAGAGCACAACACCAAACCACCCAAAAATGAAACGACGCAAAAAACGCCCACTAGAAGTAAGACAACCGGACAAATAGCAGCATATATAGATGGTAAGGGAAACCCTAGTATTGTATTTTCAAGATCAAAAATCGGAAGCAGTAGCCATATTACGTAGTAAATGAAAATACCGGTCAGTATCACAAATCTATTCATTGTGGGATCATGCGAAGGTCACCGTGGTGAGCAAAGGGTACACGTCAAGTCTGAATGCGGTGGAAGAGCAGGGCGAATATATACCATGCCGGGGCGAATGAACCGATTCCCATGTACCAATGCTCTCTGGGTGTTCATCAAAATTGAACAAAGAAAGTTAACATGTCAGAAACGTGAAGATTTGGACCGTTATGTCTTAAGCAATATTGTCAGTTTCCAAGATTGCTTGCGTGGCGTAATGGCAACGCGTCTGACTTCTAATCAGAAGATTGTGGGTTCGACCCCCACCGTGAGTGCTTAATATTTTTTTGAAATTCTCATTTGTTACAATCCATAGTTAAACGCGGTGTGAATGGGCTCCACGATGCATCGAAACAACAAATTGTTGTCATCCTGTTACCTCGATGGTTACATGGATCAAGAGAGTCCAGAACTTCCCATCTTCAAGAGGTTTTCACCGACATATTTTCTGGAATATCGACAGATACTAAGATTATATACTTTTCAAACGAAGGCTCGGCGCCGTTCAATGAATAGCTTCCTTGAAATGTAGATGAACAAGTTCAAAGACACTCCGACACGGCAGTTGAGCGACAACTCGACTTGACGCAATTATCTGAGGAGTGCTACCAACATTGACTAAAAATCGCGATACCGCAAACTCAAGCGGACCTTATAGTGGCACATAGAGCGCTCTTAAATCAGATAGAATTAGCATAGCCTGAATGGATCGCGATACATCAGTTTGTTGAAGTATTTACTTATAGTTAATTTTGATGATCGCTATGAGCAGTAGTTAGTTTTCTTGTTTTCTTTCTAAATTGGAAAAACTAACATCAAAAGTAGAGAAGCCTTCCCAACAGCGACGATAGCCAAGGCAAGAGCGGCATGTCTGAGTGGGCTACTACATCATTCGTAAGCCTGTATAATTCCATTGAGTCTGGCTCTTTTGACCACCATCAATATGAGCGGATACTACGATATTTGAAGACTTTAAATGTTCTTGGTGGAAAAACGAAAAACACTACGAGCAGAGCTCATTTGGAGAAGGGTGAGGTCAGATTATCATCAGGGACCACACAAAAAGTAGGTAAGGATGTTGCCATCGCCGCCGTTATGCTATCAGATGAGTTGAACCTAGATGAATTGATTTCAGCTGAGCTTATACTATTGAATTGTGATGCCGAATCTGAACACGACAATTCGGATATTGCACTCATCAATGGAGCCAAAGTAGCGTTTTATGTCAGACGTCAGTACGTTTTGCAGATAGTGTCCTACATTGTCAATTGTTTAGATCCTAGCGACAAAATCTACGTCGATCTTATCTCGGATGGGATTTTGGTCAAAAACACTCTCTCCGCGTTCAAAGAAATAGAGAGACAGTTTGAGGAAATAAAACAATTAGTCAACAGGATGAAGCTTCTGGATGGATACGATGCATATGCTGAACAAAATGTGCGCTTCAGGCGAGACTTTCTTCTTTCAGAATACGACACGCTAAGTCAAATCCTCCACGGTTTGGTAAAAAACGGTACCTTCATGCAAAAGGAGAGGTTATTGGAAGTTGTGAATAAAGTATCTGAGATGGACCCCAGCGATTTTCTCATTGTATACTTCCTATCATCTCTTTTCCAGGCCTTCTCACAGTTGGACCTTCTTCCGGAAAACGATGTGAAAGATCTGCATAAGAGATTCCTCACAGAATTGAAAAGCGACGCCATCTACGCAAATCCTGTTAAGGTATCCATTATATTTTCCTTTCTAGCATTCTTCATCGGATGGTGTAAGGCTGCTCCTTCGGTAAGAGCATCGGCTTATGACTTCGCCAATGCTGTTGATGAACCTATGACAAGGGCAGTCAATTTGGGGGCTATCGAACAAATAATGGCATTTGCAGCTGACACATCCGAATTGGAGCGAGACAATAGCATAGAACTCTTTTACGATATGAGGTCTTTGTTGCAGAAGCATATCCCAAGACTATATGCGAAACAGCTTACAGACAGCGATCAATCATACAGTGGAAGATCCCCAAGAGATTCAAGGTTCGATACAATTCACTTATCCGAGCAATCTCAGATTATACTGCTACCGACTTTTCATCACTTGCTGCAAGTGGTCATAACTGACTGTGCCTTTCTCTTGACTAAAATGAAAGACGCAGAGGAGGATTCACTGCTATCTGGAGAAGATTTATTCCTTGACGAAATATCTGCCAAAGCTGACCTAGAGCGCTTTTTCTTGACTGTACACTACTTTTACGCGTTTAGACCGGAGTATTGCGCAGTTTTTTGGCAAGACAAGGAGTCAAATGCATACGGTTTCATTGAGTGGGCCATGAAATGTACTGACACATTAATGCGTTCTTCAGTATTTTTAATGCTATCAAGCATCGCATTCGGAAGCGAAAACTCATTCAACGTCTACCATTATATCAATCAGAATCTCCACTTTACCTGGAATCATATTGCGCAAATCATAAGCGGCTACATCATAAAGATATCAGATGTAGAGAGACAGCAAGAAGAAAGCCAAGGGGTAGTGAAAGATGAACACGACTTTACTTCTGTTGCCTTGAAAGTTGGCCTAAACGAAGAAGTTATTGTACTTTTATCGTCACTATACACTTTGGTCGGTTGTGTAGCACACGACCTTGATGAAGAGACCAAATCTCGTCTCTCCACTACCTTCGCAAGTGTTCTTTTTGAATTCGTTAAGGTCAATACTCCCCTAATTGGCGCAGCATTAAAGGTACTAAGCAACCTGGTACCACAAAATGAAGCCGAAAGAGGTATCTTTTGGCAGAAGCTGGATTCGTGGATTTTCAAAACCTCCAAGTTGTCCCTCGCTCAAAAGTCATATCGTGAAGCTTTCAAAGGCATCTTTACAACTTTTTCAGATGTTACAGGTTTCCTCAATCTATTGAAGAAACTACTCTGCATACACTCGAAAGGACTAGATGGTTACCTCAAATTTGGCATACTTCCCTTCCCACCAAGGTTAGGAAAAGGATACAGGAGGGTTGGAATTTGGCCGTACTTTGATTACCTGTTCCATGAGGCATTCGTTCAGTCGCGTCTATTGAGCGACCAAACAGAGAGGGCGGCCATTCAAAAGCCGGTATTACAAATTATCGACCAAGCATTGCATTCTTTCGATTACTCCGTCATTTTGAATTCTATTCCTACTGGTTCTGATTTGAACGATTTGGTTGAGACCGATGACTTTTTCAGCTATGTTCAAGAATCTCCTGCTACCACTGTTATTAACTATCTATTTGAGGAAAAAGTGTTCACGGTTTTGTTTGAGATTGCCTCTATTGGTGTAGATACCGTTACTTCTAGCTTACAGAACTCTAACGAACCTGTGGAGCTTTTGGAATTGGCAATGAAAAATATCATGCAGCTTTTGCTTTGTCAGGAAACTTACGTGGAAGAGCTGTGTCCCATTGTCAAAAGACATGCCAAGGATGATTTTTTTATTCCTCAAAATTTTGGCCTCCATGGTTTGAAGTCCTTTTACAATGCTATATTTTTCGACCTTCCAATGGTTGCGCATTTCGGTTTGTACGTTGGGTTAGAGAACTATGCGATTGCTTCCCATTCCATCCAAATTTTGCAGAAATTGGCCTCGGAAATGAAAGGAAGTGATAGCAAAGCAATTATGAAGGACACATTGCTGAATTTGTTTGATTCCGTGGACGAATCCGCGCGCTTGAAAGAAGCGTTTATTGATCAGCTTTTGACTCCGATCACGGATGACAGAATTTTAGAACTCAAGATAGGAATTTTGAACTTTTTAGTGCAGAATCTCTCATACGCTGACAAACAACCGTCAGTAGCACACTTTCTGCTGGGCTTTTCCATAGAGAGTACGATATCTCTGGGACCCGAATTGTCAAGTTTCATTAACTCCGGACATTCTGTTCTAAATGCCATTATATTTCTACTGAAATCCTCTTTGGAAACAATGGACGGCAGCAATATCGACAGCTCACCCACAGAGCTAGCGCTGCTCTCTATGGAAATTGTTTTAAAACTTTGTCGTAACCAGCTAACTTCCACCATTATACTGAATCGCCTCAGCGAATCTGGCTTGTTTGAGAAGCTTCTAGTGCTTGATCCCAAAGTGAGTCTCAAGACCAGATGGTCATCTGAATCAATCTCAAGCAGTGTCGTAGGTGGATCCCCAAGACATTCTAGTGAAAAAGCTGCCAGTACGTTTTTGAAGTTTTTGACGTACAGAACATTTTTCTTACAGTTCTTGAGCTTAGATATCCACAAGCTAAGCACTCAGTCGCTTATGACCACAATGAAGTCAAGAATGGATCTCCTTATCTCAGATGCTGCTCAGCCACCTCGTATACTGTCGTACCTAGACGTATTGGGATTTGAGCTCGCCCCTCTGCCAAGTGATTTTGCCAAGAATTTGGTGGCGTGCGCCAACATAGATTTGGGTGGGCTTAAAGTGGAAAGCAACTTATTAGCTACGGGCGAAACCTATGATATGACACGGCTGCATTCGTTGGTTCAGCTGAGAGTTCTTTCTTTGACCAAAATTCTTCCGATCGTGACGCCCGATGGAAATATATCGAATGCAGAAGCTCTCACCAAGATCGCAGATGATGAAAAAGCCATGTTGACAAAACATATGTCGTCGTACTTCTCATATCAGCGGTTCAAGTCCTTACAATTATCAATGTTACATTCATGGGTTCAGCTTGTCCAAGTGGTTGTGCTTGATGGGCGGTTGACAAAGGATGTTCGATCGAATTTTATTCTTGAGCTCTTCGAATCTTTAGTGCCTCGGATCATAGATTACCTCGAAGTTGATGTTGCCTACTCCGAAGAGATAGTGTCACTTTGTGTTTTTCTCTACGATATTCATCATAAAGATTCTCAGTCGCAATCCAAAAATAATCCTGTTGACGGGAGACTTATGGCACTTTTTATGGCGTGCATGAGTGGGATAAGGTCCCCGCTCTCAACACTGTCCATTAGATCGGACTTTTACGCTCTTTCAAACAGATTTCTCTCGAACGTGTTAGAAGACACAGAATTGGCCAAGCCGATTGCTCAAAATTTGAAGTTGTCCAGCGACCGCTTGATAGAGGTTGTATTTAATGACGCTGTATCTGGAGAAGGTTCTTCAAGAATCACCGGTATACTATTTTTGGACTCTCTTTTCCGGCTTGCAGGCCTCCATAAGGTCAACTTCGTGTTAGAGACCTTGACCAGTAGAAACATGCTTTTATTGATTGGACATTCGCTAAAGGCCACTGATGACTTCTTGAGCTCCGCATTGGAAGGAAGAAGCTTAGACGATTTGCTGTACGAACTCACTGCTTTCAAAGCCACTGTTCACTTTCTCATTCGTGTTGCCGAAACACGTAGCGGTGCACAGGCTTTGGCACAAAATGATATTTTCCATGTTATTGAATCGTGCTCCTTCCTCAAGGTCGACCCTGATTTAGGTCTTGATCTCAAATTCAATGCTGATAACACAAGTGACTCGAATCAAGTTCATGTTAGCCTAAGTCTCGATGACTCTCTGGTATCGGACACGGATGCTTGTGGCTTATCACTCTACGAAATTGTTGTTCCCGTTTTTCAGTTGATGACTTCAATCCTTCTAAGCATGGGAAGTGCTAATCGAGCGGTGGTAAAGAGAACGCGTTCCCTGCTTAATCATTTCAGAAAAATTGTTCAGGGTGCCCTCAAACGCGATGCTTTGATAGAAGAGGGCAATGCCTCAACAAGGAAGACTGAAAGAAATGATGGCCTAACTCAGCTTGTGAAACTAGTCGTTTTACTGTGCACTCTGACCTCCTACGGCGGAGACGCCTGAGGGCTAATGGCTACCGCCCGATTTGAGCATTGGGAATTCGACCACCAAAAGTCAGCTTCATATAGCGATAGTAGTAATTAATTATCTAAAGAGATCTAAGTTTACTTTCCAAGGACTCGGAACTATTGTCCAGAGACTTCAATGCATCAAGGTGGGTATTTAATAGCTTTATCAGCTGAGTATTCTCGTCTTCGTTTGTTACGCTCATATTGGTCGCTCTGTTGAAAGTATCACTTACTCCGTTGATCTCTGTGATTAAAGATGACAAGTTAGCGGACAAAGATGTGAGATTATCGTCCAGTGCTTGTGCAGTCTGGTAGACTTGTTGTCTTTTTTGGTCGTTGATGTTAGCAGATGATCCGGAAGTAGAAGAGAAGACCCCCGAAAGAAGCGAGTCCGCTTTTTTTTCGTAGTTATCGAGGAAAGTTTCTAATTCACTCTGCTGACGCTCAATGTAATGTAGAGATTGATCAACACGACTTTGTGTCTGCTCTGCAATTACCATTTCAGAATACAACTGCCCAATATGTTCGCCCCCAAGCATCAGAACTTGATCCCACTCTTTCACTTTCCTAGAGTACTCACCAAAATTTTCAGCTGAACCGCCTAATTGTGTAGTCCATTTAGTTACGAGATCGTCCAATGTCTTATTGTCTAAAGAGACGGGTTGAAGATCTACCGTTTTTTGTGTATTTTGGCTTCCCACAGAAGATGGAGCGGTGGCGCTATCTGGCAAACCTTTCTCATTTTCTTTATTTCCAAATGAAACGCCCGTAGGCTTGGAAGCGGCTGTATTAACGCCTTTGTCTTGATCGGCGGATCCAGTGCTAGAACTTTCTTTGTCCTTCTTCGCGCCGAAGCTAAAGGCAGGTTTGGTCGCAACTGGTTTCTTTTCATCTCCCTCCAATGAGAATCCTCCCAAAGAAGGTTTCTGCTCACTTGCAGCGGGTGCTGTTTTGGAAGGGGCGTTTTCTGCCTCATCTACAGAGTGCTTTTTGCCTAACGAGAAACCGCTGCTGGTAGATTTTTCTGTCTTGTTGTCCGTAAGTCCTCCAAATAATATTGGGGCCTTTGCGCCAGCGCTAGATCCTGGATTGGTACTAGTTGTGGCTTTGGTTCCGAAGCTAAAGCCAGCTGGAGGTTTCGACGACTCGGCCGCGGCTGAAAACAGACCACCGGCTTTCGAAGTAGTCGTGACTTCCTTCTTGTCCGCGTTTTCACTGGGCACACTTTTCTCATCAGTCTTGCCAAACGCGAAAGGTTCTTTCTTTTCGGCAACGAACCCAAGAGGTTGGGGGTTCTTAGGCGCATCCTTTTGTGCTGTACTCGAGAAAAGAGACCCTATCCCGTTGTTGGTTTTGTTATCACTCTTGCTCGTCCCCATAGAGAAAGTGGTTTGATTGGCATCTTTCGGCTGCGATTCAACCTGCTCTTTACTGCTTTCCGGTTTATCACCAACAGTGGCGCTAGAAATGGATTGGCCAAAGCTGAAAACTGGCTTACTGTCGGCTTTCGCCTCCGCATTAGAACCCGACGTTCCAGAACCTTCGTTCAAACCTGAACTACCCAGTGAAACCCCAAATTTTAAAGAAGGCAAAGCTTCATCCTTCTTTTCTGTTGTGCTAAGGGTTTTGCCGGTTCCAAAAGAAAATGCAGGCTTACCTGCAGTCTCGCCGGAATTGAAGGAAAAGGCAGGCTTGTTGGCACTTTGATCACTTTCTGTAGAGGTTTTTTGTGCTGCGCTTCCAAAGTTTCCGATAGGAGTTTTGGTAGCAGTTTCTGCAGAAGATCCTCCGAAAGCAAAGGGTTTTGAAGAGGTCTCTCCGCCAGCACTTTGGAACGGAGAAGGTTTGACAGCATTTGGCAGAGCAGGCGATGGATTCAGGTTACCAGATCCAAATGAGAAGGCGGGTTTGTCATCTTTTTTGGGTTCGGCATTCAGTCCCACAGGTTTCTCAGTTGCGTCTTGAGTTGTTGATCTTTGACCAAAAGGCGATACATCTTTATTAGTATTGCTGCCACCAAACGAAAATGCACTGTTCTGTGCTGCCGGTTGGGCGCCAAACGCGAATGCAGGTTTTGGCGTGGAGTCAGAAGCCGGTTTCGTCGCATTAAAAAGAGTGGGGTTGGTAGCACCGATTGAAGCTGTTGGGTTTGCAGCACCAAAGGGTTGCGATCCAGTGCTGCCTGAAGCAGAGGAGTTGGTCGTTCCAAATGCCTGGAACCCCGCTGTTGATCCTTGTGAAGGTTTCCCGAAAAGCTGCCCAGAGTTTTGACTATTTTGATCGGCCGGTTTTTGACCAAATCCTCCAAAAAGAGGTTTGGCATTTTCTGAACTTTGATTTGGAATATTAGCATTGCCAAACATAGGCTTTGAGCCTGTGGTCCCACTATTATTATTGTTGAAGTTGAATTGGTGGCTCACTGCGATTCGAGTCAGTAAAAGTCATGAAATAACGCTAGTTTTTCGCTAGAAAAACTGAGACCTGAAAACATACTTTTTAAGTTAATCAAATGGTCACTTAAAGAGCTTCAACGCTATTGAAGGGGTGTACAATTGCTAGTTTTAAACCGATTTAAACCTTAGTTGTTGTTAAGTTACTTCAAATTTTCGAACTTGATGATCTTCGTGTAGGGTGCCAGCGAAATCCTCGACCGGTGGCTCTATACTGTATACATATGTAAAATATAGGATAGACTAAAAGAATGAGTGTTGACAGTGGCTTTCATTTTTGAAGATTTGAAGAACGGTCGTGCTGTGTCAACAAATTTTTGTTTGGAATCCTGCCGCGTTCAATATTATCAAGAACTTCGTCATAAACACGATCGATGGCCTCGCCGCCGCCAACGACGTCAGGCTCGGAGTCTGAATCGCTTAAATCATTTGCCTGCCTCTCTTTTTCTTCCTGCAAATTTGCCTGAACCCCCACAACGGTACTCGATTCTCTTGAAATTGGGTCAAGTTCGCCTGTGACCGTATTACGGGCATCGGTAGCAAGTTTTTGGTCTGGTCGTTTTTTGAATATGTCGCTCAAGTCTACCCCACGCTTACGAAGTTTTTGCAAGAGGCCAGCGACAGTAGAAATGTCTTGAGTGAGAATAAACTCCTTGATTTTTTCGCCGTCAAGATCCGCAACATCATTCAAATCGCTGGTTTTCAAAAATTTCTTATCAATCTCCCCATCGCTGTTTGCCGCACTATTCGCAGCATGCTCTATTATGCCATGAGATTTACGCAAAACCGTACCTTCTTCTTTCAGTTGATCACGCGCGTGGGAATCCCCGCTGATGTCGACGTCGTCCTTGATCTCAACAGCATCCTCAGCAGGACCAGATCCAGCGGACTCGATAGGTGGATGTTGGAAGGGCAAAAGCGCCGAGTGCCCGCTTCCAGCAAAATAGGTCGAGGAGAGCGTTGCACCCGATTCCACTCTTGGCAACTGCTCATTGATTGTCCCAAAATATCCACCTGAGTGGCTGGGAATGTCAATTTTGTTGTTGTAGCGCTGAGCCAAAAGTCTCAACCCTCTTTCAAAAGTTGCATCGATAAAACAAAATCTGATGAGTGTTTCTTTGCCACTGGTGCTCAGGTTTCCCTCTACTCTGAGCTTGAACAAATCTTCCGTCACCTTATCAATAAAGGAGCGAGCTTTAGTTAACCGTAAAACAAAGCTTTGGGCCACAACGCCAAGATCTTCTTTGCTCATTGGTTTTTCGGTTAGAAGCTCAGCTAATTCCTTTTGCAGGAATGTTAAATTGTCAGAAACATCTCCTTGTGAGCCATCCAATGCATTGGAGCCTTTCGACTTGAAATTGCATTCCTCTACCTTGTTTATCGCCAACTCCATGTTCCTAATACCATACAAAGAGATTCTATCTCTGATTTTATCCGGCAATCCATCTAAGTCAAGGTCAAGGGTTAGCAGTGACGAACTTTTGCACATGGCAGCAGCCAATGCACAGCCAGATGCACGATCCAGTTTTGTCCCACGAGCAGAAACATAATTCAGCTTCTGACACATGGGGAAGACTTCAGCTAAAGCAACTAGGGACATCGAAGGAATGTCATTATAATCCATCTGCAATCGCATCAAATTGACGAAGACCGGCAAATAGTGTGCAAGATGTCTAGTGATATGAGGGAAGATTTGGGGATTGTTGGAAATGTCAAGCAACTTCAAGTTATCACAATAGCAAAGGCTACTTATTAGCCGTAGTAGCTCATTGTTGCTTGATTCGGCGCCTTCGGGTACCTCTAAATTCGCTGAATTGAGAGAAATATACTTGAACACATTGTTGTTACTCTGCATTTTCTCAATGAGAGTGGCAGAAAACCTACCCAGTTTTCCACGAAGGTCGTTATAAGCCATGTCGATACCTGTACCTTGAGATCGAACCAGCCAATCTGCAAGTAAAGTACACTTTTCTGTCGTCAAGGAATTATAGGCCAAACCGAGTCGGGTAGTTCGTCTACAGCCGAGCTCAATAAAGTTTTCGAACTGCTTGAGAGGCATTTTTGCACCAGAGAGAATCATCTCTTCGAGACCTCCGTTGGTAGCCAAAGCTGCCGTAAGTAGATCCCAATTTGAATCCTCTCTACTTTCCATAGAGCACTCCATTCTTGGGACACGAGACTTTTGAGCTGACTTCGAAGGCTTTTGAACATTTATTGACATTCCTGGAACCATTGATAAGTCGAGAGCACCCAGGCTCTTACATTTGGATACGAAGAAACAAAGAAAGCGCCAACCTTCGTGGTCAAGTGGTGTATTCCGTAGGGAAAGTTTCTCGAACTCTTTTTTGTGAGTTAATGAGCATAAGATGATGGTCAACATCTCGACGCTTAAACTAACACCATCTAAAGAAAGGCACAAAACTGGTGCTATGCTCAAAAAATCACTGAAGGATAAAACCTCTATCATAGACGGCTTCGGGTTTCTCAATTGGAGCAACGGAATTGGGTCAGTGGAACCTTTTTTCAACTGCTTGAGGGTTGCAGGAATAGGTAAGATTTCGCGCAGATGGCAGCATCGCGTGTAAGTAACATCATGTGGTATCTTGATATCTCGTGGCGGATATACATTGTCACCATCATCATCATCATCACTTGTGGAAACAATGGAAGAGAGAGAGCAGCCCGAACGTCTGCTAAACATAGGTTTGTCGATCTTCACTTTGGCAGCACTTTTACTGACAGACACGTCGTCTTCATTCGATACACTCTCGCCATTAGACCCCACGCTTTTCGAAGTACCATCGGACTGATTTTTATTCGTAGCCTCTGCCCCATCTTCATTGGAGATAACTACATCAGGCTTTTTTTCTTCTCGTCTTTTGATGTCGTTTTCATTGACTGTTGGGTCGCTAAGAAGTTTGAGATGACCGGATCCTCCCACAACAATGCCGGATGTCGTTTTTTGTAAGATTTCCCGCTTTTCCTCGGGTGTTAATCGATGAATGATGACAGATCCGTCAGGATTGACCTCTACTTCACCTTTCCTTGGATTTTTGCTGCATATCTGCTGTGGAGGGTCATTGAAATATGTGTTGGTAGCAAAAGCGACTTTTTTCAACGGCTTGAGGTCCTCTAAACCGGGAATGGTGGGCCCGCGGTCATTTTGTAAGTTCCCTGAAGATTCTTCATCACTTGTTTCCGTATCAGAGTCAGTAGAGGAACCCTTTGTCGAGTGATCCTCAGTGTGAGAAGTAACTCTTTTCAAGAAAGCACCAAACTTATTAGTTGATGAAGAAGTATTTGTCCTTGCTCTTCGCAGGGCATCCTTGCGAACGAAGCGGTATTGCCTTCTTAAGGCGGGAGCTAAATTTGATTTAGCAGGATGTGGTGGAATGGGCCTTCCTTTGGCATCGCGAATCTGTGACCATTTGTTTTCTTGGGAGGTTTCCACGTCTTCGTCTATGGAAAAGGTAGCCTTTGATTTTCCTGTGTCGGGCCGTACAGGTTTGGACGCTGAAATGGGCCTCGAGCTTGGAGAAGTGCCACCTTTGAGGGTGGACCTATAGCGTTGTAAAAATTCGTCAAGTTTTGGATCGCCCTCGACGGGGTGTATTGGGACGGTTTTTGATCTGCTTATGACCGCCATCTCTGGCTGGGTCGAGGCTGGTGTGCCATCATTGCTAAACTCATAATCTTTTTTGACTACAGGGCTATGTTCCCTTTCTCGAGATTGGGGCGGAGAATCATAATTGCTGTTCTTTGACGAGTTTCTGTACTCAGACTTCGCACTTATGCTGCTTCGTCTGGCTGGTGGTTTTTTGGTCTCCTCCTTTTTTTTCCGTCCGAACAAGGATCGAAGAAAATTCGGCTTTTGAGACTTCGGTTCATCGTTTTCTATATGACCCATGGAGTTCATGGAAATTGAATTGCTGCGACGTACCGTATGGTGTTTGGAGCACTCTATTCCATCCAAGTAGTTCTGATCTCGAAAATGCGGCTTTTCAAATCCACGAGCCGCTAAATTGCGGCCCATTGCATTCGATCCATTCTGTATTTCGGGCGACGTAGCGCGCGAAGTGACAGGCAAAGATGCAGCTGAGTCCACTGAAGCATCTTTAGAGGTAATTTTCGAAGCGTTAGAATCAGTGTCGGGTTTGTGCTCTGTTTTCTGGGACTCTGCAGCGGCCGACAAGCTCTGATTCGCGATTGAGCTCGAACAATCGGTCCTTGTGAGCCAGTCAACGTTTATCGAGTCCAACGGGCCCTTTTCAACAGCTTTTCCTCGCGAGCCAATGGCATCCTGCGAAGAAGATGCCAACGAGCTATTCTTCATAATAGAAACCGCTGTCCTGTTGAATATTGTTAACCTTAGGACAAGAAGAATGTTCTCTCTGCCCCAGATGTGATCCCTACTTGTAGTAGTATTCTTGAAATCCTCATATTTTACTCTTGAGAGAAAGTCGTTTCCAACGAGCTGGAGAGAGGATGACTCTCTGGCTAGATAGTCATTGAATCATCACCGGAGGTATGCTAAACTCTCAACAAGTGAGCACTATCGTTGGGAGATATTGTACCATCGAGAGGGCCTGCTGGCGTGTCTTTTCCCGTTTTCACAGCGGTTTTTGTAGATCTTAGAGAGACATCAATTGATACCGAATTGTCATTGCTTGTGATTGAATGCTTGAAATCTAATGCTGGATGACTATGAAATTGGCAGCTTTGAAGTTACAGTGGTGTTTCAATATATGCTCTTGAGACCTAAGAGCGTGCCTCGGACCGCTGGAAAACTTCGAAAGGTGGGAAATTCAGAAATGTAGTCAGCTCAACTCAACTCAACTCAATTGAACTCACACAACGTACTCCTGGGTTGGACTCCTAGATGAACGAGTTATATTTCAGAAGCAAAATGATAAATACTTTGGTTATGATCCAACAATCATCTCGAGCTAAAAGCTGTGAAATATGTGAGTTTAACGTTAATAAACTAAATGAAGCTCGACCCACCGGATCAATCAGCTTCAAACTTCTCTCACCGTACTCGTCAAGGTCTCCTCGTCGACCTTTTAGTCTGCCTTGTCGTATTTCTCAAACTTACAGGATTATATACTAAGATCAGTCATTGATCATCTTGTCTATTATATATATGTCAAATCAAGCCTTGATTTGAACTTCAAGCAACTTCAGACACCCAAATGGCGGATTCTAGCCAAATCCAGCACCTTATACAGCGGTATGGGACACGAGAAGAGTTGGTAAAGAAGGGTGTTTGGCGCGGAGACCTTTACAGCGCTGCAGAAGTGCGATTTTTAGATCGTGGATGGTGTTGGAAGACACTACTATTGACAGGAGAAGATGGGCTTTTGGTGACAAAAGTGGCAGAAGTGCCAGACAACACAGTGCTAGACGATGCTCCTCTGCATCGAAATAAACTACAATCGCGAGTTAGGACCTTGACCCCGGAACGCACCAATACGCATCCGCTGGTGCAGAGTGATGAGGACAGAAATAACGAAGACCGGTTAAAGGAGAAGATTTCGTTGCATGATACACTGGAGATAATCAGACTTGATATTTCTAGACTTTTACTGGATCCCATGTTCGAATCGGTAGAATGCAAGGCAGAAATGACTCAGATTTTGTACAACTATGTCGTGCACAACCATACGAGCTACAAACAGGGATACCACGAGCTTTGTGGCGCGGTATACATGCAAATGGCTGGGGAAGAATGTGGGGCTCGAAAACTTAACACTTTGAACATCTTTAACAAGTTGATGAAACGAGTGAGACCAGTTTTCTACGAAGAAACTGCGCTATTGCATTTCTCGCAAGTCAAATTCGACCGCATTTTTAAATTAACCATGCCCAAACTGCACCATTTGCTCACGGTGCACCATGGTCTTGATAATGCGGTCTGGTTGATTCGCTGGACCCGTCTGTTGTTCTTAAGGGAGTTCGACCTAAATTACGTGCTAAAAGTGTGGGATCATCTTCTCACTTTTGTGATCCCATTGGATGATCTAATAGCGTGCTGCGTCGTAGTGCTTCTCATAGCCTTAACCCGAGACTTGTACTCATGTGAGGACCAGGGTGAAGTGATCAGTATTCTTTTGCATTACCCTAGTGACAAGCTGATAGATTGCGTTGAACTTATGAAGAACAGTGCCAGTCTTTACGAGCTCTACGTCACTAAGCAGCATCAAGACATGAAGGCCCTGGGAGACAATCTGTGCAGGATACACAACCGACAATGGTACGATAAGCAGGCTCAAGTTTCTGATCAGAACAGGCTCAGACTTGAAGAAAGGTTGAAACGCCGAGTAGGACAACGATTGAAGCGGTAGAATCCTCGAACCTGCGTATAATACGCCTTCTTTTCTGTAACAATGGTTTTATCTCATTATCGTTATATAAAGCATCATATAAAAGCATCAAAGACGCTAGAAGTGTCTAGCATTGACCTAGATGCTCTTGACATACATTTACTTTTGCGCTTATTTCTTCTGGCCTTGGTTGGCAACAGCAGCGGCACCGGCAGCAGCAGCCTCAGGGTCCAAGTAGTAAGATGGCTTGGTTGGCTTCAAGTTGTTGTCCAATTCGAAAACCAATGGAATACCGGTTGGGATGTTCAACTTAGCAATGTCAGCGTCGGAAATTCCTTCCAAGTGCTTAACAAGACCTCTCAAAGAGTTACCGTGAGCAGCGATCATAACGGTCTTGCCCTCCAACAATTCCTTGGAGATGGTGTCTTGCCAGTATGGCAAGAATCTGTCAATGACAAGGGCCAAAGACTCAGTGGCTGGAACGGTGCTTGGGTCCAAGTCGCTGTATCTCTCGTCACCCTTTTGGGAGAACTCGGAGCTGTCAGAGATCTTTGGAGGAGGAACGTCGAAGGATCTTCTCCAGGTGTTGAATTGCTCTTCACCGTACTCGGCCAAAGTGGCGGCTTTGTCCTTACCTTGTAGAGCACCGTAGTGTCTCTCGTTCAATCTCCAGGTTCTGACGGTTGGGATCCATAGTCTGTCAGCGGCGCTCAAGGCGATGTTGGCGGTCTGGATGGCTCTGGACAACTTGGAGGTGAACAAGATGTCTGGCTTGACGTTGTTTTCTTTCAACAACTCACCGGCGCGCTTGGCTTCTTTTTCACCAACGGCGGACAATCTAACGTCCACCCAACCGGTGAAAAGGTTCTTTTCGTTCCATTCGGATTGACCGTGTCTGACTAGGACTAGCTTTGGCATTATGTTTGAATTTGGTTATAGGGTGATTGAATAAAGATTCGATGAGGAGAAAAACCGATCAAGAGAAATTACGATTAACTTAGTATTCTTCATTTCATAGAAGCTACTTATACTGTGTTATATATACTCTGCCACAGTTGGGCAGCATTAATTGTTTACGGTCTGGTCATTTTGTCTCTCACCACTTAAGCTCGTCACCAGATGGGAACTGAATAGTGTGAGTTCATGGAAGGTAAGTTGAGCGACGTTGATTGATGATGGGATTTAGGGCCGAAGATCGAGTTGGCGGTGTGTGGAAGAAGTCGTAGTAGGGTTTTTGCAGGTGAAGAGATCAGAGGAAGCCAGAAGAAGTTGGAGGAAGTTGTGGGAAGCTGAAGGAAGCCGTGTGTGGTATGGGTTTTAGGGTGTTAGGGTGACTGGGTGACTGGGTGGCTGGATGTTGGGGTTTTGTTTTGGGTGACTGGGTGTTGTTGAAAAGTGTACGGGTGTTGAAATGTACGGGTGCTTGAAGTTCACCGGACCTCTCTATTCCGGCGAGGGTGGAGCAGCTGACTTCCAGCGCCGCCATTCGCCATTGACAAAGAGAGCCCGGTGATGGACGACTGCACTTAGATGTAGAAATTCAAGTTGTTGTTCATTTGCAGTTGGATGCGTCAGTCGAGCGTAGCACCAAAACAAGAGATTTACAGACCTTTAGCACACTCAGTAACAAGGTATTCTTGTCCACGTGACCAACTCCTTTCTGTCGCGCTAGTCAACGCAATGGTCGGTCTCCCATTATTCCAAATACAGTTTCAACCTCCGGTTATGCTCAAGAATTGTTCAATAAATCCATCTGTCGTCGTCCTACCGACAAACCTTGACGAGTAACTATTTCAGTATCATTCACGGATACTTCTCTCGATGGTGACAGTATACGATGGAGCCAGCGACAATCAAGTACACTGATCAAAATGACATAATAGTAATCGCGATTAACAGCATTTATACAAATATTTAAACTGCCATGCGCCATAGTGTTTTATCTCTCTTGCCCTGTCTTACGTTTCATGTCAAAGTTTGCCCAATAACAAGTCGTATGCATCGCCAACCCTGTCGTTGACATCTGTGGTTTGCATTGCCCTTCCGTGTTTTTCGTATGCAAGCCGTGCACATTCCCGCGTCACAGAGCTCCCTATATAGCAGCTTAGTACTGCCAAATCGAACCATTCCAGTCTCTCAGTAGGTTCCCAAATTTTGAAATCGTAGGTTGCTCTACTGAATGCCAACATGGTAGCTATTATCCCAGTCAATGTATCGCCCTGGCCACCTACTCGCTTGTTGGTGCCCTTGGCGGAACATTCCAAAACAGAATCGTTATACCAAATCTTGTCTTCTGAGCCCTTTTGCACTACAACGCACTTCAATTTGCTTGCAAGTTCTGCCCCGCTCTCGCAGCCAAAGCGGTTTTTGATCCGCTGGAACTCCACAACGTTGGGGGTCAATACGAGCCGTCCCGGTTTGAAAGCACGTAAAACTTCACATACTTTGTCGGAGTAGCTCTCATCAGAGATCAAAAACAGCCCGTCGGCATCCAAAATTACTGGAGTCTCGCCTTTGTGCTTGTAGGCAAGATATTCCAACACATCAACGATGGAATCCAGCATAGCTCGATCTCTGCCAAGACCTGGACCTACCACACACACGTGCATCCGGTCCAGCAGACCTTGAATTTTGTCCATGGGCGCTGTACCAGCGCCCGATTCCCGCAAGTACGGATGCACCATCAAATTTGGTGTGTAAGATTTTATCACAGGTGCTGCGTTTAACTCACACATAACGTGGGTCAGATCTGCTCCGAACAACGCTGCTGAATGTGCACTGAAGTACGGTGCGCCCGTGTAGTCTTCACACCCACCAATAATGCATACACGACCGCACTGTCCTTTATGGAACTCCGGTGAAAGCGGAGGGATTGCCGCTTTGGTCGCAAGACGCAGCAATTCCTTGTGCGAAAGTCGAGACAGCATATATACTTAGTGTACGTAAAACAAAGTATCGCAGAGCAAGTCTGAGTTGTCGTTATATAGAGATGAAGAAATTAATCTGAATTGAAGATTCCAAGACGATTTAAGACCCCTAGTAGTAGTTAACTCTACCGTTGAATCCCTTTTATTACTTTGAGTTCTTCTCGACGACAGCGTATACGTTTGCGATTTCCAATTTTTCAGTAGTACTAATAATCAAATTGAGTAATCTATAGCGGATGCTAGTTGAAATACCAACGACACACTCATAAAGTAGAATGTGCACCGCTCCACAGCATCAGTCACACACAATAGAGGTACGGTTTCAAAATTCTTGGCCCTGACATTTTTGGGAAAATTGTGTTGATGTTTTTAGCAGCTCTGCTCGTGGAGATAAAATTACTGTCAGTAATAACAGGCAGTTTTCACTGTTTGTTAGTCAATCCATCGGTGCAAAAATCATCCAAGAGCACCATGACTAAGTATTAGTTAAGTGGGGGCATTTCATCTAATAGGTTCGCGTAATCGGCCATCCAAGATTTCCCACAAACTGTGACATCGCCAACACCTTGCACCACATGATTCGATCATGCCGTTCTCGTCCAATAGAAGCCACTCCTGTGTTGCGGAGAGCAACCGAGACTCGAAATGTCGTCACAGAGATACTGCTGCTACTGTACTTCACTCATGTGACTGGTGATTAGTGATATATAAGCAGTGGCTTTCCCGGGACTGAGATGGGTGTTGTAATGCTGGTTGTTGGTTTGCAAATGATTTCTAGTGGGTCAAGTCTAGTTCCAACGCTTTCCAGACTAAACCACCCAGCAATGCTAACCAGAATTTTGAGACACAGGGCTACTTTGCCCTTTGCAATTGGCTCAGTTGCAGCGGCCGCTGCCTTCTACAACTTGAGCATTGTGAAGAACGAACCCTTGAAAACTTTCCAAGGTGACGGAGCCTGGGTTGAGCTACCTATCAGCAAGATCGAAAACGTTTCGCATGACACCCGTCGCTTCACTTTCAACCTTCCAGAGGCAGATCAGACCACCGGACTGATCACTGCATCAGCGTTGTTGGCGAAGCTTGAGACCGCTAAGGGCAACAACGTCATCAGACCTTACACCCCAGTGAGCGATGTCAGCACCAAGGGTCATTTCCAATTGGTCATCAAGCACTACGATGGAGGTAAATTCACCGAGCTCTTGTTCGCCAAGAAAGCTCAAGACACCGTTGCGTTCAAGGGCCCTATCGTCAAGTGGGACTGGAAACCAAACTCTTTCAAAAACATCACCTTGCTAGGAGCCGGCTCTGGTATCACCCCACTGTTCCAGCTGGTGCACCACATCTCGCAGAACCCACAAGACAAGACCAAGATCAACTTGCTTTACGGCAACAAGACGCCGGGCGACATATTGCTAAAGAAGGAGCTTGACGAGATCATGGCCAAGTACCCAGAACAGGTCAAAATTCACTACTTTGTCGACAAAGCGGACGGTGATTTCGAGGGTCACAGCGGATTTATCACTCGCGAATATTTGGAGAAGAACCTCCCTGGCCCGGGCGAGGACCACCAGGTTTTCGTGTGTGGTCCTCCACCTTTTATGAAAGCCTACTCGGGGCCAAAGGTTTCGCCTCAGGACCAAGGTGAACTCGTTGGTATTCTCAAGGATTTGGGACACACCAAAGAACGAGTCTTCAAGTTCTAAGCCCTGCGATATCTGACGAAGCCAATGATATATGATACGATATATATTCTTATATAGCCATCAAATGAGCAATTGTTGCTACTTGAAATCCTTGAGTTCGTAATCTTCCCAATTCACATCTTTGAGAGGACCGCGGTCTTCTCGAAGTTGATCGAAATCGAGACCTTCTAGCCTTTCTGTACATGGATGTTCGGCCAAAAACTTTCGGTTTGCCACGAACTCTGGATTTGAGTATATTTTCAACGGGCCGTCGTAAAACGTTGCGTGATTTGGGTCCACGCTCAGCGTTATTATTTCCAGGTGCTTCCGGTTGCGTCCGCACTTATCCAAGGCCAGAAACCTGGTAGTAAGAGGTTTTTCAGGCGCCTGTGTTTGTGGGTCGAAATCTAAATCTAGGTCAATCTCATCGGGATTCCGTTCCTCTAGGCCTCTCTTGTTGTTAACGAATTCTGCTTCGAATTTGACGTGAAGGTGGGCGCTCAACCACCATTTGGGCATCAACTTTCGCAAGAGCTGCCAGCTCACCGGACTCCCAAGGTTATTACTTCTGATGTCTTCTTTGAAAAATGGCTTCAACTTCAACAGTCTCTTGGTATCTCCATGTTGTACAATTCCGTTAGGCCAGTCATGACTGAGCATTACATCTGTGTGATCCAGCATGAACAGCGGTTCGACATCGGACTGCCGGACATGGTATAGGTTGCGCACGTATTTGCCCCATCCCTGTGATTTGATTACTGCGAGTGAAGGTCGGGCAGCATTGAAGTCATGGCGCTTATAAATGCCACTCAGTCCGCTAATCACCACGCCTTTAACCACAATGGATCCGCTATAGCCCATGTAATAGAAATTTTCGGCAACGAATCCTCCAAAAGGTAATTCGGCCAGTCCTTGCATGCATTCATGATTTCCACCAATAAATATGGTCGGCAACGGAGCCTGCAATTCCCCGCTGTAGTATTTGTGGAAATCGCCCATCTTCTTATACTTTTCAGGAACTGCGATTGATTCCAGATCTTGTTCGTTCCTCAGCGACTGGAAATCACCCAAGATGATGAGCAGATCCGGCCATTTCGTCTTGCAGCGGTCTTCAATGGCCTTGTAAATAGTGCTTAGCTCACCATGAGCACAACCTTGAACAGCTATGCTGAGTGATTGAGACATCAATGACGTTAACTACAGTCCATTTCGCTACTGGTTGTAATGCTTAAATGAATTGGGAATATAATAATAATGAGTATAGAATAAATAAGTTGCATGTAGTAGGGTACTGGTGATAGTATAAATAATTCAATCGTGTAGCATCCCCTTTCGGGTGTCTTTGAACTACTCGACCTAGCGCTCTGTTAAGAAGCTTTTTAGTATGCTCTCACAGTTGGTGGAACAGACGGACATTCATTTTCGTCCAAAGTTGTGCTGATGACGTTTCTGTAACCCAATTCAACGCCGCCTTGAGGATCCTTTTGCCACGACAAGGTGTGTTTCATCCAGTTTTCGTCGTCTCTTTCTGGGTAATCCTCTCTGGAGTGAGCACCACGCGATTCCTTTCTGTTGGAAGCGGAAACGGCGGTTTGAATGGCATTGGTCAACAAGTTCTGTAGCTCTAGAGTTTCCACCATGTCGGAGTTCCAAATCATAGATCTATCGCTTGTGCCGACATCGGCAAACGATTTGTCGATGGCAGTGATGTTTTTGACACCGTCGTCAAGAGATTCTTGGGTTCTGAAAACGGAAACATCGGCCTGCATAGCCTTTTGCATGGCCAATCTGATTTCGGAGGTTGGTTTGGAGCCAGATGCGTTTCTGACGTGGTCCAAGTTAGCAATGGACTCCTTTCCGAGATCAGCAGGAACAGGCTTGTGAGGTAGACCAGGTTGCAAAGAATCGGCAACCGAGTGGGCGACGGCACGACCGAAAACGACCAAGTCTAATAGAGAGTTGGCTCCCAATCTGTTTGCACCGTGGACGGAAACACAGGCAGCTTCACCACAAGCCATCAAACCAGGAATAACCTTATCGTTACCTTCTTCATCAACAGTTAAAGCCTCACCAGACCATTTGGTAGGAATACCACCCATGTTGTAGTGAACAGTGGGCAGAATTGGGATTGGTTCCTTTGTAACATCGACACCGGCGAAAATGGCAGCGGTCTCAGAGATACCTGGCAATCTTTCCTTCAACACGCTAGGTGGGAGATGGTTCAATTGCAAGAACATGTGGTCCTTCTCGGGACCAACACCTCTACCTTCACGGATTTCCATGGTAATGGAACGGGAGACAACATCTCTACAGGCCAAGTCCTTGGCCGTTGGGGCATAACGTTCCATGAATCTCTCACCTTCGGAGTTCACCAAAAATCCACCTTCACCACGAGCACCTTCGGTGATCAAGCAGCCGGAACCGTAGATACCAGAAGGGTGAAATTGAATGAATTCTAGATCCTGCAATGGGAAACCAGCTCTGGACACCATGGCGTTACCGTCACCGGTACAGGTGTGCGCGGAGGTGCAGGAGAAGTAGGTACGACCGTAGCCACCGGTTGCAATAACGGTCTTGTGGGCTCTGAACCTGTGAATGGTACCGTCTTCTTGGTTGTAGGCGATGACACCGACAACTTCGCCGTTGTGGACAAGCAAGTCCATGGCGAAATATTCAATGAAGAAATGCGTGTTGTGCTTCAAAGCCTGGCCGTACAGGGTGTGAAGTAGGGCATGGCCGGTACGATCGGCCACAGCACATGTTCTGTAGGCCTGACCGCCTTTACCGTTTTCCTTGGTTTGTCCACCAAATGCACGTTGGTAAATGCGGCCTTCGTCGGTTCTTGAGAATGGCACACCGAAATGTTCCAGCTCGATGATCGAGTCCGACGCTTCACGGGTCATGTAGTGGATCGAGTCCTGGTCTCCCAGCCAATCGGAACCCTTGACGGTGTCGTACATGTGCCATTTCCAGTCGTCCTTGTGCATGTTTCCCAGAGCGGCGTTGATACCACCCTGTGCGGCAACCGTGTGCGATCTGGTGGGGAAAAGCTTCGAGATACACGCAGTCTTGTATCCGGCTTCTGCCAGTCCGAAAGCGGCTCTCAAACCGGCACCACCGGCTCCGACCACCACACAGTCGTATTCATGGTCCACAACCTGGTATTTTCCGCCGAAAGACGCTCCAGCGTCTGACCCATCTACATGCTGTGAAGTGCCAACAGCACGTAGGCTACGACTAGTGCTGCTGAACAGTCTTCTGGTAGTTGCAGCTCTCACGTTTCTCAATGACAGCATTTTTTTCTGCAATTATACTAATTTTTTGTTCGTGCCTTGTCTTCCTTGACAAAAATAATAGCTCTAGTTCCAAGAACAGTGTGAGAAAACAGCTAAAACTAAGCTTCCTGAGACTATTTTGCAAGCGCTTTTTCCAACAAACTTCTCAATCGAGTGAATAATGCCACAAATGTTGCAAATGCTGAGTATTTCAAGTCCTTGAACCAAAAAAAAAAATGGAAAATTTCTCGATTCCTTTGTTCCAACCAGCTGCCGCTTTTATTTCAAAAACGTCCTTTAGCTCCACCCTTGTAACACGACGTTGTCTTGCACACTATTCAGCTTTTTACCCTATTGAGGCAGTTTTCCAAACGAGTTGAGTTGTAATTTGTGGTTAAAGTTCCTTACTGATTCCATTTATCACTACTTCTTCTTCATATATACGTGAAAAATGGTTTGGGCTCTGTGATCTGTATGTAATGGCGACGCTCGTGACAAATCCGATCTGTTCCGAGAAGAAGCGATGATGAAGATAAAAAGGGTTGGTGATGGTGTCTGGGTGCGTTGAGAAGAAATAGAGAGAGAGAAAAAAGCGGATGCGACACGGAAAAGTAGCGAAACATGGCGCATGTGATTTATCACGTGTGGCATGTTTGTAAATTCCTATGCCACCGTTCTCGGTCAGCTGTGGCCCGATACAACACCCATACCTCCGGAGGGTTCATAAAATACGAACCCACACACCATGGAAAACGGAAGACTGTCTTCCAGACGCCCCCGGGATTTTGGCACCAAAAAGTCCGAAGACCTTTTTTTTCGTATTAGTTAGCGCTAGCGTGACAGAGACACATTTACGGGGTTAGTATGCTGCGCGCGCATTATGAAATGCAGGATAATGTCTAGCGACTGAATCTTTTGACTTTGTCAGGCGTAGCGCCGAACATTATTGCGTAGTTTTACACAAACAGCACGGGAACGTGTGTGTTACAATTTACTTGTATTCTATCTCGATTAATTTGACTTTCAAGTACTTTCACTGATCGATCAAACTGCTGCAATTTCTTCGTCACTCCAGCCAAATTTTGACATCAATTTGTGGGCAAATGGGATCAGTTCTGGCTGTCTTTGTTTGCGGTCTGCAATGATGAGCGACAACTTCGACCAGAATATTTGGCGACAATTTTCTCCGTCAAAAAACAAGTCCTGTTTCGATATGTTTTTTTTTTGCTTCAAATCGTAGTTGATTTGCTTGGCGATCTCATCCCATTTAGAATTGTCATCCCCTGGTTCATAATAATCCACAGCCTCCATAAGTTTGATAGTTGTTTCTAGTGTCATATTAACACCTCTATCGTAAAACGACCTTACTGAATCCATAAGAAGGAAAATGAAAGAACAGCAATGCTTCCATTTGGAAGAAAAAAAGCCAACAGCTGCAAGCAAAGTTATTGCGAAACTCATCGCGACAACTGACTTCGCATTAATTCTTAAGAACCACCAGAGCTTGGACCGATAAATATCTCTAGGGAGCTTTCCATAATCCACATTTTCGTCAAACACTTGTTCACGTTTCTCGTTCAAGTGCTCTGGGTCGTAAACTGACTTTTCCCATGCTTTTGCAGCGTCAAGAAGCATCGCAATCTCGACATCATCATCGAAATTCCCGCTCTTCAGAGGAAGGTACACGCACAGGCGAAATCGGTTTATGAAACTAGCGCTGCTGTAAAAAAAATATGGGGTCCTCCACAATCTCTCTTTGTTCAAAAACTTGTTCAAATCCGCCACAATAGGATCCAGTTTTGCCAAATCCAGCCCAGGTCTCTGTGTCAATATCCTGCGACACAATTCCTTTCTTTGTAGTTTGCTTATCGCGGACTTTTTGTTCTCAATTACCTTTGACATATATAAGGTAAGAAGAAACAATGTCCAGAAGCACAGTGAACAATACAGAAGCGCCATGTACAGCCAGCGAGTAAGGTAGAGACTGAGTAGCGTAGCAGCGGCTAAAAACAGAGAAAAGCACATTGTTACTGCTATCTGATAACGTCGCCATTTGCACAGTTCATAAAAGTGGTATGTGGGCGGGGACCTGAAACACTTGACAGGAAGTTTGCCTTTGCCATCGGGAGCATCTAAATCCTTCGCCTTCTCATCGAACGGCGACCTGGAACTGCTCATATTTAGCGAAATTGAAGCTTGGGGCTATCAAAAGTCGGTTGAACGTTGATTTTTTCAACTCCGATGGGGTTTTTCAAGTATTGCATAGTGATAGTACTCGATGATTTTAATGCTCTTTCTACTCAGAATTAGGGACGAGTCCGGCAAATCCACGGGCTCGCGAGTCCTGTCGTGTTTGACGATTTTGGATTCTTGACTTTGCCACAAATCCATCACTGAATAATAGTATACGCAAAGGTAGCATTGATCTTTCAAAAAACCACTAGATGCCGATATTCGTTCCTTTATGATAATGGTTACGACGAAACTTCACTTTCACTGCTTGTAGATGACTTGCTAGTGCAGATTGGACTCAAATCAATATCTGAACGGACGTTGGAGCACCTCATTCGATTTCTCAACCCCGCGCCATTCAAGCTACTTGAATAACTATATATGTGGTAACATCTAAGTTTGACACCGCTCCTAAATCTATTTTCAATTCAAGAGCCATGTCAGATTGAAAGGCCTTCTTACGCAAGTGCCATCCTGTAGGGCTGTATTCGCGCCCGATTTCATTTCGGTTCAGTCATTCTACTCGTGATAATTCTAATATTTAGCATTTCAATCGAACGGATTTGGATTCGTCCCCAGTCTCGTGCTTGACTAACCTTATATCACTAGATACCCATGAGTCAATTTTAAACCATACAGACATGAATCAGCTTTTATATGGATGAGAACTGAAATTCGGGTCGAAAGTATAGTCGTGTGTACTTTGAATTTGAACACTTGGATTAAGCTCACTTAGGAAGAACACTCCTGGCCAAAGTTGAAATTTTTAGACCACAGGTAGACAGATCCTGTCACGTGATTCGAGAAGTTTAAGAGCAGGCTTGTATCTCTTGGCTCAAAGGCCGCCAAGAACCGATGTCAGCGTTTGAAAGTAGTTGTAGAGAGAATTGTTGATTGTCATATGCTGTAAGCTCCAAATTATTGATCCGATCTTCAGCAAACCACGGTAGTGCGCAATGGCCGTAGCGCTGCCGCCGCGCATACTGTCAATATATGCTGATAGAAAATTTCACTTAGCTCGAACACACCCATGGGTGACTAGAAAAAGCTTAACCTACCTTATAGCTGTACAGCTTCGGCTGATTTTTCCGATTAGTACGGTGTGAGGAAACAAAGAAAACTCAGCAGTGATGGCGAGGAAATGCTGTACATGACAAGTGCTCACCTCAAGAATCGTGCATTTGATGATCGTACACCATGAATCAAGGCCCACGTACTCCGTGTTTGAATTTCCCGCTTCTTTTGAATGAAATGAATGAATTGTATGTAGATAGCTATCTGATCGATGAATCTCTAATACTGTCCGTCGATGTCATGCATCGTTAATTGCAGAGTATAGTCTGTTGAAAGTCAATCAAAACCTATCCGAGAAATGCCTGAAGAGTTGTGTAAATCATTATTCCCACCCCGAATACCGCAATCGCAATATCCCCGACGAGAGAGAGCTTCGGCGCACCACCATTTGCAAAAATTTTGTAATGTAGCAATGGCGGGTAGATGTAAATTAGTGGAACACAAGCGAAACTCCCGACTACTGACACAAATTTATCCAGGTTATTTGCTCCCGCCCAAGCGATCAACATGTTGGCCGAGAGAATAATCAAACGGAAATAATTTTTCAACCATTTCACGCGTGGGTTGTGTTTTCCAGAAGCATGTTTGGGAAAAATGGTAGTTTCCAAAATCCTTATCGTTGGAAATAGCTGCAGTGGTGTGGAAAGCATGATTGCCAAGGCGTAAAGAAACTGAACAGCAGCTGTCATGGATGAATCGCGAGGGAAATTTAGTAGAATAACGGTTTCCACCTTGTCTCCGAAAGCCGCGTAAGATTCCAGTCCACAAGAAATAAGTGCCACGGCTACAAACACCATGACACCTAACAAACATTTATTGAACTGTTCAGGCCGCTTCATAGACTCTTGGATGGGAATCAAAAGACCAATGCCCTCGTAAGTGAAAATAGCGGTTCCAATGAAAAGTGACCAGTTGTCCTTATTGAAAACTAGCATCGAATCCGATGCTATTCCGTGTCTAGCCACGTACTGCCCAGAATAGTAGTACACGTAGACCATCCCAAACAAAATGAACAAGTCAGCTAACAAGGCTGTGCCGCTCAAGGCAGCAATGTTTCTGGTTAACGATAAAGGAAGATAGAAAATGAATTGGACTAGAAGCCAGAACGCCATCGAGTAATCCATATGGAACACGTTTGCAAAAACCGCCTTCAAGTTGGTCGCCGTAAAGACAGCGTAAGCGGCCACGAATCCGATCTGTGACAAAACGATAGAGGCCAAGATTGCGATTTTCATTGATGTACCATATACGGTAAGTCCTAAGTCACCATAACCACTCACTTTTTGCTTGTCCTTTGAATTTATTAGTAAAAGAAAACAGTAATAGGATAGCGCGCCACATATCAGCAACGCAATGCTAGAAAAGGCCCATCCACCGTTGTGAAAGGCCCGTGGTAAAAACAGGACCCCCGTGCCCACAAATGCTTTTATAAGCAGTAAAATAGCTTTAAAAGTAGACGATTTGTTGGTTTCGCGACGAGCTGCACGCAAAGCTTCACGCCTCTTTGCGGGGCTGGCTCCCATAAGAGCAGTTTCTTCGTCTTCGACCTGGTCTCGATCAGTATCTGAGTCCTCGTCTTCATCCTCGCTCAGATCTAGACCGGCAAAATGGCCGTACAGTGTCAAAAACTCGTAGAAATTGCGGGCAGCAAAGGTTGGCACATCACCATTTTCTTGAAGACTCTTCTGAACCAAAAAACTTCTCCTGAAACCCTGGGGTGCTCTAATCTGATCCGCCGACATTTCTGTGTTTGGTATAGACCCATGAGAGATGACACTGCCGGAGAAGCTAACAGAACGTCTGTGTCTGGGCATTTCGGCACGCCCTGAGGGGCCGTCTGAGAGCACTTCCTGAGTCTGATCTTGCCAGCGATATAGATCTCTGGCAATATCACCACCTTGCATTTGTAACGAGTTGAACGGCTCCGACCCATTATCATCAGATGGCCTTGCCAAGTGACGAGACACAGCTTCTGCAGCTTGTTTATCTGGAGACGCTGCCATGTTGGAAACGACACCAGAAGGGCGACGACTGCCTGCTACAGAACTCAAAGGCTCATCTGAGACCTGATTCTTGCCGTTTCGGAGATTAATAGGCATTACTTCAACGAATATGCGGTATCCTTATGGGTTCTGAATGCTTGTTAAGTTTCGATGTTCTGCGATGGGCCCCAGGTCTACTTTATATATTAACATATGTATATATATGATGTCTGGGCAGAGTAATTTATACTAAAGAGTAAGGTAATAGCGAGCTAGTAATAAACGATAAATTTGACTTTTTAACCAGCGATGCCGATTTGGTCACGAATCTCACATTTGAATCGAGTGTTAATGCTTGGTGGAAGGTGCAGTTGATATTTGAAGGTGGTTGGTTAGAAGTTTGTGTCGGAAAATAGAGATGATCCAAAATTGTAGGATGTTGAAGGAATCGCAAGGTCGAGGGCAAGTAGAATAATGAAATAGCAGTAGAAATAAGTGAAAATACGAATCACATAGGCATTTGTGAATTGGGTGTGGAAAAAATGTGCGTAGCTCGCTTTATCACTTTAGCCCACTTTGTCGTCTGACACTTGGTCACGTTGGTGTGGGAAGGGCGTTTCGCAATCCTCATGATTTGACGCCATATATATTTTAGCTTTATAGTTGTCTATGGTTGCAATAGGACAAAGTGGCCGTTATTATGGTGTAGCTAATGAGAACTCTTTGGGTTTAGAAGTTGGAGTCTGTCACCTTGGATCCTAATAAGCAGTGTCACTTTGTACTATTCTGTCAGAGGTAAGAATAACTGTGAAGTACCTTTTTGGACACAACTGTGTGGTTGATACATGCGCGTAATCGTGGATAGACAAACATTTAGACGTAATCCGCACACATTTCTGACGAGTATGGTTACGGTGTAAGAACTATTGGTTGGGTACAATTTGGAGGGAAAAGCGTTGATTCAGGAAATTTTAATGACAGAATAAGACTAAATTGCAGATAACTTGTCCAACTAGTTCAAAGCCTTCACCTTCACGGTGTTTGTTAATACCTCTGCACTAAATTGACAGTATATCCGGAACCCTCCGTATAATACCATGATATCGTATTTTCTGCCAACAGGAATTGTTTATACGCGTTGTGAGATCCAAAGTGGGCCCCTCAAGTGTCGGGGTACGACAAACGTTCTAAACTATTAGCTGTGTGTTAGCTATACAGCTACCAAGTTCATCTTTCCTGCACATGTTTAAGCGTGCAGAGGATGATCTTGTACGCTGAGTACACAATGCATTCGGTGGTATAATGGCAGATCAAGCAATTTTCAGTAGTCGCATATAAACCGAATGTATCACATGGTGCTCGTCGGGTTATGACGCTGAGAATCCGGGACTGTTGCATTACAGTATTGACTATTCATTTCATTATGTCGCAGTAGTCTCATCACGTTCCAGTGATCACTTTGTAGCGAACGTGCCGTTCGACAAATTTCTCGCTTAAAGCTAGCTGCGATGAGCTGCAAATCATACCACCAGAACTAGAATTATAGCTCGTTGATGACCAATGAAATGTACTTAATCTAGAAGGTTTCTTAACTTTTCAATGAAGTTTAGTCGCTGTCACCTCATCACGTGACTATACCCATTTGGCGACTTATCTGACTAAATCAAAGTAAACCTTCGGCATGAATCCTCATTTATATTTCGAAAGCAAAAGAGCATACAAATTCTCTTGCTGATATCAATATCAGAAACGCTTTCACAGTTCAACAGTACTAAAACCTTAAAAGTTCGGTATGTCACGTCGTACGACATGGTTTGGATATTATAGCGTATTTTGCCCAAGACTACCTCTCTGTATAAGATTTAAGGAAATCTATATACCTTTGCCACCCATCAAATCCAAACCAACAAGCTACAATGGCACCCAAAGAGGACTGGGAGAAGTATAAGGCACCTGCCGAGGAGGAAACAAGCGAAGAAAAACCAAATGTGCCGCTTACGGAGGGAGATATCCAGGTCTTGAAGACTTATGTATGTTAAGCGATGCGGAAATTATGAAGAGGTGAGCTGGACTTTTGGAAGTGTTGGAACTGGTGAATTCAATGAAGCCAAAATGTACCCTTTGCCGCTTGTTTTTGCGGGAATGTGAATTGTCAAAATACATTTTTTCTAGTCGAAGAATACCAATGGTCATTTTTCCACCGTTGTCCAACATCAGATCATTCTCTGCCAACATTCAGCTTGCTAATTCATTCTTTGTTTTGGACACTTTACTAACATTTCACTCAGGGCGCTGCACCATATGCGGACAAACTCAAAGCCACCGAGAAGGATCTCAAGGATATAGAAGCTAGAATCAAGGAAAAGGCAGGCGTCAAGGAAAGTGACACTGGTCTTGCACCATCACATCTGTGGGATATCATGGGTGACAGACAAAGGCTAAGCGAAGAACACCCCTTGCAAGTCGCTAGATGCACAAAGATCATAAAGCCCGAAGCTTCTGAAGAAGCCACCGGCGAAGAAGACGAAGAAGACTCAAAATACATTATCAATCTCAAGCAGATTGCCAAATTTGTGGTGGGTTTAGGCGAACGTGTTTCGCCCACAGATATTGAAGAGGGCATGCGTGTAGGTGTGGACCGTTCAAAATATCACATTGAGCTGCCACTGCCACCTCGTATCGATCCCTCGGTCACCATGATGACTGTAGAAGAAAAGCCGGATGTTACGTATAGTGATGTCGGAGGGTGCAAAGAGCAGATCGATAAACTACGTGAAGTCGTAGAGCTGCCGCTTTTATCACCAGAAAGATTCGCCACATTGGGTATCGACCCACCAAAGGGTATTCTACTTTACGGACCTCCAGGTACTGGTAAGACACTTTGTGCGCGTGCTGTTGCGAACAGAACAGATGCAACTTTTATTAGAGTCATAGGATCTGAATTGGTGCAGAAATATGTTGGTGAAGGTGCACGTATGGTCAGAGAGTTATTTGAAATGGCAAGAACAAGAAAGGCCTGTATTATATTTTTTGACGAAATTGATGCTATAGGTGGCGCTCGTTTTGACGATGGTGCCGGTGGTGACAACGAAGTGCAAAGAACTATGTTGGAGCTTATCACACAGTTGGACGGTTTTGATCCTCGTGGTAACATCAAAGTAATGTTCGCAACTAATAGACCCAATACATTAGACCCAGCACTTCTCAGACCTGGTAGAATCGACCGTAAAGTCGAATTTTCTTTACCAGATCTTGAAGGTCGCGCTAACATTTTCAGAATCCACTCCAAGTCAATGAGCGTTGAACGTGGCATAAGATGGGAGCTGATCTCGAGACTTTGCCCCAACTCCACAGGTGCAGAACTGAGGTCTGTGTGTACGGAAGCGGGTATGTTTGCCATCAGGGCAAGAAGAAAGGTAGCGACGGAAAAGGACTTTTTGCAAGCAGTTGAAAAGGTAATCAACGGTTACAAGAAGTTCAGTTCCACCTCTAGGTACATGCAATATAATTGAGATCATAGTTTCCAAAATAACATAAAAGGTGCATAAAGCAAATAAATAAAAACCTTTTTTTTCAAAATCGCTTGGACTTCAGTCGCGCTACCTGTTGTCCCAAATAGCCTCTTATGTACATATATTACAATGAATGCGTTTTCTATATAGTAGATCAACCTTGCCAGGTGTTCATTCCCACCAACCTACAAGGCCCATTCCATCAGTTTGGCAAGAGCCCAGAAGCGCATATGCGGGTGGTTTTTCTATCTTTGGTTTTTTGTTTTCATCCGCACCTTCTTCACTTTGTTCGTTTTGTTCTTCAGCCTCTCTTTCTTTCGGTGACTTAGGCTTGACATCCACGAAGATTTCCTGTTCCACACGGAACCTGATCTTTTCGTTGACATCGAAGTACAGTTTAGTCTCTTCATCCATGGGCCAGACCCAGGCGCTGTCGTCCGGCGAAAAATAGCACCCTTCAAAGAGCATTTTATGCGGGATGAAGATGTCGTCGAAAATCCCTAGAAGCGAGACCTTGATACCTTCTACTGTGCACTGGGATATCCATCCCGTAATGATTTCGCCCACGAAGGGCTTGAACACTAGGGCTCTAAAAGTTGTATTGATAAAAGCAGCGCCATCTCCAGGCTTCAACTGTCCCTCTTCGACTGCCAGCAAGTCGTAGATTGTAATGCAGAGACCCACATGAGGTATCACCTTGTTTGCGAACTTGTTGTTCAACTGGTGGAAAATTGCTGCCTTAGGGTGTCGGTGGAATTGATCTGGTGGGACCCGAACCAAATCGGAGATTTTGGTCAAAATGAACATGGCAGAAAAGGCTAAAGACAGCAAAAGAGTCTAGCCTGCATTCACTAGCTAATCGAGCCGAGAATGCTTAGTTTTCAGTTCCTTTTAATCTGGCATCACAATTGCTTATTCCAGTATTGATATGTATTGAAAATTTTTGAGATGAGCCTTAACTATGGGTGATTACGTAAACAACTTGATTTCTAGCAATCATGGAAATCAATTGGAGATCTAGCGGTGAGAATATGAAGGGCTCCAGGAAAACAGACCTAGAGGTTCGAAGCTGTTGCGAGAGAATTGGGATCTTACGAAGCTATTCTTGTCTTGAATCAGGGTCCTTTAAGTAGGATCGTCTCCGAGCTGGATTAGTACCTATATTACTATTTCAACTGGTAATTGAAATTTGAAAAAATAATTCGAGATGCGATGAGCAGAACTAAAAATTCTCGGAAACAAGCGTCTTTGATCTTTGTGGGCATTTATTTCCACTTTTTATACACAGATACCAAATCTTGCGATCTTTAGGATTTAAACGATGTCCTTGAAGCCTGGTTTTGATCGCAAAACGGCCAAAAAATTCGCAGTAGTACACAGATCGCACGATGACCCACGATTTCACGATACAGAGGCATCGGAACATGTTTTGGTGCCGCTAGAGGATCGCAGATCGCGTAATAAGAGCTCTCGTAATGCCAAATCGCCTTTTTCTCAGGGAACAGGACCACAAACGAAAGATTCGAAGAGGACTCCTGCTCACGACCATGTCGGAGAAGCAACACTTTACGGTATTGATTTTGACGACTCTAAATATGACTACACACAGCATCTCAGGCCGGTTGGTATGGATCCGCAAAATGCGGTTCTTCTTTCGGCCAAGTCTACTGCGCAGTCAAGACCACGCGAGGCTAAAGTCGAAGACCTCTTCGCTGGGCTTGAAATTCACGACAGCAGGGAGAAGAAAAACGAAACCATGTTTGAACGTGGTGGTATCGCCAAGCGTGAATACCTGGAACATCAGCAAGACGTGGATGAGGAGCTACACGGCTTCAGACCTGATCTCAATCCGGCGCTCAGGGAAGTGCTGGAGGCACTAGACGATGAAGCATACGTGGTAAATAAAGATGTTGCTGTCAAAAAGTCAAAATCGCGGGCAGAGACCAGAGATGAAGAAGAAGAAGGAGACGATGACCTTTTTGAAGAGCTTCTGCTTGGAGGTGAGGTCGAAGGCGCTCAGGATTTTGAGGAAGAATTCGACGAATGGGACGTGGACAATTTACAAGACTACGAGGAAACACAATATCGCGACGAGCTACAGCAGCTTGAAAATGTGGAGAATCTTGAGGATTTGCAAAACATCGACTATCAGGCTGACGTGACCAGATTCAAAAAACAGCAGTCGCGCAAAACCCGCGATGGCACACTCGAGGTTGACGGTGATGATTTAGACTCACTGAACGATTTCGACAATGTATCGGACATTGGCAGTGTGGCGCCTCTACAAGAGGATGGCGAAGAGCTAGACACTCTGGACGATCTCCCGCAAATCAACTCGAAAAAAAAAACTTCCAAGAGCAAAGGCAAGACCCGTCGCCAAAAGGGTGCCATGTCTGACGTCTCTGGATTTTCCATGAGTTCCAGTGCGATAACTCGATCTGAGGCTCTCACTGTGCTCGACGACCGTCACGACCAGATTATCGCGGGATACGAAAACTATCAGGAAGAGCAAGACGAGGACGAGGATGACTACCAGCCCTTCAACATGGCAAATGAGCGCGCGGATTTCGAGTCTATGCTTGACGATTTTCTAGAAAATTATGAGCTCGAGTCAGGCGGCAGGAAACTAGTAAAGAAAAATCATGAAGCTGCCAAGTTCCAAGAGGCTGCTGATCAAGTCAGCAAAGGTAAGTTATCGCAGAGAAGAAACAAATCTCGCCAGGGTCAAAATGGTATCGACTCCATAACCGGAAACCTAAAGAGTTTGAGGTTCTAACAGTTTATAAAATGGTTTATGAAGTATGCCTAGCATAACTATCATATTTTTATTTACTGACAGTCTCATCCTGTCATTGTGATCACATGATCTACTACCATGTCATTTTTTAACTCACCGTCGTTGGTGATCAGTTGCTACTGCCGTTTTATATTGTAGGGGCCTATATAAAAGACAGCACACACAAGTTAGAGCCCTAAACTGTTCTTGTTTGAACAACTTAGCAAAGTTATCAAATCTACCAGTAGATAGAGCGACTTTGACTAGAAACTGATATCTTCACTTTAATCTGCGTATCGAGTTTGATATATAAGCAACCTAATCCAAAATGTCTGACGAATTAAGCAAACTCAAGACCCAGGTGGAAGAACTTCAACAGCTAGTGAAGAAACAGAACTTATTGATCAGCAAGACAGGACAATCTGTGCTTGAGCTGCAAGTTGCGAAACAGAAAAGTGACGTTGAGGACTTTGATTCTCAGTACACCGGTTTCAACAAAAAGGGGAAATCTGGATCTGCTGTGCACGATGATACCACCAACTTTGCCACAAACGAGGATTTGGTGCAGCTAGTGGGCGAACTACAGGGCCAATTAGAATCCATCGAGGAGAGATCGATCAGAAGACTGGTTAACTCCACCAAAGTGGACAAAAAGGACTACCTTGCGCCATTGCCCAATTCTGACGGTGAAACCCCAAAGACCACCGAAGGCTTCTTCCCAAGGTCCCTGGGTGATTTCGAAACCGTTTCAGATGTGGATCTGTTCAGATTGGCGAAGTTTTACGAGCTTCTCGCGCCAAGTTTGAAAGAGCAAGAAAAATTCGACGACTACCTGGAGGGCAAGCTCGACAATTTCCACGTTGGCGATTTGCCTGAAGCTGACATCAAAAAGGAGCTCGAGAATTTCTCGCCAGACCAGCTGATTGAAACTTTCAACGATGTCGCAAGATTCCTAGGTGTGAAGTCCAGAAGAGGTACCGACATCTGGTAATGAAGCATAAGCCATTACGTTTCCCTATTCCACCAAGCTGGAAACTGTTTAGAAAATAAAATTACTATTGATTTTGTTGATTAATGCTATATCTACTTAAATGAAATCACCTCTTCACTCTCTTGTCGCGGTGCTCGAAACGTCCTTCCGGTTGGCGCTTGACGTTTCCTGGAGTTGGGAGAGAGTTCTGTGAATTGGGGAATAGTTCTTCTAATTGATCTTTGACTAGACGCTTCCAGTCGAATCTCTTTCTCATGAACTTGTCTAATGACCAATTTTTCCACGCCTGTCTTCCATAAACGCTATTCTTTACTTTTTCGGATTCGCCAGTGAGACTTGTCGCTATTCTTTCCTTATACATGGGTAGCTCAGCAGTAAACTCCCAAAGCTTGTCAACGAGATGAGAACCATAGGCATTGCAGGACAGGTTGACAACGTCAGTGCAGAAAACATTTAATAAACGCTTTCTTTGTATCTTCTCGACGCGTTTAACTTGAAGTACATGCTCCACAACATGTGAAAAAACACCGTGGTAACACATTTGGAGTAGCCGTTGTTCGGGAAGCGCCAGTAGACTTTGAATGGTGGCCTCAAGGAATTTATCGTCGTAATCTATCAATTTTTCAAGGAATAATGATCTCCGTCTTTCTTCTGCAGTGGGCCAATCATCTCTAGTATTGCCCAGTGTTGAAGAGCTCAATAGGAGACAACTTTCAAGAATATTCTTGTCGTCAGACTCTTCAGGATAATATTTTTTCAGTAGCTGTGAAACAATCGTTTCTTTCATGTAGTTGTCTTGTTGAGAACTGGCATCTATCACGCTACTGCAAAGATCCAGGTTAGAATTGACAATCACACTCAAGTCTGGTACGATGTCGTTTAAAATTGATTTCACGTCCGAAGAACGTAGATGTTTCAATAAAGCCTGAACAACAAATGCACCAGTCAACTCCCTCCTACTCAACTTCGCAATACGGTCCTTCATGTACATCTTGTAAAGACGCTCCGTATATTTGACGCGAGTAAAAGAGATGACATTTTCGAGAAAGTGAGATCCCACGGGATCCGAAAGAAGATACTCGACAAACGCTTCTTCTTTCGAGCTCTTCTCCTCCTCTGATGAGAAAATGAAGTGCCAAAAGGAACGGTCCCTATCGAAAATCCCTTCAACTTGAATAATAAGTTGGAGAACTGGAGACGCTACTGCGTCAATGCACAACTCTCTCACTTTGGCGATATATGTGGGACTGATGTTTTTGAAATTGGATGAACCTAGTTCGACACCGTTAGTCAAGGATTTATAGAGAGATGAAAGCATGTCTCTCAATTGAACCTTGAAAGAGTCCGGGGTCTTGTAAGTTCTATTGAAGTCTTCACTGTCTTTAATGTCAATCATCTTACGTGCGATTTTGGATTTCTTAGAGCGTAGCGAAGAATTGGTCATCGTTGTGCTCGGCAGTGTTTTTGAAGACAAAATTAAAATCAGAAGACGAAGAACATGAGTTGCATAGCGATGGTTGAGCATGGCCCTAACGCTGGGGGTAATTTCGTTCAGCATGTGCAGAAATAGCGATTCCATTGGTGCAAATACTTCATCGTCATCTTCGATAGACGCACTACTCTCGAAACTCGGTGTCAAAAGCTCTTTTTCCACCAATGCGGCACTTTTTACTAAAAGCGTTTCCAAGACATGCGACGAATACTTATGACAGGCCATGTTGAAGAAGAAGCCAGAAAAGCTTTGAAAAATACTTTTCAATTGTTGATTTGTCGCAGCGAGAACCAGTCTTTCCATGAGCTTTGAACAGATCTGCGAGGTAGCCAACTTCAACTCTTTCCCTTTAGCTTCCTCGATAACACTACTGATAAATTGAATCTTTTCCTCTGGAGTCTCAAAAGTGTCGATTGTCAACGTTGATTCTGCTTGTTTGAAATACTCCAGTTCTGGTGTGTCTAGAACACCAAAAAAGGTGTTGGGCTGGTTCCCATTAACGGAGTCATCTTGCTGTGATTGAGAGCTCCTGTGGTCAAAACTCTCGGCGGCAGGTGATGACTGATTATCCTGAGTTTTGGGCCCTTTCGAAAAGTTTCTGCCTCGCGATTTAGGAGCCATTTTGACCACTCAAATCAAAGATTTATCTGTTCTGGAGTCCGCTCTAAATCTATCACCTTTAAGCGACGATTGATGCGGTTTTTGATGCCTTAGTTTTAGCTTTTCAGCTAGCTCATCGGCCCTCCACATTTTTCAAAATTTTCTATTATGACGGATTTTCCACATAGCGATGACGACATGAAAGTATACAGTGATATCTGAAGATGCGTTTACTATTTACCTCTCTAACGTATTCAATCAGCTTGATCCCAATTTCCAGGCTTCGGTCCTTTTGGAACCTGTGGGCCACCTGCTCTCTTGGCCATGATGATCTGGTCTATAGAAAGAACTGTGGTTGCTGCTTCAGTCGCTACATTGATAGCGAATTTCTTAACAGCCAGAAGATCAAATGTTTTCTCTTGTCTAACGTCCTTGATACCCTCTGGGCTCTCGCTGTCGATATCAACGCCGTAGAAAACTCCGTCCTCGTTTGTGCTAGTGTGGGCCGCGTATAGATTTGGAAGGACTTCGTTGACATTTAGACCAGCAGTCTCGGCTAGGGTCCTTGGAACCACTTCAAATGCCACGGCAAATTGTTTGATAGCTAGTTGTAGAAGACCAGGTGTACGCTCACCATACTGTGTGATTCTGGAAACCAGTTCGATTTCGGTGGCTGCCGCACCGGGCAAAAGCTTGCCACCGTCGGGTTTCATGAGTCCCTTTACTGCAGAAACACCATCATCAATAGCTCTCTCAATGTCGTCTAGATTGTTCTGAGTGGCACCTCTTAATACGATGGTGGCTGTTCTGGTGACTTCGTCTTGTTCCTGTCTGAAGACGGTAACTCTGTCACCACCAATTTCTATGGTCTTAACGGTCTCTACGATCCCCGCTTCTTCTGGTGTAGGAGCTCCCAATCTGGCCATGGGCGTGGCGCCGCACACACGGCATATTCTTCTGAGCTCAAATTTGCTGGGCACTTTGAGCACAAGTATATTGTATCTGTTGAGATAATGCAGAGCCAGATCATCTATGCCGCTTCCAGCCACCACACAGCTGACGCCTGCATCCACAAGTTCTTTGATCATCTCATTCAGCTGTTTTTCTTCACCTTTGGTGAAATCTAACATTTCCTGGGCATTATGCAGCAGCACAGTTCCCTTGGTTTCTGTGTTTGACGTATCGATGGGGCATGTAAAGACAGCGACCTTGTGCTTTTGACCTGGAGCTAATGACTTAACGTGGCCCTCAGGTTCACGGTTGAAAACCATACCTTTCACGACTTCTGAGTTTGCAAGCGAGCCACCCATTATTTTGACCACTCTAACGGAGTCAACATTGAAATTATTGGATTTGGAAGGTAGAACGTGTGAAACAGCTTCGGCAACGAGTTCACTCAAAATGTCTTCAGAACCGTACTGTTTGGATGAAATGACGGGTTTCATGATTTTGACAAGCTCCTCTTTGCTGTGTTTGTTGGTCACTTCGTCGACGCAAAGGGCGTCAAGCTCTTTGAGTGTGAAATTTTTGGCCAGATTGTAGCCCTGGATGATTTCGATCGGGGAAAGACCCAAGCCTATCAATTTTTCGCTCACATTCAGTAGTTCACCGGCCAAGACAAGCACTAGGTTTGTACCGTCTCCCATATCGACCTTTTGCTGCTCAGTGGCCATTACGAGTACTTTGACAGCCGGGTGAACAATGTCCAATTCTCTTAGCATTGTGGCGGCGTCGTTCGTTACAATAATTTTCCCCAGATGGTTCACGATGATCTTGTTGCGACCACAAGGTCCCATAGATGTGAGACACATCTGATGGATCTCTTTGACGGCTGCAATGGACTTATTGATCTGTCCATCGGCGTTCAAATAGGAATTGTAACCCTGCTTAAAAAGGCCCGCATTCGGGTTCTGAGGAAGCTTCAAAGACATGGTTACAGCGTTTTGATAGCTCTCAAAGTGTAGAAAAACGGGCTTGACAATTCAGTAGCTCTAGTAAACGGCAATTGGATTGCTATCGAGATCTTTGTTTGCCACCAAACTTGGCCATAACTCTTGAATTCGCGAATCTGGAAAACTTTTCTAATACTTTAAGATATCTCATAAAGTCATGTGATAACTATCCATTTGTCAAGGGCCTAAACTGCAAGAAGTGTTGTGTCATTGTGATGTAATAGCTCAACAAGAGCGTGTATAGTTCAATAGACAGTGTAGCTGGCAGCTTTTTTTGTGGAACAAGTACTTATATGTTTTTTTCACGATTCGAACTTCTCTATCGCCAAGATGACAGGGTTTACAACAACACAACTGAAAACATGAAACTTAGGGGGTAGGTCGTCACCATTGTGAACAACGAAGCGTATGAAGTAATAGGGATATATTAGGTGTTCTTGGTTGGTATTTTTAAGACTTTGACATTCATCAGTAAATAGCTGATCCACGACGTGGGCAGGTGAATAAGAACCTTAGGGTCTATACATGCAAGCATCGTTATTTCTTTTGTTTCGAACACTTTTACTTCGTCATTGATCTGTCACCTCTTCCAACGCAACTGTTTCCCATGTTCAAACCCTATCCTTTGAAAAGTCATGCTACAAGGTTCTACCGTCTTATATCCACAATAACTTTCAGTATCAACATCTTAGCTTCAGTAGCTCAGTCGGAAGAGCGTCAGTCTCATAATCTGAAGGTCGAGAGTTCGAACCTCCCCTGGAGCATTTTTTTGTTTTTATTACCTCTTCACCTTACAGTAAAACAATTAAAGCTTACCTTTCCCAAGTGTTGAACACACAGAAATGGTCCATACTCACTACCGGTCACCGCCATTGAGATCTAATGGACATTGAAGACACTAACTTTGATGCGGAACCAGCATTGAAAAGTATATTAGAATCGCCTAACTCGCTTGACGAGATAGATCAATTGATCCAGGCCACCAGAGCTATCAAGTTTGTTCTCGAAGATGAGATAACTCAAAGCATTGTAAAAGGTGAATCGACTAAACCTACGTCTATTACCTCTGATGTGGTGGCCGAATTTCATCAGCTGCTGGCAGAAGTTGGTGATATCACAGCGCTCTCGAGGGAGACCGAGAGCGCAATCTCGCAGCTCACAAAGGACATTTCCCATCTGGACAACGCCAAACGCAACCTATCGCAATCAATGGCATTCTTCCAAAACCTAGAGCAGCTCACAGAGTCGTATTTTCAGTGCCGAACATTTCTGGAGTCTAATAACTTCAAAGACATGAGACCTTCCTATAATGTCATGAGCGGTCTTGTGGCATACTTGCAACAGTACAAATCGGTACAAGAAGTTGGCGACATAGTGGCCAAAGTTTCCCGGCTGCAATCAGAGATCCTGAGTGAGGTGAAGAAGACATATCAGGACCTTTTGAGTTCTCGTTCAATTGCAAACAAGGGCATTGATGAGTCTATGCTGAGGGATGGAGCCTGCGCTTTATTGGAAACCAACTCTGGTGCCAAAACCGAACTGATAGATTTGGTGGTCAATAAGCTTTTATATGAGGTATCAGAGATATTTCAAGTGGACGATGAAGCAGGTTCCCTGGAAAATTTATCCAGACGCTATGTTTATTTCAAAAAAGTACTGAACGGTTTCAGCTCAGAGTTCGCACAGAGCTTTCCCAAGGATTGGGAACTGCCGACCAAGCTAACTGCTAAATTTTACAGCATTACCAGGAAAGATCTAGGTATCTTACTACAAAGAGAACTCAAGGAAAACCCTTCGATTGATACCTTCATGGCCGCCTTGCAAACGACGCTGGAGTTTGAGAAGTACATTGACGTGAAGTTTGCCAATCGCTTGAATGCGGAACCCAGACTGGAACGCATTTCTAAGTCTTTTGAGCCTTATCTAGTGCTGTGGATCCAGCATCAGGACTCACTCATGAATTCAAAAATCCTCAGCTACATGGCCGAAAACAAAATCTCTCAATCGTCCGACTCACTAGTTCTTCCATCCAGTGCTGACCTTTTCAGAAGATACAGGTCTCTTCTTTCTCAGACGCTTGATCTAATTCAAAGTGGCGATGGTAGAGATCAAATGTTGCGCGAACTGGCTACTTTTTACAACAACTGGCTCTCAACTTATTTAGAAAAGATACTGAGGCCTTTGTTGATTGCACCGAATGTGAAGATTGAGAATAAAGAAGAAGCGATGACATACACTCTGTTGCTTCTTAACACCGCCGATTATTGCACTACAACGATCAGACAGCTGGAAGATAAACTGGTTGAATATCTATCAGACGATAAAAGCCTAAATCAGCCATTTGAAAAAGTTCAGGCGCAATATGGAAGCATCATTTCAAGCGCAATGGACGTGCTACTCAACTCTTTAATCGCACCAGATGTAGCATTTGCCTGGCGAGAATTTGATAACACAGACTGGAAGAATGTGCAGGTCGAAGATTACAGTAGATACACTTTCACACTGAAGGAGCTGTTCAGAAATGATCAATCTATTATGCGAAAAATTATACCCCGTTTCAACAGGGAACTATACAGCTGGAGTTTTATGGGGAAGGTCATCGAATTAATTTGTGATGGCTTCATGAGTTGTATCGTGCGGCTTCTAAAGCCGAGGCCGCCTTTTGCGAATCTTAACAATCCCCGCAATTTACAACTTCCACAGGTTGTTAATGTCGGGGAGCAATTACAGCTGGACACCGAATGTCTGAGACAAGCTCTGGTATCATGGGCGGATGACTTGGCAGATTTAGTTAACGGAAACGCAGCATCCTCGAAGAGAATCAAGAAACACATAGAGAAAAGCTTTGAACAACTTGTGACATTCCTCAAGTTGTTGACCGTGCCATTGGATGATCCAGGGATATATCAGGACAACTACGCTGCGATAACGGGCAATAATAAAAGTGTCATTTCGTGGTGTTTTGTCTTGGCACTTAAAGGCCTCCCGTGGGAGCTAGCAAGGTGGAAAGCACTGTATTCGGCATTTCAGCTTGCTGAGGACGGATCAGCGGAACCTTCCATGCTGCCAGTACTTGTCAGATGCGGATCCACTGTCCTCCAATTTCAGTCTGATTTGACCAGCGTTAATGACCCTACATGGCAAAAATTCATTAAAGGCGATTTGGGTCTTAAACTTGTTATGAGTAAACCTCGTTCTTCAGGTTCAGACGAAAGATCGTTATCACCAACGCCTCGACTGGTATCAAGCAAGCTGAACGGCAATATAAAAAATCTCATGTCTGGTACCGGGTTTTTCCACAGGGGCTAGCAACTGCTTGATTATTTACAAGTGTGGTAAATGAACTTTTTAAGAAATTGAATTGGAATTGACTCGATAACTAACCTGTGTTTTGATTTTGTGATCAGTGGTAGAGAAGCTTTTAAACTCCACCTTCTCGCCCCCGTTCGTGACTTCCATAGAGTCAGAGTCTGCCCATTCAAGTGGAACTTTAGCGTTGGCATCTGTATATGCGAGCACGTTGAATGTAAAGTTGTCTTCTTCGCCGTCCTCACTCACCAGCTCTGGTAAAAAAGTGACGCTAGCAGTAATCTGCCGCATTAAAGCACGAATCTGTCGCTGAGTCTCCTCCAATTTGGTTCCACTTAAGATCTGCTCACCGTTGGAATTCTGAGCAATATGCTGAACATCAAACTCCCACCGTTCCACTATTTCGCACGTTGATTTGTCCAAAATGCACAAGACCAGCTTGCTGCACTTACCACCCAAAAGCCAGCGATGTACCTGTTGCAGAATCTGTCGGATGTAGCTTTTGAGCTCCTCATCGTGGGTTTTCAGCAAATTTAGATCATATTTCTTGACCGAAATGAAATCTTCCGGCGGATATACCGCTCGCTGGAAAAGAATTGAATTGATGCTATATTCGAAGAACTCCGTGACAGTCCTTGTGGATCCTTTGAGCGACAGATTCGAAGACATTTGAGGAGTAGTTATCTCAGGTTCTATCTTCAAATGGACGTAGGTTCTTGATCCAGAGTGAGAGAGAGAGAGCTAAAGACGTTATTAAATGTTTAATATACATGTGATCACATGAGACGACAGTGACGTTTAACTAATGTGTCGAAGAGGATCTATACTTGCTTTCACCAGAGATGTTATAGTCAATCTGATGTCGGCAAAAAGATTGCGCAAGCTATTCATGGTCAGCGGGCCCTTGTTTACTCAATCATAGCATCCGGAGTGAAATTACAAATTTAGGGATTTTTGGCATATTTGCTCGACGTACGGGTCCACTTGTTGAGGTTCTTTCCGTTGACAGAACCATCGGTAGATTAACATGCTCAGCTGTGTTGATGAGTTTGCTGGTATTTGAAAATCAGGATCGAAGCAGCCTTGTTTCGATGTTCGTGCACCAGAGAATGTCCGTTGCCAATTTTTATGTTCCGAAGACATACGGCCTTGTGGAATTCAACGATTACATGCATTCGAAGCCTTTTAGCACTCAATTGTCCTTTTCTGGCTGTTATTCAGCCTTATCTTGTCAAGGTATCGTGTACCAACGCCTTGACGTTGAGAAAGACGGCTTTCATATCACTTTGTCCTTACCCGTCGCAGTTCGTTTTATAGCAGTACACTGATCAAATGGAATAGATTTCAGAAGCGAAACTGAGTGCTGCTACATGAACCCACCGTAATGAAGCTAAGTGATTTGGGCGTTGAAATAAGGAATTCAACTACGGTGCTTACGAGTTAGATCTTCATCATATGATTGAAAGAACCCAGCACGTGATCTATATCGTCCTCAGTAATTAATGTAGTAGTAGATCAGATCAACGATTAAATCAACGTCAACCCCAGCTGGAATTAACAAAGCTTGATTCAAAGACGGTCTTGTTACCCAATTGGCTTTCAAATCCCTAGACACATCTGTATTTGATTCAGTAGTACACGCTCTTGAATGGTAAGTTGACTGTTTCGTATTCTGGTTTTATTCTACTTTATCTCATAACTAACCTGATTGACTTCATAGCATGGCGTAAAAAGACGGGAACTTACCCAAGACCTGCTATCCAAAAAGAAAGCTAGGGATGTCGAAAAGATTGTAATATATAGATCTCTAACACAGCGGGTGCTGGAGGCTAAGAAAAATGAAATATACACGGTTGAAAAGTTGAGTACTGCATCCAAGCTACTGGAATTGAATCCCGAATTCAATGCCGTTTGGAATTTTAGAAGAGATGCCATATCTCATTTGAGAAGTCAGTTATCCATTGAGTTTTGGGACCAGGAAATCAACTTCACCACGCTGCAGCTGAAATCGTTCCCCAAAGTATACTGGATCTGGAACCACAGGCTATGGTGTCTGAATGAGTATCCGGGCTCGCCGGTCGAAAAATGGCAACAGGAATTGGCATTGGTAAACAAACTCCTGACCATGGATCCTAGAAACTTTCACAGCTGGCACTACAGAAGAATTGTGACCACCAGACTAGAACAAATGACCCATGTTAGTTTGAATCAGCAAGAGCTTGATTACACCACTGATATGATCAATTCTAATATTTCCAATTTCTCAGCGTGGCATCGGAGGGCCACTCTCCTCCCCAAAATGTTTGCACTATCAGAAATCTCGGATCAAAAGGAATTCATCAAACAGGAGCAGCAATACATCACGAATGCCATGTTCACAGACGCAGAAGACCAATCGGTATGGTATTACATAAAGTGGTTTGTCAAGGCCGACTGCGTATTAAAAGTTGTCTCCGCCGAAGAATATAAAGCTTTGCTGCAAGAACTCAAAGATGGCATTGTCATGATAAATGAGGACGAAAAAGAGTTCTCCGGCAAACAAAACATATGGTGCTTGAAAATACTGTGCTATCTTGAGACGATACAGGTGGAAGAGTTGGGGGTTGATCTCAAGCCCATGAAGTCCGAGTACCTAGCAAAACTCGCGGAATTCGATCCTCTAAGGAAAAACCGTTATAAATACCTTGACGAGAAATGACCGTCGCTCACATAAATGCATGATCATTGTAAAGAATGATACTTGTATATAAAAGTACAAGTGACCAGTAACATCCTAGCGCTACAACTTCAAGTTTTTTCCCGTTTCGTAATGCTCTTGGCTAGTCTCTCGTCATTGAGCCTCTTTCGTGACAGAACGTATCTTCTCTCGCGAATCCCAGGATTCCATTCACTGGTGAGTGACAAATCCGAGGACACGTTATCAGGCTCCTTTAATCCTTTTTCGACGCCTGCCTGCTTCTTCAAATCCATAAATGTCTCTATGCCCGTATTTCGAAGATCTTCTGGTAAATTGACGCGGAAATCCGTGAGGTCGAAAGCATTGATGAAGAAATTCAACAGATCAAAATATGCTTCACTGACCGACGGTTCATCGCTTTCGAAAAGCGAATATCGTATGTTCGGCCACGACGCTCCTTTGGTGAGCTCACATGCCATTTTAAGGGCCGCTAGCGCCGTTGTATGCTGGGGAACCATTAGAAGAATCTCTAGTTTTAAAGCGTCGAATGCAATGATCCACGCCAAATGGGCCACTTCTCGGCTCAACGACAAACCTTTGGCTATCTTGGCCAGTATTTCATCGATATGCACGGAGTTGTTAACTCTATAGTCAAAGCAGCATGTTTCGAGTATCCTCAACTCCAGCTGAACTATGCGTTTCTTGCAATTATCGATCACTTCAGGGGTCAGTTTGAGAACGTTTCGCAGTCTCAACGACATAGATGCTATATCTGCAATTTTTTTCATTGTCTCTACCTGCTTGCAACTTAAAAACAAACAGCTGGTGGCTACATCGTAGCACAGCTCAGATTCAAATCTATTGAATAGATAATACCGCTGGTAAAAATACATGGCAGTTTCTAGCGTTTTGCGTGGAAACTTGAATTGTATACACATATCGCACAAAAATTTGAAAACAGACAGTCTTTTTTGATTATAAAGTCGGCGGTCCGGAATGGTATTTTGCTGTGCTCGCTTGATCTGTCCCCGCGTCAAATATGGTCGTGACAGCATGAGCTGCGTCTGAAATGTTCCTGACATCCTGGAGATTTCAAATCCACGCTTTTTGTAGAGTTAACCAGTAGATCTTGCACCAATCTGAAGTCCAGAGTTTGAAGTGACAATGGAAAGCTCATCGAGTTCACCTTTTCCAAGCACTCTAGCTAACTTTAATTTTTCAATCGTCATTTACGAAAGTGGGTTTCAAATTCCTCGAGGTGGCCCTCCAGTTGATGAAATAAATATACAACAACAGCGGACAGACCATAACGAGCACTGAAGGCCGATAATCCAGCATAACCGATTTCTATTGAATTATTTTGTATGAACTGGATATTGACTTACACTAGTTCTTGGTCCTTAACTAAAATGTCAGAATGTCATGAAAAAAAGTTAATTGGTGTCACTTTATTATGGTACAGTTGAAGTCGGTGAACCCTCTGGTGTAGAAAAAAAAAAAAAAAAACGAAGACACTTGTGAGCATCATGCACATGCAGAAACAAATGGGCTAGAAGCCCTTTCAGTTTTGTAAAAACTGGGCCGTTAGAGATTCCAGATCTTCCAAAGATTCCGGTTGCTGAACCTCAATAACCCGGCGAGCAGCTGACTTCTTGGTATCACTTTGTCCTCTCCTGTCACCGGCGTCAGTGTCACTCGATGACTCTTCGCTGTCGTGTCTAGAGTATTTGGCTTTCTTGGAGCGGTGTAACGTTTCTTGTTCTTCGTCCTCAGATGCAGACTGCATGTCATCGCTCAAATTGGCGCGAGTGGCCAACGAAGCATGGTACGAGCCACCCTCGTCCGAGCCAGACTCGTCATCGAGCTCAGCCTCCTGCTCGCGTCTGAGAGCCTCAAGACGCTTCCGCTTCTTCTCTTGACGTTTTTCCTTGGCCAGCTTCTTATCTTCAATGTCTCTCCCCTGCATTACGTCCGTTTCTTTAGAAATGAAAGATTTCTTCTGATCCTCCGCAGCACCGCCAGCATGGAAGTCTTCTTCACCTTCAAGCTCATAAATCGGGTGCGACTGGCCATCGTCATCGAAAACTAATTTCGATGGGTTGCCCTTTCCGGCAATAGACGCCTTTTTCGAAACGGCACGTCTCAAGGCCCTCTTAGAAGTTGGCCCTATAAGCTCAGGTAGTTCTTCCTCGTGTATTTGATGGTCTTGACGTTTCATGGTCATGAAATCATCCTCTTCGTCGGCATCTGCTTGGGCCTTCGTGATATTCAGGTAATGCTCACTCAATACTGTCTGATTTCTACGGTCAAACATTTTGTCGATCCTAGTGCGACCCTCCTTATTCGCACCAACAATGTCACCGTCGTCATTTGCTTTCGAGAGAGAGAGAAGCTGTCTAGATGTATTTTTCAACTCTTTGGCTCTTTCCACAGACTTCATGCCCTTCATTTTGATCTTAGGTGCACCAGGAAGACCTAACGAATTGGCGAACTCCTCATTTGGCAGCTCATCAAATTTGAAAACTTCCTTATCCTTCTGAATGTAAATTGATCTCACATACGAAATGAACGCCTTCTGGCCCAAGTATTTTAATTCCGGATCTTGGAACAATAGCGACTGCAATTGCGGCTTTATCGATTTTTTACGCGACTGTTTGATGGTTAACTTATTGGGTTCAATATGTCTCTGTTTTAGTCTTTTCAGGAAACCTTCTTCTTCCTGAGGTGTCAGCATGATCAAGGATTTTCCCTGTTTCCCATAACGAGCTGATCTCCCAACCCGGTGAATATAAGTGTCCACGTTTTCAGGACAGTCGGCTTGCACAACCCAATCCACAGCTGGGAAGTCAATACCCCTAGCAACAACGTCTGTTGCAAACAAGCATGTATGTTGTGCTCTGCTAAATTTATCCAGAGTTTCTGTTCTCGCGGTTTGCTTTTGCCGTCCATGTAGGTGCATGAGTGAAATACCCGGTTGCAGTTTTCTAAACGTCTCATAAACAAAGTGAACCTGCTTGGAACTTGAAAGAAAAACAATCATTTTGCTTTTAAGATGAGTCTTGATGAAACTGTAGAGAATGTCCAATTTGTCTGGGAGCTCAACGCTAATGTATGATTGCTGAAGAGTTTCGGGCGTAGCCGGAAGATTTTTGGAGTCCTTTATTTCCGCAGTGCCAATAGACTTATAGTCGGTGAGAGATAATCGAGCCAAATCAGCCAAGGATTGTGATTGGGTGGCAGAAAACAAAAGTGTTTGCCTTACAGGTGGTAAATTACTCACAATGGCATCGAGAGTTTTCTTGAAACCCATATCTAGACATCTGTCTGCTTCATCGAGAACCAGAATCTGTAGATTCGCGGTATTAAGTCCAACTGCCTGATCCATATGCTGCAAAATTCTTCCGGGAGTACCCACCAGTACGTTGATCTTCGAAATACGTTCTAATTCGAACTTGACGTCTTTGCCACCAATCACCAAACCAGCAGAAAATGAAGTATACCTACCAATTTTCACTAGAACTTCGTAGATTTGCATTGCCAACTCACGAGTGGGAGAGACAATAAGGGCCCCAAGTCCGTCAAACTCAGTCCATTTTTCACGGTATAGTTTCTCAATCACGGGAACCAAGAAAGCCAGCGTTTTACCGGAGCCTGTTTTTGCTGCAGCCAAAAGATCGTGGCCTTTAAGGGAAACGGGAATCGATTTCTGTTGAATCTCGGTCAATTTAACGAATGCACTGTCTTTAAGACCCTTGATGGTGTTATTGCTAAGCGGAAGATCCTTGAACAAAGCGGCTTTCGTATTCTCCGCGTCGTATTCCTCGATCTGCTCCTCTAATTTTTTTAAATAATCATCCTCCTTCTGTCTTAGCTGCTTTCTAGTTGCAGTGGTAACTCTTTGTTTCCTCGCCATTTTTCTTGATCAAAACAAGTGGGTTTTAAGCACACTAAATGGAGTTGATTAGAGCTTAAAGGTAAATATCTTGAAGCGTCTTAAAGCGGTAAGGCTGGGTGTATTTTTGCTGTTCAAATGAGAAATCTGTGAATCTGTTCGCGATGCGATGAGCTTGGAAAAGTTTCAACCTTTGAATTTTAGCGCTGAAAAATTAACCATCTTCCGTTAACAATGATACCAATTGAAAACTGTCGCCTTTTGAAAGAAATAAATGAGCACGTGACACGTGCTTTTATCGAGAAACAATGAACTCATGGGACCGATTTAAGTGGTCTCGATTTGACATAATGATCCAGCTGGGTCTCTTAGTGCTCTCAGCACATTTTTCCCGGATGTCTTGGCGGTTTAAAAATACCAGACACAATGTAACATAAAATCACATTTGCCCAAAAAATCAATTGGTGGAAGACGAGTACGTCGATAACGAAATATTGTTCGAATCGAGATCTGCATTACAGCAGTGAAGTCTTGCATTCCGGGGTACGTTTCGATAGCTTAAACAATACATTATCGTTTGAATCTTTCATGAGTACTTTTGTACTCATTCAAATCTGCAATGAATTGATTAACTGCTGATCATCGGATCATTCGACGAACAGTCATTTCAATCTCAAAGATAACATCAACCTTCGTCTCAAAATTGAAGGATGGGTAATCCTCATGGCTATTCAACAAGATTTCAACAAGAGGCCCTTTGAAACAGAATTTGGGACCGATTCCCAGCGAAAAAGGTTTCGGTCGCCTAACGACGCCGCCGGCACTTCTTTACGTAGAAAAGTGGTCTTGCCTGTGTTCGAACCATCCGGTATTCTAGCTTTAGAAACACATAACAAAGAAGGGATACAGTTGTTGCACACAGAACCGCAAGACTCCATTTCGCCTCAGTCATTTTATAAAAAGTACTCGCTTCCATTGCGGAAACAAACTCATTTCCAAGCTGTGCTGTATCGCGACTCAGACGAAAATTACCTTGTCCAGTACAATTTGCTGGACCGAACAAACTATTTGATTGGTAGGAAACTCAACCCAGATGATGAACCTTCACAGCAAGACGAAAATAGTGAGGTAGTACTTGCTGACATTCCGATTCCGGAAGAAACGTGCTCGAAACAGCATTGCGTGATACAGTTTAGGAACAAGAACGACCAGCTCAAAGCGTATGTCATCGATTTGGACTCCTCCAATGGTACATTATTGAACGATGTGGCTCTCCCGAGAGCCCGATATGTGGAACTAAAGAATCAAGACGTGATTCGATTTTCTACACATGATTCAGACTCAGATTATTTTTTGGTCTTCACGTCAGCATGAGAAGAGTGTACCATAGGCGAAGTATCCTAAAACGAACTAATTCAGTACTTAACTTTTGGCAACGCTTAAACTTTTTACGAAAATAACAAATAAGTTTTTATATTGGAATACTTGTGGTTTTTTATGTGCGGTGTCTGCAAATTCATAAGATGCAGACTATGATAATGCTAGGCCGAACAATGCGGCAGATTAAGACTTGTAAATCACAATTCGTCATGGTCAAAGTAATCGTCGTCTTCATCTTTATCTTCATCTTCCCCATCAGCACCAGTAGCACCTGCACTACCATATAGCTTCGAGGTTATTGGGTAAGCGACTTGAGACAAAGATTCGAACTTCTCCTTGAAGTCCTCAGCCACGGCGGTGTCGAAGTTGTCCTCAATCCATTCCAAGGCATCGTTGGCGGCGTCCAACAAGGTTTCCTTGTCTTCTTCCTCGAACTTGTCGGCCAATTCTCCGTTGATTTGGTTCTTCAAAGAGTGAGCGTAATTCTCCAATTGGTTACGAGCCTCAATCTTGGCTCTCACCTCAGCGTCTTCAGAAGCGTATTTTTCGGCTTCTTCCATCATCTTTTCGATTTGCTCAGGAGTCAATCTGCCCTTGTCATTGGTGATAGTGATGGAGTTGGACTTACCCGTGCCCTTGTCGGTGGCCGAGACCTTCAAAATACCATTGGCGTCTAGCGCAAAAGTAACTTCGATCTGTGGAACACCTCTTGGAGCAGAAGGAATGCCAGTAAGCTCAAATTCTCCAAGTCTGTTGTTGTCCTTGGCCATGGCTCTTTCACCCTCGTAGACTTGAATCATAACGGTTGGCTGATTGTCGACGGCCGTAGAGAACATTTGTGACTTTTTGGTTGGGATAGCGGTGTTTCTCTTGATTAATGGAGTCATGACACCACCAGTGGTCTCAATACCCATAGTTAGAGCGTTGACATCCAAAAGAACAATGTCTTCCACACTTTCTTCACCTGACAAGACACCAGCCTGAACTGCAGCACCATATGCGACAGCCTCATCAGGGTTAATACCCTTGGAGGCCTTCTTACCACTGAAATAAGATTCTAGCAAGCTTTGGACCTTTGGGATTCTGGTGGAGCCACCAACCAACACAATGTCGTCAATGTCCTCCTTGTTAACACCAGCATCAGCCAATACTTTTTCAACAGGCTTCAAAGTCTTCTTGAACATAGCCAAATTCATTTCTTCAAACTTAGCTCTCGTTAGAGTTTCACTGAAGTCAATACCGTCAACAAAAGAGTCAATTTCCACACGGGTCGACATTTGGTTGGACAAAGTACGCTTAGCCTTCTCAGCTTCTCTCTTAAGCTTAGCCAAAGCCTTGCTGTTCTTGCTGACGTCGATGTTGTGCTTCTTCTTGAACAATTGCATGAAATGACGAACAAGTCTGTAATCGAAATCTTCACCACCTAGATGGGTGTCACCAGCAGTAGCCTGGACCTCGAAAACACCACCTTCGATAGACAACAGTGAAACGTCAAAAGTACCACCACCCAAATCGTACACAATGATCTGGTGCTCTTCCGCAGATTTGTCCAAACCGTACGCAATGGCAGCGGCAGTAGGTTCGTTGACGATTCTCAAGATGTTGAGACCGGCAATAGTACCGGCGTCCTTGGTGGCTTGTCTCTGGGCGTCGTTGAAATACGCTGGGACGGTCACGACGGCATGGGTAACTTTTTTGCCAAGATAGTCCTCAGCGATTTGCTTCATTTTACCCAAGATCATGGCCGAGATTTCTTCGGGCGTGAATAGTTTTTCTGCGCCCTTCACATCGACCTTCACCACTGGCTTGCCATCTTTGTTAACCACACTGAAGGGTAGATGCTTGATGTCTCTTTGTACGGAGTCGTCTGTGTATTTCAGACCGATTAGTCTTTTAACGTCGAAAACCGTGTTGTGAGGGTTTGAGGCAACCTGGTTCTTGGCGGCGTCACCAATGAGTCTTTCGTCGTCTGTGAAAGCCACGTAAGAGGGTGTGATTCTGTTACCTTGTTCGTTGGCCAAAATTTCCGTTTTACCGTTTTTCATTACTGCAACACACGAATATGTTGTCCCCAGATCGATACCGATCACCGTGCCATATTCTTCCACCTCATCGGCTGCTCTGGCGAACCCACTAGACGAACGCGACGATTGCGAAGCCAACGGAAGTGCCACCAGGAACATCGCGTAGATGATAGCCGCGAACGACACCATCCATCCTCCAGATCTTGATCTGCTAAAAAGCATCTTAAATCGGCGCCTTGGAAAAAACTATTTTAGGTACGATTTTTTTTCTTGCGAACTACCAATTGTTCTAGATTTCAACAATGCCAATGTCAGTTGGTCAGTGTTCCTGTGAGTGTTTGTGAAACCCGGAAACCGTTGAGTTTTTGAAACTTTATTCGGTTGTTACGTCTAGTTCTTCAAACCTTTCGCGTTTATATAGGTGGCAAACTCAGAAAAGACACGTTGGTCAAAATAGTGGGAAATAATTGAAAGTTCTGGAAAAGTCTTTTGGTACGAGGGAAGTGCGTCAGTAAATACCAAACGTGATGGAAGGGACGAGTCGAGAAAGATAGCCGAAAACACGCAATGGGGAGGTTAGACGGTCTTTTGTAGAGTGTTTGATGGTCTTATAAATGTAGTTGTTCAGTGTGGATGGCGACTATCTTTCAGACGACATCGGTGTGTATGGTGATTGTCGGCCACTGGCTTTTGGCCAAGGTCTATGGATATAAAGTGTATTGCTGTCGCAAATAAGACTCTACAGCTCGAAAGAGAGAAATACACATACACACATGTGCGTGAACTATTATCGTCATGTTTCAAACATTGATCTTGAGCTGGATCTGGATCACGTGCCTTGTGACGCATTGAATAATTAGTATAGCACCACTGTCGTTGAGGGTATTCTCGAACAGCTCTGACAACACAGGACGAACTACACTAGAGGTGCCTTTATTTTTGCGTATTTTCAGGTCGTAGAGGTTTCCATCCCATCTCAACCCCTGAGAAATGTATTTTTTTTGGCAGAAAATAGTATTCTCCGTCGCGAGAACTGAAAGCTCATAATTGCGGCCCAGGATTACAGTGTGCCTCCATTTGGGTGCCCATCAACGCGACTTATGTCTTGGCCTTTCTCCAGAAGATTTTATTTCGTGTTAATGTTTTGGGTCTCACCTGTGACATTCATGTCCATCCAAGTGGATCACTTTTCACTAAATGTTGTCCTGAAGGTGTCCAGAGCCACCCGATGAGCTAGAATTATACCTCGACCTACATCAACAATTCTCAGACCTTACTAACAAACCTTGGAATCCCCAAAGCTCTCCAACGCATTAACTTCTCCATGGACCTCGAACACCATCTTCATTACATGCGCATGGCGACCAAGCTTGCCAAATACGCTTTGGACCATGACGAAACTCCCGTTGCTTGCATATTCGTATATACACCTACAAACCAAGTAGTGGCCTATGGGATGAATGACACAAACCGATCTCTCACGGGCATTGCACACGCCGAGTTTATGGGCATAGAACAAATACAGGCTAAATTTGGTGCCCTTGACACCAGTGTATTCCAGAACATTATACTCTACGTCACCGTAGAGCCTTGCATAATGTGTGCCTCAGCTCTAAAGCAGCTCGGGATACAAAAGGTCGTTTTCGGGTGTGGAAACGAAAGATTCGGAGGTAATGGTTCAATACTCAAAATTCATCAGGACTCGTCCACTGCGCCCAAAAATAAGTATTGGTCCTTACCTGGTCTTTTGAGAAGAGAAGCGATTATGCTCTTACGGTATTTTTACGTGCGAGAAAATGAACGATCACCAAAACCACGAACCAAAGCGAATAGGAAACTCGACCTGACAACTTTTCCTCCCATGGATTGGAGCTCATACCTTTCTCGGGAAGACTTCACCAATATTTACGGTTCTGCATTCCTCAAGTTCTACGACAACAGACTTGATCTCAGTGAGAAACTGGATTGGAGCCTCATAGACAATAACCAAGATCTATTTTTCCAGGAACTCCAAGCCAAATGCGAGGAATTCTCCCTGCAGACTAGCAAAAAATCGAAACCGGAAACCGTGAGCTAACTCTAAAAAAAAAAGTAAGATAGACGCATAATTACTAATACTAGGCCAGGCCTAATCATAAACCTTCCTCCACTTTTGTCCAAGTGTCCACCATTTTCTTGTAAAAATCAATCTGATTGTCGGCCAGTGACGCTAAAGAGTTTTTCAATTCTTTCGTTTTGATTTCTTCAAAAATGGCCACCTCTTTTAGAACGGCGCGCTCAAATGCATCTGCTACCTCTTTAGCATTGTCGACTTCGCCTGTCAGTGATGTGATCTTGGACTCAAGCTTAGAGATCTTCTCTCGTCTTGCCGCTTCTTGATTAATACCAGCTAGTTCTTCTAGCTTACTGGTGAAAAAATTCCCGCCTCCGTAACCTGAAATCAGATTATTCTTTTCATTGATCGACCTCGTTAGGTAGTTGCTTAGCTCTTCGTAATCAATTTGTTTTTGATCCTTCATTTTGACCGTTTGGTTGACACTGTCGATATAATGCTCTAAATCTTTCAAATCAACAATGTACTCGTATTCCAGAAATTTGCTTAGATCCTTGAGTCCATACGACAGTTGAGAGATACCTTCATTGAAAAGCTTGACTTTTGATCTTAGAGTTTCATCCTCAACAGAATTATTAGAGACCAGTTCCTGCAGGTCCTGAAGATGCGTGCTAAATTTCAGGTAATCATCCGATATCGAATCCTGTCGTTTCACAACTCGATGAAAGACCTTGTCAATTTTGGAGACATTATGATCTAATTTATCGCTTTTCTCTTTGATCTCCACAAATTCCTCAGTTTGATTATGCACAGACTTAAATGCGTTCATGAAAGTATCACTCACCTCATCTTTGCCACCGTTCAATGATCCTGACAGACTACGACGGTACGCATCCCAGTCCCCACTGGTCAAAAATGTCATCAGGAGTTGCGATTTAGAAAGCACCGGGTGTTCCGAAATTCGTCTCAGAAAATTTTGTAGACTATGACATCTCTTTTGCGTGAAAGTTTGACTGAACCGGTCACCTGCGATGTACTGGAAGACCTTCTTGTCCGGAAGTGGAGGAATCACACACGTAGGATTATCCTGGCTTAAAATACTTTGCAGCAGCAGAAAATCGCTATAACGCCTGTGGACTACTATAATCTCTACCGAGTTTCCATCATTTTTGTCTTGCGAATGGTTTTGCTGCTTATGATATGCATCGTAGTACGATTTATCGCTGGTTTTTGTTGAAATTTGATAAGTCACGTAAAAGGACGATTTGCCTTGTTCATCCCGTTGTTTTTGTGGATCTGAAACAAGTATGGAGAGTTGAAGAGGTTCATTACTGTTTGGCGTCTCATTCATAGCGAAGTTCAGTATACCTCTTGTCTAGAACCCGAATTAATGGAAAACACTGTTTGTCGATCTAATACCGACAGAAAAACAGCCCCACCGTTTGTCCAAGAAAAAAGCCTCTCAGTGGAAGCCCGTGAAAATGATGCAGAAGTTTCACGCTGAGGACGTCCAGGACTCAGCGATTGACAATGGTTATCGTTTTCTTAGTCAACAAGTCGATGGTTTCGTCAAACCCCTTGGGTACGGTAGTATAATAATTTGAATATTCTGGATTGTAGCTTTGGACGAACATCGATGGTGAGCCTGCAGAGGTAGAGTAAGAACAATGTTTAAAACAATTTTAAATGGGAGTCTGTTTGCTTAATTCAATGACTATTCGAGAAGTTCAATAGTTCATGCCATTTATTGTGACATCCGAAAATTTTGGTTTGTTCCACGATAAGCTCAAAGGTAGACAGTGCTTTTTTTCTTTTCTTGATTTACCATTCGATAAGCTCCTGCCACTAACGAAGCCTAGACAATTTCGAAGTGACCGATAGGCTGTAGTAATCTTTCTGGGGTCCTCGAGGATAAATTGTAAGCAACGAAAGACATCTTATTCACCTTTTGGACATGAGTGCGGCTAATACCTAAATGACGTGACTTTGACTTCAGATAAGCCATCACCACCATGGCATAAACAACCAAAGAATCAACGACATGGTAGAAGAGACAGAATGCGTCTTCGTGCGAGTTCTTGCAATATCAACACACGGGACCCTGAAGGAAAAGTCACTGCTTCTTTCCCGTTTTTTCTTGACTCAAGCGGCAATTGCGTTTAAACCAGCTTAAATCAAAGCCAACGGCTCATTGTCACTCAGCAACTCGGCTTCAACCTCATCGATAATGTCCCAGACGATATCGTCGGCAATTTGCTCCTGAAAAATATCATTGGCGGGCTTGAGTTCGGGCATTGTAGCTCGAATCGCGTCCCAGTGCTTGAAATCGTTAATTGCGGTGAGCAGTTTCGCACTGCCGCCATTGAAGCAGCTCACTGTTGGATAATAACCGAGCCTGCCATTGTTCACATATTTGTTTTTCAAGATGCTGTGAGGACGACGCTTGTGATCGACCTTGTTTTGAACATCGTCCCCTTCTGCGCTGCCACCCGTTTCGTTTCTCCAGTAGTTAAAATAAAGCTTCTCATTATATTTCAGTTCGCTGAAGGGCGGCAGAAACGGTTTGAGTTGCTCGAATGCCACCCCAAGCTCTTGACCATTCAAGAAAACCTTGAGAAAAGAATCTTTAAGAGAGTAGAAATCTTGCCGCTCACGCTTATCGGACGTGTAGTATTCCGGCTTGGTTGTCTTCACGTAGTCGGTAGCTTCAAAAAACAGTTGATTTTTGTATCGAATAGCAATTTGGTCGCGTATTATATTGGAAAGATCTTGATCGCGCAACAGGTCTTTTTGAAACTCGCGGGCAAGTTTTTTAGCTCTTTTCTTCACAGGCGCATCTGCCGAATTTTCGACCGGCGTTGAGAGCGCGGCAATCTTAAATTCTGTAAAGTCCCTGGCCTGAGCTATTTGGCTCTCTGTAGAGGGTAGATGCAACACGAATCCTAGTCGGTCTCCCGCTTTTATCTGACCCGAGGGGAGTTCCTGAGCCATTTTACCATCGTGGATCGATTCTAAACTGAAGTTCCGAATACCGTAACCATATAGATCAAACCCAACTGGACACTCCAGAGACGCTTCCCTTCGCGAAACACCGAACCTTAAGTTAGGCATACTGTTAATTTTATCTTTCAAGGACTTCAAATCGGCATCGGGGCTCAAATCGAGCTCGTCATTTTTCAAGATGTCGACTTCCCAATAAACTGTTCCTTCCTTTATGCAAGCATCACACCTTGCTGTTCTCCATCCTAATAGTTTTGGCACGCCAATTGCATTGTTCAAAGGCGGAAGTACACTCATGTCCTCAGCCCTATCCATGTAGTTGAAGCCTGCCACATCAAATGGGTACTCACTTGTGGCATATTTAAGCGTCCTGAAAAGTGGGTTGGCAGAGCACGGTGTGTAAATAAAGTTTCTTCTGTTCAGCGGTATATCTTCTGGTTTTACAAGTTCTTCATCAACTTGCGAAAACACGGGCAGTGATGGCCGTGGATGGGTGGCTGATTCATTCTTGGCAACGAAATCAGTATCCAGTTGATACGGAATAGTGATGAATTTCATCTCGTCTCTCTGAGTGGCTTTAAAACCCTATCTTCTCGACATGCTTGTAAAGGGACTTGCGAGAGCCTAAATCTTGGAGCCATGCATGTGTATACGTCAAATACGTTCAAGAAGACCCAATATGAAAAATTAATGTCACGTGTTAAATGTTTACCAAACAAACTGCCAGGATGAGTAGCCTCGGCGGCTAATGTCAAATAACACTATGATGCAACTTTCAATGAGTCCTCTTACTTTTATTTCAACCCAGCAGCTCGAGATCCTCAGAGATCTTGGCCTGGATACCAGTAGACCTCGCCAAAAAGTGCAGCAAAATAAACTGGAATTCGAGAAAATAGTGCCAAAAACCTAGTCGTGAGAACTCTTAATGTAGTCGATTATGCTAGTTCAAATCCTGTAAATGTGTGTACGTTTAAGTATCGGTAAATTCATTTCTTGGTGCTTTTGTTCAGCGTTCCCCCCTGCGCTGTTCAATTATGAGACCAAACAGAAGCCAACGTTTGAAGGGCTCACGGTCAAGCTTGAACGTAGATACAATCTAATCACACCGTCTATCCCATACTTATACTACCAAACTACCCGCAAAGAGAGGGCCAAATTACCATAACGCTGTTTTTACCGTTCAAAAGCGCTGTGAAGAGCCATGAAGAGCATAGTTATTGACCTGATATATTCAGCTCTGATTGGATAGCATCAATGGCTTATCACTATTCTTCTAAGCCGCCATGGTTTTGTTACCTTTAGTTTCGAGAGGTTGAAGATCATATATTAGCATCTCATCCTTAATTTATAATAGACAATGTGAGGAATGTAAGAAAGCTCGAAGAATTCGATATAAAAGTACGCAAACCATCTTAGAAACTTCTCATCTGTCACAAGTTATATCACTACTACTTTGCTTAACGATTGAGCGAGCTCTGGGGTTCTATAAGCTCTAATCAGGTTACTTCATTGCATCCAAGTGAACAGTGTCATAGAACGCTTAAACGTAGAAATGGAAAGGTTTGCTCGAGGGATTCTTGTCTTTCGTCAGCTAGTAGTAGGAATATTAATAGAAAGATGAATTTCGGCATCTGCTTATTGCGTCTCTAGTTGCTGCTACGTTTTAAGCCAATATTTGAACTCTGTCTAATTTTTCAGCGAACAGAATTATGGCCACTATTCGGTGGTGATTGAAAGCTCTCAAATATGCCTCCGATCTCAAATGGCTATTTGAGAGTCGATTGGTGGTATCGGCGCGGCCGTGCAATGAAGATGGAACCCGAACTACTCAAAACAAAACCATTCTCGCAAGAGCGTCTCATGTTTTCCGATTGGTCCCATGAAATTGAACTCAAAGTCCATCAATACAGTCTTACCATCTGAACAGTGCTCTCGAGCACTCCACAGATGTGTTCACCGACAGCTGGCTTGTTTTAAAACTTGTGGTACTCGCGACAGAAGATACGAGTACATTAATAATAGTTCAGATGAGATACGCTCGACGGAGATGAGAAGCACATAACAGCGCTGAGTTTAAAGAGATCCTAGTGGCATGGGTGAGATCGATGGGAAGCGACATGAGCCCGATAGGGCGCACGACGATGACGAAGAACCTACACGAAAGCGGCCGTCTTCTGCAATAATGGGTATCACTCGGTCTATCGCAGCTTGCAAGAGATGTAGGATGAAGAAAATAAAGTGCGATCAACGGTTCCCCACTTGCTCTAAATGCGCATCTTCAAACTCGCCGTGTGTTTCTGTGGATCCAGCAACCGGCCGAGATGTTCCGAGATCATATGTGGTTTACTTGGAGGATAGACTGGAGGCGATGATGCAGAAACTCACCGACTGTGGAGTAGATCCCAGTGAAGTCCAAGGAAACATCCCAGCAACGGATCAAGACAATGCTTGCGATCTCGGGATTTACGAGGAAAGACTCAGGTCAGAGCATAAAATACAGCACGATAACGCTATTGCGGGCTACATCATAAACAATGGAACGTCCATGAAGAAAGGAGTGATCAAAAGCGCAAAGCGGGAGATCGATTCGTCCGAGAATTGCTCTATATCCAGTGAACATGAAGCCTGCGAGCCTATCTCAGAACTAAGTGAATCTGCTAAAAGCATTCAAGGACTTGGTTCCATGAAGCATTCACACCAAAAATCGACAGAGTCTACCTTGGGTGCTGCCTCCAATTCTTATTTGGGGGATTCCTCCGGTATTCCATTTGCCAAGCTCATATTAACCGCGATAAACTTTATGCCTGATGCAGTAGAACAAGCATCAAAGGAAGCGGACGATGGCCCTGTAGAAGACAATGACAACAGCGAGCTCAAGCTATCTTTTTTGCCAAACAAAAAAAAAGCCCAAGCTTTGATCTCCCAGTATTTCACTAGTTGCAATGCTCAGCTCCCAATCTTACATCGAGAGTACTTTTTAAGGAAATTCTTTGAGCCTGTATACGGACTATGGGATACCAATGTCTCCTTGAGCTCTGACACCACAATGATCAACAAAAATTTCAAGCTCCCATCGGAAAAAACCCACCCAGAACTACAAGGTGAGCAATGGTACAAGCCATCACTCTCGCTGCAGGATAGTGAGGATCTGAAAATTCCAGGTAAGTTTCACATACCGCTCTTTTTTTTGAATATTGTGATGGCCATTGGGGATTCTGCAAAGATTTTAGCAGCTGATGAACGCGAGTCGGCAGCTTTTAAAGGCCGAGCATCAGCACTAATTGACGCTTTGTTCAAATCCGATGATCAAATGGAAGCCTTAGCGGGCACTCTACTGGTTGCTCAGTACTCAACTATGCGACCAAATGTTCCCGGGGTGTGGTATACAATGGGTTCAGCCTTGCGACTTGCGGTAGATCTTGGCTTACATGCAGAGAAGTTGAATCAGAACTACGACCCTTTTACGAGGGACATGAGACGAAGATTGTTTTGGTGTACATATTCACTAGATCGTCAGATCTGCGCATTTTTCGGTCGTCCATTTGGAATTCCCGATGAAAACATCACCAGTGCATTTCCTAGTGCACTAGATGACGCTTTGATCACTACTACTGTGGACGATATAGATGACTATTCGGAAGCCAAAAGCGCAATGGCATCTTACAAATGCGTGGCGCTTGCGTTTTTCAAAATACGAAAGCTTCAAGCCAACATCGTGCAGGTACTATATACCCAAAAGAAGCTCCCTGGAGGTTCAGAAAATCTGGCTGCATGGAGAGAAAAGATGAACGGATGTTTAGATGATTGGTTTCTTAAACAGGTGCCCAAGACTACTAGAAAGATGAATTGCGATTTCCGGAGTGATCTTTTCCAGCTCGAGCTTTTCCACTCGAAGGTTTTGCTCTACGGCTTATGTCCAAAATCAATGCATTTAGACGAGCATGGCCACAAGATGGTGTATCACGGTACTAAGGGTATCATTGACGTCTACTACAAGTTGTGCAAAGAGGGGAATATAATGTACACATGGTTTGCCGTACACACGCTATTTATGTCTGGTGTTACGTTTTTGTACGTACTTCACAACGCTGGCGTTGAATTAGGAGAGACGATCCAGGATGCGGAGAGAACGTGTGTGCAGTTAGTGTACGTTTTGGAGAAACTGGTTGGGAAATGCGAGGCTGCGAAGAAGGGTTCGATTATTTTCAAGGTACTCTCAGCTGCGATTTTGAAACTAAAGATAGAGAAGTCTGAGCGGTCACGATCGGGGGCACAGCCCGCGCCGCCACAACGAGAGCCTGAGCGCAAATCTGACACCTCTTCATCAAGTAGTTCACGTCTTGCGTTGGACCCGGTCGAAAGCAGCGACGGCAGTTTGGTTGCTCTTGGTGAAGAGCCACGCTTCAACGCTGCGACTGGAGTGGATTACGGTGCGCTTGACCAATTTTTCGCGGAACTCGATAAACTTTCCCCATTCTCAGATCTGGGCGCAGATCTGAGTGCGGATATTGCCAAGAGCTATGAATCTCCGACACAATGGGTGTCGCCAGCGGCGCCCGGTGCTCATCCGGCAAAATCCGCTGCTGCTGAACCTGTTAAACCAGAAACCGGTGAAGTACAGCCCCAGGAAAAATCCGATTCGGAAATTTCCGCAACACACACGGCTTCTGATCGTGCAAAGTCGACGTCCAACGATGGCCAGCGTGTCTACGACATGATGAGCCAGTTTAGCGTGGAAACCGTGTGGGACCAGGTATTCAACACTGGCGGCGTCTATGGCGTGAGCTACGGCAACCAGGATCAGTAAGAAAAAAGTAAAACGAAGTGTGTAACACTGCATGCATATTTAAATGTCTATATGGCGATACAAGGACGGATTCTAGACTGAAACTCCACCCTATTGGTACTGAATCTTCTGTCATTCCTAAACTGCAACTGGATTCTAGACTTTATATACGTATTGTGCACCCTGCATACATGCCAGAATTGCTCCAACACATGCTCTTGAGACCTGGGTATATCGTATCGATTTACCTCTAAATTTCAATAACGGTTGTTTGGCCGAGCGGTCTAAGGCGCCTGATTCAAGATAATTATCTTAACGCTGTAATACAGCGGAATCCTCAGGTATCGTAAGATGCAAGAGTTCGAATCTCTTAGCAACCATTATTTTTTATTTTTCACTGTTTCTCAAAAAACATCCCAAAGCGAGCAAATTTCTAGCCACAGTCATCTCTGTTTCAGATCTAAGGCTTCGCTGCCGTTTCGTTGTATTCCCTTGTCTTTCGTGTTCAATTCTCTCCATTGCGCCTGTCTCCGCGTTTTTCCTATGGTCACTATAAAGTGTGACAGGTCTCCCCACAATGACAGTGGAAGATCTCAGGTATATAAAGGACAACTTCAAGACAGAACTCTTCGCAAACAACTCATCCTTTGTGATGACCAGACTATAGTTTAGTGACGAGGTATAAACGAAACTGTGTAACGTGTAGCGTATTAGAAAGTTAGGTTTAGGTTTTGATTTAGGTCCAGCTTAGTCTCAGTTAGATAGTATTACATAGACCATATAGTGATGTCAGCGACAGTGGAGCAGGACGGAGGAGAGCTGGAAGCCATGTTGAAGGAAACGCAACAAGACTCGAAACCGAACGGTGTTTCGGTAATAGACAATTTGAAGTCTTTAGCAGCCGGTGGCGTCGGAGGAGTGTGTGCTGTGGTCACAGGACACCCTTTTGACCTGATTAAAGTGCGGTGTCAGTCGAACCAGGCCTCTGGAACGGCAGATGCAGTGAAAAAAGTGCTGCTAGAGGCCAGAGGTCAGCCAGGACCGCTGGTTTTGAACCAATTGCGAGGATTCTATCGAGGCGTAATTCCACCGCTGCTGGGAGTAACTCCGATCTTTGCAGTGTCGTTCTGGGGGTACGATATGGGCAAACGGCTGGTAACGTGGGGTTCGAGCCCGAAAACTGAAATTGCAGGCTCCAGCTCCAAAACTACGCCATTGAGCACCGGCCAGCTGGCTCTGGCAGGTCTGCTCTCTGCAGTCCCTACTACGTTGGTCACTGCACCGACAGAAAGGGTTAAAGTCGTGATGCAAACCACGGAAGGGGCCTCTTTTGTAGGCGCTGCAGGAAAACTTGTGCGTGACGGAGGTGTCAAATCGCTATTTCGCGGTTCTTTGGCCACCTTGGCTCGTGACGGACCCGGCAGTGCCCTGTATTTTGCATCCTACGAGGTCTCCAAACGTTACTTGTCTAGGCTCCAATCAGACGACTCTCTCAGCATCACAAACATCTGTCTTGCCGGTGGCATTGCAGGCATGAGCATGTGGATCGGGGTTTTTCCGATCGATACTATAAAGACAAGACTACAATCCAGTGCATCGGCCAGTACGATGTCAGAGGCAACTAGAGAAATTTACCGTCGAGCAGGAATCAAGGGTTTTTTTCCTGGGTTGGGACCCGCTCTGATGAGAAGTTTTCCGGCTAACGCTGCCACATTTCTTGGCGTCGAACTCACACACCAGCTGTTCAAACACTACAATATGTGAGTGCAGCGATCGTAAAAAAAAAACCTTTTTCGAAGTGTTACCTAAAATCCCCTAGGTGAATCATATTTAGCACTATGCAAACATCTTATATCCAATCAATCAGCATATTTCTGCCATCCTCTAGGTTTCTCCATCTTCGAGACGGTGTAAAACTTGGACGTGCAAGAATAACCTCTCCATGTAAAATCATCGTCGGGATTACAGTTGCAACGATTGTTGAGTCTGATGCTTTCTTCAATTGGGCAGGAATGGAATGGAACATGGTAGTAACCAATATCGCCGAAATGGTGTATTTCTGAACGATCCAAGAATAGCGCAGCACCAATGGTATGAACTGGAGCATCACCCCAACGCTCGTAGAAAAATCCACCCGCTCGATCCAAATAATCGAAATACGCAGAGTAAGCGGGTCCACGCCACAAGTCTAGCCAGCCAACTTCGAAATTCGACCAAAAATGGCACAAATTGTAGGATGCACCATCGTCGTCGGAAAGGAAGTCAAGCATGTTATTTGGGTGCAGCAATGTTGGATTTTTCTCCATGAATTCTTTGGTGGTGTCCCACAGGGTCTTGATGGTAGCTTCATACTCCCTTAAAGAAATGGTGAAAGCGTATTTCTTGCCGTTGTCCTTCATGAACTTGAAAATGTCGTAGTCCACGTCGCAATAGATACGAGTGTCTGGTTCCACACGCCAATACCAGTCGTAATCGGCTAATAGTTCGTGTCTGTAGAAAAATCCAGACTCGAAACGGCACATGTGTCTGTAAGGAAGCGAATCACCGTAGATAATTTGGTCCTCACGCATTTGTTCTCGGACTTTTGCTGCTTTATCCTGGTCAATCCATTCCGGGATAGACCAGTGTTCTGCCGGTACAAGCCCATACTTGGTTGTGCCGCTTACCATTGCAGTCGTGACACGCTTGAACTCTTCACTGAATTCTTTGTCGTTGAGAAAAACCCAGTCGTACTGAAACTTACTGTTAAAACGGTCTTCCACGCTAGCAATCGATCCCAAAAGCGAGTAAAGATCCTCGTTACGAGCCAGCGTTACAAACGTCGCTTTTTCCTTAGATCCCTTGTACTTAGCATGTTTCACTTTGCGGTAAGTGTACCCATTTGACGCGTCCCGAATCTTGTGTGTTTGCAGTCCTCCAACGCTGAAAGAACCGCTTCCAATATTGGTACCCTGCACCAAGAGCCACAGGGAGGTCGCAATAATGCACGCGGCAGCAACCGCACGAGTTGTGCCACTTTTCAGGTTCAATTGCATGCCTCAATGGCCGTTTTAAAGTTAATGTGGTTGGATGTGTTTGGTGGATGTTGTTGATGTAGGTGATGACAGCTGTCCAGTCGGAGATAATTTTTCAATATATAAAAAGAAGTCACGAAATGTCAAAGTGATAAAATTAAGTCCAAGTAGAAACGGGTGAGAAACGAAGACTTCAATTAGTGTGAGAAGGGCGCTGGAAAGGGCGGTATTCAAGCTCAGATATTAATCCAGGTTCATTCGAGGATTTGGCAATTTTGATCCCGCGAAAAATGTGGTGGATAATGTGCCGATTGGGAAAAGACTCGGGGTGAAACCATCGATAGGTCCGGTAATTTCGAGGAGCCAAGAGGATGGCCGCACAGAGTCTGTTGACACACTTTGATCGAATCTTTCCTTTTCACGGAGGAACCGGTTCTGAAGTTTCAAATTTCATGAAAATCCTACGAATTCTACAACACATGGTTTCATCTGGAACAAATTACTTGAAGAAGATGCTTGAACTTATTGCTTCGATCGGTTGCTTCGACCTGCTTCGCGATCAGTGATGACACCGTCGCTCCGCCTTTAATCGCACAGTTTAATATGACGCCCCGTCCTATCACTTTGACCCAATAAGTCGCTGTCATCGAAGCACGTGACCGGAACTAAAATTTGCAGCTCTCCGTAACGTGTCTCGAGCTTAAAGAATCCCGTCTAACTCTTCTAGCTCCCTCACGTTTCACCTTCACCTTCATGATTATAGATTTTCAGATCTAACGCTCGAACAATATGGGACACACCAGTATAAAATGATATATCAAAGTCAGACTTTTTTGGAAAACGACTAAGCCAAAAAAGAGCTATAGTACCAATGGATACGGTTTATATTGTTTCTCACACAATGAACCAGTCGTTGCAATTTCTCAACATCTTTAATGGCACTTGAAAATAAACAAAATTACAACCCAGTCTTTCGGTAAAAAAAGACAACTTTGGAATAATTTTGGGATGAGCACCAATTTTTATAATCATAATCAAACTAAAACAAGTGCCGATGGTATGATCCCACTAAAAATCGAAATTGCTCTGCCTGAACTTTTGATCGTCGATATGCTGATCGTACAAAGGTATCTCAAATTTTGAAATACTACACTCTAAAGTAAGTATCCAAAATTTGAGCGGATCATCTCATCTGCCACAATTCAACTCGTTGTACCGTAATATTTGCGTCTTATGTCGAGTGAGGTTTCACACCAGTCAAATAAGCGCTCGATTTCATCTACCATAGCGAGTTTTTTCAAGAAAGACTCTCCGGTGGATTACCATAGTACTGATGATATAAAACCAAGCTCAATAACGGCTGATTTTGAAGGTGTAGACACCACAGATTTGCCATCTGTGCCCGAATTATTGTTATTTGAATCCAAAAATGGGACAAGGCCTTTTTTGCTTCCAATAATGCCGCTAGAAAGGCTCAAAATTTTACGTCAGAAACAATATCTGCGACATCTCCAAGATTCACAACTTGGTCAGGTTACAGCAGGTTTCAATCCCAACACAACCACGAAACTAGCAGAAAACCAACTGATTCCATTGAGGTCTTTGAAAAGGAGGTCTTTGAATGCAGTGGAACGTTCAAAACATTCACTCAGGAAGCCTAAATTTGCGAAAGAGACCAGTTTAGGGAAACGATGGAATGCCGATTTTGAATACGATCTATCAGAGTATGATACCGTTAAAAGACCCAAAATAGCCGCATCAGTAGGCATTGATGATCCAACGTCAAGTTTAGAATCCCCTAGACTCTCGCCATCAGTCCTGAAACGCGGCACGATGGGTGGAAAGAGAACAATGTCGAATGGACTAACCAAAACAGAGGAAAATATACTCAATGGGAAGTCATTGACAGATCTAACCTCTACTAGTGTCTCCGACGCAAAAACTTTACCCCAGTGTAAAGGTCCGCAAACGTCTACCACAAAGCCATTATTAGCTTTACCAAGTTCAGGGTTTGATTTCGTAAAGCCACAGGAAAGCGGAGATGCAAAGGGCAAAGATAGCCTCAAATCTGACGATCGAAAGCCTAAAGTACAAATTAGTCTAGATCAGAAGCCAGATTCAGATTCGGCCAAAAAACCCTTTTCTTTCAAGAGAACATCTCCTATCGAGGGAGGTATCAATCCTGCTGAAAGTAATGGTGTCAAAAATCCAAGTTCTAGCTTATTTTCATTTGGCGCTAAGAATGACAAACAGTCGTCGACGACAGTCGAAAATGAAAACGAGACGAAAAAGCCAATATCATTTAATTTTGGGAATACGACGAATGATCAAAAGCAGAATAATCCGAAAGCAGCTTTTAATCTCAACCCTGCTTTACCAGGAAAGCTTTTCAACAGAACCGAACCTAGTCCAGATCATAAAGAAATTTCGTCAACGGACGAAATTCTTCCTCCGCCCAAAAATAGCTTCACTTTTCGATCCGCTGCAAACAAATCGGAGGCTAATGTTAATGCTGCAACCGTACCGAAAGCGAGCGATTCTACAGCCTCCAAGCCAGCATTTACATTTGGGACTGAACAGACCGCCAAACCGACTTTCGATTTTGGGTCCAAAAGCTCTTCAACGACGCTTAAAGGTCCCGAGCCCGAGTCAGAGTTGACATCTCGATCAGCGGCCAATCTTCTATCTACAACCGGTGCTTCTAAGAGTGGCGATGCACAGGATGGCAAAAAGGTCCCATCTTTCACTTTCGGCTCAACAAGAAACACAGAGGACCTCGGTAAGGAAAAGTCTTTCACATTCGGTGGTGAAGAGAAAAGCGGGGGTTCGAATACGGGCAAGCCATCCACAGGCTTCACTTTTGGAGTTCCCAAGCCACCTGTAGACTCATCGAAGCCTGCTGCTTTTTCTGGGTTTGGTGTCGGTAATAAATCTGAATCTGCACCTCCCGAAAGCACATCCACAGCACAAAAGCCCTTGTTTTCACTCAAAACGTCTTCAGAGGAGCATAATGAAACAAATCAGAATCCCGCTGCTGGTTCATCAAGCTCAATTCCCGCTATAGAGCCTAAAAAATTTAGTTTTGGTCCTACTACAGGGGAAGACAAATCTGCCACGCCGTTCAGTTTTGGGTCCAACGCGGAAAGCAAGCCGCCTACACCATCATTCTCTTTCGGTAGCGGAACCCAGGCTAATGCTGGGCCCTCATCGACTGGAGGCATTGGCTTCAAGTTCGATACAAGCGGTTTCAAGCAGAGCGCCAATCAAAATGATCAATCTAAAAATTCTCTTCCAGTTGGATCGAGCCTTGGAGCAGCCAAGCCGTCGTTCAGCTTTGGAAGCAATAGTTCATCAGTTGCAGCACCACAACCGCAGCAAAACACTTCCACCTTGGTACAGCCTCCTCAAAATAACGGATTTAATTTCGGTTCTGGATCGAGTACGAGTAACAATTCTCCGGCTTTTGGGGCAAGCGCCAACAACCAGCAAATGGGTTTCAATTTCGGAGCTGGAAACACAACCGCGTCATCAACACCACCGCCGTTTGGGGCATCCAACCCCAGTCTGACAGCAATGAACCCTCAGAGTAGGCCGTTCAGTCCCTCTAACACCATCAACATGAATTTTGGAGGTGTCGCATCTCAGCCTCCCAGCTCAATTTTTGGAGGAGCTGCAGGAACACCAGCGCAGGCTTTTGGCGGGCAGGCGCTGGGCACGACGGGTTCTTTTGGGGGTGGGGGCGTTAATCAAAATCCACTTCAAGTATTTGGAGGGCGAAACGTGGGCGATGTATCTCAACAACAGGGTCAAACTCCTATGTTGAATCTTCCTCCAGGTAGAAAGCTTGCGAGAATGAGGGCAAGAAGAAACTAAATAACTCGAGTGTGACTTTCAAGTAGAACATATTTGGCATTTGATTGGAATTTTTAAAAGTGTAGATACCTCATAAGTCATTTGTCGTATAAACTTTGACTAAGAACTAAAGTAGGGAACGCTTTCTTCGGTAGCATCCATCCAAATCTTACCGATCTCCTTGAATGATGCTTGCTCTTCTGCCGAAAACGTAAAAGTGACCCCAGCTCCCGGAGAGGTTTTGGCGCAATATGTATAACCGATACAAAGATCAGTAAAACCTCCTCCCCATGGATTTACAGATACATCGGGCACAACGGCTTTTTCTATGCTGATCATTGATTCATAAAAATCTCGTGCGACTTCGATTGATGAAAAACGGTCGTGAAGCTCATCTTTCTTGTATGCATTCCAATCGTAATCTATGCCGTCTGAAAATTTGCAAAATTTAAATCCACCGTTAAACCACAACAAGCTACCATCGGGATTTGTATGCCCCACTTGAATTGAGCATACCTCGTTCGATTCATCGGGTTTCCCCAATGCGCTCGCTGGAATTGAATGGAATCTGTACTCGTGATTGGTCAAGAGGAATGCTAGCCACAATGATTCTTTGTCACCGTGAGTACACCTCGAAAGCTTTGGCGCCAAGTTCAAGAATATTCCGGCCAAAAGCGCATACATATGCTTTGACTTGTTCAAGACAAATAGTCCACTGTCCATGTGATGACGTTGGTGCCCCACAAACAAACTTTGTATTATATTGTGTTCGGGCGTGGGCTTCATTGAAACCATGAGCTGCTTATCGATTGCTCTCGGATGATCAAAGTACTTAGCTTCGAAGGGCGTAGCTTGCAATGACTGTAATTCAGGAACACAATAAGGAAAGTCAAACTTGTGAGCAAAGGACCGATCCTTGAAGAAAAGGGCACCTGATGAAGTATACTCTTCAAACGTAAAATAAGACTGTAAAGGTAGGATTGGCACCACATCAGCATCCACAAACACAATTTCCTGGAACGTACTGAAAATCGCAGCAAGCCATTTATTCCGGTAAGAGTGGAAATCCATAGCAAACCTTTCGTCCAGCATTGGTTTTACATTTACGAACCACAATTTCTGGCTTGCTGGCAGCGACTGAGATATCTTGCGCTGCGATTCCAGTGCCAGGTCACCCTTATGAATAATTTGAATGGGAAGCTGATTTCCTTGATAATCCAGCACCTTCAATAGCCTTATAACCAGCGATACATGAACGTCCGGGAACGACATTACAATGCCTCGTGAATTCGAACCGGTCGATTTTAGGCAAAGTCGTTTCCAGTTATCCACGAAGGATGTCTCTGGGTCGAAGCTAAATTTGAAGGAGTCCTGTGGCGCCCCACTTACAACAGGGACAGCTCCATTTTCGTAGCTTTTCGATAAATCTCCGGAGGTAAAGGTAGCAGTAGTACCTGGGCGTATAAAAGGAAACATACGAGCGTCCAAATCCGCGATCTGGGCAGCGGGTAGAGCGTTCCCTTTTTGACATGCCTCGAAGAGACGAATACGTTCAAAAATGAGTTTGAGGTTTTCCGCCTCGTACTCGTGTGCCACGTCGCTTGAAGGAGCTGTGTTTTCGCGATAATCATTCCACCAAGATGGTTCCGCAGCATAAAGAGCGTCGTAATACGCAGAGCATGCTTGTTCAGGTGATTTAAAATTATTCGACGACTGGGCTTGGTTGCCGCGACCGTTCGTTCTTGTCCTGCCGTTCGAGTTTTCCAAAGTCCACTTAGACACCAGCTGTGCGCCAACATCGCGTGTCAAGCTGGTTCTGCTATTTTTGTTCAACCCGCGTCGTACTGCGTTCAAAGAGAACAGCGCTGCGAGCAGCACTACTGCAGCGACAATGCGTCTTGCAGGTTTCCTTCCCAAGACGGCCATTCACCAAAAGCTCTCAGTTAAGTTTCGAGTCGCTTGAGAGTCGATTGAAACGCACAGGGTGAGCGTCTTGATGTCCCTGACGAGGTATTTGAGTTTAGATTGGATAACAGTGTGATGAGGCGACGCATGTGACTTGAATTTTTTTACGGGAAATGAAAAATCCTCTAGTCGACTCTCCGGTCTCGACGAGAGGAGGGACCAGATAATCTGGGTAGAGGAACGAGTAGAAGATCAGGTGAAGCAACGGATAGAGAAACAGATCGAAAAACGCATGGGTGTTTAGAGTTTAGGTTCTTCGCCGGGGAAAGAGAGAGAGAAAAAGAGAGTTACCTTTGTGGTAAGAATGAGCAATCCAGGCGTTCTATAGAGTTGATGAAGCACAACAGACGTGCTTATTGGCCGGCCACAACTTGGTTTGCCGGTGAAAGAAGAAAACACGGTAAACTTCATTTTGTGTTTCCGTTTCGTTTCCGCCTTGTTTAAGGCCAAAAATAAAAAAAATCGTTTGCCACAGTCATTTTGTAGTGAGCCTGATACCTCCGCAGTACGCTATTCGAAATCTCTATATTGTTTCTCTGGCCAAAACAACGACTTTTCACGCTAGCTTTCGCACAGCAAAACGTCGAAAAAGATGGTATTAAAACGTGTCAAAAACTGTTTACGAACCAAAACGGCTAAGCCGCTGTAAAATGCGTACTGGTGTTCCACATCAAAGACGGCTTACCCATCTTTCGTACCTATCATCTTGGAAACTGGTTCGTTTAAGAGATGGAAGTACTGTGTAAATCTAACTATCTTTATATGTTTTTCACGGCCTCTCGAGGGGATACGTTAACGAGTTATTAAAAAAAACTCATGGCAACAACGGCGATGGATATAATTACGTCAGGATAATTAGAACAGGACGTCGCGAAAATCAAAGGGTAGACATTTAAGAATTCGTGTTGTGAGTTGTGATATTCGAGCTTGTTTCCAGTTTATTGTTGTATCCAACCAAGTGTAGATTTGGGAAAAAATCGGAAGTCGGTCGCCCACATAGTAATTGCTGTCGAGTTTAGAAAACAGTGTCACACTAGACATTGCAAAAAAAACTCCGAAGATTCTTCGAGATGTGAGGGAAAGACACATTTTTGTGGACCCGCAAAGGGGTACCAACGAAGCTTGGGAATTTCACCGGCGACGGGCAATCAGACAGTCGGACTCAGTTCGAGTAGCCCGATGCTTAACGTGTGAAGGTCAAGTTATGGATTTTTGGTTAGAATTGTGGCAGCTTCATACCGACAGATGCGACTGCCACGGTGTGCAGATGAAATTATGGTCACATATTAGCCGCATCGATATTTGGATAGCGTTGTGAATGCCTTGCCTCTTAAAATCGTCTTCTGTCTGACCGCCATCTACTCGTTCTTCGAGTCGTCTGCCCGCCATCTAGTCATTTCTCCGCTCGCCCTGCTAGCCAATATATATGGTAAGTTTATAGCTAACTACTGATAAAATCGGCTGGGAAATGAATAGTAGACGTGTAAATGGAACAGACGACGGCATACGTATCCGCATGGCTGACACGTACTACGCTATCGTGGGAGGACCGCGGGCTACCGCGGATCGACACGTTGTCGTTCGTTCTCGGAGCGGTCGCAGCGCTCATGCTCTCTTTCCTTGAACCGGTGCTCAAGGCCCTCATTGGCGGACTACTGGTCAGTCTTCTGACGCTGTTGAAGTACGCCATTTGTACCGGAGGCGTTGTGGCGTGTTGGATCATATTAAAGTCTAAAAAAGGGACCGTTTCTGAGTCCCGCGCCAAATCAATTGGTGAAAGTACGGATCAAGATGCCCGAAAACAGTTTATGCAGCGAGCGACACCTGCCACTGCCGACAACTACGAAATTGTTGACTACCAAAATGTCAAGAAACATCATTCACCTCTGACGAAGCCGGTTCACATCAAATCACCGTATGAACAATTCGTGAGCCAGGCTAGAACCAGTTAGTTAGCCAGTTTTTTTAAGTCGGAAAAACGCTTTAAAATTATACACCTATTAAAACATTTTGAGTTTTACTTTGTCAGCGGGGAGTTTGTGGTTTGTTGATAATTTGATGACGAGTTGATGTGATGTAAAAAGGAGGCTATATCAAGCCAGCTAAGAACATTGGGTAGTAGTTTAGTGGGATTCGCCTGGGATCTCGAACACGATCTGCTTACCGGTCAACTTGTTGTACACAGCCTGGAAAGACTCCAACTTGTAGTCAACTTGCTGGACGTCCTTAGAGTCCAACAAAACCTTCTGGACCTTGTTACCGCCAACCAAGTATCTGACTCTCTTGCCGACGATTTCGGTTGGGAAAACCAAGTCTTCCAAGATCTTGTCGTGGACAGCGGTCAAAGTTCTAGATCTAGGTCTCTTCTGTTGCTGTCTGGATCTTCTGGATGGCTTTGGCAAGATTCTTCTCTCGGCCAAGAAGATGACGTGACGGTCTGGGAACTTCTTCTCCAACTCACGAGTCAACTTTGTCTGAACTTTGTGGTAGCCGGCCAAAGATGGAACTGGGACAAAGATAGCAATGGCTTTCTTACCGCCACCAACTTCGATCTGATTGCAGGGGTTAGTAAAATGGAACCTGTGGGAGGAAAACGTCGTGGTACGAATATCACACCACCATATGAGGTGCATATACCACGGTATTTCGACCCACAAACATCGTTGAACCCAGGGAAACGGGGGGTTCTTATTTTCATGCTGATATTCGTTGCGGCGTTTTCATTGTTTTCAAATGCTCTAAAAACATACCTCTCTGATAGACTTGAACTGCAAAGGTCTCAAGTCGGCCTTGGCATCTGGAGAAGCGGCTTCCAAGTCCACGAAAGCTTGGGCAACTTGCAATTCCAATTCGGTAGGAGCTTGAGACAGAATCTTAGCTTGAGCAGACATCTTGTGGTGGATTTGGATTATGACCTTGGAAGTTCACCTACAATTAAGCTTTGACCAACACTAGCTTTGACCAAATATTTGATAATATTGACAAGGTACCACCATGGCTGTGAAAAATTCACGGCCACACAGCGCGACGACACCTACACGAAGAGGATAGACAGAACGCTAGGCTGGCGTGGGGCGGGACCGGACATCCCAGACAGAGCCACAACGGTTCACTAGAAGGAGGAACAGCGAACCCAGGCAGCTCTGCCTCCAACGGCACAGACAGAATCCCAGCCTAGCTTTCCAGCTCTCGCTCTCGCTCTCCCAGTCTGACCACACTGCTGGGGCCCACAGGCTCGGGTAGGTATAAGAGCACACCCACGCACAAAACGTGCACCCACGCAAAAATGTCGCCACAAAAAACCACAGCACGTGCCACATTCGACCGATCCTATCACACAAAATATTAAGTTAGAAATGTCTGGGTTTACTAGCAGTCACAAGAAAGAGACAACAATTAGCGAGTAAGGTTTTATGATAGCTACGATGATGATGATGATGATGATGATGATGATGATGATGGATGGTGAAATAGAGTGGTGTAAGAACAATGGCAAGAGACGGACAGGTTTGTCAACACATATAAAATCTCTCTACATCTTGTCAACATTGGCAGCGATAAGTGCATCATTTGTAGAGTTTTCAAATTCGTTGCTGTGTTTGCATGTCGCAACATCATCATTTTGCAAACCACTGCACTACCTTTATCATAGCTTTGGCCAACCTTCACACCAGAATCTATGATTAATTTCCCCTAAGCTTGCATATCACACGCTACATAAACCTCGATACTGCGGATCATATGTCTGGACCCTGTCTCTTCCCATTGTCACTCTATTTATGGTTTATGACACTATCAATTTAAATGATATTCTTGAAGTCAGACAACCACACGAAATCTCTTGAAATTTCTTGAAACCTGGAGTCAAAAGTCGAGAATAAAAAGATTACGCTTTTACTGTGGATGTTTATATAACCGTCTTGTCACCAGCTATGTCCACTTCCAGGTAGTCTCCATGATATTGGTCGTCGACAGCCCCAAACAGCCGAAATTGGATCCAGGGAACTCTTGCGAAGGCGTAGACTTCACCACATATACCGAATTCAAACACCCAACGCTAGTGAATTCAAACTTTACTCTCTAAACAGACCGCTAGTGTCCCAAGTCTAGTTTCGCCAATTTTTTTTCTTATACACCCACATACCGTGATATAGTGGTTAATTAATATCTTCTCGAGATATCTTCTTCGCACGCTTTTGAATACATCAGTCTATGTTGCAAAACTTCAGCAGGTGCGTTCAGTTCGTTCGTTTCAACGCGCGCAGTTTTAGTTTGAGAATGAGCCCGCTACCAGACGTTAAAAATTTACCAGTACTGCACAGTACGCTGGAACAAGCCAAAAGGTTTGCAGCTTACAGAGCAGTGGATGAAAATTTGGACTACGCTAACCACCGCGTGATTGGCGTGGGAAGTGGGTCCACAGTGATCTACGTGGCAGAACGTCTGGGCCAGTACCTTTTGGACCCTAAATTCTCGATCTATGCGTCCCAGTTTGTATGCATTCCCACTGGATTTCAATCCAAAGAGCTCATCTTGACAAATGGACTTAGACTGGGGTCTATCGAACAATATCCGGCTTTAGACATCGTTTTCGATGGGGCTGACGAAGTGGATGTGAACTTGCAGCTCATCAAGGGTGGAGGTGGATGTCTGTTCCAGGAAAAACTGGTGAGCACTTCTGCTGCCAAATTCATCGTGGTGGCCGATTACCGTAAAAGATCTCCCAAATATCTAGGTACCAACTGGGTCAAAGGTGTTCCGATCGAAGTTGTACCCTCCGGCTACATTCGTGTCTTAAATGACTTGAAGTGCAAATTAAAGTGCAAAAACGCCGTTCTCAGGCAAGGTGCCCCCGCAAAGGCTGGACCAGTGGTCACCGACAACTGTAATTTCATCATTGACGCGGACTTCGGAGAAATCGAGCATCCTGAAAATCTGCACAGGGACATCAAGATGTTGGTCGGCGTGGTCGAGACGGGTCTATTCATCGACAACGCTCAAAAAGCTTACTTCGGGAACCCAGACGGATCTGTCGAGCTACAAGTTTGATGACCACTTTTACGCGCATACTGGTATGGTGAGAAGGGCGAGCGTAAAAAAAGGTTCCTGAACTTTGTATAGTAGCGACCGGGGGCTAGTTTCGCTTTCCCAAAAGCCATTTCTTTTTCTCTTCTTCTGTGTCTATCTTCTCCTGTAGCTAGATGCATTACATTTTTCCATATTCTGTCACATATAAACCAGCAACTCAGTTGTTCCAACTATGCCTGTGTGCTGATTACAATTACAGATGATATTCCATTACTATTACATTGTGTATAAGACCAGATGAAGACCGGACAAGAGGGTGCTAAAACACGCCTGCCGCTTATTTTTTGTCTTTGGCTTTTGTGTTGTTAGTGATCCATGACAGCCCTTCCACTAGACCCTGGCCGGTCAAGGCGTTGCTTCCGATAACACACCACAATTGGTTATCGAGATGGTCATTGAGCTCCAAGTAGTCAGATATTTGCTGCGGACCCATGGCGCCCTTGAGATCCTGCTTGTTGGCAAGCACCAAAAGTACCACATCCTCCATTTCTTTGTCGCTGATGATGCTGTATAGCTCTTCCTTGGCCTCATTGAGCCTGGCGGTGTCTTGAGAGTCCAGCACAAAAATTAGAGCTGTAGTAGCTGGAAAATAGTGTCTCCAAAGTGGTCTGAGTCGGTCTTGCCCGCCAACATCCCACATGTTAAATTTCACATTTCTGAACGAAACCGTTTCCACGTTGAACCCTACTGTGGGTGCCGAAGTCTTGATCTTGTTGAGTTTCAGTTTGTACAGAATAGTGGTTTTACCCGCGTTGTCGAGCCCAAGCATCAGGATCTTCATTTCCCGATACCCAAACATCTTTACCATGACTTTTGATATAGAATTCCCCATTGTGCTGCAGTCTCGTTAAGATAGGTGATAGATAATGGCTTTCTCAATGTTACAGGAAGTGCAAGATTCGTGTACTGTGTAGGCTTGAGCATACAGTGACAATGCTAAATCCAGGAACTTGGCTCAAGTCTTGTGAGTTTACGCGTTGTAGTAAACTGGATTTTAATGCTGGCCTTCTCAACCGTTCGTTCGTGTGAAGGGGTCCCAGCGACGAGAGTCATGTGAGCTAACTGAATGATAGACGAGAAAGACGAGAAAGACGAGTAACGATATAAGATAGCAACTCACGGAGTTACGGTATAAGAATCAGGAATGACTGTAAATAAAATTAGAAGTATATTGTAGACTGACTAGTCAAGCTATACACTGTTCGTTTTCCCCAGGTCTTTTTTCCCGGAGTAATTTCTGTCCATACATGCAGCGGCCGCGAAGAAGCTATACTGAGACGTCTATATAGATTGAAGCCAATTTTAAACAGAATATACTGATATCCGACTGTTTGACATCCTTGCTGTTCGAGTTGGTGTACTTTTAGCCCGAGCGATTGGTCTCCGTGATGTTGGTTTAATTGGCATCGCTGTCGCTGCCCCGGATACAAACAATTAGAGCCGGGACAGCGACACACGCGTATAAGGTGATTACATGCATCAGAAACATAAGAGCCATTGGGATGGTAATGGCGAATACCATAATGCTACCACTCGTCCCTGAATGATATGAAGCCAAATATATGTTAATTCTCAGCTCTACAGTGCTCTCTGGGTTCATGAAAGAATCTCTAGACGAAAATAAAAGTACATCGCAACACAACCGTACGGCTGAAATAAAACGAGATTGTGGATTCTAGATTGTGTCAAATCAACTCATTTTTGGCTCCACCATCTTTACGGGACGTGGGTAATCGGCAGGTTTCTAACAGATGACACACCCGTATTATATGACATATGCCATTGTCGAGATCATCACCTATATCAATATATATAGAAAATATACGTAACCGGTGTGCATTCTCAAGATGGACAAACAAAAAGAGGTCTGTCAAGACCAAGTAAACCCCGATCTCTCACCAATGGACCTCTCTTTACCCGATGGGTTGCCTCTAGAAGCTAAATCCAAACTTCGGGTACTGATACAAGAGTTCGAAGACGGTGATCTGACGGCAAAAGGATACTATAAAAAAAGACATGAAATACTGGACCAGAATGCATTATCCATGTCGCCGCTGGCGTCTGCAAGATCTACAACGCATGGAAATTTTGGCCACACTCGAAATACTAGCGTGGCGTCCACAATCCGGTCACACATTTCGCGGGGGACCCAAAAAAAGGACAACTACGTCATCGATTCTTCACCAACAATAAACTCGCGGCAACCTTCAACTTCGATGTACAGGGTCACGACGCGAAACTCAAGTCTCCTGAACAGTGCGGGCGGCTCCTTCAAGTCCCCTGAACCAGCCGCCGAAAATGGTGCTGCAGGAACCATCTATAAGCCGATGATTCCTTTACTGCCGCGAACGGATAGTGCGCCCATCTCGGACTCTTTGCCGTCCATTCTCCGAGCACGCTCTCAAATCTACGAGCGTGAGACTGCCTTCATGTGCATAAATCACAAAAACAAGGAAACGAGCATATCCTGGGACAGACTGTACCTTCGAGCAGAACGTGTTGCACACGAGATCGAGAAACTTAGGCTCTATAAAATGGCCAAGGTGCTTTTATGGTTCAACAAGGACGATCTTGTCGAATTTGCAGTCGCTATGATGGGGTGCTGCATAGCGGGCATGGTGGCTGTTCCCGTGTCACTACAAACATACTCCTTGGGAGAAATCATCCAGATCGTGAATTTAACGAGCGCAACGGTGGCACTCATTTCGGGTAATGCTCTGAAACAAATAGACAGTCTGGAATATCGTGATAACGCCAAGGTCAAGTTAACAAAGGAGGGTGTTCTCTCTCAAATGACATATGTTGTTACTGAGGACCTAGGGGTATATTCCAAGGCTAAGAAAAATAAACCCACGTTTGATATCCCTAGTGTCTCCTATATCGAGTTCACCAGAACCCCACTTGGTCGTCTTTCTGGTGTGGTGATAAAACACAAAATCCTTTCCAAGCAACTAGAAACGCTAGCAAACATCTTGAACTCACGAAGAGAGACACATGGGAATACTGGAGATATCCGACGGTCCTACAAAAACAAAAGAACTTCTTCCAGGTATACTATTTTGAGTTCATTGGATCCGACAAGGTCAACTGGATTGATTTTCGGCGTTCTGTTCAATATCTATACAGGCAATTTGTTAATGACCATTGACGACAGCTTACTTCAACAGCCCGGCTTGTATGAAAATATCATCAACAAGCATCGTGTTAGCGTCTTGCTGAATGATCAGCTGCAGTTGAAACAGGTTGTTATCAATTACTTGGAAAATCCTACGCTGGTAACTTCCAAGAAAAACAAGATTGACATGGGTTGCGTTAAATGGTGCCTTACTTCTTGCACGAATATTGACACTGAAGTCACTGACATGATTGTTCACAAGTGGCTAAAAAATTTGGGATGTTTGGACGCTTCGCGGTGCTATTCTCCGATGTTGACACTTCTTGATTTCGGCGGTGTCTTTATCTCTTTGAAGGATCAGTTGGGCCATCTAGAGAATTTCCCTGTACACGACTCAAAACTTGTACTACAGGATGAGTTATTTATTGATAAAGAGCAACTAAAGGAGAACATCGTGAAGCCAAGCATAACCGCAATGATCAATTCCTCAAGTTCCACCAAAGACTTTCTTCGATTGTCATGTTTCGGATTCCCTATTCCTGATGCCACGGTGTGCATTGTAAATCCTGATGACAGCACACTTGTTCCTGATCTGACAATCGGAGAACTTTGGATTTCCTCTTCGAGTATCACGGACGAGTTCTACCAGATGGACAAAATCAATGAGTTCGTTTTCAACGCTCGGTTGAATTTCAAAAAAATGCTTGAAATTTTGCAATGGACGGCGCTGGACGCCCAAGGTGACGCATCGAAGTCTTTTGAGCGGCTGGATATGATAAAAGAAATTTGCAGTCCGGAGAAATCATACATCAGGACAAAGTTAATGGGGTTCATTCATAATGGTAAGATATTCATTTTGTCCTTGATAGAGGACATGTTCTTGCAAAACAAACTTGTAAGATTGCCCAATTGGTCACATACATCCGATGTCACCAAGGCTAAAAAGCCGGAATCATCTGGAGGTGAGCAAACTCCTACCAAAAACGATTCACTCACATCAAGAAGAGTTGTCCAGACTTTTTACCTCCAGCATATCACAGAAAATGTTGTGAGAATGGTGGACAAAGCAACAGAAGTCTCAGTTTTCGAGCTTCCTCAGAATAAGGAGGAGCACTTTTTGGTGATGGCTGTCGAGTGCCCATTGGCCTCTAATGCTGCTACAGGCGCTATAGCTTTAACTGCGCAACAAAAGGAGCAGCGTGAGAAGAAGATGGCGACCGTGGTAGAGCAGATTTACAAGATTTTGTGGATATTTCATAGAATACAGCCCATTTGCGTCATGCTGGTATCACCTCGCTCTCTACCACGAAGATATTGCTCACTCGAGATCGCTAATAGCACGGTTGAGAAGAAGTTTTTGAGCGGTCTTTTGAGTTCAAAGTTTGTCAAGTTTCAGCTCGATAATGTCATCTTAGACTTCATTCCGCACTCAAGCTTTGTCAATGAAAGCATTTTCTCGGAGCATTTATCATCTCTGCGACACGAAGCAATGTCTCAAGAGGCGTTTGCTGCAACGGGATCTCCGCCACAGTTAACCTGGCAAACATCGGGTATTGATTATCGCGAAAAAGCATTAGATTACAGAAGCAACACGGACTTAGCTCCGTTTCCCAACATCTTGGAAATTCTGGAATGGCGATCACGCAAAAATGGAGATGAGTTTGCTTTTAATGATGGAATTTCTGGTACCTCAGCCTCCACTGGAAATCCCAACAATTTACACAGCAAAGTTTCCTGGAAGACTTTCTTGTCAATCGTGGGTAGTTTCGTCAAAAAGATTGTGCAATCGAAGAACCCTTTGAAAAATGGCGACCATGTCATTGTCATGTGTGACAACTCTGTCGAGTATGTTGCAATTGTGTTGGCGTGCTTCTACTCAAATCTGATCGTCATCCCGATTGCGCGATTGATCGAGTCGCACGCTGAAGAAGAAGTGGATTTCCTTTTAAGCACTGTGGTAAATTATAAAGTGAAAAGAATCTTTGTTGATGCCAAGATGCAAGCCGTGCTTGAAGACGGTGTGAGCATCAGCAAGATTTTGAGACGTTACAAACATCTTCTGCCGAAGATTACAACTTTCTCAAAAATCAAAAGAAAAGGGGACACGTCCTCTTCGGGACTCAAGACTTTGCTCAAGGGACGAGGAAGCTCCAACCAAGATTCTTCTGGTGCTTGTGTTATATGGATAGATCGTGAAAGAGATATCGACCGAGAGCTAAACGTGGTCATGACACACAAGGTGTTACTGAACATGTGTAAAATTTCGAAGGAAACACTGCAATTGACCAGTGACAACCCCGTGATTTCAGTGTATACCCATACATCTGGATTAGGGTTCATTCAAAGCTGTCTTCTCGGGATTTACGTTGGCGCGACAACTTCTTTCTTTAACTTCGATGATGTTTTGAGTGATGCGACAAACTTGTTGGTTGCGCTGCAAAACAGAAATGTGAAAGATTTGCTAGTGAGTGCTGAAATGTTCTGTGTCATAATGGATAGGGCTAATTCTTCAATCCAAAAAAGCCATGGGAACAACTCGGCCTCGGGGAAGAAAGACTCTAGATCCGCCAAGTCATCTGTACGCCCAGATTTCTTGCAAAAAGTTCAAAATATCATGATACCTTCGAAAGGTAGACCTAGTTTACTTGCCATTCAAAATTCGTTAGCTCGATACCCTTTTGTCAGTGTGAACCCTGCTCAGTTGAACCACCTGTACCAACATCTGTTCAATCCGTTGATCTCATTGCGCTCTTACTTAGGTATACCGCCAGTTGACGTGTACCTGGACCTAGTTTCTCTTCGTGAGGGTGTGATTAAAGAAGTGGATGCCAGCTTTCTATCCATGAAAGACTCAGGGCAATATTTGCATTTACAAGATTCAGGTGTCGTCCCGGTTTGCACTGACGTCTTGGTGGTGAATCCCGAGACGCTCCAGCCGTGCTTTGAACATGAAATTGGCGAGCTTTGGTCCTGTTCGGAGGGAAATGTTTACGACTACAACATCAATCCTGTGGTCGCTGCCGAAAAACGATTGGTACAATCGGGTGCCAGGACCAATAAGAGTCAACTGGGTAAACTGCCGTTCATCTCTGGCCAGTTCAAATCCAAGCTGCGAGGTGATGCCGACAATGGTCTGTCCTACCTTAGAACCGGTGATCTGGGTTTTATGAAGAGCATTAGATGCACTGATTCCAGAGACAATGTTTTGAGTCTGACAGTGCTGTATGTCTTGGGAAGCATTAACGAAACTATCGAAATTCTAGGCCTTACCCATTTCGTGACCGACCTTGAACAAGCTGTTAGAAACACCCACTCCGCCATCCAAAACTGCATGGTGGCCAAAGTAGGCGGTTTGCTAAGCTGTCTGATCGAGTGTCGTGGCACCAAATCTTACGAATATTCGAATTTGACACCGCTCGTGGTCGCTGCGCTTCTGAGAGACAACGGTGTAGCGCTAGACCTGTGCTGCTTTCTCAAACCCCAGTCGCTGCGTTACAGCATCAAAAGATGGCAGAACAACCGAATGACTATTTTGTCCGACTGGCTACGAGGCAAGCTAAAAATCGAAGCTCAATTCGGTATCAACTATGGCGAAAACAATTCGATATATCTGTTGTCCGATTTCGAGAAAGATAGCTGAGCTGGACGAATGAAAAAACACATCTTGCACATTGAATTTTTCTCATGGTATACACACTTGTACGTAACAATGGCACATTTCTGTCGTGCTGAATTGTGCAGCGGACCTCTACCCGTTCACTCAGTCGATATTCTAGTCGGTTATCTAGTCGCCAAGCGCGTTTATGGATAGATTAGATCTCAAAGACTGATAACTGTTCGACTAACTAGCTCATTGACTTCATTGAAGAGAACAGCTGGTTCAAACTGCAGCTTTGGTCCTTTCAATAACTTCCACTTTTAACCATAAGATACCTCTCTTAGTATAAGCGGTCTTGTTTTTGACGGTCACAACAAGTTTTCGAATTCGATGTCAATAACGCTGGGACAGGTTATATGGTCGTCTGTAAAACCTATCATAAAAATTTATCTGATCATTGGAAGCGGTTATGGTCTCACAAAGCTTAATATTCTATCCGTAGAAGGGGTCAAATGCATTTCGAGTATCGTTTTAACGTTGTTGCTGCCTTGCCTGTCGTTTAATAAAATCGTTACGAACATTGAAGATCAAGACATCAAGCAAGTGGGCATAGTGTGTCTGTCATCGGTTCTGATATTTGGAACAGGCATTTTTTTTGCATTTGTGGTGCGTACCATTTTACCGGTGCCCAAAAAATGGCGGACTGGTATCTTGGCCGCTGGAATGTTCCCAAATATATCTGATTTGCCCGTCGCATATCTGCAGACAATGGACCAAGGTCTTATTTTTTCCCAAGAAGAGGGAAACAAGGGAGTTGCTATTGTTTTCATCTTCCTCGCTATGTTTTTGATTGTATTATTCAACCTGGGTGGGTTCCGGTTGATAGAGAACGATTTCCAATACCTCGACGAAGAAAGCGCAGTTGGGGATACCAAGGATGAAGAGAGTCGTTGCTCAACACCAGATGAACAACCTGTGATTCTTGGTGAGACATCGTACAGTGGAGGTGGGGCTCACAAAAATAGCTCAAGCCCGAACTTATTGACGCCTGACGAATCACAAAGTCAAAGCATTGACTCCAACTACCCTCAGCCTCTACACAGCGACTTTGATTCTCAAACTACACAACGGAGACGTCGGTCAATTGTTAGCTCAGTCCGCACTACGGAATTGCACGAATTGCCCTCACATACTGCCTCGGAACTAGTAAGGGAGTATTCTAATGTTGACCAAATGGGTCGCAGACGAAGTGCGTCACACCATTCACAATCAGGCTTCACCAGGCGATCCTCGATGCTCGAAAGAGTGCAGAGTTCTCATTTGATGCGGATGGTGACGACAGATGTGAATGTCAATGCTCAGGATTTCAAAGATTCGGGCAAATCGCTTCCAAAGTGGCTTTACAAATTGTCTCCTACCCGCTACATTGTTTTTTTCTTGAAAAACTGTTTGAGACCTTGTTCCATTGCCGTTATTCTCGCCCTTGTGGTGGCATTTGTCCCATGGCTCAAGGCGCTTTTTGTCACCACTTCCCACACTCCTAAGCTCAAACAGGCTCCCGATGCTCAACCGGCCCTGTCATTTTTGATGGACTTCACATCTTATGTCGGTGCAGCTTCGGTGCCTTTTGGTCTTCTTCTTTTGGGGGCCACGTTGGGACGTCTCAAAATTGGGAAGCTACATCCCGGATTCTGGAAGAGTTCGTTGGTTCTTGTACTTTTGAGACTCTGCATAATGCCAATTTTCGGCGTGCTGTGGTGCGATCGACTTGTGAAGGCAGGATGGGTCAATTGGGACGACGACGGGATGCTTCTGTTTGTTATCGCAATTTCTTGGGCCCTTCCTAGTATGACAACGCAGGTGTACTTCACTGCAGCCTATACACCCGCAGAAGCTGTAGATACGGTGCAAATGGATTGCATGTCCTTCTACCTGTTGATACAATATCCACTTATGATCATAACGCTCCCGTTTCTGGTAACCTATTTCTTGAAAGTTCAACTGAAGGTTTAAAAATTTGCCCCCAGCACACCATCCATTTATACATACATCAGAGTGTTTGTTCTGAAGTTGTGACACTACCTGTCCGTGCCAGGATCTTTCACATTTGTTAGTGACAGAGAGCACGTTAACGATTCACCGCACCAAAACAAAAGAAGTGCTACCCAGGGCCCAAAATTCAACCCTGAGAGTGATCAGGATTAACCACAAGGCTTGGATTGACATAGAAACGAAGAATACTCTTTCGATGGCTCTCACATTGGCGTCGGAACGATGTGTCATTACACACAATTTAAGAGGGCCGAATACTTTTCCGCACAAATTCTCACAGAAAAGTCCCTACAATGCCCAAGTGACATCTTTAAAATCGTGGAATCGTCAGCTATCGTATCGACACAACGCTAGGTCAACCGTCGTCGGGAAGTTGTCGATCCCAGCTGTATGAACATCGATTATCACCATCCACGTACTATTTTATTCCCAACCAAATCAAGCCTGGTCCTACTACTAAATTTCAACTCATCGACCCTTTAACTAAAACCCTGACACTCCAGCACAGAACTAACGACAGCCATTATCGTTTTAGCGTAGCACTTCCAGCACTTTGAGCATCCCAGGTTTTCGTTGAATTGCTATTGGAAGTGAAAATTTGTGATACCCGTTTTCAGAAGCCTTCTACTGCCGTTTTGTTGGATATACGAAGCGTTTTGTACCAGACAAGATCACTTTCTCTGTCTAAAAGGTTCAAACGTCGATCTTTGGCGAGAAAAAAAGGGAAGATGAACAGCAACGAGGATGTAAGAAGCGGTTCGGCGGCGCTGAACAAGCGACAACGACTTTTGAATATCATGAGGACTACACGGGACGTTTACGTACCTACTTTCACAACGACAATCTCACAGCTGAAATCAGAAGCCAGCAGCACAATAAGAGGTTACTACGATGGATCTGGTGCGGCTGGTACAGCTCCAGTGGGCGGGCACCCGATTTGGCCGGCAGATATGCGAACTTTGATATACCCTTCATACACACGCATGGTGGATCAAAACCGTTTTGAAACACACATTAGAGGTCTAGTCTATACGCCTGGCACCATGAACCGCAAATCACGACTAGTGCTATCTTTGTGTCGACAACTGATAAGACCCACGTCTCCTGGCGCAAAAGCCAATTTCGATGAGCAATTGGCAATTCCATCGAGCGATTCACAATCGACTTTTGAAACTAGCTCAAGTCAATCGTCTTTGGGGCTAGATTCCAGCGAGGAAGATATCCTTCGTTCCAGGATATCTGGTTTTTTGCAAAAACACATTATGGGTGTCACCATGACAATCGATATTTTAGGCGGTTCAAATCAGCATGAGTTTACTAATATCGCTACCGACAATTGGGGCAATTATGATATCAAAATCCTGACGTCTTTCAAACCCGAAAAGATCAACGCAAAGATTGACGTGCCCGACGGTATGTGTGTAGACTGTCCTGTCAATATAGTGCGAGAATATGGATTTGCTCTAATAAGTGACGTTGATGATACCATTAAGCATACAGGTGTGACTGGAGATAAAAGGTCGCTCTTTACCAACGTATTTGTGCACGATTTCAACTTTTGGGCTGTTCCAGGGATGTCATTGTGGTATAATACGCTGAAGGATTCCGAGAATGTCAATTTCTTTTACGTTTCCAACTCCCCTTTTCAGTTGTTTCCTCTTTTGGACGACTATATATCCCAGTTTTTTCCGACAGGCCCGCTTTTCTTGAAGCGGTATTCGGGCAACCTCGTATCGAGTTTAATGTCGTCGAGTGCAAAACGCAAATTAGGCTCCATACTTGGCATTTTGGCTGATTTTCCACATAAAAGGTTCATACTAGTTGGAGACTCTGGTGAGAGAGATCTGGAGGCGTATACCGAAGCGGTCAAGCAATTCCCATCACAGATTGCGGCGATCTATATCAGATGTTGCAAAGATTCCATGAGCGATTTGGCGGTTAACACGCCAAAAGTAGCTGACGAATTGAATTTGATGATTGAAAAGAAATATTACAATTCGGTTGGCGCTCCAAGATGCTACGACACTACTGATGACCACTTAACTAATGAGGCTTCATCCAATACATTTTTGTCGAACAGTGAGGAGAAACGTAAGCCAAATAAACCGCAACAGAAGCCATGTCTAACGAGTGATCAGCAACACGAAATCGATATGTCCAAGAACGTAGCACCAGCTCTTCCGCCTAGAAAGCATGCTACTTTCCCGACAAGTAGTAAGGATCCATTAACGTTTGACCGCAGCTACACTGATGACGCTATATACTGTACACCATCTTCGCAAAATGATTATGGAGCGTACTCCACTTTCTTTGATTCCAAGGCGGATTCCTGGCGTCAAAGGGTAATGCATACAATTCTAGAACTGAAAAACTGTGGAGCGAAGGTCCGGTTTCAATTTTTCACACAGCCGGAATTGTGTTTGGAGGACAGCATAAATCTGATTAGAAAAGAGAAGAATGAGAGCGGAAGCGGATAGTACGCGGATGTCGAATACAGAATGATAATGACGATTACGAGAATACATTTTCAATTCATTGAAAGAAGTAAATTAATTACCTACTTGTAATAAGAGATATTCGGATTTCCTGGAGGAGTCCGTGATGAACCATTTTGCGCAACGGTAGAGATGTGAGTAGTTGTGAGATTGGGAAGATCTTAAGAGTTTCTTCATGCAGATGCAGTAGGGGCAGCTTTGAGCGGGATGTCAAAAGTGGGGTTTGAACCATCACCGTAATCTTTGACACCATCGTCGGTCTTATTTTCTGCTTCTTTCAAAGCCCGAGTGAACTCCGACAGATCCCAAGCAGATCCTTGAGATGCATCCAAATCGTCGGCTTCTGCGAATTTCTTGTCTTCCAAAAACTTTTTCATCATGACTTGACGGCCCGAAGGTTTGCGTTTGCTGTCTTCAAGACGTTCTGCGTTGAGTTTCTGCGCAATATGGTTTTGTTTCCATTCTGCAAAATTCGCCACGGTGATCGGGGTCAATTTGGATTTGTCCAAACGTCCTCTTTCGGTCTCGATAAACTCTTCTAGTGTAATCTTGGGCTGTAGATCGAGAGCCTCCTTTTCCAAACGTTTCTGTTCTTTGGTCTTGAGCACAAAACCTTCCGGCAACGAATGTTTGTACATGCATTTGTCACCGCCGTTGGGACACACCCAAAACCAACCGTATTTCCCGTTTTCGACCGCTTCGATGAAAAACTTGCACACTTTGTCAGTAGTGGTCTTGGGGTTCCCGTGTTTGGACAGAATAACGGATCTCAATTTTTCCTCGTCCCACGATTCCATGGTATCTTCTTCCTTTTCTTCTCTGACGTCCTGGTACAAATCTTTCTTTTCCACACGACGTCCCACGTTCAAATCGTGCGAAAACTTGCATCTGACACCCTTGTTACAGTTTCCGATCTTGAACATCGCACACAGCACCGTTTTTGGGTCCACACCGGCTCTGACGCTCTGATCCATTGCAGGATTGAACAATGCTCTTTTTTCCGCTTCCTCCAGCTCCTTACGGGCCTTTTCCTCTGCTTTTTTCCGCCTCATCTCCTCCTTTTTCGGGTCTGTCTGCGTCTGCACTTGCTGGATGTATTTCTGCACTTTGGTCGATCTATTCTTGTTTTTCATACCAAAAGTCTTGTCGACATTGTCTTTCTTCTTAACAGGCTGTTGCTGCTTCGTTTTCTTTGGTGGCATGGCTGTTTCTTGTTGATATCGTTGTGGTTCTCGTTGCTGGTCCTGGCCGTGCTAGTCTTAAGTTGTTGAGCCCGTCCTTTACTACAATTCTTAGCCTTTTTTGAGTTTTTTCAACAGTGGTCAAGAGTTTGAAGCTTTTGCTGAAAAAAATTGAAGATTTAAAGATTGGATTTTTCACGGACGTCTGTATATATAAAATAAGAGATGAGATGAGATGAGATGAGATGATGAAATGTGAAGTTAAAGAAAGTTAAGAAAAAGAGAGGTTTTAGTGTTGAAATAGGACTTTAAGGCCACAAAATGAGTGGGTTGTCACGATTGATGGGAAAATGTGTTTCTGGAGTATCTGTAACACCAAAAATGGTCCGAAACGGAGCATTTTTGGCTAGTACAACGTTGATTTTGAGCTACGCAATGTGGGATCACAAAACGGTGTCTTGTGAGGGCGTGAAGGGCATCAGACAGTACAGTTCGAAGCCACAGGAGCGGGAAGGCGTCAGCAGCACGATATCACTGCTTTCGGAGCGGGAAGTGACGCAAAGATTGCGTCAGATGGACCAGAGTTATTTCGTGCAAAGAGGTCGGGGAGTGGTCAGATACGACACCGCTCAATTGCCGTCCAATGCCCCTATAGAGGACACCCATGTGGAACAGGTAATCACGGTGCCCGGAGCACCTCATAGCAGCGATGAAGACCTGTATTTTTTCGGTATTTTCGACGGCCATAGCGGTCCCTACACCAGTAGCAAATTATCGCAAGTTTTGGTCCCCTACGTGGCGCATCAGCTGGGACAGGTATATAGTAATGAGGAGGCATCTTCTGAGGCCATCAATAGGGCCATTGTGTCGGCTTTTGTCACGCTGGACCGCGATTTGGTGCTTGGATCGCTAGGCACGTTGTTCAAGGACCCTACAAAACCCAACTTGATCAATGCAATGCCAGCGATCTCTGGGTCGTGTGCGCTCTTGACCATGTTCGATTCTGCCACTTCCACGGTCAAATGTGCCGTCACTGGGGACTCCAGAGCACTTTTGGGGTCTCTTGACGGTCAAGGCGTTTGGTCCATTAAACCACTTTCAATAGATCAAACCGGCGATAGTCCCTTGGAAGTGGAACGTATTCGAAACGAACATCCAGGGGAACCCGGTGCGGTTCGCAACGGACGCATTCTTGGGTCTTTGCAACCTTCAAGAGCATTTGGCGATTATCGTTATAAAGTGAAAGAAATAGCTGGGAAAACTGTCAAAGATTTGCCAGACCACTTAAGGGTATATTTCCGTCGGGAACCCAGAGACTTGAAGACACCACCTTATGTCACCGCAGAACCTGTCATCACAACAACTCCTATTGACGCCAATGCCAAATTTATGGTTTTGGCCTCCGACGGGTTGTTCGAGTTGCTAGACAACGAAGAGATCAAGGATTTGGTAGTCAACTGGATAAACAGGGAAAGGGGCAAAAGCACAACCGCGAAAAAGTCTAACTGTTTCCTCGAAGACAAAAACGCTGCTACGCATTTGATTCGGAACGCACTGGGCGCTGGCGGCCAGCGTGACTACCTTTCAACACTTGTTAGCATCCCGGCGCCCATGAGTCGCAAATACCGAGACGACCTCACGGTCACCGTTGTTTTTTTCGGGCAGGAAACCACAGATGCAAAGGGAGATCTTACATTGAATCTCGATGCTACTACTGCACCCAAGCCCAAGCTTTGAACGACATAGTGGGAAGCTTGTTCTTCAGCGAAATCTGATCCCGATTCGCTTGAGCATTGGCTGTATTGGGTAGCCGACATCCTAATCTTCATATTGATACTCTTACAATTGCCAAACCGCTCTGTTTATCATAATCGCATTGGAATGACAGTAAAGTGTCCATTTCGCTATTTTACTGTCGTTGCCGATTACAAGGCAACAGCGATCCATGCGATCAACAAAAACATAATTTATCGAAACCTCCCATCTCAAAGTTTATCCCAAGCTTACCGGATCATCGAAAATTATTGCCTATTCTTCAAGTCCGTTGTTCTAGTTCGGTAGTGGCTCTCTTCTCTATAAATCCATATATCTGTATAGTGAAGGGCTTAAATAAGACGACTAATATGAAAAATGATGAATTTAAATCAAAGTTACTGATCAAGACAAAAGTTAGGTCCTAGTAAAGAGGTTCAGACGTTTAACCGCTTGCGAAAGCTATATTAGTCGTCTCATAATAGTGAAAATATAGGTTTTCCCTTTTTCCACGTAACTTTAGCGAATTTTTTGGTGTTAACACAACTGTAAAGGGGGTTCAACACTTGGAAAGACAAAGAAAAGGAAATTCAGCCAAAAAGAGTCAAGATGAACAGTCCTGTCACATCCATCAAGCTGGTATTATTGGGAGAAGCTGCAGTGGGCAAAAGTTCGATCGTTTTACGATTTGTATCGAACGATTTCTCAGAAAATAAGGAACCAACTATCGGTGCAGCTTTTCTCACCCAACGGGTCAATATGGGCGACCATACGATCAAATTTGAAATTTGGGATACTGCAGGTCAAGAACGGTTTGCATCACTAGCTCCCATGTACTACAGGAACGCACAGGCCGCATTGGTGGTGTACGACGTCACAAAGCCACAATCATTTATCAAAGCCCGCCACTGGGTCAAGGAGCTCCATGAGCAAGCCTCAAAGGATATAGTCATCGCACTAGTGGGAAATAAACTCGATATGATCGAAGCAGGTGCAGAAAGGAAAGTGGCTCGCGAGGAAGCAGAAAATCTGGCACAAGAGGAGAACCTTTTGTTTTTCGAGACCAGTGCCAAGACCGGTGACAATGTCAACGAAGTGTTTCTGGGTATCGGCCAAAAAATTCCACTGAAAACAGCGCAAAATCAAGCACAGAATGGTGGCCGCGGGTCTTCTGGTCTACGTGTCAACGATGACTCGAGGGTCGATTTGAGATCTGGAAACCAATCGACGTCTGCTGGTGGCTGCAATTGCTAGCATGTTGAAAATGTGTTTAACTCGTATTTACAGTTTACAGTGAAATTTTATTTTGGGGATAACAGTGTTCCATTTTATGGTTATATTATTATGCGTAGCGTAACCTCGAGTTTGAAGCAATTATTTCTCTTGAGAATCCAAGCGAATGGATAAGTCCTTTACCATCTTAGTCAGAGTCTGAATCATTTCGGTTTGTTTGTCGGATTCTTCTCTCTGTTTGGTGATTTCGCGGTACAGATCGTAGGATTCCCAACCTATACCGGATCTGAACCCATTATCAACAGGCTGAACGCTGCACTTAACACTTTTGAACCAGTCAGGCTTCACTCTGAAGTCCGGGTCTGAGAGTTCGGCTTCTTTCTGCAGTTTGAGAGTTCTTTTGTTTTTCTTTTGAGTAGCAGCGATGCCAGATGTATTACCTCTGGGAATCCAACCATCCGCATCATCGACATAACCATCAGTGAGATCCCATGCCACATCTGACTCATTAGCATCATCTTCTTGCTTTTTCATTCTATTGTAGCACACGCGTTTTGCTTCCCTAACCTCTTTAACAGCAACAACAAACAACATAGGGAAATAAAGAATCGTCAGCACGAATGTGCTCACCCTTTTGGCCATCTTCCGAGGCATGAAATGCAAAAATGGAGACAAACAAACCTCCACCAAATTCAAGGGAGGAACGTAAACGTCGTCGTCAGGAGCTCTGATATAACGTAGTGTTTTCTGAGCCATCAAAGCCATGTATTCATCAACTGAGTTATCGATGACCTTATCGTATGCGGTACTGTACAATGCAATGAGGATGTTGAGCAGAATCACGGAGACGACGAAAGAGTAGGAGTAGTAAAGAATAGATGCGAAAGGTGGGGCAAAATCGTCAAACATATCAAAACTACCTGCGCCTAGCACGGTTCGCAGCAGGTTGGAAATGGTGGGCCAGGTGATCTCTCGGTTACCATCGGAAGAGTCCAAGCCGATGAAGCCCTGCATAAATCCAAGGACGATCAGGAGAAGTAAGAAAAAAAAGACGATCGATTCCTGCATCATATGTTTGAGGACAACGAGCAGAGCACCGACGAAACGGCTTGACTCCAAGTAGAGGAGGAGTCGAGTCCATACCATAGGCGCCGCACAAGAAAGTATCCGATAAGATATCTTATCCCAATACTCTGCTGGGTAGCGCGTCTGAATAGGACTAACACTAATCACTCTCAGAATCATTGAAGTTGAAATAATGAAGTACATGGTGTCATTGAAAGAGTTCCAGAACCCAAGATATGACCAACCCACATGGTAGCATTTAGAGATTTCATCAAAAATGCTTCCCAACATGAAGAAATAGAAAACACCTTCCAAGAAGTCTATGCCTTGTACTTCTTGAGAGTCCTTCCCATTGACCACAATGGTATAGAGCACCAGAAACACGAAGGAGAAGATTATAGTGATGATGTTTTGATACATTGGGGTTTTCAAGCGGTCCGGATGAAAATGACTTGTGAACTTCGATGACGAAACCGAGTCGCAAATCACATACGATTTGCTGTCGTACTTATTCTGGACAATCCAACCGCGCCAAAGCCATTTAAGACACCTTTGGTAGCCACTGGAACCTATGACGGTGGTGCAATGCATGTCCATGGCAAGCTCCAAAGCGTTTTGTGCCACGGAATCTTCGTCGTTTTCGTTAATCACGTACCGTTGACAAAGCATCTGGATGAACAAAAACTGTGCGTCACGGGTCTCGTCTTGTTCGATGATCAGCTTGCACAATTGTTGTGCTGCCGAAGCTCTTAAATAATAAAGTTCGGCATTGTGCAGCTCACTTGCAGCGAGCTCCCAATTCCAACTGCAGACCTTCAAAAGAGAGAAAATCACCACCGATTGATACTTGTGAAGCGACTTAGGATCGTCTTTTTTCCCGCCACAAGCTTCTTTCGCTAAGGTAATGACGTGCAGATTTAAGATCCGGGAATGGTCGCACATGATAAGTTTCTCATCGTAAAGGATTGGTACCACTTTGTCAATGAGATATTTCAGATTGACACATATGCGCAAGATTTGTCTTGAATTTGGCACATCGTAGCTAGGAGGCTGTTCACAAGACCAATCGACCCCGTTTGAAGTGGGGAGTAAATACGACGGCATCCCCAAGATAGTTGGAGTTCGGTCTAGAGGGCTTAATTGGCCTAGAAATGGGTCGTTTTCGCTAGAGTTCACCACTTTTCAAGAGAGACTACTTCAGTTGCGCTGATACCCTGATAGATGGATCGTTAATTGATATATAACGTCAAAGCTCACGTGATATCTGAAATGATTGTCACTTCTTCATTGATGTGTCATCATGTCTTTAACGTCAATCCCGGCATTAAGTTGTGGTTTATACCTTGTGAAATGCTTTTGAGTAGTATTACCACATTGACTTAGGGACGGTTGCTATCCGACCAGCTTGAATCGTTAATTCCAAGACAAATAATGCTAGGGTTTGAAAATCTCTTGAGAGTTTCATCAACAGATGAGCTCATTTCATCGGTTTTAACTCTGCTTTATAAGACATACTAGGGAAATTGCCAGTTTGGCGAATACCCTTCGTGTTTCGGTTCTCTTCGTGAACCTACCTCATTATAAAATGACGATATTGTACATAGTGATAGAAAATGACAGATGACAGAATGTTAGTAGTGGAGGTTATCTTGAGACTATAGTCATGAACAATGGTGAAAACCTCCAAATAGGTGGCCTTAAGATAGATGGTTTTGTCATGTATTTTCGACCACAATCTCCCTTAGTTCCTTCTGGACTCACACGAAAAGTTGTATTCTTCTTCTGTATTTCTTTCCGGCACACTCACGTCCGAAGATAAACATATCACTTCTGGGTCTTGCAGTTGCTGGTGACGTCAAAACTACCATCCAAAAACCGTACAGCTCACGCAATCGTAACTCTTACGACAAGCTACTACCAGCCAATCACTAATTTATTAACTACCGAAATTTGATTTACAGGAACAACCAAGCACACATGCCGACAACACACAAAACCGGAAATACTCACGGAACTTCCAGCATTCAATCGACTTCTCTCAAGGCCTGGACTCGTTGATCTTTGAATTAAACCTTTAACCTTTAACATGCTCAAATCACTCTGTACTAAGTGACCTTTTTGAAACGGCTACTATATACATAAAAGTTTTCAAACTAACAGTGTAGCCAAGTATAGCAGGCATGGATAGTCAAGGGCAAAATGGGAAAGAAACGACAAGTTAAGAAGGCCCATGAGAACACCGATGATGCTGGGACGGTGATCAGAGGAAATGACGTGCGATTCGAACTTTCAGAAGAAAATTTGGCGGAATCTACGAGGAGAAAATCGAAAAGTAAGAAGAAACCAAATAGCACAGCTCCCGAAGCCGAAGTGTATGATAATGAGACAGAATACCCCAGTTCACGGATCATCAAGCGAGCCCCAAACGGGGACGTTATAGTGGAGGCTTTGGAGGACACAGAACGCACAAAATCAACGCATGAAGATCCGGGCATCTCTGCAAAACTAGATATGCATTGGGAAACGCTGAGTAAAGAAGAGAAAAAACGTATGCTTCGAATCGAAAAACAAGAGGTGTTTGAGGTTATCAAGACTTACCAATCGAGCAACAACTGCAACTGCTCAGTGTGTGGCCGTCGCAACGTGGCGATGGAACAGGAACTCGAACAAATATATAACCGATTGCATGACAATGCGAAAGAGACCAATTCAGACACAGATTTTGTGCTTTTCCACCTGAATATGATTAAAGAACTACAACGAGCTAATGCTAGTGCCACTTCGGCCGCTACAAATGAAGAGCGGCAAAGTGCCGATCCATCAGACACCCCTTCTCCACAATATCTCGAAGACATGCGTGATGAAGCCGTCAAATATTGTCTGTCCAGTAAAGCGGTAGAATCTTTGAAAGAGGAGGTTTTGCAGTTCAAACACAACAAACAACGGCAACAGCAACTGCGTCGACAGCAACGAGAGGCAGAAATACATTCAACGCTCGCGGAGGAGCGTGATAATGTGACCACGATACCGGATGATCTCCAACCACCCCCACTGCTGCCGCAACAGCCACTGGGCCTAGAGTCGTTGTCCAAAGCAGAAAAAGAATTGTACTTGAAAAACTTCGAAGGAGGGACCCCGGCCGAAGTCCGAGAAAAAGAATATCAATTTCGTCAACTTATGCTGCAGCAAGAGCAATCTATGAAATCTGCAGTTCTATCTCCGCCAGGAGACATGGAAGGCACAGACCCGCAAAACGTAATCCTAGGGCAGCTTGTCCAACATATGCCGAAAGTTCCTTCTTCAGATGATCAAGAACCGCCGACGAATGAGGAGCTGAAGGATCGGTACATGAATTTTGCGAAGACTTTCATTTCCTCGCATCCTAAGATAGCACACGAATATGTCAACAGGATGATGATGTACCCCGACTTGCGAGCTTTGACCGAAGATTTGATGTACAACAACGGACAAAACTTCATCAAAGCAATGGAAGACTATGTTGTTCAGAAGGGAACTGACTATCGAGAAGATGAGCAGCTTGATGAAGTGCATGAAACCAGGCAGACTCCAGCAGAGCGAGTGCCTCTGACCCCAGAGCAGTATGCGAATGTTCAGAGGCATATTGCTGCTGGAATGACAGCTTCTTTCGAAAATCAAGCTCGAGAATTACAAATAGCAGCCGAACGCGACGGAAAGAGTCTTTTCGAGCAATTTTTAGCGGGTGAAGATCCCATAAGTTTGCTATTGAAATCACTCCCGAAAAATAATGGTCTTCAAGGAGAGCAAATGATGGCTACCCGTGAGGTTCAAGAAGAGATTGATTACGACGATGAGGAAGAATACGACGAAGAATATTCGGACTACGAAGATGAGGAAGAATCAGAATATGAGGAAGAGACCTACGAGGAAAATGAAATCGACGAAGAGCACCTACACCATCACCATGCACAGCATCAACACCCCAATGAGCATCAATTAGATCTAGGTGAAGAGGACGTAAGTACTGCGGGAAATGAAGATGACTACGATAGTGGCATCGACGAACAGGAGCGTTTAGAGGAAGGTAGAAGGCTGATTCAAATTGCAATCACCAAATTACTGCAAAAGAAACTGGTAAATTCCTATCACGAAAAACAGGCCGAAAACAATCGCCTGAGATTACTTCAAGAGCTCGAAGCCGAAGAAGTGAAAAAGCGCGAGAAAGAGGAGAAGAAGCAGCGCAAGCGTGAGAAGGAGAAGGAAAAGAAGAAAGCTCAACAGGTTGCTAAGGAGCAGGAGAAGAAACGCAAAGAAGACGAAGAAGTTCGAGTGAAGAAGGAAGCCGAAGAGCGTGAGATGCAGCGAAGGGAAGCTCAAAGGCAAAGAGTAGAAGAAACCAAGCGCAAGAAAGATGAGGAAAAAAGGCGGAAGTTAGAAGATCAAAGACGTAAAGAGGAAGAACAACAACGACAGAAGAAAATTAAGGAAGAACAAAAAAAGAAGAGAGAAGAGGAGAAGCGCATAAAGGAAGAAGCCAAACGTTTGAAAGAAGAAGAATCAAGGGCGCAAAAGGAGCTGAAACGGTTGGAACAAGAACGCAAAAAGCAGCTAGAAGATGCGACTCTTTTTGCTCAAGAATCCCAGAAGAGGAGGAGCTCAGAGACACCGTCTCAGCGGCGCTTAAGCACTCCCCCTGAGGCTGTTCCTTACGGGGTCTCCCAGTCGTCTGCAAACAATGATGATTTATTCCATATGATCAATGAAGCCGCGTCTAAATCTTTGTCAGCATCTTCTTCTCATCTGCAAACACTCCTTCAACCCCAGGTCCCACGGTCAGCTATGCATCAGCCACCTTCAACAGGCATTTCTGTCAACAGCATGGGATTGAATCCAAATTGGCAAACCACAGAGGCGTTTTCAAATGCTTCGTACGACTCTCTACCCTCTGGCACGAAGTCTTTGGATAACACCTGGGGCAACATGAGTACCCTTTTCCAAACGTCGCCCAGAAAGACTCTGCCTCACGATTTGGATCATCAAAACGCGTTGCCTCCCCAGCCACATGTGTCTCAGTACACACAATTTGGTGGAGGCATGGAAGATCGCAAGAAATCTTTCAGCGACGAGCTTGACAGTTTGACAAATTTCTTATCTTCGACCTCTTTAGCAGGGAATCAGACATCGTCCGCTGGATTCCAAATACCAGATAAATTGTGGTCGGGAGTGGACCCGAACGGTCATTCTGGTGTTCCCTACAGTTCTGGCTTAAGCTCTGGTACCCCTGTTGGTAACGGAGTGCAGGTACAGCGCAAGTCGATTTGGGAAAACGATGTGCCTCTGGGCTCCAGTCCCAGCATTGGAAGCATAGCTCCCAACATTTGGAACGGAGTGAACTCTTCTTTACCGCCGGTATCACCAGACGTTCGAGCTGACACCATTCAACAGGCCTACCTTTTATCCCGTGGGGAGCTTAACTCAGACTTTGTTGACGTCGACAAACTTTATCGTACTATCACAACACTGCTTAAAGATCCAAATGCTTTGAGTTACAACGCCTATGTGGGACAGCTTGTGAACATGCGTTCGACACACAACTGCGAGCTTTTGACTAACGTTAGTGGCAGCATCACCCACGTAAGGTTTCCCTTTTCGTACCCACAGCAGCACCACCACCACCACCACCACCCTCCACAGACGACGCAGGCGAACATTTTTGACGCCGCCCCAGATGTGGGCCCAGCCCAGAGCACTTTCAACAGCACTGCCTATCCAAGTGGCCTCTTTGACGACCTTTACAACGGCAACAACGGCAACAACAGTGCCACGCCAGCTACGAATCCTACAGTGGTTCCAGGTGTGAACGCATCCCATTACAACTACGGTCAACCATACGGACAAGCCCGAACCAGCAATATATGGGGGTGAAGATGACATTCACCAAAATAACGAAATAAGTAGTGAACGCTTCGATTGATGATCTGATCTAGCCCAAACATTTATCCAAACTAAGTACTCGCCCATTTGCAGGCATTTCGAGAATTCGATCCTCGAGAACTCATCACTTTCACCTTTCCTGACCGATTAGGCTTTAATGATAAAGTTTATAGATTCTAAAGCAGGGTAGAAGAGATTCTAACACACCTATACATTCTTCACCAGGCGGTTTGTATCTGCAGCTCAATCACCACATTGAAGCAGCTCGAGGAGTAAACTGGCTCTCCCTTCCTGCTCACTACTTTCACCGAACTCGAAAGAGCTTTCACGGGATACCAAACGCTGGGCAGCAGAAATACAAAGTTTCAAACACCTCAGGTCTAATAGATAAAAGTGGTTCTCAGTCTAGCTTTATAGTAGTCATGTCAGAAAATGCTGTGAGAAGAAAACTAGTAATAATTGGTGATGGTGCTTGTGGCAAGACCTCACTCCTATATGTCTTTACCCTAGGCAAGTTTCCTCAGGAATATCACCCGACGGTTTTCGAAAATTACGTGACAGATTGTCGAGTAGATGGTATTAAAGTGACACTAGCACTATGGGACACAGCGGGACAAGAAGAATACGAACGTTTGCGACCTTTTTCTTACTCGAAAGCCAACATAATACTGATAGGATTCGCAGTAGACGATCCAGATTCGCTACTCAATGCACGCACAAAATGGACGGAAGAGGCACTACGCTACTGTCCAGATTCACCAATCATCCTTGTCGGCCTTAAGAGCGATCTGCGCCAGACTGGCAACGCTACACGATTCGTGCGGCGAGAAGAAGCCGAAAAAGTCGCCCAGGCCATAGGCGCAAAACGTTACATGGAGTGCAGTGCCCTTGATGGGACAGGAGTCGACGACGTTTTTGAAGTGGCCACGAGAAACAGTCTGCTGGTGAATAAAGACCCCGGCCGAGGTTGTTGTTTGGTATCCTGAGACGACTACAGCTAGAAAAAGAAAAGGAAATAGTATCATATAATAAATGGTAATTGAAAGGTATCATGACACTTGCTTCTTGTCTGTATAACAAAGAACCGTGAAGCATTAGTGAGCCATCAAAAGTCGAAGTTCGAAAGCTATCTTTAAAAATGGTAAAAAATTCGACCTCGGTGAGGATCGAACTCACGATCTTGCGATTAACAGTCGCACGCCTTAACCAGCTTGGCCACGAAGTCTCCTAATTTATGCAAATATTCTGTGATAACTTGCAATATACACACTGTTAACAGTCAGTTGCTGACCCAAATTGATTTTTACGCGTCGCGACCATTGGGATCAAAACAAATCTACAGCTTCATCATTACAATAGCATCATCTTCAAGTATCGGACCTACAAAAACAGTAAAGCCAAGCGCTTAGCGAGCGCATCATCTAGCTTAGATTTAGCTTACAGTATCCTATTTAGCATCTTTGCACTATGGGGGACGCAAAGACCGCGTCTGAGCGATACCAGAAAATTTCGCAACTGGAACATATTCTCAAGAGGCCAGATACATACGTGGGTTCTGTGGAGGTACAAGAGCAGGTACAATGGATTCACAATGAGGAAACAGATTGTATGGAGGAGCGGGAAGTTAAGATTGTTCCTGGTTTGTTCAAGATATTTGATGAGATTCTCGTTAATGCGGCCGACAATAAGGTTCGTGACCCAACAATGAAGAAAATAGAGGTCACAATCAACAAAGAAGAGAACCTGATTGAAGTTAAAAATGACGGGAAAGGAATTCCAATTGAAATTCATGAAAAGGAGCAGATTTACATCCCTGAGATGATCTTTGGGCACCTGTTAACGTCGTCTAATTATGACGATGATGAGAAAAAAGTTACCGGTGGTAGAAATGGGTATGGCGCCAAGCTTTGCAATATTTTTTCGTCTGAGTTTATTCTCGAAACCGCCGACCCCACGAAAGGTGAGAAATACGTTCAAAAGTGGGAGAATAACATGACTCTATGTCACAAGCCCAAAATAACGTCTTACAAAAAAGGGCCCTCATACACCAAGGTTTCGTTTCGGCCTGATCTCAAACGTTTTGGCATGGAAAATCTCGACACTGACACGGTGGGTGTCATGCGTCGCCGAGCTTTTGACATTAACGGATCTGTCAGAGACGTAAGTGTCTACCTCAACGGGAAAAGTCTCAAAATCCGTAACTTCAAAAACTATGTTGAGCTCTATCTCAAATCCCTAGAGAAGAAAAAATCCGAGGAAAATGGAGCAGAAGCGGGTAAAACACCTACGATTCTCTACGAAAGGCTCAATGACAGATGGGAAATAGCTTTTGCGGTATCCGATGTTTCCTTTCAACAGATATCCTTCGTCAATTCGATAGCTACTACTTCTGGCGGTACTCACGTTAATTATGTGTCTGATCAAATCGTGAAGAAGATCACAGAGGTATTGAAAAAGCGAAAAAAAGGTAAAATCATCAAGGGCTTCCAGATCAAGAACCATATGTTTTTGTTTATCAACTGTCAAATTGAAAATCCTGCGTTCACATCGCAAACAAAGGAACAGCTCACAACACGCGTGAAAGATTTCGGCTCGAAATGTGACATCAAGGATGACTTCATCAACAAGGTTATGAAGACTGAATTAGCAGACAAAATATTCGAAATCGCTGATCAGAATGAGGATAAGGCACTGCAAAAGTCCGACGGTTCAAGGAAAAATAGGATTACGGATTATGCTACTTTGGAAGATGCTAATATGGCGGGTACAAGACAGAGTCACAAATGCACCTTAGTTCTAACCGAAGGTTTGTCAGCTCAATCCTTGGCGGTCGCTGGGCTGGGCGTTGTCGGACGTGATTACTACGGATGCTATCCATTACGCGGTAAAATGCTGAATGTGAGAGAAGCCAGCGCTGAACAGATCAACAAAAATGCTGAAATTCAAGCCATTAAAAAGATTGTAGGATTGCAACACAGAAAAAAGTACGAGGATGTAAAGAGCTTACGTTATGGACATATCATGATCATGACAGATCAAGATCACGACGGTTCGCATATTAAGGGTCTGATCATAAACTTTCTCGAGAGTTCTTTCCCGGGCCTTCTTGATATACCGGAATTCCTCATAGAGTTCATTACGCCGATCGTTAAGGTCACAACAACAAAACCACAGCGTAGTGTTCTTCCATTCTACACAATGCCCGATTATGAAAGGTGGAGGGATAACGAGAGCCATAAATTCACTTGGAAACAAAAGTATTACAAAGGTCTGGGGACTTCATCCTTGCAAGAAGCCAGAGAGTATTTCTCTGATCTTGACACACATTTGAAAAAGTTTCATGCCCTAGAAGGTGACGATAGTCTCCTGATTGATCTAGCTTTCTCGAAGAAGAAGGCTGATGAACGTAAGGAATGGCTGAGGCAGTATGAGCCCGGTAATACTTTAGATCCTGCGCTTTCTGAAATTCCAATTTGCGATTTTATCAACAAAGAGCTCATTTTGTTCTCTTTAGCTGATAACATAAGATCCATCCCTTCGGTACTGGACGGCTTCAAGCCCGGTCAGCGTAAAGTCCTGTTCAGTTGTTTCAAGAGAAAACTGAGAGGTGAGATCAAGGTTGCTCAGCTGATCGGTTACGTTTCTGAGCACACCAATTATCATCATGGTGAGATGTCACTAGCTCAGACCATTGTTGGGATGGCTCAAGACTTTGTGGGCTCGAACAACATCTACCTTTTGAAGCCGAATGGTGCATTTGGTACTAGAGCTACTGGTGGTAAAGATTCAGCGGCTCCTCGTTACATTTTTACAGAATTGAGCAAAATCACACCTGCAATTTTCAACCCACTGGATAATCCACTACTCAATTACATTCAGGAAGACGGCCAAGCAATTGAGCCACAATGGTATCTTCCTATACTTCCTATGGTGTTAGTCAATGGTGCTGAAGGAATCGGTACCGGTTGGAGCACAAACATTCCACCTTTTGATCCCATACATATTGTTCAGAACCTCAAGAGGTTGATGAACGGTGAAGAAATGCACGAAATGACTCCTTATTACAGGGGATGGAAAGGAAGTTTGGAGAAGATTGATGGACAGCGTTATAGAATGTACGGAAGGATTGAGCAGGTGGGGCCAAATATTCTTGAAATCACCGAACTTCCAGCTAAAACCTGGATGTCCACCATAAAGGAACATCTTCTGCTTGGACTGGCAGGTAGTGACAAAGTCAAGAAGTGGGTCGAGGATATGCAAGAGAATCATGGCGCGACCATCAAATTCACCGTGACCTTGTCAGACGAAGAAATGGCCAAAACGAAGAAAATGGGATTTTATGAAAGGTTCAAACTTATTTCTAGTATAAATCTTGGAAACATGGTTGCTTTTGATCCTCAAGGCCGAATCAAGAAATATGAAGATGCCAGAGAAATTTTAAGTGACTTCTTCTACGTTAGACTGGAGTACTTCCAGAAGAGAAAAGATTATATGTCTGAGCGACTGCAATGGCAGGTCGAAAAATTGTCTCAGCAAATCCGCTTTTTGCAATTGATTGTCGAGCGCAAGTTTACCGTCAGCAACAAATCGCGTGTGCTTCTCTTTACAGAATTGGAAGAGCTCGGGTTTCCCAAAATAAATTCTGAAGGAAGGCTTTATTATGGAAAGTTAGAGGATGCGGATAACGGGAGCGAGTTGAAGGTGGAAATGGAGGATGGCGACGATGTTGTGGAGAATGATGCCGAGGACGAAGTGAACGGACCTCGAGAGAAATATGGAACTTTTGAGTACCTACTGGGAATGAAGATCTGGTCGCTCACGAAGGAGAAATATGAAAGCTTGATGAGACAACGGCAAGAAAGAGAGGTGGAACTCAATGCATTATTGAGCCTCTCTGCCAAAGATCTGTGGAATCAAGACCTTGATACATTTAGCCAGGCGTACAAAGTTTTCATGGAGCAAGATGAACTAATACGCAACAGCGTAACTCCTGATGCAACTTCGAAACAGAAGGGAAAGCGCAAGAGGCCTAAGGCTAGTGATGCGGACTATGACCCGAGTCGCAAGAAAAAGAAACCCAAGGCTGCTACTTCGGCCAAGGTGAAGGTGGAGGTTGAAAGCTTTGAGCCCGTGCTGCTTGAGCAAAAAGCGTTGGAGAAGGTGAAACGGACTCCGAAGGTAAAGGATGAGAACCAGCCTACGCTTGAGGGTCTTCTTGGGAAAGGTAAAAAGCAAGGATCTGCGCTAGTCAAAGGTGAGCCGATGTCCCGGTCTGTGTCAGGGTCAGCAACCCCACGGGAAAACTCACCAGAGTCGCTCAAAAGCGAAGCCTCTGCTGTAACTAGTGTGTCAGAGAACCCCAATGTGGAACAGAAGAAGTTAGAGTCCGAGAATGAAGATACAATGAGTGTTTTCTCCAGCAAATTTAAGCAGGCTAGCGCTCTTTTCGACGCATCCGCTGCTTCCACGGATCCAGTTCCCAATGCACAGCTCGCAAAACCAAAAACTACCAAGAAACCGACAGTGCGCAAGACTGTCACACCCAAGGCACGCAAGAAAATAGCTAATATGGTTGATGACGATGATGACGATGATGACGAGGATGAAGATGGCGAGGAGGATGATAAAAAGTTTGATGGCAGCAGTGACAATGACAGTGATGAACCTCGCATGATTACCCCAAGAGAACCACGCAGTCGTCGTGGTGCTGCCCGGAACTCACAACCCCGCTCCTACGCAGAAACCACGGCTCTAACAGACGAAGATGATGTTGAGAACGACGTTGACGATGTTGATGCATCTGTGATCATCGACGACGAATCTGACGTCGATGATGAATCCTTCCAGGCGTCCCAATGAAGCTCCGAAAAGTAACTCTGCAGCACGCATTAATGCTTCAATCCATGAGAGAGACATCCAGGTTTCTCTCTTCTCGTCATTGTGGTCAAACCAAACCTCAGCAATTTGTTTCAAGTCCAATGATTTACCGCTAAAGGTATAACTGAAAGATACCCAGATACCCTTCAGTGTTAGCTATCTATATAATTAACAATTAACGTCAACAAGCTCTAACGTGTCGCTACATGGACACAGTTCTATAATTCTGAGTGTAGCTGGCGCTGATGAGTCTTGATCACTTTTTCGTTACGTGTCATTACTGTACATTTTTCAGAAATGCTTTCGGACTGTATATGTATAGAAGAAAAAAAGACGTATAAATATCCCTTCAAGTTTGAGAACCTACATTCTAGCCAAACTTCAAAGAAATCAAGACTAAAATCAAGGCGTTTAGACTCTCGATAGCCCCATTGTAAGGTTCAATTCGATATTTTACAATGGCTACTACTGGATCTGAGGTCGTCGTGCCGACCGAACGAGACCAAGCAGCGATTGTGGATGGTGTAGACAAACTGGCCCCTCCACAAGCAAATCCAGAGCAAGTTAGCAAAGATGTGCCAGAAGACGAAGTAAAGAATGTAAACGCTTCTGAGGTAGACCGTGAAAAGGTGGACGCCTCTTATGTGGGCTGGAAACAGATTGGAGGCTGGGAAGAAAAGGACGAGCTGACGTTGGAAGACGAACTGCTGGATTTGAATAACGAAACTTTTTTGGACAATTTGATCCCAGACAAATTGTATGGGGACTGGTACCATGCTGCAGCTGTGTTTTTCCTTGGGGGAACGCTTTCGTTTCTCGTTGGGAAACTCGGGTTTTCGCTAGGTCCCGTTTTTTTCATCATCCTAGCCATGGGTTTGCTGTATAGAACGTCGATAAGACGGTACAGAGGGGCAATTCGAGACCAAGTACAGAAAGAATTCACCGTGCAAAAAGTGGAGGGTGACCACGAGTCGATGGAATGGCTCAACAGCTTTTTGGACAAGTATTGGAGCCGTTTGGAACCGGAACTCTCCCAAATGGTGGTTCAGCAGGTCAATGAAATTCTTGCAACCAACGCGAGCATTCCTGGATTTATCAAGGCGCTGTGGATTGACCAGTTCACTCTAGGAGTCAAACCACCCAGAGTCGACCTCGTCAAGACCTACCAGAACACTGACACAGACGTGGTTGTGATGGACTGGGGTGTTTCCTTCACGCCTCACGATCTAGCAGATTTGAACTCAAAGCAGCTGAAGAACTACGTTAATCAGAGAATAACTGTCAAGGCTAAAGCGTTTGGTCTACCGCTCTCTGTCACCGTTTCCGACGTTGCTTTTAAAGCGAAGCTTAAAGTGAGATTCAAGCTCATGACACCTTTCCCACACATTGAAACAGTCAACATTCAGTTGTTGGAAGTTCCCGATGTCGATTTCGTCGCCAAATTGCTTGGCGATAGTATTTTCAATTGGGAGGTGCTCAATTTTCCAGGACTGTACCCTCTCATCAGAGAGATGGCAAAGAAGTACATGGCACCTATCCTTATGCCACCATTTTCTTTGCAATTGAACGTTCCACAACTGATTTCCAGCTCTCCGTTGTCCATCGGTGTTCTGGAGGTGAGCGTTAAAGATGCCGTCAATATCAAGGGAGCTCGCAATATCCTCAACGAATCGGTGGATCCATATTTGGCTTTCGAGTTGAATGGTGTGTCAGTCGGTAAAACGAGGACTGTTCGGGACTCTTTGAACCCCGTATGGAACGAAACTTCGTTCTTGTTGATCAATTCGTTCACTGAGCCGCTGACCATTGTTCTTTACGATAAGCGTGAGAAGGTTAAGGACAAGGTGTTGGGTAGAATAGTTTACAATTTGAGTACGCTGCACGACGAAAAAAGTCAGTTCAATTTGAAACCCACGTTCCTGAGGAACTCGAAACCTGTGGGGGAACTACATTTCAGTTTGAAATTCCATCCTACTTTGGAGCCCAAACAATTGCCGGATGGCACTGTTGAGCAGCCACCAGATTTGAATGTGGGTATTAGCAAAATTCTCGTGGAAGAGGCAAAGGAGCTGGACGAACCAGGCTGCAAAGTGTCCACCTATGTCGAGTTGTATTTCAACGCGAAGTTGGTATTAACCACAGGTACTTTGAAAAATACCGAGAGTCCGGTGTGGAATCAAGAGTATGAGGCCGTTATAACAGACCGTCGTAAAACGAGGGCTAAGCTTGTCGTTAAAAATGGCAAGGGTGAAATAATCGGCAGCACTGTCCAAGGGCTAAATGACTTGATTGACAGAACCGAAGTCAATAAAAATTGGATTCCCCTTCAAAATGGTAGGGGGCAGATTAAAGTCACTACTCATTGGAAGCCAGTTGACCTGGACTTGGGAGCTAACGCAGTGGCCTACACTCCACCTCTTGGAAGTTTGCGTGTTTTTATCAGCAAGGCTGAGGGCTTGAGAAACTTGGAGAAATTTGGAAAAATTGATCCATATGCCAGAATTGCTGTTAATGGCGTTGCCAGGGGGCGCACTAACGTCTGTGAGTCTACGCTGAATCCTGTTTGGAACCAAGGAATATACGTAGCTGTCACATCGCCAAATCAAAAGATCACTCTGGAATGTCTAGATGTTGAGACTGCTGGGAAAGATCGTACCTTAGGCAAATTCGACATCAATATATCTGAGATGTTTCAGAAGGGCAACGACGACAAATACGTGGAAAAAATTGATGATGAGGCCCGCATAGGACGCTTGATTGGTAAAAAAGGTGCAAAGGGTACTGTTACGTATTACGTCTCGTTCTACCCAACTGTTCCAGTTTTGAGTCTGGAGGAGATTCAAGAAGTTGATGATCTCTCAGAAAGAAAGCGGAAGCTGGACTTAAAGCGGAGCGAATACAGCGAAAAAGCCTTGAGTAAAGTAGCTGAAAAGAAAATGAAAGAAGAAGAGTTTGAAATCAAAGAAATGGAGGACCTCTATGGGAACAAAATGAAGCTCGACCTTGATGAACTGCTACAGTATCAAAGTGGTGTGCTTGCCTTTTCGATTTTAGGAGGAGAACTTCCACAGACTGGTGTTTGTATTCAGGCCTTCTTTGACTCCAATAGCTACCCGCGCTACGTTACCCAAAAGTTTAAGGGACGAACCATCAGGAATGGTTCCACAGGTGATGTAATGATCAAAGAGCTAGAATGGTCTGTTGCCACGTTAAGAGCCACAACAAAGCCAGAAAATAACAAGGCAGAAGAGTGTCTAGCAGAGGTGACACTACCGACCGTGGAACTTCTCAGAAACTGTTACTACAAGCCTTCGATTTTGAATCTCTCTGGAAACAAAAGTAGCAAACTTTTAGTTCAAGTATCGTGGTTCCCGGTAGCAACGACGAGGCTTCCTCAGGCTGATCTCATTACCAACACGGGTGACCTGACGATAGACATTCTGGGTGCTAACAATTTGATTGCTGCTGATCGAAATGGAAAGTCAGATCCGTTCGTCAAGTTTTACCTTGATAACAACGAAGATTCATTCTTCAGGACACATCATAAGAAGAAGACTCTCGATCCTACCTGGAATGAACAATGTCAAGTGCAAATCAATAACCGTGTCAACAACTACCTCAGGATCCGCATGATGGACTGGGATGCCGGAAACAAGGACGACTTGATCGGGACCGCAGTACTACCACTTGCGGACGTCGACCCCGAGAATCCAAGCGAAATCGACGTACCACTCACCGGTCCTGATGGAGAAGACGGTGGTATTCTTCACTTGAACTTCAATTTCAATCCCAGACATGTCTTGACGGCACGTAAGCAAGAGAAAAAGGTGGGCGATCTAGCAACCAAAGGACTCACCTCTGGATTGCATGCCGGAACCTCGGTCATCGGAGGAGGACTGGGTGCAGTGGGAAAAATCAGAAAAGGCATTTTTGGAGGTGAGAAAAATGACCGTGACAAAGAAGGTGAAGCCTAGTCAATTTATACCTTATGTACCTTTTCTCGACATTCAGTCATTATTCGTAATTTTATATTATTATGTGCATTAGGTGCGAGATTAACTTTGGTACTGGTAACATCCCAAGGGAATATAAACAACAATACACAAACAACGACGTATCATGGAGACTCGAGAGGCATCTGCGGCCACCGGTTTACATCCTGTAGAGCTGTGTGTCTATTCTGTACTTTCCAATGATCTGGATGGCATTTATAAATCTGTAAACGATCTGAGAGAGTCTCAAGCCCTACTTTTAGTCAAGCTAAGACAATTGAGAAACTCTTTGAAGGAGGAACAAGTTTTCTACAGTGAGGAAGATGGACTGATGGACGAAATTGTTCGATTAAAGAATTTGAAAATACGGGCAGATGCACTGGTAAAAACTTACAAATCGCTATCCGGTGCTTAGTTTATAAACTTGTTCTATTTACTTGAATAGCCAGCGAATGCTCACCAGATCTTGCCTGGTAGACGGAAAAGTCTGAATGGGTACCCTGAGCTCTTCAAACCAAAAACAGCCAACAGGGCACTATAAATGGCATATAATGTGATAAGACAACACAATGTGAGAACCAGTTCGATGAATGAAGCCTTAGAAGGCGAAGCTTTGCCTGTTCTGTCTTTAGCATAGAAGTTAGCAGCGTAGGGAACAAAGGTGATGAGCCCCACAGTCGATGCAGCAAGAATTCCGTAAATGACACTGACGATCTGGGTTTCGATCCCAAATTGGTTCTGTTGTTGACCCTCAAGGAAATAAACAACGGCCTCGCCATTCTGACTCATGCCCGCAAACTGGCTGCCTCTAATGGTATTAAACATGTAGCCAGAATTCCAAAGAATTATAATGAACACTGTTGCAAGTCCCCAAAGTGGTTTAGAACTAGCCAAGCGTGCCGCGACTTCTTTGTTTTTCTTTACAAAAATCGTGATTGCAGCCGTTGCAATTGCAGTGATGGCAATTGACCCCCAGTTGATGGGTTGATGGATTTGGAAATCTGAAATACCGGTTGCATCGCTCAATGCGCTTACCACAGCGACAACTCTTGCGGCACCGGTTTCGGCCGGCAAGTTGATTTGACTGAAGCTGCCGAACTCTTGTTGTGGTGATATGAACAGTAGCCGTGGGACGTTATTGACGTTGAAATGCATAAACACTTTGTCATTTTTCTTAGGATCGAAATCTGCTTTTGCGAAAAAAAGTGCTTTCTCTCCGTCTCCAGAAATGCCATCGCTATGATCTTTGAGCCATGATTCAGTTAGCAAATTGAATTCGGGCTCCAGTTCAGTACACAAAGTACACCCAATTGCAGGATTTGTGGACGTCAAGAAAATCACTAAATAGGCATCCCGAGGGCCTTTCAAGATCCTTTCAAAGTTGTTATTGGTCAATTTAAGGACACCTTTTCCTTTAGCAGCTTCTTTGGCCAAACCTTCGTTTGAAAGAGCCAAACAAAGCGGGAAGAAAAATGCTGCTACTAAAGCAGTCAATTGAAATACTCTCATCGTTACAAGGCTGGGCTAGTCCAATGGTCACAACTGTGAAAACAGAGCTACAACATACCAAAAGGACAGGTGAAGTTTACACGCTAATAATTACCTACGTTTTGGTCAAATAGCTTTGACTATTACTAGGAATTTGTCATTTTCAACGTATGTGTCATCAGCCAGTAAGTTCTTCGAGGAATAGCGATATGATAACGTACACATCTGGATTGATTGATTCCAGGAAAAGGTGATGGAATAACATAGTCTGTCATTTGGTTTTGAGCGATCTGAAAGGACTTTTGGACAGAACGACGGTTATTTTAATTTTTCCAATAAGTTTTGGCAATGCAAATGGAAGCCTGGCGAGGAACCAATGTTTGAAATAAACAGTTTTTTTTTTGTGGGACGGATACGATTGATATCTCGAATCGATCACTCGAGACTTGAAAGCCCCTGTGTGCGTCAAAACGCTGTGATATGCAAAACAGTCGCGTCACGTGGGGAGACGACAGTAAAATAAGAAAATGAATCTACTAATATGGTAGAGTAGACCGTTCTCATTCAAGTCTCAGTGGATAATAGACCTCAGAGTTCTGCTAGAATTTGTTGAATAGCGATACCGAACAATTATATCCTCCCCGACGGCATTCGCGAACTCCATTCCGTTACGTTAGACTTGTGTGGCCGCACCTCGACTAATACTGCCAGGAGACGAGAATACACCCTAACTGAAGATGCTCGATACAAAGGACCCACTCCACTTGCAAAAGCGATATAGATCGAAATACAGGACTGGATCTTCAGGTCTTCCAGAAAATTCACAGATTTCAAGTGAGTTTTTCTATCTCTTCAAATTCTAAGGTCAACCACAGGAACTTTCTCGTTCCCCAGTCTCAGAAATCTGACCCAATCGTCCAGCTGCCTAACCACCCTGCTATCCAGTCACCCAGAGTCTTGAATTCCTGATCTTTCGCTGAGGAAAGCTAAGTCACGCGACCAGGCCAGTTCCGCTAGGTTTCTCTATATGATGATAATTTGAAAAATAACGAACCAGATGAGAGAATGAAACCTAAAAACCTAAACGTCTCTCTCAGCGATTGGGACTCGACGGGTTTGTGTTAGCGCCATTTTTTGAAGCATGCCAATCAAGTCTCTGGAGTCCTTTCTGTTCGAAAGGGGTTTGGTGGGTTCATATCCAATTGAATCGCTGAAAAATGCGACTTTAGGGATTGATGTTGACCACTACGTGTCTCGGTTGTTGACGTCGAAAAGAGAGCAATATTTGGACGCAATTGGTGGGTTCCCAACAAGTTTGAAGCTGTATTTGGAGTCTGACCTCCAGGTGTTCCAGGAATACGATATTACCCCTGTTTTCATCTTCAGTGGATCGCCAGTGGCCACTCAAGCTGAGGCTAGTGGTCACTACACTGCAGCTGCCGCAGAAGCGGCAGCGGCAGCTAGCAATGCGAATATTTCGGGACCCATGAGCTCTGTTTCAAGTTCTTCGGGCAGAACTGCGAAAGAAACTGTTCTGGCTCAAAGACACAAGGCTTGGACTCAATGGACAAACCTTCTGTCCAATAACCAATCAACCTACGTGGACCAGCCAATTCCTCCAACGGAGGCATTTCGCTACAGTGTTCCTCTAGACACCAAACGGTTCCAAAGTGACTTGATAGCGTACCTCATTTCGCGCGGAATCTGGTACCAGGTGGCACCGTACTCATCCTGGGTCCAACTGGCATATCTGTTGCAGCAGGGGTACATTGACGCTATATATGGGCCTACCGAACTCTTACTGTTAGGATCGGTTGAAAAATTCATCTTGGGCATGGAATTTCCTAACAAAGAATACCGATTTGTTGATAACAAGCGAGTTTTGAACGATCTTCGCTGCTCTATGGATGAATTTATAGATATCAGCATGGCTGTCGGGAATGACCTTCAGCCATACACTTTGTCACCGTTAGGAGTTTACCCCAGCCAGCAACTGTTCGAAGTGGCATTGGATATGGTTACCACTAGCGGCACCGATTTCTATGCATACCAGTTTGTCAATCCAGTTAAGGCTGAAAGTTCTCAGTCCATCTCACGATACCAGAAAGGTGTTTCTGCATTGAGGTACATGCCAGTTTTAAAAGAGGATGGTAAAGTTGAATTTTTCCCTGCTGAAAGACCAAAAGATGCCACTTCAAGTGGTTCCGACTCGAGTCAATCACCTCCTTCTTCCGCAGGCTCTTCGGATGTTATTCCGTCTGACGTTCACGATGTGGTTGCCCAAAGACTACCCCACGAATACTACTTTTACAGATCCTTGGGATTGGTAAGTGGAAAGCTTCTGGATGCCCTCACAACAGGAGTATATGCCGAGGAACCGCCTCTGGATGGTGGCTCTTCAGACTCCTATAGAAAGCTGGTCAAAGATTCTGTGGCGCGGTTCAAAAATAAAGAAATAAATCAACTAACCCAGCCAATCAATCGCTATTACCAAATCAAACCTATAAAACAAGTAAAGTGGTTTGCACCAGATGATCCAGTCACCTTAACAAACAGAGCAACGCCATCGATTTTTGAGAGAGTCAATTTGTTGGTTGTGAAGACCGGGGACTCGGACACGAAGTTTTCGATCTCAAAGTTTCTGTCCGTATTAAGTGGCGCTCAAGACATTTCTCATTCCTTTGTGTCGAAACAGGTCATTTTCCCAAATTCTGTTCCTACAGCCGAAAAGTTATCCACATCATTCGACCTATTAGCAACAAGTTTTCTGCGCACTTTGACACTTTTAGAGTTTTTCGAATTCGATACGACAAGCAAAAGCTTAAAGGCTACTAAATGGGGGGAAATTTTACTGTCACTTGGCACACAAAAGGTAGATGCGCAGTTCGCCGAGCCACTGTTCATATTGCTTGTGTTTTTCAAAACAAAAGTTCTGTCCCTTTTTCAAGAGACAGTTCCTGCAACGCCATCTGCTCTTTCGAAAGCAACACTCAGATCTTACCCCAAAGAATCTTCTTACATTTTGGCTATCACACGAGTAATGAGTGCCTACAGAATGGATCAGAAGCCCTCAAATTATCACGGTCCAGTTGATCGAAAAACGCTTGTTTTCAGAGACCACTTGGACTTTGTCAGGGAAAATCTGAACGATCTGTTCGAAACTACTGCAGTGTCTTCCCTAGCCGCTGGTGAGTTCGACAGATTGTCGCTAGACAATGTTGGCTGGCAAAAAAAAATTGTGGGGGCCATGCCTTTCAAGTTATCGACACCCAACACCGTCATGGCCATGATATGGGAGTTTTACTTGCAAAAATACCTGCACAATGGCAATTCCAAGCCGGACGCTTTGTCCTTGGTGATGTCATTGTTCAATACTGGGAAATCTATTCCTAATTTGCAAGAGGAGCTCGAGGTGTCTCTGCGTTTCATGAGGCAGTTCAGTGAAATACTGGGTGAAATGTCCAAAGTTGGACTGTGCAAAGTTGAAGACCATGTGTCATTTACAGCTGCCGTGGCGTTTGCTGAGCAGGCGTTTCAATGAAGAACAGAATTAAATTCAGAGAGCAATGGACATACCAAAAGATGCAGGTCGCAGAGGGAAAGTGTTGTGGCTCGTGCAGATGTTGCGACGTTGCGATATACACTTGAAGGAGGTCAATTGTTCCAGTGCACTAGAAAATACGTAACAGAAAAAGCTTAATGTATAGAAAATGCTGTTAATGGACGGCACCGAGTTGATAAAATAAGAGCACATCACTGGACTTTTCTAAAACAGACATTAATCACTTGAGTTGTGCATGCGTTGAGTAAACCTACCCAGTACGCAGTCCAGGCTCAGTACACATGGTTAAAGGCCTAGTATATTACATTCTAAAAATGTAATTAGTCAACAAAAAAGCTTCTATGGCCAAGTTGGTAAGGCGCCACACTAGTAATGTGGAGATCATCAGTTCAAATCTGGTTGGAAGCAGATATTTTTAATTTTTTTGGCGAGATATGAAATTGTTATATAGGACTACACATCGAATTTCCAAGTATCCGTCAATGAGAAACGACTACTGATGAACTTTAGAAGAACAATTCTATGTATCCTCTGACTATAAAGTCTCAGTCACGGGACTCTCGAAACTAAAGATCACGTGCGTTAAATTTAAGATCACTTATTACGGAAGTGGCGAAAACTGGACAAACTAAACTTACTTGAAAGATGCTTTCTGATCAAGTTCATGAATTGAAGAAGTTTAGACCAAACTGCGCTGGAAATACTCCATTTAAACACCACTTCAAGGTTTTAAACTATGGTATGTTTGGATCTGCGGTGCTGCAGTTACCCCATTCACTTCTCAGAGGGACAAAAGACAGGTTTTAGGTGGTTTTTCAACGAAGCATTATACTAACAACGACGGTGACTTTATGCAGAGTGTTCAGATTTTTGGTGACCAGGTTACAGAGGAAAGAGCTGAAAATGCTCGTATGTCTGCTTTTGTCGGAGCAATTGCTGTGGGAGACCTTGTAAAGACGACTTTGGGGCCAAAGGGAATGGACAAACTACTGCAGAGTGCCAGTAGTGGATCTTCAATGGTAACCAACGATGGGGCTACCATTCTAAAAGCTATTCCACTCGACAATCCAGCTGCAAAAGTGCTGGTGAACATTAGTAAAGTCCAGGATGACGAGGTTGGGGACGGTACCACCAGTGTTACAGTTTTGAGTGCTGAATTATTGAGAGAAGCTGAAAAACTCATCGACCAAGGAAAGATACATCCGCAGACAATCATTGAGGGTTTCAGAATAGCCTCAAAAGCTGCTTTAGATGCCCTAGAGAAGACTGCAGTGGATCATTCTGGCAACAAAGAAAGCTTTTTCCAGGATCTGGTTTCCATAGCGAAGACTACTCTATCATCCAAAATCTTGTCTCAGGATAAGGACCATTTTTCGAAACTCGCTGCCGACTCCATCATGAGACTTGGAGGCTCGGTCGATTTGGAGCATATACAGGTGTTGAAAATTATTGGTGGTAGGTTATCTGATTCCTTTTTGGACGAAGGTTTTATACTGCCCAAAAGATTTGGTAATAACCAACCCAAGCGCGTGGAAAACGCCAAGATTCTAATCGCTAACACCTCCTTGGACACAGATAAGGTCAAGGTTTTTGGTGCGAAATTCAAGGTTGACTCTACCTCAAAGCTAGCTCAATTGGAAAAGGCGGAGAAGGCCAAAATGAAGAATAAAATTGATAAGATCTCAAAGTTTGGTATCAACACGTTCATCAATAGACAGCTCATCTACGACTACCCTGAACAGCTATTCAGTGACTTGGGCATCAATTCCATCGAGCATGCAGACTTTGAAGGTGTTGAAAGGCTAGCTCTTGTCACCGGAGGTGAAGTGGTCTCGACTTTCGACAACCCTGAGAAGTGCAAACTTGGTGAGTGTGACTTGATAGAAGAGGTAATGATTGGAGAAGAAACTTTTACCAAATTCAGTGGATGCAAGGCTGGGGAAGCTTGCACCATTGTGTTAAGAGGTGCAACTGATCAAGTGCTAGATGAAGCCGAGAGATCTCTACATGACGCTTTGTCTGTACTATCACAAACGACTAAGGAAACTAGAACTGTTCTAGGCGGTGGATGTGCCGAAATGATAATGTCCAAGGCAGTCGACACAGCTGCACAAAATGTTGATGGTAAGAAATCGTTTGCTGTGGAAGCGTTTGGTCGTGCCTTGAGACAGCTGCCAACAATTTTGGCGGATAATGCTGGTTATGACAGTAGTGAGCTCGTGTCTAAGTTGAGATCTTCAATATATGGCGGTATTACCACCTCGGGTCTCAATTTGAACGACGGAAGTATCGCTGATATGAGAGAGCTGGGTATTGTCGAGAGTTACAAGCTGAAAAGAGCCGTTGTAAATTCTGCATCAGAGGCAGCTGAAGTACTATTGAGGGTGGACAATATCATCCGTGCTAAGCCAAGAACTGCGAACAGACAGCATATGTAAGATAGCTTGGAGTATTCTGTGTCATGTAAGTAAAAATGGAAATTTTTATCCTCTTAGCGCTATGTGGCAGTAAATCCTATATAAAACCGGCAATCAAGCGCGCAGTGACTGATTCTCCGATTGAAGTTCTTGTAGTTCCTGCTTTTTACCTGCCAAGAATTGTTCCAAGATGCCCACTTGTTGCTCTATCGTCCCTATGTCCTCATTAATACCTCTTACATCGACCGATGAATTGGAATTCCGGAAACCTGATGCTTGCCTTTGCAAATACGCGTATAGTTCTTCTAATTGAGCCCTAGCAATCTCGGGATTCGAACCCTCAATAGCTTTAGCTTCGTTAGCATCAAAGCCACTTTTATTGGAAATGTCTACTTGCGTTCTAGAAGCAGAACGACCAGAACCCGAGTCTTGCGGAGTGACGGAGTTGCTTGTGTTCGTATGACGAGAATGGCGTGTAATATCGGCCTGATGAGACTTTAAGTCGTAAGAGACTCTCTGCTGGTTGCAAATCTCTTTGAAAGCGTGCGGCAAATCTGCGGGCAGCTCACAGCCCGAATCGTTTCTCTGCTTCAGGGCATGTATCAGGAAAACAGCGGGATCCTTGTTGATGGACCCTATATTTTGAGGATTCACCAAAACCCACAGATGATCAAAATCAGCAGAGCTGATTTTGGGGAAGTTCGTCCTTACCGCACTGAGTAGAGGGGCATACGATATTGTACCATCTGTGAGCTTCTCGCAGGAGTCGTAAATCGAAGTATACAGCGCTTTGTTAGATGGGGCAATGTACCAATCCAACTTTGGCGGAGGTGAAGGTGGTCTCTGCGTTTGAACCACTGGTGCGGTTTCGTGCGTCTCTACAGCATTCGAGCTTTGCGTATTTTCCTGGGGTTCGTCCCGGGTTTTACGCTGTTTCAACAGCTTTATCTTACTGCCTGGAACTAGCCAGTCCGGAAGATCGTCGGGAACGCGATCGATATTTTTGTTGACCATATCGAAGATGAGCCGCATGCAAATCACGAATTCTTCGAAATCGAGATTATCATCATCGTCAATGTCTGCCAAGAACCATATTTTGTTCAAAATGGATGAATCAAGCTTCGAATTGAACAATATAGGTTGAACATGATCATGGGTTAATTTGTTGTCAACAGGCTTCAAACCAGAAAAAATTTGCCAGTACTTTTTGATTTCGAATTGTTCCAGTTTGGGCATGACAGGAGAAGTTGTAAGTGAATGGATACAGCGTCCCTGGAGGCTATTCTTGAACGTTTGTAGTTTGGTATTTTCTGAAGGTTTAAGTTAGTTTAGCGTTAGGGGCAATTAAATGAATAATATCCGGACGATATATCACCATTTACGGGTGTGTCGCCGGCAAACAGAATTTTAAATTCAAAGACGACTAGAGAGGGGAACTGTTAATAACAATCAAGGGCGTAGCATATAGAAAAGCTTGTTTTAAAGTAGTATTTCGAAAATCATTCTCACTGGTCGAAGCTGAAGGATTTAAAATTCTATTGCTTTAGGTCACATGACCATATTTCCTATACCTCTAATTCCCCGCTCTGTTGTTTTAAACAGGTATTTAACGTCTACGCAGCCGATAACTAACGACTCTCACCAAGTGTCAAGCCCCTTACCACCCTGTTTTCTTCTTCTTTAACGTGTGTCTGATTTTCGATGTCGAATTTAGATGTCAGTAAATTAATATAAATGACAACCGAGATAAAGAATTCGTCAACGAAACTTTCAAACGACTCTCGATAGAACTCGAATGGCGTCAAGGACCTGACTTAAGCTTCATAACTATTACGTAGTAGCTGTATTTACGACTCAAACTTCTGCTCTTACCAGTAGCTGCACTCAAAAATAGCGATTCTCCTGTACTTTTGCCTTTATAGCGTTGACAACATTTGAATGTCATGAGGTAGAAAAAAAGGGAAGACCGTTAGACAAACTCCAGACGTGGTGACAGCTGAAACCCTCGAGGTCTGCTAATCCTGGATCGTCACTCTACCCAATAAAGTTAGAAAAAGTTCTCTCTTGATCGGGGGTGGTAACTCTTTCCTGCAAATATGGACCGCCAAAAATTCGCGGTCAAACGCGAAAATGACCGTGAAAGGAAAAAAAAATTGGCATTCCGAACGCGTTCAGAATGTGCACCTTTCGCATACCGCCCAGACTTGCTTTAAAAGCATCAGGCTAACGGCCAGGGGTAATTTGACGACCGACTGATTTTTACAATGGCCTCACACCCATTATCCAAATCACAGTAGTACCACTTGCCCCAAGTTTTCCAAGACTTTTGATGCGCTTAGCTGGGCTTCTTCTTGCAGTGCTGGGTGGAACGCCCGTGCTTTGCAAGCCGTACGAAGCTTTTGGTGCCTCAAGCCAATATCCTCCTGTTGCTTCTGCAGGCAATCAATTCTCGTTTCAACTGTCCAACGACACTTTCAAGTCCACCGTCGACGATAGTGTCCAGATTCAATATGAAGCTTTCGAACTACCAACGTGGCTCCAGTTCGACTCACAATCGCGAATCCTTTCAGGAACGCCTTCGGAATCCGATGTGGGTAATAGCTCCCAAAATACGCAAGTCTCTTACGTATTACAAGGAACTGATCCTACCGACCAATCTGCCCTCAACAAAACGTACCAGCTAGCGCTAACCAGCGAAAACCAGCCAACAGTCTCGTCAAGTTTCAATCTGCTCAGTTTGCTGAAAAATAGCGGGTACACTAATGGGAGGAATGCGCTAAAACTTGCACCTGGTCAGATTTTCAATATCACTTTCGATAGAGATACGTTCGAGAACTCAGATGCGGCTACAAAGTTTTACGGTCGATCAGCCATGTACCACGCACCACTGCCTCCCTGGATGTTTTTCGACGATGCGAATTTGAAGTTCAGCGGGACTGCCCCTGTAGTCAATTCTGAGATAGCTCCTGAATTCTCATACTCCTTCTCTCTACTGGCGTCAGATGTCAGCGACTTCGCTTCGGCAGAGGTTCAGTTTGATATTGTGGTGGGTGGTCACCAGTTCACAACCTCTATCCAGAACACTTTAGCTGTTAACGTATCGTCCTCCGGATCTTTTGACTATCCTTTACCTATGAGCTATGTTTACCTCGATAACAAGCCCGTTTCTTCAGCAAACATTAGCTCAACTACGCTGCTGGGCAGTAATGACTGGGCGTCTGTCTCAAATGAAACCTTATCAGGTACTTTACCGAAAGAAAAGAATAGCCAAAATTTGACTGTTGCCATATATGACACCTATGGCGATTCCATTTACTTGAACTTTCTAGTGGAGTCTACTCACCAGTTATTTGCAGTATCATCGCTACCGAATGCCAATGCAACACAGGGCGAATGGTTCCAAACCCAGCTTCTGCCTTCACAATTTACGGACTACAACAACACAGACGTATCTTTGAACTTTGCGAACACTTCGCAGTCAACATCTTGGCTCTCCTATCACGATAGTAATATGACGCTTTCAGGTGAAGTGCCAAATGATTTCAGCGGGTTGACCGTCGAGGTGGTCGCCAAGCAGGATGAACAATCACAGAAGTTATCATTCAAGCTAGGAGCAGTCCAGGCTAAACACAGTTCATCGTCCTCGTCTCGCAGCTCGTCTTCGCAATCTTCAGCGACTGCAACTCCATCTGCCACATCCAATGCAGCACAATCGACTCCCACCTCCTCCAACACTGCGACGCCTTCAAATTCGCCTGGTCTATCCTCCAAATCGAACTCGAAGAATAACCGCACTGTGGCAATTGCTTGTGGTGTGGCAATTCCTCTGGCTGTCATTCTCGTATTACTTATTTTGTTCCTTCTTTTCTGGAGACGGAGAAACAACAGATCTGCTTCGGCAGCCGACGCAGAAAAATCTCCACAGATCAGCAATCCAAAACTAGGAAATCCAGCGAATGGCCCTGCATTTTACGGCGGACCATCGCCATTCGATGATGGAGATTCAATCGATGACACTTCCTCGGCAAAAAGACTAGCCGCTTTAAATGCTATCAATTTGGATGAACAGGCGAGCTCTGGGTCCGACGCTTCCACTCTGGATGAAAAAGGTGCATCTAGCACAACTAATTCATCTGCAGCTGATCTGTACCACGATGCCATGCAGGTGGGAAGCACAGATGCACTCCTAGGTGCCGAGGAGGACGACCAGCACTTCGACTCCAACAAACATTCGTCTTCTGTTTACCTCAACAGCGAGCCTACGAACCGTAAGTCTTGGAGATTTTCTACGAGGACAGTGGAACCGCAACATAATATCAGAGAAAGCTACAATTCTTTGAACACAGTGAGCACATCGGAACTGCTTAATACACATATTGCAAGTGATCAAACGCTGCCGAAAGACCCAAGGAAGTCATCTTTGGGTCTACGAGACTCTGTATTTTTCGGAACGGTAGGAACGACGGCGGACAAGAAAACTGTCATGCATTCAACCAGTCCACAAAAATCGACCAATGCGTTAAAACCCCACCTGTCGGGAGACCGTATGCTGCCCAATTTGGTAGAATCTCCTGATGACCATAACTCTTCAGCTTCCCAAATGACGAGTAGCAGCTCAGATGATATAATACCCATCAAACAAGGTGATAACTACAGGTGGGTTGAGCGCGATGAACCAGGAGCCGAGCCTCCGCAGAGAAAAAGAAGTGTCAAGAGACTGGTCAACCTACCCAACAAGAGCGGTGTGAACGTCTGGGACGCTAACGACATCCAAGGACATGTTCCAGAAATGGATATGTCGATGGAGTCGAACATTTAATATGATCTGCTATAGATCACTGTAATAGTAGTATAAAGGAAAAATTGAAAGGAAGATCAAATTGTGAGTAAATCGCTGTCAATATCTTGGGCGATGCACAAACCAAAGAAGAGGCGAATCTGTGAGGAATATTCATGATATGTAGAAATAAAAATTTGAAGGGAGAGACGCACTACAATTTGTTGTTTCTCTTCAAATTGCTTGCGTAATTTGCTGTATCGACAGCGCGTCTTCTTGCACTGATGTATTCTATCATTTCAGAGTAGCTTTCGGGAACCACAGTAGCATAGCCAGGTTGACTAGTGCTTCCATCTGAATCTCTTGGGGCGAAGAAGGAGAAAATAAATGAACCGGATGAAGTCTTCTTCTCTGACGCTAATTCTTGTACCATTGTATCAACCTTGACCTGAATCAAAGTCCCCGGCTTGTTCAACATGGCGTCAGGGCTATGCGATAGCTGGTTGATAGGAGATGGGTCAAAGTGGAAAATGGTGCTACTGTCAACTGACTTATCGGTCACATTTGCGACCTTAGGCCTGGCGTCTTTCTCATACAAGTGCTCAGTGTGAACAACGGTGGCGTCCATGTGCAAGATAGAACCCACGGGGACAGGAGCCTTGAAATGGGTCGAGTCTAAAGATATGAATCTTGGGAAAGAATGAGAGAAGGATGCAGCAGCGCAATAAGCCAACTCGAAAGTTTGTCTCATCAGATATCCACCGAAAATCATGTACGAGTGTCTATTTCTGTATTGAGGTTGCATGAACATGGTGGATTTAGCGTTGGTCTCTTTCATGAACATAACGTTAAGAGGTTTTTGCGAGAGTTTGGCTAGCTGCTTCGATGCAGCCCACATGTTGTGAATAATTCTGGACTCTTGACCAGTAGGAGGGTTAGTGTCCAAGCTTTCACTCGCAGCACGAAGCTTTTTGGCTGCATTATGCGACTCAGCACGTCTGAAATCCATCCACTCCTTTTGACTCAAAGGCAGGAGCTTGTTTACAGACAGAGATTTGTGCGTTTCTGGATTTCTGGCCACAAACGTGAAAGAAGCGGTCAAAAAGGTGTCTTCTTCTAACAGAGTTTCTTCTTTGATGACTTTGGGTAAATCGCCTTGAATGGCGGTAGCTTTGATAGCGATTTCCATAGAAGATCTACCAGTCCAAACTACAGCACCAGACAAAATAATATTGTACTCGGCCATAGTGTCGATGCTTTTCAGCAAATAAATCCGGTCAACGGAAGCAGTAACAATAACAGGCTCTGCGGGCGAAGTGTGTCTGTAAGCGATTCTCCCGGCAAGCGCGTCCAAATCTTGGAAGATTTGACCCATTCTCAATCTTCCCGCTGCGTTGACGTAGAAGTCTGCCACGCCCGCATCGTCACGGAAAGGAAGTGTTAAATATGCGAACGAGTCCTTGCGAGCCTTCTCACCCACTTCTGTAGACTTGACAGAGTTGTAAACGTACGAGTCGATGATTTTCCCCTGAGCAAGCTGCTTTTCACGTTCTGCTAGGGCATTGAGCCAAGTTGCCTTGTAGCCACCGACGGTTTTTGGACTTCCTGAAAGCCTTCTGTGTTCGTACTGATCAGTGAGGGTAGTGGCAGCAGCATCTGGCTGCAAAGAGGCATCGTTGGACTTGCCGTCGTCTTTTTGATGTATCATTCTGGTCCCACTCAATTTTTGGACCGATTTAATGGTCTTGTTGTCCAAACTCTTTGCAATGACCTTTCCAGCGCCCTTTGAGCTGGGACGAGGCAATACCGAGCGAAACATAAGGGAAAACAACTGCTGGATACGGAGGGATTCTTAACAAAAGAACCGGAACCAATTTAGAGGAGGAAAACCAGCAAAGTGTGGGGTAGATATCACTTCAGAAATGCTAAACAGATAGCAGGGAAGGATGAGGTGGGTGGGAAATGAAATTCAAAAGAGAACGAGAAGTCTTATTTCAAGTCAAAAACAAGAGCGTTTCCAAAGAAAAGATCTTCTAATTGAGTTTTCAACAAGTTTCCAAACCTTTTGAATGGTGCAAGCTCACTTGACAGCTCGAACGTCCCACGATTCCTCGATATGGCACTTTCTAGGGCACTTTTTGGTATGCTGAGAACGGCAAAAATGTCGTTTTCTCGATATAAGTGTCGAAAAGAGTTCAAAAAACGATTTTGAAACCTTTTTGATGAGAATTGGCCTCTAAACCAGGTGTTATAGTCTGGGGAAAAATGACCAGATGAGCTTCTACCTTATATAGGTAGATATCCAACAAAATTGGATTTCTGATGAGGGTCCAAGGGGATAAAGACACGACAAGATAATTGGATAAATAATTGGGTAGATGATCGAGTCGCTGACGTGGCTTCTTTGTGACTTCAATTTTTCCAAAAAAAATTTGCTTCCAACCAGATTTGAACTGATGATCTCCACATTACTAGTGTGGCGCCTTACCAACTTGGCCATAGAAGCTGTTTTTGATGGTGAAACACGTTAAAAGATACTAATACCAGCGGGCGATCAGCAGATATAAACCGCTCGAGAATCTATTCCAATGCAGAGAAAGTAACCACCCCGAATCAAGGGAAGAAACAGTTGATAAGGTGACTGTATATGGGGACCGTACTTGTAACCACAAGCGTTACTTTTGAGCTTACTCTTAGCTCGAAATGAGTCCCAGTTGCGTTTTTCACGATCAGAAGGCTGTCTCGTACATGCGTATACACGGTTTTCGAGCTCATCTCTCATCTACAAAAATTGTATGAACTGGAAGGTTCTCCCCAAGTAATGCGTCACTGTATTAAAGGTCTCATAGCCTAGCGTCTCGGGAGACGTATTATATTTGTGGTGAGCAAGGCTGTTGTGGAAAAAAAATGACGCTCCCGGAGGAATCCAACGAGGAGCGAGATCGCCGGCTTCAACAGCTGTTCAGCACGATTGATACTGAAAAAACCGGCAAATTCGATCTTGATCAATTGAAAAAAGCATTTGAAAAGAACGACCACCCATTGAGGCGATCTCCCGACGCCGTAGAGCATATTTTCAGGTCTCTTGACGATAACAAAGACTCGTTGGTCGATTTCGAAGATTTCAAAAAATACGTGCTGGCCGCAGAAATCCAGATACGACAAGGGTTTTTGAGACTTGACCGAGACGGAGACGGTAAGATTCGTGTGAGCGAGCTTTCGAACTACCTCAGCAAACTAGCCGAGGATAATGAGCCCCGGCCCGAAAAGCCTACCACTTTCAAAAAATTCATGAATTGGGCATTCATCCCCAAGAAAAAAACAGCGGAAGACACGCCTTATATCACATATGACCAATGGCGCGACTTCTTGCTGTTCATGCCCCGCAAACGCGGGTCGCGATTGCATACCGCATTTTCATATTTTTATCTCTTCAACGAAGACGTGGATTTGTCGTCAGAAGGAGACGTGACTTTGATTAACGACATCATTCGCGGCTTCGGATTTTTCATAGCAGGAGGTATCTCTGGAGTCATATCAAGGACATGTACCGCCCCCTTTGATCGAATCAAAGTATTTCTTATTGCAAGAACGGATTTGTCGTCAACGCTTCTGAATTCGAAAGATCGAGTTCTGCAACACAATCCAAGTGCTGACAAGGCAAAAATTAAGTCGCCATTGGTGAAGGCTGCCACCTCACTTTATAGACAAGGTGGCATCCGTGCATTTTACGTGGGAAATGGTTTAAATGTTATAAAAGTGTTTCCGGAGTCTGCCATCAAGTTTGGTTCTTTTGAATTTGCCAAACGTGTAATGGCACAATTGGAAGGTGTGAAAGACACATCGGAGCTATCTAGGTTCTCAACCTACATTGCTGGTGGGTTAGGTGGTGTAATGGCACAGTTTTCTGTTTACCCAGTTGACACGCTAAAGTATAGGGTTCAGTGTGCTCCGCTTAGTGCCCACCGAAAGGGCGCACATATAATGATTGAGACTGCTAAACAAATGTACAAAGAGGGTGGTTATAAACTATTCTACAGGGGTGTAACTGTTGGCGTTATGGGCATCTTTCCCTACGCCGCCCTGGATTTGGGAACATTTTCTGCTTTGAAGAAATGGTACATTGCACGCCAAGCACGTATCACTGGCATCCCGGAGGACCAGGTTACAATGAGCAATGTTTTTGTGTTGTTAATGGGCGCGTTTAGTGGAACGGTAGGTGCAACTATGGTATACCCAATAAATCTTTTACGGACAAGGCTGCAAGCTCAAGGAACGTTTGCGCACCCGTATAGATATTCGGGATTCAGAGATGTTTTCACGAAAACTGTCGCAAGGGAGGGGTACCCGGGACTTTTCAAAGGCCTTGTACCCAATTTAGCTAAAGTATGCCCTGCCGTGTCGATCAGCTACCTATGTTACGAAAACCTCAAGAAAGGCATGAAATTGGAATGAGACTTCATGTATGATAATGCATTTTTATTAAAATCACAGACGTGCTATTTAAAAGACAGAAACTAATAATATTCATGGAAAGAGTGGCTCTGCCTCAGAGCTTCGATATGAACTCGATGTCTCGTAAATTCGAAAACTGGCCTCTGCGTCGATAAGAACTTCCATAAATTGATAGATCACCAAGGGCCCTGCGTCACAGCCAGTAAGAGTAATCATCTTGATCCGCGGGCTGCGTTCCTGACTACTTGATATAAATGGTTCTTCTGCACATTTCACCCAGTTAGAATCCTGCTCCTGTGCTAAACGCTCTTTCAAATTTTGGACCCGGTTCATTTTTCTACCAAGGTTCAACCCCACCGAATCTATAACAATGTCGAAAGCTACCGTATTGGGTTTGATCTGCGGTAGTTTTTCTAGCCGTGAAATCAAACTGTTCAAGCTAGATCGAAGCTCGTCGAAAACGTCTGTCTCTTTAACATCACTGACTTGGTCGTGTCGCAGTTCACCGAAGTCTAAAGCATAGCGTTCGATGCATGCACCATCGTCTTGCTGGATTATTCGAACATTAAAATGCCGGACCGCTTGTAACTTTGAGATAATATCGACCACCATAGTCTCAATGTAGCCTTGAAGTCCGGGATGACGATTCATCGGGACGTGTCGGGGCAGATTAAAAGCCTGAAAAGATGTCCAGTCGAAGGCTTCTTTAGGGTACACATTCCGATAGTATAGAATCACGTTAACGTAGCACTTCAGGTAAACCTGAAGCCATTTAGACACTGCCCAGGACATTGTTCCATCATAACCAAGACTACGATTGAATACAACAGAAGTAGTCGGAACCAGACGCGAAGGATTGTCGAGGAATGAAGATGTGTTACTTTACCTACACCTTGTTCAATACTTAGTAGGCATTGACTACTTTCGTGGAAAACGAGCAATATAAAGTCACGTTGATTCCAGCGTTAAGAGATACTTCCCATGTTAAGACGTTTACCGTATCGTTGTCCCTATTACTACAGTTAAATATCATCAAATTTATTTGACAACTGCGAGCTTCGAACGAAACTCTGCTATTTTTCAATCTTTCAAATATTCGTGTCGCTTCTCGTCCAAACAGACGTTTGGGAGACCCTAGATTAAATGCGACAAACTTGATGCTCTGCGTATCTTTATTTTAACCGCTAAATCTGGCAAATTCGACGTTTCTGATCACATACAATGCCTTTTCCTCTTAGCGTGGTGGTTCTGGAGTTGAGATTGACATCTATCATTGAGCACGTGATGCATCCTCTAGCATTCTTTAACTTGAACGCAATAGAAATCCTTCATAACTGGAGCTCTGCAGAAGCGAAAAGAGATGAACAACTGAGTACAGCCTTTGTAACGTGTATTGCCAGTCAAGCCAAAGTTCAAATACAGATACGTTTGCTGAGATTTGCTTTGAAAACGCTATAGAGTATTATGAACAAGCGAAATCTGTCTCCTCACGTGGATTAAAAGGTCTTATTTAATCAGTTTATACTATCGTGACACTTAGAAAAAGTGCCGGTATTAGTTAAAAAGAAATGTTTTCAACGTCACAATAGTTCCAACGCATTACCAAAGCTATCAATAAAAGACGTATGTAAATGGGCCGTGAATACCACCATTGATGTTCTTGATTCGCACTGTGTTAAGCTATTATCGTAAATAATGATATCCCATGAAATGCTTGGAAAACACAACTAAAGCCACAAATGTCTAGCTTTTCGACAAGTCGTTGAATTAAAATCTCTTTTTCAGGCAACAAAATCCATCGACTCTGTAGCTCGCTTCAATGATTCAATAGATCCCAAATTTTATTCTAGTCAGCTGGATCACGTGATAAGCTCATCGCTCTTAATTGTATCTGTATAACTAACTACATCGATATAACCCTGCACATTACAGAGATGAGATGTTCAAGGTATAAGTATAACTCATCATTTGATATCCACCAAATCTATGACCAGGGGTATCAATTCCCCGATTCTTCCCTGTTGAAACAAACTTCATGGGTTCTAAAATTGCTGCTATCAATGAGATCGACGTTGGTCGCATCACTTCCGGACAAGTTATAGTAGATTTGACGTCAGCAGTGAAGGAACTACTGGATAACAGCATAGACGCTGGAGCTGACCAATTTGAATGTGTCTTCAAAAACTATGGTTTAGAGTCTTTGGAATGCAGTGATAACGGCAGCGGTATCCCGGTAGATAGCTACCAGGGACTTGCATTGAAGCATCACACGTCGAAGATTTCAAATTTCGAAGATGTATCTCAGGTCACGACCTTGGGCTTTCGTGGCGAAGCTCTTTCGTCACTAGCGGCAATTTCAAACCTGGTAGTAACAACAACGGCTAATCCACCCAAGGCAGCACGTTTGGAGTTCAATGCCAAAGGTGAATTGACGAAAAATACCGTAACTTCACGCAATAAAGGCACGACCGTGCATATTTCCCAGTTGTTTAATAATCTCCCAGTGCGTAAAAAGGATTTTACCCACAATTGTAAACGACAATTTAACAAATGTATCGCTTTGCTACAACAGTATACGATAATTCAAGACAAGATGAAGATTTCCATCTGGCATATTACCAGCAATGGACGTCGCACTCTTGTGCTGTCATCTACAAAAGACCAGGGTATTCCCAGACGAATTGTCGGCGTTTTCGGGTCAAGCGCCATGCAGGGTATTTCTGAGATTAATTTAGACCTTTTGGTGAACACTACCAAATCATGGGCTTCGCAGGCTTTTGGGCGTGAACTCAATGGACCGTCGGAATATACTGTAAAAGTCTCTGGTTATATATCCAGAAGCTCTTTTGGTTGTGGCAGGAACGCAAAAGATCGTCAGTTTTTATACGTCAACCAGCGACCCGTGGTGTATCCAGCACTGCTCAAATGCTGCAACGAGGTTTACCGTACCAACAATAATGTTCAATTCCCCGCACTTTTTTTGAACTTTTCGGTTGCTCCCGGATTCATTGACGTAAATATAACGCCGGATAAGAGAACTGTGATATTGCACAGCGAAAACGCCGTGATTGACTCCTTAAGGGATGGTTTAGCGGAGTACTTCGCGGACCAGGAATTGGTGCTGCCCGTTTCTTCGAAAAACAAGGTCGAGAAGAGCGAAGAAGAACCAACACTCAAGAGACAAAAGCCTGGAATCGTCAGCCAGGAGCTGCATTCCGAATTTCAAAATGATATTCGAGACCCTGAAACTTATGCGTCTCGAATGGAAGAGACTGAGGCTATCGAGAAAGGCTCGCCATCTTCAAGTCTGTCAGAACAGGGCGGCGATACGTCAGCGCAACAGCGTGACATTTTTGTGGTGGACTCATCACATTCCAGTGATGAAGAAGAGCTCAACACGACAGAGTTTTCAACTAATACTAATGTTTTTGATGACGCTAATCAAAGTAGAAGTGCAAAAGTTGGGGCCCAAAAAACATTGGATGCATTTACAAATCCTGCTAAGGAAGCTGATGCAGGTTCGCTTACAAGAATCCCAAATGCCGCCGAGGAAACGTTGACGATGCAGATTGGCGATGATCATTTTGAAGAAAGAGCAGTGATAACCAGAGACAATCATCTGATAGTCTCCGATCACAGCGGTTCAAATCTAGAGAAAGACTCCGTTCACTCTGGATATTCACACATCAATCATTCCCACAGTTCATCATGCACATGTTCGTCTGGGAATGAGGATGAGGAGCAGGACGATGATCTAGAAATCATCTCGCCTCAAGAACAAATCGGCGAAGTATCGCTACGCAATTCTCCGCCATCAGCTGCTCCCGCGACCGTAAACTTAGAGGTGTCGAAATCAGAAGACCTGCAGCAAATTGATGCACCGAAAATTTCAACACCTAATCACAACAGTAGCTCACCAAGGGGTTATGTCCACACAGCAGACACTGAAATCCTATCTGTGGTATGTTCGGTGCATGCCTCCAAGATAGTCAATGAGTTTGTGGAGCAGTCTCATATTCTACACCAGCCAAAGGCGGAAAGACATCAAAATTCAATTCAGAGGAATGAACAAATAGAGAATTTTGCAGAAGGAGAAAAATACCTGACACTTTCAGTCGCTAAAAAGGACTTCAAGAATATGAACATAGTGGGCCAGTTTAATCTGGGTTTTATCCTAGTAACGCGCAGAATTGGTCAGAAATTTGATTTATTCATCATCGACCAGCACGCTAGTGATGAGAAATTTAACTTCGAAATGCTACAGCAGACAACAGTTTTGAAGTCACAACGTCTTATTGCCCCTCAGGTAGTAGAAATGAGTATCATTGATGAACTTATAGCTACGGAAAACTTGGAAGTCTTTGAGAAAAACGGGTTCAAATTAGAAATAGAAGAGGACAAACCACAGGGCAGTCGAATCCGGTTGGTTAGCCTCCCGGTATCGAAAAAGACGGTCTTTGATATAAATGATCTACATGAGCTGATTCATTTGGTGAGAGAGTCTGATGGGTTGAACAAGGACAGAGTACGCTGCTCGAAAGTGAGGAGTATGCTGGCAATGCGGGCGTGCCGTAGCAGCATCATGGTAGGCAAGGCTCTTTCCAAAAAAATGATGGTGCGTGTTGTACGGAATTTGAGCGAGCTGGACAAACCTTGGAATTGTCCTCATGGTAGACCCACAATGCGGCATTTGATGGAACTGAGGGATTGGAATGCGTTTGAAGACGACTATGCATTGTGACCAGCGCAGTGATTGACTAAGATATATCTACGTATGTACAGGAAAAGTGAAATGGGAAATGCACAGAGCAGTGCAATATGACGTGAATTAAAGGGATACAGGGAATGTATGACGGTATGTTATGAGTGGAGAACGACGATTCCGCTTTTGATGCCTATTCTCAAATCAGCTTGGAGATGAATTTATTCCACAACGAGGGGGTTCTATTGCGTTCATTGCTGACTTCAGTGTGAAATCCGCGTCTATCCACCCTATTCAGTCTCCGGGCAGTCTTAGCGTTGTTTCTGGAACGTTGTCCACGGACTGGAAGGTTCAGTGCATGTCTCATACCTTCGTACGATCCGATTCTTCTCTTCAACGCGATGTTCTCTTTGACCACCGCGCGAGCATTACCTTCAATTGTCATGTTCGAGAGCTCGCTGGTGAGACTCATTATTTGTGGTTCCGATAGCTGGTGCATGCGCATCCACGGATAAAATCCTAATTTTGAGCATAACATTTCGGAAGTCTTCAGTCCAACACCGTACATTTTTGAAGCCAATGCAATCCTTATTACCTCTTTACCTTTGAAACCTTTACCGAGTATGTGTACCACCATGTTTCCGATATTTTTGAGAGTGCCAGATGGTAGAAATCGACTCCAGACGGATACAGCTGGAGTAACTCAGCTGTTTAATTGTTCATCTTCATCGATTTCGAGAAAATGATGATATTAACATATGGTGAAAAATTCCTGAAATACGTTTAAAGCGATGTGAAAGTCTGATAGTGACGGGAAATTAAAAAGCGATCTGTCGTTAAATATGATAATAATTACTTTTGCGAGATCACGGGAATATCAGGTGACAGCTCTCATCCTTTTAAGTTATCGTAGAGGATGACAGACGGTGGGCATGACGATTTTAGGTGTGAATGGACAAGGAAGAATAGCCGGTGTTTATGCTTCGGATAATGTTTGCGTTCCCTATTCTGAATAATTACGCGAAATCAAATGCTCTAGTTGCTCCAAGTCCAGCCGCTGAATTACCAAATTTCGCAGTAGTCCAACCATAGTGATGAAACTGGCAAGCCCGACGGGGACCACGCAGAATACAGTGATGTTGTAAAGATGAATTTGGCGATTTTTTGTGAGTCGCAAGTACCGGGAACCACGTCTGCGTTTGCGATTATCGGAAGGTGAAGATGACGATGGTGTCGGAGTGGTGTTGGTGGTAGTAGTGCACGTGACCTGACCTGATAGGGACGAAGAAGACGAGCTAGAACGTAGTGAGCCAGCGGGGGTGGCACCTCCGATACTAGACGCAGACTTAAATGCCTGAGAAGGTTCTTGCTCGACGTAATTGAGATCTGAGGTCAAAAAACTTTGCCAGATGTACGCGCCTGTGAGCATGCAACTGATGAGGATCCACGTGTGGAGTAAGTAATCACCTTTGGGCGACAAGGATGATAACAGCAGCATTTCGAGTGTGACAATCAACAGGGACATCGAAAACATCCGTAGAATCGCGGCGACCGTTGAATATTTCACGATCCATCGCACCATCAACGAGTCCAATATTGCATACGTCAAATATGCGGAGACGATGCACCACAGCGAACACAAAAGGTATTCTGACGATCGTGCCACGATCAGCTGCGACATCAGATCGGAGTCAACCCCCGTAGAAGACGCCTGCGTCTTTTGAAGGGCCAAAGATTGCTGCTTGTGCAACACGCGAGAAAGTCCGACTTGCAACCGTTCTGAGCGGTACGACAGTTCCCATGCTTTTTTCAAAGCCCGTGCTAACGACAGCAGAGGAGGGAGTAATGATACGTCTCTGCAAACTGCGATCAGAAAGTGTTGTTTTGCATCCAGATTGCGGAGCGTAAGTGATTTGAGTGACTGGTATGACGATTTTTTACCACCCTCTTCTGCCTGATCTCTTTTTGCCTGCGAGATGCCCTCGCTGGCCGATCTGCGGTGATAGTGGTGGTGGTGATGGATGTGGATCTGAGATTGGGATCCATGCGATGAAGCCTGCAGTCCCTGTGGTGCGGCTGATGAACCAGAGTCTGCCATGCAAAACTTACTCAAACAAAACAGCCTAGCCACTCTTCAATAACAATCTTCAGCAAACAAACATCAAACAGAACCCGGCTGGAATGGTGAGTCTTATGGTAGGTTTCGTCGGCTTTTATTCTTGAATAACGGTTTGTCTTTTCATGTACAACTGTGAAGGATGTCACTTTTTTATATCCTAAAACAATCGGGTGATATTTTGAAGTTAAATGATCTGACTAAGGAAAAAAGACAATATCTATAAGAAGGAGTGGATTAGAGGGCTCTAATAACTGGTGTCTGGGATGAACAGCGGTTGAATTTCAGCGTTAGAAAATTGGGTTTCAAATGCAGTTCTCAGACTTGAAATATGATACCGAATGGTGTTGGTGACAGAATAGTGTAAAGTGATAACTACAAACGGTAGTATCTGTCAGTACTAGTTGTACATTTTGTAAGGGTCTACAGCTTAAGACTAGCTATCTGAGAGTAGTTTTACTACACACGGCTTGGGCAGCTAGTGTGGGGGTGTCCCCAGTGTTGAATAAACTCGCGTATCTATTTAATATAGCAATGTAAAAATCTTCAAGAGAAAAAGTACGACAAGACCCACACAAAATGCAATTTCAAACTGCTCATCGCGCAAGGGCTGCCGCCTATTGCCAACAGACGTAGTGATGGTAGTAGTGATTGTGGTGGTGGCGGCAATAGTCGTTGCAAGGGTATCGTGGGAATCGTTGCGGCTCAATTGAGGTCTCCCGCAATGGATTTTGTTTGGCAGAACCAAGGAATGCGGGAAAGCGCTGGGGACCAGCGTGGTGTCACTGGAGGCGGACCCGCGGGGCTGCGTGTGTCCGACTGTGCCCGGCTCCAGAATCATAAATTTTCTAGCGAGGCTGCGATTTCGTCGAGTTCCTTCTTGGCCTCGTCGTATTTGACCTGGAGCTCTTCATACTTCTTTTCCCAGTCGTCACGGTCTTGTTCGAGCGACAAAACCTTGCGTTCAAGACCCTCGGCCCTTAGATCCGTCTCGCGAAGCTTATCGGTGGTCTCCTTGAGCTTCGAATCGCTTTCCTCGAGCTCTTCTTCCAATTGCTGGTTCTTCTTGGTGAAGTTCTCGTTGTGCGAACGCAAATTGTGAGAGTCCTCAGACAACTGTTTGTGCTCAGACAATTCAGACTCCAACTTTTCCACCTCGTTGTCCAGGTTCTGGTTTTTGGTCGTAAGAGCCTTTATTTGGTTTTCTTTTTCGGTGTTGTCCTGTTCCAATTGTTTCAATTGTTCCTTAACATCCTCGTATTTTTCCTGCCACGACTCGGCCTCGAGCTTAAGGTTACCAAGTTTCTGAAAGTAAATCATTTCAACGTTAGTCAAATGTCTTCTCCTTCTTTCAAGATATTCACCGCCCCCAATCACCAGCTCAACTCAGCTCGTCATAAAAGAGAGAGGAAACCTTGCAAATTAAAGAACGGAAAACCTTGCAATCAGGTCCAATGCTGTTCATACCTCTCTGATCTTGTCCATTCTAGCGTTTTTGAATCCGGTTGTGGTTCTAAAGAATACAATTCCTTGATCTTGAATGGTTCTAGCAAGGTCAAATGTCCCGTTCGTTTTCTGAGTTCTTTATATACTCAACAGATCATTTTTTGAGATCATTTCGTCTAAGGCGATATTCACGAAAAAGGTTGAAAGAAAACATTGGCACGTGATCTAATTTAGAAATAAAAATTAGTCACGAGACTGGTAATAAGAATTAAGAGTTGAACTCCGATACAGACGTTGAAGTTGAATGTGAATGTGAACGCGAATGTGACGTTTTGAGTGTGAATTGTTTGAGATTTGGGCCACTAGTTCGAGTTTTGCATTGAGATTCCGAGACAGGCCTCTCAAGAATCGTTTCACTCGATACATAATATCGATTGAGTTCCCCCAACTTTCCCAGTGATAAGTGTCATGAATTATCCAGAACATCATCAAGCCGTTAGAACTCTCACTCGAGCGTCATGCATGATGATGGCAGCTGAACTTATGATCTGGTTTGGAACCCACCTGGCAGGTTCAACAAAAATGTGGGTCATATGGCTTATCACTGTGATGGCCATTTTCGGCGCTGCTGTTGATGTGGCCGATGTCACTGCGGTAAGAGGATTCTCTGACATGAGAGCTGATTTGGTCAGGGATGCATATTCTGTGGTAGTTATGGCTGGAATAACACTCAAGGCAAACCAAATTTTCCCCAGAAAATCTGATGCAGTGAGCCAAGATCACCAAAACCTCTTCAAAAAATCACTTATGGCGGTTTCATTAACCCGCGTGATTTACAGATTGTACGTGACAGGATATTCACCAGTCTTGGATAGCATCTTTCTGGTGTGTCAAATGGTTGCGCTGTTCTTCAGCGTGAAAGCATGTTAAATATCGGCCCTCGAGGTAGAGACACACACAGGTCATCGAAAGACTTGAAAATCGATTCGTGCTCATAATGAAAGCTAGGTTGGAAATTTTTTGATGAAACTACTAAAACTGATAACTGATTACATATTAATTCGAGAATCATTTATCATTCTTTCACGGCAAAATCTTGTGATGCGGAGAAAACGATCTCACGCGAAGAAAGCCGGTCTCACTCACTCACATCCACCATTCTTGTGTCTCTTCCACGAATTTTCACTTTCCCAAGAACTCCGACGTTTTTCAAACCTTGAAACAAAATCACTCAGGACATGCTCTTCCACAATATCAGCGTCAGCGAAAGGTATTTCCAGGTTTTTTTCGCTTTCTTGTATGTAACCGTCTTGTTCGAGTAGATGAGCCAGCCCATTGATCGTCGCAACATTCATTGTCGTAGGGTAAACGACCTCGAACCCGATGTACAGATTGCCAAATCCGCCCTTTCCGTCTGGCATACCCAAATTTTCCACACATTTGAAATCCCCGGGTTTTAGGATCTCACCTGGTAAAACATCTACTTTGATAATTTTCCCACTTGGATGTGAACTGATCCAAACAGGACCTCCGCATAAACTGGTTTTCAGCGCTACCGGACATTTTTCCAAAATAAAACTTGCGTCCTTGTCACGCTTGAACTTTGAGTTGGGCAATTGCTCCATTGTAACAATAACATCACCAGGAACCACTCTTTCCGTCCCGTAACTGGTGTTGATAACTTCATCTGCCTCGCCGGGCAATATTATTTCTTGTCCATGTTCCATCCCTTTTTCTATTTGCATGTCGAATATCTTGCGTTCACAAATGCACCCTTTCCCCTGACAAGTAATGCACGTATCCTCCGGGGCACAAAATGTACCCTGCCCACCGCATCCATTGCATGTAGAAGACCACGATTGCGTCATGTGTCCTTGCCTCCTAGTCTGTGAGCGCATCCCACGACCGCCACACAGTTTACAAGTCGTAATTTTTGCAGATCCTTCACCGTTGCAGTCCCGACACAATCTTGTTCTATTCAATGCTAGTTTTGTAGTTTTCCCATGATAAAGTTCATCCAAAGAGCATTTTAGCCGATGCCTGATATCTGGGCCACAGGCGGTGGTCTTGGGACGTGACTGGCGTGGTTGACGACCCGACTTACGACGTGACGAATTAAAACCGAAAAAGTCCATATCGTTGCCAAAAAAACTGCTGCCAGAAACATTGGTCGTTGCTCCACCGCCGAAAAATTGGGCGAAAAGATCGCCCGCTGACATACCGCGACCGGTTCTGCTAGTGCTAGTATATTCTGCGGGTTTCATTGCCGACCACTGCGATTCGTCTGCAGTGCCAGTACGGTCATACATCGTCCGCTTATGGTCGTCCTGCAGAACGTTATATGCATCTGACACCTTCTGAAAGTTGAACTTCGCTTCTTCAGAATGCCCATTTTTGTCAGGATGGAACCGCAACGCTTTCACACGATAAGCTTTCTTGATTTCTTGTTTCGAGGCCTCTCTTGACACTCCCAAAACCTCGTAAAGCGAGCTATTGTCTACTGATGAACTCATACTTAAAGAAAACTGAAAACCGACTATTTTTTACCAAGTTCCGTCTAAATCTTTGACACTTTCTTGAGATTATGTTACAGGCAAGCACTTTTTGTTGTTCTGCATTGAATTATAAGCCTCCAAACCTAAAAAAGCTAACCTTAGTTCGATTCTTGGAGTTTGAGTTTAGCGTTTAAGAAGTTAGAAGTTGTTCAAATCACTTGGCTCTCTTATATATTGATTGATGTAGGTTATATAAAAGAGAACCAAATTTCAAGAAGTTCCATGCAATTCTAAAAACGGTTTAAACAGCTGGTTCGAACTCTATATAAGGCCATTGACGCTGGCAGTACTCTTTGGAATAGTTGCTTGTTACTGAACCCTTTGTGGGAAAGGATCTTGATCATGCTGTCATTGTTGAACGCTATTGTGCCTACGAAATATGCCATAGAACTTTCAATTGAGCCATCAAAGGCGAACTTTAGAGGCCTTTTGAGGGCAGACTTGGCTCTCAACAAGAATCAGGCTCACGGCAACAATGAACTAATCACAACTTTTTCGCTGCATGCTGAAGATATCGTTGTATTGTCTGCCAAGATCGGCAGTCAAAATTTGGACATCAGTTACGACAGAACGGCTAACACGGTCAATTTTCACTGTGGTGAAGGATTGGAGGCAGTGCAAGAAAATGGAGTATCGGAACAGCTGGTTTTGGAGTATGTGGGCAAACTCCAGTTGATCAAAACTTTCCAGGATGCGACTCGTGGTGTCTTCAAAACCAACTTCATGGACGCTGAAACGGGCAGTAGCGACAATTTCGTGGTAGCAACGCACTCCCAGCCGTTTTTCGCTAGAAGAATTTTTCCCTGCATTGATGAAATTAACCACAAAGCGTATATGCAGCTTAGTATCAAGACTTTACCTCGTTTCGAGGTCGTTTCTAACACACAGGTTGAGTCAACAGCCGATGAAGAGCAAAGCCCAGAAAATTGCACTGATGCAACCCCTCCAAATGCAATGAAAACGGTTTCTTTTGCAACTACCCCACTAATGACACCTGCTCTGTTCGGCTTTGTTCTAGGTGACCTGCAGTGTATCGAATCGCATGTTGCTCTGCCCCAAGGTAAGCTTCCAATAAGAATCCTAGCCACGCAACAGGTAGAGCTCGCAGCTTTTGCACTCGACACCGTGTCTGAATATTTGCCTGCTTTGCAAGAGTTTTTCAAATGTGAATATCCTTTAACGAAGCTGGATTTTGCACTTTTGCCGTTTCTCAGTGACATGGCGATGGAGAATTTCGGGTTAATTACAATCCGCCAAGACCACTTATTGTTGGACCCTACGATGTTGGCGGACGAAACCGTACGAGCCCAGGTCCAGCAGCTGACAGTACATGAGCTAGTTCATCAGTGGATGGGGAACTATATCTCATTCGATTCATGGGAGCATCTATGGTTCAACGAGGCATTTGCTACTTGGTGTGCATGTGAGATAATGAGTGCCGTCTCCCATCAAGATCACTGGTCGTCTCCGGATTATCTACAACAGCTAAACGGAAGCCTCCTGGTCGACGCTTCTTTCGGGAGCCGAAGCATAGCCGCAACTTCCAAAAAAGAACACATCACTCAAACGTCCGACTCTTTAGATCCGCACAACTACACTAAGGGCATATCGATATTGAGATCTTTACAGTGTGTCATAGGCAAAGAAAACTTTGAGTCAGCTTTGCAAGCACTGTGTTGTGATAAGTCGTACCATGAACGCAGCATCAAACCCTCCGAAATTTGGAGTTACTTTGGACAGCACTTGAGATCAATGAACATATCCAACTTTATGTTTTCATGGACGCATTCTCCCGGGTTCCCGGTCTTGCACGTTGTGTCTCAGAGTGATAAGACTGTATTAAAGCAGAGTCGCTTTTTGACTGGGAACAGTGATACTGCTGAAAATGTTCCATTTCAGATTCCACTCTTCACTCGACTCTCTGACGGCTCCGAAGATAAACAGCACGTACTTATGACGGACCGGACACTAACTCTCCCTTATAACCCTTTGCTTTTCAATTCGGACGTGAAAGGTTACTACAGAGTATCTTATGAAGATTCAGAATCTTATGACCGACTTTCTAACGCTTTAGTCGAGGGAAAATTGTCAGAACTCGATCTGTATGGTGTGTTTCGCGATCTCGAAATTTTCATCGGCAACGAAGTGTATCAAAAGCCAGAACATTTAGGTGGCCTGTTTCAACTGCTCCATACCATTGCGTCGAAGGTGGACTTGAGCGCGCATTCAAAATACTATAACGGTTTAAGTTTGGGTCTATCGATTTTGCAGCAGGTCGAGTTAAGCGATGTGAGATTCGGCAGCGGTGCAGAAAGGTCCAAATTGCTGGGAAGTATAATAACTCCTTTGTTTCAGCAAATCGAATGGCCAGACTCGTTCGAAACCACAAAATTGTCTCCCTACCAAGCACTTGTAATGTCGCAAGTCTTGAGCGCAGGGAAGACGTTGACAGAAGTTCAGTTCCTGTGTGGCAAGTATTTCAAAGGGGTCTTCCAAGGCCCACAAAAGGCCATTCCTTATGAACTTTTGGAGAGCATCTTAACGGTCAATTCTTTTTGCACCTCTACTTTAAAGCAATGGAAGAAGCATTTTGAATTAGCTAAATCGAGCCAAGGTGTTGTCACGCATATATCTGGCTGTTCGGCATCCGATATCCAGGTCACAGCTCTTGAAACTCTGGGTTATTGCAGAGATCCTCAATTGGTGCAAAAGATTTTGAATTATGTTTTAACCAACTTCGACTCTAAAGGTGTCGAAAAAGCTCTTTTCGGGCTGTCAAATAATGCTAAGGAGCCTTGTGGTAAAGAACAGATAAGAGATGTGCTTTGGAGTTGGTACACTCTCCATTTTGACGAATGGGCAAGGAAATCGCTTACCGGTGACGCTGCGAAATGTCAAAGCCTAAGAAACACTCTTTTGGCTATTTCCGTTGTGGTCTTCGAAATGTGGCAGGATATGCCAGAAAAGGTAGATATTTTCTCAACCGCGAAACAAAACCAATTTTCGGGAGAGTTGAAGGTCGCTGATATATGGACCTCCGTAAAGCGCAGTCAAATCTCTAAGATGACTATCTACAAAGCAATCTTGGGGTTTTAAATTGTATTGTGACGCACAACCTGCATGCATCAAATGATAAATATTATAAACAGACTCAAAACCTAGTATGCCTTTCTTAGTTGAAGAGCACTTCTATTTCGTTCAGCGCTTGCCACTGAAGCTACCTCGCTCCCTGTTTTCAATGACATATGATCATTCATTGCATTCTCATAGAAAGACGATCTCTCGTCATTGGTGGCACCTGAGCTTGAGGAATGAGAAGGAAAATAAGCTTCATCAGATGGGGTCGTCAAAGAAGTCGATTTGGAGCTTCGTGTTGCGAATTCACTACTTGCACTGACGTCGGATATCGGATCATGTAGATAAAGTCGGAGCTCAATGCGCTGCGATATTACATGAGAGAGGTAATCCCTCCACACATCATATAGCGGCTTGTTTTTGGGGTGTGTTGAAGACTGGTGGTACGGTCCCGAATACGTGTTTGCTCTCCGTATTCTTCCTGCATTGGGTATCACCCTGCGAATGCTATTTTTGCGTGGGACGGTTGCCCCATATGAAGATTTGACCTTACCAGACATTGGGTTAGGGTCCGCTGTAATTGTCCGAAAGACAAATCTAGGATGCAGGCGAAGCAGTTGCCAAAATGATGGGCTTTTCAATTTGAGATATAGAAATCGTCTTGCCGAGGTGAAATCTGACCTTGGCATGGAGCGAAGGTCGATATAGTCCATGGCGCTTGCAAGCTCAGCTTGGTTTCTATGTTTTCCTTTCAATGACGGAAGTTTAGAGCGCTTTAAGGAGAAACCGCGATGGAAGACGAAATTCCCGGACTGTGAGTGTGACTGTATTTCTGCTCTTGTAGTAAAATCTTTGCGACGCGATAGCGAATTGACACGTCTGAGCGAGCTGCCGCTTCTTAAAGGTTTACTGCCGCTTCTTACAGGTTTTCTGCTTTCCTGATTCGTGCGATCAGAGTCTCGCAGCTTGGAATATTTGGACCACTTACAGAGTTTTTCGAACATCTGATTTGAGGTATTGGAACGTTTACTCTTGGCATTAGAGGATTGGTTACGGATCCTATTCCGCCTCTCATGGTTTTGAGCCTGTTGTAGATCAAATTGGCTCATTGTGAGACGCTGATTGGCGAAAACTGGGACGGTACCCGTTTGTTCGTCCAAAACCGTGATTGTTTGCGAAAGCGGCGATCTATACGTGGGAAGCTTTCGACCGCCTAACAGATTATTTGGTTTCGAGTAGTTGTTGCCTGCAGCCAGGGCTGGTAGAGCTTCTTCCGTTATAGAGTGATGGTGTGCATCCATAAGAGGCTTGATCAGTGAGCTTTCCTCCTCTTCATCGGTCATATCCTCGTCGCGACCGAGCTCGTACTTTAACCACAATGACGTGGAGTGTCTTTTCTCTGTGGTTTTAGGAAAGCTGTGCAAGGTGTGTCTGTGACGGAGGTTGTGGTCACTAAGATCCAAGATCTTGGACTCCTGAGTTATAAAAGAGCTTTCTGAGCCGTTGGCCATCCCTATTGTACTTTTCGTAGGCACTAGTTCACCGTATATGGTCCCCGGCTAGGGCTAACTTACTCTTGGGTGTGGTGGGAAGAACGGTTCAGGCCTCGATCCTTACCGTACTTTACATACATGCATACATGGTTACTGCTATATTTGAACATTTCTTACATACTCGATACAGTGAGAATGATGGCGCGACCGGTTATCTAATTGTTTGCAGCCTTTGTGTATATTTCTAGCCATGCCAAGATCGATAAAACTAAGAGGGCTGGTTAGATCACGATTAAAGGTTAATTAACTATTCATAACGCCTAGATATTTTAATTGGTTCACTGTCACTGCAGAAACAGAAGCTTTAGAGAGTGCTGGGCGTAAATAGAGATGGCTGGATAATAATACTCGAGGCTTAAGAGTCGAAGACGATGTGGTTCTGCTTTCTCAGAGGCACTGCTGCTTAGATAGGCGGAATGTAACGTAATTTTGAAGGTTTTGAAACAACGAATGAGATGAGCAAAGTTGACGAAGAATGCGAGCCCTAGTGTCCTGTTGGAGGTGGTATAAATCAATAGGATCGTGATTGCCTTCTGTGGATATCGTGCGTATGGTCAGTTTCACAGACTGATGAGATTCGAGAAAGTACTCAGGGAGTACTCGTGACAGAAACCCACTGGAAAGAACAATGGCGTAGATCATTAAACGTGTCAGTGCCATGGAAGTACTTTCAAAGTCGACTGCCCTTAATTGGAAAACATGCTGTCATAGTAGAGATGGTAAGCACATCATTCTTTGAGCTTTGAGAAAGTTCTGGTCTTCCAGTATCGACTAGGAAACAGCCCACGAAACAGAGAGCATTGCGAATTTCACTTAGAGTTGATAAATCGTTAGGTAGCGTCAAGCGGTGATTTTCTTGTTGAGCTGAGCGCAGAAGAGATTCGAACTCGGCTTCTTCTTCGTTTTTGAACGCGAATCGAATATCGAAGAAGGTCAAATTTTATTGTGAAGTGGCTCTGGGACAGTCAAGATTAGTTGGTTTCTGAAGCTCACTATCGATGAGAAACATCGGAGGGTGCCTTGTATAACGATAACTGTGAGAAGATACGTTGATGATGAAATTCAAATCTCACTTTAAGGCAGACAGTGCCCGCGCAGAGTTCCTTGTAAAAAGGACGACTCACTCGTACTTAACGATGCAATGTTTTTCTCTCAGAATCACAGTCCAGTGGAACCACCATAAGAGCATTCATGGATTAAATGCCAACGTGCGCTTCGAAAACAACTGCAACTGCAGTTGCAACTAGCAATAACTGCTCATAGCACCAAAATTCCGTCACGCGACCCGGAGCAAAACTAGGTATTGTTTTTTTCTGGCGCCGGACTATTGCTCTGTCATATGGGAGAAAATAGTAACATTTATGTTCTCGCTGGCCATTGTAAAAATGCTGAGAAATGTGAATTGGACAACAGGAAGGTTCTAAGATTTGTGAGTTGTGGCAGAAACGACTCTGTCACGTGACCTCGAGCCTAAACCCCGTTCAAGCTCATACTAACTTGCATGGTGTGCAACTCGTTCGGAAGGCTGCTGCAGCTATCAACACCAATTACAGATCTACTTTCCTCATTTCGATTCCAAGCTTCCACGTCTTGTTTCTCTCACTTAAGGTGACAGACACCTTTTTCTTCGTCTCTCTCTCTCAGATCTCGAATTATCCTCCTATGGCAACAAAGACAAATTAAAATATTGAAGCCTTACACCCAGCCACCCAACACCCATACACCCATTAAAACCTATCACGTGCTTTCTTAATGGTTCCAAAAATTTTTTTTTCACAAGTGTCTCTGTCTCTTTTTCCTCTCCACAGCAAAAAACCCCAACCTTTCTACGCTTAAACATCGCAATCTTCGTTTTTGTGTAATGGCAAAAAATTAGGGGAGCGCAAGGGGCCCGGAGCCGACGGGTAGAAAAAAAAGTATATAAGGGAGGTGAGTGCGCGGCAAAAGAAGGAGAAAATGCACTCACATTTCTTTCTTGAAGCTCTTTTTCAAGAATCAGAAAAAAGACAAGATCGGTGGACTGGCAATATCAGATTTCACGTTTGCCTTATATTTAGCTTTCCTTTGTTATAAGTTAGGTTTTAGTGAAAAACCAACGTTGAAAAGCACTGGGTAACTAATCGCATCATACCAACAGAGCCAACAAGCAAGTCGTTTTTGTTTGACTCTTGTACCTACCATTCTTATTTGCATATAAATTCCATGTCGTCGAAAGTGATAATAGGCGGGGTCGTCACGGTTGCCGCCGGATACGCGTTGTATGAGTACCAGCTGCAGCAAAGACAACAGCGGGCTACGCTGCAACCTGCTGCTTTCCAAAAGGAGCGCGAAACACACGCGTTTGAGCGTCAAGGCGAGCGGGCGGGCGCGAAGCTCGATAGCGCGGCCAACCAGGCCCGCGAACAGGCTCGCGACCTGGCGCACGACGCAGACGAGAAAGTCACCTCTACTATGGCAGAGGTGGAGCGCGCCAAGGCTAGAGGCACTCAGTGGGTTTATGAACATCTGGGTGAAGCTCAAGACAAAGTCGAAGACCGTCGCGACAAGTATCTAGAGCGTTCTGGCGAACTGCATGCGATTGTGGAAAACACACGTGAGCGTGAACGTGCCCAACAAAACGCTGTCAAGCGGTTTGTCAACGACACGCGCGACCAGATCTCGAGCGACATCCAGAACATTCGTGCTGGCGTTGCAGACGACGCCTCGAGCATCAGAGATGCTATTATTGGCGCCAAGAAGCAGGGTCAGGACACTGCTCAGTCGTGGGAAAATTCGGCGCGTGACACCGCCGTAGACGCAAAGCACACTGCGGAGGACAAATCGCAGTCGATTTTCAACTGGGGATTTGGCAAGGCTGAAAAGGCCCGTGCCAAAGCCATTGAGGAGTACGATCAGGCCAATAAGCATTTCCACGAACTTAGCGAAAAGTACAAGTCTGAATCGGGACTATTCTCGGGTGGCAGCGACGAATTGAAAAAGCAAGTGAATGCAGCAGAGGCCCAGCTTAAGTCCTACAAGCAAAAACTCGAGGATGCCACTGCCAAGTACTCTCAATACACCACCGACAACATCAACGAGCTTTCCGACAAACTAGAAGAAGAAGACCGCAAACTACGCAAAAAGGGCTTTTTCACCTGGTTGACTGGAAAAGATTCTGGAGCTTCGACTCAAAAGAAGAAATCCGACAATGTCGATGAGATCGCATCTCACAGTGTAGTCGGATGGGGGGAGACCGCTGAGGCCTTGGCCAAGGAAGAATTGGACGACTTGGTGAGAAACAAGCAGATTGGTCGCAGTGAGGCTCAAAGGCGTCTAGACGAGCTTAAGAAGATCAAGGATGAAGGGTGGTTTACATACCAGGGCAAGAACGACGCCGAGTTGGCCCAACGTGCTGCTAACACTCTAAAGGGCTGGGGTGAAACCGCCTCGCAATTGGCCCAGGACGAGTACGAAGAAACTCGCAGACGTTTGCCACAGGCTCCCAAAAGTTTGTCTGACGCTGTAGACGTTGCCAAACAAAAAGTGGAATCCACCAAGAAAGAACTTGACAAAGCCAGTACCGAGTGGTGGTCGCAGGGCAAGGACAAGAAGAACGAATTACACGATAAGGCTCAAAAACAATATGAAGAAGCTGAACGTGAGTACCGGTCATCGTTGGAATCTCTTGCCGATTGGTCCGAAAAGGCCAAGGGCAAGTTCTGGTCCGGGGCCGATACTGCTTTGGATGCCACCAAGTCCACTACCGACACACTTCACACCAAGGCCAAGCAAGGGCTAAATGCTGCCCAGGACTTTGTCCAAGACAAGAAGGAGTGAAAAAAGGAAGTCTGCGTATGTATGAATGATGAATGATGGAACATAACACGACATTTACACGACACAAATTTATCTTAGATCAAAATGATGATAACATTCACTAGAAAGTAAAGTAAAGGCTTTTAGTCATAATCTCGAATTTCTTGCCCCAATTCTCTATCTCTCTCTCTATCTCTCGACGCTGAAACTTAAGATCAAGCAAGTTCTTGGTTTCGTATTGGTTAGGTAGAAGTAAGTTGTGGGTTAATTAAAATCAATTTCATGTGTTAACCAAAATGAATTCTAAAATCATCGAAGTGAAAGAAAGATACTGAAAGGTCTTGTGAACTTGGAATATAACACAATAGCTTAGCGTTTTCATTAAGCTTTGCATAATAAGTAACTGCTAGTCTGAGCCAAGAAAGCGCTAGTGTGGGTCGAACACAACTTGCTGGTTGTGTGGAGCAGTTAAGTGCTGGAACGAATTAGAAGATGAGCAGTACAGAGGGCAAGGAAACTACATTTAAAAGCCCGAAACACGCAACAACAAATGAAAGAAATGGTCAGAATGGACCGATTGTGTTTGAAGATATGAGAGGTTCGAAGAAGGATACGTTTTTGAAAGTGGCTCCCAGTTTATTCACGGCAGCAAAGCTGCCGTTGTTTGACAGCTTGGATCTGTACACGACGCTGATACGGAACAGTAACGCTTTGGAGCAGGGAGAACGTCTACGGAACCTCAGTTGGCGGATAATGAACAAGGCAATGCTTAAGGATCACGAACTCAATAAATCTAAAAAACGGGACGGTGTGAAAAACCTCTACAGGGTGATCAACCCTGCTCAGAATCCACAGTTTCCCGAGCACGGCCGACAATCAATGGAGAAACTGCAGCCTCTGCAAATTATGAGTGCGATGAAAAGCCCCACGGGGCAACAACAACAACACTCACAACAACCTCACAGTAATCACCACCACCATCAACATCAGCATCACGCAAGTTCTAATTATCCTTCTGCTACTGGACATATTCCAGCAAGAGCCACAAGCGATTTGCAGGCCAAACGTGGCGTACATAGACCTCACGAACTGTCGTTAGCCCGCCCGCAGACAGGTCAGGGCAATGTACGATTCACTCTGGGATCAGATGGTGGATCCAGAGTGACGTCCCCAGAGCCTCATCAGCACCTTGTATTGGGCGGCTTTGTTGATGCTCAAACACCAGCTGGAAAGAAAAAGGACACCACCCTCCCGCGAACAAATACCACGAAGGCTGCGATGCCTGAAGAAACCGATGATACGCGGCCCAAAAAGCATACAAAGCGTTTTCCACATCAAACGCAATCCACTAGCAGTTTGTTTGCTACTAGAAGTAACGACAAAGTGCCTCGTGGCACTGGTGAGCATCAACCAGATCAGAAACCCAAATCTTTGTTTGGGGCACCACTTACGCAACCAAAATCGACGACAGGCACTCATTCTTCGCACAACGGTACTTTCTATAGCAGTGACGAAGAAGAGTCTGATTGGAACTCATTTTCTGACGACTCCGAAGTGTACGACGAAGACGAAGATGAGCGGTATTACCAAAAACAATGGGACAAACTTATGTTTTCTCGCGAGACCATCACTAGTAGGGGCACAACTTCACCGTCTTCGGACAAACAAGATCCCAAACGAAGCCTACTTAGCGGGCTATTTCTCAACGAGATGCCCAAAAAGCCGGCTTTACCTATCATGAGTTCCGTGAGTGTACAACACCCGACGCTCGAAAAAAGTAGTGTCACTGCAGTTGGTGACGTTACGCCGTCAAGTTCATGGAAGGGAGGCCTTTCCGCAATTAATGAAGCAATGATACACGATAAAGCGGCCGCCACCCATCCGCATGGGCACCCTGGTACAAGTTACATCTCCAATCAACGCGGCAGTTTCAGCAGCATAATATCAGATTCCACACGACAGCGTTATAAACACGAATCCAACGCACCTCCAACGGCCCAAACCATTTTGCCCACTGCTCTGTCCACGCATATGTTTCTACCCAATAACGTCCACCAACAACGTCTGGCAAAATCGTCGTTGTCATCGTCCCCGTCATCTGCAAAACCAGTACCTTTCAAAAGACGGGAATCTATGGATATACCTTCGAAAAGAAGCACGAATTCATTTTTGAAGACTCGGGTGGAACTGTCTGAAGAGCAATATCTTTCTAGAGCATTGAGTGATCGCCAATAGGCGCTTGAGCAGTAAGAGGTTGAAACTGGAGTGGATATCAAATCTGGAGTACCCAGGAAACTTCATATCATGTTATACGTCTGATCGCGTGCTTTGTGATTATGTCACTCAAGCTTGATTTGAAAAATTTTAGAAAATGGCTATTACTAGTTCGATGCGATGAGATGCGATGAGCTTAGTACAACAACCGCTTGATACAGGAAAGCTCTCAAATCTACACTATTCAAAGGCATAGAAATGATAAGAAGACAGGCTCGTGAACGCAGGGAGTATTTATACCGCAAGGCGGAGGAGCTACGCGACTCGCAACTGCAAGAAAAACGACAACTTATAAAACAGGCGTTGGCGCAGGGGAAACCGCTTCCAAAGGACATAGCAGACGATGAACAGCTACAAAAGGATTTTCAATATGATCAGACGGTGCAAGAGACAATAGATGATGAATACAGCGCCACGAGTGGACTAGCGGACCCTAAAGTTATTGTCACAACGTCGAGAGACCCCAGCACAAGACTTTCACAGTTCGCCAAAGAAATCCGGTTATTATTCCCTACTGCCGTGAGGCTTAATAGAGGTAACTATGTGATGCCTTCGTTGGTGGATGCATGCAAAAAATCAGGGACTTCTGACCTGGTTGTGCTACATGAACATAGAGGTGTTCCAACTTCTCTGACAATATCACATTTTCCGCATGGACCCACCGCATATTTCACACTACACAATGTGGTGTTAAGACACGACATACTGAACGCTGGAAATCAGAGTGAGGTAAATCCACATCTAATTTTCGATAACTTCACCACTCCATTGGGACAGCGAGTAGTTACGGTGTTAAAGCACATGTTCCCACCGGGTCCGAAAAAAGATTCCGCTCGAGTTATCACATTTGCGAACCGTGGCGATTTTATCAGTGTTAGACAGCACGTTTATGTGAGAACACGGGAAGGCGTGGAATTGGCCGAAGTTGGTCCCAGGTTTGAAATGCGATTGTTCGAATTAAGACTCGGCACGTTAGACAACAAAGATGCAGATGTGGAATGGCAACTAAGAAGGTTCGTCAGAACTGCAAGCAGAAAGGACTACCTGTGAGCGCTCACACAGTAAATAAGGATACTAAACTAATGCATAGATTGATGGTAATGGTAAATAGAATTCACCAAACCTATAGAAATGAGTGATTAACGGGAGGGAGATAAAACAAAGTAACGTGTACGTGGCAGCAGACCAATTTCACGGATCAGTGTCTGCGAGCGTTCCTACCTTCTTTCTACAATATTCCTTAGAAAATTATTCTCATATTTGCTTAACCTTTATATGAATAGAAAACAGCTTTTTTGTCCCTTTGCTGTGTTCAAAGATGTTACGTTATTTACCCAAAATGAAACCATTAAAAGCCAAAATTTCAACTCATGGTTGAGCCCCGAAGAGCTCAAGTTCCCAACTTAATCACACTCCACTGGCATTACTGATTTTTTGACGTAAAACATCACTAACGGTGTTGGTTTGTAAGCCGTCATCATACAATACATCGTTCATGTTTTGCGCAGGAGTTGGATGAGTGTTTAAAGCCCGATTTGCATTCAAAAAAGGTGAAACGGAACTTGCATTCGAACATGTACGGGTCTTGTAAACAGGGCGCACTTTTTTGAAACTGTTTTGAGTAGATGTTCTTGTCAAACGAGGTCCCGTTACGGTATTGTAAAGCGTTTGCGAGCTTGCTGGATTTGTTGCGCCATACATGGCAGAACGTGAGTTGGGTGATGTTGCCGTAGCTTCATGATCGGAATCTTCTTCATTTTCACCTTCGCTGGTAGAACAATCACTACCACTACTTTCAATTGTGAATTTGTTTTTGGGCCTTGGTACGGAATTATTTGAAGGACCAAACGTTGGTGAAGAAACCCGCGATGAAGGGGATCTAGCCGCACTTCTAAGTTGTGATCCACTATTACGCTGTGGTGGAACGGCAAGTCCCAAAGAAGACGAGCCAGAAGCCCGACGATTAATGGAGTTGTGGAAAGGATTGGAAAATGCAGGTTGCGGAGTTTGACTGCGTAGTAATGAACTGGAAGCCGATTGACTAAGGGAGGGCCGTCTATTTTGAGCGTTTTCGTCCGAGATCATATCTGCGTACGAATAGAAACGCAAGATGCGAGGCCGATCGGAAGTGGTGGATGTACAGTTGCTGCAGTTGCTCACGTCACTGGCGTTGGAATTCACACTGGCCATGCTAACAGCACTGGCAGTACTGGCGTTACTATTGGCGCGCGACAATTGAGGCAAATTGTAGTTTGAGTTTGTACGTGTGCGTCCCAAAGCACGGTCCAGTCCGATGGTCGAGTTACGACCGGAATAAATCATTTCCACGTTATCGAGGTCCGTTTGGGAGTCTGTCACGATCGACGCCGAGGCGTCCAAGGCGGGAGCGACCAGGTCCTCGAGCGTGTGATGGGCAGGGGCGTTGGAAATGGATCCCGACGCTTGAACCGCGGGTTGCGAGCCGCCATTCGACAACGACAACGATCCTCGATGTTGCGAGTTTCGACGAGAACTGGCAAAAGAGCCGGCGAACGAGCCGGCACGCGATAGCGTGCCTGGCCGTTCTGCCTGGGGCACCCGTTGGTACGAGTCCTGGACGTTGCGTTCGAAAATCTGCGGGTGTTGAGCTTCGTCGTCGACAGCTGAGTCCATGGTCGTGGTCGTGGTCGTGGTCGTGGTGGTTATGTGTTTTTTGGGAAACGAGGGCTTTGTAGAGTTGGTGGTCGTAGAAACGTCAAAACACCTGCAAAAGAAAGCCTACAGTTGCGAGAAACACGTACCGATAAGTATTGGACTTCAAAACAGCAATTTTAGGCTGGAAAACTCGCTAATATTCGGATATTCGCTCCAATTTTCCGTATTTCCCAGTCTCCTCAAAATTCAGGACCTTGTTCGGATTAGATTATACATGAAATTGAATTTAACATGTTAAATTATTATTATTATCTATTATCACATTTTAATTTCAAAGTATGGCTTTTTAAAAAAAAAATTTGGGAGAGAGGGAGAGAGACAAAAAAAAAATATTACACACACACAAAATTATTTTAACCCTTTTTTTTTTGTGGAATTTGAGAAAAGATAGAGGGAGTGTCGTTGTGTACGGGGATGGGAGAGTGCACGTGAGATGCACGTGTAACGTTTACACGTGTATTTCACGTTATTGAGACAACCAGTAGAGAATGGAGGGAGTATTATCTACTGAGAGCGTCAGCGATCAGTAGAGAAATTGTATGGGTAGCTTTTAACTGAGAGCGTCAGCGATCAGTTGAGAAATTGTAAACGTAGCACTAAGTACTGAGAGCGTCAGCGAACAGTAGAGAAATTGTACGGGTTACTTCCAACTGAGAGCGTCAGCGATCAGCAGAGAAGCTGTAATAGTAACTAGCACTTACGTACTGAGACCGTCAGCGATCAGTAGAGAAATTGTACGGGTTATTGTCATCTGAGAGCGTCAGCGATCAGCAGAGGAACTGTAATCGTAACTTTCAACTTATCGCTGACGCTCTCAGTTGACTGTATAAGTAGCACTTACTACTAAAGGCGTCAGCGATCAGCAGACAAACTGTAATGGTAAACTTCAACTGATCGCTGACGCTCTCACTTGATTGTATAAGTAACACTTACTGTTGGGATTGGTAAACTATATGGTTCAGTGCTGATTACGTAATCAGACACATTAGTCCAAATGACATATATAGCGCTAAGGCGAAATATACCAATCCTAAAGATATGAACCAACAATACGTCAACGCTATGCAGGATTTCCATCAAGTAATTCGTACTACTGGCTGAGTTCCAGAACGTCACCTACTGTTTGCTATTGTTGCTCCAAAAATCGATTGAATATCCGTGGTTTGGTCAAAGAGAATGTACCAAACTTATAACCAAAAGAACTGCGTAGAAATAAGTAGAATCCATAACCATAACCATTCACTTAGAGCAAATCATGACTGAGCAAACGAAGCAGTTTAATTCGAACTCTGCTGACGTAGTCGAGCCTCAATACTTAGGCGTCAGCCATTAATCGTTTAGTTATACTGTAAACATTCTTTTCTGAGATTTTCAGCGACCAGTCGTGAAATTGTACCTTCATATCACCTACTGAGAGCTTCAGCCAGAAAGAGTATTGATAATCTTTAAGTGAGAGCGTCAGTGATCTGTAGAGAAATCGCATTGGTAACTCTCAACTGAGTGTCAGCGATCAGTTGTTAAGTGTTTAGCTAGTCCAAAGTCCTCCTCTGCCAAGTTCTCTACCGAAGGCGTTAGTGATCAGTCATGAAACTCTGTTGATGACTTTGAATTGAAAGCGTCAGCAAAGTTGGTTAATTGTACATGAAGCTCCATCTACAGATCGCTGACGCTCTCAGTAGAGAAACTGCGGGCAACTTTCAACTGAGTGTCTCAACGAAAAGTTAGTTAATCGCACTTGAAGCATTCCCTACTGAAACCTTTAGCGATCAGTTGATTAAATGTATTGTAACTATATTCTGTTCCTTAATTGGAGCGTCAGTAATTAGTTGTGAATTGTTGGGCTATACTATAAGTTTATCCACTATTCTTAAATGAGAACGTTCGCGCTCAGTCTAGAAATTATTTAGCTATACTACAAACCTTCTCTGCTGATAGCGTCAGCGATCAGTAGAAAACTGTATGGGTTACTTTTAATTGAGAGTCTCAACGATCAATTATTTAGCTATACTGTAAGTATATTATCTACTGTTTAAAAGTGAGAGCGTCACCGATCAAACAATTTATTGTACAAGTAGCTTACTTAAGGCGAGTGTTACCGATCAGTTGAGGAACTGTGTCAATAACTTTCATATAAGAGGATTAGCGATTAGTTGTGAAATCGTTTAGCTATACTGTAATTATAATCAACTGTTCATAAATGAGAGCGTCAGTAATCATCTAAGAAACTGTATAAGTAGCGTTACCTACTAACATTAGCTTTCAGTTGATTAATTATACTAGAAGTATCTACCGAGTGCGCCAGCGATCAGTTGTTTAGCTATACTAGAAGCCTTCTCTACCGAGAGCATCAGCGATCAGTTCTGAATACTAATAATCATCAATGACTCCCGATTGTTCAATTTTACAAGTAGCTTATTTAGAATTCCATAAGCGATAGCAGTTATTCAATTAGCTGTACTCGTTATCAAAGGCCTTTTTATCGAGAGCGTCAGTGAGCGCGTCAGCGGCTAAAAGTTGCCATGACAATTATTGAACTAATCCCCAACGCTCTCAGTTGTTTAGCAATACTAGTTACCACAGCTACCGAGCGTCAACAAAAGGTTGTTTTACTTGAGTGGTATTCTTTTAAACTACTCAGAGCACCAGCCATAACTTGCTTAATTCTTTAGCAACCTTTTCAACTTAGAGTGTTAGTGCTTAGTTGCTCAACTGTTTAGCTATATTATAAGCAATATTCACTGAATGTGACACCCATTACTTGCCAAGCTGTTTTTTTTAATGTCTCAACTATTTACAACGGAGAGCATCAACTGAGAACGTAAGCGGTGGGTGTTCAGATATAAAACTAGTTTTATCAATGATTTACACTTAATCACTGACGCTTATGCTTATAGTCACCGCCGACACTCTAGTAGCCTTCTCTAATAATCACAGATGAGAGAGTCAGCAATCAATCGTTTATCTATACTAGTAATCATCGCTACTGGGACCGTCGGCGATAAGTTGAATTATTGTATTGTAAACTTTCTCAATGCTTCACAACCGAGTATCAACTGAAAACGTCAGCGAACAGTTAGTTGGGGTATACTAGTGGACACCGCTGTAGCTCTCGTAGCTTCCTCAACCATTCAGAATTGATCGCTGTCGCTCTCAATCGTTTTGCTGTACTAGTGACTATCGCTGTTGCTTTCAACCGCTCATACTCCTAGCCATCGCAGACGCTCCAAATTATTCAATTTCACCCGAAGTCTTCTCAACTAGTGAAATATTTTCTGTTCGTTGTGTTCTACAACAGTCACACTCTCTGTAATCCTTGAGATCCTCTCTGTATGCCCACTGGATCTTTCTTTGATTTACTGATCTCTTCTGTGCCTTGTCGCAGATGGTAAGTCTAATTCAAAAGAATTTTCATTTATTCTTTTGACTTAGTGGTAAGGATCCATATAAATCAGTTGTGTTTTCTGGTATGGTCTTCTTGAAGTATGCATGTCATAGTCTCTTTCCTAAAGTGAGGTCTAAATTCCTTTACTTTGCATTCCTCAATATTTCTATTCCAATTTGATTTTATCGAAGTGGCTTTTTCGTCTAGCTCTGATTTCGCGACTGACTCAGGTGTGCTTACACTTCTGGCTTCTAATGGTTTGATTGTTTTTAACGGTGTTGGATTGAGTCGGCACTCTCAACCAAGAAATAATAATTTATCCCGTGTTTCATGTTGCTTGAGTGTCTCATTGCATCGTCTCGTTCTCCCATCGGTCTCTAGGCGTTTGCTCAATGATATTGTTTGCGTAATTCCCAATCGTTTGACATGAATCTGATGTCCCTGCAGCTTGTTCCTGAAAACCCATGGTGAGCAAATATGAATTTCAACATCAGATAAACGATCCATGATCCACCTATTCGGCATGAGATCAATTGAAAAATCAACCCACCACCAGTAGAATCATCAATCTGGTAATCCTGGGATAAAGTCCACTGATAAGTCACAGTGTCTTATTGGAATCAATAATGGCATTTTTTTTTTAGGGTCGTTGAGTCTTCATAAACTCAAGTTCTCGCAGCGCTATTGACTGTCTTCGCATGTATGATGTGGTAATTATGATAGACTTCATTCAAGGGGTTTCATGAAACGCTTGGGGGCCTTTGCTCTTCGGAACACGAATCATCTTTGTACGTGAATTTCTCACGAAACTCCAAACAGTTTTAATCTCCTCTTGTACTTCCTGAAACCACTGCATTTGTGTTCCCTATTAACTTTAATTACTTTAGATCTGTAGCACCCAAAGCATCACTCTTCCCGACCACGACCCAATTCCCTGGATCTGTTTTCGAAATGTTCCAAGGACATTCAATTCTATTGCATATTCGACCCTTGAAATGGCATCCTGTCTCCTAGTAAAACTCAAAATCAAATTGGTATTATCCCAGTGTGTCACTTGGTTTGCGCATATTCTTTAGTGCAAGTAGACTACGACAGTCTCTATTTCAACAGAATTCTTCTCATCTGTAGTTCACAAGCATCGGTTTGTCCATCAAAGGTTTCCAAAGTGGTTTCGAGGATTATTCTTGTGATGTAGCCCACGCCTCTTCTCTTCAATAAGCCCAATGATGAGTTTTGAGCAATGTGGTGAACTTTCGATAATAGACTACTGGCTTCAACAGTGTACCAAAACTCTACTTTATTTGGCAAAATGGTACTTCTTCGATTTGGCAATGGATTGTATTTCAAAATCTTCCCAAGTTTCCTCCAAGTGCCCCCAATGTTCCTCCTTAGAACTTGAGAATGTAATGTGTCATCAAGATAGACACAAAAGAATGTGAATCTCAGAACTGATACGCACTAGGTATCAAGTGTGGAGAGGATTTGTGCATCGTCTATTTAAGTCAGTAATGCTTCAACGTGTACTTAAAAAGTTGAATCCTCTCCTCCGATAGTCAACACACCTTCCATCGGTATCGTCCTTCTCCTTGACTAGCACAAATTGATGAGCTATGGAGGTGTTATGAAACCCCTAAGAGTAAATCTTCGATCATTTTGTGTACTACGCACTCAATCTTTGGCGTAAGTCGATGCGATGCATCCGCGGTAGTCTTCCGTTCAGCTTGATGTCAATGCTTCTCCCACCAAAATTTTCCTTTTCCTGTGTGGTGAATCTTCCAATATTGACCTACAACGATTGGGTGTGATATGCCTTCGGTTACTTATGCATCGATCTCATAATTCGTAAACTGCCAATCGAACTTTACCTTTGGAGCACGTTCAGTGAACGACATTTCTTTCGATACCACACCTGGAGTGAAGAATCCCAATATGATTTTAAACGTAGATCTTCGATAAAATCCGCAAGTACGGAATCAAAAAGTCTAGCTCTCTTTAAAATCCTGAATTCTTGGGTCTGATTTGTTTTATACTGTTTTTGGTCCTTTGATTTTTTTAAGTGAATAACCAATACCTCGCGAAACTCGCCTCGCGTAACTGGCGATGGTCTTAGATCGGAAATTTCTCAGAGAGTTATCTGTTTGGTCTTCCGACAGTTCTTATCTAATGGCCAGGCTTTCTGCACCGAGGACACAGATTCCGTTCGATACAATACTGCGTATTCTTCTTTGCTGAATTCCGGCTCCGGAAGTGACTTTTCTTTGTCCCAAACTCATCGATTTCCACAGCATCCTCATTTCTGATCCCATACGTTCTTCCTTTTTCTGAATAAAACTCTCCCAACTTTTCAGTACTTGCAACAGCGTATTGAATGGCTTCAAACAAGCTCGGTGGTGATTCGATTCTAACATCCTGTGTTATGGCATCCTTTAACCCTGCTGTGTATACGTTTGCGACGTAGAGATCTGGTAAAGCCCTGTCTCGGCTAAGCAGCCAATAATCTAAGAAATCCTTTACTCTAGGTCCTTAGTAAACCTGTCTGTCTCAGTGTGATCCATTTCTTGAATACTACAGAGGAAGCCAATGATGCTCTATACGTCTTTATGAGAGCGTGGATGAAGTTGTCGAACAGCAACATATCTGGATCTTCCTTGGATCTCGCAAGGTTTGTGTACGAGCATAGCCATAAAACTGCTTCCTCTTGTATATTCTCCAAAAGAGTTGCAATCTTCATTCGATTGTAGGTTATATGTTCAACATCCAGGGGAGATTCAGTTCAATCAAGAACGCATCAACTGTATCTGCATCGCCTGCAAATATGGTGTCAAGCTGGGTAAGCTCGTAGGCTGTCACAGCTGCACTTGTTGCTCTTATTTCAGTGTGAGATTATATGCTGCATTGTTTTGGCCTATTCTACCGACGCTACCAAATGTGATCCGAAGGAAAGGTGGGTTAGCGAGAACTTCGACTTATTTGAGTACGAGAATGGTCTGGAGCTTTTTAGTTCTTATGTATGATTCTCTACTTGACCTCTTTACGCATGAGATGCCCGTTGCCTGAGGGGCGATGACCCCGCCTTTTTTGCATTTTGAAATCTGAGCATAAAGAGTTCCATTCTTGTGAGATTCATCGATCCTCCCCTACATTTGACCATAAGGATCTTATCTCATTATCAAGTGTGTCTTCAACGTCTTGTCATTATCTTCTGCAACATCTTGTTATTGTCTTGATGGGTTGCCTTCACAGGCTCTTGTGATCTTCTTAATATGTCATATATTATAAGACTTACTGATAACATATGACATCTTGTTTTCCTAATATTAGGCCTAATTCTGTTAAATATCAACAACCAGGTTTTATAGTGTAGTGGTTATCACTTTCGGTTCTGATCCGAACAACCCCGGTTCGAATCCGGGTAAGACCTTTTTTTTTCGAAGTCGACCAACCAGTTTCGTTACCCGAACTCTGTTTCTCGTGTCATATAAAAATCAAATCTTTCTCTGTAGAACTTAACCTCTTCCTCTACATGTTCTTCTTCTCCAGACACTAACTCTCTGTCTCTCCAAGCCCATTGTGAAACTGTACTGGCCAACAGAAGTTGGCATATTTTCTCACAATGGGTTTTCTCTTGTTACCTGTTCGCGAAGATGATCATCAATTACTGCGTTATCGTATTGAGACTGTTTAATTACAGTAATCGGAAAACATCTATTAACACACGACTGAGCGAAAATGAACACTTTAGCTGGTGCGCAGGGCCGGAAAACGCCCATCAAATCTCGTAGATGAATAGGTCAGCCAATGCTGTGTAAAAGTGTAGAAAAGCAATGCTCTGTTTAACTGTAGGATAGCTGTGCGGTTCGGGAACGCTTCGCAAGACGTTGTAGAATTGAAGTTTAGAGAACCAGCCTATAGCACAGAACACTCACAAACTGTTCACCACAACAGGTTGCGAAATCATGACATTCAATCATTTGCTTCTTTTGGTACTTGTACTTGTTCTCACGTCCAGTGTGTCAAAATGCCAATTGGCGTCATTAACATGAAAAAGTTCAATAAACTGGCAGAATGCGCACTCGGCAGGAAATCAACTCACGAAGGGGGTCCTCACCGTTGTAGTCCGAAGATTAGTTGATGGTAAAATAAATGCCAAAGCTTGCACTATTTGGTGTAGTTTACTCTTGGATTTGGCATCACTCTGGATTTTTGAGCTTCTTGCAAGATATCACTTTTTACCATCACTGTCGAACAAAAACCAAAAAAAACGTTTAGTTCAGGTTAGCGAATAACCCTAAGCTAAAATGGGTTACGCGCTCCAATACCACAGATTCAGAACAAAGATCAGGTCATTCTATAGTGCTGAATTCGTCTCAAATCCATACCACACGTGACCCCAAAATTATCATAACCGGTTTAAAGATCCATCATTACAACCAATTGCTTGCCCATTGATGTGCTCGATGCCCTCACGACTCCGGAAAAAGCACCAAAAATGCTGGGTCGTTCACTCACATCAAGGCTTCGAGCTGCCTCTCGATCTTTACAGACCCACCACACCGTGGATTTCACCGCAAGAAACGAAGCCATCTCACAGAATCAAAACTTGTTCTACCCATCTCTGTCAAAGCTCGAGGCAGCGACCTCTTCCATAGCGCACTTCAAGCAAAAATATGCGAATTTGAAGACCGACGACACGAACGCCAGGGAAGTTCTGCGTGCACGAATCAGTTCGATACGTCTGGCAGGTAAAAATATGTGTTTCATCGATGTAGGCAATGCTCAGAACTCCACGCAACTGATTCTCAATTACAATGTGATGCTCCAACACACCCACGATACCAAAATCCCGCCATTGACAAAAGAGGCATTTTTCCAGCACGTCCAAGGGTTGAAACCCGGCGATCATATACAGGCCCCAGGGTTCCCAGGTCTTTCACAACGAGAGCGCACGCTGTCGCTGAAATGCACTCAGATGGTCCAAATTCTTGCACCAGCATTGCAAGCGTTGCCTCCCAAATTGAATGACCTTGTGAAACGCAATCAAAACCGTGCTTTGGATTATCAAGTGAATGGATACACCTCCTTGATCACACGGCACCGAATCTTATCTGCAATTCGTGAATTTCTCAATTCTCGATCATTTTTGGAAGTCGAGACTCCGATTTTGTCACCAAAATCTAACGGCGCTGCGGCTCGGGCTTTCGTGACGCGCGCACAAAGTACCCAGAAAACTCTTGAATTGCGAGTCGCACCGGAATTATGGCTCAAACGATTAATTGTTGGCGGATTGGATCGCATTTATGAAATCGGCAAAGTATTCCGTAACGAGGGCGTCGATGCAACTCACAGTCCAGAGTTCACTACGTTGGAGTTTTATCAGTCCTACGCATCCATGGAGGATTTGATTGCACTCAGCGAAAAACTCTATATGCATGTCTTGAACAGCGTCGATACTCCGATAGCACGGAAATTAAAAGACGCTTTTGAGAACAATGGTACCAAATTCAACCGTGTTGAGTTCTTACCCACTTTACTACAGGAGACCGGCGTGGATTTGCGAAACGTGGACCTTTCGAACTCCGACGATATTGAAGCGGCTTTTTCTTCCAAGGGGATCAACATCGAAGCAAACGGAAAGTCCCCACAGCAAATCCTGAACATTGTATGTGGCCGTTTCATCGAAACCAAACATTGCATGGGTATGATACCTACTTTGATATATCATCACCCCACAATCATGTCTCCCTTGGCAAAGGGAAACCCGGATGACAACCTATTTACGAGCAAACGGTTTGAAGTATTTATACATGGCAAGGAGTACATTAACGCTTATGAGGAGGAAAACTCGCCAGTTTTGCAATTGCAGAAGTTCATAGCTCAGCAGGAAGCCCACGACAATTACGGTGACGACGAGTCCCTGGCGGTGGATACCGGCTACGTGGAGGCAATGAAATGGGGGATGCCCCCCATTGGTGGATTTGGCCTAGGTATTGACCGATTATGCATGCTTCTAACGGGAAACTCAAGGATAGAACGAGTATTAAGTTTTGGCACGATAGATGACGTTGAAAGACAATAAAGTTCAGGCATATATGTAGTATTCAGATTTTGTAGCATTCCAACTATAGCATTTCAGAAGATTAGATGTTGACCTTCAAATAGTTGTCAATGGAGCTTTCTTTGAAATTCTTACCTGTTAGCTCCTCGAGATTGATCTTTGAATTAGTATATATATTGTATATAAGGAAGTTGTCAATTTCATTCTTACATTGAATTACCAATGCCGAAGCATAGAGAGATCAATTGAGCGTTCTCTACATTACTGTAAGAATGGCCACACCTATGAAGTCTGGAATTGACCAGACCTCGCTAAATTTAGAGGCTTCTTTACCGCCTACTGTCGTTGAGTCAAAGGATTCTTTACACACGCGAACCTACTATTCTGAAGTTCCTAAAGCTATAAGAGAGTCTAAAACACCAGTAATACTTGGTGTTGATGAAGCAGGACGTGGACCGGTTATTGGACCCATGGTTTATGGGATAAGTTATTGTACGAGAGAATATCAAGACGAAATTTTGAAGAAACGTTACGCGTTTGACGACTCTAAAAAACTCACAGATCCGGTTAGAAGGGACCTTTTCCATCGTATGTACACCGGAGAGATTGATCAAGTGGGCTACGCAACGACTTGTATCACTGCTTGCGATATTTCAAGTGGTATGTTGCGATTTCCTCCGGAAAAGAACTATAACTTGAATAGTCAGGCCCATGACGCGACAATGGCTTTGATAAGAGGTGTGATAGAACAAGGAGTTTCCATTGAACATGTTTACGTCGACACAGTGGGTCCCCCAGCTTCATATCAACAGAAACTGGAGTCCAATTTCCCAAATATCAAATTCACGGTGGCTAAGAAAGCAGATTCGTTATATTGTGTGGTGAGTGTAGCAAGTGTTGTTGCCAAAGTGACCCGTGACGTTTTAGTGGATTTACTCAAGACTAGTCCAGATGAAGTTATAGGTTCTGGGTACCCTTCGGATGGGAAAACCAGTGAGTGGTTAAAATCGAATAGAACTGAGCTTCTGGGATGGCCTTCTCACATGGTTCGATTTTCTTGGCAAACGGCTCAGACTTTGCTGGACAAGAGTACGGATGCTGTTGCAATTGCGTGGGAAGACGATTTCATAGGGAAGGGCTCGCAATCAATGTCAGCGATGTTTTCCGCTCCACCAAAGGCTGTGACATTGGATAATTGGTACGAATAAGGGCTACAAATGAGAGGACGACAAGCATGACTGAACAATTGAGAGCATCAGCGATCAGTTGTGGCCGAAGAGGTTTGTTGAGAGCATCAGAAATCAATTAAAGAAAGACTGCGACAAGCCTACTTTAACATTTGAGAGAACGACAAGCATAGGAGATTGATTGTGAAAATGAAGATGGCTATTAGCAGCTCAACTAATCGCTAGCATCAGCGACCACTCTTGAATGAAGAGGAGTGCGAGCAAAATTGAAGTTTCAGAGTACCAGCGATCAATTAAGCAAAGAGAACTACAAGAGCGCTCAAGGGAGACCACCAATACTTGAGAGCGTTCGCGATTTACAAGCACCATCAACCAATGTGAAACTGTATATGCCTACTTCAATCCCACCAAAATGCTACTTCCCGCCAGTTTCGAACTACAGATCACCAAACCACCACCTCGTACCAGAAGACCCCCTCCACTCCCGCCTCTCATTGGTCGTTTGCATTGTTTCTGAAAAAACCCGTCTAAAATTTTTTTTCAGCCTTTCTGAAGAAAACTATGCTCTTACTATAAAAGGAGAAAGATCGATAGAGGGGGTCCCTATATATAATATGGGAATGGTGGAAAAAAGAGGTTGATTGAAAGACCCTTTGAATAAAAGATATCTCGAAAACGAGAGAAACGAGAGAAAAACGAGGATAAAGGCGTTTTTGAATTGAAATAGTGGCAAAATAGCATTACAGCCTTGAAGAGCAGTGCTTGATTGACATATACAGAAAAATTCAGAGTCGTGGGGTAACCAGAAGAAGTGATACACTTGTTCTAAGTTTTTGCGAACTTCCAGGAATTTTTGCGTCCATTTTCCATTAGAAACTGGATATTTTGACATTCTGATACTTTGTGAATAAACTCCAGACCAATACGATCATTTTGATAGTGGTTTCGTTCTTGGATCTTGACTAATAATAATAATAATAACCATTTCAACAACAATGTCTGCTTTTCTACGCACGATCCCTACCATCAGATCGTCCGTTCTGCGGTCTGCAAAACTGCAATTGAGAGCGTACGCCTCGTACCCTCCCCACACCGTGATCGGAATGCCCGCTTTGTCCCCCACAATGACGCAAGGAAGTTTGGCCGTGTGGTCGAAAAAAGTGGGTGACTCGTTGGAACCCGGCTGTGTCTTGGCCGAAATCGAAACCGACAAGGCGCAAATGGAGTTTGAATTCCAAGAAGACGGGTTTTTGGCCAAGACTTTGGTGCCGGAGGGCGCCAAAGATTTGCCAGTGGGCAAGCCCATCGCCGTGTACGTCGAAAACGAAGCCGATGTTGCTGCTTTCAAGGACTATACCGCAGAGGATTCTGGTGCCGGTGCTGAACAATCAGCTGGCGCACCCGCTTCTGAAGCTAAACAACCTGAAGAAGGTGCCAAGAAAGACGAACAGTCTGCGTCCAAGTCTTCTGCTACTGGTACAAAGAAATCAAGCTCTGGAGCCCCAACCGACAGAATCATCGCATCCCCATTGGCCAAGACCATCGCTCTAGACAAGGGCATTTCGCTCAAGTCCGTTACCGGAACCGGGCCCAACGGTAGAATCACCAAATCCGACGTGGAAGAGTACTTGAAGAAAGCGCCTGCTTCTGCTTCTTCTGCTGGCGGTGCCGCTGCCGCCCCAGCCGCCGGTACCTCTGGTCCTGCTGCTCAGTACGAAGACATCCCTATCACTTCCATGAGAAAGATCATTGGCGACCGTCTATTGGAATCCACCTCTGGCACTCCAGCGTACATCGTTTCGTCACAGATATCCGTTTCTAAGCTCTTGAAATTGAGACAGTCTCTAAATGCCTCGGGCAAGGACCAATACAAATTGTCCGTCAACGATATGCTCATCAAGGCCATCACCGTGGCTGCACAAAGGGTTCCTGATGCCAACGCGTACTGGATGGCTGCTGAAGGTGTTATTCGCAGATTCAAAAACGTGGACGTGTCTGTGGCAGTCGCCACCCCACAAGGTTTGCTAACTCCAATTGTCAAGAACGCCGACTCCAAGGGCCTGATCTCCATTTCGCAAGAGATCAAAGAATTGGGCAAGCGCGCCAAGATCAACAAGTTGAAGCCCGAGGAGTTTCAAGGTGGAACCATCTGCATCTCTAACCTCGGAATGAACAACGCCGTTTCCTTCTTCACCTCCATCATCAACCCTCCTCAGTCCACCATCCTGGCCATCGGTACCGTGCAGAGAGTACCCGTCGAAGACGCTGGCGCCGAATACGGTTTCTCTTTTGACGACAAGATGAACATCACCGGTACTTTTGATCATAGAACTATTGACGGTGCCAAAGCAGGTGACTTTATGAAGGAGCTCAAGAAGGTGGTTGAAAACCCACTTGAGATGCTGTTGTAAGAGACAGAAGTCTTCAAAACTTTTTGAAATATTCTTAGCGAATCCCCATCATCCGTTCAAGTGCAACATTGCGCCGCGTTCCTGTAAAATATACGAAGGGTTGGGTACAAAGAAACTAACCTTCACCATCCGTTTCTCAAATAGCTCAGGTTCGAAGAAATAATGTTTAAAGACAATTTCACTCGTGAGTCATTGAGTTGGCAGGTGTGGATCTTCGCAGCTTCTCTAGTAGATACTCTTACTATCAAAAACCATCTGCTATTTATTCATAGTGTATTATTCTAACGTTACAGGAGAAAGACAGAGGACGCATGTGATAGTCACATGCGAGATTCATTGTTCAGACATAGGCAATGAGTAACTCCAGTAAGTGCCAAAGGCATTCAGTAACTGGGTAAGTAAGCAAGCAGGGGCAACGCCTGAATATAATGGCAGGCGCTCATAAGAATTATGCAGGATACGAGTGAATTACGGAGGTTCCACACACTGTGCGATTTATGATGCGGCTGGTACCCTAGTTCTAAACAGCGCTTTTCATTACATCTAGATTACCTAGAGTCCTCAGAAAGCCTTCAAGAGGGCACATTCGATGTCTGTAATGTGAGAAATTGAGGAATTTAATGTTTCATCTCGCCTATATAAAAACGAAACCAAAAAAGCTCCATCAAGGTGGGAGACACCTGAATAAAACGACCGACACTCACGGAAATTGTATTTGCTACCCTTCACTGTTGAAGATTGTCGTAGACATTTTCCCTCTCGAATTCTGACGCTGTCGTTGTATCACGTGCTAATGATCACTTTGGTATTGTCTGACGCCAGATAGAGAAAAGCTTAGAAGAAACGATGTACATCTTTATGTAGCCTTGGAATTGGTTATATGAGTTGTGAGAATCTGAGGTTTCCGACGTCACAACCACCAGTGAGCAGTAGCTTTCAGCAATTCTGTCACGGTCATTGTCTGACGCCTGATTTGTGGAAAAAAATCAGACAGAAACGTCCATGAAAAGTAAGCGAAGGAGGGAGACATGGGAGGTGTCTCTACTAGCGTCGTGAATTGAAGTTATCCCATTCTGCCTAGTTGTTTAATAAGCTTTGAACGTAGCGATAAACAAACACGTGATAGTCACATGATTGCAATTTTTGTCGCTCACGTTCCATGTCATAATTAACGGGAGGAAAAGTTGTTAAATGACCTCTATAATATTTCACCAGAATCAAAGAAAGCTAACCAATAGGCGTCTACAACTCGCTTTTAAAGTATCATCTCTTGTACTTTAATCGCTGAGATCTCCTCTCTGTTCACACAATCATCAGTCATGGCGTATCTTCCTTCTTTTATTTTGAGCGATGAGTCCAAAGAACGCTTCAGCAAAGTGTTCAGCTTATCGCAAACCGTTGCTCACTACGGCTGGTTACCATTTGTGCTATATCTTGGATGGGCCCACACTGCCAACAGACCAAACTTGTTTAGTTTGTTGAGCCCCCTACCAAGTGTTTGAACTAGAAAGATTAGAAAGAAAATTGAGGGCTGTCTGTCTAACAACGATTCGCCCACATATTAATGTAAATGATGTGTTGCTTGTATATATGAGTAATGAATGAATTGAACCATTCTGTTTAATATCGTTGCCAAGCTGTGTTTGCTGGTGTCTTCGATTCTTTCTTCGTTCCGTTGTCACCTGTAGTTAGGATAGTCGATGGGTGTGTAAGCATCATCAATCAGCATCTCCATCCTGCACATTTCAAAGCTGAGCAAAACTTTACTAATTCCACATTTTCTGGCAAATGCAACATGGTACACCACTCCAAAGAGAAATCGTGGCGGGGCTTACAGCGGGAACTGTGACTACGATCGCCACTCACCCGTTGGACTTGGTCAAATTGCGTCTTCAGCTCTTGGCTACTTCCAACTCAGCTCTAGGCTACACCGATGTGGTGAGAAATATCCTCAAAGAAGCACGAATTCACAGCAGCATTGTGAAAGAAGCATACCGTGGACTCGGTGTCAATCTGGTGGGCAACTCCGTGGCATGGGGCCTTTATTTCGGACTCTACCGTTTTTCAAAAGATACGGTCTACAGACTTTGGATAGATCAAGATGCTCACAATAGAACGTCGTTCCAAAACGACAGTCAAATGGGTCCACTTCTGTACCTCACGTCAGCAGCGTTGAGTGGCGCTGCAACCGCTTTACTCACAAATCCAATCTGGGTAGTCAAGACCAGAATCATGTCCACAAGCACACATGCTCAAAGGCGCTACAAATCGACCCTAGATGGAATTTTTAAAATTTACCAAAAAGAGGGACTGACTGGGTTCTGGAGAGGATTGGTGCCATCGATATTTGGTGTGGCCCAGGGTGCCATTTACTTCTCAGCTTACGATTCCTTGAAGCATCGGTATTTTGCCAGCAGGAACATCAAAGAAGAACAAAAACTGGGGAACTTCGAAAACATCTTACTAACGTCTATGAGCAAAATGGTCTCAGTATCAGCCGTATATCCGCTGCAACTACTCAAATCGAACCTGCAAAGTTTTGAAGCTGTTGGTAACGAGGCATCCTACAAACTGTGGGCCTTGGTTGGCTCCATATATACAAAGGATGGCGTGAAAGGCTTGTACAAGGGTCTTGCTGCGAACCTCGTGCGTGCCATACCGTCAACATGCATTACGTTCTGCATTTATGAGAATTTGCGCCATCTGTTGTAGGAGGTCTTGACGCGCTTTCCCAAGACAAAACAAGCGTTCATTGGCGGCATCAATATGACTCGAGTTCTCCGCTTTTCCAAGCCCACACCATTTCACAGCATCAGGACAGTCTCACTGAACTTTCATCACATATACAGCATTATTCTTATTTATAAAGAGTCTGGTTAAGCTCACAGTAGAGATTCGTGCCCTTGGCCAAACAGAGTTGCAAAAGCGGCACCTGTACGAAACGGTTTTATACCTATCTAAAACGTCTCAAGATGCTAGCAGTAAAGGTTTCCAATTTTATTAGTTTTAGTTATACAAAAAACTGTAGGACTGATATGATTTGTAGACTTGTTCTTTTACACAACAATTCATGAAATTTAGTAACCGAGAGTGGCCAATTTTTGAGCAACCTCAGATTCGGCGTTGGCAGCGTTGGCAACAAGAACCTTCTTGTTGAAGGCCTTCTTCTTGGCGTAGTATTCGGCGGATCTAACCTTTCTCTTCTCTTCCAACTTGGAGACAACATCCTCGTATTTCCAGCCGACAGAGGAAGACAACTTACCTAGAGTAGTGAACTTTCTACCTGGCTTCAATCTCAAGACTCTCAAAGCTTGTGGAACCACGACTCTCTTCTTCTTGTCGTATGGAGGTGGGACACCTTCGAAGACCTTCAAACGTTCCATGGCAGCCTTACCACGGGCAGTCTTGTGAGAAACCATACCACGGATAGCCTTGTACAAGATTCTGGAAGGAGCTCTGAAATGGAAAGGACCACGAGTCTTGTTGAAACGAGTAGCCTTTCTCAAGTAGTCGTGGTACTTCAATTTGTTTCTGAAGAACTCACCGGAGATGTTCAAAGCTTCGGCTCTGACAACAACGATCTTTTGGCCGTTCAAGAGTTGCTTGGCAACAGTTGAGGCCAAACGACCTAGCAAGTGACCCTTACCTGTAGAAAAAGAATGAAAAGTTAGTATATTTTTCTCGCTTGCTTGTATTCGCAGCGGGAGGAGACGCGCTACGCGGGAATAAGAAATGCTGACACTAGGTGGTATTCATGTTGAGCAATACGTGGATGTTGCTTTTGTGCTCTGCATCACTCTGCTGCAATCCACATCAAATTTCCACCATGTATGTGTGTCGCAATCATTTCTTGTTCGTCGATATCGCATTAACACCATTTTGGTCGCATTTCAATCCCGTTTCGCGCATTCTCACGCCCTGGTTTCCTCTCATAATATAACGTACCATCAATAACAACAACTGGCTCGAAAGAAGACATCTCTATTGGTTGTGCTTAGTTGTTTCTGCCACTAGAGTCGAATAATTCAATGTTCAAATTTCAACTAGCTTTTTTCCATTACCCACAAACCAATAGTTAGAGATTCGGCATTGAGACTGACGGGACCATGTCCATGCGGATACGAACTGCCTGGCTTCCAGACAGAGCGTCGCGTAGGTTCCAGACGGAGAGCTAGACAGGGCACTGGAAGGACGCACACTGGGGCTAGACAGAGATTCACCAACCGATACTGCGGAGACCAGCACGCCAGCGTACTGGGCTCGACAGAGGCGCTAGACAGAGAGCCTACCCGTTAGCCAGGTTGGAGCGCTCGGGCTAACTGTGGTTGCGCGAAATTTCGAGATACCCACGCAGAAAAAGCGACGCAATTTTTTCCAAAATCTCTATTTTCTGAAACTTTCCCAAACCAGACATCACATGACTCTACCAAATGTCTGGGTGCAAGAATTGAAAAAGCAGTCACAAACTAGATTCAGGTTGCTATGTCTATGACAGAATCGGCATAGAACTTCATGACGTATGCAGAGAGAGAATTGTAGTTTTGAAAAAACGGTCCTCCTGACGACTTATGTCGTTTTTGAAGCGGTAGGTGGGAGGATTGCTGGTTATCATGGGACAATGGTGGTGGCGGTGCTTGTCGGGGTGGGAACAGAAGGATCGTGCGGGTACCAAAATCGTCGACGTTGCCCAGCATACGTAGTCGCAACATGATATCTTTTAAAGACCGATGGGCATGCTGTTGGTCCTTCAAAGCCGTGTTTCTAAAAATCACATCGAGTCCGTGCACTAAAATGAGTGTTTGGAACCCATTGGGGGCCGAGTTATGGCACGTTTCAGAACGTTGGAGCGCGGATCGCGCCGCAAACACGGATCGCGATATTTGGCCCACCGTGCTTGTAAACTCGTCCATATCCAGACTAGTCAGCACGCGTACATTTTCAAACAGCGCAGCGTGCTCCTGAGGTGGCAACAATTCACAGAACTCTGCTACGGGGAACCGGTCTATGGCAGAAACGAAAAACAGCGTCTTGGTTGCATCTCCATTTTGTTGTGTCAAAAAGTCCGCCATCAACCTCGAGATGTCACGGTCATCCGAGCTGTAGCATACACACAAGTTAGAATTGGGAAGCTCATCGATTGCCATTCTCAGCGTCTCAAACAACACTGATTGTCCCTTAACAACAGCGTATGGGCGTCTCTGCTCATCTTGGTGTAATATATTGTTCTATAAGGTAAACCCGACGTTCACGTATAACATGACTCTATCGGTGCAAATTTCCCAGCCACGTGACCTCGGGGCTTGATAAAATGTCATGTTATCGTATAATTCTATTTTATTACAATGTTTCGTGTCTCGTTCCTGCTTCATGCACGGACGATCCTTGCAGATGAAAAAAGAAAAAACAAACAAACAAAGAAAAAGAATAATGGCCCGCCGAGCCTTTCAAAGGGCATAGACGGTCAAATAACTAGTCTCTATAGTTAACAGAAGATGCCTAGACTCGGAACAGCGAACTCATTCTCCCTCATCTATGATCATCAACCACGCTGATTTTTGCGCCCTCTATGTCCAGCATCAAATCTTTGACGCCCTTTGACGCATCTTTGCCGTGATTCTTGATCGGAGACGACACGAACTCTGAATCCTTGTCACCGTTTGAGTGTTTGTCAGGCTCCACAGAGCTGCCGTTTATGTGTAAGGTGGGCACTTGGTTTCGATCCTGTGCCATGCGGCCCATCTGGGGACCTTGTTGAAGAATTCGTGGCGCTTCGTTATTGCTGGCATGACTTTGTGCAGCGGCCTCCTCCATGGCTCGAAAACCAGCCGGAGTGTTGTTTACAGAGCTAAATTGCAGCAAGTTCCACACGCCGGGAGAACTTTGCGCGGTCTGTGGCAGCGTCTGTCGTGTTGAACCTCTAGTGTCAACATTCAATTGAGGTGCATGTGTTCCGTCCGGGGAGCGTATTTGCTGCCCGCTGCCACGCTCTGGTGTATACGCCTCCATAGCTGTTATGTGGAATGGTCTAGTGGGCGACCGTAGTAAGGAATCCTGGGCTGGAGACAGCCGGGATGCCGTGCTTGGTATACTGCTGCCAATTTGGATATGCGAAGTAGGAGGACGCGTTGTGGGACGCGGCAGTGTGGGATATCCAGAAGATGACGACTGTCTCGCTGGAACATTCAATGGCGGATGCATTTGCGGCGAAGGAGGCCTTCCTGTGGCTATTGGTGACAGAGAAGACGCAGGTGGTAGATTGGTCGGAGGATGCAACGAGGCATATAAATTCGCGGATGATGGTGAAGGGTTTTGACCGTTCTCCTGTGAAACATGGTAAGTTCCTGAAATCGTCGATCGTTGTGGTTCTACTTGTGAGTGGCGTTGATTTTGATGTTGATGCTGATGCTGGTGTTGTGCCTGTACGTCTTTGAAATTGTCGACAGTGGTCTCTTGGGACCTTTGCTGATGCTGGTGGTCAAACTGCGCCTTTTCTGAGGAATGCAGCGACCGACGTTTTTGAGTCTGTGACTCTTCCTCATCTTGATCTCCAGAAGACTCTCGATCAACAGCACCCGCACCTTGACGTGGCAGGGTATTAAATTTTGTCATATGCAGCTGTAATTGGCGAGCCACTGACGATCCTCTCCTCACTTTGGAAATTTTGCCCGACTGCCACTTATCCATGAAATCCTTTTGATAATCCTTACTTATGCGCCATTTCATACCTTTGCCCGGCTCATTGGGCTTTCGTGGGACTTTTTCAAACGCCTTGTTGAGTGAAAGATTATGTCTAATGGAGTTTTGCCAACCGGTCTTCGCATAACGATAGTAGGCAAAGTTTGAAGAAATGTACTTGTAGATGTCAGCAAGGGATAATACGCCTTCAGGGTTCGAAAGAATGGCTTGTGTGATCATGGTGGCATATGAAAAGGGTGGTTTGACGTTCTTATTCTCCTCGCGGGACAAATCTGAAGCGGCATCGTTTGTTCCAGAAAAGCCGGGGTCCATTACGGCACCGTAACCGGCTCCCATCTGAGGGGACGTATATGATCCTCCGGCGGAAGCAGCAGCGTACGGATTCTCATAGGAATTGTACATGCGAAACGCTTTTACCGCATTTCGAGGTTGTGATACACCTCGCAGCAGATCTTGCAGAACAGGGTTTGTTGTTGTGGCCCCATACGTTGCATTTAGCTTGGGGATGAGATGATCCAACGCCTGCTGATCAACGAATGGACCACGGTCTGGCAAAATAAACATCATTTGCGTGCCTCCAATGTCTAATATGGAGCCTGATTGCAATTGCACTGGATCGGCCTGCGGTCCGGCAGCGACACGTTTGAAATCCACTTTGGCCCCGTTTCGACCTTCGACCTGTAATTCCCAGAACCCGCCGTTGAGATTGTACTTGATCGAAGCATGCTTACGGGAGACTACTTTAGCTGGTCCCAAATCTATATCCACGGTATGATCCTGAGGATCGGTATTACGACCGATACTCAAAGCGAGATGTTTTACATAGAGAGTCCAATTGCGGCCTGCTATCTTTGCGTAGGCTTGGACCTCGGTTGCCAAATTGCGTTCATTTGAATAAACATTTGCGACCGTGGTAGGTTGTTCTGGGGTGGCCAGCACCGAGATCACTGCATCTATCAGGTCCTGAGGAGAGAAAGGAATTATGTTAGTAACAAGGCCATAATGTGCGCGAAAAAGAATAAACCGGAACCAAAGGATGTAAAAAAGGCACCATGCGAGCCGCTTGAAATATGTGAAGTCCCTAGAGCTCATTCCTTTGAAGGTCCACCATTGCCGGATTTGCCCTTCCGCAACCCAGATAAATTTATTTCCTCAACATACTTGATTTTGCTGTGTGCTGCCCATTTCTTGGCCCATGATAGGTGCACTTATAAAGGGTCCAATTCAAACGACACCACGCACTTTCCTGGACTTTGAAGTCTATTGAGCCTGGTTCAAATCTGGAAAAGAAGCTCTTCTAAGCGCAAAACAAAAAAAGGGCCGAAAGCCAGTCAGAGTATTCGAAGCGATTAATGTCCACTAATCCTTCCCTTCCGCTTACAATATGTGTTTCCACCCAATTGTTCTCACCGACTGTCCAAACTCTTTTACCTTTATTCCTGCTTAAATTTCACTTCAAAGAGGGAGTAGAAACTAGTCAAATTAGAAAAAATGAGAGGTGAAATAAGAATATCGAGACCGGGTCTTTCACACGCTAACGTTTGAGGTTGATCCACCCAACGTTCTTGTGCTTGTCAATTATAGCCGCCGAAGTTTATCCGTCAACTTGCAGCGGTAGGCCCACTATGTATTTGATGATTGTTGTTGACTTAGTTTGAGTTTGTCAGTAAACATTTGATGACTGTTTGTTTTGTTTTTGTTTGTTGACAACTGTAGAGTGGGGCACTTCTCACGAAGTGAAGGGAAGAGTTTCGATAATGATGATTTTGGCACTTGTGCAGCAGTGGTAAGTCCAAGCTTGGAAGAGGTGTACAAATGCTGTTTTAGGGCTTAGTTAGCGGAGTTTTTCAAGGTCAAGAACTTGTATATTTGTGTATAAGTGGAAATTGTATGTAAATACGACTCCAGCTTTGTAGGTTAATGGGTATGATGTCGGAGGAAGTAGGGAGAGCAGAATCAAGATTTGAATTCGGAACACAAGCTTTGAACCTCATTCAGAAGCGAACCAGGGGGTTAAGGTGACAATATGTGCGAGTATAGCCTGAAGTCACGTGATGTGGGTATTTTCCGAAGATTTGACGGACACGCTGGATAAAAGTGATAAAAGTGAATTACGTGTGAGTGTCCGGGAGTATAGGAGAAGAGTGGGAGAAAGGGTCCCGGAAAGCGGGTTTGTTTATGGGATAGGGATAGCACTTTTCAAGCAAGACAAAATGACTGCCAGGGGTTTTAAAGCTGCTGTTTACGCTGTGTCATAGTGTACGAATAAAACAACGCATTGAAAAGCGGGTATGTGAGGGCGTTTTTAGTGAGGGCGTGCTGGGTGGTTAGTAGGTAACGAGCCAGCAAGTGTTATGTCTCATTACCTTCTCGAGAATTCGGATCACGTGCTGGGCTCATGAAATTGAATTACCTATACTCTCAAATTGGAATCACACCCGGATGGCCTGAGTGTCCGGAACGCCATTTCCATTCCATACCCAGGCATCTGGTTGTGAGTTCTTACTGTTTAGGGGACGGTTCTATGGCTCGGCAATATTTTGTTCTACTGATACAACCCTGAAAGCCAAAAGCTTTGCAGATGGATGGATATGAACAACTCATTACTGCTGTAGTGGCCATTTTGCGTCTGGTCACGTGCCTATTTGATATCCATACCTTAGAGGCGGATCTGGTATCTCAATTTCAACGTAACAGTGCGCTCCTCTTGTTTAAAGCATCATCGAGGAACTTGGACGTGGATGTGTGGGAAGAAACCCACAGAAAAAGTCTCATTTCATAATTAGTCCGCTTGAGCTGGCATACAACGGCTACCGAAACCCCTTTATAATGTATCCCAACCAAGTAGTCTCTTCAAATGTACTCTGTACAATGCTCCTCTATTTTAGCACCCGCCCTTTTTGACACATTAAACTCCGGCCTTTTCCATATCACTTCGTCCTTAGTTGGCACGCTCGATCACTTCGTACTTGGTTGACACATTGGATCATTTTCAACTCCTCACGCACTTGTGCGACATTTGTTTCTCATTGCCGTACCATGTCATACCATCTTTTCCAGAAAGGCAAGGAACTCAGAGGCCCCCGCGAATTTTAAGATAAATGCTCAATTGTTATCGAAAAGCCTCACTTGCTGTTCACCTTCTCTAAATCTGCCAAACCGATATGAATTTCCCTCTCGATAATTCGTAACCCGGGAAACAATCACACCTCTCCCCGTTGATGTTTTCCATTTCATCGCATAATACCAAACTTCTTAGGAGCTTCGTAAGAACTTCTTTTACGAACTTCACATCCCAGGCTTCCCCATAAAAATAAAATCGAAAAATCACGCTCTTCTAAATATCTCTATGAATTATCTCTTCCGTCTCGATCATTCTCGAGCAATGTTGTAGCACATCACCAATGCGATTCTTAACGACTTCTTGTCTCTCGTCTCTCGACCCTTCTCGCTCTCATTCTAGTATAGCCTACTGCAATCTGGAAAAATGCCTCAAGCTAACTGGAAAATTAATGTCCTGGTGAAAAATCGCATCAAAAAACGCATTTCATAGGGAACCCTACTTGAATGTATATAATCTGATAGGACAACCGGTTGTGAGTTCGATACAGTTGGTTTTGAGTGTTGATGTGAGACGCATTCAATGGTTCTACATTAGTCGCAGCAGCTTTTTGTTCAATAAGGCTTGACCCATCATCATTCAATTAGGATCGATTAGAGAGCTCTTAGCTCCATATAATTAATAACAGGATGCTGGAGACGACGCAACATAAACGTCGACGTGTGACTCGCGCTTGCGACGAATGCCGTAAAAAAAAGGTCAAATGCGATGGACAACAACCGTGCATACATTGCACAGTGTACTCGTACGAGTGCACTTACAACCAGCCCAGCAAACGGGCTTCCTTGAGCCAACAACCGTCTTTTAACACTCCGGTAAATTCAGAAAGCAATGAAACGACAACGACCGGTGGCGGTGGTGCACCTTCACCTTGTGCTCGAACCTCACGTTCCAACTCGAATTTCACAAGGCTCTCAAGACACGCACAACTGCACACCCTCACAAAATACCAGACTTTTTTCTCCCAAATTTTCCCACAGATGGGTCCCATAGAGACTCTGGACGTCAACGCCTTTGCTAAGGCGTTGCTGAAAAATAACGGGTTCGCCAGAGCTGTCCAGGAAGTCAGCAACGAGCGTAATTTTGGCTCCCAGGAAAGTCCGTACGAGCTGGAGTCTCCAGGGATCGGTTTGGGAAATGCTGGAATGGCGGGCACAGGGGCAACCCCAGAGCTAAATTCGGATGTCATTGAAGGTATCGACGGCTCCATACAATCGAAAGAGGGACGAGAAATCAAAATTATACTTCCTCCGAAATCTGTGGCTTTACATTTTATCCATGTAACGTGGGAGCAGTGTTGCGTGCTTTTCCGATTTTATCACCGTCCCAGCTTTATCGCAACTCTGGACAAACTCTACGAAACAGATCCTCACGAGTATTCTCATGAGCAAATGCATTTCCTGCCCTTGTGTTATAGCGTGATGGCTGTGGGTGCTCTTTTTTCAAAGTCCGCTCAAAAATCTTCGACTGGTACTTCCGAGAACAGCACCAGCTCGCCGAATCAATTCATGCAAGACGAAGGCTACAAGTACTTCATAGCCGCACGCAATCTTATTGATATCACGAATGCTCGAGATCTGTATTCCATACAAGCGATTCTCATGCTTTTCATCTTTCTACAGTGCTCGGCCAGACTGTCTACATGCTATACCTATATCGGTGCAGCGATGCGGAATGCATTACGCGAAGGAATGCATCGGAACTTAAATGCACAAACCCAAGACTACAACCCTATTGAAATTGAAATGCGGAAACGTCTATTTTATACCATCTACAAAATGGACGTCTACGTAAACACCATGCTTGGTTTACCAAGAAGCGTTTCACAAAGGGATTTCGATCAAGCCTTCCCGGCTGAACTGGCAGACGAAAACATAACAGAAACTGGCCTTCATTTTGACCAACAAGGTGATATTTTGTCGTCTTCAGGAATTGCCAATCATCATACTAAGCTCATAATGATATTAGATAATATTGTCGCTGAGCTGTATCCAGTCAAGAAGACGAACAATCTCATCTCACATGACGTAGTCACACAACTTGAAATCAAGCTGCGGCAGTGGTTAGATAACCTGCCGCCAGAATTGACTCCTGGCGTGAATGACGTACCAGCAAAGTATGAGAGGGCAAACCAGCTCTTACACCTATCTTTCCTTCAAGTACAGATTATCCTGTACCGTCCCTTCATTCATTATTTGTCTGCGATACCCTCATCTAAGACCGTTGACTCGCTTTCCATTCAAAGGGCCCGAAATTGCGTGTCGGTGGCTCGCACGGTGGTGAAGCTTGCTAAAAAGATGATGGAGAAAAAAACTTTGACGGGATCGTACTGGTTCAGCATATACACCATTTTCTTTTCGGTTGCTGGATTGATTTTCTATTTGCACGAAGTTTCTCCTACCGATGAGGATGGAGAACAGGAGTATAGCGAGATTCAAACCGATGCAGAAATGGGTAAAAGCGTGTTACTCTATTTGAAGGATACTAGCATGGCGGCTGCGAGGACGTATAACTTGTTACACATGCTTTTCGAAAAGTTCAACTCAAAGACTATAAAATGGAGCCATGTAAAGCAAGATCAATACACGGCTTCATTTCCTAATAACGGTTCTATACCAGAGGGAAACGAATCGATTAATTTAGCGGATGGGCCAAATCCATACAATTTAGAAACGAGTAATCTTGATTTGCTGGCCTTTGAGAACCCTACCGATAATGCATTACAGAACAACGCAACATTGTCGGGGGTCAACACTATGAACACGGTAAACACGTCTGGTATGCTCATGAATAGAGACTACGATTTTGGGGGCGATGTCATGGAAATGGACAACTTTTTCGACATAGGTGGTAGCGTGGAATCTGACGACAAGTCTCTCGTGCCGCAGACATCAGTCGATGATTCTAAAAAACCTAAAGACCCCACTGTTGAAGTGGCTGCATCTGATTCATACGTTCCTGGTGCTTTCGATCAGCTAGAGGTGCAGTTATTTGGAAGGTATTTACCGCCTTATATGTCTCAGTAGCGGAAAGAGTCCTGCCAAGGAAGTTTTACAAGCAAATAATATAGATGACTTGGAGAAGCCGTTTACCATTTAATAGTAACATTAGTTCATTCACCTGGAATTAACATCGCCACTTGACGATCTATTTTGCAACTCGTCCTGTAATGAAAGGAGCTGCTTTTCAATCAGTAAATCATCTTCCAAATTTCTGCCCTGCATTAATCTTTGGACTGGGGTTTCCTGGTTGAAGCTCGTATTCTCTAACCCTGATCCAATTCGCGATTTACCATGGAAGGACTTAACGGTTCTGGACATATGATTTTGCGGAGTCATCAGTGGAGTAGGGGCCGAAGACTTGTTTGGTCTGGGAGAAGGAGTTGAACGGATTGAGAATGCAGCCGAAGAGCTTGAAAGTGGCGGAGTTAGTTTCCCGTCCGATAGTCGCCCTGGAAAATGCGGAAGATGATAGTGATGCTTCACGTTTTTCGGTTTTACTTGCGAACCTTTTTGTTTGGACGTTTCTTTCACAGCAGGTAATGCAGGTTTACCGTTTTGTACCGCTGCTGGCGACAGAGGAGGGCTCTTGATCATTCCCATATGAGAAGAAAGATCCCCAGAAGAGCCCCGTTCGTATTGATAGCCGTTGGACTCTTCTCGGAATGTCTGAGCAAGCAATTGCTGCTGCTGATGTTGCTGTTTTTGCCACATCTTTTTATTTCTATTTGGGTTCCTCAGTATTCCTTCGAATCTGAAAAGGTGTTCCTGATTATCGACACCTTTTAATTTTGTGGGTGACGTAGAATCCAAGGCAGGATGCGATGAGATCTGAGCTATTCTGGAGGCGGATTTCACTGGTTGAAAAGGTCCTACAGAGTTAGGTCTCGTCGCACCGGCACCCGCTCGACTAATGTGCATGTTGTTGTTGTCGGTGAGAACATGAGGACCCCCGTGCATGTTGGTGCCAAAAGAGTCTGCTAAATTTGTCTTGAAAGAAACATTGGATGGGGTTCTCGTCAAGCTGTGATTGAGGATCACCGAAACCTTTTTATCATACAATTGGGGTGCCGACTCAAGGTTGTGAGGATTATCGATTCGGACTGTGTCACCTGAATTGGAGTGAGCGTGTTCAAACATTGTAGGTTTAAACCCAGCATCATGATTTCCCACTTCAGTGGTGAAGAAGGTATCGAGATTATCTAGTTCTGCCCACATATGACTTAAAGATCCATCTTTATCCTCCAATACAGACGTCGTATCATTGGCCTCCACAGCTGCGGCTGCTGCATAGCCACCATCCGCGTGAAACTGAAGTACATCGACCATTTCGTTAGGCTCCTGATAGACAGCATCATCGGAAGAGCTATCCGAGCATGTCGTGAAAACTGCGTGAACATTGTGCCTCGTGGTGGCTGCTGTCATCGTTGGCATGGGCACGGACCACCCGCTTTCTTCTGGAATACCAAATAAAGTTGCTGTTCTGCTATAAGAAATTTTAGCGTCCTTGTTTCCCATACTTATTCGCAGAACATCTTTATCCATTTTGCTACCGGAAACATTACGAACAGAGTTCAACACTTCCAGGGCTTGAGTCTCGTGCTCAGTTAACAGTAGTCTTAGAAGTGGTGAAATGAGATCTGCCCCAACGCCTGTGAATTCAGGGCGACTCAAATCTATCAATGGAACTATATTTTTCAATATCTGTAAGGTTTCTGTCTTCACCCAGTCGATTTTATTGAAAAGAAGTCCCATTAAGAACACCAGCGCCTGCGCTGAGTAGTCAGGGAAGTAAACCCGGGAGATGAAACTCACAACCTGACTTAAGAAGTCCCTCTTCGATCGGAACTTATTTTTTGACAAAGAATCGACAAGCCGAGCTAAAGAGGGCTGGCCCTTACTATCAGCAAGATTAATCAGTGACTCTGCAGCTTTCTTTACGCCTTCATCAAATTCGCCTTCTTCCATTGCGTGAAGGAACCGGGGCAGGTTTGCGAGCAATGCAAACAGTATTCTCGATTCGCTATTCGCAATAATCTTGCTATCTCGGAAAAGGTTTAAACGATCAAGAAACCCTAAAGAAACGTCCCAAGAATTCTGTGAGCGCAAGCCTCCCATTATCGTTTGTTGCAATCCATCGAATTTACCCTCCCAGGATGATGGGAAAGTCGCAACTAAGCATTGGACGGTGTCCGGCGAGTCCAGATCGATTTTCGATACGAACTTGGTTAAACTCGAAAGCACTTCCACAAACTCCTGCTCATGAACACTACTTAAACAAGCCACCAGCGCCCAAAACATTTGCGGGAAATCTATCAGTTTAGCCGGGCTCAGTTCAGCGGTGACTGCATTTAATGTCATTAAAATTTGCATCGCAAACCCTTGAATTTCATTATTTTCGTCCGATATTGTGTTCGACAACCTATGAAGCATATCTCGAAGCATCTGTTTATCAAGAAACGTCAGCAAAGATCTGAAAACCTGGAAGGAACGACAGGCGACATGCCGAACAGAACACGTTGTAGCCCATGTGAGGGCAATGTTTTGCCAATCCACCTGTATTTTTTCGAAAGAGGAGAAGAGCTGTACAACATTTCTCACTAAAGAGTCCATTGTCTTGGGAGAGCGCGCGCCATTTTTGTCTTTGACAAGATTGTCGTAAGCCCAAATCTTATTCCGATCTTTTATTAAAGTAACCGTCTCTTCCGCTTTCTCATGGGTGGGTACGAGACCAAAGATCAAGTCAGATAATATCTTCGCCGCACTTTCATGAACGATAGGAACATAATGATCCAAGAGAGAAAAGCAAATATGAAGCAGACGTGGAACTTTGGATTTGATGGAGTCGTTTGGTATTGTAAGCAGGTTAACCAGATATATTACAGAAAGCTGCGTTTTAGAAAAGACAACGTCCTTTCCCCGATATGCGAGAAGGTTCCATATGTTAGCCACAAACGCATACTGCTCGCCTGCCGGCATTTCGATCTTAGGGTGTGAGAGTTCAGGAACCATGTGTTTGGGCTCGAGATTGTTCATAAATGAGTCTATGAGGCCCATTCCACTGGGAACATTCGCCAGATAAAGAACAACGTCTTTGGCCCTCCTGACAAATTGTGGATTTCTTGAAGAGATTGAAGTTTGCAGAATATAGTCCATCGCCACATGAATGTTTTGGAAGCCATTCCCTTTACCGAGGAAGATCCAAAGTTGTTCAATTTCCATTGGATACCTGTTATTATGTTCCACCGTTATAGCAAACAAGTTATTCAAAACCATGAAAGTGCCAGAGTCTTGTAAATTTTTTAGTATGAACTTGTGTACCCATGGCACGAGCAGAGTGAACATATCTTGTTTCAATTCTGACTTGAGGAAATTGATATTCCGACACATTTTCGAAAAGATTTTGAGCCGAGTTTCAAGTGACGGTAGTTCAGCGAAGATGGTGGAGATTTCCTTGGCGGTAGATTTGTAAACCGTCTTAGAATCGTTTGCCAAACGCTCTTTGAAAACTTTAGTATATGAAGACTGATAAATTTTAGTCTCAACGGTGGACAGGATGTCGATGGAGTAGGACCGAATTTCGTTGCTTTCATTATAGAGCCCACTCAGTCCAAGAAGCACGATGTCATCTTCTGGTAAAATAAAAGACTCCATTTTGAGCAGGGAATCGCAGACTGCGGTGTAGTAAAGGGTGGCAACGCGCGTATCCAAATTATGAAGTGAGTATTGCATTAAAGTTTCGTTGTGAAGCTGGTAGTTTTCCTGGTTGTTCTCTAGCAATCCTCTCAAAGCAGAAGTACCCAAAGCCCGGACTCTCTCGTCACTGGCATTGAATAAAGAATCTATCCAACACACGAGACCGGATATATCGAACGAAATGAAAATTGGCGATCCCGGAATGTCATTCATTGTCTTCGTGATGGAGTCGTAACACAAATTCACCATTACGTCCAGAGCCACAAATTCCAAACGGGCTCTTTGAAATTCAATAGCAGTGGACAAAGCACCTCGGTCCTTGCTGTATCCCGCTTCTCGCATTTTGTTGTACCTGTCGGTGGAAATGGCACTATATTGGCCAAAACCACACCACTCTTTAAAGTAGTTGAAGCAAGACGCTCTCGCCTCAAATGGAAAAAGCTCATCGACTAGAAGGTGCTTCTTGACTCCCAAGTAGTAGTTTGTTAATAACGTCGCAAAGTAGCAACGTAACTGCTGATGTTCAAACGATTCCTGGATCTCCTTGATCTCTAAAAATTGTTTGGCATCCTTTAGGTATTGAGAAATTTTCCTCAATATCCATTCGTCGTCAAGCACTGTAGCATCTGTGAAGAACGAAGCTAGAACGGCTAGGATGTGGAAAATTTCAATTCTCATACCATTAGAAGAACTCTCTATTCGCCAGGATGTGAGAAACCTGTCCACGCTCTGTAAGTAAGCCTTGAAAATGTTCACATTCATTGAGCTCAACCCTATGATTATTGCATCCTTGACGAAAGCATTGCGGCACTTCAAAAGAGGCAGAACCATTTTGAAAATAGACGTCGCTGATTTTATTTTCTGATGCTGGACAGTGAAGATTTGTTGAGATTTGTTTCTGCCATGTTGGTGACTAACGGTCGGAATATATAGCTTTTGGTCATTGGTGGATGTTAGCGAAGAACATGCAACTATCAAATAAAGTTTCCACTGATTTACGATAGCTTGAGGAGATACTTCTCGCGACGGTCCATCACCATTATTCGCAATGGATAAAATGATTTCATGAAGCTGAACGAGTCGGATGCATACCAGTGATCGGCAAAGAGCCATTGTGACCGGAGATCGCTCGAATACTAAACCTAGAATCCCAGGGAAGATACGCATCCAGAGAGCGGCATCAACACCGTAATCTGATTCAGCTAGCTTGATGAGAATTTCCCCTTTGTGTCTTGAGGTTAACTTTGCAAGTCTGGCTTTTTCGGCGGCACTGAGAGAAAGCTTTCTACTATTAAGAAGGCTGGTGTAGTTGCTCGTTTGAAGTAAGTCTATCAAGCGAGAACCACTTTTTGCAACAAATCTGGATAGCGAACGAGCGTGGGTTCTTTCCAGTCCATGTGTTTTTTCGTGCATGGCTTCATCAAACTCGGAAACAATGCGCAGAATTTGAATTGCTAAACGTCTCACCAAAGGATCATGAGAGCATAGGAAAAATAACCCGTTGCCTTCGACATCCTCAATCACAGTCAGGGTGTTCTTCCATTCATACTTTTCATTGTCCTTGGCCTCTGCAGAACCACTGGTTGCGGCAGGTGCAGGGGTAACTCCTAAACCTATTTCTTTCAAAGGCTTGATTTCTTTGGAGATTTTGAACTCATAAAGCCAACACTTCAAAAGCTCGATGTAGTGAACAAGCAGTTTGCGGTACTCCATGGAAGATAGATAAGCCATGTTGTAGCTGGACTGAGTTTTTTCGTCAAAATCGAAGGAGTACTTTGCAAACCAAGTAATCAGTGTATAAGGGTTCCTTTTCAAAGCCAAGGATTTGAGCGCGTTTTGACAGCTTGTAGCGATGAGCACATTTTTGTGCACAGCGTTTCTGGCTAATATCTCAATAGACGACTTGAATGGTATTAATCCAGAGACAGTTAAGCAACATGGAAGAGTTTCGATGATAGCAGCGAATAAGGCAGCGTTCATCTCACGGCCTGAAGTGTTTGCACTTTCATTGGAAAAACCGAAATTGAACGATGATATACCCGCAAACGTTGTGCTGGATTGACGTTGATGTTCATTTTCCGGAGACCAAACCTCTGATCCTATGGTAGAATCCAAGAGAAGGAAAAGCTTGTCGAAATATTTGCAAGCTTCATCGTGATCACTGGACGCAGCATTTGCCATTTTGGCTGAGATTTTGTTCAAGTTAACTTCATTGTATCTGCAGTCATTTTCTGGGAACTCTGGTCGCTCAGTTGTGACAAGTAGCCCTCTGTAGGTGTCGATAGCGAGGATTAACTTTTCGTAACTCAAATTCTCAAGGTTTGACCCATTGAAGGACATCTTGATGAGCGGAGTTATCACATTCTCCATAATGAAGGAAGAATGAAGAGATCCGATCGTTACAAGGGCATCCGTAAGGGGATTGATCAGATCCATGTCGGTAGTGATCCAATTGTCTTTCTTCTTAGTCGTGAAGAACAAAGTGAACAGCTTTCTTAGGCGTCTCTCGGTATTATTGAGGGTTTCAGTGCATCTAAAAAGGTATACCCAGGTCAAACGAGATAATCCAGTGGCGAAAACGACGCGCTCCTCCAAGCTCTTTGACTTAATTTTAGTTATGTTTCTTTCCAAAAGTGCCATCCACTTCTCACAGAAGAGCTCTTGAGGTGAAACACAAAGTACGGAAACCATTAACTTAAAGGAGCTGGCCCAAAACTTTGTATCACTTTGAAATTTTCTGCAGTTGTCTAATATCAGACGCATCGCTTCAACCCATGTTGGGTGGTTAACTTCTGCCGTCACAGATCCAGCTAGCGGTAATAGAAGTTGACTTATCACTTCAGCATAAGCCAATCGAATGGAGTAGTTTTGGCATGCGACGAAAAACTTAGCCAAGGATTTTACAAAATCGGCGCTTTCTTCAAAAGCCTCGAGAGGGTAGTTCTTTAACTTCAAGTATCTCATGCCTAAAATGAGAAGATGCACAGGCGGTTCGAGTTCGCGTGGAAGTGAAGGTGGCAGCTTTTCTAAATCGGCGATAAATCGGTCACTAACCGTGACAAATTTCGTTTCTGACATCCAGCCTAGCAGTTCCGCAAAGGAATTCCAATTCGAAGATTTTATAATGCTAGAGGAGATTGAAATAGGATCGGTTGTTTTTAGCTGTGTAAAAACGATTTCTTCCAACTTATCATTCAAATCGTCGTCCGAGGTATCCGAGCCCTGCTTGACAATTTCTATGAGAACACGACAAAGAATGTAAATGCTGATGAGAGATTTCCTGTCAGCTTGGAATGCGGTTTCTTTGGCTGTGGTAATTTGGTCTTCCATGACCCTAAGTCTCATGTCTGCGCTGCTATTGCTGCTTGAATAAGACTTGGATGAGTTGTGTCTTCTGTGTGATTTTTTGCTACCCAGGCTTGAGGATTTAGAATGCGTTTTATGAGCCAAAGTTCCATTTGTTCCTGTTTTCGGTACTTCTTGAGTGAATGTGTTGCGCCTAAGAATCTCGTATTCTTGGACTAGTCTCTCTACGTTTTCTGCAGCCACTGCGGCAACCTCAGACTTGGTCTTCCTCCAAAACATCATTGCGTCTATTACCGGCTTTGGTTTCTTCTTGGATATGAAACCTAGGGACTCTGTTATCTTGTCGAAAGACTGATCAACACCGTCGCCCAACAACTCGACAATGGGAGGTTCGGAGTCCAGTGGGTACTGTAAGCAAAGATTCAATTTACTTTCGGCATGTCGTACAAATTTTGTGAATAAAATGTGCAATGCGTACTCAGACGGGCTCTTCCAGTCTGTGGCCATATTTTGACGCATGTTTTCAGCATATTCATTAGCCACAGACTTTTTGCTGGCCGCTGTCCTAATCTGCTCTGGTTCAATAGTCGATATTATTGTGACTGGCTCGCTCAACTGTTCTATTTTTTGGGTCATTAGTGGGGTGGAAGATCTAATAATGTTTGGAGAAGTGTCCAGCGATGGGACATCTATGGGGAGCTGGTGGGTCGAGGTGGTTTCAGATGCGTTAGAAATTAGGCCCTCCACCTCTGCACTACTTTCCAAAGACTCTTTGGTCTCATTGGTCGCTGGATCATCGTTAACCGGTGGAAACTTAAAGTTGCCGTTTTCTTGATCGCCTGAGCTTGGTGGAAATGTAAAACCTGTATTCATTGAACAGATCGGAAACAAGCACCACACCTAGTTCGATCTACAATCTAATACTTTGATGTATTGTAAGTGATTATCTGAGGGTCTTGTATCGCTCTTCGTCTCAACTTGGTCACCTATTTTTATGTAATGTGCAATTTGGGTAGTTATATGTATATATGATGTCTGTAGTTATTGATTTTCAAAGAAATTCTAGCCTCATCTCAAAAGTTTCTGATCTGATCAGATCAGCCACATCAAAACCGCGAATCGTGATCACCATAGTAGGCATCAAAAACTGATAAAGTTGGAGGAACTCTATTTGGAAGGGCTCAGGTCAAAAGAGGAGAGTTTCAGGATGCTCTTAGACAAGCTTTTCTCTAGATGAATTTATTATCTTGTTTAGTTCTCGATCTGTCGATCTGGATGCGATGGACACTCAATAAAGTGCTAGCATGCTCTTACGAGTAGCGGCATTGGGCCCATAGTCAGTGTAGAATAAATTATGCCGGTGAAGGTTACTAGAATTTGTATTTTACTTGGGTATCACACTGTAGCTGAACGTATTGATTTTCTGAAAGTTTCTGTCATTGACCAAAACATAAAAACACACTGGCAAATGGGTGTTAAACAATGATGGTAGGAAGAAGGGATGTAGAAAAAGGTAAAACAATAGATTAGGTGATTGTACACGCACATAACAGTGGATTTTTGGCCATATGTTCAGCACCAAGTATGTTTTGACGCTCAGATCTCGACGTCTTTATATATTAGTTGAAACAATCATAATTATTTGAAGGTCGAATGTTGTAATACAGGACGCGTCTCGGGGACAGAATTGGATGGATTCGAGCTCGATGAGATTGAGCAGCTAACCAAAAACTCCAGTAGAAAATTTGAAAATGTCACGTGACTATAATGAGGAATCGACTAGATTTGTATATATCCATGGTAAGAGCTGGGACCTTCCACTCTCCCTCTGTCACCTACATAGCGCAAAAGAAGAGCAGCACTGCGGTACCAACAACTCCAAATGGTGCCTCAAGACTACTCAACCCAGCATCTGCGAGCAGATATAGTCTCTGTTATTGCCAATTTCCCAAGCAATGAGGCGAAAGCCGCAGACGTTGCCTCGCACATAGCACGCAGAATCAGCAACGGCGAACTAAGATTATTGGAATTGGTAGTGGGATTACGGGACTTCATAACTTCAGGCGATCACACAGATAGAAGGGGGGCGTTACACTGTCTCTCGATAGTTCTGGGCCACTTGCCGAAAACTACACTGTTGAAGAATGACGTCTCGGTGGTGCTGGAGTTCTATTTGAGCAAATTTGACGACAGTTCTTGTTTAGATCAAGTTCTTCTTGGACTCAGCAAGCTGGTTGGAATGAAATGCTTTTATTCTGGCCAAGCTGGCAGCGTTCTCAACGCGCTCAAGGATGAATACCAACCAACGAAGCATTTAGCAGCGACGAGGTATCTTGGCTTCCTTATCTTAGACACACTGTTGGATAAATTCCAGAAAATCATGCTAGAAAGTCATTCCCTCAACAACCTTTTCATCGAGACGTTTCTTTCGATCGCTACAGGAGAGAAGGATCCCAGGAATCTACTACTCTCTTTCAATCTCAACACAAAAGTAAGCACAGCTCTTAATGATATAGCCAGCTTCAAAGAAGACTTGTTTGACACTTTGTTCTGCTACTTTCCTATCACTTTTAAACCACCCAAGGACGACCCCTACAAGATCAGCAACAGTGATTTGAAAATAGCGCTACGCAATGCCATTTCTGCCAGTCGCTTTTTCGAAGAGGATGCTTATGGAAATTTGATCGACAAGATGACCGCATCGTCACCAAGTGTGAAAAATGACACATTGCTGACTCTGAGGTCATGCATCAATAATTTCGGCGGTGAAGCATGTTTTCGACATTGGCTACCAACCTGGAATGCTATCAAATTCGAGGTGATGCACGGGTCTGACGCTGACGGCGTCGCAACAGAAAGCGTGGCCGCTGAGTTCAACAACTACGCTGACTCGTTAGAAATCTTGAGGGCCATCGCAATTCAGCTTCTAAGCTACAAAGAGAGCGCTTTTGATACGTTCTATTCGTATATCCTTGATGAACTTAAGCCCAATTTTGAAAATGATAGAGATCTCAAGCAAAGCTGCGCCATATTATCAACTCTTGCGAAAGCTAATACCGTTTCTCTCGAGAAAGTTCTGGCAGACGTGCTAGGGTTGATTTTCCATGATGTGGGTGATCTTGACGTGAACAAACAGAAAGTGATGATTCTTAACCTCTCCTTCTTTCTCGGCGCCTACACCGAAGTTTATAGGGAAAGTAAAGGACGTGTTCGCGATGAAAGCGGGGAAAGTAAGATGATTCAGTACAAAGACGAGATTTTGATGTTATTGGGAAGAGCCTTGAAGGGCAGTTCTAAAGCCGAAGTTGGTCTCAGAACGTTATCGATTGTCCAGATGACAAAACTGTTACAAATGCCCGATTATCTGACCGAAGAAGAAATCGCTCTAATAGCGCAGTATTTCATCGAGACCATTCTCACTGATGACAATGACAATGTCTATTATGCATCCCTCGAGGGATTAAAAGTTACAAGCGATGTTTCAGAAAAGATCATCGTCGAGATTGCGCTCAATCAGATTCTTGTCCTTTTGGCAGACTATGTTTCGAATACCAGCGCACTAGTCGATGGCACAAATGTTAATGTAGAAAGGATTCTGAATGTTCTACTGGACTTTACGACTTCAAAGCAGCATCTTGTGACCGATGCCATCATTGGACTGACGAAGTCTTTACTAAAAGCGTCAACCACCAATGGTGGCGATAGTGATAATTGTTTCAAGCTTTTGTCTGCATTGTACTCACTCTTTGATTTTAACAAAAGTGTCATAACGGAAATGGTTGCTAGTAGGTTCAAGACGGAGATTGAAGAAGAGCTATTGGCGGCAGCATTGGGCAAGCCAATATTCGACGATGATCACAATTTGACGTTAATTTCGTCAGTACTCTTTTACATCAATACCTATGCTCCAAGATCGAAGCATCAGACCGAGTTAGACAAATATCTGCACATTTTCGTTGAAGAATATCAGGTTTTGGAAAAGTCCACTCGCTCTGTAATTATTTTAACAAAGTTGCTGTCCGCGTTCGACAAGGACTGCACTTTGGCTGCAGAAGATCTGGCGTCTCGCTGTATCAAACTACTTTCTACCTCTGGGGCTCAATCCACATATTACGAGAAAGTGTCTTACTTAGAGTTATTAGCTGTTTTATCAAACAAATGGTGCGGCGACAGCTTTTTGCAAGACGTTTTTGACGTTGAAGACGGTAGCATAATTCATCTAGAGATAACAGCATGGTGTACCAAGGGTCTGGTAATGAAAAACTCGGGTTTGGCGGTGGAGGTCATCAACAAGTTTGTAGAGCTACTGTCAGATAAAGTGAAGGGATCAAAAATAGCCAATCTCTTCGAATTGTTTCCCACAGATATACCAACTCTTGAAAAAATCAAGGGCGTATCGTGGAATAACAGCGTGAGAGTGCTGTACAAGCAGAAGCTCTTCGGCGATGTGGCACCCCGTCTTGTTTCTGCTTTTGGAGCAAACGATGATATGTCCGTAAAGGCCAACTACTTAATGGCCCTTTCGTGCATATTGAAGAACACTCCAAACAAAATTACTATCAGTTACATTCCGAAGCTTCTTGCGCTACTATTGCAAGCTGTCAAGCTGGATAACAGCGATGTGGTGTTCTCTGCTTTGAGTACAATCAAGGGGACTGTCGACCAAGCGCCGCAACTGGTTACGGAACACGTTCATAGCCTCATTCCGTTAATGCTCGATTTAGCCAGTCCTGCCAAACGCAACACATACATGGTTAGATTGACAGCGATCGAGATTTTGCTCAAATTTACAGAGCATGTTCCGCTGAATTACTTGTTGCCTTTCAAGGATGACGTGCTTATCAGATTGGCGGTGGCCCTCGATGACAAGAAAAGAAGGGTACGCAAGGTGTGTATCGACACGAGACAGGCGTATTTTGAACTGGGACAAGTGCCTTTCGATTAATAATAAAATACAGCACTGAAGTAGATGCTTGTTATAGACCAATTTAAAGAGCCAAGACGGTGAATGATGAAAATGAGATGGCAGCCAGGCTGTGCTTACTCCGCATCGGACTCTTCCTCGTCGCTAAGACCAACAGGAGCCAACCCTGGTGTCAAACCAGCGTACCTATGGTCAGAAGTATGAGCCTTGGATGAGGGTCCTTCTTTGAAATCTTTTCTGCCCTTTTTGGTGCGACGCCCTTGTTCCGCGACCCCGCTACTTTCCAAAATCGAGTCCTGCAAATCTTGCAGGTCTGTTTCGTCCTCCATGTCCCAGCTTTTCAGGTCCCGCACGTTTCTCCCGATGACCTTATTGAGATATTTGCGTTCCTTGTTCGTCAGTGTTCCTTCCTCGTGGTGTTTCTTCAAAATTTGCAGTTTGGCCCGTTGATCCAGTTGGTCTTGCAGAGCTAATTTAGCCTTGATCTCTTTCTTACGTTGCTGGTTCACTTTCTTTTTGATACCATGAGCGTCCCGATCTCGTACTACGGCGGCCAGTTTAAGATCACGACTGATCAGCTGTGCCTTGGAGCCTTTGTTGGTATTTCTGCTGCGCATATGCTTGCCGGAACGGTCGTCTTTGATCTTCGAGCATCCGGGCAGTAATTGCGACAAAACGCTGTTTACGGCCGCTGTGGCTTGGTTTCGCGATGACTGCACGGTCATGAGCCCTGTTTAATGGTAGTAAAAAACTGTCTATGTCGTTTTGAAACACTCTTTTCCTTCGATGGGACGTTGGGACAAATGGTTTCAGTGTTAATTTGACTTCTCATACATAGCATCGCATACTCATCTATCTCATCATCATCTCATCGCTTAATTTCTTTCACTATAGAGCAGTGAAGTACTGAAACTTTTACCCATCAATTTTTCCACAACGTAAACAATGATATAAAATCACGTGAAGAAAAAGGAAAACCAAAGAATTTAGATCACGTGAGTATCACGGGTACGCAATACTCGTATACTATGACGATTAATCAAAGGTTACCCGCACCTTAAATATTCCGTTTACAATGATCCAGAACTTTTTTTAAATTTTATTAAATTAATCAAATTATCACGACCAAATTTCGTAGGTTAAAGGACGAACCTGAAGGTAAATAGAAAACCAGTGTCCCCGATTGTTGAGATAACTGAGCAGCGTCAGTGAAAAAACAGCGACAGAGCTCGGACACATATAAACGCAGAAATTATTGCGGGCGAAAAGGGGATATTACAGTTGAATTAGTGTTTCCAATTCTAACTTGAGAAGGATCCTGCTAAATTCACGTTTGACTCGATCTTGGTTGTAAATTCACTTTGTTCACAAGCTTGGCACCATACGGAATTGAACAATCGAATTTGAGGTAGTCTACGCGTCTAAGTTTGTTCAGATCCGCTATTAGAGTATTACAGCTGGCGTTACAGATCCAAAATTTACCTCTGACGTGAAATTAACACATCATACACCAGAGAAATCGGATTCGAACCACGAAATGATGAACATAACACAGGCCCCAATAACAGCTCCACCGTCGAAACAGCAGCATCAGCAAGAACCAGTGAAAACGGTGGAAATTCCAGAGCCTGAAACGCTTGTCCAATTGGAACAGCTTCTCAACCGGTACCGCGCTGTGTTCCAAGATGCGGACTCAAATCGAGTGGAGATTGACGCGCTGGAACGTGTATTCAGCTCCGTTTCTCAACAGCAAGACGATTATGTGGCCAAACTGAGGGAACTGCGGCATGCTATGGAGAATGAGGCCTCTTCATACAACGATAAGGTCTTCCAGAAACAGTTGGTAGCGCTGCAACTACTAAGCAAAGATCTGGACCTTCCTGAAGAGTTTTTTGAAGAGAAGCATGAAACTGAAAAAGAACAACTGAATTCAGGGTCCTCCAGTAACCTCTCAGAGCTCTTGCCCCTGAAACTGTCTCTCAACTTTGATGAAAATGCCAAAAATTTTGGACTTGGCAACAAATTCTTCAATTTCGAAATCACCAAAGGAAAGAGAAGTCTGGGGTCTCCCGAGATAGAGAACACTATCGTGTCGCGAATCGCCCAAAGAATCTCAGAGCTTGAAAGGATGCCTGCAAATTTGGGGACGTACGCACTTTCAGACAGTCTGCAATTCACAGCAAAAGATGATGTGCCGTCCAGCGTGGATAACTTTAAATTAAAAGCGCTTGTGGAGTTGAAAGCTTTAAAGCTTTTGACTAAGCAAAAATCACTAAGACAAAAACTAATTGTCAATGTCACAAGCCAGGCACATAACAATGTTCCTTCGCTCCGTGACTCTCCCTATACCATGGCTGCTCAGAGATCGGTCCAAATACGGAACAAAGTCATCGTTCCTCAGACTGCAAGACTGGCAGAAGAACTAGAAAGGCAACAGCTTTTGGAAAAGCGTCGGAAGGAACGCAATCTCCACATGCACAAGGTGAACAGGATTCTTGCGCATGTTCATGAGCAGCAAACAACCCAATCGACGCAAAGAGAACGCAGCGTCCAATTTGGAAAATTATGTGCCACTCTACATAATCAGACAGAGAAGGATGAACAAAAGCGTGTGGAGAGAACGGCTAAACAGCGTTTGCAGGCTTTGAAGTCTAACGATGAAGAAGCGTATCTCAAACTGCTGGATCAAACAAAAGATACAAGAATCACCCATTTGCTCAGACAAACTAACACATTTCTGGATTCTTTGGCTCAAGCAGTCAAGGTGCAGCAAAATGAGGCTAGAATAAAGCGTGGTGAGGAGGTTGGCCCAATGACAGATGAAGAAAGAGAAAAGATCGATTATTATGAAGTTGCCCACACTGTTAAGGAGCAAGTGCTGAAACAGCCTTCCATTCTGGTGGGAGGTAATCTCAAAGAATACCAATTGAAGGGTTTGGAATGGATGGTGTCGCTTTACAACAATCATTTAAACGGTATCCTTGCCGACGAAATGGGTCTGGGTAAAACAATTCAGTCGATTTCGCTAATTGCATACCTTCGAGAAGCTAAAAATGAACCTGGCCCATTTTTGGTCATCGTACCCCTTTCAACGATTACGAATTGGACGTTAGAGTTCGAGAAATGGGCACCGGCCCTGGCAACAATCGTTTATAAGGGAACGCCCAATCAACGGAAGGCGTTACAGCACCAAATCAGGTACGGTAATTTTGAAGTACTTCTGACGACTTACGAATACATCATCAAAGATCGCTCTCTTCTGTCGAAGCACGACTGGTCTCACATGATTATTGACGAAGGACATAGAATGAAAAACGCACAGTCGAAGCTTTCATTCACGCTGACAAGATATTACAGAACCAGGAATAGGCTGATTCTTACGGGTACCCCGCTGCAGAATAATTTACCTGAGCTTTGGGCTTTATTGAACTTTGTTTTACCCAAGATTTTCAATTCTGCTAAAACTTTTGATGAATGGTTCAATACGCCATTCGCCAATACGGGTGGTCAAGAGAAGCTGGAACTCACCGAAGAAGAGCTTCTTTTGATCATAAGAAGACTTCACAAAGTTTTAAGACCCTTTTTACTACGTCGTTTGAAGAAAGAGGTAGAGAAGGATTTGCCGGATAAAGTTGAGAAGGTCATCAAGTGTAAGCTTTCTGGGCTACAACAGCAGCTGTATGAACAAATGCTAAAGCATAATGCTCTGTTTATTGGAGCTGGTGCAGAGGGCGCCACCAAGGGAGGTATCAAAGGTCTGAACAATAAGATCATGCAGCTTCGGAAGATCTGCAATCACCCCTTTGTCTTCGATGAGGTGGAAAACATTATCAATCCCACAAGGAATAACGGCCCTCTGCTCTATCGTGTTGCTGGTAAATTCGAGTTGCTAGATCGTGTTCTGCCGAAGTTCAAAGCATCTGGCCATAGAGTTCTGATGTTCTTCCAGATGACCCAGGTCATGGACATCATGGAAGATTTTTTGCGAATGAGGGACTTGAAATATCTGAGATTGGATGGTGCCACAAAAACTGATGAACGTACAAGTATGTTAAAGGATTTCAACGCCAAGGATTCTGAATACTTCTGTTTCTTACTTTCAACTAGGGCTGGTGGTCTTGGTCTCAACTTACAAACGGCCGACACTGTCATCATATTTGATACCGATTGGAATCCTCATCAAGATCTGCAAGCTCAAGACAGAGCACATAGAATTGGTCAGAAAAATGAAGTTCGTATCTTGAGGCTAATAACCACGGATTCCGTGGAAGAGGTTATTTTAGAACGAGCGATGCAAAAACTAGACATTGATGGTAAAGTCATTCAAGCTGGTAAGTTCGATAACAAATCGACGGCAGAGGAACAAGAAGCCTTTTTAAGAAGATTGCTGGAGAGTGAGACGGTCAAAGATGATAGCGAGCAGGCTGAATTAGACGATGAGGAGCTAAACGAAATTTTGGCTCGTAGCGAAGACGAGCGTGCACTCTTTGATAAAATGGATCAAGAGCGGGAAGCCACCGAGCGAAAATTGGCGAAAGCACAAGGACTATCATTTACGCCATCCAGACTGATTCAGCCGGCAGAGTTACCGGAGGTCTTCACAGAGGATATCAGTGAACATCTCAATGTTGAACCTGCGGCAGTAGGAAGGGTCAGAGAGCGTAAAAAGGTCTACTACGACGATGGGCTCACAGAAGAACAATGGCTGCAAGCTGTAGATGATGATGACGATTCATTGGAGGCCGCTATAACTAGAAAACGACAAACAAGGGAGCGCCGACAAACTAATAAGCTGTGGAAAGATGCAGACGCTGATGAAATAGGCAGCCTAGAACCAACACCTGGACCAGATCTTGTTGAGACCGATGAGAAACGCACTCGACACAAAAGAAAGGCGAACGAGATTGAGCCGCCTTTGCAGCAGGCTAGTGTTGATCAAGATGGTGTTAATGAGCCTGTCAAGACTGAAGAACCTGGCCTAAAAAAACAGAGACTAACTGTCAAACTTTCGTTAAAGAAAAAGAAGGGCCAAAACGCCGATGCCCTACCGGATGGGACTGCCGAGACCCAACCCAATGGAGCTGATGGGGAGAAAGATACAAAGCCTGCCGTCGCTTCGCGGTCGAAAAACAAGGCGCCCAAGATGCCCAAAAAGTCTATTGCATGCCAGTTTACACCCCAGGTTGAGCAGTTAATCAAGGAAATGCGGGAGCAGCTTGATGAAAACGACGAGCATTCTCGGGCGTCCATTTTTGAGTCACTTCCCTCCAAAAAACTCTATCCTGACTACTATGCGCTTATCAAGACCCCGCTTGCTCTGGATACAATATCAAAAAAATGCAAGAAGGGCCAATACGAGTCCCTTGTTGACGTCCATCAAGACTTGACAACGATGTTTGACAACGCCCAGTTTTACAATGAAGAAGGCTCGTGGGTCTACAACGACGCTGGAGAACTCCGAAGCTTTGTCAACGCTTGGTTCGAAACTAACAAATAACGCCAAAGTGTGTATTATATTGTATTGTATGTACATATAACGTACAATTGTCTGCATCACCTGCTGATCGCGAGTACTCTAAACACGTGATACGAGTACTTTCTCATCTCGTTACCGACGACATTTTTCTTTGGGATGAAATTTGTTTGGGCGAAAATTTTTTTGCAAGAATTTTCAAGTATATAAACGAATGAACATTCGTCAAGGCTCTCATTCCTCTTCAAACACTTTTGTTCCCACTTTGAATAAGCACAGCAAGATCCAGCAATGAAGTACATCCAAACCGATCAAATCCTAGATATCCCAGAAGGTGTTACTGTAAACATCAAATCGAGAGTGATCAAGGTCGTTGGTCCAAGAGGTGAATTGACCAAGAACTTGAAGCACATCGATGTCACTTTCGCCAAGATCAGCAACAGACAGGTCAAAATCACCGTTCACAATGGTGACAGAAAGCACGTTGCCGCTTTGAGAACTGTCAAGTCTTTGGTTGCCAACATGGTCACCGGTGTCACCAAGGGCTTCAAGTACAAGATGAGATATGTGTACGCCCATTTTCCCATCAACGTTAACGTTGTTGAGAAGGACAGCTCTAAATTCGTCGAAATCAGAAACTTCTTGGGTGACAAGCAAGTGAGATTGGTTCCAGTCAGAGAAGGTGTCAGCATTGACTTTTCCGCCAACCAGAAAGATGAGATCGTTTTGTCCGGTAACTCCATTGAGAATGTTTCCCAGAACGCTGCTGACATTCAGCAAATTTGCCGTGTCAGAAACAAGGATATCCGTAAATTTTTGGATGGTATCTACGTTTCTGAGAAGGGATTTGTCGAAGCCGATGCTTAAACGCAACACGAGACATGAATTTTTTAAGTAGCTGTACATTAGAGTGTTTATAGGCGGTTTTTCCCCGTCCCCGGAGCCCTGGGCTCCAATCACAACGGGAGGAACGTTACTAGTGCTCGTAAAATAAAGAGCCGTTTGACGTTCCTCAAATTTTTGGTCACTTAGCTCGCGTAATTTTGGGTTTTCTATGCCCCACTCAATCGGTAAACTCAAGCGATTGTCTTGATCTTGAGATGTAATTTTTTTCGGAATTTAAAGCAAGGTGTGGCCTTTCAGTTGAACGTCCTCACTTTGGTAAAGTAGAAGTTTTCCCTAATCGCTCAACAATGAGTTGGGTGATAGTGACCACAACTCTGGCTGTTTCGCCCACAATCGGGCGACTTTCAGAATCCAACTGTATGTCTTCACCACGAAAATGAATCTCCCCGGACTTACCCAGTACCCTATCCCTGCAGAGATGTTTTCCTCAAAGACGACAAATAAATGAATGCTCATTTGACTACGATTGTCTGCGATGGTCTTGAAGAGATCACTATTTTAACGAAATTGTTCAGATACATTTGTACACACAAATGCAGCACTATTATTTATTATCCTTTTAACTTTTGGTCCATTTTTCCATCTGTTGGCTCTCATCTGGTAGGGCGTCTGACATCCACACTAAACTTTATGAAATAAGTGAAAATTGATCTCTTTGGAAAGCGCTTCTTCCAAGTACCTGAATTCCATTACTGAAAGTGAGGAATCGGAGCCAAATGGCTTCATATGAGTGTACCCCATTATTTGGCCGAAAGTTCCCACGATAAATGTTCGGCGTTTGTTTGCGGTTTCGCCGCTGGTCAAGTCGTGGGCACTCTTAACCGCTTTCCCCTCGAAAAATATTTTTGCGTGTGATCGAGTTCTCATGTCGTGCCTCTTTTCTGGCGAAATGACTTTCCCGTCGCTGCCTCTTGTCTCGCCAATTTGATTGTCATTAAGACTATAGTCATAGTTTGATCCAAGCATAAATGACACAAGTCTGAAATACTCGAAGCTGGTAATGAAATGACGCCATTGATACATGGAGCCATCAGCGGCTCTTTTTTCACGCTCCAGCTCCTCTTGAACTTTATTGACTTTTTTCTTAGAGACACATTGCGGTTTCCCAAAGCAGTCGTGCGGCAAGATCCGGGATATGACAGAGAACTGGTAGTTTTCACCGTCCTTGCTAATTTCCCCATTATACGGAGTTAAACTCAGGGAAATTGCAGCCCCGGTTTGCTGCCTGTGATAGTTCCAAATAGTTCTAAATTGACCAGAAGGCTGGAAATGGGCGGCTTGTTCGGCAAGATATTGACACACATGTGGGAAGAGTGTACCAGTAAAATCAAGCATGGGGGTGGCGCACTGGTCTTCGATTTTTAGTTCTTTGGCAACGCTTTTGCGAACAAGAAGCCCGTTTGTGTCGGTTGATCGATAGGTGCTTGTGGATTGCAGATCGGCAACCAGTTTTTGAAGCGACGCTCTTTTTGCACCGACATTGAATTTGGAACTTCTGTTACCGCGTGGCTTGGTGACTTTGGCTTTGGCAAGTTTCTTGCCAGTCAAAGATTCGGTGGGTTTGAGAAATGTTTTCGCAGGCGACGAAACCGGAGTCGTACGCAGTATTTTTGTGTTTATCGTCACATTGGGCCTTTGATTGCGAGGCTCAAGGTTGGTGGTGTCTGTTCCTTTGAGAGTTTGACCGTGCAATATGGGGTTCAAATTGCTACCATACTCGCGGCCGCTCATTATTTGAGAGTCACAGTTTAGTTTGTTATAGCTCGGAGAGCTATCGAAGGAGGAGTCGTCGAGTTCCCTTGACAGAGGGTCTTCTTCGCTAATGGCGCCTGTCCACAACGAGGTCTTCTCGGGCGTGCATTCGGCCAAAATGTCGTCGATAGACCAATTATGAGAATCAGAGTTGCCTGACATGGGTGTATCGAATTTCTTGAGCATAAATTCTTCGCGCAAACTCGACTCCAAGAGGTAAGGGTCCCTTTTCAAGTTGTGAGCGTAAAACTCAGGTGTGTGACGTTCTTGTGAGCTTTCGAATAGCGAGTACGCCAAGACCCCAGGCGAATGATCTTCCGCGTCTTCGATGGTAACCGATAGCGGTTGTTGCGTTGTCGACTCGTTCCAAGCGGTTTGGTGGACTTCCGCGGAGAGGAGCGACATGGCTTTTGTTATTGGGAGTGGAGGGTACTGGTGTGAATACAACAGTGCGAAAGGGGAGGCAAAGGTGTCGGTGTCTGAAACTGCGTCTGTGTGCGTCTGTGTACGCACTTTTTTGTGTTTTTGTGGTTGGTGTCTGCTGGTGTCACGGCGGTCTGAGGAAGGCTGTGGGTTAGAGACTAAAGCTATGTGAAACGCTATAGTGGTGAAGTGCTTGGACGCTGGCTTTGGTTATCGATTTTTTCTTTGGTTTCTTATTTTTTGTTCTTTGGGCTGCTGGGTGCGAAGAGGAACAGAAAAGACGAATACGAACATTACAGGGGCTGCTGTTGATATCCTGGCCTATTCATATATGCGATTTGTGCGCGCAAAAACGAGTTTCTCGAGCCGGACTTTGTGATTTGGGCGAAATTTTACATGCTGGCCTCGAGCTGGCGTTATTTTTGTGTCGTCGGTGACACATACAAGATTTCGCCTAAAATTGAAGGTGAAATTCGAGCAGGCAAGGGATAAAGCGTGGAAAGTTTCGAAATGGAGAGAAAGTTACTATATGTGTTATTTTAGGAGCAGACTGACCATGAGTTGGGTCCCATAATTAGAAATGGAGGGGGGTAGGGGGAGGTTTTTTTGAGCCCAACGAGAGAGGTTGGCATTTACAAAGTTAAGATCTGGGGTTTTTGTTAGTGGCTGGGTGTAGAGACCTCTATTTTGTTCTATCGCCTACTGCCATCTTAATCGCTACTCCCTGGGGGCTCTTTCGCTCTGTTCAAGAATACACCTTGCCAAGTTCATGTACACTATCCCATATACACTTCCACTCCACGTCCACTCTCAAGAACGTGATAATCACGAGCTGAGAATAACCACAGGACATCACGCCACATTCACGTGCCGCATGTCCGATGTCGCCTCCGCTTCTTCTTTCGGTTGTAATATTTTTCATTCCACAACCCGTACACCCAGGAGTACCCCACCACATCTTCGTCCACGGCTCCGGGGGTCCCGATCCCTTTACTACAGCCAATGAATGACTACCTACTACTACTACTACAACTGTCGTCTCTTACTATTACTGTCCCCGTATACTACGCGCGCATTACGCAAAAAACGTATCGAAAGTGCCTCTAATAAGCTCTTCAATTCGAGCGTAGTATAAAAGGAGCAAGTGTTTTACGCAGAGATTCCCCGGAACATAAAGTTGGCGAAAACCCGAACTTTGTCAAACCGGGTTTCCGATTCAAAGTGGAAACAACTGGAAACAACTGGAAACAATTTGGAAACAAATTGGAAACAGCACAATTTGGAAACAAAATTTGAAATCTTGAGGGACTTTATTGGTTAAAAACATCATTGCAGAAAAAAGTTTCTACAACGATAGTTACAACGATAGTTACAACGTCTTGGCTCACAGATTCTGTCACAAAAGTCTGTACAAAAGTTTCACATTTTGAAACAAACAGGGTGTGCTGAGTGGGCAAAGATTTGCAACTTTTTCATAGGCTCAGACCGTTTTTGGTGTTCAGTTCAACACAACACTTAAACAACACTCCTACAACATGCTCAGGGGTATCAGCCGGTGTGCTAGACCACAAAGCGTGCTGCAGCGAACCGCCCAGCGGTTGCGTGCTGGCCCCGTGTTTCGCGGATTCGCCAGCAGCGGCAACAACAACAACGACAACTTTTTGTCCACCACCAACGCTACCTACATCGACGAAATGTTCCAGGCGTGGAAACAGGACCCTAGCTCGGTCCATGTGTCGTGGAACGCATATTTCAAAAACATGGGCAACACCCAAATGCCAGCGTCGTCGGCGTTTGTGGCTCCGCCCACCCTAGTGTCCCACCACACCGGAGGCCATATTCCTCACGATATGGCCATGGGGGTTGCTGGGTCTTCGGCCAGCGGTGTAGACCAGGACGTGATGACCCACTTGAAAGTCCAGCTTCTGTGTCGTGCGTACCAGGTGCGTGGTCATCAAAAGGCCCACATCGATCCGCTCCAGATCTCGTTTGGCGATGACAAGTCGAAACCGCTCCCCAGAGAGCTCACGCTCGACCACTATGGATTCACAGAACGCGACCTCGACCGCGAGATCTCATTGGGTCCCGGTATTTTGCCCCGTTTCGCTCGTGAGGGCCGCAAAACCATGCCTCTACGTGATATCATCAACGCACTAGAAAAATTGTACTGCTCCTCATACGGTATTGAATACATCCACATTCCATCCAGAAACCAGTGTGACTGGCTAAGAGAACGCATCGAAATTCCTCAACCCTACCGCTACAGCATCGACGAAAAAAGACAAATCTTGGATCGTTTGACCTGGGCTACTTCTTTCGAAAGTTTCCTGTCCACAAAGTTTCCTAACGACAAGAGGTTCGGTCTTGAAGGGTTGGAAGGTATCGTTCCCGGTATCAAGACCCTCATTGACAAGTCTGTTGAGAGGGGCGTCGAAGACGTTGTGCTCGGTATGGCGCATCGTGGTAGACTTAACGTACTATCGAATGTGGTGCGTAAACCTAACGAGTCCATTTTCTCCGAATTTCAGGGCTCTGCAGCTCCAGAAGAATACGAAGGATCTGGTGACGTCAAGTATCATTTGGGTATGAACTACCAACGACCCACCACGTCCGGCAAATACGTGAACTTATCGCTAGTCGCTAATCCATCTCACTTGGAAGCTCAAGACCCAGTTGTTTTGGGTAGAACTAGAGCTATCCAATTTGCTAAAAACGATCTGGATAAGTACCAGAAGGCTATGGGTGTTTTGCTTCACGGTGACGCTGCTTTTGCCGCTCAGGGTGTCATCTACGAAACTATGGGGTTCAGCCACTTGCCCGAATACTCCACCGGTGGTACCATTCACATTATCACCAATAACCAAATTGGGTTTACTACGGATCCAAGATTTGCCAGATCCACTCCTTACCCATCGGATATTGCCAAGGCCATCGACGCACCTATTTTCCACGTTAATGCTAACGATGTCGAAGCCCTTACATTCATTTTCGATTTGGCCGCTGAATGGAGAGCTACTTTCCACACCGATGCCATTATCGATGTTGTCGGCTGGAGAAAGCATGGTCATAATGAAACTGATCAACCTTCCTTCACTCAGCCTCTCATGTACCAGAAGATCAGCAAACAAAAATCTGTCATCGATGTTTACACCGAAAAATTGATTTCGGAAGGTTCTTTCACTAAGCAAGATATTGATGAGCACAAAAAATGGGTTTGGGGTCTATTTCAAGAAGCCTTCGATAAGTCAAAGGAATATAAGCCAACATCGCGTGAATGGTTAACAGCTGACTGGGCAGACTTCAAGTCTCCTAAAGAACTTGCTTTGGAAATCCTACCCCATGAGCCAACTGCCTTGAAGGCATCTGAGCTAAAGAGTATTGGGAAGACCATTTCCTCTTGGCCCGAAGATTTCGAAGTTCACAAGAATTTGAAGAGAATCTTGAACAACAGAGGCAAAACTGTTGAGACTGGTGAGGGAATTGACTGGTCCACTGGTGAAGCCCTTGCCCTTGGTTCTTTAGCTTTAGAAGGCTACCATGTGAGAGTGTCCGGTGAAGATGTTGAAAGAGGTACTTTCTCGCAACGTCATGCAGTTTTGCACGATCAGAATTCTGAAAGAACCTACACTCCTTTGCAGCATCTAAGTGACCAACAGGCCAATTTCACCATCTGTAATTCGTCTTTGTCGGAATACGGATGTATGGGATTTGAGTACGGTTACTCTTTGACATCCCCCGATTTCCTTGTGATGTGGGAAGCTCAGTTTGGTGATTTTGCTAACACGGCTCAAGTCATCATCGACCAATTTTTGGCTGGTGGTGAGGCCAAGTGGAAGCAACGTTCCGGTCTAATTCTGTCGCTACCCCACGGTTACGATGGTCAAGGTCCAGAACACTCTTCTGGTAGATTGGAAAGGTTTTTGCAAATGGCCAACGAGGACCCTAGATATTTCCCATCTGAGGAAAAATTGCAAAGACAACATCAAGACTGCAATTACCAAGTTGTATATCCAACCACTCCCGGTAATTTGTTCCATATCTTGAGAAGACAACAACACCGTCAATTCCGCAAACCTCTAATATTGTTCTTCTCGAAACAGTTGCTACGTCATCCTTTGGCCAGATCCAGTTTGTCGGAGTTCACTGATGGTGGATTCCAATGGATCATCGAAGATGTTGAACACGGAAAGGCTATTGGCTCCAAGGAAGAGACCAAGCGCTTGGTGATTTGCTCCGGTCAAGTCTACACTGCGCTACACAAGAAGCGTGAGTCGTTGGAAGACAAGACAACCGCCTTTTTGAAGATTGAACAAATGCATCCATTCCCATTTGCCCAATTGCGCGACTCGCTCAACTCTTACCCTAACTTGGAAGACATTGTGTACTGCCAGGAAGAACCTTTGAACATGGGATGCTGGTCCTATGCGTCTCCAAGATTTGAGACTGTGTTGGCCGAGACCGACAGCTACAAGGACAGAAAGGTGAGATACGCTGGTCGCAACCCAAGCGGGCCTGTAGCTGCAGGCTCCAAGGGTTTGCACAATGCTGAAGAACAAGCGTTTTTAGCCGACGTCTTTGGACAATAGAACAGGAGATTGTGAAAAGCGATTGGCATTACTTAGTTCTTAGAAACCGTCTACGGGACATGTCGCAAGCACTCGAACGCAACACACGCACACACACAACGCACACACATATATATATATTCACCCCCCACGTAGAGTCTGAAGCTGCTCTACTACATCTACACTTATTTATTTAATGATAGCAACCGTTTGACGCGATGTGATGAACTTTTACACTGTAGTTCTTGCGATGCGTTCGTGTGTCCCGATCCCGACAGCCAATAGCACTGAAGACCGTTTTCGTGTAATACAGACATTGTCCATTAGCGTGTTCTGTGCGTTTTTGCACTTGAAAGACCAAACTGCTGATGACGAACGTCCAACAGCGCCAGATCTGGTCATCTTGTGCGCAGAACGACCTCTCTGTCTCGTGCCTCTGTCTCTGTCTCTGACTCTGCGTTGAAAGCGCAATTCTTGTACTTTCATTTGGCCTGTCTCTTAGTCTTCTGCATCTTCCTCTGATAGCACTACCCGATTTACAGTGTGTGTGGTGCCCTTGGTGTCCTTTCATCGCTTACATAGTGGCGCCAGCCCTTTCTCGAGCCCGATCTAAAACGTCTTTCACCAAAGTGGCAATCACCTTTCCTAATTGGGCAATCGTGCCTGTCAGATGCCAGCCATTTTGCCTGAACGAGGGCCCCGCCATTGTGTTTTTCTTTTCCATTAACGGTTATTTATTTCTTACCGTTAAAGCTGACGTAAGCGCGCGTCTGCGGGCTTTTTTTGTTTGTATTTACGTTTCAAAACTCACCCGTCTGTTTCTGGCCAATTTAGACCAGATCTGAAAAATCCGAAACTATAAAAGAAGACGGTGGTTTGAGGGCCTCGCGGAGCCCTGGCTCGGGGATAATATGTTGTTTCAGTAAAAGAACAAAGTAACTACAGAAAAATCTTACTCAACGGATACAGTCCAAAGCAACTCGATCTAACTTCGACACACATTCCTTTAACCGTCGAATTTCGTCTCTGTTCCTTTTTACCCAGCTCTCCCCGCAGCTCTTTTTTCCCAACTAACTACATTCATTCCTTAGCTCGGGCGTGTGTCACTGGTCTCCATTTAGTCCATTGTTATCTCTTGAGAAGCTCTGATTTGATTTCCCAAGCTCTAAAAAGGTATGTGTCTTGAGATGCGGTAGATAATCGTTTTTCGGATGTGGGTGTGTGGGTGTACTGAAAACCCAAACGTCATGTGAAAAGCACGTGATCCATGACAGGTTTTACGTGAAATGATTTTCCAAATATTACATCCCACGTCATCAAACTCAAGCTCTTTGAACTCCTGTGTCACACACAGACAACAATCCTCCCATGTCCCCCTTTTCGTGTCACCATTTTCCCTTCCTGGTCAGTGAAGCGTGTCCCAACCGCAGATTTTAACTGTGCATACCCTACTGTTTCCCATCCTGGTACTATTTTTTTTTTCGCGGTCTCATCGCTACTACCATTTTGGGATGTTGACCAAAAACCTCGAAAAATCGTGGTTTTGGCCATAAACCGCGGTCTAGCAGCAGGTAAAGGGGAAAGTGGGCCTGCGTGGTTACGCTGGTGATTGCGATGTGCCTAGTTGGATTCGGAATGTGAGATTCGTAGCTTTGGGCCTGTGTTTCAATTTTTTTCATGGCTGTTTGGCGAGATACAGATGTTATATGTTTATTCGTTTTGAAATTTGACACTTCGTTTCTCACATACACACATACACACCACTCAGAAAGACTTCCAACTCGGTTCCCTTCTTTACTAACGTTTTTTGCTTCTCAGTCAAGTTTCCCAGATCCCGCTTTCTACAGCGCATTCACTCCTTTTGACTATTACTGGAAACTTCCTGCTACTTCGGCCTTTTTGAAAGAAACGACCGATTCCTTCTGAACTATCACTCCTTTTCATCAATGAAATTTTCAGCTGCTTTGGTGCTCTCCGTGGCTAGTTCCACTCTCGTCCAGGCCATGCCTCACGTCCATAAGAGGGCCGAACAGGACGAAGCTTGCACCACCACTGCTCACGCTCACCGCGCCGGTAAGCGTGCTGTGGCCGTCGAGTACGTCTACCAAACCGTCACTGTCAATGGCCAGGGTGCTACTGTTTCGGTGCCAACCTTCACCACTTTGAGCAGTGGTTCTGCTTCTTCCTCTGCACCTGCCGCGTCCTCGAGCTCTGCTTCGTCCTCTGCGCCGGTCGCTTCTTCCAGCTCAAGCTCGTCTTCTGTGCCATCCAGCTCAGTTTACAGTGCATCTTCAGTCACTTCCTCGAGCTCTGCTTCTTCCCCAAGCTCCGCTTACTCCTCAAGCGCTGCTTACTCTTCAAGCGCTGCCTACTCTTCAAGCTCCGCTTACTCTTCGAGCTCTGCTGCACCAAGCTCGTCTTCTTCCTCTTCTTCTAGCCAGGCTTCTGCATCGGCCACCCACTCTTCCTCCTCGGGCGGGATCAGCGGTGACCTTTCTGCCTTCTCCGACCCCTCTCAACCTTTCCAAGATGGTACTATTGCTTGCAGCAGCTTCCCATCTGGACAAGGTGTTATTTCTCTTGACTGGTTGGATTTCGGTGGCTGGTCCGGTATTGAAAACTCGGACGGTTCCACCGGTGGCTCGTGCAAGGAAGGCTCTTACTGCTCTTACGCCTGTCAATCCGGTATGTCCAAGACCCAATGGCCTTCCAACCAACCTAGCAACGGTGTTTCTATTGGTGGTTTGCTATGTAAGAATGGTTTCCTCTACCGTTCCAACACCAATGCCCAAAACTTGTGTGAATGGGGTAGAGACATGGCTGACGTTGTTTCCGAATTGAGTCAGGACGTTGCCATTTGCAGAACCGACTACCCAGGTACTGAAAACATGGTTATTCCAACATACGTTGAAGCTGGCTCTACCATGCCTATCACCGTTGTCGATGAGGACAGCTACTACCAATGGAAGGGTATGAAGACCTCGGCTCAATTCTACGTCAACAACGCCGGCGTTTCTTTGGAAGATGGCTGTGTTTGGGGTACTGCTGGCTCTGGCGTCGGAAACTGGGCTCCATTGAACTTCGGTGGTGGTTACACCGATGGAGTTGCTTACTTGGCCTTGATTCCAAACCCTAACAACCGCAGTCCTATGAACTACAACGTCAAGATCGTTGCTGCCGATTCTAACAGCAACGTCATTGGCGAGTGTAAGTACGAAAACGGCCAGTTCAACGGTGGTTCTGACGGCTGCACGGTCTCTGTCACCCAAGGTAAGGCCAACTTTGTCTTATACAATTGAAGATTATGCGTTCTCGTATCCTGGCTTGCTTTACTCTTTTCATGCTGTCTGGACTTTTAACTACTGAAATTAGGCTCCTGGCTAGTACCAATCGCTTTGCGTTGTTTGTTCTTGTCCTCTGGCTAGTATGTAACGTGTATTATTAAGGTACTTTAAAAAAGGCTTGTATTCAATGGCTGCCGGGCTCTTACCATGATCTGCGCGGCTACAATTAGATCTTGTGCCACTTGAAGCGCGCGACGGAGCTTGACCTTTTCGAGCTGAACTTGATGTAAACGTTTTTATAATTAGAGGAATACGAAGAAGGTTACGCCCTGATGCTAATAAATAGAGGCACTGCTGTTATTGCAGATGAACAGCACGGAGATTTCCCACGAAAAACCTGATGGTTATCAATGGAAAGTGAAGATATTGTCTGACGCAGCAGCGATATTTAACAATCAGAAGATTTATCTTCCGCACTTGGCATGGGCTAATTGCGTGATGGCTTGCCAGTTTCGCTGCAATTACAGCTGAGATACATAAAGCGAAATAGTACTAGGGACTTGATACAATAAGTGACCGTTTCAAACACTTGAATGAAGACTGTTCTCTTGGTCAGCTTTTCCGTTCCCGCTTACCGCGCCAAAAGATCATTTTATGTGTATTTCGTAAAGATGTGGGAGCCGGAACTCAGCTTGGCGATGGGTACCGCTTAGTTGTTTGGTATTTTTTACTTTCGAGGGGGGGTACGATGGCAGCAGTGTGGTAACGAGAAGAAGTGTGTTTTCGAGGCTGTATGCATACCCTGAGCTTTGTACAAATTTCGCAGAAGCTGTCAGTTTTGTATATGGCGGCAACATAGCCGAAAATGAAGCGTTCAAGAATTGTTCGTTGTTACTGACGCATGACGGTGGTATTTGAAAGATGGTCAGTTGGATAAGAGCAATGTCTATTGCGTTTCTCACCTTATCATGCACAAAATGGAAAGAGCCGCCAAAAAGGCTGAGAGTTGAACTTGGAGACCCTTACACAGGTAAAATCCCATTCAAAGATTCCCACACCTTGATTTTGATGTATCAAGTCCTTTTTTTTTCGCTGCCGTTAGTTTTACCGTAGCTTTTCCTGCTGTATCTCGACTTTTGATTTCCATATACCATAGGGTGTAAAGACGTCCTACCATTTACACTAGAACATGTGTGAAAAGCCTGCCGGATGACAAAACCATAATCAACGTTCCAAGAACATTCTAAACTTAAGGCTATTCAAGTGAATGGAGGTACAAGATCCTTACATCCAGGAGGGACGTTGCCCACACCTAACCTTTTTGCTTACAAAAGTTGTCCCTTTGATGTACATTAAACTGGAGATCTGGACAAAGAAAGCCATATCTATCCTACAAAAGGCTACAAGCTACGAGCTACAAGCTACATCCGCGTTCACTACCCTGTACGATTCACAACATCTCATCCCATCTACCAATTGCCGGTCGATTTTCCATCAAGTGCTCATTCCCATTTACTTCTAGAGCGCCTCATCTCACTACAATCAACGCTACATTGAGCAATGATCACCATGACTCGAATCCCGGTATCGGATTTGAGTTTGCCAAGAAAAAACTCTCATAGATAAACCGAAAGAGACAAAGCCGTAGAAAGCGAACCATTGTCTTCTAATCGGTCAGTGCTTCAAGATTAACATAACAGCTATAAATGTTTAGTGCATCGAGGGAAAAGCTAAGCTACTAAGAGTCACATTCAAGCCACACAAACAAGTTCAGGATCGAAATCGATATCTTCTCCAGAATCCGCATCGATACTACTGCGGTACTAAGCACTTTAAACCGGTCTTTTAGGACGAAGTGAGGACTTGAGAGACTTCAAAGCTCTTGACAAGATGGCAGACGATGAGGTGACACAACCTGCGGTGAATTCCACTCACACTAAAGAGATACAGAATCCTATTGCGAAAAGTAGCACGCAAAGATCGTCGAAATGTGATGGGGTACCGCATTCCCGGTTTGGAGTCCGAGAAAAATACATCATGGTGCTGATGTGTGCTTCCAGTGGGATATTTTCCACGATTGCAGGGTCGATCTACTATCCGGCTTTGAATACTATCGAAAAGGAGTTCAATATCAGCACAGAACTGGTAAACGTGTCTGTGGTGCTGTATTTTGTTTTCCAAGGTTTGGCACCCACACTTATGGGCGGCTTGGCCGATACGTTTGGACGCCGTCCAGTTGTGTTGTGGTCCATCACGCTGTATTTTGTGGCTTGTATCGGTCTGGCACGCTGCAAAACGTTTGGCGAGCTTTTGTTCCTCCGGTGTTTGCAGAGTGCCGGCATTTCGCCCGTTATTGCCGTCAACAGCGGCATCATGGGAGATATCACAACTAGAGGACAGAGAGGAGGGTACGTTGGCTTGACATCGGGCTTCCAAATCATGGGCTCTGCATTTGGCGCTCTGATAGGTGGAGGAATCACATCCAGATGGGGCTGGCGTGGTATTTTTTGGTTTCTGGCAATCGGGTCAGGAACCAGTTTGATCGTCACGTCCTGTGTTTTGCCCGAAACCAAGCGTAGCATTGTTGGCAACGGATCTGTCAAACCACGCCATGCGTGGTCGCGTGCGCCGATTTTGGCGCTCCCCGCGTGGAAGAAAAAGTTGCATATCGACAACCCTGATTACGAAACGCTGGTTCCTCCCGAAAAACTTAACCTATTAACACCTCTGACTTTATTTCGTCGTCCCGAAATTTCCCTCTTGCTATTGGTGGTTGGCTTGCAGTTTTCGCTTTGGGTGACGCACTTGACGGCCATGGCGTCGCTGTTAGAAAAAGATTATCATTTATCCGTGGCTAAAGTTGGGCTGTGCTATTTACCAAGTGGTATATGCACTTTGATCAGCGTAGTCAGCGTGGGGAGGATCTTGAACTGGAACTACAAACGGCGGTATGCCAAACACAAAATATTTTTAGAAGAGCAGCGAGCGCGACTACTGGAGGAGCACAATCAAGATGAAAAAAAAGTGGATAATATCTTGGCCACAGACGTTACATTTGCCTTCAATATCTTTCGCGCACGTCTCGAGATCATCTTCGTTCCGATGTTGCTCAGCGGCGCTGGGTTTATCATTTTCGGCTGGTGTCTGGGTGCCAAACAACAACTTGCCATTGTGCTAGTTTTCAGTGGATTCGCTTCACTGTTTTCCAACTGCGTGGTTGCGTGCTCCACAACCCTGGTTGTCGACTTGTACCCACAGAAATCGTCCACGGCTACGGGGTGCGTTAATTTTTCACGCTGTATCATGGCTGCCGTGCTCGTGGCAGCGCTTAACAAGATGCTCAAGGCGATGACGGTTGGGGGTACTTTTACGTTTCTGGCAGCTCTCACGATGAGTTCAACTTTCACACTTATCATCCCCGTCAAGCATGGCATGCGAATGATGTACAAACGTAACATTCGCGCGCTGGAAGCTCAGAAGGACTCCCTTGTCGCGGACAAAGAAAGCCAAGTAAACGGAACTGGCGTCGACGACGAGATCGAGGAAGACGTCGAACAGGACGATACAGAGAGTCACTACGACGAGACCTATCATCCCTCTCACGAAAACTGCAGTGTAGCTGGTTCTCGCGAAGTTGAGATGCTTAGACGTATGTCTACGGTCCATTCATCGACCGTTGCCACGTGACCATAGTCTTGGCGTTTCATTGTTGATCTTCAAAGCCAGGGTTCTCCCCTCCAAAGAAAAGAAATTTTTCAATTTGGTCCCGCTTCGGAAAAACCGGACGCAAAATTCGGAAAAATTCGGAAAAACCTTGCCACTTATCGGCACGTGACTCTTCGGAACTTCTCGCCGGTTTGCTCCGATCGTGCATGATTCATTTTCGTAGTGTCATGAGATGATAATCGTTCATACACTGATGAACGAAAACTGCTCGAGACTGATATTCTCGAAAGCGTAAAGGCCGGACATTTATAAACGGCGAGGTATGGACGTTTTCCGATACACTTGAGGGAGCGTGAGCGTAACGCTTTCTCGTTCTTCTCTATCTATGAGTTAACAGAGATAAGATCCTATATACCAGGACCTTTTCGCATCTACGTCAATTTGGCATGCAAATTGTGACCAAAAAAATGAATACCACACAGCAGCTTTCAAATGGACCTGAGGTACCGAGCAATCAGCTCGTAAAACACCGGGAAGACTCAGAACAACGACATAGCACGAAGACCAGCAGCGATAAAGAACAATTCAAGCAACACATGCACGACGCTAGCGTCACCAGTCCGCTAGATCACAATGGTTACAAGGGAAATGGTCAAGCCGAGTATGATGACATCGAATCCGTTTCTAGATTGGTCACTCGCGAGATGCTGACCTCGACACCAGATTCCGCTAGTACGTATGCTGCATCAGTGAACGATGAGCTCGTACACGACGACAAGCTTAAGGCCCCACACACGTTATTGAACCGCTGGCAGAAATGGGCAATGGTAGGTTTGCTTACGTCAGCGGGATTCTGGTCGTCGTTAGGATCGCCCATTTACTATCCAGCTTTGAAGCAACTGGAGAAACAGTTTAACGTTGACGAAGAGCTTGTGAACATCACGGTGGTGGTTTACCTGCTATTTCAAGGTATCGCTCCGTCGATTTCTGGTGGACTTGCCGACGTATATGGCCGCAGACCGATTATTTTGTCGGGGATGCTGATATACGTTTGTGCATCCATAGGACTGGCTTGTGCGAACTCCTATGGCGTGATTGTGGTTTTGAGGTGTCTACAGAGTGCAGGAATTTCCCCGATCATTGCGATCAGCTCTGGTGTAACAGGCGACTTCACCTTGAAGCATGAAAGGGGCACGTTTGTTGGAGCTGTATCGGGATTCACATTAACGGGACAGGCTTTTGGATCGTTGATCGGTGCCGCCTTGACTGCCGCTTATGACTGGAGAGCCATTTTCTGGTTTTTGACCATCGGCTGTGGTACTTGCCTGATTGTCAACTTTTTTCTACTTCCGGAAACAAAACGGACCATTGTGGGGAATATGTCCATCAAGCCCAAGAACATTTTAAACCGTTCGCCGGTTTTTCTTCTAAAATCGGTGAGAAAGCAATTCAGGTTGTCAAATCCAGACTTGGAGACTCTAGATGTCAATAAGCCTAAATTTGACCTGATTTCCACGTTCAAAATTCTAGCACACCCTGAAATTTTAATGTCGCTGATGCCTGCAGGTCTACAATTTGCTCTTTGGACGCTAACTCTCACTTCACTGTCATCTCAACTGACAGCCGCTCCATATAATTACAAACTTACTATTGTGGGTATCTGTTACCTGCCCAGTGGCATTGGTGGTTTGATTGGGTCGTTTGTGACTGGGAAAGTCATAGACGTGTACTATAAGAGGGCAGTGAGATCATTTGAGAGAAAGAAAGAGCAGGGCCTCATTCCTCCAGACGCAAAGTTCAATACTCTCAGATCGCGACTATTCACCTCAATTCCCCAAAACTACATGTCCGTTGCAGCATTCACAATTTTCGGATGGAGTATACAAAAAGGCTGGCACATTTCCGTTCCGCTCATTACATCCGCCATAGGGTCTTTCTGTGCGATGAGTACACTTTCATCGTCGTCCACGTTGCTGGTTGATCTTTACCCCAACCGCTCATCAACCGCTACCAGCAGCTACAATTTCGTGAGATGCACATTGAGTGCTATTTTCATGGCTTGTCTGGCTAAAATGAACAAAGCGTTGACCATAGGTGGAACTTTCACTTTAATAAGCGGGTTTGTCTTCATTGGAAACCTCGTCACTTTGATCCCCATTATGTATGGAATGAAGTGGCGCGAGGAAAGGGCGCTACGGGCCGAACGGAAAGCGATGATGACTGAATGAACAGGTAATACTTCTAGACTCGATATAAAATTGAACATATTAATACACTTTATAATAGTATTGACAGGAAGCGGTAACGGTAACGATTTCGCAATGGCCATTGCCAAGCATCTATGGGACGGAAGCTTGAATTTCTGAAAATTGAATACAACTCGGGGGGATTTAATATACAAAAGGAGCAAGCGATGTATAACTGCAGGCAAATAAATGAAACTGACGTTCTTAAGTTTGGGAACGGAGAATTCGGTGAAATAAAAAAAAAAAAGGAGCTATTGTACCAAGATCACTGGGATGCACACTGGACGCCTTCAGCCCCACCCTTTTCTTCATCATCAGAATCGTAGTTGGAGCCTCTACCGTAAGATTGAGAAGCAGAGTGCCTGGATGGATCGAAATCACTCAACACGCACTCTTCCACGTCAGCACTCTTGGGGAAGGTTGGGACGTTTCTTGGTGGTAAGATCTGCTCTAGTTTCTTCAACGACTCTTCGTCGGCAAAATGGTTTTGTGGGAAATTTACCTTGAAAGTGATGATCAAGTTACCGTAACCACCGTATTTCTGAATTGGCATACCCTTGCCCTCGATGACTTTGGTCATACCTGGAGAGATAACCTCACCAGCAACAATACCAACCTTGAGCCATTCGCCAGACACGTGCTCGACGGCAAATTCACCACCGGCCACAGCGGTGAGAAGATCAACTTCCGCTAGATAGTGTAGGTTGTCGCCCTTTCTTTCGAAATGTTTGTGAGGTCTTTGTGTGATGGCAAAAACGACGTCTCCGGGAATGATATCTGGGGCCTGGTCGGCTTCGCCTTGGAAAACGATTTTTTGGCCGTCTTTCATACCCGGTTCGATGTGCACTTCCAAGATCTTTCTTTCGTTAGCCACCTTCTTACCGTTGCAGACTTTACAACGGTCCTTAGGGTCGATGATGGTACCGGTACCGTGACATGCGTCACACTCCACCTGGAATCGCTGGATCATAGGACCCATCTGTCTGGTCACAAACTTCATACCCTGACCGTTACAAGAGACACACTTTTTGACGGCGCCTTCTTTGCCACCGCGACCGTTACACCCACTGCACAAAACCTGTTTGTTTAGGGCGAGTTTCGCAGTTCTGCCTTTGTACAGCTCCTCTAGCGTTGCTGCCATTTCGTGTCTGATGTCCTTACCTCTTTGAGGGCCTCTTGGTCTTTGGGCACCGCCGCCGCCGAAAAACTGCGAGAAAATGTCGTCTCCGAATCCGCCAAACCCACCAAATCCTCCGGCTCCACCGCCTCCGCCGCTCAAGCCTTCTTCTCCCACTTGGTCGTAGATGTTACGCTTTTCTGAGTCGCTGAGCACTTCGTACGCCACGGTAAGTTCTTTAAACTTTTCAGCTGCTTCTGAACTGGGATTTTTGTCGGGGTGGTATTTCAACGCCTGTTTTCTGTATGCCTTTTTGATTTGGGTGTCGTTGGCGTCCACTGCGACGCCCAAGAGGTCGTAAAATTTCGTTTCTCTAACCATTTTGTGTGTTTAATAAGCTTTGAAAAGTAGTTAGGAAGAAAATGGGTTGAACTAGTTGAACTGGTGGAAACTGGATGCAAACTGGTTGAAACAATAACGCTCGGAACAGTATTCAGGTCTTCTTTTCCAAATTTGTTTTTTCTAAACTGGAACTTGATAAAAGTGTATATTTGATCAGAAGACAACTAAGAGTATTCTATCAGTTGAACAATGCGAAAAAGAGCTGGAGAAAAACAGGGTTTTTTTCGAAACTAAGTTCAGTAATGAGGTCTCGGCCAAACAAGTTATCGCTTGGAGTTATAAGTGAAGATCAAGGCGTTTCGACTTTGGTTTTGTCGAAAGATTGATGGTTTCTTTATATAATGTTAGAGAGATGAGATGCGCACATCGTCTTTCTGACAAAAAATTCAGAATTATTTTTTTTTTCTCTTATTAGAAATTTCTCGAATAAGTTTGATGTTGATATAGTGTTCGTATGAGGTGAGCGTCAGTGTGTCGAGGGAGTGATAGCAAGGGAGAACACAGGAGAGAAGCAACGATGGAAGATGGTGGTGGTGGGGTCGTTAGATCAGGACAGTAATTTGGTTGCTGTGTAGTGAATTGTCTTCAAAAAGCCAAGAAACTATCTCTCTATGCACGGTGGATGTTTGGTGGTCACGTGATATGGTGCAAAATACAGTGATGACAGCGACACTCAAATGTAGTAGCGTCTTTCAATGGTAACGAGTCTTTTTAGTTGGTGTGTGTGTTGCAAGACAAGCTTTCCTCTGAAATTGAAGCTTTTATCTTTCGAATGTTAGATCCATGACATTCACGTGACACAACGACAGCGACAGGATTGACTAAAGTACCGAAAGAATTTAAAAAAAGCTACTGTTTTGAATTGAATGACAGCATTTGTACCGAGTGGTACTTGCATCAAAGGTACTAACTATGGTGCTATTTATTGAATTAATTTCACCCAGCAAACTTGTAACTTTTTACATCCATCAGGGACATTTTATCCAGTTTTTAAGCTCATCTCATTTACGCTAAATAAATTACGGAGAGATAACGCTAAACTCACATAAAGAACAGTTCACACCATATAGTTATGGAAAGAATCACCGGTGAGAGAAGACGTCTATCGTGCAACGACATTTCAGAGACAGAGTCTCGACACGTAAATAATCAACTATATCTGCGATATCGCCTGCTTTTCCATAATTTTTCAAATCTAATTCAACTGCGCAGCTCTTTACACTGCCTTAATGCACCCTACGCCTTTTTCAACTCCAACAAGATGACAACGCTTAGTGGATTCAACGCCAAATTCGTTATTCTTCTTCTCGCATTGTAGTACTCTCACGTGTGTTGACATAAATCTGACGCTGCTAGAGAGACGTTCTAACATGATTTGACGACCAATGTTGAGTCTTACACAGTATAAAAACACGTACTTCGTCAAGTGGTCATCGCAAACCGAGCACTAAATGCACTCTACTTCGTATCTTATTTTCAAAAACATACTGTAACTATGCTTAATGCATATCAGGGGGGTGTCAGCTGCAACTTCCGAAATAAATCTAGATTTACCACCTACCGTCATCCAAAACTCGGTTTCAATTTCATGAACATTAGTACATAGCATCTCGGCAATTTTCAAAAAAGGTGCCAATCATTCCGGTAAACCTTAACTTCAGGTCAATCCGTTCCAAGAGTCTCAAAGCAAGACCTAGATGTGTCATTCAAAACCTTCTAAAGCGCACATCAACAAATTCACAGAAAAACACTACAGAGTACAAATCAAAGCCTACAATAGCATCCCGTTCAACATTCAGTGACACGAATTCTGGAAACTTGACAGTATTTGAATTATGCCACCGTCACCTGACTCCACATCTCATCTCATCTCATCTCATCTCGTCTCGTCTCGTCTCAAGATCGCTGCGATGCCTTCACTTGTCCACAACGGTTCCCCAAACTCAACCTCCCTACTGACGTCTCGGCATGCCCAGGATAAGGCCTTCGACTTTTCGGAAAGCCCTTGCCATAGATAAAGCATTGCCTTTTTTACTTCCAGAATGCAGATCCATCGCTGCCGCTAAACAAGAGCTACAATGGATCAAACAAGAATGCCACACAAAACGTCAAGTATTTGAATTTTGTAAACTGCGACGTAATCATTATCCGTTGCAGTACCTTCTAAAATCACAGCCGTTCGGCCCTTTGGACATTTCTTGCAAACGTGGCGTCTTGATTCCACGGTGGGAAACCGAAGAATGGACAATGGACCTTGCACAAAGACTAGTAAGTAATAGCGAACTGCGTCTCGTGGATCTGTGTACCGGTTCTGGTTGTATTGCTCTTTTGATGAAGCATCTGCGACCAAAACTAACCGTCAATGCCTTTGATTGCTCACCTCTAGCAATAAGTCTGGCTTCCCAAAACGCTCAAAAGCTCAATATTCACGTTCAGCTGGGCTTACAAAATATACTTGATGATAGCGCCGCTGCCGCTCTTCCTGATTTCGATATTATCACCTGTAATCCGCCATATATTCCGCACTCGACCTTTGTCAAAGAAACCTCCACGTCGGTAAAACTTTATGAGCCAAAACTAGCACTTCTTGGGTCATTCGAGTTTTACGAAAATTTGGTCAAAACTTGGCTTTCTAAAACTGACGCTTTTGTTTATGAGGTTGGAGAGCTATCTCAGTGCACTTACGTCCAAAATAAGATTGCACAAGATTCTATATTGTCTAAACTGTGGCGAGTGGGATTCAAGTTTGATTCCAACCATCGCATAAGGGTAGTTTACGGCTATAAGCAAGCCAATACCACAGTGGATTGGAGTAAGATATTCCAAGATTTTGGTGAGCTTAAACACTAAAGTGCATGCTATGTGACTACTTACAATTATTCTGTCTTTTGTTTTTTCGCCTCTGTCGTCACCGAATCTTCAGCGATGAATGGAACTGGTGCTTTAACTTCAGAGGGATCAACTGGTAAAACGCGGTGGCACCACATAAGGTAGCCTCCACCACCCCTCATTGTCATGGCAGGATGAAGACGACCTCTTATGGTTTGAAACGGCCTGCAACGAGTCTCCATTACGCTAGGTGCGAGGTATCGTAGATCGTCATACAATACATGCGATAGCTCCAACAACGTTTCTCTGAATTGACTGTAACAAACAATTGGTCTCGAGCCGTGAACTCTTTCGCCAAGTCTCGGTACGAACGACGGGAGATGTAAGGTAGACGCAACAACCAAGCCATCGTACTGGAGTTTGGTCGCCCAATCTATAATGTTGAGTTGGCCATTGTACCATTTCAAGCGGCGATAATATGCACCCTTCTTGTTGCTCTTCATGGCTTTCAATTCATCATCGGACAGCGGTTTGAGCGCTCCTTCAACTTCTGCTAACTTGGGCGGCTCAAAGTATTCGAGTACTGATATAGTCTTGACATGTGTTTGGATGAATTCCTCAGTGTAGTTGGAGAACTTGAGCAGATCTAGGTTTGCGTGTTCATTTTCATGCACCACAATTATTTGTCCGGTAGCAGTGTCATTAGTATCCCCTCCGAACATTCTTTCAAGCATCGCGTATACCAAGAGACCGCCGGTTTCGTCCACACATAAATATGTCCCGGAAGATCTGATATTGGCCAAGTTGAGAATCATCCCTAAGCTTTCTTCAGACATGTCCATGGCGCGAACAACATCACCTTTATCTAGTAAATACTGTAAGAGTCCGGAACTACTCAAGTATTCAACAGTAAAGCGTTTGGCAAACTTTTGCTTTTTACGCTTCAAATACTTTTCCTGTGAAAACACAGTCTTTTGATGGAAGCTGCCGTGCGCCTCGATCATTTTGTTGATGATGTCCTCTCCAGACGCACTTTGAAGCTTCAATTGCTCGATTTCTTCGGAGGACAGTTTTTGGATGCTGCTGCCGATGTTGATCAGATTTTTATTAGAGTCACTGTTACCGATGAGTTGTAATTCAGGCTGTGGTGTGAACTCCTCATCCGAACCGGAACCATTTGCGATTCGGCCGGCCAGGAAATTACTGTCAATAACTTTAAGGTTACCGACTGGTATTTTGAATTTCTCTTTTGAGCTCTTTGATGCATCAACCTTCTTGACATTAGGTATATTTTCATCATCGGCTAAATTGTCGTACTGAATTTCGAAAGTCGTCCCAAATGGGAACCCAATGACATCATTTGTCCTGAACGCCCCGAATTTGCCCAACGAGATGTCACTGTCTGCTTTCAATTCGCATATTTTTAGATTATCAGAGGGAAGTTTTATCAGCACATGTGTGTTGAATGAAATACGTGTGACGGGGTCCATTTGCCGCACAGTTTTTGGATCACAAATACTGGTGAAATATTAGACTCTCTAAGTCTCGAAGAGGTTTCTATGGACGTGAGGTTTGATTTGAAAGCTGTGATGCGATGACCTGGCGGGAGAAGGTTGACGGTGATCTTGAGCACTGAAAAATTCGAGCGATGAGATCATTGAGAACGAGGGTGCGTTTCGGGCTCGTCAAAGGTTGGAGCAAGTACAACGCAGTGTAAACGATCTCGCTAGTGATTCATTGTCTGTGACAATTGGCGCTTAAAATTTCGAAGTATGTGCGGAAACATGCCTTTTAATGTACGAACGACACTTTCGAGTTGGATGACACCTTGTATCTTGGAGTTCGAGATCAGCGTTTTGAGGGTGTTTGACCTTGCAGGCTTAAAAGCGATGCTGCTTTTCGAAGACTAAGAGATGGAGGCACCTCAAAGCTGTGGATGTCAGAGTTTTTCTGAGTTACTGTTCACTTCTAAAATTTATCACTTTGTACATTTTTGTCACGGCATCTCATGTCATAAAAAATTCTGAATCATAGCGACTACCCAATGATACAAAACATCGGGAACGGTAAAGCCGATATTTGCAATGACATTGTGCTTCAAACGGGCACAGTACCTTCAATCCCGGTTTCCATTTTTTTTAGAATCATGTTTTGAAAAAATACGACCGTTGGCACCAAAAAACTGCAAATAATACGTTCCTATTCAAACGGAAGCTTCTCGATGTTTTTAGTCTATCCGTAACCCAATTATAACAGCTGCCTCCATAGTCTTTCCGTTGTGGCTATTTTCGTGTCGCTGACGTCTCAGCATACCAAGATCTACTTTTAATACTATGTATTTTCATAGTGGAAAATTTTCAATTAAAGCTCATCTCATCGCATCTCATCGCATGTTCAGAAAACTCTCGACGGGTTTGAAAGTACTGAAAACAACGCCATAACCTTGTGCCAGCACGTTTGAAGATGGGTAGCAGACAGTATAAGAACAAGCAAGCTGCTCCACCAAGTTTGGATGAGTTCCAAGCGAGAAAATCCAAGAAATCCGACAAAACGCATACGAAGGGCAAGAGAAAGCCTGAAGTCCATGACAAGAAGTCTCATCATAAATCCAAGCGTAGAACTGACGGTGACGATGAACGCAAGGCCAAAAGAGTAAAATCTGAGAAAAAAGTGACCAAAACACCCGAGGCAGAGGCAGAAGTGGAAGAAGAACAAGAACAAGAAGTCGACCAAGTAGAAAATAAAGAAGAGAGTAATAAGCCAAAGTTTCATAGCAAAGATGTGAACGAAGACGAACTTCCCGAAGTGGATCTCGAAGCTCTTTCGAAATCCAAAAAGTCACTTTTCGACGACAACGACGATGAAGATGCCGAAAACAGTGAGGACGAAATCGATGAAGACCTCCAGGACGAGTTTGATCTAGAACAGGAATTCGAGGGCGAGGACGACGGCGAAGAGAAGGAACGTCCTTTTTTCTCGGACGAAGAGGATGAAGGCATGGAAGAATTGAACGCTGCCAACATGGAAGCGCTTTCTGCGAAGCTGGACGAAGAACAAGCTCTGGAAGATGAAGAGGCTGAGGCTGAGCTTGTTGAATCGGGTCTGGTACAGCCAAGGGCTCAAATTTTGCCCACTCAGGAAGAGGAAGAAGCCTTAGCCGGTCAACCTACCGACCTGAACGCTGTGCGGACCCGTATGCTTGAAATTGTGAAGGTTCTCGAAGACTTTAAAAACCTTGCAGCTGAAGGACGTTCTAGAAGCGAGTATGTGGACCGTTTGGTAAAGGATCTATGCGAATATTTTGGATACACTCCTTTCCTTGCCGAAAAGCTATTCAACCTCTTCTCACCTACCGAAGCTCTTGAGTTTTTCGAAGCCAACGAAATTGCCAGACCCATTACCATCAGAACCAACAGTTTGAAAACAAGAAGAAGAGATTTGGCTCAAACCCTGGTAAATCGCGGTGTCAACTTGCAACCCATTGGATCCTGGACCAAAGTTGGGCTTCAGATTTTTGATTCCCAAGTTCCAATCGGTGCTACACCTGAGTATTTGGCTGGTCAATATATTCTGCAAGCGGCATCTTCGTTTCTACCCGTAATTGCCCTCGATCCGCACGAGAATGAAAGAATTCTTGATATGGCTGCTGCACCTGGAGGTAAAACGACCTACATTTCGGCTATGATGAAAAACACAGGCTGCGTTTTCGCAAACGATGCCAACAAAGCGAGAACTAAGTCTCTCATTGCTAATATCCACCGTTTAGGTTGCACTAATACAATCGTTTGCAATTACGATGCACGCGAATTTCCAAAGGTCATTGGAGGATTCGATAGAATTTTATTGGATGCACCATGCTCTGGTACAGGAGTTATTGGAAAAGATCAATCGGTAAAGGTTAATCGTACTGAAAAGGACTTCATGCAAATTCCACATCTTCAGAAACAGCTACTGCTTTCAGCAATCGACTCGGTCGATGCCAATTCAAAAACTGGTGGTATAATCGTTTACTCTACTTGTTCTGTTGCAATCGAAGAGAACGAAGCTGTTGTTGATTACGCTCTCAGGAAGAGACCTAATGTCAAATTAGTTGATGCTGGATTGGCTATTGGTAAAGAAGCATTTGTCAGTTACAGGGGCAAGAAATTTCATCCCAGCGTCAAATTGGCAAGAAGGTATTATCCCCACGTATACAACGTTGATGGGTTCTTCGTAGCTAAATTTAAGAAGGTCACTTCTTCTAAACATGACGATAATCAAGCAGATGCAAAGGAAAAGGAGAGAGCTGCCAGATTGGAGGCTGTGGAAGAAGGCCTTATCCATGACGACTTTGCCGACTTTGGTAATGACGAAGATGAAAAGTATATTCAGAAGTCAAGAAAAATCGGTCTCCTCAAAAAGGGTATCGACCCCAAGGCCAAAAATAACAATGTTAGAAAATAACCTAAAATTTGCATCAACTTCTCTAGCACCCAGTTTAAAATGTACATATAGTATCCATCAATGTCATAGTGACATTTTAGAATTGTACCATTTATTAGCATTATGCGGTTGCACCTGCGCGTGCCGAGTCACAGGTACGTAGCGTTACCTAATCTATGCTCTTTTATGTAGTCCGCGCCGTATTCTTCGTATTCATGTCTTGTTACGAAGGTGTCTTTGTAAGTCTCTGACCGGGAAAGTTTTACCATACCTTTCCAGGCATCTACCGACGGATCTTCGGCAAGTGTGACATTTAAGTCAGTACCAATCGGAAGAAATCCGGTGAACTCGCGAACTACTCTCTCTCTTGTCCCCGGCACTTTGACATTTCCTCCAGTCAGAAAGATATTCATGGCTAGCCGCCTGCTTACTTCGCTCAATGATCGCCTGCTCGAACCAAACTTGTTCAAAAGTATCGTTTCTCCTATCTCTGTTATTCCAGCTTGGTCCAAACCTCCCATTGACGGTTGAAAGATAACCTCAGGGACCCTCATTCGCTCAACATTGAGGTGCATCTGATGTTGCTCATTGATATTTTCGCTGTTATGTGGCCTTGGTCCTCTCAAAAATAAATGCAAAGTGGAATTACGCCAGTCATATTGTGCATCGAGAGTATCCTCTTCAGTAAAGTTGGGATCGTACTCCAAGAGAAGTCTCTCTAGCTCAATTATGACGTTATACTCCTCTTCAATAGACTGATCGAGCGCTTCAGCACTCGAAGTGATATCATTGTAAACCAGCCAGTCCTCATCATTTGCACCAAAAGTATCATTGGGATCATTGTCGACCGTAGCTGGTTGACGTGATCTTTTTGTACCACCGCGGGAATTTTCTTCAGCAAGTGTGGCAATGTTCTTCATCCGTTTCTGCGCAGCATGAGACTTTCTGTCCTTCATGTCTGACTTTATTTTCAACTTGTCTTTTCTTGACTTCAATAAGGCATTGAGTTTGCTTCGTTTGTTTTTTACCCAGCCAGAAAGGTCATCTTTCCGCCAACTTTCGTCCTTAAGTCTCGCTTCTTCCTCTTCCATTTCTTTCCTTATTCTTTCCTCCTTAGCCTTGATCCTAGCGTCCAGATTAGCTTTCATGAGTCTTTGTTTTCTCTTTTCTCGTATCTGATCTTCGTTGAGTTGCTCATCTGGAATTTCAACAAGGTCAAATTTATCCGTCTCGTTCTCATTGTCTTCATTGCCATTATCGATGACCTGAGCTTTCTTCAAGGTCTTTTCTAGCCCACTAACGTATTTCCTGAAGTCTTGCTCATCATCGAACCCAGCACTTTGCAAACTTGATAGGACGGCTTTTTTGGGCTGATCCTTCATTTGCTCTTGTAGCTGTGTATAATATTCATATTCTTCTTCTTTTTGAGCCAATTTCTCGACGCGTCGTTGACGAGCTTGCTCTTGAAGTCTCTTACCAGTTTCTCTTCGTTTTTCCGCTTGAAGACGAATCTCTTCCTCACTCTTCTCGGGCTGAACTAACTCTGAAAATGGAGCCTCAACGACGATATTCTTCGTCTCAAGTTCCTCCATCGTGAGAATTGTTTGAATGTCAGCTTGGTAGTCCTCCGAAACGTAGCAATAGTCGCGATAAAGTACTTCGAACTGAGAAGTGGTCGGTTTGATAGGAAAATATGGGTACTTCATAGCCAGCATATTCGACAAATAATCTGCCGCCTGACGACCGCCCCAATTTATTCGCTTAGCTTCGGAAAGTACGCCTTTACCTTCCACAACCGGTATTACATGCGTATCCTCGTTACCGCTACTAATGACCAAACCTGAAGCTGATGGATCGTTATTTGCGTAAAATGAGAAAAGACTATCTAGTCCAAAAGTGACCTGGGACGATCCAAAGCACTCGAAAAGCAATTGATAGAAATTCTGTCGCTGAGATTGCAGTGTCGCAAGGTTTTCTGTCATTAAAATAGGATTTGGAACCCCATCTTCTCCGTTCACACCCAGATGATGGAACGTGTATTCCAAAATCTCCTCCGTGTAGTCCCAGTTCGACACAATTGCACCGTCGTACGGGCTCTTCGCTTGCAATCTTACGCTTAAATCCAGATTAGTATCGTTTCCAATAAATGTTAGGTTTTTGTTTCGTCTACGGTCTCTCCATCTTGCAATCCGGTTGTCAAAAATGTGACTAGGGTTTTTCTGGTCTCCGAACCCAGCTCTCACTTGGCTGGAGCCAAAATCAATTGCAATTGGGGTCTCCGGATTGTAATTGGCCGGATCATCGAATGGTTCAGGTTCTAGCGAAAGATCAGGCTCTCTCAATGGATTCGCTGTTAATGGTGCTAAGCTTTGTTCTCGCGACATTGTTAGTGGAGCCTGGGCACAGTTCCAAAAGCTTAAGTATCTTTGATAGAATTTAAGGCTTGCTAGAAGTATTAAAAGAGGTTCAGAGTCTAAATGTTCAACTGTTTAAAAATTTATCCAAGTGTATTCTTTCTGTTCTATTAAATAATATAAATGTTGGCTATAGCCACCACTGCAAAGAACATTTAAGCAGATAAAACATCTAGGAGCGTGACCTCCGGGGAGGCTTCAATACGATTCTTTGGTGTATATATATTCACGTATATATAAGTGTGTACATATGAGTATTTGGATGTAGCTACTGGACGTAGCTACCGCCGAAGACTTTGCTGTGCTTAGAGGTTTAACAATCAAGAAAGGTCAGAAGCTCCGATTTCATGCCTGTCATTTGCTCTCAAAACGGGGTTGAGAAAGACTTCCTCCTCGTGCTTGGCGCTGAAAGGAGCTTTGAGCTTAATTGGGCAGAGCTTCCGACTTATGAGTGCCTGTGAGAAATGTTGCTGAGCTTTGGCAGCTCTGTTCCGCACTTTGCTTGAATATTCTTCGTATTGTTCTTTGGGAAGTGCGGCCAGAGCGTAGTTCGGGTTGACGAATATCGCCATTGAGCCCTTTTGGCCAAATCCAAACGATGTCAGAGAAGCTGCTTTGATAGTACCAATTTTCAAACTTTCGGAAGGATAGACCAGATGCTGGTGCTTGGCGAATTCTTTATCAATGTTGTCAGCGTTTCGGTTTCCCGGTACCACTCCTTCCTGCATCGATTGCAAAATACCGTTAGCCATCCACGCTCCAGCAGCACCTTTGGGATGCCCGGTCAAGTGTTTCTGGAAGACTGAAAGAACCGGGTTTCCCTCGGTCCTTCCCAAATGGGCCATCATCGTGTTGAGTACGTGGGACTCATTCTTTTCGTTCGCTTTTGTAGATGTACCATGGCAGGACGCAACAGCAACATCGTCGATCGTCAATCCGAAAGTGGCAAGACTGCCTTTAATGGGAGAGATAGTTGGGTTTTTGTGCCAAAAAGTGTTCCCCCAGTGACTTCGGGCTTCTTGTTGCTGAGTTTTGACGAGTTGATCGACAAACGCAGAGTCCATGCCCTCGGCCCTTTCGTTTTCGCCCCATAGTTTGATCTCGCTCAAGCGCAGGTTCAGTTGGCGTCGTCTGTACTCCGGGCTCAGCTTGTAACTACTACTATGCGACTTAGCAGCGGTATTCTGACGAGCACAGGTTAAAATTCCTTGGCCGGGCGCGGGAAGAGATTTACTGATCTTGTCTGATGCTGTGCCTGTCATCGCGACTATGCCATATATAGGCACACCCATTTCAATAGCGACGTCTGCGGACATAAGAATTTGTATTCCTGCTCCCTGAGATTCCATGAAACCGTTACGGGTCGATGTTGCAGGTCTACACATTTCGTCCGGATCTCTGCCATGTTCCAATTCCACTTTTGAGTTCGATGTTGCCCCCATATTTCCAAATTCATTAGCAATGTTTTCCTCATAATCATCGCAACCGCCAGCAATGCAAATTTTAGCCTTCTTTGAGAGAATGGTTTCCACCGCATTGTCCAGAGACTCAACCGCAGTGGCACATGCGCCAACTGGTGTTTTGATCGGACCTGATGAGGATAGCAAAAGCATATTAATCCATGCCGCAGTGACATTGGCGAAAGTTTCGGGTAGGACATCAGATTTCACGTCTCCGTCTTTGTAACGATTTTTCTGCACTTCGCAGTGTGATTTCATACCACCGATACCCGAACCAACGCAGTTACCAACCTCGGAGACATGGACATATTTGAAAAGCTCGTAGGGGTCTTGAACACCCGAAGTAATAAAAGCCTCTGCTGTAGCTGCCAGTGCGTATAGCGTAATTGGGTCCACCTGAGATATTATGTCATCCGGAATACCGAGTAAAGCTGGATCCCAACCATCTGGAATTTGACCTGCAACAAATCGCTCCGAATTCATTGCCTTCGGAATCATGAGACAACACCCTTTTAGAAATTTGACCAAGCATTCACTCTCGTCTTCTACAGGGTATATCTCCAATTTTTCACCGTGGTGCAACTTGTATTGTTCTGCTTGCTCAGCGGACATTCGAACCGGGCTCAAATCATGTGTAAGGACGATTTCATGAAGTACTTCTTTTTTGTGAATATCAAAATGAGGAGAGGGATTTTTTCCAACAAACCGTATGCCACAACTTTCTCTTATCTGATTCTCATACCTCGTTTTAATCTCAAACTCTTGAACTGCTTCTTTTGTCTTACAATCGATCCAGGTCCCGCCACTTCCGACATTGCGATACTCAATCAACCCCATGATAGTTGCCAGTTCTATGCAGCCCTCCAAAGAAAACTTATGATCTCTTTCCATCTCCCAACGTGTTCTTTGACTCCCCCAAGGTCCAATTTCTCCGAAGCCGGTGACGACGACCACACTTGACAAGTCGAGAAGCCCGCTTAGGTTATCACCATTGAAATGTTCTTTAACTTCCTGATGCTGTAAGATTTTGGGAAAGAAAAGGTGGCCTGCTCCTCTAGGTTGGGCCTCTACGACGGGATGCGAGATATGGCCTCTAAGTTTGGAATCACACAAACGCTGTTTGTTGATCTCTTCCGTCACCTGTTCCATTTCGTCGTGATCGGTTCTGAGTTTGTCCACGATCAGACTTAAATTCGGGTGCGCTTGCAAGCCTCCGTTTAGGTCTGCTATCAAAGGAGTATCTTGACAGTAAAAAATGACCTCATACGTTAAAAGACCCAAAATGTTGAATGCCATTTCATTGTTTGCAAATGTCCGGATTCCCACTTTCTCCAATCCACGGGAAATATAATCACCATCACCGTCGTGTGTCCATCCATTGACACAACCACAAATACTTAATTCTGCAGACCAGTCTTCATCAAACCATTTTTGAAGCACGACCGCCATGAAAGTATCTGAGAAGTTGTATTTTTCGTTAATGTTTGCATGAGTTGGTGAAAGCGGGAGTAAAACGTGCGTCGGCCTTGTGTCCGTTCCCATTGCCCTCTTTTCTCTCACAATACTACCAAGGAAACGTAGCAAATTGATGCTAGAGGACCTATGGGCTAGTTCTGCGGCCGAAGTATAATCCAATATTGACTCACAAGTTGTTCTCACATGTAAGGGCAAAAAAAAGTCAATATCGCCCATTTTAGAGAACAAATGCGTGGAGAATTTGATAACATCTCTTTTGGAACTCATGTTCAAGGGAAGCACGACTAGCTCAGAGCTCGTGGAACCATAATTCTGGTAGCACCTCTGGAAGATATCACATGTCTTGCGATCAAACTGCTGTGTCCCTACCACTATCTTTGAACCAGCTTGGAGTAGGGCACGTATGACCTCTAAAGCGATTTTATCCTCCGCGCCTGTGGTAAATATCAATGTTCTTTTGCCATAAAAAGAAACCCCGTTGATAGCTATTTTTTGAAGGTTATTGAGATAGGTCTGTGTGAGCTGCTTGTCATAGTTCCATTCTCCTGACACATTAGATCTCTTTTTGAGGTGTACAAATGGCACTATACCGGTGGGTATCTTGACTTCGGGTGCCACCTTCTTTGCCTGTCTGTAGTCTGATGACATAAAGTGATCGTCCTCTTCGTCGGACGACAGCACCTCGATATCATCAACAACAATGTCTTGAAAACTGTCTTTGGTTGGAATCAAACCCTTATTGACGGATCTCACAGCTTCATTAACAATACTTCTGAAGAATGAAGCTACATGGTCTGAGTTTCTCAGGAAGATCAACAACTGTTCGTACACCGTGTCAAATTGAGACCGTATGTTTGCTGTCGGATTATTCGAGTCTAAAGAGTACCTTATGATTTTAGAGTAAACTTGGAAAAGCTCTTTTTCAACCTTGTAGTAGCTATCCATATCGCCGCTTAATCGAGATGAAAAAAAAGAGTGCTCGGTTTCTTGAGATGCCGCCGCTAATGACATTTCTTTGATATAGTGCGTTGCATTATGAGGATGGCACAGAAGCCTAGATTTAGCGGCTTCAAAGTTCTTCACGTAAAAGAGCGGTGGCTTGGAAATCTCCTGTAAACTGTAATTCACGACCTTTTCGAACAACTCCCTTACGGCAGCGTCGTACTTATTTTTTTTCAGTGTGTACTGGATAATTCTAACAACATTGACATCGGCTCTATTCGCGATGTTTTGAACGACAGATGGATTCAAAATTTGTGCGATTTTTTCCGGCTCTCTTTGAAGAGCATAGAGTAGTTTGATGATAGATTGTCGCGCCCAGTTCCATGATGAGTCAAATGTTCTCACTTTCAAAGGGGAAAACGACCGCATTAACGATTTTTCAATAAGATCATTTCCAAACTCTTCCTCAATCGCTGAAACCTTACCCTTCATTTCAGCTACTTGAGCCCGTAGTTCTTCAATCTCGGACCTTTCACTGGAAACCTTCAAACGTTGACCAAAAATTTGATTTTGGTGATGATGTAGCTGCGTCAAATCATTTTGAAAAGCCATATAGCTTTCAATGCTTATCACCTTGGGTTTTTCATCATCATCTGCCTCGATGCTCAAATTTTGCTGACCCGCTTCCGACAAAGTTGTAACCTTAAGAGGGATGTTGTAAATTTTAGCGTATTCTGCGCAGCTGTCGTCGATGAACCGTTTCGTTTTTTCTTCACTCGCAAACCTCTCTTTTATATTTTTTGAACCGAGGAAAACAAGAATACCTGATGTGGTTCGTATATTCCATGTATCCTTTAAGTAACGTCGGACACTGCTCAAGCTGCATAAATCACCGGTAAAACTTCTAGATATGAAGCTGCTCAAAACATCGGCAATCAATGGGCCGACAGCATCAGAGTCGTCATCAAGAAGTGTTGCTTCCTTTGATAAAGTGCTAATTGGCATGTCCTCGATTTTGTGGACGTCTTTTAGCGTCGGAAATTGCTTGTATATGTCAGCAACTAACTCATTCTGGACCGTTGACTTTCCATTACAGACTTCCTTGAGAGACTTTTCTAAAGGTAAGGAATTCACCTCAAAGGCTATCAGCTTTCGGGATATAATGAATCTCAAAGCAAATTCAGGTGTTAAACGTACAGCATCCACGCCCTTAGATAAAGGGTGTTGACTTTCGTGAGCCTTTTGAAGGGACTGGTTAAAGTCACGTGCAGGGTGGCCGACAACTACACCCGCATTTTTAGCTGGAATGGTCATGGTGTTGGAGCAGCCAGAAGTGTCATCTTTTGATGGCGGGTTATAGTGGTAACATATCTCGTCCATATTGCTAGCAGTCGAGAGTACCTGACGCCGAGTAGTTATCGTTGTAGCGCACTCGTATTTTGCAGCTTGGCTGAGAGTCCTCTTCGCGATATTAGCTAGGATTGGTTGAGGACCCACTTCGATCAGCCTTTCGGTTTGAAACTGATTGAGCAGAACATGCTGAGTTTCGATCCATCTCACTGGCCACGCAAACTGGTAGGCTAGTAGTTCTGTTAATAAAATGTGGCATAGGAGGTTTTCATTTTCAGGCGACATTTCGAAAACGACCGGTTGGACGTGTTCGGAAGCTTACTGTCGACAATCCAGCGGGCTTTGAGACGCAACACGCTTCTTAATAAATGAATGGTGATACTGTTACCAGACATAGCGACTGAACACCAAGAATTGACAGCTAAACGAAGGTGAGTGTACCTTCATGTTTCCCAACAAGTACAGCAGTATCGATAAATTAATCAGTAGCCGCGTTGCTTGTAATTCCAACAAGCAGGAACGTTGGTGATTAGAAGTGTTGGTACTGATTCACTAAACCCTCACCAAAAAGCTGACGCCTATACCTATACGAGCGTGTTGGTGTCGTTTAGACTGCTTGTTGGGTCTGCTGTGTCTCGAGAGACACGAAAACCAGATCTAGGGACAAAGAACAATGCATTCATTCATAGTGAAGTAATTGGTAAAGCGTGCTTCTTCGTGGCTGGACTGATTGAGGTCCCATCGGGCGTGTCCAAAGTGCCGCCCCGATTTCAAAACACATCATACCCGCCAAAACACAGAACAGGAGGCAGAGTACTCTTTACTCAATAGCTAGCATCTGATTGTGAGAGAACTAGATCTGAGTGGAGCTGTTGAGTCTGGGTATGAAGAGATGTTGAATTTCGTTTCTCTGGCTGTTTCAATCTAAGAGGCAGGAAGACAAAATAAGTAGAGGAGTGAAGCTTGTGCTTGAACCCGAAACAACATTGATTGTTGTCTGTTGTCGACAAGCTTTTTTCCGCAACCTGTAGGTCTTCGATAGCGATGAAGAAATAGTGGTGAATTTTTAGCTCGTTTATTCCCATTTCTTGAGATTTTGGTATCAGGAAGTATAAGTCCCAGATCTATTTCTTTCGAGCAGACAGCGCAGGTTTTCGAAGTATCGATGTTTCAAGAAGCGGGGCTTAACTCTGGCTTAAAGTAATGACAGGCTCAGTGCTAATGGGATAGTTTTTAATCATTCTTATGAACAAGAAGTCCTCGCAACTGAAAAATCCTAATTTCCGCATCCATCATCCAGCCTAGCAATCCTAAGCGCAGAAAACAACCCAATGAACTCTACACCCAGGGCATTTCTCGCAGGACATTCATTATGTAGTGCCCAAAAAAAAGGCGAGTTTTAGCCAGTTAAACACTACATATAACAGAATCAACTTTCTAACATCACTAGTCCCCACAAAGAAAAAATTACTGGACTAAACCACAACTGATACATCCAAGTCTTTTGACAGTACTTTGTTGTTCAGTTTAGTTCAAGCTGAATATTTTGGATTCACGAAAATATTGATAAATAATTGAAATAATTCATCCCATCTAAGTTCTAAAACAAACCGGTCCTTTGATGTGTTTGAATATCTAAACATAAGGTCAAGAGTGAAGAATTACTAAGAATTGAGTATTTGGCTTGCTTTTTCGAAGGTGTTTTCGTGAATATTCTCGATCATTGTCACACAGATCCCGTCCTCATCATTTGTGTCTTTTTAAGGTTGACAGTTTGATTTTGAACTGTTGTAGCAGGTGTAATCAGACATCGAAATTTGAGGAAAAGCTAAAGAAAGCTGAAAAAAGGACAAGATGCCAATTTGCGGTGGTTCTAGTAGCTCTAAAAAGCCGATTGAGCGTAAGATCGTGATTTTGGGAGATGGTGCCTGTGGTAAAACGTCGCTATTGAACGTTTTCACTCGTGGGTACTTTCCTAAAGTGTACGAACCTACAGTGTTCGAAAATTACATACACGATATTTTCGTCGACAGCCAGCACATAACGTTAAGTCTGTGGGATACAGCAGGTCAAGAAGAATTTGACCGGTTGCGATCGCTGTCGTATTCTGATACGCACACGATCATGTTGTGTTTTTCTGTAGACTCGCGCGACTCGTTAGACAATGTGCAGCATAAATGGGTTGGTGAAATTGCAGACCATTGTGAAGGTGTCAAATTGGTGTTAGTGGCTCTGAAGTGCGACTTACGAAGCAACACGAACGAATTTGCCCTTGACTCCGCTATCACACCCGGCAACATTCAGCAGCAGCAGCAGCAACAACAACAACAACAGCAACAGCAGCAGCAGTCGTCAAATGCACGAGACAATGGTAGACTAGTCTCGTACGACGAGGGTTTGGCCATGGCCAAGAAAATCGGCGCTTTAAGGTATTTAGAGTGCAGCGCCAAGATGAATCGCGGGGTAAATGAAGCTTTCACAGAGGCTGCAAGATGTGCTTTGACAGCGCATCCAAAAGGTGCTCGTGAGGGCAGTCAGGAAGAGAGTAATAGCAGCAGCAAATGTTCGATCATGTGAGTTGCGTAGTAAAGGAGATTTGGTTCTCGCCTTATTATCCTATTAGGCATCTAGAAAAGTGTATCAATATGCTAATACTGTAAGAAAAAATGAGAATACTGGCGGTGTTTGTTGGGCTTCGCTTTCGAAGACTAAGCTTATGAACAAAGTACGGATAAAGTCTACTGGAAATATATATATATGCTGACATGCTGTATCACCGGCCTCATAAGTCTGGTTGTAAATGCTAAAATTAGGACCGAAAGAGTTTGCTCAGTCGTCGTCGAGCAGCTTTTCCAGGTACATGGATGGCGCTTTCGACCTCTGCAAAGGAGTTTCTCGGGCTTGCCAAGTTTCAGGAGGTGGAGAAGCTTTTTTGGACGATGACGATGCGACGTTGGTGCCCAAATTGGATTTTTGTCTGGTCTGCTGTCCTTTTCTGCGCTCTGGAGATGCCGCTCTCTCGGGGCGATTCAGCTCAGGACTTGACTCGGACAGCAAAGACGAAGATGATGCATTGACGCTAGGGATCATCATATTTCTCCGTTGCTGGTTCACCACTTCCACTGTAGGCGAAATGAATAGTGATCTGCGGTTTGGTGCGGCTGTCGAACCCTGGAGCGTAGAATATAGCTCCTGAGGAAACTCGTGCATCTCGTCCCGGGGGGTGGAGCTCTGAGACACTTTACTGCCATTATTAGGGCTGTCGAGTAATCTGACCATGTTGGGGCTGGAGCGCATCTGGGGCGAGAATTTTTCTGAAAAACGGCTTTTTTCCGTTTTGTACATGTCACCACCATTGACATGGGCATTGAACTCGCTGTCAATGGCAAGATACCGCTGTTTATTAGCGTTGGACCGCGAAATGTACGCAGAAACCACATACATCGTCACAATAGCTGCCAAAAAAAATCCTACGATTGATCCCACGGCGATGAAAACGGTTCCTGAGGGCCTTGACGATCCCAAAATATGCGGATTGCCTGCCATGGAAGGTGGGGTGATAGTTGGAACTGGAAAAGAAGATGTAGACGCTGCTCCGCTACCATCTGCGGTAGCGGTTGTGCCCTGGGTCAGCGAAGGAAGAGCACGTTTCAATACCTCAGTAGCCACCATCTCTTGCCGCTTTCACCACTCACTCGAATCACTAATCCGTCGGGTTCCTAAACCACACAACTTTTCTTATGGCTTCGCTTTTTATAGTTGTGTAACACTCGAGATGAGTACACATTCCATGTAATAAATCGAATCATGTTGAAATAAAAATGATCTGAACTGTAAATAACAACATTCGGAATATATTGATGATATAAATATCTTTTAGAGTAAACGCTTAACTTGAACAAAACTAGCCAAACTGGCCGACCATAAAGTTGGCACGGTGAACTTTAAGGATATATGAGAGTCTGCCGGTTTTTTCAAAATCTTTTATTTTACATATATTGTTATAGCCCTGTTTTAGACGTTTAAAATGGTATATATACCGCCTCTGAACTTTGCCCCTGTGGTGAGCACAGAGGTATCACTTTACCGGTCTGGATACCCTATGCCACTCAACTATCCGTTCATCGCGGACCAGCTGCAGCTAAAAACGGTGATATACGTCGGGGACAAAGAGATATCAGAGGACTACCGGGAGTTTTTGGCTTCACAGAGTATTGTGTACGAGTACGTTCATGTAGAGTCGTGTCGCGATGCTAACATCAAGGAGCACATGGACCAGGTTTTGCGTAAAGTGCTGGACAAACACAACTATCCCATACTGATACACTCGAATAAGGGCAAGCACAGAGTAGGGGTCGTGGTGGGGATTATACGAAAAGTTCTCCAAGGTTGGTCAACGACAGGTGTCTACCAGGAATACGATATTTTTAGCGGTGGACTGAAAGGTGGCGTGGACCTGGAGTTTGTTACGATGTTCGAAACGGATCTGAAAGTTCGCAGACTCACAATACCAGATTTCGTGAAACTGCAGGACGAAGGTGTGACGAAAACGGGTTCATGAGGAGCTTTACGAAAGATGGGAATGAAACTACGTGGCGGGTTTAGGATGGTAGGGAGTGGAATGCAGTTGAATGCGACGAAGTACTAAACAATTGAGAATCCCATGGCCGTCTGTGGAAACTTTTCGGCTCGGAAAATTAAGACGACGACGACGAACGTGGCATACCTTGAATATGCAGTCGTAATCATCCTCTCCCCGGGCATTCTGGCGGGCCTTTTTTAGGGCCTTCACTTGTATCGTTCATCATCGCTAGTCGTCAAAAGCGATCGTGACTCACTAATTGGTTCACCTGCACTGTTGGCCATAAATACCTACCCATCGGGTTAGAACTTCAATCGAAAAGACGATTGGAAAGTGAACGATATTCACCATACGAAGACTTCCAAGTGTCTTTATTCACTAGCACCACAATGACTTTCGACCTTTCCAAAATTGTGAGACCCAGAATTTTCAGTTTGGAGCCTTATCGCTGCGCAAGAGACGATTTCAAAGAAGGAATTCTTTTAGACGCAAACGAAAATCCTCATGGGCCCACACTAAAGGATACCAAAGGATATTCAGACCTGAATAGGTACCCTGATCCTCACCAGCTTGGTTTCAAGACGAAAATTGCAGGACTCAGAAATGCGCAGTCAAGCTTCAAGAATGAGAACTTGGACCCATTGACCTCGGACAACGTTTGCTTGGGTGTGGGGTCTGACGAAAGTATTGATGCATTGATACGTGCATGTTGTGTTCCAGGCAAAGAAAAAATATTGGTTATGCCTCCTACTTACGGCATGTACTCCGTTTGTTCCGACATCAATGATGTGGACTTGGTGAAAGTGCCACTGGTCGTGGAAGATAATTCATTTCAGATGAACCTGCCATTGGTGCTGGAAACGCTGAAAAACGATAAAAGTATAAAATTGGTCTTCATCACATCACCAGGGAACCCCACCGGAGCATTGGTGGATCCTAAAAAAATCGAGGAGCTAGCTTCTCAGTGGCAATCCGGGATAGTGGTCGTTGATGAGGCTTACATTGACTTTGCCGTTACAGGAGGATCTGCTGCTCCATTGGTAAACAAGTTTCCCAACGTTGCTGTACTACAGACGCTATCTAAGTCTTTTGGTCTAGCAGGAGTTAGACTTGGTTTAACCTTTACTTCAAAACAGCTGTCCAAGGTTTTGAATGCCATGAAAGCCCCATACAATATTTCTTCTTTGACTTCCGAAATTGCTTTACGCGCTATGGAACCTGAATCCATTGAAATCATGAAGAATACTGTGCATGAAGTAATTGAACAAAGAGGCCGCGTCTTGAAAGAACTCACATCCTTAGATCAAGTTTCAAATACGCAAATTGGTGGTCTAGATGCGAACTTCATAATGGTTCAAATTTTGGACTCGGATTCCAAACCTTGTAACAGGTTGGCCAAAACTCTTTACAGTAAGCTCGCTACTGAATCTAAGGTAGTGACAAGATTCAGAGGTACGGAATACGGATGTGTTGGGTGCCTGAGGATTACTATTGGTACCAAAGATGAGAACGACCATTTGGTTAAGGAATTTACAAAAATTCTTGAAAACCTGAAGAATTAGAGGTATGTGACCTTCACTTACTCACCAGAAATATGTGTAAATTACGTAATATTCGCGTTTTTACATTTGAAGAAGTCACCGAGTTGTTTCTTCGTATCGAATTTCAGTTTCAAATCACTTATTGGTACTGTTTGAAGAGTTCGCTCAGAATCCGAAAGATTAGAGAAATCCTTGTCCTTCAGCTTTAATTCTGCTACTTCTTTTCGAAGCGATTGGATAGCGTCTAGAAGATCCCCTCTCTTCTCACTTCCCTTAACCATTCTCGTAACCATTGGAGCCTTGGTTATGTCGTCTTTAGAAAAATGAGACTTCAGAAGTCTCAGGGTATCCTCAATACCCTGAACACGTTTCTGAGCAGCTAAAGTTTTGCTTCTCAGCTTATGCTGCATCTGTGTCTGTTTAAACGTCAGTGCTCTCCCATTAGAATGTCTTTCATCATGAATTTCGTGCAATTGATCGAACTGGCGTCTAGCAGAAAAACGACCTCTTTCCAAATCATCAAGATCTTTCCCTAGCAATTCCTGAGTACCAGACGAAAGAGCAGCGGTAGTTCTAGTTGTCGTTTGTGCTTCAGTGAGCAAACCGTCAACGATAAAGTCTAGGTCTCCAACTTCTGCCAGGCGCCACGTGTATGTCTGATAGAGTGTTTCCCGCGTTCTAGAGAAAGGTTTTGAGCTTTGATCGCTCAGAAGTAGTCTTAGATTTTTCATATTGGTTTCCAAAACATCAATCTCTGCAGAGACCACCCGGAAGGTGACTTCGATTCTATTCAGCGTCGCGTTTGTATGTCTGGGTTGTACTGGTGTCAATTCTGCACCTGTATAGAAAGGCTCAAAGGGCTTAGGTTTGTACTGCTGCGCTAGATACGCTTCATCATTTTCGAAGCTTTGAACATCAAAGTCTCTCAATCCAACTGGATCGGTCACGACGGCGGCATCGTCAACCTGAAAATATGTCTGTGTTCCATTGCTTGATGTTTCGACTTGCTGGGTCTGAATACTGTCGTCAACACTCCATATATGTGGCTCTGTCGTAGAATCGTTGGATGAAGGCTTCCGACTTTGTTTTTTCCCAATCTTAATTTGATCGAGCTCTTCTTCCAGGTCTTCTAACTCATCAAACGATTCGTTCTCCGTGCTTGTGCTTGACTTTTTTGCAATAGCTTCGCTCCCTGGAACATTGACAGGAGAATCTTCTTCTGACGTAACAATTGAGTCCTCTTTTCCGTTCTTCTGTATAGTTGTCTCTCCCGGGTTTCCCTCGCTGATGCTCGTCTTGCGATCGCTTTCATTAATAGCCTCTTCGGTATTCTTGGGGTGATCCGGTATTTGTGTTTCATTTTGATCACGGCCTCGATCTGCATCCATATCTTCTTCTTTATCTTCAATTTGTGGTTCTTGTGAAGCCTCAACCATATCCGGTTCCTTTAGTATGGATTCTGTAGCACCAGAGTCTTCCAACTTAAGCTCTTCGTTAACTTCACTTGGAGCCATCTGAGCAAGCTCCTTACTATTATGACCGATTGTAGCAGACGCTCCACGATTGTCATTGGATTCAAGTCCACTTGTCTCAGTAGCACCCTGACTTTCTTCCTTAAAATCGCTGCCCGTAGAAGTTTGAACATGACCACTTGAGCTGGACCGGTTCTTCGCTATATTGGCAAAGGAAAAGTCAGGAGTAGCGCCTCTGCTCAAAGTCGCGGTGTATTTTGAAAACGCGGAAGTAGGCGCACTTAAATGATTAGAAGGCTTCGCGTCTTCGTGACTCGTAGGTTCATGGATGGTTTCAGATCTAGCATTTGCGACTTTTTTTATTCTCTCGGTTAAGGTACTGAAATCAGATGCTTGTTCACCAGTTGATGGCTTGTTTTCTTCGCCGCTCTCTGCAGCAGTAGAACCTGCCACCTCATTTGCATTTGGATCGGAATCTTCAGAAACGCTATCCTCACTTTCGCTAGAAACGCTGCTGCTGACATTCGACGCCTCACTGGCTTCATTATTAAAGCCTGTGCTGTTTTCATCATCCAACGTACCATCGCCTTTTGATTCGGCTACATCCTCCGGTACTGGAAGTTGTAGCGATGCAAATGGACTAGCACTTGGAGCATTCTTGTCAAATGGGGACTTCAGCTGAGCGAAGGGCGACTGCGTTGAACCGGATGAAAAGTTCGGGGCTCCGAATGAAGACGGCTTCTGACTTAAGTCCGTCGCTCCTGCTGACTGAGACGGAAAACTAGGAGTGCCGAAGGGAGATGAGCTTTTACCCACACTGGCGAATGGAGATCCTGATGTAGCAAACGAAGCAAATCCGCTTCCAAATCCTGATTTCTTACTCGAATCTTCGCCAACACCCTTATTCGTATTGCTTAAAGCATTCTTAAATGGGGAAGCAGTATCAGATGGTGGAGAGAAAAACGGTTTGCTAAAGGGATTTTGCTCGCTTATATGCTTGGAGCCGAGATCAGGACGCCCGAAGGTAGACGTTCCGAAAGTTGGTGTGGAGAAACTCGAATTTGGTGCATTATCTTGGACCTTCTTAGCGTTAGACTTGCTCTCGGGTGATTCCTTTTCCTTCAAAGAGAAATCTGGAGGGCCGAAAGCTGAGCTCTTCTTTTCACCAAATGGGGATGGCAGTTTACCAAACGCAGAAAATGGGCCGTCTTTATTTGAGCTTCCGAATTTGAACGCCGAACCGGTTGATTCGGTTTGTCCGAATGATGCAGTAGCTTTCGTACTGAATGGCGACTGACCAAAGGGAGTTTGCCCAAATGTGCTGGTTGTGGACGTCGAAGTAGGTTGCTTACCCGATTGCTGATCGCCTAACCGGGAAACCTTGATTTCTTCCTCTTCGCCGCTTGTGCTCCCTTCAGTCAACGAGGTCGTCTCACCAGCGCTTGGTGACAACTCACTAGCTTGATCTTTGTCGTAATCAAATGATGTGCGCGAGTGAGCATTGAACATAGGTTCCCAGCTTTCTTCACTAGGTTTGGCTGAAAATTGTTTGCTTCTTATTCCAGAGCTGTGAAATAATGCGAAGACAGATAAACGTCCTTCATTATTCAGAACGAACACCAATGGCAGTCTAACAGCAAAATCAACACCTGAACAAGGCTCGGGTATTTGCTCAGAAGATGTGAGATCAACAGCTAGCCCTATAGGGTTTGTATCGTTGTCAGTTTTCGGATTTATAGGTAAAACTGCGCGATCGCTATCTTGATTGGGCTGTAGTACTTCCTTTTCATCTAGAAGTGTGATTTCAGGCGATGTAGCAGATGCGATGATGAATAGATTGGGAATTGATGGTATGAGATCATTCAGAATGTACTTGTAGTAGGTTGGGTTCCTGACTACACTCTTAAAGGCAGGCGCTATATCGTAACTTTCATGAAACGCTGTACCAGTATCTTCATTGTTGCTGACCACGTAAACTTTGTGATCGTACTCCGCATCCTCGTCGAATTCCGGTACGTCTTCGCCCAAAACCACGACAAACTGAGCTTGAGAAAGGGCTAACACAGAGAGCGGTTGTACATCCTCGTCCATTTCATTTCGAATATCTTGTGGCAGCTCAATAGTTTTCTCGATAATAGTCCCACCTAAATGGTATACTGTGATGGTACCGTCAAGCGAAAAGAGTGCCCAATTGGTTTTTCCCACGTCTAAATCGCAAACCTTTTCAGCTACAAGTGTTGCATCTCCGGACTCGGTGACTGAATAAAGGTTTTTGCTACTGTACAGGACCAGAAATGACTTGCTAGAGCCGCGCAGTTGTTGAACTTTCACGATTTTCGACGTTGCATCGGGATCTGCATTATTGATCGAACTTTGAGTAGTTTCTTTCTTTGCAACATCAAACCTGTGAAGAATGCCTGTTCTCGAAATCCAAATAATCTCTGCATCTGAGGTCCCGTGGAAACCCACATATATAACGTTTTCCGTCTTTACTTCAAGAAGGAACTCCAGTGTTCTCTTTCCATCTGTTTCCTGCAGAATTTGATCCCTCAGGTTTTGCAACTCGCCCGCAACTACCTTTCCACCACCTGCGGCAACGTAAAGACCCCTCTGATTGGAAACGGCTAGGTTATGAAGCCTTGAGAAAGGTACATTTTCGTTAAATCCTGGCAAAAGGTCAATTTCCCCCAGAGGTTTGAACCCAAAATCCTCGGAAATAGTGGTCGGCAGCTCTTCTTCGACTGTCGACATAGCTTTACAAGCTCAATGGGATGGTTGAGGAGCTCAAATGTGGGAAAAACAAGGACTGAACGGTGTGTAGAGATGCCGAGCGGGTTTTAAGAGATGACCATCATGAGTAGTTCATCATCATATTTGAATTATGTTTAGGCGATATCCAAGTCGCCGTCTACGAACGAGAGCTCATCGGTATAAGAGCATGGAAAGTTAAGGACTCAAGGCCTAAATGGATCGCTATTCTCGTCTGTAACTGATACTCGCCTGTTTGCTGGAACCGGCTTTGTATATAGTTTCAGTGCTAAGTTGTGAACTCAACAATGGCGTAAACTTGAATTGAATATTATCTTTATACATGACGCCAGTGCCATGATATGCCACTGGGGGAAGAAGCATTGCTCATACAGGGTAGTTGATATTCAGTAGACATTAAAAAACGCCAGGCAATAAGTATTGACCTAGCAGGTATATTTCAAACATTACTCTACGTTTTGTTCAAGCAGAGAAGGACAAGGACCAGCCAAGCTTGTGAACGGGCTCAGACAACTTTAGAGCGTCGAAAGAAGCACCGACACCGAGGTCGACACCAGGTCTCAAGGCCTGCTTGTAGGCCAAAGCAACGATACCAGAGTCTGCGACCTTAGCCTTGACTTGGGAGGTAGGGTCGAGGGCGTATTTGGAGGCAAACTCGATGTTGACGTTGGAGCCGGCCTGTGGGTTCATAACGGCTTTGGCACCGACTTCAAGCAAGGGGCTGACCTTCTGGAAGAACGAGGCTGTGGTTAGCTGGGCGTTGTTGATGGAGAGGGCAACAGAGTAAGCACCGGCAGAGTAGCCTAGAGCAACGGCGTAGCGGGAAACGGCAGCAGCTGCAATGTCGTATCCGACTTCGGCACCACCGACGAAACCCTCGTGGGCCAATGTGAGGTCACCAACGAAAGATGGGCCCTTGAGAAGGTCAAAAGCACCTCTGGCGGTGAAAAATGGCTGCACGAAGCTGAGGTTGAGTTTGGCGGCCTTGGAGGCGTTTGGCACGAAAGAGGTGACCAACTCGGACTTCAAGCCTGGGGTGAGCTCAGCAAGCTCGATCTTGGTGTCTAGAGCGTTGGTGGACGACCAGCCCTGGGTCAAAGTCAAGCCAGTAGGCTTGTCGGAGACCTTGGCTTCCACGTTAGCGGCGATCGAACCGTCCTTTGGGGAGCTCTTACCCTTGACGTTGAACGCAACACCGTTAGGGGCAGTAGTCTTGACTTCCACAGCTGCTGGTGTGCCGTGGTAGAAGTCACGGTTCAAAAGACCGTTGATGTCCTTGGAGATGTCGTTGAAAAAAGGTGGGGCCATTGTTATAAAGGGAAAGAGGTGAGTGTGAGCCGAGTGTGTGAGCCGAGTGTGTGAGCCGAGTGTGTGAACCGAGCGTAAAACCGTTTCAATTGGTGTCAAACAACGTTTTTAAATCGAATAATACGTCCAAAAATCGTCAAACTCAATACACGAATCTTGTCTTTTTCCAACACCCAACCCTCGACCCTTTTATAGTTTGGTGACCCGGAATAATAAACAAATCGTTAATAATTTTTTAGTTTTTTTCCCGTGGGCAAAAATGATTGGCAAGACACACTGTGGGAAGAAAGACAGAAAAGGTTGAATTTAGAAGATGAATGGTTTGAGCCAATAAGAATGGCGAGAATTGTGTGGAGAAGAAGACCGTGAGGGAGTGTTAACAGGGGGGAGTAGGTATTTAAACGTGTTGAAGCGTGAGAATAGGCAATTGGATGTGTAAAGGGAGAGGAACGTGTTGTTGAAGGGCGAAAAAGAGCGACAAAATAACGGGGGGGAAAACATACGTCACATGATTCGGTTATATACGAGTGTGGCTTTAGGGAAACGGTCCCAAATTTTGGTTTTGCAGATTTGGCGCAGCGGTTGAGCTGGTGGAATGTGACAGGTGTTCGAATCGTAGTAGAGGTTGATTATTTAGAGAAATGTGTTTTCTGAGTTCGCTGTCACGTGATTCTATTGCATGAAACAAACATATACAGTAGGGTTGCCAGGCCTAGATGAGGAAAGATACTCCCTAACAGACATTGGTATCACCAACCTTTGATTTGGGGGTACTTTAAAGTGCTTATTTCTAAATTCTTGCTGGTCTTGATTCACTTATGAGACCCATTTTGAAGTTTTTTTGGAATTCGAGTATGATTAGAGAGTAACCGTGGGAATTTTGTCCACAGCTATGGACTCCGCTGGGGAAGAGCAGACTTGGGTAGACATACACGTTGATATGACAAGTTTTCTCACAGTGCGCGTCACGCGAGGATCACGGACAAAATGAATCACACAGCCTAGAAAACAGGCGTCATTAAACCAATGACTGATAAGTTGAAGGGATGTCTGAAACATGAGCAAGATCATGCATGAATGGCTCAAGCGCTCATTTCTTTGAGGTGGTTCGTTTTGATATTGTTACCGCTGAAGTTGAATAAATCTACTTGTCATCCTACATGGCTGCTCTTGGTTTTGCTCCCTCCACTCACCATCATGGGATTCAAAATGATCCACGAAAGCCGGTTTACAACCCACTCCGTACATAACTTTAGTGCATTGTGTATTAACCGTTGGTTTTTCGGGTCATATTTTTGTGATCCGGTTTCACCCATTTTACATGTCTGTAATTAGGTTTGCAGGTTCTATAACCGTGACAAAAGTGAATAGTGGGTACACACTACACATACAACTCTTGAGTTATAAGAACTGGAAAATCAGCGAAATCTCTCTCAGCTTGTTAAGCTGTTCACGCTGCCACATTCATCCAAAAAAATTCTGGACGAGACCGGAGTCGAACCGATGACCTCTCCCATGCTAAGGGAGCGCGCTACCAACTACGCCACACGCCCGAATTGATGTGAGTAGGGAAGTATTTTTTGTATAGAGTGCTTGCTAAGGTCATGGGACAGAAGAGAATATTTTAAACGACAAAACAACTCATCTATATCTCTCTTTATCTTGGTGCGTTCACCGGCCATGGGTTATTGTTTCTGTTGTTTTGGAATTAAGCCTATTTTGTCGCTGTCATCGGATCACGTGCTTGAGCTACAAGATGGATCTTCGAGCCTGACATCACTTCAAATAGAGTCTAGTAAAGCTGATCGATTGATATGTCTACCGGAGGTATATCACAGAGATACATTATTCTTTATTTTAATGCATGAAGTGCGCGTTGCAAAAGTTTCGCAAGTATACTCTAGCGCCTATTGATGTTTTCATTATCATAATTGACATTGGGTCATCGCCTCAATCTTTAAGAACGCAAGACAAAACACAGTAAAAACCCAAAACAAGTACACATATGACAAACGATTCCATGGAACATCCCAAAAGACCTGGAATTACATGACTGAAAGCTTTAGTTCATTTGCCATTGCATTTATAGCATCCAGCGGTCACGTGATACAAGAATTCAAACACATCGCTAATTTGATATGACACACGAAATGAGAAAACGCGTCATCTCAGCGGATCGTTTACCTCCACAACAGCTTCAGCGATCATTTGGGATCATCAATGGCCACTACTACGGGACTATTCCACGGTCTCAATTTTGTAATTATCACGAATAATACAGATGAGTTTTCAGTAGATGCCATTTCCGCACGTTTGAAGGCTAATGGAGCCAATAAGTGTGTTGTGTACAAGAATGAAGAAGAATCAAACCAAGTGCGCGATTTGAACCAGACTAAGCAAGAAATGTGTCATCGTTTTGATCACGACATACACGCGATCATTTCCAATACTTCAAACTTTTGGTTTTATCGCGTGGCAGCCTTTGACTACCTAATACCAGTGGTGACTCCGGACTGGGTTCAGGCTTGTGTAGGGTCCAAACGCATTACTAGGGCTAGTGGGTTTTCACCAAATCCAGGTCATGTTCTCAAAAACTGTCAGATTTACATTTCACGCCATTCTTTTAGTTCCAGTGAATATGAGCTGTATTCAGCTCTTCTGCGATCCCTAGGTGCGCTTTGCATCGACTATTTGTCTAGTAAAGCAAGCCACATTGTCACCAAAGATGCCCAGGATCCGGCTATTGCTGCAGTCGCTAGTATTGAAGGTCTCAACATCAAATACGTACTCCCGACTTGGGCGGTCCAGACTTTTATGACAGAAATGTACATCGATGAAGAGATTCATACATTAAACCCTAAAGATCGTCCAAATGATGTTCGAAAACAGCTGTCTGACGCTTGGAAACGCTTAGAGACCCTTGAACTCCAACCAACCGTCAAGTTTCTTCAAAATCATAAATTTTTCCTGTCACTAGATTTGACCCTGCCTTCACCATCCTATGGCTTCTTGATCGACTTAATTGAAGCAGCAGGCGGGGTTGTTATTCGCCACGTACAATCTAAAGATATACGTCGCAGTTCTGGAGATTGTTTTGTAGGCCAATCCCGGAAGTCAGACGATTGTCATGAAGCCGATCAGGAGAAACTCCACATCGGTAATATCATCTGGATATTACACATGTGGTCATTGGCCACTTTCGTTGATCCAATTGAAAAACTGTTACTTTCTCCGCTGCGACCTCGCGTCTTCAAGAAAGATGAGCTCATACTCGGCTATACGACTTATTTAGGGCAACAGCGAAATTACATTCAGAAGTTGGTCGAAGCACTTGGCGGTATCAGTACTACCGAGTTCACGAAAAAGAACACGCACCTTTTGTCGTGTTTCCCTTTTGGACAGAAGTACGATGCTGCATTAAGGTGGAAGGACTCTTGTAAGATCGTAAATCACCTCTGGCTAGAGGACTGCTACCGATATCAAAAACAGATGGCAAGTGATGATGACAAGTATGCAGTGCTTCCGGTGCATGGTGGGCTTTCAACACGTTTGGGCCAAATGCCGCTATCAAGTTCAACGCACAGTACGTTTGATGAGGACCCCGCAGATACTATAATACCCCAAGAGATGATCACTGATGGTACTTTCCAAAATCCTTTTTCACAGGAAGAAAACCACGATGGCATTCTGGAACATGCTTCCTCGGCTCATATAATCGGCGATGCTCCTATACTCGTTGATGCTAAAGAAACCAGCAACCTAGAGAATTCAGTGAATGGGACGTCCAGAGAGCAGACGCCTGAAACAGATCACACCGATAATTTCAATGCTCAGCATGATTCTTCAAAATTTCTAGTACTGAAGCCTGATGGAGCTTCTAACAGCACAGTGGCTCCAATTGATCTCAAACTAAGCAGAAAACCTAGTGAGCTCGAATATTCACTAACACCGGAAGTGGGCCAAGAGAGAGAAAACATGAATTCGCCCATTAGAGATCAGTCACCACCGTTGAGTGGCTCTACTGAGGCTGCCCATTTGCAGCCGGGTGTGAGCTCATCGCTAGCATCAGAAACACCGTCACAATTGCCGTCAAGTGCGAACTCCCGTCGAGCAAAAGAAAAAGCAGTCATGAAGCTTCACACAGATATGGAAGCCCTCAACGAGTTCCAACAAAGCTTGAAAAGAAAGAAAAGCGGTGCACTTTTACCAGAGGAACTGCAAAGGCGTAAGCAACTAAAGGTAATGGAAGACAGGGTACGAGGACTGCTGGAGAACGGGGACATTACAGATAAACCTAAAGGAAAAGGCAAGCGGCCTTACGATATCGTGGCTGTTTGCACAGGTTGTCACGAGGCCATTGATGACATGGATTTGGAGCTACTCAAAATGCTCGGTATTACAATAGAAGGGACTATCACTCCTCACTGCAATACAATTATTGCTCCGAAGAAGCTGAGAACGGCCAAGTTTCTTACAAGTCTGAGTTTCAATCCACTTAAATACGCGCTTCTTCCCGAGTTTTTGACTTCGGTGATAACGGTTGCACGCAATGGCACTCTTGGGGATAAATTCCCGGATGTTGCACACTATGTTATCCCCGACCTGGACAAAGAGATTTTGGAGAGGACTCATTTGCACACGAAAGTCTTCCAAAGGGCAGGAATTGTCTCCATCAATGTCACGGACGATGTTCCAGGCGGTCGAGATGTGCTCTCTTCAATCTTGATGGCACACGGTGTGCAAGATGTACACGTCTTGCCCAAAAAATTTGCAGAAACTGATATTCATGCGAACACCAACAAGAAGAAGAGTCCGACGCATATTTTGGTTGCTCAAAAGGCAACGCAGGCTAAACGATTCAACAAACTCTGCGCGCAACTTCAACAGGAAAAAAAAGTTCTAGTTGTGGAGTGGAATTGGTGCGTTAATAGCATCTTCAAGCTTGAAGTAGACTTTGGTTCCTCCGATTATGTTGTTTGCAGGAGTTGAACAACGGAACGTATAAACCTCTAATGGTCATTCGTCGAGAATCAAAGCCATTTCGGATAGGTACATTTGGAGCATTTCCAAGCGAGCGGTGATACGTAATTGATAAACTTTATACATTAAGGCCGGTCCATTCCTTCACCAAGTGAGTGGCTTTGCCAACAGTTCCCGATACCGTCTTGGCAGTGTTTTCTGTAAAAGTAATGGTCTTCTGCAGTCCGTATTGACACTTATTATACAAGGCAAGTTGATGACTAGCAACGGATGGGAAAGATTTCTTTTCCAGGTCATACAGCAGGCTGAAAGTGTTGGATGCGGTTGTAGGGAGGACGTACGAGTGACAGAGAGTTCCAAGCACCAATGGTGCCGTGATTCTTGCCAATACGTTCTTGTTTCTGGTAAGCACTGAACCAGACATGGCTGCCACCAGGGTGTATGTAAAACCGGGCAACAACTCTTCTCTGGGATCGGAGTGCAGATTTGCGACGGTTGTGGTGAGTCTCTTTTCGTGGTGGTAATATTTGCTGGACTTTTCATCTATCGTGGAACGCACATCACTGACGGTATTAGCCAAACTTGTTCGCCATAGACTGAACCAGCTTGTCAGATATACTGGAGATCTCACAGAAATTCCATCCAGTAGTTGGTTGTCGCCAATAATTTCTGTTGCACGTTGGCTAAGAGATCCCTTCCCATCGTGCGATGGTGCGGCTTCTTTGGCATCAGATGAAAGCACGGAACCGTTTTCGGGTGGAACGACGGACTCACCAACAAAATCAATAGGCCTGTAAAACTTGGGAGCCATTTATAGAAAGATCAGTGCTTGAAATGGTGATGAGATCCTGTGTATCATTCGCCGGAGACTTTTGACAGAGTCTAAATAACGCTCTGATATTCCTGATATTATTTGAAATTCGATAAAATATACCAGAGCACGTGAAAATCACGATTAACAAATTACACAATTTAAACCCAGACACCCAACTGGATATATGGTTAGCGAGGTGCTAGTCGAAAACAAAGCCGCTCTGCTCTTACGTCAAGACTACTCGTCGTTTAAATCATATATAGCATAGCAGTGTGACAAATTAGATGTGCCAAAATAGATGCTTTCACTTGCCTTGTCGTTCATTCATTAAAGATATACCTACGTAAGTGTCAAACCTGGTTTCAGGAAGTATCTGACTTCACATTATGGAGGACATCATTATGGTGTTTGCCTCTTCCACGAGTTTTCGGTATTGCTCGTCATTTGCGTATCTGTTGCGACCCCGGATGTGCCATGCTGCGATTGGAATATCACCCACACCCGCCAGCGCACCCAGATCTTCGCTCGACCTCAGTAAGTTCACTGCAGCCTCTGACGCACTCACGCCTGGATGTTCTACGTTAGATGTCCGTTCTTCCAAAAGCTTGACTTTAGAGCCCAGCGCATTGATTTCGTTGAGTTCTTGTTTCCTTATGTGAGGAAGATAATAGGATCTCAAGTACATGGTAGGCACAGCTGCTCCACAAATTATTCCGTAGAATAGCATCCTCATCCGGGGCATCAGCGCCAAACGGTGTGCTTCTTGATATATTTTTGCATCCAATTTCATTTTCGATAGTAGTGACAGTGGTACGATTATCTTGGCAATAAAGTGATAGGATATTTGCATCAACCCTTGTGTTATGGGCTGGGACGTCATCATTTATACCAAACTTTCTGCAGGGCTTTTTCCTCCTTGGTACCCCACTATGTGACGATACGGGAAGGAAGCACCAGGTGAAGAGCAATTCCCCTAAGGGATCAGCCGGTAGATTGGAGTTTCCATTGAACCTCTGGGTCTTACTGCGCCTTGATTCTGCGATGTAAGGGTACCGCCTGTACCCCTGCTCCGTCAGGTGCTAACGACCATGTGACGAAGGGTGGAATGGCATCGTTTTCGCCGGCAATGAACACTTCATACAGACAAATGAAAGATCGAGTACAATGCCAAGTACCCTCTGATAGCCACCACACCAACTAATAGAAAAAGATTAAAGTCGGGCAATAGATTTTTGTTTCCACGAAATGTTACCTTCCGAAACCAATTTTCTTGAAAAAATCTGCAACTTTTCCACCTTTTTTCTTATTCTCCGTCCCGGGAACGGTTTCAACACTTTTGGTGCGCCTGCTGCTGGTAGGCCTCTTCGCCGAAATTGACTTTCCAGTACCATTGCTTAATTGAGAAACAGTCGACTTCGTTTTTTTGGCGGTACCACCATCTTTGTCATCGTAGTCTATCATAGATTTGACCTTATAAATGCCGCTGCCGTCGCTGGTTGCAAACTGTATCCTAGAGCTCCGCCGACTAGATTTCGAGCTTGCAAAAGAAGTCTGCTTGGACAAATCACCTTCTCGACGCGTTGGAACGGGTCTTAGATACCCGACTGTTTCAAATTCTTCTGCTTTGCGTTTGGTCTCAGGGTCCACAGGGAAATAAGAGTCAACGCTGGAAGTATCTGGGTCCTGCTGTGAGGCTCGTGCCCTGTTTTTGGGTGTGTAAGGATTTGAAAAAGTCCGCGATATGATTTTGTCCATGTTTTGCATAATTTGATCATCTGTCGAATCCGGTGGAAATGTCACAGTTCTTTTGACTGGTTCTTTCCTCTCACCTAACAATGCTGGATCAATAAACTCATATGGAATCACGTAGGTGGGAACCCAGAAATGCCTCATCAAAAAGTTAGGTAATTTGACGTGACCGTTTTTGAACTTGATATGCAAATTGGTGCTTACCGTGCTGACAACTTTAAAGTCGGGCCTGTACAAAGCGATTGCAGATGTTAAAGCATAGGTGGTGGAGTTATCTTTGATCAGTTCTACGGTAACCTTCACGATCTTTCCATTGAGTTTGCTCAGGTAGTAATGTAAAAGGTCACCACATTTTTGGCGTGCTATAGCATCTATTTCGAAACTGATCAAGTCACGCTCGGAAGAACTTGGTCGTCTGCTGACAATTGGACTCTTGGTTTTATTATTTGTGATGTCATACCCATCCAGGAGCTTGGTTTGCGAGGAAGCCGTTGATTTAGCCATATCCTCAAATTGAGGAATTCTTGTGACAATAACTAAATGGTCACCATCTTGAGCAAGATTCTTCACATACCAATCGACTGCAGACCAGGTGTGTCGTCTGCCAGAGATAGCACATAGAATAGTTCTGAGAGATTCTTTATTATCTGTTTGCCTCTTATCCTTAACGTAGGTGAAGAAATCACGATGCATTTTGGTGACAGTTAGGGCATTGTGGTTCACACAGGGTCGAGAGGGATATATTGTTTGTGGCCATTGATTACCGGGGCCGACAGGCTTGGTGTGATCGGGCTCAATGTAGACCTGTTCTTGCTTACCAAAATCGAATTGTTGCATGTCATAATTGGTCCTTGAAGCCGCCTCATATTTCTTTTCGAGCTCAGCAAGTTCCGCGTCGCTCATTCCAGCAAAGCTTTTGCGTTGCGGTTTGGAAGCACTTTTTTTACCCTTGTAATCATCACGCATAATCTTATCCTCTAATTCGTTCAGGTTTGCAAATGCAGACGTGGTGTAACCGTGGGAACAACCAGAGTTTTCTTGGGTATTTTTGCCAGTGACGCTGTTTATTTGATGCTCTTGTTTCGAATCGAGTTCGGTCAAATCGAAATCTTTGATGTCTTCATGTCCAGGAAAATCCCGCCGACGTAAAATCGAACGTCTCGTCGCTTCAGGCGACGCCCTTTCACCAGGCGAGCTGGAGCCACTATTAATGGACGGTCCTTGGGACATGGGCGACCGAATCCCTGAAACAGAGCGGTCCATTCCATTGAGCGCGTTTGAGCTCGAGCCCCGCGACGAGGTCTTAAAACTGCTTGAAATATCCGAATTCGACAGGTTAGGACGGCCAAGTGACGAGGCATCCGGGACCTGAAGAAACGGGTTTTTGAAAGTCACGTCCTGGCTCCCTCTCCGATGGATTGGAAATGTGTCATTGTCTTCAAAAAAAGAGGGAGCCAAGTCATCGAACGAAACGTGATCGACATAATCGTCCAAAGGTTTGCCCATTGTGCATGTAGTTCGACTTTCCGAACTTTTTTCTTTCTGCCGCACAAGTAAGTTCCCAGCTGACCTATGTGGATTCAAAAAATATGGTTTCCTCGTAACACTTAAATAACCGTATTCCGAGTGCTTTTTTCTTCCGGCTTGGAAACTACACTATGATCGTAAGCTATTTAGTAGAATGTATTATGCAAATAGACGCTTCAAATGTGTCAATTGCTACAACGACCTAGTCGAAACTCTTTCTTCTTTCCACTACCGAGCCCCCTGCTTGAGCAGAAGCCAATAAAAAGCTATGGGGCTTCGAATTCCAAAACTAAAAAAAAAAAAACGCCCCCAGTTACTCGCTTGAACTAATCTAGACAGCGTGTATCTCACCTGTGCGTTAAAACTGGTTAAACAAATATTGAAGGATGCTTCTCTTCGCAGTGTTTGGTTTCCCTCCTTTCACCATTCTAATCCCTCATGTATGCGTAGACACACACATATATATATATATATATATATAATATATATATACACATTTCCTTAATTACATTGACCATTCAGGGTCCACATCACGGTACACGAAATTTAGGAATAATTACCCCTAGCCTCAAAAACGCCCCGAACAATAATTATTGTGAATTAACTGTCGTAGGTCAAATAGGCGGTGGCAAAAAAGTCGAAAAATGCATTTAAAGGAAGTAAAAAGTACACTATAGAAGCTCTGAGTGCCGTTATAGACTTCAGCGTCCCTAATTACCCCCGGCTAGAACCGTTTTCTCTATATATCTCATTTTTTAGCATCTTGTTTTGTTAAGAAAGTGGTACTTAAAGGGAAGAGTTTCCCTGGGCGGCTAAAAAAAATAAATATATATTATTTACACATCAAACAATTTGTATACTTATACAAGACACTCGAAAGAGTACAAAAGAAGGCGGAGAGTATCACGAAAGCTGGCTGAGTAGTACTGTGCAGTGTTCTGTCCACGGCCATGGACCGGTCTATTGTGTGTGTAAGCGAGTTTATAAGTAAATATAAGATCTCTGAAGAAGTCTGCCTTCGATTTTTGCCCTGTGAAAATGACGTGTGTGTTGTGTCACAGGAGGAGTTCGAACGGTTTCGTAACTCGAGAAAGAGACGTGCAATCGATATTTTGGAACGCCAGCCAGTGTCGAAGAAGCAAGTGACAGAGTACGGCGACCTGCACCCGCATATGGGAAGCCTGAGTGCGACACTTGGGTCATTGGGATCTTCACTTTCGTGTTCCGAGTTTACAGATAAATCGGTGGCAGACACTTCGTTTGAGCTCTTGGAATCGTCATTTCTGCTTTGTTCAGACGGAACTGCCACAGGAGGCCATAGCGATGTGCATATCATCGAAAGCAGCGAATTCCAGCCCTTGGACTCACAGAGGAGTAGCCCCCCGCCAATAAGCGGCTGACGACAGGATGCCTTCACTCTTTGGGTGTCTAAGTGCAAATGCATATACATATATGTTACATAGTCTTACAAAAGTCAATTAATCATCCTCATTCTCGAAATGCAGCAGCTTTTTCTTCAATTCCATCAGATTATCATTCATAGAATCTCTTTCCTGCTTTATGATAAATAGCTCTGCCTTCAGATCTTTGATCTTCAAGCGGTACGGAGCGTCACGCATATCGTTTCGCGCTTCTGAACCGGGTGCGCTTCCACCAGCGCTCAAGATAGAATCGTCATTGGACGTGAGACTTACGTCACGGCGATCGGTGGACTTGTACTTGAGCTCCTCCAGCTCGTCGGCCAGCCGCTTGTTTTCTTGCTTGAACTTGTTTAGCTCGTCCTGAGATATTTCAAGTGCCCTGCTTGCGTAGTTCACTGAGTTGACACTGCTCTCATAATTGCGTTCCAAATTCTTGACCTTGCCCTCGAGTTCTTCATTCTTATCGTGCAGGTCTTGAACCGATTGTGAAAGTTTCTTCTTTGCGTTTTCACTTTCCTCTTTTTCGGTAGCCATTTTCTCTAAGCTAGATTTTAGATCGCTAATAAGTTTCTGGTGGTGATCAGAAATCAAGATGCTTTTCTCTTCCTGGTCTCCTCTCTTGGTCTGTGCCAGGAAATCATTAAGTTGCACATTGTATTGTTCAATGGTGGTATGCAGACTCTTTGTTTGCTCTCGATCTTGAGCTTTCAAAGCTTCATGATTTTTGAGCAGTTGCTCGTATTTCAATACCAGCTCGTCATGTTTTTCTTTTGTACTTCCTTCTTCATCAAACGTGCTTAACTTGTTGCTCTGAACTTGTATGATGTCGTGCAAGCGAGCTACATCTAAAAATTTCTTAGACAGAAGATCCTCCAATTCACTCACCCTATCTTCATGAGCCTTTTTATCAGCCACTGCAATGTCAAAATCTGTTTGCAATCTGACCAGACGTGTTCCGACGCTATCGCTTTCCTTCAGTTTTCCATTCTCAATTTCAAGCTCCTTTATACGTTCACTAGCGGATTGCGCACTTTTTTCAGCTTCCGTTCTCAAGCCGCCGAGCTCCAGTTTCAAGGCATTAATCATGTCTCTCGTCACCTTAGTCACGGATCCCTGAGGATCTTTCTCCATTGGCGAAGACATACCATTATTACCACCAGAAACCGGAATTGTGCGTTTGAAATCTTCGCTTTTGGGGGTCAAGTCTTCGGGCATATTCCGACTAGGTAAGTTCTCAAGCGTTTCGTTTTCAGGTATTATGCTTTCTCTAATCACGGGGCGTGAGGGTGAATTACCGATCAAGGCAACGCCGTACTCCTCACTAGTGTCGTTGCTAAGTTGACTGTCATGTCCCCTTGAAGTATTGAGATCGGACTCGTTGCCTGAACTCAAAGATACCACACGTGGAGGAGGGCTTTGAGGACCATTCCACTGATTAGTTTTCAGTAGCGGAATAGGAGAAGTGGGTTTTTTGATATCTTGTGCAGTCTGCGAGCCCCTGAGTTCGTTATGGTTATCCTCAGAGACAGGAGGTGCCGCATCTCTTTCATTAGTAGGTGAAGCATAGTTTTCCGCAGTAACGAAACCACCTTGCTCATTTTTGGGCGTTTGGTATCTCTCGCTGAAGGGTGTGAGAATATTCTGCTGTTGATGAGGAATAACACGACCATTGGATGGGGGAGATGTCGGTTCTCGGGGTTTCCGAGAAGCGCCTGCAACATTTGAGTCGAAAACACCAGGAATACTTTCTCTCAGCCGTGTCAGATCCAACGAGTAAAGAACTGTTCCGCAACTCATGTCTACCTCAGCGGTGTGGAAATCTTTGGGGTCAGGTCTCGCATAATCAAACTTGTCACCACCCATAATCAGTAATTTATTGTTAGGAAGTAACGTCAAAGAATGACCTGAGCGCCCTTGCGGAATTCCTATCTTGTACGTTGGCAGCTTAAACCACTTCAAAGAGATCAAGTTCAGAAAGTAAACATCGTTCGAGTAAACATCCTGTTCATCTTTACCACCCACTACACACATGAGGTCACCATACAGAATGGCAGCATGCTCTTGTACAGGAGGCGGCTTTTCTCCTGTTGTCTGGATGACTCGCCAGTCGTTCGCTTGCGGGTCGAAAAGGAAGAGGTCATTTATTAGCCCCTGTGGCGTATCACCGCCGAAGACCCATAGCTTGAAATCATAGGATATCATTGTGTGATTAGTCAATGGCGGTGGGATGAAAGTGTTAGGCTTTATGAATTGCCAATGCGAATCTGGGCGTCGAAATGATGACAAGTCAAATACGGTCAGGTCGTTAAAATAGGTGTCATCAAATTGACCACCAAAGACGTATAGCTTTGTTTTAAGCTGGGAGGTGGCAATGACGCTTATTTTGTGGCCGTATCTGCCTAGCGGTCTTGGACCCACTGGCTTGGGGATCGTCCATTTGTAAGAGTTTATATTGAATAGGTAGATGTCGTCGTCCATCAGTCCTTCGCTATTGACTTTGTGAGTGTCACCCCCAAAGGTGACAAAGGCGTTACCGCAAAGCGTAGAAGCATGGCCCACGCGAGGAGGAGGTGTGAAATCACTTATTTCAATGGTTCTTGACGAGAATTTTGTGCCTTCTTCGAGAGCCGAGAGTATCCAGGTGTCTCCGTAAACTGATTGATCGTGCAGACCACCTATGACAAAGATCTGGTTTTGTTCAGATGTGTATGCTGACGCTACATGGCGGTAGCGTGGAAAGGGCGAGTTGGAAAGCTTTATTCTCAGCCATGGCGTGTATTCTGCCTGTTGTTGCAGCGTTGAAGCACTAGAAACATTTCGCTGCTGGGCAGGGACCGGCGTGGGGAAGATTCGCATGGCACTAGGCTCCGGGAGACTAGACGTTGGCCGCTTTTCACTCTGCACAAAACGCTTGGGATTGTGTGGTGGAATAATTGGTTGTTTGGCCGTTGTGATAGATGGGGCTGTTGTTGTTGTTGTTGTTGTTGTAGTTGTCGCCGCAACAGGTTCTTGTTTTGCCTTCTCTTTAGAGCTTTTTTTCACGAATTTGAAAGGCGCCATCATGAAGAGTATCAAAAGCTTAGTGTTCTGTCTCTCTTTGGTCACCCGGCGGCTGCAGTTCCGGCTAAAAGAGCCTTTCTTTGAGTTGGTGTTGGTATAAAACGGGTTTCCAACGCCAAATAGATGATCAAATAGATCTTGTATAATGGAAACCGGAAAAAAAGATAGCACGTGAGTTTAGCTACCCAGACGAGAAACATCGATGTGAGCGACTAGAGGTTTGGGTAGTTGTAGAGATCATATCTTGTCACATTCGTATTGTGCAAATAACGAACGTACAACAAAGGATGTTGGAACGAGAAACGCTTCGAGTGTGGGATTGAAAATCGTATTCTTATTTCCACACTGCCATGGAGCTAGCTTAAATAGTGTAATGAGTGCTTGTAGTATCCACGACAATTACCTGGATGAGTCGGTTCTTGGGACCAGTGCAGCATGGTGCTGGACGCGACACGATGTGAAATCTAACAGCCTGCGTTCTTTTATGGTTCCGGTAGAGTAAATGTGTCACTGTTTTAAATAATTACCCGGGACGGAGTGTGTGTAATTCTCTTGATGCTATTCTGACATCTTGGATATATCATTACAATAAACTCCAAGCTGCAATTGACCGGGCGTCTACAAGTCTACTTTTGCAAATCTGTTCTCATAGAATTGCAAGTAAGGACAAGAAAAGCGGGTGAGTGACTGCCGAGACACCTTCCGGGTATATCGTGGTGGATTGAAATGCCGCTGATAAACAGCAAAACGGATATAATCACTTTATACTATTCTGTCGCGCGTATTTCACTTTGCGTGTAGTAAGCAAATTCCACTGGTGCATTAGTTATACCACTACTTTCTTCCGTGATCATCAGTCGTTGGCCTCTAAGATGCTCGCAGTACACTCTTGAAGGTCCCAATCAACACTTTCATCGTTTAGCTCAAGCAGCGAAAATGGAACCGAAACCCGTATACCAAGCAATTTTGGCAAAAGAATACACCTAGTGCACTCTTTCCAAAGAATTGCATGTCAATTCTTGAAGACTTCCCGTACTCTCTCAAGTTTAGATCTCCAGTCCGCTTTTCTTCTTGAAATTGCAACGGCTACACCAACCATCGCCGCCTAAAATCTACAATCCACGAAATTTTGAACTTCTACTGGTGTAACAAGCCTCATCTAACTCAAACCATCGAAACCATAACTCACCGATGTATTTACCGTCGTTTTTATCAACTTTGACATCATTGAACATCTATAAGAATTAACAATCATGTTCATTACATGTATTGTATATACATGACATAAATATATATCGAATTGTTTCTCTAGACCTACCTTAAGACTACTCACAAGGACCTTTGAACCAACACCAATTATGAGCAGTCTGAACAGCTTTATCGAGGACAATGATAAGAAGGCTTCGATAGATACCAGTGAAAAACTTAAGAGTGATGATTTGAACGTATCTGCAACGGAAAAGGACGCATCAGGAGCGCAAATGCTCACCACCCCTAACGGCTCAAAAGGCATGAGAGTTCAACCTCAGATAAGCCCAGCAAGTCCCAGCAACCAGGAACATCCACTGAGAAACGCTTCTCCTAGACTGGCGAGCAAATCCAAGCTTCCTCGTTCCAACACAGTCAAACGTCTTTCGCTGATCCAGCCAGTAGTTTCTCCGTTTTCAACGCCACAAGAACACAGACAGACAATCCGCTTTGACACAAGAAGACAGTCTCAAAGCGCCATCTCTGATCATTCTCGCAGCAGTAGCGGGGCCTCTGAGTTGCATCCACAAACTGAATCCGGTTCCAGCGTTAGTTCGTTACTGCAGTTGCTGGCCAACAAAGAACTCGAACTTCTGGAAACTAAGCGCAAGATAGAAGAACTCAGAAAGGGTTTGATTAATGAAGAAGCACAGCTACAGCTGCAGACACAACAATTGCAAGACCTGAAAAATCAGGTTGGTAGAACCGTATACGCTGGTGTGGATGATCACAAAAACGTCAAAAACGGCAGAGGACCTTCGAACCTTGTACAGCCATCGCAATCAGCGGTCGAAGAACCATCGCAATCTGTTTCTAACAGGGAGTCTATGTGGTCAAAGCCGCTAACGTTTTTCAATCAATTTGATCAACTAATTCAACATGAACTAGAGAAGAAACTACATTGGGACGAAGTGCCCTCGCCGACAAAAACACCAGTACGACAAACAGATCCCGGAAGCAAACCATCTGATGATGTACTTGAAAATGTCTCCTCATCTCTTTGGAGTTTCGTTAGCGACGTGAAAACAGGTTTAATGGGAATAAACGAAGAACCCACATCACAAGAATCTCAGAAGCATCCAAGGAATACCGGCCCGCGTGTGTCTGTAGAAAAGGAAACGGAGCTCGAAGATCTGCATAGTAAGAAAAGCGAATGATGTATTATTATTATTATTAGCAAAGAACCGGTGTAAGTAATTGTAAATTTACAGGATTGAGTAAGGTTTATTCTTTTCGAAAGATTTCGTAGGCGTCGTTAGTGGAAGGTATGGTTGTTGCCTCACGCATCTAGGGTGGCATCAGAGACTGGAAAATACTCGTTCCCTACAAGCTTTCCGGTATTTGGAGAAAAAAGTCTGGTGTATTTCTGGTTATTATCTTCATTGGTCATCAGGGTGACCGCACCATCACTGATATTGCGCATGAGTCCCATGAACTTAGAGTTTTGGAATTTTGATTCCAACTGTGGCGGGGTCTCGGTACCAGGGGAGAAGCGATTATTGATCTCAGAAGCTGCTTGCTGAAATTTTAACTGTTCCTGAGATAGAGGAACCGCATCTGGAGCAGCAGTGGGTTCTTCGTTCAGCTCATTCTCAATCCTATCGAACTCTGCAGCAAACATATCATGTTCCTGGGCCGTCATATCGCTTTGAGTAGACGCGTTAGAGGCCGATGCATAGAAGGCCCGTTCCTGCACGAGAGCAGGCCGATACACAGGTATCGGCTGCTGCAAAGCGAATGGAGAATTTTGGGATGCGAGAGGTTGGTTGTTGTGCTGTTGTGGAGGGTTTTCGTATTGCTTATAGAGCTGCTGGTACTCGTTTGTGAAGCTCAAAGGGTCACGAATTTGCATGCGTGAAAACTCGTCGGACCATGACCCTACGTCTTGAGCGATGGGCTGGGCTTGCAAGGGAGGCATACCTTGGATGACATGGGAGCCACTAGGAGGTTCCGAATAACGGGAAGAGCGGAAATTTTTCTCAAAATCGGCGCTTTCCAGCGGTCTTGACCTCGAAGCACTCGAGTGGAAATTTGAGGTTTGCAGCGCTTTAGTGGCAGCGGGAAACTGGTCTGTCTTCGACACAAGCCTAGCCAGAGCAGTTGGTTGACATGCTGACATTATGGAATGCTCACGAAAGGAGGGAAGAATGATTTTTGTTTGGCGACGTTGAAATATTATGCGTAGGCTTGGCAAATTATAGATACAGAAAACCAACCGCGATAGCCCACACTAACAAGTAAAAAAAAGCACAATAAGCTTCGTCGAAAGCAGAAGTGTTTTTCAAACGTTCGAAACAATATTCTTGAAGTTAAGATATTGTCTTTTGGAACACCTTTTGTATCGTGTAAATGTTGTAAAGTTTCTCATCTCATCGTGTTCCATATAGTTTCTTCCCCGCTCTTTTTATAATCTCGCTGGGTGCTGAAAAATTTCGTCCATCATCTCATCGCATCACGGGACCACTCGGTGGTAACGGGTGTGACGTTTTTAGATGAGGGTATTTAGCGGTGAAAGAGAGTACAGGCGTTAACAGTGTATTTAGAAGTTAATTATAAGGTGAGAGGTCTAGATTTACCGCTAGGTTTCCAGTTTGGAGAAATTCTAATCATCAAATATTCTGTAGGACAAATTTGTTTTGATGCGCGTATTGAGGAGGGATGGTGACAAAAAGTGGGAGTTCAATCGTAAGAGCTGATTCCAAGTGAGGAGCTCAACGCGAAATGGAAGTGGATTGCTTACTTCTCATAGAATTGAATTCTAGCTTTGAAGTTGTTGACACATCATCGTGTACGTATGTGTCATCGAGCTGTTAACTCCGAAAATTACTTTTTTTAATGTGGTGTGAAGCAGAGGTGAAATTGTACAAGAAGGACTCTAGTAAAATGGGTGAGCAGAACTAAAGAGACACGAATGAAACTCTGCTTAAGCGGTGCTTTTGGCACTCAGATGGCGTCTTGGAGTTGTAAACTCTTTTTTGTGTCAGTTCTGGTAAATTTCGGAGTTATCACGTGACTCTCTTTTGGCGATAATATTGAATAATACGATGAGTACAGCTGCTAATGAAGGAGATGATCGAGATGCGACTCCTAATCGAAGCGTGTAACAATTGAAAGACAAGAGTTGTAGTAGCTCAGGGGTTCTGACAGCTTTTTTCCAATTTCAACGGCCGTCAGATGTATGTACTCACCTTCTGTAGCTAATATTGCAATGAAGCTGACGCCAGCAAAAGGATATGGCACAGTTGTTACTTTCAAGTGTCACAATTCCCACATCACTTGTAGATTAAAACAGCATCTAAAGCTCACAGAGTTGGTAAACACGCCACTATGCTTGACTACAGATCAAAGACCAATTAAGACAAAAAAACAACCGTTTTGTTGGCTTCAAAAGCTGGATCATAAACTCCAGACACAACCGGTGTTTCAATTGGTTGGGTCCATGCCCTCACAAGATAACAATATACCAGTATCCAGGCTTTCAACTCCTGGATCCTTCTCACCAACAGCTGTGTCAGAGAAGTACATAATGATAAATTTTCTTCAAATAAGGGTCCATAGGTCATCGCCCTTAAACAATGGTAATACCAATGCAAACCGGTTAAGGGACGCATAGTGAAACTTTAACTGAGACTGGTACCTAAATATAGCTCATGCTTTCAACAACCAAGTATAAGAACGGAACTCTTCTCTTCATTGCTCGCTCCAGTTTCCACCCCTTGCGAGTCATTGGTCAGAATGCGATTGGCAGACGAGGCGTTGAAAACACTGGTAGCACCAAAAGCCGGCAAAGAAGAAAACAACATGGCCGGTCTTTTAGATCTACCTATTGAGGTCGTGAAAATGATCCTTGAACAGCTAGCTTCAGATCCCAAAACTTCGGTAATGGATTACTACAATTGGATAAAAGTTATGGGAGACTCAGGTGCGGCTGTCAGTGCACTTCTTCGCGAAAAAGTTTATCTTGTTAACTTGTGTGAATCAACCTCTGATTTTGTTCAGACAATAAGAGGCTACAATAGTTCAATTGATCCAAAAGATGTTATCCCCAGTCACGTCAATCACGTCGTCATAGCTGCTGATGAAGGTACTTTTGATGAGAAAACGCCATTAGATTTGCCACAACCATACGGTAGTATGAAGATTTATTTGGCTTACCATTACACTGGCAGTCAAATCAATCTCAAAAGGATCCACGCAAAATACGTCGACAAGTTTCCGTTCGGTTGTCTACGACCAAATCACATAATAGCGATTGGTCAAGACTCATCGCAACTGCGAATTGAGCGGGATGATGGGAACATGTTCGACTCTTATTTTTATCCAGAGGCAAAACCACTTTTTCAGAACGTCACCTTCTTCAACGTCAGACATTTGTTCATTGACAAGACATGCCTCTCGGATTTCGCCCAAATGAGGCAAGGAAATCTCAAATGGAGTAAAAAAGGCGAGCATGGCGTCATATTCGAACGGTTGGGAAAATACTATCGTGAAAATGAGACCTTGTATCCAGTCAAGAAGGAATGGGTGACAAAGCAATACCGAGCAAATGGTTTTGTCGAAACGCGTGACATCGAAGTGTATGATCGAGACGGGTGCGAAGAACCGAGTAATGAGCTTCAATTGCTAATGAAAAAATCATATCTGACTGCATACCTTAGTATGTCAATGAGCTGCCCTCAGCTTGAAGCTGTTACTTTTGCCCGAGATGAGAAAGATGAGAAAGACACTAATCTCAATATGGTCAATCTTCATCGGTTTTTGCAAAGCTCATCGGATTATACCCTACAAGAATACCTCACTCTCCACTCTCTAAGAAACTGGAACCTACCATCGATAAGGATTTTCAGTGGACACAATTTTCTTTGGCATGAAGAGACAACGAGCAGTGCCAAAAAATATGCTGATGCTATAAGTCTCATCCCTACAATCAGAAGTCGAGTGCAAAAAGAAAGCCCCGATGGTCTTCTTCACATCAATGCCCAGCTTGTTCCGGACGGCGTCTTACACACGAAGATCAACAACTGGGTGCCTTTAGATGTGGATTTTGTATCTGACGTCAGAAAGAGCAATTCACCACTGATATGTTTACGACAACCTTGCTTGAAGTCTTTGAAACTTGGATTACTGGTCTCGAAGCCAGAGGGGAGCCTTACAGTAGAGGGATTGTATCTACCACAGCTCGGTAAACTTGACATATCGTTCAATACCGAATTAGTCCACAGGTCAGTCCGAAATCCAATGTTTAACATTACATTTTCGGAATGGAATGATCTCAGAGATTGCAGACTGTTCGACTGCCAGTTGAATCAAGAATATGAGGGACACATCAATATGCTTGTCTCCAACTTGAAGAACGCATTGCCGCGCCTAGAGTCCAAAAAGTGTTTTAAAGGCTTAGAAAGGAACGAATCCGTAGCATTTTCGAGCAAAGGTTTTGTCCTCGACGGATTAGAAAAGATAGAGCTGCCAATCACTAACTGATGCTGTCTTGTCACAGAAGCCATCATTGAATCAATACAGATGCGCATCCGGATTCTGTGGCTACGCCTTTAATGCTTCAAAGAATTCTCAATAGTCCTGTGTACTTACGTTTTCGCTACTCACGCAATGCGTGAAGCAAGTGGCTTACCGAAAATTCCTGTTGAATCAACTGCTGTATCTACTCTTCTAAAACTCTGTCGCAGAAACAACTTGAAATCACCTGTTCAAGAAATCATCGTCACGTAAACAGCCGTTCGATGGAGTAAATTCGACTCAGGGCCCGTAAGGTGGGATATGAGGGTGTATCTTCCCTAGACGAACTACAGTGGAGATTTTATAACTGCCCACAGGTGTGTCGACGTTAGAAGACCTTTAAAACTTTTTTGTAGAGAGTGCGTACTGTTTTCTTGTTCTATTTATTAGAGGGTGTATATAACCACCTTAGCGGCCTAGGTTTTAGGTTTTCTCACAATTCCACCGTGTACATAACGAATGGTTCATATTCTGTATCAACAATTGAGGCGTACTCGTGCAACGCGCTGTCTTGCTTCTTTATCTTGCCCGCTTTGTCCTTCGAAAAAGCGTTACCACCTAAATATCCAAATTCCTTGATCAGTTCGTTTTTACAAGTTCCAAGGCTTTTGGGTGGAACTGCAATCAAACGTGTGTTGAAATGAGGAGGCAAACCGTAGCGCAAAACACTTTCCACATAAATGCGGAGGGCTTTGATATGAAACCAGTTCATGAACACGTCCGAGTAAGCAGTTTTAGCCAGACGCACCAATTGAACACGCAAAGAGTGCTCCAAATGAGCTGCAGAATCGTGCTCTTTCGTCAATTGATTTATAAGGTCTTCAGAGTAATCGAAATCGCGGGGCACAAATTTCTTTTCGCGACAAGCACTCACAAACTCGTTAACGGACTTCTTGAATAGGTGAACATTGAAAAGAATGTATTCGCTGTCTTGTTTGAGAACACTTGCCGAGCAAGGTACGACGTTTTGGGCCATTGCCTCATAGCTTTTTTCAAATTCGTCTTTCAAGCTTTTAGGAACAGCTACAAGCACGGTGGTGAGGTGGTCTGACCCTAGTACGAAATCTTCAGGCTTCACAATGTCGTGCAAAGATCTGACAGATAAATCACCGGTTTTTTTGCGTTCTGCGGCTGCCAAGTTAGTTTTGGCATTGTTATAGTTGGTGGCGGTGGCTCTAACGTCAGCATCCAATTGAAAAGACTCGTCAGCAATGTCGCTTATGAGCTCTTTGATAGATCTATCAAGTCTAAATTTGCGGGTTTGCCAATGAAAATTCTCCAAGTATTCCATAACAGGCACGTTACCAACAGGAAGGGTTTTATAGGCATTGGTTTGCATCTCGTTCAAGTTGCCAAGCACCTCGACGATTTTCGCAACAGAGCTACTTATCTGGGAGTCAATTTTGGCAAGTTCTTCGGATTGCAATACGAGAGTATCAAGAGAGCCGATCTTGAACTCTGGGATCTTGAACTCCGAAACAAACGGTCTACCGCCACATAGCTCCTCTTGCAGCCACTTTTCGACATCTGCGCCTGGTGCAGAGCTTGGTTGGGCACTCAAAGGTAGCGAAAGGAGCAGGAACTGGTTTGCGGTATGCAGTGTGGTGGCCATTTTGGTACACTTCGTGAAACGGAGATAAAACCACCAAAAAGGATCTTAAACGCGAGCTTTGAAAGCCAAGAAAAAAACTCTTTTAACAAGTAAAGTATCTCTAATTAACAGCAGAGATCAATAACAAGAGCTGGAATGCTCAACGGAGGTGTAGTCTTCTTTTATTTCGAACATTCATGACGGTAACTACCCCTATGAGTTTTTCATAATTATAGGAAAAAAATACAGATCATTAGATACGCGTTGTCGCTTAAACGTAGAGCTCTACATACGAGGAAGGCCCTGTAATCCATCTGGTGATTCTCTCTTGGTTCAAATTAGGCTTAGTTTGAATCTCAATCGCTCCATTGGCCGCCGAGTTGAAACTGGGGTCAGCTCTTTTGATGTTCAATGTTATTGAAGGTGTTTTTTGGTAATTCATAACTCTTCTCAATCACCTAATTAAATCAAGTTCATCATCATTTTGGTGTCTGCTGTATATAGCGACACCACTGGCAATCTGGAATGCTTATGTATGGTTCCAGATTGTAGTCCCGGAACCACGCTAAATAATCAAGTAGTCTGAGCTATCTAAGAATTGCTGTTTATCCTAGGCTAAGTGCTTATTTCAACACCTTACCGTCAACAATCTCTCTTTCTTGACCGTCAACGACAACAGGCTTGTCCCAAGCCCACATGTTGTTGATGAACTCCTTGCTTTCCTCGTTGGAGGCATCTAGCTTGGTGTAGGAGTAAGATTCCCAGTCTGGAGCGACATCAAAGGCAGGGGCAAAGTCCTGGCCTCTGACCAGAACAGCACCGGTGATACCGTTGTTGTTGTTTTCACCGTAAACAACGAGACAACCGAACATGTACTTGACAGAGCCACTTAGTCTGTTGAAGAAACCACCAACCAGGTTGTTGGACATGAAGGTCAAAGTCAACTCGTCGTTGTACTTGAAGTCGACCTTCCATAGAGAGTACTCTTCGGAGTTGTAGTTTTCCCAGAACCAAGGCAAAGCCACGGGTCTGGTGTCCTCGTTAGAGTATTTACGCTTCCAGTCGTCCAAGCTGAAAGTGGACTTGCCTAGAAGCTCTAGAGGGTGTTTTGGCTTTTTTGGCTCGGCAGGTTGCTCTTCAACCTTTGGCTTCTCAGCAGCCTTTGGCTTTTCGGCAGCCTTGGGCTTGTCAGCCTTCTTGGACTCCTTCTTTGGTGCCTGGTAGACCACGGATTGCTTCAAGAACTTGGAAGAATCGTTCACGCCTTTAAGAACTGGGTGGTTCGAAACAGTCTTGTACCATCTGGCAATAGCTGGGTATTGAGATCTGAAATCTTCACCAAACACGACAGTTGCAGTAAAAGCGTAAAAATTGTTGAAGTACAAGTCGGCGACGGACACTTCTTCGGTGGCCAAGTAAGTGTATTCCTCAAGTCTTTTGTTGAGAAGACCAAAAATCTTTTCCATGGTGTGCTTGTGATCGTCTACACTCTTTTTGTTGTATGGCAACCCCCTACCCAAGAGCATCTTGAGGTATGGACTGAAAGCCCCGATTAAGTCAGAATTGACGGAGGACATAGTTCTCAAGATCTGAGCTTTTTCCTCGAGGTTGGAACCTAGCAAAGTGGCAGCAATCTTCTCATCACCTTTCAATTCGATAACTAGTTGGAAACTTTTGTTAGTAATCGGTGAACTTTTTAACTGAGCAGAGAATGGGAGACAAAAAACTGTTCTCATTCCGAACACCCTTGGTAACTGTTCTCAGGCATCTTGCTTTTCCACAGTAAGACTCAGAGTATAAAAAAATTCTCGACACATGGTGCGTTAGCTTTGATGTTTGCCCCATTCAGACAGGGATAACTGTTAAAAAAAGGTTTCTCATCATGCAAACAGATGGAACAAGATACCACGAGAACGTTTCTCACCGCAAATGTGGGAATGTCGAAAAGACGTAGTAACATAAATGTTAACTTTTTTCGATTTCCCTTCGTCGAAAGGAATAGAATAATAACATACAGTAGTAGACTATGGCGATGACCTCTGTCAATTGGAAACCCTCTGGACCCTTAAACCCAGGGACCAAACCCAATGGGAACTCTTTCTTATAAGTCTCAAGATCGTTGGTGACATCGACAATATCGACGTCCAGTTCCAGGAACTTGGCAACGCACTTGGCAAACAAACCTCTGCCGGTGGGCTGGATGTAAAGAGTACCTTGAGACATTTCAATCAATTGCGAATCCTCTATAAACTCTTGACATCCTAGAAGAACTATTCCAAAAAGCGAGCAGACTCTGTAGCGTTCTTCATCGGTGAAAAACTTTCAGCTTTATATAGTGGTGAAAAAAAAATTTTGGAAAATTAGACCGAAGGTAGCGTTGAGTTGAGTAAAAGGCTCGAAGAAAAATTTTGGTCTCGAGCTTAAGCGCGAAAATCTACAATTCTGTCGTGCAGGCTTACCCGGTGGAGTACTCGTGGACCCGAGCGATGAGTTTAGGGTGTGGACTATTTTGGTTGAGATGGGAATGGCTTGAAGTCAACTCTCCTTTTGGCTGTGTTGTAGCGGTTTTTTGTTGGACCTTTTCATTGGTAGATCTACATTTCAAAAGTTCATCTCGCTGGGACAGGTGTGTGTAGAGTTGAAATTACCATGGAAAGAATTGTTGATTCTACACAACAGTTCGAATTTTGACAATGGAACAAGAGCATTACAGGTGTACGGTCTTCTTGCCACGCGTCTAGTAGATTCAGTGAGATTTGTACTACGCTTCTTGCGCTGTAGGACTTGACATGTAGAAATATAGTGCGACAGCCAAATTCTTGGGTTTCCAAAAATTTGGACGCTCCAGAAAATCAGCAATTTCGAGAAAAGCGGTTATCGAGAGCATTCGTGGTGTTTAGATCCCTTGAATGTATGTTTCTCTTCTTCTTTCCCTTCGTGTCACTTCTTTCTGGGCTGACACCACAGGTCTTCGTTATATATGAAAAATTTTAGGCGATGAGATGCGATGAGCTACAACTTGAAAAGTTCAGGAGCTTCAGTTTTTGAAAAGGGAAGGCTCTCCTAGACTAGTGTGGTGATCTATCAGTTAGGAAACTCGCTAAAAATATGAGCAAATCTCTTGAGGAACGTCTGCGCATAAATTCAAGCGCCTTCGATGGCCTGCTGTCACTAATACCGGCAAAGTACTATTATGACGATAAGACGCAAGACCAGTGGAAGCAGAAGAAAAAGAGTAAGGAGCAATCGAAGCTAGACAAGCGTCGCAAATTGGACCCAGAGCTGCAAAACGAAGACTCCGCATCAGCGCTCGAAATCAAGGCTCAAAGAGAGCTTAACGGGAAACCCGTTGTGCTTCCAGGCGCTAAAGTGATGCCACAGACAAGCGACAGTGAAGAAGCAGAAGAAGAAAACGACGAAGAAGACGAAGAAGACGAAGAGGAAGCACAAGAAAATGAGGAAGAAAGTGGATCGGAAGAACAAGAAGAAAATGCATCGCAAAAACCAGCTACTTCTAATTCCAACGTTACAACGAAGCCCGAAAATCTCCAAAACTCTAAAACCGCATCAGAGGACGAAGAAGCGATAGACGTGGTATTTGACGACCAAGGGAACGAAGTGAGTGCGCAGACTGACCTGCCTGCAAACAACGGCTCCAGTAATACCAAACAAGACGCTCCAAAACCTGACAGAAAAGAAAATCTAGCAAAACTTCGCGCCAAACTGCAGGAAAAAATACAATCTCTGAAAGAAAAACGCAGAGCACCTGGAACCCATGTAACGGGTGCTCCTAGCTCGCGAGAAGCCATCCTGGAGCAACGTAAACGTAAGCAAGAGCAGAAAAGGAAACGGGCAGAGCTGGACAAGGTCAAGCAGGATGAATCAAGCGAGAATGAGTCTTCCGACAGTGAGGAGGACGAGGAAGAGAACCTTAGTGTACAGCCAAAGAAGAGAAAGACCAGTAGCGGCGAGGATCTAACTGCGGACCTCATGTTCCAGAATATCGAATTCGACGATGGCGATCGTGCAACCTCCGACCTACAGCGTCTGCGGAAAGCTGGTAGCAAGAAGGGACCGGCTAAGAATGATATAAAAGCTCATCTGCTGGCCTCAGAACAGAGACGAGCTAAATTAGAAGCAAAGGACGAACTCGAACAGATAAAACAAAAGGAAAAAGATAAGTGGCAGCGTGCAATGCTTCAAGCAGAGGGTGAAAAAATGAAAAACGACGAAAAACTACTACGCAAGGCCCTGAAGCGCAAAGAAGCCAAGAAACGCAAATCTGCAGTTGAATGGCGCGAACGTAAAGAAACCGTTGCTACTGCCATATCGGACAAACAGAAGAGACGGGAGGAAAATCTGCAGATACGGAAGGATAACAAGGGAAAGAAGAGATCGCACCAGGAGAAGATGAAGCGTGGCATAAAGGGTGTAAGGCCCAAACGCGCAGGCTTCGAAGGACGTCTCAAGAGTCAGAAGAAACGTTAGATTCAGATGCACAGATAGGAAAGTTGACCTTCAAATACACATTCCAAAAGTGCGTTGTGAGTAATAACACATATCTCGTTGAGCGTCAAAAACTGGCATAAAGGAGGCATCTGTGGGAAGGCCAAAGAGCCCTACCGAGCAGGTTTATATATCACATATGCACGTAGCATAAACACCCAGTGTCACCATACAAGAGATTTAGAGCTTGAATACTCATCAGCTCAAAAACTCTCAACGATCTCAGTGAACCACATGACTTGATCTAAATAAGTTATGCTCATCGCTTACGTAAGTTTAATGTTTAGTAGAAAATAAGAGTATGAGAATTATCTACCGCTGTCATAGCTTCTCGACGAACCTGTGAGAACATCGAACTCGAACAGATCGACAGGCAATCCGATAACTGCCTTGAAGATGAATGTTACGAGACAGTTGCGGTGCAACAGCAGATCTTCGTCGTTTGTTCGGTTTTACAGGAAGCGAATAAAGCCATCTACGAGTCATATACCACAGGTTAAAACGCATCAAAATGATCTTTTCAGACCCCAGGAATTGAAGATGCAAGCTGAATCACCAGAAATGATAGAAAAAGAGTTAAAGAAACTTGGTTTCAAAAGTTTGGATGAAAACGGGTCTTCTGAACAACTGTTTTTGGACTACGTAAACTCGTCATCGTCTGCATTCAAAAAATCACAATCTGAACTCAACAAGTTGGGAAAGAATGCTATGAAAAGTTTCGATGCTCAAACTGGTAATGTTAACCGAATGGAGGTGCTGTTTGACTTCATTTTGGAGGAGTCAGAATGTGAGATCGAACGACTGCAGAAAATGGGACCAGTTCAGATGCGGAGACTGCAAGAAAAACATCATGCCAATCAAAAAGGACTCAATGGCGATAGGAACAGTATAAGGTCTGAGAAAGAGCTGGAAAGAGCGGTTTTCCAGGATCTGGAAATCTCTAACTCGGAAGACTCGGCGTCCTTTCTACCAAGCACTGAACGCATGTACAGGGTTTTATCAGATCTTAACATGAAAAGACTGGCCTCTGCAGGTATCATAAATACCGAGCAAATGGTCCGTGCCTTCGAGATATCCAAAACAATACCGCTTCGAGACATTAGACTGAGAGGAATATTACTTGCTGGTCATTTGATTTACTCTCTCGATAAAGTGCGCATGGATCCTGTGAACGAATCATTCTATATTGAGGCGCTAGTATACTACGGGTTTTACAAAAAAGCATTGGAACTTTTCAATTCTAATCGTCAAAAGGTTAACCAGCGTTGGTGGTACGAAATGGGTATGATGGTATGCTTACGAGCTAATCATCTTGCTCAGTTTGACAAGCTGTTAAGTTATACCTTAAACACCTTCGATTCGAATTATGTTGCCCCTAGGATTCTACGAACTGCGATACGCAAGAAACTTTACGTGCGAGACTTTAGGGGGTCTGACAAACTGACGGACGTGTTCACAAACATTACAAAAAATTATGGATGGAAGACCTCAAGATCGGAAATTTCTGATATGAATAAGAACGTCTTTTTCACTGATGAAGATCAGGCGGATAGCTATTTGAATAAGAAGGAACTGCCCACTGAATTGGATTATGTGGCGCTAATCCAATACCATCTGTACAGAAAACGCAAAGAAAACGGGCTCAAACTCTTGTTGAACTTAGCTGCACTACCGCTCATGGACAATGAATTATTGACGAATGTCGTGCTGAGATTAAAATTTCATTTGCTGGAGAATTTTGATATTCTCAGAAAAGACCTTGAACCACTTCTTATCAGCGGAACCGCTGATGCTCTATCCCATTTACAAACAGCATTTCATCGAGCGCAAAATATCAGTGGAATTGATAGACTATCATCCCACTATAGGCACATTTTATTCGACAGCATCACAACAATTGCGTCCTATCCTTCTTTGATTAGGAATGCTGAGGACTTTGCAGGTGAACTGTTGAAAGGAGAGAACATATCTGATCAAAACACTTCGAGGCGAGAGTATTCACTGAGGATACATGGTGTTTTAAAAACGCTCCTCAAGGATGATAAGGAAGATTTGGCGTGGGAACTTCTAGAGAAAGTTGAGAAAGATCTTGCAAGTGAGAAAGCTGCTAGCGTTGGTGGCTTGTCAGCAAATGCCCATCATTATGCCGTTTTCATCGACTATTACAGTACAAAAGCACACAAGACTAGAGCAGACAAGGATATCATCAGATATGAAAAGAAAATTGAGGAAGTTGTGGCGAGAATGAATGAAAAAGACGTTCAATACAACTCGATGCTTCTCTCATCTCTTTTGCAGCATTATAGAAAGACAGGAAACCTTGATAATTGCTTCAGCATCATAAATGCAATCTTTGATCATAGAGCCAATCCCGAGACTGGACATCATTTTAAACATCTTCTGTCATTTTTCAAAAGGCGGGAGATTACCAAGTCTCTGTACCTAGAGATCTGGAAGTGTTTTGCAATGTACTACTCGTGCTTCGAAAATGGCTTAGGTGTCACAGAGATTCGGTCCAATCACGGCGCTTGGAAGCGCAATATCTTGAAAGAGAGATCAAAAGTTAATAAGCATCCTATTTGTGACCTAAGGTATCTTTTTAAGTCCATGGTACAGACGGATAATATTTTACCTGATGCCACTTTTTACCAGCTCATTATCAAGGCCTTTGCCCGTGTACGCGACTGGTCATATTTACCAGCTCTCCTGAAGCATATGAGTGAAGTCAGCGGCATCAATCCTGACAGTAAATTAATAAGATTCTTGAATGGTGGTCTTCGCTTGGAGTATATTGCGATTGAGCGTGAAAAGCTGATGGCAAATGAAGTAAGGGACCGAAAGAGTCTTTGCTCTTTAGTCAATACTGCTCGAAGATCTGTGGAAAATCAGATTAAGGCTGGATCAATTCTGCGAGAATCAGATGAAAAGGACGCACATCAAATTGTTGTTAATATTTTGGACTTCTTGGAACACCATCGTGGTGAAGAACTAGCACAAGTAAGCGCAGCACTGGAAGAGCTAGATCTCAGTTGATAGCGATATGATGAAGCAGCGCTATACGATTATTCTTGTACATAGACATGTAATGACCCCATCCTATTTTTTGCCTAGCTTGAGCCACTTTGGCGTTTGCCCAGAGCGCAAACTGTTACCAGCCTTTTTATCTATGCCTTTCGGTGCAGGACTTTCTATGGTTTGTTTCATGCTGTCATCTAGATCGCGAAGAGATGCGAAAGTCTTCGCCTTTTCGATCAAGTCAGATCTGAGTTTCACGCCGTTGTGAGCGCTTTCTAGCACCAAAAGAGTCTTAGAACCAAATTTCAAGTTCTCGACTAGTTTCAAATCGCCATTTTGTATCTCTTTGTGTGGATGTGAGTGGAATAATGCAAAGGGAATGGTTCTGTCATCCAAACACCTCGTTACGGCTTCATAAACTAAGCGAATGGTATCATCTGGTTTGAAGTTAATGTCCACACAGGTACGATCCGGAAAGCGTACTCGAACGTTGCAGTTGTCTATCTTTTTGCTTGCACTCTCTTTCTCTCGCAGTCGTTTGGTCAACAACGGTTGGTCGCTTCCGGTACTTTTGGATAGCATTTTTTGGTACCTCTTAAAATGATTTACTGTTACCTCAAAGTCTTGTTCCTCCTGATCTTTGTAGGAGGCTAAAGATACGTCTGAATCTGGAATATAAGCAGCTATCGATTGATCATCGCCTTGAGCCTCTACCGGCTTTTCCACATAATCTTCGGCCTTCACTTTCTCTCGAACGGGAGGTGTACTTCTTGGTTCGGGCATCCTTGGCTGTTTCCTAGGTTCTTCGAGTTTCGAAGCGAAAGATAGTCTAAGCGCGACGTTTTCGAGGATTCCGAGCTCAGCAAACGTAGACTGATTTATCTGTTCGAGATTGTAAACTTTTGAAAAACACTGTAATCTCATGTCGTTTAATGTTAAGGGCCATGACTTGCGTTCAAATATGACCTGAATTGCATCGATGATTTTGGTTGATGACGGACCTGTCCATACTTCTGCGCCACGTCCTAGCACCGTGAACTTGAGTTTCAAAATTTGCTCTGGAGTTCCTGTCTGTTTCAATTCTTTCAACTCCAGAGTTGCTCCAGCGGCAAGGTTTAAAAGTCGCAATGGAACAGTCAGTGGCAACTGTTTTTCAGCGTGGTAAAGGGCCCACGACTTATTTTCCGTGCTGAGCTTGAAGTGCTTCAAACTTCTGGGTAGAACATCGTTCAAATTTTTGCCCGGTTCTACTTTTTCCCTAAAGCTCGCGAACTTATATGCTATCTGGACTACTGACATTTAGGATGATCTGTAGCGTCAGATCTTGAACTAGATGTGTGTGTGCACATTCTTTAAGCGTTATAACATCCAATACTATATCATACGCATTAATCTGGACCAGAGAAAGGACTAGAGGAATGAGTAGGGGTTGGAGTAGTTGGCGCGGGCGGATGATGGCAGTTGATATAAGAAAGCGGTTCAAATCATGAAGATTGTAAGATTCTCTTGGGTTTTCAAAAGCCGTCAATAAATTTGACGCTCTTGGTATTCAAAGAAATGTGGCAGGTACTTGAAACGGATAAAATGGTAAAAAGCAGAAGTTTTTCAATAGCATTGTTGAGAGTTGAAGAATTTGCCAAGCAGCGAATATAAGACCAAACGACCTGATAAAATCGCTACACGCTGTTTCAACACCATAAGACAGGGTCTACATATCATCAGAAAATCTGGTCATTCGACATTAATGTCACTGGATGGATAATTCTCTTTCACGTGACTTGGCACATTTCAAGTTTCTCACGGTAATGAGGCGAGTAAAAGAAGCCATTGATTTCACAATTATAACCGATGCGATTACTCTACGTTGTGTTATATAGGTCATTAAATTTACTGGGTCAGCGATGCTTGTTTCAATGTTTACGTTAAACCCCGATCCAATCGCTGTCGTCGACTAAAACCAGCACAAAGTAACGCTACTTTTCAGGCAGCGGAGCGAAGCGAAGACTGTTGGTTTATCGATGAAGATTATTTCACCGAACTAAGCTTCTCTTCTGGTCGCCGAGCATTCCTCTTGAACACACATCGTCTCAAAACCTACCTACTTTAAACCTGAATTCATATGCTCGGGCCTTGGACGGACAAGACAAAGCGCTAGGCCCGAAAACTCCCGATCATTTGTTCATAGATCAGTTCAACATCATTTCTCATATGCCCGCTCCTCCCACGGAACCGCTTAATTTTTAGTGCAAAAATCCACGGAATCATATATATCGCCATCTATCCATTCCTACAGTCGTTCCTCCAGTCAAATGGGAAATTGATATATATAAATCGGTGAGGGCTCAATCTGGCTTGGCTTAACTGTCCATCAGACCAGGGTGGCGACAACGTTCGAGATATTTACACCGTCTTACTTATATTTCCAACACCACATCGATCATGTCGGAAGGGTCGCAAACAACCGACAACGATTTGCGAACTTTCTCCAAAGACGAACTAGCACAATTGCAGCAGCTTTACGGATGGAAAGAATCTTTCAAAACGTGGCGGAAGGGCTCAGATGGCAGAAGTAACGAAAAACGGCTATTATCGCTCTTGGATTTCTTCCCAGACGGTGACGATACCCGCAAATGTTCCATTATCGATGTGGACATCGGTAACAAAGAACATATCCACGAGTTCCAAATTGAAAATACCCAGAAGACCAACCGGGAATATGGCAAAGATATGGTGATAATGCATGGTTATGGAGCAGCCTTGGGGCTGTTTGTGCGAAATTTTGATGGTCTGAGTCAGGTTCCGGGTCTTACGTTGCATGCTATCGACATGCTTGGTTATGGACTCTCGTCACGGCCTAAATTTCCTGGCACCGGATTCAGATCGAGCTACCTGAAAAGAGGCGACATAAGCGCTAAAGAGGTGCGTGAAGCGGAAGATTTTTTTGTGGACTCGCTGGAACGTTGGAGACAAAAAAAACAGCTCGAACGCTTTGTGCTTGTTAGCCATTCCTTGGGAGGATACTTGGGTTGCTGTTACGCTCTTAAATATCCTGAGCGCGTGGAAAAATTGGTCCTGGTGAGTCCTGTGGGCGTGGAAACTTCGATTTTTGACCTCACTCGCACTCACACAAACCAGCATGTCCATGCGACCGAACTGGGGCCCGACGTATCGAAGGAAATCTCGGCGGACAAAGCCAATGCGACCACGGATCGTCCAGTGAAAACATCAAGCTCATTTCACGTTCCCGACGAAGCGGGTAACGTAGAACATGTTCCCAACTTACCTCGGATTTTTTCTTTCATGTGGTCTTGCAATATTTCTCCGTTTGGCGTTTTGCGCAGCTTGGGCCCAATGGGCGCATTAATGTCCTCTAGATGGTCTTTCAGACGATTCGCGCACTTGCAAGACCCCAAAGAGCTGTTCACGTTTCACGACTACTTTTACAGCGTGTTCAGTGGTGCAGGCAGCGGTGAATACGCTTTGACGCGGATATTAGCTCCTGGAGTTCTGGCAAGACTGCCTCTGCTGAGCAGAGTTCCTGAAAACATAAAATGCGATTCTTTTTGGATGTATGGCAGTAACGATTGGATGAGCAAAGAAGCGGGCCAGGTCATGGTACGCAAGATAAACGAGAATACCTCAGGCATCAAAGCCGATTACTCTGTGGTTTCCAATGCGGGCCATCACTTGTACCTCGATAATCCTACCGAGTTCAACAGCAAAGTGCTCAAATTTCTTAAGCTAGAGTCTTGAAAAGTAGCGAATCAACCACACGTATAGATAATCTTATGAATAATATTCAACTCATCTAAAGTAAAGAGGTTACTGGAACGTCCAGGCCATTGATGATTGATGTGTCTGTCTCTACTCACACTCTCATGACATCTTATCAACTAACACGTGACTGAGCTTTCCCTTTTGTTTCCCGTTTGTTTCCAGAATGAATGTTTCCAATTCGCTTTCTGCGCATGCAAGACCTTGAAAAAATAGCGGTGAAAAGCTTCCATGCAGCGACTATTCTAACATCACTAAATTTAAGGAAACCACTATTCGGAATACCTCATCTCACCAACCATTATTTGAACAAGTGAGTGAACTGAGCCGAAAAGATCTTCAGACCCGCAATAGGACCCGAATGCTCGAGACTCCAACCATAAGACTGCGAAATTCGGTCATTTCGGGCAAACTTCACATAGTAAAACGTATCTTGAGCCGATATCCGGATCTTTTAACGGAAATTGATTCTGCGAACGGATGGTCGCTGTTACACTACGCTTCTTACTACGGAAGGTATTTGGTGTGTGTGCATCTGTTACAATTAGGACACGGCAGGAGTGAGATCCTGAAAACTTTCAAAAACAACACATGCGTGCATTTGGCTCTTTTGGAAGGACACGAACAAACCGCACACTTGCTGCTACAACATTTCCCATACTGTTTGAATCTTAGGGGCTCTCATGGCCTCACTCCCGTACAAATGACGTGTTTGCGGGACCATCACAAATGTTTGAGTCTGCTTTTAGGTCTGGGCGCAGATCTAAGTCTGAGGGACGACGAGAACTGTACTGCATTGGACGCTTGTCTCAAATACGGTAGTGTGAACTGCATGCGAATTTTGGTTTTGGAGGGTGATTCAAACGAGATAGAGGGTGAGAATAAGCTTGGAAACTGGGCCCCGGAAGACTTGTGTATGACGTTCCAGCTCGTAGATACCTACCACAAAGCACTGAGCGATAAACGTACGCACAGCCAGCTGCCGAAAAGGCCAAGCTATCAATCCATGGTTTCTCCGCTAACTGTTCCCAAGCCGGTCTTTGAGAACAGTGGGTCGCCCATGATGACCACATCCCCAGCCGTTCAGTTCCTTTCATCACAGCTTCCGCCACTACCAGCGATCTCCACGAGTCGCAGAACATCTGTAGGTAGTCATCAAAATTTGAGATCTCCAAGGACTCCGGTTTCGCATACATTTCACACCGGTTCGCCTAGCCGACGCCGGCTTTCGTATCTCGGTCATACCAACACTGCATCATCGACGTCTTTGTCGAAACGGGATCCGAGCCCCACCTTAAGTAGTGCAATACGTGGGAAACCAGAAGATACCAGTTTCGAGTGGTATAACAAGCACAGCGCATCTACTATGAGCGTGGAGAGCAACAAAAACAATTCAAATCGCGAATCTTGCTCTGCTAATACCCAAGGTACCCGAGACGACTCTCGAGAATCCATTCACCATGCACCGCTGAAGAGTGACAAGACACTGGGAGGCAAGGAAAATCAGTTATCGGTTCTAAACGTGTCTGTATCCAAGATTAGAAGATGAAGACTTGGATCTCTACTATATATCGAAATAGATGGAGTAGTGTAAGTTACAATTGGGATTGAAAGATGCCGAACAAAATGGACACTGAAGGTTATTATCGCACTTGAGTGTGTGGTGGTACTGTTCAAAAGTCATTGTTTTACGACAGACACCGCACAGTACCACATGTTCCGAGGACCCTGGTGCGATTTTATATCTTTGAATTTGGTGTGTTTCCAGGGCATCATGACACGAATGACAGGCATAGTATTGTTGGCAGCATTTAAATTTGAAGCAAATAACATCAACTCTCGAGTTCCAATGAACGCATCGAGACTGATCATCAACAAGCAGACCTCTAGGTTCGGGCATTTTAGTGAATTTTCCCTCTGAAGAACAATAGTGCAAACAAGATAATGCACCTTACCGAGAATTGTGGTTTCATTAAATGTGTATATATCATTTCATTATATAAATATGGCAGGAATATAAGAGATCGTTTGGGGTGTCGATTGGGTGTTCGAGCAGATCAGGCCTGGTTGACAAAGTTTAGACCCTTTTCGATGTTCTTCTTCAAAGTTTCCTTACACTTTGCCAAAAGCTCGTCTTCCTCGGAAGAAGTTTCACCAATGGAGTAGATCTTCTCGACACCGTGAGGACCCAACTTCACAGGGGAAGCAAAGAACTCGATACCTTCGCTCTTGTACAAAGGAGAGTCGACAAAGGCAGGCTCAATGATGTCGTTTTCGCCGTCTAGACCCTGCAAGACGGAGTTGGCGAATCTGGCACCGGCCTGGGCCATAGACAAAGTGGCTGAACCGGCACCATTTTTAGCTTGGACAACTTCGTCACCGCCAAACTGGATTCTGTTGATCAAGGCATCGCGTGTGGTTTGATCGAGGTTCTTGTGCTTGGTTTGCGAAATCAATGGGATGATTGTGATACCGGAGTGTCCACCAACGACGGTAACCTTCTCCTGGGTAGGGTTTGTGTTGGCCACTTCCGAGATGAAACGGGACGCACGGATCACGTCTAGGGTGGTCACACCAAACAATTTCTTAGGGTTGTAGACACCCTTGTTTTTTAGCACTTGCGACACAATTGGCACGGTGGAGTTGACTGGGTTCGAGATCACCAAAATGGCCGCATCTGGTGCGTTTTCAGCAGCAGCAGCAGCCAAGTCCCGCACAATAGAAGCGTTGATCGAGAAAAGGTCGTCACGCGTCATACCGGGTTTACGTGGAACACCTGCTGGGATCAAAATGACTTCAGTTCCCTTCAAGGCTTCTTTCAAGCCATCGTTTTCAGGCGAAAAGCCCTTCACAGCCGAGTTGGTAGGAATGTGGGACAAGTCGGCAGCAACACCGGGAGCGCCCTTCAAATCGTACAATCTAAGATCGGTGACTTTTTGATTCAATTTCAACAGCAACGATAGCGGTTGACCAATACCACCACCGGCGCCCAACACGGTCACCTTGTATGGGTTGAAACGGGTAGTAGAAAAGCTACGTTTGGCAGCAGAAAGCATTATATTTGAAGGATCGGTAAAGGGGGTATGAATATGTAGAACGACAGACTTTTTCAAACACTGAGAAGCGAAAAAAACGGTGGTTCCGAGCAAATAATAATAATCGATATCGTGTGGGGGATGGCTACGCTACCTGTCTTTTATATATGTATTGCATAGATATAGAGAAGGTTTTTTGAGAGAGTTTGGTTTCCGGCAAACACTGGTCGTTAATTACGAGGTGTTGTTTAAATGCTATAGGGGCCGTAGCGTTTCTCGCGAGAGGGCGCATGACCTTTTGTGCACAGGATACAAGAGAGCGGTGCCGAGCGCGGACAGATCACGTGGTAAATACGTACATGCATGCTATATCACTCTTTCTCCACACGGGGTTAACATCCACACCTCCAGACACCCGAACATTTCCACTTTCATCGGAGTAGTGTCTTCCGAAAGTTGATACATCACGTCGTGAGCACCAGTGTCCAACACCCACACATGTAGACACCCACACCGCTTAGCACCCAGACCTTTTCGGCGAGTCGGAGCAGTGACATCCGAGTGTTTGGGGACCACATGCATCAAGAGAGACAGCACCCATACATTATGCAATCCTTACCTCCAGACACCCAGTCACCCAGCACATTTCCACCCATACACCAAATTTTATACCTGCCCAAAGACCCAGACATTTTATTTCACGAAGGGCATCAGAGGCCAAGCTTTCAGATGACGTGCTAGCTACTAGTCCCACGCCCATAAATTTAACATCCACACATCCATACATCTGGACACCTTCCCTACGAGACAACATCACGCCCGTACACCCTTTTGTCATCAAGACACCCAGACACTAGCACATCAGTACACCCTAGATCTTTGATCCTAAGCCTTGACGCGAGTTACGTGCTTACTGTTAGTCCATACACACATACCGTAGGATATTCACACATCCATACATCCGCACACCCATGTCACGAGGACAGCCAGACTTCATAACACCCGTACACCTCGGATATTGAGACATAGTAGCACATCAACAGCTCCGTTACCTGTCAAGCATGCAGGATTCCACAAGGCGCACACGGACTTATAGAGAATAGACAATAATGCTAAATAAATCCTCAAATTCATGGGCAAAGGAATACTGAATGTATTGTTCAAGCGTCAAGTTTGACACATTCCCATACAGCAACGGACTTTCAGTCCTTGTTAACACCGAGACAAACATTTGCTAACTGGCTCAATTCCCTTATAAACATCAATACAATCAATTTAGTTTATAAGCGTATGTCTCTTGTGTTTACTTGATACCCTATCACGTCATACAATATACTCCGTCTTCAAATCTCTACCACCGATTTGCCAGTAGTCTTTCTGGCCTCCAGCTCACTCGTGGCCTGCTTGTATTCGCTTAGTGGGTAGGTCTTGTTAATAGGAATCTTGAGTGAGTTCGATTCTAATCCAGTCACAAACTCTTGAAAGTAGTAATCCCGTTCCTCTTTTGAGCCCAAGTATCCAAACAAAGAGGGTCTTAACAATTTCACGTTTTTAGGTGTTAACCGAGACAAGGCGAATGGCACTACAGGCCCTGAAGCATTTCCGTAACTCACAAACGTTCCCTTGCGTTTTAAAGCCGCCAAAGTGGTTTCGAATGTGTCTTTACCAACCGAGTCGTATGCGACACTTACGCCTTCGCCATTGGTGATCTCCAGTACCCGTTTCAAAATGTCTTCCTTTGAGCTGTTGATCAGAAACTCGGCTCCATATTTTTGAGCAATTTTCAACTTTTCATCCGTGGACGCTACGGCGATAACGCGGGCTCCAGCTTTTTTCAAAGTTTGGTTGAACGCAATCCCGGCGCTGCCAGCAGCGGCGTACAAAAGCGCAAAGTCGCCCTTCTGAATACTATAACTCTCTTTGGTGAATGTCAATGCTGTTAGGAGAGACACCAGCGACGCGGCGTACTGTTTGAGCTGTTCATCCGTCGATGATGCTGGCAATTTCACCAATGGACTGGTATCCGCAACCTTGGTATACTGCGCCAGTGCTCCTCTAGTTAAATAGGCTATTTTATCATTTACCTCAAGCCCTTTTACATTTTTACCCACTGCCGCTACAACACCTGATGCTTCTGATCCTAGCACATATGGTTTTTCAGTAGGGTATATACCTTCACGGAAGTACGATTCGATGAAGTTTACTCCGGCAAACCTATTCTTGACCAGTACATCGTTGTCACCGATTTTTGGGACTGGAAAGTCCTCATATTTGAGCACATCGAGTCCTCCATTCTCGGTAAAGAACACAGCTTTCTGAACACTGGGAAGGGCACCAGCAGCGTTGGTAGACATTTTTCTGAATAAGTTTTTCGTTGAGCTAATTACAACCATACAACAGAGCTTAGTTGTTTGAGCCCGTACGGATAAAGATAGAAGGGATTTATATACATTTTTCAAGAGGCTACTATCAAGGTGTCAATTAGTAAGAACTTGAGGGTCTCTTGAAGTCATTTTTAAATACACCTTGAATTGTGGCTGTTCGGAAGGAAAACAAAATGAATATTCGGGGACATGCTGGTAAAGAGAGACCTGGTAATAGTACATCGTAAGTAGGACGTGTCGGACTGCCGTTTCCAAAAATGGAAAGTCTGAAATATGGCATTTGTGTTTCCGGGAGTCAATGAATTGGTGCAGCTATATTTCCAGGAATACAGTACGTTTGGAAGGCATATTCGTCTTTCTATCTTGCCAAGACTTTAAACCAAGCTCAACAACTTTAGACTATCATGCGAACCCGCTTGACCACCAGTCACGTAACCTTGGACGAACACCTGCCAGAAATTTCACAAGTACGGATATCAAGAACGCAACACCAGCTATTCTAATCAATAGGATGCAAACGCAAAATTTTTTGGGAGGAAACAATATGAGCGGGCAAACTTGTACCGTAAATCTCGAGTGATAACAATTTATAACCTCTTCGAAAAACAGGACCTGACTCAGCCGCTGAACAAAGCTGCAACTATTTATTCAATCACCTTAGACGGAAACAAGATGACATAATCAAAATGCATATCACACCACCGCCCTTAAAACGTGACCAATGACGTCAATAATTTTATACGTGACCAAGACCCGGTATCTTACTGATATGCATAAATAAGCCTTGCATGCATGATATCAAAGGCTTGTAACGCAGAGGCCATATATAAAGGGTTTTGTCCACCAACTAAGTATAACTCCGCATACTCTTCTTGACTACATTTCAGTAAATTCTTAGTCTGCAATCAAGCTAACCACACCATGGGTAGTACACCAAGCAGACCGCTTATTCGCAACAACAATGATCCAAACGTCCCACCGTCACTGCGATTTTCCAGACATCGGCAAATGATCCTTTCGTCTGTTTTCAGCGTTCATCGAAGGTATCTATGTTTCTCAACAGCGCATTCTTACGAGCGGTTCAAGGCTGCGGGTAAAAAATATGGCACTGCGCAAAATTTGCGGGACGAGGGTCTGGGAGTACCACTCTTCGAATTCGAGGACCCCAGTGCACTGACAAGACTCACGAATTCCGATATTGGACGTTTTCAGATTTCAAAATTTGTGTATCAATCGACCTCGCAACCCCCACCACACCCGGAAAGTACTGTGGTTTGTCAAAACAAAACTCATGTCATCTACAAGATGCCCTTTTGCATAGTGAACCGAATCTACAGCGGTAGCCGATCCGGCTACGAATTCTCGTTCTACACCCCTGATGGAATTCTTACTGTGAAAGCTTTAAAACATCATTTATCTATTGAATTGGACGCACTCCTGGGCGAATGGAACGTTGGCTGGCGCCGCACCCGCTTTGAGGACTACGACCTGTTGGTACTGCCACCACAGGCCCGATCACTTTTGGATCCGCCTGAAGTGAGCGCATCCAAACCTAGCGGTAGTCAAAGTCGCCAAAAGTATGAGCGTAATGCAACCTTGTGGGCAAAATACCTCGATGCCGGAGAGTCGTTCTTACCCGCGATGTCCAAAAAATTGGCAGTGCTTGAAATAGGTGAAGTTGAGTTCGAAACTGATGCTACTGCATACGGATTAGCAAGTATCCCCTGGTTTTCGCAGGTAATCGCGTGTATGGCGTTGGTACAATGCCAACGTATCCAACAAACAAGACGCAAAAACAAACGGGGCAGAAACAATTGGGGCGCAGCAGGTAACATGCATTTTAATACAGTTAACATGGTTAATACGAACATTGCAAATGGAACTTTCTGAAAAGAAAAACCTAGAATTGGATTTTTCATGAGTTGTCAATGTGGTAAACGAGTTTTATCAAGCAATTCGTCTTTAATCAGCGGTATGGGCGCAATATTTGCGCAACGCGTTACGAACTTTTCTTATTCGGCAAAGTTCCGTGCTGTCTCCTTAACAATAAATGATTCATCGAGCCTTTAGCTCTTGTCCATTCTTTTAATGTAAACGATCATCAAACGAGTGGTCAAAGCGTCAGCATTTTAGTCATCAACCCATACGCATAGTCAATCAAAGTAATATTAATTTCAGAGAGTAGTTCCACCAGTTCATTGGGATGAGATGGCTAATTATTTAGGTTCTGAACTGATCCGATAGCATACATGGCTGTAATTCGACTTTTGATCTTGAGTTTCCTTGAGGTAGGTGTCTTTCGAATTAGGGATTACCAAATATAAGAGGACTTGAGCTGGTAAACAAACATACTGAAAAAAACAACTATATGCCGATTTTGACATACTTAGAACGCTTGATAGGATAAGCTCTACAGTATATCAGTTGAAAAGATCGTATGCTGTAAACCACAAATATTAGGATGACAGAAATGCTAACAGTCGCTGATTTCATCTAAAGAAAATGAATGGCAAACATAAAGTGGTAAATTAATGGAGCTTTGGTACACCCACAGGATGCTTTTTTTTGTTCATCTCCGTGCAAGAGTTTGCGCTACAATCAGAGTCTGTATCATGTGATTCTTTCTGCGGTCTTGGAGTTATAAAATGTAATTGGCATCCACTGTAAGCAGACATCACCTTTCCACACCAATCTTCATAAAAAATTCAAAACTCAAATCGGATCCTATTCCCCTTCCTTAAAGAATAAGCCACTCTCGATTACCGTTAGTGCAGACACGTACCACTGAAGGATACCTGTAGAAATTTGTTAATGGTATGATCACGTGATATGAGAACTACCTGCACAGCATTGATGAGTTTCCGTCGAAAGTCATGATTACAGTCTAAAACCACATGAAATGAGTCAAGCGTTCTATATGGATTGAAATATTCGCTATTGTGTCACCAGGCTAATTTTTTTCAAGCTAAAAGGAAGCTTAACCTTTAAAGTTGAGAAACTCAAGGAATGGGTAAAGGCATTCTCATATACTCTGCTAAGGAAAAATAACGCGTATCAGATGATATACCCCTAAACTAGCTGCACCACTACAGCATTCTAAGGGCGGATTATTTGGCGTGTCTCTTTCATGTTTTTCACTACATTGCTTGCTGATCGTGAAGCACAGTCGCTTACTTTCTTCGATCACCTTGAACGCCAAGCCGCTGACATAATCAAAAGGGCCCACTTTTAGATGCACCCCTAAAAAGTCTTGGCGTGCACGTGACCAAATATTCAGATGCAGGTACTTTATATGCATCCCCGCATAAATTAGACTTGGAATATGAATGGAAATCTCACATTTGAATATCTTTAAATCCCACGATCTCTCCATTCCGAGAGTTCCCTCACCGGAAAGCCCCCTTCTAGTTTGCTTGCTATTCCGGTTTCAATTAAGCCACACCATGGGCAACTCTCCTAGCAAACCGCTTCGTGGCATCAAAAATGACCCAAATGCCCCACCATCACTGCGCTTTACAAGAAAACGACAAATGGTCATACCGGTGGCTTATGGCAAGCGTAAAGAGTATCTGTGTTTTCCAACGGCACATTCGTATGAGCTGTTCAAGGCTAGAGGCAAAAAGTTTAGCACTCCAGAAAATATGCAGGATGAAGATCTTGGGGTGCCATTGTTCGAGTTCAAGAATCTCGGTCCACTGGAAAGGTTTGGAAGCTCTGAAAATGAACGATATTTGATTTCAAAATTTGTGTGCCAATCGATCTCGCAGCCTCCACCGTACTTTGAAAGTATTGTGGTTTGTCAAAGTGAAACGCACATCATCTACAAGTCGCCATTCTGCACTGTAATCAAGGCTTTTAAAACCAGCAGATGCAGTTACGATTTTATTTTCTACACTCCTAATGAAATGCCCCCGTTACGGCTTGTACAACACTGCTCATCGGTTGGCTTGGATACTCGTCTTGGCGACTGGGACGTCAGTTGGCGCCGCACGGGAAAGGAGGACTACGAGCTCTTGGTTCTGCTTCCACCTGAAGAAAGTGCCACCATTCCTGGTAATCACCCTAATCATAACCTGTTTGAGCCGAATGCGCCAGTTTGGGCCCAATACATTGACGCAGAAGAATCATTCTCGCATTCAATGTCCGGAAAGTTCGCCGTACTTAACATAGGTGAGACGGATCTCGAATCCGATTCCACTGCATACGGAATTGCTAGCATCCCCTGGTTCTCCCTGGTCATTGCATGCATGGCATTAGTACAATGTCATCGCATCCAAGAATACAGACACAGAAGCAGAGGTCCCGGTCGTAGATATTACAATGCGACTCCGCTCATGGGCATCACAAATGCCGGATACGGTTATTACTGAAAAGTCAAGAAAGCTGAGCTCCATCGATTGTAATCACTAGTTTGAGTCATTCCATTCGGAATTATGTGCTCTTCTTCAAGCATATGTAACGGAGTTGCCATGTTGATATAACGATCCAGAGAAGCAGTAACAAAAATCTATGAGCACCCCAGGGGTGGGGCCATAAACTTTGAAAACAGTTTGTTGAGGTTCTCCCCTGTTTGGCGCTGGCACAAAATCCTCAGCAGTGTAAGCAGCGCCCTACGGGCTTACCTGGTTTTTAGGTCTAATTCGTAAAGCTCGATGATCGTCAAATGAGTAGTCATGGAGCCTTAAACAAAAGGTTGAACTGATAGAGCTTCACGAGGATATGCGTAGCCTACTTCATTCATACCAGTGGGCAAACTAACTTCCATTCCTGTCATTGAATTTACCGTCTTTATTGGTGAATTAAGTTTGTCGATGCAGCTGGCGCGTAGTTCGACCTCAGAGCTATCAACGTAAGCCCGAGTTAGGCTAATCAGGAAACAGACAGAAGATACACACTCAAGCTGTGGGCATATTTGGTACAAGAAAGAGACCACTTTTATCCGAACTATAATACCATCACTATCATTCTAGTATATTTTCTTTATCGTTGATGGATGTAAAGCATCGGAGCTTTGTCCACTTATATTCATTACATAGCGACACTATACCCCTGAGAGTGTCGCGTCGAGAATCCTTCGCACTCAATTAGATATCTGTTCCTCAATCAAACATGTCGTCAAGTGAACTACCTACGTATAAGCTCAACTGGCTTCGAGTAGCTGGAATCAATTTGCATCGCACTTGCACCTCACTACCAGATTCTTGGCTGATTCTATCGTAGGCCTGAAACCGATGGCATCCACCGAAAGCAAAGTAGTAAGTTTTTCCTTGATCACGAACACATAGAACGTCGATTGGTGGCAGTTGAGAGTCCATCGCTGCAGCTTCTTCCTTCGTACATGTTTTGCTTGCCTCTGGCAATCCCTTTAGTGTAGACACCATAGCATCGATCTTCTGAAGATCCAACACAGGTGCTATGGGACGACGAATTTCAGAAAGTGGAATCGTGCTGATTTTGAGTAGACCGCCAGTTTGGATAGACATGGTGAATATTGTAAAGTTTCTTGGCTTGAGAGAGATGCTTATATGTTAAAGATGCCAAAATGCTCTAGTCAAAACAAAACACTTTGGCCATCGCCTTATATACTTCGATGGTAACGTATTGTAGATCTGGGTGTTAAATCGTTTGCTTAGTGATACTATACATGGTCTGGACTTATAATGAATAACATTTCACGACAAGCTGCTTGTTACTCATAGGATCCCACTTTTCTTAAGATTTTGCTGGATAATCAAGTCCGCTACCGCTGTGAGAACAAATCGCATGCTGTGTGGATCCGTGGCACACGTTCGGTGTACGTAAATGGGACGCTGTGACTTGTTCAAACTTAAGAAAATGTTTTCGAAATACTTCAAGCCAGCGTCGGCGTCGTTGACACGGCCTTGATAGTGAGGGAAGAACTGTCGAATAGGCGACCTCGTCAACTTCTGTTGGAACAGGTCTGTCTTGTTAAGAAATAAAATGAAGGGCGTATCTGCAAACCATCGTGAATTTAGTAATGTATCGAACAACATGATGGACTCGTGCATGCGATTCACACGCTCGTCTTCAAACAGCATCTGGTCGTATTCACTTACTGCCAGCACAAACAGCACAGCGGTGATACCTTGAAAACAATGGATCCATTTACGACGTTCAGAACGCTGGCCTCCTGCATCCAGTACTTTAAAGCTCGACCCACCGATACTGAAACTGGTTTCTGTGATTCCAGTGGTCTTGATTCGGCCTTTCAAGATGTCCTCGTCTGAGCAAACGTAGCCTGGGGTAGCAAATTGGTGAATGTGCTCGAAATAGTACTCTGCAGAGCTTTCGAGCTGGAACTCGTTGGATCTTGCAAAGCACTGACGAATTCCTCGATCCTGTCTCCACAAAGTCTGGATAGCGTTTGCGACCTGTGCAGCGCTGCTGGCTGGCCTTACACCCGGGTGGTTGGTCGTTTCGCCTTCGTTGAGGCCCTGTGATAGCTCTTGTAAATTGAGACTCAAATCTTGGAGAGCTACACCTTCTTCACCTCCGACACCCCCCTGATAGAAACCTTCTTCGCTACTATTTTCCAAACCTTGTGCCTGACCTGTACTTTGACCCCGTCTTTTTTGCTCACTAGTCTCTGAGTATTTCAAGACGTAGTCGTTCAAGAAACCAGACCCACCTGCCAGACTAGCATCGATCAAATCTAATGGCTTGGCTTTCAAAACTAACCGTTTTTGTCCAAAAAGAAATCTATTAGCTTGTGGGTCGTCACAATCTAACGGTATGCCCAAACGTCTTGCTTGAACTATCAGAATCTTCATCGATTGGATTGCATCTGCCCAAATCACTTGAGTATATTGAGTTCTTTCCTGGTTAGTGAACCCACCTTGATGAAGCAGTCTCAACTGTTTTAGAACAGTAGATTTCCCCGATTCTCCAGCTCCAAGCAATAGTAGCTTGATCTCCTTGTTATCTCTTTGTTTCTGTATCTGTAACGACCGCTCAATCGCTTCACTGGCTTTCCTGCCCTGTAGAAACAAGTCCTTTTCATCGTCTGGCTCAATGACGCTAACTCCGCACCCCATCCTGCTGGAAGATTGCCGATGTCTTTATGGATTCGTTATACTGCTACAAACCACGGAAAAATACATTCTGGCTCTAAATGTAGTCCCTCATAATTCTTCCTCTATATTCACTTCACTGGGCTTCGGTTTCCTCGACCATTCTTCACCGCTGATACTTGGGATCCCTTATGGCCTCACTAACTTTTTGAGGTACCAATAGCCCTCGTGTTGGAAGCTTGTGAGCGACCCTGCTGCCGGAAGGAATTATGATAACATTGATTCCAGCGCGGTGCAGTGGAGTTTGCAGTCAATTATGTGTGGGTTGTTATTCGAAAACTAAGAATGGGGGTTGAACCATAAACGGAAGCTTTCGAACCTTCGGTTAGTTAGGGTTTGGATTTGGATTGGACTTAGATAGATTTACATTGTAATGACGAAGAAAGAGCATTTTACTGACATCAAAAAATTGACGGGGAGAAAACGGGCAAAACCTGATCTTGATATAATGGATACACTGAAAGGGGACTTCTTATGTGAATGCGGAACGTATTATTTGTATCACCGACCATTCAAAGTTGGATGCCAGGGTTTATCCTTGAACACTGTTGATTGCCGAAAGGATTTCGGTGTGGCCGGAGAGCATCTGAACTCAAGGTAGCTGATAATTTGTGACTTTAGATCAGAAGGTGGGGGCATTGTATGGTAATTCTGGTACTACAGAAAGCGTTCTTTTGTTCTGACGTGAGGCATGTCATTATAGTACAAAGTGATGTACGCATGATTCACGTGAGGTATATAATTGTGGGCAAGAACGAAGCCGAATCCCTCCACGTTTGTTTACCAATGATCTTTTCAACACCATGGAGCTAATTCAGAGCAATTTTGTTAATCGAAGGCGTAGAAGCTAAAAGTATTTCAAGTTTGGCCTCTTCTCAAATTCTCAATATCATGTTGACGGTAAACTGAAAACGAAAACGAGTTTTGAAGGTTTCACACTTTTCTTTCCACAGCGACTGTCGGATTCTCATCATGCATCAACAAGCTTGCCTTGAATCAATAGGCGCGAGTACTAAAACTTTCTTGTCCGATCCTATAGCTCAACTTGTAACTGGACTATCATTATCATTATATACGAAACTTGACAACTCCCATTTCACGCCTAAAGTCACGAACATTTCTTCGACGAAACAGCGTAACCAAGAGTGAAATCCACACTAACGTCGAGGCTCCAGATCAAGTTCGATTTTACTGTTTGAATTTCAGAAGTGTCTTCAATAATCGCTTTTGACGAGCCCTCTCAATACCTCATGTTAATACATCTGGTAACTAAGTCATCGATAACTGATCTGTAGAAGAGACTCACAGCTGTTTACCATCTTCAGCTCTTCATTAAGAGGCTAGCAGCCTTCATCTGTCGTACATCGAAATTAATCACCTTTCGGCTTTTAAAACTCCCATTATTTTGAGCATTCTGATACCTTCTGATTTAGACTTCAAACTCTAAGTTAATCTGACACTTTCAACATGTCATCGAAGGGTGAATGTCCAGTAGATCACTCCGCCAGGGAGGAATGGATGAAGAATATGGCTCATGAAAATCCCCATACCGCCCAAGGTGAACCCCAACGCTGTCCGCCACATGAATCGAAGATTTCTAAAACTACAGGTGCATCTGCTGCTCAACCAGCAGAGGCATGTCCAGTAAGTCCTGAAGCGCGAAATGTCTGGCTTCAGAATTCAGGCTCAGCCGGCAAAAAATCTGAAGCTGTTGAATGTTCCTCGAGTGAAATACCTGTTGTCCCCGTATATGCCACCGACATTGAGCTTCCTGTGGAACGTGAAGTTTCCAGCATCCCAAGAACGGGAACCAACCAAAACTGGGTTTACCCATCTCAGAAGCAGTTTTTCGAAGCCATGCTGCGCAAAGATTGGGACCCCGCCGCAGAGGACATGAAAAGTGTGATACCGATCCACAATTCGGTCAACGAGCGTGTATGGAATTATATCAAATTATGGGAGAAAAATCAAGGCAGCGAAACCTGTGGTGGCCTGCAGCTTACCAGCTTCAAAGGTGACTCGAAGAAACTAACTCCAAGAGCATGGTTCAGAAGTTTTATCATGGGTCAGACCAAACCTTTCGACCGCCATGATTGGGCCGTTAATCGTTGCGGTAAACAAGTGGACTACGTCATTGATTTCTATGGCGGTGAAACTCCCAACAACGGGCCCTCGATCTTTTTGGACGTCAGACCAAAGCTCAACAGCTATGAAGGTTTCAGGTTACGAGGTAGAAAGTTTCTAGGTCTTGATTGACCGGGCTGGTACTACACAGCACCAGGTGAGGAAAGAGATTGGCAAAAAAACACATAGATTGTGTCAGTCTTTCGTTGTCCAGCTATCATACCCGCAGCCATAAAAAGCCCTCTTCCACGATGAAACCATGTCTCAATTCTGGAACCTGAAGATTCTGGCAACTTGTCTTTTTTTCTCTATTCAACACATCCTGTATATACAACTATCATTATCACTAATGGATCCACCATGATCGATTTGGATCTATTAACAAAGTAGAGGAAAAGCGCTCACCAGACTGAGAGGCCACTAACTATAAACACGATCAAAAGTATAATGAGCTTTTCTTTCATTTAAAATTTACCACCGTTGCCAAAAGCGTTGCCCAGTTTTTGCATGTTCTCACCAACCTTCACGTTGGTTTCGAAATATTTCGCTACACATCTATCAATGCAGGAAGATTCACCCTTGTTCAGTTCACCTTCATTGTAAGAAGCTTGTATACACTTCTTATGGCAGTTATCGACCAGTTTGTTGAACATATCGGTTACCAAGTCGAGTTCTGCTTCGGCTGCTGAGACTTTTTGTTGGGAGCTCATTTGTGGTTGACCACCACCTAATCCTAGAAAAGACATTACGGAAATTATCGATTGTTGTGTCTTGCAAACTTTAGAGTTTCTGAACCTAATGAGCCAGGTTTGTATGTTCTATACTGCTTTTCAAAGCGATAGTTGAACTCATTAACATTATCAGCAACTTTTTCAGTATTCTATTTTCTAATAGGTAGCGACAGTTTAGCTGTGAAATGACAAGGACTCAGCGCCATTGTCGAAAAACCGTTAAAGGACAACGACCTTGCATGAATTCAGTAATTACTGAGAGGCAAGAACAATCGATTCACAATGTTGCTAAATTCTCCGGGCGTTTTTGTTTTTCTGCTGAAGAGAGACCCTTTTGAAGCCAGATTTTTCAATGCATGTCACGACCAGCGACACCGAGTCCTAGTACAAGCGTTGAACATACTAATAAATACTCTCATTAACATAGTAACTATCTCAACCTTAACAGCAATGCTGTCATGTCATGTAGTTTTGCGACAGACTAGCCATTCTTAAAGCTTTCATATGAATCACACGTCCGATGATAAACGAATAGTATACATAATGCGATGCGGACCGTGTGTTAAGGCAAAAAAAAAAAAAAAAAACTACAAATTTTGTTCACCAAACTTCAGAGTTTGTTTTCGATCTACTTTGGAGACACTTTTGAATTTTGTTTTCTTTTTAGATGTTCTTGTGGATTGGTGAAGGACCTCGCATGATTTTCTGGCCGTTTTTTTCCCACTGTTTCTGCCATTTCAGAGCCTCTTAGACTTGTGTTTGGTTTTCTGCTGACAATAACCCATATGCCATTACAGGCCGGCTCCCAGGTCTCCCCCGGAAACGGCTCTAACAGGCCCCTTTCGCAGTAGATCATTTCTTCCTAATAAGCCCCAGCCACTCTTCTCTTTCGATTTGAGGTGATTAACATCAACGTCATAATTTTCTTTTTGTAATTCTTCTTCTTCTACATCTTCGTCGTCGTCATCTCCTCCGTCAACACCACTATCGTCAGAATCCGTTTCGTCGGGCATGTTCGTATCGCCTTCCTCTTCCTCGTCCTCATCGTCTTCATCTTCTGCCAGGCCTTCGTTAACGTCGCTCCGAACTTCGGCTAGCTTTCGCGTCAAAATATCAACAATGTCGTGCCAGTCGCGCATTCCACCCATACCTATATCCCCGCAGATCAAAACCTTTTCTACAGGCTTCAATATCGTTATGTGAGGCGACTCTTCCTGCAGCATCATCAAATGCTTTTTGGTCAGTGGATGAGTATACATGAAGGTGTTCATAGCAGGAGCCACTAGTACAGGTGTGCAGGGCGTCCAACACCTTAGTAACGACGTCAACAAATTGTCGCATATACCATATGCCAATTTTGCTAAAGTATTCGCGGATAATGGCGCAAGCAGACAGATGTCAGCCCATCTTCGAAGCTCGGTATGGAGCATGGGATCACCCATTCTTTTGAACCCGCACCATTCGTCTTCGTCGCGCCATATTTTCACGTCTGTTGATATTTTCAAACCGCGCAGGAAGTGCTCAGCTGGTTTTGTTACCACAAGCTGTATTGAAACTTTGTCCGTGCCGTAGTTTTTGTAGAGTTTGTCAATGATAACAGGCACTTTGATGGTGGCCACAGATCCTGTGGCGCCTATTAAGATATGAATCTTTTTATCATCTTGCTTTTGGAAAAACTCCGTGAAGGGCAGCTGTGGCCCCATATGCGCCTCGATGAGTGCTTTGTTGCTGTGATTTTGCGGTTTACGATTGATGCTGGCGTTGTTACTAGGAGATTGAGCTTTTGGCACATTCTGGCTCGCATAGTCTATGCTTATGTATTCTCCAGGCATGTGCACGGAGTTCTGACGAGTGGGAGCAGCACTTGAATCGTTCAAATAGTTGCTTGCAACCGAATTTTGACGTGAATCTGATCCCATGGGGCCGGCATTGCTGCTGGCTCCCATTTGCGCCGTAAGGGCCACCGACGAAGGCCGTGCCGATATGGACCCTCTGTGCGATATTTTGTCGGAGCGGTTCCCCATTGTAAACGAAACAGCGGTCGTAAGTGCACTGGCAGGACTTTTGAAGTCATCGCTGCTACCTCCTCCTCCTCCTCCTACTTCCCAGTTTTCCGATGCTACACGTCCGTTTTCTTTGTTTTTTCCAGTCCCAGACGTCACTATTTGTAGTTTGTGCGGGTTCACATACGTCGTTTCATCCATTGGCTGATACTTTGGCCATTTCGAGCTGTTGGACGAATTTCCCTTGTAAGCAGTGATCTCGCGAGTTAGGCTGTCGTTTTTCGCCAAAATCGACACCGGAGCGCGTTCACCGGCGTCTCTGGCAAATCCAGACATTCCAAAACGTATGCAAACCGTTTGAACACCGATATGTAGGACCTAACCTGGTTTCTCTCTTGTTGAATGTTCAACGGTGGGATTTGTCAAGATGCTGATGAATTTCACACTTTTTTTCAACACCCTATATATTATGGAAATACTATAACACTCTATAGAGATGAGCCCAAGAAAATTGACAATACTACAGCAGCGTCACGATATTCAATAGATGTACTTAGAGAACAAGGCATGTATTCACAACCCTTCTAATAATTTTCGGATATCTCCTAAAATTCTGTTTTCGAGCCATTGTCTTGGCACTTTTTTTGGAGTATTTACCATCATTTTACATATAATATTGTAGAGAATGAAAATCGGCAAAATACCTTTCCTTCGGCATAAATCAAGATAGATGGCGTAGATGGCATTCTACGATGATGTGCTGTAGACTTATTCCTGCTCTTTTTGCCTCATTTAGTCATTATTTGGGGCGGTTTTGTCGTTCGGTTTTTTACTGACGTCTCTTTTTGGCCTGCAACGGTGCCGGTCGATATGTTTCTTCAACCATGGTGCTTCTGTCACTTAGCGGCCCGCTGAGCAGCTGAATGGTGTTCGAGTCCGAATGATCTTTATTGTTGTCCGCGCTCGATGGAGCAGTGAGATCGAAAGGCATCAAATCCATTTCATGCAGACATCTCTCAATGTTCTCCTCTGAGCCCAGGTACCGGTCGGTAAGCGTAAGCTCGTTGCGTACCCGACTACGATTTAATCGCAAGCGGAAAGTGCGAAGCAAATCAAACCGTTTTTTGCAGGATGACGGTAGTGAGGAGACGGTGGCTGTGGACTTCAACTCATTATTAGATAGCGTGGCACCGGAATCTGAGTCTAAGTAAATCCTACTGAACATTTCTAAACCGCTTTTAGCGTCGTCACAGCTGTTTTCTAAGCGTGGCAATAGGGACTCGTTGGGTTCCAATGTCATGTGCGTATCCTGGTAAGTGTCAAATTCTGCTGGATCCAGGAACCCCGGAAACGAAGACTCCGTGCGCTCATCAGTCTCACTCCAACTACATGTAAAGTCTTTTTCTCTTTTATTGAGCCATCTGCGAAAGCGGTGGTGTCGCATCGCTGGGGCCAACGGTTTTTGAGGTTCTGTAGACTTTGTCCAAGCGTGTTTAATGGTTGATCGGAACGATCGTGCCGATTTGGGTGGATCCTTAAAGTCAACAAGCCTGTGTGAATCGCATGTCTCGTCCAAAGTATCTCTTGAAAAGCTGTATTTGCCCAAGCACACTGTACCTGGTCTGGCAGGCATGGTAGCATTTGATCTCACCGTCGCCATGATGATCTCAAAAATGCTGAAGTGCGTTACGAAAGCACAGATGAGCTGCTTATCACTGAGAGTCCGAATTTTGACAGTGACGATTTTTGTGCGAACGACGACACACTGACAGTGAATAGGTATGACGAAAAAGAAAAATGGACAGTGCAGAAATTTCAGGAGAAGACGTTGAGCAGAGGAGTTACATTTAGAATGAGTAACACAAACGGGAAATGTAGTCGGTTAAGCTTGCAAGTTGGCGCTTGGAGGTCTCTTGGAATGCGACTCATTAGTACATAATGATCAAGCTTCAACATGACTGTGCGGAGGATCCAGTGTGCTCAAAATGTTATCGGACCTATGATCACTTCTTATAAGCTTAGCGATCACCAGTGGAAGCTGAAAGCTGTTTCATTCAGCTACGCGTGGTCTCTTCATATTTTACCGGACAAGTAGCAGGGGTATATAATGCCTAGGATCTAAAAATTACGGGTGGATTTTTCTCAAAAATAGACCCGTTTTAAAGAGAATTGAAGGCTTCAATGGATCTGCGGCTTTGTCGAATCAACGATGCAAACGCTGGAATAGATAACTTACAAATTTTCGAAAATTCACAAGTTCACAATTTTCAATTTGGACCTCGGTGAACGAGGAAGTTCGGGATCCACCACGTTACTTCTGATTATTTGAAGTACCTGCACACCAATTTACTGTTTCCTCAGCAAACTCGAAGCTAGATTCTGTCAAAAGTGTATTCTTTCTTGGGCCTACGACCTTATAAGCTCTATAATTGACGACATGTCAGTCATCAAACGAGCTACTACTAATCTAGACCGCAAGTTACAGTTTTGAAGTATCAATTCTCATCAAGGCCGTTCTGACAATCAGCCTAGCACGATTGTACTCTTAAACCACCGTTGGAGAATCAAATTTCGAGAAACGTCTTTACAGAGATTAACTTGAAAAATTAAGTACCATTGGAACATCGGCACCATCTACTTCGCCAACCAACATCAATTTACGTCCTCGTCAAAACTCTTGGACAGTAAACCAAGACTTATGAGAACTAGAAATGTTCTCAATACAGTGCTGGATGGTGTCGACCACTTTTGTCGAAAAAGTGACAATAAAACGCTTAAAAAGCTGGCAGTCTCAATCGGATCACAATTAGGTACCACCAAGTCCTCTATGCGATACAATATATTACATCAATGCGAACTTTTACAACAGCTGGCTGAGGTAAGAAAGACTCGAGGCAAGCTCGAAATCACTGCCATTGACATCGGATTAGAGAATTTTGCTTACAGCAGACTGTCGTGGAACGGCGTTGGGAAATTGCCCGAATTGAAAGAGTGGAACAAGATCCGATTAACGGGTCTTGAAAAGGAGCCAGAGACAGTAAAAACACTTTTCACACCAAAATTTTTAACTGAAATTGGTCAAAATCTAACTAATATTCTAACCCAGGCTGCACCGGACTTTTTTGTAATAGAGAGACAACGCACTAGAACCCTGGGCTCAGCTGCCGTGCCGGATCCTATATTGAAAGCAAACGCTTTAGAGCATGTTCTCTTCATGGGTCTAAAATCCAAAAACTTTTACGTCAATGGCCTTGAATATCTTGTAGAATCTTCAGACCCTAGACGAATGACGGACTACTGGTGTCAACTGATACCTATTCATAGTCTCGCGAAACCGAACAACGGTTTGGAAACCACAAGCACGGCCCCCAAATTGAAAAGCTCAACATTCTCGAAAATACTCAAAATCGCTCTGGTGAGATCAATGCTGCAGCAACAAGGTTCGGATAAGTTTACGATTTCTTCACGTTTATGGGAGCGCTTCGCTGAATACAAACCACGGAAAAAATATGACCTATTCGAGGCATTGCAGCTTGGAGAGACAGCCGGAGCTCCCAAGCAGGACGATCTCGCGGATTGCCTGCTCCATGGATTGGCCTGGTTGGAATGGCTTAGAAACTACGAGGAGTTAGCGTCCTTGGTAATTACCTCTGAAAGAGGCCCAACTGGGTTGGAAGCGTTCAATGAGTTCAACAACTTGAAGTTACGTAGCCGTGCAGAATACGCTAAGACATGCATAAGCGAACTTTGATGATGGGTGATTTTGGAAATCTGGTTACACGCTTGGGTTACGACGCCACATACGATATTAGAAATTTTATATGGATCGATTCAGATCCTTTTTAAATCTTTTGCAAGAAATCTTTCACTGGAACATCACCATTTGCCAGTTCGATGGTCTTCTGTAATGTTTTATCAGGGTTCTCCAGCGCGACTTGAATGAATTGGGCCACGTCTTCTCTCTCGATTGAGTATGAGCTTGTTCTTTTACTTTCAATCTGATCAGGTGCGGCTAGTTTGCCCTTGGCAGGTCCATCACCAAGCGAACCAGGATGCAAAATCGTGTAATTCAATCCAGAGGAACGCAGCACGGCATCTGCAGCTCGCTTGGCTATATAATATGGCTTCAAGGCTGTGTTCCACCAGAACTCGCGGGATTCTGCTTTGATTGCAGAGACCATGATGATACGAGAAATTTTGTATTTCTGACATGCCTCTATGACCTTTAATGCACCATCCAAATCCACCGTGAAGATCCGATCCTGTCCTTTACCACCAGCTCCAGCAGTCCAGACCACTGCATCAGACCCTTCCAATGCTTTTCCAATCTGGTCCACCGAGCTGTCTTCAATGCTTGTCAAGCTGGCCTGAATCTGCAGCTCATGTTCGAAATACGCTCTTTGCTCTTCGCTTCTAACAATCGCGAGAGGAGTGAATCCAGCGCTTTTCTTGAGAAGTTTACAAAGGTGCTGACCAACACGGCCATTGGCACCAACTACAGCTACTTTCATCCCAAAACTTGCTTGCTTGCTGCAAGAGCTACAGTCTCGAAGATAAGTCCGAGATTTACTCTTCATCTGTTCCTGCTCATTATATATAGCGTTAAGAGAAATGAATTTAAGGGTTTTTTAAAATCACATGATATCTGTGCGTGATAATCACGTTCTAAAGGGGGTGTCTGGGTCTTTATTTTAGTCAGATGACTAGTGCGTCATTTGAAGATCATGCCTGTAGATGTGAGCTATATTCTGCCAATGATTCCAGCTTATGGGATCATGTCGGCGCGGCTTAATCGAATGAATATTATTTGGTGGATAACTATTATGACATCTTTACCCCGACACGGAATTCGATAAAAAGATTTGGTAAAGTGGCCCTCATCTCGAGAAAGACGCCATTCCATTTATACGCACTAACTAACCAGACCATGGCAGAACTGAAGCTGACAGAAATAAGCGTTATGGAAGTTTGTAATCGTGGATGTACGCACCTTTGGCGACGGTGTCAGTGTCTCATTCGTGCAAGCGTACATAACACTCATCAGCTTTGAAATAGTTCTTAAATACATGTGTGTAGAAGAAGCTCAACGAAGAGAGAACTCGAATATTCGCCAGGTCACAAATGCACATCTCATTCATGTAGTGTAGTCACTTCCCAGCACGTTAAGGTGTGGTTACTTAGCGTGTATAACATCATTATTCACTACCACGAGTACGAGTACAGAGCTCAGAAACTCACGTGACTGCAAATAATGGATGGGTGTTTCTCAGCCTAAATAACCGAATTGCCTAACTTATGAAGGCAACGGAAGAATCATGAAAGATCAACAGTAACCATTCTGTTCTGGTTTAACACACAAACCAGATCTAGTCCGACCCTTTCTCTAGCCAAAATAGACGTTGTTTAATGAATCTCCGCTTGGAATTGACACGGTTCTTGAACCTATGTTTCGCGCTTGCCTCAGCGTTCATGTTTTGGAAGGGTCTGTCTATCGTGACAAACTCTCATTCACCCATAGTTGTGGTGCTATCAGGCTCGATGGAGCCAGCTTTTCAAAGAGGCGATATTCTTTTTCTGTGGAACAGAAACACACTTAACAAGGTGGGAGACGTGGTCGTCTACGAGGTCAATGGCAAAGACATTCCCATAGTGCATAGGGTGATGCGGGAACATATAGACGGAAAAACTGGCAAACAGCTGTTGCTCACAAAGGGTGACAACAATGCCGGAAACGATATCCCATTGTATGCGAAACGCAAATTATACTTACAAAAAGACCGCGATATTGTGGGGACGGTCAAGGGCTACATTCCGCAACTGGGCTACGTGACGATCTGGATCTCCGAGAATAAGTACGCAAAGGCCGGCCTTATGGGACTTATTGCCCTGAGTGCCTTGTTGAGCAATGAGTAGAAGAAACATGGACGATGCACACGCACCCTTCTCGTTTCGTTTTTTTCGTCGCCGAAAACGGTCGTTCTTCCTCTTAATAATCCAGCTCCACTGGTGCCATTTGGCGCTTTCGCGGTAGTGCGGTCACTGAAGGTGCACTGGTCGTTCCGCCAGAATGCTCCGGTACTGTCTTACTAGGTTCGAAAGCCTTGAACAGCCGTATTCTGGTCTCATCGTCGTCGTCCAAATCTCTATATTCTGCGTGATCGGTGAGCTGTTTGCGTGCCTCGTCGAAAGTTGTTGGCTTAGTTCCTGTACCCGAGAAAACCCGTTGTAGAAGAAGATTGAAATAGTTTTTACGTTGCTCCCACAACCTTTGCTCCATTTCCAGCTGACGTGCCAACTTCTGGTCGTGCTGGGTCAAAAGTTTTGAAACCAATATTTCCCGATCTGTCTGGTCGATTTCCAAAAGTTGAGATTGACTGCTCAGTAAATCCGTAAGTCTGGTGGTATTAACCTCGGCATCCGTGTCCCACTCGTAGTTATTGTCTATCAAGATTTGGCTCGCAATACTTTGTTGAGCCTTCATTACCAAAGCCCTTTCTTCGACCTGGTCCAGGAAAAGATCAAGCGCTGAAGAGCCGTTGCGACCCAATAGCATCTTGAACCTAGCATCTGATTTTATCGAAGAATATATGTCTTCCCATTTAGTCGTGCATCGTATCTCTTTGCTGTGGTCGGCCAATAGCTGCCGGAACCGATCTCTAGCTTTCCGATCAGACGTGAAGTTTGCACTTTTGACGCGCTCCACATCATCGAAAACTGTGCTCGAAAAGCCTTCTACCAAAATCACATATTGTTGTAGCACATCATGCTTCGAGAGAGTTTGAAAATGCCGGTTGGAAGTGAATCTGGTGCTGTTTTCAAAAAGATGCTTGCTGGAGAGCTCGTGCCATGGGATCAAATGCTGTTTATCCGGAATAATTGCACTTAAGTAATCTCGTAGTTCTACGATTGCTTGCTGTTTTGTCTTTTCGACGTTCCCGAAATGCTGTTTGCGAAGGTCGTCCACGTATTCCTGAAAAACCGCACGCTTTGTGCGATCACTTACCACAGAATGCTTATAGATTGGCTCATTTGCGAATAAACGTTTGGCTGTAGACCATCTTGTGTAGTACTGGATCTGTGAATGCTGTTCTAGCATGGCGCGAAACGCATCCTTGAACTTGTTTACCGCGGAATGTTCTTTGAGAAGTTGATCTTCTGTTCTATTGGCGAGGTACTGTTCGAACATCCTTCTTTTCCACAGAGGGTCATCGTCGACACACCAGTAACGAGGGTCGCAGCAGCCAAGCTCCGAAATTATTCTATTGAATGACCACGTAGAGTCAATTTGGTTGTCTTCGAGCATTTGCAAGAAAATGCGTTCGGCGTCGGCACGAGATTTGTTGCTAGTGTCGACAAGCTTGGATTCGAGCTGATACAATTCCAAATTCCCGTAATTTTGGGCGTTGTTGGGATCACCAACGGCAGCTTCTTCCACTTTTGGCGTGATTTCTGCCGCTTTTTCATTTATTATTTCTGGGCCCTCTGAGGGAGGAGATTGTTCTGCAGAATCTGGAAATGCCGGTACTTCCCAGCTGGATTTCCCTGATTCCTCGTTGTAGTAATATATCTTACCCTCGTCTGTTTCTGCAGCTTTCCAACCATGCTTATGTAGCTGCAGTTCGAGTTCAGTATAAAGTTCAATAGGTTTTTCCCACGTTGTTTCACCGGATTCTGTGTGATAGTAGTAGACACGACCTTCGGGATCGTGCGCTTCACTCCAACTCCCATTCATATTCAAAAGTTTAGGTGATAATTCTCACTAGTTCGATGCCCTTTAGTTTGCCTCACGAAAGTAAATCGTCAAAACTTGGCAAAGGTGGCTACAATTTTCCCAATTGATTACGAGTCCAGTAATACAAGCAGAGGTGAACAGAAATCACAAGAAAGAGCGCCTAGATGGCTAAATCGAGAACATCTAAAGATGGAATCTTCCGCCTACGCTTGCATATATATTAATTTTCACTTTATTTAGACAGAGACAGGATACAGATGACAGCGAAAAGTGGTCATCTAACTAGACCAAACAAAGAGAGGGAACACCTCACCATATAAATCGCAAATCGCGCCAAGCTTACCAATTGCCAAGACACCTGAAGTATACAGTGGAAAAGCTCAACAATTGGAGGTTCGAACTTGAGTTTAATGAATTTGGATCATGGAATACGAGCAGATCGGATTATGGAATTGGATATCCAAAAGGGATTATTACATTACATTGATGATGCAGGCTATCGGATGATCTGAAGCCCAAGTTCACACGTTCAAAAGAGTCTTTGTGCACTCCAGAAACCTCAGAAGAGTCCGTCAATGTCACAATCTTTACGTCCATATCTTACTGCAGTCCGCTATTCGCTGCAAGCAGCCCTCAACTTGACCAATTTTTCATCCCAGGTGGTCGAAAGACATAACAGGCCCGAAGTAGAGGTCCCCAACACGAGTGCAGAACTGTTGTTGCAACCCATGCATGTTTCACGTAATGAACATGAGCAAGTGTTGATAGAACCTAGCGTCAACTCCGTCAGGGTCAGCATCAAAGTCAAACAGGCAGACGAAATTGAACAAATCTTGGTCCACAAGTTTACGCGGTTTTTGGAACAGCGGGCAGAGTCGTTCTACGTGTTGAGACGGGTGCCCATCGAAGGTTTCAGTATTTCGTTTTTGATCACAAACAAGCACACCGAGAGCATGAACACCGAAAAACTTGTGGATTTTATAATCGAGTTCATGGAAGAGGTCGACAAGGAGATCAGTGAAATGAAGCTGTTCTTGAATGCTAGGGCCCGTTTTGTTGCTGAGGCTTACCTTGGAGAGTTTGTCTACTGAAACAAGTCAGAAGAGAACTCAAAAAGCAAGCTAAAAAAAAAGAAGAGAAATCCAAGAACGAAAAGATCGAAGATCGTAAGGACAATGGTGTCCCTACAATAATGGGAAGTAGACTAGGATCTGCAACAAGAGAGACGTGTGTCTCGAATCCTACCGTCCTCGACAAAAATCCCGAATCTAGCCCAAAATTGAAAATTCTTGGCATTTCAAGAACAGCGTATTCCGTTCGCGCAAAATCAGCACATACAGGTTCGCAATCCCAATTAACCTAACCCATTACCACGTTATTCTCGTATCTTTCTTTCCATTGTATAGAACGCTGTCACCATCAATCAGTTACCCGGAGGCGCCATTATATAAACCCGCGTATAATTAAAAACCAGGTAAGTCAATGATGTAGGACTAAGTCATCTCATGTCATCGCACTTCCAGAACTGTTGACCTTGAAGTAGAAAAGAGAGCGCACAAGCTGTCTCGACAGCAACTAGTGGGTAAGAATAGATAATAACGGTTGAAGCTGTTTGTTTGTTGAAAAACCTCAAGTTCTGGCAGCCTGGCTGTCTTTTTCTCTTTCATTTTCAACAAGATGTCTAATCAACAGACAGAAGCAGAAGAACCCTGGAATCCGAATAATACTTACGACCAGGGCACATCAAATGTAAACCATTCCATGTTGAACCTGAATGATGACTATGCTAATATACTGAGCAATTTAGCGCACGGCGCTTCGCCTATTTTGAAAGAGGGCTCTGGTACAGGCCAGAAATTGCAGAAAACGTCTAAATCTCCAGGAACTGCATCTAACGGTCATTCGACCGGTAATAACGATAAACAGCCAAATTTGGATCTGCTACTTCAGCACTACCAAGAGCTGTTCAGTCGTTCTGGCGGTAATAACAACGGTGGGAATGACGGAAATAGTGGCAACACCACGAATCGAACAGGGCAGGATCTTGCCAAAGCATCTTCCAGCGTTAGCCCGCCTTCTAATAACAATACGAATACTCTTGCTACCCTGGAGCAAAAGTCGGTGGTGGTTGACAAACCGTGCGACCATTGTCGTCGAAGACAAATTAAATGTGTCAGGGTCCCAGACTTGTCCAATTGCGTACAATGCGAAACCAAGGGCATAAAATGCGGATACTCTAAATCACCCGCCACTCATCAAGCCTCTGATACGCCACGAGACATTTCCAAGCGTAACCGTGTGGACGAAAATGTCAACGTCCACGAGCTTTTAAAGCGTACTAAACCCAATAATAACAATGACGCAAGTACTGAAAACTATACAGATATACTGCTCAGTCTTGACCAAGCAGCCAATGAGAAGCACAAGCGCAACTCGGAAAAATCCAGTATTTCTGGAGTGGGAAACCTCTCGAGCCCTTACATGATGTTCGATTCTCCGGGGCAAAACGAAGCAGTGAAGAGCTCGGCAAACACTATTCAAACCGGAAATTCACCTTCAAATTTGTCTACCGGAACCAATTATAATAACGGACAGCAAAAACTACCCTACGTGCAGCCACCTATACAATACCCGCGCTCATCGTTCTACGTCGGACCCACATCCGTGTTTGACATCAATCTGGTTAATCAAGTCAAACTCGACAAGATAGACCAGGTGCAGTTATCAAAAACTCTAGCACTGCGAAAAGTTGCCCCTGACGTGCAATTTCTACTCCGAGACGACCTCAATCAGGCACTTTACATGAAACAAGAACAAGAAGTCGATATGGTGGAAAAGCTAGTTCATCCGCATGGTAAGATACTTGTTGACATCTTCTTTAAACTGATACATCCTCAATTTCCAATTTTGCACGAACGAGTGTTCTTGGAGAAGTATTCCAGGTCTTACCGTGAGCTAACAGCGCCATTGCTGGCGGCATTATATTCTCTATCGTTGCAATGGTGGGACTTTCATCCTCAGCTCGTCGGATTTGCTAAGCCCGATGTGACCGAACAACTCAATCAAATCGCATTAAGGACCTTCTTTGATGTGATTGAGAGGCCCAAACTGAGTATCATACAGACAGGTCTTTTGATCTTGCAATGCCGCAGTGAAAGCTCTAGCAATTGGGCAATATGCTCGGAGGTCGTGGCACTTGCCGAGGACCTTGGGCTGGGCGTAGATTGCCAGGACTGGAGACTTCCTCGGTGGGAAAGAGGTCTAAGAAGACGATTGGCATGGGCCGTATGGCTTGAGGACAAATGGACGTCCATGATGGAAGCCAGACACTCTCATTTGATTTTGGGCAGAAACTGGTTGGTCAAAATGCTCACCGATGAAGACTTCCCGGCGACTTCACCAGTGATAAGCGGTTCCTCGGGTGCTTCACATTTCAACAGTCAGATGCTCAGGGATGTAACAAGCCCAGTCAGTGACAGATCCATGCTCGACTTGTCTCCCACAGAGGAAGATTTCAGAAACAGCAAGATGATGTTTCAATACATGATTTCTTTGAGCATTATTCTGGGTGAAGTTCTAGACACGTTCTACACGTTAGGAGCGCTCCAAACCGTGACAAAGATCGAGCAAGTACTCAAACTTGCGAAGCCTCTGCAGTTAAAGATGCGCGAGTGGTATCACTCATTGCCACCTCAGCTTTCAATGAACACTTTGAAAGAAAGGAAGTTCAATAGCAATGCTTCTTTGACGCTTTCGTACTTTGCAGTTGAGCTCACTTTGCATAGAAAAATCATAACAACCTTAAACTCTGATACGTCCCCGGAGCTTGTAAAAGTATGTCGCCTAGCAGCAAAAACAAGGTTGGTGGCGGCAATTGAGTTCATAAGAGATCTCAAATTCGAGCATATCAATTCTTTTTGGTACACCTGCTCCACAGGTAACCTGACACTGATAGGGACATTTTCTGCTCTACTGTTTGTTACTGCTCCTTCAAGGCAAGAAGCCATAATTTTCAGAGATAGCCTTAGAAATTATGTGTGGATTCTAAGGATGAATTCTAAAAGCTTCGAGAAAGCTAGACATGGACTAGAAAGGATACATATGCTGCTAGCCCAAATCCCTGGTTTACTGACTGATGAAACCGCTCGTCAGCAGTCACGGGCTGCTGCTTTCGCACCGCCTACCTTATCACCGTTGGCGCATCAGCAAATTGCTCAATCCCCATACGTTCCACCGGGCCCATCAGTGCCCAAACAGAACAGTACACAATCCGTCGCTAACCAATTTAATGGCTTGCCTTCGGATATTCTGCATCAGTTGGCGAGCATACAAGGAAATATGCCATTTGTCAATGAGCCTAATGCAATCCAAACAGAAAATGTGGCAGTAAACGAGCGTAGAAGAGAAGCAGGTGTCTTCAATGACTTGAATCGCATATCACCAGCGGAATCATCACCAGGAGAAAAAGAGTCCCCCAGGATGAATCTCACTGTAAAGGGCGAAAGTGGTGGATCGCCAAATATATCAGATCAGGTCAAAGAAACTGACGGATCTTCAGACAGTGCGGCCCAGGTAGAATCGAAGTCGAGAGTGCTAACTCCTCAGAGCAATATAGGGACAAACGGGAGGGGAGGAAAAGCTGCATCATCGAACGACGATCACTCGCAGTCCGGTGCCGTGTTCGACCATCAAGAACAAGCCCTACAAGCGTCTCCAACATCAACGGAGGAGTCGCGAGGTCAGGATAAGCCTCTTGAACTGAAAGTCCCATCAAATGGTGTGTCTTTGAGGCGGAAAGGAGATGGTGAGCAAACGCCAGTAAGTCAGCAAGAAGCAGGCCAGGAGAAACCAGATTCAAGTGAATTGAATAGTGCATAGAAGCAAGAGGTTTACATATTTGCATTTAAAATAGTAAGATATCGCATTTCCATACAAGCACGTCTCGACCGGTCAACCTATAGAAACTTGGAAACTTTGTGATCTTCTGCAGATGTACTGTAATCTCCTGGTTTTTCCACAATGACGTGGGAATCCGTTGCGGGTTTATATTTGAGTCTTTCCTTTTCGTGCAGAGCTTCCCGAGTCAAAACTTCAGCATCGGTTTGGATCCGAGAGTCTCCTGACGACAAAACAGGGGTTTCAGTCACATTATTGGGTGAATCTTCGCCTTCGCCCTTGGTTTTATTTGGCGCTTGAGAATTGAGGGTCGAATCGTCGTCGATGTCTTTCATAATATCTCTGAAAAGATCTCGCAGGGATGCGTCGTCTTGATCCGAGTTTTTTTGGCCATTGAGTCTGCTGATCATATCTTGGTGACTCAGATCGCCAGCCATTTCGTTATGTTCTCGTATTTTTGCAGCTTCTTCCTCAAGTAAAATATGTTTTGACCGCTCAAACCGTTCGAACAGCTTATTGACAAGGGCAAGTTCCTGATCGACATCGACGATCTCGTTGTTTCGAATTTTCGACGTAAGGTCCCTTAGAATCCCCAATTTCATTGAGTACCGTCTCTCTAATTCTGCGTTTTTCTTCTGCTGTTCCATCACACTTGTGAGCATCGAGCCGAAAAGCACTACAACCAATGCCGGCTTCAGCATCGATTTATCGAATCTCGCTTTTTTCCCTGTAGCCACATTATCTCCCCCTTTCTGTGAGCTGTACCCCCGGTTATTCAGACGGTGAATACACCGACCACCACCTCTTCGTGCCAATGAAGCCCACATTTGTCGTTCTTTATAGGCTAGAGTTCTTAAATTTGGCCGATTTTTATCAGAAAAAGACGCTCAAAAATCGCCCGCGATCGTGTAGACAAAACCCAAGCAATCTTTAAGGTTTATTACGAGCCTTAAATTCAGAATGCTCTCTATATCCTGCCAAAGTTCTCAATCATTTCAACTGAACACCGTCCATCATCTCATGCCATCTCTGATTGACCACTGCGATGATTGTCGTCCACAATGACATCTTGAAATTTTTCGACATATTTGAAAAATTAAAGTCAATAGACGTCTAGCTCATCGCATCTCATCGCAGCTCATCGCGACAGCTTAAAAGACGTGCCTTTCGTTGATAAAACTGGTTTGGATCTAGACCCCTAGCATTGGAACTCTCAGTTTTTATGAGAGATCCTAGTTTTGGCGGAAGAGGTGCCGAAAACCGCCAAAAAAACCAAGGTTTTAAGCCAAAAAACGATCAAAGTTCGACGTTCGACGATGGACTCTTTGATAAATTGCAAGAATTGGTGTCTGCCATTGATCTCGTCAATGATACGGTGTCTAATGATTTCAGGCCGGTAATTTCGTTTTTCAGCAGCAGGTTTGCGCCACAACTGACGCAAGCTTGGTCCTACTATGCACAAGTTAATAACCACGCAAAGTTTACAAATTGCACATCGAAACTTGCAAAAGCCCTTAGGGTGCTAGGGTCGGATGCTAGCACATTGGAATACGGCTCTTCCTTGATTCGTTCAATTTTGCACGAGAACGTCAAAATCCTCTACCGTGGGCTTAACAATATGAAACCGGCAACCACGAACTCGGTTCTACGTCTTTTGCGACAAATAGCTGCATTTAATGGTGGTCAATACGTTGATGATTTTCTTACGTACTTCGATCTGGCCTTGCCAAGTCTCGTTCGCATTCTGACCCCTACCCGAACTGAATTGGCAGATCCCGAAAATTGCAAGGCTAATCCTGATATGTCAATGCGCTATAATTTCCTGGTATTTTGGCTCACTCTGATAGAAAACGCCAATCCGATTTTGCGGAAAGCCGTGCTAACAGAAAATTCACGAATTATGAGTTCATGGTTCAAACATATGACAAAAGTGGACTCTGTCAAGGTAATAAGGAATTGCCTCAGTACAATGAAGGACAAAGTGTTGCGAGAAAAATCGATGAAAAAAGTCACAAAATGTAAGATTTTGAACGAGTTTTTCATCAGCAAAGTTCATTATTTTTACCGTTCCAGTGATGTCGAGCTTGTCAAAGCTGTCGACGAGTTTTTTGAGCTCTATTCGACAGCCAACGATTGCAGTGTCGCGTTTTCGGACGAAAAATTGTGGTTTTCCGAGCCCGTGTATGCCAAGGTAGGATCTCAAGCGCTGAGCAGTGGAGCTATGGTTACGGTAAACAATAAAAAGTTTTATCTTTACAATAAGCTTCTTTTCACAATGCTGACTTTTTTTAAACCCTGGGAAGATGAAACTCAGTTGAACAGGGTGATCCAGACTCTGCAGTCAATTCCCGAGCTAGTCGCACCTTACTGCGCCTTTTTGAATACACTAGGCAACCACGAGCCTAAAATGACATCCTACTGGTTTGGAATGACTCTCTTCCTAGGGCGCATTATAAACTTACCAATTGATCAGAGAATTTCAGACGTCCAAACTGACGAGCAACCCGTGTCAAGTATAGTCATGGAATCAATTTCACCATCCCCATTGACTAAAGCCTCATTGACCAAGGCCTTACTGCACGACGTGCCTCTGGTCAAACAAATGGCCTGCCAGCTCCTCATTTTTTCTTTTAAGAAACTGGAACAAGTGTTCAAACTCTACGACGACAAGGGGTGGACTTCTGCTAAGTCAGATTTGGCTGTCCGCTTAAAGGCAGCACTGCCAGAGCTATCTACGATTTCTGCGACTCTTGCATTTGTTAGTCGTGATAATAGCGACAACAAAATTCTTGCTGCGTCAGTATCGCTCGTACTGAACCATTACAGCAAGCTTTTTCCACTAGGATTCGTTCTATCGTTGCCTACTGATAACATTTACTCAAAAGTTATCGTTTCAAAGTCATTTTCAGCGTTGGATCTTGTCATTATCGACAACTTTCTACAATTTCAAGAGCTCAACAATTCGCAAACAAAGTGGTACAATCCAAATGGCAATGAGTTTTCTACATTTACGAATTTACTCAAATTGGCATCTTCTACAAATGCCACAGCATCTCTTACCAAAAAAGTCACATCGTTACTTAACTCCCTTTTAAAATTTACTGCGGTCTTTAATGAAACGCTGATAGCTTCTCCCATTCTCGCACTCATCAACAGTCTCCAGATTGTCGCTAGAACTGAAGGAACGGATGAAACTATACAGCAAGAGAAAATATGGAAACTTCTGGACGAGACAATCTCAAGATGCATGAAAACTCCCTACAAATATGTGGATAACTCGGCATCCTTCTCATACTGCTCCCCATTTTTGGTTGCTTTGGTAGAACAGTGGCACTACGTAGACACTACAAGTGCCTTTGACCTGGCACTCAAGTGGTTGCTTATTTTTGCCAGAAACGCTGTCTTCATCGGAGAGCCCTCAGATGGTGCAAGACAATTGTTAAGATCGGTGCCAACAATTCCTGAATCTTTAATAACGACTTTCCTACCTTTGGAAAACGACGACGCAAAGTTGAATTCTCTGCGACAACCGCAGAACTTGGTGATCGGTGATGTAGAATTCTCTTTCTTTCAACTCGTCACTCTGACACCAGTGGTCGAATTGGCTGCCCTAGCAAGATATCCAGTCAATGACTTTGATATATCTGGACTTGTCAAGCGCCTTCTTTCAATCTTAGATCATGACCAGGATAAGATAAGCTTTGAAGACTTTTCATCTATTGTTGATAACTTGCTTTCTAAAGTTGTGAGCTATGCCCTATCGCAGAAAAGTTTCAGAGTCAAGCTTGTTGAAGAACGATTTTTCGAAAAATTCATGGTGCGCAAAACAATAGACACCGCCAATTCGACAGCATGTGAGAAGTACGCGTACGTCTCAAACAGCATGTTGAGTATTTATTCTCAACTTGGAGAGACTATGATGTCTCTCCAACACTACATTCGCGATCTCTGGGTAACATGCGCGAACACATGGGAAACCAATGGGTTACTAGCTTCTGTGTTGGAAAACGGGTTGCCTTTCTTAAACCCTGATCAACTTAACGAGGTCCTTCAATCCTTGATATCACACCGTCATCTACTTTTGCCTCTCGTTGTTAAGGAGCTTTACAGTCGGAAAATCGAAATAACCAACGGCCAATTCATGAGCTTGCTTTCGCAACATGACACTGCTCTTGTTTCCTCATTGCGTGCATACATCGAATCCAAAATGGTGAAGACGCCACAATTAATTGAGATTGTTCCCACCGCTTTACAGTCTTCGTGTAGCAAACCAATTATCGAGGAAATCCTGAAATTGAAGGAAGGTGCAGGTGTTTTACTAAAATTCGTCAACTTGATCAAAGACCAGGGTTTAATCATCATGACAGCAGCGGCTTTAAGCTCTGCAGAAAGGGAGATTGAACCAGCTTTTTCGAGTAATGCTTTACTCATTGCTTTAGAGAATCTGAAGACGTTTAAGGATGTAGACCTCGACGCAGCAATCAAATTATTGGTGAAGAATCTAGATAGCCTTTCTGACGTCCGCCGACGTGAGATTGTCGAAATCATTACCACTAGACCGGACGGTAGATTCACTCCACAAGTTCCAAATCTACTCCTGCATCTAGTTACTGAGAATGAGAAGGGCGTACGGTCATGGATTCAGATGTCTCTTCTTTATATTACAAAAAATATTGTGGAAAGAGCAAGACCATCAGAACGTTTCTCTGAGTTTCTGAGAAGTTTTCTCAACCTTCATGATAAACTAAACCTTTGGAATCAAAGGTTCACAACAAGCCTTAATTCACAGGTACAAGCTATTGTCGGCGGAGACTGGGTCTCCTTCCCTGACATCATGGAGTATCTCAACTGCATTATTCTAGGAGCAGCGAAAACACAGCTAAGCGGCAGCAAAATGCTACAACTGCTACTGAACAACGACAAGATGTATTTCAACAGTGGCGCAAATGATCCTCATCTTAAATTTTTGACGGTCAGTTCCATTTTTATTCTTTTCAACGTTGATCCGGCTGGATGCTCTAACCTAATAATTCAAGAGCAGTTACTGCAATTTTACGGGGGCACAATATGCCCATCTGACAGAATGATTTTAAGCATACTGGAACAGATCGAATCCAAAACTCTTTCCGCATGGACCAGTCGCATTTTTGCTTGGGATTATCAAGATGTTTCTGAAGATATCGGTGAAAACGAACCTGACTATCATGTCATTGTGAAGGAGAAGGAAGGCTTCATAGTGACGATAAAAAAAGAAATGGTTAGCTTCAGTGTGGACAATTTTGCTTTGACAGTATCACAGCTGCCGGCTTTGACTCGCAAGAATCCGTCGCACATGTGGACCGAATTTGTCTCTCTTCAAGAGCAAAGCGATCTCCAATACAAAGGATTGCAATACAAGATTTATGATCCTATGTTTTTGTTGCTTTCGATAGTGAACAATGATGAGCTTTTTAGGTCCAATTCTTCCACTTTGAACGATCAATCGGATGCTTCTTTTTTCGACATGAAAAAAATCGTGGAATCGGGTTTGTTAGAATTCATTATAATGTGTCTGGCTACTGAAAACGAGGTTGGTGAACTAGCTTTATTATTGATTTACAAAATGCTGGATACCTTGGAAGTCGGCAATTTTCGAGACAAGCACGCTTACAAGCTTCTACTGATGAAGGTTGCGTTCACATTATACTCGGACCCGAATAGCGGTGAGTCCGAGGACAAAAAAGTCCCACCGTTGCTTTGGTACATGGTGGCACGTTTGTCGAGCGTATTAAGCCAGCCGTCTTCTTTCCTCTATGAAAAGGCCAACCGATGGGTGCTTGCGTCTCCTTCTATTAAATCTTGGCAACTTCCACTATATGAATCTGCCGTACTAGCAACTAGGGATGATGATGCAGAACAATATTATCGATATCTGCATTGGTTTCTCGAAAGTATCCAGCAGGGTTTGAAAACGGATCAAGATTTCAACCTTCTTCGGTCCCGAGGCCTTCTTGAATGGATCTTAAACTTGTTGAACTCGCCATATATCACTTTCAAATTGCGGAGTCTGATAACCTCAATTATCCACAAGGTTGAAAGATTGGAAACAGGTGGTCCGTCATTTTTAACTCGATATGCCGGTGCATCTTTTTTGGAGAACTTGCAAGTCCAGACTCAAGAGAAAATTCAGGCGTCAAAGATAGAACTACCTTCACACACGAAAAACAAGCTACATCTGATGCAAAACTTAATTTTGCAGCAATCTCGAATCAACCTTTCTGAGCTGGGCACTGGTTTGGCTGTCGTTGCAAATTCCCGTAAGCGACTTGTGGACTGGATGGAAACAGATTCTGACAATTTTTTGAAGCGCATCCGTACTTCGGACTAGAACAATCTTGAAGGATCTTGGATACTGTAAAACGCTCCTGCTTCGTGCCATCGCATAAATAGCCCGGCTGTAATAGTCAAATGCACATCATCTTATTTCACTGACTGCCTTACCCTATATATCAGATAAAAGCATTATATAATGACGTTCAAGAGCACTGTTAGATCATGCTGGAGGTACGACCAAAGGCTACCAAATGATTTGAGCTGAGTGATAAAGACGTCATGGACCATTCTAGAACCTCAGTTACCATTTATTGAACCACTAAAGTTGGCGAAAACATTGTCTTCATTCATAACTTCTGTTGAATTTCCTCCACTTCCTAACCACATCGCTCTATTGGAAATTTCTGTCCATAAATCAGTTTCGAACGATTCAATATTTTCTAGACCATCCAGGAATTTCTGTATATCGCTGGTGGTCTCTAACGACAATGGCTCAAAAGAACTTGAATTGTTCTCAATAATTTTAGTGCCAGTTTTCTTTCTTACTCTATCCTTATTGATATTTGACTGCTCCGAAGGTAGCGCATGACGCAATTTGGGCTCTTCGGTTACAGGAATGGATATGATGCTCGTCTCCTTGTAGGTTTGGTTCTCATATTGCACGTCTGGCTTTAAATCATCATAGTGTTTTTCTATCAGTCCCTTCATTGAACCTTGCAAATCCAAGTTGCACATTAACCTGAGCATTTGAGCTCGTCGCAGGCCCGCCGGATTATTACCCAAATTGCGCATTTTTGTAAAGATCAATAAAGCATGGTCGAGGTGCTCAGCAGTTTGCTCGAAGATACCAAAAGCTGCGTTAAAAAGTAGAAGTGTGCAAGCTGAGGTAAATAGGTATTCGCGGTCCATGTATCCAAATAAAGCAACCATGTTTTGATTCTTCAGATACCACAAGCACTTTATGGTGCCGATAGATGCTTGCAAAGAGCAGTTCAACAATGAAGAAATAGTTTTCGAATAATTCGGTAGATTGATGTAGGTAGCATTATCGTTCCAATTCTTCAACGTTAAGGAGACAAAATGGAAGAGTAGAGGTCGAATCGCTAAATTCATTCCTTGAAAGTATTCTGTGAAAATGTTCGTATGCAGTCTCGGAATTTCGAAATCCTTTTGGGCAAAATCTACTTGAAGAAAATGAGAGAGCTTTTTTCGCCAATCTAGGAGCTGAATGACAATCTCTTTCAAGGTGGGTAGTATATTAGAGGTTGGAACTCTCTGGTAAAGCTTGTTCAAGATTTGAGAGTTAATCTGCGTGATTTTGACACAATTTGTGATGTATTCTGCCTCCGGAAATATGTAGTGTTCGCACTTCGATGGCGGATTCGTCATGTTGAAATCTCCCGGTAGCTCTGTAGTAATGCTTTCGTCATCAAAACTTAGTGGAAGGCCTGCCTTGCTACTAAGCATTCTTTCAAACATGTAGACAGTCCACCAGAGACGGCGACGATGTTCCAAGTCAAAACGGCTCAAAGTGTCTCTTTGAGCATCGACATGCCACCCCATAATGAGACAAGCGCGCAAGGCTTGTCCAAAATAAAAATAAGAAGCCACTGTGCAATCAGCGACTTGCAGGTAAAAAGCGTATAATAGCATGACTTCCAGACCACCATGTTTAGTCACGTTCTCAATACGGCCACTAGTGAAAAGACAGCTAAAGATTTTCGAAGCCTGCTCGAAGAAACCGGAACCTGGAAGTCTAGTGCTGTCTTTGGCGGTAGCTTTGGTACCATTTGTGTTGTTGGAAGTGCCGAGGTACATCTCCCCCGTTGCAAATATCAGCAAAACCTTACAAAACCAAATGGTCTGTAAAGTGTTATCGTTCGCACTTGGTGATCCCTCATAGATGTTTTTCAACTCCTCCTTTACTATTCCTTCGTTGAAAAAATAGAAACAGCCGTCATTGTAGGTGATGAAAGTATCAATAAGCAATACCGAATATGAATAGGACGGGAGCGTGAGATTCACGCTAACGTCTTCGTCGCCATCATTTTTTGATAAAACGATTTTGTATGCATTGCCCTCTTCTTGCAAAACCTCGTCAATTGGCTCTGAGGGTAAACTGACCTCTGATGCAGCTTGGTCTTGAAGAGAACTGAAATCTTGAGCCTGGAAATTTTTGGCCATACTTTTTGGAATTAGCGACTGAATTTCGAGCCCAAAAAGAGTCATGGACGAAGAACCGACAAAGTATTGCTGACCTGTTCTGGACGCTACAAGTCTGCCACGTCGTTCTGCGAAATTAGGTACAATTTCTTCATCATCTAAGTTATCTTCCACTGAATTTTCATGAAATTTCACGTCTAGAGATGTTTGTCCACCTTCAGAAGCAGCAACTTCCTCCTTGTGGTGAGCTTTATCGCGAACTGTCGCTTGTAATTTGATATTTTCACGCTTCAGGTCGGCTAAATCCGCTTGTAATTTCTGCAAGTACTTCATCGACACTACCAGTTTTTTGTTCGGTTCCGAGTATTCGCACGCTACTTTTGCAGCGGCACATTTGGAACACGGTTGTCCACCGGGACATTTGACATGGCGTCTTCGGCACCGCGCGCAAGCTAAACCCGGACGTTTTTGACGTTTTCGAGAATTGTCGGCGCCTGCATCTTCGACGTCCGAGCATGGAAAAGTTTGAAGACCTTCTGTGTCAGAACTCAAGGAAGCATCATTGGAATCGCCTCGTTGCATCCCACTGTAAAGTGGAAGTAGGGTCAGGGTACCAAAAGAGTGGGGGTTTCGGCCATAGAAAGAAACAAGAATGGAGCTCAAGATGATCTACGATAGGATGACTACAAGCGTATGGCTAAATATGATGTAAATTAGCCAGTTCGTGTATTATGATAATATACGAAAAGCATTGGCAAGTACAAAGAATAATCGACTATCATTGGCGTTGTAGAGCTCATGATATTATCAATGCTGTCTTCTTCAATACTTATGCTTCAGATTTCACGGTTATTTCGTATTTCATTGGTAAAAGGGAAATTCTATCCAATCGTCAAATTCATTAATTTAAACAGCAATGACACTTTTAGAGGGAGAACTCTTTTTGGAGAAGAAGTGAGTCTGGATCGATCCAAATTGCAAGATGTCTCACTTGAATTTGATCAGCAAGCTCTTGAAGTAGCGATGAGCTGTGTGGAAGCATGAAGCATATTTCCTCGTGACATCTGCTGCTGTTATCTTGACTTCATTCTACGTAAATTTCACAACAAGGTTGTTTGGCCGAGCGGTCTAAGGCGCCTGATTCAAGATAAATATCTTGACGCTGTAAAACAGCGGAATCCTCAGGTATCGTAAGATGCAAGAGTTCGAATCTCTTAGCAACCATTATTTTTTTCAAAATTTTTGGGAAGCGACCAGATTATTGGGTAGAAGATTGCCCAAATGGCACAATCGATGCACATACGTGGGTGACGTAAACCGAAGACATAAGCACAATAAACCCCATTGCTGGTTACCTAAAAAGCGTACGTACTGTTCTGAATTTATCGTGCCTTTGCTGTATTTTTAAAGGAAAGACTCTGGGTCTGCTGGGCTCTGTGTAGAGCTTCAGAGGGTTGTCGCAAACAAACTACGAACAAAAAGGCCAGGGCTCCTACAAGCGAGAATGAAAGGAGCCAGGCAGGATCTATGATATGTAACAGCCCATATTCAGAGCTGAGCGATACCTATGATTCGTGCATGTTACCGAAAAGAATCAGAGTGATCATATTCCATAGTGTCACGTGATTCTTCATAGTACTATGGTTTGATTGAATTTTCAACCGGAAAGTTTCATTCCGGGCAAACGAAAGCACATCAATATAATTCTCACAACGCTGATTTCCTGCCGGTTATTTAACAACTCAAGCATCTTTACCCCTAGTCGCTTACACTTTTACACATTCTGCTTCTCAGAAACGATTCTCATTGGTTGAGCAGTTCCAGATACCTTTTAACGAGGTGGACGACATCAAGCCAAAAAACTTTTTGATTTCAAGCATTCGAACATATATACTTTGAAGCCGAAATTCCAGAAGATAGGGTTAAAACGTATTGAAAAGGAGGTCGATTCTTTACAATCTCAAGTCGTTGATCCACTTCAAGCTAGTATTCGTTGGTTTGATTATTTTACGAAACTTGAAGCTGTCCAAAACACCTTTTTGTACCTGTTTTCGTTAGGTTTTAAAGGCCAGCAACTAATATACTTTGCATTTACATTTCACCATGTCTATTGCCAAATCTGCCGCTACCAAGTTGGACTGGGCTTCCGTTATCTCGTCCCTCAAATTAACGGGAAAGACCGCCACACAATTGACCTCGTTCAAGAAGAGAAACGATGAGGCTCGCAGAAAGCTATTGGATCTACAAGTTCAGCCAAAAGCTGTGGACTTCGAACATTACCGTTCGGTTTTAAAAAATTCTGAGGTCATCGACAAGATCGAATCCTTCTACAAATCCTACAAACCTGTGACAGTCGACGTCAAGAAGCAGGTCTCGACTATTGAGGCTTTTGAGTCCCAAGCCTTGGAAAACGCTAAGGAAACTGAAAAATTCGTTGCCCAAGAACTAAAGGATCTCAATGACACTTTGAAGAATATCGAGTCTGCCAGACCTTTCGACGAGTTGACCGTGGAAGAACTGGCAAAGAGCAGACCTGATATCGACGCCAAGGTCGAGGAAATGGTCAAGAAGGGCAGATGGGAAGTCCCAGGCTACAAGGAGAAGTTTGGCGACTTGACTGTTATGTAGAAGTACCGGTGCTATAACCTTTTGTAAGTCATGTAGGAACGAATATATTATACATTCCGTGCGAGTTTGTTATACACTATCGGCCATGAAATATCAGTCCACTGATCTTAGAATTTCGACCAATTTCAACCTTCAAAGACATCGCTAGCAGCTATTTACAGACATGAACAAAGTATTGGGACAAAGCTTCCTAGAAAGTATCACCTACGAGCAATCCCAGGATGTCGAAATTACCACGCAGCTTTTGCAGTCGCTTCCTATTTCTCAATTGGTTGGTAAAGGGTTAGCTATCAACCATCTAGCGTTGCAGAACGTTCGCACTGGGTTAGCAGGGAAATTATACGTGGAGCTTGGTCCCGACGCGGCATTCACTCATGAACTGATACGTGGAGAAGTAAGAAACGGAGATCTAGTCTTGGTGAGACCTTCCAGTGGTAAGAAAGATGGCATATCCTGTGAAGGCGTGGTAACCAAAAGTTCTGATAAAATGATCACCATTGCAATCGACGAAGCTCAAGAGAACAATGCCTTGAGTTTGTACAATGCCACTACGCTTTGCTTGCTGAAAACAACAAACACTATCACTTATAAACGCATGCAGTCAACATTGCGAAAACTATGCGAAATCGAAGGTACACCCAACAATGAAGTCATGCAATACCTCCTGAATGAAGCGAAATTCATCCCTAGGAAAGACAAACTGGATACTAAGTTCTTTGACGCCAACCTCAATTCCTCCCAAAAGGATGCAATCGATTTTTCGCTGCAGAATAAAATCAGCATCATTCATGGCCCGCCAGGGACTGGTAAAACCCATACTTTGGTCGAGCTAATCCGCCAATTGTGCGATCAGGGTCATCGTGTTTTAGTGTGTGGACCGTCAAACATTTCTGTCGATACAATTTTGGAGCGTCTTGCAAAGGTCTTGCCAGGGCAAAATCTACTTAGAATTGGACATCCGGCACGTCTTTTAGAGAAGAACTTAGCTCATTCATTAGAGGTTCTCTCCAAAAGTGGCGATGCTGGCGCTATCGTCAGAGACATCTCGAAAGAAATTGATGACACTATTGCGAAGGTCAAAAAACTGAAATCATACAAGGATCGGAAAGCGAGCTGGAATGAGGTCAAAATCTTACGCAAAGAGTTGAGAGCCCGCGAGCAAAAAGTGGTGACAGACCTTATACTTTCCGCTAGAGTAATTGTTTCTACCCTGCATGGTTCAAGCGCACGGGAATTAGTCAATTGCTACTCGCATACAGATCATCTGTTCGACACGCTGATCATCGACGAAGTGTCACAAAGCTTGGAACCACAGTGCTGGATTCCGCTGATATCTCATTACAAATCGAACATGCAGAAGCTGATTCTAGCTGGAGATAACAAGCAGCTCCCTCCGACCATCAAGACAGAAAATAATGACGCAGTGAAACGAGCACTGACAACTACACTATTTGACAGATTGGTGAAGGTATATGGTGATTCTTTTAGAAACCTTCTGGATACGCAATATCGTATGAACACCATGATCATGGCTTTTTCATCTCAAGAAATGTACGGTGGGAAACTGAAAGCAGCTGACGCAGTCGCGAATTGGACTCTCGCAGATTTGCCAGCCGCTGATATTAACGAGAACACGGAGGCACCTTTGCTATGGTACGACACACAAGCTGGCGATTGTCCTGAAAGAGATGAGGATTTTACCGATGCAGGTGCACTTTCATCAAAACTCAACGAGAACGAGGCTTACCTAGCGCTACACCACGTTTTCAATTTAATCAATAGTAACATCTCACAGGAATCAATTGGTATCATCGCTCCCTACAATGCTCAGGTCTCGCTGCTCAAAAAGCTGGTGCATGCCCAATACCCACTGGTCGAAATTTCTACAGTCGACGGTTTCCAAGGCCGAGAGAAGGACGTCATTATTCTGTCCCTAGTGAGAAGCAACGACAATTTTGAAGTGGGCTTCTTGGCCGATGAAAGAAGACTCAACGTGGCTATGACGAGGCCAAAGCGACAATTATGCGTCATTGGTAATATGGAGACTTTAGAACGAAGCAAGGTCAAGTTTCTTGAAAGGTGGGTGAGGTGGTCAGAGGACAACAGTGAAATACGGTATCCGGACCTTAGCGAAGTATTGTGACTGGCTTCGCGTATACATTTATTACATCGTCTATATCAGTTCATCAAAAACATATAGATCAACACTTTCATCGGCAGTGACAAACATGCTGTATTTTGGATTGAATGCAATGGTTCTGGGACAAGAGTCCGGAGCGGCAGTAATAGATGCGCACGGTTTGAGGGTCTTGCCGCTGACAGATTCGGAGTGGTTATATATAGCGATTTTACCAGCGTAGTCGGTGCCCAGTGTGAACGAGCCGTCTGGTGTGAAGCACGCGGATCCGGCGTCCATAAACTCTCGCAGAGGGAAAGGTTTAGTTCCAGACAGTTCGAAGAGTTGCGACCCATCAAACGCGTCCAAAATAATTTGCTTTCCAGCAGACGATGCCAGAAGGATGTATTTACCATCATTGGAAAACTCAAGCTTGTTCCACTGGTGGAAGGTAGGATTGACTTTAATAACGAGAAAAGGGCCATTTTTGAGTTCTCTGAGATTATACAGACCGATTTCATAGTTTTCTGGATTACCTAGCGCAAATACCAAGCCGCTTGGGTCGTATGCAATGCAATTCGGTACCAGGCTCGGTACTATGGCTTGCGCTTTAGACGTGCGTAAATCCCACAGCCGTACCGATTCATCGTAAGACGCAGAAATAAAAGTATCATTGAGCGGACTCATTTCCAAATCGCTAACCAGCGCACCATGTCCCGTGAAGTACCGCAGATATTGATTTGTTTCTAGATTCAGGTGCCTGATATCGAAACTCTTCATAGTGGACGAGTACACACATTCGTTTTGAGAGTGTGTGAATTTTGCAGAGTGACAGCCATATTTCTTGGACGCCACGGTGTTTAGAAATCTGCAGTTCATAGCGTCATAGAGATGCATATTATCGTTAGCAGATGCTGTCAACAGGTATCGACCATGGTCATCAAAATTTAATGATGTCACGGGCGCCAGCTCATTATCGCCGGGCTTAAAAGTCTTGACGGGTCGAAAACTCGCAAGATTGTCCTTGTTGATATCTAGAGACATGCTCAAAGGTCTTGAGCACGCACTTGGGTCGGTTCAGTACTTGTTTTGTAGGTTTGTCGTTGATTTGGAAGTGTAAATTTCAATATTTTTCAGACTATACTAACTACTAAGAAAAACTAACTTTATGGAGAGTGTAATGAGGCGACAGCGACACACGCATAAAGAGAGAAGAGTATCCATCGAACAAGAACTGAGTGATGTAATTGATTTGTAGTAAAAAAGAGCCTTCGAATGAATGTTAAACTTTCAAAATCGGCTAACTTGAAGCCAAAAAATAAGGCCAGGAGAGGTGTAAACGACAAATAATTAACTTTTCACGACAGGGAAGGAAGGTCATATATGCGGGTTGTTGAAAGGTAAAATAAATGGGTGGGTATCTCAAATTCAAAATATGTTTAGCAGTTGCGCTGTCATCGGTGTCAGTTTGGTATAAGGTGATAATTGTTTTTCTCGATCTGGACGCCTTTTACTTGGTTGGAAAGACAATTCGAACCCTATTGAGAGAATCCACGCCGTATAAATATTCTGGACCAACTCAATACGTCTCAATCGAAACAGCTTCTGTTTTTTCATAAAGGTTCTCTTTTCAGAAATCTCGTCGCGTGACTGTTAAATAAGTGTCAAATCTCATCGATTCTTACCTAGTGTAACTACGCACGCTACATGATCAATTGCCAAGTTCAGCATCGTTCAACACACAATCCATCACTATTGCCATGACTTCAGTACGTTCTTAGTCGCCCACTTTTTCTCTGCACTGACACACCAAAAAGCGCATCACTAACTTCTCTGGGAGCCTTCCTCCCCTTGCAGGGAAGCTCCGCATTTCACCGTAGCTCAAACAGCTAGCACATCTAGGTTTTGATCTGGCCCTGATATCCATGATACTAGCCGGTTTACGTCGAAATACAGGTCTCGTATTGGCATATGAACACTCAGATCTGAAAAACTATCTGAGACGATATTTGGACTGGGGCGATGCCCTATACAGCAGATTGGCACGATTTGCAGAACGCAGCAAGTGTTTTAGGAAAGAGACGCCTCTAGACGGATTTCTGGACGGTGTTTTCAAGCGGGTCGAGGAATTGGGTCGCGGTCCAGCCAGGTCTGTGCACCAGCAACAAACAGAATATCAGCAAAAACGCTAAGAGTTGTGAGTTTTCCAGTTTTAGAAAAAGCACCTTTTTTAAATCGCTATAACGGACCTATCCACAGGGATATACTTAGGTCCAGTGCGGTCGACGAATTCTGGAGTTTGAAAGCCTCGCTCGCCGGACTCTTTTATAGTTTTTGTCTATTTTCTAAAGATAAGTAAGTAAGTTACCTCTAGCTCCGTTTTCCGACATCTACTACTGCTGATGGGAAGACACTGAGAAAACGAAGTTGTCTAAAAACGATAGCCACCCGAACCAAAATTTAGCGGTACAATGAACTTATCGCTACTAAGCTCCTTGAATCTAGCTATGGATGCCTCTGCTCATACCTCACAAGCTCTACCTTTAAAAGATCTTCCTGTTTTCAAGACCTTGGAAGAACCAAGTTCTCGTAAGGCTGATCCACGATCATGGAACCCACGTTTGAGTGCTGAACGTAAGAGCCAAGCTCTAGTGAGAAAACAGCTGAATCTACCGTCTTTGGCCGCGTATTCAGCGGTCACCGAACAACCGTTCTATTCAAGAGTAGGACCCTACAGGCCGCATTTCAACGAGTTCAAAATGCAGTTAGAGTTGCATGAGAGACAACTAGAGAGGATACGATCGATAGGGTGGGACTCTATCAGGCCGATTGGTATAGAGTTCACTATGAAAGAGCAACAAGAATTTTCCAAACTTGAGGCCAAGCACGCGGAAGAAGAAGAAAAATTGGAGAGTAACCGAGTAACACACAGTGACGGCCACGTTCGCATGAACAGGTTTGAAGGCGAAAATGCTGAACTGCCGACCCACGGCCTTCAGCGTTCGCCTCCTTCTCCTGGTCCTTCCCCTCCTCCTCCAGACATGGACATCGATTTGGACCAAGACGTGCAGGAAGACGAAACGTCCTACGACTACGGGGATGAATTTGCAAGAATTGATGGGGAAGAAGAGCAGGACTCTGACACACAGGTTTCTGGTGTCGTACTTCCTAGTGCAGAGCGCTCAGAGCGAACAGTTCAGCAATTCATAGAGACGTCTCATATTGATAGTCTCGGCCATCCTTACGACGTTGAAAATACTTATAATGGGTACAGCTTCGACGAGTCAGAACCCCATGGCGAAACGCAGCAACCCTCTTTACTCCCACCCATAAGAAACCAAGCCTTAGGTATGACCACGCCAATGTCGGGCGCAACGCCTCTTCGAAATCCAGCCGTCCTTCATCGACGCTCAGAGCGTAGAGTAACCTTTGACTCTAGCGACTGCGAATGATGCCACTCTTTGCAAATCTAATCACTCTTACTACTTATCTAGCTAACCCCGACCCAACCATGTTTGGTAACACTTTTTGAGAAAATCCCAATCTGTCGACCTTCGCATTTTGTAAGTAGATTGCCGGCACCATCCATTTTCCGCAACTGCATCTAGAACCTTTCCAGTTATACGCGCCGACCTTAGACGAGCAATTGGGACAACTGAACTTGCCCTCCAGCTCCTGTTTTCCCTGGAGCTCTTCCTTCATCCAGTTTAGCGGTTCCACAAAATAGTGAGAGCACATATCTTGAGACTGTTGGATATCGACAATTCTTCTGCCACCTGCCGTTCTTCTGATAAAATGCCCTTCAGTCGATTCCTTACTTGGAGGCTCATGCTTAATAAAAGAGGTAGACAATGCAAGACGCTGTCTACATTTCTTGCACCGTATGGCATACACCTCAGCGAGTTCCTCGGGGGTCATTTCTTGCATCCTCTTCTGGTCGTCATTTCTGAATGTGTCTTCTTGAGCCAATATAGTTTCCCCAGTGACATCTTCTTTTACAGAATTGGCCAACTTCCAAACTTTATAGCCTTGGTTGTCATTGTCGACAAGACAGGAACCCATTTCCTCATATATTCTTAGCTGTTCCATGAAATTATCGTTTGGTTGAGCTCCGGGGTGTTTCCGTTTTACAGCATACAGTGCTGACTTTAGATTCAGTCCATAGCGATACATCAAGTATGCAACAACGAAGGTCACAGACCTCGAAACTCCTGCGTGGCAGTGTACAAAAACACCATTCTGCTGTGGTTTTTTCTTGAAGCTCACTTTCTTAGGATTGTATTCTGGCTCATGCGGGAAAAGACAATGGTCCATGAACACATTCGCTTCATTTAAAAATTGTAGAATATCAGTGGTCTCATCATCGTCGATAGGAATGTTTTTGATGGTGTAGTTTTTCCGTATGAGGTATTCTGGAAGCACCTCGAACTTCATCACAGACAGGATGTGTGAAATGTTGTAATCAGCCTTCAAAGGTACATGGTCGATGATAGGCTGGCACGGCCCAACATAGATGTTCCCCAAAATTCTATCTACCCCACTCATCCTCTTTAATGGTTCGATACCGTCTGTTAGTTTTCTCTGTTTCTGTTCTTTTCCTGCTGCAGTTGATGCGATGAGCTCGAGATTTGATGAGGTTGAAAAATTTGGCAGTACCAGGAAGAACAACAGACAAAACGACCAACAAAAGACAATTCAAGAGAAGATCTTTCCATAGCTCATAACATCCACATTGGCTGGAACCTTTGAATCTTTTCAGGCTTTCAGAGAACGGATTTTGAAATCCCAAAAATTCTTGCGTATAGGGTCATAGGTATTCGCTAAAGCCTTGTAAGCACATCTAGCCTTAGCAAAGGTTTCTAGGTCTTGAGAGTAAATGTAAGCAAGCATTTCAAGAGCATATGATGATAAAATTTGCGGTGGCGTTTGTGGAAGCTCAAAAACGTCGGCAACAAAACTCCTTGCAAAAGCTATAATTTCGGGATCAAAAGTATTTTCTAAATACTCCGAATAAAGACCGCGAAGATAGTTCCACGAGCTGATGTTCTGTGGCGCAAGCTCAATTTTAGCCTTTGTGTAATGAAGTTCGGTTGTTATGAGGTCCGCTGGCGGCCGTGACTTGAACTGGGATTTAAGAACGAACATTCGATGACACCAAGCGCTGTTGTTATATACATCGCGCGATATTAGAGCGGACGCGAATGGCAACTCGTGCTCGAATCCTTGAAAGAAGTTCACGCACCAGCGACGGTAGGACCAGACATGGTAATTTTTGGTGTCATCATCGATCATCGATTGTAAAATGGGTAGTTCGCGAAGGAATCCAGGATTTGGATGGATACCCAACAGAGCCTGGCGATAAGACCATATCTGGTAATTCTTAGGGTTATTCAAAGTGAACTCATCGAGCCAATCGAGCTCTGCGTTGAGTTTGGCCTCATCTGTCCCAAATAGCTGTTTGACGATCTGGAAGCGGTAATTCCACATGGTGTAGAACGCCGGAACCAGCTCAATCGTCTCAGCAGTTGCGTGGAGAGCTCTATCGGAGACCTCCTGATTCTTGAAAAGAGCCCTGGCAATGCCCATCACTTGCCGGTACTCGTCGTCATACAGAATTTGGCACAGCCCATCGCTTTGATCATCAGAAATCGGAAGAGGCTCCACATCATCGTAATTGTACCCACCAGTATCGAAAAGGGAAGCGGTTTCAGTCATATCGCAAATGGTGTGTTTCGTATATAGCTTTCACTGGAGTGAGTAGTTTACCAATTTCAAGTTCGTGAGCTAAAGTTCAACAAAAGAAGATAAAAAGTATTGAAATTGAGCTAGATATTCTTTCAATTGACGTCAGGGAGAAGTTAACGGATATCCAAAGCTCGTACTGGTTTTAATTTGACTGATCTACGGGTGTTCTTTACATCCTGGTCTCATCAGCTACACTATAAACCCATACGTGGATATACGTATTATTCATGTCACGTGACTGGACCTCACAATCTGAAGGAAAGGGCATCAAAGTGAAGCAATTGTGAGGTATCTGAAAGGTTTTAGAGGCCGGAAGACCTGATTTGAATACAAATTTCCAGAGAGGCAGAGTGCCCTCGTAAAAAACTGTTTTCAGTTGACGAGTCAGTCCAGTTCTGATTGTTTCTATGATTTCATTTTCCATAATGGATCGCACCAGTCCTCATTTCATCTGCAAAAAAATGGGAGACTTTGAGATGTGTCGTTCTCAGCCAAGCCCTTCCTAGTATTCGTTGCCATCGACCGTTTGGCAGATTATTGTCACTTTGGAATATGCTGTCATCACAATATTGATTCGACTTATTAACCATCTAAGAAACGTTCCTATTATTCAAGGCCATTGAAAACCCCGAGAAGAACTCATTGAAGTTTTCGAGCCTTGCTCAAGTAGATCTCTCGAGAAAGAACTGTTTGAGAAAACATACCCTTGACACGCAGTCCTTCTCAATTGCTGACAGAAGGCTGGGAATAAGTTGCACCCTGCCATTTCTTCCGTATCTAGTGACGCTCTACTCTGGTCTGCACCAAACCACATCTTCAGCCACTTATTTTTGGACCATCAGAATGCACTGACCACAAATTTCCTAGGGTCCCAGATGTGCCTTGGTGAATCTTTGAGATCGCGAACTCGATCCTTCTGAAACTCGAGGCTGTTACGACCCTAGGAAATTCTCGCCAAGAATGCTTTTCCCTTTGATGGGGCTCGAGAATGCTTCTGGACAAAACGTCAGGATCTTCATGATCCGAAACAAACTCAAAATTTGAACCTCAATGACGCAGCAACACATGGGCCGTATGCAGACCCACTTGTCGACCTGAGAAACGACCGGAGGAACAAGTAGATGTCGCCATGGCAAAAAAATATATTAGATCGTACTACCCATCATTTATCCCACAGTCCCACAACTGTGTCACCAACGGGTTATCATCGCACCTGAGGCCTTGTGACAACGTGTATGTGTCGCACGAGTCTGTAATGAGTCGTCCGCGAAGAACTAAAGGGTTAATCCATCCGTAATCCGTTTCATTTACTCTTTGCCAAGACTAGACGTGTAGCTTTTTTGCCTTATCTGAGATTTTCAGACCCATAAGCAGCCGTTGCAACAAGGCTGAACCTCAAAACACACACACACAACATCAAACAGCAAGAAACCTTAAACTGTGTGCCACAACCTAAATGCGTGCATAAAGTAATCCCTTCTGGCTCACGGGGCTGGATCGGTCTACTTAGTTTCAAGAAGATTAGCTGTTTCAGGACTTTCTTGTTTTCTTTGCTCCGTTGGTCTCTGTAGCGACACTGGAATCTTCCCTACTTGCCCAGCACCGCTGTAGGAACCTGGCATGGATGGGACATTCCTCGCCAAACGGAAAGATAAAAGTGACAGTACGGATCTGCACGAAATTGTGGATGCACAGTACAGCAAATGATCATCTTGCTTAACGGCTGCTAGTAGACACCGGGATTAAGCTCAAAGAAAGGTCTTGACACTTGTTTGAACGTATTTTTAACGTAGCTATTCTACACGTCACGTGACCGTATTATTCTATCCCCCAATAGTTTGAAGATTGGCGTGTATATGGAGTTCCTGGTCCTCAAAATAGTGTTATAATACGCCCCTCAGAGTTAAAAAAAACGGTTAACCCTTGTTTATAAACTCACACAGCCTATACTGAGCTACTTTATCGGCCCAGCTTGCAGATAGTTTCTTCGTCTACCGTGATCTCTTGGATTTTATAATACCACCTCATCACCCACTAATCCAACATTGTTACGAAACAGTTGGGAACACACACAAACAGCAACTGCAGCGATTATCGGGACTATCGAGTGCTCCATCTTTCACGCTGAAGTGCGTATCATCTCTCTGGTAGGAATTTTTTATTCTTTGACCAACACATATCGGGTGTTGTGGCAAGAACAAGATCGTTAGCATTCGGAGCCTAAGGAAAAAAGGTTCTTGAGAAACATTGAGTTGCACACTTTTGGCTCATTTTCGCTTCAATTTTGCTACATTCATCGCAGCTGGCGTATATTATAACTGTGACGATCCCTGGACAAGATGCAGCAAGATACTGACATGATGGGAACTGAACTGTTGGAAGATTTTCTGCTGACTGGGACAGGCAACGAAAACGTGAACTATGACCTCGAAAACGAACCTGGGAAGCACCCAGACGACGACTTGTTCACTACGTTCATCAACACGGAAATGTTGCAGCAGCCACCTTCCAACTACACCATCAACTCGCAGAATCAGCCCATGTCTTCGTCGTCGTCGTCAGTGCCCGCACTAGCTACTTCAGATCTTCTAGGGAGCTTCCCAGGTACAAACGAAAAATCTACTAGTCCCTTGGATCCCCTGTCCATTGCAGATCCCTTGGAATCAAGGGATCATATCCACGCTCTTTATGACGCCAACACGTCCGATACCGCTTCGGAGCAGCATCCTAGAAGCTACAGCAGAGGATGCGAGCGTCTAGTGGACCAGACCTTGCAATTCGGTAGGTCCAAGTCCATTCAATCGGCTTATCTCAACCCTACTGACTTTTTGAACATCCCTGAAGACTCCCTGCCTTACAAACTCTCGGTATCTGGTATGCCCTCAACTTCTCGTGTGGAGACTCAGATCAAGTTGGAGCTGGCAATCTCTCCGCCACCTCGCGAGTATGTCGTCCATTTGCCCACCGACTGTATCACCAAGCAAAAATGGTACCTTGAGGACGACATTAGCACGTATCCTCAGGAAATCCAAAATGAGATGCTTTATTTGGAGAGTTTCTTGGTGTGCGCATCGAATGGAAAGCCTACGTACGTCTGCAGCCGCTGCGTGAAACGTGAACAACGCAGAGCCTCTAGACGGAAGTCTGGCTTGTGTGATAATATGCTTTGGTGTAACAACGAAAACAGACGTGCGGTGGTGTTTAACAGCCGGCAAGTTTTTTCTATCAAGGACCAAAACTGCAATAGCCGCTTCAAAATGTTTGATCTTTCGGCAAGAATCGTCTGTTATTGTAGGCACCATAAAGAACCTGAGGGTTTCAAAATTTTGTTCCTGGTTAGAAATGCCCGTCAAGAGGTGCTTGCAAAGAGTGTCACTGGCCCTATCATGATCATGGATAAGAAATCGAATAAGGAGTCGTCTGATGTCGTATCGAAGCATGGTTCCGCAGTTGATTTGACCAATATAACCGACGGATCGCGAAGTGAGCGCAGTGAAGTGCCACACGTCACTTCAACAAGCGATTTGAGTGGTTTGGAAAACTATAAACCGGGAGACGATTTGATTCATTTGGGCGCAAAAGGCGAAAATATGCTTTCTCCCACTTCTATGGGAGGCGATAGCTCAGAGACGCACGCGACTGATCATAACACTGCCGACTTCCCCAGGTTCCGAAGTACACCTGGTTTCTCGGCCTCCAGACACGAGATGGCGACGAGCAACAAACGTAAAAGAACCTCCGTAGAATTGGCACCGTCTAACTTTTACAATCAAGATTTCATCAGGCCTCTACCGGTCTCGAACTTCGCTAAGCCGCCTTCGAAATCTTCATCTACTCATTCGATACCCCAAGTTTTGCAGGAGACAAAACCTACCAGCTCTCTCATGACGGCGACAAATAGCATGCTGCGTGAGATTTCCGATATCGCAAATCATTCTCCTGTGAAATTTCCTTTCATTCAACGTGTCATTCCAGCACAAGGTCCAGTCAAGGGTGGGATAGAAATCACTTTGCTTGGTAGCAACTTCAAACCTGGTATGATTGTCAAATTTGGTGAAAATAAGGCGCTCTCAACCCAATGTTGGTCGGATTCGACGTTGGTAACATATCTTCCACCCTCTTCGAAGGCAGGCGAAGTTTTGGTTTCCGTATTCGAAAAGGAAGAACATGATGCAGATCTGCTCGGAGTGATGTCTAGTAGTAAAGCTATTTTCACTTATGTGGATGATACTGACAGGCAGCTGATCGAACTAGCACTACAAATCGTTGGTTTGAAAATGAATGGAAAGTTAGAAGATGCACGTAACATTGCTAAACGGATTGTTGGCCACGATAGTGGTTCAGACAACAGTTCGCCCAACAACGGCGGAAACAATGGATCTCAAAATCAGTACAAGATGGAATCGACCCAGCTTCTGTACTCAGACGAGAGTCTATTGCTGAGAGTTATCAAGTTACTCAACTCAAGCTCCAATTTGTCCATGTGCGATGAAGAAGGTCAAACTATGTTACACCTTGCATGTTTGAAGGGGTACCATCAGCTGGCCTTAACACTTGTGAGAAAAGGTGCGAGAGTAGATGCTAGAGACTCCTTTGGTTTTTCTCCGCTTCATTTCGCATGTTTGAATGGAGACGCTAAGATCATCAGATTACTAGTGCAATGCAAGGCGAACATTCAAATTGAGGCGATGAATGGTGCTACCCCACGGGATTTATTTGTTGCCAACCATGATACCGACGACGAGAGATACGAGGATTACCTGAACGAGGTGTTGGACATCCTGGATGTCGACAGTGGTGAAGAGCACTCAACAAGTATGGGGAGAAAACTATCTGACAGCAGTTTCCAGTCTTCCGTTTTCGATGCAGGTTCGTTAGCGTCTTTGAACGACAATCTGCAGGTGCATATATCGAAGATGACCGAAGACACGCTTTCTGATGATGACGGAGATATCGAGGACTACGAAGAAGATGGCGACGAAGGTCTGTTGGGCGACGACGAAGAGTCTGTTCAAACCGCCGCCGATGTCAACTCCACACCCCGTGAGCCCTCTCCTGTGTCTGTTGTTAGCGATTCCAGACCACTCGATGAGCAACGCCTTGTTGACAGACCCCCCAGTGGCCATGCCAGTACATCCAACGCCATTACCCACAATTCGACAGAAAACTCTATCTGGAACCGCATGTTGACCGCACTGAATGATGAACTACCTAAATACGATGATCTTTTCCCCAGCCCTGGCAAGGAGAAGCACATTGGAGCATTGCGGAGTAGCACGCCGGAATCAGAGGAGCATATTTTGGGCTTGTCGTCCAGTGCGGTTGAGGATTCCCAAGCGTCATCTGAGGACGAAGAGGATGCATTACAAGCACGTCTCAATCGATTCTTCCAGCAGAGACAGAATTTTCAGAACGACAAAATGCTGCTGTTCTTCTGGTTACCTCTCACCATTATACTGCTGTCTTCTTTCTTGATCTACGAATTCGGTCACGACGGAAACACTGTACACCATTGGTCAGAAGCGTTGTCCGAGTATTTGCGTGAAGGACTTGTCAAAGTCATGTTAGGCAATCAACGCGTCAAAGGCGTATTCAAGGGCTCGTTGAATAGCCTTCAATCCGGCATAATAGAGGGTGCCAGCTAGGTATATATATATACGTATATATATATATATATAGTTCACGATTTATGCATTACTATTGTTAACGAATTTTGCAAAGAATCAACTGAACATTGTACCGTTCGAGAGGTGATCTCAAGTTAACGATGAGCTCGTTATGCTTGGTCTTCAAACCACCATCATCAAAATTTCGTAGTATTTTCGTGACACTTGGATTCGGTAAAATTTTTGGAAAATTATAGTAGCTTGTAATATATAATGAGATGAGATGAGATGAGATGAGATGAGCTCTTAGTCTAACAAGTGGAAGCAAGGACTTTAAGGATGGTCCATAATCAGTTTCGAATTGTGGTAGGTTCGTATGAACACAATATTTTATGTTTGTCGGTAGATTTGTCTTCTGAGACACCTTTTTTCACACCAATATTCCACTTCCAAGCGCATGCGTTGAGTGTGAAATGTGCAGACATATCGAATAGATACTTAGTCTCTGGTTCCAATGACGAGCATATTCGAATTTACGACTTGCAGAAGCGTAAAGAACTGGGGAACTTGATGAGCCATCAGGGCTCGATAACGGCTTTGAAATTCTCCAGAGGTGCCCAGTCAAACGAAAACCAAAGTGAGACAGAAGGTAAGCCTGCTAGAAACAGTAGATGGCTATTGTCTTCATCGGAGGACAACAACTTGGCAGTTTGGAGGGTCAAAGACTGGGAAAATTTTGGAACTTTGAAGGGACACACAGCGCGGATTAACGATTTCGACATTCATCCTTCCAGTAAAATCGCCATCAGTGTGAGCGAAGATCATTCGATTAGACTGTGGAACCTCATGACTCTGAAAAAAGCTGGAGTCTTGAAGCTCAAAAAATATAACCAAAACGGACAATCCGTAAGATGGTGTGGCAATGACGGTGAATTTTTCGCAGTGGCTCTGCTTAACAAGGTTCTGATTTACAAGACTTCCACCGCGAAAGTGCACCGCGAGATAGACACTGGGAGATCCTCAATCATGCACATGGAAGTCGAGAAAATTGATGATCAGGAATACATAGTGGTTGGTCAAGGAAACGGTTCAATCGCCTTGTATGCGACCAAAGAACTTTACGCAGAGGTTGAAAATGAGGATGAAGAAGAGAAGGAAGCTTCAGCACCGGACTTCTGTATGCAAGGGCACAGTATTCGCATCAAGGACTTTAAATTCTACTCAAATGAGTTTGGCCATTACTTGGTTTCCATCAGCTCGGACGGAAAAATAGTCGTCTGGGATATGGCAAGCAAAGAACAAGTTGCTGTGTATGATTGTGGTGAAAGGTTGAACTGTCTTGCCTTGTGTGACGAAACAATTGAGAAATACGAAACTGTGAAGAAAAGAGACGCAGATGAGGTCGACCTCGGTGAGCAGAGTGAACCCGAGGAGGATTCTGAGAATTTGAAGCAAATAATGATGGGTACCACCAAGCCCACCAAGAAGAGAAGAAAGAACAAGAAATCAGGTTCAAAGTCCAAAAAAGTCGAAGTGCAACTAGAATAAACAATTATTATCGTTGAAATTAGCATATAGTGTACATTACGCACGAATCCGTATATCACAGGTAGTTGAATCTATAAAAACTGAAGTTAAGAAAAAGATAGGCCAGTGATTAAAGTTGGGACGACTTGCCAGCAGTCTCTTCGTGTCGATTCAGATCTTCGACCCTCTCGCGAGACGAGCGCAGTGTTTGTGATATAGAGCTTCAGCTCTAGCCCACACAGGTGCCTGGTCTCTATTTGGTAACTGTTCTAGAGAAGGAAGGAGGTCATGAGCGAAGAATTCGGAAGACTCTCTTGGCAGAAGAGATGGCAAGTGATCAATAGATACCACTGAGAGTTTAGGACCACTGGAAGTGGGCACTAAAACCGTTGGCTTGCTGAACACGGTCGCAATCGTATACACAGGAACAGGGTTGTGCACGTTGGTAGTATCAGCAGATACATCAACAATGGTTCTTAGCTTTCTTTTCTTGTCATTCAGTAGCTCGGAGTTAATGAAAGGTGCGATGGGCTTCGACAAATAAATGCAGTTGATGAAAATATCAGCCTGAGCAATCTCTTGGAATGGACCTCCACGCGCCGTTTCCTTCATGTCCCACTTGATAATGTTGCGAGAAGGAATGCCAGCCTTTTGTAGCATATCGACGGCACCAGAACCACATCTTCCAAGAGCACCGATAATCAAGACGGTTGGTTTCTTGGCACCCTTTTTGAAGGCGGATTTCAAGTCTGCGGTGACGTCTTTCACAAGTTCATTTTCGTTAGGGAAAGGAGTGACACCTGGCAAATCCTCGGAGTCAGAATGGGTCTGTTTAAAGGCCCAATCTTTCAAACCGAGAGCTGCACCGGCGAAACCGGCGTAAAAGCCAAAAGCCGCCACTCTTCTGCCCTGGTCATTTTCCAAAAATTCAAGATCGTAAAGAGTTCCATGGCCTCTCTTAAAACGACCTAGGACATCTTTCCAGCCTGCCTGGTTCTTATAGCAGTGGGCAAATTGGATATGTTCATGTACCAATGGGAAAGTGTCCTCTTCGGGAAGCTCTTTCAAGCCAATGATGATGCGATCTTTGGGAGCATTTACCCACGAACCCTTAGGCACAATTATAGCACCGGCCTTTTTGTATTCTTCGATATCGAAAGTCGATTGATCACTTTCTTCAACGTAAATTTTGAAGCCTTGAGATAAAAGCTTCTCCACAGTGTTTGGCGTCAAAGCCGCACGGGCTTCTTGATCTTTAGTCTCGGCTCTAAGGTGTAGGATAACAGGGGCCATATTAACGATTTTAGCTGCAATTTCTTGAGAGAAAACGGATGTTGACTTCACAATTGTTGATCTAACAAAGATGAGAATTTCGAAAGCGGCTTACAATTCAAGGAATTCCTTCTCTTTTTATACCAGATGTTGGTTGAATGCTGGTTTAGCGATGATCTTAAAAGGTCTCCAGAGAGTCATCAAGGTAAGGCTTTTTCGAAGTAGTTAAGCTTTCAAAAGAAACTGTAATTCCGCAGGAATTGTCTTCGAGATTTTTCCGGTGGGAAATTCGACAAAGGATGAGGGCATGTGACTGGGCGTCACAAAATTAGTAGAATGACAAAGTTGTTGGGCGGTGAGTCAACGAAGAGCAACGAAGAGCAACGAAGAGCAACGAACACATTTGAACATTATATCGTGGGTGATTCATGGACACGCATGTCTCGATTCATACCTGTCCATGTTTGGAGTGCTTTTCGTATTATTCTGTTGAGATTGCGAAGAGAACGGGTCTCGTAGAAGTCAGAGATTATTCCGATTGTAGCTATGAGATCTTTGTAATTCGACAATGGAGACCAGAACAACTTTTTAAAATGAAAGGTTTTTTGAGAAACGTTGGAGAAAGATCGTTTGACATGTTTGCATTGTGTGTCTTTATCCTTATAACCGGGAAATTCATGGTCTATGTTTCGGTGAAAAAAAGCTTCTGTAGGTGAACAACACGGCGGTAGATCAAAGCCTAGTTGCTTTTTAGCAGGTGCTGGGGGTAGATGATTTGCAATGGGACAATTGGATGAAACTGACTTAACTTCGATATGATGAATAAATTCAAACGATCGTGGGAAGCCGTTCAATCTGGCCTCAGCAGCAAGTAGCCACGGTTAAGATGTCTCAAACCTAAGCTCCACAGCCGTACCAGAACTGTCCGATAGGCTCACATGACGAAAGTACGATTATCCGTTTTCATTTGAACGATTTGCGGCCGAACAACTCGTAAATAGCTCAGAGAAAAGAGGCAATCGCCTTGTACACCGTTTCCAAGCACATGGAGAGGCTCAGGAAGCTGATATAACTCTTGTGGTTGCCTCGGCGGCTAATTAGTTGTTTGATTTCAAGGTTGTTGATATACAGAAGAGATGCGAAACGTATCTTGTGAGTAGTTCAAATTAAATTTGTACTCGAGTACAATCTATAATCATCTTGTACGTGTCTTTTGAGTCACGTGGGTTTTCAATATTCTGATATCATTTTATACGCATATAGCTTTGTGATGTTCATAATGCCTATAACGCTTACAACGTAACCTAGCCTAGCTCATCGTTAGAAGTTAAACAGTCCCCCCGCATCTTTCTCCCTATTCTTCTTATCCTCTCCTCGTGTATCATCTGTTGCTTCTACCTACATCAGCAATGTCTCGCGGTGAAACACCATCGCAGCATAATTCTACGCTCGCGGTCTCACCTGTGGTTGGAAACCGAAATCTTCAAATGCAGCATCAATCTCAACAAAGAAACGACCCAACCTTGCATAATCAGGGAACTTTAGGAAATCAAGGAAGTTCAGCCACCCAGACGCTTCCAGGAAATCAGGGAAGTCGAAATTTGAGTCATAGCCATAGAACTCAGACACCTCATCATTCGGTCACTTACAGTCCATTGGTTCAAAAAATACAAAATAATGCATCACTAGCATCCCTAGCCACACCAGCACCAGCTCAAAATCATGGCGGTTCAACAGCGGGTCTGTTGGCGTCGATGACGAAAAGCGGGCTTTTCGGACCGGCAATGCCATCCACGTTGAGGAAAGTAAGTGCAACATTAGATCCCGGCAGGACCCGGGGCGTTGGTCAAGAAGATAAAATGAACATGGATGATTTGCTGGATTCTAACCAAATTGTCGATTCCATCGATGTGACACAGCTACCTGCAGCGGAAAAACTGCGGCTATGGCGTCACGATTCACTCATGCAACACCAGTATCGCACCGCTGAGTACATCGGTGACAAAGTATACGCTATGACTGGAGACCCGAATGACGCCTTTTGGCTGGCCCAAGTATATTATAACAGCGGATCGTACGTTCGGGCCGTGGAATTGCTAACCCGGAACAACCTTGATGCCTCCAGTGTCATGTGTAGGTATCTCACAGCGCTGTGTCTTGTGCAATTGAAAAAACATGAGGAGGCCCTGGATATCGTGGGAGAGACCAATCCATTCCAGGACCCGCTAAGCAATCGTGTGAAGAATCAGGACGGAGGCATCAAGTTGGAATCTTCAATGTGTTTTTTGCGCGGCAAGATATTTGCGGCTCTCAACAACTTTGAAAGAGCCAAAGAGTGTCTCAAGGAAGCTCTCCAAGTTGATGTCAAAAATTTTGAAGCTTTTGATGAACTCATTTCCAAAAACTTGTTAACCCCAAATGAAGAATGGATGTTTGTGGCCTCATTAGATTTTACAGAGCTCGGGGACAACGACGAGTTTATCAAATCACTGTATATCTCTCGGCTTTCGAAACATCTCAACCTGGATCAAGTCCGCAAAGCCCAAGACTTTTTAATCGACGAGTACAAACTCGAAAACAACACTGACATAATCCACAGTCACGTCGATATGTTATTCACCCAATGCAAATTCTCTAAATGCCTAAAGCTTTGTGAGGAAGCTCTTGAGCACGACGAATATTCATTTACCATCCTGCCCACCTACATCTCGTGTCTATACGAACTGGGAGGAAAGAATAAACTATTTTTGATATCTCACAAACTGGCAGAGAATTTCCCCAAGCATCCCATAACCTGGTTCGGAGTCGGCGCATATTATATGTGTACCAATAAAATCTCTGAAGCCAGAAAATATTTCTCAAAGGCTTCGATTTTAGATCCTACTTTCAGTCAAGCCTGGATCGGCTTCGCACATACCTACGCTGTAGAGGGAGAGCACGAGCAGGCCATCTCTGCGTACTCCACTGCATCTAGGTTTTTCCCTGGCACACATCTACCGAACCTATTCTTGGGAATGCAGTATCTACTCATGGGTACACTCCAGCTTGCGGAAGAGTACTTTATTTTGGCCTATGACGTTTGCCCCTATGATCCTCTTCTTTTGAATGAAATGGGTGTTCTGTACTTCAAGAAAAACGATTTCGTGAAGGCCAAGAAGTATCTGAAAAAAGCATGGGAAGCTATTAAGGCACTAGACTCTGAATCAAAATCGTGGGTCTCGATTCATACCAACTTGGCTCATTCATACCGCAAACTAGGCGAAAATGAAAGGGCGGTGAAATGCTTTAAACTCGTCTTGGAAACCGCAGGTAAAGATACTGATACTCTATGCGCTTTAGGATATGTCTACCTTCGCATGAATCGAATAGGAAAAGCCATTGATTCGTTGCATGGTTCCCTCGCACTGTGTCCGTCAAATCAAACTGCACAAGAACTTTTGAAACAAGCGTTGGAAGTGAATTTGTTGACTGCATTGGATGATAACCATCCGCTTATGGTCAGTTCTCAAATTCGACAACAAAGCTCTAGTCTTGAGAATCGGAAGCGGACTGCTAATAAACTAGACGCCCATGCCATGGCTAAACGCTTGAAACATGGACAAAACTCATCCGATGACGAGCTTTACGATGGTGACTCGATGGAGCTCGAGTATACTTCAATGCAATAACGTAAATAATTAATCTCCATAGACGTTTGGCATAATACTTTTTGACATTGCAAATGACCTTCTCTCTAGCCTGACAATCAATCATTCAGATCTTTCTTTTTCTTATTTTTAGACGAAAGCCTTTTGGGCGCTCGCTTCTCTTCGGCAGGCGAGTGATGATCTTTAGAACTTGACGCTTTAAATTTTGTTTTCTTCCCAGTTTCGTTCGATGAAGCTTGAGGAGTTTTTGAATCACCATGATTCCGTGCTCGATGGCGAGAAGATTTATCCACATGCTCAGGGGACTCCGACTTGACTGATTTCTTGGATTGTTTGACTTTTACCTTAGTAGATACGCTTTCGGACTCTGTTTTAGCCCCAACTTCTCCGTCAACATGCCGATGATTAATTTCAAGCTTCGATGCCGTTTTGGGCCCTTTTGTAGGGCCCTTTTTGCCTTTTGTCTTGGTGCCCTTCTTTACATCAGGTTTGGGCCGTGGTTCGGGTGCTAATTCTTCCATTGAGAAGTTGAAAAGAAATGACTCATCTCTTGCGATCGACTCATAAGTCAGACGGTCTTGATCCATTCTAGATGGTGTATGCTTGCTCTTCTTTTTGTTCGTGATTTGCTTCTTCTTCTTGTTAGCGCCTTTCATCTCAGTGTCAAATTCCTGAACTGAAGAAGCTTCTACATGCAGTTCGAAGCGTTCATCTTTGACTATAAGGCTGATAAGGTCCTCCAACGAGTCATCTATATCTTCGTAGACTGCTGATTTACTCTGTTTCCCCTTTGATTTTGGCCTCTTCTTGCGACGTTGGTTCTTGGTGCTTATTGATTCATTACCGTTCACCGAAAACAAGCCATCCTCAGCCAACCATTTGCGCTGCACCTTATCTAATTCGTTGATGCTAATTTGCAGTTCATCCTCCAGTAGGAAATCAATCAGGAGCCAGTCATCCATCTCTGGTTCGGGGGTCTGAACTGACTTTCATGTGCAAGAAATGCTGATGGGTCAATCTTAGCAGTATTAATTGGGTATTGCATCTTATCGACACGAAGACTGAGAGTGCATAATTTCCACCCTAGAATCGGAATCTTGACACTGGTATATACATCGGATAGCATTGAGAATCACGACTAAGTTTCCTGTTACAACAAGCTTACTTTAAGAGGTTTTTGTTCGCAAAGAACTTCTATATATGTATGAGTCTTGTCAATCTGTGTGTCCGCATGGATTAGCTGCCGATCTTCTCACGAATAGCAGCATTAACTTGGTCGTAGACCTGTTCAACACTGTGGTCACAACTGACACTGACCACTTTGTCCTGTTGTTCGAAATGCTTCACTACGGGCATACTTGTGTCGATAAACGTGGCAAATCTTTTCTTGATGGACTCGACATTGTCGTCGGTTCTACCACTGGTTTTCCCACGCTCTAGCAAACGCTGAAGCATAACCTTTTCCGGACAATCGAAGAAAAGCGTAAACTTACTGGGCACGATCTGTTCTTCGAAAGTAATTGCTTGGTCCATTTTTCTGGGAAATCCGTCCACGAGAAACTTTTTGTTGCCCTTATCAAAGTTTTCTTGGATTGCCTGCTTGAGAAGTGCAACAGTGACTTCTTGGGGCACAATCAAGCCCTCCTTGATGTAATGTTTGATCAACTCACCGTACTTGGAGCCCTCACGTTTTTGTTCTGCACGTAACAGATCGCCGGCCGATAGATGCACAAAGTGATGGTCACGTACCAAATTGGCACACTGGGTGCCCTTTCCAGCACCTGGACCACCCAACACGAAAATCACAGAGACATCTTTTTCCGAAAAGGCAGGTGAACCGGTCTTACTTTCATTCTCACTGTCTAACTTTTCAGTGACTTTGTCCTTTTCAACAAACTCAACGGGCCCATTTTTTTGGTACGAGATTGAAACAAGAGTAGAACCCACGGCTAAGGCTCCTAAAAGTGCCAGAATCTTGCCTCGGTTGCCGCTTGGTTTCGGAGCCGCTTCTGAACCAGTTTTCGAGGAATAAAACCGTCCAGCAGGACGCAATCCTAGAGAAGCAAACCTCTGCTTTGGAATATTGCCCACTGTACGTCTCGAGACAGCTCTGATCATCAAGCAAAGATGATAATTGACGACTCCCGGGAGTGCTTTAGATACAGTAAACTCGAAGAGATCGTAAGATCATAGATATTTAAAATATGTCAGGTACTCGAGTACAGCGTGAATGAAATTCCGTCCCTGAGGGAAACCCGACGACACACTACCGTTTTATACTCGAAGCAATGGAACAACCATTGTCAAGGACTTAATAACATCCCGGGTTCACTTTTTACTATCTACCCGCTTTCTTACCCCTACAAGATTTTCCTCAACGTAAATTAGTGCATTTTAAGTCTTCCTGGATGACAGGTCAGCGACAATCAACAGAACAGCTTTGTCGATAAGATTGTGGGTTCCTCGACAAAAATAGAAAGTATTCTTTTGCATAGTTATTTCGTTTCGGCGCTTCTTTATCACTGGTGAACATTGATCATAGCTGCTATAAATGAAATTAAGCCTTTGACATTGTATATTTTCGTGTGCACCAGGTTCAAATGAGTGTCTTGAGGCCTTTTGAAAGGAAGACCCATCGGCAATAACAGCAGTCCAGTTTTGAAGCAATTGCGCTCAACCGGCTGGTGCTCTCACGCTGAAAAAAGGAAATGACAGTTCTTTCAAACAAACAACTGTAATCCTCAACTGTGGTCGGCTAAAAATTTGCCCTCCAGTCTTGTACATTGAGATTCACGATACGGAGTTACACGAGACTCAAATTGGTTCCTTTAGTAAACAGAGTGGAGTAACACGGGAGTTTTTATGGCACAGGAATTATCATTCGCGTAACATAACCTAATCTCACATTGAATAGTCCGACATCACCCAGTAACTTTCTTATTTCAAGTTGCCGACAAGCAGCGGAGATTTGCACCTAAAACGCCTGGGTTAACTAAAATCCGCCAGCCTGGCATCATTGTAGCGCAAATATTGCCCGTTGATTCCTTCAGGTACGCCTTTCAGCGCAAGATTAGCATAAACGGATGCAGGAATACTGACGTTCAAAAGCTCGCCCTTTTCGTGCAGATCTGTGAATCTTTTCAGCGACTCCGGCGTCATGCTTGCGGGTCCAAATGTGTTACGAATATCACTTTGCATTTGAGTGTCTACAACACCGGGAGCCACCGCGACTGCCCTGACGTTTGATTCTTCTGACGCTAGCGACATAGCAAAATGATTGAGAGCAGCCTTGGATGCGCCGTAGGCACCCCATGCATACTGTTAGTGTGCGTTAGTACAAGGTTTGGTGAAAGTGGAAATTTTGGAAAGCGTTCACATACGTAGGGCTTGACGCTAGCACCGGAACTGACAAAGATTACGTCTCCATGCTTGGAGCTTCTGAGTCGTGGTAACAACTGCGTTACAAGCGATACCACACTAAAAAAGTTAACATCGAAAAGCTGTTTCCATTGGGCGACGTCCGCTTCCTTCACGCTCTGCACAGGCGACAAGACACCGGCATTGGCTATCACGACATCTACAGCAGGCACCTTAGATTCAAGAAACTGGCTTACTGCTTTCTCCTCTGTGACGTCAGCAGACAGGTATTCAAATCTTGGACCAAATTCCATTTGCATTTCCCTTAACTCGTCCAAAGATCGGGCGATGCCGATCACTTTGACATCTGCGTCACCACTGAGTAATTTTTCAACAATAGCTCTTCCAATGCCCTTTGAAGCTCCCGTTACAAGTACTGTTTTGGACATGGTCCTTAAACTGTCCGAGGTTTCTTGTTAGACGACGACAGTTCAATGATTCGAGTAGCGAGAGAGCAGAAGACGTAGTAGCTTACAATGGATGATTAGATTCGCGAGTCCTAACTAGGCACGAGTACAATCGAGAAATATGGTCAAAACTTATGCGAAACTGGTATAGACCTCTCATTGAGCTCCAAGAAATCGGTAGCCAGGAACTATGTAGAGATAATCTGATTGTGGTGCTTCTCTCGCCATCCTCGACAGATGTTCTTTTCGAATCGTTGACTATGAGGTTTATTTGAGTGAAACGAATATGACAGAGACATACCGGTTCAACTCAAAGACATGAAGCTTGTATATCTTTGAGACAAATGTCAGGTGGGAGCGTAACTCAGTGTCTCTATCGCGGAAAATAACCCTCAGCATGCTAGACACTGGTGAAACGAAGGTAAAGGTTTCTCCACGTGATATGGAGTCAGCGACGCATAAACAAATCACCTTCGAAAGGACTTTTGAGGGAAACAGGTCGTGTAATTTCATGCGAGGAATTCATAAGTTGCATGGACGTCACTCAAACCTCTCGCTTTCCCTTCAGGCTTGCAACTACGTTTTTCAGTAATTAACGCATTGATTAAAAACTTGAATACACATTATACATCACCACGAAACAGGGCAAACATGCGTCAAACAGACCGAAGAACACTCTGAATTATGAGAACCGTCAAAAGACGGTCAAATTCGACCACCACTGCCTCCGAATATCTGATATCTTAGAGTTTATATTCGACCCATGTTATGTTATTTTGTACGTTGTGGTGAGTACTGTAAATTATCACTTGATATACAAAGTGTAATCGGGTACCACATTATCAGCTAACAAACACTCTTTAAAACCATCCATCAAACAAGTCACAGCGGCGCTTACTAGAGCGTTAGCAATGGATAAAGCCAACCCCGAGTGGGCGAAGGACATTCCGTGCAAAAACATTACAATCTACGGGTTTTGCAAGTACGAAAATGACGGGTGCATCTTTAATCACGGCAATGAATCCAGCAGCAGTGTAAGCAGTCGACCGGTGCTGAATAGCAGTTTGAGCAGTAAGTTCAATGCCAAGACGGCCCCGTCCTTTACACCTTCCAAGGCTCTGAATGTTAAAAATACCTCTTCAACTGCCATCAAAGCTGAAAAAGTGGCCAAGGCGCTGCAGTCCGTGGCAGACCAACAACCGTCGGTTTCGTCGCCGCTGGCCAGCCATTCTGCTCCCTTTTCATCATCGTTCAATCCATATGCGGCCAATTTCACACCAGTGGGATCTGCCGGCGCAGCTGAGACATCCTCATCACCACCGTCAGCGCCGTCAGCACCGTCAGCTGGACACACAGGCTTCAACCCTTACTCCGTGTCTGGCGGACTTCTGGCGTCCGCTGACGAACTCAATCCCTTACACCCTTCTTCAGGTTTCGCGACAGGTTCCCCTGGGCCCTTTACACAGGAATCCAGCAACAGACACGCGAATTTCCCCACCATATATCCCCCCAGTCATTCCATTCTGCAATATCATCTGTATGCTCCAGACCCAGCATTGCATCTCAAACTGCCGCTTAAAGCAAATGAGAGATCGCCTGAAATGCTTTTTATCCCAAACGACATACGTGAAGAACTATTAAAGAAAAATCAAGCAGCCCTTCAAGTCTTCCCCTCTGGTGGAAACTTGCCTGAGATTGTTGGCGACTATTTTGGCCTGGTGCCTTTAGAATTTCATAATAGGGTAACCAACAAGGACAGATATCAAGGGCATCAAAACTCTCTTTATAAAGTGTTTTCGAATTTTGACGGCAAGATTTACATCATGCGTCGAATCCATGACGTTAAAATCACCGAAACTGCACAAATCTCACAGCCTTTCCAAAGATGGAAGAAACTTGTCAACCCGGGCGTGGTAGAGGTTCGCGATGTTTTCATAACGCGCGCCTTCAACGATGCATCATTGTGCGTTGTGCATGACTATTTCCCACAATCTAACTCACTTTACGAGACTCATTTCGTTAGTTATAACCCGGTACCAATATCTCTGGATTTGCTGTGGTCATACTTGGTGCAGCTTTGCAGTGCCTTGCAGGCTGCGCACTCGTCAAATCTCGCCTTTAACAACATCTGCCTTGACAAAGTAATAGTCACAGGCCATCCAGGGCGTATCAAAATTGGGGACTCTTGTTTGCACGAGGTCTTACATTTTCAGGAAGATATCGACGTCACACAGCAACAACAAAAAGATTTCGTAGACATGGGATTGTTGCTGCGAGATCTGAGCGCCAAAATAATTGGATCCGGTCAGGATGTGAACGATGTCGAAACCCTAGCTGTCGATGATCAATTCCGCTTGGTGTTGCAATACCTGCTGGACTCAAGTAACGCGGAGCCCAAGTCGCTAGAAAAGCTGCTTCCGATGTTTGCAAGCAAAATTCTACCGGTGACAAGTGCTCTTCAAAGTTACGTGGAATACACAGAGTCCATACTGGCACGCGAACTAGAAAACGCACGCCTCTTCAGACTAATGTGTAAGCTGAGTTTTATCTTTGGCCGCACAGAATCTCGCATCGATATCAACTGGTCAGAGGCCGGAGAGAGATTTCCTATAGTTCTTTTTTACGACTACGTTTTCCATCAAACGAACGAGTCAGGGAAACCGGTGATGGATCTCACCCATGTTCTTCGATGTCTCAACAGGCTTGATGCTGGAACCAGCGAGAAGATCATGCTTGTGACCCCAGACGAGATGAATTGCATTATAATCAGCTATAAGGAGCTCAAAGATCTAATAGACTCCACGTTTCGAGCAATGTCACAATGAGTACCATCTTGGAATGAGAAGGCTAGATGGGTATGACCGTGGCACGTGACACGGGCAGATTACATTTGTATTTAGGTTATGCCGTTCAACAAAAATAGACGAACTTCCTAGATCAAAAACGAAGATAAACCTTTCAGACTAGTGTCTTTCTACCGACCAAGTGGACGGGCTGAGATTTCACTTTCGGATCAATCGTGCGGTACAAAATTTGCCGTAGTGTCATTCGATGGTTTTGCTAAAGCGGAGATGCCCTAGGACTCCAGGTGCACGCTAATTGAACCCAGTCATTGCAGACAATAAGTTTCGCCTAAGTAAGTGTTAGCACAACGGATCAATCCTTAGTCTCGAGTATAGTCGTAGTTTCCCCACACTAAAAAGGTGCAGTGGTTCTTTTCATGTCATTTCAAACAGTTTCGCCTCTTAGTATAGCTCGTACAGCGTGTGGGACGGCTTCATTTGCAAAGACATCATCAAATACAGACAAAGACGGGATAGTAGTGCAAACCAGAAATACGTAAGATCTAAGTTTCGCTGGTTGCGAATGGGCCTAAAAATTAAAATGATGAGCAAGTGAAGGGCAATGACGCACTTTTTTTGTCGACAGTCTAAATCTGGAGAAACATTGTTCTTGTGCATCTCTCAATTCTCGTGTGGGTCGAACATTTCCCGCTCATTAACACGGTACATCACCTTACTGATGGAATGTGGAAACGTCCCAGACTGGACCCTTAAAATCTGTGCAGCGGGTGCCAGTGTCTAGGTATGCCGCGTGGACGGAAAAAACAGTGCGCCAAAAGCAACGATAAAGCCTGTTATTTGGCCTCACACAAAGAGCCGCATATTCCCCACTCGAATTTAACAGAACCGTCAGCCCATTCCTGGTGGTCTGTTTTCGCTACACCCCGGAAAAACCATCCCCGCTTCAATTTTTTGGTTTAGGCTGTGCTAGGAAGATCATCAGCTTCGAGCCTGCGCCTCATATTACGTAAACAGCAACCTCCTTGCGGGTCTTTCTGAGGATTACGTTTCAGGGTCCTCGAAGAGTTTTTCCGAGGTGCCTCGAGGAAGAAGAAAAAAGAAACAAAAAAGAGGAGATTATTCCGGGAGACCGGGGTTCACCACAGGCACAAGGCGAAACCCTAGGAGATCAGCCGCAGGAGAAAGTTTCGAGCGCCAAAACATAGTTTCGCTGGTTTCGCTGGTTTCGCTGGTTTAACTAGTTTCGCCTCCCCATGAAAATGTATAAAAGGAGGGTCTTACAAGTCTAAAGATCGAACTTGAGTTTCTTATCTTTTCCTCTCATTCCCTTCAAACAACAAATCAACATCAAGAATTATCCATATATCTCTACTGCTCGAAGCCATATTAAAGTAATGTCTTCAAGTACCACGCCTCCAAACAATATGGCAGGTAGCGCGGCGAATTTGACCGCGCCCAGCAACACTGCGGTGTTCGACTCACAGTCTATGACACCTTCTAATAAAATGACCGATGACGGTTTCGATTTGAAAGCAAATCCTGAAAAAACCGTCGAAATCCCACAAAAACCGCTTTCGGATTACGTCCTCGTCATGAGTCTGTGTCTGATGGTTGCATTCGGTGGATTTGTATTCGGCTGGGATACCGGTACCATCTCCGGTTTTGTTAACATGACAGATTTCAAGCGCCGTTTCGGTGAGTTTGATGCTTCAAAGGGTGAATATGTTTTGTCCAGTGTTAGAACCGGACTTATCGTTGGTATTTTCAACATCGGCTGCGCCGTTGGTGGTCTAACCCTAGGTCGTCTTGGTGACATTCAAGGCCGTCGCTTGGGATTGATGAGTGTCATTGCCGTCTATGTCGTTGGAATTGTCATTCAAATTGCCTCCACCGACAAATGGTACCAGTACTTTATCGGTAGGATTGTCTCGGGTTTGGGAGTTGGCGGAATCGCCGTCTTGTCACCAACACTGATTTCGGAAACTGCACCAAAACACTTGAGAGGAACGTGTGTTTCTTTCTACCAATTAATGATTACCTTGGGTATTTTCATGGGCTACTGTACTAATTACGGAACTAAGACCTACTCCGACTCCGTGCAATGGAGAGTTCCTCTAGGTCTATGCTTCATGTGGGCTATTTTCATGGTTGCCGGTATGATTTTTGTTCCAGAATCTCCACGTTTTTTGATTGAAAAGGGAAGATTGGAAGAAGCTAAACGGTCGCTAGCCAAGTCTAACAAATTGAGCGCCGAAGACGAAGGAATCATTGCCGAAGTGGATCTAATCAATGCTAGCGTTGAAGCCGAGAAATTGGCCGGCAACGCCAGATGGAGCGAGCTTTTCTCCCCCAAGGGCAAAATCGTCCAGCGTGTCATTATGGGTGCTGTCATTCAATCTTTGCAGCAACTTACCGGTAACAACTACTTTTTCTACTACGGAACTACCATTTTCCAAGCTGTCGGACTAGAAGACTCTTTCCAAACTTCTATTATCTTGGGTGTAGTGAACTTCATGTCCACTTTTGTCGGTTTGTACACGGTTGAGAAGTACGGTCGTCGTAGATGCCTGTTGGTGGGATCAGCCGCCATGGCCGTGTGCTTTGTGATTTTTGCATCCGTGGGTGTCACCAGACTGTGGCCAGACGGAAGAGGTGCACCATCGTCTAAATCCGCTGGTAACGCTATGATCTTTTTCACCTGTTTGTTCATCTTTTTCTTTGCCACAACCTGGGCCCCCATTGCGTATGTCATTGTGGCGGAAACTTACCCACTTCGTGTGAAGAACCGGGCCATGGCCATTGCTGTGGGCTCTAACTGGGTGTGGGGGTTCATCATCGGGTTCTGCACTCCCTTCATCACCTCGGCGATCAACTTCTACTACGGCTACGTTTTCATGGGCTGTTTGGTTTTCTCGTTTTTCTACGTGTTCTTTTTCGTGTGCGAGACCAAGGGTTTGACGCTTGAAGAAGTGAACGAGATGTACCAAGAGGGTGTGCTACCGTGGAAGTCTGAGCAATGGGTTCCACCTTTGAGGAGGGGCGAGTTTGTCAGCACCACCGAATCCATGCAGTCAAATGTATGATGGTAAGAGCCATTTGGCGGTTCACGAAGAAGATGATACGTATATTATGTAGTGCATGTAGTTTAGGACAATAAAATTATAACAAGTCTACCAAAACTCTCGATGGGCTCATAATTGGTAAAAGGATGTTCAGAATTGTTAGTAGTTAGAGCACTGAGGCCACGTTGAGTTTGCTCCCATGGACAATGGTTATTCAATTTCCTACCACACAGACAAAACATTAAAAAAAATTAAAAAAATAGAGCAGAGCGGGGCGTTCGAACGGCAGCAAAGGAAGATCACGTGATAATTTTAAATTTATAGGTACGTGTGCAATGAGTAAAATTTAGGCGTGAATAAAGTCTGGGGATGAATCACGAATCCGGGCGCGAATCCGGTTTAAATATTCAGCCAGCATTCAAAAGTTAACTTGTTTATCTGGAACTGTAAAAATTCAAGCATCCCATGGTTGTTTTCTTCTCCCAATGTCTTTACGCCGCAGTTTGGGTTGTTTTGAGCAGCAGCACACCAGACACCATCATGTAAAACCTCAGAAGAGGAAAGAAAAGAGAATATAATGAATTGAACGGTAGTCTCGGAAAGAAACGATGTGTTCTAACCTTGAAAAACACTTGGTTGTTGCTCACAGAGAGATCGGCTTGACGCGGCTTTGGATGAAAGCTTCAGAAACGAAATTATGGAGCTGACCGAGCAGTATGCAACGAGTTAATGCAAACACTTTTAGATTAGTTTTAAGATATTTCCAGCGTCGAAGATGGAAATAACTCCGAGGTACACATTTCTGTACAAAAAAGATTAAAGTTCACATCATTGAGACTTTCTGCACTTTGCTCACTGAAATACTAAAGGGAGCAAAAAGATTGAAGTTCACATCATCGAGACTTTCTGCACTTTGCTCACTGAAATACTAAAGGAAGCCATCGATTAGCGTAGCCTGGTACATCTACTAAGTACGCTGAAGAGATTTGAGCATTATCGTCGGATAGCTTTCGCGGCAAAGGAATTTGGAGGCTCGAGGCTTCCATCGCAGTATACAGTGACGGATTCGCTATGAAGCAGTAACCGTGACACGACAGGACTCGCAGGATTCGTCCCCAGCACTGGGCTTGGGCAAACAACGAGATACTTTTACGTAATAACCGACATGTGAACTCCCCTAGAAAAAAAATAACCAACTCGTCTGCCCAGGCACATGATTACATGATCTACAGCCTAACCCACGCATCAATTTTGTTACTAATGGTCAATCAACAACACCAAGTCCGAGCACATAGACCGCATACAGAGTTACGAGAGTGCGAAACTTGCTGCACAAATTTTCTCAAAACGCTACCACAGTTGCGGTTAGCAACCCCAAAGAAAAACCGCCGTCCTGATCTCTTCACCTGATCTCGCCTCACCGTCCTAGTTTTTCATCTTCTGTTCGTGTTGCTTTCCGCCCTTTCTCCGCCCTTTTTCCGCCCGCTGTGCAAGTCTTTCCACAATTTTTCGCCACACATCCAACCCACAGTCCTCTGTTACCTCTTGTTTACGGTACTGAGCACTTTCTCGTGCTCAACCGATGTTCCCTTCGATAGCTTCCATAGTTGTTTCCTCCCTCCATCCTTCTCTCTCTGAAGCAACGAGCATAAACTCAACCGTCTTTCCATTCCAGATACACGCATAGGCACACTACACGCAAGGAGATGCACCTACCGTACGGTTGGTAACGGCCACTTGTGTTTACTTCTATTTCTGTCCGCCGCTCGCCTTTGTGGTATTACCCTTTTGGGCGAATCAGAGCGGCTATCTCGAGCATACGGGCTTGGCTAAATACTGTTCGATCCTTCTGTGCAAGGTCCCTAGGCAACTGCTCAAACCGTAAGCACTCCGTCGAAATTGGCCACCACCACCGCCATTTTCTCCCTGCACGGCCTTCTGAGTAAATGCAGGAAAACCGACCGCAAGAAAAAAGAAATTCATGCGTCAAGAGCGTGCAAAAAAAACTTCACCACGTCACGCCGTTCGAACTTTGTGCGGTATATCCGTAGAAACATGTGTCCCGGAAAAAACTGCCTTGCATAGAGAAACCGATGCACCGAACGTCTAGAACCTGTGCATCAACGGTTCGTCGGCTCGAACAATGGGAAAAAGCCCGCTTACTCATCCATGCGACATGTTTCTTCTGCATGTCGCATGGCTTACTATTTTCGATGCATATGCATAATGCACGGACGTTTGGCTCGAGACCACGTAAGGAAAGCGGGAAGGACGGATGGAAGGAAGAAAGGCAGAACAGACAGGCACGCGTAGGTGCCTTCGAACGGTACTTTTAAATGCTCATGGTGGATCGGACTGTAATCATTACATGTTCGACACACACAGCACGCACCGAAGGAAACGGAAAGACTGCAGGCCAGCTGTTTATTTCGGGCGGGCTACCAGTCAACAGGAGCTTGCCATTCGATGTACAACGTAAGCTGCAAGTAGGATCGGGTTCGGATGCTCCAAATCGACGTTTACAAAGAACTGAGCGGGTAAAAAGAAAGGAAAAGTCTCGGACGCTACGCAAAGCTGATGTTGAAGCGTATTAAGATTTTGTGGACTGCGAAGGGCGGTGCCGGGCGGTGTATACGTGTATAGGTGTATATCTATATAAGTCGAACACCGAGAATGCCAGGGTTTCTTTGGTTTTTAGGATTCGTGTGGTTTCGTTTCCGCCTGAACTTGTAAAACCTAATCGAACGAAGGACCGTACACTTTGCAATGATCTGGCATCCTCTACTGCTTGCACTCGGCTTCGTGCTGACTGCAGTGGGCGCCAAAGACCTGGGCAACGTGTTCACCTCATTTTCGCTCGAGGGACCCGCAGATTACAATAACTCCCCCGACAAAGTGTGGTATGCCTACATGGACTTTGCGTTGACTCCCGCGATGAGCGTGCAACAGGGCGACACTTTCAGCCTGGATGCCCCCAACGTTGTCAAATTCTACCCAAGCCGCACAATTGGCGATAACGGTTACGTGCCGATCATTGACGGCTCCGGAGCCACCATCGCCAACTGTTTGATCCAAAACGGGTTCCACACAGCATCCAAATCGTCTCTGCAGTGTACCGTGGGCCAAACCAATCTTTACAAAGCCTCAGGATCCGTTAAATTAGGGTTTGTGTTCAACTACGGTGGCTCTGGCGATGCAGCGGCCATTAGCGGCGCCAACACTTTCAAGAAACAGGGCGCCAATACCGTGACCTGGAACGGGCTCCAAGCCACCGCCAACTTTGGTCTACCGCCAGGATTGGTGTCTGTATCGTCACGTGCGTACCGTGAATACGATTCCCTTTTCCCAGCACCCGCCAATCTTCAACAAATGTTCTACCTGGGTTCTACATGCACTCAAACTTTCAGCGATTCCATAACAATCCAATTGAGTGGACAACCTGGTGATAATGGGCAGCTGGCTTCTTGCGATAGCGTCAATGTTTTCTTGTCGTCCTCGTTCAGTGACTTCAATATGCCACTAGAGGCTAAAAGCATCTCTGGAAGCGACTTAAAGATCCAGTGCGATGGCAGCACTATTCAAGTGACAGTATCGAATATTCCTGCTAACTACTACGTTTATGTGACTGCCATGCAGCTGATGGACCGTTCGATTTCGGACGTCTCGTACTCAAACTTATATCGAGAAACCAAATACTGTGGTTCTCGTCCTCAAGCCTACGCTATCAACAGAGGTTACAGTTTTGTCAAAGGTTCAGCCGAAGGATATGGAAATCCACAGACTCTTCAATGGCATACAACTACCGAGGGCTGGTCGGGATCGTACACCACAAGCCGCACCGCCACTTCCGCAGTTACTGGGACCGACGGTGTATTGACGCCAGAGCCAGTCCTAGTCATTGAAACTCCCACTGTTGCTACCAGAACCACTACTTACAGTCCATGGTCTGGTTCCGTTACTTCTACCTACTCAACCTCACTTACTACGTGGACAGGTTCAAATGGTATTGGAACCACCGAAACCATCTACTATGTAGAGACACCTACAGTGGGCGTCAAAAAAACCACCACCACCGGATATTCTGGCTCGGTCACAAGCACTTATTCTACCAACACAAGAACATTCACTGGCTCTGATGGCATTCCAACCACTGAAACTCTTTACTACGTCGAAACACCAGTTGTTGGAATCCAGTCTACTACAACAACTGGATGGACTGGTAAAGTCACCTCGACTTATTCTACAGGATTAACCACCTTTACTGGATCTGATGGTATCGCAACTACCGAGACGATCTACTACGTCGAAACACCAGTTGTTGGAATCCAATCCACGACCACCAAAGGATGGACTGGCAAAGTCACTTCGACTTATTCTACAGGATTAACCACCTTTACTGGATCTGATGGTATCGCAACTACCGAGACGATCTACTACGTCGAAACACCAGTTGTTGGAATCCAATCCACGACCACCAAAGGATGGACTGGCAAAGTCACTTCGACTTATTCTACAGGATTAACCACCTTTACTGGATCTGATGGTATCGCAACTACCGAGACGATCTACTACGTCGAAACACCAGTTGTTGGAATCCAATCCACGACCACCAAAGGATGGACTGGCAAAGTCACTTCGACTTATTCTACAGGATTAACCACCTTTACTGGATCTGATGGTATCGCAACTACCGAGACGATCTACTACGTCGAAACACCAGTTGTTGGAATCCAATCCACGACCACCAAAGGATGGACTGGCAAAGTCACTTCGACTTATTCTACAGGATTAACCACCTTTACTGGATCTGATGGTATCGCAACTACCGAGACGATCTACTACGTCGAAACACCAGTTGTTGGAATCCAATCCACGACCACCAAAGGATGGACTGGCAAAGTCACTTCGACTTATTCTACAGGATTAACCACCTTTACTGGATCTGATGGTATTGCCACTACTGAGACTATCTACTACGTCGAAACACCAGTTGTTGGAATCCAGTCTACTACAACAACTGGATGGACTGGTAAAGTCACCTCGACTTATTCTACAGTATTAACCACTTTCACTGGATCTGATGGTATNTATTAACCACTTTCACTGGATCTGATGGTATCGCAACTACCGAGACGATCTACTACGTCGAAACACCTGTTGTTGGAATCCAATCCACGACCACCAAAGGATGGACTGGTAAAGTCACCTCGACTTATTCTACAGTATTAACCACCTTCACTGGATCTGATGGTATTGCCACTACGGAGACTATCTACTACGTCGAAACACCAGTTGTTGGAATCCAGTCTACTACAACAACTGGATGGACTGGTAAAATCACTTCTACCTACTCCACTCAACTCACAACCTTCACTGGATCTGACGGTATCCCCACTACGGAGACGATCTACTACGTTGAAACTCCAGTTGTTGGAATCCAGTCTACTACAACCACTGGATGGACCGGTAAAATCACATCGACCTACTCCACCGAGTTGACCACTTTCACTGGATCTGATGGTATCCCCACTACGGAGACGATCTACTACGTTGAGACTCCAGTCGTTGGTGTGAACTCGACCGTGACAACCGGATGGACCGGTAAAATCACATCGACCTACTCCACCGAGTTGACCACATTCACTGGATCTGATGGTATCCCCACTACGGAGACGATCTACTACGTTGAGACTCCAGTCGTTGGCGTGAACTCGACAACTACTACAGGATGGACCGGTAAGGTCACATCGACCTACTCCACCGAGTTGACCACTTTCACTGGATCTGATGGTATTCCAACCACTGAGACGATCTACTACGTTGAGACTCCAGTCGTTGGTGTGAACTCGACCGTGACAACCGGATGGACAGGTAAAATCACATCGACCTACTCCACCGAGTTGACCACTTTCACTGGATCTGACGGTATCCCCACTACGGAGACGATCTACTACGTTGAAACTCCAGTCGTTGGCGTGAACTCGACAACTACTACAGGATGGGTTGGCCGTGTTACTTCGACGTACTCCACCGAGTTGACCACTTTCACTGGATCCGATGGTATCGCAAC